AAGAGAAACCTTTATTTTAACTAACTCAAGTACTCCTCGAAAAAAGACCTTGAAAAGGGTAAATGGCTTTACCAGTAGGGGGCACCGCTAGTAAAAGTTTTTTCAGTATATATTTATTTATTTGTCATAAAAGGTATTCAACGGCAGCATTGATCGTTGCCAACATCGCTCGCTGTAGTACAAGATTGTCAGTATTCAAACTATAAGAACATCTCTTTTGTGTAAACTGCAACACATTGTATAGAAATTCTCCAACCGTAAAATGAGAAGATAATAATAATGGAAAGAGCAAAGTAAGTTTAGTAAGACGAGCTTCTCACAAGACTTTTCATCGCTGCTATTGCTTCGACGTATAAAATTTAAGGATAAAGTTGGATTTATATCTAATCCCTCTCAAAGGAGCAAGACGAAAGTGAGTAACAAGAACACGAACGTCAGAAAAAAAGATTAAGTTATCCATAATGTACATACCAAATACCATCCACATTGGATTCTCAATCAGAAAGCGATTATAAAGGAATCGCGTGGGAAAAGAATAGGCCTACGCATGAAGAGATACGCAAAGAAATGGTGTAGAAGATTTCCGCTGTTCGGAGCTATCTTCTGCATTGTTTGCCTGTTTTCTTTGGCTATAAAATTGAACTTCGATATCATCAATCACAATGACCGATCAACTCTAGACGCGGCGGCCGATACTAAAAGAGTTCGTATAGCTTATATAGCACACAGGCCTATAAAAACCGGAAGTTTTCTAAAAAAAATTGATAGGATAATTAATTATCCGTCTTTCGTTATCCATAAACCAAAATTTATTGATCAAAAGGATGAAGCGGCCTTTCTAAGTTCTGATTTAAATATCGAAGCTTTAAAAGACGTCTCCGGAAGTCGTTTACAAGGTCGAATAATTTTTCAGAAAAATGCATCAATACACGAATCATTCGATTGCGGTTGGAAAACAAATCTTAAAGATTTTGAAGTAAGAACGTCCAATAGAAGGGTGAAAACGTTAAAAATAGCAACTGGTTTGCTCGTTCCGCAATCAGATAGCTTTCAGCACTTTATGGATGGTGTTTTACCAAAGATTATGCAGGAATGTCATTTGAAAGAGAAACCCTATTTAACTTATTCGAAAAGGTTTCTGATTTAACTCTCACCCAGAGATTAAATAAATAGGACGAGGTAATGAGTAGGAAGATAGGGAAGAGATAAAAGAGATATATAGAGTAGTGTAAATTATTTAGAGGCAGTAGTATAAAGAGAAAGAGCAAAAGAAAGACAACACAATGAGAGGAATACCTGCACAGGAAAAAAAATACAAATAAAAATAGAAATAGAGAGTGGAGGATAGAGAGAGAGACAAAGTAAAATGAAAAGAGATATAGAGTAGCTCTATACTAATCATTGTGTTTTTTTTCTACAAAGATACTAGATCTTTCTCATTCATCTAAAGTCATTAAAAGAATAAATCAGCTTACACGTTAGCAATAAAGCTCATAAGAGTAAAGAACGTGCAGCGTAACGTTTTTTTGTTTTTTTTAGAACAGATGCCTTAATTTGACTTTCCTTTATTTAAGTAAAAGTACAAAATCTCAATATATAAAATGTTTTCAAATGATATTCCTTTAGGCCTACGACGTTTTAAAGGAAACATCGGCATATTTAGTATTATTTAGACCAAGGAATAGGATTGTACAACAAATTCTAAGAAAATTGAATTTATCCGAACGAATAGTCTACTACGATAGAGCGTTTTATAAAGTGAATTATCACATTAACACATGCCTAACACCCCCACTACATCCAATATTATGGCAGAAGGCCAGAAAGAAGCTTATCGGCTCGAATTATTTAAATATTCCGTTAGAAAACAGCTGTGTTACTTTTATTTATTCTTCTGGGGGAGAATTGAAGAGAAAGATTGTAAATTATCAAGTTATTGAAGCTTTTTTAAGGGAACGATACCAAAACGTTTATAGTCTCTCTTCAGATGACCTCGAAACTTTGGAGAAGAGCTTAGAAATTCTACCCAAATCAAGAATTATTATAGGTATACACGGAAGTTCAATGCATTCAATTCAAATGGCTACTGCAAACGCTACAGTAATAGAATATATGCCAACAACGCACGATGGAGCCGTAATCCCTAGAAATGTTGCGCATACAATCATATGGCAAACTGCTGATATGCTTCAGCAGTCTTATTGGAGATTACACGAAATGCCTTTAAATTCTTACGGAGATATTCGTATTAATGTTTTTAAACTGCAGCGAACGTTGGAAATCGTCGACGCTAAATATCCGCCAGATTAATCGAATATTCTAAAAATATCATTATTTTCTCTAATAGTTTTAATCCAATTAACATTTATTAAATTAAAAAAAACTCTTTCAATCAAATACCAGTTGATCTCTCTTTTTACGCTATTAATTATTGATAACTATTATACTTTTATTCATTGTTTTCCCCCTCCCCCGTATTCATAAGCGCCCTCTATCTATAAACCATTACATTAAAAAATATAACGAATGTTTTTAAAATTAATTCGTGAAAATTGAGTTAATTTTTCAGATTTATTTATTTTAATGCAATTTGTTTAAAAGGTCTTATGTTTATTTTTAACTTTGCGTCTGCTAATTATTTCTCCAGTGAAGAACCTTTATAAATTTTATCCATTTATTACTGTGATTGTTATCTATAAAGTATGTATTTCAATACAGGCGGTAACGTTAAGTTATTTTCTGTAAAATATATATTAGTACTGTACATGAAATATATTTAATACAACATATAATTTATTCACAGCAGCTAATAGTCTTTAAACTTGTAAAAAATTCCGTGTCGACAACTTCTCAGAAATTTTAATTATTCAATTTGTAAGACTGCTTAACAGTCAATAGAATTAATTTATGGAGGCGTGTATAATCTCAACGACTTATCGAATAATTTATTTGAAAAATTGCGCGAAACATTCTAAAGGTCAAGGTTAAGAAAAAAAGTAAAATATACATTTCGCGTTTTTGTAACAAAGCTCTTAATTGGTTGATAACTTCTGAATATTCAACAATCAAGTGTTCTTATTGGCCATGTGACCAAATTCTGATCTTGACGCCACCGGCTAAAATACAACTTCCGTCCGAGGATTTCCTCCTCGTGGTTATTATAAAAGATAATTTCTCGTAAATATAATGGCTAACCGATCATCCGAACAACGCTCTAAGCATGAGAAAAGAAAAAATAATTCTCGCGAATCAAAAGATTCGCCACTCCAACTGACAGCCTCATTCTACAAAAGAGAAGATGAAAGCATAAGTAAAAGAACTATCAAAAAAGATGTATCAGATCATTTGAAAGCTGTTGCTACGATTGAGGAGCATCTAACACAACTTAAGCAACTGCGGCGTGATAATTCAAATACAGAAAAGATTGATTTCTTAAAAGCGTCTATTACTGCTCACTTCGTAACACTAAAAACTGTAAATAGAACTTCAAAGACACGACTCAATGATGCTAGAAATAGAACTGAAGAATCAAAAAAATTAGCCGATGAGAAATATTTGGATTTGCAAAATTTGCAATATGAATTAGGACATTTTAAGAAGGAAATTGACAAATGCTTGCAATTTAAATCTGATGATGGAGATATAGATTTAGTAGATGTGGAACAATTCTACTCGGAAGCTCCTCCGCGCTTGGCTAATGAAGCGACTAAAACAGATGAACATAAGCAGAAATTATTCAGACTGGAATACGAACTGGAACAGAGGAAATCTTTAGCAGACGAGTATAAAACGCTCTGCGACGAAAGGGATAATATTGTCAGTATTGCCGATGGTCAAAGAAATAAGTTGGAAGCTTTAAAACCGAAATTAGAATGTTTGCTGGAAAGTTCTCAACCTCTTCAGGACTACTTAGAAATACCAATTGATAAGACAAAAGATTTACATTCAAAAGCAAATCTCTTATCTCGCCCTTTGTATACATTATTTCTCCAGTTGGATTCTTACGCAAAAGCCTGTGATCACTCTGTTACAGTCGACATTGTTGGAGATATTAGTGAAGCCATGTTAGAAAGGAATGGCTTACCGGACAATTTCGACAGTGATAGTGGCCAAGAAGATGATGTGGATAAAGAAGAAGTTGTGAAAAAAAAGAGAAGAGGAAAACACGCCGTTCAAAAGATAACAACCGATGTTAAAAAACAAAAAGTTTTACATTGCTATCCATTACATATTAAGCTAAATATTCAACTACCAAAGGCAAACGATACTTTTCAATTGACCTTTAGATACTTAACTGTTTTGAAACTAATAACCGTTCATGTATCGATTCCCTCTTTGACTAATATCCCAGAAGTGAAAAGTTATGAAGATATTCTCAATACTAATACCCTTTTCTCTTGCCTCTATAAAGATGATACAGGTGAATATGTTCCTGACTCAATTACAAAACAACTGCTTTCTAAGAATGGTGTAAAGGACATGGACGACTGTTTTGAAAACATCGGTAAACCTTATATTTGGGCTCAAAAGATATCTGGTTTACAAATTTTAACGGAGAGTCAGAGTTGTCTGGAAATAGATCCATCAATTCAAGTATGAAAAAACAAATGATTATCTTATCGATTAAATTACATAATTCGTTCTCTTTTTTTTTAGGATACTATTAAAAGAATAAGAGACAGAGTAATATATCGGTTATCATTGAGGAAACAAATATCAGATCTAGAAAATCTCGCTACGCTAAAGAAATTAAATCCTCCAGTTAAATTGGAATTCTCAGAAGAATGGAAAAAAATTAGCGAGGAAGATGTAAGAATAGATAATCATTACGATAAGCTTTTGATTTAATAATTTAAAAATTTTTATTAGGTTCGTGAAGAATGCGGTGAAACGTCAAAAATGTTTGGCATTCTATGTAATCCAACCTATCTAAAATGTAAAGCAAACCTTAGCAATTATAAAATTGAATTAATTCTGGGCTTGGCATGTGATTTTCCATCAACAACCTCTCTTTGGCGTGTTCAAATTGAAAACAATAATAAGATATTCAACTGTTGTAACAACGCTGCCTTAAGAACAATTGAATATACTGTAAGATATTTCTTTAAAGCTTCTAAATTTTTTTTGTACTTTTAATAATATTTCGTCCTTTTCTTCAAAAAAAAAAAAAAAACAGACAAATTCAATTCCCACCGATCCTAATCTTATAATAAATGAACAATTTCATCTATTACTTCAATCAATACAAGTCTGGTGTGTATCGAATCATCAGGATGTAAGTAGGAAATTGATAAAATTTTGTTTTTTATATTTCGGTCATAAATCATATGCTTTATAACTTTCTTTTACAGGAAACGGAACAATCCATTGCGGATATAAATTGTGTTGCTCAGCGGTTTACAAGGGGAAAGTCAAGGGACACACCAATGTACTTTAATCGTAAAGGATTTTATGTGCATGACTTAAACAACTAAGCAAATAGTTGAGATTTTCAATGTATTATAAACTTTATCCAGAAGTATAATCTTAAAAAATTTAAGTATCTGATTCCTCTAAAAACAGTAAATCGAGTAAAAGTGTAACAAAAGTTAATCAATTGAAATAAGCGGAGTATTTGCATTATCTTCTGTTTCTTCTTCTCTTGGTTCCTCAGTTTCTTTTGCTTCAATAGCTTCTTCAGCAAATAAGTCATTTATATCAGGCCTAGTGACCCTCGTGTGCGATTGTTCATCAACTTCTTCACCATCTTCGTCACCATCTTCATCCGGATGATTATCATCGGTATTTGTGTACGAAAGGGTCGACTGAGCTAGATCAACCTCTATCGGAAATAGTTGGGCCCCTTTTAAAATCTCGTGACAGTCTGTGTGATAACTACTCATTGCTGTAATTAATCTTTGTAATTGAAAAACAACATCTTGAACATGCTTCTGATCTAATAATTCTAACTTTACTAAAACGTCAGATCTAAGATTAGCAAATTTCTTTTTAGCTAATTGTCTACATCTTAAAATCAGTCGATATTCATAATTTCCAGTTTCAACTCTATAGAGAGGTTCTCCTAAAGAATTAAATGCATATTCTTCATCATCCATCTCCTTCACTTTCAAGCAATAAGATAAATACTCAAACTTTACATCCAAATATTTCTTCACTGTTAGCTTAGTATCGGGTACAGCCTTGTTAAGAAATGTATTCAAATCTTGAACAACTGGTTTAACCTTTGAAAGGCACTGTAGAGCGGATTTTTCAACATTTCTATGAGCTTCACCAAGCGTAGAAAAAGCTTTGGAAGCTGCAGGCTGAGGTTCCCTTACTCCTATTTCAGAGAATATATCCCCGAAATCTCTATGAGAATTTGACAATTCAAGAAAACATTTTATTATTTCCTTTGTGTGATCAACCATTCCTTTATACATTTCCGCAGTTCTTTCTAATTCACCTAGCTTTTTTACTAAAGAATCATTACATAATATAGCTCTGCTTAGTCCAAGTGCATCAGCTGTTGATGCACTCATTCCTTCGACAACTTTATGTTTAATCTTCTTTAGTACAATATCTAAAGTCTTCCCTTGTTTGGGGTCTGCATGCAATTTATTATAATTGATTTTTACGCAATCCTTGACACTTTGAATCATTCTTGCAACTTCAACTTTACTCCTCCCTTTAACGCTTTTTCCCTCTATAGCCACTATTTCATCTCCAGCTGCTAAAGTGCCATCTATAGACGCTGGTGTATTATCAAAAACTTGAACGATAAAAACGCAAGGGCATAATGGAGATCCACCACCAATCGAGATTCCTACGAGATTCTGATCGCTTTTACGTAAGGTGGTCGTTCCTGACGTGACCGTCATACCCCTGTAACATATGTATGTTGGTTAGCTATAAAATGCATAAAGCAATGCCATGATTGGCTTTAGCTGGGATTAGGAATTAGGGGGAGAATACTACATCTGCTTTAATGAAAACTTATAATAAAACACCTGTCTTTCAATATTAAATTTTTCTTACTAAAGCAAAGCATGCTTTCATACTAACATTCTATCTTCAAATTGATTGTAATCCTTAATTCTTGGCATTTTTGTTTCAATATCAGGATCGAACGTTAAAACAGGCATGTAAGAATATTTCGGCATTATGGCCGCTCTTCAATTTTTACTGTTAATGGACTCATATTATAGACATATGTTTGATGATGGAAAATTTAATAGATGTCGTGATTTGCAACAAAACAAATGGAGCGGAACATGTGTTGTCATGCGTGTATTATTATGCAGGTAACAAAAGATGCTGGTTTATTTACCAAATTTATTATATACTAACATTTTATCTTCGTCAAAATATTCTTCAATCATTTTGGTGCTTCTTTTATTATTGAATTAACAAAAACTTTGCTCTTAAATAAGATGATCTGTAGAATTTAAATTTTGAAGAACATTCATATTGAACCGGAAACTGGATTTGTGAAATATAATTTAAACTTCGTATATTATTGTGCAATTGTTTTGTAAACATTATATTAATATTTTTCAACATGCTTTAATTTTATCATCATTTTATTTATAAATATTCTAAACAGTATTGTTGATCTTGTTTCTTTTTTAAACGTTTGCGTAAATTTACCGACTTTTTACATTAGTTATTGTAATATCGGATTGTAGCAAAACTGAGCGGGACATAGCTCGAAGAAGTTTTAAAGCTAATTCTTTATTAACTGTCTTAATTCTTCAAGATTCATGGTACGCCTATAATTATCTTTATTGTGGGACATAATAATTTGTCAATCTTTTTGATTATGTATAATATACATGGATTTAAAATATATTTATATTTTTTTCGTTCAGTTCTTTATATTAGTACGAGTAACTTTCCCGCGGTTTTTCATAGCACACATATGCGCATGTTTTGATTTTTGCTATATATCTCTTCTTTTTACAAAAAGGACATCCGAAAATTTTTCGCTCCAAGTTCCACATCTAAAGATGCAAATAAAAAGGAACCATCAAAGAAAACAGAATCTGATGTTTCAGAAGTGAAAAAGCCTAGAGGAAAACGGCAGAATGACAGATCACAATCCAAGCAAAAGAGCCAAACTGTTGCTGTTGAAGAAGATATAATCTTGAAAACAGATAGTGATTCAAGTATGGTTAAAAACGCTCCAAAAAAAGGCAGAAGAAGAAAATATGGAAAAAAAGCTCAATTAGGTTCTCCATCTTCACCTGAAAAGCGTAAAGAGAATGTACCCATAACTAATGTTATGTCTAATTCAGAGAGTGAAGATGACTTGCCAAAAGTTAAAAAAGTCCGAAAAGGATTTATTAATTCAGGTTTTACAGAAATAAATAAAAAAGAAACAATAAATTTTAAACTTTCTTCGCCTAGATGACGAAACGGATGCTCCTACGAAAAAGTCAAAGAAAAAAGAAAAGGTATATAATAACTCAATTTTTCCATACAATAACGAACAAATATTTTCGCACTAAGCCGGCACCGAAAAAGATTGTATCGTCTGAAGAGTTCTTTGGCGAAGATAAAATACAGATAGCGGGAACGAAAGGAGTTAAAGAAAAACCGAATAAGAAAAAAAAAGAAGAAAAAACAACAATAGAGAAACGAATCGAAATTGATCAGGAATTACACGATGACGAGGATTTTATGGATACATTAGATAAACTTAATAAGATGGAAAAAGAGAAAGTTAAGAAACCCTCACCGGCAGTTGTTAAAACAGAAACCAAGACCAATGCTAAGACTCCATCGCCTAAAAAGGTTATAAAAGTTGTCAAGTCTCCGACAAAAGCTAAAACAAAAACACCGAAGAAAGACGATTCACCATTATCTATTTCTAAAACACCAACGCCAGCGAAACGCCCTCTAACCGCGCCAAAATCTAAAACTCCAACAGGAGAGTCAGCACCCAATATGGTGAAAACGCCATCGTCCGCCAAAAGAAATTTAGCCTATGCAAAATTCAAACAAAGAGAAGGACCTAGAGCTGTTGGTCAGATTGAGATACCAGAGGGTAGTGAAAATTGTTTAGAGGGTTTAGTTTTCGTCGTTACGGGTGTTTTAGAAGGTTTAGAACGTGATGATGCAAAGCATCTGGTAGAACGATACGGCGGAAAAGTCACAACTAGTATTAGTAAACGAACAAGTTATTTGGTTATGGGAAGAGATCCCGGCGCTTCTAAGGAAGAAAAGGCTAGAAAACTAGGAACAAAAATTATTACCGAAGAGGAACTATATCATTTAATAAAAACTCTACCAGGTAAAAAGTCTAAATACGAAATAGCCGCTGAAAAAGAAATTAAAGCCGAACAAGATAGGGATAGGAAGAGAAATTTGACGGAAAAGGAATCTACTGTACCAGCTAAGGTATTTATATATAATTTTATTAATCGCATGGTTTAGAAAAGAGATAAACTCTGCTTAATTTTAGAAGATGCGTCAAATGGTTGAAAAGCCTGTTGTGAAAGTAGTAGAAAGGGAAAGAGCGGAGACTAGTCATCAAACAGGTGCGAATTATCTTGATCGAGGTCAATTATGGGTTGATAAATACAAACCAACCAATATGAAGCAGTTAATTGGTCAGCAAGGTGATAAGAGCTGTGCTAGAAAATTATTGAATTGGTTAAGTAGTTGGCATGCAAATAGAGCGGCCGGTAGAAAGCCCATTTTTGGTGGTGGTAAATGGGCTGATCAGGATGGCGGCGGATATAGAGCTGCGTTACTCTCTGGTCCACCTGGAATTGGTAAAACTACAATGTCGGTTTTAGTCTGTAAAGAGTTAGGTTATAGCTTTGTTGAATTAAACGCCTCAGATTCTAGATCGAAGAAGAGCATAACGGAACAGGTGATAATCTAGCCTTTACGTTTTTCCTTATCAAATGATTGAATGAAATTTTCCTTGATCCAGGTTTCAGAATTATTACACTGCTCTAGTTTATCTCAATGGGCATCGGGAAAGGATAATAAAGTTGACAAGAAAGAGCATGTTTTATTGATGGACGAAGTTGATGGAATGTCTGGAAATGAGGACAGGGGAGGAATGCAACAATTAATTCAATTAATTAAGACAACTAAAGTTCCTATTATATGTATGGCAAATGATCGAAATCATCCTAAACTAAGGACTTTGGCAAACTACTGCTTCGATTTAAGAGTTCAACGTCCCAGAGTTGAACAAATAAAATCGGCAATTATGACAATAGCTTATAAAGAGGGCGTAAAAATAGCGCCAAACGTCCTTCAGGATATTATTGTTTCCACGAACCAGGATATTCGCCAGGTTTTACATAATCTGTGCCTCTTTTCAGCGGGTGGAGATAAACCGGATGAAAGGGAAGCAGTTAAATCTAAAAAGGACATACAGATTGGAGCTTTTGACGCTTGTCGTAAAGTTTTTGATCCATCTTGCGCTTCAAATTCTATTCAAGAGAAAACATCCTTATTCTTTTACGATTACAGTATCGCACCGTTGTTTGTCCACGAAAACTATATTAAAGTAAGACCGAAGGATAACCATCTGATGAGATTAGCCAAAGCCGCTGACTCGATTGCTATTGGTGATGTTGTTGATAAGAAAATTAGGGGCTCTTCCGGTTCGTGGTCGCTGTTGCCAACTCAGGCGATATTTGCTAGTCTCCTTCCTGGGGAATACATGAGAGGCTACATGTCAGGAATGATTAATTTTCCTCAATGGCTAGGTAGAAATTCAACAAATAATAAGAATAAAAGAATCGTCTCTCAATTGACGGGGCACATGAGACTTAATACATCTGGCGATAGACAGGCAATTAATCAAGATTACTTACCGGTTTTACGTAAAAGATTAACCCAACCGCTAATTGAGAAACAAAACGAAGGAGTGAAAGACGTATTGACTATCTTGGAAGATTACCACTTGACCAGGGAAGATATGGATTCCTTATTAGAAATAACCCAGTGGGATGGAATAGATCCCATGAAATCTATAGAAAGTAAAACAAAAGCGGCTTTTACAAGAGCTTTTAATAAAGCCAATTTTGTGTTACCTTACGCTATTGTCACCGCCTCAAAAGCCAAAGCAAAGAGAGCAGAAGTAGCAGCAGATGATGATTATGAAACAGAGCTGGGAGAGGATAACATAGAGGAAAGCGCAGAAGAAGATGATATTACAAAAGATGCTATGATAAAAAAGGTAAAGAAAAGAGCGCCTATAAATTTTTCTTACTATATCATTCATTACCTCTATTTCTTTTTAATAGGCGAAAAAGCCATCTTCAAAGAAACAGGAAACAAAGAAAACAACAGAGAAGAAAACAACGAAGAAACGAGGGAAAAGCTAAATTTTTTTCTGTAGTGTCCTTATTATCATAAGACACATCATAATTGATATATTATTTTTTTCCTTAAAAAATCATTACAACCTTTTTAAATATTACAAACTAAAAGAAATATAATCAAAGTTTGTCAAGTTTCCACTATTTGTTACTCTGTGATATAGTTTTTATTGGTTATTTAACCTTCGGAAACCAGTTCTTTCTGGGATTAAGGAATGCTTTATACTTGAAAATTCGTACTTTTTCTTATTTTCCGATTTACCTGTTAAACTGTTATTGATCTGTTGTTCTTTGGTACTTAATTCTTTCAATTTTTCATCTCTTGTTTTCCTCCATTCGATCAATTCGTCTAAAGGATCAATTTTCAGAGCGTCGTCTCCGTAGCTTGGTCTCGAAACTCTGCTATGTCTTGCACTATATAAACTAGACCTGGGCCAACCGGCAAACCTACTACTTATTGAATGTAGGTCGACTATAGCTATCAAAGAGGACTTTACTGGATGTAAATCCTGCATATCTAAGGTTACAATTGAAGCTCTTGGCTTTGCTGTTGTTGATGGCGAAAATGCGTTATTACTCTCCAGAGATTTTTTACCTTTTTCATCATCTTGATGAGCTTTTTTTATAACATTCATAGGCGGTAAGCTTCCACCTCCTCCACCTATCATGGACGAAAATCTTAATCGAAAACTTAATTAGTATAACTTAGGTCAATATTTGATACGCCTTTTCGTCCATGACCTCCTCCAAAATCTAATCTACTAAAATTAGGAGCAAATGCAACATTGCTATTTGTTGACCTGGATCCTTCTGACTTTAGTATGGACTTTCTCCCCGGAATTTGATCGTAGCGTTTTTCACCGCCATCGGAAAATTCTAGTTTATTTTGTTCTAGGAACTCCTCTTTCGGATCAAAAGGTAATGAAGAGAAAGGGTTAAAATTCATTCCGGTCATAGATACATGATCTACTCTTTTCTCAGTCCAATCATTTGGCTCATGCGAGAAAGGGGGCATAAACCTTTGTGGTGAAGTTACACTAAGAACCCCTTCCTCTATTTTCCCAGCACCTCCAGAGGTTTTTGAAGCTTGATCTATTTTTTTAAAAAGAAAGCTTTTGGCAAACTTTGTCTTTTAAGTTTAAATAAGGAAAAAAAGGGTCACCTGATAGATTCGACAAACTATTACGATGTTTTTTCGTACAATTTAAACAAGAGAAGATTGTTATCAAGATAATAAGAGAAGAAGATATTCCGCAAATTAATAAATAAATAAACATATCAAAGTCATATCAAATTATTTAAATAATAGCCATATTTGTCTAAAAAGGATAATCCTAATCCATTTTTTTTAAAAATATGATATAAAACTTTCTTGTTTATTCAATAACTGAGAAATAATAGAAATTATATTTTAAAAGATGAATATTACTACGTATAGTTTAAAAATATTTAAAATATATACAGTATTTACAATATATATACAGTATATATATCTATATACATATTATATATGACAAACTATACAGGAAAACTTAATGGTAAACCAAGACAAACAATTGGTTTTTATTTGTTGATCCTATTTAACATTTTTATCTATCTAAATATATAATTAAAAACTAAGCCAATATCAATTTTCCTTATCTATTCAAAATACTAGGATGAAAAAAAATGCAACTATGCCATGATATTTAAAAGTTTTGAAAGATGTTGTTAGATCTTTAACACAAAAAAGACTATATACATAAACATATATACAATGTATATACAGTATATATATATATACATGTATATATAATATGTATACAATATTTCAGAATCTTCAATACTAATCATATTTACATAGATGCAAAAAAAAAAATCAGCACTTGCTCATAGTCTAGTAATTCTTTTAAAAAAAAGGATAAACAAAAGAATTGTACAAACATAAATTTTCAGTTTTCGGGTCTTCTAATAACTTTACAAAATGAAAAGAGTTAAGAAGGATTAATGTTGAGTGAGCGGACGAGAGAGAGAGAGAGAGAGAGAGAGAGAGAGAGAGAGGGAGACGGAGAGAGGAAATCAACTTTTAGCCAAATAAACATTACGAGACATGATTTGCCTCTTTAAAGTAAGTAAATCAAAAAGATTGCAATATTTGAAGAATTTCACCCCATAAACTCGTAAATAACTTGTGAAACTCGTTGATTTCTTTTACAGAAATATACACAAAAAATAACTGCACCTATAATGATTTTGTAAAACGGAGGGGGGGGGGAAGGACTAAGTTTTTCTTTTCTTTTTTTTTCTAACAAAAAACTCTCAAGTATAAAAGGATAAACTATAAAACAAAAGAGAAAGAAATAAACAGAATGTAGAGATACATAAGTATAACATTTTAACAGTTTGAAGTAAAATTATTTTTTTTTAAGTGAAAATTCTCTGACATTTTCGAACGCTACAGGAAAAAGAAAAAAGAGTAATACATTTAGTATTAGTTATATAAATATATATAACCTTTTAATAATCATTATAATTGCAAAAGTGTTTTTCTGCACTGACAGTCAAAGGAAAAAATCTAAAGGAATAGGGTCGTAGTTTTAGATTGCATTTCGATTCCCAGCACTTTCTCTTTTAAATTATCGCTAGAGAATAACTTATTTTTATCATTTCCTTTAGTTTTTAAGAGAGGATAAATCTTTTTCTCTTTGTCTCTGCATAAAGAAACCAAAACAAAGTATATTGCTTCCTTTTTTTGTTCTTTTGTTTTGTTTTTTTTTTATATCGAAATAATACACTTTATAATGGAAATCCGTTAAAGATTATATCCCTATCTTTATAATTATCGTCCATGACTCTTTCCTCGCTGATCGCTAGAACCTCCGAGAATTTGAGAAAATCTTTTATCAAGCTAGGTAATGGTAGAGAGTTAATTTTTGCCTGATAACGTCTACCGTACCGGCACAATTTACGTATTTTTCTTCGGCATTGACGTTTCAAGGACATAGGATAATTGCGAATGTCGTGAAGATAATCTTCAAATTTTTTAAAGAACCGACGATTGCAGTTTTCTATAAGGATTCGATCAAAATTCAGTTTATATATCCAAGCGTCGGCCATGAGAAGAAATTTAACGGTCCAGCACTGACAGAATTTTTTCAAAACACCTTCCATTAATCCTCTTACATCGACGTTTACCCCATTGCAAATTAATAACTTAATTATCCTAATTTGACGTTCGTTAAGAACACTTTGATAAAATGTTATAGCAGTACAGCAACCTTCGTGTTTCGATTCACTTTCTAAGTCAACTTTTAAATTGATAAGACTACGTAAACTAACTTCATTTTCCATGCATATTGACGATGATATTAAATCAAAAACATTTTGATTCTTCTTGTGCGATAGACGAATTGAATAACAGAAATCGAAAGCCTTTAAAGATCTACATTTTGCTATCATACAATTAATAATATCATCTTGATCCACTATCAAGCAAGGGTCGATACTATGTAAACATAATAATATCACTTCGTCATCATTTCCAGATTTTAGAGCATTCAAAAGAATATCTTTTGTAACATAGGCACCTCTATTAATTAACTTTCGCATAACGGGTAGCATTCTATTAGACTTCATTGCTTTTGAAAGAGTGGTTTTACCTCGGAGATCGCAATCATTCGGATCGAATTTCTTATTATCCAAAAGATGTAGACAAGTTTGAAGTTTACAACGCTCTAAAGCAACCATAAGAGCATTATTTCCCTTATATGGCCCTGCTGGAACTCGTATCGTGGGATCTGTAAAATTAAATTTTTCTATTCTATAAAATCAGAAATAAATTTTTAGAAATATTATACAAACCTGCTCCGCATTCAATCATATGTTGTATCAATTCAACATCATCTTTAGGTTGTTCAATAGCAATAACCAAGCTAGTTTTTCCAAAACTTCCAAATTTGTTTATATCATACGAGGCGGATAATTGGCTTATTCGCTCCAGATCGCGAGTCTAAAAATAAAAAATGAAATATGTTAATTAATTTTCCCTTTTTATGTTAATTTCTTAACTGAATGAAAGTTTAGAAGTTTATTTTTGTAATTCTATTTACAATAACATAATATACTTTGAATATTAATTAATTGTAAAAAAAATATACTAGAAATATTGTTGGATCATTAGTAACTATAGTTTTAAATGATGGAAACTTTTAAGAATTCTAACTATAGTATATATTTATTAACAATCATTCGTATCTGTAACAAACTATTAATAAAGAGGAAAAGAAATGTAAAGCTAAGTGCCAGTTTTAATGGAAATAATAAAAATTAGCAATAGTAATCCTACATTCTTTAACGACGAAGTAAAACTTTTTTTTATAAAGAAATCCGTAAATTTATTAGTTAAAATCTAGATATCTTTAGAGATGTTAATTCTTTTTTTGTATAATAAAGTCTTAATATAGTTATATTATCATTATTGAATTAAATAAAACCAATAAATTACATTTATAAGTCCTATAATTTTAAGGAAATTAGTCTAAAATATTATTTCTAGACATTAATAAACTATAATCTTATCCACAAACCGATATTGCATCTTCAAATTCCTTTTCCAAGCGTTCAATTGACATTTTAGGAAGTTCAATGTTATTTGAGTTGTGGCTCATCGCTTTCGTGTTCTTTTAAAATGCTATCGATAAAACTTCGCACGAATTTGTGAGATGGAACTGCCTTGAAATATTCTGTAGCGTCCTTTCTCGAATATTTCTTTAGCGCTTCAACACCTCCAGGATGCTGGTCGAGGTAACTTGTCAGATCGTACCACTATTAAACATAAGGAACATAATATTCACAAGCATTTCAGTCGAGCCTACTGATACGATTTAAAAAATACACACAAAAATCGGAAAGATTCTGAAAATAATTTAACTTAAAAAATGTGTTACCTTTTTATCAATTTTAACGATTACTTTGTCGTTCATTTATTAAATAGCAAAAAACTGATTCATCAATATATTTAAAAAAAGCTGTAAAGGAAAATTCACAGGGAGATGAAAACAATGGCGGACTTCTACCAGTTTCCCCGTATGCGAAAAAATTAAACGGTTTAAGAAAGCCGGTGCAAATTGAAACGAATTTATCATTCAAATTTATATCTTTTAGACAGAAAACTGACAAAAACTGCTGAATAGACTCATATAAAATTTAAAATTAACGCAAAAAAAATCCACACAAGTATATTAAACTATAAAACACAATAAAGTAAAACTGTACATACAAGATCAAATGTTAGAGTTATACTACAGCTTGCTGCCCATCAAGTAGTTTTAAAAATAAAGAAATTTCAAGCTTTTATTTAGCGTAAATACAAAAGCTCATTAGTTCAAACAGTGGCAAGGTAATGAGGTACCTATGGGAATATAAGCTTTAATACTCAATTGACTTAGCTGCTAATAGTCCAAAAATAAATATAGACTTTTTAACTATAGTTATACTTAAAAATAATAAAATAGAAACAGACGATATTTTTACACATTTCAACTAAAAGTTACTTTTTATCAAACCTTTAAATGTTCCGTATGTAATTCAATATATGTTTACTAGAAGAAATTGTATTTCCTATAAAAAATAAATGAATTAATATAGAGAAAAAAGCCCATATATAAGTAAATAATTAAAAATCATACTAGGATTACGAGTGCATAAATGCAGATAGCACTCACTCAAAATTAAATTATAGGAAAAGCCTTTACAGTTCTTTAGATAACATATTCCAGAACAGACTTCAATTGATACGTTCATCTTTAAATCATTATCCATCAAACAGATATTCATCTTCGTTTTATTAAACTTTGCAAAGTAATTATCTGAGAATCAATATTTAAGTTACTTAATTTCATCTTAATTAATTAGATAAGCGAAAAGGAATAGAGAAAGAAAAGAATATATTCACTATTAATAAAGAGAGAGAGAGAGAGAGAAAACTGGAATAAAAACTTAATTATACCTATTTTTAGATTTATTTCAGTATAGTATCTCTTTTCAATTTTTTGAATTATTGAATAGTTTACTGTATTTAGACCATCTTTTACGTTTAAGCCTTTTTCTTCAATTACATTTAAATTACTATTATAAATGAGATATGTTAGATTTTTATGAAAACAGAAACTATATTTAAATATATCAACTTGAACATTAGATTCTCATCATAACCCAAAGTTGGTCTATCAATTAATAATGATTCATTTATCAAGAAGTAATTAGATATAGGAAATGGATATTGTTGATATTTGGAATATTTCTCATTCAATTTAACTCTAAAGATAAATTGAAATGTACAAACAAAATTGTAATTTCTCTTTCTTTTTACCTTTTATAAAAATTAAGAAATGCTCCCAGATTATCATTTATTAAATTAGAAAATCCGTTAAATTTTTCAAATATTTTAAATGGAACGGCTATGGAAGATATATTAAGTAACTTCTCCATTCTTTCATTTCTGCTATTGCAATTTATATTTGATTTCAATTAGTATAATTATTTAAAAGTATATACCGGAAGTTGGTACCAATTATTTTACCTACTAACTTCCTAATTCCTTAAGAGTATTTTACATGTTAAAATCGTAATTCTTCTATATTCTATATATTTTATTCGGCTTTATAAACTTACCCGTTAATCCTGCACATGTATAAAAATTCCACTCGTTCGCCGCTAATATTCGATAATCATGTATAATAAGACAATCGAAAGTTAGAGAGGAAACATCCTTTATAAAATGATAAACTGAATTAATAGCTGAACCAACGCCAGCTGCGGTTTCCTATATTAAAAAAAAAGTTGTACAGAAATTAATAAATCATTTTAAATTATTAGCTAGGAATTTTCAATAACCTGTTTTATGATATAAATAGAAAAGGAGATCATCTGACGTATTAGTAAATTTACTAAATGTTGAATGGTAGTGTTCAGTAAATTTGAATCAATATCTGATTCAATTGGAATAACTACTAATGTAGATTGACGATAAATGCAATCAATAGGAATCCAAATACCATTTTCAGCTCTCTTTGTCAAGATGGTTAGCTCATTTGGTAGCTGCAACGATTTTCTAACTTCCAAATAAGGGTTTAAAACTATTTGAAAATTATAAAAAAACAAATTGTAAATAATAATAATGATAATTGTAATATTAATAGAGGTTAACTTTCAGTTTTTCTAATTGGATAGCAAGGACATAGATTGTTCTTTAGAGTATCTTTTTGAAAATTCAAGGTCAATTCACAAGTTTTACAAGCCTTGTAATAATTTAATATAAATGATTGAATATGAACGAATTCACGAATAGAGTAGGCTTTTCTATCATTTACGTTGAACTTTCTTTTATTATTTAGTGTACGAAGGCTATTCATAAAATACTAAATGGAGAAGTTACAGATAAAGGATAAAGAATTACAAAAGATAACTGATAAAACTAAACTGCAATGTAAATTGTCACTAGAGTAACAATTATCCAAAAATATAATATATTGTTTCCACAAATCCCATGCATCTTTTTTGGTATAGTATGGCTCTATCAGATTCTTTTCTTCTTATCTTTATTCTATTCTATTGTATTCATACTTAAAATTTGTATTGCAAAATAGAAATGTGTCGTATTTCTTTTCAAAACACGTTACGAGAATGTGTTTAGGCCTAAAATTTTATAATTTGGTATTTTATACAAAAAGGAATTTCTATATCTAGCCTTTGTCGCCGAATGGTTTTTTTTCTATCTAAACCAGTATTTCTCGTTTTATTATCAACAAAAGTTACTAATTTTTTGCAGGTTTTTATTGCGCAAACAACAAATATTTTCTCATTAGAATTTTTGATTTCTTATTTGATTGTTAGGCGAGGCTTACAACATCAATATATTAATTGAAAATTGGTATATTCTTTGATTTAGGAGGAATTTTGATATTCTCTTTCCAAAAGTTGAAAAAGCCTTTGCAATTCTGCGTTGTTTTCATCAACTTCCTCTACTTTGTCAAGTTCTGCTGCTGGTTGTAATTTGAAATAGACTTTCTTGGCTGATATTCCATCATTATTAATTTTAACGGTTACTTCTTCAGATTCATACCCTCTCGCTACTGCCGTCACAGAATATGTTCCGTTGACAAGAAGACGCCAGTACTCACCATCTTTGTTAGTTAATATCTGTTTGTTAAAATAAAGTATTAACGTCACTTCACTGTATACACACTATATTCAAGAAAACGACACTTACGTCATGTGCAATGTAGTAATCAGTATCCAAATCTGTTACTTTGATGGCTGCATCTTCAATGGGCAATCCCGATACTTTATCGAAAACTCTTCCCTTAATGCCCGAATGCACTTTCTTCAAATACTCATACATGGATTTTCTGTTATCGTCCCAAACTTTAGGTAGCTTGCTTGCAGGAGGGAATTTTTCGCATCCAATCTCCAGAGTTAGTTCAAGGCAATTAGAAGCCAAATAATTGAAATCCTGCATTCCTCCGTGTAAACTGTACCATTCAGCTCCATTGGTGATTCCTCCGCTTTTGTAGAAATCGTTATCACCAGCCATGCATGGTTCATGTTTGCTAGCCATAACCTTGTGGTTCCCAGCATAAGTTAAAGCAAGATCACGGAATAGAATATCGTCGGGTGATGGTGTATATTCTCCTTGACCACGGCCTGAGCGAGATTCATCAAAAGGATAATTGGCAACAAAGTCACCGTTGTGAAAGTTTGCCGATAGAACAAATGGATTGTTTAAAATCCATTGAATTACCATTTTAGTTTCAGGCTGTAATCCCTTTATCATATCGGCTCTTTCAAGCAAGTGATTATTCCACTTTACACCGTGTTTTTGGTAATTGAAATATTTCTTATCCAGATCTGGAAAGTTTCTATTAAGATCGATATTATTAGCATTTTGCCTGCCAGTTGTCCATGATTTAACACCCTTTTGTCTATTGGCAATTTCCCATCCATCGGGATTCATTGTGGGCATAACATGAATTCTGGTGGAATTGATTAATTGAACAACTTCGGTATCTCCTTTGTTATATCTCTCGCATAACTCATCAAGCCATTTAAGGAGGATTTCTCTTCCAGTCACTTCATTACCATGCATATTTCCGATATATTTAAATTCTGGCTCTTCCATCTCGTGCTCTTTGGGATTATCAGATATTACTAGTACTCCTAGCTTTCGTCCCTCAACTGTTTCTCCTGTGAGGTTATATTGGTGGGTAATCTTTGGACATTTCAAATGAATTTTCCTCAGAACACTCATCACTTCTTCATAATTGTGATGATGATCTAGGCTTACTTGCCAGGCTAAACAGCTTGCCACGATAAATGGCAGAACCGTTAGAATGGATCGTAAGGGAATCATTTCGCCTAGACGGAAACAAATGACAGGTGTTATTTTCGTTAATATCACTTTCTAATTCGATTGATAGTCAGAATATATTAAAATAAACCAATTGAAAATGAAACTTACCAAATGGCGATCCTTGACTATGACGTCAGAGAATTTCTGATCACGTGACAGAATAGGCTGGCGGCCATATTTGAAGAAATCAAGATGGCTGAAGAAAATTTCGCGGATCAATGCGCTACCGGCACAGAAGATTTCTCGTCCGGTTTCATTCAAGATACCGCCCAAATGGAGCAACAACCACTACAACAACCGATCGAACAACAGGCTGGCGGTGATGGTCAAAATCAAACGGCTCAAAGCATAATCAGTATGGCACGCCCGGAGGATGATGGACGCAAAATATTTGTTGGTGGTTTAAGTTGGGATACTACAACGAGTAAGTCGCTAAATACGTAAAAAATGTACCATGTTGCATCTGTTTCTGTTTCCAGAGGAATTAAAAGATTACTTTGGTCAATTTGGCAAAGTAGAAGAAGCATTGATCAAACAGGATCCGGTTACGGGCCGATCCAGGGGGTTCGGATTTGTTCTTTTCGAAAACGAACATGCTATCAAACCAGCTACTGTACGTATTCTGAGTGATATAATTTGTTTAATTTTGATTTAATATGTCTATTTTTTTCAGGATCCGAACAGTAAGCATACATTATTAGGCAAACACATCGATCCGAAACCTGCCAAATCGAAGGATAAGAAAGATCCCATAACAAAGATATTTGTAGGAGGTCTGGACCCTGAATTAACTCAAGATCAAATCAAGGAATTTTTCGAAAAATATGGAAAAGTAAGAGAAGTTAGAAGAAAAAGTGATCTATACTAATCAAATTATTCTATATTAGGTAGAACAAATAGATTTGCCACATGATAAAACGACAAATAAAAGGAGAGCATTCGCCTTCGTTTCATTTGAATCAGAAGATGCTGTAGAATCGGTAACTGCTACGCCAAAAATTAACATCCATGGCAAGGAGGTGAGAATAATTTCCTAACTCGGCGTTTTGCAAATTAAGTGTATAAAACGCTCCTAGTAATTAACTTCTATGTTTATAAAGATCTAGTTAACTTTTACAGATTTTAAAAACGTTGTGTAATTAAAAGGAAGGGCTCTTGGTTCGATAAAAAATCATAACGCGGGTACTAGGCGTTGACCAGCTTATTAATTTTTGTTTTTAACTTTACAGCAGATGTACAGCAACCTGAGTAGCAGTTGTTGTTTGTCAATGTGACTTGGTGAAACAAGACGATTCGAAACAGGTTCAGGGATCAGTTTTTTCTCCAATAACATTGGCGTATTTAAAGAAAAAAGAGCGAGCCAATGTTGTATAGTATTTTTAAGTTTAATGTGTAAACTCGCTATGTAAATTGTGTAAATTGTGTAAATTGTGTAACTGATATTTGGATTTTATTGGAAACAATTACAATATATATTTACTTATTTATAGGTTGATGTTAAGAAAGCCACACCTCACCACCAACAGGCAGCCTTTAGGGCTAGAGGGTCAACCAGAGGGAGGGGTATGGGTCGAGGTAGGGGTTACGGTATGAATAATTGGAACGAATGGAATCAGGGAGGCAGCTATCCCTACGATTATAGTCAAACCGGATACGGTTGGTACGACTATAGCCAAGGTGGCTATAGTGGCAGTACTGGGGGATATGCAAACGACTATTCTTCATACGGATATGGAAATCAGGGCTGGGGAGGTGGTTACGGTGGTAATTATGCAGGAGGTGGTGGAGGTGGAGGTAGTGCAACGGGTTACGACCAGTCTGGAGGCGGTACTTCAGCAGCTAATTACAATGGTGGTAAGTTATGTTTTTGATATTTAGCCGCCGTCTGTCCGCCTTTTTGGTCACGAAGAGATGTTATCGTTGCAGGAGAAGCAGATCATTACCAAGCAGCCCCAACAGCTCCGACCAAAAATGGCGGCAGTGGCAATAGGCCTACGTACCATCCGTACAGTCGCCCGTAGTTTTCAACTTGTGTACACTGCCTTGTTTGCAGGACAGCAGCAACGGCAGTGGACTACTCGATCGTGAAAAGAGTATAAACTGTTATTCGGAAGGACGTCACGGACGAATTCACATTTGTTTGTGCATGCGTAAAAATTGGACGCCTTTCTCGTTTCTTCCTTATGGTTCGTTGTTGTTTACTGGCTTGTTGTTGAAACGAGTTTGTAATATATTGAATACATAATTCCTAAAAGACTTAATTTAAATGATATTGAGTAATAAATTATCAGATACACAGCATATAATATTTTATTTTGTTTCTTATATGTACAAAGTACAAATGTTATATTGTCTATAAACCAAATATTATTGTCCTTTTTCGTAAATTTTTCATTTTCTCCTCGTATTTTTCTTTACCTGATGGATCAACTGGTGTATAATAGTCTTTTGGAGGATTTCCTTCTTGGAGCTTAACAAAGTAGTTCGTATAACGGTAGTGAATTGTTCCGAATCTCATTCGAGCATGCTTTCGAATACCCTTAACAATCAAACCTCTTTCAACTTTTGATTCAGCTGAAAGACATGTCATATATAATTTACAAACTTAATTAAGCTTAAAGAAATAATCTCCTACCAATCCATAAGTTGGATTTAAATTCGACATTATTCTCTAAAACCGCTTTCTCTTGAGCCTCTAATAGCACCTAAAACAATTTGGTTATTCCATAGAACATTTACAAAAAAGAAGCTAACCTCTCTCACAGGGATAGCTCCCTTTCTTGGATAAAAAGATAATTGCTTTAGAGCTTCATCAATTGACATACCTCGAATCTATGATAATTCACTTTGATTAGTTTAAAATAAATTACTTAAACACACACACCATTGCAGCAATATACCATAACTTCTTATAACTATATTTAATATTTTCTCGACTATGCCATATTTCCTATTGGAAGAAAATCATAACTTTGACATATCACTTTATTAAACAATCACTTACTGCCGGGCGACGTTTTTCATCATTTCTTTGAGGAGGGTATACAATTTCATTCATTCGATTCCAAACCTTTGTGTCTCGTATCTTGTGATACTCTTGTAAATTGATATCCGTGGTATGAATATATTTGGAAATGCATTGAACAGCGGGTAACCACGTTCTACTACGAAATTAAAGCATAGTTGAATTTGAGCTCAAATATTATCTTATTTGTTCTTACCTTTCATTTAAAGTTAGTCGCGAAATTGTTGCCAGCATCTTATTAAAGGGATTTTACTTTAGCGTAGAATAATTATGGTTATTAAACCTGATGTTCTATAATATAAGAAAAAGATGAAGACCTTGACAAAGCGACATCTACAGTAATAATATAAGTTGGTATTGCTAACTTTCAATCGTAGCTGGTGCCTGTTTTGTAGATATAATTGTATTTTGCGGTTGTACGAACACAACATTAAAAAAAAACGAAAGAGAATATACTTAGTAGATATACAGATGAAAAAAATGTCTAAGAAAGGAGTCTAATTATCAGTTTAAGAACTTCATAGCTATTTTCGAAACTTCAACATCAACTTTTCAATATAATAACATAAACTGAATATCAAAAAATAATAATAATAAACAAAGTCTTTTAGGTCTTTAAGGAGTGTCTATCACCCTTGAAGCGTGTTTCTCGCGAATTAGCAGATCACTAACTTTCAATTCTTGATCGCAATCCTTTTGCATCATTCGAATTACTTCTCCTTCGTATAGGTTGAAGCTTATATTTTTAATGATTCGCACTTTAATCTTACGAGAAAATAATTGTCTATACAAAAGAAGTAACGCCCTTTCTGACCATTTGCTACTCCCATTGATTGGAATTAAGCCGTGCAGCTTAATATTATAGCACAGTATAGGTTTGTGTAAAGGTAGCGGTGCCAAATGAATATTTTGCCTCAAAGCTACTTCGCTATTGCCAAAATCAACGTAATGTACTTTCACTGACACTTTATCAATTACTTTCAAAACTTTTGCTCTATAAAACTGCTTGTCTGCCGAGAAGCGACAAACTATCGGTTGATTATCCTTCAGTTCCATTAAATCGTTACACTGGATATAATTTCCGTGTTGATGTGCATCTTGTAATAGTGTTTGCAACGTATCTGACTCTCCAATATCTAAATGAAGAAAACATTAAGTATTGTCAGTACAGTTATACATTTTCCAATATTTACGTCGTGTTTTGTGTTGAAAAGATATTATTCCATTTTCATTCACATAACTGCAAATTCCTTCCATAAATTCGAAATTTGAACAACTATCCGGAACATAAGATTGAATATGAACCAAGCGGTTGTCTAAACTCGGTGTTATATTATTCCTGTTATTAGAGGATGATACGGAGCTATAAGATGAAGCATCGTTTGCTGTTTGCTCCAGTTGGGGATGATAAGGCATTTTTAACTTCAGGAGGTCAGTCAGTTGATTTACGCAATCTTCAACTTCTGCATAATTAATAGCCGGCCTAAAGAGGATACGAATAGAGTAAGAAATCGTAATAATTGAATCTGAATATTTTATTACGGTAATTTCTTGCTTTTAATTTTTTCCCGTTGAATTCGATTAGCAAATCCATTATCCAGTAGATAGTTGGAAAAGTTTATAACAATTCTCTGACTTGGTTCTAGAGCACCGCTTTCTGTTATTTGGATTATATTTATCTCTACGTCGGTAGGTTTATTCTGTAGGGTTTTGAGATAAATTAATTGGGCTGTAGTCTTTTACCTTTAAATAGCAAAATATGGTAATATATTACCGGAATTCGGAATAATTTTTCATTGGGATTCTGGTGAAGACGTTATTAACTATAATATTAGAATTTATTAATATTTAGGGAAACTTACAATTTCCTTAACGTATACTTCTTTATTATAAGAAGAGTTTAGGAATTCAAATATATCAAGACGCTCAGCATACGACCACTGTTGATCTTGTCGGCATAGCCTCAAGTTAGGTAAAGAACCTCTATCAGCGAATGGATTCATTTCGTAGTAGTCGCTATCAAATAATGATTTAATGTCTTCCTCTTGAACATTATGATAGGTACCATGATCAATTGTTAAAATTTTCACCAAACCAGACTCATTTCCCGATCCGAAACCAATCAATTTACATCTGTACACCTTGGTTTCACCGAGGCTACTTACGTCAGACAGCTTAACCATATATCTTTCACCTATTAATAGTTCTAGTTTTTCGTAATCGTTTAAAGTATAAAGAGTAGCTAGTTCGTTTTCCATGGTATACAATTCTTTCTCGTATTCGGTATTTCTGTACCAAATTTCGTTGGGAGATAGAATATTAGTTATCATTATTTTCAATCCGTATCTCTCAGCGTAAAGATTAATGGGTGAGTTGTTTGCGGATGCAGACTGGGCATAAGGCATATAATGTCTAAATTCTGCTTTTGGTTTGTTAGCTCCTTTTGCTCGAAGTGACTCCTCAGACATTATATGCTTTTTTAGGCTTTCATCCGAAAATCGGCGATTAGATTCATAGTCTTTACTACAACTGGCCCGTAGATAATTCACGTTAGGATTCTTTTTGCCTGCAAGAACATTTAATTAATAATTTAGAAATTTAACCCAGTAGAGGTAACTTTATTTCAAATACAGACTCAAAGGCTTCTTTTTATGTCGATTTCCAAGCAGTTTTTGCAAAATCATTTCTGCATCTACAAAAAAACAAAGGAGGGTAAATAAATGAACCAAAAGAAAAAACTGATTAATAAACTGGAAAGTTAATTAAACGTTGCTCTTTTTAATTGTATAAATACCTAAATAGGCTTTTTCTAGAGTATGAGTCATGTTTGGAACTTTTTTAAAATCTTCTGGATCGTTACTCATCAAATTTCTTAATATAGTTTCTTTACTATGATAGAAAAGGAAAAGAGTGTAAATAGCATGAATATCAGTTAAGAAAAAAGAAAGAAAAAGTGCTACCTAGCATTTATCAAATAGGTAAATCGTTCACATACTTCTTTTGATCTTTTTTTCATTTTCTCTTCTTCTTCCGTAAGAATGCGCTTCTTAAAAGTGTAAGTTTTGTGATTAAAGGTCATATTAAATGCTTGGTTAACGACAGAAATGAATAATGTATACTTTCGGGGTTTGGGACGAGCTTTCCAAATCTCCTTCGCTTATATCGGACATTGTGAAATTATTATTTTCTCTTGTCAGTTTGATCCCTTCGAGCTTTCAGACAGTCTCTAGTTGCTTGAATTTAGAAAAGGAGACTCAAAGTTACTCAATATTAAACTTGTGACAGTATATAATACTCTATGATGGTAGTTTTAACGGCAAAATTTTTTTCAAAGGGGTAATACTAAAAGGTATAATATTAGGTTTTGTAATTACGTAATGCCACCGTTAACAGGCAAAAATTCTTAATATTGCAGAAAAATTTCTTTTTTCTAAGTAAATGTTTTACTATTTTTTAAAAACAGGTATTTTTTAAAATTTCCTTAAAAAACCTGTAACAATTATCTGGGAAGTTGGTATGAATATTTGAATTCTAGTGTAGTTATCATGTAAAGCTATTGTTACTGTAATTTGATTGTAAAAATATTAAATATGTTAATAAAACGATCTTGTGCATTTAAATAATTAAACTAATACTTTCACTTGTTGAGTTGAAGTCAGTTTGTTACTTAAACGGAGTTGTAAAGAAAACCATTACGCTCATGACAGCCCTTTTTTAGTCATACCCAATACGTTAACTGCGGACACTGTTGCGAAATAAACATAATTTCGAACAACATTTGATAAAGGATGAACAGAGAAGCAAGGAAGTAAATGAAATAATGAAAAAATCGCCTCATCTCTCGCTTATTCGATCACATATAATTGTATTCTTCTTCATTATCGTTATAACTCAGAGTAAGATTGCGGATACCGTATCAAGAAATACGTGTAACGAACACAATTGTTTAAATGGGAAGTGTGTTTCACCCAGTATAGGAGACGAAAATAGTTTCTGTGAATGTTTCCAGGGATTTACTGGTGCTAAATGTGATAGATGTTACGGCAGAGTCAGGTATTTTTCCTCTGATCGCTTCTTTTTGTTGTACCTATTGTATAAATTCATGTTGATTTGGTTCCTTCCATTGATCTATTTGTTCTAATTTTATTTACTAATTTTATTAAGGATAATAGTTATAGTTTAGAATGTAGGAATTTTCTCCGTTCTTTTTCAAAGAAAAAAACTAACATTTTTCTTCTTTCAGTAATATAACTCTGAAACCTGGGCAGACTGGTGTTATCACAGATGGTCCTGGCAACTACACCTTCAATACAAAATGTTCCTGGTTATTACAGACCACCGGACCAAATATTCGCTTTCGAATAGACAAGTTTCAAACTGAATGTGGATGGGATCACCTCTACATTTTTGATGGAGCGAATCAAAATAAAGAGCTCATAGGAGCTTTAAGGTTTATTACTTACTTAGTAAAAAATTCCGCCATTACCCACTTTAAATTACTTTTTCTTTTTTCAGTGGTATATTACTTGACCCAAAGGGGAATAAAATGTCCGATTTTGTTACAACTACCAATACTACCTTCATACATTTCTTTAGTGATGCAGCTTATAATATGAGTGGATTTCGTATCCATTATGAAGTTGAAGCTTGTCCATCTGATTGTAGTAATCGAGGGAAATGTTGGTTAGGGAAATGCATCTGTGATAGTGGATTTTCGGGAGAAGATTGCTCTTTCGAGATATGTCCTAATAATTGTAGTCTTGGCGAATGTCGACCAGACGGTTGTAAATGTCCCCACGGATATGCAGGTAATTAGATCGAATTTCGTTTGTAACAGTTATCTGACTTCATTATAAAATAATATTAAAAGAAATGTTGTTTCCATCTATATTTACATGTGATAAATTTCTCGCAGCTCGCGATCTGCTTGTAATATTTTCGTGTTAATTTTATTTGTGTGGTTTCAAGTGCACCACTGATATTATCTTTTATTTTTATATGCGGATTTATTCCAGTTAGAATTTCTTATTCAATTATTTGCTACAAACAGGCGAGGCGTGTAATCAGTCTAGTTCAGACGGAACTTGGCGAAAATTTATGATCGAAGGTGATGACGTTGTTGGAAGAGCGTCACACGCGACTGCTACTGAAAGTGACGATATTTATATTGTTGGTGGAGAAACATGGCAAAAGGAAGAATACACGGAGATTTTTAAGTGAGATTATAAAAATCAATTGTGTTTTATTTATTTTCTTTTCTAATTAAACTCTATTGTCCCAATAGGTTTAAAAAGAATACGACATTAGACTACACCTATTCATCCCAGAAAATAAAAGTGTCTGATACAAGACCAAAATCTGTATATGATCATGCTGTGTCCTATTTTGCGGTAAAGAGATATAAAATATCCATTATTAATTAACATTTACGATAATTAGAGAACAATGTTTTTTAGGATAATTTATATATGACTGGCGGTAGCTATAACCAAGAAACGAAAGATGAAGTTTGGAAATTCGATATAAAAAAATCCAAATGGGAAGCATTGTCTAATCCCTCTCATCCATTTTTAGCCGTTAAAGGGCATACTTCACATATATTTGGAGAGAAATTATATATATTTTTGGGATTTTCACCAAAATTTGGATACGTCAACTGGGTCCAGGAATGTAATTTAAGTAAATATTACTACGTCATTTTTTAATATCAATTCCTTTCTTTGTATTCAGTTTGTGTATATTTACTTTTGCCATTTTTAGAAAATTTTTCATGCGAAAGATTGCAAGTTAGAGGAGCACGGATTTTAGGAAGATATCGACATTCCAGTGTAATATATGAAAACAATGTTTACGTTTATGGTGGACTAATTGCTAGAGACGTGAAAAATTCGAAATTAGTTGATGAACTATATTCCTTTAATCTTCTTAATCACACTTGGTATGATTTATTTAATGAATTTGCATTAAAATGTCGTAATGTTTATTTTTATTTGTTAGGACTAAATTACCTTCTTCTGGAAAATTAAGCTACCTTCACTCAGCAGTTGTTATCAATGATCAGATGTTAATCTTTGGAGGAAACATACATAGTGATACCGTTTCTTCGACCGGAGTTAAATGTCATTCTTCCACGTTTATTTCTTACAAATTAAAATGCGAGAAATGGACAGTTCTGAACCCAATAAAACTACAATATGACATATCAAGATATGGACACACAGCCTTCACTACCGAAAGGTAATTAACCTAATTAAAGTATTAAACTATTTATTTAGAAGGCTCTTTATTCCCATAGTAAAATGTTTATATTCGGAGGTTTTGGCTCTAGACTAAAAAATGATCTTATTGAATTCACTCCTGGCACGTGTAAAAATTTTAAAACTAAAGCGGAATGTTTTAATGCCAATACGGGTAGTAATTGCGTGTTTGCGGATGGAATTTGCTGGTTTGTAACAGAAAAAAATTGTTTTGTCCTCTGTAGGAAATATATAGTTATATTACTTGCTACAGGCATAGAGATTTAGCTAAGGATACGAAAAATCTAAGCGAAAAGATTTCCGAGTGCAAACAACCAGGTAGACTGATAAAAAAAAAATTTTTATTAGGACTTTCAAGCAAAACAACTATTTTCAGCAACTAAAGATCATTGCTCAATGGAGGATGATTATCAGACTTGTTCAAATAAGTTGCCGAAATGCTATTGGAATGGAAAGACTTGTACAAATAAGATACACCAAGTTAAGCCACCTACCAACAATATTGAACATTATTGCTCTTCTCTGCAAAGTTGTAAATCTTGTCATGAATCGGACAAATGTACTTGGAAATTTCAGAATAATAAAGAAAAAAGTTGTTTAATAAGTAATTATCATATATTTTTCTCTCCTTGTCTAAAATATAATTAAAAATTGTGTCTTCTTTTTATTTTTTTCATTGAAAAGAAAATACTCAGAAATCAATTAAAGAAAAAGAAGAATGCAGCGTATGCTCTCAGTTTACAACCTGCGGTAATTGCACAAGCCATGTAAATGGAGTTTACTGCATGTGGTGTTCTAATTTAAAACAGTAAGATTAATCTTTTATTTTAATTAACGTTTTCTGTAAGTAATATTGAAACTACTCTAATAGATGTATATATGCCAATTCCTATCTTGCTAATTATCCTTATGGTCAATGTTTCGAATGGATCAGCAATGTTAATAAATGTCCTTGTAAGTAAAAAAACACAAGTTTTCTTTATTAATCATGATTTAAATTCTGTTTTCTCTCCTTTCTTTATAGTGTATAATTGTAACCACTATCAGAATTGTTCTTCTTGTCAAACTCAACCGCATTGCGGTTGGTGTAATAATAAAGCAAACACTGGAAAAGTATGTTTTATATTGGATCAAAATATAATATATATATATATGTGTTTGTTTCTTAAAAAAGGGTAAATGCATGGAAGGCAACTTTGGAAAAAATCAACAATGTCAAGGTGATTGGTTCTATAGTTCCTGTCCAGGTAAGATAATGATTCTTCGGTCATGTTTTATTATTAATTAGAATTGAAGTGTACAATTATTTAAAAAATAAATAATATTAGACTGCCAATGTAATGGTCACGCGAGTTGTGACGATGGAAGTAATTGCGATGAATGCGATGACCCTATGGAAGGTCGTCGATGTGAAAAGTGTGGCAAAGGCTTCTATGGTCTCCCATTTAACGGACAAAAGTGCAAAAGTAAATCGACTTTTATCGAATAATTTCTAAACGTCTAATCAAATTTTCTAATTAATTAAACGTGCCTTGAATAGAATGCGAATGCAATAACCGTGCTGAGTCGTGCAATGAAGATGGTAGATGCTCTTGTTCCACGAAAGGAATGATAAAGAAAACGTGTAGTGAGTGCGATAGGGAGAGTCACTATGATAATGGTTTTGGTGGAGTTAACATAACAGGAAATGGAACTTGTTTTTGTAAGTTTATCTAAATTCTAAATATTCATTTATAAAGCGTTCCATAAAGATATTTAGTTTATTCATTTTTTTCTATTTCCAGACGAGTTGGCAACTGATTTTGCATTTACATTTACTTTGGACGAACCGTCCGACAGCCATATTAAAAATTGGAATTTTATGAATAGACCTATAAGAGTTTGTTATCAATATGGACTATCATATTTATAATTTATTAATATTGTGTTTTTTTTTAAATTTGCAAATTTTAAGAATGACAAAGATGCTGACATTTCAATATCTTGCCATAACAATAATGAGAGTGGTTCACCAACTCCAATGGTAGAAGCTTATATTTCGTGGAGTAATTATCATTTTTCTCTCACCATATAATATTAGCTAGTCATTAAAATATCTGTTATGCTTTATGAATTCTTTTTATCAACATAGACGTTGGACCCGGTCCTTATCCTAGAGATACTATAATACATCAACAAGAATGCGATTATATAAGGCATAAGGTTGAAAGAGAGAGATTTATTTTAATTACTTTCTTAATTTATTCATTTGTTTCTTTTTTTTTCTTCAGATTGATTATAAAAAATATAGAATTGGTCCGAAATATAATACAACTCTATATATCTTCGTATCAAATTTCAAAGTTCCACGAATAGTTATAAAGGTAGCTTACTTTATTAAATTGCCCTCTTTTCTATATATATATATAATATATATATTATCCTCTTTTTTTTTATATAAAAACAAAAATTATTAAAGTAACAAAATAGTTTAGATTATTTTTAAAAGTTACTTGTATTATTATTCTTTTTTCTCTACTTCTACAAAATATGTAAAATTCAAACAGGTCTCAGTGTCTCAAATACCACATATCGATTTAATACAGTTTTTTATAACATTTTTTAGGTTTGTATGAAACTGTATATATAATAATATTGAGTAATATATTAGCTGTTTGTTCTTTTTTAATGGTTAAATAAGTAAAAAAGTTTATTATTGATATAATATTTAATTTTTGACATATTTACAATAAGTAGAGTTTATATAACAAAAAAAAAACAATTAAAAATGGAAGAAGTTTATTAATAATAAAAAAATATCAGTAAAAAATAGCTGGAGACAAGTGCACTGATTAATTTTTTGCAAGCGTATCCAATATCTCTTGAACAAGCAGTGATATATAAAACTCATCATTATAAAAATTGTACTTACATACTTCGAAAAATATCTAGTTTTCTATAGTATTTCTTTTCTAGTCTCTATTTGTTGTTTTTCTCACAGCACGCTTAGAAAAAGTACACTCTTTGTGTTTTTTTTATCATTGCTATTATTTTATTATTATCTTAAAATCACTTGGATTTCGATTTTTACCTTTCAATTTATAGTACTGTTATTTAATAATAATGAAAACTTTAATTAATTTCTTCTTTTTCTTTTTTAATTATTTCTACTGTGTAGCGTGATTAACTTTGTTTTCTTTTTAGTGTATTTGATTGATAAAAGAATCTATCATCTCCGTTTTTTTTTACTTGCATACGTTACTGATGAAAAGAGTAGAGTTAGTTTTTTTTTTGAGGAGTAACATAAAAAGAAAGACGCATAGAAAGGAAAGAGAAAACTCTATGTTCTCGTTAGCAGAACTCTTTATTAAATTTATAAATACTGTACATATTTAGTATATATATATATATATATGTCTTTTATAAAAACAGCATCTGAAGTTTCTCTATAGCTGTTTTTGATGAGGTTTCTAGCTTAAAAAATTATAGTAACAAGATATGGTTTTTAATAGATCCCTTAGAAGCATCACTTTGTGAAATAGCGGTTTATAAGTAAGGAACACAGTTAGAAGCATATTAAATTATGAAAGTTATCATTTATTGAAGTATGAATAATTTAAGCTGAACAAAGAATAAACAATTTTTTATAAGTTCTCTTATTATATTATTTTTCATTTGTTTTTGCTTATTTGCTTCCTTTTTGAGCTTTTCGAATGTTCCTTTGTTTATCTTTGTTAAAGTATTGTTAATAATAACGATAAATGTCATTTTCAGTTGTTTTATCTCTCTACTGCTAGTGGCTGCCGTATTCTGGAAAATAAAGCAGAGATATGACATATATAGACGGCGCCAGGTAGAATTTTTACTCGATAATGGAAATTTATTACAGTATAAAATATACATGAACTATATGGTTTTATTTTACTCTTTCAGAGAGCTAGAATTGAGCTAAGGCAAATGGCCAGCCGACCATTTGCGAAATGTCTTTTAGATCTTACTTCCAATCCAGTTAAAGTTATCCAGCCAGCAGTGGTCGATACTGAGCAAGTAAAACTTACAAAGAAGAAACGAGTATGTTAATTTAATAAAGCTAATTGTTTCTTTTATGTTTGCTTACTATTGACATTAATATTTGTAATAAGCGTTTTGAAAAATTCTTCCCTTAGCACACTAGAAGGAAAAAGTCTCCGCTAATTTCACTTGAACCAATGGCTAGTCATAAGTCTGGTATAGTGACAGTTTTTATGAGATTGCCTACAGGCGATAGTGACTATCCTCCATACATGCAAAGTGGATTAGCATTAGCCAGTTGCTTGGTAACACTGGGTCCGAATAGTTGCGGAAGTGCAGCAAAAAGGTACTAATATTTTACTTATATTTTTTTGTTATGTTCCCAATTACACTTTTTAACGAATACTATAAAACATAAATGTTCTTCCAGACTGAAAGAATCAGAATCAAATAACAAAAAACAGAAGAAACCTAAGGCAGTTTCTAATGATGTCTCTGTATGATTAACAATTAATTACCTCATCCAAATCTCATATCATTCGTGGTGCTTGTCTCCGAATATTTGCATTGTGAGTATTGAGAAAAAGAAATTTTTTTTAATGTCAACATTGTGATCTCGTCAATTGTAATGGCAATACGTTAATGAATTGTTCCCACGATTACAAATTATTAATAATTTGAATGTCGAATTTAACAATTGAATAAATAAAAGATAATACTAAAAAGTGGAATACTTTTCTATTTCATGTTACATATGTTCGAATATATTGACTATAAAGTATATATAATAAATTTCATAAATATACATGCTTATATACATATATTACTCTGTATATGTATGGAATATTCGAAGAAAATAAATGAAAAATAGTTTTCAATCAACTGGCGTCAGAGAGTTAATGATTTAGATAATTAAATTCCTTTTTTTATATTTATCACTATTCCAGTCACAAACTACTGACAGAAATGTTTTGTATTTTGACAATTCCCTTTTTTTGCCATTTAGTTTCAGTCATTTCTAAATAGAACATTCGTAATATCTGTAACCTTCCTTTTGTATTTAATTTAACATATCGTATATTTATTGTCATAAACTCATTTCGTATATATTTTTTATCCATAAACTGGTTATAATCGGGATTATACAATACTTGTAAACTAAATCTTCAAATACTACTCTAATTTTTGTCGAATCTTGTAAAGCCTTTGCACTACTTAGTGAGATATCTAATATATCAAAGAACCTATAATAAAAATAAAAACAATTTCCGTTCATCAAATGTATTCTTTAATATGCAAAAATTAACGGTTAGCAGGAGCGCCAGTTTGACCTGGTCTGTTGCCACCAGCATTATCCATTCTCATTCCTGGTCTGAATCTTGGAGGAGGAGTACGATCCTTCCTGGCTTCTCTAGACCTATTTCTAACAACTTTGCTGTGGATTGCGCATGATACACAGTAATGCATCTTACAATAGAGTTTAGGGAGAGCGTAGGCTAAAAAAGAAAATAATAGTTTATTTCATTTGTAATAGACGATATAATTAAAAATGGAACAAATTTCTTAATTAGTAGTGTTCTCAATTGTTACCATATGAACATCTTATATTGATCGTAAGACTATATTTAGTTTATATGAATTATTTGAACTTACTTTCATAAACGCTAGCCTCGGTAACATCTCTTACTGCGGCAGCTTCAACGATATTACGGATAACGAACTTTTTGATCGCCTTATCCTTGGGAACGCATCGTGCACAGTTGGTGCATCTAACGTGCTTGACGTGTCCACGTCCCTTTTTAGACCTTCCAGCGTTTCTGCGCTTAAACGGCTGAAATAAAAAACATTATTAACCACGAAATAAAAAATCTTAATGAAATGATGAGTCGAGTTGTCAAAAGTTAGTTTTCTGTGACATAATTTTCCTACTTCCAACATTAATTATTAAAAACATGATAATTGATGTAAATGGTCAAAAAATTATTGAATAAAAGTCGCCATTTCATGTGTAAATTCAATTGCAATAGTAGGACATGCCAGATTTACCCACCATGTTTAAGTTTTTCTGCGAAAAGGAAGTGCGTCTAAAATTCTCTTCGGGATATCCCGATATCTAAAAAAAATTTTAGACACACTTTCTTTTTGCGAAAATCTCCAACATGGTTGGTACTTTTAGCATGTTTTACATGTGTTTCCATGTATTGTAGACTGAACGTGAATTAATTAATTATTATTTATTTACGAAATCTTTATTAAGAACACCACAAGTAATATCAAATTGAAAAATAAAGAGTCCATTATCAATTTAATGTAAAATGTCAAAGGAGTCCAAAAATTCAAGGCGATTTTTTATTTCGTGACTTATATTATTTTTATTTCAGCCGTTTAAGCGCAGAAACGCTGGAAGGTCTAAAAAGGGACGTGGACATGTCAAGCACGTTAGATGTACCAACTGTGCCCGATGCGTTCCCAAGGATAAGGCGATCAAAAAGTTCGTTATCCGTAATATCGTTGAAGCTGCCGCAGTAAGAGATGTTACCGAGGCTAGCGTTTATGAAAGTAAGTTATTTCATTAAGTGATATCGTCACGATAATATTAATACATAATCGATACGACACACACACAAGGGTATTAATTAAAAGTATTATTACTAGATAGCAATATAACATTACCTTTTCTTTTTGTACCACGTATTTCAAATGCAATATACTATGATCTTTTTTCTTCAGCCTACGCTCTCCCTAAACTCTATTGTAAGATGCATTACTGTGTATCGTGCGCTATCCACAGCAAAGTTGTTAGAAATAGGTCTAGAGAAGCCAGGAAGGATCGTACTCCTCCTCCAAGATTCAGACCAGGAATGAGAATGGATAATGCTGGTGGTAACAGACCAGGTCAAACTGGAGCTCCAGCCAACCGTTAAATTCAAATTATAAAATACATTTGATGATGAGAGAAATACTTTTTGAAATCGAACTATTTGTGTTTACTTCTTTTCCCTTGCTTGTAGGATTCATTTAATCTTCTCAAACATCTTTCAAACCACAATAATTCCAATGTCATATTAAGAACAAGACTTTGTAAATAGGTACACATTCAACAACTGAACATAGGCAGTAAAGTAGATAATTTAAATGATGAAAAAGCCAGTGGAATTTATCCTGCCCCATGAACTATTCAATCTTATAAACAGAAATGATCAATATCCTTTAGTTAGCGATGACAATTTTCTGTTAATATTGGATTCCAGAAAATACCTATCGTACAAAGAAGATCATATTGTTTTAGCTAAACATTGCAAAATGAACAAATATTTTGAATTTGTTATTCCAGAGGAATATCGCTTGCCTTATAAACAAAATGTTGTTGTTTATGATAATAACGCTAATTCATTCAAAGATTGTTGTTATGCAAATTCTTGTAGTTTAAAAGTTTGGGATTCTGGAAGCAGAAATACGGTTAAAGTTTTGAAAGGAGGTTTTGAACTCTTTTCAAGACTGTACCCATTTATGAAAACACAAAAAATGATATGGAACCCAAGAGAACTTGATCAATTTCTTACCTATCCCATTGAAATAATACCGGAATTTCTCTATATTGGTTTGTTAATATATTTGGTACTTTTATTCATATTTTACCAAGATTGAAAATTTTAACGAAAAGGTGATTCTAAACAAGCAGCTTTACCATTTATTCTTAAAGACCTTCACATATCAGGTTCGGTAAACTGTACGGAAACGTCTGGATTTTACTTAAGAGAGATAGGGAAGGATACGATTCACATAAATATGACTGAAGATGAACGGACTGATATTTTTCCATTTTTTGAAGATGTAACTAATTTTATAAATAGACATAAAAGCTTTGGAGGTAAAGTTTTGATCTATTCAGAAAAGGGCATGAGTTCATCAGCAGCGTTTTGTCTCGGTTTTATGATGCAAGATAAAATGCTATCTCTGAAGGAAGCTTGGGATTTTCTAAAGACTTTTCATCCTAAAGCACAACCACTGAAAATCTATTTTGATGCCCTACTCAAATACGAAGAAGTTATTTTCAGTAATTTTGAAGCTGAAGCCGCAAAACGAACAATGGAAGATGATAGGGATCTTCTACTTTACATGCCGAGAACGCTGTTAGAAGAATTAGGCTATTGATAAGCTCAACAGCCTATCATCATATACTGTATATGTATGTTTTAAAAATCTTTCCAATTGATAAAATATTGAGTTAGATTACAAAAAATTGCATAACAGTATTCTGTCTCTGTAATCTTGAATTATATTTTTGATTTTACATTGTTTAGCCATTGGAAAGCAGGGAGTTTGCTATGTTCTATAAAAAAAGAAAATCAAACTTTACATTTAAAAGCAGCAAAATAAAAAATTTCTTACCTGGTACGTTAAATAAAGATGTAGGCGTTATTAGTGTTTGTCCTCCATCCACAATAATACTTCCACCAGTCATAAAACTCGCTGCGTCGCTTAGTAAGAAACAAACTGCACCTGAGACCTTTAATGAAAGGAAAACCTTTTTCATTAAGCTTCGAATGTATTTTTAATGTATTCTTAATGTAATAAAGTAAACCTCTTCACACGTTCCATATCTTTGAACTGGGATTTTTTTTCGTAAAATGTCTAAAACAGACGTAAATTTCTCTCCGTAGTGCTTTATCATAGACTTGTGTACAATTGTTCCCTGAAACAATTAAAGCAGAGTATATTTTATACTATCAATATACTGGTACTAAATTAATTGACTAAACTGGAATAACGGCATTAACTCTAATTCCATAGCTAGCCCATTCCATTGATAAGGTTTTCGTTAAATTATCCATACCGCTTCTTGCTGCTCCAGTATGCCTATTTTCATATTTTACTAATTAGAAAGTGGAAATTTAATAGATAATAGATTTTTCAATTTACGCCATTAGAGGAAATCCTCTTTTAAATTCTGCTAGAATATTTACTATTGATCCTCCATTTTCTTTCATATAAGAATCGAACACTATAGAAATTCGAAGAGATGCGTGTCATGGTGTTATAATAATTTTTATTATTGCAAATTGTTTTTCAAACCCACCTTCTTTGCACATAATAAATGGTCCGTGAAGGTTATTTTCTATCACAGCTTTCCAACCTTTAATTGTCATATTTTCTACTGGACATGGAAATTGACCTCCAGCATTGTTGACAAGAAAATTAATTCCTCCTAATTTATCTATAGAGCTTTTTACTAGATTTTTAACTGATTCTTCTTTACGAATATCACATTCTATTCCATATATATGTTCATTTCCTGTTATACTTTTAATTGATTCTGCAGATTCTTGTATTTCTTTAGAATTTCTTGAAGCTATGACAACTTTTGACCCTACTCAGATAAGAATGTATGTTCAAAATCTAATTTAAAGTAGTTGTTTTTCTTTTTTCTTTACCTAAGCTCGCTAGTTCGATAGCAATCGCTTTTCCAATTCCTTTACTTCCTCCAGTTACTATGGAGCATTTATTTGAAAAGATGTCCGTACGAAAAACAGAAGATGCCAAATTCACACTTTTGGACATTGTATCTGTCTATGTTATTATGGTTGTAGACTATTGCCCTCTGTATCCTCTAAAAATCTAACAAAAACTAATTATATGTATAAGGCTTATGTATGCTCTACCCGCTAGATGGCGATAGGGTCAATCAGTATAGTTTCCTGTGCGTATTTCTGACATGGGATCTCTGACAATTGCAGAACGACTGTTTTTGTAAGGAACAAACCAATTTGAAAAAAATGGCTCACCTTCCTAATAGATCGGCAAGGCCTCCAATGATGTTAATGGCAGGGAATTCTCACAGGGAGCTGGCTGCTGAGATTGCAAAGTAAGGGCTTCGACATAATAAGTAACCTGAAACATGTTAATAACGTACAACGTATTTTCTTTAATTTTGATAGGAAACTAGGTACTAGACTGTGCCAAGCAACCGTATTCCACAAGTCAAATAGAGAAACGGCTTTGGAAATAAGCGAATCAGTACGTGGCAAGGACATTTTTATCATTCAAACTGGCACTACAAAGTATTAAAATACACCAAAGTACAGTACTTGTTGTGTATCTTAGAAAAATATCTGTTTTTCAGAGATGTTAACAATGATATAATGGAAATGTTAATAATGGCATACGCGTGTAAAACGTCATCAGCTAGAAATATTGTTGGTGTCATTCCCTATTTACCATATTGCAAACAGTCAAAGATGAGAAAACGCGGCTGTATAGTATCTAAACTAGTTGCATCTCTGATCAGCCGTGCCGGCTTTAATCAGATTATTACAATGGATCTGCACCAAAAAGAAATTCAAGGATTTTTTGATTGCCCAGTTGACAATCTGAGAGCATCACCTTTTCTCATTCAGTATATTCGGGAATCCATTTCAGATTACAGAAATGCTGTCATTGTAGCACGTAATCCTGGTGCTGTAAAGAGAGCTACCTCATACGCTGAACGACTTCGATTAACTATCGCTGTTATACATGGAGAAGAAAAATCTCCAGAATCGGAAAAAGATGATGGTCGAAATTCACCTCCTTTACCAGAGGTCGAACAAAGGAGAATATCTAATTTCAACATGGAATTTTTGCCAAAGTTACAAGCAAAAGAAAAACCTCCCATAAGTGTTGTTGGTGATGTTGGAGGTCGAATTGCTATTCTAGTAGATGATATGATTGACGACGTTCAAGTATTTGTAGCTGCAGCCGAATTATTAAGAGAGAGAGGAGCTTATAAAATTTACGTGATGGCTACTCATGGTCTTTTGTCAGCTGATGCACCACGTTTGATTGAAAATTCACCTATCGATGAAGTAAGAATTACGATAGTTTTTATTCATTCTAAATGTATTTTCTCAACTTTTCCATTAGGTGGTTGTCACAAATACCGTTCCGCACGAAATGCAAAAGATGCAGTGCCACAAGATCAAGACTGTTGATATATCTGTACTACTTTCTGAGGCAATACGAAGAATGCACAACCAAGAGAGCATGTCCCATCTATTCCAGAATATATCTGTTGATGACTAGATGTGACAAACATGAACAACTGGCACACGTATCTTAGTATGTAATTATACAAGTGTATACATAGATATATATTTATATGCAATTTATGTAAATATATGTTATATGTACTCTTACATTATATCAAATGTATTTTGCATATACAATGCTATAGATATACAGTATGTATATGTCTACATACTATATACACATAAAATCTGAAGAAATTGCTATTTTTGAAATAATTATTTAATTACTATATTCAAAATAGTCCTTTAATGTCTTCCGTTTCCAAGTCAATGTCGATGTCATAGAAACAAGGTCTTGTTGGTAGTCCAGGCATAGTACTCATCTGATAAAAGCAAAATATCAAGATATGAAATAATCTTAAAGAAGTATGTTTTCTTTGAGAGAATAAGGAGAGATCTTACCTTTCCTACTAATGGATATATAAAACCAGCTCCAACACTTGCTCTAACATCTGATATTGGAAGTGTAAAACCTTTTGGTGATCCTTTTAATTGTGGGTTATCGGAAAGGGATAAATGAGTTTTGGCCATGCAAATCGGTAGATTATTAAAACCCTGTTTTGAAATATTGTAAACACAAATATAAGACTAAAGTGTGCCGAGTTACCTGCTTCTTGTATCTGTTTAAACGTTCAGTTGCCATTTCACTAAATGTAACCCCATCTGCTCCGTATATTTTCTTAGCAATAATCCCAATTTTGTCCTCTAAAGGCAGCTGTTTGAACAAACAGAAAGACAAATTTGATGTCAATAAAATGAAAACATTCAAAAAATAAGTTATACATTTAAATCGTAGAGAAATTCAAAATTTGACGGAGATGAACATGCTCTATCAACCGCATCTGCTAAACCGACCGCACCAGCTCCTCCTTTACTCCAATGATGGCAAATTACGGCGTCAAATGCTCCTGCTTCTTTACATAATCGTTGAACAGTTTCTAATTCGTTTTCAGTATCGGTGCTATAAATGAAACATAAAAGTGTTTTTTTTCCTTACGGAGCAGTATTGAAATACTTACGAGAAGGAATTAATTGCAACGACTACTGGGACGCCAAAAAATGAAACATTTTCGATTTGTTTCCTCAAATTTGAGAAACCTTTGGTTACTAAATCTATATTCTGCACAAGATTCAGTATATAAGATATTTGAGAATGAAAGTGTTTAAAACATTAAATACTTCAGCTGTATATTCATTTGGTAATGGTACTCCTGGTACAACAGTGGGACCTCCACCGTGCATTTTCAACGCTCTGACAGTCGCTACAAGTACAGCTGCGTTTGGTTTTAAGCCAGAGTATCTGCATTTAATATTCATAAATTTTTCCATTCCAATATCGGCTCCGAATCCACTCTCAGTTACTATTTGAAAGGGTCGTTTAAAAAATACAATTTCTACTTTTATTAATGAAAAACAAAAAGAACATACCAACAAATCCATCTTTGCCAACAATTTTCAGAGCAATTTGATCAGCAAGAATTGATGAATTTCCATGAGCAATATTAGCAAATGGACCAGCATGAACAAAGACTGGAGTACCTTCTAAAGTTTGCATTAGATTTGGATTGATTGCGTCCTTCATTAAAACAGCTAATGCACCGCTCACTCCCTGTTTTTAAAATAATTATTTCTAAAATATCCTATATTAAAAGAATTATCTTAACTAACTAGATCCTCGGCAGTAATTGGTTCACCGGCCGTATTACTGGCTATAACCATGCGTCCAAGCCTTTCTCTCATATCAGCTAAACTTGTACTCAAAGCAAGTACAGCCATTATTTCACTCGCAACAGTGATATCAAACTGACAAGTTCTTGTCTTCCCCTTCTCAGTATCTGATTGTCCAACAGTAATTTTTCTAAGAAATCTGTCATTTGTATCGATAACTGTTGAGAAAAATGTAAAACATTATCGCTGGCAATAATGAAATTTAAGCCTCTATTTATGAAAGACAAAACAAACCTCTCTGCCATGTAATTGTCTCAATATCGATATCTAATCTTACAAATCGTGCTATCTCTTCCGATGTTAAATCATTACCATCAGTTTTTTCAATCCCAAGTTTCTAATAATAGAAATTTTAAAATGTGGTTTATATTAATATCATTAAAAATATAGGGGAAATATTTAATTGAAAAAATTTTATCCACCTTTAACCGTTTTAGTTGGATATCGGAAAATTTTCGAGCGCCTTTCTTTTCAGGTACAAGTCTTTTAAAGAGCTGTTCATTAGTTTGAGTGGCTTCGTGAAAAATTCTAGCATCAATTGCGGCAGCCAGAAGGTTATTTGCTGCAGTTATTGCATGAATATCACCAGTTAAGTGTAAATTAAATTCTTCCATGGGAATAACTTGCGAATAACCACCACCAGCTGCTCCACCTTTAATACCAAATGTAGGTCCTTGCGATGGTTGTCGAACGCAGGCAAAAACATTCTTTTTACTATGAGCTCCTAAAGCTTGAGCAAGACCAATTGTGGTTGTACTTTTACCTTCACCCAACGGTGTTGGCGTTATTCTGAAGGAGATTTATTAGGCACTTCATATAGATTTATATAAGGATTAAATTTACCCGCAAACTACAACATATTTTCCACTATCGCAATCCTTTAACCGATTTAGGACCTTAACGGAAACCTTGGCTTTTTTCTTTCCATATAAATCAACCTCAGACGATTTCAAGTTGATCTCCGAAGCTAACGTTGCGATGTCTTTAGGAGTTTGAGCTTGAGCAATTGCAATGTCTGATGGAACAGGATCTTTTAGTGTCAATGGAAGAATTCTCAAATTCCAATTGGATAGTTGCTTAGACTCGTGAAAGTTTCTAAGAGCAGCATCAAGTGTATTTTTTAAAAGCATTGCGACAGTCATTGGGCCAACCCCTCCAGGAACAGGTGTTATCCAGGCAGCTCTTTTGCTTGCCGCTTGAAATTCGACATCGCCAACTAATCTCTGACCTGATTTCTTTGTAGAATCTGATAGCATAATCAGAAAAGTTAACTCATTGTTTAAGTTCTTTTAGTACAAATAACCTGGGATTGAATTAATGCCGCAGTCAATAACAATTGAACCTTCTTTGACCCATTCTCCTTTTACCATTTCAGGCCTACCAATGGCTACAACAAGAATATCAGCATCTTTAACGCATTCCTCTAGATTTTGTGTTCTCGAATGACATGTTGTAACCGTACAATGATTCCAAGTGAGAAGAGCTGACATAGGACCACCAACAATTCTACTTCTGCCTAAAACAACTGCTTTTTTCCCTTTTAACTCTATTCCAGTTTTTAATATAAGTTCCAAGGAACCCCTAGGTGTACATGGGACAACACAGTTTTCAATATCGCCTCTAGCAAGTTTACCAGCATTTAATGTATGAAGGCCATCAACATCCTTCCGAGGGTCGATTCTATTCAAAATAAACTCGCTATTTATCTCGTGTTCACAATCCAAAGGTAACTGTTATATATACATGTATAAGATGATGACGTTGATATCAAAACAGAAAGATAAACAAACTTCTTACTTGAACAATTATTCCGTTGATTTTTTCGTCATTATTTAGGGTACTAATTACGTTTTCAAGCTGTTTTAAGTACAAAACATCTTAACGATTATATGAATAAAACATGCAATATTTTTTAAAATATTTTTATTAACTTGCTGTTCCGTTATCGTTCGGTCTAATTTTATCAGGTTAAATTCAATATTACATTCTTTTGCAGCTCTCTCCTTCATTCGAATGTATACATTAGAATCTTCTCTATTGCCGACCTTATATAACATATTGTAGAATTAATATTTTTAGAATAATTTATCATTATTATTATTTATTACCTGTACAATAGCCAATCCTGGTGTAAAGTTAGGAACATCTTTTCGATGTGTTTCTATTATCTGGGTAATATCCTTACGGATCTCACTGGAATAAATTTATCAGAATTAGGTTAGCAGGACAAATGGCTTAAAGGAGTAAGACAATTCAATATTTTGATCCAATTGAATAGGAAGTTATAAATTCGTTATATTGCATATATACTATACAAGGGAAGAATGTAAACTCACGCCGAAATAACTTTTCCATCCAAAATAGATGCCATTTCCTTATTGTATACCTCTGATTGAAGAAATATTCTACATCCAAGTACTCAAAGTCTGGAAGCGCCAAAGGTCACGTGTCCACTACAATTTGCGTAAAACACTTTTGAAATCACGTGTGCTTATACCAGTTTTTGCTCCCTGCAGACGACGGGTGGCCATACTTGTTTACATCAGTGTAAGTACAAACTTTTTTGTCTCTCCCTGCCCATGTCGAATACATTTTACAACTTATACAATATGCAACTAAGCATTTAAATATAATAGAATTGGTATATAGTTAATTTAATATCGTACACTTGAGATAATATAGTGTTATCGTAAATAACGAACAGTCGCCCTCCAACTCGCTGCTCGTCGGACGAGACATTTTTGGTGTAAGTTTAAAATAAAGTTTTTTCAGAAACTATGGGGAATAACAGCGGTAAAAGAAGTCTGTCTCAATCGACAGACGACAGCGTTATCAGAGAAGATGAAAACTGGATGAAAGATGTAGACAGTGAAGCAAATCATCCTAACCTCGCTCCTTATTCAGTACGTTATTTTTACGTCTTTTTCTCCACTACTTTGCGTAAATTTTGATTAAAAAAAAAATTTGAATAGAACTCGTAAGACCAATGTCATTTGGTTAGATTTTTTTACTTGTCCAAAATGGAAGCCGATTGCGGTTTTTTCGCTTTTAGACAGAGAAAACATGTTAATTATATAAATTATTACGATAAAAGGAATAAAAAATATTGAATAATACTATTTAACAGAACCTGACTGCTGAAGAGAATGACTTCGAACCTAAAAGGAGAGTAAGAGCTAGCACTTTGAGCTCAACAGTGAATATTGACAAGAAAAAACTGCCCACTGTCTTTAAATGGGAAGGCGGAGGAAAAAATGTATTCATTTCTGGCTCATTTAATAGTTGGAAGAAGAAAATATCTATGGTCAAGAGGTAATAAGAAATCATATTTATTAGTTTCAAGATTAGCGCCATGGATCGAATGTTACTTCAATACTAATATTGACACATATGTCTTTTATCCAAACAGCACTGGAGACTTTTATGCAATTATAGATCTTCCTGAAGGCACTCACCAGTACAAGTTTTATGTTGACGGACAATGGCTATGCGATTCCAAAGAGGTTACTAATGTAATTCAATTATTTCCGAAATTTAGGTTTTCCCTTAATAAGACTCAGAAAGGGAATATAAAAAAGAAAACCTTTTGTTATTTTCAATTAACATAGTCTAGCTAAAGATATATATATTGTGCACATATAGCAAAAAACAGAAAGTGATTTGGGTACAGAAAACAATATAGTGACAGTTCGAGCTTCAGATTTCGAAGTATTTGAAGCTTTGGCAACGGACAGTGTCAACTCCGGTCAGAACCGAGGGACAGGCCGGCATTATAGCAAAGATGAAGGTAGAGAAGGACGCCAAATAAATTCGATTATTAATAGTTGTTGCTTGATAGAAGCTGTTCAATTAATGCTTATGATTCCACTAATCTTTATTATCGCTATATTCTTTTTTTTTGGTGAAATGTTACGGATAAAAACTTAATAGATATTATAGAGAAACCAAAGAACGCAGCTATATTACTATATACTGTTTTATATTAATAACAATAGAGCATTAGAAACAGTATCAGCTGCAATTAAGTATTAAAAGTTGCTTTAATTTCTTCAAAATCCAAAAAAAAAAAATATCTATTTCTTTTTTATTATCGAAGTTTTTTAAATAACTGTAGAAATAATAAGAAAGACAGTTTCGGTCAAAGCAACATATTGAGTTTTTTGTAAGAGCTTAAGAGAATATTTGAAAGTGTAGTAGCTCCATTTTGTTGTTCCAGACTGTTTTAAACATTTTATTTTAAATTACCAAACTTTTAGTTCTGACTGTGTTTCTAACTTTGGAACGTCACACGTTTTTTCTATATCGTTTTGTAGGACAAAACGAAAAATCCTTTTGGAACCAACAATAACGTGATTAATGTCAAACATTCGGACTTCGAAGTCTTCCATGCATTGGAAGTAGATGGCCGACAATCCAAAGGCAAAGAGCGACACAGTGAGGCTAAGAACCACCTTCCCGTATATTCTGGTACCCGACTTACTAATTGCTTTGTTTTTAGAGAATGAATAATATTTACCTAAAACCAAAAAAAAACTTCTGAAATTGTTAATATATATATATATATATATATTTTGTTTTTTTTCCCTAGATATTTAAAGTCTTTTTAGCACGTTCCTTCTTTTTTGTTTTCATAATAAGAAATTTTATACTTTTTATCTTGTTATTTATATTTTGTTTATAAAAAAGGAAGAACCTAAAAAGAACGATGCTATGAGCTTAAAATATTTAGAATGTGTTTTTTTTTTACTCTATATGCCTATTAAAACGTAATCCAAGCACATAATTTTTTCAAGCCGCTTTTAGAGAGTCATTTTTTATATTTATTATGTTTGTACTTTTTTTTCGTATTTCTCTGTCTTCTGTTGGCTTTTGTTTCTTTTTTCTATATATAAAAATTTAATATCTTCTAATGTTTATTTTGTAATTCCTCTAAAAATAACATCAGTTACCGGCTCGCCTCCTGGTGATTATTCTCAGGAAGTTCCCCCCCGACATTCATCCCATGGTTTCTCCCATAGTGGACCTCCGATACTACCCCCTCACCTACTACAGGTGATCTTAAATAAGGAAATACCAGTACATGTAAGTAACAAATATATGCTATAAATTTATACAGAACATATTTATATTTCAAATCTGATATGCAATAATTATATTGTTTACGTTGCTGTTTATTTATCTTTTAGTGTGAGCCAACTCTGTTGCCTGAACCGAACCACGTTATGTTAAATCACCTTTATGCGTTATCAATCAAGGTTAGATTACAATTGTCACATAAGTATTTAATGATAACATACTTTTAAAATAACTCTTTTCAAACATAAACAGGATGGAGTAATGGTTCTAAGCGCAACCCATCGATACAGAAAGAAATACGTAACGACACTTTTATACAAGCCTATTTAGGCAGAACTTTTGGATAGTTTACAAACAAAAAAAAACGAAAAATTTCAACAGTTGGTGTTGTATGTCGACAAATTGTCGCAATTGGATTTAATCGTCTTTACGTAGCATATGACTTTCTGTATATATTACTTAACGCTTAGGCGAATGTGATTGTAATTTTAAGTTAGATAATAAACGACTTGACTGCGTTATTATAAATAAAAAAATTAATCGAAGCTTATAGATTTTGGTTTCTATATCAGCTTATAATCTTGTTTTAAGACACACAGTACTTATGTCGATGTAATTTATCTTTTTGGTAGGCCTACTGCTCAAGAGTGCTTCTTCCTTACAAAACATAGATGGCGTAAACGCTCAAAAAAAACGTGACTGTCTTCATAGCTTTATCAAAAACTAAATATATTCAATTGTTAAAGTTCCCAATTATATAATTTAAGAATGTCGTCAAATAATGTGAGTTTTAATACGTTTAAAAATATTTATATAGTTGTAAGAAAAATTTTCTTGAACGACATTTAAAAAATAAATGAGCGATAATGCAATATTTTAATATAACCGCACAAACTTTTTCATAGGAATCGAAACCTGATTTGAAAAAAATAAGAAAAGAAGGTAAATTCTTAATATAACTCAATAGCTATCAGACAACAACCAATCTTGATGATTTATTAGCAAAGGAACGTAAAAGGAAATGGAAAGAAGAAAAACTAATAAAACGCTTAGAAAAGAGAAAGAAACGTGAAGAAACAGAGCAGATAAATAAATTGGAAGAAGAAAGTAAACTAAAAAAAAAAGGTATAAACAAATAGAATTATCTATAAAAGTATAAAAATTCAATTTTATTCCTAACAGAGAATTGTTATACAGTCAGCATAGCTTTGCCTGGTTCTATACTAGATAATGCTCAATCACCTGAATTAAGAACCTATTTAGCCGGTCAGATTGCCCGTTCGGCCGCTATATTTAATGTAAATGAAATTATAATATTTGATGAAGTTGGTAAAGCTGCTTTGACCACTGAAGGAACTTTTGAAGGCATTGGGAAAAGCACAAAAACATCCAACTGTAACATTCAATTAGCAAGAATTCTTCAATATCTTGAATGTCCGCAATATCTACGAAAAAATTTCTTTCCTGTTCATGAAGATTTAAAATATGCTGGTCTTCTAAATCCTTTAGATTCAGTTCATCATTATAGAAGTGAAGATGACGCTACTTATAGAGAAGGAGTAGTTACTAAAATGAAAGTTAAAGAAGATAAAGGCTCTCTAGTTGACGTCGGATTAGAGAAATTAGTAAGAATTGACAAACAGCTAGATCCAGGATTCCGCGTAACTGTTCGATTAGATAAAACAACGATGGATAATAAGAAGCCAAGAGGTATTACAAAATGTCTAATAGCCTGCCTATTCATATGATCTTTAAAAATAAAAACAGGTGTTGTCGTTTCTCCTGATGAACCAAGAGAATTAGGTAATTTATACTGGGGCTATTCAGTTAGGCTTGCTCCAAATCTTTCATCCGTTCTTATTAAATCCCCATATAAGGGCGGTTACGACTTAGTAATTGGAACATCAGATAAAGGAGATAGTATTGATCGTTTTGAACCAGAAGAAAATTTTAAGTTTGTTTTATTTTAGCCAATTTGCTTAAGAATTTAATAATATCTCTTTCAAAATTAGACATGCTCTTATCGTTTTCGGTGGACTAAAAGGACTTGAGGCAAGTCTTGAATCTGACGAAAAGTTAACAGTAGGAGATCCTAGAGAACTTTTTGAATATTATGTAAATGTTTGTCCTTATCAAGGATCAAGGACGATACGAACTGAGGTAATTTTTTTCTCAAATCAGTTTAAATATATAAATATTTATGCATAATTTTAAGTAAAAACTCTTTTTTCTATTCAGGAGGCTCTCTTAATCGCCCTTAGCGCAATTCGTCCTAAATTAGCAATGAGTAAACTTAAGTTAACAGAAAACTCGAATGATTAAGTCGAGTTTATTTATTATTTCTCCGTTAAAAAATACCGTTCGAATGTTATATGTGATATTTTAGCAGGCTATTGTATACTAAATGAAGCATTTATTTGAATAAAAATTTGAAATAAAAGTTTAGTTTGATTGTCTCATCACTTTGACACCACCTTCAATTATATTTGCCATTAGTATGATTATTTATAGAACTAATTGTCCGATTAGTAAGAAATTTAGTTTTCAGCTTTGTAATATGTTAATTAGAATCAGTATAAACGACACGCATACCTATCAATAAATAAAATTGTAAAAAACAAAACTTAACTAAAAGGAAATGTCTATCATACAACGAAAAATGTAAAAAAATAGGTAAAACTGTGCCACATAAAATAAATATATCTTATACTATCGTCTCATGTTCTTGGAAAGTTTCCTGGACTAGGTAGGAAGGCTGCGCGAACATATGGATATGGAGCAAACACAATATGCCTGGTGTAGGGACGTATAGCGCCATAGGACCCCTTTACCTGATTTATCTCACTTCCATAAGAATTAAGTGGTATGAAAGGAGTTGGATTAGCAACTTTAGGAGATGTTTGAGCAGCCATTTGAATTGCTGCCTGAGCTGCTGTTTGAATGTTGTAATTTTTGCAATCACTCTTTCTTGAAACAGGCATCAAAGTTTTCTCTAATATCTTTCTATCCTCTCCAGTCTTTGAATCTGAAGATGCTAATTGTTGGAGAGCGGATAGTTGCGCTTGTACAATATTTCTATCAATCTCTGGTCGAAGAGGTGGTAAAACTGGTAGATACTGCCGTGGAGTTGGAATGGGAAAGACTGCTTGATATACTGGTTGGTGGCAGGCCGTACTTTCAATTTGTTGTGAAAATGATTCAATATAATCTTGAGTATTTGAAATTTTTCCAGTAGCTACAGCAGTTGCAACAGCAGCTGCCGCTTTGAATACATCTTCTTCAAATTGACCTTCAAATGATTCCTTCTTCGTCTCTTTCTCAATCTCCTCTCTTGGTTGAGCTCTCTTACATTCAACCTTTAAGATGGAATAATTAATTGAATGTAAAACAATGTACGATTGAATATGGTACACGAAATAAATATAGTATTAAATAATTTATTATATTTCAATGGTTTGTCATTTCATATAAAGATTTTTAACTTATAATTTATCCTTAATCATCTAAGTACAATTGATCTAGACTTTATCAAAACAGTTTTCGTCTACTTAGTTTACTTTTATTTAAAACATGGGAAAAAAGAGAAGTTATAAAGAGAAAAGTTTGAAAGATCTTAACCACACCTGCTTTCCATCTAGAGTGATGTAATGAAGACTACAAACTCGATCGACAGCAGCTTCCTGAGCAAAAACAATGAATCCAAAACCTGAAAAATAGCTTTACTCAATCGAAATACTAAATCTTATTTTAAATCTTAGACTTTATACTTTATTTATATATGTATATATTAAGATTATTTAATAACTAATAAGCCTAGCTAAAAAGAAAAGAAAACAGTTGAAATTTTAGTTGGCGCCCAAAAGTCTCTAAACATACCAGTTTTCACGAAAAGTTTTTTTTTTTAGCTTTTTTAGAACAAAAGAATTTTTTAAACTATTTATAAAACATTGAGTAAGACTTAAGCAGTTATTATTATTATTTATACGTGTAGATGTTTTTTACCTCTACTTTTAGATTTGAGCTGATCATACATAATACAAGCTTCTTCGACACGGCCAAATTGTTCAAAAATCGCTCTTAGCTTTGATTCAGTACAACTAACTGGTAATCCTCCAACAAATATTTTTCTATTCTTTTGAATTTCAGCCTTACTTCCCTTATTAAGATGACGGGGATTACATAATTTAACATCAACATCCCTTTCATCTATTCGATGCGGACCTTCGTTAACCACACGTTCGGCGTCAGTAATTTTTTCATACTTTACGAATCCAAATCCTCTAGATCTACCTGTTGAAGAACTTTTCATGACAACGCAGTCGATGAGCTTTCCGTAATTTGAAAAATATGATTCTAAATTTTCTGTCGAAGTTTCCCAACTTAATCCGCCAATGAAAAGCTTCCTATATGATTAAATCATACCTTAAAATAATTCCGATTAGATTTAATCCGTCTTACCCTTTTTCATCCCCATAAACCCCATTTTGATCATCAGTGGACATGTTTTGAAAGTTTTTAAACAGTAATAGAACGTAATGATATTCTTTAATGAAAATAATCAGTATCATTCTTAAATGACGTTACGTATTTCCTAATAACAATCGATTGAAAGAACATTGTTTAAAAAAGCGTTATGTAGCTAAAGAAACTTTAATTCTTTCTTCCCCCCCCCCCATAGCTTCTAAAAGCTATTTATAGAACCTTAAAAGCGTGAATAGTTACAAATATAACAGCTTTATTTTTTATTAAAAAAAAAACAATAAAGGATTGTAAATATTTCTTTGAGAACGTACAACTTGAAATATGATTTAATAGGAAGAAGTATATAGATGTATCATATATGTAAATTATCTAATATCCTTTCTTTTGATAATTGTCGAATAAAAAAAACAACACACTTTAAACAAGGACACAAAGCGAAAGTAAGATTTATTACTTGAGGTCAAAGAATTTTCAATTGTATATTTCCTTTTTTTTTTTACCAATAGGCTAAAATTAAGTTGATTAACAGCCACTTCTACAATGTATTATATTTAAATAATCAGCTCTACTGTGAAGGATTAAAGGGAAAGTAAAGATAATACCATAGACTTAACGATAAGATAATAATCATTAGAGAATTTATTAATATGTCAAGTAGTACCTTAGTTTTCTTTTTCGAAAAAAATGATATACTATTGTAGCTATATAAGAAAGTGAAAAGTAATGTCTTTCGCCTGCATAAACGACAAAATATCAAGTAATGATGACAAGGCTGATTTATGAATATATATTCAAGATTTATTCGACATTCATCTTTCTCTTTGGGATAATTTTATAATAATAAAATCGGAAATAGTTTAACCGTAACATTTGTCTAATTTCAAAAAAAATACTTCTGAAAGATAGGCCTAACAGTCTAATTCATGCATCTGTGTCTTTGCTATTGAAATAATACATTGAATTTTGGAATTTGACCTATAGCGGTCATATAAAGAGTACGAGAGAAAATAAAGCAAGATTATACAAAGTATGGCTCTCTTTAAGTCTCTACAGCTCCTGAAAAATTTTTCTCCAGACGTGTTACTATACAGGAAGTTTGCAACACGAATCGTCGATTTTACAAGTTCATCTGTTCATTTAAGATACAAAGGTAAAATAAAGGAGGTTAATAATATTTGGCTTAGAGATAATTGCCACTGTCCCAAATGTTTCAACAATAACACGAAACAAAAAATTATTATACCTCCCATCATTCCGTCCAAGATACGAGCAATTCAAGCGGATATAAACGGTACACAACTAAATATTACTTGGGGAGATGGACATAAGTCTTCCTACGATACGGATACTTTATTCAAGAAGACCTATCCTAAAACATTACCAGAAAAGCAACTGTGGGATGACTCATCAATGTCCAAAGATAAATTGGGCAGTAGCACCTATGATCAAATTATATCTGGTGACGTAACTAATTTAATGAATTCCTTATCAATCCATGGATTAGGAATAGTGGAAAATGTACCCACAACTCCTGAAGGTTTTTATAACTGTGGATTTGTTTAAAATTGAACTTATTCATTATTTTTTTTTTGATAGATACTGAAAAACTTTGCGAGTCAATTGTTCCTATTCAGAATACAATTTTTGGTGGCTTTTGGACCTTTACGTCAGACCAACATAGGGCTGATACAGCTTATACAAGTCTGAAGTTGGGAGTTCATACCGACACTAGTTATTATGTTAACCCGATGGGCATTCAAATTTTTCATTGCCTCCATCACGAAGGAGAGGGTGGTGAGACACTCTTAGCAGATGGATTTAGAGCTGCTGAAGAGCTGCGTAAGCAGAATCCGGACTATTTTGATATTCTTCTCAAGTATAGAGTACCGCACGTCTATACCGGCGATCATGGCAATGAATTATACGCTGAACATTCCATCCTGTCAACAGACTGCTACGGCCAACTAGAAGGTGTAAGATACAACCACTACGATCGATCTACAATTCTCAATATACCGGACAAAGATATTGGAACATGGTACAAGGCATTGAAGTGTCTATCAAAGATAATGGAAGACGAAAGTTCAATTTTTGAAATAAAATTACGTCCAGGAACTACCATATTGATAGACAACTGGAGAGTTTTACACGGTAGAAACTCTTTCACTGGAAAAAGAATAATGTCAGGTTGTTACTATCTAAGGGACGATTGGATCAATTTGGCTAAAAGAATCGCGTCTACGTGACAGAATACCTAGCTTTCAGATTAAATCTATCAAAAAATAACCTCCAAAACAGAGATAATGAAAGAATATTACTGATTGCCTTTGAAGTATTTGAGTAATTATTGCTTATAGCCCGACAGAACACTTTCATATTGAGAAGAATATAGTTTTTTTTTTTTTAGAATTTTTGACGTTATCTTTTTGTGTGACTTTACTTGATATTTTCTATTTTACGAATAAAATTGATAAAATTATAATTTATTAATATTGATGATGGTTTGATATCTAAATCTTTGATAATTGTTTAACCCGCACGAGATAATAATTAAAAAAATTGTAATCATTCCATTTACTGCAAACTAATGTGGGTTCATGTTCTTATCAGAATACTGAACCATGTTATCCTTTTAGAGAATCTCGATAGATTTTACTGGCTCTATTTGGGCTGCTATATTAATTTTTATATTTTAAAGTTTTTGAAACGACGTCCACGAAACAATAGGAAAAGCTTATTTATTTCTAAAGTTACTTCTCTATACTTTATGCAACATTCATATTAATATCGACCATATTTTAGAGTAACCTATATTCTAAGACCTTATTAACGGAAAGTAGGTAAGACAACGTGGTTCAATAAAGCCTATATCATGAGAAATATAAAGACGATGAACATATTGAATATGTATTCTTGAGCGAACAATTTTCGCTTTGCATAGTCTTTTTTTAATGAAAATATGAATTCTCATGAAAAATTAAGCTATATAAATGAGATTGAAAAGCTCAAAAAAGAACTAAAGGATAAAAATGACCTTATAAATCAATTGAATAACTCTCTTAATGGAGACGTAAGGAAATAGATAGATATAACAAAAAATTCTAACTTTTATCCTATTATCGCTAGGAAAAATTACCCAAAGTTCAGTCTCTAGATTATTCGCTAAACAAGGAGGCAATAAGCAATCTAAACAATGAAAACATATTAAGATATAGCAGGCAATTAATTCTACCAGAGATTGGGGTAAAAGGTAATAATTTTAGGTTTAATAGTGATAAAGTTTCCATGTGTTTTTATATTTCTTTGCCAATAATTGTTTTATTTATGTATTGTCAGATGACTCAGTTATTGTATTATATCAGGTCAACTTCGACTTTCAAACACAAGTGTACTAATCGTTGGAGCAGGGGGTTTAGGATGTCCTTCAGCAATTTATTTAGCTGCTGCAGGAATTGGTAAAGAGTAATATATGTATGTAAATCTAAAGTGATAATTTCAAATTTTCTAAAGGAACTATTGGTGTTGTTGACTATGATGAAATTGAATTAAGTAATCTACACCGTCAAATTTTACATACTGAATCGAGAACCGGTCTAAAGAAATCTGCCTCTGTAGCTGCATCGTGTTCTAAGTAAAATAACTATTTTTAAATTTAAACAGATAGCCTATTAATCTTACGATGTTTTTAACAGCTTGAACTCGTCAGTTAAATGTATTCCGTATCATACGGTTTTAAGCAGTAAAAATGCCCTAGAATTGATAAATCAATATGATATAATTGTAGATGCTACTGATAATGTAGCAACAAGATATTTATTGAATGACGCTGCTGTTTTATGTCAGAAGCCTCTAGTCTCTGGAAGTGCTTTAAAATTTGAAGGCCAGGTTATTTATATTCACTCTATAATTGCTTTCATAAAAATATACTCTAATATTGCAGTTAACTGTGTATAATTACCAAAATGGACCATGCTTTAGATGTCTCTTCCCTAAACCTCCACCACCGGAGACGGTGACCAATTGCTCAGACGGAGGAGTCTTGGGAGTAGGTAAATCTCATAAAAATATTCAAAGTACTTCCTATTTAACAACTATATAATAAAGCAATTTATTTTACTCCCAAAAGTGCCTGGAATAATTGGTTCATTACAAGCATTAGAAGTAATAAAAATTGCTATTGGGTTACCTGGTAAATTCTATCTGGAATTGAAATGATTGTATAGTATACTATATCGTAATATATTACAGATACCTTTAAGCAGAGACTGCTTCTTTTTGATGGTCTCGCAGGGTCTTTTAGAAATATTGGCTTGAGACCAAGGCAAAAAAATTGCGCTGTTTGTGGGGATGATCCTTCGATAAAAGAGTTAATTGACTATGAGCAATTTTGTGGGGCAAAAGCAGATGATAAGGTTAAAAAGATTTTAATAATCATATTTTTATTATTACTTTATAAATAAAACTTTTTATACACTTCAGGGCAAAAATTTGACTATTTTGGAACAAAGTCAAAGAATTTCAGCAAAAGTAAGGTTTCATTATCATTTTTTGCACAATAATCTTAAACTTAGTCTCTGTACAGGAGTTTTCAGAGATATTGAAGAGTAAAGAAAAACATTTATTAATTGATGTAAGGTCGCCAGTTGAATTGGAGATATGCGATTTAGGAGAATGTTTAAGTAATTATGATATAATTAATGTATATTTGACCCTTATATAAAATATTCTATCTTTCTTATCAAGATATTCCCATCGGAAGTATAGAAAAGGAAGACCAACTAAAATGCATCGAGAACACAATAAAAGACAATAATATCAATAAAGGTATTACTTTTAGCTGATATACAGTATAACCAAGATATAAATCTAAGCTTTTTTATACAGTTTTTGTGGTTTGTCGAAAAGGCAATGATTCCCAAATCGCCGTCAAATTCTTTCAGGAAAAGTTAACGTCGTTGGGAATCTGCTTCCAAGATATCAGAGGAGGATTGTACGCTTGGCAGAAAAGTGTTGATCAATCTCTTCCCCTATACTAATTCTTTTGTGTTGCTTACCATTTTCTTTAAAGATATATACAGTATATATAAATAAATGTGACTGTTAATATTTACAAATTAAGTCGTTAATATATAGATGCCTAACAGATTTTATATCTATAAGTTTGTGAATTTGCTGCATTCATGAAAAAGTTCTCTTTTTTTAAGAGAAAATGCTTTGTCGAAAATAAGATATTTCTGTCATGTAAAGTGCATTCTTTAAAATATTGAAGAAGGTTATCAGAATTACCCAAATATGAACAGTTTTTCTAGATATACAAGTTTATTTATATTTTAAAGAGCAAAAATTTGAAACAACTACAATAAAACGAAACTTCATAAAAATTAAATTTCAAGATTATTTGAAATTATAGGCAGAAATGTTACTATTGGAAATTTTTTGAAAAACTAAATCTCATCTTTAATGCCATGTAAAAATCCTTAAGGTCTATAGCTTGATTATTTCTCATTAGTGAAGAATTACCGCAATCCCTAAATATATCAACAAGGTAATCTTCGCAGCTTTGCTGGAATTAATTTAATTTTTTTTATAAATATCAATGAATCTAAGCAGATTATATAACATTATACCTGAATTAGAGATAATGCAACCTTTGTAATTTTTAAACCTCTCCGGTTTTCTAAGGCAACATCTTTTACCAAAGTTTGAAACGTATTTTTATCGAAAATCATTCCGTCATTGTCAGTTGAGCATTCATTTTCATCATTAGTTTTGAATAAGACAGATTTTGTGGTAGAAGTATCACTCTCAAATATATCGTAACTTTTTTCATGTTCAACATAAGTTTCATTAGTTTCAAAAGTATCCTTCTTTTTCGAACATTTCGGCCATCCTTTTTCATTTTTAGCCTTTTTCCAATCTGAAAAAAGTCTTTCGATTTCCATTCTTCTCTTTATCTTTTCTGTAACGGATAACTTTGAATATTGCATAAAACGTCTATGTGCCACTAATTTAATTTTAGGCATTCTTGTTCTTTTCATAAACTGGCGATTTAATTCTAAAAAGTAGGGATAGTGCTCGGAAGCGTTTTTCAGAATCAAATGTCTTTTAAGGATCACGAACCTGACCGGAAAAGCTGTTGTAAACAAACATGGCGGATGCCAGCTCGACAAATGTTTTAAACATCGACAGTTTACAAACATTAGAGCAGTTACAAGAAGCTTATGACAAACTATGTGTAGAAGAAGTATGATAAAATTCCATATTCAATTTTTAACAGCTATTACAATATCAAACAATATTTATCGTTTACTTTTAAACTGAACATCTCACCGGTTTTTTTATTTCAGACTAAAATTCAGAATTCGATCAATGAGCTATGTAAACAAAGAATACCAGAATTTGATACTAGTTCTCTTAATACTGTCAAGTCAGACGCCTATTACTTGGCTAAGGAGCTTCGTTCTACAGCAACTCTGGCAGACGGAGTTAGTTGCAAAGTAAGAAAAATTGATGAGGCGGGAAGCAGAATAAGCGCCTGTCTTCGTAGAGTAGACGATATTCTCGACTTAAAATTGTGTGCGGATGGGGTAAAGGATGCTCTCAATGAAGAAGACTACGAGCTCGCAGCCTCACATATAAAAAGATTCTTAGCTCTAGATGAAGCGGTTTTGAGAAAAATGGATACTAGTAGTGCTTTAGAAGCTTCTCTAAAAGTTTTACACGAAGCTCATGAAAAACTTAAGAGTGTTGTTAAAGATCGATTGAACTCAGCTGCAAGAAATGAAGACACAGCAACAGTTGAAAGGTTTTTCAAACTTTTCCCACAATTAGGCGAACACGACACTGGTTTAGCTACATACTGCACTCATATAAGGTTGAATATCACAATTTTTCTTTATATAGCTATAGATTCAAAGTTTGATCTTTTAAACTCAGCGTTTTCCTTTTAAGTTTATATAAAAATTTTTATTTCAAAAATGTGAAATTCAACCTTAGTAATCGTTTATCGAAGATTATGGATGCAGACGTTAAAGCTGCTTTGGACAATAACGTTAGATATCATGTTAAATTTGCTGATTCTATTAATATACTACTAGAAGAAGCTGCAGGGTTAGTGAATACTCTAGAACCATTAGTCAATGCATATTATGGTTCTGACCGTTTAAAGGATGCTCTATTACATGTCCAAGCTGAATGCGATAAACACGCTTTGACACTTTTAACCTCATTTGAAAATGAACGGAAGTTAAACGATTTAGACGATGCCAGACAAATTGATCCTGTTTTGGCAGAAATATCATCGTTATCATATAGAGCCCATTTATACGCAAGATTCATACAAAGAAGAGCTCCCGATATGCCCGAAAGCAAATTATCGAGGAGAATACATGATTTGATATCGTCATACGTTGCTTTGGAAGAGAGATGGATGACAGAAAGCGTTTTTAAGGCTAAACAAATGGATGGTACATTTTCTTTAAATACAGCAACAGTTTCTTCATTTGTAGATGATATATTCTATGTACTGGAAAAGTGTATCACTAGGTCTTTAAGTACAGCAAGTGTTCAAGCTGCCTGTGCAGTTATTAACAATGCCGTAACTTTACTGGAAAGTAATTTATTAGAAAATTTAAAGGTAATAATAACTTTTTCTCGTCATCTTATCTTGTAAACAAATATATATAATTTAACCTTTTCTTTTTGCTCAGATTAAATTGTCTTCGGTGGATAAACAAGTTTTAGCTTTATACGCAAATAATACCCAAAGGGCAATAGAAAATGTTAAAAAGTTAAAATCGAAGTTCGAAGATGATAGAACGGTTAAGGAATCTGCAAAATTGACAGCTGTTGTTTGTGAATTAAATAGTTCTATGTCAAACTTTACCTCTTTACAAAATGAATTTTGTGCCAAGCTGCACTTGAATGTTGTAAAGGCAAAAATAGTCGCGGCAATTGACTTTTTTTCAAATGTCAGTCATGTTTTAAATGAACAAGATTTGGATTGCTACGAAGTGGACGATCCTTGGACGTTTCAAGCTATAGCTACAATGGATATGGCTTTTAAATCTTTGCAGGAGGATCTCTCTACCGAGAATTTTGATACTCTAATTAATCAATCAGCACATGAGTTTAGTATCAGACTAGAGAAAGCCATATTAAGTAGAACATTCAACAGGTTTGTAGAATGAAAAAACTTCAATCTTGTGTAATTAAGAGTGAAAACTTTCGTTGTAAAATATCTAATTATCTATTTAAGAATTACTACCTTTTTATTATACAGTATGTGAGAATATTTCTATAAATATTTAATTTGTCTACTTTTTCTTTTTTACAACAGACTCGGAGGTATGCAACTAGAACGTGATTTACGAACTCTTCTCACTTATATAACATCTTTAACTTCTTGGACGGTGAGAGATAAGTTTGCCAGGATTCAACAAATGGCTCTCGTATTAAGCGTTGAAAATGTTGATGAACTGAAGGATTATTGTGGCGCATCATCTTCATTTACTTGGCGATTATCGCCAAATGACGTCAGAAGGATATTAAGGTTAAGAAAGGATGTTAAAGCTAGAGATATTGCTGCTTTGAAATTGGGCTAAAGCTTCAACCATTGTTTTGTTACATAAGTTATAACAATAAATTTAAAATAATTTCTAATTATGGTATTTAGTTCCAACATACTATTCGAATTTATTAATACTTGAATAATTCATATATTTACAATCACTCTACAAAGGAAACTATTTAAATATTCGTTAACTTAATTACAAGAGAAAATAAACAGAATTGAACTTCTGAATATCTTAAACAAGTTTGTCAATCGCCAAATTTTTGACACAATTTGGCCAATAGTTCTGAACACTTTTTTTGTTCTAAATGTTGCTCTTTCATTAATTCATGTAATAATTCGAGAGAATATTTGACTGATTTCTTGAATTCGATATCTTTTTTTACGAATTCTTCCCACTCTAATGTTTCAGAAGGTGCTGTCTCAACGGGTAATTCTTCAACTCTTACTTTTTTAGAGCTGGCTCCTGTTTCTGTTGGTACAGGTCTCTTTCTCACTTCATCCTTCACTTTTACCATATTTGTAATCTCTATTTTGTTGTCAGTTGATATTGTTCTACCCTGTTCGTCTACTGTTATGACGCTATATTCGTGATTAAATAATTCCCAAAACATATTAAAGAATGGCCAAGTAATCGATTCTTTTCCCAATTTATTATAGAGGCAAACCCGAAATGTTCTCTTTAAGTTTCTGAACTTCTGATCACATTCATCAGCGCCAACTATAAATCCGGATTCTTGCATGCTTCTGGCTAATTTTTCCCAGACCCTTCTTTTAGTGTTTGTAGATAAGAACTCATCTCGAAGTTCTTTATATAATTTCATGAGTGTGTGAATAGAATCATCTGTCCATTCTATGAAAATAAAGTAAAGATCTGAATGTATTAATAAAATAATAGATCTTACTATAAGAAGGTGGATGATCTTCTTTTGTTACAATAATTAATGATTCATCAGTATTCTCGTCGTCTCTCAAAATATCCTCCATTAGATCGTAATATTTCCATCTAACAATGGAATCTCTACCCTTTTTACCATCTTCTAGTGTTCGGAAAGTTCTCTTTAGGTTTCTAAATTTTTGATTCGATTCCTCAGCACTCATGCTAAAGCCTTTAACACGTAATTCATTTGAGACCAACTCCCAAATTTTTCGCTTAAATTGCCTGTATAAAACATTGATAAGATGTGAATTTGTCTCATCTTTTTCAGAGTTCAAGAAGATTAACAGCTCACCTAGCTGGTTTTGATTCATCATCAGTTGAAAAGACGGCATTTTTAAATTTTTTATAATTTTCCAATAAACACAAAATAGCAGCATGAGGCCATGATTTACTGACTCCCGATGAATCTTCGCTTAGCCTCTTCTCATCAAGATTATGTTCTGAAATATCTACTCAAGATTAAGATTCACAACTTACAGTTGCTAATAAAAATATTATTATACAAACCAACAATTTCCAATTCTTGTTCATCGACTTGTTGTATCTCAACGTTCATATTTCTTTCTTCACCGAGATCCAGCTATGAATATGATATATAAAAAATTAGATATTTTTATTTTTTCGAAAATAAAAAGGTAAACGTATAACTGCAAATTAAAATAACCAGGTTATATAGATAGCTAAAACATTAAATTAGCATTGTATTTAGTAAAAAAAAAGATTTTATAGGATTTAAAGAGACCTTTGATATAGGATCTCGCTGTTCAAAACCCGGGTTATAAAACATTATAGTTCCATTTAAATGATGCTTATTTAAAATAATGTTTTTCAATTGTTACATGCGTAAAGTAATAAATTAAAATGACTTTTCTCCACTAATAACCTAGAAAGATAAATAAAGATCACGATGTCCTAAACGATTCTTTCATTTTCCATTATATATTTAGACAATGCTTTTTTAGATTAAAAATAGATTCTTTCTGAATCACTAATAGATCTTTAAGGTATTACTAGACAATATCCCATGATAAAAACGAAAAAAAGTTACCGAGTATAAGTGATTGATTTATAGAAAAATCATTATTTCTCAAAAAAAGTTAACCCGATAAGAAAATTCAGTAAATTAAAATTACAGCTTACCGCTGGTCAGTGACAAAATGGCGACGGTGAAGAGGGCATCACCGGTTTAGAGTGGTTCACCTGAAAAGGATTTTTTTTCACGTAAAAAGCGGAGCACCGATCCCATTTACAATTTATCAAGCCTACGATATATTTTTATATAAGCCTACGAAAAGCGAAAATACCTTTATGTATATATTAGTATATATAGTTATTGGCCCAGAAAAGCAAGTGAATTTGTTCTGATATGTAATAAAGTATAATAGAAGGTGTCTATTAAAGGCTTAGCTAAATGTCATACCATGCTAGAAACACGATTTGTTGACTAATTTATACCTTACTATAAAACTTTTGGAGAGTTTGCATTGATATATCATCTTTCGTTTTATTCAACTGCATTGTAAATATAAAGTAAATTACAATCTCTATTTAAACTACAATCCTTGTGAAAAATAATATTGTCCGTATTTTATAACTATTTTTCGTTTTTTCCTGATATGTGAAGAGTTTCTTGTCACTTGATGTTCAAGAAGCCAAGAGTTTCAGGGCTCTAACGGCTGGTACTATTTCCTCCATAGTTTGTAATCTTAAAATACTAATGAGCTGTTTAATGATATTCCTAAAAGTTGGAAGAAACGCTTGTTGTTCTCGTATCTTCGCTGTTGCATCTTCAATATCTGTGACACCAAGCGCATCGCATACACGCTTGGCAGCAGCATCATTTGCTATATCAACCAAATCAGCAACAGAATCTACTATCTTTAGAATAGAAAAGAATATTATAAATAATGCTAATTTTCCTTTTAAAGTCGAAAACCAACCTGGAATGGGGAAATATCTTCATCCAGACCTAATGTTCTTGCTAGAGCATTCAATACATTTGTATATTCGGAAGTCTTTGTATACAAACTATTGATAGCTGTGTAAATTCCACCAAAGTCACGAATATTGAAAACCTCCATGAAATGAAGAATTACTTGTCGAGTAACATTTTCAGGTATATCGTTCAAAGATCTTTTATGTTTCCGACCCTCTTCTTCAATTAATTTGATGACGTGTAATGCCTGTTTCGATGAATCCGGTTTGATTTTTGGCAAGTACCTACAGCATACTGAATCAAGAGCCGATTTATGCAGTTGATAGTCAGCTTGCATCTGACTTATTCTGGAAGTTAATCTGTGAACTGTTTTATTGCACCAAACTGTATGTTTTTTCCTCGGTTCATCATCAAATTCCGACCGTATTTCTGTAGCGAGTTTTAGGAGAGCGTCCAAAGCGCAGTTAGCCTCATCCGATGTATTAACATCCAATTTTGAATATATATCATTTAATTCTATTTTAGGTCAATAGAACGTAAGTTAAATATTTACTTTATGAACTTAACTTTTAAATATTTGTTTATTAACATTTTTTTGATTTAGTAATGACTAGCTTTCGTTCTAATGACCCTGTTGAAGTTCGTTTGCTTTACCCCTTGCTCGTTTAACTCTTCTTTCAGCAGTTTCAATTGCGTCTTCAAGAGTTTTGAGTTTAACGGTGTCCTTCCTTAAGCCTTCATGATTGTCCAACTGTTCTTCTAATTGTTCAATTTTCCTCTTATATGCAACAAGTACGTTATCTCGTTCCGGTATATCAGTTCTTAATTGTTGATTTGTTACAAGTAATTCATGAACTAATTTTTGCCTTCTGTCGGTGTCTGATAGAAGAGTAATTAGTATATGACGTAATCGACTTGATTCTCTTGATCCCAGGAAAATTTCACCAGAATCTGAAAGACGAATATCCAATGGGAGAAGGCCGTGGTGTTTTAAATCATCGTTTAAGCGGTGCCATTCGTCTTGTTCCACAAGCTGTTTACATTAATAAAACTCCTTTAAAAATTCTTAATCCTTTTTGTATACTAAGAACTTGCTGTTACACGTTAATAAATTTCGAATATTTTAAATAAACGATCAACGTTTTGTTTGATATTGAAGGATGTATTAATATAGATAATAAGTTATTAAACTTATCAAAAAATATTAAAATTAATATATAATTAAATAGTTTTAACTTTAAAGGAATAAACTTACAATTTCTGGCGCAAAACCAGCCATTACTAAAAAATTACCGACTGTAAAATGAGATTAATAACTAGACTGGGTTTTAAAAATGGCCGAATCTTTTTCCAAGACTACCGTTAATAAACAAAATCCAAGGTAATAAAATAAATACTGCATGCCTACCTGTAACTGAGGATATTAACGATAGATGTCGCTATCATCACATTTTTGCTGTTTATATTAACTACGAGACTTGTTCGGACAAAAAATTGATTTTATATTACATCTAACAATTAATAATTTAGAAATTACAAATCATCAAACTCAATCTAACTTTTAGAGCGAATACAGTAATATTTTTTTCTTATTTGATCGTTGCTATGAGTGATCGGGTAGCAGTTTGGGAGATTGCTTTGGCAGATGGACGTCATATTTTGGAATTTGAGCATGGCACCACAACTGGTAAGAGAGTGGTTATTGTGGACGGAAAGGAGATTATGAGGAAAGATTGGATGTTTAAATTAGTCGGTTCGGAAACCTTTAATATTGGAAAAGTAAAATGTACAATTAGTATAGAGGCAATGTCAGGCTTTGCCTATGAGTATCTCCTGACTATAAATGGAAAGACACTAAAAAAGTTTGCAGAGAATCAACGAAAAATCAGCAAATCATGGGTTATTGCCGATCTTGATGGACAACCAATAAGAGTCGCCCTTGAAAAAGACACAATGGACGTTTACGTCAATGGCAAAAGAATGGAAACAACTGGGGAATTTGTAGACGATGGGACTGAAACTAGTTTTGCTATTGCTCATGGTCATTCAGCATTTATTAAAGCGACAACTACTGGCAAGAAAAGAGACGGAATCGTTCATGATTTATATGTTGATGATATTCGCATAGAACCCGAACCTGATCCTTGGGCAGATTATAGATAAAGAATTTATTATATGCTTGTTATGTTTGAAGAGTTTAATTTTGAACTTATCGTTGTTATTTACAGTAATGTTCTGTCATTGGTTAAACCTTCATTAATTAATTTGAAATAGGCACAAATTATTCTTATATCTTTTTTATTTAAGAAAATTTAGTATTATAGTGTCAATTCTATTTGAATTTTAAAATATCAGAACAAGGGATAACATGTATATATTAAAAAATGTTTGAAATAAAAATGTTTTTATGGTTGTTAGTGTGTGGAATGATTGACATAGTATTTTTCTTCGTATTCTTTTTAAAAATTTTCGCGCGTTCGGAAAACGAACTTACAAAACTACATAAATTGACTTCCGTTCTTGAACTTCCTGTTAAGGATTTTACGTTTTAACTTTATTTATTCAACTTGTATTTACTGCCTTCAGAGTATTTTTATCTCATAATTTACGGTGATTAACGTCGAATCGAAAGATTTGACCGTTTTCAAAAGACGTGTCATGATCATTCGGTTAGTCTGAAAACGAATCAGTCGACACTGTATTACTCTATGGCGAGCGAGGATAACGATGATAAACCTTTCGAATGCAATTATTGCAAGAAGGTTTGATTGATTTTACCTTCATCTATATTTTATTAAGTGATTTTAATTTTTAATCAGAAATTCTCGAAACATGATACGATGATAGCTCATAATCTAAAACATAACTTAGATTTAGACCTATCAAGGGCTGGCAAACAGCCAAACTTGCAATTTACAGGTAAGAATTTAAATAAACTAAAACTTAAAACTAATTTTCTTATATAAAGATAAAAATGTATAATAATATATTTCGTCTCTGTTCCTTTTTAAAAAAGATCAAACACCGACACCAACTTCTATTATCAGACATGGTGATGAAGTAGGACTGTTTAACGATTTAAAATCTGTAGGACAAACAGAAACAAATCCATTCGACATAGCCTTTAGAAAAGAAATTTCATCACAATTAGAAGTAGATGATAGTCAACATTCTTTAGACGTTAATGATGTGGTTACTGTTTTGGAAACCCCCCAACCCAGTTTGGTTTCAACGGGAAAAAAACGGAAGGTAAGATTTTATATATTTCCGATTAGAATAAAGATTCGTCACATTTCGAAAAACGTTTTAAGTGTCCCATTATATTCTAGAGTTTGAAATTTGACATTTACGTATTGACTTTCTACAATCAGAAAGTACAGTTTTTACTGATAAGGCTCATTCCAGCATACGTGACGTAAATTTTCGAATGTAATGTCTATATACATAGCCACCTATGTAGAATTAAATATTTCCTTAGCATTAGCACAGTATTTTACTGGAGTCTTTTTTGTATACAATTCAAAATCTCCTTATACTTTCTATATGCCTATACCAATTGATTGTTTATTCAAAAGGTGTAATATAAGCCACGTAATAAGCTTTTAATAAATTTTTAAATTGTATTATTCATTTTTATCAAAATATAGGTCTATTTTATACAATAATATCAGTTTTCGATTAATTACATAAAGAGATTGTTTATGAAAGATAGAGTTATAGCCCCTATAAGGAGTGAACACAATCTGCTGACATGTCAAATATATGCTGTTCAAAGAAATGCTCTTCTAAGCAATAAATTCTGCTTATTTCTCGGCAATTCAATAGAATATTGTATTACTATTTAAAGAGTTTACCTTAAGGTGCAACTATCTCCGGCCTTCATGTTAGTAATAGTATCATCATCATTAGGATACTTTATTTATCAATAATAAATAATTTTATATCAATATCTTCTATGTTATGTATGTAATTGAATAAACAGTATAGTATTATTACTATAGAAATATACATATTCGTGTAGATGTATAAATATAGATTTACAGTATTTGTATTAGAGTAGGTGAAATAGAGGAAAATATTTTTCTATTGTTTTTTTATCCTACGATAATAAATGTATTAGATCTTCTTTATATTCGATAATCGATAAAGTTGCTTACAACTTACAAAAAAAATAAATAGCATCCATTTTTTTGTCAATGACAAGAATGACAATATAGATTTTATTTACTTTTATATATATATTTTTGTCTTGTTTATCTGAAGCAGTCAATATATAGGTCTAAGCTGTTTAATACTTTTTTTTCGATAATATTAAACCAGGTTATGCAATCTGATTCTTTGATTTTTATGCAGTTTCACGATGTTGTTGATGATTCGAATGTTGTTCTACCGTTGGATTCTTCCGAAGTTACAGGAGTGGATGTCAGTCCTAATTATATACAGATGGTAAATATGTACATTTATACATCTAGAAAACAAAAAAAGAGAGCTCATTGCTCTTTCTTTTTAAATTATCGTTTGTTTTATTATGAGATAAACATTAAAAGTAGAATTTTTTTTTAAGAATCACATTTCCCATGGAAATACTCCTATAACAAATATCGAAAAGGATATTGTCAATATACAATCGGCTACTGATGGTGCTAGTGTGATTGCCGCCAAAAATGAAGAGTAAATTTTATAACACACTGATTTCTTGACTCTCTTCTCTATCTTTATATATCTATTTCGAATTTAGAATTAAACCAACGACAGCCATACCAACTACCGTCCAACATCAATTGCAGCCATTATCAGTACAGTTGATGCTTCCGTTGGCTAATGGTGGCGTTATTCCAATAAGTATACCGGCGCAAATTGGTCAACCGGTGCAAGTTTCAGGGTCTTGTACTACTCCTTTTTCTGCTGGTAGTCCTATATCGTCAGGAAGCGAATCCTCAAAGTCCTCGTTTGCAAAACAAAAATTGAAAGAAGCCATAAGGAGTGGTAATAGTGCTGCTACTACACCAACTGAGGATGTCCGGCTTTGCACTTCTTTTGGTATTTTCTTCAAAACAATTGTCTCATTGCAAAAATATTTGTAATTGTTTGTTTATTATAGTTTCGGAAAGGAGGCCAATTAGTTTTGGATTTTCGAATAAACCAGTTAAAAGTGCTGCCGATACTTCAACTCCAACTGAGAGTTCTCGAGGTTTTGGCGAACAATTTAGTGGTTCTGAGGATGTTGAAGACAAAAAGAAACAATATTTAGAGAGGAATAGAGCTGCCGCTGCCAGATCAAGAGCCAAAAAAAAGAAAATAATGGGTGATTTAGAAAGAAAATACGACGAAGCCAAGCGTTCACTTCAACAATATCAAGTAAAGCCCTCTAATTTCAAAATGAATGATGTTATTAATTCTTATTTACTTTTAGAAAAAAATTTGTCAACTAGAAAAAGAGAATGCTTCCTTGAAAAGAATGCTCCTCCAGCATTCTAACTGCATAAAATTTGAATCAATTGAAAGAGATGGTGATGAACCAGTTGTCCTATTTCAACAGACTATAGATGAAACATTATAATAGTTGAAGTACAAAAAAATGTGTATAAAAAAATAGTTATTTTAAGAAGAAATTTAACACGGATTGAAACAACAACAAAAAAATTGGCTATAAATCCTTTCTTCATATATTTTGTGTTAGATAAAGAAAAATCTTCTTCGCAGTTGACCTATTATTGTTTTCTTATCCAGTTTATTATTTTTTATTATTTTTTTAACGGTCTAATTCATGTTTTTTTGGAAAAAAACAAGAGAGAGAACATTTTCACATCATTTACAAAGAGAAAACATTTCCTGTTTCTTTATTTTTTTATCTTTTGCCTTTTCTTTCTTTTTGTTGTATCTCTTGTCCTTTTTTTTTTCACAGAACTTCTTCTATCTTTCATTCAAGAGAGATATAATTAAAAAAAGAAAAGATGGAAATGTTAACGAGGTAAAAACTTCTTTTTCGAATTGTTTGATATTTCATATTTGGATGGTTCTTTACTTGTTTTATATATATATATATATAAATTTATATATATTTTGATCCATCTAATAAATCTCTACAAATTGTTCAAAGTCTTTTATATTTTATGAGTAAAAGTTGATACGAAAAGTTAGATAATCTCTACTAGGCTTTGTTTCGTACTTTATATAGAATTTAGTTAAAAAGTCTTTCTTGCTGGAACAATTTTTCTTTTTGTTTTTTTAATTCATGTCATTAAAGCTTTTTCAAAACTTTGTTATTTTTTCTCTCTCTATGCCATATTAATTGATAGATAGATATGTGTTCCTTATTGATTTTATTAACAACTGCTTTTGCCGCAAAGTCTACTGTTATTAAAGTAAAAATATTTGAAGCTATTAATCATCAATTATTAGATAGAAATGAAACTTATATCTATCAAAATAGACCTAGTTTGATAAAATGCGGTTTAAAGAAAAATAACACGTTAAAGCGGCAGAGAAATCATTCGTTTCTATGGGTAACACCGGATGGTAATATAACTCATCGCGGAAATATTTCGATGAATAATGCTTCTTATATATTTCTAAATTCTAACGTAATATTGCAAAATCTTGTCAGAATAAATAAAGAGAACAAAGAAGAAATTTTTTCTATAGATCTTAGCAGAAAAAACTCATCCGACTATCTTCATTCATTAATTGTATGGAATCCAAGAGTAAATAGTACTGGTATATATCGTTGTAGGCAAAAATTTAAAGACATTTTTACTAATAAATGGAGTGAAATGTCAATTGAAAGAATTGTATATTCAACTAAACCTTTAAGGTTTAAAAGCTCATCCACGTGGCGAATAGCAATGCCACTCAAAAAGAATAACGAATGGTTTAATCCATGTAATTATTATTTATTACACGACGATCACATTGTTAAATATATTAAAAAGAAATTATGCCAAACAAACTATCGTTTCTTTCGAAGATGCTCTTTCAATTTAACAAAATTTGGTTGCTATGATGCTGTTCGCAATAGAATAAATTGGTTAGATGAACATACAATATTAGGTAAAGGTAGACAACATTTTGATATCCTTCTGTTTAATATATCAGTGGAGGCAATTGACATCTGGAAATCAGTATCTAATTTATACTTCGATATAGAATGGATGACCTATTCTCTTAAACAATCTAAATATTTAAAAAGAGATCATATAGATCCAATAATAAGCTCAATATATCCATTTTTCAATATACACAATAGATTCTTACAGACTAAAATGCCTACCGAAAAAGATATTAAGTACAATCAAGTTTGTCAGGAAGGATTTACATTTAATTATATTGATCCGTATTATCCTGATTTATGCATTCCTTGCCCATATGGCTTTTATAAAACGGGATTTCACATACAAAAATGTACTCCTTGTCCACAAGGTTTTACGACGAATAAACTTGCAGCACTTTCAATCTCCCAATGTCAAAGACACATACTCTTAATAAAAAATATAAGTGATATCGTACTAGAGAAGCATGAGAATTATAGATTATTTAATCAAAGTCCCCCTACTCTACCAACTCAGATGTTTGGCTATACAAAGGTAAAATATATATTTATAAAAAATAACCATTTATTTTATCATTAATAAAAAATAGATATTTTTAACAGTCACAAGCGACAGTAAGTGTCCTAGTGTTGAAAGGAGGAATGCTATGTCCAAAAACTATGTTACAGAATTATGCGAGAAGATAAAAGAATACGATTCGAGACCTTGCATCGTTATAGGTATAAATTTATACATATATATTGTATATACAAGTGTATATTTAGAATACAAAAAAGAGATCCTTGTCATTTCAAGGTTATCAAGATTGTTACGAAGAGAGTGGAAAAGGTCCAACTTTAGACTTTACGTTAGTAATGTTGCGAGAGAGAGAGAGAGAAAATAAGTTAATAATAGAAATGAATGCAATTTGCTATTTTATTTCACAGTTTTTATTATTCAAGACTAAACACTTACATATTGGACGTTACTCTAAAATTAGGTAGAATTTGTAAGGATGTTTGCACCCTTCGGCATATTTCTAAGCATTTGAAACACGTAAATACTTTTAATGCTTCATTCAAATGTGCACATTTAACATGTATTACTATAGATAAGAAATATTATTATCGAGTGGCGGAAAGATAGGCGAACTTTCGACGAAAATGACTACAATATAACCTTCATGGATGACAGATTTAACTTGACATTCGCTTGTCCGGCTGGTTATTTGTAAATTGCCTGTAAATATGTAAATTGGATAGATTAAACTAATTTACTCTAATTTTAAGCCTTGAAAGAGACATATGTAAACCTTGTAAAGCTGGACACTATCAACCAAGAATTGGATTCTATAGACGATGCCTACCTTGCCCACCTTTTTATTTTTCTTCAGGTTTTGCATCAACTTCCTGCAGGTTTTTCGTCTTCTATTATTTTTCATACAAAACAAAATATTGTACTTTATTGAACTCATAGATCTTGTAATTTCTTTCATAGTTCATGTAGATCGAATGGTCAATATCGAAATCCGAAAACAGTTGCGGCTCAAACAAGACAATGCTTAGGAGAAGATATCAATATGGAAAAGTTTCTGGACAAATTCGAACAAGACTTTAATAATTTATATCTTCCGGTATTTGCCGGAATCTTTCTCCTTCTAGTGATGCCACTAACTTGCTATAGACTTATCAAGTTATTAGACGAAAGTACAAAAAGAGCACAAGAGAAGAGTGACTATGAAATTCATATGGAAAAGAAAGATGTTACAATAAGAAATGAAGAAATTATAGCAGTTAGTTAATATAAAAATAATTAATTACAACTTTGATTAATGTAATATCATTAAATTAGGAAAGAAGAGCAAAATTGTTACTTACACAGCATATTGAATTGGAATTAATTGATTTATTGAATAAATTTAATCCTACTCAAAGTTGACAGAGTATAAATAAAAATATATTATTAAGCTTATTTATATTAATAATTGAATGCTATATATACAGTATTTATATATAAATAACTTCATTAAATAATTGTTGATTTATAATCTTTTCATACTTTTTTCATGATTGATTAATTTTTATTTTTTCTTTATACTGCAATTATCATATTTTATATAAAAGTTTATTAAATCTCTTAATATTAAATGTGGATTAGTTAATCCTTTCATAATTCTTATACTTCTTGATTGAAATAATTTAAAATCTTTTCTTACTAAATTTTCGTATGGATTCTGATATATTTTCTCGTCTAAGTAGTTTAAATTAACACTTAGATTGTTTATTGCTGTTCTACACTCACTCTCTTCATCTTCTTCTAATTCTTTAATACTGTTTCTATCATCAACCTCAGTCAATTCATTAAGGGATGTAAAAGAACTTTGGGACGAACATGTACAACAAAATGAAGAATTATCAGTTGTTAAAGAAAGATCAGCATTATTATTCTGATTGAGTAAATTAAATGAGTTTGCTCTTCTCAATTCCATTAGTTCAATATCCTCTTGTTCCGTCCAATCATCCGATTCTTTACTATATATAAAATATCTTATCTTACGATAAAAAATGCTAAATCCTCTCCTAAACAATCGAATAGGGAATGATAATAGATTAATTATAAAAATAGACAAATTTGAAACATTTTCATTAATATTATAAATAATCCAATTACTTAAGTTAACAATTAGGTAGATAAGAGCTAAAGTAATGACAGCTGTCAGCTGGAGTGTTTTACTAATAACATCTAAGCCAAATTTTACCATTTCAACAAGTAAATACGTTAATGTTACTATAAAAACTTGAAAGAATTTAATCGGATTCTTCAAGCCGTTTTTAAAGGCATTTTGAAATTCTTTTAATTTCCTCTGAATATTTCTATAGAATATTGAATAGATTTCTTGAGATATTATTGTAACTACTTTCGTTTCAACATCATTTAAATTATCATCGCCTGACCCATTCAATACTGGTGGATGATTGTTATTATAGCTACGATTCTTATTTGATGTCATCTGGAAAAAATTTTCCAACCCCGTACGAATATCATTTTTAGAGGCGTTATAGAAGAGTGAGAGAATATCTTCTAATAGCTTAGTTGGAGTTTGATCGTTTCTATCTTCGCTATTATTGCTATTATTTTCAATGTATACTTTTTTAAGGATATATAAACCAACAATAAAAAACACTATGACAGATAAAATTATATTTCCATAATATGCTGACCAATCATTCAGCTTCTTCCTGGAAGTAGACAATGCTGATACATTACTATATCCATCTTCCAATTTAAGTTTAATTACTAAACATTTTTTCTTTGATTTCTCAAAAGATGAATCATGATTCTTTATGCTTGATTGGAATTGAGATATAACTGATTCTAATACGTAATTCATTGAAAACTCTCTCAAATTTTTATTTTCATTTTCGTCATAGTCGCTATCTTCGTCGTCATCGGGATTCTTTTTTATAACAAATTTCAAAGCATCCTGATCGATAGTAATTAAAGACTTTCCTTTAATATTCCTTTTCCTTTCCTTTGATTTAAATTTTTCATCAAATTTTCTATAATCGACCCTTTTTGGTATTTCCTTTATATCATCTTTACTTTCTAACTTAGAATGTCCCTTTTCATTCGTATTTCCGCTGTATTCTTTACCAATTTTATCGCTAATACCTGATTTTACCACATCTTCCTCATCACTGCTTGATATCCTGTGGATACACAGTTGACCTCCATCGACATCTAACCAATTACTGTCCAATGAAGATTCATTTCCTGATTTACTACAAGAACTTATATCAGAGCAAGCTTCAACAGAAACGTCATAACTAATTGATGTATCGGAATTTAAAGGTTTTGTTTGAGTAGCAATATGTCTATTGGGATATTTTTGAAATACTGTTCTTAATTGTCGAACAAGATGTACATAGGGTGATTTAATTTCCTTCTCCGTGGCATTAAGCGTGTCTTGGCTTGGAGGATAATCCATCGATATCCTCCTAAATAACATGTTCATGCGATAATATTCAAAATATTAACTTAGTAACCTTTAAGCAAAAGAATACGTACGGTTGCCTTATATAGTCTAAACATAACCGATTATTATAATAGAGGAAAGGGGTAATTGATATTCCGATAATTAGTAAAAGTATCAAATACAGCGGCATTTTTTAAACTGTTTAAAATTTAAATTAGTTTATAAAATCACGTTTAATTTCAATAATACCCATTGAAAGTTGTCTTTAATTGGACATATTTAATAGTTTGTAGATTCTACGATTCATTTAAAATTCTGTCTAGTTTTTCTATGATTTATTATAAATACTAATAAAGTATATTAAAGAATGATTATCTTTTTTTAAATAATACCTAATCTTTAATATTATTCATTTATTTGAAATTATTTTCTATTTGGATAAATTTCTTCTTATTTAGATTTTTTGAAATACTACTGCCACTCTTTTTGTCGGGTTGGAGTAGGGAACCAGTCGTTTTCAAATTCCACCGCGAACAAGAGCGAACAAGTTTCATCATCCGTTTTTTCTTGTAAAATGGCTGAAAAAAAAGGAAATAAACAAAAAAGCTCTTCTACAAAGAAAGGGAAGCGAAAAGGTTTAAAGAACGATGGCGTAAGTTTTATGCGGGAGGTGTTTCTTTAAAAATAAGAAAGTTGTTTTATTATCGCCCTGTTGATAAATAACCAGTTGATTGATATTGCTTGTCTGATTTTCGTGATCAACTTCCAAACAGATGACTATTGCAACAGCAGTAACTCCTTCGGTAGCTATTACTGCTTCTCCAAGAAGTTCTCCTGTTCCAAAACAGGATGTATCAACAACAATGAATTCGGGCCTTGCTTCTACAGTATTAAATTCGTCAATAATGCACAGGTTTTTCTCCCCTCCCGATCATGATATAGAAATTCATACGGATACAGATACAACTTTATACGATTACGCCAACGCACGAAGTCCATCACCGTATGTGAAGTTAATTTGCTTAGTTTCCTATCTTTAAAACCAACTTAAATAGGCTTTCTTTGCTTAATCTCGATATTGTGTTTATTCTCTTTCTTGTGTTAGTTCAACATAGCGCTTTTATGTATTTCTGCATTCAGAATAGAATCACCTAATATTTTCTAATCTGTTATTAACGCCTTTAAGCACACTCTTGGCAAATATCTCTTACCGAAAGCTGCATTCGTCGGTTTACCCTATCACTATCCTCTGCCTGAAAACAATATTCAAGCTGTTGCCTTTTCATCAGCACGAATTGTTACAGAACTTATAGGACCAACTACAAATTCTTATTCAAATGTAGATAATATAAATGATCCCTGGTAAGCCTAACAATCATCTTAAGTATTTAAGATTCAAACTCGTGACACATCCAGATTTATCTCTTAATTTTTCTATTTTTCTGATCAGATTATTTGTGTAGTAATAATTATTACTGTTTCATTTTCTGCTTTAATTTTTGTTGTTATATATCGCTATACTAATATTTATCACATTACAAAAGCTACGATACCATTGAAAGACGGGGTGACTGGAGAACATCACCGGATCCCCCATTACCTCCAGAAGGATTTCGAGGAGATGATAGTGAAGATGATTTAGATGGGGATATTTCCCCACCAGGTAAAACCATATTCAAGTTTTGTAATGTACAGCCCATATTCTTAAACCAAACCACTAATATATAGTGCCTCAAAAAGTTGATAACCTCCTTGAAGGATTGTACTCTAGCGTAAATAAAACTTCGCTTGAAAGGAATGTTTTAGAAACTGTTGTAAAAAAACAATCGCCCATTCATACCACTGTTGAAGTGCATGAAGTTGAAAAAAAAGCAACAGTCGATTCAGATAGCATTACTTCTGTAACAGAAGATAACAATTCCTTTGAAGAAGCTCCAATTGAAAATCAGGAAGTAAATACCTTAGGAAATAGATCCACGACCCCTTTCTCTTTCCATAGTGATAAGGTGAAATACCTGGGCTTCTGATCACAATAGCTTGCTTCTATTACAAAAGTTAAATGAACTAATCTGTAATTGTAAATGTAATTACTAGAAGATATTTCACTGTCATTTATAGACATATTGATTTATACTCTTATGATTTGGTATGCATGGAGTTAGTTTATGCTATTTTTTTCAGCCTTCGATAGGATTTCTTCAAGGGTGAATCAGGTGATTTGCATGAAAAAGCAAATGTTTCCACTTCTCTTTGTGTGAATAATTTTTTTTATCCATTCTAAACTATTCTTCCACTGTATATCCCCACAAAAAAATTCATTATTACTTTTTCTTTTTGATATAATTTATTTCTTTCTGAGTGATTAATTTTTATTTTGATTGATTGATATTGTATGTCAGAAGAGATTACTTGATATAAATACTATAATTTTCACTTATAGCCTGAGCTTTCACGAAACTCACCAACCGCCACGAAATCCCAATGGCCTAGATCTCGTGACGCTACTGATGATGTTCGACTTTCATACGGCTCTAGAGGGTCTCGAGTATCAAAATCCTCATTAAATGTTACCAAATCATCTCTTAAGTCAACTATGAGATCGATAGAAGATGTGGGTTCTATTTTTCACCGAATAGGCCTTAAAATTTTTTGAAAATCTTAACAACAAAATTATTAATGTGGATTGTTTTACAGCAAATTATCCCCTCCACTCGAGTAAGTTTCGAACAAGCTAGTGGGGCTCTTTCACCAGGGGAAGCTACTTTACCTTTAGGACAAACAGGTAGTTTGAAATAGTTTCTTCGAATAGTTTCTTAGTAGTAAATATGTTGTATTTTTAAAGATTTACTTTCAACTCTATCAACTTCCCCAAAAATTGCCCAACTGAGAGAAAAAACCGAAAGACTCGAAAGAGAAATAGAAGAATTAAGAGAAAGAGATAGATCAAGAGGACACGAGGAAAGTGGCCTTGACGACGATGAACCATCTCAAGTTCAGAGCACTCTTCAATCCGTGACAATTGATAAGCAAGATGAATATATCAAGAACTTAAAAAATGAAATGATAGCTAAAGACAGAGAATGGATGAACATACTGGAAAGGGTGAAGATACTCGAGAGAGGCAGATCAGGTTTTTTCAAAATAAATTTTATTAGGTTTGAACTAAAATAATTTTCAATTAGAACCCCAGCAGCAAACACCAAGAACGTCTAGAAATATGATAAAAGGGCTTCAAGACCAAGTTGACAAATTAACGAAAGAATTATCCGATTATCAACTTCACTACAAGCCCCCTCCGAGATCTCAAGAATTATTTCCTGATGGCAGGAGTGTTCCTTCCTGGTGGGTTAGTATCACTTTTAAATTTCATTACTCGAAAAAATTTCTCATTAATTTATTCAATCTATAAAGATTGATCCCAGATATCTATCTCCTCTTTTCCTCGAATATGACGAGAGATTAAAAGAGTTCTCCAGATACAAAGAAGGATTTTTTAAATTGAAAGAAGAACTTCAAATAATAATTGAGGAGAACAATAGATTACATATACGCTTGGAACAAGAAGCAGGAGGTGAACCAATAACGATGAGCGAATGGAAGAAAATGCAAGAGCACTGTAAACTTGTCATAGAAGAAAATCAGCTTCTCTTGGAACAATTAGATGTTCAACAAGGAAAAGAACGGGACATAATTGCTGCTCATTCTTATGAAATTAATAAAATAACAAAGCAATTCACGGAATCTAAAGCAGTGAAAGAAGCTCTTCAGATTGAAGTAAAAGAATTAAGAGACAAGTGCGTTACATTAAAAAAATCACTAGATGATGCCCTTATAGATGCCCAATGTAATGTACCACATGACGAACATTCCAAAGCCATTGCAGAATTTAAACAAAAGAGATCTGAGGAATTGGATAAATGGGAATCAGAAAAAAATATTTTAAGAGATAAACTTTCAGAAGCTGTAACTGAGAAAACAACGGCGGTTGTAAAAGCTGAAGATTTGGAATTTGTTAATAAACAACTAAGAAATGAAATAAAACAATTATCCAAACATTTACGTAAATCTCGTAGAAAGGTTGAGCTGATGCAACACATTCTAAAACAAGCGGATCTTAAGGGTCAATCTATTGAACAATATTTGCAAGCCGTTGTGAAAGCGGTTAGTATAAAAGATAGATTAATATCTTTTTTCGGCTAGTTAACTTGTTTTTTATATAACAATTTTATTTTATAGGCTGAAAGAGCGGCATTTGAGAGAGATAGTCTGAAAAAAACTGTACATCATAAGGAAAAAGAAAGACAAAAAATACTTAAGGAAAACTTCTTAATAGAAAAGCAAAAATTAGTAAATAAAGAAAAGTTAAAAGTTTGTATTCAGTGAATGTATATTTTAAATTTTCAATAATAAACTCATCATACTTTTCAATTCTAGTCAGTTAAGCTGAAAGCTGAAGAAAAGATTGAAGAAGTCTGTGAGTCACTGAAGGAGAAGGATATAGAAATGAAAAAATTATCTGATCAGTACGAAAGAGAGATGAGACATCTTAGATTGCTGATAAGAGATAAAGAGTCCGAATTAGAACGCACACGATGCGAAAAAGAGTCTCTAGAACAAGATCTTGAACAAGTTTGGAAGAGTACAATGGAAGAAAATAGGAGATTAAGAATAGAAAGTAAAAAAAGTGAATTAAGTCAAGCTGACAGATCAGCCAAAACCATAACCGAAAAAGATGAATCCAGTACTTAGGATGTTTTAAAAACATAGAAAGGCAACAATCATGTAATAGATATATTTGATATACCTGCAGCTTTAAGAGTGTTTGATAAACTTTAACATTAACAGATCGATCACAATGTGTTTATAATTATTATTGAAAAATTGGTATTTTCATTTAGCAGCTGATTGAAAAATGGATGCAGTTTTATTTTTTTCAAAAATGAATATTAATAAAAATTAAAATCTTTCTTAAACTATACCACGTGCGATTTTAAAAAAAATTACAAGTAATGAAAATATTTAAATAATTCTCTCTTGAGATTTTCGCGGTATAGAGTATAATTTTGTTTAGAGATGTTAGCCAATCAGCAACCTTCATACTCTTATTAAAAACTGGTTTTTTAACGGTACCCGCTCCGCGTCTATAAAGAGGCAGGGAGAAAGTGAGACGGATTGTGAATTTGTTTATATTTTGCATCAAGAGGCTAACTGCATTGTATTCAGAAAGTGAAAACTCTGTTGGCAATAATGATAAGCTTATAGATACTGGCTATGGCAGAGGCGCGTCAAGCGGTTGCAGAATTTAATGTTTATCATTTGGAGGAGGGAAGGGAACCAACTCAAGACTTTATTAGGGGATTGCGGAAGAATTGGGTCCGTCGATTTTATACAACGAGGTACTTATCAACTAGATTTCCTTTCTCTGGCGTGTTTGACATGGATATATTGAATTATTTATTACTTTTGTTCTGATAAATATATCTGACAATTATAATCAATTTTTTTTACATAATTAGTGCTCATTTAGCCTTTATAACTTTAATAATTTTCATTTTCAACAGGAACCTACTCGCTAATGGTCTATGGCCAACCCATATTTATAATTTAGGAGTAACTACAGGTGCTTTTTCACTACTTCTTGCAAAAGAACCAAAATTTGCAAAACCTCTGACTGATGAATTGCACAAATTGGAAAAATATATACCAGTAGAAAATCCAAAGCCTTTAAAAATTGTTACTGTATCATTTGCCGGAGGAGTGGTTTTCTTTATCGGCTTAATGTACATTAGGAGATGGACTTTACGCTTATTATTGCGTTACACAGGATGGATGGATGAGAGACCTGGAAGAGGAATTAGCTGGTCAACTGCAGTATGGGCGTTTTTCGTAAAACTTATATCTGGTTATCATCCGTCTACGAATTCTTATCAAAGTTCATTGCCAACTCTACCCGTTCCTAATTTAGCAGATACGATCGATAAATGGCTGCTGTCTGTTGAACCTCTAACAACTGAAAAAGAATTTGATAAATTGAAAAGCGAAGCAAAGGAATTTGAAAGGGGCGTTGGTCTCAAACTGCAAAGAGTTCTTATACTGAAATCGTGGTGGAGTTTTAATTACGTGTCTGACTGGTGGGAGAAATATGTGTACCTAATGTCACGTGTTCCTCTAGCGATAAATTCTAATTACTACTGTTTAGATAATGCTGATTGGAGAGGAACAACCATACAAGAAGCTAGAGCTGCCTTTCTTATTCATACATATTTAGAATTTCGTCATAAATACAAGAGAGAGGAAGTTGAACCGCTGCTAATTAGAGATACGGTGCCGCTATGCATGTCGCAGTATGAAAGAATATTTGGAACTACGAGAATTCCTGGTGAAGAATTGGACAAACTGGTGACATCACCATACTCAAAGCATATTATTGTGATGAGAAGGGGCTTATTTTACAAGCTGAGTATAATCGATAGCAATTCAAAACCTCTAAATCCTGTCAGCTTAGAAAAACAATTGCATTGGATTATCAGAGACGCAGATTCGGCTTATAAAGATTACAATAAAAATAGTCGATGCATAAGCGTTTTAACAGCAATTGAGAGATCGGATTGGGCAAGGAATAGAAATAGATATTTTTCATCTGGCCTCAATAGAGAGTCTCTAGACGCCATTGAAACAGCTTTGTTTGTTGTTTGCTTAGAAACTCAAAATAAATCTTCTTGGTCAGAAAGAGGAAAGTACTTATTGCACGGAGACGGAGAAACTAGTCATTGGTTCGATAAATCATTTCAAGTAATCGTTTTTGCTGACGCACATTTTGGAACAAATTGCGAACACGCTTGGGGTGATGCACCGGTTATGGGACATGCAAGTGAATATGTAATGACATACGAAATATTAAAAAAGGTTTACGATGATGATGGACATACTTTAGATATAGGCTATAAACAGGCAAAGTTGTATAAGCCTCAAATGCTGCAATGGGATCTATCAAATCCCGATCTAAATGTTCAAATAGAATATTCTAGAAATTTTGCTAAGCAAAACAATGAAGATCTTGATTTGCAAGTTGTTGAACACACTAAATTTGGAAAAGATGTTATGAAAATGTGTAAGGTTAGCCCGGATGGTTTTGTTCAATGTGCTTTCCAATACACTTACTTTAAGGATTCTGGGGGAAAACTGGCATTGACCTACGAGGCATCCATGACTAGATTGTTTCTGTACGGCAGAACCGAAACGGTTCGTCCATTAACTTCAGTAATGGCAGAATGGATAAGGTAATTGTTTTGATGCGTTTGCTTTTTTTTACACTAGCATATATTTTTCCAAATAGAGAAATGGTGAAAACCCCAAGAGATACCGAAAAATGTCGACAACTCATGAGGGAAACGTGCCGAAATCATCAAAAAGCTTGCAGAGATGCTATGAAAGGAAAAGGTTTCGATAGACATCTCTTCGCGCTACTGGTTGTTGGTAAGGGATTCAATGAAGACTGCGACTTTCTTCGGAAAGCTTTGCTCATGCCTTGGACCTTGAGCACTTCACAACAACCCCAGCAACAAATTAGAAATTCTCCCCCTTGCGATTTAAAAGCATATCGTAATAAGCTTTGTCCTGGAGGAGGTTTCGGACCGGTTGCTGATGATGGTTATGGGGTTTCTTACATGTTTGCTGGTGAACATCGCCTCTTTTTTCATATATCTAGTAAGAAGAGCGCTGGAAACACTGACTCAGCGAGATTCTCAAAGACACTATTTGCAACGCTTCAGGAAATGAGAGAATTGTTCGAAGTTTAATTAACTAGTCTTTTACAACATTTTTAAATATTTTTTATTGTATTTTATCTCGTTTGAATGCATAATATTACTTAAATGATATTCTGATTTTTCATTAAGAGGAGATTACTTTCTAATCTTTTACAATAATTGATAATTTTTGCCAATTTTCTTGAAGGTTGAAAACCGTATCTAGTCCTTTTAGAATGCATTTCATAATAATTGTAAAAGATTCTCTCTTTATATGATATTTAATTAACCTATGAGAAGAACCTTTTGATTAGAAATCCTTCTTTATCAATAAAAGTTATCTGTGCTCGATATATTCTATCAGAATTTTTAAACATTTCTAACGAATTGGTCGCTGAATTGTATTTCTCTTTGGAATTAAGGTTTATAATTTCATCATTAAAAATCGTTGGACCTATAAGAGTTCCAATATTAAAAACACTGTCTTGTATCTTGTTAAAAATATCAAAAGCTTCTTTATTTATAGAAAAGGACTTAAAGTTTACTCTCAAAGGTTTTCGAGGTCCTGCAGAGTTAATAAATTAATTAAGTTTGTTCGTAAAATTCACATATAATCAAATAATACATATTTTATAGCTCACCTATTCCATTGCCTCAGATGTAAGACGTAAATGTTCTTTCAAAGCAGCAATTGGAGAAGATTTAAACGATTCATTTTTTAGAACTTCCTTAAAGACAGAAACGTTTTTCTCACTGTTTAATAAACGGAGATATAGATTACAAGAGCTTCTATATTATTAATTTTATACTAACACTTCTTTGCATCTTTGATTAGACTTTTTTATAGTTCTCTCTTTAATTTCAGGACGTTGTCTAAAAGAAATTAAGATTATATTTCATTGATGATACAGTAGGTTGTTAATATCTCATTACTTTGTCGTAAGTTGTTTAGTTACCATATCAACTGTGGGTAGACTGTCAATTAAGTTCTGTAAATTTCCAACAACTGGTGTCTTATCTTTTTTCTTTTGTATCTTTTTTAGATTCTTTGCAGTTTTAATTGAATCAATTTCTATTAGAAAATATAGATATTTGTTAGACAATTTCCCCGGCAGTATTTGAGATTTATTTTACTTTTATGTAGAACTTTTCTTTTAACAATTTGCTTATCCTTTTTCGATAATCCAAAATTTTTTAAAGTTCTACTCGTGACAGCACTTCGAGCGTCACAATCTTCATCAAAAGCAGTTTCTTGGAATATCTTAATAAAATAAAAGAAAGTCATTTTTATCGTTATGTAAAATATACTCTTACCTCATCGGCAAATCCATCTAATTTTATTAGTTTCTTTTTATGTTCAGAAATTTGACCTGAGTGCTTAGTTATATTTATTGCTCGAGTCTTTCTGGCCTTACCCATGTGTTCTTTATTAAATATTTATATTATCGCTCAAAAGAATAAAACTTTATCTTCCTAAGTTAGATTTAAGAATAAGAAAAGAGTTCCTCTCTTATTTTTATATAATTTTATCAAGTTATTTATTTTGTTTGAAAATTGTAATAAAGGCAGTTAAGTTTCCCTTCGATGATTTTCACAGGTAGCAAGCAATATGGTAATCGAAAACTGTTCGATATTTAAAGACATCAGATAATTTCGTTTGGAAAGCCCTCTCTTTTAAGATTTTGTTCGAATTTTCTTTTACAAGAAGATACTAACATATTAGATAATTTTCGAAAGAAATGTAGTTTCATTGCTGAATACTGGAATATTTATTTATTTGAAATAGTAATTGATTTGTTTTTAAAAAAAAAAACGCATAAAATGTCTATGGTTAGCGTCTTGAAGATCTGGCAGAAGATTTGGCAGATGAAGAACTACTTCCACTTAATCTTGTAGCCCATTGCCCAACATCAACAGCGCTTGCTCTCGAAGATCGAACAGAAGCAATGGAACTTCTAGCCGAGGAGCTAGCTGAAGAAGGAGCAGATGGTGGAGGGAGATTTGCTTGCGTAAAATACGTATAAATGTTGTCCGTCATTTCTGGGAATTGACTGACCATTTCTCCAATTTCATTCATTACACTCTTATTGAACTCTCTTGCCCCCCGAAGTTCAATATCCTTATCTTCAGGAGCATCTTTTTTAAGTTTCAGTTCTTTTTTTAGTCTATTATTCTGCTTTGTTACTCTTTCTAGTCGAACCTTTTGCTCTTCAAGTTCTTTGTTAAATTTTTGTTTTTTTCTTTGCATGTCATCCATCATATCGGAAATTTGCTCTTCCTCTGTACATAAATTGTCAAGAGTACTGCTCATTGTTCTCAAGTCCTCACTCATTTCACGAATTTGTCTCTTCTTGTATTTATACTTGTCAGTTACTGCTCTTTGTTGTTCATCCAAGGCTTGTTTTTCCTCCATCTCCTCTGAAGTTTCCTGAACTTTATTGAAACTCTTTCTATAAGTTTCGTTTCTAGAATTCATTAATCTTAGAGTATTTTCCAAAGCTCGAATTTCCTTTTCAGCTTTTCTAATTTTTGCGTCTAGGTCGTCACCATCTCTCTGCAACTCCTCTTTTTCTTGAGCGGCTTTTATGACGTAGAAAGCTTGTGATTGTTCTTCTTCTCCCTCAGGAGGGGCCATAGATACCATTAATATTTCGTATCTCTTTTTCAATTTGTCAATTTTGGCTATACGTTCGTGGAGTTCCGAACTGACATGCTGTCTCTCATCTTCGGCAGCTCTAAGTTGACTTATAAGCATATCTTGATGTAAGGAAATCTCTTTAGATCTTTCTTTCATAGCAGTTTCCAATTGTAATCTTCTTTTTTCTAAACTCAACACATCATCAGCTTTAAAGTTAAGGGTATCTCTTAATTTTTTTAATTCTAGCTTGAGGACGTTGTGTTCCACCATTAATTCTTGTTTTTCATTTGAAACGTTTTTCAATTCTCTGTGAGAAGAATCCGAATGTAATTCTAGTTCTTCAATTTTTGAAGTCAACGCTTTCTTCTCTAGACTGGCTTTTTCTAAGTCTCTCTTTACTCTTCGTATGTCATCTTGTAATCTCTTTAATTGTTGAGTTAACACAGCTTTAGTGTTTTCCTCTTCTTTCAAAACATCCACTAACTCTTTAATTTTCGCCTCCATTCTCAATTTATCTTCATTTGAGGTTTCGCCTTGCATTCTACCCATTCTTCTTTCTAATTGTTGTATTGTAAAATCTTGATTGTAAAGAATCTCTTGTTGTTTTAAGCTCTCCGTGTCGATTTTTGTCAATTTGGCATTTAAATTCCTTAAAGTGGCACGTGATCCTTGAATTTCAGCGTCAATATTTCTTTCTGTGGTTTTAGATTTATTCAAAACTTCGCTCTTCTGAAAGTGTTGTTCTCTTAATCTCTCTAATTCAGCTTTCATCTGAACTTGACGTCTTTCTTCTTCCGTTAAGAGTTTATCCATTTGTTGAGCCCTTTCTTCAGCACTCATCGAAGTCTCTTCGGCAATCTATTGAAATAATGGAAATAAATTAAATTCTATTAAATTCATAAGAAGTAGTTTGAAAACCATACCTTTAGCTTTTCCACAAGATTTTCCTTTACGATTTTTGCATCCTTCAATTGCTGTTGTTTGTCAATTGTGTCTCTCTTCAATTGAGTAATTTGAGATCTTGTTAGCTCTAAATCGAGAGCTGTTCTGTCACAGGTTCGTTTTAAGGCTTCTAATTCAGAATTAAATTGGTCTCTTGCCAATTCTTCCTCTTGGTATTGTAATCTTAACCTAGCGGCTGTTCTTTCAGTTATTTGAATTTGCTTATCTTTTTCTTCATTGTTGTTTTGTTCATTTTCCAAAAATTGCTCTTTCTCCTTTATTGTTTCCTCATTCTCTCGAACTTGGTTTCTAACTACAGCTAAATGTCCGGCAAGTAAATCCATTTCATGATCTCTTCTCTGCATTTGTTCAATGGTGTGCTCCCATTGTTGAATTAGCTCTTGTCTTTCAGCATGAGTTCTTCTAAATTCTTCAGCTGTCTTGTCTAATTCAACCTGAGTTGTATGAGTGTTTGTCGTTTCTCTGTCAAGTTCTTCTTTCTTCTTTTTATACTCTTCGCTCAAATGTTCAATCCTAAGAGTAAGTTCTTTGATTCTTCCTTCATCTTGTTGAGTGTATTTGATAATAGTCATGGCATCTTCGTCCTTTCTTGCGGACTCTTCCAACCAAGCTTCTAAGGCTTTTTCATCCCAATTCATTTGAGATTTTAACTCTTCGACTCGTTGAGTTTGTTTAAAGATGTTATTCTCATATCGATTAGAGCGTTCTTTAAGTTCATTGAAATCGCGTCCAAGTCTGATAAGTTCTTGTTGAATTCTTCCGTCTTCTCTACTGGCAACCTTTAAATAAATATTATTTAAGCTAATTAAGTTGTATGTCGGATAAAAAAATGTATTTAAAATTAAATCTATCGTATATAATGTTAGTAAATTTGTTTCACTAATAGATTAAGAAAATGTACCGAAGGATTACCTTTTGAAAATGTTCGGTAGTATCTATTTCTTTCTTTCTGGCATTAACTAAATTTTGGGTATGATGTAATTCTTGCTTGACATTTTTCATATGATCCTGAATGGCACCAATTCTCTCAACATTTTTTCCATGTTTTGTTTGAAGGGCAACAATTTTCTTCTGTTTCTTTTGGATTTCATCTTCTAATGACTTATTTTCTGCATTAGCAACAGGGATGGCTATTCCTTCATCCCAATCTAGTTCGCTCAATATACTGCTTGAGCTGGGCATGTCGAAAATTATAAATGTTGACGACTAATTTCTTTAAATGAATTATTCGATCGGTATGTTTTGTTATGCTTAGTAACGGGATGCACTAAACACAGGTCTTCGACTGACAGTATTTTGTAATATATTTTACTGTTGAAATTCGGATAATGAATAGGAACCAGACTAAATTTAAAAATAGACATAACTTAACCCAGACAGATATTTGGCCGGAATGTGAAATTTATCCTAGTTTACTCGAATCCTTCGAAATTATAATATTGATAGATGTATTATTATACCACACAATATATAATTTAAGTGAAAAGGTTACAAATAATAAAGAATCCTTATTTAAAAATTAGCGAAATAAAAGAATTGCTCAAAGGCTACTTAAGTGATTTTTAGAGAAGCATGCATGGCAGTTCAAAAGGGCTTTAATTAACAATGGAATGACATCTGTTTGAGAAATTCAATAATATCGATCATAATTTTTGAAAATGTATGCATCTTAGTCGAAAAATACTAGGAGAAACATTTAATTAAATTTGTCAAGCGACAAATATTGATGTACTTTCGTTTCAAACATACTTTTACAATATATATATATATATATAATTAGAAAGAGGAAAGCCTACACTTTTATGAAAGATAGGAAAATTGATAGAAATCTCATGAAAGAAGCATAAATAAGAAACTTCTTTAATATTTATTGAGATAATAGAGAAAAGATAATTCCTGGAAAGTTAATAATAAAATTGATTATTTTCAAAAATATTGTTAAGTACTTATAAAATATTATAGATAAATTGTCTTTTAATGGCAATTTTGAGGCATTTTATATAATTTTAAGTATATAATCAGTTCAATTACTTGAGTAGTTTATTATTATATAAAGTACTCAGTCTAAAAAGTATCAAATAAAACGAATAGACAGACTTGGAAAACTTATTTAAAGATACAGCGTACGATTGTATCAACCAATCAACATCAGTCTTAGATCCTTCATTATAAAGCTCCCGAATGGCTCCATCGACCGGTAGGTTTTTGACTTATTTTTGTAATTTTATTACGTTACAGAGAATGTCACAAGGTAAATTGAAATGCAGCATTTAAGTATATATTTATAGATATTTTACCAGCCTTAAAATTATTAATTCTAATTGACCTTAGTTTTTATAGAGAACATTCTATTCGTGTCAATGTCAAGGCTTATAATAATTCCTTTCTATTAAAAGGAATTAAGTTTCTCAATATTTATTACTTAAATAAAACTATGATTATCTATTATTAACGATATTATATATCTCTCTATAGCTAAAGAAGCTTACGTTACACTATGTACGAACGATTCGTATGCCATTGGTGTCTTGGTATGGGTGGAATCTCTGAAAGAGGTCGGAACAACCCGGCAAATTGTAGTTATGATTACAAATGGACTGTCTCAAAAGATGAAGTAAGTAGAGATATAAAATGAAAATGCCTTTCCTTGACCTTTGCAAAAACGTGCACTAAGCTATGATAGAGCCCGTAATCAAGTGCTCTAGTGAAATAATCCCAAATATTTTCGGTTCTACACTTAAACAAGCTAAGTGAGAAAAAATAAGGTCTATAATTACATATAAATAGTTATTTACCGGTTAGAGAATTAGTGTCGCGTGCGTTTAATCATTAAAAAGGGATTTATTTGCGTGCTTATAAGATTAAACAAACAGAGCTACTTCAAGTTCTACTTAACCTTGATGAAATTTTCAACGAAATTGCCAAATCTAGGTCACTAACTCAACTATACCATTTTAGGGAACAACTGGCAGAAAGTGCCGATAAGGTAGTGGAAGTAAACGTGTTAGATAGCAGGGATAATGTTAATTTGGATCTCCTGGCAAGACCTGACCTTGGTGTAACCTTTACAAAGTTGCATTGCTGGCGTTTGACTGAATATGACAAGTGCGTTTTTATGGATGCAGATACTTTGGTTAGTTGAGACATTTTACATTCTATATTACAACGAGGCCTTATGTATCTATTTCCAGTAACATAAGACTACAATAGGGTACATATATCCTCTTTATGTTTTCTTCGAATTGTTTGTAGATTAGCTTACCATCAATCAAGGGTATTGTGTTAACTTTCAAGATAGGGCATGTAAAATTTCAGCTATATATTAATCTAAAATAGAGATAAATTCATTGTAATTATCTTGTATTTGCTCTTCAAACTGTTGAATATTAAAGAGGAACTTCTCGATAACCATAGCAGATTTTGCTCTTGAAAACGTGCAAAATAGATAATCAATTGTCTTTTAACTCGAACAAAAAAAGCGATTTTTTTTGTAGCGAAACAAAAAGTTTTCGAAAATTTATTTCGGTTAATCGATGTTTGTTAACTTTTAAAAGTTACTATTTGTTTTAGGTGCTAAAAAACATCGATGATCTGTTCGAGAAGGAAGAATTTTCTGCTGCTCCCGATCCAGGATGGCCAGATTGCTTCAATTCTGGAGTTTACGTATATAAGCCATCGTTGGAAACGTAAGAGCTAATTAAATTTTTATTATTGATTATTAATTAACCTTATTCCTTTCCTTTTAGTTATCAGAAACTGCTTAAATTTGCTGTACAATCAGGAAGTTTTGACGGCGGTGATCAAGGTCTACTCAATTCCTATTACACAAACTGGAATAGGATTTCTTTTTTGTATAACTGCGTTGCTCAGAGTTTTTACAGCTATCTTCCAGCATTTAAACAGTTAGTTGTTTTCATAATATTTCTTAATATCATTAACAATGATAAAATGATTTAATTTTAGATTTGGTAAGGATGTTAAAGTTGCCCATTTTATCGGTGCAGTAAAACCTTGGCATCATAGTTTCGATGTTTCAACCGGAAAGGTTTCGGAATCGGTTGGTTATTAGAAAAAATCCTTATATAAATAACAATTGTTGTTTCCTTATGTTTAAAGTAATTTTGTTCTTTTCCAGGAATTTTCAGGCCATTGTGCCGACTTCTTGCGACACTGGTGGAATTTATTTGTTAGTAGAGTTCACAAGCGTTTACCCGAAGAAATTGTGAGTACTAATTTTATTTATTAAATCATTATCCTCAGACATTATCATTAATTATATTTATATTTCCAATATATATATATATATATATATGATTAACTTATATACTTTAGATATATCAACGTTTCATTATAATTAATTACCATTATTATTATTCAACTAATCATTGAATTATTGAAAATACTTTTATGGGTATAAAATTTTTACTAATTACTTTAAACTAAATGTGGCGATTATTTTTATCAGTCGCCGACATTCCCAAAAGAGGTAAGATGCTATAATGCAATAGGCCTATTTTTATCTCAGCTCATACTTTTTTTAGTCGCTTGAATGATTTCGCTTCTCATTTCAAAAACTTAGTAAAAAAATATTTCCACGCTTAATCGTTACTGAAAAAGCAGTGAAAGATATTAGTTGTTGCCTAAAGCATTTATAAAGATAGTAAATTTATTTAACCGATAATGGTAGTAATTTTGAAAAGATTGTTTAAAATTTCAAAAAGTTTAGCTGTTTTTATTCGTATGTGTTATTATATTTGTCGATTATTGTTCTATATTGGTGTACAGTGTTGTGAAAAAGAAAGAAAAAGAGAGACAACTTTTTAAGTGTTTTAATTGTAGAAAACTTTCTACGAAAGTATATCTGTCTGTTCAAAAACGAAGGCAAGTGAAGATTGCCAAACATAGCAGCGTCACCTGGTGGTAATTGAAAAGAGCTTTTGCGTCGTTTGATTTAAATTTTTTGTTTTTTTTTTCTACCTTCTTGGTTTCTACCTGAGCATGATTTCGCAATTATTTTTCTCCTTCTCTAATTTACTATTAATGGCAAATAATTAATCTAAATTGTATTTGAGAGGCAAAGGTAATATTTATTTGCTTTTTGAAACAATTTTTGTTGTGTTTACACGGAAAAAGAGAAGAACAAGAACTTAGAAAGTATAGTGAAGTCTTTTTAAATGATGAAAATTAAAAAAAACAAAAAAACAATTGAATTTTCTGTGACTGTTTTTAAAACATAGAAATAACAACTTTGATTAGATTTTTGTTAAAAGTAAGATTAGGAAGTCAGCAAACTACTACTTCCAATTGCTTTATCTATTTAATTGTTGAACATGTAGATTAATATTTAGTGAAGTGAAATAATTTTGCATAATTAAATGAGAGTAGTAAAATATTTACATCTTGTAACTCATAAACTTAATCAAGCATGATGAAACAACTATCTACTCTGACCTTTACCTATCCCTACCCTACCCTTGCGCTTGATTGGGCTGGGTACCTCAGCCTTACCTTCTACATTCTTTTCAACCTTTCTTTGATTTTTGGATGTAGTGGGTTTTTCAACTTTTCAGAAATGGTCGCCAGGTATCGCTGCTGGCAACTTTCAACCACCGTCCCAAATGCAGGGACCATACATACCACCTAGCGTCGAGACATTTTATTCTCCCATTCCGACCAGTAATGAACTTCAAATGGTCGTAGAACTGAAAGAAAGGAAAGATTATGATTTTTATGAAACTTTTTATGCTGAACCTCCAATGAGAACCAAAGAAGAGTATGTTGCTCCAAGATCTGAAACTTACACTGCGAAAGAGTTCAATATAGTCCTCCAAAGTTTTGGAGATGATATTAGTCAGTCGGTAGTAAAAGAAGATCTACCCGCTTTGCCAAAAGTGGTTGAGGCCTACGAATCGACTCAACCAGCAGTGCCTTTAGCACATCACGAACCCCCACCAATGCAACCTCCTGTCGAAGCTCCTAAGGAGATTCTAAAAGAAAATCCAAGAGAGCTGCCAAAAGAGATTCACGAATATGTCGATTCTTCAGCATCATCTATACCTACTAGTCCTTCCTCAATTTCTACTTTTAAGGATTTTTCTGGCCCATCGACACCGCGTTCTGCAACTCCTACAAGAATTGAAACGCCCTTTCAGGATAGCGTTATTTCACACGGAGCGGACATCGTTAAAGTAACTAAGGAGTCATTTAAATACTTTATAATAATACGTACCAAAATTTTCATTTAAATTTAACTAGTTTCACTAGAGTTACTGTAAAAGTTATTATTAGTTTCTTGACTTCAAAGTTACTTTTAGGCTGTCGTAGAAAATGGCTGCAGTAATCATAAAGCAGGAGATTGCTCTTTTTGTCAAACAAGACACGAAGAAGTTGTGCAAAGTGTATCAGGAAAAAAGAAAAAGACCAAGAAACGAGGAAGGGGCGAGGTAATGAAATTAAGAATGTAGTAATTCAATTAGAGTGACAAAAGCTGCAAACATAAAAAGGAAATTTTTTTAATTAAAATCGTTACAACAATTCACCAGTTTCATGCGCTGAAACAATCTTAACGTGAGTTTAAATGATTAAGGTCTAAAAAAGAAAACTTACTTGAATTCTTTTTTCTTTTGGATATTGTACCTCAAAATGTTCTATTTGTTTTTATTTTTTTGCAATGTTAAGAGAGAGAGAGAGAGAGAGAGAGAAAGGTACTTGAACAGAAAAAAAATACAAAAATATGAGGGCGGGTAAGCGTTGGAAATACTAATAGGTCTATTGCTTTATCTATTATATTTTTTTTCCCATTTGCACTTTCAAAGTTTAGTTAATAGTTTGCAAAAGTATTTTCTTTTTTCTAAACACAAAATCACTATTTTCTTAATGGAAAGCAAGCGGAAAAAAGGAAAACACCATCTTATAAAAGTAGATTAAACTGTCCATAAACTTTTATATTTCTTTTCAAATATTCTGTCAGTGCACATCACAAAATGTATTTTTTCCTCTGTGTAGTATCTCTTTTATTATTATTCATATTAGAAAGTGTAAAGGAAGCTTGCTTTTGGACATAATTTCTTTATTATTTCGGTATTTCTTCTGTTTCATTTTTCAGGAAAGGAAAAATAGTTAAATTTTAGTCTATGCTGTCTTTTATTTCTTTAATTCTTGATCAATTTCATTGGTTAATTTTAAAATCGTCTCCATCGTTAATAGTTATTAATCATTTTTTCATTTTTTAAAATATTAGATGAGAATGAGAAGTCAAAGTTTAAATATCGTCTATTCCGATCTTAATACGGATGATTCTCAAAGAAGATTCTTGTGGGAACAAGGCCAAATCGATTATATGGGAATTGATAAATTTGATAATATTCAAAAGAAGCTGGATAGCGTAAATAGTTTTAAGCTAATGGATTTAATAAAATAGTTTATATTTAATGTTTTCTTTGTAGATGATTGTCTCCCCAGAGCCGGCGAAACCGAAGCATAAGAACAAACGACCATCGTCTAGAGGTTCTAGTGGAAAAAGCTCGACTGTATCGTCCGAAGGTTCAGGTGAATCTAAAAACGCCTCGGATGATGGAAAGGATAGTGGCAGTGAGACGCAATTAACAAATAGATTAAGATCGGCTGATGCTACTCCCACTGCACCTAGCACCGGAATCTTGAAGAAAAAGCCTACTGATAGTAAAACGGAAGAGAAAAAAGTTGAAAAGGGAGCTAAAGAAACGAAATCTGTTCCTGCGCCAGCTAAGACAGGTGGAAAGCAGAAAGGTATTATGAAAGGAAATAAAGCAGAGGTCAGCGAGCTGTAATTGAATTTTGCATATTTGAGAAATGCATATATTTTTGGTAAGATGATTGGAGGAATCAATTAGATACATATATATGTTACATATTAATTTTAGTTATTTTATTGTTTCTGAGACGTTCAATAGAAATTACATTTTGAATTAATTGTAAAAGCAATTTCATTGTGTGCCTCACTTGAATGCAGTGGTGAAATGTTTTGTAGTTGCCATTAAGTTTATGATCGCTAAAATACAGATTAACATATTCCCCCAAAAGTGTTTCTTTTTTTTGCATATGTTATATGTAGGCCTAGAGTTCATTTATTTGATTAACACGATAACAGGTGAATATAATAGGGGAAAATATTAAAAAGATAATCCTTTAATAGAGGATTCTCTACCAAAAAGTATTTTTTTAAGGACACTAAATATCTTTACTATATTATATCACTATTTATTCCTTTAATGAACGAATACACTATTTACAGATTATTATTCAATTGCAATCATAATAATAATGATAATATCAAAATAAATAAGAATATCCGAATGGTTTACTAGTTTTTTCGTTTGGACTTTAGCCCTTTAATACTTTGGCATAAGCTTTTAATCTAAGTCACACGATACGTAATGAAGTAGCGATTTTGGCAAGGGAAGTTTGTCGATTGACGAGGGAAGATTACCGTTGTCGTATAAACGTTGCAAAATAGTCACACGACAAAGCTTTTTCAAATTGAAAGAAAACCAATCTTGCCTTAATAAACGAGTTATTGCATACATTCTTGAAGTTTTAACGAATGAGTAGGGTTTTGTATGACCACCATTCGACCTTGAGAGGTACCTGAGACAGGTCATTAAGCAGTTCATTATTGATTTAATAGAGAGAAATTTCGCTGCCATAGTTGGGCTCATACAACGCAGTTCGGTTTGTAATTCGTAGAGAGAGCGTAAGATGATTATATGTACTACTTGAAAAAGTTTTGAATCGAGGAAGACTCCTCTCTGCACTAATTTGAGAAATACAGTTGGTCGTACGAAGCTCTTGATACCGTGAATTGGAGGAGCGTGCCCTCTTCGTAAGTAATTTTCTAAATTTCGATGCATACATAGAACTTTAGAGCAGGATGCAAAAGCGTCAGCCTTAAAGGATTCCGAATAAGATTTCAGGTAAAAGACCTCCGATAACAAAACCAAACACCGACTTATGGCTTTTCTATAGATTAATTTATAAGTTTTTTTTTAATAATACATTATCTGAAAACTGCAGAATGATTACGAGACGCTCTATCAACCTTACTAATTGAAATGCTCAAATCCCAGCTCTTCATAAATTAACAGTTTACTTAAAATGCGATATCTAACTACTTTTCTATTAAGATAGTAAACAATACATAAAGATTGTTTTTTATCTTGTTTGCTATTTTTAGCCCATAAATGATTTTTGTACCTTCGATTACTGCTACTTCTAACAAAGTTCGTAAAGTGACGCCTTGCTTCTGATGTAGATTTTCTTTTGATAATATTGAGAAATTCCTCTCGTCCCAGGGTAGCAGGAGTGGTCATATCTCTTTAACAACACTCAGTGAACTTGCGAAATTCATCAAACAGGAAATGAATCGAGGTTTAGCTTGGAAATGTCACTTCCGCTTAGAAATTTGACGTGGATACTGTTAACCGAGAGGTGGCGCATGAAACAATTTCTATCGGAAAGCGTACATACAGACCTTAAAGAACTTAACTGTGTAAACTTGCAGTATAGCTCTAAGAGCCAATAAATTAAAACTAGGTTATAAAATTTAGGTTAAAATTTATCTCTGGCTCTTTAAAATATAAAAAAAAGGATATTTACTTTTTTTCTTTATCTAAGTATTAAATATTTTTAATAATGCAATAAAGGAGAAGAATTATTTGAATATTCAAATAATAATTATTATTTCCCATTCAAAACTGTATGGAAAAATATGTCTAGTTTTAAATTGTATATTTTACATATTTTTGCAGGAGAGTTAATTACATAGAATAAACTATTACCTGTTAACTTGTTCATGTTTTTTTTTTATAGCAGATGTTGTACAATTACTTATAATAATGCAAAAAAGGAAAAACAGAAATAATATAAAGAAGATAATCAAGACAAACTTTTCTTTTATCGTGCAAAAAAAGGTTTTTTTTTTTTAAAGTTATAAAAAATTAGTGTAATAAAAGATGGAGATACTAATAAAATTGTAACAAAAAGAGTAACGATAAGAATTCAAACTTTAAGTAGATTAGAGTTTTTTTTCTTTTGCGAAGAGAGAAGGGCTAGGAGGAGGTGAAGAAAGATAAAGCTGCTTGTTCAAAGTTCAAAGTTCATATACACATATATATATATACTGTATATATATATATTGTGTAAATTCTATCTCTTTCTTTCATCTTTTCCCTCCTGGGAGTTTGTTTCAACAAGAAGATATAACAAGCAAAATCAAAAACAAAAAAAAAACAAATTTCCTCTCTTTTACTGTTCTTTTTTCGTACAAACAAAAGTAAAAAAGTGTTATTTATCAAATAGTTCTTCGTCATCTTTTGGTAAAGTTTGTTTGGCTTCAAAGTATGAATGTTTAGCGTAATTGACTTGCTGAGAAACCTAAGATAAGACATAATTAGTTGAATTATTATTGAACACGTAGAAAAGTTTCTTATACTTACTATGGATGCAACATCTCTAGAATCGCAACTAACCCATGGTCTTTTTATTTTAGGTTCGTCACTTTCAACTGATTCTCCGTCTTTATCAACTTTGCAAGCGAATTCAATATAAAATTTTCCAGCTGTTCGGATTAGAATATAATATAAACAGATGGTTGTACAAATTAATAATTATAAACTAACACTTCTCTAAGGATTTGCAGTTTTGCAGTGTTGCATAATCAACTTTTACAATAACTTTAACCTCTTCTTTATGATCTATTATAAAGGTCCTTCTAGAAGTTATTAGCGCTTTTACTGTCACTTCACTCTGCTGTCGTAGACATACCAAATCGATGCATCTAAAGTGAATAAGTATTTCAATGTAATAATGTGACAATTGTAATCAATAAGTTGCTTATAAAAAAATAATGTTACCTTTCATCGTAGCGATTATAATTTAATGAGAACAGTAATTGTTGGGCGGCGGAAATACGTCTATCATAGGCAGGTAATAAACCAGCTGGACCCGTGCAACATCTTGCTAGCCTGATTCGTTTTCCATTTTCTTCCCCTTTCGAACTAGCAAATTCTCTAACGGCTGTTGCCCCGCCGGTTGCAAAGTCTAATACACCAGCCATTGGCTTTGCCAATAGACCATAAAATCCAGCACCAATACCAATAATTGCCCCTCCAACTCTATTCTCTTTGTAGCCTTTAATGGGTTGATCAATAACTCCTTTAACGCCACCCCATAGTCCGTGGCCTAGGCCTTTTCCCCCGGCTTTCAGAGAATCCCACGGTCCGCTGGCCTGTTCTCTAATTTCTCTTCTTTTCTGTTCATGTTTATTATCAAAAGGAAGACCGACTACATCAGACACTGATCCCATAACTTTCGCCGTGGAGTCGGATACGCCATGAGTAACGTTTGCAAATAGACCAGGAATGTTACCATCAATTAGACTTGAAATTCCTTCGGATACATCATTAATTAAACCGGCAGGATTTCCAAGGAAATCGACGGATCCTAAAATTTGAGCAGCTTGACTACGGAATTCCTTTTTTAGTACGAGAAAAAGAATTTAGTGAATTTAGAACATATGTACTGTATATATATATAGTCCCTTACCTCTCTAAAATGTAATAAAATAGCTTCTTTGAGCAATTTCTTTGTATTAAATAAATGATCCTTAACAAAAGATTCCAATTCAACATTAGCTTCATCAAATTTGACCAAAGGTACACCGATTTGCCTCTTAATAGCTTTCAGGTCTTCTGGAAGTTCTGGTCTCGTTTTTAATGAAAGTAACAATTTATTTGCTTCAATAGATAGCCGTCCAGCATAGTATCGCTTTAGATCAACACCAATAGTTGCCGTCCATTTACTATAATGATCATATTTCATTATTATTTAATAATATTTGCTAATTAGATAATTTACTCTGATAATGAATTTCTCTTATCTTCATCAATTTCTATCAATTGGGATAAACTGGTAAAAAATTGAATAAACTTCCATAGCAAAATCTCTTCTAATCTTAGCATAACAGCTCGTAATTTTATCTCTATATTCTATTCATAAAAATTGTAATTGAATTTATATGATATACCATATTGAAAATGTTACCTTGAAAACGTCAATATTCCAACGTTTTGAATCTAATTTTGTAAAGCTTAGAAATAGTGCTGGTGCTGAATTTTCAATTTCATTCTTCTTAACTGGGATTTGAAGTACTTTTGGATTGATACAGCCAAAGAGTTGATTGTCAGCCTATATATAACAGTTAAGGGAGTTTAATTAAGGTTACGTAAAAGTTATTGTGTAATTTTCCATTACTTCGATGGAATGAATGCTTGCTTGCATAGTCTGTTCCGAGTCAGCATTTAAGTTCCAATGTACACTTATCTCTTTTAATCTTATATACAATAGTTCTTCTGGTAAATGATTTATCAATGACACTCCTACACCTTCTGTCAGAATTACTGATATCTGTTCACAAAATGTAAATATAGTAGCTTTAAGTAAAATATGAAAAATTTCTTACATCAACGCTTCTATTCTCCGATAATTCATCGGATTTCGCTTTTTCTGATTCCAACTTATCAACTGAACTTCCAATTGGATTTCTTAAATGTCCCTATAGATATTTTATATCTTTAAAATATTGAAGCAAGTAATACTTTCCTATCTAATACTTACCGCATATCTAACATCAGTAATTTCAAGAACTCTTGTTGGTCCATCCATCGTGACTTTAACAGATAATAATCCGGAACCAGGTCGGACTTTCTTGAAACCAACCATTTTATATATTGGAATAGAATCAATGGATACTATTAGATCGTTAGATCTAACTAAAATAGCTTCACCACCTTTTTTTTATGAAAATAAATAAATTATTATCAACAGTCAAACTGATATAATACAAGTTTTATTCTAAATACCATCTATCATTCCTTCTAAACCGTGTTGCGATTGTACTATGAAGGGAGCATTAGCATTTCGTAGCTGTAAAGTGCCCATCTAAAAGAAGCATGACATAGCTTAGTACTTGTACTTTTTTATTCTAATGTTATAAAATACAAACCACACATTTCCATGTTTGTGTACCCTTTCTTCTATCGTTTTTCTTCCTTATAACAAGAGACGTTTCTTTATTTGGTTGAATAGCTATATCATCAATATCTAGAACGTAAGCATTGGTAGCCGGTTTTGGCGTTGATCTTGGATCTGACGGTGGCATTGAACCTTCATGTATTAAATATCCTTCAGTATTCATTCTCCATAATTGTGACCGTTTTCCTGCCTCTTTTCGTTTCAGGTAGACTTTGTAGCCATTATTTTCGCTTGGTACATCTAAAACAAGCTCTTCTCCACCTGGAATTCCATCCGTTTTAAAGGTTCCAGTAAATGCAATATAAATGAAATTTTCGTAGCAAAGTTTATCGCCATCTTTTAGAACGTCCAAGTTATAAGTAGAACTACTACCGCCAGGTACGGATAGAGTGATGTGATGAGGCTGTGTTGGTTCGTCCCATGCATAAGACACTGCAATTAGAATGGACGGTATAAATTGATAGCAACAAGTAATAATTCAATGAACAAATAGATATACCTTTAGTGTTTGGTTTGATTATAGTCCTTAATTGATCATTTGATGTTTTAGTTTGGAAATATTGTATTTGAACCTCTGACAAGTTATCTATTCGATACGGTGGAGGCATAGTTTGGGCATCAGTGAAAATTGTGTAAAAGGTTGCTTGCTCTAGAATGACATCCACTTGTAGAAAGTGGCAAGTTCCTTCACTATCCCTATATGAATGAAACATTTATCAGGTAAATAATGTAATTAAATATACAATTTTAAACCTCATGTTCACATGGAAAGAATTAACAACATCTATTTTGAAACCACCAGACCAATGACAATCTGCAATATCCAGGCGTCTAACACTTAGCAATTGATCCAAATCAACTCTTGGCCAATGGAATGCCATATTACACTTTGGTAGGGCTACTAATTGACCATGGATGTTCTCGAATCCTTTTCCTCTTGTAAAAAATTCTTGGGCAAATAATAATCTATAATTTGTTCGATTTTCAAAGTGAAAGCTGGGAGTCAACGTAACCATTTTCGTTCTACTATATTGCCCTTTTCCGGGGCAAACTTCAATACCAATATCGTATACCCTAATTGAACAGTCAAGATATTCAATTAAAAATTGTATTCATTTGTATATAAAAATATTATACCAGTCAGGCTTTCTTTTGTCATGAGGAGTGACATGAAGATCTCTTCTTGATATTCCATTTATTAGGTTAATTCTCCTGCACCATGATGGTTTTGCAGAACCGTGAACAGTTCTTCCAATTCTCATTAAAAGTCTATTTTGAGTTATAGCTGGTAAATTATTATTTATGTACTAATATATTTTACTTACGCCTCTGATGCATCGTGATTTGCGTATGAAAACACAAAAGGTGTAACGCAACGAGCAGCCTCGTGTTCATCGAATTGGCCAGCTGCTTCAGTTGAAGCATCGTCCTGCTTAAATAATAGAGGTAAGCCAGTTTTGTTAAGAATCCAGAATTTTCCATAGAGAACCATTTTCAAACAACCTCCTAAACCTTCTTTCATCTCTAAGAATAATTGTAAAAGTCTTTCCTTTTTATCTTCAAACATAATTTTATAGGTATTGCAAATATTCATCCAGTCTGACTTCGATATGATAAGGGTTTTACATTGTTTAAAGTATTCCATATCTATTCGTAAACTTATATCTTCTTCAATATTAGCGTCTCTTAGAAACACTTCACTGCCTGCTTTTAGTTCGTTCTTAATGCTTGTACCCGAAATATCAAGTGTAATATCAAAAGGTAACAAATTTCTGAATGTTATAGGAGGACAAAGGGTAATTAAATGAGCCGGTTGAGGATAAGAGTTGAAAGACACTGAAGTGCCGCCAGTTATTGTCTTGGAAACAATTTTTTCTTCTTGAGGATATTTTTGGCGATAAACGGATACACAAAATCTAATAATTAAATATATTAAATTCTTTCAATAAAAAATAACAGTTTAATACCTACCTATATGTGCTATCTGAAGTATCAGCAGACCAATCACAACTTCGAACATAACTTTGAAATTCTGCTGTTTTTGTTGCATGACTCCAATAGATATCTTTAGAGCAGTAATTTGATCCCCATCCACTTGGACGAACATATATTCTTGATGAGACATACGGTAAAGGAACAGCGAATTTTGTTCCAGTATCCAATTCATAAACTTTGTCCATAAGAGCTAATGAGAAAGATAAAAATTTAGATAAAAAATAATCAAAGTAGAACTAAAAAAATACTAACTAGTTTGCCCTGTAAGTTTTAATTCAATTTTATCAGGCAGTTTATTCTGAACGAGCAGAGCGGATCGAACTGTAATAACTTTCTTTGCAGTACCTTCTAAAGATATATCAAACACAATGCGAGCACTTCGTTGGCTTGAAAACTATAAAAATATGATTGAGGAATATAAAAAAATTATCTTTAAAAATCAAAAGGTTTTCTAATTGTTACTTACAACAGAAGATGATGTTTCATTGTCGGCTGTCACGTCTCTAAAGAAAACGCCAGTTTTATCTACAGATAAAGCGCTCGCCTCCTGCCATCCGCTAACTTTTATTATGACTTGTTGTATTTTCAATTGATGCGTATTCTGGGAATTAAAAGAAATGAAAGTATAATAATGAAAGAAATAAAGAATGTCATTATACTTTATGTCTAGTTTTTTCTCTCTCTTGAAATTTAAAATTGATTTGACCATCTTTTTCCACTAACGTCCAATTTCGTTTTGTTTCTTTTACAGTTTCATCAGCAAATCTAGTAGGGGTAGTAACAATAGTGGCAAAGTTCAGATTAACACCAGTTTCATTTCGAATAGTGAAGGGAATAAATGGTATTCGACGCTTTGGTACTGCAAAAGATACAGGTTGTGCTGCTTCATAATAATCTTCCATCCATTTATCTTTTGTTTGAGAGTAGAGTTGCATTAACGTTTTCGTTAAGTTAACATTGATAACATCTCTCGCTAAAAGTCAGAAATAGAATTTGATTAATTATTTTAATATACAAAAAGAGACTGACATTCCATTTTAACAGTTAAATCTCTTTGAGAACCCTCCGAGCTATCTGAATAACTTTGCTCCCAGTTAACTCTGCACTGCCAAGGTTCAATAACAGGTTCCCAACCAGAAAGCCTTCTATTGTAAGAATCTAGTGCAAATTTAAAACTAGCGCGCCCTCTAATCGCTCCATGAAAAACTTGATGTAATTGAACAGCTACAAAAAAGCACATTATAGTTTATTTTAATAAATAAAAGTATAGTAAATCTGAAATATTCACATGTCATTGTTAATTCAAGTAGGGGTACGTCTGCATCCAAGCAATCGTCAATTAGACAAATGCATATATTACCAGCTTTAATCTAAAGTTGAAATAAATTTATTAGTCACTCTTTTATCCAAAACTATAGGGAAATTCTACAGACTTACCTCATAAGAGTGTATCGATAAATTTTCCTTCTTTTCGTCATTCTTCAATTCAAGCATGGATCTGGATGATGTAAAATTTTTACCTTGAATTAGGATTTGTTTTGCTAATTCAACATCGTTATCTGCCTCCTTCAGAGCAAGTTTACATTTTTCTGTAGGATAGCCCAGGGAACGCAAATTCTCAGTTAGATATTCTATTTAAAAGTTCTAAATGTTAACATTTAAATTGTTTTTAAAAAAATAATACATACCCTCCTGATCAACAACGCTGTAACTGGATTTAGATGATACAACATTCTTTGATTTCGAGCCGACAATACTTTGTGCTTGCTTCGGAAGTGATTTCAAAATGGCCAGAAATAGCTTAGAATCGTTGTAAGATAATCTAATATTTAGTGAGGTGAAAGATACTTCAAGAACAGGTTCAACACGTTTCTGAACTTCCATTAAACCGCTCGAGAATGAATCGTGATGATGAGGCATAGTTTTTCCTATAAGTTCCAAGCTGACAGTAGTTGGGTCAATAATAGATAGGGCGGTCTCCTCTTCCGAGGATAGGCAACAAGAGAAAACTTCTAGGCTTTGAAGATTACAATTTAAAGGTCTATCGTGGTGGGTTGGCTTATAGGTAAGAACAGCAGTACTCTACAAATAAAAATAAATTTTAATTGAAGTTTACAAACAGTTATGACTTCTTTTAGATAATTTACCTTTAGGATGACAGCATTAGAATCCAGCTGAGATGCATCTTCAACCAAAACTAACTCGGTATTTGTCACATTTAGCTTTAGCTCAAAAGGAGACTCCCCTGTTTCACTATTTACTCTTTTTGTAATGATTCCAGCCGTAACAGAAACTGTCATTGGATGTCCAGTAGGTTTATTCGCCTCAAATGGGCCAATTATAGAACTTTCAATCGAATGACTTCTTGAAGACGATTCTGTTAAAAAACATCAATATTGTTAAATATAATTTATAGTATGTGAAACACATGTTTATGTACATACCCGATGCAGGATTTTTGGGTTTTGATAATAAATAATCTTTCATAATAAATAACCAATCAAAAATTCCCATTAATTTCATGTCATTTAATAAAATAGTAAATTTAGTAGCTGATTTAGTCTTTCTATAATTTAGCTCCATTTGCAGTTTAGTATTTCCATTTCCATTTTGTCTACTAGGTTGTAAAATGTTAGTGAAAACATTAGGACGAGTGTTTGATGGTTCCTTGATATATCGTAGGTCAGACACTAAAATTTCATTAGAAACTAAATCTATATCTTTCGTTCCATCCGAGTGACTTTCATAAGAAACTTTTGAAGATATAAAATCAAACTTTGCTAAAGAATTTTCATCATTTTCAGAGTTGCTTAATTCAACAGTGACATTTTTTAAGTGCAGGCTAAATGACATTCCTTTCCAAACATTACCGCTGATGATTGTATGTATTTTTGGATCACTTAAATGGGACATCATTTGCTGTTTAAATTCATCTAATTGTTCTCCCAGGTTAAATTCTAAGAATCCCTTTACAAGTTTAAATTGCTCTAAGCCTAGTGAACAATACACTGAACTAAGAGATCCTTCAATGCAGAAGTCAGGAACTGAATGAGAAATATCCCCTTCTAAATTTCTTTCAACCTGTAAACTCAATTCGCATTTCTCTTCTAAAAGTTTAGATTGTCTTTCAACGCTGAAATTTCCAAATTCTATACTATCAATATAATGATCTCTTTCCGATCTTCTAGCTTCGTATAAATCCATATCTTTTAAGCCAACTTTCCAAACATCTAACAAACAGATATGATTGTCTTCAGTTTCTCCTGCTCTTAAATCTTTTTCTAATGATCCATAGACACTCAAATCCATTGCTGATATGATTGTTGGAGGGGGTTGATTCTTAGAACTTAAAGTTTGCGGATCATTTGCAAATAAGAATCGATTTCTAACAGTTAATTTTCCAAGATCTGCAACAATAATTTGGTTGGAGCGGGAACTCATTGGTAACACAATTATTGGCGATCCAGCATCTATGCTTAGTAAAATACGAGATCCTCGAAAAGCTTTTTCACTTATCTGAATGTATACATAGTTCTCCATATTAATGAAATAAACAAAACTAAACAAAAACTTACTTTTTTCCCGGCAGATGAAGCTCTCATTCTCCCGAGAACATCTTGAAGTTGGTTGAAATTTTGAAAGAAAGCCAATACCTCCTGACTAAATCGTTGAGTGTGAATGTATCTCACAGATGACATTTTCAAGTTTATGCTAATATCATAATCTCGGATCAAATCGGGGTCTGGTAATCCATATCTATATTAGATTATCAATAGAGTTTATTAGTAAAAGTACAATATAGATTCTGTATATATTTAAATATTTACTTTTTTATTTCAAAGGCTAATGCCTGCTCTCCAGTTGAGGAAAATTTCTGGTCATATAAATATCCTTCTGGTGAGGAATCCTTCAAATATACGCTACCTAAAGTGCCTTTCATGTCTAAATTATGATCTCTCATTATAACATGACTTTCTAAGTTTGATACATTTGCACTGGCAAGTTCATAGTTTTCTTTATTTAAAATTAAAGATAAACTATTCACACAGAATTGTACTTCAGTATTTACTGGCTCTGTAGAATAGTATAAACAATTTGTTTAATAAATTTATAATTTCCAAAATGTCTGAATTTACCGTCTACGGTTGATATTCTTCTATTGACTTGGGATATTGATCGATTCAATCGAAATTCATCTGGATCATGTACTTTTGCTCCTAAACCGAGGAAATCTAACAACACAACCCAGGTCTGTAAATTCATAGTTGTATTCAAAGTATTGAATTCAGCTGTAATGATCCTGTGGGTCTAGAAGCAGAATTGGAAAAGGTTTGATTATTTTGATATAAAACTCTGTTATTATGAATTATATTCACCTTGTTAAATTTACTTTCAAACAGTGGGCTTTTCTTTTCAACCAGAGTAACATTAATATGAACAAATGCTTCATCATCTCCTTTGGATCTCCTTCTTGAATTTGTTGGGGTTGGGGGTGGTGTATCAGGACATTCGCTACTATAATAGGTGGAAATAAACTTCTCAGAACATTTTTAAAATATATCAAATTGTCCCACATACCTTTTAGATTTTAGTCGTTTAATTGGTGTTCTATTATCGCTACTGAACGCTGGAATACTTGTGAAAGATGTTGGTAGACTGGAAGGCATTTCTGGAGCATTTATGTCAATCATACTAGTTGGGCACGACGTTGATATGAATTGGGGTTCTTCCTTTTGCCTCTTGATAAAAGCATTAGAGACCATTAAATACCTGTGACTAGAATTTTCTGGTTCCAATAGGTCTTTAACTGTCAAACTTTGCAATTTTAAATCTAGATTTTTGCTATGATTGTCTCTTTTAGTTAAGGAAAATGTAAAATCGTGAAGTTTAACATCAACGCCTCCTTGTTGTTCAAACTCTAGAGTAACTTGAAACAAAGGTAGGTCAAATGAAGCTTTAATGGCTAGTGGAATTTTTTCAGGAGAAAATGTTGAATCAAAGCTTTCAAGACTCATAGTATCAAACTCTGCAGAAGAATCTAAAAGAATAATGGAAGGATATGGTTTATGTTATAATTTTACTGCAGCAAAATAAATATATTAAAGACAATAGTTACCACTGAATTCATTGCTTTCAGGTGTTAAATTATTTAATGTAGCTAAAATTTGTTCAAAAGAATCCTTTCTTAAAGTCATTTTTATAGGTGTAATAATTTTCCCGCTTATTGCAATTTCTTGCCTTTCTTCGAGTTCTATATCTGTCGATAAATTTTGTCTATCAACATTGAACAGCAAGTTAGCCTCGTGTAAAATTTTTGATCCTCGACGACAATACTCTATTAATTGTTCCACTCCAATATTCAACAATCTATCACAGCCATCAACAGCAAACATCTTAACTTCTCTCATATCAACAGAAAATAGATTTGACTTTTCTAATCCTTTAAAATTATGGATAAACAGATAATTAGTAAGATAGCTACATAGTACATTTATAACGATATCTAACAAACCTTCATCAATCATTGTTGAATTTGCTAAAGGTGTATCATGTTTCATATCTATTGTTCCTAATTGAGCAATAAGAACACTACTACTATTTGCTGACTTAGGTAAGACTATATATGGTGTTTCAAAAATTGCGTCGAACGTCATATTTGTCGATTTAGGCTTTACAATACTCATAGCGTAATCTTTTGCATGACTTTTAATCTGTGCAGCTAATGTTCTAACTTGTTCTTGGAATTGATCTAAGCAGAAAGAAACTTGTTGCAGGACTATTGGATTGTGAAAGTAGCATAGAGATGCCATGTGGACTTTGACCTTTGGGGCAGAAAATTCAGAATCATCCTTATAAAATTCGAAATCGCAAGCTTTTTCACTCTCTTCTAATACAACTTCTTCTTTGCCCCCAACACAAAATACTGTTTGTTTATTTTCGTCTAGAACACTTACGATTTCCATTCCATCCAATGATCCTTTTAATTCTACAGATCCTCCTGTTACTGTTGTTCCAACCCTACCACCGGTTACAGCCACAGTTGCAACTTTAACTCCACGAACCATTTGTCCAATAGGTTGCGTTCTCATTAACAATAAGTTTAAACGTCTGAGATCTGCTGTTAGCTCAATTGAATAGCCGGAAGTTTTAGCAACACGGTCAACTGCAGTTGATGAAGGTTTCTGCAGAGATTTTGTAGATGGAAGAACAGTTTTATAGAAACTAAGTAATTCGATAAGGGTTTCTTGATTGACTGTTTTGAATTATAGAATGAAGATATTTTAAATGACTTTAAGTTGATAAAATATATAAACTTACAAATAAAATCTAAACTATGAAATTGAAGATTTCCAATTATCATTGGATCACTTTCTTCATCTTTCCTTTCGATAACTTCGATTTCGACACTTATCAAAGCTTCACTATCAATTATAGGAGGTGACGCTGTTCTCATCGATGATTCATAATTTTTAGATCCTAAGTGTCATTTAAAAGTACATTAACACAGTGATGATTACTATAGTCGTAATATAGCTACCTGTAACATTCTGCAGGGCGTTCATAAACATATGATGAATACTTGTGAAACTGGATCTCTGTTTTGGTGGTAGGTCTATTTCTCCTGGTGAACTAGGACTAGCAGGTGATTTTAGTATGGGAGAGTTAGGATCAGAATCTCGTATACTTCCAGATCTACTATCCAGACTAAATGAAAAGAAGACTAATTTATATTATAATGTGCTGTATAAGGCATTACAAACCATAAATTTCGATGAGAGGCAACTAATAGCTCAAAATCAGGTCCATAAGTTTGCATTGCATCTGCCACAAGTAGACTATGTACTGTCAAACAAGTTGACAAATCATATGGACGTTTAGTAAAGTTAGCTCTGACACCAGATATTTGTAATTCAGCAATCGGTCTACCTAAAGAAAATTTGATTTTGGATTAGAAATCGCACCGATAGACTTTTCTTTAAATAATAATTCGGCCTCGTATAATCACTATGCTTTATCCCAAAATATTATAGAGCTTTTGCAAATCTTTGGCAAATCTCAATAACAATTAAAAAGGGAAATGAGGAGAAATAAAAAGTAAAAACCTTGACTCTGAACTTCTAAAGACATCTTATTAACCGTAAATTGCATAAGAAACAGTTTCGATTCGGCAATTTTTTTCTTTTCATCTTCATTAGAGGACGAATAGCTAGAGACACTGTCAGAAACCATTTTAAAACTATATTTTTACTATTATTTCTTACTAACTTTAATACGCTTTTACTATACAAGCTATATACACTTTGATACATAGCTGTCTCTTTGGAAACGCTTCTTGTAATCTCATTGGGTGTTTTTCGTTTAAGATTAATTTCTGGATTACTTGCAAATAGTTTGAAGCAGAATTGTAATGCCTTTATTTTAGATTCGCTAACATGTAGCTGTAATGCTGGAACATTCCCTGAAAGTGTTAATTTTGGCCATTCGGGATCATCTGAATGAATTAGCCGCCTGAAATAGTGCAAGTATAATTAATGAATATTTCAAAAATGTAAAAGTTCGTTACCTTTCAATTTGTAAACTAATGGAAAATCTATCAATACAATGTAGTATACTAGAATTTTTATTTAATGCATTTTTCCAATTATCATTACTGGTACCAATCATAACGTGGGCATCCGATAGGTTAAGTATGTATTTTTCGTAAATTTTTTCTTGTAGAGCTTGATGTGATAAATCTGAGTCAGCCCTTAAATCGGATAATGATTGAGGAGGCATGCTTTCTGTAGGTGGTGTAGATGATGGCGTAACGAAAAAATCTTCTGTAAGAATAATAATAATAGCATTATAATTGATGACAACAACTGGTTATTTATACCTTCATCATCATCTTCATTAATATCTGACTGACTTTCATTTCGAAATATTCCAGCTGTTACGTTGTGAAATTGTAATCTACCAAGACCAATTACAACATAAGTTGCTGGCTTTATGTCAAACGAATCGGGTACAATGATTTGAGGAGCTGCAACATCAAGGTTAACCTGCCATCTCTTTGATGTTATCTAAAATATATTTATGTGCAAATTTTTAAAATAATTCTGTTATTACAAATAACTAAGATAATTACGGCATCTGATCCTTCAATTAATTCGTCTAATTTCTCTTGTAAACCTTCAGCCGTCTGTTTCTTCAACTCATCAAATTTTCGTCTAGTAATTGCTGAAAGATACAAAATCGATGTAAATTCTTTATTTTATAAAACATATATTATATATTAATATAAACAAAGCATTACCCGCTAGTAAGGCATCTTCTTGTGCCTCGCTTGAGAGTAATGACCGTCTTATGGAAAAGAAGTCTCGTATCTTTTGCAATATTTTAGCGTTGTAGACAATATCAAGTGGTCGTGTTTTCAGTTCAAAGCTATTAAAGAATAAAGTATTCAATATAATTATCTCTCAAATGCAACTTAATTAAACTTATTTTATGAAATTCATTACCAATAATCAGAATTTGACTTAGGAGGCTTCTTTTCAAATGTTAATTCAAATAGCTTTTCGTCACCAAAGAATCCTGTTGGTGAAGGTGTTGGTATTGGTGATTGAGGCCTAAAGAGGGTTGATAACATTGAGCGATAGGAGCTGGCATCCTAAAATATAATACAAAATAGATAATTAAGTATATATTAAACAGCCATAAATAATTTGACTGTTACAAACCACTTTTCTTTGAGGCGATATTAAAGAAGGGAGTAAAGAATTCGAATTGGTTTTATCATTAATTTGAATGCTTTGCACGCTCATATTTAGTTTATAGCTTAAACTTCGTGGTCGCCATTCAGATTGAAGTATCAAATTTTTAGCAGCAAATTCGACTATTTGACTGTCTTTAGTTTCTATTTTAAAAGAGAAAATATATATTAAAATTATAATCTTCATCTCATGTATAATTAAGTTATTTACGATTTGTGAAAAGCCCTAGCTGAGCATTTTCCAATCTGAAAGAGAATTTCGCAAAGACAGCGTCTCGTTTAAGTAGTGTATCATTATCGATTGTCTCTTTTATACTTTCGATAAAATCCTCTAGTTCTTTCTCTTCAATAGCTATTTTAAGAAATGCATTAATAAAAATATATTTTTAATTAATAATATTAGATCTAGCTTAATTTACCTCCAGCTATTTTATCCGGTAGCTTTTTCTCCGGTAATTCATCTTTCTTTCCTCCATACCAACCACTAAACCAATATCCTGTCCAACTATTTTCTTGTTTAGCTTCAACATTTTTTTCAGTTTCAGCTTTCGCTTGATCTTCCTGTAAAACTTTTGTTCTCTCCGCTCTTTTTAATGCAATCTCCCTTAAGTATTTTAGTTGATCAAAATTAAATATTTCTTCAGCTTCTCTCAAAAACTCCTAAAGTTTTAAAAATTTATAAATTTGAAAAGATAATATTCATAATAAATGTTAACTAGAAAGTACAAACTTCTGATTTAATATCAACGTATTCTTGTTTCCATTGTTTTTCATAAGCTTTTACATATCCAACAAGTAATTTTGCGCGTTCTAGTAAAAACTCAAATGTATAAACTTCTCTAGAATGATGAATTTCTTCTAGATGACAATTAATAGCAAAATTCCACCATTCTTTTGGGCTGTCATTTGAAAAAGTTTGTTCATTGTTTAGGTAAAAATAGAAAAAACCGAATATTTACCCTTTTGAAATAGGAACTTGAGGTTTCCATTTTGCATATTTCTGTTTTCTCTCTAACTTCTCTATTGCTCGAGTTAATCTTATAAATTGAGAGTATTGTTTACTAGACAGATTTACAGGCAAATCAGACATGACAATATCAAGGGCAATTCTAGGTGTTGAAAGTGACTTTAACGCCTCCATTTGTGTATTTCTTTGCATTTTTGCCTTTAAACTTAACGGTGGAATTAGATTCTCGATATCCTGGATATTATTAAACAATTAAATATATACATGTGGTTATGTAATTTTCTATAGAAATTCTTTTAACCTGATTTTCAAGGTTAGACTGTTTATTTAATTCATTTATCAACTCTCTTGCTTCAAGATTACAATAGAATTGTGAAGGTTGAACATTCCAATATATAGCAAAATCTTTTATATCAAGTAATTTTCTCATAATATCTGTTTCCGCTCTATGCACAAACTTTGGTATCTAAATGAAATTTTTTAATTTAATAGTGAATATATGAAAAAAAATTGAGACTTTTACCCAGTCATGATCAGTACTTTTTGCAGACAATGAATCAAATTGTAAACCAAATGCAAATGGTTTTCCTATAAGATTTCCTGTATCTTCAAAGCGTATATGAACACCACTTAAATCTAACTGAACGTTTTCCAAAATATTTGAGACAAATGATGTTCCATATGACCACCACCATGCGGAGTTTTGTTTTGTTCCTTGTGTTTCTCTCCATTTTTCTTCTAAAATCTTCAATTTTTGTAATTTCCATTCTTGAAGAGATTTTTTTAAGTCTTGTTCATTAAACTAGAATAAGGTGATATTTTATTTAAAATATAATGTCATAATCTTAAATAATACAAAAAAAACTGTAATTTTACCTTAGACTCATCACAGCATCCTAAAACTACATATATATCACTCAAACGTATTATCCAAGGTTGACTTTTTAGTTGTCTAACAGGTATATTCAGCGTGGCTTTGCCAATAATTCCAGATTTAACTTCAATTGGCAAACCAAGTTTATCGAATGCAGATTTCTTCAAGGGCAGATCCTCTAACTCAACCTGACCTATATTGCAATATCTCAATAGAATATAATTGCTATTTAAAATGTTTTAAAATTAACCTCGTAATAAACCAATGGTTAAATGACTAGCATCGAAATTTTCAACATATTCTCCTAAATATGTATTTAGCACCCAAGCCGTAAGATTACCAAGCATGCCAGACTGTATATAGATAAAGATAACATATAGATAACATCAGTTTTTAGTAGTATGTAAGTAATGTTTCTGATTATAACTAAGTCAACTATTTGTGAACTGTTGAAGAAATATAGAACATATATCTTTCCATCATATATTAACCAATTAAAATAACAAAAGATTTCTTCATTGAAATCTCCTACAGTGTTTAATAATTATCTTAAAATTTTCTTTTATAAACAGTCGTTAATTTGCCAATAAACCCTATTATTATACTTATTAATATTCTATATAAATATTTATGCAATTTAATAATTATATTATGAGTCATTTTTTAGTCAACTACAAAGAATGACGGCGCATTTTTCTTTAAAAATGCAAACATATAAAGAAATCAATGTTGTTTTGATTTTCTAAGAATTATTTTTAACAGAGCATCTTATGTTTCTTTTTATCGATTCTATTCTTACGTAACTTATTCTAAGTTTAAATCGTAAAATTAGATAATAAATTTCTTAAAAACTTAGGTTATAGTTAAAACTAAAGACAACTTTTATATTGTTTTGTTCGTTTCAAATTCTTATTTTCTTATCTTGCCCTTGTAAGAGATAGTAAAGTACACTAGTTCATTGAGGGAATATCAAAATCTTTTTACAAAAATATTACCATATTTGATAGAAGTATGTAGTTCAGCCAACTTTCAACTATTCATTATAAATGAAAATCAAAATAAACATATATTAAGCTGTTGCCAAATTTCTAAATTAAGCAAGTGCACGATAATAGGAGATTTTATAAAATCACAATTTCTATAATTCTATTTCTTTCAATCGGACCAGGAAATATCCATATTCCAATAAAACATATAAGCAACTGCTCGATCCGACTTTTCAAGAGTATGTATATATTTTTCTGTTTTTATGACGACAAAATGTGACTTATTGCAGGATACTGTATAAAGGAACACATTTCGTTTGAAACTCGGTCCGCATTAATTTCCCTCCGAAACTTGAAAAAATCGAAGCTATTTTCAGTAATAAATTAAACGATAGAATAAATGATCCTTCCTTCAAATTTTGGAGGATACGAAATGTAACCCAGTTTGTTTTATGTAAATCTTGCCATACTAATGATTGGTCAATTCATTTGCCAGTAGTTATGTAATAGACAATTGAATTATTCAATCTGACTGATATTTAAGGTTTTTTTTAAAACTGTTTAACAGACTTAATCAAAAAGTATCAAATTGTGAAATTCTTAATTTAAGAAATTATTGTTTCAAACGGTACAATTTATTCAATTGATAACATCCGTTGCACAATAAAAACAATCAGTCCTGCGATCCTACATTTTTAGCAGACGACATAGAGACAAACGTAAGTGAAAGTTTCATTATAACACATATTTACAGGTAGTCTATATTTAATCATCCTCACTAAAAGGTGAATTTTAAGTCTCTGTAGATTATTTATAAAATAGTTATATTTTCTTCTTATAAGATTTAGAGAAATAATGATTTTCAATTATTTCCCACGTTATCGCCCGTTTGTTTACTTGAACACAAACATGTTTGCTAATATTTCAATGCAGATTCATTCATTACAAAAGACTATTAGTTTGTTTCCTCTCTAGGTAATGTCAAACGAACATAACGCAAATCTACTCTCCTTGTTCAGTTCTATTAAAGCTGATGAAATAAATGATGGATTGGCTGATACATTCGAGGGATCCCTGCAGGGACTTGGCTTTGATGTTAACAATTACACATATAACATGAGGTAGTATACCTTGAATATACACTCTTTTAGAAATAACTTAATCAAGTCTATCACTATTAAATTCTACGTCCGTCTAAATATTTTTTATATTTATCCTCTTGAGATTGACCCATGTGAGGATATTATATCCAAGTTTGCATGAAAATGATATTCTGCTCTTAGATATCTAATATTATTTTTTTTTGAATCCAGTCTAATAAAATATTCTATTAGATGGTCTGAGAAGAGCTTTCTTTTATTCAGAGCAAAAGAATTGTCTTTTTTTTAAAAGTATCTGCTCCCAATTTATTTCTTGTTTTGTTGATCATTAAGATAATTAATATCTTATTTTTTTCAATACTTGTTAAACTTTAATATCTTGAAGAATTGCTCTTTTTATTTTAATTTCTTTTCTTTTTTTAAAAAGCAATTGAGAGATCCAATTAAAATTTTTTAAATTAACCTATACGAAACCTTCAATTTCCTCTATTAGTCCAGTCATATCTTATTAATTAACCTTTTTTAACAGCGATGCTCTACATGCACTACCGAAATTTAAGGATGAAGATGAAAATGATACGATAGAACATGCCTCTACTCTTATTATATCAACTGCTGAAGAAAAGATTCCTTTAGATTATCTTTTGGTTGCTGCAACTTCTGCCGCTACTAAGGAAACAGAAGAAACTCTCACGTATCTTAATCAAGCGCAATCTTATGAATTGAAGCTTGCTAGAAAGGACAATGGGTAAAAAATATAATTCACCTAGAATCAACTTCAATGCGAACAAAATGTTTTTACAGTATTGGTCCTCTCCAGAGCATCGTAAGGGTTCTGTTTCATGAAAGGAGAATGCAATATTCTGAAAAAGAGCAGTTAGAAAGTTGGAAGAACGATCATCCCGGAAGAAGATTTATGGATGTTGATGTTCCCTTATCATTTGGCATAACAGATATCGTAGTGCATCCAGATGTTTTGAATGCAGTAACAGTTCATTGGAGCGAGAAATGTTCTTTATTTATAAAGGTTCATTGTATAAGCACTGAATTCACGCAACGAAAACACGGAGGAGAGAAAGGAGTACCATTTAGAATTCAAGTAGAAACGTATACTGAAAATGGAGAGAAAATTTTACACTGTGCAGCTTGTCAGGTGAAAAAGATTTTGAATAATTTTACTTTTAACTATATAACACTTTTTAATATACTTTTTCAGATTAAAGTTTTCAAACCAAAGGGAGCTGATAGAAAGCATAAAACAGATAGGGAGAAAATTGAAAAAAAGCCAGAATCTGAACGTGCTAAATACAGACCTGTATCAAATGTTACGAAATTAGTAGATGTACCTCTTGAAGTCGTTCAACATTATTTGATTATGAATCCAAAAACTGTAAACTTTGAATTAGAAAATCCGCCAGACACTCCATCAAATACCCCTATAGCAAGTCCTTCAGGAACGGTAAAATGTCTAACAACGACAAATGTTACTACAACTGCTTCAACCACAATAAAGACTATCAGTTCAAATGTTTCTGCGAATTCAACTTCGGCTGAAGTTGTTGATTGGTTAAATAATAACAGGTATAAAATATTTCTTTGTTAGAACTTTGCGCTAAGGAAGACAATTACTAAACCACAATATTTTTTCTTTACTAACATTAGGTTTTCAAGTTATAGTCGAGTGTTTGAGAATTTTTCCGGCAGTGATTTACTTCGGTTGACAAGAGACGAGTTAATACAAATTTGCGGTTTAGCTGATGGTATTCGATTAGACAACGCTCTTCAAGTGAAAAATGTGAGGCCAAGATTAACTCTGTTTGTATGTCAAGAAACTAGATCAAGTAGAAGAGCAAGCGAAAAAGGAGAAGAGCATACAATAACGAGAGTAAGATCTGAAGGTTCGCTCTCCTCAGCAGATGAAGATACTTTGCTAACATCTCTTAAATTTAACACTACTAAGGTATAATAATATTATAGTCAATTTCTATAGCTTACATCAAAGAGAGATTTTTTTTAGGATATCAAGCCAATTCGAAAATTAGTAAAGGGAAAACGCTGTAATTTCTCCGGCAATGCTTTCAGGGATAATCCTCCAATAAAAGTTCCCAATCCCACCTCAAAGCGTCACAAAGAAAATGATGGTAACGTTTCAGATGACGAAGCTTACTATTTTAAGAAACAGAGAAAGAATCTCGAATTATCTAGAAAAAATGTTTATCACGCAATTTATTTAGACAACACTACAATTTCCCAATTAAAAGAAAAACTTGCGATTTTACTAGGCGTTGATATTAGCCTATTAGGAGAAGTATATACCATAGAAAAAGATGGAATATATGTTCTAGTTACCGATCAGGTTGTTCACAGTATAAAAGATAAATCTACATTTGCTTTAGATACAAATGAAAGCGATGAAGGATCATATTTCAGAGTTTTTATGCGATTGTTGGAAGAAGATTAATTCTATTTTTCTTATTTTTAACATAAAACGAAAAGAAAGTAAAAAAAAGTAAAATTTTCTTTTCAGTGTCTGTTTCAGTGTTAATTTCTCTTTTTTTTTGTTTCTTTGTAAAGAAAAAGCAAAGAAGGAAAAAAAAATTGCGAAAATTATACTTTTGTTTTTTATTATTTTGATATCTTTGTCTTGTAGTTTTGTCGAATGAAGAAAATTAATAGTCCTATTGTTTAAGAAAAAGAGATAAAATAAATGAAAGTTTTTGTCATTTAGAAGCATTCTAATAATTAAAACTACGGACTTAATTTATATACACTATATATATTAAATACACTAATTTATGCTCTGTTTTAAGGAGTATAAGTGTGAATGGTGCGTTTTTTCTCATTTTTTTTATCTTTTTTTAGTATAAAAACTATTCTATGACAATATATCTTGTTAAATTGTTAAATAATCAACAATAGCTTTTAATATTAACCAACAGAAGCAAAAATATTTAATATTTTACAATTTTCTTTTGTAAAATTGTTGATTGTTTTCTTTTTGAAAAGTTTGTCAATGTATACGATCGTTGTTTATATTATGGCGTTGATATATTGTATATATAATATATGTGGAAAACTTGTGTCATTCATTAAAATTTTTCCCCTCCTTCCATTCCTTTATTCTTTTTTTTATTATCTAATTACTTAATTAGCCATTCTATATCTATTATTGACCATTGAAATGGGAGTTTCTTGTTTCTATTGGCCTTAGGATTGAGCCTATCAACGGGACGCTTTATTTAAAATGGAAATTACTCGTTTATGCAGCCCCTTTTTCTCCTTACGTTGGTGATCGAACGAAAAGTCAATAGGGATAGTAAATTTAAAAGTAATTTAGTTTAACGGTTCAATAACTTTTTAAATATTTGACTATTTTTATTCGAAATTTTCATTGTATTCAGTAAAATATCCTAAAATTTATTGTACTTTAAATTGTGAACAGAAAAATTGATTTTAATTCTTCAAGTTTCTGCTGAACGAGAGGTTGTTAATCTTTTCATTTTCTTTTTCTCTCTCTTTCTCTCGCTCCCTGCCTTAATTGAATAAATATAACATTATATATTGCTGATTCTACAATACAAAAAAAACACTTGAACGTTGGCAAAAATACGCAAAAAGCAGAATTTAATTTCTAAAAAAAAATTGAAAGTTCCAACAATAGTCCGTATTAGGTTTTTGATTTGCTAAGTTGATCACAGTTCAGATATAATAGGAAGGAGGCTAACATCAGTTGAATAACTAATAGCATCCCTATTTTCTATCTATCTCACGAACATTGATGTGTTGACTCTAAGAATAGAATTATGATGAAATTGTGTTTTTGAAATTGTCTGATAATAGGTTGATCCTCTCAAGTAGATAGTAAAGTGAACAAAAATTAGAGAGACGGCAAATGATAGAATGAATATGAAGGTCAATTGGGATAGTAGGGTTAAATCATTTAACCTGAAAAACATAAAGGCAAAATAGTTATTAGAATGGGATTAAAATAGCAAACAACGTTTTAAATAGATGTTTTATAAATCTTTTATCACGCAGTACAACGATTTAGACCATATCCTGTTTATTATTTCATAGGCCTTAATATAAGGACTGTTTTATATGTCGAGATGTTTTCCAACAATCGATGACAAAATGCTGCTTACTTTTTTCTCATTGTTCCCTTAAAATTTTGAAGGAAAAACAGAAGATTTTTCACTTTAACAATTTATATGCTATTCAATAGGTTCTTTGTTATCTGATAAGGCCAAAATTGATATGATTATTAACACATCTCGAAGCTTAACACAGTTCAATATCTATCAACAATAGGTATTAAAGTGTGAAAGCTGATTTTTTTTTTATTAAGGTAAAAGAGTATTTTTTTTGTTTTATTTAAAGACATAAGACCACTGTTTTTAACCAATCATGGGAACTGATTTGTATTGGAAGGCGTTTACTATATATTTTTTATGTACAAATTCCAAGAGTACTATTGTTTTGTATTTTTGTAACTCAACCAAAGTACTAACCCGTAATTGTTTATTATCAACCATATATTTCTGAATTTCGTTGTATTAAAGCTAATTTTTTTCGGTAAAATTTCCTGCAGCATCCTGTCGTCTGCCTACTGCTTTTTATTTGGCGGGAGATAAATCGCAATTTATTTTAAAGAGTTTTCGATAAATTACGTTGTTAATATTTACATGGGATAGGCTATTTTTGACTCAGACTTTGCGCATGTCACTTTATTTATAAATTAAGGTTTAAAGAATTTATATTTCATAAGTCAGCATTCAATTGAGATCTTTTTACGATGAGTGAACATGCGCACTCAATTTCTAATCAAAATGCTGCGCTGACAGGAATATTGATCAATGCAGATTGATTTTTACACCTCTGAACGAATTCGTTCCTTTTTCAGCGTTGAACACTCAACCATAGCAGTTCTTCCTTACGTGAAAATTGAATTAAATCGGAAAAAATGACAACAGCAAAACACACAATACCAGTTTTTGGATCATATTGTCAATTGTGTAAGATGGCAACCGACAACGAAAAGAAAGTCCAAAAGTTATGTTCAAATACTGATCAAAATGGGGTAATACAGCCCTTGCTAACAGGTTAGTTTGAAAGATACTTTTTATTGCTTCCTTAGATTGGAGAGTTATTTTTTAATCCATTCTAGTTTTTTAATGTGAGTAGCTTCTTAACAAAGCATCTTAATATCGCTCAGTTAACAGTGGAATTGAATGCAATATTTTGTAATTTGATTCTACCAATATTTAGCCTCCTCTCCCTTGAATAAACCAGGTTCGATTAATTGAAAGATTAATGTTACTATTGTTGCATATATTCTTATATAACGAACAGAATCGACATTACTAATAGGCCTATTTCAACTTGAATAGTTTGTTGACAAACGTCAAATAGCGTTTCTTTTTCCAGTAAAACCGATTTTTGAGCGATCAATCACAAAGCTTATTCATTATGCAAGCATCGTTTCGTCGTCTGATCGGAATCGATGTGGTTGGAAAAGCGCTTTGCGTGCGGTAATTGGGAAATTTCAATAAAATCTATCAATTTTTGGTTTCGTAAATAAGTAATTATACAAATTTAATCAAATGATTTCCGTAATAAAATGTAATTTCGATTGGGGAAATGTTGTCTTGGTAATATCAGTAATAAATGAAGTCTTTTCTTGAATATTATAAATTGGGACATTTATAAAAAAAAGAAAAAAATATAATATATATAAAATTTAAAATTAGCAACTTTTACGATCTGATAAACAACAATTCTACTTTAGAATGACATGGGGGAATATTTATTGATTTGCTAATCCTTAGAATTATACATATAAATATATATATATATATATATGTGGTGTGAAAGAGTGTGATAATTTATAAAATCTAATGCGAAATAATTCATTCTAGTTAAATTTTTTTTAAAACTCATTTAACAATAAAACAATGGAATTTATCTGATTTTTATTCTCTTTTTTTTAAGTAACATTTTTTTTATTTTAACACAGTTGCTTTAACTATAAAATAAAAAAGAAAACATGCATTTTTGTTGAAATAAACACTGAAATAACAATAAGAAATTTCAAAGTTACTTGATCGATATATGTCATTGTGCAGGTTCGGAAATTAATGATTTGATTGGACTGGGAACTTTTATATACATATATTTATTCTGATATATAAATATATACATATGCTGTGTATACATAAATATCTAGTTGGTTGACAAAAAAACTAGATAAAAACAATAATGGACAAAATTTATAATATATTTATTGGGAATTACAAAACCTAGGAACTAAATAGGTTTTTGTAATTTTCTTAGTATTTTAGGTTATTTAAATAGCTTAAAGCCATTTGCTTTTTCAATCATGTGTAGCCTATTTGTGTCGTTATTATTATTGCTATACAGTACTAGGATAAGACACTACATGCATATAATATACATAATTTACATGATATAATTATCAAACTACATGTTCATTTATTGACTTATTCAACAGATCTCTATCAAATTACTATGGCTTATGCCTACTGGAAAAGCGGTAAAATGTCAGAAACCGCCGTATTCGATTTATTCTTCCGCAAAAATCCGTTTGGTGGAGAGTTTACCATTTACGCTGGTTTAAGCGAGGTTTATTTATATTTACAAACGCGATTAAGTTTACTTTCATTTTTTTAAAACAAATAGGTGCTGAAATTCCTATCAAATTTCCGATATTCTGAGTGTGATATTGAGTATCTACGTTCAGTCCTTCCACCAACTGAACCAGCTTTTTTTGACTACCTCAAAACTGTCAGCACGAAAGATATTAAGTTATACGCAGTTGAAGAAGGGTCTGTGATATTTCCAAAGGTACCTGTTATGAGAGTTGAGGGTCCATTACCGATTGTTCAATTGCTGGAGACGACATTGTTGAATTTGACAAATTATGCATCCTTAGTTGCGACAAATGCCGCAAGATTTCGTTTGGCGGCGGGAAATCAAAAGGCCCTATTAGAGTTTGGTTTAAGAAGAGCACAAGGACCCGATGGAGGTCTTTCTGCTTCCAGATATTGTTATCTTGGAGGATTTGATGGTACCAGTAATGTTTTAGCTGGTAAACTATTTGATATTCCTGTTAAAGGAACGCACGCGCACGCATTTGTGACGTCTTTTACAAATTTGGAAGAAGTAAAGCACGCAACTCTGGCGAGTAAAACTGGTGCACAATCAGTTAATCTTGCTGAAAAAACAGTAGAATGGTTGGAAAAGATTTCGTCTATATTAAATATAATTCCTGGAGAAACTAATAAAGGCGAATTAGCCGCCTTTATTGCATACGCTGCCTCTTTTCCTTCGTCCTTCCTTTGTTTGGTTGATACGTACGATGTACAGAGAAGTGGTATGCCAAATTTCTTGGCTGTAAGCTTGGTTCTGCACTCATTGGGATACCGACCGATGGGCGTTAGGTTGGATAGTGGCGATTTAGCCTATTTGTCCAATAGTGTTCGAAGAGCTTTCATGACAATATCAATGGAACTAGAAATTGATTACCTTGCTGATCTAACGATTATTGCCAGTAATGACATTAATGAGGATACAATTCATTCTCTTAATCAACAAGGACATGCTATTGATGGCTTTGGTATTGGTACACATCTAGTCACGTGTCAAAAGCAGCCTGCACTGGGATGTGTATTCAAATTGGTTGAAGTTGGAGGTTTGCCCAGAATTAAATTGTCGGAAGATGTCGAAAAAGTCACTATGCCAGGTGCAAAGAATGTATATAGATTGTATAGTCAAGATGGCCATGCATTAGTGGATCTTTTGCAAAGATTAGACGAACCGGCTCCAAAAGCTGGCGAAAAAGTTTTAGTCAGACATCCTTTTCACGAATCTAAACGAGCCTACGTCTCACCTACTCGAATTGAGCCTCTTTACAAATTATACTGGGCTAACGAAAAACTGCAGGAAAATTTACCACATTTGATAGATATTCGCAATCATGCAAAGCAAGAATTGGCAAAGATAAGAGAAGATCATAAAAGAGCACTGAATCCGACTCCCTACAAAGTATCAGTGTCAGATCGTCTTTATAATTTTATTCATGATCTGTGGCTGGCTAATGCACCTATTGGCGAACTATCATAGATATTAGCAATAGTCTTATGTGTTGTGCTTGAAATGAATCAAAATTTAAATAGATCTATTAATTTAAAGATTTGCATAATATAAAATATAGAATTTTTCTTTTCACTTTAGTTTATTAAACACTAAACTTCTAAGTCAATTGAACATTTACTATATTCTCTCTTTAGTACTAACAATAATATAGTTAATTTATCAATATGGCCAAAAACATTTGTAAACGTATGATGGCGGTGCTTTCATACATCTGTTAATTTTTTCGCAGCCTCTAGGAGCCCAATTCTGAATTGCTAAATCACAGAGATTGAATTCTGGCTTTGCTTTTATCAATTTATCTTTATGCTGTTGAACAATTTTTAAAATTGGTGCTAGGCCAATACGATATTCTTCGGTGGTAGGATCTATTGGAAATTTCTCGCCTGGATCTCTTCCTAGGTGAAACAATAATGGTTTGTCTGTATAGTTAGTCATCTGAGAGGTTGTGACATTCTCAATCCGTTGACCTGGGCAATAATGATAGCCAATTTTAATTGCTTCAGCAGGAGTGTTCCACGTATAAAAGTGAGCTTTATAGAACCCATATCTAGATTTAAACAAAGCGTTTCCCCTATAATAAAAAACGCCCCTGTCATATACCTTTGACGTTCCTTCCATCACATTTCTTATTGATTGACCGTCTAAAGTTAGATTTCTTGGCATTTTAATATCGGCAAAATCTAAAATCGTTGGTAAAAGATCCATAAGCAAAGATACTTGATTAGTTATCTGGCCAGCAGGGATCTTTCCGGGAAATCTTGCCAATGCCGGTTGCCTATAACCCCCTTCGAAAGTTGTTTGCTTTCCGCAAAGAAAAGGTCCATTGGACCCGCCATTTGTGAACGCGTATGTTGCCGCTCCATTATCGGAAGAAAAAAAAACGAAAGTATTTTTATCGATATCGAGTTTCTTAAGAAGAGCCATTATCTTTCCAACGCCAGCGTCTATTTCCATAATAGCGTCTCCATAAAGACCGCGTTTCGACTTTCCTACAAAAAAATTCTATATACTCACAGTAACTATCGAAAATCGTTTACGATCTTTATTGTTCTATTTACATCGTCTAGTTTTCCTCTCAACTTTAAAAAGAGAATTATGGATATTTTTTTTTAAAAAGAAATGTAAATCTTAAGAAATTCAAACTCATATATAAAGAAGTATTCTTAAATGACCCAACTTTTATATCCCATAAAAGAATTTTTACAATTTCCCTAAGTAAACAATTCTCTCTTTCGTGCTATAATAGGACTTTTGCATAATTAATAAACTTTTTTTAATAAATATAAAGTGACCTCTGAATTCTTTAGATGCATAGAGTGGCGTATGAGTTGCGTCGGGCGCCCAATAGAGGAAAAAATTCTCGTTTTGCTTAGTCTTTCTTTCAATAAATTCTAATGCTTCCTGTGTATATAACTGAGTGAGATTGCCTAAGCCAGTTTTATGATCAATTTTGTAATCTTGATAATATCTTCCAGTCATTTCTCTATTCTTGTATACTGGAATATTTGGTTGTACTGTTGTATCATATTTATAATGGCAGTTGGGTGCCCCGAACCATTCGTGAAAACCATGATTTAATGGTAAATATCTTTCCCTGTGACCTAGATGCCATTTTCCAACAATTTTATTTTGATATCCATTTTCTTAAAGGAATTTGAATAGAATTTAGATAAGAATTTGATTTGAGATAAATTATTAATATAATTTTATATAAATTCCTTTAAGAATTTCTGGAAGTAAAACTTCTGAATCGGAAATACCACCCAACACAACTTGAGGAGCGTAAGATGCTCTTGCAAATTGACCATCTGAATAAAAACCATTTCTTATTGGTAATCTTCCGCTCAACAATGATGCCCTTGATGGCGAGCAGATGGAGCTACCCGTATACATATCAGTAAATTTAATGCCCTCTTCAGCTAATCTATCCAAGTTAGGAGTTTCACTTGCAGGATTTCCATATATTCCTAAATCTCCCCAACCCATATCGTCCATAAACATTACAATGATATTCGGCTTCTTCGAAAAAACCATTTGTAATTGAAGCAGAAAAAATATATACTTCATCTCCGCTTTAGTTTATCCAGTCAGTTGCAAAACAAAAATAATATTTTCACCATTCATAGAAAAGGATATGGCTTAAATTTTGATTATTATCTCAGCATAATTCCTAAGGAAATTGTCGATTATCAATCAAAGCTAAATTTTACTTGGTCACGTGACTTGATTAAAGCAGACGCCGAAAAATTCAACCAACTAATACTTGGGCGGGAAATACAAATGTCATTCATGACTTCAAAGTGGAAATTCATTGAATTATTTTCGAATAAAGCTTACGATACGTTTCTAAAGGTTAATTGATCATCATTTGAATATTTTAAATGACCTTTATGAATAAATTAAATAACATTCTCTAAATTCAGTTAGCGCTATTTATTTTGTTATGGTTTTTAGGATTATACTATTAGTAATAGCTATCTAATAAGCCACTATACATTTCATTTTTATATGTAAATTTGTGACAAAGAATTTTCAAATTTCTTATATAGTGATTTCAATTTTGACAACTAAACAATGGAGAAGAAAGAATTCGAGCAATGTGATGGGCTTAACACTTGAGAAAAAGTTATATTGGAGATAGCACTTTTTTTTCGTTCAATGTTAATTCTGGATGCCAAAAGTCAACAATTAGGACCATTCTTAAGCTGGTTCCATTTTGCCAAACTTCGTGTTCGAATGAGTCATCGAATACGATCCAGTCACCTTCTTTCCAACCTCTACAAAGAAAAAAAGTTTATTGATAACAAAATCTTATTTAAAAAAATGACAAACTAACCGAATAGAGTCTTGAACTCTTATCTTGGGTCCTTCGGGTATAATAAGACCTAAATGAGCACGAAGTCGGCAATTGGTTGGGCCAGTGTGAGGGTGAACGTGGACCCCAGGCTTCATAATAGAGAACTTGATTTGACCTCTTTTACACGTGGTGGCAGCAGAAAACTCGGAAAATAGAGCACAGGTTTTGGGTGTTCTTTTACAATTTTTTGAAACCTCTTTACCTCTTTGAAAAAGAGTTAATTGGTGCCATTCACCTGTATCTGTTAAATCCTCGTCTTCTTTTTCGAAAAGATTAGAGTTAGTATTCATTTGACTTACAGCCTCGTCTCGTATAGTTTTCCAATTTTTGGCTATATGATCAAGCTGTTTGGCTACACCTGTTTGTTCCAATGTCCACCATGGTCTACCAGTCAGACGATCTACGTTATAAAGTGAACGCTGCCACTTGGAGAGGAAAATATTTTTTTTTGCCCCTTCTTCGTAGACTTTCATGCCCTCTTCCATCCGATTGACTCTGTAAAGAGCGTCACCAAGATGAAAGTAAAACCGTCCATGCTGGGTTTCCGGATCGTTACTGGCTATTCCTTTTTGTAAATATGATATAGACTCATTGGGATTTCTATCGGTTGTTTTCAAAATGAATCCGTAATGAACAAGAGCACATCCATCGTTAGGGTCCTTTAGCAAAATACCTTTGAAAACCTCTCTTGCTTCTTCAATTTTCCCACTCATCATATAGCCTATACCCAATTTATTTCTGAGCGCCAATTTATCCGGAAATTTTTGAATTAACTTTTTCATTGTAACAACAGATTTTATAGACCAACCACGGAACTCTTGTCTATTGGACAATCTCAGACCTGCTTTTAATAATAATACCGATGGTACATCATCTAAGTCTAATATTTTTGAATAAGCTGATATTGATGCTTCCAATAAAGTATTACTCTGTTTTTTCTCAGATAACAAATCTAGAGAATAGGCTTTGCCATAGTTAGCTCTGGGACTACTTGGATACTTCATAAGGAGAGAATCAAATTTCTTATTAGCTTCTTCGATATTGCCCTACAGTAAAGCGATAATTATATTAATAATAGTTAAAAAAAGATTGAAATCAAATAGCTCTAAATTATTTAGATAAGAAAAAAAGTATTTGTTAAGATCCTTACGTCACTTAGTAATTTATCAGCATCATCAAGAAGATTTCTAATCTTGTTATCCTCTTTATTAGTGATATCGGCAAACTTGTATACTTTTTGTGGCTTTCCCTTTGTTTCCAATGAACGTTTAGTGTCTTTTGAATCCTTAGAATTTTTATTATTATTATTATTAATAGATGAAGAGGAAGAAGAAGAAGAAGAAGAAGAAGAAGAAGAAGAAGAGGAGGAGGAGGAGGAGGAGGATGACGGATGCGAATATAAATATTTATCTGTTTCACAGAGAAAATAACGTGTCATTTGCCATATATAGGTGGCGACAAGAATCATATGCCGCTTCGTAAAACTATGGAATGTATATTTTTAATCATGTAAATCGTAAAGCAATGAACACATTTGGATGTGCTAATCCATATTTTTTTTGTTAACATCCAGATATAAGATGGTAAAAGTACGTACACAAATTGAATAATCAGATGTTTAAAATACCTGATACGTTAATAAGTATCTGCTTGTAATATTTATATACATTGGTATCTGGTTGATATTAAAGAATTGAATTTTTAATACTTACCAAGTCCTGACTTGGAGTCACTGAAAAATGTAACATAAACAACAACGCTAAAAATGATGATAAGGAAGAGAAAGATTGCATATATCGTAGGACTTATTCTAGGTTTTCTTGCATTATGTGTAGTTTGTTTATTCCTCATAGGTTTAACTCCATTATTCTCTTCTGTAAACAAATGCAAACTTTTTTTGTTTAAAGTATCACTTAAAATATGCATGATAATCAATAAGAGACATTTGCTACGTGTCTAAACTGCTTTAAAATTAAATATAAGAGTGTTAGAGTGAGCTGATGTGATTATTATTAATGACAGATGTTAAATTTCATCATTTACAATTGATATTCAAAGAGACATGCAATTGCGGATGCTACGCTTTTTGAATTTATAGGTTGTAAACAAATATTTCATTAGAAAATGTTCACTATATAAAAAAAACTTGTTAGGTTTAGTAAAATATTTCTCTAATGACATTTAGCATTATCATCGAATTATTATCAGTTAATATTATTCATTTAAGTTCTTATCAAAGTTCACGTCGATATTCTTGAAGATATATCTTTACTAGCTATAATGAATTTGCATACAATCTTACCTTTTTCGTTACTCTTAGCTGTGGGTCTCTTCCTAGCAGACCCCATGTCAAGTCTTACGGTGATGTGCTAACTTTCTGTCCGATCGGTAACGCTAACTAAAACTTATACAAAGATAGGAAAGTTTTATAGGAACTATTTGTCTGCTATCTGTATGGTTTCTAGTGCATTAAAATATGAACGAGTGTCGTTGAAAATGGAATGCGGTACCCGAAAAAGTTGAGATTGGGTTTTAATAATGAAATCTCGTATTTTATCGAGCGTTTTTACAGTATATTTCGTTGTTCTCGAGATAGCGTGTGCCGAAACAATTACCTTTTAAACAGAATATCTGTCATATTCATTCTTCGATTTCTCATAAATAAATAAAACGGAAGTTTAAACATGTCTGGAAGACAAGGTAAAAGAAAACGCCATAAAATTTTAGTCAAAATATATAATATTTCGGTTTTATTAAATTTATATAGGAGGAAAAAAAAAACCACTTAAAAACCCTAAAAAGGATTCACAAGATATGGACGATGTTAGTGATAGTTGTTCTAAACATATTTTTCCGAACAATTTTTACATATCCTAATCTATTTAAACAGGAAGACCTTAAATTCAAGCAAAAGCAAAAAGAAGAACAGAAGGCCTTGAAAGAAATGCAGGAAAAAGCTTCTAAAAAAGGACCTATGGGTTAATATCTAAAATTTAATAATATTCTAGCATAAAAATATATATATATATATAAAACGTTAATTATCTCAGGTGGAAGCGGTATTAAAAAATCTGGGAAGAAGTAATGAGGAGCAGAAATACGATTGATATATAGAAGAAAGTTTTCCAACATCTGACTTTCCAAAAACCAAGTGTATACAAACTAAATTTAGTATAACTTAAGAAGTTGAAAATACAAAAAAACGAACACGCTAATTTAAGTAAACCTTTACTTGTATAGAGAATAAAAGACAAAAGAATTCATGTATTATATATATAAAATATTCGTACTGAATATAGTCATGTACAATTTATTGAAATCTTCATTACAGAGAACTGCATACACTAGAGAGATACTATCCCGATATTTATTTTTATCGAATTGAATTTTATTAGATTTCAATAGTTTTCTGTACGGAAAATAGCTTTCCAATCATAATCATATCTTTTTTACTTAGTAAATGACATAACAGTTTAATTTTCATTTTTAAAATTGAATTTCCTCCGTTATTTATCAATTCCATAACTTCACCCAAAATATATTGACATTCCGCAGGGCGCTTTAAAAACAGGTTGACAGCATATAATAGTAAAGCATAGTATGAACTGTAAGATACTGATTGGTTTTCCTTAAATTTAGTTAATAAATTTTCAAGAGTATAAGGTGATGTGTCCAATTGATCGGTATGCTGAGACTGAAGAAGGAATATTAGCTCAAAATTATCAACTGAGCCATTAAGGCACAAGTCTTCTAGCAAAGATAAAGTAGATTTTGGAATTCTAGCATTTAATCGTAAAAAGCATAACACGATAGTTTGAAGACTTTCATTGCAAGTGTTATTATTTATTGCCATATAAAGTGCATCTAAACACTTTTCCTTAATCGATGGTATTTGCTCAGCCATTGTTGATATTTCATTAACGATTACCATAAACAATCTATTAGAATTTGTTTTTCTCAATAGGTTTGTTAGTTCTTTTAAAATATGGCCCCCATTTTCTTCTGTAGCTAAACAATTTAATAAACTTATCTTATGAATAATCAATACATTCGAATCATTCGGTTTGATAGAAACTGGTGTAATCGCAAACTTCCTTTTCAGATCATATTCAACTACTAAATATTTTAAAAACTTTATACTTGATAATGTTATATTAGGATGAAGATGATTTAACATTTTCGATATAAATTTTGACGTTCTTGTAGCCAATTGGGAGTAAGATGATTCTGGTAATAATCTCTTCATAAGATAGAAGGTAACTTGACAAACAATCAAATTAGGTCTTTCCAAAAGAGGATCTAGAAGATTAACTAATTCCATTTTATCCTTTTCATTAACATTATAATTTCTAATAGCATTTAGTAAGATTGGTACCTGAAAACTATCCATTTTTTCCACCCTATTCAATAGGTGATAAGCTAAAGCTTTTGGCACTGTTAAGTTGCCATGTTGCTCGAGTACATTAGATAAACATCTTATACAGTTTGTAATAATAATATCATCGTCGTTTCGGAACATTCTGTATAAATCATCTACGTAGTTTAAGCGTTCGCAGTCAAGATCCGCTAAAGCTAGAAGACCAGCTCTCTTTACTCCAGGGCTAGTATCCTTGCAAGCTCTCAAAGCTGCTTGTAGAGATACCGATGCAACTATTGATGGTGATTTTATTGCCAATTTATGTAAAGTTCTCACGCATAAGGCACGTAATTGAGGATTTGGAGAAGACGAATCAACTAATAAAGTATTAATACTTAAAATAATATAATCCTCATTTTCACAACACCTTGGGCTTGTTAAAAGAGTACAAACTAATTTTTTCACTATTATGGATGGACTAGTTAAAAATTGCACACAAATCGGAAGAATAGATGTAATATCTAATCCTCTAGCATTCGAGCTTAAAATCTAAAATGAGCGATAATATGGTATTAATACAATTTTACCAATTTTATAAATACAATTTCAGTTATTAATTACCTTTCTTAGAGCTAATAGACTATCATCTATATTTTTGTCGATTTGAATACCTTTTAAATAAGTTGTTAAAGCTTTGATTTCGTCTCTACCAGCCATACCTAAAATATACAAAAAAAAGTATATATCTAAGTAAGCCTATAGACAAAGTAAAAATATCTTCTTACTGGTATAAATATTATTTATTTTGTTTTTATATAAAAAAAAAGGAAATAATATCAATAACGTTTAATGTTTTTAGTATTTGAATAGAGAATTAAAGTAAAACGAGAAAGAAAAGAAATTCAATTGAAAGTTATTTCGGAAAAATTTAAGATGAAGCGTCATTGATTATGTGTCAACAAGGCGTCAATGGTTGGATCTTTTGACTAGTAGTATCTAAGGAATAGTGTTTTTTTTTAAAAATAAATACTACCTTCGCTAGAGAACCCTCTAATGAACCCTTTAAAATCCCCAAGAGTACCTCTGTTTTCGATTAGTCTATGTGATGTAGTAACTACAATACTCTCTTTCTAAGACACGCCTACATCAATGTCAATTAGCCAATAACTAATCAATAGTCGAAAAAAAGCCTTATAAAAAGCTTTCACATTAATTTAAAGTTATTTGAATGAAACTAAAGACTGCCATTTCGTTATTGAAAACAGGAATTTAAGGAAGAGAAATACAAAAAAATATGGACGATATTCTTCGTTTAGATTCATATTCTGTTGCTTTAACAAATGATAGGAATGATTCTCAATATTTAATAATTCCATCCAGTTGGATTAATCAGGATGAAAATACTTTTTGGTATATTGATACATCGGATAATAAAGAATTAGAAACGATAATTCGAACGAGGATAGCCCCGAATGATGATCGAACGAAATTTAATTGGGTTAAATATAAATATAACGTATTGAATAGTATTAACATTGATAGTTATGAAGAGGCAAAAAAGTATGTTACAAGGAAACAAAAAGCCAACAATAAAGTTAATAATAATCGAAATCGTCTTACGAAGAGGAAAGCTTCGGAAAGTGAAGGTTTGTATTAAAATAATACAAATGAACAAGACATTTAATTAATAAATTAATTATCTAATTTAGAAATATGTAGAAAGAAGAAATTACTAGAAACTAACAATGAAATAGTTAAGGAACTATTTGAAGAATCATCTAGAAAGGAACCGGAAGGTAAGTTTATTTTATAAACAAAGAAGACAGACTTTTTAGTCACTAACTTCCTCAAATCAATTAGGAAAACTTTCTACAAAAGATAATAAGAAGAAAGAGACAGTAACTTTCGAAAATAACTTATTATCTGATAGCGAACTTGATTATTATGTTCTCGAAAAGCTACTCTACATATTACAAACTATAAAACACCTACATCAACAGAGTTTACAATTGCAGAAGTTATGTAAAACTGAAAGAGGAGAAATTCGCAGTAAACTTATTATTTTATACATTTTTAATATATAAATCTACATGTAAAAAACAATAAAAAGTACTAAATTTTAAGTATATTATCGTTTGAAACTACGTAGCTGGAATGGTAGATCTTGATAAAAGTCTTTCGGATGAGAAAAAGAATCGTAGAGGATTCTTCTCTAGTTTGACAAAGATGCTTAAAAAAACCGAAGAAAAGAAAATTGTCGAACTTGAAACAATACTTCAAACGTTAAATCTTCCAATAACGAATCTACAACACTTTCGGGAAGTGAATACTATTGTTAAAAACGATGAAACTATGAGGAATTCATTAGTATGAATAATTTATACTTTTATAAGGACGATATAATATTTATAATTAATACTTTATTACTCTTTCTCTTTTCCAGAAGTTTTACTTTTCTCTTATCAGAGCTCCTGATATAAAAAGCTTAGTGAGGCATGCATTAAACCGTTTGATGCATGTTCAATTCGCTCAAAATGTTAGACTAAATGATAATTGTATTTCTTCGGAATCAGAGAATGAAAAGATTGTATTTCAAGAATGGCCCATATTTGAACCTTTTATAGGTTGGAACTATTTTAATAATAGACTTTATTAAATTTTAAATTACTTAACACGATAAAATAATAATATGTTATTGTAATTTTTTCTATAGATGGTTTAACAACAAATCCAACTGCTACCGAAATTATAGAGATTAGGGATAGATTAGTGAAAATATTACATCTATCTTCCGATTGGTTCAATCAAGCTAAACGAATGTGGCGTCAAAAGTTAATGCGTATGGCTAGACCAACTTAAACAGACAACTATGACAATCTAAATTCTCTATAATAAAACTTATGATATAGCTGTATACTTTATAGCTGTTTTGTATAATTTGAGTGTTAAAAATAAAATATGGGCCTATACACATTTTGTCAGAATGATGTCATCTTCTTTTTACGGATACTGGCAAATTGCCAGACTATTGTTTCCATGCCCCCGTTTAGTTCACTGCTCGTTGAACCTAGGAAGTCCTCAATAGATGGGGTTAGAAAGTAAGCAATTTTATTTGAAATGCTGGAACATTCCACGTGTCAACAATGGCTGATAACAATCACTTATTATTATAAAGTTGTTATATATATATACACAGAAATCGTTAACTGTAAATTTACTTACTGTTCTCTATCAGGTACTGATTTTACTCTTATTTTAGTATAGTATATAGAATGTATACTTATGGATTTTGTACTAATTACGCTTAATTAATAACAGTTGAAGATACAGAGTATTTTAAAAATGAGTGATAAAACTTTTACAAGTCTTAAACAATATGAGGAGGCGGCAAAAGAAAAGTTAGATGATTTAACTAACAGTTATTTTTATAAGGGACCAAACTCTTCAGCAGGATTGAAAAGAAATGAAGAAGCATTGCAGAAGTATACAATTAACTTATCTTTGTTATCATTTTTTATACAAATTATATTTTTGTTTGTATTCTAGAGTGTTCTTATGTCCAAATATTTGTGTTGACGTTAGTAAACGATCCACCCAAATAACTCTTTTGGGTAAAGAACTCTCCATGCCAGTTGGCATAGGACCTTGCGCTTTACATTCCCTAACAAATAAAGATGGAGAATTGGCTACAGCAAGGGCTGCTGAATATTCAAAAGTATTATATGTCGTAAGTCAGTATAGTACTCAACCCTTGAGAGACATAAGAAAAACTGCTCCAAATACATTGATTTTTATGCAAATCAATATGCTGTCAGAAGAATTTATCACAAGGAGCTACATCGAGGGCATTGAACGCGAAGGAGTGAACGGTTTTGTTTTAACACTAGATCACAATTCGTTCAGTCCTGACAGACCCACTCTAAACGAAGAATTTCGAAGTACTGTTTACTTGCCTAATATGCCTGAGGGTTTTTGCGATTATGCAAAAGCAGCCAACTCAGTTAATAAGTGGACAAATGATTCTTATACATGGGAATCTGTTAAAAGAATAATGACGTATACAACTTTACCCATCATTGTTAAAGGTATTCTCTCACCAAAAAACGCAAGAGAAGCTATTAAAACTGGTGTTGCTGGTATTTGGGTATCTAATCATGGAGGAAGAAATAGTTCCGATTACCCAGCTACAATTGATGCTTTTAGATCTATTGCTCCAATTGTTAAAGCATCAGGAATTCTTTTATTCGCCGACGGTGGAATAAGAACTGGAGGTGATATCTTAAAATTTTTAGCTCTTGGAGCTAAAATGGTATTTATAGCTAAGCCAGTCATCAGTGCATTAGTTGTAAATGTAAGATTCTTTCTTTCACTACAATTAAAGATTGAATATAAATAATTATATTTTTACAGGGAAGCGAAGGATTAAATAGTGTGTTTTCGCTATTAAAAAGTGACCTTGAAACAAATATGGCGATGTGTGGCTATAATTCGATAGATGAAGTGGATCAAAATTGTTTATGGGACAATCGATCAAATATTTAGATTAAGTAGATCGGACCAACTGCTAATCTATAGCCAACGAATATATTTTAATATATAGAGTTATACATTAGTTAGTGAATTTAATCATTTGAACATATCTTAAACATGAAAAATAAGATATCTGTAATCTATTTCAATATCTATAAATAAATATGTTTTTTCTTAATCGTGCCATTCGCCAGGTAATTTTATTTACTGGTTTCGTATGAAATAATTTTGCTAATGCTGGACTTTATTTTCCGTTCTGGTGACAGGCACTATCCTTGAAAATTGAATATTTAATGATATTTTTGTATTTTTGTGACACATCATCGCGCTTTGAACGTAATTTAAATTATTTAATAGTTGTTTGAAAGTTTATGACAGCGTTTACATAGTCCATAATTTTGTCACCCAGTGCTGCTGAATTATCAATCAATATGAATTAATAGAATGTTCTATCGTTTTTTTTAATTATTCTGTCTTAACATTATTAATAGCTTTAGTATTAGAAAGCGGCTTTAGGATCTATTCAATACTCCTGGAACTAGCTGGAAATAATGTATAACCTTGAAAAAAATTTTATTATTGTATGACCTTTGTTTAAAGAGAAAATGTAGCCTATTCAAACCAGTTTTACTTTTTAGAAAGGACGAATGAAGAATAGGGCTAAGAAATTAACGTTTTGACATGAAACACTACCAAAATAGGTTATTTTTGTTTTATACTTTGGATTGATTTATAGAATAATCGTAAAAAAAAACACGACAAACTCAATTAAATACTATTTAATGTCTTTCATTCTCTAACTTTCCCTTTCCTCCCTTAAGTAAGTTGCTACTCTCGGTTTATCAGCTACTTTTAATTTTCCTCCTCTTCTTGTGCCCTTATAGACACGACCACCTTGTGAAACGTCTTCTTCGTCTTGTGTATCACTTGTATTCCCTCCCATACCCATTGTAGCTAGAAGGTTATCGAACGATTTATTTTCTTTTGTTATTTGCTGAGGAAACTGAGGTTGTTGACCAAGTAAAAATTGTAAAGGGAGTAATTGTTGCTGATTCATCGAGTTCATATCAAATTGACTGAGTTGACTGGGGAAATTACATGGTAAAGGCATACCCATAAGCGATTGTCTCCCTAAACTACTCATATTCATTTGACTTTGTAATAAATTTGCAATGTTCATAACGCTTTGCGCAAGTACATTATTATCATCGTCAATGTTACTACGTCGACCCTGGGATGCTACAGTTGATTCTTTTTTTAAAATAGGTTTCGTAGCCGCTTCGTGTTTTTCAGTTTCATCTAGTATAATACCATATTTACTAATAGACATTCTCGGTTTATGATCATTCATTGGTTGAGCTTGGTTAGGTGGAGTTGATTGTTGCTGTTGAGAAGGTCGTTTAGGAGTACTTTTTTCATCGCCAACAGTATTACTTAAGAAATTATTGAACCATCCCATTTTATAAGCGAAGAAAGCCAGACAACTTTAAATAAAAGTGAATTTACAAAGCTAAAATATCTATTTAGATCCTTAGTTAATTAGTTCTATTAGCTTTGTAAGTACACCTTATAAAGCTAAATACGCCAAATATTGATAATACTATAACAACTATATTAGCCATACTATCTTCACTTTCAGCTTCTTTTAAATTAGACCACTTTTTTACAACTTCTCTTTTTTTATTTAATTCAAAATTCGATTTTGTAGTTGTTGTACTTGTAGAGTATTTCATAGTAATTTCACTTGTATAATATACAAACTTTTTTCCTCTCATTACGTAAGAAGATTGCAACTAATCGAATAGAATTATAGGCAAAGAAGAATATCCAGAAAAAATAAGTCACGAAACAAATGAGGAAAAAGTGAAGAAGAAAACGAAAATGTGTTAGAGAAGTATGTGGTGATAATTATACTTGAGCGTTTAAATAGAAGAGCGTCTAAAAGAAAAACTAAAGGAAGGAATAGAATTTAAATATTGATGTTATTACTTCATTTTTTGAAATTAATATGAAATCTTTTGTTGATATATTGTTGTAAATTTAAAAAAAAATGGCAATATATAGTTTATATAATTCAAAGATTAACTTACAATCCTAAATATGGGATTAAAGAATCTATACTAACTCTTCTCTTTTTCTTATTTGTTTATTTTATTTATGAAAATTACGATTCTTATTTAGCTTATTGATTGATAATTGACAAGTTATAATAATTAATACTGTATAATTTACAAGGCCTAATCTAATTTATCCTGTTAAACAAAAAGAAAGACACAGGATAGGAAGATGATTCATGCTAAATGTAAGATGTTATGTTTACATACAATTATGAAATATGAATGATGGAAATATGGATAAATATAAACTATTAAAAATACACAAAATTGATTTATTCAAGTGTTTCTTTATCAAAATGATTTAAATAGCAAATATCAACTTATACTGTCTTGAATAACTATTTAATGTCGCACAGTATGGCAACACCTCTCATTATCCAATGATCACACGATTGAGTAGTTCTCAAATTCATGTTAGCCACATAATTCTCACTATTTCTGATGGATCTCTTATAAACAGGGCAGGAATATGCTGTCGAACAATGGAATTTATCTTTCTGGATAGCGTAGACGTGTATGATTGGCAGAGGAGAGAATAGAATTTTATTGACAGCTTCAGTTAATCTTGAATTCTTTCGATCCCACCCGGCACCTTCTAAATACAAGCCGTATATATAAACGCCCTCCAAAGGACCTTGAATAACGTCTTCCTTTAGGAGTTTTGTTACATCATTTGATAGGACAACAGAATCTAGCGACCATCCTTTATGACTTCTAGTAACTTCTTGTCTCATAGCAGTTAAAAATCCTTGTGGATTGAAGAAACCCGCCAACCAAAATGAGTTAGGTCTACCCGACTTAAGCCAGGATGTTAAATGTTCATGCCTGTCTAAGAGTTCACTAAACCAAAATCCGAGAGTGGAAGATTCCCAAGATATTCTAATCCATTGTAATGGAATTTTAGCATCGTAAATACTATTAAAAGCATCTTTTAATTGATCAGACATGATTATCGTTCCCTCAATTGCTAGTTTTAAATTTGTTAATGTTATTCTCATAGTTGAGATAACTTTATAAAGTCTATCAATCTCTTGTTTTAAGAAAATATTTAATGGTTGAATGTTTCCCATTCTATTTAATTTCTGTTTGATATCTTGAAAATCATAATCTATAGGTAATTTTGTTAGGATATCTTCCGCTAAACGATAGACAACAGTTTCTCTAGTTTCTCCTACATCTTCCCCACCAACCGATTCTTTTGGTTGAATTGATAAAATTCCATCGAGGACATCTTTAGCAAAATTGGATTGTTTTGTTATATCAGCATTTGAGTGAAGTCCAAATGCTGTAGGATGATCAACTTTTGGAAGAGAGTCAATAAATGTTAAATACTCTGCTGAAGTAGTACAAAATGGTAGGCTATAGCCTTGAGAAAATGTAAAATCATCATGGAAAATATCATCAGAAAACCATACTTTTATTAGGGTTTTAAGGAGATTTTTATCGTAGTCATCGGTCACTCTTCCTCCATAATGAACCTCACTAATCATATAGCGGATTGTTGTCCAAGAAATACCAATTTTATATGCATCATCCAAATGATTTTGAATAAATTGAATACAAGCATTCCAGTCTGATTGGTTGAAATCATAAGGAATATTCCATCCCAGATAGCCAAACGTCCGTCTTTCTTGAATAACCGAATGAAGGAAAGAAATTGCATAGAGAAGAGGCTTCCATTGCATCATATTCGACATATCTAGTACTTCTTGAGTAATACTTCCATACGTTCTCTTCAGACCAGCCCTAATTCCCTCAGGTGGTTCATTAGTAAATCTAGTAGAAATTTGTAAAAGTGTAATAGGAAACTTTTCGTGTACTTCACTTGTCATCCATAATCTAAAAGATGGATGAATGTGCTCATTTTCTAACAATCTGTCTACCAATTCAATCATGAAACTTAAGCTTAAATGGCAATTTTGTAATAAAATCCAGCCACCGTCTATCATAAATTGTTTTAAAAATTTAATTGCATATATCTCTTGACCTTGGCCCATAGATATAGTTCTAACTTCAGTTTGCTTAGATTTAGCTAAGATTTCTATTAATGCAGTAGGATCTGATCCCATAGACAATAGGCATAGCATAGGAGATTTTGGATCGCTATCCTGGTAGATTCTCTCCAAATCGAGTAACACCGGCTGAGTATATATATCACCAAGAGAATCGGCAACATATTTTCTAGCTTGAGATATGGTCCTATCAGGACACCAGGACCTAATCAATAGCAACCTGCGAAAAGAATCTAAGGCTTTTCCATAACTTTTTGGTATTTCCTCTTCCTCCGGTTCATCTTTTTCAAACCATAATTTCCAAGCTTTTTCATTTAGCTTTATATGTTTAATTATATCATTAAAAGTATTTAAACTACTCAAAGATACTAAATTCAACCAAGCATGATCACTAATCCATTTAGCTATTTTAGGTTCAGTAGATTTGATATCCAAATTAGCACCTCCTTTAATTAGGATCTCAAATTCATTCCTTTTGACATAATTTCTGCCCAAATCAATTTTTAAAGTAATAAGCAAAGTAAATAAAAATCTATGCTTCTCATATAATCCAGTTACAACAAAATGATACACTTGTTGGGTTAATGTATTAATTATAGACCTAATTCTTTTCCCTTGGACCAATGATCTTTCACTCTTCATTAAAGAATTATCAAATATTTTAAGAAATTGTCTCAACGATGTTTGATACATAGGATTTAACATTGACATATCGCAAATAAGAAAGTAAAGTATTGAACCTCTAGTTGCAACTAATTTATATTCATTTCTTGCAGAGTTTATCTTAATGGTGGTCTCTGCAGCAACTTTTAATTTTTGTTCAATTTCTCCCGCCATTTTCTTAGTTACGTTTAAAACTTCTATTAACTCTCGATTCTCAATTAAACAGCCAGTACTATCAGTTAATTTTTCTAATAAATCAGATTCTAATTCCTTTATTCTCCTATTGTTATTTGAAATTTCTTGTACAAGAGCAATTTTCTCTTTTTCTAGTTCGGCTCTCTCCTGTTGTATAACTCTACCTAGGAGTTGATCTTCCAATCCAGTCATTGTAACTGTAAAATCGATTGTTGTGGTTGAGGCAGAAATTTCTGGACTAAACACTGGATTGGGTAATTTAGTTGTAATGTATAATCGAAAATTTGGATCGAAATCAACTTCCTTATCTCCCAAGCATATTTTAAAGTTTCTTCCTATCCTTATAATATTGTTATCTAGAATATTATCAAGAATAGGATCTAATTCTTCTCCTACATCCTCTATCAATAAAGGTCTCCCCATTGATAAACAATCTTCAAGATGATTTCTAAAATACCTGTGTGATAAATGAGTTATTTGAAGACCGTTTATAGCTCCTTTATTTTTTAGCCATAATTTTCCTTGCATTTGTGGATCAATAAGGAGGGGATATCTTCCTGAAGATGAGCATATAATACCATTCTATATTTTAAAAGACGTGATCGTGTTAATTGAGCCTAATTGGATACTTAATTACTGTTAATTTAAAGGTATTAAATCACGATCAAGTCCCTGAAGAGATAATTCATCATTCGGTAGACCTTGTAAATTCCATTCGCCTATCGTTGCCAAATCGGCCAAAGTACTAATTAGATCGATGTCAATCGTAAATGGTATTTTAGCCTTTTGTAATTGCTCCCTCCATGACGTAAGTAAGATATTTCTATATTCTTGATTGAATGGTCCGCAGTAGTTAATGAAAGCAATGCATATTACGCAATCGCCTATTATATTTCGCTTTTGAGCGTTAAAATGTCTACTTTGTTCAGTCCAACGAAGTTTTTCTCCAGAAAGGGCGTTTATTAACTCATTTGACATGTCTATCTTTTCCTGACACATTTTGGCATCGTCCATTAAACGACGCTTTTCCATTTCAGCTTCATTATACATCTTCTGCACTTCAGCTAATTCATTTTCCTTACTGTCAAGTAATACTTGAGCAGCATCTTCTTCCCGTTTTGCCGTAATAAATCTTCCTTCTTGAACAGCTAAATTAAGCTTAAGCGGTATAACTTCCTTATTTACTTCATAGAAATTTCTCATTGCTCTAGTCCATGAACAAAGTCCAGCAACATCTCCGCACATTCGTCTAGCCACCTCAATATTATAGTCGTCCGCTTCTAAATAAGGTAAAAGTAGTTCAACCATTTCCCCATTAATTGTATCCTTTGGAAAATTCTTTAAATCATTTAAAAACGACGACTGACTCATTGCTTTTAATGATTCGTTCCATGATGGTTTTATGCATGATCTTTCTTGATCAAACGTAACTTTATCCAATTTCCTTCTTAAAAGTATTAAAACACAATCCATAATTCTCATAATCAAATGAGGTGGTTTACCCAATTTTTTAACAACTTGTATATCTTGCGCTTTTATTGTTTTTAAGGCATTCTCCGCTTCTTCTAAAGCTGGTTTAGCCGCTTCTAATTTACTTTCAGCGGCAGCTTTCTCAATACTTATTTCGTCTACAATTGACGCGGCTTTGATCTTCAATTTCATTACTTCAGTTTTGGCAATTTCCGCCTCTTTTTTGTTTATCGTTACACGAGTTAGAACGTCGTCTGCCATTTCTGTTGCTTTTCTTAAATATATCTCCTTTTCCGCCAATTCTTTGTTTAACATGTCGACGCTCTGAGAAGCTTCGGCCAACTTTTCTAAACCAGTTAGGATCCTTTTTTGGGTATCATTAACATCTGACATTTTTTTTGTATAATATTGTTTATACATGTTTACGAAAGTCAAGTAAGTTTTAGGAGTTGTAAAGGTTCTTCGACGAAATCTTTTGAAGTATTCGTAGCAAGACGAGGACACTCTATCATGTATTGTTCCGATAACATCAACAAGACCATCTTTCAATTTATCATCTCCCAAAACTTCTAAATCGGATAAAATTTGAGAGCCAACAGCTATGAGAGCATCCTTCGGCCATTCCTGAAACCAGTTAAGTGTACAGCCAGAAATAAGACCAGGAAATTTCAGTGATCTGGATCGAAATTTTTCGCCGACCGGACTAAAACAAAGAATAACATGAAGATTCTTTCTACATCTTGATATAAAGAAATCATAAAGATTCTCGAAAGTTATCAATTTTTTTGGAAATTCTCTTTTCATTACAGGTATAAGATCTTGGGTAATTTCTTCAAGTTCATCCTTCTGGAACAAATTTGATACTTCACCAGAACTAAGTAAATTATTTAACAATTCAAGAAACGATTCCTCCTTAATATCGTTATCGGTAAATATAAATGCCACCCCCTTACCATCTTTCCCTGAGAGTTTATGAAGAGTTTTTAAATCTTCTATGAAGTTAGTTATGTTATAAGCTCTTGTCAGGGTAATTCTAAATGTTTTTAATCCTTGTATAAAAGAGGCTAATCTTGTTAACGACTGTTTTCCAGAGCCACCAACTCCAACAAGCAACATGTTTCCATTTTCAAAACCAAATATCCTAGTTATTTTTATTATGTGGATAACAGCATCCCTAAATAGGACTAAATTCATGTTAGCTCCTCTTATTTGTTCATTCATATTAGACATAAACATTTTTATCCTTTCTGTCAATTCTTGCCACGAATTAACTAATTCGTATGGTCTTGAAAATTGCGCTTCAAATTCATCAAAGTCATCTTCACACTCTGGAGGATCTCTCATAAAATTGACGAAATATGGCTCATTGGGTATTTGCTCCAAGAGTCTATCTCCTAATAAGTTTGTGGCCACCTTAGTAAGACATGTATTAAACCATTTCATATGAGATTCTGATACAAAACGATCCGATAAAACTCTGCTGACTTCGCATTTCCAAAGAGAAAGAAGCATGTATTCCTCGGTAATTTCATTGGAATTAGCTTTAAGCATTCCTTCCCATACTCTCGATAAATCTCTCAAGTTAAACACATAATGGAAATTGGTTGGCGTTGGTAACATTTTTGATTTAGTATTTTGCCATATTAATCTGAATATTAAGATTATAAGTTAGATGATAAAACTCGAATATAAGGGGAACTTTGAAAGTTATAAAAACAAACGAAAATTTTTGCTTATTGTCGAGTTGTATCACCTAGTTGCTTCAACTAGCTTTGGTATGAGATCAATGATTCTTTGAGGGAAAGACCTCTTTTCGGAAAAATATCCGAGGCCAATAGTGGAAAAAATCCTATCAATAGATTTATCGGCGGGTAGAGTACAATTAAATATAGAAAAGTGTCTTTTTAATCTCTGAGGAATATCATTTCGACCTCCGCCTGGATGTATCATTGCGCCAATAAATTGCAAATCTACAAGCGTATTAAAATCTCCTGGCTTATTTAGACTATAAAATCCGTTTGTTTCAATCAATTGTCTTGTTATTTCGTTAGTAACTTGATCGCCCCATTCATTAATTTCCGGCATATTTATATCATCTATAAAGATTGTCATTTTTCTACCATTTGGTGGACCATAGGTAGAACCAACTCTCTTGTCTAGATAACTTTCAATTGTTTTTTGAAATGTAATTGGTTTAGTTTCGGAGGAGAAATTGTAAATCTTTGTTAGATGTTTATCAGGATTGTATGTCTTTAAATGCTTTTTTACCATAACTGTCTTTGCGGTACCCTGCTCTCCAATGAGTAATACAGCTTTACCCTGCTTACATATTGTGTCTATTATATAGGCCATTCTAGTGTTGTCAACATTAGGAACAAGAATAGATGAAAAATTAGGCATATAATCTGTTGGAAAATGATACTCAGGCACCCTGGTCTCCCAGTGCTCCCAGTTTCCAGACTTTGAAACCATCCATTCGAATGGGTCACCACAAGGAATACAAAATCCTGAAGGATGATTTCTTAAATATTGAACCAATTTTGTACGATCATCTTTTTCTAAAAGAGCTCCGAAACTCCAAAGAAGACTCATGACAAACAATTTCTCCAACTTGTAATCGTTAACATCGGGAAATTCCTGAAGAAAACCCTTTGTAAGATCAAATGATTGCGTAATTCTCATACATTGAAGAGTGGGAGTTAATGGATTTAAATTAATGCTAAAATATTCATCAATATCCACAAATATTGTTTGATATAATTTGAAGAGTTTGTCAGCTTGACCTGGTGGTCTATCACGTAGCCTACTTTGAATAATTGATTCCCAAGACAGAGTAAAACTGCTGATAAAAACCATACCCATACGACTAACAGTTGCGGGAGAAGCATTGTCAATACTATGAACTTCAAACACTAATCTGGATGTAGAAGACATTGGAATACGATCGCCATTTGCAAGAGTTAGAGTTTTGTTATCGTCCAATACTGAATTAAGATTCTCTATCCAGAGTGCGTCAACTGGTCCGTCTAAAACTATCCACGAGTGTTCCCCCTTCTTCTTTTTAGTCCTTCTCCACAAAGTTGAAAATATTCCGTCCGTCCAATCATTTGTTGCCACATCTAGTTTACCAAACATTTGAGATGACGTAATCGCTTTTGGGTTCATTCTCATTTCTCTATGGAGTTCTCCACAATCCGTTAAAGATTTCATCAATGTCCTTATACAAGTAGTCTTTCCGGATCCAGTAGGACCTAAAGAGTAGGACAAAAGTTACTCAACATACCAATGAATGATATTTATGATAAAAGGAAAACCTAAAACCATCAATCCGTGCCGAACTTTTTGAATTTCATATAGCTGGATAATCTTCAAATTCCAACAATTAGAATTAACGAGACCGAAACGATCAATGTTATCCGTTATGGCTTTTTGTAATTCTTGATAAACGTCCACATCTATTGAAATATCTGGGAAGAGATCTCTAATCAATGATAAAAAGATTGGTTCATCTTCGTCAACTAATTTTGATAAATTCATATCTCGTAGAACTCTCATGACAAGTTTACTTTCATTTTCATCTGCAAAATTTCTTTTCACTGAGCCTATCGTTCTTAAAACAGATAGGATATTCCTAAGACCAAAGTCATAATGAACCTAATTTAAATATTTGAATATGATGAATGAATATTAAATTATATTAAATAGAAGAACCTGTTTCGAAAGTTGCTCTTCGCATAATTTATATAAAACATTAAATTTTTCAGCTAAGAGGACGTTATCCAAAAATCCAGAAGAAGCTAATTTAACTCTCATGATGATCTTTTGATCAGGAATCATCATGGCAACGCATCGAAATTGTAATTTTAAATTTTCAGGTAGCTCTTGTCTGCCCGCGTAACCTGGATTCATTGTTATAAATATACCGAATACATCATTCATAGGGACCGTTGTTCCATCAGAAAAGATGAAATGTTTCTTATGTTCTTTTTTAGCATGATGAACTAAAGAAATTTGCTGGGCCGCAACTGATAATACAGGTAATTCTATTCGATTGAATTCATCAAAACAACCCCAGCTACCCGACTGGGCTAGTCCTTTAAAAATCCTTCCTAATCCCCTATAATCCATCTATAACAGTTGAAAATTGAATAAAAATTGAATAACATCTAATAAAATATTGTATTAAGTACTTGATCACTGCAATTGAAAACTATGCAATATTTTCCCAATGTTTTAGCCATATCTTTAACAGTTTCTGTTTTACCAGTTCCGGCAGGACCTGTAGGAGCACCTCCTAAAGATAAGTCCAAAGCTTGAGCGAGTGTTATATAACACCTATCTGTTAAAGGCGTAATCACAAGACGTTCTCTACAACCTAAAAATTCATTCTGATATCTGAATGTAACATTTGTAATCTGAACAAGACATTCATCATCATCTTCTTTATAATAGAAACGAGTTTGTTTCTGCCAATTAAAGTCTCTAACAGTCTTCGTATTCTTTTTAATCTATACGATTAGAATAGAAAGAGAAGAAGTTATAATATTATTACGTAATCAAACTATTTACAAGATCATCCATAATATCCTTTTGGTGAACGTGTATAGTAATTAATGTTTCGTATTTAGTCCTCTCATATTCACTCAATTCTTCTGTAGTTTTTTGAATTAACATGTTCAATATTTCATTGAATTTTATACTTGTTCTATTCATTATCTTCTTATCGTATTTAGAATTTTGTAGGGCATATTCCGATTCTCTTGTCCAAGTAATTTGTAATCCTAAAATACCAATTTGAGCGATTGACTTATTCAAAAATTCAACTAAGCAAAAGTCATCTTCTGAAATTGAATAATAACATTTTTGGATTAATCGGTGTAACGATTGACAATTCATTTCCAATAAATCATTCAACCATTTTTCAACGTTACCGGCAGCTTTAATAGGTCTATTTAGGTTTAATTTATCACCCTCACTTGAGAAGACACACATGATTTTGTCATATTCTTGTGGTGACCATGATATTTTAGCTGTATTTTCAAATATATCGAGAAGATGCAGTTCAATTGTATGAGGATCTGACGCTTGGCCAAGAATTTCTAATAAAGTTGGATCAGATACAAAATAAAATCTTGGAAATAAGGTTCTTTTAGTTTCAAGATAACCAGTTAATGATTTTTGACATATTTCCAATTGTTCTAATAAATGAGGTAATAGTTGTCCAAGAGCTTCGTCTCCTACGCATGCATTTATGATATTTGGATCCTCTCTAGCTCTTGTCATAATTTTTACCCATGATCTATCAATTTGATGAAATCGTTTCGCCTCTCTGGGTAATTGTTTCGCTATATCTCCTCCAACGAAAACAGCTTCTAAATAAATCCATAGATTTTGAACAGTCATCCAATTTTCAAGTATTTCTCTTGAATTAGTCAACTTTCCAGTCCAATCCTGAATCTTTTTCTTAAAAAATGTATTATATCTATTAGCCAATAAAGAGCCAAGTAACATTAAAGAATCATCCATTAAAGTAATAACATCGGATATTTCCTGACCCTTATAAGTAAATATAAATCTAAATTACTAACTATGGCAATAAATGAAAAACAATTTGTAGATACTTTTAACAGGATTTCTCCTCTATTCTTAAAAGTTGTCAATTGAAGATACTTTTCATTCCATTCAGATTCTATTTGACATAATTTAGCCTCAATTTCTTTCTCTTTATGAGAAGAAACGCATATATCTTCAATATCTTCTCTATGAATGAGTAAAGGAGCCCTCATTATATCTTTTAATCTAAAATCTTCATTTTCGATTTTCATTATTGTTCCAGTCAGAATAGATAATTTTTCCCAATGCCTATTTTTCATAGATTTTGACGCCATCATCTCCAATAGAGGGCAGCATTCATTAAATTCATCAATTTTCTTTTTAAGGTCGTAATAAGCTGGCCATTCTTTTAGACCTCTTGGTAATCTTCGGCATTTATTCTGTAGGTCAATCAACTGGTCGTTAATTCTATCTATCTTAACGTCACTCCAAGGAATTTCAGAAAATCCATTTATAGAATCCATAGTCGTCTTGTATAAAGAGTATAGCTTTTGCAAAAGATTTAATTCTTTTTTAATCCGTTTGAGATACGGATATTCTCTTTCAGGTAAACCGAATAATTTTTCTCCTGCATGATACGTTTCATATGAGCGGAATAAATTATCAAATCTAATTTGAAATAGGATTAATCTTTCACTAGCCTCTTCGGCCGAAATACTCTCTTCCATTGGGCCTATAATTGGGTTGAAAATGTTAAAATAATGAGTAAATTTACCTTTTGTATGTACATATATATATATATATATATATAGATTTATAAACTAGGTATATGACCATTTGCTTCGTAATCCATAGCAAACTTATTCAAATGAGTAATAAACTGATTAATAGAAGATTCCAATTCTTTCCTAAATTTTGGTTGAAGCTTTAATAGATTATCTGTAACGTCTGAAGACACTCTATTTAACTTGTTAAGCTTAAATCTAAGTGAGTCGATCATATCGGCTTCGTCTTTTGTAAGCGTAAGCTCATACTTATGAAGAATTGAATAACATTCTTCAATAGGAGTCAGATCGGCGTCTATCTTTAACTGTTGCCCTTTAACTGATTCCAGAGTTGACATAGCGTTACGAACGTCTTCCAAATCTTTTATTGGTCTTTGTAACCTCTTAATATGGTCTTCAAGAAAGTTTTTAATTAAGTCAGCTTTAATCTTATAAATTTTATTAAATTTTTGAAGAAATTTAGTCCTCCAACGATTATTTTCAACTTTTAATGATTCGATGAGAGGTGTCGTATCTACATCAAGAGCGCCAATTCTCAGATGATTAGGCAGAATATCAATGCTCATTTCAACATCATCATAGGCCTTTAATTCATCCAGAAATTCGTACAAGCCTTTACTTGTTCCTAGAAATCCTTCAGTTCTATCATCAAGATTTTCAATCCACAAAAAGTTATCAGACGATAAATGCCTTATCTTATCATCCAACTCTTCTTTATATAAGCTAGCAATTGTCTTCAATTGTGAACTTAGTTTTGATAAATCTTTGCTCTCTAAAACCGTTTTTAACATGCTTTTAGTCTCATTAACCTCGGCCGGAAGTATAACTTTTTGTTGCAAACTTGTCGGTAAATTTGAAGAGTATCCCTTAAAAATTAGATAAAGTGATAGAGGAAACGAAATCAAAAAGGCGTAATTGTAAAATTACTTGCTGAGATTTAATAAAACGATAAAATAGATCTTCGTGCTGTATCAGTTCCTTTTCGGCATAAACGACTAATTGACGAATTTCTCCCCATTGAATTATCGTTGAGGGTAATGTTCTTGTTATGCTATAAACAATACTATTAATGGTAGATTGAAAGTCTTCTAATGTTGGTTTTAGTCTAACGTTCGGTAAATTTAAGAATAGATGTAATTTTGCAACGGAAAAATTTCTATTTTTAGAACTAGACATCTCTTTGATGGGTAACAATCTATTTTTAAGCGTCTCTAAGTTTTCACGTAAACAAGTTAAAAATGCCTCTCTGGCCTGATAACCGTAAATATCAAACAATTCTTGGCATTTATCCCTGAAGAATAAAATCAAAAACAACATAAGTTATAAATTAAGTATCTTATAAATGCATAGATACTACTTAAACCAATTACGCTGTTGAATATCTAGCTTTTCAACGCCCTCTACATCTTCCAAGCTTGTTGCTGAAACAAATATATTAACGAGAGAAGTACTATCTTCTTGACTTTTCTTTTTAAATAATTGTATAGATGATTCGTAATTATCAAACGATTTTAATGTTACTATCTCGATAAGTTCTTTAACGCCTTGTTCGGCAATAGCCAACCAATTATCTATATTTTTAGCCTGATGTTGACAAACTCTTTTAATTCTTGTCTTAAATTCGTCTAAACTCCATTTAATGACTGTATTATAATTAGTATCATCTATTACGTAATCAAGATCCTCAGGGAATATTAATAATTTAGTTTTGGAGATTTTATGAAGAATATCATCTATTCTGTATTTTTTTGTATCGTATATTTGATTTAAAACTTCTTTCAGATGGTTTAAGTGTAGTTGGCATCTATCGGCAAATAATTGAATACTAATAGAGGACCAGGTTAAAGTTGTAAGACCTGGTTGTATTATCATATCCAATTTCTATTTAATAGATTAGTTAATAAGATAAGCAATTAGAGTTAATTAATTAAATTTAATACTAGTTACTTTAAATAAAGGTTTAACAATACTCTTTAAGATATTTGGAATATTCGCTTTAACATTCTCTAAATCGTTTATAAATAGATTTAAAGAATGGTAATAACCATCTATCTCTTTCTTTTCGTATATAAGTTGAACGACGTCATCTGGTATATCCATATGCAATTTTTTCATTAGTTCACCTTCCTTTATCGTCTCCTTTATGTGCCAATCAAAATTGAGAACTAATTGATCTTTATCAGTGATTTTATAGAGAAGTGGACTTTGAAGATTATTTTTAATATCCTCAACTGATTTAATCCATGCTTCGTGTTGAAGCTTTTCATATTGGCATAAAGCAGTTATTAAACGATTATAGCAGGCGACGCATCGTTGACTGTCATTACCGTAAAAGACGCTTTTTTCGGATTCGAAGAATTTCATCGTCGTCTCTAATCGTTTCAATAAATTCCTACTCCATAGAATACGTCCTCCAAAAGATGATGATAAAAACGGACATTCCGGCTTGTTTCTAAACTTATTATAATACTGTACAGGATTTTAGTTATTAAATCAAAGGAGATTAAATATAAAACAAACATTTATAAATCCTTCAATTGCGTGTCCAAAAGATAGAAACAAATGTTTATAAGTGGCTTTGATAGGTAATCTTGGTAGATTTAAAGCTTCAAATCTCTTTAGAAGCGTACAAGAGTGGAACATACAATCAATTGATTGAAATTTACTATTCATAAAATTTTGCAGTTGAGCTTCTAAATCATAAGCAAAATGATCAAATTCATTGCAATCATTATCAAATGATAAATTCTTATAGTCAAGAGGATCGTAATCTTGATTTTTCATTTTAATAAAAATCGATTCAAATTTTTTCCATATCGATTCAATTCCTTCAATTTTTGAATATTTAAGCGTCGAATAAGTTCGTACATAATTCAATAAGCCACCAACTTTATCTAATCTTTTACAGAATGAATCGAATTTACCGAAAATATACGTTTCGCTTATTTCTAAATTTTTTTCGCCAGGAGTTAAAACAATAGATTCTTGAACTTCGTGAAAAATATCTTGATAAGATTGATAAAGATTATGACAATCTTTTATCCTTTTTAATTCTAAATCTGTTGGAAAATCCCATATCCTTTGTCCAGGTTGCCCATTAGTTAGATATTTTCGACAAGCTTTAATCATTTGATTAGTTATTTTGACAAACAACGATGTAACTCTTTCTGAAGTGTTGTAATACCTGTAAGATTTAAGTTGTATATAATAATAGATTGTTATTTTCTTATTAAATTTTTAGTACATAGAGACAGCCTTTATCATCCGTATGGTATTAATGATACTTGGTATATGATTAATAATTTCTATAGGAGTATCTTCGTATAATGGCTTACAACAACTTTCTAAAGTATATAGAAACTTTAGGTTGTCCCTTGCTTCATTAGCCATATTAATTACTTTATTTTCAACTTCTTTCCAGGTTCTCAATAAAGGATGCTTTATGATCGACATACATAATGTTAATCCGCTAACTGGTTGTTTATTAAGTGTATCTATTAAAATATGAAATTTAACGGTTAAATGACGCCAATGTTCTAATTCCGATAAGGGTCCAGAATCATCAGCTTCTCGCCTCATTTGTCTAGTTGTCATAAGAGTTTGTTCTATAACTTTTAACCATTTCATAAGGATTACTTCCATTCTTTGATAATATTAGATGATGTTCAATTCTTATTACGTAATATGTTAATAAGTAACTTTACCTTTTTATAACTGCTGTATTATTTGAACATTTTACCGAAGTTTGATAGTCTAATTTAGTGATATCAAAGCCGTCTATAATTTCATCTTCATGTGAAATTTCCAATTTAACACTTTCGTTAAAACTATTTTCCATATCAGTCAAAGTCGATATAAAATTGTCAATTTGACCTAAAAAATCCAGTGGATTTACAGATTTAATTTCCGGTTTATAAGCGGAAACGCGACAGGGTTCATTTTCGTCTCCATTGGTATTAGCCTGAATTTCGAAAGTTTTCTTTAATAATGGATAAAAAACCTTTTATTGGATCATATCCTCTTATATTTTATCTTATTGATTGAATTTATTAAAGTATTCAAGTAAAGAATATATGATCCAACCAATCTAAGAGGTTCAACAGCAGACATTAATACAGTATTCGAAGGTAAGGAATTATCCATTTGACACATATTTACAATATCGTAAAAATTCTCTTCTTCTAACTGTATTTGCGGATTATTCTTAAGGAATATAATACATTGACCAGAAAACTCTTCTCTTGTACCATCAGCGATAAAAATCCGTTGCTGATTCTTAACGAATTGTCGGAAAAACATTAAAGAATTCCTTCCAAATTCACCGACGAAAGATTCAAACAGTTGAAATTGCTAAGTGTTGTAATGTCTATATGTATACATTTATATATGTATATTTGTTAAACTAAACAAGCACACCTCTGAAGTATCCATAACGCAGTCTAAAGTAAATTTAAGATCGCTATTAAACACTTGTGAAACATCATTTAGAATAAGATAATGAATAGGCCTCAAGTCAGCTATTCTCTTTTCTTTAAGTAATTGAGCTAATTGCTGCTCTTTTAGATATTCTTGCTGCAATACTAAAAAATTAGTCTTACGTCTTCCGCTACCTCTAAAACCACTCATTGATGATAAATTCGCTGATAAGGATGAATCAGCAATTTTAGTTTTTTTCCATATATCCGACTTGGACTTATCCGACATATTTTTCATATATAAAATATCTATATTTAAATAATGGATATTAATTATTTTATGTAATTTTTAAAAAACAAAAACACAGTTCATCTTTCTTTTTAAAAAGTAGATTATATTTTTAAACAAAAAGAACACTTCTCGAAATACAAACAACGTCGTTAAGTTAAAAAATCAAATGCATTTTTACGTTAATTTCCTGTCTATCAAAATAAATATCTGACAGATACGTAGATATAGCAAATAGGAGAAGAGGAGGAGGAGGAGGAGGAGGAGTGGAAGAGAGGGCGGATTTGGGAGATGGTAAGTTAGAAAAGTCTAGTTTGAAACGAAAGAATAATTTTGAAAAAACTTACATCAAAGAAAAGTAAAAATTAACAGTGCAGTTTCTTTCTAGATAAGAATATCTGTAATAGTTGAAGGACTAGAGCATAGAGACATAGCTATTATCCTCTTTTTAAAAAAATATTTATCATTATTTAAAAAATAATTATTTCTTGTTTCATAAATTCTACCCTATTAATTGAATTTCCAATTTCAAATTGACCACTTTAACATTATTGCATCGTCCGATTCCTACAATAAATCCCTGTTCATTTATAAATTTTCTGTTGGAAGATACAATCACCTTTTCAATTAATCTTTATCATCCCTTCCCGCTCCCTCTATTTGAAGTTTTTATGTATATCAGTTGTATCAAAGATCTTCTTGCCTATAACGATTTCTTTTCGATCTCGTAATCACATTGTCTTTAGCCTCTAGGCTATTTTCTTTGGTCTATCATATGACTATACTCTCTTGTCTTTCCTAAAATACAAATTGCCTACGTCCCATAGCAACCATTTATAAAAAAATTAACTTTTTGGTAATTTTCTACAATTACTAATAGTACAAGAAATCAAGACTTCAAATAATGGTAAAAGTGACTTAAAAAGAGGACACGCAAAATGTACTAGTTGGATTTCTACTGCTAGAAGACTTTGTTCAGCTCTGTTAATATTTAGATACCAGAGAAATGTTAGTAGGTTATTGAACCTCTTGATATATGCACTCGTCTTGGAAGGCTATATCTTCTTTTCCTCTCGTTTACGTTAAATGTTCTAAAAATTTAAATTATAATTAAAAAATATTACACTTTCTTCGTATTTTCAATAAATTAACCTTGAAGAAAAATAGTAAATTCCATCTTCTAATCGAGATTTTTGAATGAATAATTTGTATTGAATTTTATCCGTTGTATAAACTATGGGCAATGTTGGATATTCAGTATAGGCTTCCACTAACCCATTCTTAATCCTATTTTAGAATAAGAAAAGTAGAATTTTATAATAATTCGATTTTATAAATAGTGTAGTTTATATATAATTTAAAGGTAAATATTTACCCAACGTAGGGTCTTGGAAGAGAGTATTCAACACCTAATTCTTCTAGGCGTGGAAGCTCATTTCTACTAACAATATTACGAAATTCATTCCATTCTTTATTAAATTCTGCTGGTGAGTCTTCAAATAATGGTTTAGACCATCCTCTTTCAGCAATTGCTAAAAGACGAGGGAAAATCATTTCATCTAGTCTATGACTAGTTCGTATTGTTTCTGTCCAAACGCTGCCCTGAATACCAGCTATTTTACCAGAATTTATCGAACAGTTCTTACAAGTTGCTAATTTGGCTGGAGAAGACCTAAAGATTTTTTTCATATCAATATATTTAGCAGCCCAATTTAAACCCCAAGAATCTCCATAGGGTGTATCGGGTTGATCTAAATAATAATAATCTGCATTCGATACAATAAGATTAAACCCTTTAGATAAAAGTAACGGTGCTCTATGGGACTCCGGTCTCCATAGATTAAGTAATAAATTATCCTTAACACTCTGTGGAATTTTCGTAACAGTTTTAGAACTTATAGCTAAAACTGCATCGGCCCAAGCTTGAACTTTAATATTATGCTTTTTCGCAAGTTTAATGATTTTTTGTACGCCATAATTATGGCAACTTTTAACTCCGATTTTCTTACATGCTGGACTCAGAGAGCAGGCTTCTCTTGGTACTTCATCAGCTCCAATATGAAATCTTTTTAGAGGTTGAATTTCCTCATGCAAGTTCGTAAGAGTACTTAAAATGATGGAATAAAAATTCCAGGTACTATTCAAGCACGAATTAATAACGTTATTCGAATAGCCTTGAATGGAATTGTAAGAAGAGGCGTCATCATCATCGTCTAATCTAATATCGTTTCTTTTTTTAACTGCTTTTATAGCAGCTTTGGAATGACCAGGTAAATCAATAAGCGGAATTACTTCAATACTAAAAGATTCCGCTTTTTTCAATATCTCTTTATAATCAGCTACATTGTACAATTTTCTCGCCTCATCAGTAGGATCAGAACCCAAATAGGGAAGCATAAACTCGCATTCTTTCGTATTACAAAAACTCCTTTTAGACCCGTAATCGGTGAGTTCGGGAATCGAAGGTACTTCTAGACGCCATGCTTCGTCGTCGGCGAGTTGAAATATGAACTTATTCATTTTGTAGAGAGCCATAATCTCTAATATTTTAAATATTTCTTCTTTATCGACAAAATTTCTGGCAGTATCAACGTGAATACCACGATAATCGTATCTAGTTTAATAAATGATCTAATTACTTTCAATTAATTGTAAATAGATAATTTAAAATTACCTTGGGGCATCAATAATTAAGACATGGGGAACTTGACCCTCATTATTAATACTTATAAAACTTTGAATACCACTCATAATACCTTCTCTTGTTACAGCTTCAATGATAATTATTTCATTTTCTGGAATGACTCTAATCTTATAACCACCGTTTCTGACTGAGCATTCTTTACAATCTATATCTAATTTATCTAACAGCTTTAACTCTATCTGTTTCATTGAACTAGGTACGTCTGTTTCGTGATTAAATAACGGAATTCCTGTACGATCTGACAAAAGTAAATAATTGAATAACTGTTAATTATCTAGAAAAATATTAATAATATATTGATTTAGTTCTCTTTACCTGATAAGTAGAATGCTTCTAAATTTAGACCATTCGAAATAACAATTCTAAAATCATCGTGATTTAATCTTACAACGTCATTACTTAATTTGCGAAGTTTCAATGGTTTTGGTAAAATTTTTAATGAAACATCTTCGTCAAGTGTTGAACCTTCTGCTGATAAACTTTCAAAGCCCCTTCGCTCTTCCCGTTCGTCTACATCATCCATAAAATGGACAAAATTGCAATCTTCGTCTTTAGTACTTTCTAGTAAAACGAAATTCAATTTGGAGTCTGCAACGTACCAGTTAGGAAAGAAATTGCTTCTAATAACTGAACGTTTCTGCATGGATAGGCTAACTGATTGGCCTTCTAATATAGGTACATCAGGACATATAGTTATGAAAAATCCATCAAGAACATTATTTTCTCTTTTGCAATGGAACTTATCGAAATTATTATATTTTCCATTGGTAACACTCAGAGCTATAAACCAATCGTCGTCGAAGAAAATCGTCTTTATCCCAGTATTTGTGAAAACAATAGTAACACTCCCGTTAGACTTGAATACTTTAATCGATACTTTTAGAAATAAACCAACATCTGAAAGTGAGGCATACTGAGTCCTCTCACTCTTTATGTTTGCCTGTAAATTATTCCTTGTCCCTTTTCGTTTAGGATCGGATTTCGGTACTCCAATATAGAAAATAAATAACAGGATAATTCCAAATACTATAAAGAAGCATTTGACGACTTTTTCAAATTTCAACGTTACTCTTGGGTACATCTCTCAGAATTAATTTTCAATCAAAGAAACTATCCATATTATCACTCAGAGGAGTATCAGAGAGATGTAATCTTACTGGGCTTCTATGCAAGCGATAATGCAATGCAGAATATCACAGATTGTAATATTTAGTCAAGCAATATTGAATAAATATTCATATGCGCGTAATCTTAAGTACAGAGAAGATATCATGAAGCTTCATGGAGGAGAAGAAATTTGGAACCAAATTCGATAGATTATAATACTTGCATTTTTTTTCGCGGGAAAATTTGGAATTTTAAACTTTAAATAACAGATTTTATCAATTTAATAAATAATCTGACACATAATAATACACGAATAACAATATTATTGAAATAACTCATTAAAATACACTATTTAAGCATATGTTTCTTTTTTTCGTTAGCTATATTCTATAATGAGCTAATTATAGAATAGATAGACTGTTTATTTTGTTTTAACCTTTTTGAAGAGATTTTTGAAAGATTCCTGTTGATTATTTTAATAAGTTGATGGAATTTATCGTACTTTAGGCGTAATAATAACGTGTTACAGGTTGGTAAAACTGGCCTATTTATTCCTATACTATTAAGAAAGAAAACTCAGTGTAGAATTATATAAACACTGTTAGAAATAGCTTCTCTTTACATAGTGAAAGAAGGCAGCAGCTGATAGAATTTTGTAAGATATTTATGGCTGAACATTTCATTTTCTTTCTACCTTCAATTCAGAATTTGAGTAAGTAATTTTTCAATACGTTTTGTATATATATATATATATATACAGTATATATATATATATGTATTTATATGAGACTGCCTCTTTCTCACGGTCTCTTCTATCTATCTTTTACTCTAATGGATCAGTATAATAGAGCAAATAGGATAACAATCATAATAAGTATCACAAACTATATTTCAACCGCTTACGTTGTCTACGTAATACAAAGTGAAAACAATATGTTTTATACGAAAATCATACTATATTTATTGATATATCGCTTTCGCATTATTCGATTTTTTCAAGAGTTCCCGCTAAACAAAATTTACGCAATAGTTCTGACATTTTTAAAGGGAATTGAAATGTTCTATTCATGGAATTATTATTGAATAATTCCAATAACTTGTGTAATATTTAATGCTACTTCTTTGCATAGTCTGTAAAAGTTTTCACATAGCAAGTAGCAAGGTAATAAATTATTGTATTTCGTCTTACAAAATTTCCTGTTTTATAATAAAATATGATCTGATAATAAAGAAAGGGAATAAGAAACTCTTTGTTAAGATATAAGGGGTTTTTTTTCTTATAGATTGAATACAACTAATAAAAAATTCATTTATTATATCTGACAACTCCATCTATGGTTGAAAACTATTAGCTATTCTTGGCCTTGTATTGTATCATTGATTCTTATATCCCTATAACTGCTTACTGAAAGACATAACGTCCACATTCATTCGACTTGGCTGTTAGCCTAGTTATACTCTAGAAAAATTGATCTTTTCTCCTCCCTTTCAACGCCCCCTATCGTACACATAGGAAAACTGCAATTTAATTCTTCTAGTTTTATTTCGAAATGATTATCTGAACCATGAGGACAATCGTTTGAAGAGTTTACCAATTAATTAATATTTAACGATTATTCTCGAAATGATAATAATTCTAACATAAAGAAAAGAATAACTATCAAAGGTAAACAAGAAAAATACAACATGTAATATACACATGATGGATCTCTATTTTATTTGATTGCTTTATAGAACAATTTATAATCAATTGCAGAAAAAGGTCTCTTCGCTAAATTTCAGGTACTGTACTCATTATTCACTAAATATTCGTTTCGCTATGAATCATATCCGAATAAGAATATTTCATTTTAAAAAATCTATTAATTGCACGTATAGTTATATACAATATATGTCTTGTACTGTATATGAATTATAGTATATCTTGCATTCAGAATTCTGGCTTTAATCATTGTCAACAAATTAAATAAGTTATAAAATATGTAGACATTTGTATGTAACCTTTCTTGCTAATCTCCATTTTCCTACTGGTTTTCTAAGGAGTTCTAGTATTTCTACTATTAATTGTTGACGCAATTTGATGTTGGCAAGCTTAATAGATTGTATTGTGCAGCTGATACGTTTATTGATCTTATATATATATATATATATATATATATATATATATATATACATATATACAATATTTATTAAACGTAATATTGATATTTTAATTCAAACAGAAGAGCCTAAAGTAAAATGAAAGATTCGGATAATGTTGATAATGACGATAATACAAGAGCAGATGAAAGTCTTCTATCTAAGCCGGAAAAGAAACATGATAAACTGCCTAGACCTCTCATTAAACAACCCTCAATCATCCCTAGAGTCTACAAGAGAAGATGGTTAATCCTTTTAATTTTCTGCCTTTATTCCCTATCGAACGCTTATCAATGGATACATTTAAATATCATATCGAATATTATAGAAAGCTACTATAACTCAAGTTTACCAGAAAAGTTTTATGAAAGAAGAGTTGCAATTGATTGGTTGTCAATGCTGTATATGTTAGCTTATATACCTCTTATCTTTCCCGCAACATGGCTTCTAGATAAAAAAGGATTACGAATGTGCGGATTATGTGGTGCATTTTTGAACGCCTTGGGAGCTTGGGTCAAAGGTTATTGATCAAAATAATATTTTAGCGTTTACAATATTTTTCATTTTAATAATTTAAAGAATTTTTCTTTTAAAACTTAATTTATTTTAAAATTGAAATAAAAACTTGATTAATAATCTTTGCAGTAATTGCTGTTCATCCGGAAAGGTTTCCTATTCTAATGATGGCCCAAGCGGTTTGCGCTGTTGCCCAAGTTTTTATACTAGGTATTCCCGCTCGTCTAGCAGCCGTTTGGTTTGGCCCCAATGAAGTTAGTACTGCGACAGCACTGGGAGTTTTTGGTAATCAAGTTGGTGTGGCCATCGGATTTTTATTACCACCAGAAATAGTACCGGAAGCTGCAGATAAGGAATTAATGGGCAAAAGATTTAAATATATGATGTATGGAACTGCAGGATTTACAACTTTAATATTTATTCTTATGGTTTTTTGTGAGTATAGCTCATATGTAATTATAGTGTTATACTTACGACAAAGGCAAACTAGTGCAGATAAGCAATCATACACATACATACTGTATATAGGCATAGATTATAATGTACTGTAATTTTACATTATCTATCTTGTTTTTCTATTAAACAGTATTCAAAAAATCGCCTCCAATTCCCCCTTCCACTGCTCAAGCAAGGCTTCTCGAGGAAGTAGAAAACGAAATGGCTGCGGATTATTTAGCATCACTAAAGAGATTGCTGCTTAATAAGCCTTTTGTCCTCTTAGCTTTGACCTACGGTTAATATCCAATCCAAATCTAGTTTATCTGATATCGATATTTTACTTTTTATAAGTTCCTTATTCATTCCCGTTCAATCGAGCTTAATCTCAAAATGAATTATTGTTATATCTAACAGGAATCAATACAGGATCGTATTATGCTATTGGAACACTCTTAAATCCTATCATCCTTGAATATTTTCCGGTGAGTTATCCACTCAAAGATTATTCATGTTTAAAAATTATTCGGAGTGATGGGTACATCTTATAACAGCACGAATGTACCATTTCGGGTGTATTCGTCTTACTATATTGTAAAGCACAATGACTTATTTAGTATTTGAAATAAAACTCTCCCTAATTCATCAAAAACAAAATAACACTTTAATTATCGAATGTACTTTAAAAGAAAGAGAATCTTTACTCTCTAATCTTATTCATTTTCTATCAGCTGGATCATCAATCGGTATGACTAATTATAATCCTATGTTGTTTTATTCCCCTTAAGAAAGCCATTATAGTTTCAATAGTTCATATCTATATGATAATTTAGATTATATGTTTTTATTTCGATACATTAGTATGTTTCTTATATATACAGTATACAGTATATATAATTTATATACTAATAGATTTGTATTATTTAATATACCATATACAGTATACTGCATTTATGTAGATTGTTTATAAATTCTCTTCAAAACAGAAATGATCAATACATACATTTTTTTCTTAATTATAGAATGAGGAAATTGTCGCGGGTAGAATAGGTCTGACTCTAGTATTAGCTGGAGTAGCTGGGTCAATTATAGCTGGATTTTGGTTAGATAAAACGAAGTGGTATAAGTAAGTGAATAAGTAGCGAATAAGTCATTGTTATAGCTGTTATATTTTCTTTATTTTTTTTTTGTCTATTATAGGTCAACTACTGTTGGTATATACTTCTTATCTTTCACTGGAATGATAATTTTTACATTAACGTTAAAGTTTCTTAGTAAAATATGGATTGCCTTCCTTTGCTCTGGACTTTTAGGGTAAAATATAGCGTACAATATTTTATACAAACCAACTACAAAGAAATACAAACTACTTCTATAATTTAGGTTTTTCATGACTGGTTATCTACCGGTAGGCTTCGAATTTGCAGCCGAAATTACCTATCCAGAAAGCGAGGGTACCTCTTCTGGCTTATTAAATGCATCTGCACAGGCCTTTGGTATAGTTTCTACGATGGGAATGGGAATTATTATATCTAAATTCGATTCGTTTTACGCCAATTTGGCTGTGTCAATTTCCTTATTGGTTGGAACCATTGGAACTGGTAATGATAAAAAATAATAATTTAATGCAGTTCTACTAAAATATATTGTCAAGAAATAATCCATGTCCGTTCTAACAGTACTAATCCAATCTGATTTAAAACGTCAAAGGGCCGGAACCTATGAAGTTGAGGTAAAAAAAATTTTACTCTTTCCTTCTATAACTACGCAGATAATAATTTCATATATATAATATATAACTCTATTTTACCCTTAGAAATGAAAATAATCATTTGTTTATATAAATATTTGTATAGTATATGTATACTTTTAACAGATGGTGGTTCAAGACGAAGCTGTAACATTGAAAGAAAATGGTGTAGAAATCCATAACAAATGTTCAGAAAAAAACATTTAAATGGGCAAAAATTGGTAAAGAATAATAAATATGTCAGTTTTTTCCATTTGCAAAAGGGAATTTTTGTCAGTAGGATTTGCCTAGTACTTTCTATATATGTATATATACGATATATATATATATATATATATATAAACTCTGTTATTATTATTAGTATTATTGTTTAAAGTAATTAACCTTCTTCTGACAACATTTGTTTACGTTTTGCGTTATTTTCGCAGAGTTTTACTATAAGCAAAATATCCTGTAGACTTCAATTTTACGTTTAAGAAAACAAAAGAAATAGGTAAATGCTTAGATGGATTGATAGATTCGATAGATTGATTGATAGATAAATAAATAGATGAATAGTAGTAGCGGAGAATATCAAAGACAAAAATTTTTTATGTAATTAATTAACTAAACACTTAAAACATCTTTAATCATTGTAATAAAATTCTATAATTATGTTAAGTTATACATCATATATGGTTTAATAAGAACACTTATAAACAATATGACTTTTCTAACGTAAAATTCTTTACCTTGTAAATCTTTTATGCATCTGTAAAAGAATTTTTGAATATAGGCTTTGAATATTATATTTATAGGTGTGAACCTATTAAGTTGAAGTTTGATTTTAATATTTCTCTAACGTGGCCATAATATTGTAAATGTTGATTATAATTTTTGCATCGGAGTTTGAATATTTATAAAAATGTTGATTTTGCATTGATTGGTGATTATATATTTACTATATTTTGTTTTCTGGAATAAATGCATTTTTAAACAAAAATACGGTTTGCTAATATGTCGAAAACTAGCAACTACAGCCATTAAACTTATTTTAATAAGGAGTAATTAAAGCTTTTTTTTACTGTAATTAAATACGATCGACGAATTAAATTAGAAATCAATAACGTAGAATACTTACCACGATTTTCCTCCTGTTTCCTGATATTTCAAGGTTATGGCCTTATCATCTTATTTGATTGACTTCCTAATTACATATTATTTCCAGTTAACACAAGAAAGGAGGAGTTTAATCTTATTAACTATCGTACATCTTTTCTAAGTATTTAAAAGCTATTTCACTTCTTACGAAAGGATGTAGAAAATTTTTAAAAGTCAAAGGACACAGAAAGATGATTTGTATCAATTTTTTTAATTAATTACATTCAAGGCACGGAACAAAAACAAACATTCAGCAAATTGAAATCCAAGTGCAAAGGTACATTGAAGAAAAAAAGTTTACAAACTTGGTTTTGAGATTTTCAATAAATTTTTCACAATTAAAATTGTTTTTAAAAAAAAAAACAAATAACTAAGAAATACAAAATTTACTTTCCAACGGAAGCAAAATTCCACTTAAGTTTCACAACAGCATTAGAAGGCTGGGCATCAGTGAAATAACGTGCAACCCGTATACCAAAATCTGGATCTACAATTCGGCTAGGATTCTCAGGTTTTTTTCCAACAACGCCAGACACGAACTTTTCCATTGACATTACACCAACTCCTCGTTCAGCAAACATACACATTTTCTGTGAACTTGATTCCATATCAGTAACAACAATAACGTGGCGATGATTTTGATAAAAGTCTGAACTTGACTGTAAATCTATTGCACAGTTTAACAGTTCGCTAGCTGGTTTAGCGTGAGCATCACATAGGTGCCTATCTAATATTCTCACAACGCCTAATGACATATAACGATTCAGAATATTCTCTACTTTATGTAGCCGTTTAATTTTTGACTCATTTCCCTTTAGATTCTCTCTCATTAGTTCCATAGTGTCCAAATTGAATTGATGAATAGCCAATTGCCAATTATTATTTTTTTCTTTCTGTTGAACCATGAATTCTACCAGCAATTCTAGAGTGGCCGGGTGAGTTTGCAAAAGAGCTTTGTCATCAGGCAGTAAAAGTCCACCTTTCATCATCACTTCAGTACACTGCTCATTCTGAACATCATCTAATGAGCCAAAAGCCAGAAAATGAATGTTAAGTACTTTTCGCAAAATGCTCACATTTGGAAGTAAATGTAAACGGTTAAGCTTCTCCTTATTAATAAATACAAGAATATCCTTCTTCATGCCTGTTGACTTAAGGTACATAACCTGAAAGGGGTCTATCTCCTCACCCCCATTTTCCAATAGATATTTTCTAACTTGTGCATCCAGATTATCAGTTTTCCATACATAAACTTTCAAATTGCGAAATTTTCCAGTATCATCTTTTTCTTTCGGTCTTTTTCGTACTACCGGTGTTGGTAGAATAGGCGGTGGGGGTAAAAGCAACATAGGTGGTCTATTCTTGTCGGGGGGAAACAACGGAAAAGGGGGCGGGGGTAACAAAGGAGGTTGACCAGGTGTTATTATTGGCGGAGGAAGAAGTGTATTCGGACTGTTTTCCATTAGTTCTTGACACTTTTTTTTCCATAAATCCATTGCGTCTTCACTTGAGTCAGTTTTCTTAGCACTTGATGACCTATCAGGAAGATCTTTAGGAGCAGGAGTGTCAGGTAGTGGTACATCGTCTAAGTTACTTTCCGGATTTTCAGGTGGAAGAGGAATGTCCACCGAATCCTCGTTAGTTTTTTCTTTCGGCTCTGGATCCCCTAATTCTCTTAGTTCATCTTGATCTAGGGGAGGTGACGATGGAGCCGGAGGCACAGGAGATAGCTCTGCGGGTAGGGGATCAACGGGAGGTGGAGGTATAGGTATAACTGGAGGGGCCTCAGGAAATTGTTCGAGGACCCATTGTTTTTGGGTGTTAACTTCGTGTTCTAATTGCTCTTCGACAGGATCCTCTGATAGCAATTTCTTGGTAGCATTGAAGACCTCCGGTAAAGGAAGTTCTATCGTGGGTTCAGTATGTCTACTCTCAAAACGGAAAGGCTCAAAAGTTGGCTTCTCAAAGTCCTGGTAAGTTTCAGATATTTCTTCTTGAGTAACTTCATGCTCACTATTGCTATCTATTTCCATTTCTACATTATCCAGTGGAGATGTGTTCAGGTGGTCTTTTTCAGTTGGCGATTGAATGGTAGCTTTAGAAGTTTGATTTGGTTCAACAGCTTTGAACACATTAACCTCTTCAAATTTAGCTTTTCGAAATTTTGTAGCAAAAGGATCATTTCTTGTGCTTTTAGGCAATTGTTTAAAGAGACCTAATGCAAATCTAGAAAATCCTGAGAGTTTTGGTGTTACAAGAGACTCGTTTCTTTGTGAAGTCATCAAATTTGTTCCAACGTCATCTACTAATGTTCTATCTAGAGTCTCCAGCATTTCTGATAAACTTTTATTTGCAGTAACATTAGTTTTTGCATGGTTGTCTTTAGTGACTAATTGACCAGGAGGAATGAACATTTGACTTTTGAGTTTCTTAGCCGGTTTAACATCAATTTGAATTGGTAGCTTTCTTTTCTGATTTTGCTGTTCCTTTGAGGCCCTTTTCTTGGCCTCAATTGCCTGTCGAAAAGCTGCTGCCAAGCTATTTCGAGAAGTTAGTTTCGTAGTTTTTGTTGCACTAATGTTTGTAGTTTCCTTTTCTGCAACTGGATTTATACTATTCATGTCTTCCTCAAGACCTGTTTTTTTCTCATCACCTAGTTCGTTGGGATTATCATTTTCTTTTGAAGGACTAAGAGAAGCACTATGCGAACGAGGGTCTAGTGCCAATGTTAATGCCCATGGTAAACACATTCCCGGTTGAACACAGCTGCTATCAAACTCTTTAACATTTAGCTTTACTTCTCTCATAAAACTTTCTATATTCACTAGTGCTAGATCGAGAAGCCTGTAAATATTTCTCTCACAAAGTTCAAAAGTTTTTATTCTCTTCGGTGGAATTCTCAAAGGTATGATAGGCAAATCAAAATCAGGCGGCAGAAATCCATTTGTGGATAATTTAATCTTTTTGGGTTTTGGAGGGGGAGGGATGCAAGTATCATAAATTTGGTCCATATCTTTCACTATTTCATTCCATTGTCGTTTCATAGAAGTGTCAACATCATCTATTGCTGCGACATGGTGTAAGGCACTACCTTTCAATTTTTTTCGAGTATTACCACAGAGAGCTTGAATAGTCGTGGCCAGAAGTTCATTCATTCGACTCGATTCTTTTATTTTCACGCTACACTTATTAAGCGGGATTCGGTTAGCACTTTCATTCGAATTATTTGCTTTAAGTAATGATTCCATATTTTGAGCAAAATATTCCAATTGACTAATCAAAATGCTGTCTAGAGTTCCATCATCCTCCGGCTCAACAGGTTTTGGAATGACTTTCTCAGGTGGAGAAGCCTTAGAAATAGGTTGAGGTACATCTACTTGCGAAGGTGGACATAATTGCGGCGGAATTCCAGATAAAGTCTGTTTTTGAATATTATTGAATACTTGTATCAGAAATTATAATTTTATGCTTACGGGTATAATTGTTTTTGGTAAGTATTGATCTGCTGCTGGAAATAAATGTTTTTTCGTGGATTTTGCGTCATGATTACTTCTCTCTGTCATTAATTCTAGTTCTTTTGCAAATTCATCATATGCACTCTCACATTCTTTTCTTGCCATATCATGATTTTGCCGTTCGTCCTTCTTGACTACTTTGATGGTACGGATGTCTTCGGAAATAGCACCTGCTCTGAGTAATGCAGCACGATCTTCATCATTAACCTATAATTTTTACAGCAAAAATAAGATAAAAAAGAGTCAAGATAGTCTATTATACCATTTTGTCCATCCCTGGATAAACAATCATAGCGGGCAATGGAGCTTTAACATTTTCGACTTTGTCTTCCACTTTTGACCGCTTCTCCTAATAATTGAAAAAAACATTACAAATTGACATCTGGAACCATTTCATAAAAAAAAACTAACCTTTTTCTTATGTTTCTTTTTCTTTTTCTTTTTATCCTTCTTATACTTTGTATTTGAAGGTATATTGTCTTTTCCGTCATCGTAAAATTCCTGAATCATCAATTGATCAACTATATCCGTTTGACTACCATTTTGTGCAAATTTTATTATTCCTTTAGAAGCTTTTTCACTTCGGTCAGTCTCTAAATTGAATAGAAAATCAATGTAACTTGTGACCTGTCTAAATGTTTCAGTTTGTATCTTTTCTGTTACGGATCCAGCTTCTTTAGCTTGTACATTAGGATTTTCAGCAATAATAATACATTTATGAGCTTCTGAACGAAAATTAACAACAGCATTTAACGCAATTTTAGTAATGGACGGTTGTATAATTCTCCTTAGGCCAACAACTCCATGATACAGGTCAGGCAGACTTTTTCCTATAGGTGAGAAAAGCATTTAGAATGTCAGAGTTATACAAAAACGAAATCAAATAACTGATTTTTGAATACGTTTCATGTTGCAAAGAAGTATCTCTATTAAGGTTTGTGGAAAACGCTGAAAAATTTTCGGATAGCGTAATAAGATGTGAGTAACTTAAAAAGAATATACGAAACCTGTTACGTCTTCTTACTTGAAGAGAAAGTTGTACGAGATTAATGATATAGTTCTCGTTTCTATAAATAATATTTGTCATTTTGCCTCCAAAAAGACTAAAGGACACGATTTGAACCGAGAACAGAGTTTTAAATGTAAAATACTCCTTCAAAATATTTTCTAATCTAAATGTATGAAATTACAAAAATAGCTTGTGCTTAAAACTAATTTAAATATGACAGCCAAACTAAAGCGGTTTCAGAAAAACATTCCGTGACACTGCGGTTTTCATTTTAACCATTTTACGCCCAGTTTTTCCCAATCTATATTTTATTAAGGAGGCGTAGAAGTCCTTTGTTGACATGAATTAGCCGTGAAATGTCACAGAATGCTTTGAGAAATAAAGTACTAACCATCAATAATACACTCCAAAGGTTTATTTCTCATCCATGATCTTCTAGCCTCGGCAACAGCTCTCTGAACGCTCAGCGACTCGCACAAAGAACAATCCAATTGTGTGTCCTCGCTGAGAGAATACAAATGTCGACACAATTCTGTTGAATTCGATATTTTACCATCAGTTATCCCATCTAACTCCTCCAGGACACTTTCCATTTCAGTGATCATAAGATCAGAGACGAAATCAACCTCGATTTCGCTCATTATCTGCTGTGCAAAAAAAACGTTCAAAATACTAAGGCGTTCAGTGTATTACAGTAACTGTATATCTTCCGCTAGGAAATAGATAACTTACTTTTGTATTTGACGCGATCTTTTCCAAAAAGAATAATATTTTGAAAACAACGGTAAATATTCCTTTCAATGAACATTTAATGCTGAAAATACTAATCTGATCGATTTTCTAGTCAAGCCGGATAGCAAAAAAAAAATGGCGTCGCAGACATTAATGCCATCTGTTAGTTTTTTATACAAAATAACTTTTTTAAATTTCAACAATTTTATGAATAAAGAAAACAAGTGTAAAACTAAAAAGTGGAACATGTAAGTTTGAAAATCTATAAATTAATTCTTTCAATTTGTTCTTCTGATTCGTCAAAATTTTCAGGAGTTCTATCAAAATTTTCGAATACGTTCTTTTCTTCTGCCAATTTTGTATTCAATAGCCAAGATTTATATTTCGACATAAATTTCTTAAAAAATTCCTTGAAATGTTTTGATTTATAGTAATCTTCTACGTGTTTACCGAGATCCTGTCAATAGAGTAATTAACATTAGAAGAAAATCAATGTTTGTTACATTATCATTTACCCTATTTAAACTTTGTTTTTTAGCTATAGAAACGTCTCTTTCAATATTTTTAATCAATTGGAAGTTTGGTTCAATTTCGGACTCGTTCATATATTCTAATATGTGAAGTTTGTATTCGAAGTTCTGGGAACTTGCCTGCATAAGAATACCACAGATTTCTTTTGTTATATCCATTCCAGAAACCTGACATAAAGTTAACTTTATTTAACTATATTTATCTTTAAATGCAATTTTTCGTACCTGTAAATAGCCTATTAGTCGAACCCCATCAGCCATATTTCGACAACTCATAGCTAAACACCCGAATGTTCTCTCGTCACATTGAAAATTATTTTCTGTCAAATGATAAAATATTTCCCAGCAACCTTCCGTATCGTGTCTTAAAGCTCGACGTTTTATAAGTTGATTATAAAATCCGATATCCAGAGCAATATCGAAGGCTTTCGATGCGTTTATTAAATCTATTTCCGCCTCTCTGCTTTGCGGAATCGAGGGTAGCATGAGGCTCAACGTTTTTACATCTGGAGAGGCAGAGTCTACTTTCATATGGTTTAAAATGCCAGGGACACCGCCGAGGAGAGCTAAACGATGTTCAGCTTTCTCTAGATTTCCCAGTTCAATGACAGACGTTAAGTTATCTCTTTTGTTGGACAAGAGATCAGGAATTTCGGAGTCGAGAGCAGATACACCCTTCCTTTCAATTAAATCTCGAACACTAGGCTTTTCGAGTGTATCATCGTAAGGTTTTAATGTTCCTTCATTATGACTTTGACGAATTAAGGTTTTGGACTTAGATGATGTTACTAATTCAACTTTACCAGAATCTAGCAATAATTGTTCATTTAACAACCTTAATTCTCCTTTAAGTGACTGCCAAAAGGTTTCCCCTTGAGACTTTTCCGACTTAGGTAACAAAAGAGTTTGACTATATGCTGCAGTACCCGCTCCACAGTCCCTAACAGCCCTTAACAAGAGATTATAATGAATAGCTGTTGGTTTAACATATTTTCTACGCATCCTTCTGAATACCTCGATTGCTAATTTCAATCCAGCTTCCTTATGAGAAATACATGCCATTAATAAATGACTAAAGACAATTTCATCAATTTTCATTTTTTTATTAATCATTCCTTCTACGATATCAACGGCTTCTTCAATTTCTCCCGATAAGGCAAAAAGTTTTAGCATAGTCTTGTAAACAATTGGGTGAAGTTCAGTTTGATTGCTCTCCAAAGAATGCTTTAATTCTTTTGCTTGATTTAGATATTTACTTCTATAAGGTGAATTTGCGATTGAATTAAAAAGAGAGGCGTATGTATGACTGACTGGTTCGATTTTCCATTTGAGCATCTGTTTGTTAACAGTTTGACAAAATACAAAAACAATATTCTCATTAAATATCACATACCTTCTCATATAACTCAAAAGCTTTGTCGACATGTCCTATTTTGGCACATCCACTTATTAACACTGTAAACGTGTGACTACTAGGATGGATCTGAAATTTTGCTATCATTTCATTTTCAAAGTATCGTATAGCCTCCGAAACCTTGATGAAAGAAATAAATAAAGATTTTAAAACTTTCAAAAAGTTCTAACTTTAACCAACCTTTCCCTTAGTTGTTAATTTTTCAATTTTCCTTCCAAACCAAGCTAAAGAGTACCTTCCCTGTTTCACATAATGTAGTTTAGGCTTTCTATCTTTAGTTTTTTCTATTGCGGCTTTTCTACAACAAATAAACATTTAGTTTTCTCTGTTAAGCGTTGATAAAAGAAGATAAAGCTGTTGAAGCTTTGCTAATAAATAACAACTAACCTATCCTCTTCTTTGATTTTCTCTGAATCCTCAATTTCGTATGTTTCAGGCACAGACAAAGTTCCAAAGTTTTCTGCCCAAATACTCTCTTTATTTAAGGCTTTTCGCTTGTCTCGTTTGGAAAACGATTTTAAAGAACCGAATGAATCTTCTTGCGAAAATTTAGATCGAGTTTTTTTAGGCGTTTTTCTTAAGGTTTCATTGGAAACAGCCTCAGATTCTGGCAAATTTCGGGCATAATTCGTTTTTCTACCAAATACAGCAGTTGACGATGATAAATATGATCTAGAAATTAATATTTTTTGTATAGATTTAATGCACATGTGGGACATGTTGCTTGAGAATCTTAGCCAATACACTTATTCATTTAAGAATCAAATTTAAATTGGCTTTTTTTAGAAACAAAATAGAGAACATCTCAAAAAATATAGAAATTATATTAGTCGAAGAACTTTTATTGCATTTCCGAATTTTATGAAGGAGTAGCCCTACAAGATATTAAAATATATTGATATTTCGTTAGCAGCTCTCAGAGCCGTCTAACGTTTAGGTCCATATGATTAGGTGAACTGGAATTATCATGAAGACGCCATTGTTTGACTGCCGCGTGGTAATTAGGAGTGCCCCACATAGCTACTCCTTATAATCCTAAGACATGTCATCTAAAATAACCGGGAAAATCCACCATATTTTCCCGGTGTAGTTATTAATTATACTATAGAAACACTCATCGAATCATAATTATATCATATAACGAACGATCTAACAATTCAGGAGAATCTCTTTTAGCGTTTCTCTTATGGCTTCTGAAGACAACCAAATTAGCTCCAGCCCTGATAGACTCAATAGAAAACCTAAGAAGCTTTCATTGTTTTCAAACCCCAATAACTTCTTTCAGGTTAGTCTTTTATTCCAATGTAGTATATTCATCCTATTTAACATTTCCATAAGAAATAGTAAAGTTAAACGAGCGATAATATAAGTTGATGATAATAGTACCCACTTTTTTCAGACTGACCAACAATCCCTGTCTCCAGATACATTTGACATAGAAAACCTTAAAATTTGTGAAGATAGATGTAATAACTTTTCATTACATTCAAAAAATATCTAATTTTTCTAAAGCTTAACGTTTTCTCAGGTGTTTTTGATACTGCAAATGAACATGAGAATTCTTGCGAAACTCATAAAAAGAGCAGAGAAAACCGTCTAACTTTCATTCACGAAGACGATTTAGATAGTTTGGATAGTTCTTTCGATAACAGTTTATCAGCCAAAGATTCAGTTTGGGAGAGTTCCGATGAAAATCAGGTAAAAAAACTTGACTCAGATAAGATATATTACTTGAAAAATCTACTCAAACCGGAAGATCTCAATATGTTTAAAATAAATACAAAAAAAGTCAAAATGATTGATAAATATTTCGAGAGTATCAAAGAATACTTCACTGATATTGATAGTGAAGAAAATGCAATGAGCTCTAAGATCTCAGGAGATACCTCAGAAGAATCTGCAAGTGAAAATTGGTCACTCAATATGGAAATTAAGTCTAATTTAACTGCCCCCAGTGAAAAAACAAGTGAAGAGTCAGCATATATATCTCAAGACAGTATTAATCCACAGTCAAGAAAAAGAAAACTAACTTTAGATGATATAAGAACTGAAAAATTGGAAAACTTTATTTCAGGCAAACATATAGATATCTTGAGCAAATATTTCAAGAGCGTTGAACATTTTATGAATATTAATGAGCCTAACGAAAAACGATTATGTGCTCAGAATGGTTTGCTAGAAAATTACAATTGATTTTAAAGCAACTTTCGACATTTATAGCATCAAATTATTAGCAATGAGTCGATCAATTACCACTAAGCCTATACTTATATATATACTGTATATATATATATTAATATATATATGGCTAATTGTTAATAACGGTTTTGTCAACAAAAAGGTTTATAAAAGGACTTTGTCAAAATTAATTTTGTTTTGTCTATTTTATAAAAGTGTAAAACTGTACGAGAATATAAACGCATGCTGTGAATATATTCTTAACATCCTTCATTTTCATTATCATTTTCATTGCCAATTCCCTTCTCACACTTCTCTTTTACTTCAGTTGAATTAACTTCTTCTATAGCCTTTTTCTTAATATTCTTTATAAAAGGTTCATTGAAAGCCTTATGTAATCTTTTTGCCTATTAAAATGATAAAAGAAAATGATATTTATATGTTGTTGAATGTAAATTATTATACCTTTAGAGGACCAATTCCGGAACATAAAGATAAATCTTCTTCTGTAGCAGTAAATATATTTTTAACACTCCCAAATGTTGAATACAACGTTATTGCATCAGTTTTGTTGATCTTTTTAACACTAGTTAATGTATCAATTAGCTAAAACAAGAAAAATCGCTTAAATTGACGTGATAGTGTGAGCTTTTAGACTTTACTTTTGCCTCGAATGACTCTTCTGACTTTTCCATAATAAGATCCGGTGGTTTATTTTCAAAGGCCTTGTACAGTTCCAGATATCTTCCAGCTTCTTCTGGTCTGGTATAACTTAGTTGTTAGTTTAATATCATTTTCCCCTATTCTATATTGAATAAAGCTTACGTAAAAGCCAAAATAAGAGTACAATCTGCAAGTAAACATATATTTGCTAATTGTTGACAAATATGGCTGGAATCTTTCTAAAAGAGGAATTTATTTTGTATTTGATCAGAAATATATAGATTTTAACTTTAAAAACTAACGATGTCAACTTGAGCTAAAAGTACACGAAGTTCAAAAGTTCGTCCCAATAGTTTAAGGCGTTCATGAATATAACCTGGATGCAATTGATGATATCTCAAGCTTCAAGAAACAATTGTTATTGTTTGCCTTCAATTATAAGTAAATTTCTCATATACCTTAGAAATAGTGCACAGGTAGTTTGCCCTAGTATATAATCTGGAACAATATCCGAATACTCCCACGCTACGTTATGTATATGTTTTAGAATTGGATTTCCTCGTTGTTTGCTATTTACCAAGAGAGGTGTTGTAGTTGATACAAGTGGTTTTTGAGGTCTAGAGATATTATGAAATGACTACACAACTTATGTGTCCAAATGATTAAATCTTTCATACCGATTGACGGTTTCAAAGCTTCTATATGTGCCTGATTTATCCACAGCCTTTTCTGGCGATTGACTGCTATTTGCTGAGACAGGTGTTACAGTTGGTACAGTTGGTCTGTACAAGAGATATTGTGAAATGATTACACAATTTATCTACCTAAATGGTCTAGTTATTCTTACTTAGAGTCACTTTGAAAGCTTCTAAATGTGCTTGTTTTATTCATAACTTTTTCTGATGATTGTTTAGGAACATTTTCTTCTATGATGCTCTCATTAGGTTGTTCGGATTGTTTCCTTTTTTGAAATATAGCAGGCGTAGGCTGAAAACATTTGGTACATATCCCTTTTTTCGGTCAGTAAATTATGAAAACTTACATTATTACGGTTAGATTTAGCATTTTGAATTTCGGAATGCGATGGAATCGTAAATTTCTTACTCATACTTATGGCTTTAAATTCTTTTGAAGATATTATATTAAACTTAAATGCAGTATATTAAAGATTCTTAATAATTTTCTCAACTGGTAGTACTAAATATCTCTTTTTTGCTGTGTTTTAGCTATACCGCGCATGCGTAGACTGGGAATTTACAAAAAAAATTGTTTTGGCGCCTTATCAAATAGTATGGAAGAGGAAGAAACGGGATTAAATGACCTCTTCGGGCAAGATAATAAAGATGATGATGGACTAAAACCTTTAGACGACAATGAGAATAATGAAGGACAATCCAAGGGTCTGATTAAAGTAATCTTTGCTTTTAATCCGGCGTTTTCAATATTCTTTCATATTACATCCAGATGAGAAAAAGGAATCCAAAGCAAAAAGAGTTATAAATCCGCAACCGAAACTAGATGGGCAAAGGTGAGATGATAACCATTTAATGCTTTAAACTTACAAAAAAAAAAATTTTAATTGCAAAAATCGAATTTTTAAAAAAATGTAGATTAGGTACTTCTCGGGGATTATCTGCCCTTCCAGATCTAGCAAAATCAATGAATTTTAGGGGGAAGGGAAACGAAATAAATGATATTCGTTACTTAATGATGCAAATGGAACATTGGGCTCATAGGCTATTTCCTAAGCTTACTTTTGAAGATTTTATAAATAGAATGGAGAAATTAGGAGGGAAAAGTGAGATAAAGGTTATAATAAATTTACCGAAATAATCGTTCTATTAGAAATAACGTTATTATCACTTCAGTCTTGTATTCGTCGTATAAGATCAGGCATTATCTCACCTGAAGAGGGGGACAATAACAATAGCGATGGTGATTCAAATCATGGAGATACTGGAGATAGCTCTAATCAATTTGCAGAATTTCCTAGATATGATGAAACGGTACCTTATTTATTCCAATAAAAAAGTCTATGAATAGTATTTTCCCTCCATCTTACCATGCTTGTTAATTTTTAAAAGGATACAGTCAGAAGAGGGTTTGATAACATGGAGAGTGATCAAGACGTTAATGATAAAATTCATGATCCATTTAAACCGACGATAGATGCAGATCACAATTCATTAAAATCTTCAGTGGATACTAACAATGATCCATTAAAATTTTCAATGGATACTAGCAGTGATCCATTCCAATCATCGATGGATATTGAAGCTAATGAAAATAAAGCAGAAACAAAGCCAATGGTTCGTCTGCCTTAAGATGTGAATCTGTACTGTATTAAATAAACATTATTCTATCCACAGGTTCTCACGGAAGAACAAAAAAGAAAAATTCAAGAAAAACGCGAAAAAGCCCTTAAATTAAGAAATGCTCTCGCTAATAGTATTGTTTAAAACTGGAAATTAGCCCTTCTTAATCAGTTTGCTTTTATTGGAAAAACTCAACATTTATATGCAAAAATAAGCAAAGCAGTAGATGTATTAATAGAGTGTTATTCATTTTTCAACATTTTAAAGAGTCTCTGACGAATAAACTTGTAAAATTGATACTCATAGTTCATTAGATTTTTCATCTTTCTCTCAACTTGCTCTGATGGTTTCATTTTAAATTTTCCCCTATACTTTTTAATACTTTCTGAAAAGGAAAAGAATAACAGCTGTTTTCAATTAAACAGAGTAGATCTACTAACCTGATTTATATTTTTTATAGGCTTTTTGAATGCCTTGGAAATAATTAGGTAATAGTTTCTCAAATAACTGTAGTGATTCATCATAATATTCGATTGTACCTACAGCGACGTAATACTTTTCCACATTGGATTTAGCAATTTGAAGAGCTAACTTGGACGGATATTTACAAATAGGATTATATCCGCAAAAAAATGGAATTATATTCCAAATTCCATGAAAGGAATTTTTTCCGGTACAAACTTTTCGATTTTGTAAAACGCATTCGTCATATGTCTTGTAATTAGAAACAACTATTGGTTAACTATTAAAGTTCAGTGACTTTTTAAACTTACCAAGTTTCTTGTTTCATCATTTTCATATGTCTTGGATAACAATTGAGACTCAAATCTCAGGTAATAATATGAAGATACAGCTCTCTCCAAAGGATCCCTTATGACATTTATATAAATTGGTTGAGGATAAGAGAATCTACAAGTAATGTAAAATAAAAATGTCCGCAGTAAATAACGAATAAAATAAAAGCCTATACTTTTCGAAATTAATAAAAATGGCATGTTTGTCGTAGACCACCTGGGTATATTTCGCCATTTTGTTGATGGTTTCTACGATCTTCATTTGCTCGTCATATTCAATTGAATAATTATAAAAGATATTGCTTTGATAATAGATAAAGTTATTATGATTTGTTAAACGTCTCATAAGATCTGCGGTAGTCCTACTTCCACATTTTGGAACACTATTATAAAAAATAGGAGTTTTTTCACAATAGTTACTTTTGTTTAAAATTAGCCTGTAAAATGTTAAATATATAAGAATAAATCCAAAAAAACAGCAACAAGCTTGTAAAATTCTTCTATAATTAAAAACTATTCCACTTTGTCCTTCGGCACTTCTTAATTTCGTCCTTCTCAATAAATTTTTCATCATTTGTTTAGATACATTAGATTCTTGATAAATCGATTGACATTTGGAAATGAGTATCATTGAGAAGGGGAGCAGCAGTCTATTGTATTGAGGCACATGTGTTTAATTTCGTCAATAATTCGGTCATTAGGATTTATCATAGAATTCTTGTTTTGTTTTGTCAATACAAAGAAAGAATATACTCGATTTTCTTTACTTTCTACGAAAGCGAAATTAATGACATTTGATAAATCATAGCGAACTATTTATATTCAATCATTTTATACCTTAATCCATTAGATAGTTTACCGATTTATTAAACCATAAATACTATCCAACAAACTGTGTTTGCAGTCAAAAATGAAATAGTCCAGTCTAAAAGTGTCACCTAGTGGATAATTAGTAATACAGTAGGCTACGTGTATAAGTTATCTATTATAAATGAACACGCAAGTTGTCAATGACATATGAAGGTTAATAAATACTCCCGGACAGCATCTGAGGTAACATAATTCACGTTTAAGAAAACAAATGTACGATATCGAAATAACAACATTTACATATAACATATATAAACTAATAAAATGAAAACAATGAACCAGACTAATGTAAATGCCATATAATAAGGCTAGTAAAGGAAAATTTACAGAGTTAATACTAATTAATTAACTTTAATCAGGGCATTTCTACAACCTTTCCATAACAAGGAATACATACATTTAATAATTAGCAAACATTATCTCTCGTATCGGTCTGCTACTATAAACAATATGTTTCCTTACCTTTTTTTACATTCTATTTTTACGACAAAAAAATTCATATAGCATCTATGCGCACTATATAGCTTCTGAGATGCTGTTATATCTTTTCTATCAATTTCCGACAAAGATTTTCGTACTTTTTAACAATAATAATTTAAAAAGAAATATAAATCTATATAATTTGAAATGTAAAATTTGTAATTTTCATTAATGACAAATATATAATACATATATAATATTAAAATATACAGTATATATACTATGATATATATATATATGTTTATTAATATATTATATTCGATCGTTATTTGTTGCATCAATAGGAGAAGTACGAATTCAAGATTAAAATAAAAAGAATAGAGGACAGAGGTAGCATTTTACCTCTGCTAAAATAATAATAGTAATAATTATGCATACGTCGGAAACAATTTTAATTTCAATGCATAGATTGTTACGTAAAACTTACATTTTTAATTAAAAGTGATTTGAGAAGATAAAATCATTTGTATATACAATTTCAATTTAAGAGAAACGGAGAATTATCATCTGATTCTTTTGCGATATTCCGTATATAGGCTGATATTTTGTTTTGGTTTGATATCTCATCTGTAGTAACAGCAGTTGAAAATAGGATAAAAGTATCTGATAAAGGATGAATATAAATTATTACCTTCCTCATTCAATTGGGAGAATTTGAGCGACTGCCACTTCTTGCTCCGTCAGAACCGGTGCTGCTTTCGTCGCTGTCGTCCTCGTCGTGATGGTGGGTTAGCTTCCTTGGTGTCTCAGCTCTTGTATGGGGTAAATTAAGGCTTTCTAGCCTAATGAATACGTTCGTATTTTGCGAACTATCAGATGGAATATCTTCTGTTTCATCAGTTGTTGGAAGGGGTCTTTCGTGTGGCAGAGACTGAATTATAGCTTCAGAAACAGACCTCGAACGGGGACAAATTTGTGTAGTTTCAAGTTCTTCATCAGACAAACTCATATAATCTTCATGATCAACTGTAGATTCATGGGGCATCTAATAAAAGATAAAAAAAATTATTAGCTTTTTAAATCATGTAAATATAAGTAATTGTAGACCAAAAATCTAATCATTTGCTTATTGAGATTTCTCCGAACACGACAGTAGTGTCGCCAATAAGTCCGTATAGCTAGAACAATAAGAAAATAGTTGTAGCAGCAAAGAGAAATACCTTCCTAAAAAGGCTGGGGGTGTTATCCAAACCTTTTCTCTACGCATTGTACAGACATTTTCCTACTAGTTCTTTTACGTAAATAATCAATGTGAGCTTGCCACAAATGCGTCATATAGATTTCTTTCTCTTAAATAATACATACAAACTAATTATCTTATTGATATAAATGAAATAATCTTATTAATTGAAGAAGAAAATGTCTTATAACTGTAACGGAGTATTTAAAGATAATTAATAAATAAATAAACTGATCAATAAAGTGAAGAAATGAAAGGAAAGGTCTTGCATTGGAGTAAAAATATAAAATATATTAATAATCATTTAATAAGTAACAATATATAAAACCTTAATACCACATTCCCTTGATAATTTCAATACAATTGAATAAGCCAAATAACGTGCTAATTGCAGTGATAAAAAACACAGGAAAATAGCTTTATTTTTGGCTTTTATCGATTATTGTCATTAAAAATAATCCAATTCACAAGGGAATATTTACAAAGCTTTATACGAAAAGAGAAAAAGTATCAGATCAACTCGAACGTAAGGTAAATCTTAAGAAGATTTTGTTACTTTTTCTTTATCTATTTATTCCTGATATAGTAATTTTATATTTCTCTTTATCTTACGAACGTAAAGTATGAACCATATTGCTTTAGGCGTATTTATATAATATAAATAATATATAAAATGTATACATTATATATGCAATTTATGCTTAAAATAGTCGGAATAATTGAAAGAGTAGGCTCTGGTGTTTGGTTTAAATAATTTCTGAATCTAAGAATAGAATTGATAAATATATCTTACCAGCATTGGAGCAGCTTTAAAGAAGTAAGAAAATGGGTAGTGTAAAAGATTAAGGAAGGTTGAAGCGTACAAATCCGCGTATCTTATAACTTGACTTGCAAAGAATGTCTGTCTTGATCCGCTTCGGAATAAACTACCAAGTAAACCATATGCCAAATCCATTTCTAATGCTACTTCCTGGTTGACATAGCAGAGGTTAACAAAAAAAACCTGGCAACTTACGAAAGTCCTTACTCTTATTGAACTCTGGATTTTCCTAATATCTGGTTTCTCGTTCGTTGCACTGTCCAAATTTCTAAAAGAAGAAAAGATTAAAGGTCAATCGCTTTTTAATCTCTTTATGTATATTTTTCTAATTACTTATATAAATCAGCAAGATGCGTATCTAAATTCTGAATTCTATTATATAATTCCTTCTTTGCTGTCCAAACGTGCAGTTCCGGTCCCAATTCAGGTACAACGAGAAAAGTCCTCCAACCTCGAATTTTTTTAGACTGTATACAAAAAGTAAAGAGGAGGAGAATGTTAATAAAAGATAACAAAACGTAGCATTGTATATGAAACGATTCATACTTTCAGTATGTCACCAAAAATATGATCACCAATGTATAATACATCTTTTCCCTTTGCACCAATCATCTTTGAAAATACATCACAAGATCCTCCAGAATAAATCCTTCCAGGTTCCATCTCACCTGTATGAACTCCCAAACTTAAACGCCCAGTGTCCTATATATATTTAAAGAGGAATTATACATACATCAAGAAAAAAAACCCAGGAATACACAATAATGATGCAATACCGTTTCTATCTGTCTTAAAACTGTTCCTTCTCCAAAGAATAGTGGCTTTTTAGCGTCAACGACAATGTAATCAAAGTAATCAGTCCATTTCTTCTTTGTCTGTGATTGAATAAGAAGTAGTATATAGATTTTTCCAAAAATCAACACTATACAAATTTACAAACCGTTGCAGTAGGATCATCCAGAAGATATGACATAATTTTCTATTTAACAGAGAGATAAGTCGTAATTTATTAAACGTATAGAACGGTAGAAAAATTAAGTTTATCTCACATTTGTGTAAATGTAATCAGAATTAGTCAAGAGGAAAGCCTTGTAGCCTTGATCTTGGATCCTTTTCAATAGGACTGGTAATCGTTCATCTTTATGTACGTATTCTTCTAAGTGATCAACTGTTTCACGTTTCAAAGCACCCTACAAAAAAAAAATGCTTACTATCGGCATTTTCCTTGGTATGTAGCTAGTTCAAAGTTGTTGCAAGATTCTGCCCTTTTGTCCATCAATGAATTTAATTTGCCGGAAAGGACGAGAATTCGTTTTATCCACTGTCACTTGGGAAATTCGACAGAAAGAACATTTAATAAAATACTACTTCCAATTTCATAAACTATCCCATTTGTTCAAAATGAAATATTAAATTTTACAATAATTTTGTGCGCGTTACAATTTTGATAAAAATAATAAGAATAATTAATAAAATTTTACTTTTATGTGCACCCAGTCAACCGCCCCTCGAACGTCTTCAAAAATTGATTTGTATGAAATCAACATCTCGCCACATCGTACTCCAGTTGTGTCTCTATTGGTGTAGAATGAGATATAGTATAGGTCAACAACCTTATTCGTCCATTAAATATTTTATATATTATACATTAATACAAATATTAACCTTACGTATCCGTCTGAATTACAGAAGTAGTCAACCAAGCAAGCTAGTAAGTAAGTTTCAGGAAGATTGAAGAGTGTATTCAGAATGAAGATACGACTTTCATTAGGCTGAATAAACTTGTTCGGATACAGCGAACGGATTTCATGACTGTAAATTAATACCAAAATAAGCAAAAGACTGGATGTAAAAACTAGAAATTAATATAAGTGAGATTTAAACCCAGCATATAAAAAAAAGCTGTTTTTTGTATAATAGGTCAAAAGTTTTCTTTTTTTTTATCAGGAATGTCGATAATCTGGGTTGATCTACATATAGACCAACTTCCTATGCGGAAAAGGTGAAAAAGAAAAAGATAAAGGAATACTTTTATAATCTTTTAAAGAAAAGAGACGTCTACTATCTGTCTAAAGATATCAATTGGATTGATTTGAATAGGAGAAATTTTCTATTTTAATTCTAAATAGAATGGCTAGAGAAAGAAACCTTTTCAAGAATTTGAATCCAATAACGCAGACTAAGATGTTTCCGTACGAATCGACCTTGAGAAGACTTCCGTATCTTGTATCGAACCACAGACCTCTGTGTAATAAGATAATTTTACATATTTCCATTTTAGGAGAAAAAGTTTGTTAATTATGTTACAAACCTAATTGGAAATGTGGGATCGTAACTAAATTCACTGATTGCATTCGGGTACCCTATATCAATCAAACGCTCAACAACCAGCCGGAAGCCAAGTGCTTCGTACTGGGGTGATTTATAGACTGTAGGATAAAAATAATTAAAAATTAAAAAAGAATATCCTCATTTACATATTCATGAGGATTAAAAAAAGATTCTTTTTTTTTCTATATATACAGTATAAATTTATATACATATATATGTATACCTGCCAGAGTGTAATCCATATCAAATCCAAAAAATTTTATCTTATCCAAATACAAACTTCTATTGACAAAAACTCTGTTGAAAGAAAGAAAACAATACAAATTTATATAAATATGAAGGTATAAACAAAAAGATAAAAAGAAAAATTGTCAACAAAGCGAAAGATAAATTTTATGCTTTTTCCTCCTTATCAATGAAGTAACAATTTAAGACTTTATCTTACGAGTTAACTGTTGTTAACTGAATAGAATGGCTTAAATGTTTATATTATTACTATAATAGTTTTTACATGTATATTTAAGATAGATATTCTCTGTATAAGTCAGTGTACACCGTATGTTGTTTACAGCACGCCATAGCATATTTAGATTGAGTGCAGAAAAGTTCTGATTGCATAATGCTATAGAATTTCATATATGTGATTGAATGAATACAAATTCAAAGAGAAAGAGAACGGAGAAAGGATGAGAAAGATAGTTTTTGAAAACAACAGAAACCCTCACCGAGCTCGTCCTCTCCTTAAAGTATTGCTAAATAAAGATGATATATTTTGAGTGAACAAATAGATTAAGACGAAAATATGACATAAATGACGCAGGAAATAAACAAAATACTAATATAATCTTTTCGATATTTTAGTATAGTCAGAATTATTTATGTTATTATGTGCTACAATTAGGACGCTAACCTTTGTCTGGCTCCTCTCTTGTATAATTTCTTTTTATTAAAATTTCCATGGCTCCCCTCGAAAAGGTTTGCATCTTGGAATTTACTAGCTGTGGATTTCACTTCCATTTAGAATCGACAAAAATAGGAGAAATCTGCAATAATATATCGCGGAAATATGATTAATTAAGTTACATTAGCCAATAGATAATGATAATTTGGTATTCAAATGATTTTAATAAGTATATACTTAGTATAGAATGAAATTTTTCAGTTTTTCTGTATAGAAGGTAAACACTGAGCAATATAAACCAGCTGATCGAATCTGCACTGTACAGCAACAACAGAGCGAATCGGCCTCTAAAAGCCTACTGAACGCCACAGCGCCGACTCTATTGATTTATATAGGCGTAAAATTTCAGGGGTCGTTATACGTCAAGGTTAGATTGGAAAGTTTTAGAATGGTATCCCACAGTACCCAAACCTGGAATCAATCCAAGTTTAATGCAAAAGTCCCTGCTTAAACTATTTAAAATGGTTTAAAAATCTAGATCCCATTGTCTGTAGGTTGGGAGTAACACATTTTCCTGGTTTGTAGTACAGAATTAATTGCTAGAAGGAAAAATTCTTAAAATATGGCCTCCCATTTGACCTAAGCACGAGTGATTTTTAAGGCACTGGGCTAAGATTTTCATTCTTTTCCTTTTTTGTTTATTTTTGTAATTCTCCTAGGCAAGCAATAATAACTGTGAAAGAATATACCTTATTGTTTAAATACACTAATAGTTGATTATTTGGGAATTGAAAACTTTTTTACTCTCTGATCTTTCAACTTAAAGTGAAAAGTAAAATTTTTCAATAAAACGAAAGTAAATCTTATTGACATCTTCAATACTAAAATGACGCTAACCCGGAATCGTTACATTTGAGGACGCGCTTTTCCGGTTACGTAGACCGGTTACTAATTCCCCAATCAAACATGATTGCCAATATTAAGTTAGTGATTGTTACCATTACTGAAAGGACTCTGTACGGCGGGACTGTAATCATTCCCAGTTGTACAAATGTGAAAGAAGAATTGTAAAATTGTGCAAAGTCCGATCAATTCAGTATGTTAAAACTTTATATGTCGGTTAAACATTTACAGTCTGAAATCACTAGTGAAATCACATGACTCGATCTTGATATCATTTACTAAATCTACTATTTTTTTTTTCACATGCGAATATATTTTGTACTATTTAAAGTGTATACAGTGTCTTTTAGTACTAAGTCTTACCTATTACGCTCAGTTCAATAAATTTCAATAATCCGGATATTTATTATATTTGTTTAAAAAAACTATATATATATATATATATACATATATATATAAATTTATATATATATATATATATATAGGTATATAATATAACGTACCACGTGTATATAAATAATTGAAGAGGCAAAACATTGTAGATTTTTACAGAGTGACCAAATAGGATATGGGAGAAAAAAGGAGGATTATTAGAATAGATGCTGGCCGTGAGAAGTATAATTAGATAAGGTATGACATTTTCAAAGATCCATAGTTCAACTCAACAAAACTTTCAAAAACGAACAAATAAAAAAGCTTATATACTGTATATACAGCATATAAGTTTAAAATTAATTTCTTTTTACATAACCTAACCAGAATTTTTATGAATTAAAAAAGCAATTGAACAATAAAAGTAAACAAACAAAAATTCATATCAATACAAAACATTTAGAGATCGAAGGAAATGTTTCTTTAAAGTTTATCAATCAAATAATAGATAATAGATTTATCAAACAAAATTATTTTTCACATTTATATACCCACAAAAAAAACTGAAAATTGTGAAATAATTAATGATATATCGATTAAAGTGATTTTTTTTTTTTGTTCTACGAAAGACAAAAACAAAAGAATTTAAAATTGACAGAATTTAATTCATACCCCGAAAGGACAAAATTGAAATATCAAAGACATTTAATCACTGTTTGAAAAAAAAGTATTTTACTTTATTATTGCTGATTTAACATAAATCGACAATATAAAAGAAATGAAAAAAAGGAAGCAAAGACAGGTGAAGTAATTAAGCAATAAATTAATACTTTCAATCTTGTTCCTTTCAGATATATAAAGTAAGTTTCTTTTGAGAAGAAACGTCTAGTGTGTATGTACGACTACAATATTTATGGCTTGTCATTTTTTGTTTTTGTTTTTTATACAAATATTTAACGCTGATCGTAAGAATACTGTCCTTGTGATGAACGTTGATCAGAAAATAAATTAGAATAAAGTTCACTATACGAAGGTTGCTGCCCGGAGAAGTTAGTAGGAAAAGAGTAGTTGTAGTGAGGGGGCTGACCGAAGGAAACATTGTTTGGAAACGAGTTGGCAAACTGATTTAAGTTTAATTGCTGTTGATTTGTAGGAAAGCTGGCATTGCTATAGTACGGTTGTTGAAAGTTTACGGACGGTGTCCGATTCGCAGAGGAATCATTTGTGCTCCATTGGGACGACGATGACGACGACGGAGATGCACCATCAAAATTTTTAAAGTATTTCTTAAAGTCTAATGCTAAATCATCTTTCGGTTGGTTTTGCGTTGAAGCAGATGCTGTCGTTGAATGTGCCGAATTTAGGATATTTTGAATGTAATCATCTGCTTCACTTTTTGTGGCTTGACTAGTCAATGTACTTGACATAGAATCTCCACTATCATGAGTTTTGCATTGTTTTGCGTCTTCTAATGTCGCACTTGTTGAAGATAATAAATTAGACAGAATAGATGAACGTCTCTCTAGCAGACTATCCAAACTTGACGCAAATGGAGATGAAGATGGTTCTGATCTTTCACCTATTATAGAAATATCATCACCTGTTGCCAAAGGTTCTTGGATAACGGTTTTCGATTGCGAGCCGTCAGCTGAACAATAATAAATATTATAGTAGGAATACAACAATAGCATTTGTTTAAATACAATAATAAGATATCTAACCTAAATTCGAACTAAACTTTGGTGATACATTTCCAAGTTGCCCGAATTTATTTTTCACAGCATATAATTTTCCACTTATAGTTTTTATATACGTTCCTTTCGATGTTTTGATTACAGTAATTGTTTCACCCGCTTTTATACAATTAGGATTTCCGGAAGAATCAGTTCCAGGTATTGCCACGTCTACACAATAAAATTATTAAAGAAATGATATACATATATAAATAAGCAAAAGTATATATGAAAACAAACCAGATTTTGTTTTGATTTGTTGAATTGAAACACCTTGCTTTATCTTTGGAGTTGGCATGGTTAAATTACTTGGTAGAACTGAACTTTCATTTGTTCTTAAATTAATTTGGGAATATCGGCTATAGAGAATTTAAGAATTAGACACCGCTAATGTCGAAAAAAATATCTATATTTACTTTATATTTGAATCGAATTTAATATTCGATGACATAGGGTTATTCATCCGAGAATAATTATTTCGGCCAAAGCCTCCTGAATTACGTTTTTCCAAAAAGTAACTGCGCTTTGCAAATTTCTTTTCAGCTGTTGTCAATTTGGATTCCTCCCTATCCAACAGGAGAGATTCATGGGTAAATGGTTCCTATGATAAAGCAAATATTTATCTTTAAATGAGATCTTTGTCTATTTTTCAAAAGTGAACTTACTTTTGTTACAAAATAATGACATTTTCTTACAACTCTATCCAATAACCTATCATTTATTTCGCTACAACAATTTGGATCTACAGTAGGAAGGTCTTTATCATCGTATTGCAGTAGATTTTCTACTTGACCCCTCTTGAACTGAGTTTCTGGGTTAAGTTCATCTACCACTCTATCTGCCATTCCCTGTTTATTGATTTGTCTATCGTATATCTTCTTTTCCATAGTGTTGTCAGATACGAGCCGGTAAATGTAGCAGCTTTTAGTTTGTCCATATCTATAAATACGACAAACAGCTTGACAGTCATGGCATGGATTCCAAGACGCATCCATTATTACAACCCTATTAGCCCCAATCAAATTAATCCCTAAACATCCAGCTCTAAAATATCGAAATACGTAATTAGAAAAATTTAGGAGGCATTGTTGATTAAAATAAAACCTTGTAGAAAGCATAAATATGCTGACTGTTTGATTGTCAGGCGAGTTGAACGCGTTAATCAGACGCTCTCGTTCTAAGCTATTAGTTGATCCATCAAGACCTATATAAAAGAAATGTTCTTGATCACAATAATTGTAATTTAAATTAAACAAAACTTACGAAAATAGAATTTATTTTTGGAGAAATTTGTGTCATATCCAGGTACTTTAATTTTTGCCAAGTAGGATTCGATTAGATCCAGCGTAAATAAACTTTGACTAAATACAAGTACTCTGTCTCCGATAGCTAAACTCTCCATTATTATATTCATTAAGATTAGCATCTTTCCTCCATTTTCTAAATTACCAGGCACGTAAGTTTGAAGTAAAGCGTTAGCCTACAAGATTTTCGGAATGAGAAAAATTTTCTTGATAATGCTAGCGTAAACATTTATACAAACCCATTCGTAATTAATTTGTTCCTCTTTTTCTTTCTTGTTATATGCTGCTTGTATTAAATCAGATCCGTTGCTATTCTCAAATGTGTCAGATGGAGAATTTTGTTTTGGTGATGAGATTAAACGTTTTTTATTTTTTGCCGACTTTTTGATAATCGTCCCGTCGAAGTCCACATCTAAATCTTCTGTCATATTGGCGCTGAGGGCACATTTGTATAGAATATCCGGATGATTCCAAATCTTAAAAAAAAAAGCAAAGATGTTAATAGTAACCTTTCAGATTCATGAATAATCAATTAATTGCTTACTTTGCAGCAGACTGAAAAAGCTTTTATCGCATTTCCATTGTCAGACGAAGTACCCAAGCTGCTACTATTTAAATAGTTTATAAATGCTTCGTATAACTTTCTTTGTATTTCTGATAGCTTTACTACAAGAACATATTCTTCTTTTAAGGGAAGTGTGTATTTTAAAACTGAATGTCCCCGTCTGCAATTAAATTTTTGATCAGGTTTTATTGTAATTCCTGACGAACACTAAAGATTGAAAAAACTGTAAGAGAAAGGATTAAGTACCTTTGGACAAATCCCTCCAATAAACTATGCAGTACGTGCGCTCGATATTTCATAAGTTTGATATCTTCTGGTGTTGAATCCAAACATTGCCCATTTGTTATCGGCCTTTCAAACATGTTGCAAAATTCTTGCTTTGTTCCCAAATAATTAGGTCGCACGAAATCGACCATGCACCAATATTCAATAAGATTATTTTGTAAGGGATACCCGGTGAGAACGACACGACGCCTAAGGGTGGATGATAGATTAATGAAAACAGTATATTGAAAGTATTAGAGCAATTTAAGTTACTTTGTTCGGATTGCTTTAAGAGCTTGAGCAATACTAGCGTGACTATTCTTTATTCTATGACCTTCGTCACACACGACAAGGTCTGGCCCTGGATCTAATAAAGCTTCTTGAATATCTAAAATTTAAATTAACAAAAGGCTTTTAGTTAAGAAGAGAAAAGTATATATTTACACTAACTTGTTAACATATCCTTGTTTCGATCTTCTTCTTCAACATCTATTACTTCAGGTTCATATACCTTCTTTCTACGACGTTTGGGTTTTGGTATATGACCTCTTTTAGAACTTAATAACCTGTACATTTCATAACCCATCAAAAGAACACCTCCTTCTTTATACCAGGTGCCTATCGAATAAAAGCCTTGGATAGGAACAAGTTCATAAATAATCTCTTTCAATACATACCAACTATGTTAAGCCTTGCAGCCATAGTTTTATGAGTATCATTTAATACAAATATTTTAAAATTCCTTTCTCTAACTTCCTGAGGCTTTTCTTCAAAAAGTTTATCGAACACATTTCCATTTGCTTTTTCATTACTATTTATCTCGGTTTGTTCATTTAAATTTGAAAAATTATTTGGAGAATTCGAGTTGAAGAGATCATGTCCCATCAGTCCATTATTCTTTGAGCCATTTGCTTTATTGCTGATTAAATGGCTTGGATTTTGATTTGACAAATTGAAATTTTTTTGCATTGAATTTCCCATAAAGTCGTTAGCGAATGCAGAATTTTCCTGGCTTGAAGATGCAGCTGAGGAATTATCATTTATTGGCCTTTTTAAATTTCCTTTGTAATCTATGTCGCATTCCGGAATAGGAGGGATCCACATGTTGAACTCCGAGACCCAGTTTTGTAATGTATTAATAGGTACAATACATAAAACAGTTTTGGAAATTGTGTGGCGAAGAAAAATATCAATGAAAGAGATCATTTGAATTGTTTTCCCCAGGCCCATAGTATGGGCCAGAATGCAACCAAATCCGTTACTTGCTGAAAATCGCGTTGTAGATTCAATTAAATTGTCGTAGAGAAAACGTACTCCTCCAATCTATTTATAAAAGAATATGATTACAAAATCGTAATTAATCTAATGAACTCACTTGGTGCGGTTTAATTATTCTCGCGATTTGTGGGGCCAAATATACATCGGGCTCATCGCCTGGATGACCTACATTTATCAAAACTCTGCCTTGATCATCTGGTAGATTCATGGTGTCATTACAGTAATTATTATTCCTATTATAAAATTCGAAGTATTAAATTTGAAACTAAAAGCGTCCAAAAATTGTCATTTACCCTGTCGTTTCTTCGTCTGGTTCCTCATCATCACTACTTGTTAGACCTGATAATCCGGGTAACGGATCGTCAAAGCTCAATATTGCATTACTAGTTGGCTTTGGTATATGAGGGGAAGAAGTTGCTAATTGAGCAGATTTATTTAGAATTGATGGTAAATTTTTTGCGGCTGATCGAGCCCTCATAATCGCCAATTGCTGTTCCTGTTTTAAACGATTTTGTCGCAAACGATCGATTTCATCTTCATCGTCTGAGCTAAGGCAAATATAGTCTGAAATTTTATAAACAATAAGTTTGATTTGTATGTTTAATAGATTCGCAATTACCATCTTGTTTTTTGGCAGGTTCTATCTGTATTTCCTCTTTATCGGAAATATCTTCTGTAATTTTAAAGACATAAAGCTATTATTGAAACAAACTGGGGCAATTAAAGCTTTTTAGATTATTACCTTCGAGCAAGGATTTCAATTGGGTACACTTAACTTTGTAGCGTTCCTGTTTATGATATGTAAAAATTGTTATTATAAATAATAAATAAACTAGAATAATTGATAAAGTACCTCAGCTGCTCTCTTGTTTGCCAGTTGATGTTCTTTTCGTCGTTCTTCCTGCTCTTTCAATCTGTTCTTTCTCTCTTCTTCAGCCTTCAACGCTTCCAGGGTTTCTTTCTCCAATTTCTCTCCTTATGAAAAATGTAATTTACAAAACATAACATAGATTCCTACAAGCAATTTACCTCCTAATATTTTTCTAATATTTTTCCTTTCATACAACTTTTTCTTCTTATCTTCGTCTTTTTGCTTCTTACGCTTCTTTTTCTCTCCATTCTTATCTTTCTCCTTCCTCTTACGTTTGGCTGGCTTCTCTTCTTCTTCTGGAGGACTATCTTGTTTGCCCTCCGATGTGGTCTGAATACTGCTAGAGGTATTTTCTGTCATGTCTAGGGGTTCAGGATCCTCTTCTATAGATGGGAACTCTATAAAAGGTTACAGGTGAAATAAAGACAGATTTCTGCAATTAAAACTCTTACCTTCATCTTCTTCTGCCAAACTAACGTTGTCATCGTTATCCTCGTCATCGAATTTCTCATATGTTAGACTGTCATCCGATTGAGATGAATCAACTGATGAAGCATTTCCAGAAGTGGTTAGAGGAATAGTTGAGAGGACGTTATCCATTCTTTAGCACACAAGTGAGAAAAAATGTTTATATATAAAAAAAACAAAATTTAACAGAGCTATATCCAATACTAAGATTTAAACAGTTTTCTCGGGCGTAACTAACAAGAAGAATTCAACAACATTTCGCCTTACTTAGAGTAATACAGTAATTTACGTATTGTTTATATCGTAATTCACCCGTCCGCCATTTTTCACGGATAGGTTTGTTTTTACTTCCGGTTTAAAAAAGCGTCCTGTCCCGTCTCCAAACTTCACAGCAAAAAAATACTACTAATCTTTTTCAAAATTTTAATGAGTCTTTTTGTTTAATAAAAGAAATTTCTTTTAATAAAGGTTATACTAACATCTAGAGCGGAATAGCTTCGCACTGACTTCCCTTCACATAACAGGCCAGGGAGTAAAGAGTTCACAATTTTTGTTACAGACAATTACTACAAAATCAGAACTGCTTTGCTGAATAAAAATATTCAAGAAAATGCTTCGCGAAATTTGAAAAAATTATGAAAGTTGTTCCTTCTTTTCTATGTGAATTATCTAAAAGCCGTTTGTTCACACTTTAGATCATATTAGCGAGAGATAACTCTTTCAAAGCAACAAACTAAAATTTCATGAATATGTCCTTATACCTCAAGATGCTATAAATATTGATTTCTGGTAAAATATAACAGAGAAAAGAAAATCTTACTGTTTGTTCAGAAAGAAATGTGGTGTTCAGTATAGCTTGTTAGTCTGCTTCCAGCGTGCTTTCTAGTGTTACCGACAAACAACCAATTACGAGACAAGTAATCGTTTCGAACAAAAACTCGTGATTTATCCAATCTCAAATCACTGTTTTTATGTTAGAATGTAAAAGTTAATAAAGTTGGAAATTTTTAATTTCCAATTTAAACTTATATTTTCTGTAAATCACTAAGAATTTGTCAACTATAGGTTAACCATATTTACTGTCTCATTAGGCTTCTCTTTTGACCTAACTTCAATGACTAATATCAATTGGAATGATTTGTACAACTATCATAGTGCTGACGTAGTTTTTGTCACAGAGCGTACAATCATCCCACAATTTCTCACCTTTAATAGTTCTTTCCAACAATGACAAGTTGCTTTAGTTTTAAACAATATATTTTTTATCAGTATTAATTGAAAATCTAGATAATATTCAGAATATTTCAACAATTACGCAGCCTATAATGCAAAAATGATAAAAATTACCTTTTGTCTACAGGGATGCAAATATTTGCGTATGAAGTGTGATATCTCTTCACAACCGCTTTATTGCTTATTACCTAATCTATACTTAATAATACTTTGGTTATTATAGCATTATTGTACTAAAAACGTGAACAAACTTAAACTAAAATGTACTAAAGCGAATCAATGGGACTTAAAAACACGTATCTTTCCTATATTTTGTTTTGATGAATAATCCTAGCTTGAAAAAAAAAAACGATGATTAATTTTTCATATATCATGTGAAATTCTATAGAGGCAAATAAACCAGGACAGGTTTAAAAAACTGCGTATTCTTGAAATAGTTGCCTAAACAAATGACAATTGCTATCTTTATAGTTCATTGTAAATATACTTTTCTCTAAAATAATTATGTTTATATAGATTATAGTAAAATGAAAATTGCTCCTATTGAACATATTAGGAAATTTAATAGTTAATTCAATAGAATAGTTATACAGTCGTTAAAATTGATATAATATTATTACCTTTACGAATAGTATGAAATATAGGTTAATTCAGTAACTGGTCAAATAGTATTAGTGGAATGAAAAAAATTGTCAACTAGGTGGCTGATTGCACGTACTTTAAATTGTTTATATATATATATATATTTCCCATATATACACAACAAAAGAAACTAACCGTTTGTATTCGTATATAACCTTAATCTTCTTAATAAGTACACTTTAGCAATTAAAATGCATATATATTTATATACGTATAATATATCTATTATTAAACTAAATAAAATATGAATATTAATGAAGAACATATTACAAATAATAATAGAAATTATTCAATATTGATCGAAAAATAACAACATGAAGGCAAAACTTATTTTCTTGCATCTATATGCTTCATTCAATATCATTCATGCTTCCAAAAAGAAAATTAAAAAAACCAAACAATCGTTAAAGGAATTAGAGGGAAAATGCAAAATGTTTTAAGTATAAAGAAAAGCTGTTTGTTTTATATTTCCATTTGAAGTTGTTTTTTTTATTCGACGGAAAAGCTATACTAATTTCTATAATTGAAATAATTAATTGCAGTCAGAGGTCGCCAGGTAAAGCTTAATTTATACCTTAATCCTTTTATTTTATTTCTCAATAGGACTATACTATTGAATAATACAGTCTCGGCATTGGCAAAAACAATATGTCTCTAATGTAAAATCGAGATATTTAAGCAGCACCTAAGACTATCTAAAAAATTAACATCTAAGACATCTAAGAATAAAATGAAATCTAAAGAGACGTTTCTCGTACCTGGCTAGATTGTGCTGGAAATTTTGCTGAATTACTACTGCCTCGTCGTAGTTTAAAACGTTTACGAATGATAATAACACTGAAAACTAACAGGAAAACGAAAAGAATTAGAAATATAAACGCCGCGCTAATTAGAAATTCTATATTGGGAGCGTCTAAATTGGAACGTTTTAGCGTTTGCGTCTCATTGAGAAATATTTGGAAATTAATTTTTAACGATTGTTTCTCTTCTCCACAGTCCGATATATTAATGTTCAATTCGATTACTTGATTGGAAGCTTCCGTCAGATCACCTATAACAGTTATCACACCAGTTTCCGTATGAACCCAAAAAAATCGATTATCGTCTAAAATAGAGTAAATTAACACACCATTTTTCCCAGCATCGGCGTCAATGACTTTTAATTTTTTTACAGCAGTCCCTATCCTAGTGTATCTGCTTAAATGCATTCTTTTGGGACCTATGAATATAGGAGGGTTGTCATTCTTATCCAAAATTGAAACTTGCACATATACTGATGATTTGGCCACAACAACTTTAATATTATAGTCTTTCCTTCTTTCCCTGTCGAAAACTTTTTTTGTTCTTATAGAACCCTTCCTATCTATTGTAAAGGATTTATAATCTAGAGACTTATCAAGTTTAAAGTTTGCCTCTTTAAATGATACATCAGCATCTGTACATTCAATAAGTCCTACAAATTTACCAATAGGCTCGTTTTCGTAAACGTAGAAATTGTAGAATTGTTTGGAAAACTTTGGATCATTATCGTCCTCGTCTTCTATCTTAAGAGTTACATTGAGCGATGCTTTTAGAGGGATCTTGCCTAGATCTCTCGCAGTTATTTTCATTTGAATCATATCGATTTTTTCACGATCCATTTCATTAGCACTTCTAAGTATACCGGTAGAACTTTCAATTTCCACCAGGGGAATGTGTTTGTAATTTAATTGTTCTACCGAATAACGCACAGTTCCGTTTTCTTTCAAGTCCGGATCGAAAGCCGAGAAATCAGCAATTTTCTCTCCAATTGCTAGATTTTCTGGAATTTTTAATGTAGTTTTTATTTGCTTTTTCCAACTTGGTGGATTATCATTAATATCCAGGACTTTAATTATTATTTCCCTTTTGGATATTTGTACATTTTTTCCAAAATCCTTGCACTCAATGATCAAAGAATAAGTATCTCGGATTTCTCGATCCAAAGGCTTCCAAGTATTAATCTGATATCGATTTTTATTAATTACATATAAATGAAAGGTCGAAGAGTTCATTTGACAACTTATTCGGCCATTCTCGCCTTTATCTGCATCACGTACAGTTATTTGGGCAGCGAAAGTTCCTTTCTCCGAATTCTCCGCGACGTCAACCTTAATAACGTGAATCATTGGCGGATTATCGTTAAGATCGATGACTCTAATCTGTAATTGGGTTTCAGCAGATTTAGGACTATTGCCATTGTCGATTGCCAGAATAGATAGCTCGTAATTCGGATTACTTTCGTAATCCAGCGACACTTTCGTTCTTATCTCACCGGATATAGGATCTAGAGAAAAAATGTCACCGAAATTCAATTCAGTTCTGGGTGTAAATTTATAAGTTATTCGAGCATTTTCTCCTTTATCTTTATCTGTCGCACGGACTTTCGCCAAGACTTTCCTATGAGGAAAATCTTCGTAAACAACTACTTTTCTAAATTTTTTGTCGAAAACTGGCTCATTATCGTTAGAATCTTCCACGATTATATGAATTCTCATTGAACCAGTTTTCCTAGGTCTGCCACCATCTATTGCAGTCAATTTCAGATTATACTTGCTAACTTTTTCTCTGTCTAGTGTCGTTCGTAAAACTAATCGAAGATCATTACTTGTAACTCTTAATGAAAATATTGGTTGAACATTCAATTTGTAGGATTTAATACTAAATTCAGGTTTGTCAGGATCGTATGCCTTCGGTATACTAATATAATGTTCTGGCCTCGCAGATTCAGATATATATTTTCGTAAACTTTTAAAGGGGAATTTCGGATTGTTGTCGTTGATATCTCGAATTTGAACTGTTATAGGTAACAGTTGAAAACTACGCCCACGAACCATTCCTCCTTCTAATTTAATTAGGCAAGTTTCTTTGTTCGTACATATATAATCTCTATCGATAGTTGTTTCTGTCTTCAGTTCACCAAATTTCCCTAGACTAAAATTTTTTGAAAAATCCATTTCAGAAGTTTCGAAGAGTCTAAAATCTGCCTTAGATTCTTTTGATTTTAGGACATAGCCAACTACAGTTTTCGGCGGAGTTTGATCCAAAATTGAAAAATTAATTGAGTATTTTCCAAAACCTAGGCAAATGCGCAGGAAGAACAGAAAAATCCCGGCCAACATAATCCTTATTTGTACAAAGGGGAAGTCTATTGATTGATGCTCTTTTCTTAGAATAGCAAGAACGTTCACAACGGCACTGGATTATGTTTCCTTAATATCTAAAACGTATACATATACAGTAGTATATATTATTTAATTTTCCATGGTATACTCAGAAATAACATTACACTATACAGAAATAAAAAGAAATACCATATCATATCGACACTTCATTATTTCAATTCTCTTTGGAGAGCAGCCGTCTAAAGAGGTTGAAGTGCTCGTTGTCACACTAGACGGCGTTGATGTTGCATAATTTGTTACACTTTAAATATAGACCTTCAGCAAATCTTTGTTGTCGAAGATTAAAACAGAGAAGAGAATAGCTCATTTTTATTTGATAAATAACTTTCTCTTTCATAATTCTCGTATTTGATTGATAGTTTTTACTCTGAATGGACAGTCAATTAGAAAATAGCTATGAGACTTCAAAGAAAACCCACAGCGAGCGCATGATGAGAAATTTGATCTTTCTCTATATTACTCTGAGTCGCGACATTTGCTAATTTAAAAATACATCTTGTCTAAAAATAAACTTATAAGTAGTCAACTGTAATTAGATTTATCAACAGAAATATCAATGTAGCTTTTTTAGTCTAAGTATTTTAAGGGTACTCGAATTCCATAAAAAAAACTCATATATAGTCTGTTTTATAGTTTGTGGTTGATCTACAATATGCCTATCAGAATCTAAAAGCTATTGTTATTAAGTTTCATATTGGATTTTAAATAAACGCGCGTTGAAACCGGAAGTTTAATTCTGCATGATACGAAATCTTTCTATTTTTTACGAAAGAAAACACATGGTTGAAATTCAATCCATTGCTCTTCGGTTTTGCACTTGTTAACTCTAAAAAACTTATTTCTGTGATAATTGTTAAGAGTTTTTTTGATATTATCGTAACATACAACTTAAACAGCCTAATGGATTTGTCTGACAAAAGTAATTCTCACCATAAGTTGAGCGATAATCTAATAATTTTCAATTATTTATAGACAATTTTGAAAATACGGGTAAAAACGTTGAGTTTTTGGCATCTGAGGAAGTATCCTATTTATTTGAGGGAATAAAGAACGAAAGTACAGAGGAATTTAGAGAAGTTATCTTAAAAAATGCAGCTTCGAAACTCCAGCAATGTACTAATGAGATGGAAAGCTTTACTATGTAGCTATTATACATCCCATAGTTATTCTTAAGAATGTATTGTTTTCTTTTCTTAAAGTAAAGTTCAGCTGCATGATGTGGGAAATACAGCCTTGAAATTATTCACAAAAAACAATTGGACAGGACCAAGATGCGATGAGAATAAGCTATTATTCAAATTAAAACCTCAGTTGCAAAGTATTAACCTAAACGTAACTGTTACCTTTTTATAATATGATATATAATTAAATTTTAATAAAAATTTTCATTTTCAGATATTTCGTAAAAATGCTGTCAATGCTTTGGGGATTGATGGACAAACAGCTTATAAGTTGTGCTACGCCCCCGAATATTTATATCTAGCGAGAATAATATTTGTGGAGCTTAAGGATTCATCTAGCCTTTTATTGGTAATTAATTTGTCAATTTGAAAACATTGCCGATACTAACTGCCTTTAATAATCTATATCAAACGTTTTCAGCTTCCATTTGTATCTAGGTTGCGATACGTTAGAGCTCATCAAGCTCTATTAGAGGAGAGATCAGCAAGTTTAAAATCTATTTTCAAAGAGTGCGTCGAAGCTTTCTCGGAAAGATTTAAAAGCGATTTAATTCCCAAAGTTTTAAAAGTTAATTGTCTCTTACAAATCGGCTATTTAGAATATTTCTATTATGAGTCTAGCTTAGCAAGAGAGAATTTTATGGAAGCTGTAAAACAGAGTGGTTTGAAATGTGAACTCACAGGTATATCGTTAATTTACTTAACATAATCTTTCATTCATTTTAACGTCATATTTTATGATATTATAGGTGTAATGGGTAAACGTACCAGATTTCAAACTAGTGAGAAATCTCAGTTGGTGCTAAAAATAAAAAGATTATCCGATGATGACGAAGATAATATGCCTGTAATTGATCTAAGTGCCTTACCCATAGACTGCCAATTAAATGATGAAGCTGTGCTTGATAAAATGAATCTATTGGAGAATGAAAAAGAGTATGGTGGAGACATCAATTTGAAACCGCACGAATCTGCTGTAATTTTAGGATTATGGTGAAATATTGTTAATTTATACTATTATTATCTAAATTGTTTTACTGTTAAAGCTTTAATCATCGGAAAGTGAGGGAAGGCCAAGGCGATATTATCAAGGAAGAATGCTTGGCTTATGTTCAAAGAGTTTTAAAGTCACCATCATGCTGGGCTGTCCAATATAAAGCCCTCTTAATGCGAACCGATTGGGAGAGTGATTCTATGAGAAGAGTCGAGCGCAGTATAGCCCAACTAGAAGTAAGCCCTTACTATAATATATATAAACGATAATATCTCTTTGTTTATATATTATTAGCATCTAGTCAGCCAATATTTGAAAGCTTCAGAAGAGACAGATTGGGAGAGCAGATTACATTATGTCTATTGTTTAAATTTACCTCCAATATGGGAAGTTGAGGTAAAGGCTTTTCTTTGAATTTTAATGTTTCTGACTAATTATTATTGAACAGAAAGAGCTAGCCTACTTTTTCCTTCAACTTGGCTCTACTAATGCAGCTTTGGATGTTTTTATAAGATTAGAACTCTGGGAAGATGCTATAAAAACTTATCAGAAAATGGGTAGAGTTGGAAAGGTATGAATCTCTTAAATAGCAGTTAGCTGAACAATTAAATTTAACTTTGAATCTAAAGGCCGAAGAGATTATTAGGAAATGCTTAGAAGAGGAAGAAACCCCATTATTGTATAGTTTTCTTGGAGATGTAATATTCTTTTATATGATTCTCTACTAATTCTTTAATTCTCTTTACTTATAAACTCTGCGATTTGATTTACAGGTAACAAATGAGGAAGAGCACTATCTCAAAGCTTGGGAAATGTCCAATGGAAAGCTAGCGAGAGCAATGAGAAATTTAGCCTTATTACGAGTACATAGGCGAAAATTTAAGGAATCTTTAGACTGTTTTAAGAAAGCATTGAATATAAACTTTCTTCAGGTTTGAATAAAATAAACTTATATTCACTTCATAAATCGTAATGCAATGAATTCTCAATCTATATGTATATATAATATATCTTATTTTTTTAGGTAGGAGTTTGGTTTTCATATGGTTGCGCCTGTATGGCGAGTGAAGAGTTTGAAGAGGGATCTAGAGCATTTCGAACTTGCGTACAGATTGATTCAGATGTAAGTCTCTAATTTGTTGTAATGATTACTTGGCGTAAATTAACATCCCACCGAGTTTGACGAAATTGTCCGTATTGAGCAAAGACGTAATCTAAAAAATGTAAATGCTGTGGACCATTTCTTATGAGTATTTCCCAAGCTGGTTGAACAAATTTTTCGATTGCATACGTTCGAAGACTGTCTTGTATAATCTCTATCCAAGCTAATTGAAACTTTACTCGTTGCAATCTTTGAGCCGGAATTGATCTCGTTGAGTTTTCCAATCGATCCAATTTTCTTTTAGCGTCATTATAATACCATGTCAACTTTTCTAAATCATCGTCAATGTGAGACATTGCTCGTCGCAAATCTTTAACAAACTTAATGACATTTGTTGGTCTGTCCTCACCAAGTGCTTCAGGATGAGGATGGGCGGCCATACGAGTTCTATACGGATTCATAGTTGTGTAAGAACAATTAACGATTGTAAAACGAATGACAATTAGCTATTAAGCTTCTATTATATGGTAAACTCGTCAGCTGGCAGCCTATTGACAAAGGCGTTTGTCGTGTGACATTTGAATGAAATGAGTAATTTATGTCAATTATTTACTGTCATGTTTTGTTTTTTCTATAGAATTTTGAGGCGTGGGCCAATTTGACAAATTGTTATATACGCTTAAAAAAAAAGTAAGTAGACAATGTTGTGAATTATATGGCATTTCCGATTAACTAACTTATATACTTTCGAGCAGAGATCGAGCTTTCTCAGCTTTACAAGAAGCGATTAAATGTGACTATGAGAATTGGAGACTTTGGGAGAATATGCTGTGGGTTGCAACTGATGTCAGTGAATTTGATTGGGCAATTACAGCATGGAATCGTCTTCTTGATTTAAAAGAACGTAAGTTATGATTTTTACTTTGTTGAAAAAGCCCGATTTCTTTTATTTCTTCAGGCTATGTGGACACTGGAGTTCTGGTTATTTTGGTTCGGGCAGCCATTGAAAAGTTACCCACCAAATCGGGAAAGCAGGCTAGCAACTACATACCAAAGTTGGCTGTTTTATTCGGACGGCTGATCTCAAAGGTTACCACTGATGGATTAGTTTGGCGAAAATACGGTGAACTCCTACTTAGTGTATCTGATTCAGCTGTAGACGTAGATCGGGTTTGTTGATAAATCTTCAAACAATGAATCCACTAATAAAATTATTCTTTTTATCAGGCTCTCCAATATTACGTAAAAGCTCTTAATTGTGATACTCAAAAATCTGATTGGTATCGTGATAGAGAAGCATGCAAAATAGTTCTAGAAGCTGTGTTGGATACTTTATCAGTATTTGATAGCTATGCAAAATTGATGGAAGAAAATGAGAGAAAACAAAGAAATTTTGCAGCAGAGGTTGTTATTAAAAGAATAGTTAGCGCCGTTAATAAAGATTATAGCAGTGACGAAGAAATTCAAGAACTAGCCTCGAAGGTTTCTTACGTATCACTTGAATAGCTTACTTGGACTGCACTTTTTTTTAACACACTTAGGGAAAGTCAGAAAATAACTTTTTTAAGTTTAAAATAGCTATCTTGTTTAAGAATCAATAAATATTTTTGTTAGCTAACTGTTTATATCAAAATGTATATAAAATAGCTTGTTTTTTTAAGTGGTAGACAGGCTGGTACTGCAAGTTTATTACTCTTTTTTTCTCTTTATGAAATTTATCGTTAAGGTCAAAAAAGTAGAATATTTTATCTAATAATAAAACAGACTTTTTCAAGTGTCATCAAATGTCTAAATTCTCTATGTAATCAAATTTTACATTTAAAGAAATTAGTGCATTTTGTTATTTTTATCTTAGTATTTACAACAGCAAAAAAAGAAATTGACGTTTTTCAAGTACATAAAAATCTTATATATAAATGTGCTAAATATAAATGAAAATGTATCCATTTGATTTAAATAATTCTATACAAAACAGAAACGTAAGACTGATCTTTCACGTGTTTTAAGTACACTTGTAGGCCTTCAAGGTGATCGATCTCGTCAGATGCCGCTACTGTACAAGCAAGTCGAACGTTGAAAACAATCACGTGCTCACTTTCCGACAAGATGGCCGATTATCACCGTCCCGACTCGAAAACCGTGCAAACTTTAAAAGACATAGCTAACAAGCTACGTATTCATTCTATTGAATCAACGAACGCTAGTAATTCGGGGTAAGATATGGCTAATTTGATAATTGAAATCAATTTGTACTTTTTATGCTCTTGAGAGACCGGCGAAGAGCCATTACTTTTTATACGCTGTCGGCTTCAAAACTTCTTTCCAGCCAAAATACATTTAATTCGTCTGACAATTCGAACATACCCCTGTGAGATTTGCTTACTTGTGGAAGCAAATTTTTGTTTTCGAAGAAATTAGATATGTGGAAAATAATTATATACTTTTTCAAATACACAGTTAAGCACATTTACCTAGATAAATTAATAGACTATTATCGATAGATTTGAAGCAATAGGCCTGATTTTCTCATATGACTATTCAACAAAGAATTATGAATAGCATATAAACAGATTGAACATTTTATGTAACATATTATATAATTTTTCAGACATCCAACATCATGCTGTTCTATGGCCGAAATTATGTCTGTCCTCTTTTTCCATACAATGAAGTACCGAGTAGATGATCCCCGCAGTCCGTCTAATGACAGATTTGTATTGTCTAAAGTATGTATTTTTTAATATCTTGGAGCCTCTTGGGTAATAGGTGAAATTTGAACCTAACTTCTCTTAAGAAAGTGACAGCTGATAAGTTATTAAAAGAACCGTCTTGTATATCTGTCAAATAGTGAAGACATCTGCAGCCTTTCCAAAGGCTTTTTTAGTTAAAATTATAAAAGAAATCAGTTTATATAAATATAATTTGTGAACAGCGAAGTGATGCGACTTGACTTCGCCTTTAAATAAATAGATTGTTATTCAGAATATGAGAAAAGGTCATTTTCACTGCTCAAGGGCTTTTTTTGACTGTAATTAGTCATAATCGCGCACACTTTAAACATATTGTCCTCAAACAGGGTCACGCTGCCCCAATCTTGTATGGTGCTTGGGCTGAAGCTGGCCTTTTCCCAACTTCAGATCTCTTGAACTTGAGAAAGATCGACTCTGATTTGGAAGGTACTAATTTCTTTTTTTCTCCATTTTTATGCATAATATAATTCACACAATATTAATGTTTCTTCAATTATTGTACAATTTGACTTCATCAGGTCATCCTACTCCTCGTTTGAATTTCGTTGATGTCGCAACAGGATCACTGGGTCAAGGATTGTCTTGTGCTGCCGGCATGGCATACACAGGAAAGTACTGGGATAAGGCCGAGTAAGTGATCTTATCTCAAATCATCTGCTGATTTAAAAGCGACCTTCTGATCGTTAATGTTTCTAATAGTTATCGCGTTTATTGTGTCATCGGTGATGGAGAGAGTGCTGAAGGTTCGATTTGGGAGGCCTTGGCTTTCGCAAGCAATAATAAATTGGACAACTTGGTTGCTATCTTTGATGTTAATAGACTTGGTCAAAGTGAAGCTACGGCCTTTGGACATGACGTAGCAGTCTACCAAAGACGATTAGAAAGCTTTGGGTAAGCTTAAAGAATTTACTTCTAAAACTTATTTTATAATAATAAAAATTCCTTAGATGGAAAACTCATGTTGTTGATGGACATTGCGTTGAATCCTTATGTAAGGCTTTGCATGAGGCTCGTACTACAGAGGATAAACCAACTTGTATCATCGCTAAAACCCTTAAAGGCAAGGGAATAAATGGTATTGAAGATGAAGACAACTGGCATGGCAAACCAATCGGTGCAAAAAGTGCAGAAGCACTAGAGGTTATCAAAAAGAATATCATCAATTCTGGACCTCACGGTATTTATCCTGCTACACCAACTATGCAAGTTCCTCACAATGACATAAGCAACATTAGGCTATCTGATAGTCCCAACTATGAGATCGGGCAAAAAGTTGCCACTAGAGCTGCCTATGGAACAGCTTTGGCTAAGATCGGCAAAAACTCTAAACACGTTGTTGCCCTGGATGGTGATACTAAGAATTCAACCTTCTCTCTGAAGTTTCGAGAAGCTTTTCCAGAACGATTTATTGAATGCTACATTGCTGAACAAAATCTCGTCGGTGTAGCCATGGGTTGCGCTACTCGCGACAGAACAGTTGCTTTTGTTTCTACTTTTGCAGCTTTCCTCTCCAGAGCTTACGATCAAATCAGAATGGGAGCTCTCTCTATGACAAATGTTAACTTTGCCGGCTCTCATGCTGGTATCTCAATCGGAGAAGATGGACCTTCTCAGATGGCTTTAGAAGACTTGGCTATGTTTAGAGCAGTTTCCGGTTCGACTGTTTTCTATCCTAGCGATGCTGTTTCAACTGAGAGAGCTGTTGAATTGGCTGCAAATACAAAGGGTATTTGCTTTATTAGAACTAGCCGACCAAACTTTCCTGTCTTATACAAAAATGATGAAACATTCGAAGTTGGAAAAGCAAAGATCGTTCGTCAATCAAATATTGATCAAGTAACAATCGTCGCATCGGGAGTAACTATGGTCGAGGCAGTGAAGGCTGCTGATCAGGTTTTTATGATAGTATTTGTATTAAGATATTTTTATCTTTAAAATTTAAACACAGCTTGCAGCCAATGGAATTAATGTCAGATTAGTGGATCCATTTACTATTAAGCCAATCGATAAGCAAACTCTTGCTGATTGCGCAAAGTCTACTGGAGGAAAAGTCCTCACCGTTGAAGACCATTACCCTCAAGGAGGTATTGGAGAAGCCGTTTCGGCTGCTTTGTCTGAAGAAAAAGATGTTGTTGTTAAGATCTTGGCAGTAACAGGCCTACCAAGATCAGGAAAGGCTGATGAACTTCTGGACAAGTTTGGAATTTCTGCCAGATGTATTGTTGATGGGGTCACAGGCTTAATTAAACTATAAAAATAGACTTTAGAGCACGGTAAATAATAGATAAAAAATTAAAATATGGTTTAAATTGTTTTGTATGAATTATGCAACAATTATATGCGCTAAGTCCTATTTTTTGGAAAATTTCAACATATGATCGTTTACATTTCAATTGAAAGTGAATGAATACACTACAATTACAAACTATTTTTGAGTTGCATGCAAGCGTATTCAGTTGCACACATTTTCAATAAGCTAATCTTTGCCCTGATCTAAAGTACTCTTTTTGAATATTAGAAACCCGAAACCTAAAATTCGATGAACTTTTTAACTTTTCCAAATTTTGCGTGGAATTCTTAAGATCGTTTTAAGAGATGAAACCATACTTTTAGCAGACAGCTAAACTAGGAGTACACTTTGCTGTTATTAAATTTTCTCTTTTTGACTTTATTTCTTTCTGATATATGATATTTTAAAAACAAAAATTATTTAATTTAATTTTTTTGCTTTCATGAAAAAAAAAGTATTAAAAAATTGTTGATCCTTCAATAAAAACTAATTCGTAACTCCTCCCAAATATCGCTCAATTGTATCAGTATCAGATTCGAACGTCACTGCAATACTGACGTGGTCTCTTACTTCAATTAGTCTCAAATTCAGAAATGGGTTCAATTTTATGGATTCCAGTAGTGCTATCTCTGGCAACAGCCTACTTGTACTTTCTATCTATGAGCGCGCCTTCATTAAAAGAACAAGATTCGAAGTAAGTTTAAATATATAGTAGTTGTCTTAGGTAAGTGTATTAGAAAACGTGACACATGTGTCATTTTTGAAAACATAAGATACACTTTTAAATAATCCAAGAAATATTAAACATTATAAGCTCAACTTTGATTATGGAAATCTGTAATAAATATTTTAAAAGTACATCTCTATTTCCTTTATCTCTTAGATCTATACAGTAGATTATATAAGTTATACATTCCTAAGTCCAACTTAAATTGTATGGAATGATCTTTTAAAAATATCTGCATGTCTCATAAGTTTTTTAATACATATCTTAGAGAGAATCATGCTAAGACAAATGAAACATTCTTTAAATTTGTTCTTTTTTATTTCAGTGTTCTAAAATTTCCATCTAGTCTTGAAGATTTAACGAAAGTTGCGAAATTACTGAACAAGTACAAAAGTGAAAACTTTTTGTTTGTTTTTATCTTATTTTGCAGTGCTTATTTATATAAACAAACTTTTGCTATTCCTGGATCGGTTTTTATGGTAAGAGAGAAAATAGAATTTCAAACATTATTATTATACTTATATAATTATTATTTATGCTTTTTATATTATTACTAAACTTTTTAAATAGAATTTATTGGGTGGCGCTATCTTTGGTAGATTCTATGGATTTATTTTAGCTTGCTTCTTAAGTGCTACTGGAGCTACTTGCTGTTTCATGTTGTCAAAATTTTTTGCAAAACATTACGTTTTGAAATATTTTCCTGAAAAAGTCAATTTAATTCGCAAAAAGGTTTAGTTTAAAATAAATTACTTCTATATCACAACAAAATAATTCTTTTTATCGTAGATTGAGGAAAATAATGATGGTCTGTTATATTTTCTTCTGTTTCTCAGACTTTTTCCAATGACTCCTAATTGGTTTCTTAACATGGTGTCTCCAATATTAAATATACCAGCTGGTTTATTTTATATCTCAGTTTTTATTGGTATACTTCTGTTCTCTATTAAAGTTTTCAATATAATTACACTTGTTGTTTTTCTTCAGGTTTGATGCCATACAACTTCATTTGTGTTGAAACAGGAACAACTCTCTCATCACTCACTAGCTTAGATGATCTTTTATCTGCCAAAACTTTATTGAGTATGGGAACTGCAGCTATTGTTGCTCTAGTTCCTGGCTATTTGATTAAAAGAAGACAACAGAAGAGAGAACTTTCTAAAATGTCATAGTACTCTACGAAATATACGCTTAAAGCACATTTAGTAAAATTAAATCTTCATTTCATTATAAATTTTTCATGAATAGATTTAAGAGGTGATCATTTATTTTTCAGATTAAAAATTCGCAAGCCATAAATTTCTCAGATTTATACCTGTATAAAAAGTATCACTGAATCGCACAATAGGATTGAGCTGAGATAATAAAAAAATATGGAGATAAATATAGAAGATCTCTCAAGAGAAAAATTATGGAGAATTAACAGTCTATGTTTCAAACTTAAAGAACAAATTGAAATAGAAACAAATAATAACTAGAAAACAGGGTATCTTGTTGAGACACCGCTAAAACTCAAATGTTCTTTATCTTCTCTACCATTTTGTTCCAAACGGAATGAATGGGCTTTTCCCAAGAGTTCATCTGTCAATCTAGAGCGTCTGCTATGACTTTGTGCAATTTTTTCCACGTCTGCGACGGTCTACAAGTAAATATTTAGTTAAATTTCAGAGAAAATTTATACGCAGTATATATATATAAATTTATATGCATAAACAATAGTTACAAAATCTCCAGGATTTCTCTTAGAATATTTTAAATCCAAATTCGAAGGCGGCTTTTTAATATGTGGTTGACAGATTTCCCATCCAGTTTGGCAATGCTAAAAGATTTAAATATACTGTATATATATAACGTAAATTGACTTTAGAATTGAACTTACCGCGGCCAAAGAGCAAGAATCAGTCCCTTCATAATAACCTTTGGCTCGAGGACGGAATCGATAAGCTTGTTCTAGTGTGGAACGAGGAATGCTGACTCTGTACATTAATTTTTTTAAAAAAATGCTTGAAGTTTCAAGTTAGTTGTATGAACCTAACAAAACCAGGATCATCTTCAACAGGCTCTTTTCGAGTGGTATGACAAACAGGACAGACACTTCTTCCTTGTTCGTCTGAATAAATCGGCTCTGTAAATAGCCTTTTGTTGATGGTAAATCCATGAATACCTATAACATATAATACAAAAATTGATTGAGAGGGCGTTGTAGCTAAGCTTACATTTGTGTCCTGGATCAGATATTTCAGGAGATATTGGTCGTTCAACGTCGAGACCGAGTATTTTGCTATAGAAAGACAGTAATAAATAAGATATCAGTTACTTTACGTTGTAAGACAAACGATGGATTAGCTGAGGTCATGCATTCTTTTCTATGTAAATTACGAAATTGTCTAAGCTCTTCGAAGTAATTTTCTGATTTATCATCGAGATTATGATCATCGTCATTTTCTAAGTTAGCAGCAATCCAGTCGTATCCTAATAAAGGATCATTGTTCTTTCCTGCAAAGTCATAATGTTCTTATAAATTTATTGTTATATGATAAAAGTAAAAAGGTTTCATGATTTCTGAACTTTTTCAAATACAAAGGATAGAGAATAATTTATTAATAATTCTAACCTCTTGTCCATAAACAAGTGTTAACAGTTGTAGGATAATCGTCAGACGAGGGTTTCTATAGTTGACAGATTACAGTTTATGAATTTTTATCTTAGTAATTAAAATATATTACCTGATTTAAAGTATCCTTCTGTTTCCTCTTAGCAAGCTCTAATACCGTGCTAGCATTCTGTCTGTCATTTCCATCGGAGAATAAGAGCTTCTTTTTTCTGTCATTTTTCTTTTCTTGACAGTCCAAGGCACTAACTGATCTTTCTTCAGATCTGTCTGTAGTATTTTTTAAAATTGATCTGGGAATAGTTGCCGAAAATTCTTTTGAGCAATTCAACTTCATTCTAGCATCTTTTTGAGAATCCTTATCAACCCATATAGTATTTATATCATCTTTAGTCATGAGAGGTCTTGAAAATGTTTCAAAATCTTCTGTACCACTAACCTTTGGATCATCATAAAGTTCTATTTGGTCTATATGCTTGCTAGTTTCCACATTCCCACTTGATTTTGTAAGCATAATAAGCTGGTGAGCCTTTTTCTGTCCGGCTTTCAAATATTCAATATATTTTCTATTTAAATATCTTAAATTTTCGCATTCATTATTAACACTATTCATGATATATAGTGATTATTGTGGTTTAAGTAAAATAAGAACTTTAGATTCCGTTTAAACTGCATAAAGAAGACGAAATTCCAGAATATCACCAAGATTGCCCTGTAATCGATATAAGCGCCACCTGTATTCGAAAAAATGTGAAAATTTGAATGGACATGCTTTTATAGCCCTATAATGGAATTGAGTCGTAATAGAAAAGCAAAAAAAATACTACTATATAAACCGAATTAATGAACGTTTTATAGTATTGTCCCCCTAAAATTTTCAATTGTTATGTTTTAATTGATATCGAGGATTAAATCGCGAATTGGTACTTGTTAATAGTTTTTGCAAAAAGAACTTATGGCTCAAAAATAAATAAAGTACATTTTTATCATAGACCATTGCATTTTTTGAGGTTAATCCCAATTGCATTTCCTGACATTGTTATGAAGCATAACAGTTTATTATTTTTTTTACCCGTAATATAGATGTCAGTAGTGTCGAACCGAATTTTTAAAACCGATTTTAAACCGGTTATAACAAATAATCACATGACTGACTTCTCAAAATGGCACCCCTACTAGTCATATTATTAGCATTTCTTCAAATTTCCCTGCAATCAGAATATGTTCCCGTAGTTCTATGGGGAGATAAAAGGTAAATAGTTGTATTTAACATGGAGATGATAATAATTTTTAAACCACTTGCTGCAGCATTAATTTGAAGGAAAGTTTGGTTGGTCAAACAATTTTAGAATCAGAATTTCACAACCTTTATTTAAAAGATTTAAAGGATGACCACGAACGTTCAATTATATTGTTCTCTACGAGTTCAGTTAGTATATCATTAATTTAGCGGTGAATAATGAACATTTTAAACACATAATTTTCATACAGTTATCAATTGAAGATTTCAGCAAATACTCGGATGCATACAATGAAAAGAGTAACGGGGCTGCTTTGAAAAATTTAAAAGTAAATATAATTATTGATACATCTTCATTCTAATTAAATGCTATATTTTTATAGAATCGAATAGAAAATAGTGAATCAAGGCAACTCATAAGCGTAGAGAATCCGTTCGATGCTGTAATGGCTTTAGGACAAAATAATGTCAACTTATATAAAAAATATAAGATTGATTCAATAGCGAATTTTCCTGATATTGCTGAACAAAAAATCCTTTTAATTGTGTCTCTACCCGAAGATGCTGAAGAGTCGGATACGCTAATAAATTCAGTTTTGAACAAATTCGATTCAGTGAACAAAAAATACTTGGCTATTTTCACTGGGGAAAAATCATCTTCCACTCAAAATGTAATATTTTAATAGTACTATTTAAGACAAATTTATTAATCATATTTTCCAATAGGCTGTGAGAATTGGAAGACATATACTAGAAGAAAAAGAAAAAAAACAACCAGTACCAACTATTTTAAAATGTGGCTTAATTTATCTAAAAGGAGCAAATATATCCCTAAATGCTTTGCAAAGTAAAGATCCAGCCCAAAAATATTACGTACCAGTAAAATCTTCTGATATAAAAGCCGATTGTGCTAAAGATGGAAAGGCAACGTAAGAATTGAAAATAAAATAAACAATGCCATTCTATATTCATAAATTAATTGTTTACATATTAATTTCAGTGTAACAATACCATTTGAGGATGGTGACAAAAAGATTGAACTATCAGTTGAGTAAGTAAAAATAACTTATATTAAATTATTAGCCTTTGTATTTTGTTTTTTTTATTTTAATTAACAGACTTATGTCAACAATTCTTACCAAAAATAAAGCATTTACAAATCCTCCTTATCAGTTATCAAATTATTCTGTACATTTAAAGACTGAAAAAGGTGAAGAAGTAAATTTTGTATCTCCAAGGGTTGATTCAGTTGGCCCTAGAAAATCATTTCATTGTGGCAATTTAGTGTTAAATAATAAACATGAACCTGGTAAAAGAACTTATGATGTTTCTGTTATACTAAATAGCTATCAAATTCAAGTAAGCTTACTTATTAAATTTTTAATAGAATTATTGTTAATCATGAAAACCATAAAATAATTACAGATGAATGTGACTGAACCTAAAGAAGCCGTTTTCCATAATGCAGAAGATTGTGTAGGCTTCTTCACGACTGCTATTTGGTCAGGATTAATCGCGGTTTTTGTGCTAGTTGTTGTTTTGGTCTTCGCCATCTTAATGATTATGGATATTAAAACTATGGATAGATTTGACGATCCAAAGGGAAAACATTTAAATTTGGGTAAAACCGAATAACTATAATTTCTTTTTAACTATGTGTACAATCAATTCCGTTATTTCAATTGTAACTTTGCATTCCGAAGACGTTAGCATAGATGATATTAGGATATTGTGTTGGTTACAATTGGCCCCTCAATTAATTATCGAATGAATGAATGAATGAATAAATATACACATAAACACATAAACATATGAAAATGGTAAACAAATATACAGTCATATATATATTATTTAACGTTCTATTATCAAATTGTGTTGTATCCTAAATTTTTGCTATTATTTACATTAAATTGAATTGTTTTTTTTTATTCAAAACTATATATTCTAACATATTCCTTCGGCTCTCATCATCATAAAAAAGTAGAATAATTCAAACATCAAAACTTAATCTATCTAAATATTTTCTATTATTCCAACATTCCATAAAATACATTGATTCCTCTTTTAGCCTTAAAAGTAACAGTTAATTTTATTGTATAAAAAAGAAACTAAAAAAATCTCATGACAAGAATATCAGTTAAGCAGATCGAGATTCTATATACTTAAAGATATATAAAAAAAACAATTAATCTCTAATATTGGGGATAATCTTTTAGGTGTATTCCAGCCGGGATGTCTTTAGGTGCTTCTCTCATTTCTCTCCTAATGATATTATTATAGACGCAGAAAGCAATTGAAGCAAATATATAAAAGAAAGTTGCCAAAAGAGCCAACCCGTAAGACCAAGATAAATAGTTAAGATGTTGATGAGGCATCCAATGCCAATCGTAATAAACGCAACAACCAAAAGAAATAAAATCCAAAGCAAAGACGATAGCTGTTATGATTAATTTCAATTAAAAAAAAACTATACTTGGGATAAATCATTCAATATACCTGATACTACAGTTGTAATTGTAATTATGTTTATCTTCTTTATTGGTGGGTTCTTTTCAATTTTATTACTTGGTCTGGTCTTCATCCAGACTATTGTGCAAAATATCACATTTAAAAGTTGAACGAAGACGCCGACGCTACAGACAACCTGGTTTACTACAAACCAACCAGGCATCATCCAACTTCTTATATTTTCAAATTCTGGAGCTAAGGTCCACCAGCAACCATGATAAGCTTTCTGATCTGGATCTCTGGGCAGTATCAGACCAGCAAAACAAACTTGCCATAATCCTATACGCTTAAAAGGCGAGTGCACTCGAGGCCAAGAGATATACCAATAAGGACTACAAAACGCTACTATCAGTAAGATAGTGGCCAAGATAACGAGAATATAGCCTACATTATAGACTATTCTCTTACCAGCACCTCTGCGTACACCTTCCGCCATTTTACTGATAGTCGCACCTGAGGTGCTTGACGCGCCATCTGTTGTCTAATTGAAGTGTAAAGGTAAATTCCCTTGGTTCAGAGCAATATTTGTAAAAAAAGATGAAATTAAAACAGTTTATTCGTAAATTAACTAAACTTGGCTAAAAATCAAAATGTACATGTCTTATAGAAAACTTAAAAGTAAAAAGTATATATATATATATATATATATAAAAAGTAGAATGAAATAGATTTAAGCTGGGTATCCCTTTAAACTGGCCGTCGATTCATCGTATTTTGGTAGAGCTTCGTATTTCAACATCAATGTATAGGTACATATTGATATGGCAGCGAACGCCGAGAAAAATCCACTGAGAACTGCAAGGCCGAAGGACCAACCTAAGTAATCAAGATCGAATCTTGGCATCCAAGTTCGATCTTCACCGATCATAACTCCGAAAACTATTACTGAAACTGCAATGCAGAATGTGTTGATAATTGTTAAACCACATGCAATCAGAGGAGCTTTATCGTGTCCTGTAGATTTTCCAACTTTTATTAATACCACAACAGAGAGAATTTCAAAAACCACAGCAAATGACATTAATGATTGTACACTAATAAACCAGGCTGTTAAAAAAAGTTGTGATTATTATTTATGAAATAATTTGCGTTGTTCGGTACTTACATGGCATCATCCATCCACGTACATAACTATATTCTTTGTGAAACATCCACCAGCAGCCGTAGTAGGCTTTTCCAATATAATCGCTTGTGTGTTCATATCCATTGAAACAAGCTTCCCATAAACCTAATCTTTCAAACTTGTTATCATGTCCACCTCCTATATACCAATGCCCTGTACCATATGCGACTCCACATAACACTAGGGATAGGATCATAAGCCCTAGAGCCAAATAATACGGTGATCTGTGAACCATTTCTTTTTTTCTTAGTAGGTATATTGCACAGGTAAAATCAGATCGCCATTTTCTATTTCAGTGGAATATAGATGGCGTTAGTGTGATTTATACAATTGTCTCATTCATATAGTGTTTATCTTACCTGAAAAAGTCTGGATCCAGTTCCACGACAATTTGAGCTATGAGAATACCGCTACATGATAAGAGGCGGTTGAAAGTGGCTTGCTTAACAACCAATAAAGAAATATTTTATATTTTAGTGCGGTACTAAAATTCTTTCGCAAATCTTGGTTTTCCTGTAAAGTTTAAATATTTTGCTAAAATAACGTTTTGAGAATATGCCTACCGTTTTAAGAGCAAAATGTCTCATCGTAGGTTCGTTTTCATTTAAATCTTTAACTAAATTATATCCCAATCAACTTTGTATGTGTATTATATAAATCTCGAATTTTTTCGGTGATCGAATTATCGTTCTTTTTTCGTTTTTAAAATTTTATAGGAGACTCAACCGTTGGAAAAAGTGCAATTACTCAAGTATTTCATAGTGATGGTACTCATTTTCCCAAAACCTATTCAATGGTAACAAATAAGTCTATTTAAATTCAATTAGAAATGTTTCTTATTTTGTATTATTTATGAAGACAACAAATATCGAACTTGTTACAAAGCCCGTCCAGATTCCCGAAAGTCATGATCAAGTTGTAAGTTATTTAAAATTTCGAATATTCAATTACATAGAGAAGGAGTGATTTCTTATTCGGTTTCTTTTACAGGAAATGTTTCTCTTTGACAATGCTGGCAAAGAAGTTTTCTGTGATCAAGTTATGAAACACGTAATCAAATAATTTGCATATCACTTACAATTATATAATAATTCTTTGTGAACTTTATTTTTTCTAGTGGTCAAATCCATCATTACTAATGTTAGTCTATGATGTCACAAGTGAAACTTCATTTAGCAGCTGTAGTAAATGGCTAAGTCGGGTTCAGTCAATAAAATCTCATGGCACTGTACCTGGTGTTCTTGTAGCAAACAAAGTAGATTTAACAGAAAGACGTATCATATCTACAAAGGAAGGTGAAGAGTTTGCTAACAATAATAAACTTGATTATTTTGAAGTTTCGGCGGTAGGTTTTTAATGCAATATTCACATAATAAGAATCTATATTTAGAACACGCCAAATCTATACAGAAATCAATGGAAAATGTTGAACAACCGTTCATTCATCTATGTAAGAGATATTATGAACTTTATCGAGAGAAGATAGAACATTTTGAAAATCTTGGTTGTTCCGTATAGAGATTTTATCAACCCTTACTTCATAAACCATACGTAATCAATAAATAATATATTTATTACAATTTTTTCAATATCCATCCATAGAAACTGCACATATTAAATTTAATACAAGAAAGTGAATAATAAAAGACGAAAGGGTGTTAATTGCGAGTTTTTAATTAGCTAATTACGTTGTGTAAAGTACACCTTTCTTTTTAAAGTATTTATATGTCTTGTAAAAGAACACAGGAAGTTGTGATAAAATGTTTCTAAAACATTTCTTTTAAGCTTTGTTCGATCTAACTACCGTCTAAATATTGAATATAAAAGGCATTATTGCACTGAAGGAGAATTTACGGCCGGCTTTAGATGACCTGATTAGAGAATTCAAAAAAATTTTTACAATAAAAATATGTTATTCTAAATTCGTGTTGATAAGATCATTTAACTGATAATGGAAAATGCTGAATAACTGTACGCTTTATAGTTCAAGTGGCTTATATTCACTATAAGAAAGCGTGACTTTATGATTTACTCTTGTAGTGTTTAGATAGTACTCTATTTCATGTTTTTACGGATTAGAAACCTTTTCCTTAAAGATTAACCTCAAGAATGTTGAAAAAAAGTAAGGAAGATATTCTCATTTTAAACGATATAATAAATAGATCATCATTTTTTTATAGTTTTTTATTCGAGGATACAATTCGACCAGATTAAGATAATACTAAAAGAAAAAAAAGAAATAATCACCTTAAAACTTCAATCATTAAAAAACATATCGTTCGAAATTTGTTTATCAACAATATTTAATAAACTGATATTGTCTAAAAGCGGTTTTGGTAAGGGTAACTTATAGAGAGTTTTAAGGAAAAATGATCCTTTTGTTGCCTTGAACAACTGTGTTCGGATAGATATGGAGCACTGACGTTGTAGGCTGGGTGGATTATTTATTTCCATTGTAAGCCAATCTTGGTCATCTGCAGTTAAATATTCGTCTAGAGCTTTAGAATGAAAATCCGCTTTAAGTTTTGTATCAAAACTAAGCCAACAACCTGCTTGGACTAGTAAATAAGCTAAATGAACACGATTTTGCGTTATGGCTAGATGCGCTAGACTTGTTTGGTGAGCTGGTGTAGTTATTCGAACATTAGCACCATTAAGAATTAACAGCTCGGCGATTTTGCTTGTATTTTGAGTGTACCTGTACAATTTAATGATGGATTAGGTAATTTTTTAATTTAGCTATATATCAAACAAGTTCAAACCTGATATCGCAATATAAAGGGGATTGAGACCAGGTTGATGGTAGCATTTCTGATGAGGCACCAGCTATAAGTAGGCTTTTTAAAATGTCGTACTCCCCTTGTCTAGCACACATCCAAACGGCACCTCGACCATGATTATCGACAACATTTATATCCAAATTCTTAAATTGTAAGAGTTTCTTAACCATATCAACATTAGAAATTCGACAAGCTGTTACAATAGGCGCTTCCAAATTATTCTTCATTAGTTTACTCCGAACATTGACATTAACAGAAGCATTTTCTAAAAGGATGCTGAACAAATCATATTTATTTTGCGATATTGTTAAAGATAGGGCTGTTTTTCCAATGACTAGACTATTAACATCAGCATGCTTCTGTAAAAGTATACTAAGCACCAACTCCCTATTCCCAGCAATTATAGCTTGTTGTAAATCATGAGCTGGGTTACCTTTCGGTATGACATTGCTCACCATGTCTGCAATTAAAAATATTCATATGATTTTTGCATCTCTCTTCATTCTACAGCTGATATTCATCAATTATAGCAATCCACATATTGTTTTTGTCATATCTTAGATAAAAAACAAATACAATAGTTTAGATACTTGCCGAATAGTCAAATGGTGTTGATAATACCAAAACTGAAAAACAATTATCAACTAACTGATTGTTATTACGAGGAACTAATTTCTGGCGCTGTCATATATCGATTTGAACGATTAAACTTCTGTTAAATTCATATCGCTTTCCGATTAAATAGAGAAATCGATATTTCAATCGGCGATCTGAATAAAGTTGTAAAAGTTAGAATTTGTAAAATATAAATCTAATTTAAAGGCTAATTTTTAAAAATAATATATACTGCATATTAAATTTGATTATATTTAAAAATATTTTGATTAAAGAATACAAAAATATATCATTATATCGTATGTATTTTTATCGATTAGAGATCGATTTACATAATATTTACTATATCGCAATATTATTATCGGTGGTAGTGACATCTGAATATTTATGTATGAGAATATTTACTTGTACTATAGGTCTACTAAATGTTCTTTTTGGTACAACTCAACCTCTTTTTTTTATAAAAAAAAAAGAAAACAAATCTATCGTTTATCAACGTAAAATAAATTATTTTCATTCCAAAAAGCTTAATTTATCATTTTTCCTTTTTCGTATAAGATTACTATATTCTATTAACTTTATATCGATAATATTTAAAAACTGTATATCATATTTCACAGATTTTTAAGTGAATCAAAAAAAGATATATGAATTGCGCAGTAGTTATTAAATATTTTTATTTGCCATTTTGAACTATTGATCATATAAATTAAGATTGATTTTTTGTAAAAAAATATATAAAAAAAACCATAAAAAATACCAACAAATATAGAACCTATTTAAAGAGAAATTATCTAGCAGTTTGTATTTTGATCTTTCCTCTTTCTTCTTCTATTCCTTTCTACCATTCACTAGTTTCCGGTGGTTTCATTGTGTCATAATCTTTAATTAAATGTTCTCTAGCTTGTATCATAGCTTCCTTAGCTCTTTTGTAAGCTTCTAGAAGACTAAAGATATCTGCAGCTTGAGTTGTGCCAGCACCCATCTTTTCTGCCAGATTCCAGGCTTTTGTTCGCTGGTTCAATTTATCTTTAGCCGCTTTAGACTGATGGACGGCGTACAATCTAACGTTTAAATCTCCAGTACTTTCTGTTCTGAATCCATATCTACTCAAATGACTTCCTTGGAATGTTGAAGGTTTTGAGACATAGGTTGTATCCTCTAATTCAGCTGTTCCCCCAATAAAAAATCTTCTCAAAGACGTAAAGATAGATGTACCCACTGGACGCCAGCATTGTAATTGATTTTCAGTCTTTCCAGGCTTCAGAGGTACTTTTACAGAGGTATATCCCTCGGTTCGAAATCTCTGCCACGAATCGTAAGAAATAATCTCGAAAAAGAGTTCGGGCCATTCTAAAAAGTTTAGGTTACATATTTAATCTCAAGTTTTAAACGTGAAATATATTTTCTATCCTACCTGGAAAGTATTCTTGTTTTACTAATCTTTGAGGTGTATAAATCAATTCTATAGTGAAAGGGTGCGAAAAATGCGCAATGTTTCCTCTCCCCTCTTTTTTTAGGGAGCAAGTACAAGTTGTGCCAAAGAGATCCAAAGAATTAGTTGTCATCCAACCAGTAGGTAACTCTAAGAAATAGTTAACATACACTCCTGAATATTCAAAATTTTGAGCGCTGAGAATTTCTCCATTTAATACAATTCGTAAAGAATTTGGAGGAAGTCCATCAAAACCACTTGAACCAACAAAAGCTTTCAAGTTTTCTGCTCTTCGATTATAAATACTTTGGAACATTCTCTTTTCTTTTTCCTCTTCCTGTTTAGATGGTTGTTTACTCCAGTGTTCAATAGTATATTCGAAAAGTTCGCTACGTTTTCCCTCAACATTCACGCGATAATTTTGCCTACCTAAAAAAACAACAAGCTTGGTTATCATTGATTCATACAATAGTTCATTGACAAAAAGCTCAGTAAGTTACCTTTGTTAAAATTCGGCTTCATGCTTAGAACATTGTTAGAATAGTGTTTTATCGTGCACAATATGGCCTCATTTCCTTGAATAGCTGGTTCTTCTGCAGCATTTAAATCAGCCATGATGTACATAGTTATATACGATGCAGAACTTTTTGTGTTTTCACCTTTCCGCTCATAATCAACTTCAAGTCGTCTTGAAATTCCCCTTTGTCTCACAGGTGCTTTCCTCTCATCATTTTCAATAATTTCTGTCATATTCGAAGCTAGCGGTGTCATTTTTGTAGATCCTACAAAAGCATCGTGATCTACATATGAAAATAGCCTTTTGGTCTTCCTGCCTTCCTTAGAGAGAGATTTGTATCTTTGCTCCAAGCCATTCGATGGTGTAAAATTTTCACCCGAATATAATTCATATTCTCGTCTGCTTAGAACTTTCTCTTGCCATGCAAAAACATATTCTTCTGCGCCTGTTTGATCATCGTCAGATTGGAACTTTGGTAGATTGATGCTTGACGCCTTTTCCAATCGAATTCTCACTTTTAAATTTTTTATTGGGTCGCTAATTCTATAAAAACCTATCCCTGTATCGGGTTCGGTCAGAATATCTGACATTTTGGAGAAATACAGTTATCAGACACAAATCTATTGGCACTTTTTATTCTATTTAAAAAAATTCGCAGGCCCAGTCTTGACAGCGGAAGTAAACGATAGAGAGGAATGAGTAAGGCTCGGTGCTCCTCGTCGTCTTCAAAGTTTACAAAGAGTCGGAATAGTTGACCGAATAAAAAACATAGTTAACAAGGGAATAGTAGAAAAATGGCCACAAAAGAGATCACTGCTCAAATAAGCACCAAACAATCATCTACACCGTCGACGCCATCAGGAATAGCAGGAATATATAATGAATGTAAAAGAATATATCCAGAGCAGACCAATCCTCTGCAAGTCAGCGCCCTTATCAAATTCTGGTAATTACTTAAAAAATCAATTTTTCGCATAACCCTTTAATTTCGACTATTTAAGGCTTGGTGGTCCCGATCCATTAGATTACGTAAGTATGTATGTAAATGATGGCAACGAAGCAGATGGCATACCCCCTCATTGGCACTATGTTTCTTTTGGTTTGTCAGATTTACATGGCGATGGAAGATTACATGAGTAAGATTTAACATGATAAAATGTGTTATTTAGCTATATAGTATATATTTCAAAGACGTAGTAACGGAGATGGCCTTAGTGGCTATGGTTTTGAGCTAACTTTTCGCCTTCGGAGAGAACCAGATCAAACTACTCCTCCCACATGGCCTGCAACTCTTATGCAAACGTTGTCTAGATACGTTTTTCAGACTCGTTCGTATTTGAATAAAAGCTTACATTACATAATAATTGCTTTTGTTGCAGAAAATACACTTTGCGTTGGGGATCACATTCCATGGAACGTACCATTGGATCGTTCCGAATCCCGAATTCAACATATGCTAATGGCTCCTGATGCTCAATTAAAGCCTATAACGACCGATTTTGGATCATTATCTTTTGTACAGGTAAATGGTGCAGCAAACGTTTCATCAAGATCTTATTTTATCCTCGATATATGCATAGATTGTTGGTATATGTTTTGAAGAATTGAAAGCTGCACAACAGTGGAATGGAAACGGAGTGCTAGAACTGTTAAAATCTGTAAACTTGTAAGCCTAATTCTATTTTTAAAAGACTCTCTTGTGCAAACTCTTTTTAAACAGACCTGGTGGACCATGGCTTATCACCGATATGCGCAGGGGGGAGAGTTTATTTGAACTAGATCCGTCTACTCAAGTAAATTTTCTTATTTATATTCCTTTTTCTAAAGTGTCAATAAATTTATGTTCTCACGCCGAAATAGGAAAAGGTTGATTTGGGAATCGAAAAGGACGGATCAAATCTAGGTGGAGTTAGTTCGAAATGCTTCTGGGACGAGAGAGATTGTTGTATTTATGAAGATTTTGTACGGGATTGTAAAACTCAGTTACCTTGTGAAAGTGGTCGCAAAGACTTTAGTAGTGAGATTGATAAGAATGTTATATCTGAAAGAGGTAACTTTAATTCGTTTTAAATAATTAAATCAACTAAATATAACACAAAAATATCCTGTTCTTGTTTAAAGACAAGAATATGTTTTAATATGTTTCCTATTTCAAGCCGTGAATTGTTTTTTTTATAAATAATACTTGCTTTTACAAACATAAATGATTTTTTATTTTTTTTCAGACTCTCTTCAAATTAAGGAAACTTTAAAGAGAGGTTTAATAAATACCAAACCAACACTGCCTCCAATAAAATCTAGGTCTCGAAATCCCTCTAACGAGAAAGATGCTCCACAGGAACTACTCCAGACAAGATTCCTCGAAAGCGTTCATATTAGTTTAAATGCAGAATCTGCTTATCTATTACCTCTAGTTTTAAGGGGTAGAATTAAACATGGTCGTCATTTCACATTTAAAAGTATTATGAATGATAGCGCCATAACATTTGTGAGCCGTGATGTTGAGGGTGCAGAAGTAACAGATCGGAAGCCGTACGCTTGTAAAGGACAATGGTTACAGGTTCTAATTTCTGAGGAACTCTCACAAGCTATGCTTAGCGATTTAGAAGAATCTGACCAAGTTAATGTAAGTGTTAACATTTTGTTTGAATATTAAAAATTCAATAATGATTCCCTCTTTCAGTCTCTGCCTTTGACCTATAAATGGCCAGAACATCATTTTTCTTTGACAACCGTACCTGATGATATTTAGAATTTTTTTTATTGTTAAAAAGTTATGGTTACTGTATCCACTTGAATAAGTCAACCATTCTAAAACGTTTATATAAGTTTCTCTTTTTTTTCTATTAGAGAATATCTTTTGTTTATGACTGACAATATCTATTTAAGGTGACAAACAGTTCTCTCTGTTTTTCAATAAACCTTACTTAAAGTTGAGTTTTGTTTTTCAAGAAAATTACTTATAAATATATTTTAAAATGCAAATATCAAGTCTCCGTCATAACTATTCAGAAAAATTCTTATAAGAATTTACTAATACTGTAAAAAAAACTGTTAAAAGTGTAAAAAATACGAGAGAAAATGAACAATATAGTAGTAAGACTGGCATAGTTTAGATACTTTTTAAATATAAAAGGTAATTGTCAATAACTCTTTAAGTCTTCACGTTAGTATCTCAAATTATAACGTTTTTTAACTACTGTTTCTTTGCCAAATCCATATCGTCCCATCATCGCAAGCAGCTAATAAAAGAGAGCCATTGGATGATAATTGAGTTTGCCTAATTGCTGATGAACACTTTTGATGAGATAGTATAGTATGTTTAATACTATCAGGCTGTTCAACGTCCATATTCCATACATAGATTTTACCTGAAGTATTTCCTAAAGCTAGAGTCTTCTTTAAAAAGTCCAAACTAAATCTCATATACCAAAGTTCGCAGTCTTTCAATTCGAATATATGAATTATAGAAAAGAATTTTGTTTTCGAGTAGTCAACTTTTTTATCACTAAATCTCCCAGGTTTCCATAGGACAATTTGATTTTCACAACTTTTTGATAAAATACACTCTCCTACCCATCGTACGCAATCGACGTAATTTTTATGGATATCACGAGTAGTAAATTCAGCCGAATCTTCGATGAGTGTCGGAAAAGGTCTAATTATTTGAAAATTTAAATGATTAATTCATGAAATTTAATTAAACACAATCTAATAAACCTACTTTTGGCCTGTCCTGAATTCATAGGATAACTTAATAGCATCTTTAACTTCCTTCTTTCCTAAATTCCAAATTTTCAAACTGTGATCCATTCCTGCCGAGGTAAGATAGTCTCCTTGCATATTAATATCAACACTTAGAACTTCGGCTCGATGTCCCTCTGATCCTGCTAGTATTGCAACGCATAAATCGGTCTTTATATTCCACATTCTTATGGATTGGTCTGGGAAAAAAATACTTGAAATCATGAGCATATTTCATTCAATAGATTGTCTACCTTTTGACGCAGAAATCAATATATTCGGGTCAAGGGTATGAAACATTAGTTCGTTAATGGCGTGACCATGTCCAACGTAGTGCTTTAGTAATAAAAAATATTACTTAAAATTCTCTAGCTACAACTATTTTACCAATATTACCTTGACACATCTCATAAGATAAGGATTAATTACTCTTATTACTCCATTAAGTCCAGCCACAGCAAGGTAACATATACCTTGATAATCGGTAGTCCATGCGCTTGTATAAAAATGCTCTTTAGTATCTGGGTCACAGTAAGATTGCAACAATTTTACTTTTCCCGTTTTCGATACCTCATAGATGGAAACCTGGATATACGTGCAATAACTTCATAATTTGTTTATTTCTTTAAAAATTTTCATGATTTATGAACGTATACTCTACTAGATGTGTTATCTTCTTTCTATCAAGGTATTATTGAATAAAATCTTTTAAGATACAAACCTGGTTTTTGCCAACAGTGGCGAAGAGATAATTATCTCCATTAGTATTATTTTGGTGAAGATGAATTCCAAATATGGTTCCACCATGATCTTCTTTTATATGATTAACATATTCATATAGTTTTGGTCGTTTATATTTTCCTCTCCCTTTTCTTTTCTTATTCTCAGTTCGCGAAGCGTTCAGACTAGCTACGCTTGATCGTCTGGAACTTATTGTGGACAGAGATTCCGTCTCCTAGGGCAAATCGGAAAATAAGAGAATAATAATAAGAAAATTAATATAACATACTATTCCTTCGTCCGTATCATGTTCACTCTCGATTGAAGCATTACGTTTACTCCGTCTTCGAGTTTTTGCCGGGACAATTTCTTCATCCGACATTTTTGGGTATACCTAAATACCACAGCTGACAGCAATTACGACAATTGACGATTCGTAATTGGTTATGGTAAAATCTTGCATGTACATAAAACTTCAATTTCACGCTTTTTTTGAATTTTAACGTTATTATTTATTAATTTTTCAATTATCTCTATTAATTTCTATAATATTTGAACAAGTTTAAAATATTTGTCAGCTTAACAATAATTAGTTAGATATTTTTTTAAATATCCTTTTAAAAATCCACAACTACATTAAATTTAAATGTAAGTTTTTACGAATGTTATCATTTATGTATAGTTTAGCTAATTATAATTAATTAAATAATCATCTTGATAACTTTAAAAGGTGATCTCTTATAGAGTTCTTTACATCAATATTCTTTTCTAAGTAAAAATTTGGTTGTATTTTTGTATATTAAAAAAGGGTTTATAGGTTCAAATGGTAGAAACAAACTGAATTTTCAGATTGATTTCTTGTGACTTATTTGTATGATTTGCGCCAACAGTCTACTTCGCTAACTTGATCGAAGAGACCTCTTGAGGTTCTCTGACACGTCATTTTTGTATTTATTTCATGAAACTGGAAAGAATCATATTGTTTATTAAGGCATTATATCGCAAATAGGGATACTCTAACTACTGATCCAAATTTTCACATTAATACACCAATTAAAAACATGGTAATATAGTAATCAGTTAAAATATTTATTATTAACGTATTATCGCTCAAAGGATTTCTCAAAGTTTATGGAAGAGGACTTTGACGCTAAGGATTGGGTGAACGAAGCATTTAAAAATGAATTACAAGGGGCAAAAAAAGACGTAAGTGACAACAGAGTCAATTACATTTTAAAATACCTATTTCAAAAGAAATTTATAATCGGTTCTTTTAAGTTCAAAATCTAATAACTTCTACTAAGAGTTCAAATAAAACAAATTATATTTTAATCAGCAACATGCTTCGACATTAGTTATGAAATTACAAATGTACATACAAGAAGTAAACAATGTATTGGAAGAAAACTGTGAAGAAGCTTTAACAAGTCTAACTAGTGTTGCTCGACAAATGGGTGTTGTAAAACAAGAGGCTACAGTCCTTAAAGATCATATGATGGAAGTGAGATCCGATATAGAAAAAGTGGAACGCGAAACTGCATCTTCAATGCATCAAGTTGTTTATTTGGACATGTAAGTCTTGTTGTCTTTTATAATCAACTATTTCTATGAACAATATCATATAAAAATGCTTTTCAACCTTAGGGTTAAGAAAAGAATGTTAGAAACCAAGTCAGCTCTCCAACAGGCTGATAACTGGACAACTTTAAGTGCAGAAGTTGATAATGCTTTTGAATCAAATAATCTACAATTAGTAATATCTTTAAATAAGATATAAGTAAGAATCATTACTGACAAACATTCTCATCTTTAGATTGCAGAGAAATTAGTCGGAATGCAAACAAGTTTAGATATCTTAACTGATGTTCCGGATCATAAAGAGAGAACAGCAAAACTAGAATCTCTTAAAGATAGATTAGAAGCTTCACTATCAACTCAAATTGTTTCTGTATTTTCATCTCAGAATACCGGTAGTATTTTTTCCATTAGTATAAATAGTATATTCATTAATATGATTTCTCAGATGCTGCGCATGATTTAGTTAAGATTTTCACTAACATTCGGAGATTATCCGAGTTATTGAAGTATTACAAAAGAACACATAGAACAGCATTATTGCAAAAATGGAAAAATCTTAATCAAGAGAATAATGCAGATAATATACATTCAATTTTATCATCATTTTACGATGATTTACACAGTTTATTGCATTCTCAAGTAAGTTGTTCATGAATGATTATATTTGTTTCATTATCTACTGTTACAGGTCATGTGGTGTAAACAAGTGTTCGTCGAACCTCATTCAATTGTTCTCTCTCTTTTGAAAGAAGTTTTGCAATCCTTGGATCCTACTCTTGATAAACTGATCCTAAGCTATTTAGAAGGTACGAAAAGTAGCACAATGGAAGAGTTAAAGGATTTTAAAGAACTTTCTGAAAGATTTCATAAGGGTATTGCAAACTTTATGCCATCATCTGTGTTGGATAGTGGTCAGTAAACAATCTAGAATCTTTAAACTGTATTAACTTTTTTAATATAATGGAAAAATTTTTACAGATCATATGAGGGATTTATCATCCGAAATTTATAGACCTTATGTTCAATTTGTTAGGAATTATAATCAATACTTATCTAAAGATTTTGAAATTCAATTAAATAGAATCGTGATGGTAATGTTTATTTATCCAGCATACGAACAAAATATTAAAAAATACATCATTGAAATTATTTATTAACAGGACGGTGATGATATTGATGATACTTCAAAAGTGCTTTCAAATTCTGTTAGCCATTTCTTTCAAGTAGCAGAAGTGAGTTTACAGCTATGTTCTCAATTTTCTAACGGAGCTGCCATTCCCGGATTTATCAATGCTTTTGAAGTAAGTTGTTCATAATTTTGTTATCAAATAAAATATACAATATGACTACACTCTTTCAGCAATTTACTTTTCAATATTGCAAGGAGTGGCAAAGAGTTCTAGTTAATGTCAAAGAAAAATTTCAGTTATCTAAATCTGGCATTGATTCTCTAGATAATTTTACAAATAGTGACGATTCATTTGAAACTTTCCAAATTTGTCTTGAAATAGCTCACGCCTCTTCAGAGGCATATTCGAAACTAGATGATTTAGAATTATCTCTTGTAGCAGCTTTAACTTATGAACCAACTACTCCGGTTTCACCTAAACGGATATCGCAAAGTGGCTTTACTTCTACTCTTTTTATGTTTTTGTGTGACGACCAACAAACAAGACTTGTTAAGGCATTAGAAGTTAAAATGAATTCTGGTGATTCAATGTTAAGTGGAGCATTTGATCATATTCGTAAAGTCGTTCAGTCAGCCCATCGACTTGCTCTCAATGCAGGAGTCAGACCATTGATTGAACAGTTAAAAAAGATAGGTAGTATGAAAGTGAGTAATTCAGTTGCCTCTGGAATAAAATAATTTCTAACTTTGAGAATTTTAATTATAGGTTTGGTCAAGTGAAACTGCTGGTGCTGCATTAGACCCATCACTACCCGATTTTAGTTTTTCTCCTCAAGAATATGTTACTAAGGTATAAAAAAAACTATACAATACAGATTTTTATTAGTTTTGGTTTTGAATAATTTTTCCCTACAGATTGGACAATATTTATTGACCGTACCACAACAATTGGATTCCGTTGCATCGCAACCATCCGCCTGTACTGGCTTAAGATATGCAAATTTACCTTTCGTTGGAGCTTCAGCTCCAGGTATTTTAATTTCTTATTGTTTAATACCAGCAAATATAAACACTTGAAATTCATTAATTAATTCGTTTTAAATTCTATTGTTTAGATTCTGCGGAAGCTGCGTCGGATATTTGGCTTGAAGCAATAGTGAAATCAACTCTAAGTGAATTTATTGATCAGATACTGTCAATCCAGTCTTTAAGTGATAGTGGAGCTAAACAATTATTGACTGATATTAATTACCTTTGTGCAGTTGCTGATGATCTTGGATTGAGTAATTCGACCAATCAATTAAAAAATATTGGTTTATTAGCAACAGCTAACGGAGAAAAATTCTCGGAAATGGTCGCTCAAGATTTACCCCAGAGAATTTGTAGTGGTATATCACGAATGCGAGGTCTAGGGCGATAAATTTAGCGGTTTTGTTTACTATAAAAATAAATGGTAACTTTATAATAAATTTATAATTGACGTTTACACCAAATGCAAATCCTTGAAAAAAGTAGGAATTCTGACTCGTCTTAAATTCACTTTATTACTAACTTTTAAATATTAGAATTCAATTCAATGCTGATTTGACGTTAATGAAAAAGAGTATAAACTTTGTGAATAGACTAAGATAGTAATATGGGTTACGTGTTCGAAAGCGTTAATTTTTCGACTCTCTTTGAGCGGAGCAAGTGTCCATGTGAAGGCGAAATATACTGAATTTCACTCACGTGTTTCAGGTCTTATTCCTATATTTTCGATTTAAGTTGTCGGATTAGTACACTAGACAAATAATATACTCAGGGATAGTAGACTGAATACATATTGTTTCTTTTCTCTTATTTGTTTTGTCATGAGAAAGGAATAGAATTTTAAAAACATGCCCCAAGTAAGACAGTATCTACGGTACAATCAGGAGGGTATCTTCAATGTTATAGCAAGCAGCAATTCAAATATTAAATTTATTAATTGGAAGGGAATAGAGCAGACTTTTTGCATTGTTGGAGCTTGTGAAAATGTTCAAGTTTGGAATTTAAAAACTTCCACTAAAATTGCCACTTTTAATGGAAATAAGCAAGTTACAAAAATTTGTGTCCAGCCATCTAGAACATCATCTAAAGTGATTGCAGTTGGATACGCAAATGGTGATATAAAGCTATTTAATTTAAGTACGGGAGAAACTACAGTCAGTTTCGAAGGACACAAATCTGAAATTACGAGCTTGGAATTCGATCATGATGGAATGAGATTAGTTTCTGGTTCGCTGGATACAAATGTCATTGTCTGGGACGTGGTAAATGACTGTGGCTTATATAGATTAAAAGGTTCAATTTAGTTTTAATAAATAAATAATTGACTTTTCAGGCAGTAAATCAGTTTATTTTTCCTCCTCCAGGTCATAAGGCGGCTGTTACTAAAGTGCTGTTCCTTAAAGACTTCGATGTAGTTGTGAGTTGTTCTAAGGACAGCTTTGTAAAATTTTGGGACCTGACAACGCAACACTGTTTTAAAACTTTGGTAGATCATAGATCGGAAGTATGGGACATGGAACTCTTTGGCCATTTGATTGTTACTGGTAGTTCGGATTCAGAACTAAGAATATTTAGGATTACAGGAGTTAACGAAGAACAAGACAATAATGAAATGTCAGTGTCAGCTGAAAAGAAGATAAAGTTATTAGAAGGAAATGAAGATGCTGATGAAAATGTAATCATTCATTCTTTTTTCCTATTAACTTTCTTATTGTATACATAATAATCCATCTATCTAGATTATACTAAACGCGGAAAATATTGGCAGTGTACTTAGAGAAAGTACGTCTCGAGTTGATTCTATAGTTACAGACTCTACAAACAGAGTGCTATGCGTTCACGTAAGTTAACAATTTGTTAATTATTAACAAGCGAATATCGAAATTTTGGCTTAGGGTACCGACTCGCATTTAGAAATATTTAGAATAAATACCGACGCTGAAGTCAATTTGGTTAAAGATAAGCGTGTTAAAAAGGAGAAGAAGCGCTCAGCCGAAGAAAGCGAAATAGAAGCTGCATCAAAAATCAGGCCTACAGATAGACTGAGAAGAATACTAAACCAGAAATTAGGATCTAAAATAAAATCTTGTGATTTAGCTTTATCTAAATCTAAAGATGGCGAGCAAGCAAAAATAGTCTGCTCTTTAGCCGATAACAGCCTCGTGTCTTTCGTTGTTACCCTCAAGGATGGAAATTTCTCAAATGAAATGAAAGTTACTTTTGAAGGTCATAGAGCTGAACCGAAAAGTTTGGCTTTCAGTTCTGATTCAACGTCAATTTTATCCGCTTCAAGTGATTCTATAAAACTATGGAATCGATCGAGCATGACTAGTTTGAGAAATATGCAATGTGAACTGGCCGTATGCAGTATATTTGGACCTAATGACAGACAAGTCTTGGCTGGTACAAAGAAGGGACTTATTCTTATATTTGATATTGGCAGCAGCGAATTAATCGAAAAAGTGGAAGCTCATGAGAGTTCAGTTACGTCACTGTGCTCCAGACCAGATTTACTGGGTCTTGTCTCCGGTAGTGAGGATAAAACAGTAAAATTTTGGGATTATGAACAGAAAGGGTAACAGTTAAAAATAAAACACAAAGTTTTTAAATTAAATATCTATTAAGCTGATTATTTTTTTATGTTGCAGGCGATATATTACTATTATTCATAAGAAAACTTTAGATTTACCCGATGGTGTTGTTTGCACAAAGTACAGTCACGATGCTAAATACATAGCTGTAGCTCTTTTAGATTTTACTGTTAAAGTATTCTTTACGAATTCTTTCAAAGTGCATTTAAAATTATATGGGCACAAGTTACCAGTTGTTTCTCTCGATATTTCTAGTGACAATAAATTATTCATAACGGCCTCTACTGATCGTAACATAAAAATATGGGATGGACATTTCGGAAATTGCCTCAAGTCAATCTTTGCTCATGATGAGGGTGTATCTGCTGTTGTTTTCGTACCAAAACGTCATTACTTTTTCTCATGTGGAAAAGATGGAACTATAAAAGAGTGGGACGGTGATAAATTCAATCTAATACAAACTATGAGAGGCCACTTTGCTCGAGTTTCCGATTTAGCAATATCGGAATCCGGAAATATGTTAGTTTCCTGCAGTCAGGACAGATCAATTAGGTTATGGGAAAAGAGCGATGAACCGCTAGTTTTGAGCGATGAAATGGAAAGGGAACGTGAGAGAAAAGAGGAGGAGGAAGAGATAAACGAAGGGCAAACAGTTGTCCCTGGGGAGGGCGATGAGGAAGCCGCTTTACCCTCTAAAAGAACCATTAAAACTGTATGTGCGAGTGAAAGAATAATCGAAAGTGAGTAATTGTAATCTTTATCGACCTATTAGGTGACATAATCTTTTTCCCGATTCCTTCAGGCTTAGATATCTATGACGAAGAAATAATAAAGGCTAAACAGCACGACCACGACTGCAGAGTATCAAAGAAAAAGTTAATTAAACCTGAGGCACATCCAATGTTGCGCGCATTAAATATTTCTCAGCCTCTGGAGTATGTTCGATATGTCATTTGCAATGTTAAGTCGAGGTAATAAACGAACTAAATTTTGAATATTTTATGAGGTTATTATTGCGATATTACAGCGAACTGGAAGACAGTTTATTGGTCCTATCATTCCCAATAGTAATGAGATTATTACCACTTTTGGGAGAATTAATTAAGACAGGAGACGAAGTTGAGCGTTTATATAGATGTTTATTATTTCTACTACGGTAATTTTCAATACTTTCAAATTAAAGATACTTTTAATTGATTCTATGATTGCATTCATTTAACTATGTAGAATTCACCACGGTAAGATAACAACTAGCCCTCAAATGATGGGTATTTTGGATTCCATACTAAAAGTGGAAAAGAATAAATTACCTGAACTAAAAGTAAGTTGACGTAATATTCAGTCTATCTGCTTATTCAATATGTTTCTTTTTTCATAGGACATAATTGGATTCAATATGGCTGGTATTCAAACGTTAAAAAGAATAATAGAAGAAAAAGAAGAGACAAAATTCTTCACAGACATCGTCAGCAAACATAAAAAGAGAAGCAAACAAAAGAAAAAGTCTAGATTAGCTGTTAAAACCTAATTAATTGAAATTTTTTTTGTTATACGATATTGTAAATTCAACTTGTTTGAACGTGTTAATAAACTGGGCTATCCCAGCAATGCAGGATAGTCAAACCTGTACATTGACTTTTTGTAGTTGGTTTTGACATATAACAAAGCCCCAAGCCTTTTTGTGTTGCTATAGACGAATAAGGGAACATTTAAAATAATTTAGAGCAATTTGCTCAGCAGGAACTATATTGTCGTCACTTTTGGCATGAACATTGGCTTTAATTTAGCTTATTACTTTCTGCTAACCAGAGATGCTAAAAGAACCAAGAGGTTGTTTCCTTGGGTACGACTGTCACAGGTACTTGAGAATGGTGTATCACATATTCGCTAACACTTCCCAATATGGTTCGACGAATAAGCCCAAATCCCCTTGTACCCATAACAATATGGGATACATTATGACGCATAGCTGCTTTAACGACAGTTTCTCCCGGATGTCCCATTTCAAAATGAACGCTACCCTTAATCTACAAAAAAAAAATGTGATATGATCAATTTTTTGTATTTGTTACGAATGATTTATTTATTAAATTCCATACATTATTATCTCTCATAATATTTTGATATTTTTCCAAAGCTCTTTTCCCTTCCTTCCCATGCTTCTCCATTTGATCTAATAATCACCTTAACTAAAGTCTATTGTTAAAAAGATTGATTAGACAAATGTTTACCTTTTACACTGATTTTTGAATGACCGATAATTGATTGATTCAAATCGACACAATGTAACACTCTAACAATATTTTCTGGCTTATGAACGTGATGATAATACCCTAAGTTAAAAGGGTTAGGATAATGCGTTTAGTCCGTCTATTTAGCGTCTATTATGCAGAAAAATACATACATTTAAACGCAGCCTCCGCCTGCTCGCTACAATCAACAGGAATAAGGACAGCTTGTTCGTTATTATTATTTACGTTCGGTTCGTTTTTTGCAGAAATTTGTAGAGTTTTACTGTTTTGATTTGAGTAGAAATTTCCCATTTCTCTGGATTCAAAAAAATATCCCACGAGATCTATCAGATTCTAAACGTCCAATCGATGGAGAATAGCTGCTATGCTCACTCGTTTATCCTTTCTATGCTTATGCCTTTCTTAAAACCAGTATTTTCACTTTTATCTCAAGTGTCGCCATCTGGCTTATTGCTTTAGTAGATCAAATTGCAATATTTATTAACATCATTAACAAATTTCTGTGTTTACAAATAATCAATTATTCATAATACATAAAAAATAAATCTGACAGTGATTATGCCCAAGATAAAATTCAGGGTTATAAATAATGTATAATTACATTATTTTTCCCTTATGTCAATTTTTCAACTCCTGCCCTTCGTTCTCAAACTTTTTAAGCCAGCCTGACCTGCATAATAGATTTCCCTTTGTGAGCAGTTATTAGACTTATAACAAATTAGGTGGACTTTTACTAATCTTTTCCTAGATATACCATATCCTATTTATCTATTAAACAGTCTTATTTCTTGTATGCGTGCATCTGTCTCTCTCTCTCTCTCTCTCTCTCCCTTCTTCTCTTCTCTAAGAAATAATTCTCAGTTTATGATAAATTTTAAGTTGTTTATTTAACTTTACAAATTATTGAATATTTAAGGGGAAAAGTTCAAATGTCAGATAGAAATTTATCAAATCAGCATATAAAAAAAAATAAAAAAGTCTTCATTTTTTATTTTTTTTTCACTGGCTCTTTATTTCTGTTTTTCGGCTTTTGCAGACAAGGTTTTCAATCTTCTGGGTTGTTGTTTTTCTTCATCAAATTATTTATTACAAGTCAATCCTTTGCGATCTAAGAGAAAATAGTGAATAGTAAAAATATGTCAACAGATTTTAATTTAAGTATATAAAATCACTTTGAATATTGTTTTTGTTTATCGGTTAATGGAACATAGATAACTCCCATTAATTTTGTTTTTTTTATTTGGCCTTGCATATCCTTGTCTACTTGAATTAATTCTTGATCATGACCTTCGGGTCCGACAGGTAAAATAAGGCGTCCTCCAGGAGCTAATTGCTCAATTAACTGTTGATGTTTCATATAGAATTTATTCGTTAAATGTAAGAAATGCTAATTTATAAATTAGAAAAGGTAAGAGAGATAATTTATAAAGAGAAAAATTAACGCCAGTATTGTTTTTTCTTATCAGTCAAAGGTACGAAGGAAACTGGAAGAAAGCGTTTTCTGTTTGTTGTACCCTCGTTGGTTTTATCAATGATGTATAAATATTGTCGACCATCTCGAGGTCCGACAGGTATAATTAGCCGTCCACCTTCAGCTAATTGATTTTCCAGCTAGAAAGTATTTACTCGTCGAAGTGTTTATTTTTACAGGTAGAAAAAATTCAATTAACTGTACTCACTGCCTGTGGAATAGTTGGAGCAGCAGCACCGACATGAATAGCATTGTACGGACCGTACTGGGGATAACCTTGACGTCCATCGCCAACAACAAAAACAGCCTGACCATTGTCCAGCATTTCCTGCGTTTCAGGGGATCGATTTAAGTTTTGCTTTGACAAAGACACTAGCTCGTCTATATGTTCTATGCCAACAGCTTTTCCTGTACTTCCTACTAATTTTGCCATGCATGCTGTCAAGTAACCGCTTCCTGATCCAACATCTAATGCTCGTTTCCCTTCCTGCAGATGCTCAGATAATAATTCCAGCGCATGTGCATGCTGCAATCAGTAAAGTCTAAGCATTCTATGTATAATTAAATAGATATTTTATTTAAAAAATATTAAAATTTACCATGTGAGGAGCACTTATAGTCACTGCATATCCTATTCCCTGAGGAGAATCAACGTAGGGTTTATTCTTACAAAAATTAGCTCTATCAACGGAAATCATCGCTTGAAAAACTCTATCACTCTTTATTATTCCATTTGCTGAGTTGTTAGAAGCGGATGAGCGTGTAATACAAAAGTCAATATCATTGGCTTCTTCTCTTCCTATTAGTTATTGACAACGCCTACCTTTTAACTTGCTAATCAATTCTTCGTTAGTCGTTCCGGAAGATCTCCAGGCCATGGTGAATAAATTTGCTCTTAATGCGTTTACTGCGATACAAAACGCCGTAAAAGAACGTGCCAACATATCCTTATGCAACTCCTGCTTGTTGCCTTATTTTTAATATCACTTATTTGTTGTTCAATCTTTTATCTCTTCTTTGCAATCAATGAATTATCATGAACTACTTACCGAATATCGTCCAAACTATAAATAAAGTAGTTTGATTTGGCTTCGTTTCGTTAATTCTAGAAACTTGCCTATTTTTTTCAACTGTCCTTGAACTCCAATGAAATGGTAACTAGATGGCGTTTGCTTTTGCATAAGCGCGAAATCAGAGTTTTCAAAAGACTACGATTACCCACAATACATGTTGTTCAACAGGAACAGGAAATCAGCAGTCTCTGCAACAGACAACTAATTTTAAAGTTTGAAAGTTAGATTTAACCGGAAAACTTTATAAGCTTTTGAAAATTAATATTCGATAAAATATTGATTGATTTTTATTATTATTTTTATGTTTATGTTATTTAAGAAAAGTTGATTATTATCAATCAAAAGTATGTAACAATTAAGAAAAGCTTTCAGAGATTAGAAATAAAACAAGAAAGTTTTCTTTTCGTGTCACCTAGCTTGATAAGACTTATTATTTAAAGATCTTAGTTTATTTAATTGTGATTTAAAAGTTTCCTGCTTATAAAACTCATTATCTTTGTTTAATTCTTTAATGTCGTTGTCAACTTTTTTAAGTTGATTTTCAGAGTTTGTACATTTTTCTTGCATTTTTGTTAATTCTTCTTGTAATTTAATATTTTCCTTGGTTTTTTCTAGAATCTGTTTGCGGCAAGTTTCCAAGTCAATTGCCATTCTCTGAGCTGAACTAAAAAAGATTGTTCTTTCGCTTTCGTATAAATTAAGTAGTTTTTTCATTTCCTCATTAGTTTTCTCATTTTCTTCGATATTCATTGAAGACCTTGTATGACTTTTTCTTTTCAGGCGATTCAACTCACTCTCAGCTTGAGATAGTTGTAATTCAACAGTTTGCAAATGGGCTTCTTGGGTGTATGCACTAGCCTGAACGGATTTTAATTGTTTCTTCATTTGAACAACTTTCTCTTGTTCTTCTATAAGAGCCAACTTCAATTCGTGTTCGACGGGTTTTTCCTCCAATGAATTTGGATATTCGTCGCAAGCAATTCGACGACTATCTTTCAAAGCTTTAAGGCGTTCTTCCAGTAATCTTCTATTAGTAACTTCTTGATAGAGTCGTTTCTTAAGAGCAGTGATTGTCTGCTCAAAACAATTTCTTACATTTTCTAACTCTTCTTTACTATCGTTTAAAACGGCGAGGGATGCTTCGCTTGTTTTAAGTTCTGCACTTTTCTTAGTCAATTCACTTCTAAGATTGTTTAGTTCGTCCTTCGTGGAACGGGAGTTGCGTTCTAATTCCTTGCGCAAAACAAATACTTCTCTAGTATATTCTTCTTTGAGTACTTTTACTCCTTCTTTTAATTGTTGAATGATCAGTCGTAGTTTGTCGTTCTGATCAACAAATTCGCTATATTTCTCATCAGAGCATTTTCTCTCTACGCGTAAACTATCAATTTCCAATTTAAGATTTTGAAGCTCTGCTTCCGATTCCATGAGTTGACATTCCAATTCCCTTCTACCTTTTGCTTCTGAGTCCAACTGGCCAATCGAGTACAAAGCTGACCTTAGTTGCAGATCTTTTTGCCTTAATTTCTCTCTAGATTCTGAGAGATCTTGCCTGAGCTTGTAATTTAACTGTTCGAAATTCTTCCTCTCTTCTTGGCAAAACTTTAAATCTTCTAAAAAGTCATTACGAATGCTTTCAACAGTTTCTTTGCATTTTTCTCTTTCGTGATATAGAATTTCTTCTTGAGTACTGCAATGCAACCGAAGACTATTTAAGTCTTGAAGATATTTTTCTCTCTCTAGCTTAACTATTTCAATTTGACCTCTTTCCGAACTGAGATTTTCTTCCAAGTTTGCAACTTGAATTTCATATTGTCTAATGCTTTCCGACATGATCATTTGTTGTTTTTCAGCAAGGAGATATTGATCTCTTAATGACATATGTAAATTTCTTTCATTTTCCAGAGATGCTAATAATGTCGATATTTCTTTATTAGATTTTTCTTGAACCTCATTGAGGAAGATTAGTTCGGTTTTCATTTCTGATAAATTTTTCTTTTCTTCCGAAAGTGCACCTTGTTCCAATGATAGGCGATTGTGTAAATTTTCTAATTCCTTAACTAATTTATCATTGCGTTCTTTATAATGATAAAGTTTATTGTCGGAATTAATCCTTTCTTCTTCAGCGGCTTCCATTTGACTTCTCATTGCTCTAACGTCAGCTTGAGCAATTGCCAAAGCTGTTTGAGATTCTTGATATAATTTTTCAGTTGTTAAACTAGTTGACCGAGCGTCTCCTAATCGCCTGCCGCTCTCTTCTATATCCTCTTTCATCTTAATTATTTCATCTCCAAGCCTTTGAATACTCCTCTCCAACGCATATTTATCCGATAAAAAGTTCTCTTTATCTTTTTTCAATTCTTCAATTGTTTCATTCATTCTGCAATTATCTGCTACTTTGTTCTCGTATTCTTCAAGGATTTTTTCCGTTTCCTCTCTGCAAGTTGAGTTTTCTTCAAGAAGTACTTGAAATTTTCTGTTTAACTCTTCCTCATTCCTCTTAGCCGTTTCGAGAATTGATCTCATATTTTTAGTTTCAGTAGAAATCATTTCATTATGCGATTTTACACCAATAAGATCAGTCATCAAACTCCTAGTATCTTCTTTAAGGATATTTATAGCTTTCTCGTAATCATTCTTGAGATTTCTTAAATTTTCATCTGCTTTTAAGCCTTCTATTTGTAGATGAGATTGGCATTCTTCTAAATTTTTGGTTAATTCTCTTTTCTCTTTCCTCAGTGAGTCCCTTTCATTAGTTAGGGGAACCATAACCTTCTCTAACTCCACTTTCGATGATATCATAAGTGACACAAGATTTTTTTCTTTAATTAAACGTTTTGTTAATAGTCTAATAGACCTTTCGAGTTCTGTATTTTCCTTTATAACGTTTACTAAGGACTGATGATTCGTTTCATAATCAACCATTAATTTATCATTTGTTACTCTCATATCATTTAATTTGGCTTCGGCTTCTATTAACGAATGCAAAGTATTCAATTTTCCAGCTTCTAACAATGAAACAACACCTACTCTTAACTGTTCATTCTTATCTCTAATTATTTCATTCAGCTTTTCATTTACATCTTTTTCCTTCTTTAGATCTTCTCTTGTCATACGAAGACTAATTTTCACCTCTTTCAGCTCATTTTCTAATTCAATATCTCTTTGATTGTCCGTAATCAATTCGTGTGTATTATCACTATTATTCTTATGATTTTGATTTGAGTTGGTATTATCATTATGGGTAGTCAATTCGTCTTTTAAATTTACCTCTTGGTCGGTAAGCTCATTTACAGACGTTTTCAAGATGAGTAAAGTTCTTTTAAGATCACTTTGAAGAGAATCGATTTCTGCATTGGAGTATTCAATGGAAGGGAGAGATATGCTTTTCTTCAATTCTCCTTTCTTTATTTGGTCAAGCCTTTTTGAGATTTCAGGTGATTCAATTAATTGCTTAACAGCTTTGGAGTCATTTAGTATTTCCATAATTGATGGGAAGTTTATGTCAATTTTCTTTGCTCTACAGTAGGATAGCATGGAAGGATCTTCTAAAATGACCTTTTGTAGTTGATGATCAGTTTCAACAACTTTTATTAGGTCTGGTTCCATTAGGCAATAAATTAACAGATCCTCATTGGGAATGAGGTTATTTGCTCTATACGTTAATTGTTCATCCTTGAACTGTTGTGATTCGGTATATTTGGAAATTTTAGTGTCTTTTTGAAGAATTTGTCTACTTTCGGAATCTAACCATAGTTGGCAAAGTAATTGCGAATTAGAAATGAGATACTGCCGAAATTCTGAATTGTGGCAAAGTTCAAGCTTTTTTTTACTATCGAGTAATATGATATCCTGAATGTGATTTGGTAGAATGTCACTAACCCAACTCATTACTTCACTTTCGTGTTCGTCAATTCACCAACTATTTTTGTAGCTTGACTAACACAACACTAACCAATTGACTTAACCGAAGTTGAATTTTTAAATTTAAATTTGGTAATGTGACGTATTTCAACATAGCCGATGTCCTCATCGCCATGAACTTTGGTCGATAATTTATAAATGTTTCTCTATCTGTAGATCAAGACTAAGATGCAAGACAAGTGCTAATATTATATGAAAACAAGATATCTGTTTTCAATTTAGGCGACCGAAAACACTCGCAAACGGTGAAAGCGCAATTAAAGATCAATTATATTTATGTCATTTAAAGCCTTTTATTGTGCATATCGTACGTAAACTAACAGCACAAAAGACTTTTTATCTATTTGTTTTCTTCCAGGGTCTTCAAGAAGAAGGCCTTTTTCTGAGCAACGCTGGCTTCTCTCTGTTTTTTAGACATCTTAATTCTGTTGTAGCGCTTGGGTTTAGGCTCGGTCTTCTTCTCAGTTGCTTTGTGCACTGGATCTTTTCGGATGGCGGCGTGACACTTTTCATACATGCCCTTGATGGAATCAGCAGTGATTCCAAGCTTGATGAACTTTCCGAATTGCCTTTTGTATGCATCTTCATCTTCTTCTTGGAGCATACGCATGTAATCGGCTACGTGTTGTCCGAAAATGTGCTTCTTGTGTACTTCAGCATCGAAGTTGTTCGATTCACTATCATATCCAGGGAACCTCTTGGTTTTATGAGGAATTTCCAAACCACCATCGGCAGCTCCTTTCAAAGCGCCGAAGATACGAGCACCAGTGGTTGCTCTAGCCAAACCAATATCAAGGTAACATCTGAATGGAGCTGGTTTGTCATCGATTTCCTCAACGAGGTATTCATCCCCATCAACTTTAGTTTGTCCTTCATAGATGGAATCGAGCTTGAATTTGTTCAAAACTCTTCTTGCTAGAAGGAGTCCAGTACAGTAGGCAGCTGCATAATTTGTCAACCCAACCTTCACGCCGTATCTTGGCAATTCGTGAGCATAAGCTGCACACACGATTTTATCACCTTCAATACGAGCATACGCTATCTGCGTAATGATATCCTTGTTGGTAAAGCGGACAATCATTCGGTATTTCGGCGTATTGTACTTGTTCTTATCTTGAGTTACCAACCTCTTTCGAGCGAAGAAGTCAGTTTTTCCTTCACGTCGACGACGGTATTTTGGTTGGTAGCGTTTAAAGTACGCTTTATTTTTAACAACTTTAACGAACGGCTGTCGGTAACATTTGTCATGTTAAATATAATCTCTAAATATCTTTCATTTAATAGACAATCAAAATATGAAAATCACGAGAAGAAGTCACTCAAATAATTTAAAACATTTCTACGTGCAGATTACTTACCATCCTTAACTATTAACGGAAAATTATTCCGAAATCCTTAAGCAGTAGCTTCGGCTGTGGGCTTACACCGGAAAAGGAAGTTTCTTGCAGCTTGAGTTAAAATGTCGATAAAAAAATTTTTTTTTTGTATTTTTTTACTACTGTAAGCCATAAATAATATTTTAAATTTAAACAAAATAAAATATTTTGAAAAACTATCACAATTATTTTTTTCATAACATTTGTGAGAACTCGATGTTGGCACGGAATTCCCCGGGATTTCCCATAATCGAGGGAGAATGTTTTCGTCTGTCTTCAATTTGGAGTGATTTTAAGTGTTCAGAACATTTCTCTCCTTTCTTTAATGTATCATACGAGTTAAAAGTCGTGATAAGCTTGTCGTCTCTGAGCTTAACTAAGTAAAATAAAATCATGTTGCGCAAAAAATCCAAAGAATCTACGATCTCATCAATTCAAGGTATAGAAGGAAAATATATCAAGAGGCAAACTTTACCTGGTTTGATAAGTAAGTGATTGTAATATATAATTTTCAATTAATACATCAATTTTTATTAATTAAGACAATGCAAGTATATCTAGTTCAAGACCGCTAAGTCAAAGAAATTACATTAGTCCACAAAAACAACATAATAAAAATCAACTTTTAAAAGAAATAAATGATTTAAAGTTAAATGTGACGTCGCCTACTCGTCCTACGTACATATCGAGCCCTACGTATATATCGAGTCCTACATACATATCGAGTCCAAGTAGCGTTGGTTCAGCACCTGCTTTACCACCCAGAAATCATATTGAGCTCTATAAACCTAGTCAAAATTATGCGAATGATTCAGCTCTTATTTATGAAAATAATGCTGAACAGGATGAGATTGATAATCGTCAAATTGAACTTTATCATAAGGAAGTACGAGAAAGATATATGAAGAGGCAAAACTCTAGCCCAGCATTGCGACAATCATTATATCAGTTATCTGTAAAAGAAGATGATCCTAATCGAGAAAATTTACCCCCTGGATGGAGTGTTGATTGGACTGTACGAGGGAGGAAATACTACATAGATCACAATACTCATACTACGTCTTGGAGTCATCCTTTAACTGCCGAAAGCTTGCCAACAGATTGGGTTCAAGTTGAGTCAAAAGAACACGGAATATATTATGTTAACCATAGAACCCAAACGGCACAATACAATCATCCTAGCCTAATGTCTGTAAACGGGGCTGAACTCGTGTCTTATGAAGCTCTACAGCCGCCAAGAAGTCGACCACCGCAAGTGTTGGTAAATCCAGATAACTTTCCTGATTGGCTTGTGGTTTATTATCACTCATCAACCGCCCACGATCATATGATCAAATGGCATAAATTTAAAATTTCACAATTACAGGAATATGACGTTATGCTAGTCAGGATTTATAAGCAACATTTAGAAAGAAGATATTCAATGTACGAAAAATATCGTACAGCTCTGCACATTGAAATGGAAAGAAAAAAACAATCAGAGCAATACAAGTTGTGACAACATAGCTGTTAACTGATTTAAATATTGTTTATACAAGATTTTTGATGGTGATTTTGTATTTGATAATTGATTGACCATTGATTGATATTTAATTAGAAGAAATTAGCGCTATTGTGAAAGATTTAATATCTACTTTTTGTTGTTGAGGGAAAAGTGGAGCATCCTGGACAGACTTACTTCTGAGTTCGCCAAAATGGAATTTTTTGTTTTTATGTTTCATTGGCTAAGACTTTCTCAAAACATGTTTATCAAAATATTTTTACATTCTAAAGTACTCAACAAATGTAACTGTTGCAGTCTAACATTATATATTTTCTTTATTATTTCTTTACCACATTCTTCATAATATCTATGCGTTCTAACACTTATGCATTTTTCTTTGCGATAACTATCTATTTATTTTTCCATATCTTTAATAATTTTTTCTTGGAATTTTGTATTCCTTGGAGTGAAGAATTATCATATTTGTTTGTTAAAGGAGAGTGATACCTACCATCCTTTTGTGAAATATGAATTCAGCAACAAAAATTATTGCAGAGAATAAAATACTAGTTCAATTTGTATCAGACTTCTCATAATATCCTTCTGGCAACCTACATTTAAGATCACACGATTCTCTTTCGATTGAGAATTTAAATATTCATTAAATCTATTCTTAGTAAGGCGTATGTAATAACAATAATAATAGACAATAAGATAATTTAACTATAAAATATATGTACTAATTTATTCAGTGTCAAAAATATTTCATAAAGAGCTTGAACTAATGCATCAAGTCGAGTGTTCAAGTGAGTTAAGAATAGAAATGATTAATCAACTATTGCAACGGGAACTAGAATGCAGAAAAGGTCTTTATGAGCGCTGTCTTTTAATTCCCATTTTACTTTGACGCTTATCTGTGGCAAAAAAGACAATTTTTTGTAAGAACAAACCGATCTGGAGTTATATTTTTCAATACTTACTGTAGGATAAGACTTGGAGATACTTATTTTCTGATTATATTTGTATTTCTGATTCATCTTAATAGGGCATTGTATACCAGAGTCTTTACAAGCATTTGGATTGCTCAAGGGGAAAGGTACCGGTAGGCTCCCTAAAATACCATGGACGACAGCAGTTAAGTTTGCTGCTGTTTCCTTAGACTCAAATTCAACGGCAAAACTGACATCTGTTCCCTTTTTCAGCTTGCAAGGAACAGAGTTGCAGTCTGGAACTACAACATTCTTAGGAGTCCCTGCCTTCGATGCTGATGACATTAAATTAATTTTTAATAGTATGTATATACTAAAGTATAAAAGTACTCTTACCGTCTGGACATGGGACCCATGGTGTTTTACAATAGGCGGCTGCCAAAATGAGAGAGAATACTGCCAATCTTAACATCTTCCACTTAGTTCGATACTAATATATCTTTGACGATAGAGGAAATGAGCCGAGTTGATTTCTCACGTGATATCGACAGATCAGTCACGTGATGTTTTTATTCTGTTTAACAGAAAATCCAGAAGGCGCTGGTCGAAAGTTCAAAATTATAAACCCAGGTGTCATTCCGATCGATTCTTTGTGTATGTTTCTGGCCACGTGACCGATATTTGCAGGATAAAGATGGCGCCGTAAATCGAACCAGAGCAGCCGGAATTTTTGTTTATTTTTTTATTTAGTTTGCATGATTACGCAATCAATTGGATTAAATGCAAAATTTTACAATTTGAAAAAATAATGTCTGATTTCATAGTAAGTCCGTCCAGATTAAGCCAAGATCGACCGCTCTCTTCGCGATCGTCGCGAAGCGGTCGCAGCAGCAGGAATGAAGGCAGTGTTAGCTCTAACGAAATGTATGGAATGTTTGCCAAGTTTAAAACAAACTATGAATCGAAATTGCTTGGTTTGGAAGAATTGGAAAAGTCCGGAACGAATGTTGATAAGGTAAAATTTTATTTTAAAACAAGTTCGAACAGGCCGCCTTCTTTCGCGGTCTGCTAGTGGCGGGAAAATACTTTATTTAAATTACAATTTGGGTTTAAATTTCATCTAATTTTTCAGCAACGAGCTAAAATACTTCAATCATATATAAAAGACTTAACAGAGCAGAATGAAGTTTTAGTTAGAACTGTAGAAGACCTCGAATCGGAAGCAAATGATCGTCTAGTAGCTATGGAAGGAAAACTTCAACAAACTAATAAAATATCCAAGGTAAGCTAAATTTATTTAAATATATATATACATTATGTATATTTATAGCACAATTTTTAAAAATATTTATGTTTACATGCTTTTTATGTTTGTTTGGTAATTTGAAAAAAGAAGTTAGGCGCGAATAATATTTAAGTAAACATTATCGAAAGAAGTCAATAAAATTATTCAATATCATTCTTATTGATTGCGATTAAAATTACTAAAATTAATAAATTTAGAGGATAAAACTATAAAAAAATTAATGTACACTTAGTAAATAACGTTTTAATTAAAAGATATTATAATCAATTACCATTCACAAGCGTTCAATAAATCCATAATTATACGTAAATTAGGCTTGACGCCCTAATGCCGAATTAAAAGAGCATTCAAAGACGCATCGCCATTGAATGGCTTTATTTGAGCACCCCTGAACGTTAAATAAACATTACACGCCTCGCCAAGTTTGCAGGCTCAAACAAGTTGCGTAGCTCCGACAGTCACTTTCTAATTTATACCACTACTGCTGGCGCCTTTCCCCCCTCGCTGTGTTTGTATGGATATTAGGGTATTATGAATAAGAAACGCGTTACTTGGGATAATCCGTTAACTACTCCAGTGGTGAGAGTGATATTACCATCTTTACGAATTTTTTTTATGTTTCAACACTTTATCGATAAGAACTTATTGTGATTAAATCCAAACAGGAATATTTGAACAAGGCAAGAAGTTACGAACAAGAAGTTAGAACTCTTACTAGAAATAATACCGAGTTGGAGGACACAGTAAACGTAAGATTGTACTACTTACAAAGTACTTTTTTAAGTTTGGTAAAGTTAAACAATGTATTTACTCTTCAGAAACTGAGGGATGAGGTTGCCGAAGCAAAAGTTAAACAGGACAATAACAACGAAAAACATTATCGTAAACATCAAGATTTACAGAGATTAATTGATCAAAGAGATGGCGATATGAAAGTAACGCAACAAGAATTAGAAAGAGTTAGAAGAGAATTAGAAATGATACAGAGTAGAAATCTCTCGACTAGTTTTGAATATAGCGAACTATCTAATAAGGAAACACCGACTAAAGAGACTCGTACAACGAATAATAACAGTAGTGATATGATTAGAAGGAAAGACGAAAAGATTGCGGCTCTACAAAATGATATAACAAGTTTATTAAAGCAATTGGCCGTTAAAGAGAGCGAAAATACTAATCATATCCACAGTATTAGATTGTTGCAGGAACGCGACACAAACAATTCTAGTCAAGTAATTTTTGCTGATTATGTTAAATATTTTCCAAATTGTAAAAAATATTTCCCTCTTTATTTTCAGCTTGAACAATACGAGGAAAAAATAGAAGCGTTAAGATCCGAGCTGAACGTTTTGAGAGCAAATCATACTCGTTCAAAGCACGATGTAAGTTATTCATAAATCTCAATTATTCGGTTATCATTAATTCACAACCAATTTTATAAAATATTTAAAGGAACGTTACGAGGTATAATAAAAAAAAGAGTGTTTTTTTTGCTTTGTTTTCCTTCTTGATAGCTCCTTTAGAAATTATAATATTTTACATATAACACGGAAATGAACATATATTCCTATGTTTTGAATTTGTTTATCATAAACTTCTATAATTAATTCTCTTATTTTTTTTACCTAGTCCTTAAGCAAACTAACTATGTTTATTTAACAAAATCGATATTAACAGCAAATTCAATTTTTATTAGTCAAATTTTTAAGTTTTTTATCAATTAAACATAATTCTTAAATATTATGAAAACATTCAAATTGAAATTGCAGAACGATCTATCGATTTACAATTTGTAGTTGAATATCTAACCAAAATTTCGAGTGTTTCCAAAAGAAATAAGTCTATTATGAATTATTTAAAAGTTTATTATCTTTTCAGATTAGCCATTATGATAGACGAATCAAAGAATTGGAATCAGATCTTCGGGAAGCCCATGAACAAACTAAAAAAGCTCATGAAGAAGTAATATATGCATTTTATTAAATAATATTGAAGAATAAATGAAATGAGTTTAATCTATTTAACAAAATTATAGATTGGCGCCTTACAATCGAAACTGAGAGCGGCCGCTTCATCGAATCACGATCATCACGATGTCTTAAAAGCTGAATTATCGAGAAGAGATGAAACTATCCAATTATTACGATCTGATATCTTACAACTTCAGAATAAGAGGGATACAATCCAATCTCAGGTTAATATTCTGATCTTTTTATAATTATATAATTAATCAATCAATTAATGAAGGTTATCTTTTTTTTTTCTTCTTATCTTATTAACATACTAAACGTTCATATAGATATTCATTAATATAATTAAAATAGCCTCTTTTTTTGAGAATTTTTCTTTTCTTATTCAATATATTAGAAAGATGAATTGGAAAGACATTATGTCAGTTGTGAAGTTCGTTTTGAGGATTCTGAAAATCAGGTATAATAATAAAAACAAACAAAAAATCACTGCTAGTAAAAACCTATATGGCACACTTCAAAAGACTTAAAAAATAATTATGCAAAGAAGAGAGTTTATATGATTATCTACACAATCAAAAATAATATGATCATTATTTTTAGACGAGCACTTAATTTGCTTCTGTTTTGTTGTTGTTGTTGTTGTTTTCTTTGTCCTATTCACCTATTTTTTCCTTCTAAGATGAAAAGATTAGTTAGCAGATTTTGTTATGCAAAAAGTATATGTTGTTTTCCTTTATTATTGTCTATTATTTGCATTTGATTATGAATTATCGGTGTTGGTTGGTGTAAATAGCACACTTCCGCTTGACTGATTCTAAATTGGATATGATTTTTTTTTATACAGGTTGTCAAAATGGAAGATAAGCTTAGAAAAACGGAATTAGAGCTTGAGGGTGTCAGGCGTCAATATCAAGACACGAGAATTGAAGTTTGTACATCTAGTAAAGATTTTATATAAATCAATAAAAATCATTTTTTTTCTTAATTTAAACAAACAAAAGGCGAGAGAATACAAAAGTAAAGTTGCTCAGATTGAATCAGAATTACAATCTACAAAGACCCAAAGTTCCGACTCTTCTACTCAAATTTCAAAACTAACAAATTCGCTGCAAAAACTGCAAAATCAATCGAAAGAGACACGCGATACATTAAGTGCCCAACTCCAAGACGCTCATGACACAGTTGCAAACCTCAGACTGCAAATGAAAGATATTGAACAAGAAAAACAAGAAGCAATTGCTCTAGCTCAAGATCGATTAGAACAACTTTCCACAGCTAAAGACGATATAAATTCGTTACAAAAGAGAGCAAATCATTTGCAAGAGATAGCTAACAATGCTGAAAAAAATCTTAATGCCGTTACAATTCGTCTTGACCAAAGTTGTAAAGAGGTTTGTGTTTACATAACACGTTTATGTCGTTTTTAAAAGTAAATTGAATCCTTTTTAAATGTTTTTCTTTCTTACCAAAAAGTCTGAGCATCTACAAAGTTTAATAAAGGAAAAAGAGGTTCACCATAATCAAGAAAATTTGCAACGAAAGGCCAAAATACATGAAAAAGATGGTGAAATTTCTAGAGTTCAAGAAAAATTACGCGCCTGCGAAGAGCAATTACAATTTGCCCGAGGACAAATCAGCGCCAAAGAAAAATACATCATGAATGCCGATCAAGAACTAAGCGAAAGGCAATGTGAATTGGAGAGAAAGGAGACTGTTATTAAACAAGGAGCTTTCGATTTGAGGCAGGAGGAAGAAAGGCATCGTAACACCTTGGCAGAGGTATACTCTTACTTTTCATTTCCCCACCCCATCAATCTTCTCTAATCTATTAATTTTGACAGCTTAACAGAAGAGATATTACTGTCAAACAATTGGAAAGTGATTTAAAACAATTAAAAGATCAATATTGCGGTCTATTAGAGGAAAATGGTAGGCTAGACGCCAGAGTTCATGCTGCAACATTAAATGCTCAAAGCGAACAAGACGTTTTAGCGTCGGAAGTTAAACGAAGGGAAGAAGCAGTCGAAAAAGCCAAATATGAATTGATAAATCTACAAGAAGAAAAAAGTAAACTTATGGAAAAGGTATTTATTTTATTCTCTTGTTTGCAATATCCTTCTTCATAATTCTGACAAACATTAATCTTTAATTTAGAATGCTCAAGATAGGCAAACAATAGAAAATATGGACGAAAAAATTCAAAGACTTTGCAATGAAGTATGAAAAATTCATTTTCTGTCAATTATCGTCATTTTATTTACTTTAACGTTTCCTTTTAATTTAGATAAGCGCTATGAAAGATGTCATCGCATCTAAAGAGGCCGAAATATCCTCATTTAAAACTGATAATACTAGCCTAACAGATCAGATAGGCCACCATCAAACTCAACTACATGAATTAAACAGTGAACTAGCTTCAATGCATTCAGAGATTAAGAATCTTAATGAAAAGGTTTGCTCTTCCATTGTTCATATAGTTTTCTTTGTATATTACTATACTATTGTTATATTTTTTCATAGGTTGAAATTAAAGAGGATATTCTAAGCCAAACTAGATTAGACAATGAATCTTTACAAAGGCAGCTACGGGATTGCATGAATAAAGTATGGAATTTCTTTTCTATTAAGATTTGCTTAACTAAATCTTTTTCATATATTTAATAGATTGCCTCCAGAGATGATGCTATTAAAAAGCTACATTCCGAATTAACTAAATTAAAGAGTCAAAAAGAAGGAAAATCATTGGAAGTAAGTTTATTTTGCTTTGTTATTATTATTGTTATTCTTTTTTGTTTTTTTGAAAACATCACGTGACACTTATATACATATTTATATAATATATATTTTTTTACCTTTAAAAAAGAATCAGAAGCAAAGTGAAACTATTAGAAAACTGCAACACGCTCTTTCATACACTCAGACCACTTTTGATGATTCTAGACGAAGAGCTGCTGATGACGTAAGTAAAACCTTTGACCAACTTTTAATAGTTTAATTTGAGGATAATCACATTTCTTTATACGTTTCAATTACAGATTTCCCACCGAGACGGTAAAATTGAAGAGCTACAAAGTAAATTGAACAAACTAGAAAATCAGTATAAAAAAGCGTTCGACAAGGTGACGTAATGTTTTGTTCTTTGTTTAAGATGTTGCATTAAACAGTCTTGAATTACTAGTATTGTACTCACTTTCACTACGTTTATACTGATAGTAAAAAAGCAATCTATCTTCTTTTAAGATTTTGTTTAAAGGACATGCCTAAGCAGTCAATATTTGACCAGATGATGGGCGCAGCTACAGCTTGGTTTTCGTCTTTCGTTGTTAATAATAGTATTTTATCGAAAAAGGTTGAATTTTCGCCAATCTTTACAGTTATTTAATTCGGATAATAAGCTAATAATACTTTCACTCCTTTATTATATTTTTATAGTATTTATTAATACGAATTTATATATTTTATTATTAAAATGACAGATATCAACTTATGAAGACGAAGTAGAAAAGTTAAACGCTGATAATACAGCATTAACGGATAAATTATCGAAAACTGTAAAGGATTTAGTTCATTATGAAGAAAGAGTTCACGAAATTGAACTGGAGTTGGCGATATCGAAAGAAAAACATCAAACTTGCCAGGAAGAAGTAACTAACAGAGACGATTGCATCATTAAATTACAAACGGAAATTGATACAATGCAACAACAATATTCAACTGGTATAGAAGAGGTAAGTGTTGTTCTGTAGCACTTTCTTTCCAAATTGATTTTTATTGTTATTTAACACAAATATTTCCTTTTAATAGTTAAATATAAGAGATTCCGAAGTTCAAAGGTTAAATAACAGAGTTAAGGAATTACAAGCTCAAGTTAAGGAATACTGTAATGAATTAGACTTAAAAGAACAAAAGGTATTTATATGTTCTATTTAGATTTTCATAATCATAAAATAATTATCGCATTTTATGAATTTATGGCGCTTTATATATTTATTGCAAATGATCAACGTTCCTCGCTTAATAATTCAGATTAGCGAAGATGTCAGAGCTTATCAACAACTTCAACAAGAATTACAAAAGAGTATTTTAGAGGTAGAAAATAGAAAGATATTTCTATCACCAGTCCTCTTTCTATCTTTCTTATCTTTTTCTTTACTCTTTTCTCTTTCTTTATTATATTTTTTCACTATTCCTTTTCTGTATCCATCACCTTCAACTGTAAATGTAAAATAATTTTATGCCGTATCTATCTAGTGTCGAAATAGCGATCGAACCTCAGATCAATTAAGAGCTGATTTAGACGCTTGTAAAAGACGGCATACAAAGGACTTGGAGACTTTACAACAACATTTGGAAGAGTCTCAAAAGCAAAATTTACAAGCACAACACCAATTAGGTAACACTCGTTTAAATACGATTTTATAACCCAAAGAAAGTAACAATGTTTCTATTTTTGGAACATTTAGACGAAGTCACCCACGAATTAACCCGTGTTAGATCTGAATATGAAATGTGCTGTGATGATTTGTCTAAGGTTGTTTCCAGTAAAGAATGCAGCGAGGGCGAAGTTAAACGATTAAACAACCAATTAGACCAACAAGCTAGTACGCTCGGCCAAGCTAATCAGAGAATTGCAAACCTAGAAGCGGAATTAGAATCGGCGGTTGACGATGTTCGTAGATTGGACGATTCGTTAGCAACATATAGTAGGAAATATGCCGATACTTCAGAACGAGCTTCAGACTTACAACAGAACCTCGCATCAGTTCAACAACAATTAGCTTCCGTTAACGCTCAGGATGCTGAGAAAGAGAGATTAATATCTACTATGCAAGCACAAATGACAAGACTTAGCAATGATTTGGAAGAAACAAGAGCACAGATGAATAGATGCGAAGAGATTATAAAAGAATTAACAAGTGAACTAACAGCTGCTCAAACCGATTTAAATAAATCAAACGAGTTAACAAACACTCTTCAATTGCAAATTAAGCGAACTGAAGAAGCTTTAGAAGAGACACAAGATCAGTGCATACATCATGAAGAAAGGTGTAGAAAGTATCAAGAAGAACTTTTCCAATACAAACAATCTTTTTCTCATTCGGATGAGGACTACGCTAAACGATGCGAAGAAATTAATCAGTTAGAATATGATTTAGAGGACAGTCGATCCGAGTTACAAAGCAAGTCAAGACAAACGTCAGATCTGAAAGAGAATATGAATGATCTGAAATCCGAATTGGAATCAATGCGCGAACAAAATGAAGCACTAGAAGGAGAAATAGCAAGACTGGAGTCTTCAATGCAAGATTATCAATTAGCCGCTGCCTCTGAACAGCAAAAGTATAGATCAGAAATTGCTCAACTTCAAAATGCAGTTGGCCATTTCGAAAGCGAATTGACAGAGTCTAAAAATGAAGTACTTCAATTATCTAATGCGATGAATATCAAGGTTCAAGATTTGGATAATACAAGACTAAATCTTGAAAATATGAAATTAGAAATATCCAATAAAACCCAAATGATCGATGATCAAGAGGAGATTATCCGTAATTTAAGACAAGATATAAATACTTTAGAAAGATCCAATAAAACTTCGGACAATAGAGTAGTAGAACTGTCAGACGAAATTGAACAATCTCGAAAAGATTTAACATCCATTAGAGAACAATTTAAGGAGGCGAGTCAGCAAATTGCTCATTACGAAGAGAAACTAGATGTTGTCAATAGAAGTCTTACCAATATGCAGGAGCAATACTCTTCAAAAGTGTCCGAAAATGTTAAACTGGAACAAACATCTAGACGTCTAACAACAGAACTTAAAACGCTTAAGGAAAGAACGTCTAGTTACGAAGATGAAATTGAAGAATATAAAGGAACAATAGAGAAATTAAGAAAGGATGTTCTCGCCGCCAGAGAAGAGACTCATAATTCTATACAGGAATGTATGACTTATAAGCAAGCGATGGCAAGAATTGAAGGAGAATTAAATGAAAAGAGGGAACAAGAAGCTCTCTTAGCTAAACAAGTTCAACATCAAGATGATTTACTTTCAGAATTACAAGACGAACTTAAAAACGAAAGGTCTAAACAGCAAGATCTGAATAAAAAACTGCTCAAGTTTGCCAAACAAATAGAACGTTTGCAAAACGATACTGAAAGGTATGCTATGAACGAAAAGGAGCTCAAACACCAAATATCAGAAAATGAAAGACATTTATTGTCGGTAAGGGAAGACTATCATGTTCAACAGGAGCGTAATAGGCTACTAAAAGAAGAACTAACTGAGAAAGAAGGTCAACTAAGAGTAGCAAAGTTAAATTTGGAAAGTGGTCAAAAACAAAACAGTTTACACGCTCAAGAGGTACAACGCTACGAGGAAATTGTCTCACAGATGCATGCTGAAATAGATAAGAGTAAGGAGGATTGTAGACGTACTCACAATGATTTGATAAGAAGTGAACAAGCACTAGCTGATCTTAAACTCCAATTAGCAACTGCTCAAGGTAACCATAAAGAGACTGTCGAACAACTAAGTGAAAAAACAAGACAGTTGACAACAGCTAGACATGACATAGAGCAATGTCATAGACAACTTCAAGCTCTAACGAACGATACCGATTTAGTTGAGGAGAAGAATAAAAAATTACGTCTAGATATGGCCATCTACGAAGATGAGATAACGAGTCTAAGGAAACAAATAAAAGTTAACGAAGAGACAATAGAAGGTCTTAGAGTAGACGTTTCCGCAAGACAGGAACAGAACCGTCAATCCCTAATGGAACTTAGCGCCAAAGAAGAGGAATTAGTCGTCTTAAAAGTAGAATCATCAACCATTCACGAAAAGTTCAGAGAGCTTTCCGATTCGTACGAAATGGCCAAAAGAGAACTTGAAAGTATAAAATCAAAGTACTCAGTGGTAGCTGACGACTGTAGCCAAACGAAAAGGAATTTAGAAGAAGAGAAGCACAATGCAGAGAGGCTTAGAAAAGAAAGCGAACTGGTCGTTCAAAATGTGAATACTTGGGTTAGAGAACAAAAGTAAGTTGTTTATAATCACTATTTATATTCTTTAATACAATTTATTCAATCGTTTTTGCAAATATTCTATTAGAACGGCTAATGAAAAGCTTGGAAATAAGATACGAGAACAAAGCAGAGCAATAGTTTCCCTAACAGCAGAAAAAGAGTAAACATTTTTCATGTCTTATTAATCTTTTAATAATCCAATTTTGTTTTATTATTTTAGACGCCTTACCGAACAAATTGCAAGTTTAAATCGTTCCAATCAAAAATATAAATTAGAATTAGATGATAATCGTCTTGATTATGAGAAATATAAAGTATTACAAAGTCAAAGTGGACAACAGCAATCTCTTCTGCAACAATTACAATCGAAGTTAAATCAACACGAAACTGAACAGGAAACTGAATTGAAAGAAAAGGCAAACACTATTGAAGATTTACATAATCGCTTAAAATGTAATATTGACGCTGTTAATCACCTAAATAATCAACTGAGCTTAATGCAAAAGGAAAATGTTAAATTAAGATCGGATTTAGAGAAATCCCTAACAAATCAGCAAACCCTTCGATTACAATTGGATAAATATGGTGGAGCAGTTAACGATTCATCAAATGTTAGTCGGAAAATCAATTTTTTTCTTTATTAACGAAAAGTAATATATCATATTCTAATAGGTGATAAATACATATACTGAAAAGGCTTTATTAGACGCCGCCGCAATAAGCGACAACGATCCTAGAACTTTCGACAAAAGTTATTGGATAAATAAAGTGGGTCAAGTAAGTAGCACAATTGAAAATAAACTGAATAAGTAAACATTTTGCGTTTTTTTGCAGTTGACTATGCAATTAGAGCAAACAGCTCAAAGTGATAAAGAAAGGCCCACTGCTTTAGCCTCATGAAGAATGGAAAAAAAGAGTATTTTCTGGCCTATTCCCTCCTGAAAAATTTATATTTAATTTCTATTCTCTCTCTCTCTCTCTCGCTCTCTTACTGTTTGTGTCTCTATCCCTCTGTCTAAAAGGGACAGGAGATTTATATATTCCACTATGTATGACTTTAGACGTATATAGTTAAATATTAAAATTTTTTAGTTATGTCACATGGTTTAGTTTGGACATTTTATATGAGAATTTTTCATTTCGAAAAAAAGGTAACATTTAAAAAAAAAAAAAAAAGCACGTGCCAAGACGTCGAATTAATTTGCAATAAACTTTTTTGGAAAAATGGTTATAAAAAATAAACTAATTTTTTTGCATATATTAAAATATATTTGAATATATTACCATATATTAAAAACATTCTATATATTAATTATTGATTAGTTAATCTTTGTTGAAGTAGATTATTAATATTTTTATAAATAGCAGTAATCTTAATACTGAATGAAAAGGCACTAGTTTATTTTATTAAAATTTGACGATTTGAGTATAAATGAGATTAGCACGAATCAGTTCAGCAGCTTCTTCTAGTCCAATGATGTATAGTATATGAATTAGTCTTTCAACGTTTGCCTCTTCGCCATTCTCTTGCCTCCATAGATGTAAAATTGCCAAGACTCGTTGATGTAATTCCTGTTTTGCGTTGTGCTTCTTTTCTATTGCGGTTACTTCTACTTCCGGTAGTCGAAATTTGTGAGCCAAATAGCGAAGTTCGTGTTTATTCATCTTATCTTTTAACAATTCAAAAGCTCTTAATAAAAGGGCATCGTTTCTTGATATTGCCCTTCTAATAAAGGAGCCTATCGTTCTTACATTACCGGCTGTGCATACAGTTGAAGGAGGTAATCGAACAGGATTATCCTCCAAATCCAAGTGCCTAGAAAGCAATTAATAACTATTTAACGACAAGCTATTAACAAAATGGATACAAACTTTAAATTAGCTAATAAATCGAAATTTAACGGAAGGTTTGTCAACAAATTTCCATTTAGACTTAGAACTTGAATGTTTTGAATATTCTCCGCTTTGCAAAATTCATCGGTAATCCTCTCAATCTTGTTATTATTCAGATGAATGCTTTTTATTTTTGGTAAATGGCTTAAAGGCTCAGCGTCTATTTGCCATATAGCATTATACTTAAACTCTGCGTTTTCTAAATTAGAAAGCTGTGATAGCTCCTCGGGAAGTTCTTCTAATTTTTGGTTTCTATCGTACTGATTATATATTAATGACTTAAGATTAATTAATGATTTTATCTGAATTGGAAATGATTCAAAGTAGTTTCCCGATACGTTTAGATATTCCAAAACTTCTAATTTCCTTAGGTATTTCTCTTTAGGAAGTTTACCAAGACGATTATTGGAAACGGAGAGATGCCTTAATAAACTTAGCTTGCACATTTCCTTCGGTAATATCTCTAGAATATTTTCATCCAGCCTTATTTCTTCTAATTCGAAAAGATTACCAACTTCTCCGTGTAGTAATGACAATTGATTATTTTGTAGATTTAAGACTTTTAGCCTGTACGAAAATAATGATTTTAATATATTATTTCAACCTATTCAAACAAGAAAGTTATTTAAATTACTTGATCATACTGTAGGCGCAGTAAGGAAGTGTTTTAAACTTGTTAAACGACAGGTCAAGATATTCCATACCAGTTGAATTAGACATTTCAAGTGGTAAATCTTCAATTTCGTTATGGGAGAGAATTAACTTTTTCAACGATGTTAAAGTTGCCAAGGTATTCGAAAATAATGAAATATTGTTATTGGCTAATTCCAAAATATGTAAATTATTTAATCTTTTCATTTCGACTGGTAAACTATCGATTTTATTCTGATTTAGATTGATTATTCTTAATTTAGTGCAAAAAGCTATTTCATCTGGAATTTCCTTTATTAAGTTGTTTTCTGCATACAATTCTTCAAGATAGTATAAATCACCAATTTGCTGTGGCAAACAATCAAGTTTATTCTCATTCAGGTTCAATATTTTTAAAGTATCACGTAGCGGTTGTAAAATTAAAGGAGAAAAGTAATTTAGGTCGTTTCCTTTAAGGTTCATTTCTAAAACACTCGTTAAATTGGTCATTCTTTCATTCCAATCAATTCGCATTATTTGATTATCCGACATATTTAGATGTCGGAGAGACTTTAACTCTAAAATTTCAACTGGTATAAAATCAAAGTTGTTGTTCGATAGATCAAGTTTTCTTAAACAGACTCCATCCTCCATTAGATGAGGAACGTTCCTGAGCTGATTACCTTGGACAGCCAGAGTTTTTAGGGAGTGTATAGTAAACAATTTCGAATTGATACACGTCAATTCATTATCACCAAGATCGAAATCAATTAACTTCTGTAGCTGGCAAATTTCATCAGATAAGTATCTTATCTTATTAGAAGCCATAGATAGTAATTCCAAGCCTTTCAACTTGTACACAACTTTGGGTAGTTCTTCTAACTGATTATGTGTAACGATAAGTTGTTTTAATTGTGATAGAAAAACGAGATCATTCGGCAGATCTGTTAAATCATTATGGGAGAGATTGATAATCTGCAAATTTTTGCAGGCGTAAATAGCACTATTCACAATATGAATTCGATTATTTTCTGCACTAAGTATCTGTAAGTTTTTCAATTTATATATATCATTATCTAATTCCTCTAAAGAGTTATCATTAAGAATAAGACTCGATAGCTCCTTTGCTATATCTGATGAAGAGAAAACTCCTGTAAAAAGTAAACAAGTTTTTAGAAAAATCAATATTTTCACCGGCAGTTTAGTACTCTGTTAAAGTAAATTTGTATACTAAACGTTTCTAAGCAAATTTCGAATGGTATAAGCAAGTTTTTTTTGTATATTTTTATATAATTTTGCGCCGCAACTCCTTTCATCTTTAAAGGATACGTTATCCTTTTCGATAATGACCAAGCACAATTCGAATTTTATACAGTAACCTCTCTTTTTTCTTAATTGAATTGATTTTTATAACTTTTTCTTATTATTATCACGTGATCGACCTACCAACAGGTTGAAAACACTTACCATTGGGAATTTTTGACAGTGATGAGCTGCATAACTTCAATACCAAACCGTTCGGGGATTGTTCAATTAAATCTGGAATGGTCTTATCAAGATCTAAACTGTCTTCAAACCGCAATTTCTTCTCCATTTTTAAAAGTTTTTTTTTTAAGACTATTCTTATCGAGAATGGGGCTTATTTAAACAGACCCCAACCAGTGTCAACATTAAGACAACTTATCAAAAGTGTATTGTTATACCTATAGTAGGCATGATAAAAATATTCAATAAAGAACGATCGAAAATCAATTTTTATATAAGTTTGTCAACTCGTTGTCATAGTAGTAACCGTTTACTAACCGGTTTCTACTTTTTCGCTCTGCTTTTATAGTTTTATATATTTGTTATTATACTGAATAAATATATTTTTTTGTACAGCAAACGCCACCTATAATATAAAGTCTTTAAGCAGTTTTAATTCCATTATTCTTACTTTCATATTTATATTTTAATTATTTTCTTTAAATTTAAATAAGAAAAATAATTTAAATTCTTTAAAGGAACAGAATGAATTTTTTATGTAAACTTTTAGTTTATCTTAATTTCTCTTTAATAAAATGTCAATTAGATTATTTCTTTGATATCGGTGCTAAAGGCGTGAAAACTTATTATGATCCTGAACCGTCATCATCTTCAAGTTTTATTGAATATCTTAACTTTTATCTAAAAACTTATTTTTGGCATTTGATATGTACATTTCTAGCATCGGCTTTCCTCTTAATTATCATTTGTTTAGTTCTTATTCGTTTAATTAATATCTCTAGAAGAGGATTAAGGTAACAATACTAACTTTAAACTTTTTGAATTATTTAATCAAACTGAGCTATTTTAATTAAAAGATGGATATTTTTACCTCTTTGTCCATACGAGAAAAACGAATTGTTAAAGATTGAAACCAATAGTGTATTTCTTCAAGAAAAGACGCCAAATGTTGAATATTTGAAGAAATTAGCAGTAAAATCTGATTTATCACCAACAAAATAGCTGCACATGTTAATGTTAACATTAAAGTTTTAGACGTTTTTACACTATATCAATAGTCGATATACTGTGCTTAAACAATCAATAGATATTTCATTAAAAATCATTGTGTTGGAAGAGCAATTTCCTATTAACATAGGATTATTACGATATAATTCAATATAGGATAATGTTAGGTTTTTGGTTTAGCATTAACTTTAGATGTAGGTTGTAAAGTTTTATCTAATTCTTTATATAGTTTGTAACTTTTATCAGAGGATCTTCTAATAGCTTTGAACAAATCCAGTTTATAAACGTATGGCCAAGCCTTAACCAATTCCATATATTTCCCGAATCGATAATCTTTCAAAAACTCGTCAATTTCCTTTTTGTTTCGTAGCTTTAGACATTCCTCTGGTAAATCTAGAGGGTTTAGAGAATCGAATGGGACATCTTTTGCTTCGGATATTACTCTTCTACCAGGAATTCTAAACTTCCTTGAAAATTGTCTCTCGTATTCCGTTTTCTTAGCTATTTGCCTTACGGCTTCTTGAACAGTTTCGGAGCAGGAAGAAGCTTGGAAACAGTCGCAAAATATTTTCAATTCTTCCAAGACATCTAAGACTATCTTTGATTCTATTGAAAAATATAGAATAGCTGTTTGTATAAAACTGACAACTAATCTTACCTAATAACTTGAGGTTACGAACAGGCTTTTCGGCGAGAGCGTCTGAAAAAAATCCATAGATAGAGGGCCAATCAACTCCGGGATCTTGCTTAGTTTCAGACTCAGGGAGTCTTTTCGGTGATGCTTCAATTTTCTGAATTGCGTTAAATAGCTACATAAAAGAAAATCAAAATGGAAAAATTTAGAATCTCAGACAGTATTTTAGAGATACTACTTTTGATATACATGTCGAATAGTCTTGGTGCTTTAGGGCTAAATTGTTCACCATTGCTTCCCACTCCTCCAGACAAGGACTAGAATAATAAACTGTTGAAACGCTCCCTGTATATATCGAGATTAAGTTATTAGAAAAACAAAAGCATTTTATCCGAATTGCTTTACCAAGAGAGGGTTGCAGACGTAGGAAATAGCTCCGTAATTCACTAACAGTTCTCTTTGTCGTCATGCTCAGATTTAACAGATCTCTGCTATCATATCTACGAGGAATTTTAAATTTAATAAGTTTCATTGTAATTATTAACTTCCAAAATTACTTGAGTAATCCCTGGATCAAACGTAGTTTATCTCCCTTAGACCAACCATGCTGATCCTCATCGGTATCATACACCTCAAAAGAGCTTGTACGCTTTCGTTTTCGGGAAGCTCCTGTTTCAGGTCTTGATTTACCTTCTTCTTTGCACTCGTCTTCAATCTCCTTTTGTAGATCCTCGATCTTCTTCCTAGCACTTCGTCTAGGTCTCAACTACAATTAATGTATAATTAATATTAAAAAAACAGTAGAATAATATGAAAAGATTGAGTTTAGTCTTTAATTAAAAAATTTACTTTTCGAGGTGAAACATCCATGTAATTAAGAGATATAATTTAAAAAGCAGGATATCTCAATTTAGAAAGGAGACTTTTAAAATTTACTTTTACCGGAACCGGAAATAGTAACTTACGAAAATTCATCGAAGAAAAAATAAAAATATACTTTTAACATATTTCTTTAATAAATTATTCAGCCATCTTTAGATATTTAATATAAAATTTATAAATATAAAATATATAAATTCAATGTCATTCTGTAAAAAATAAATAGCAGACGAAATTTTATTTCCGCTTCTGAACATTCAGTTAAAAACTTTGTAAAAATGAATAATTATAATGTTACAAAAAAAGTAATAATCAACTCTGATGTGTATTATTCTTGTCTTGCCCACGCATTTTCTAATGAATCAGAGGAAGTGATGGGTCTGTGTCTGGGAGAGGTTAGTTATTATTAATTTTTAGAAATGTACATAAATCAATCATTTTCAACTAAAAGGTAGATGAAATTAATGAAGAGACAAGAATAACATCAATAAGCGTTTTAATAAGGTCTGATAAGAGGCCTGATAGGGTGGAAATCTCTCCTGAACAGCAGCTAGAAGCCAGAGCAAAAGCAGAAAGGATAGCCGAAGAAACGAAAAAACCTATTAGAGTTGTTGGTTGGTACCACTCCCATCCTCATATAACTGTTTGGCCTTCTCATGTAGGTTTGTATCTCACAATTTCTATTTCAAACCAGTATCTTTTAACTTATCCCTTATTAGATATAAGAACTCAAGCTAATTATCAAGCTCTTGATAGAGCATTCGTTGGTCTTATCTTCAGTGTCTTCAATGAAGACTCGTCAACCAAAGTATTTTGTCGAAAACAGTATATCTTAATCATACTAGTCTCACTTTTTTTATTAGCTTCAGAAAACGCAATTAATATGCTTTAGAAGCGAAGAAGAAGGCCACAACAGGTAAGATGTGACTTTTCATACGGCCTATTATTTTTAAAACCAAGCTATTCTTCAAAAAATAAAAAACAGGTTAAGACATGTAGAAATACCAATAGAAATAGAACCAAACTCACTTGAAACAAAACATGGTGAATCAGGAAAATTACTAATTGACTTATACGATACTTTAAATAGAGAAGAAAGAGAAATGTTCGATAATTCTATGTCAAACATATCAGATCCATCAAACGCTATAATTTTAACAAATGAATTTTCATCAGCCCTTATGAAACAGATGCAGATTGTTGGAGCACCAATTTTACAAGTAAATAAAGCTTTTAGACTCTTTAAAACCATCTTTAATTATTTTCTCTTGATAGGTTCTCAAATCTCGATTGGAAAATGGAAAAAGAAGAGAGATAGAGTTACGGGAATTACTCAATCGTCACAAAAATAGCTATAAGAAATAATAAGTATTTGTTATTCTATATGTATATTAAAAATCATTACTTTAGTCACCTATTTTTTTATTCTTTTGCAAAAAATTGATGGTTTAGAATCATCTATCGCTATTGTTTTATTACTTCAGCTAATAAATTGATGTGAAAATGTTTCGTAATTAATTATATTTTAATTATTCTACTAAGTAGTTCTATAAAAGTGATAAATGACCAGTTGATTAATTTAAACACAACTAATAATCTAACTAATTATAATGGAATTCGTAACCAGTTTTCTTTATAACCAGTTATTGCTTCCCGGTTGCAAAGGTGGGTGTTTTGCATTCAACTTTAAATAATATTACCATCAATTTCGGCCAAATAATACAAGTGTCTTCATGATGACGTGAATTTTATACCTATAATTTTTTAATATGAGTATCATTGTTATTTAAACGATATAAGAGGTACATTAAAAACGTTAAAATGTCTTCAAAACGTTCCAGTGTCTCTTTTGGTGAGTTAATTTTCGAAAAGTTATACTATAGATTTACCTGACGAAACAAAAATCTAAACAGAAGCTGATACTACGGAAAGATTATTAGATATTCCCGAGCCTTCAGAGTCTGTCAACGATAATTTACTTATCTTTAAAAATGATGAACCTAATATAGACAATCCTAACACAACAGAAAATATTCAAGAAAGTGATCGATTCATCAACCAAGGTAAAAGCTGTTGTAGATTACATTGGAAAATGACATTATTATTAGTGTTCGCTGCTATAATCGTAGTAGGTTATTCATCCCTCTGGCTAACTATTGTAATAGCCGTTAAAAATAAATGACAATGTGTTTCTTAGTGTTGTGGTACACATTGCTATTTTACATTTTGTTTACATTCCTCATCATATTAGTCAATAAGCAAAGATAAGTTTATCTAGCTTATCAAAAATACAAGTTCTATCTGGTGAAATTTTTCTAATTTATATTTTTTACATCTATTTAGATGTTATATAAAACTATAAGTTCAAGTTAACATGTTTGACAAACATTTGAAGAAAAATCGTATTTGATGTCTTAAAAGTTTTCAAATTTGAAAATAATCTAATTAATAAGATCAAAATTTGTATATAGAGCTATTTATTTATTTCTTTATTGTAATTAAGTCATGTTTTCGAAACACGATCACCCAATTCAAACTCATCTTTATCGAGATGCAGAAGATAACGAAACAAGTAGACTTGAAAGGGAGTTATATGAAGTTCAAATAAAATTAGAAACTTTAAAGTCTCAACTAGAAAACTCAAAAAGCCTATTAGCTATTCGAAAAAATGAAGTATTAAAGGCTGAATTATTGCTTGAAGCTTACAATCGAGAGTTGCTTACTCTACAAAAAGAGAGTAAGAGTTTACGCGCAAGAAATATCGATGTACAGGTGGAGAATGAGGGCTTAAAGGCTTTGGTGGATGTTGGTAAATCTCAGCGAGATGGCTCTACCAATCGTCAACAGTTGTTAAACTTTGATGAGGTGCTAAAGGATATTCTACCTAAGGGTGTAACTGTTGAGATGCTTCTAGATAAGACATACAACCTTGACAAACACGCAAAGTCTTAAATTTAATGTATTTCATTTGTCAAAAATAAAAACGAAAAGGGTTTTTTGCGGATATCGATGGGAAAATGAATATATATTTATTTTTCGATTCACCTATCAAAAATGTATTATTATTAAACTTCAAAAAAGCAAAAAGTTTATGTGTTTACATTCCCATGGGTCTTCCACGTCCTCTTCCCATTCCGCGGACAGGGCGATTATCGCCTTCCTGACCCGATTTTGGATTCTTTATGGTTTCATCTACAGACAAGATGAGACAACATGCTTCCGATGCAGCTGTGATAGCATTTATCTTAACTAAAGCCGGCTCCCAAACGCAGTTTTCAAAATTATCCGAGATATCTTCCTTATTAACATCAACACCATACCATTTGCCATCTTGTGCGTGTTTCTGACGAAGCTTGTTCAAAATATTTGTTGCATCAAAACCAGCGTTGTCGCATAATTGTCTAGGAATAATCTCGAATGCTTTTGCCATAGCACTGATTAGAAGTTGTTCTTTACCAGCAATTGTTCTGCTGTATTCTCTTAAATATTTAGACAATTCCATTTCTATGGCTCCACCTCCAGCTACAACAGAGTCATTTTTCATTGCTCTTCTAACAATCATGATGGCATCGTGTAGTGACCTTTCCGTCTCTTCAATAAATTGCTCAGCTCCTCCTCTCATGATAATTGTGCAAGTCTTAGCTTGGGTGCATCCCTTAAAGACATTGTATCGCTCTCCTCCAATTTGGATTTCTTCAAAAACTTCGCAAGTTCCGATAATATCATCAGTCAGACTGCTAGTTGTAGTTTGAATAGCACCACCACAGGCCTTCATGGTTCTCTTAAGATCTTCGTCAACAACTCTACCAGCGCAGAACATGTCACGATCAGCGAAATACTGGGTGGCTACATCTCCAATAGGGAGTTTTGACAGAACAACTTTTGCGCCGCTCTGGTGTATAGCATCTAATTTATCATACAAAATTTTCCATTCTGCGTCTACCACTGCTTGATATTCTTCTACATTATCAACTCTGACCTCTGCATTATCCTTTTCAGCTTTAAGTTCCAATTCTACATTTAGAAGAACTATTTTTGGATTTTTATATTTTTTTGGTTGCATTTCAAAACCAGCATACGAAAAGGTTTTCTTAAAAGCTACACCCTCAACAAGCATGGAATCTTCAAGGGCTCCTCCCTGAACCTTTTTCATACCAATCATGTTCAAAGGAAGTAACTCATCCAAACAGGTAACGGCATCCACAATCATCTTAGCGAAAAAGTCCTTTTGACGAGCCACAAGTTTCGAGCTAAGAGCTGTTGATGCACATTTCTCTAAGAGAGCACTATGAGCTTGAGAATCGTCCTTTTGAATTTGAACAGCTATTTCGTTGATTCTGGTTAAAACCTATGTATGAAGAAATTTTTATATTAACTTATCTATTCAACTTTTCAAAAGAATAAAATTACATACCATTTGAGTAGCTTTCCTAAAAGCTTTAATTATGATTTGAGGATGAACATTTTCTTCAATAAATGGTTTCGCTTGCTTTAGAAACTCTCCAGCTAGAAGAGTAACAGTTGTAGTTCCATCACCGACTTCAGCATCCTGTGACTTTGCAATATCAACAAGGGTCTTGGCGGCGGGGTGTACAATATCAAGTTGTTTTAAAATAGTGGCTCCATCGTTAGAGATAGTGGCACTCCCCTGTTCATACAAAGATATAACGTGTTATTTGTTACCATGTCGTTAGAAACAAATAAACAGCCATTACCTTTCCGCTAACAATCAACTTGTCCATCCCTCTAGGACCGAGTGTCGTTCGAATAGCATCAACAACAGCTTGACAGGCATTAATGTTGCTTATTAGTTGAGGCGAACCCTGAGAGGTGTCTGTGCCTTCTTTTAGAAGAATGATTGGCGCTTGCTATAAAAGATTAATTTTAGTTGCTAGTCATTTAAATTCAGTTTTTAATCATGTATACTATTTTCACTACACGATTAAATATCACGTCTACGTTAAATACGAAATCAAGTTATAAAAGAACAAGAATCTTACCATTTTCAATTTTCAGAAATCACGTTTTCTAGCCGGAAGAATTCCAAAATGGCGTCGGTATGTCTAAACTTGACTCAGGAATTAAAACATGACTAACGAATAATGCCGAAATAAAGTATATTAATTATAGGTAAATTTAAGCAAATTCTTTAAAAAATATTTTAGATTCATACGAAATCAACAAGAAAAATTGAAAACATTTAAGAATTATTTTCTGCTAGACTATAAAATTATAAACTACTTAACAATTAGTTAATTGTAGGATCCATGAAACAAATGAAGAAAATCCTAAATTTGGGCTCATATGCCAATAAAACTGCTTAGTGAGAATTTTAATGTACTTTTTTAAAACGACTTTATATAATAAAGAAAATCTTATTTCAACTTTGCAAATTCCTTTAAAGTTTAAACCTACACTATATCTAAACTTCTTAGAAATGTACTCCAATTATTCATCAAAATAGGTTTACAGTAATATTTTTCGCAATATCTACTTGATTTTACAAGGTGCTGGATGAAATATTTACCAGAATTAATTTAGTTTCTACATAAATGAGAATGATTGCGAAATTGAGATATTGCAAAAGTCTACAAAATGATTCATCATTTCATATTAAAAGAAAAATTCCTAACAGAATTCCTACCAGACTAATCTAGACAGGAAAGTTTGAGGAAGAAGTAATGTCCAGAACTTTAGTAGAAGCAATAAACGAAAGATATTGCGATGACTACGAATCTAACTTGGTACAGTTTGTAACTTATCCCAAAGTAGACGAGAGAAATGAAGCTAAATTACCCAAATTAACTACAATCGTAGGTATCTTTAGAAATGGACTTGCTAATGTTTAAAATGCATATATTTTAGGGTCTTCATTCCAAAAGTATATGTACAATTTATAAGGATTCTCTGGACCTGCTTAGTCTGTGTCCCAATGTTCAAAGCATGGATTTGTCTGAAAACCAATTATCGGAGTGGTCACAAATCTTCGATATGTTGGAACAATTGCCAAAGCTTGAGTTTTTGAATCTTAGTGGAAATCCTCTTGAAGAGGCTAAGGTAAAGTATTCTGTTCTTATCACTCAAATTGCACAATGCATAATTAATTCTTCCTTAATTAGCTTGAGCGAAAAGACGAGCAACTGTTGCAATATAAGAACTTAACATCATTAGCTTTGAATCGAACTAAGTTTAATTGGGATAAAGTTTCATTACTTTTTGAATTCTTTCCATCGCTGGCAGAACTACATTTATGCTCAAATGGTTCTCTCATACTTATTTACTTATATTAAATAGTTATTATTTCTATTCCTTCTAGGTTATTCTACTTTAAGTAGTCTAGACGAAAAAAATACTTCCTGTCTTAAAACTCTCTGGTTGTATGATAATTCAATTTCTGAGTGAGATATCTTCCTTCACATTAAGATGAACCATTGTCACGAACGCTAACTTTTGCAGCTGGAAAGAAGTTTGGAAATTGAACAACCTCCAGATAGATTTTTTACTGATCTCAAACAATCCAATTACGTCCGTCGTCTGGCTTGAAGATGCACAAGATGAGCAAAATCAAAAAGAAGAAAGAAAGAAATTCAATTTTCTTGAATCTATAAACCTAAATTCATTAGCCATTGCAAATTGGGAAGATCTTGAAGGATTACAATATTATCCAGCTCTACGGAGGATAGCATTTAAAGTAAGTTAATATTATATGATTATGATATAAATTTTATTGTTTAATTGTTAAATTAGAATAACCCAATACTTGACGAGATGACAGAACAATGTCAGAGAAATCTTCTTATAGCAATGTAATTTACTTTAACAAAGATTTTTATGTTGTTGAATATTCTAATTATTCCCTAAAAGGATACCAAATATTGATACTCTAAATCGTAGCACTATCTCTTCAGAAGAAAGAAAAAATGCTGAATTGTATTTTCTTTCATATTTTTATGATAAATCTGTAAAACCAAATCGTTATTTCGAATTATTGAAAGTATATGGTTTGTGTACTATAATTGAAACTTTAGCTGTTCTATACTTAATAATATTTCAATTTCTCATTTTTAAGGAGAACAGCCTCCAAAAGAGAAAGATGTGGTGGATCTAAAAAAGAATTACTGCACAAACGCTAATTTAAAGTTCTTTTGTGGTGGAAAACTTAAGCATACAAGTTCATTTTCTGTAGCTAAACCCCTTGGTAAGCTCAGAATTTATGTCTCGAACAATATTCTTAACGTTCCAATTAAGTAAGTCCAATTATCAAATGTCAACTTGCGCTTAATTTTAATATTATATTTCAAGGCGAGTTCGAATGTTTCATGCTGTTAAAAGTACGAATGGTCAGGTAGAGTTAGAGGAATTAAGCTCAAAAACTGATTCATTACCAATGAGTAGATTTGATTTACTAGACGGTGATGAGATACATTTAGACGTAATTCAATAATTTCTTTTTCATCCGAACAAATGTTAAACATAACCATGTTTAAGTGCTGTATTATTTACACCATTATATACACTTTTAAACAGTCAAATTTTAAAGCAACAAGTTTTTAAAAATTTCTTCTTTTAATAACTCTTTGCCATAATGCATCACCTACAATAGATTTCAGTTCCAAAGTAAAAATTTGACATTCATCGTACAATCAAGAGAGTTCTCTAATAGAATTTGAATGACGTTTAGTACAATGGATTACTTATTTAGAAATTTAGCCATAGGATCATCATCTCGTAGTCTTTTGCGGCGGTAGGCTTCCATCTCTTCTTCGGTCGGTTCATGAGCTTCGTACATAGAGTTGTAGGGTCTCTTTCTCTCGTCCATTTTTAACAAGCTATCAACTTCTCTCTGACGTTTTTCTTCTCTCTTTATAAGCTGTTTGATAAACAAAGTTACATTTGATGTTTTTAGCTTGTAGTATATTGTATTTTAAATACTGACCTCTTGAATACGCTTTTCTTTTCTAATGTCTTCCCCTTCGCTCTCATCGGCAGAGCTATCACTCGACGACGATGATGACGATGATGATGAAGAAGATGATGATGATGATGATGATGATGAACGCCTATTCTTTTTCTTTTGTTGTTTCTTGGTTTGTTTTTTCTTTGATGCCTTAGCCTCTGGTTTACTCTTTTCTTCAACTTTCTTCAGCGATTGCTAATAAATAATAAATGCTTGGAATAACGTGTCTCTTAAAGATATTTCTGTCAACAAACCTCCTCCATCTGTTTTTCCTGAATAGCCAACAATTTAATTGCTGCTTCATTAGCCTCTTTTCCTGCATTACCCGTACAATAACCTTGACGAAATTGCGAATTACAACAGGCGTATCCCCAACCTCCATTTTTCCAGAATGACCCCCATATTGACTACAATATTCAAATAAAATAATATAAAAATGTGTTAAAGTTATATAAATGTGAATATACATACGGTGTGATTATTTTCATAAATATCCTCGGCATATCTACTTTTAGCCTTAGGCTTTTCCTCACCCTTGATTAATTCTCCTTTCTTAGAATACTCTACATAATGTTCAGTTTGAGCTAACAATAATTCCTTTTGAGGAGCATTTAGATGCTCCTCTCCACCATACTTTTCCAATATTGATTGTTGCTTATTTCCCTGAAATTCTTCCTTCTTTCTTTTATATTCTCTATTCAACATCTCCAATTTCGTAGGATCTGCTTGCAGATTAACATCGGTTCCTTTTTCATATGCTTCCCAAGCGAACATTTGACGTTCAGCCATTTTTTGAGCATCTCCAGACCATCGTACAAAATTATCCCCTGCAAAAGGAATTGTGCCCTCCTTGCCTGTTTCTTTTAAGGGATTTCCACGCATAGAGCGAGTTTTTGGATCATAATAAGCAGAGTTCACATCCAAATTAAAAAGGTACTGTGATAAACATAAAGTTTAGTTTTGTCTAAGGATTAAATCATATTAAAATATACTTTTGCTGTGTCTTCTCTGATACGTAAATTTCTCACAGTAATTCTTTGCTTAGTTTCAAATTTTTGCCCAGGCATGTCCATGTCATCAGCATATTTATCCTCGTCTTGATCAGCATCTTCTTCAGCATCCTTTTTTTCAGCTTCTTCATCGAAATTCTGCTCCTTTATCTGTTTTTTCGCTTCTTCAAGAGCTGCAAAGTCTTCGATGACTTTTTTGTGCATCAGAGGATCATAGCCATTCCACCTGTCTCTTTTTCCTTCATAGTCTAGTTTCAAATTTGGTTGAGAAAATTCGTCAGGAGCAATATCATCAGATGTAAATTTTGCACCAATTTTACGCGGTCTTTCTAAGCAATCCTTTTTTTTGTGAGACATGGCACCACAATTTGCACAAGCTCCCTTTCTATATTTTGTTGCCACAGCACCCTAAAGAATTATTAACGTCTATACTCTAAATATTTTCAAAATTATTGTTTCAACTTACCTTTCTTACACCTTTTTTGTACCACTCACTAATTGCACTATATCTTGATTCAGATTCTTCCTTTCCACGTTGATGTTTAAGAGTTGGTGTTGTTGAGCCAAAATACCAAGGTGCTTGCATAATATATTGAGGAATATGAGGATTGATATCCCTAAAAGAAAATGATCGTATATACTATGAATAAAGTAAATCTCGATTATATAGTACTATAACTTACTTTCCTTCTTCATCTTTCATAGCCGGTGCAGTTCCAGCTTTTCTTGCTTCTTCTAACTCTTTTAGTTTTTTGTATTCCTCTCTACTCTTCTTTTTACCTTGTTCAGCCTCACCATCCTCATCCTCCTCTTTTTTGGCCATTTGGGCCAAAATAGTTGGTGGCAAATTAGGAGTAAAACTCATATTTATCAAATCAAGTGAACGTTGGGAGATCGTTCAACTTGTTTATAATATACTGCTTCCGGAAAGAGAAGTATTCGATTTTTTAGAGGTATGGTTCCCGTCCAACCATTCTTGCATTGATACTATTCCGTTTCCGTTGATTTCCTCGTGAACCGACTGAAAAAGGTTTTCACATGTTTTTTTCATGATATGCTTGTGAAATATCATACACAACCGTATTCAACATATGAGCTTAATGATTATCATTTGATGAATTCTAGCAACTTGCTGTAGTTAAACAAATATTGCTATATATCATCTATTTTAATTGAGTTCTTTTTATTTGAAATTGCATGATGTTGCATATGGTATAATTGTTATTTAGATACTAAAATTGTCTCATTTTTCTCAATACAGTTATATCAAAGATGCCGTTTGCGTGTAGATTTTACGAACAAAGATTTCCTGAAGTAAGTACCAGGTATTATTTTTCGTTGCAGTCTTTGATTGAATTTATTTCTTAGGTCGACGATGTTATTATGGTTAATGTTCGACAAGTGGCAGAGATGGGGGCCTATGTAAATCTCTTGGAGTACAATAATATTGAAGGTACAAGTTTGTTAGTTTCTATCATTTTCTAAAGAGCTAACTTATAATAGGTATGATATTGTTGAGTGAATTGTCAAGAAGAAGAATTCGATCTATTAATAAATTGATCAGAATCGGCCGATCGGAATGTGTCATTGTCCTCAGAGTAGATAAAGATAAGGGTTATATTGATTTATCAAAAAGGAGAGTTTCACCGGAAGACATACAAAGCTGTGAAGATAAGTTTGCTAAAGCTAAATGTGTCAATGGGTAAGTGAGACATTGTCTTTAATAAATAATACTCAATAAAATTTTGAATTGCAGAATATTACGTCAGGTTGCAGAACACTTACAATATTCTTCTAATAGTCAATTAGAAGAACTTTATACTAAAACTGCCTGGATGTTCGACAAAAAATATGGAAAGCCTGGAGCTGCATATGAAGCTTTCAAATTAGCGGTATCAAGTCCTTCTATTTTAGATGAATGTGAAGTTGATGAAAAAACGAAATCTGAACTACTGACTATTATCCAAAGACGTCTAACGCCTCAAGCTACTAAACTAAGAGCCGATATAGAGGTTGCCTGCTACGGATATGAGGGTATCGACGCTGTGAAAGCCGCATTAAAAGAGGGTTTAAACATGTGTACAGATGACTTTCCTTTGAAGGTGAGAAAGAAGGCTTGAATTTAGAACACTAGCTTAAACAGCACTTATTTCAGATTAATCTTATTGCTCCACCGTTATATGTTATGGCAGTTCAAACAATGGAAGCCAAGGAAGGATCAAAAAAGTTGGACGAAGCCATGAACTTGATAGAAGAGGCGATAAAAAAGTATCCTGGAGGAGAATTTAGTGTAAAACACGCCTCTCGAGCTGTAACCGAAACTGATGAAGCAGAACTTGCTAAACATTTAGAAAGGTTAGAAAGTGCTAATAAGGAAATAAGCGGCGATGAAGACTCAGAAGAAGATGAACCCGATGACACAAATGACCACGATGACGAAGCTTAACTTTTGTCGAATAGGGCAATATATTTGTATATTAGAACGATATCCACTAATAAATATTAGTGTCTTATCGGAAGAGATAAAAGAATTCTGATTTGAAATTAACAAAAAGAAACTCGTGTAACTTTCAGTCATAAACACTTTTTATTCTTCAAAAATCGAAACTCTTTTAAAAGATCATTTTATGCGGGTATTGGCGGTTGTTCAATGAGAACATAGCCCCCAAGTATCCGAATAACAACTTCTTTTCCGGATGAGCTCGGATCGCTTCAAGAACGCTCTTGTCGACTGTTAGTTGATCTTCTTTACGTTCATCGGATACACTATAGACTTCTTTTTTCTGTTCGAAAATTTCACCTTCGGCATGTTTAGGTTTCTTAAGAACCTTGCGGCGGAAGTAGGCATCATTTACGCGATCCGGGATCTACCAAAATACAGCATTTTAATTTACAATAATTCTGTTTCATGCATGTGAGACTTACGCTTATCTTAGAGATGTCGACTTTAGTTTTAGTAGCGATTACGTAAATTTGGTTAACTCTACGTAAAGGACAGCCGTTCAAACGGAAGGGTCCGGTAACCAACAAGAGTCCAGAGTTCAGTTGTTTAAGGAAAACTACTCTCTTTCCCTTATGGCGTCCTGCGAGGAGGATCAGTACTGTTCCAGGAGTGATCGTGGTTCTCAAGTTTCTCTTGTGTTTACTGAAACATCCTTTCTTGTTTTTCAGTTTGCGGGAAACTTCTGCGGTTTGGTAAGATTTTGGCTGTAAAAAAAATTAAGTCAATTATGAATTATAACAAATTATTTTTTACTTACTGGTCTGTTAACGCGAACGAGTCTAGTTCCACCGTTTTTGTCACCTCCAATTTGCTTCTTTTTAACTTCGGCGCTTTTCTTTTCGGGTTGCTTTTTATCTCCTCCCTTCTTCTTCAAGCGGTATACTGCACGCTTTCGGTACATTCGGGTTGCGGAGAAACGCATAACTCCCGAGTTTCCAAGTTCATAGTTGCGAGGCCGTGTTATGCCCATACTGTCATAATTAAAAATATAAAAATTTCACTAAAACAACGTAAAGTTTGCTGCTTTTTCGAATTCGATCGGTAAATGAATAATTTATGAAAAAGCTTAACAAAAATTAATTATCAAAAATGAACAATTAGTCGATGAATTTCGGCAAAAATTACCTTCAGCACGTCTTTCTTCACGTGGATCGCACAAAAAGGAAGCGGAACCAGAATTTTTTTTTGAAGTATGGCGGCGCCACTTTTGACCTTGACCTTTCAAAGTTTAATAAAAATGTAGGCCTACAATTACTTACTGATTGCTTAGAGAGAAACGTGAAGTATTCAAAGAAGTAATATTCAAAAATAATTTAATTTAGAAACTTGAACCTACTGTCAGCGTTGTGATCTCTGTGTATTAATTATTTTTAAGCTCTAAACATGCAGACAAATGACAAAATAAGGCATAAAGCATTATTGCTCTCTATAACTATAATTGCATCTATACAAGTATACATTTACAAATGGTCTATTGTGCTTTAAATCTGCGCATTGTCTTATACTAAAACTATCAAATTAATTCGTTATTGCCGTCTATATGTATATATAAAGAATCCTAAGGACTAAATGTCTAGCAAGTTTGCCACTTGCCCTCCCTGTTGTTCTTCGATCTCTTTTGATTCTTTGCTCTCTTCTTCTACTACCTCGCTATCTTTTTCACTTTCCTTATCATCTTCATCTTGTGTGTCATCATCAGTACCAGTACCAGTAGCTAACTGCTGGTCAATTAAACCTAACTTTTGCACCATCCCGGTAGCATTAGCAGATTTTGTCATACACATCTGTACTTTATATTCATAGTTTGCTGTGTGATGTACCCATCTATCCGTATTATCTGGATTTTCTACGCTAATTGATCTAACTTGGGCTCTGGAAACACAAGATTTTGGTTGGTTATATTCTACCCAACAGTATTCGTCGTAAGACTCAGGTATAACGTCATGAGATTGCAAATCGATTCTGCATCGCAGCTCATGCTGCTTATAGGCACCTTCGTTGAACCTAGGAAGTTGATCAACCCTCCAAACAAGGGCCTTGAAAAGATTTTCATACTTCGCTTGACCACATGTTACCTCAATTAAGGAAGGCGGTAAAACACTGTTAGCTAGTTGCGTTAGACGTTCTAGACCCTTAATCTTTCCCGCCCGACGCTTCGTGGAATGCACTGATCCCATTGACTGATGTAAGTTCCACTTTCGTTTCTCCACACGGAAAATGTAAACCCAGGATTCTGGTATAGGGATTCTTATGCAAATATCTTTACAAGGTGTCTGCGATGCCTTCCTCGACATTGTCCAAAATTGAGAGACCATTATTTCGCATCTCCATTCCACGCATTTTTCTTTAATATCTACAAACATTCTTATTTGTAGTGGTAGCTCTTTATTAACTCTAGGTCTAGTCCTAAATCTGAATAATTCAAAGCGAATGGCATCCATAGGTTTGAATCGGAAAACGGTATCTCTTTTATAGCCCTCAGCATCAATGAGTTGATGCAACTCTGTCTGTTCGATAGTTATCCATTCTTCGGTTTTTATTGGAATGATATCGTGACGACCAACAACTTCTTTTCCCTGCCTGGTTATATCATTCATACCCAATTCACAGGATGGATTTCCCGAAAGAAAAGCCAAACAAAATACTCGAATTCTAGCTTTATGATATAAGATTCTATGTTCTTGATCCAATTCGCAATAATATTCATCTACTACATCTATTGTAATTTCATCCTTTGTATATGGTTGTGCCTGAGCAGAGGGTTTAACAGGTTTCAGACTCATCATGGTATCTTCAACTTCTCTAATAAAAGTTTTCATCCCTTCGTAATCTAATGAGCCTAATTTAACCAACTCCGAACTTTGAGGATGATGGTCGAGTAGCATTGTCTTCTTGGGTCTATGTACAATATCTTTTAATCCTTTTAAATCTTTTACTCGAACGATATCTCCTATGGTGGGAGCAATTCTATCAGCATGCATTCCTACTCTTTCTCTATAAAAAATGTACTGAATCTTTATAGTGTGACATTTTCCAAATTCGTCGAACGCTTGAAGGCCTAAATTGCATAATTGATAACTAGGTTGCAGGCCAAGTTCGTGAAAAGGTTTAGATGCGGTTTCGTTATCATAAATGCAGATCGTCGGCACGTCTTTGACGCGCTGCAGTCGAACAAAGCAATTTTTCCAATATCTATTTCCTGTCAATTTCTTCTTTAAGGGCATACGAATCATCATCTTCCAGCCTGTACCTTTAAAAGGCTCGTAAAAAGGTGGAAGAGGTTCAAGAACTTCCGGTTCGAATACTTTTTGTAGCTCAACTAAGTTATTCTCAGCCGTTGTCCCATCAGGTGATGATACTGCAATAACGGGAGCTGCCATGGACAAGTTTGTTTCGGTTTGATAGTCTTCTTCCGGCTCTTCTTCATCAGAGGAAGTAGGTGGTGTCGGCTCCTTGACAACTTTTGGTGGAGGGGGCAGCAGAGGGACAACTTTCGCACCCTTATCTTCTTTAACTTCAATTTTCGCCGAAATATTGACTTTTAAATTTTTCTCTTCATCTTCCCCATCATCTTCAGCTTCAATCTCACGTTCCTCTTTTTTCTTTGTTTCGTAGGTAGCTTTGATTGCAACTGAGCTAAAAGATACTGGATCATCTCCGTCCTCACTTATAGTGCGGAATGGATCAAATGGAACTTTCGATTGGGCTTTACTAGGTTTAGCTTCCTCTGTAAAGCATTCAAAGGCTTCGTCCTCAAAGGCCCCTTCTCCCTCAGCAACTTCATCTGCATCTCCCCAAGGATCTCCCGCATCTTCAACAGGCACAGCTGCGTCTTTGAATACATCATCATCGAAGTCCAGTTTGGCACTTTGAAAATCAAAATCGGTTTTTCGTTCTTTGATTTCTTTAATTTGAGGCTGTGGTTCTTCACTTTTGGCTTTTTCAACAGTTTCTGGATGTTTTGTTTTGGGAGTTACTTCCGCTCTAACTTCTTGATCTAATTCCGGCTTCGACTCTACTTCTGGAGCGAATTCGAAAGGATCTTGAAGTTTTGGATCGACATAAGCAGGTATTGGTACAACAGGCTTTTCCCATGAAATCGGTGATGAACATTCACTAAGTGACTGACGTTTTTCAAATTGCATTTCTGAAAGAGATTTTTTTCGTTTTTCTTTACTAAATACGTCAATGGTACTGAATGGATCCCGTTTTGTTGAACCTGTTCGAACGGGTAATACTGCAGAGTCTATTGATTCGGTACTTTCCGATCGGCGTCTCTGAGCAATTTTATTGATTTTTTCGAAGATGTCATCTGGTTTACTTGACACTTGTTGCATATTGGTATTGCCACTAAAAGTTGGATCAAAGTCAGCCAGATATGGATCTTTTTGATTTTCAACCACTTTTTTAGATAATTTATCTATAGCATCCGCAACCTGTTCTAAAGGTTCAAATGTAGCCAATGTTGGCTCGAGAGGCTGTAGAGATAAATCAAAGAGAACAGACGGTGCTTCTGGTTTTTTGGGAGAAATATCCGCTGCCATAGGTTCTTTAGGCGTGGATGCTACTGATGAACACTCTTTTGACGTAAAATCCTTCGGTGTAGATATTGTGGGTGATACTATTTCCTTTGCTCTTTCGTCTTTAGGACTTGAATACTCTTCAGGTTTAGTAGTTCCACCTTCATTTGGTGTTGAATTTGTAGGACTAAAGGTTTGCTGCGTTGACCCTACAGGTGCAGCAACTTGCATGCTTAAATTGAACTGTGGTTCGATAGGTAGTCCAGTGGGATTAGCTTTTTGAGTTGATTCCTGATTGAAATCATCAAACTGGGCTACAAATTCTGAATTTTGAGGACTTTCCTCACTACCGAAGGCGTCAAAGCCCTTATCGTCAGCTGGCTTTACATCTTCTACAACAGCGCTTTCATCCCTAATGTCAAAGTCATCATCTTCCTCTTTATCGGCGACTGGCTCCATAGCCTTAAAGTCCTCAGAGTCTTCTGGGCTGCTATCGCAAACTTTGAGATCCAGATCTAAAACTGGCTCATCTGGCAGAACAGGTTTTACTGGATTGACAAGTGAATCATCAACGTCGCATGTTTGATTTTCAGCTGAGGCAGCAGGAGTAATATGTTGAGTTTGTGGAGAATTGAATGGCGGACGAGGAGGAGCCGGTCTAGGCGGAGGCGGTGCAGCTTTTTGCTCGAATTCTTCTTCAGGTTCTCTTTCTAAACTTTCTTCTTCTTCATCAACACTTGGTTGAGACAACTTTGCTTTATCAACAACTGCCGAAATTCGTTCTTGCATTTCATCAAATTGCTTCCACGATTCATTAGATTGTTCCAGACTTTCTGTTACTTCTTCACTTCGTAGAGGTTGTGCACCTTTATTCAAACCTAAAAATTTTGATAATGCTTCTTTAGCTTTTTCTTTTTTTTCTTTCTTTTCCAACTTCTTTTTCTCTCGTTTTTCCCGTTTTTCAGGAGTCTCAACAAGGCTCCTGACAAATCTCTTGGGAGATATTCCCCGTTTTTTCTTTTCGACAGGAGGTTGACTGGGTCCTATTAGATTTCAAATTAATTAAATAAAGAACATTTGAAAATGAATCGACGTACTATGTGGAGGAATTTCTGGTTTCTTAGGAGCTGAAACGCTTGGAGGTGGAGGTTTAGCTGGCGGTGCTGCTGGTCTTGAAGGTGGAGCGGCAGGCCTTGCTGGTGGTTTTGTTGGAGGTTGAGGTTTTGGAGGCTTCTCTGGCCGTTCGGGTTTATATTCAGCTTCTTGAACAATTGAAGTCTCAGGTCCTGGAGCGGGTGCTGGATCAGGTACTGGAGCAGCTACTGTGGCTGTTACTGGAGCAGGAGCTGAAGGCTGGTAATATGTGCCTTTAGCAACTTGTTCGGCTTCTTCCCACGCAGCTAATGGGTCAGAGGGAACGAAATTCTCAGGCAAACGGAATTCTTCTGTCTCCTCAACATAATTTTCTTGCGAATAGTCGATGTTGTCTGCTACGCTATCGGACTGAGCACCATTTGCGTAATCTGCCTCATTATCTGCAGCTATTTCCTGCGCATACTCTTCTTCGGGTAGTTCTGGTATGTCCTCGTATTCTCTTTCTTCTTCACCAGCCTGCTCAGGTTCAGCAGGGGTTGAAGTGCCATCAGGTGAGGTAAGTATCATTTCTGGAGGGGGAGGTGGAGGAAAAGATTCACCTTCCTTATCCTCTGCATCTTCTTGTTCGAATTGTTCGTAATTAACAACCGGCTCATCTTCATGAGGAGTCGGAGTGTCGGGTGTAGAGTTTGCTGTAGGAGTACTTGTTCCATTTTCCTCCAGGCTCTCTCTATCTGGAGATCTTGGATCGATTTCACTCTCTACATCGGTCAACGTTTCAAAACTAGCCAAAGGTGCCAGAGACGTGTCTTGTAATTCGGCTAAACTTCGATTTTCGGAGCCCTTCCGAACACGTATTTCCGGTATATTCTCCCCTGATGCTTCGACAACATCATCATCTTCTACCATGGGTATTTCGTCCGAATCCATATCGAACAATTCGTTTCCTTTTTTTTACGCTAGTGCGTCCATATTTGGAGAGAAGCGCCCTCGATTGACCGTTTTAGAGGCTGGTAATGGCGTCTGTACCAATCGATGGCGTCTAATGACGTTTATATACGGCGTTACTAGCGTTTTACTCTGACTCGCTACACCGACAGATGGCGTAGATAATATTTCGTAATAAATTTTTTATGAGAAAAAGACACTACAATCGCGTTATAAATAAAGAATAAATAGAAAAATAATTCATTAGAGTGAAATTATTATTAAATTTTAGATAAATCAAAGCAGAATGAAAAAGATCCTAATTATTTAACAAATATGAACACCCTTTCCTTCTTTGCATCTCAGAGCTGTGAAGAAATAAGAGATAATAGAGATATAATTTCCCTTTAATTTTCTAAAATAAGGCTCGTAAAAAGTATCATTAATAATTAACTTACCGACTTTCAAGCTGTACATGAAGCTTTTGAAAGTTTCATTTCCGGTGACAGCACCTGACCTGGCAGGGTTCACTCTTTCTGTAATAACTGATAAGCGATTACCGTCTTCACCAATTTTGCCATATGCTTCAATCCTCACAGTGTGGGAGTTGGCTAAAGCAAGACATTTCATCAAATTATTTTTTAATTCGAAAGGAAATGAAAACTTTGAGACGTACTGTTTTTATCAGAAACTAGTTTTCCTATAATTTTATCAAAACCTAAAGAAGGAGCTGAAAAACAAGCTACAGCCATTGTATTGACGTTATTTGGTGCTAATTTGCATAAGTCCCTAACTGGCCCTTAAATAGAGGAATAAATAAAATAAAACAAAAAAGAAAGAAAAATAACTTAAATTGTCATCATTGAAAGAATAAGATATTAAATTTCTAAGAAAAATATACCTGAATATAAAACGTGTTTGCTTTCATTATCTTCTTTGGCCTTTTGTAAATTTTCTAAAACAGAGCCATGAACTTTGAAACTATCTGGATGTTTTGTCATTGTTATTTGAAAGCTCTGTATAAGAAAGTTAAAGACGAAGCTCGTTGCACTAGTAATCGTATGTAAATATAAATATAAAATGCAACTATATTCTAAGTGCTTAATATAATTAATATACCTCCAAATTATTAGAGTCATCCATCTTCCTTATATCAGACGCGCCCCAAAAAGCCCCAGTTGCAATAAAAAGCCTCGTGTCGTGTTCTATAGCAGCACTTTTCATTTGTCTTTCAACTTTTTCGTCAGCCAAAGCCGTTGGTGATCCAACCTTTATATAAATCATTTAATTTCTTTATTATGTGAACAATATTTCCTAGTTCTTTCAGAGTTAAACGTACAAGTAAAAAGAATTTTAACTAACCATAAAATCACAATGTTTCAAGAATTTTTCTCCATATTCTTTAACAATTTGAGGATGACAAACTTCAATTATCAACGAAGCTTCCCTATTATTTATTTAACATTGTACATTTTTCTATATGAGTAGTAATTACTAAAAGTAAAAACGAGAAATGGAACGAAATATTTCAAATTACCTTTCAGTGAAATCTTCCAAATTGTTTAAGATAAGACTACCAGGCAATCCCGATTCGTTGAAGACATCTTTGCTTCTATTCCATATGAAACTCACCTGAATGTTATTTGGTTCCTCGATTCTAAGAATCTCAGAATATAAGTACTTTCCTAGTTAAATACAACATTGAATATTGTTTATACAGTATATATCTATATATACTATATATAAAAATGAATAGTAATAACCTAATCTTCCAAAACCTACTATCCCAACTTTCATCTTCTTAATAAATATCTTCTAAAGCAAATAGATACTTTGTCGACGTTTTTTCGCAAACTGTCCCATTTAGTAGCAGAGGCCTACGTAAGTAGCGACATCTATTGAACGAATGTCTTAAGATTGTGTCCGATTAATTATTCTTTTGTATTTATTTATTAATTTGAAAATTTCTAAATAATTGAAAGGAAAGAGCCGTTGAAATTTATTAACAAAATTAATTATCTATGTCGAAAAAGGACGAATAGAATTTCTTTGAAAGGAGATTACAGATGAAAGATTAGACGTTTAGATGAAGAACAACGTTCTTAAAGTTTGTATTACAAATAAATATTTCAGAGACATGGCGGCGACAAGAAATGGATTGAACGATACACATTTAAATTACTTCATACTATATAAATATATCAGATCCTGGAAAAAATTTAAAAATATCATATAAAGGGAACTTTACATCAGATACACTATTTTTAATACTAGTAGAAGAGAAAGTCGTATAGTAAAGTAGAAGTGGATGAGGGGAACAAGAGAAATTCTTATACTTAATTTCTTGGATCAGAAAGGTCAGATCTCCAAACAGCGTATCTACCATCGGCTGATCCTGTTGCTATATATCTATCGCCTATATTCGTCATACACCTAACAGAATCTTTATGAAATTCCAATGCATGGTATTTTTTAGGATTCTTAATTTCCATTATGATAACTCTTCCTTCATGAGTTCCAAACCATAACTGATTATAAATGATATAAGAAAAGTAAAAAATATATATTATTGTTTTTAGTATGACAAAAATTAATTGAACTTACGTGATCCTTAAAGAGAATCATTGATCTTATACCTTTGCAAGAATCGATCGTTACCTTCTTAAGCTGTTTACCATTAGAGGTGTTATAGAATCGAACTTCATTCTTATGTTCACATCCAATAAATATCTGAAGTATAAAGTCAATAATTAATCGAGTTTCTAATATATCAAATAGTTTTTTTTACAATATCGTTTGTTATAGCGAATTGATATAGATTGGAACTTCCTCCTTCAACAGTTACAATTTTTTCGCCTCCTAGTGACAACTTCATTAAGAAATTTTTGCTACCTAAATATAAAAAAAGTATGGCATTATTTGATGATAGTTAATCAATTACTTTTTGTTAAATATATGCCTCGTTACTTACAACACCATAGGTGATTGTCATGAATTTGAATGCTTCGTAGACAATTTAATTTTTCGACAGTAAACTTTTTTTTCTGCTGTAGGCTCGATTGTTCCCAACAGACTATTTCCCCATTGATACACGAACTATAAACAATTCTGCAATAAAAGGATATCCTTATTTTAAATAAATAATTAGATGCATGAGATAATTAATACCCTGTTGGTTTGTGGAAGCAAAGGCAAGTAACCGCGTCGCTATGTCCTACTAGACGATAGTTACTTTGTAATGTACGTTTGTTGACAACGTATATTGTTGAGTCTAACGATGCAGCCCACACTTGATCTCCAAGTCCCAAAAGAAAAACCTTTAAAGAAAAAAAATTCTATTAATAAATTATTTAATCAGGAACGTTTAAAGTTCTTAACAATTCTATTTCCGGATAATTCAATAACTTTGGTAACAATCCACGTTGATGCATCGTAAATATAAACTTTACCGCTTCCCATTCCAACCCATAGCTTGGGTTCCGTCATGTCACCAGAGTCCCATGCTGAAAACATAAACGAATTAATTCTGAAATAAAATATTTAATATTGAAAAGGAACCTCCTGTCAAATATAACAAGCTTTCAACAGATTTTCTTTCTTCTTCATCATCATTTGGATCAATAACCTATGAGAAATATTGTGTTTTAAAGAGAAGAACATCTATTAAATATTAAAATACTTGTAAGAGGTTCTGTTTAGTAATTTCTGTAAGAGTGTAATTGCCGTATTGTCTCTCAGTGAAAAAATGGGCCAGGTGTTGGGCAAAATTATTTAAAGTGTTTGGAGACATGGGAATCTCATCTTTACTTTGAAACAGACTTATTATAAGTTGAACATTAGAGGACGCTTGTGAAACAATAGATAAATTTCGAACTTCTTCGGCAGCTAACTTTCCATGATGCATTTCTACAATAATCCAATACCATTCGTCGCGATCTTCTTTAAAGCAGGCGGAAAAGGTAGATTTATCTATCAAATATTATAATAACATAATTAATGTATCTTTTTTCATAATTCTCTTACTTCTTAGATGTAATTTTAGTGCAGGTACATTTGTCACAAATGATTTTTGCATAATTTTTTCAACTTTAATAATATCATATAATTTTCCAACTTCCAAACATTTTTTAGATCCTTCTTGTAAAAAGTGAATCCTATTTTAATACATAAACTAATTAATCAAATTTCATTATATTTAACAAGTATATGAACCTTTTAGAAGTTAGTATAATTCTACCATTACCAAAATCAGTCTTAATCAATTCTGAACATTTAAGAATATATTCATGAATTTCAATAGTTTCAGAATTAACCTATTTTTTTAGGGGAGAGAAGAGCGTTAATGTTTTTTATGATAAAATCATTAAAATAGAGTCCTATTACGGTTTTTAAAACGTTAGTTCTTTTCACTTCCTGTTCTTTCCATCTTGTATAAAATACTTCAAATACTTCTGGATAAACCACTATAAAAAACAAACATATATGTTTATTACTTATATTCTATAAAGCTTTATAAGTTTCCAACCTTGGCAGCCAGGTTCATCATCTCCACACATACATAAGACTTCAAAAAGAGTTTGACTCGTTATCGGTCGTAAATGTATATCTAGAGCATCAAGGACGTCGCGGAATTGACTTAAAGCTATTAGTATTCAACTGAACATAAAATTAACATTAAACAGTAATTTAAAACTAACAAACTGGTAAAGTCGGAATACGATCCCATTTCATTTTAACTGCTTCTTCATATCTCGAAGGCAGTGGTGCATTATTGCAATTCATTATCTATAGTAAAAATTTTTACATTGATTTTATTGTTCATTTACTACAAACCATAAATAATTCGGATTTATGAAAAGCTCTTTGGTCTTTCAGAATATCAACATCTTGTTCACTTAATTCATCATATGCCGCTTTAGCTATTCTAAAATAAAGAGACAAATAAAAGTATGTTTAATATAATATATGTCATTTATTAATTGCATAAGTTTTATGTCATGAATATTAACTTGGCTGGAAAGAGTTTAGCATTAAACGAAAAGAGAGAGTGAAAGTCTTCAAAAGCTGAAAAAGCTTTATTATTGGCTAGCTTGAGAATTCCTCTCATACAGAGAAATGAAGCTCTTTGATTTGGTGAAGTACAAATCTGCAAATGTTAAAAAGACAATAAAGCAAATTAAATTCAGATATATCGACTATTTTACTTCAAGTTTAGATGTAATAGATTTTATACAAGTTCCGTAATAAGATTGGTAGTATTTCATTTGAAATTCTGGTAATCTCCATATTTCGTATGGTGGTAAAAAGGCTAATCTTAGAGCTAGAGAAGTCGGTTCAGATCTCCCCTTCCTTATGTTAGAACTTAAGAATAGGAAAATAATTTCCTTTTATTAAACAATTAGAAATAACTAAATTCTTACTAACTTTTCGTAGGATGAAAAACTTCTATTAGAAGTTTTTGATTTTCTTCTAGTAGCTTCTTCGAGTTGTGTCCAACGATCATTCTTACCTTCAAATCTATCATTTAAGAATCCATTAAACGATTCGCTTTGAATGACTTGTTCAAAAAAGAATACATCTTCACTCCTCTGAATTTTTAAGAATGCAGTTTTATCAAAGTATTTAGTTTTTGGTTTTATGAATTGTAAGACATCTCTGAAATATACATATTTTTTATTATAAAGAAATGCATTAAATATTACTTTATTCATATTACCGAAATAAATTAACCATTAGTTCTAGGCAAATAGCTGAAATTTGCATATTAACTTTTCTCCTATGTTCTATAGCTGATTCTTTAACTTGATTGATGTTAAAAAGAGCTGCCGAATCCAGATTAGCAACATCGTAGTGTAAACCGATTTTACGGAATGATCTTTTGAAAGTGTAAGCTGAATCCTGAGGAAGGGTCGGTAATTTTAGTGATGCGCATGTGCCTAATTCTCTTTCGTCAATATCCACGACTATTAGTTCCGAAATCTATTATATTAAAAAAAAATAATCAAATAAACTAATAAAAATACTTATTTTCCACTGATATAATTACTTTCAGAACTTCGTTTCGATGCTGGGAATGACAGCCGAATAAAAAAGAGCCAGGAGCGTCTAAAAGTTCCAATGTTGTCTTTGATAGGATCGGTACAAAAGGAAAATTCCAGGCGAATGGTTCTATAAAATGTATAAGCGCCTGAGCAGCGATAGTCAAAACTGAATAATTGGAGCTAATTATAACAATTCTGTGTTGAGTTAGCATGCAAGATATTATCTATAAAATTAAGGAAAATTTAAGAGAATATATTAAACGGTAACTAAAATAAAGTATCAACCTGTAAAATATACTCAAGAGGTAGTAAAAAGAACAAAATTGATAAAGGAAAGTCAATTATTGGATGATCAGCGAAACAAGATGACGGTAAAAGTATTCGAACATCTTCCAATTGCATTGCCTAAAATATAAAAAAATTTTAGCATCAATCCTACAAATGGAAAAGTTGAAGAGATAGTTACCAAGTGCATAGAACCTGGTGGTGGAGTAATTGTTCTTGTCAGCTGTAATGCGTATAACTTTAAAACTTCATCTTCTTTATCATGATTACAACGCATGCGACTTCTCATTCTAAGTAATTTATTATTTGATATTGAATAATAAAAAGAGAATATTCTTACTTGGATAGACACTCCTTAAATACAGAAAAATAAGGAATTTGAGATATCATAACATAGCAACACGGTACAAATACGTCAGCATCATCTTTGTTTAAAGTTAATTTTACTATTTTAAATGTACCATCTTCATCCTATGTTAGAAATATTGAATTAAATAGGATTTGGTATAAATGTTATGAACGAATATTTACCGATTGTATTCTAGCAGCTTTATGAATCCGTAAGCAGGTTGCGTAAAATCTTTCACCGCATACACCTGTCAATACTAAGTGATGGATAGAATCGGGTCTCTTAGTGGTTGAAACGCGCATTCCTTCAGGAAAGCAAAATTGAGGTAGACAACGTAACATTTCCAGGACTTCACTTTCTAATTCGTTCGTTTCTAAATCTGATTCTGATTTGTGTGAACGCTTGGCCTGGGAAATTTGGCGAACTGGAGTCATACGTACGCTACTAATCTTTCGCCGATGCATTGTACCGTAAGGTGATTTAGAGTTATCATTTGATATTGATCCAATACTATCTCTGCTATTGCCTGACGATTTTCCACCATTCTTTTGCGTACCAGGAACATTTGGAAGAAAAACATCAGAATTTGACGATAGACTGCTATCAACAGAGGCAGCTCTTTGAACGCGAACACAAGTAGGAGGTAAATGTGGAGATGGGCAGCCTTCGGAGGATATACAAGAGGAAGAGGAACTATCGGACGAGCGTTGAAACCATTCCGAAAATTGAGCTGAATCAATTGTATCTTGTTTCCTAAAACCATTTTAAAGTCAGAATTAAATATCTTAAATCAATTTTAAACACAGACTGAGCATAATGAGGCAAAGTATCTCTAGGAAAGACAAGAGTTAAGTCTTGAGCTACTCCCTGGGGATATTTCGGATCAACAGGTGGATCTTCGAAAGGAAAGTAAGCTGTATTTGCAGTTATAGCCGCAAGCAGTTGAGGATCAAAGTCAGTCTTCACTATCTCTCTATCCTTGTCGTAATCGCTTGCTGTCTGTTAAAATCAGATGTTTTTGCTTAATCAATAACATAATAATTTAGGTTGCAGAAACTTTATCAACTATATTTTGGGCAAATCAACTTGTTTTTTTTACCCAAAAGCTATACTTAACCTTATTAATACCAATATTGCTCTTATAAGAGCTATTACCTTTGAAGAAAAACAATGCAAAAACTCACCTTGATTGGTTTTAGGCCAGAATTACAATCTGCTCCGACAAGAACAATAAGATCGGTAAGGCTTTGCATTAATTTTCCAGACATTTTGGTGTTTCAAATTGAATAAAAAACTGATTATCAACAATTGAATTTAATATACGCCCAGTTTTTGGCGGCAATGATACTTTTGAGAAAGTATTCTACAAAAGATTCCAGAACCTTTGTAAAGTTGTTCTTCAAATATCTATTATATTAATTGTGTTAATCAACCCATTTACCAGTAAATTAGTCCTTTGAGAATCACCAAATTATATTAATTCAAAAAATGCTACCTCAGTTTGTCTACTGACCTTGATCTTAGCTGCAGCTGAGCAAGTGAATAATGACCGGACATTTCACCGGTGTCAATTAAACTGGAACCGGTCATTCTAATTGGATAAGAAATAGTTTTAAGCTATAATTAGTACATTTATTGTAGCACATGAATTCGTTTTTTTTATTATCAACGAGATAATAAACTCAATAACAGACGAGTTTCATGCCCCTTAGAACATTTTGCTCACAGTATGTGCCGAGGGTTGTAACCTAAACTCGTCAATAACAAAACTATTATCTACTTATTTTATATCTATTTTGAACGAAAAATCTGCCTAATATCTAAAACAAACAAATAAACAAACTAAAAGCAATTTATTTACAGCTATTAAAACGGAATATTAACGCTTCAACAGTTTTTTCCAATTTTGTTTACGATTTATGGGGTAAATTCTAAGAAATCTATCTATTTATATTCAATTTTGGTAATGTAGAAGTATTTTGCAATCTATGTTTCAATTTTAGTTTTTGAGTACTTTGTATAATGCAATTTTCAGAAATAGACTTTCTAAATATACTATCAACCCTTTCGTCGTCGTTGCTTGATGAAGAATTCGATAAATTATCCGAGGAGTGAGAATAATATTGAATTGGAAATACAATTGTACTATGCGGATCATCATCATCATCATTAAGATGTTTGTTAAGACTGCCGTTATTAATTTGAAAATTATCATTTCTAATTTGATTATCACCTTTAACTTCAGATCTGAACTCAGAGTCTTCAGAATTTAGTTCTGCTGACCTTATTTTCGGATAATAATTATTACGAAATTTTCTATTATATAATCTTCGGTCTTGCGGTGTTTGCATGGTTATTTCAGACCCTTCTTTCTTTTGAGTGTTTACTTTATTCAAATGGTTGTAGTAAGACTCAAAATTGTGATTCATAATACCCCGTATATTGAGTCCCATTATAAGGAATAATAAACAAGATATGACAAGTATTGGCCCCCATATAACGTTCAGAGGTTTATAAATATAGGTATATACTACTTTTTTACCGAAGAACTCAACTAGAATTTGTAATAAACAAGTTAATCCGAAAGTTGTTCCCAACACCACTCCATACTCATCAGGTTCAACTAATCGAATTAACTGCGATAGAATAGCAGAACCAGTTATTGACGTTAATCCCCCCATAATACTAATAATTAAGTAGGGCTCCTGATTTGGTTCAGATATAAGTATAGGGAGTAGTTGGAAGGGTCGAATTCCCAACCCTATTAAAATAATTATTGGTTCTTCTATAAGACTAAAATACGATAAAACATTCCACCCGCAACAAAGGCCAATTAATAAAGATATTTCATTTATTAAACGAAAACCTCCAACAGTTATAGAGTCCCATTGCATGGCCTTGTTTGAAGTCGTGTAAACTGTGGTTATTTCCAAAATACACATATAAATCAATTCGTTAAAAGCGTAAATGAAAACATATAGGCTTAAATAGCTACGGCCATTAAAATTTCTGTTTCTCCAAAAAGCATGAGTTATAGAAGAAATATGAGATTTTATTTCATAAAATTTCCTAGTTTTTATAGAAGTGTCTTTCGTATTGTTAGAAATTTTTGCGGTTTTTTCATTTATCTTATAAGCTGATATGATAGCCGCTATTAGACTCAAATTTGTAGATAGCAGAAGCATGGAAGAAAGATTAATAAAATTTATAAAGACTGCTGAAAGAGCAGACAGAATGGACGTAATTCTGAATATACCATCCATAAAGATGAATCGAACAAATAAGTGCTCCTTTGTTTTAGATTTATCAGCACAATATGAGAATGCCAAAGTGTATATGATCACATAATGACTAGTCAAGGCAACAATTATCCTAGAGATATATAGTAGAATAGGTTCCATATTTCCTAAGATATCGTAATCGAAAATATTTAAAAAGTTAAATATAATCAATCCAATAGATATAACCATCATAGACGATCCTCTACCAATAGAATCCGACCAAGATCCGTACAGACCTCCTAATAGAACACCCCATCCATAATACAGATACTTGATAACTGGTTCGTGCCTCTTCGATTCCGGTTCAAGAGTCTCATTGATAATATGACGGTCAATTTTAAAACAGGATATTAAATCTAATTCACGATCATTCGTACATGGCCTATAATATAAATACGAATTAAACGTTATGTCCGAGACAACACGAGCAATATTAACAAAAAATGCCCAAAGTTCGCCAAAATATAGAGATAGAAATGTAAAGTTTGGCATATATAACAGTCTATTTTTAAAATTATATATCTCTCATAATTCTTTTAATTTAAAATATATTTCAACATGAGAGAATTTTTATTCTATTACCCTTGAAAAATTAATACTGTTCCACTAATAAACGTACCACATCTCTGACAATTTACAACAGAATCAGCACATTTAGAACAAACTGCCAAACATCCGCAAGGAAGGGTGACAACATTTGCCATTTCATTACAAACTATTTTTTGATTTTTACAAGATGTTAAATCATTAAAAAAGGATTTCATTAATTGTGATTTATTTTTGGGTGAATGTTGTTTATTAAATAACACTTTATATTTTTCTTTATAATTCAATTTCGTTATTGGTTTTTTTTCATTTAAAAGCATTTTCTCGAATTTTTCACATATTTTACAAAGTGTTTCAATATTTAATTCATAAAGGAGATTATATCTTTTACCAAATTCAATTGATCGAAGAACAATATTCCAGTCTTTTAATTCTGAAAGTAGTTTAGCGACGTCTGTATCTATTGCTGCTCTGACTTCTCGAGGATCTATATTAAATTTAGACGTGTTTTTTAAACTAATAACATCAGTGTTACAATTTTCATCTTTGACTGGAAAATTCAGCTTGTGTTCATCTACAAATTCAGCACCTTTCCTGTTGATTAGAAATAAACAATACGGTTGAAATTTTGCATGTTCCTGAAAAGGATTTTCAATGTTTTCTCCTCTCAAACTACATCCACAATGAAAACATGTTAAAATTTGTTTTTCTTTCATTATAAATCCTGTAGTAGCGCACAATTCCTTTTCAAGGAGACTGATGTCATATTCTGAGAGAGACTCTAGACGACAACTATACCTCATCATATCAGGATATAATGGTTGACACTCCAAAAGCTTATTCTCATATTCTAAAATCAATTCTTCTTTGTTATTATTCATGAAATATTCGTTAAAATATTCCTTTATCATAGGACAATTCTGAGATAGAAGCGTATGGATAGTCAATGGTTTTGAGTTTTTCTTCCAATCTTTTACAACAAGATTACAGGAGAAACATTTTGTAGCATCAATTTCACCCAAGTAATAAAAGAAACTATCTATTAATAATGTTACAGATAATCTATCATCGTATTTCCACTTTAGAAATGACTTTTTCCTATTTTCAATATAGCTCATATCTAAATCTTCATTCCAGTCTTTACCAGAATCCATTATGTAAGAAATATCACACTGTTTTATGAATTTCCTTTGTAAGAGTTTACAGGTGTTTAAGTAAATTTTATTCGAATATAAATTCCGATCACTTAAGCTAGCGTCTTCTCTTCCGGAATCGTTACACTTAAATACGCTTTTATCCTTATCAGAGATATAATTTTTCGTAAAGATCTTTAAATTTGATTCTTTAACATTTTTACTATTAAAAGTATTTGTATAGATTGAACAATTTCTGCTTAAATTCTCCATTGTGTGCGTCAATTTAGCGAACTAGCGAGTCGTTATATATACTGCATATTTTGATGGTTAAACTTTCATTTTGGAGAAACAGTGTAGTTTTTCTTTCATTTTCATTTTAAAATGACTGCCTGGTACATTTTTTCTTAATTATTTACATGTTCCAGAAGAAGAGAGAAATATTTATTTATGTAAGAAAATGTTTTTAAAGATTGTTTTCATGACTCATTTGCTTCATGAAATAGAATATTATTGAAATATCATAAAAGAGCTCAATATTTTTCCTAATTAGGTCAATTGCAATAAACAAAATTTTTATTTATCAGATATTTTTTTTAAAATAGATTTGAGAATATACGCCTCTTAATTGTTTCAATTCGGTGGTCATGTGACCAGAAATAGCAGAAACCTCATCACGTGACCAAATATTATCTCAAACAAACTAAAAGCCCAATTTAAAACTATTACTTAAAGATGTTGTTTCTTCTAGTGGCCATAAACTTGTTTATTTATATAGAATGTCAAGTTTTATATCAACAGCCGGAACAAGTACATATATCAATTGGTAATAATGCTTCAGAAATGTACGTAAGTTGGGTAACAATGAATGACACTAAGAATTCATTTGTACAATACGGACTTTATTCTCTCCGAGACTTGAATCTGAAGGCGGTAGGATCAAGTTCTAAATTTGTCGATGGAGGCTCTCAAAAACGAACAATGTTTATACACCGTGTGAAATTAACAAATTTAAAAGCAGATACAGTTTATACTTATAATGTAGGATCAAATTCTGGATGGAGTGATATATTCTTTTTTAAAACATGGCGAACGGATCCTAACTGGAGTCCAAGATTTGCTATCTACGGTGATATGGGGAATTCAAATGCTCAATCTCTAGCTAGACTTCAGCAAGAAACAAGAAAAAATTTTTACGACGCAATTCTACATGTTGGAGATTTTGCTTATGATATGGATTCGGACAATGCAAGAGTTGGTGATCAATTCATGAGACAAATCGAATCTATTGCCGCCTATGTTCCATATATGACCTGCCCTGGTAATCATGAACAAGCATATAACTTTAGCAATTATAGATTTCGTTTTGGTATGCCTCGAAATGGTGATGGCGAATCAATATATTACAGCTATGACGTGGGTCCAGTTCATATTATAAGCTTTTCAACCGAAGTATATTTCTATCTTCAATATGGAACACAACAAATTAGAAATCAATTTGCCTGGCTGGAACAGGACCTAATTAAAGCTAACAAGAACAGAGCAGAAAGACCATGGATAGTTACCATGGCTCACAGGCCTATGTACTGTTCGAACAATGATAATGATGATTGTTCAAAGTACGAAAGTATAATAAGAACAGGTTTACCTTATCTAGGGTATGGATTAGAAGATCTCTTCTATCAATATGGTGTAGATGTTATGATTTGGGCTCATGAACATTCGTATGAGAGACTGTGGCCAATCTACGATAGGACAGTTTGCAATGGGAGTTTAGCTCAACCCTATATTGAACCAGGAGCCCCAATTCACATCACAACGGGTAAATTAAACATAATTTAGTTATTTGATATATAATACTTAATAATCTACAGGATCAGCAGGCTGCAGAGAAAGACATGACGGATTCATACCGATTCAACCTTACATGACAGCCTTTAGGTCAGACGACTATGGATACACAAGAATGCAATTTTTCAACAGCAGTCACGCATATTTCGAGCAAGTCTCTGATGATAAAAAAGGAGAAATAATTGATAAAACTTGGATAGTTAAAAGCAAACATGGTATTTATTCCTACGCTGATAATTCTGGCAAGTGTAAAGGTTCTTTGCCTGAAAATCCATAAAAATGAACTATTTACAATTCTTTATCAGTTTAAAAGTTTACTCAATAAAACATTCTATACAACTGAAAATTGTTATCAAGTAATTAGATAAACTATAGGAGCTGTAGGGGTTTAGTGTTATATTTGACATAAAAGGTTTAATGCAAAAACTTAATTATTCTCAAATGTTTATTGTCCAATGCCATTGTTTTCATCTCCATATCTAGACAAGTAGTGGACAAGATTTCCAGTTTTGTAAGACTTTTTACTCATCTTCCCGAAAAGATTGTTACTGTTGTTCGATAGGCTACACTGAGCACACGATTGACTGTTTGCCGACCCCTTTCCCTCTCCATACTCTAGCTACCTAATAACTTTACTTCTCTGGAGAAGCTGTAGTAGTCTTCTGGAAGGGGAAGCTGACGAAATTTGCAACTATGATAAAAGATATTTTTTAAATTCATGAAAGCCATTTTGTATTCCAGTGCAAAACCAAATTATATAAATTTTGGTGCAAAATAAAAGCCATAACGTATACAGTAGAAGCGGACATTCAAATTAGATTTTAATAAAGCTAGCCTTATCATGAAAGTCTGATAAACCCTTCAAATGTTAAAGCAATATAATCACAAATTAAAGTTTTACTAAATAGTTAAAAATTTGAAGGTGTTCAGAGAAATGTCTTTAGTTAAGACTAATTCGTTTCATTCATCTCCATATCCAAGACTGTGGTTGGTATTATATCGTTGCTTCTAGCCATCATTTGTTCGGAATTCCGTCGCTCATTCCCAAAACTGGGATATTGTCCGGGTGCACAAGATGGGATTCCCATCTGTTGGATTCCACCCAAGCTGACATTTTCTGTTAAAGAAGGAGTAAAGCTTACATGAATAACTTGCTATTTACTTTTACTAGCAAAAGCAAAAAGACATCAAACCTTGTTGTTGTCCTGGGGCAGCAGATGGGAATCCCATCTGTTGGATTCCACCCAAGCTGACATTTTCTGTTAAAGAAGGAGTAAAGCTTACATGAATAACTTGCTATTTGCTTTTACTAGCATAAGCAAAAAGACATCAAACCTTGTTGTTGTCCCGGGGCAGCAGATGGGATTCCCATCCGTAGGATTAGACACAAGCTGACATTTTCTATTGAAGAAGGAGTAAAGCTTACATGAATAACTTGCTATTTGCTTTTACTAGCATAAGGAAAAAGACATCAAACCTTGTTGTTGTCCCGGGGCAGCAGATGGGAATCCCATCTGTTGGATTCCACCCAAGCTGACATCTTCTGTTAAAGAAGGAGTAAAGCTTACATGAATAACTTGCTATTTACTTTTACTAGCATAAGGAAAAAGACATCAAACCTTGTTGTTGTCCCGGGGCAGCAGATGGGAATCCCATCTGTTGGATTCCACCCAAGCTGACATTTTCTGTTAAAGAAGGAGTAAAGCTTACATGAATAACTTGCTATTTACTTTTACTAGCATAAGGAAAAAGACATCAAACCTTGTTGTTGTCCTGGGGCAGCAGATGGGAATCCCATCTGTTGGATTCCACCCAAGCTAACATCTTCTGTTAAAGAATGAGTAAAGCTTACATGAATAACTTGCTATTTGCTTTTACTAGCATAAGCAAAAAGACATCAAACCTTGTTGTTGTCCCGGGGCAGCAGATGGGAATCCCATCTGTTGGATTCCACCCAAGCTGACATCTTCTGTTAAAGAAGGAGTAAAGCTTACATGAATAACTTGCTATTTACTTTTACTAGCAAAAGCAAAAAGACATCAAACCTTGTTGTTGTCCCGGGGCAGCAGATGGGAATCCCATCTGTTGGATTCCAGCCAAGCTGACATCTTCTGTTAAAGAAGGAGTAAAGCTTACATGAATAACTTGCTATTTACTTTTACTAGCATAAGGAAAAAGACATCAAACCTTGTTGTTGTCCCGGGGCAGCAGATGGGAATCCCATCTGTTGGATTCCACCCAAGCTGACATTTTCTGTTAAAGAAGGAGTAAAGCTTACATGAATAACTTGCTATTTACTTTTACTAGCATAAGGAAAAAGACATCAAACCTTGTTGTTGTCCTGGGGCAGCAGATGGGAATCCCATCTGTTGGATTCCACCCAAGCTGACATTTTCTGTTAAAGAAGGAGTAAAGCTTACATGAATAACTTGCTATTTACTTTTACTAGCAAAAGCAAAAAGACATCAAACCTTGTTGTTGTCCCGGGGCAGCAGATGGGAATCCCATCTGTTGGATTCCACCCAACCTGTCATTTTCTGTTAAAGAAGGAGTAAAGCTTACATGAATAACTTGCTATTTACTTTTACTAGCAAAAGCAAAAAGACATCAAACCTTGTTGTTGTCCCGGGGCAGCAGATGGGATTCCCATCTGTTGGATTCTACCAAAGATGGCACCTTCTGTTGAAGGAGTAAAGCCCACATAAATCACTTGCTATTTACTTTTACTAGGATCAGCAAAAAGATATCAAACCTTGTAGTTGTCCAGATGCAACAGATTTGATTCCCTTCTTTTTTATTAAGTTTTTTAGCCAAGTTTGCCACTTGTTCGATTTTTCCCTAGAGCAATTTGGCTGCTTTACGTCTTCTAGAAGTTCTTCTAAGTGGATTTTTGTTTGGGGATTGTTAGGAAACGGATCCATTTGCAGAATTGCTAGAAGAAAATGATATTTAATTAATGGTTTTTAAAATTTAAATACTATAATTACTGAGAGCATCACCGAAAATCTTCTTTGAATCGGCTTCTTCACATTCTGATATATATCTCGAAATTATTTGAATTTTATGATTTATTTCAGGATGTAATCCAAATTGTGACTTCATTGTCAAAGAAAAAAATATTTTAAATTAATTAATAATATTAAAATCATTTGAAACCTACTGTTTGGCTACATTCAGCAGAGAGCTGGTTGTTTACAGGTCTTTTTCCTAAAGCATCATCAAGAGCTTCAGTTGACCTGTACTGTGAAGAAGCTTCAGGTAGGTTATTCTGTGAACAAGCTTTTTGCTAGAAGAGGAAATTTATGAAATTTAATTATATGAAAAATGTCACTTTTGTTACCGTTCGGTTCTGATGAGTCGCTATATGCGGCTTTTCCTCGTTAAGTCTAACAAATGGCTCTGCGCCATCTTCTATTGTTGAAAAACGTTTATATATTTTATGTTTACATGAACAGTATATCTATATTTACCTAGTTCGTTTAGAGATCTTCCTTCAAAAGTTTTAATTTTACTTACATTCCGCTTGCAACGATAGGATGTTATGTTTTTCTGACTTTTCGACATTATCAGTCTTTCGACTGGCTTTTCAAGCTGTTGCGTAAGAAACCTTAGGTGGTTTTAAAAAGAGAAATATTTTCGTAATAAATTTATTTTAATTCAATTAAAAATAAATTATGAAAAATTAATTAAAATATTTTTTTATAGATAGATAATGTAATTATAGTAGGTTGTAGAAAAACTACATAATTTTCAACATTTAACCAGGGTTATAACATAAAAATATACTAGTACAGTAAATTGTATTGCTTAAACTAATAAAAGAAAATATTATAATATCAAACTATTCAGTTGTTGGCGCTTTCTGTTATTAATTTTCAGATAATTATTTAGAGTACTAAAACAAATTCCGATGATACTACAACTTTCATCATGTATTGTTATAAGTTACAGATTCGGAAAACATTCAATCTTTTCCGCATCCAACATGTGTGTTCCAGAGAATTAAAGTCTGTCAATAGCTTGCATCCTCTTGATTCCTTTCTGTCGTAGTTTTCACAAGTTTCAATAGACGATGACAGATTCCGAAAATATCATCTGCCATATTCTTTCTATAATTATTAAAAGAAACTACTTAGTGAAATATTTAACATGCAATTCAAACATGAGCTTTGACTCCTTCTGGTGCATTATTCACACTTAACTTTTCCTTTTGGATTAATACTAATCAAGTTATAAACTAGAAAGTTTTTAAAAGAGTAAATATTACTTTTCAAATTGTTTTTACTACGATAAATTGAATTATCAATTATATTTTTTAATAATCACAGTTTAAAGCAAATTGTCCTTGTCATCTGGACCTCTTGCTGTTTTTCATTGTGAGCCACTGTCAACCAAAGATATTTGAATATTAGTATTTCAATATATTTCAAATAAATGACAAATATGTTGAAATATGTTTTATAGTGAGTGCTCTTTTTGTTAGATTTTCATTGAAAAAACGTGCTAGACAAACTTGCAATTTCATTAAAGTGCTAAAACAAATTTCCGGTGAAAAATACAACTCTCGATTAATAATGATAAGATACAGATTTAGAAATCACGCATTCTCTTATCAATCATCATCATAATCCATCATACTTGTTTCCGGAAAGCCAAGGTCGCGAAAAAACTCTTCTAAACAAACGTCTTCACTGGCATTTAAATCCTCCGCTTCTTTAAAACGAGGGTCTATATCCTGATCCTCCATCCTACTAAGAACTTCGGCAATCATACTGTCTAACCTCATACCAGGTTCAGTAATCATACATTTATCAGGATATAATTTTCCATTTTCCGAGTCGTCAAAATCTTCCAGTTCTTCCTTAATTTTCATGGATGTTTTCTCAGTATTTGCCATATTTGTGCCACAGAAAACATTAAATAGTCTGCTCTTCCATTCATCGATGTTTAACAACATCTCTTCAGCTATGCCTGAAGACATATTCGCATGGAAATTATCTATCGATGTCTCCATTTCAAAGGCTGCCGTCTTAGCACCCATTTTGTCATAGTCACAAATTGTATGGATGAACTCTAAAAATTTAGCAATAAGATGAAAGTATTCATATATCTCGTATATAAATTAATAACTTACGGAGATACTTGTTTAAAACGTTCCAATTCTCTGCCTTTAAGCGTGGTTTCAACGATTCTAGCTTTTTATCCAATCGTAATTCAACGTTCCACAGAATGTCATCTCCCTGAGTACTCACAGGACAAGCTTCAGTAGGTTTTGCCACATTATGAAAATTTCCTTGGTTCATCTGCTCATTATCAGCTGCTCGCAAGTTTGTATTAGGCAGTGCAACACCATCCATCACAGAAGCCATCGATATTTGATCATTTGTTACGATTCTTTTTCCGTATTTTTTCTACAAGTATTAAAAAAAATAATTAGTGAAATATTTATCATGAAATTTTCAAATTAATACTTCGAATAATTCAACCAAATGTTCAAACATGGGCTCTAATTGTTTTTTAATAAACTTTTTTTCCTTCTTGTTTTCCTTTGGGTCATTCTCTTCCTTCTCATCATTCTTCTTCTTGGAATGTCTATTGCGTTGGAACATGGGCTCCACCTGTCCTTTCTTAGACTTTGGCTCCTTCTTATCCTTCACCTCACTTCCATTATTCGGATCACCGAATGGCACATTATCCGGCCAATCGGATGGCCGTATCCACTCAACTTTTCCCTTCGGATTAATATTAGTTTTTGGCCCGTACAGAGTACTATAAATTCTGGGTGCCCATCTTCTGTAAAAATCCATTGATTTCGTCCGCTTGTCACTTTCGGCCAGTTGGTAATTTACTTCAGCGATCCGTCCCTCAAAAGTTGTTATATTTCCCCACTTATCAACAGTGGAGGATTCATTTTTGAACTGGTTATAAGAAAAAATTACAAGTTTCAAATACAACATACGGTATAATGACAGTTACTCTCTTGACATGCTGGTATTCCTCCATTTCCCTTGGTTGTGTATAAATTTTGAGGAAGAAAATCAGTAATTGGTGATAAGATATCGCGGGATTGTTGACTCTTTCGATGCAATTTAGCTACTGCGCAGTAAAAATAGTATTCAATGAATAAAGTAAGGATATGTTCGTAGCTTTGAAAAATACTGTTCAAGCTTATAAATTAGAAAGTTTTTAAAAGAGCAAAAATTAGTTTTCAAATCCATTTTTCTACAAAAAATAAAATTATTAATAATTTTTTAAAAACCATAAATTGTTAAAGTATGGTTTTATAGAGGAACCCTGATTGTCGGATACATTTATTTACTTTTCTCTATATATAAAAATAGTATTACTGTATTTAAACCACGATTACAAATTCAAGATATTAGAACAGTGTATTACTCATAAGAATAAAAGAAAACATAACTATATCAAACATACAGTATAATGTATTTAGTTATCTCTATTTCTTGTTGAACTTGTTTTGAAGATTTTGAAATTAACTGACTTCCTTGTCTCCTGTACCTCTGGCTGTTTATCATTGTTACCCACTATCGATCATCGATAATTGTCGTCTTAGTATTTTAATACTTCAATATAGTTCAAATAAATGATAAATATATGTTGAAATATGTTTTACTATGTTCTCTTTTTTAAGTTTGAGAAAACAGAAGAAGCCTGCTAAAGAGACAGTGCTATTCAATAATAGGGGTAAAGCATATTCGTGTGATATTACTACTTTCATCAAGTGATAAATTACAGAAGCGGAAAATACACTGTATTTTCCACACCTGTATTGTCTATATATGAATATACAAGGTCTGAAGGCAAGGCATCCATATCCATACCATAGTCTTGACCGGTTTCTGGAACCTCAACGTTTACTTCATCAGTTTGTTCAGCAAACATACTTATATCCTGATATAATTTTCCATTTTCCGAATCGTCAAAATCTTCCGGTTCTTCCTTAATTTTCATGGATGTTTTCTCAGTATTTGCCATATTTGTGCCACAGAAAACATTAAATAGTCTGCTCTTCCATTCATCGATGTTTAACAACATCTCTTCAGCTATGCCTGAAGACATATTCGCATGGAAATTATCTATCGATGTCTCCATTTCAAAGGCTGCCGTCTTAGCACCCATTTTGTCATAGTCACAAATTGTAGTGATGAACTCTAAAAATTTAGCAATAAGATGAAAGAATTCATATATCTCGTATCTAAATTAATAACTTACGGAGATACTTGTTTAAAACGTTCCAATTCTCTGCCTTTAAGCGTGGTTTCAACGATTCTAGCTTTTTATCCAATCGTAATTCAACGTTCCACAGAATGTCATCTCCCTGAGTACTCACAGGACAAGCTTCAGTAGGTTTTGCCACATTATGAAAATTTCCTTGGTTCATCTGCTCATTATCAGCTGCTCGCAAGTTTGTATTAGGCAGTGCAACACCACCCATCACTGAAGCCATCGATATTTGATCATTTGTTACGATTCTTTTTCCGTATTTTTTCTACAAGTATTAAAAAAAATAATTAGTGAAATATTTATCATGAAATTTTCAAATTAATACTTCGAATAATTCAACCAAATGTTCAAACATGGGCTCTAATTGTTTTTTAATAAACTTTTTTTCCTTCTTGTTTTCCTTTGGGTCATTCTCTTCCTTCTCATCATTCTTCTTCTTGGAATGTCTATTGCGTTGGAACATGGGCTCCACCTGTCCTTTCTTAGACTTTGGCTCCTTCTTATCCTTCACCTCACTTCCATTATTCGGATCACCGAATGGCACATTATCCGGCCAATCGGATGGCCGTATCCACTCAACTTTTCCTTTCGGATTAATATTAGTTTTTGGTCCGTACAGAGTACTATAAATTCTGGGTGCCCATCTTCTGTAAAAGTCCATTGATTTCGTCCGCTTGTCACTTTCGGCCAGTTGGTATTTTACTTCAGCGATCCGTCCCTCAAAAGTTGTTATATTTCCCCACTTATCGACAGTTGAGGATTCATTTTTAAACTGTTAATAAGAAAAAATTACAAGTTTCAAATACAACATACGATATAATGACAGTTACACTCTTCACGTGTTGGTATTCCTCCATTTTTCTTGGTTGTGTGTCCATCTAAGGAAGAAAATCAGTAGTGGATTATTAAACAACCAGCTCTGTTTAATAAATAATTAATTAATAATAATTCTGTAATATTCACGGAAGAAAGTATTTTTCCAAAAGAAAAGTATTGTCTAGGTTACTTCCTCTTCACTAGACTGTCGTTAGGCTAGGCTCTAACACTATTGACTGGTATTCTGTACAGATTGAACGGTACCGTGTTCAAGTTGAAACTTTGGCTTGTATTTTAATCTCTTTACTGTTCGTAGAACTCTCTTATAAACAGCTGTTTTCAAAATTTACTTTCCCAAATGGAGAATATTGATAATTACCTTGATACTGAAATAAATTAATGCCGCAGCTATTATAAAATCTTGATTTATCAAGGAGAAAATAAAATAATCTACGCAACGAATACAGAACAAGGAACCCACTTATGAGAAACTGGATTTACCGTGGTTTCGTAATACCTTTTGCTGATTGGACAAAAATCTTCAAGAAATGAAATAGGACATTTAATTTATTGTGGAATAATGTTCGTTTTTAAAAAAGACCATAAAAAAGACCATTGACGAAACAAAGAGCTGGACATTGCTTATATTCTGGAATAATTTTCGTTTTTCTAACATCATCCATCCAATGCTTAGGGAGCCCACTTAGAGATATGTTGGCAGATACATTATTAATTGTTTTTATTTCAATATGCACCGCATTGTTAGGAGAAGGTAAATTTATTTTATGAAATAAAAATGAATAAGAATTATTTGTTAGGTGTTTTACATGTGCTTGTTTATTTTTGGAATTATTCGTTGAGTGCTTTATATTCATTACAGGATTGACGTGGCTTTTAGTATATAGAACAGAACAATACCAAAAGCTGAAGGCAGAGGTCGAAAAACAAACAAAGAGATGTATAGTTTTGCCATTTACTTTAATAAATTTTCTTCCGATTTACTTTGATTTTGTTTAAAGTGGAGAAGCAGAAAGAGATGACAGGAGAAGTTGCCGAAAGAAGCGTCAAGAAAAAGCTGGGTATTTGTCTGAATATAATATATATAAAAAGCATAACTTTCATAATAAATCATATGTTTTTTCAATAGAGCGTCAAGAGGAGCGACTGAAAACTCAAAATCGTGATTTGTCTTTAGTAAGATCCAGATAGTACATTCAGTGAGGGATTATAATTTCCTTTTTTACAGGTCAAAATGAAATCAATGTTTGCTATTGGCTTTGCCTTCACTGCTTTACTTAGCATGTTTAATTCAATGTAAGTTCGCACTGTTTTTAAATGATTTTAAAAAACTAACTAGAAAAATTAAAACAGCTTTGAGGGAAGAGTTGTTGCCAAATTACCTTTTGTACCAATATCATGGCTTCAAGGGCTGTCGCATAGAAATCTTTCAGGAGATGACTTTACCGATTGTTCCTTTATCTTTCTATACATTCTTTGTACAATGTCTATACGCCAGGTTTGTCATATATATATATATTAAATGTTTATAACTAATTTCAAAAGGTATTTTCTTCCAATAGAACATACAAAAAATGTTAGGATTTGCTCCTTCCAGAGCAGCTAGTAAACAAGGCGGTGGATTATTTGGAACTGCTCCTCAGTTGACCAAATAAAGAAATAATTATTTCTCCTGTGAAGAAATATTTTTTTCAAAGAAGATTATTGTAGTTATTTAAATATTATAATAAAATGTTGGAAAAATTGTATTATTTGATTTAAGTTGTTTAACTTTTTTAAAAGAATTTGACTTATAGATAATTTAAAAATATCAATAGGTTAACTAGCAAAGAACTCTGAGATGAGAAGCTTAGCACTACATCTTCCTTTGGCTATTGCTAGTGACATCTGGTTGTCAAAAACATAATCTGCAAATGAAACGAGGTATGTGATTGGTTAGCTATACACAGCCTCAAACCTTTCTGTATTAAGAAATAAAAAATAAAGAGAATTGTTTTAAATCATGTCGAATGGAACATATTATTTCGTTATTGTTAGTCAAAACGATTGTCCAATATTTGAGGCTGATTTTTATCCGCATTCGAAATCAAACGATCCTAAGGTTTGTTCTGAAGGGAACAGTTACATTGCTATCAGAATAAATTTAATTAAATGATTTTAAACCATTAATTCTTTAAACAAGTATTTTATCGTTCAGTACGCTCAATCAAATATAGAGTAAGGAGGCTGATTGCGTATCATTTTAAAATTATTCAAAAGTTCTTGTTTTTACTTTTTTACTTAGAGGGATGATCATCGACACTTAAATCAGTTTATAGCTCACTCTGCATTGGATATTATTGATGAACAAATGTGGCACACGAATAATATGTACCTAAAAAATGTAGATAAATTTAATGAATGGTGTGTATCAGCCTTTGTAACAGCAAGTAGTAAGTATCGGAGAAATATCAATGAAATTTAAGTAAATATACCTTAATCTGCTTTGAATAGAGATGCGATTTGTTATGTTACACGATGCAAAGAATGAGGATGGAATAAAAAACTTCTTCCAAGACGTTTACGAGCATTACGTTAAGGTAAAAATAAAGGATTATACCAAGCAAAATACTCGGAATTTTACGTGATACTTTCCTTATTACAGCTTGTTATGAACCCATTCTATGAAATAGGAACTGCAATAAGGAACGAAGCTTTTGATAACAAAGTTAAATTATATGGAAAGAAATATTTGACGATTTAAATTAAAATTTTATTTGTTTTGTTTGTTAATTTCACATATAGCAAGATTATTACAAACTTCCGCTTGCTTTAATTGACTCTAAATGAAAAACGTTCAACGAAACTGAAAATTTAGGATATTAAATTTTATTTTAAAAGGTCTAGCAATAATAAATAATACAACTTTTAAAGTTTTTCTAGTTTTATCGCTCAATTGCTTCTAAAGCATATTCTAATCTTGATTTCGTCTGATCGATTCCTAGAATTAGAATAACTTCTGCTATTGAAGGTCCTTCCTGAGAAAAATTTTACTTAGGAGTTAACTATTCACAAAATAAATTTAAATTACTTTTAAGCCAGTTAAAGAGCTTCTCAAAAGTTTCATATACTGAGGATATTTTAAATTGTTTAACTTTGATGTAGTTTTTAATACTTTTACCAAAGTTACTGTATCAAGTTCTTTATTATCTTCAAGTTTGCTAATACTCTATAATGTATTTTAATATAGTGAATGAGACTTTAAATTATTATCATCTTACCTCTAAAGTATCTTTAATTGCTTTTTTAGCTGCTTGACTTGATAAATCTACAGGTATAGTAGGTGGCAAACTCCATAGAAATAGAAACTCTGAACTAACTAGACTGTTAATATTTGTTATTCTTTCCTATAGGATATGAAAATATTACTTTCTTGTTTATAAGGTCTTTATATACATACTTTTGCCCAATCCAGAATTTTCCCAATATATTTGTCTGATAATTCCACAGAGTTAATATTAGATAAATCGGAACTATATGCAAGATTGACAAATATTTAAATCATCATAATTTACTTATAATATGTTGTAATATACCTGTTTTTGAAATGTGCAGTGATAATTTGTCTAACTTCAGATACAATAGTTTCTCTTGCTTTAACATCTATAAGCTTTTGCCCAAAATGAAATCTTTGAATTTCATCTAGTCTATCCATTTGTAATCTTGATGATTTCTTGTGAATTAACTTCATATCAAACTAAATAAAGAAATGTTATTACAAAAGATGTAATATTAAGCATATTTATTTTAGAATGAATTTACTTTATTTGTTAATTCATTTATAGTCATAAACTCTGGATTTTTTGTATTAAATCCACCTCCTCCTGTTGTTAGTAGACCAATTAAAGTATCAGAAAGATATCCTCTTTCCTGTTAACAAAACCAACACAATTAAATAGATCAATGAATCTCAGCTATTTTATAGTACTTTGTAATATTCCACATGGACATCATCTTGACGTTTTGACATTTTTGTTTGATCCCTAAATAGTAAAAGATATTTAATATATCTAAATTAAAATTTATAGAACACAAAATCATCACTTATTCAATATTAAAGGAAGGTGAGCATAATGAGGCGGTGTCCAACCAAAAGCTTCAAACATAGCAATGTGTTTTGGAGTTGAAATTTGCCATTCCTGTTAAAAATACTTGAATTTTAGATTCCTTCTTTTAACTATAATAGATATTACTTACTACGCCCCTTAACACGTGAGTAATCTCCATTAAATGATCATCAACTACGTTGGCTAAATGATAAGTTGGAAATCCATCTGCTTTAACGATAACCTATAAAAAAGATACAATGAATTTAAGATATATATGGATATATAAGAATGTTATATTTTCTTTACTGGATCTCCTTCATCTTTTATATTATGCTTCATCAGACCAAATATTTCGTCATTCCAAGGCTTCATTTCATCGGGAACCTAAAGAGAATAATATTCAAATTAAACGATAACAATGATTGTATTTGTTAAAACCTTAAATCTTATAACAAACTTCTCTGAATTATATTTCCTCCTTTCTATTTCGTCTCTAGATAGATTTCGGCATTTATTATCATATCCAGGAGTCTGTCCTCTTCTGGTCGCCTCTTTCCTTAATAGATCTAACCGTTTTGGTGAGCAGAAACAATGATAAGCGCTTCCCGACTGTAAAAAATAACATTTCTGAAAGCAATTTCAACAAAATGGCGAACACTGTAATATTTTCTTACTTTAATTAGTTTGTTCACATAATGATGATACAAATCTATTCTTTCTGACTACAAATAGAAGTATATCAACTATTATATGTTGCAATAGAATTTTAACATTGTTCACCTGGATGTAGGGTCCTCTATTACCACCAATTGATGGTCCTGTCATCAATTAATAAAATTAACTCTGTATATTTGCAAATGTACAATTTTTTCACCTTCATCTATTTGAATTCCAGCCCAATTTAGTATATCAATTAGTTTTTCTGTAGCGCCCGGTACAAAACGAATTTGATCAGTGTCTTCGACCCGTAACAAAAATTTACCATTACGTGATTTCGCAAACAAATAATTGTATAAAGCAGTACGTAAACCGCCTAAATGCAAAAAACCAGTTGGACTAGGCGCAAATCGCACTCGAACATTTTGCGAAGTTAAAGAACAGGTTGAAAATTTGTAAACTTGAGTTTTTAACCTTGGATATTGTAGAAATTTAGATAAATATTTTGCACAAAAAAGTTTCATAGCTCTTCAAAAGTAATCTTAAATGTCCTATTTCTTAAAATAACTGGCTTCACTTAATTTTTTAATATCCTCTCGAAATATATTGTAATACGGCATGAAATTTACTTAATCCTATAGAAACTATAAGTCTTATAATAATAAATGGTCAAATAATTACCAAAATGACACTTTGTATATTATAAAAGAACTTATATCGATAAAGTGATAAAAAATAATTAGAGTTTTTAAAAAAAGGAACAAAAACAAGTAGTGCTAATTCTTGGAAAAGGAGAAATAGCACGCTATTTAACTTGTTTGTACTCCAGGTAATATAAGAGTAATATTTTTCTAAATAAAAAACTTGAACTAGGATATTGAAAAGTTTCTGGTATGAAAATACTTTTAAGTTTTGTTTTCTTAATACTTGAATTTACTGAAAGTGTTTGAGTTGTAATAAAAGTTAGACTGATCGATCAACTACTACAAGCACATTAAAATTCTTTATTGAATTATTATAAACCAATTAACGAATGAATTGTAGATAGAGAGAGAAAATGAAAATGAGAAGAATGTATACTCTATATTTATTTTTTTGATTATGAAAAAATCCTCAAGAATACTCAAATTTTTGTCATTTATATTCATTTTTAGGCTAAAAAACAAAAAAAAGTGACTACTTGTTTTAATTAATATTTTAAGTGTTATTTTTCAGTTCTTTTCATTCGTAAAATTAACTTTTTACATTTGCTAAAGAATGTTTTACGCGTAATTCCATGTGCATGCATGTGTACTAACTACTTCCGGTATATCTAGTAATTATTTAAATATTTGTCTAAAACTTTCATTGAGGTAATTTTAGAATAATAATTATAAACTAGAAATAGTAAATTATTATTATTATTTATCAAACGATAGACAATATATCTTAAAAGGCACAAACGAATTGGAATACTTTCGTAAGAAGTATGAATTTACGCAATGACAAAACAAAACAGAAGACTCCAGAAGGTTGGTAATTTACTTTAACAAAATTTCTGTAATTTCTACCAGAGAACGCGCTTAGAATCTCTGAATTCATACTGATATAGCTATTATTGTAATTAAAGCATATTTTGATGATTCACCAGCTTTAATGGAAAATTTTGAGATAATTAATTGTCAAAATGATAATATCCTTGATGGTTTGGTAAGATTTTGAGTTATATCAGTGACTACCTTCTAAATAACAATGCTTATATAATATGCAGGAAGAGAAGCTCTTTAATTTTACAACAGAAAAAGTTGCTATATCTTTCACTACATTAGGAACGGGGAGGGAGTCTCAATTAACTTCGATTCAGCTTTGCTCTAATACTTTTAATTTCATTATTGATTTTGACACTATTAATAGTAAGGCTATAAAGATTTTGAAAGAATTCTTTGAAAGTGACTCAAAACTAAAGGTATATAACAAAGTTTTCTTACCAATCTAACTATCTTCTATTTCTTCCTTTCAGATTATGTTTCACTCTCTCTATATGGCAGATTTGTTAATATACAACTATGGAATTGTGCCAAGAAATGTCTTTGACCTTTACGTAATATCTTATGATTTATGATTTTTAATAATTTTCATAAATAATTAATATTATAGGTAACATTCTTAAACTTCATGCCAAGGTTCGAAGCAAACTGTAAAAATGAGGAACTGATAACTCCGTCTCTCTCTAAATTTTGTTTTCATTTTAACATAATAAATGATTCATTGTTAGAAACTCCAGATATGTTTCAACTTGAAAACTATGTATGTTTTTCCAACAAAAATCTTGAATGGATCTTATCTAAACACTTTATAAATATTTCTCTTTTTTAACAGATGAATCCGGAAGAATTAAAAAGGCGACCTTTGATTAAAAATTTTTCCAAAGAACTAATATTTTGGACAAGATGTATTCTAACTCTACATTCTAAGATGATTAGTGACATATTTGCAGGAACAATGATGAAAATTCAACGTGCATATAGCATAGCTTCAGCTTTGCCTAGTTTAGCTTTTATACAAGGAAGAGAGAAAAAATTTTATTCCAAATTGTCAAAATATTCTGATAAATTAAAAGAGTTGAATGTAGGAGAAAATTTTAATGATTGTTCAGCACTAAACCGCAAAACGATGACAATAGATGATTTTCAAGAGAAAGAACTTTTAAAAGAAACCTCAATTGATCAATTGAAAGATATCAACATATCGAGAAGTTCTCCGTCTTTGAATGCTTTTTTACAAACACAGGATTACGGACTTAGAGACGTATCAGCTGAAGATGTAAAAGATGTAGCGGTCAGCAAAAAATCGCTCTCAGAATTGGATTATGAACTAGATAAATCAGATAGTTGTTTGTCAGGAAACTCATCACATGAAATTGACGAGAGTCCAGGGAAAGTGTCTCTCGACCAGCTAAACGAAAAATATAGAAAGGAGAAGAAAGTAGCAACTCCAGAGTTTGAAAAACAATTGAAAATGGACGACGAAAGAAGTTCAGATAACCACAACAAAGAGAAGAATCAGGACATAGATGAAACTTTTAACGAAGAGAGCGATATCTCTTCTGAAGAAGATAGTAGCGATTTACAAGTACCGTATTACGACCGTTCTTTAGTACCATTTTCAGCGGCTAAAATCAATATGAAAGATGTAAATTTTTCATCAATATTTCCACTTAGGCCTCAAAAATTAATAAATAGTGCCTTTATAATGCCTGATCGCAACCAGCAAAATGATAAAGGAGTAGAATCGGAAGAATCTATCAGTGAATCAGAAACCTTATCAGAAGAAATCAAAGGTATTGCTGACCTATGTACTGCAAGAAAGAATGTTTGCGATCATCCAAGCCTACGTCATATGACAATTAAACCAGCTGGTATGGATGTTTCCAGGAGACCTTAGCAGACATACATTAAGAAATGAAGTCCAAGTGTTGAATAGTTTTATTCCGATGTAATTAATATTTAGATAAACGTCTTTGTTCTATTTTTTGTTGTAAACTCGGTGCAAGTTTAATAGATAAAGGTCTTTCGGCAAGAAAATCATCGACAGTTTCAGAGTTTGTTTTTATCGTATGAACGTCTTGTAAGGAGTTGACAGCACTTGTCAATTCTTCAATTTCTGTGACTAACCTTAAAACAGTCATTTCGAATTTATCTAAATTTTCCTTAAGTCTGAGATAAGTCTGATGGTAATCATTAGCTGCAGTTGTCATTTCAAGTTCTTTTATAGATATTTTGTCAATTCTTTTTTGCATTCCCTGGGATTCTTCGTGAAGATTTTGTAAGGTAACTCCTAAACCTCTAAGTTGACGTTTCAATCTATTCCGTTTAGATTGTATTGAGAAAGTACTAGTGCGGCTAGTCTGAGAAAGGGAAAGTTGAAGAATGTCAAGCATTCCCTGTTTATGACGAATTTCTGCGGCTTTAGATTGTAAAGTCCTTTTACAAAAATTGAACATTTGTTCAACTTCAACTAATTCCTTTTGAATTCGTTCTACTTCTTTTCTATGAGTTTGACAAACATTATAAGCTCCTTCAACAGAATTCTTTAATTCTTCCTTTTTGTTTTTATGAATAGCTAAATCTCGTTGTTTTTTAATTGTTTTTCGCCTTGCGTCAAGTAAATGTGAGTTAATTTCTCTAACATAGTCTTCATCCTTATTTATCCATGCTTTTGCGCATTCTAATCCTTTTTCTAATTTTTCCGTTAAATCTGGAAATAGCCGTAAAACTGGTAATATTTTTGCGTCACAGCAAAAATTTACTACTCTATCACAAAAGTGAGAGGTTGAGAACGTATCGGCTCGGACGGAAGATAGGCCTGTGCCCATCCACGATGAAGTTAAACGGTCCATTTTACGTAGGATATTCTCAATCTCTCTAGCGTATTTAGCGGAAGCCATAGCATAGCTTTTTGTCACAGGAGGAGCGTCTATGCCAGCGCTACATAAACAATTCGATTTTAACCTCGCATGAACGTTAGTGAATCGACGTTTCAAAGTGTCTATTTGAACTAATGAAGATTGTAAATGACGCCACCATTCCGATAGGAATTTTCCATCTTCCGAGTAATCACTACCCTTTTCCTTAAGAGTGTTAGTGAGAGTAACTAGAGATATTTCAGAATCAATAACAACGTTATTCTTTTGACCAGATATTTTGATACACCTAAGCAAGTGGGCGTTAGTATTTCTCAAATATGAGACAAAACTAGCTTCGGAATTCTCCTTAGACTCATAAAACGATTTTTTTAAACCACTCAGATCGGCCCCTATGGAGGAGAGCTGTTTTGAAAAAGAGAACAAAGACTGCTATTCAAACAACACTATGTAATTGTTCCGCTACGAAGTTCAGTATTACTAATAATTAATACATTTATATACTGCATTTAATAATTACAAAACAAAAAAGAATGTTAAGAGTAACTATACAAACCTGACTCCTCATATTATCCAAGCCCTTTATATATAGGTCGTTATTGGTCATTTCCTTTTTTCTCTTAGGTTATTTTTGACTCAATATACTCGACAAACGTACCACACAACTTTATTGCCTTATCTTGTTTGTGTAAGCCAGATGTGTCGAGTTGCCATTGGTTATAAATCAAACACTTTGTGTGTTTTATTCTTCATATATAGAAAAGATACGCAAGTCTAATACATCCATTCTCAATTATACGTAAATATTTAATACGTTCCAATTTGTGTTTCTGGTATCCTGTGATATTTTCCCAGTAAAAACAAATCGAAAATCTTACAATTATTCACCAAACGTAAAGGTACAACTGGTTGGTGGGAAACGAGAGTTACCGTCTCTGAAATGCAGTAATGAATGAAAGTCGTTTGATTCAGTCAAAGCAGCGGCATTGAATAGTTATTGAACTATGTCTTTCATGCAATTGGCGTTTCTACAGCGGCCGTAAGGGGGAGATAAGCTAAATTCTCTTCTAATTACTTGTTTTCGTGTAACGATAGTACAGATTAATCTTAACTTCATTAATTTCTATTGACTGTAGTTAAAAAATTATCTGATAATTAAGTCTAAAAATAGTTTTAGATAAAAATAGATCAAATTTCAGTTTTATTTATCATTAATTTTATTTGTATCATAATAGATTTTAAACTCAGACGAAAATGTCTCTAACCAATATTAATGTCCTAAAACAGGCATTTAACTGTTTAATAATATTGGTCGTATATATATTTATATAAAATTTATATATGTAAATAAATATATTTATATATATAAATCAGTAAAAAAACATCGTTAATCCTCTTATTAACCATGAAGAGTAGTGTTATTTTTTTGAACTAATCCCTGATTTTTACCAATCCCCCCTTCTTTATTTTCTACTTTTCTTTCTATCTCTCTATCTCTCTCTCTTTCTCTGTCCCTCTCTTCCTTCCCACCTTTGATATTGTACAACAATTTTAAGAAGACTTAAAACGTAGAAGATTACCAGTTTTTCCTTACATAAATTGAGTAAGAAAAATAAGAGACTGTCAAGTTCCTATATCCTCTAATAGATTTTGAAAATAATAATTTTTCCAAATAACATATTAATAAATTTATTACATCTTCTAAAACTGAAAAATAATGCACATAAAACGCTTTTGACACAATTACCTAAGCTTTTATTCGTCTATAGAATATTTTAATCGATCATGTTTGCAGATAATTCAATATTAAACGATCTAATAGCTGTAAGTTTATCCTATGGATAAGCCTATCAATTTTATTAATTATTTACTTGAAAATTGTCATCACATTGCTCTTATTCCTTTCATAAATCATAGAAATTTTTCGTTTCGTTCGAATAGAGCTTTTGTATTCGAAATGGAATATTTGACAATTATATCTATAAATTAAATTATTATAAATATCATAGTAATTTATTTTTATTACGTAGGAGTGGCAGGATAGTTTTTTGATGTTCAATGCTAAAAACTATAACAAATAAATATCAATTAACAAATATATATACTGTACTGTATATATAAATAGGTATTTGTATTTATTGTATATATTTATAGACTAATTAATCTCTAGAGACAATTTCCTCTGGAAAATATAAATAGGTAAGAAAACGTCTCTTTTATTGTTTTATTAAATATATTAATGGTTTACCTATAGATTAGTTAAAAAGAAATTAAGAATGAGTTGTAATCGAATGAGTAATTAAAACTGATACATAAAAAAGCCTTTCATCAAATATAAATATAGTTTTTTCCCGATAGTCTTCTTATTATTCAATGTTAAATAGTTTAAAGATTATAATAAAAAATGTTATTTAAATGTTCTTTACAATTTTTTTAACAATATATAATTAATCTCTTAGCTTAAATACTATTTATAGTGAAAGAAAGAATAGAGGAGAGAGAGAGAGAGAGAGAGAGAGAAAGAGATAAATTATACAATTGTAAATAGCCTTCTAAATTATCTATGAACTCTATAATTAGAAAAAAAAATAATTAGGAAAAAGAGGAGTGTTGTTTTCTTTTTAGAAAATAAAACTCTTCTATTTATAAGCAATTTATTGTTTTGTTCGAATAAAAAACCAATGAATTCTAAATTACGTTCTTCCAATAAAATAATTTTATAATTCTGTCTAAAAATCTTGAAAAGGAGTGTTTTTTGTTTAATTACTAATTTCTAATCTTCTCATCGAAATATTTTAATGAGAAAGGCTTATTTTGTTTCTTAAAATATATCACTTATAACATTCTCAATTAATTCAATAATCATCAAAGTGTAAAAGTTAATAATAGTATTGTTGTAACAATAGGCTGGTTTTTCGCTTGAACTATTCTGTTCAGTTCAATAAGAGAGATTAATTTTATTGTCTTCTTAAGAAGATAATTAAGTTTTCATCTTGCTGTTACAATTTGCTTTTTTGTTATTTCTTGAAGTGAATTTCAATTCTTGTAATTAAAAGCAAAAATATGTACGACGTATCATGTTCGTTTCTAGAAAGACGGCTAAATAGTAAGTTTTGTTTAGGGAAATCGACTTACCCTGTTAATTAATATAGACACTTGTTTAAAATTGTCAAATAACTTCTCAAACTATCTATGCATTTATAATACCCTATTATCAATAAAATTGATTGATCCCTGTCGTGGATTTTTAAACTTATTAAAGCAAATAAATTATTTCCATTTAGAAAAAGTTTTATGTCCACAACTTCACAAATTGAAAATCTCTGTAGATTCGCCAACGGTCTCATTTCCGCTAACGAAAACTGGTAGTTAGCAAAACGTACAGAGGAACGTTTTTCTTGCGAATAAAATCGTTTTATCATTAGAAAATAAATTTTAACTAGGAATATGGCATCAGGATCGAGTATAGATGATGAACTTAGGAGGTAAGTTACCTAATTTTTCGGATATATAACTTATAGAGATCTTAGCTACGTAATTTATCATTTATAATGTAACTTTATTATTGGACACGGGGTAAAACTTGTTCTTCGCAGATTCGAAGAAGAGATAGCTGCTACAGAGTCCCAGACACCACAATTCAATACTTATTCTCCATTTACACCTCATCAACTTCGTAACAAGGGACAGCCAGCCACAATATCTGCTCCTCCTGTGAAAAATCCTGCCGCTCTTGTCAGACCTACTACACATATAAAGGAGAAGAGAAAGGAAAACAAGTCTGTTCCGGGACCTTCAGTTAATGTTCCTCAAGTATCAAAGGAGCCTGATATGGAACCCGTAAGTCAACCTGCTTTATCAGCGCTACAAATGGAACTAGAGGTTAAAGCTGTCATGGAACAAGTTCGAGCTAGGCAGAATCAAATGCTTCAGAAGCAGCAAGAGTCGTCTTCGGCTGGAAAGATCAAAACGGTAAAAAAGTACGTCAGATCAGCAGGAGGGCAAGTCTGGGAGGACCATTCTTTAAATGACTGGGATCCTGATGATTTTAGGATGTTCTGTGGAGATTTAGGAAACGAAGTTACGGAAGAGACGCTTTCTAGAATTTTTTCAGCCTACCCTAGCTTTAAAAAAGCCAGAGTTGTCAGAGATAAAAGAACAAATAAAACGAAAGGATTCGGATTTGCTAGCTTTTCGGATCCAAATGATTTTGCAAAAGCAATGAGAGAAGTTAATGGACGTTATGTTGGAAATCGCCCGATAAAATTAAGAAAAAGCAGTTGGAAAGACAGACAATTAGACGTTGTCAAGAAGAAGGACAAAGAAAAGAAAAGATTAGGATTTCGTTAAACCGTTTGTAGAGATTCCTTGTTATATTTTTTGTATAGATTGGCATATTACTCTCAATGGACATAGCTTTTTCTTGCTTGTTGTTACAAAAAAAATGTTTATAAAAGCAAAATAGGCTAAGGTATCCTCCCATGAAAACTAGGATTACAGGAAACAGACCATCTGACAATATGTAATGACTTTATAAAAAGATATTCAATAATAAAACTCTAATTCATTCAATAAATACCAGGAAAAGATTTTGGAATAATTGAACAAGTACTGTCAATTGCATTATGTCAACACGTTCATATCTTAATATTAATATCCTAATATAACTCCTCTTTATGTCATTTGAATCAGTAATATCTATGCATTTATTATCTATTAAAATATTATATTTATTACGCTGTCAAATTTCCTTGCCGCTTTATTGTAAGATTCCAAAAATTATAGTTCAAAATTATTTAGTTCTATTATTCAGTTAGAATTTCATATCCTGATTCGGTAATCAAAATGGTATGTTCAAATTGAGCTGATCTACTACCATCATCTGAAACTGCTGTCCAACCGTCCTCCTTTACTATGGATATTCCCACTTCACCTTCAGTTATAACCGGCTCTATTAGATTAAAAGATCTTTAAATAAGTATTTTCATAAGATATGAAGAAACTTACCAATTGTAAAAGTCATGCCAGGCTCTAATAGTAATTTATTATTGTTTCTTGTATGAAGAACACCTGGTAGTTCATGAAAGCCTTCTCCTATTCCATGTCCACAAAATTGAGGCAATACAGCAAAATTGTGTCTCTTAGCATATTCTCTATTTGAAAAGCGAGCTTTATAACGGTTTAAAAAGATCATACAATCTTACTGTATTCTAGATCCTACTCTATTTAAGGGAACTCCTGGTCCACACACTTTAATCCCTTCATCTCTGCATTCTTCGGCTGTTTTTATTAATTTTATTGCTTTGCTATCACAATTGCCGACACTGAATGTCTTTGAGCAATCTCCATGAAAACCATTTAAAAATACTGTGACATCTACATTTATCACATCTCCTTCCATTAGCTCACGATCATCCGGTATTCCATGACAAGCAATATTATTAACTGAGGTACATATGGACTTTGGAAAATTTTTATAGCCTAAAGGCGATGGGTAAGCGTTATGATTTATTATAAAATCGTGAACGTTTGCGTCTATTTCATCCGTTGTAGTGCCTGCTTTAACTAAAGATGCTGCTAAATCAAGCGCCTCTTTAGCCAATTTGCATGAATCTCTCATCTTATTTTGCTGCTTTGGGGATTTTATTACAAGTCTTTCATGTTCTTTCGTATAATCTGGCCTATCAATAAAATCTGGTACATATCTCATAGGTGATTGCTTTGAAGGAAAGACAATATGATATGACAAGCGGCGAATTACATTGAGCGATAATGGAAGTTTCATTACTTCTGTTTCGTCTACTCTGTTCTGAAAAAAGTTGTCATTAAAATAAATTGTATAATTAAGACTTTTACATATAACTCAAACAATATTCAAGGCCTCCTAAAAGTCATCTCAATTAATAACCTTGACAGTTATAGATCATAAATGCAAAATATACTGTACATGTATAATCTACAAAATGTAGTAAAAAGTATATTAAACGACGTTTCCAAGTAATTTGTTAAACTTGTGAACAAATGGAAAGTTTAATTCTTCTACTTGTATGCACTTATTGAGGGTGAAGGAAACAGGGTACCCGGAAAGATTTTGATCCAATAGCTCAAAAGATGGCGTTCTAGTCGTTTGTCGTTGATTTGTAACCGCTTATTCAATTGAGGATTAGTTCGCGACTCTCTTATGCGGTGTTGACGTTAAATTGTTTAAATTTACTATTTTCTTTAAATTAATATTACGGGTAAAAGAAGTTTGACAAGTTTCTACATTCTATATTCTTGTTTTGCAGTAAAATTCAAATATACAAGGGTAAGTAGTTTTTGAACTTATGGTATAGCTAAAACTAATGGCTTCTGATGATACATCATTTGAAACTTGGTTAAAATGTTATATTATTAATTTTTCTCTAGGAAATGATGAGCAATAACGATTCAGCATCAATGGAACCTAGCACCAAGCGTTATAAAAAGATGACTGAAGATGATAGAAGAGCAGATTTGAATTATGAGAGGACCGCTTCGGATGAGGAATTGATGAATTGCGAATACGTTAGAAAAGGAAATAATATAACAGAAGATTCAGATGATGATAATATTGATTCGGCAAGAAGTACACCGAGTGAAGATTTAGAAGCTGCCAGAGAACAGAGAGAGAGGAAGCCGAATACAATTTTCTTTCCAACGGGAGCTTCAGCCTGTAACTTTGACGACTTTCCGGAGAGTTTATTCCGTTTAGCTGGAATAGGCGGCGAGTCTTTGCTTGAGGATGAAATGGAATTTTTCAAACCTCAGATGGCGCGAATTTTGAACTCCAGCACTTCTAACTCAAATGTTATGAATCGGATGACTCGTTTTATTAAATTGTTAGGAGAAAGAGTGATCGATGATAAAATGAACTTGATACACGATTGGAGAAAAGAAATAAGAACATTTATGGCAAGTATAGAAAATTGGACAGTAACTCAAATGGAGTACTTAGAGCGGGAAGAAAATCGCTTAAGAAAACACATTCCTATTGACGACGAGGACCATGCAGCGAAGAAAGATTGTATATTAAAAATGCGAGATACTGAAATCGATAACTTGCAGTGCTCTTTGAAAGAATTGGAAGAAAGAGAAAGAGAAGAGGCCAGAAAGACCATGACTTTTGTTAATGATTGGATAAATGTTATCCTGACTGCAGGCAACAAGGGAAATCAACAATCTTAGATATTTTTTTTAGCACAAGTTAAAACATTAAAGTACTTTAGATATGATTTTGTAAAGATTGTTTTATTCTAGAATAATAAGTTTGTCGTTTGTAAGTAGTATAACGGTTTTAAGTTTTTTTGTATTAGCAGTTCGCGGTTTATCGTTCTGACCGTGACCTTTTTTTCGAACGGTGTTGGTTGAAAACTGATATAGTATGGCAAAATATTCCCTACTATAGTAGATACGCACTTTCTCACATGTGTTTCTGCACTGTGAAGAATAAAAACTACAAATTTATATGATATGGAAACAAATCGACCTTTCGAATGCCAAATCCTTGGTTGCGATAAATCTTATACTAGAAGAGGCCATTTAAAAAGACATATCGAATCTGCACATCCAGAAACTTGTAAGATTGTATTTTTTCAACCATTTGACTATTTTTCGGCTCAATAATTAAGACGAGATACAGTGATCTATACATATATTGATAAATACGTCTCTAAGTATAGATGCCTGTAGGTCAATCAATTTTAATTTCGTTTTTACATTGGTTTATTTGTTTTACAATTTATCTTTATTTAAAGATTTAATGTAATAAGCCATTAATAAAGTATATTTTTAATTTTTAGTGCCAGAAGGCTCTGTAAAAACGTTCAGGTTTGTTGATGGTACAATATAGATTATGAAATATTAAACTGTATATTAAAAATTTTTCAGTTGTACATATGAAGACTGCGATAAAGAGTATAAATCACAGCAGTCGTTAAATAAGCATATCTTGCGAAATCATTCAGATACAAGATATAAAGTAAGATATCTGTGTTTTTTATATTGTCCGAATAATAATAATTTGAACAACACTAGTGCGATACCGACGGGTGTGAAGAAACTTTTAAAAAGCGTCATCATCTTCGCCTGCATCGCTTAACGAAACATTATCTTCCCGAACACTACAGGTTTGAATACTGTAAATATTAAATTAAAAGCATTTTAAGCCATCTATCATTTCAGTTGTACATATGACGACTGCACAGAGAAATTTTCAACAAAAAAAGCTTTTCAAAAGCATCTTAAAAAACACGAAGGTAGATTTTTATTCTCTGTTTACAATTGAATATTCTAATAAAATAACTTTAACGAATTTAGGATATCCATGTACTGACGAGGAGTGTGATATGATATTTGAAAAATTTCATCTTATGCAAAAACACGTTGCACAAGTACATCGAAAGCGTATGTTTACATTTAGAAAAAAAAGCACACTATAAGTTCATATTTGTTTTATTATAGCATCTAAATGCAGAGAATGTGGCAAGATGTTCAAGTATCGTCGTCTTATGGTGTATCATTTCAATCATGTTCATACTGGTTTCGTATTCAATTGTCCTTATGAAGGATGTGAAAAACATTATACACAAAAAAGCAACTTAAATCATCATATAAACGTCATACATAAAAATGAACGATTTGCTTGCCATATTGAAGGATGCGATCAATCATTTATGTCAACAGTAAGTTCTGTTATTTTCTATTAAATATATAGAATAAACTTGATTATCAAATTTTAGATGGGATTACGGAAGCATGTAAATAAACATTTGAATCCAGATCAAGAAAAGACATCTCGAATACCGAAGGTAATTGTTAATTACAATTTTACTCATTAAAAATTAATCTCATCTTAAATTTTTAAATTAGTTATTTGAGCATTTCTTGACAGAAACCTAGTCGTCGGTGGCAGGACGTTGCAGAAAGACTATGCAAAATTAATATATAAAAATATTTAAATTGAATCGAGATCTGATCATCATCTCCAAGAATTTTCCGATAATAGGGAAATTCAAAGAATGTGTGATGATGAGTTGTTAACGGAAAAAACGTTTCATTACGTTAGAAATTTCTACGTGATTACTTAAGTCAAATAGGAAAAAAGTGTACAAGTACATTTAGCAATATATTAGTATCACTTGTTTATTCCAAACTTTACATGATGCAGAATACAAGTATTTGTTAGTAAAATAAAGTCCTCCTGAAAATAGCTTAAGAACTGGCAAAAGGTGGAAAGGCATTTTGTTTACTTATTACTAGCTTCTGATGGCTATAGCTTAAATAACCTTTGACCTTACCGTCATGAATTAGATTTGCCAAAATGCAAGACGTTTCATCATCGTCAACATCTTCTACGTTCATCGCCATAAGTGCAGTAGTCAGTGCACCTATTGGTATTTGATAAGTATTCATAATCCTTTGGACTCTTTTAAATAAAGTTCTATAGACCATTGGTCTTAATTTCTCTAACAGGAGATAAACTCCACATTGAATAAAAAAATGTTCGTGTTTTGACAAAGCATTATCTAATTGAAGTAAATTACCAGCTGAAACTGCCCTAGCAACATCGTCAAATTCGGCCAAGTTGTACTTTTTTAAAAGCCTGTGTTGAGGCAAACGACCCAACAGCATCCTTACGGGAACTAAATAAATAAGTATCTTCCTTTTGTTTTTTATGGACGACTTTAAGCAACGCTCAAAAGCAAAAGAGAGATTTGAGTCGGCATTTCTCAATTCGGAATCAAACATGGCTTTTCTTCCAACAAAATATCTGTATGTGACTCTTTGAGCCAAAGGGAATTGTTCTTCTTTAACGTCCCTTAAATTTTCTATAGCTCTAATTAGTGGTTTGCACAGATGCAAAGCGGAAATAGCGAAATATACTTTGAATAACTGATTTACTAAATATAACATCCCCCATTTCTTACTCGTAGCTGGTGAAGACCTAGTATCAGATGTACATACTCTAAAGCATGCCATTATCGCCTCTGCCGCTCTCTCAAACGCTTTTGAAGAATTTATCCGTCTGGCAGCCAATCTGGTTGCCAAACATAACTTATACATAATTGGCAATGGCCAATTCTCATCAGGCATCTCACTGAAGGCACTAACTAAGCAATTTAATGAATTACAATAGAATTCAAGTGCTCTGTCGTTCTCGCTCTTATCTTCATAGCAAGCAGCTTCGACACGGAATGCAATAATCTCGTCAAAAGGTGTGGGTATTCCTCTATTTGAACATTCTCGATAGGTTCTTTCGTAAACATCTCGGACAAAAGGGACTTTTGGAACAGAGCCGAGAAGTTCAGAACATCCTTCGCCATTGAATGATGCCAAACAAGAAGACAGCTAGAAAAAAATTAAAATAAACTAAAGCACATTATAGGTCGCCATTTAATTAATCGATAGTCGTATCTTCAAATTAACTTTATGATTCTACTTAAGTATGAATAAATGGCTACTTTCGCTGTTTCTAATTAAACTTATATATTATCGCTCATAAAATAGGATACTTCATCAAAAATAATACTATTTAAAAAATGTCTTTCAAACAAATCAAATATGAAAGATTATAGCGGTTGGCATAGAATCCTCATAATATCAAATTACACAATTGTAAGACAAAAACAAACTTCATCAATATATCTCTCAAAATCCCAGCGCGCCATGTTACCAGTTTATGTAGTTGGGTTCTAGTCGCGATAGAGCAGTGAATTATATGACATACTTGTACTATTGTACTAAATTTTACATGTTTTCATGCAAAATTATTCTTATATATATATGTATATATACTAATATGGGTGATGTTATTACCTTTATCTAATCTAACAAATTTTGATTTAAATTTAAAGTTTTCACCAATATGATGAATTTTTAATATTTTTTCTTAAAAATCATCAGACTAAGTTCTAATAAAATGTATATTATAGTTAAAATTCGTGTAAGTTGTTCAAATGCAGATCTTGTAGAAAAGAAAGTCAGTCTTATATTAATAAAATTCAACCTGAAAGCGTTTCGATTAATATTTTTGCTATATTTTGTTAGTTGTGATTAAAAAATTAATCTATTTAAAGATCAGAATAGTTCGTTGTTAAATTAATATAAAGTTTGATTGCAACGATAGTAATAGGCTAGTGTATCCTCTAAGTAGAAAGTTTGAAAAATGGATTGGCGGTAAAATTAGACATCAACTGGCAATGTACACTTTTGCCTCTTTCTTTATCGCTCTTCAAACCACGCCGTTGGTCGAGTAAAAGGTAATTCTAAACAATTATTCGATATTTGAGCATATCTCCGAGGTTTCCAATGATATTTTACTCTGTCTGAATAAAGGAATTGATATTGTCAACTATGATTAGCATCTATTTAATAATTTTCTTAGGAATAGCTTTTTATGATGATTAAAAATAAAATTTATTCTTTTGCAGTATTAGCATCAGTTATGGATAAGAAAAAGAAAGCTAAAGGCTCTGCTAAATCTCCAAAATTGCTGAAGAAGGCTATAAAGCCAACTGATGGTATATCGAATCATAAAACTAGAACTATTATTATTTTAGAATTTTTTAGCAGAAACTGCTGGACAAATAATAAAGAAAAAGCAAGTTGAAGGAAAAACAGCTTCAAAAATAAAATCTCCGAAATTGCCGGATAAATCTAAAAAATCACCAAATGGTACAGTGATATATTGAAAATAAAGCTATTATTTAACTTAATACCCATTTTAGAGAAATCTGTGGATAAAATAGCAAAGAAAAGAAAGCCATCGGATGGAAAATCGGTGGAAAAATTAAAAAAGAAGAAGGCTAAAATCTCTCCTTTCGAAAAAGCTTTGACTGAAATTCAAACATCTGATAATGAAGAGAAAGAAGTTACATCTAATGGAATTCAGAAAAATGGCGAAGAGAAGAAAAATAAGAAAAACTTAAAAAGAAAGAAACTAGAAGATGACGATGCCACACCCACTAAAGTTGGGAAAGTTGAATTATCAAAGAAAGAAAGGAAGAAGCAGAGAAAAATGGTTAAGGATACTTATGAATTGAGCACCAAAATGAAAGAAATTTGGGAAGAACTAAGAGTGTATGTTCATATCATATATAGAATTATACTTTCTAAATTTTCATTCATATTGTAGAAAAACAATTGAAGAAAACAAAAAGAAAGAATTGTCTAATGCCTTGTTTAAATTAGTAAAGGGGAAAGCAAGACAGGTAGTGTCTCTAATTCGTTTGGTGTACTTGTTGAATTAACTATTTCTATTCAATTTCAAAGGTTATATTTGCTCACGATACTGTTAGAGTTATGCAAACTTTGATTAAATCGTGTTCAACTGAACAACGAGATGAACTCTTTGAAGAGCTTAAAGGTTTGAACATTTATAAACTAATATTTATTGTATACATAGTATAGTGCGTTTTTTAGAAATTATCTCATAGAGGTTATTTTTATTGATAAATACTTTTATAATCATGAAATTCTCAAGAATTCTGTCATTTCCTTGCCATTTTAATTATATATTTCAGGATAGCTTCTGATAATAGAAATATTAGTTCTTCATTACATAAGTTTCATTATGAATTTCATTTCCATTTTGGGGGCAGTAAATCCATTCCAAACCTTTTTACTGTCACACATTCAGTACTAATTTTCTTTAAATTCTCTATTTTTTTTATGTAAAAATAGAAGATTTCTTACAGCTTTTTCTTTCCAATCTTTTTTTCGATAAATTCACAAGTTTCGATCATATTTGAATGTTTATAATTCAGATATTGTTTTAGGTAAATTCTATTGTATTATTTCCACAAATGGCATATTCTATATATTTGTAAAACGCAGTGTACTCATTTATTTGATATATCTCTATGCTTTGAATTTATTTTAAAAGTTCTATTTTAAACTAGATGACATCTTAGAAATGATAAGATCCAAATATGCGAGATTTTTTGTGAGGCAAATTTTGAAATGCGGGTAAGATATTTTTAAATCTTTTATCATTGAAACTTTATAAATTCAGTATATATATAATTATAATAGGTCAAAAACTCAGTGCGAATATGTAATTCGTTCTATGTATGGAAATGTTAAGAAATTAATGAAACATAAGCAAGCTTCTCAAATTCTTGAGGTAGCATATAATGAACATGCTAATAACCTACAACGTTCGAATTTAGTGGAAGAATTTTATGGTCCATCCTTTGCTTTATTCAAGGTAATATATATTTAATCCTTTGACAAGCGATGGTAAATTTTTCTACTTTAAAACATTTTCAGACAGCTGAAGCAAGAACATTAACAGAAATCCTAAAAGCAAACCCAGAAAAAAAAGAGTCGATATTGAAAAATTTACGAGAATGCCTCTTAGCAGTGATTGATAAGTGAGAAAATTAATATTAATTTATAGTCTAATTAAGTGTATATATATATATATATATATATATATATATATATGAATACTTTAATACTCATAGATCCCTTTTGGAGCATTCGATTGTTCATCGTCTATTATCCGAATATATGGAATTTGCGGATGATCAGCAAAAGACAGAAATGGGTGAAAATCTACGAGAGCAAATTGCTAGAATCCTACATACTAGAGATGGCTCCAGAGTTGCAATGAATGTTATCTGGTATTCTTCGGCTAAAGACAGAAAGGCTATCATTAAAAGTTTTAAAACGTACGTTAAAAAGATATGTTTAGAAGAACATGGACATTTGGTCCTATGCGCACTCTTTGATGCGGTTGACGATACAAAAATGATCGAAAAAGCTATCTTATCGGAATTGTTCAGTTGTTTAAGCGAAATTGTTTCGGATGCCCATGGCAAACAAGTCGTATTGTATTTGATGGCCGCTCGCGACAAGAAATATTTTCATCCTGCAGTCTCTAAAATTCTTGAAAAGGGTGATGGCAATCCCTTTAGTAAGAAAGATATGGATAAGAGAAGAAGCGAGTTACGGGCAGCAGTAGAGCCACAGTTAATTGAATACGTTAAAGAAAATGCTGAAAAAGTGATAACACACAACTTGGAAAACACAATACTGCAAGCTCTACTCTTCCATGGTGAATTTGATAAAAAAGCCGTATTCAAAGCTTTGGCAGGTGTTGCTTGCAAGAAGTTTGGTTTAGAAGAGAATCATGTCATTTCGGACCCTGTTGGCCATTGGACTTTAAAACGACTTGTGTTAAAAGAACCGGGCTTTGCTAAAGTTTTGGTGGATGAGGCTAAAGAAAAGAAATTACAATCATGGAGTCTTTGTAATAGAGGTTGTTTTGTTTTGCTTGCATTGTTAGAGCAAGAGGATGCCAACATTAAGGAATTTGTTAAAGAGGCCCTCAATCCTGTAAAAAATAATCTTAAAAAAGAAAAGTTTCCTGGAGCTAAAATTTTAGCCAAAAATATATAACTCTTAATTTCCATAATTGTAACAAGTGTTCTTTATGCTATTGTAGAGCCAGTAAAATTGTACTATGAAGTTCGGTACATTTATGAAAAATGACTTTGACAATAAAATAATACAACTAAGACCGAATGATCTAATGATCTTTGTTAATTGTCGTTTATCTCAAACTAACTCACTTTTCAATAAATCATTAATTATTTATAAACAAAGAGACATATAATTCATTTCATTCTAACTAATCTACTGATGGACAATGAAATATTGAGATATCTCTACAAATAGGTATATGTATTATGATCAATCTAAAAAAGTTACGATGAGAATATGAGTTTATGAGTTAATATGAGAATGATGATGAATTAAAAAAGGCAGTAAAGGCTTTTTTCAGGTCCAAACCGCCCTTATACTTCGCCAAAGGAAATGATATGCTTCCCGCCAGGTTGCAAACATGCATTGACAATAATGGGCAACTTGAAGCTATATAGACATACCTAAGACATTAATAAATATATATGAATAAATAGATTATGTAATTTTTTTCTTTTTTTAGCTGTAAGACACAAAGTGGATAGCCTTTTCAGATTGATCCTAATATCTTATATCTGTTATTCATTAATTTGCTGATATCTATCATATCAAGCATATTGTCCCTGTATTAACTCTGCACTAAAATCTTTCTCAACTTCTTTAATAGAAGCGTAGTTGTCCCAAATCTGACATATTATCTCAGATGTTACAACATCTTCCGAATTTTCAGAAATTATCTTCAAGATAAATTCTCCGTCTCTGCATAAATATCTTTTGAAATCTCTAATATCTAAACTTCCTCTTAGTTTCGATTTGAGATTTTCCCTTAGAAATCTGTCATTGTTGGTAATATAACGGAAAAATTGTTGAACAGATGCCAAAAAAGTGATAACAGATACAAAAAGTAGCCAAACCCATAATATATGGAATATAATGAAATTCCATTCATTTATTGCTAATCTGCATTCCAATATATGCCTATGAATCCTACTCAACATTCTTACATTGTATTCGCACGTAATTGATCTTGGAAAATATTCATTCATCGTTAGATTATAATCGTTAGCTATCTTTTGATATCTATGTTTGAAGATACCCCAATTAAACATCATCCCAAATAGTACCATTTGTCCAATCCCGTTTAAAAGATACATCTTTCTAACAAATCCATAGACTGTTGGAAGAAGACTAGAATTCTTTTGAAGTACTTTTGAAGATATAATTTGAAGTTTCTTTTTTCGAGTATCATTCTCTTCTGTATAAGCTAGATTTTCGGCAGAATTAACAATTTGATCTAGATTTGTACCGTAAACTCTATAGAAACATTTCCAAACAATACTAGGAGAGTAGGAAACGAAAGCTTGTAAGAGAAGTATCAGGGAAAACCATTTAAAGTAGTTATTAATGGTTTTTTTATTACCATGTTTTGTTGGTATAGCACTGTCTGAACGGAAATAATAACTATCTGTATATAGACATGCAGCTTGACCATGTTGTTCGTGTGAATTCGTAAATTGACTGGGAAAACGACATTGAATTCCTTTTCCAGAAACTTGAATATAAACAACAAATAATGATGCTAAAATGAAGATAATAACGGTATATTTTCTCGAAAGTTTATCAACTATTCCATCGTCTTTAGAAAAGTTGAAAATACTGAAATGGAACCGTCTCGCAACCATTTTTTAGAAAAAGTACGTTGTGTTATAAATGTATAGAGCTTTTATACGGAAATTTCGCAATAGTTGTCCACTTTAGCCTAAAAGTAGATTATCTTTAAACGTTATTTAATAATTTGTAACAGTTTTTTTAAACATTAAAAATATTATAGCATATTATCGAACATTATCTTAAAATTGGTGTTACAAAGTTCCAATTTAATGAAAAATGATCTAATAAATGGAGAGTCTGGTTTTGTTTATTTCTGTCTTTTGAACGTAAATTTCCAACATTATGTATTTGGCAGTATATTTATCAGAAAAGGGTAATGAATTATTATGGTTACTATATATGGGAAGGAGATATCCTATTGGTCAATCTTCTATTTTTCCTTGTATAAATTATCTAAAGGGACTACAGGACAGTATATTGTATTTATTCAAGTGATAAACTAACAAGTACACACTAAATGCTATAAGAAATATACAATTGAAGAAGACTATTCTCGATAGGTAAATTGTGTTAATCATTAACTGTTTGTCTAATGGGGGAATCTATTCTACTGTTTGCGTCATTGGTAGCGAATCATTAAATGATCAAAATAGCAAAGGACAATGAAATGAAAACGAGACAGTTCCATTATTAAATTTAAAAAATGGATTAGACTGTTTATGGGTGGAGAAGCAGTAGTCCATGACAAAAAAGAGACCTTGATCTGTACTCTTTATAGTGACCCCTGATTTGATCGAGACAGTATATGAGGGAATTGCAGAATATTGAAGAATTAGTTTGGAGCAACTTCGTCAGATATTTGATATCGACATCGATTTTATCAAAAAACATTGTGATAAACTTTTTTAGTTAAAGCAGAAATCTAGGCAAATTTGGATGAATTAGACCTTAACATTTGACATGATATTGAAATAAAGAACATGTTTCAAAGGGTTATTGGAGAGATATATACCAGCTGATGATTTAAGGTATGAGATAGTAGTATATCTCATCGATAGTCATGACTTGGAATCAAACATTTTGAAAGTTGTTTGAGCCCCTTAAAAAGTATTTAGATGGTTTAGGCGATTTCAAAAAGATGATATCATTATAGTGGAAAATGGTGGTTTCAAAATTTTCAGGTAGACAAAAAGAAATTAGGTGATGAGCATTATGGGGATTATGTATTGAGAAGAGAAGAGAAGAGTTTATATTAAAGATTAATAACAATAAAAAGCAAGAAATTCTTATTATTATACTAAAAATTGATTTGCTTCGCTATCATTTAATTACCTTTTCTTATTAATACAAACTCAAATTCTATATTGTTGACTAACTAGTCAAACATTTTAACAGTAGTCAGCTTTATTGACCTTGTAACAACTCTATATTTCGTCCTTCTTTACCGTCATGAATAATAGAGGTATAGTTGTCCCAAATGTAACATATTATCTCAGATGTTACAACATCTTCCGAATTTTCAGAAATTATCTTCAAGATAAATTCTCCGTCTCTGCATAAATATCTTTTGAAATCTCTAATATCTAAACTTCCTCTTAGTTTCGATTTGAGATTTTCCCTTAGAAATCTGTCATTGTTGGTAATATAACGGAAAAACTGTTGAACAGATGCCAAAAAAGTGATAACAGATACGAATAGAAGCCAAACCCATAATATATGGAATATAATGAAATTCCATTCATTTATTGCTAATCTGCATTCCAATGTATAGCTATGAATCCTATTCAACGTTCTTACACTATAATCGCACATAATTGATCTTGGAAAATATTCATTCATCGTTAGATTATAATCGTTAGCTATCTTTTGATATCTATGTTTGAAGATACCCCAATTAAACATCATCCCAAATAGTACCATTTGTCCAATCCCGTTTAAAAGATACATCTTTCTAACAAATCCATAGACTGTTGGAAGAAGACTAGAATTCTTTTGAAGTACTTTTGAAGATATAATTTGAAGTTTCTTTTTTCGAGTATCATTCTCTTCTGTATAAGCTAGATTTTCGGCAGAATTAACAATTTGATCCAGATTTGTACCGTAAACTCTATAGAAACATTTCCAAACAATACTAGGAGAGTAGGAAACGAAAGCTTGTAAGAGAAGTATCAGGGAAAACCATTTAAAGTAGTTATTAATGGTTTTTTTATTACCATGTTTTGTTGGTATAGCACTGTCTGAACGGAAATAATAACTATCTGTATATAGACATGCAGCTTGACCATGTTGTTCGTGTGAATTCGTAAATTGACTGGGAAAAAGACATTGAATTCCTTTTCCAGAAACTTGAATATAAACAACAAATAAAGACGCTAAAATGAAGATAATAACGGTATATTTTCTCGAAAGTTTATCAACTATTCCATCGTCTTTAGAAAAGTTAAAAACACTGAAATGGAACCGTCTCGCAACCATTTTTTAGAAAAAGTACGTTGTGTTATAAATGTATAGAGCTTTTATACGGAATTTTCGCAATTGTAGTGTAGTTTAACCTAAAAATAAATTAAATTTCCTTTAGTTTTCAGAGGACAATCAATTATCTTTAAATGTTATTTAATAATTTGTACATTAAAAATTTACGGTTCATTATTATATATTATGTTAAAAAATAACATACCCTCGTTTATTTCGTCTACTTTGCAGTTATTTAAACAAGAATAGGCTGAACGCGATAATATAAAGTTGTATTTACATCAATAACAATTTGTTATAGATTGTGGTGAAATTAATTTGTCTACTAAGCAATCTTAAGCTAGAAAATTAGAGACACTCTCAAAAATATCGTAGATTACTTTCGTATAAATTTCTGTTATCTTTAGAAGAATTGTTGATATTACAATATTTCTCATATAACAGTAATATACCAGTATTTAAATATTAATTTTAGCTAATTTTAGTACTTTTTATAGTTTTTCTGTATATTTTTTTTCATGTTGCTAAGAAATTATGAAAAAAAAATGGCTTTAAAAAGTTTTGTTAACGCTGAATTGAAAATAAAATTTGAAATAAAACATGAAAATGTTGAAGACAGAAGGTTTAATTCCTTGTTCTCTCTATGTTAGATATTTTCTAAAACGTGTTGACAAACTGGACATTTCCGTTCTCTCTGTCAAAAGTATATATATCTTATAAATAGACTGCTAGTGCTTTGTTATGTTTATATTACTTCAAGCCACTTGTCTATACATTCGTGATGATATTGGTGAAGACAGGGCAGGGTTTTTAATTTGTCTCCGGCTTCGTAAGTTTCCAAACAAACTACACATGATGAACCTCTTATTGTGTTCGTCTCTTCTTTTTCTATGACAAGCATAAATTATCATATGACATTTTACTTAAAAATTAAAAGTCTGTATTCATACCATTGGAGAACGTTGATGTGGGCAAAGTATTCAATGTTTCCTTATTTAGACCTCTGTGTTTTGCCTCTCCCAATTGTTCGGCGATTTCCCAAAGAGACTAATAAGTGAAAAAATGTTTTAAAACTTAAATAAGCGATTGTACGTTTCGTTTCTTACTTCGTAATCATTGCCTGAGAAATTGTTTCCAGTAAACATACTACCTATTTGACTGCTTTCAAGATAACCTACAGGATCTGTCTGAAAAGTTTACAATCTTTAATAATAACTTTTATTCACTGATTAATGTTGATTTTTAATTATTTTTACGCTGAAATCATTAAAGTGTTGCATGGATATAACTCGACTTAGTCCATGTAGCAGACCATCTAAAGATTCTGGTATTCTATGTCTTGCTAGTGACGATGCTATTGATAAAAAGATAATACATTAGTAAGAAAACATGTCATTGTTGTACAAACCGTTCGATCTTCTGATCGGAAAGCCCCTTCGAACAGGATTCTAAGAATTAACATTCTTTAATGTATTTCTTTATATTTAAAAAGATACTTACTAAAAGTTGTCGGAATCTTTGTCTTACTCTTGAAGCCGATTGTCCATTATCAACTGAAGGAGCAGACGTCGCAGTTTGAACATTTTCTCGTAGTGTTCTTGATTCTCTCTCAAATTCATTCTAATTAATGTTATAATAACATTACATAGCCCTAGTATAAGTAATTTTCATTCATTACCTGCAATCTTACAGCTGATTCCAAACTGTCAGATTCACCAGTCCCTGATGTATTAAAATGAGCCTGTAATTGTTCAGCCAACAGACTGTCGTTTAAAGTGTTTGGTCTTGCGGCTTCCAAAACATCATCTTCATCATCCGTTATATGGTTTTCTAGCAGATTTAAGCCATATTTTTCTTCACTCTTTCCCGAATTTTCAACAACATAAATTGCTTCCTCCGAGCTTGTTGAATCTGTGTGACAATCTTCTTCCAAATTTAAGATCATTCGGTTCTCTTCTTGCTAAAAAAAATTAAATACATTTTTTTATTCAACAAAGAAAATGGCGGAAACTACTTTCCATGCTTTTTGATGTTTTTTTTACATAAAATAGGCGCTTAAATTAAATTTTGATAAAATAAAAGCAAGCTATACTTGAAGCCTTTTAGCAAATTCAAAGTCTGATGAAGTTGGCGACAAGTTATCCATTTTGAAGGTTAATTTCAAAGTTTGTTGAGTAGTATTCCAAAAAATATATCTATTTTTCTGGCTTAGCCAATACTTAAGACAAGTTACTTTATCTCAAAAGACTATTATAACTCTTATTACAAAAAGAGAAAACTAATTATTTGACTAAGTAAATCCTTTAAGGAGGAAATAAAAAATGAGACTTTAAATGAGAGCGATTAGGCAAGAAAATTAACCGGTGAAGTTAATCGGTTTCGAACTTCTACCGGTTGCTATAATTAAAAAGATTTAGTTTCTACAACTTATCTATGACTCTAAAAATTAATAATTTGCAAAAATTAATAGAAAACAAGAATACTAATAATGTTGTATAATAATAGTTATCTCTAAAGAATAAAGGACCGGTAATTTTAACGCGCCATTTAAGAACAACTTAAAACAAGGACAACTTATTACCTACTCATCCTTTTTACGAAATTAAATGAAAAAATATAAAAATAGCATATATCATTGAAAAAAGTGTAAAATATAGGAAGATTGTTAAAATTATTGTTATTAGTGTAAAGATAATATAATTGATTATTCAAATTATAAACTTAAAAATTATTTCAAAATAATCCTAAATTTCCTGCTTTACTGTTATTCTGAAAAAAAAGTCAACCAAACGCTGAGACGAGAACACAAAAGAGGATGTTTGAATATTTTTTATATCAGCAGGATGATGGAATTGTAGAGAAGCTGTCAAGAAAATATACGTCTTGCCTATTTCTCCTGTCTTCGGTTCTAGTATTGTTAATTCAGCGATTTCAAGATCCAATTGTATGCTCATTTCCTGACGTATTTTCCAGTTCTCAAATTTCTGCTGGTACTGACATTTGCTTTTGGAAAGACAATTATCAAACAAGCAGAAAACTCTCAAATGAACATGATAAAATCTTTAATATTCATAAATGGCTGCCTTGTATACTACTTTTGCAGGCCATTAGCTTTTTCTTGCCTTGTATTTTATGGAGAATTGTTTATACTCTTTGCGGTAAAAATTTAAGTCAATTTGTAAACGAAATAAACTACTGCAACACCTTAGAGAGTTCGGATGTTCGCCAGAGAAAGTTAGAAATTTTAGGTTCTAGAATCCTGGGTCGCAGCTCTGGATTTTTATCAATAACTTATGGATTGATAAAACTACTTTATCTTATTAATGCTGTGGGACAAATGATCCTTTTAGCATTTTTATTGAATTGGGGTACACTATTGTTTAAATTTGCCCATTTCTTACCAATACCTAAAGAATCCTATTTATCTTTGTTGGTTTCTTGCCACTATAAAATAGGGAAATATGAAGTTTCGGCTGATTGCGTACTTCAATCAAATCATTGGAATGGAGCCATGGCTTGCCTGTTGGTGATTTGGCTAGTAGCTCTTATCCCTATTTTACTATTTGATGCCATTTTATGGTTAATTGATTATTGTAGATGGCCCGATAAATTTTTAAGAGAGCATCTATCTTCGTACAACAAAGAAGATGAAGACTTAGCCCAATTTAAAATGTTCTATTTAAACAGGGATACTGAATTTATCCTTAAGATCATCGCGGAAAATTCGGGCTATTTCATAGTGTCAGAACTAGTTTGGAAACTATGGGACTACTTCTCTGGAAAATTTCCTTACAGCAGTCCCGATGCTCCACCTTATGAAATCACAGATGATAATGAACAATCTTCTATTTAAGGATTATAATCTCTGACTTAAAAACTAAATAACCAACTAAGTAACAAATATATTATTAATAAAATATACAGAAAATTGTAGAAATTTTTGCATCCAATTTGCATAAAATGATGAGTAGAAACAAAAAAAAAAGATAAAAAGAGATCGAATTTAGATAACCAATAAGATTGTTTTAATACGAAAATGTACTAGGAGGTAGTTCATCGCTAAAGTTAACTGTTGGCACATAACGTTTCATTTTAGCAACTGCTGGTCTGTTGATAAATAAAGATTATAGTAAAGAGACGAGGAATATCTTCATGAATTTAATAGTTTACAGTTGTACTTACTTTGTCATATTACAACAATAGAAAATGTTCAATACTTGTAAACGCCTGCACCCTCTTTTGATAAATTTTAGAGATTTATCCGAAAGTCCCAATAGTCCGTTCAAGCTTAGTATCAGAAGATAATGACATACACCAGATATATACTGAACAGAATGGTCAGTCAATTTTTTACAGCCGGATATGTTCAAGTTTGTTAGCATTCTGCAGCAAAAGGCCAAATTCTTAATTCCCGAATCGGTCAGTAAATCGCAATGAGAAATGTCCAAATACTCTAAAGCTGAGATTTGTGCAACTTTTTGGATACCAAGATCAGTTATTTGTTCACATTCAGATAACGTTAAATATCTTATCTTTGAACTATGACCCAAAGCTGACAATTCCTGATCTGTACACTGGCATCCAGTAATATCAAGAGAAGTTAGAGAGTATATTAGGCCTAACAAATCAATTCCAGCATGATCTATATGATCGCAGTAACAAAGACTTAAATATGACAAACTTTGGCACCTTTTATGAATAGCTATAACAGCCAAGTCTCCAACTCTAACGCAATTTGTAAGATTTAGTTCTTTTAATTTTGGTCCAACTGAAGATTCGACTATTGCTTTTACACCGGCATCGGAAATTCTAACACAGTTTGCCAGATTTAGTACCGTAAGATATTTACAATCTCTAATCCATTTTAAAGCTGAATCCGTTAAAGTATAGCAATCAGTTATGCATAAATATTTCACTTCTAATGTACAGTTCTTTGCCAAGTGTTTAAAAGTTACATCAGTCAATTTTGGGTTTTGGCTTAGTTTGACCTTTTGTAGTCTTTTATTCTTTTGTGAAAAAGCTTTAAATGCTTCGTCAGTTAGCTGATTAACACCCAATGCCGAAAAATTCCTTATTCTTGAACATTTTGAAGCAATTGAATTAAGGCATTCGTCCGATAAAGTAGGCATATCATTTAAGATAATACTTTGCAGATTTGAGCAACCATCTGCCAAATAACGAAAACCGTCGGGTGTTATCTATATATAAATATAACATTTATCAGTAAAACTGTAACGGGTTAAAAGAAAATAGAAATTACAAACTTGCATACAACCCGAAATATCTAAATAAGCTAGTTTTAAGGCACCAGGACTTTTTGACAACATTGACAAACCTTTATCCGTATAATTATGGCAATAAGCCAAACTTAAAAATTGAAGATTCATTGAGTTCCTTTAAAGAGAAAAAAAGAATTAAACTGCAATAGCGTTTGTTAAAAAAATAATAAATCAACAAACTTTCCCAATAATCTTAGAGTAGCGTCAGAAATTTCCGTAAATGATAGATTTAGGTACAGCAATATTTTACAACCTTCCGTAATGACTCTCATAGATTCGTCCTATGTTTGTTTAATGAAGTAAAATTTAAGGATTATAAGCATTAGATTCAAGAGAAGGATGATACTCACATTAACTGCATAACAATCGGATAAATTCAAGTCTTGTAAATTTCTGCATTCTCTTACACTCCAAAAAGTTTTATTTGTTATTAGATCGCACCCTCTGAGATTTAAATGAACCAGATAAGGCCTACATCGGTAAAGTAATTTGGTCGTTGTCAGATCTGTTACCCTGTTGGAACGTATTTTAAATTATAAAAAGTTGATTAATTTATCTCTCTTTCTTCCTCTTTCTCTCTCTTTCTTTTTCTCTTATTTGATTAAAGCTAAAAAAAAACCCAATCACCTACACTATCAAATTATAATTTGAACAAATAATGATTATTTCTGTGACATTCTTACAAATATAACAATGTGGTATTAGTAATTCAACAAAGTTTAAGCCCTTCTTACCAGGGAATAATACCTACACCATGCCTGTTTTTTTGTCATTTATTTTCTCAATTAGTGTTATGAATGATAAAGATTTTTTTTTTAAAGAAAATATTTCATTTAATGAGTGAATTTTTAACATTTTCTTTTATTTTAATTAATAAACAAACCTATGGCGCATTTTTGAAAAATCCAACTGAAACAGAAATAGGAGATATACAGTATTGGAGATAGTTTCAAAGTGTTTTTTCACTTACCCTACTCCATAATTGACTAGATTGAGCAATTACTTTCCAAGATCTACATACACATGAGCAATTTGCTAGATCGTATAAATCCAAATGCGATAATATCTATTTGTTTAAATTAATAATAAGTTTTTTTCTTTATTATATTTATATATAATACCTTTATTGCTACATGTCTAGGTAACATTGATAAATCATCTCTAGCCTCTCCAGTAGATTTTCCAAACATTTCTGACTCATCGTCCATATTCTCACCTCTTTCTAATCTCTAAAGGAATTAATTAAAATAAATAACAGATCTTTTAGTTTTTGTTTAAGTAGATATATATATAAACATTAGCCAATCATAATATCGAGTGAAAATCATAAAAAGCTCTGTTTTGTGAGAGACAAAACAAGCATGCATAAATCTACAAAAAAAAACAATTTACCCTTATTTTTATCTGTGTTTGAAAAATTTTGGAAAAACAAAGAGTTAAAAACAAACAAACAAGATTTTTGATTAATTTATTAGATAAGACAAATGTTAAGAATCGTTTTTAAATAATTAATTAATCTAATTTTAAAATACCTCAAAATATTCTCTTGTTGTTTTAGCTTCTAGTGTTACATGATGCCATGCTTCGAATATCACTCTGCTCACCGATACATTGAAGATATGTTCAATTTTATTGAATGCAACTATAATTTAATGAATAAAAAAGAGGGAATATAATGATTTATTCATTTTAAATAAACAATCTTTTAAATCAAAAAGAAAATGAAGAAGATAAGTTTTTCTCTTTATAATGTTATTTTTAAACTCACTTTTTCCTCTTAACAAATCAATACAACAATATGCAAATATTTGATAAGTGATGTCATATAATCATCATGCTAATGGTGCTTAAAGTATATTACACTGTTAATTTCTATTTTATCTCTCCGGTCAAGGAAGAATAAAAAGATAAATATTTAATTTTATAGTTTAATCTTTTTTTTTAAAAAGAAAAACTATGATTAAAAAAAAACAAGATAGAAAAAGAATTGAAGAGAATGTAAATATTTAAAGAATTTTTTAGAACTATCTCAATTGTATACACCAATACAATATAATAATATTGATACAATAAGTCAGTGATATTCAAGTGTCTATATCACCTAATAAATATTTTTGTTAGTTCTGGAAAACTGCTATAGAGATTTATGAAATTGTTTTTAATCATTTAAAATCAAATTAGTGGTATTTTTTTTAAAAAAAAAACTATATACAGTATATATGGTATCTTTTTTCTTCTATTACCTCTTTGTCTTCCTTTTCTATACTTAACCCAATTCTGAAATAATATTTTAATCAGGAAAATAGAACAATTATTGATAAGTGATAAGATAAAATAACTTACCATCCATTGTTTTAATTGAACTCTTAAAATTCTATGCTTATAATGAATATCCGCTTTTGCGCAATTAGCTCTTTCTAAAGCATGTTTCCTCCTTTGTCTTAAGATGTATTGCATCCATGCGCTAAATGAGGGTTAAACGAGTAACAAATATATTATACTTAATTAATTTACTATTAAAACTCTTACTTATAACTCATAGACTTTAACTTTCTATTATAATAAACATAAGCCTTCTCAATCATCTCTTCTGTTGGCTGTGAAAGATAGTTTTCAAAAGCTTGAACATATAACGTAACCATTGAATAAAGCTACCTGAATATTTTCATCAAAATTAAATATATAATCGAGATTACTCTCCGCTATTATCTTTTCTTTTGGTTTCTTACTCTCAGGTACAAACATATCCCTTATAAAAATTGAATAAATTTGACACTTTTAGACTTAATTGTTTCTTATTTAAAAAAAAAACTTCAAACGAACCATCTCATCTCAACTCTTTTATCTTTACTCATTAGTTCATCAAGATGTTTCAACTTATATATAAGAAATTCGTATGGATTTTTTGGGGTCATAACTGCTAATCCAGTAAGCAAGGCCTAGAGAGAAGTTGATTTTAAATTAAAAAAATTATTATTAGATAAAATTTGCGATTATCTATTACCTCATAAATATCTGTCAAGCGATGATCTTTCAAGTATTTTTTCAGCTCTGGATTTATTCCTCGCATAGAGGCTGCCATGATTACTAAACTTAAATATTATATTTATTCTCAAAGTTTTTTGTACAAGCTACGGTTGTTTTGACAACAGTATAAACCGGTTATGAATGTTACGTTCCGCTCGTTTTTTCGTCTATCTCACCTTGTATGAGGATTACTAGCCAGGCGTTTGCTATACCTTCAACATCCGGTTTGGGAATCTTGATGTTTTATGTAATATTTGTGTAAATGATAAAGACAGCAAAATTATTAACAGAAGACTTAAAAACTAAATAAAAATAGAAATGAGTGTAAGTTCTTTTTTTGTGATGATCTAAAGTGATAAATCCTTCAAAACCACTTGTAAATTTTCAGGCTCTCTTAGATGAAACAGAGGATGTGGCCCTAAATTTTGGTGAAGAAGAAGAGATCCTTGCCTCAAGAAGAAAATATTTAAAGTAAGAAATACAGAATAGCTGCAAATATAGCAAGCAGAATGCTAATACATATATTAGTACAAACAACATGTGTACTATCAAAAATCTTATCATCATCGTCTAATATTTTAAAGAAAACTCATATCTGCTGTTTTTCTTTCAGACATCCAATTGCAGTGACATTCCATCTTACTTTTCGCATTCTAGCTTTATTAACTTATTTATTTTGTGGATTATTTAGTCCATCTTTTATAACTAACTTCGTCTTGATTATGGTATTATTATCGATGGATTTCTGGACAGTAAAAAATATATCTGGTATGTTTTTAATTGCTATTATTTATGAAAAGTGCATAACTTTTAAATCAAATTTCAGGTAGATTATTGGTTGGTCTTCGGTGGTGGAATCATGTAGACGATCAAGGTAAAAGTCAATGGATATTTGAATCTCGAAAGGTAATATATTCTTAACAACTATAAAATGATGTTAAATATTTAACACTATACTTAAGGGAGTCGATAGGAAAAAGATATCTACTTTGGAAAGTAACATCTTTTGGATAGCATTAGTAGCTTCCCAAATTATTTGGGTATTATATCTTATAGGATCCTTATTCACATTGAATCTTAAATGGAGTGTAAGTAAGCAAAATTCAGAATGTAATAGATATTTTACCTATGTAATCTTTGAAGATGGTGGCATGTGTCGGAATAGGCCTAAATGGTGCTAATCTTTACGGATTTATTCAATGTAAAATAGGCTCAAAAAAGAAACTGTCAACAGCCGCAACAAATTTCTTGGGCCAGCAGGTCTTTCAATCAGTACGTATATCTTAAGCATATTCGAGTTAAATTGTCAAATCCCTGTTTCTACTTCAAGATTATGTCGCGACGAACTACGACAAGAGTTGAAGATATCTAGAACGTAATTGTCTTTGACTTTATGAAATTTGGTGTAAATCTCACTGAAGGTGGATATATTAATCTAATAAATATAAAATTTATCCAAAATTAGTCATAAAACCAATTATAGATATTTTAATAAAAAAACAAAACTTTATTAAGCAATGGTCGTCAATCATTTTATCTTGTTAATTGCTGACCTGCTTAACCTTTAGGACTTCGGCTTGATCATCGTCAAACCAACAAGTTACATGAATTTGATTAAATGAAAAATAATATAATCTATCACAGCATTGTTTTCTCCTATAAACAGATCTTGGGTCATTTCTTAGAACTTCCACAATTGCCTTTTTTAAATTATTTGACTCTTCTACCTGTATAGTTTCTAGATCATTTAGAGCTCTGAGTGTAAATCTAACAGTTAAGCTTTCATTATTTGCCTGGGCGATCCAGTCGGCAGAGTGAACTTCAGCTGTGTGCGCTTCTTCATTCACGTAATTCTTATCGGCTAGACCAAGCTCATTAACGATCTTTGGATAATCATAGTCAGAAATATATGGTTTAACATCCAAAATAGGTGTACCATCAATTATATCAATTCCTGAGACATATATGGTGGAGTCTAAATAGAGATATTGAATTAAAAACACACATTAGCAAAATGGACGTGTAACGTAAACCTTCGATTGACTCTAGCTTTGCAAGTGTAAGTCCTACTGGATTTGGACGGTGTGGTGAGCGGCATGAGAATACACCAACTTTCTTATTATTTAATCTAGGAGGTTTAATTTTAGCCTTTGTAAAGTTGCTTCCACTTTGATGAAAGATGAAAATAATCCTGTTTATATTTTAAGTATTAATATTCAATTTAAATCAGATACACATAGTGTTCAATGATCTATTTTTACCAAATGTGAGAAAATTGGGACAATCCCTCTAAGCTGTGTTCAGGATTTGTAAATAAGTCTTTCCCAATAGTAATCTTTCCTCTAAATTCAGAGCAGGTATTTGATTGTCTAGGTGTTCCATTTTTTTCCTTAAATACTGATTGCAAATATGCTATGGGTTTCATGGAATAAGTCTTAATTGACTTGATATCTCCAGAGGATCTATCATAAAGTAGCATTGTACTGTCGAATAAAATTATAAGTCGATAAACTTACAATGAACTACTTGCTCCTTCACAATCAACAGGATTGTTTTCTTTGGACTCTTCCATTATACACAATAAAATCACATGGAACGATATAAGGAACTCAACGAAAAAATATTACAGCTCCATCTATAGTTGGTAGCTTTTTGAATACTTTTAGAATGTGAAACTTACAGAAAATAAAAGTATATGTACTCTCAAATAATATATTGTTGTATTAAATACAGATTTCAGTTTAATTGAGAAAATCGTCAAACCTGGAGAATTACTTCCTTGAATGCAAAAATGGTTCTCGTTTAAAAAAAAACATAAAGAAAACAGTCATCTCTAAATTTGAATAACCTATTTATTCTGTCGAAGCCACAGAAAATATAGTCCAACAACAGCTATGTAAAAAAATTGTCTTCAAATAAAGATAATAAAGTTACTTTTTAGCAAAAGAAACTTTAATAGCATGAGAAGGTGTGATCTTGAAACCTTGCAAAGAATCTTTAGCAGTACCAGCTTGAGCCTCATTTTCAAATTCTACGAAGGCGATATCTGATCTTCCAGGAACCAAGCGAACTTCCCTGAATCCCGGAAATTGATTAAACAGTACGTAGAGCATCATTTCCGTAACTTCTGAAGGAAGATTTGTCAAGAACAAAATATGATGTGGTGGTTGTTCAGGCATGTTAAGCGTAGAACCTCCAGCTGGTATATCTGAAAATTCACCAGTAGTTTTAGTCTTCTTCTTTTTCTTTGCAATTGGCTTTTTCTTCGGTCTTTCAATAAATGTTCCTTTCATTTTTGCAATAACATCAGAGTCCTACAAATATATTGAAAATTTCTTAGAAAATATACCATAATAGCAAAAAAAAGTTTTATATCCTGATAATAGAGCACAATGAAGTTGTTTTGAAATAACTTTGACAACTTAAAAGACATTTTTTAATAGAAACTAGTGCAAGCCTTAACTCGAGACTACTCTTAGTTGAACTACTAGAAATTGCAATATACCTTTTTTGCGAACTGAATCCTCATAGGCTTGTCATAAAAAGGAAAACCTTGCATTGATTTCAAGGCGCTTCCTGCACTAGTCATTTCTTTGAAGACGACGAAAGCTTGCCCTCGCATTTTGAGGGACTTTGAAACTAAAATATCCAATATTTGTCCAAACTGAGAGAAAATCGCGTAAAGGGATCGTTTCAGCTCGTCCTTTTTTATTTTCTCATTAAGGTTATTTACATAGATAGTATGATTTTGAGGCATATCTGGAAATTCTGGTGCAGCCATTGCGGTAACTTGGCGTCTGTAACCGGAAACGGAAACAGAGGTATGAAAGATATTATTTTCGAATCTTCAGAACATTTTTAATTTTTTTTATAAAAATTTAAATTACTGAAATGATTTTAGAAATATTAAATAATTTAATGGTTTTTATTAGTTTATTATTTTCTCGTGAACATTTCGAATTATTCGAATCCTCAAAATTCGAAACATACATCTGAAACTTTCTCTAAAGCGACATAGTCCTCTGTTAAAAATCAGTAATACAAGGAGATTTTAATCATAAATCAGTTATTACAATTATTATTATTATATTATATAAATGTTTTGGTTTATTAAAGTTTGTCTTAAAATACTTACAAATCAATAATTTGATTTTGCTATTGAGAGTAAATATCAGAAGGAAAATTTGAATTTAAGAATACATTACTCTTAAAGCAGATGACGAAGTTTTCAATAGTGTCTATCTTTATTATTTTATTCTATGTTAGCAACTGTTACGGAGAACGTAAGTGCTTTTGCTCACTTTTTATAAAAAACTAAACATTATTTCGTATATTTGTAGCAAATGATTTAAATTATAAATTGAAATATTTCGCTTGGTCTTGCTATAATTCATCGATAGAGTTAAAATGTCCTTCAGAGACGCTAATAGAAATAGAGAATACTACTTTTTCACGTCATAATAATGAAACACTCTGTGTTTCAACGGGAAGGCGAAGAATTCAAGTAGAATGTGATGCTAATCCTATAGAATTTCTTTCATTTCTTACCGAATACTGCAAAGGCAAGGAAAGATGTAATATTGATACAAATTCAACTCTATTTCAAAAATTTATTAATCAAACAACACTTAATGAATGTTTGCCATACTTTCAAACAACTTATTCCTGTCAACGTAAGTAATAATTTATATCTATTTGTACATTTCTAATTGATTAATTTTCCCATTTCAGCTATTAGACATTCTCTTATTGTTTGTGAAGATAGACAACAACAGATTAGTTGCCCTCAAAATCATTTAATAATTACTTTATCGGCCTTTTATGGTAGAAGAAATTGGAAATATTGTGTAAAAGAACATGAAAGCTTTCAAGATATTCCTATAGATAAACCTTTAATTTGGGCATTCAATGCCCAAGATCTCTTTCGAAAAACTTGTGACAAACAAAATACTTGTATTATGAATACTAGGTTTGTTTCAATATGTAAGTTACTTTTATTTTCTTGTAAAATTATTTCTACTTTCAAGCTCAGCTTTCTATCAAAATGTTCACATTCAGCCAATGATCAGCAAATATCTAGAAATAGAATGGAGTTGTATAGAATGCACGAATCATTACATATCAGAGAACGCTGATGCTGAATGTCAGATGTGGATGAATGAGGGAAACTGCCTTAGCCATCCTGAATGGATGATACCTCAGTGTAGAGCAGCATGTTGGAAATGTTCAAAAGTCGAGCTCCCGTGTGAAAATATTGAAAAAGATAACCTTTGCGAATTCCTTGCGGCTATTGGCGAATGCCAAATCAGGCCGACTTACATGTTTGCTTTTTGCAGAAAGAGTTGCTTTAAGTGTGGTTCTTCCACAGTTAAAGATACTCTTGATCCTAAGGCTATTAATCTATCAGCTGAGTGTCAAACGCTGGCTGATAAAGGTGAATGTCAAAAGAACCCCTCCTTTATGTTAGAACATTGCCTTGCTTCGTGCCGTAAACTAAAACAGCCCAAGTGTCAAAACACATATGAAGATAAGACAAAGCTAAAAAAATTGTGTGACGATTGGGCCAGCGCTGGTTTATGTGGAAGAAACTCCCATTTTATGTTAAAAAACTGCTTTAAGTCTTGTTCGGGATGTGATAAAGAAAAATTTAATTGCGTAAATGTATATGATAACGATTATAAGTGCGATTACTGGCATATGAAAGGTGAAAGCGTCAGACATCCAAAGTTTATGGCAAGAAATTGCACGAAATCGTTATCCGGATGTAATCCTTCCAATGACGTTGTAAAATGCGAAGATGACAATTCAAAAATAGATATGTGCTCTGTATGGGCATCCGAAGGTCTATGCCATAAGAATTTGGAATACATGCATGCTTTTTGCAGAAAGTCGTGCGGTTTTTGCCCTGGAACGGGCCTTCAAGGGCTTGGAGAAAGCCGAATCGGTCATCATGAAACCCCTGGAGATTCTTCAGACGTGATAAAAAATTTAACTATTGTGCTTAACGATCAAAGATTTTTGAGGAACGGAAGACTTGTTGGGTTTAAAGCATACTTTTCTAATATCCATGAAACTAGCTTTCAGATTTGGAGGCCGCTATCAATCGTTGGAAATTATGAAAAGTAATAAATTCTAATAAACAACATGTTTTTAAAGTTCTATTTTTGTAAAGGAACAACACGATATTGGGAAATTTTTATCTTGCTTACGAAATTGAGAGGTTTATCCCTAAGGAACCAGATACTGTTCAGCTTGTTTCCGTTAAAGAATGTGTTGATGTAAGAGCGGGTGATTTAATCGGCTTTACCACTTTCAAGACAGCATCTGTCGCATCTCATGTTATATCAGTAAAATCATCATATTGGGTGGGAGGAATGAAAAATGGTGTAGGAAGACGATTCACGTTAGAAAAAGTTCATTATTCATTAGTTTTTTCATTATCTGCTGTCTTTAATGAGGATAACTGTAGAGAGTGATAAAGAATATTTCAAAGAAGAAATGATACAGTTATGCTCATCCAAAAATATACATTTGTTATTTTAAAATAAAATTGGAAAATTTTAAGTAATTTTCTACTAGTGAATATTAGTTTGTTTTAAAAAGATAAAAGATATACTAATATAGGCTAATACAGAAAAATTAATTTTTTAAAATAGTTTTAATTTATTAGACATCTAGCAGCCAATACAAGTCTGAATTTAGAAAAAATTAGGTAACCAGTCAGGATCTTTTTTCTGATCAGATTCTATTTAACAGAACCATTCACTTTCAAAAAATATCTATGACCGCTTAAGAAAAGTCACAAACAACAACGCAAGAAATATGCTGAAATTGATACCAAACAATTAAAAAACACTCTCAGTTACCAACATTATCTCCAGAAACAGCCTCCATACGAGCTTCAAGTTCCTTTTCTATTATTCTTTGCCTATTACAAAATCCCATACCCGTTTTTCCAAAAGAATTTGGACCTGCTGCTGTTGGAGTATCTCTAGAATAAGAAAGAACGGTTTCTGTTATTTTTATGATTACACAAAAGACAATTCTTACTTTCCAATATTACGCATCCTCATTCTTGCTTCAGGAGGCATTTCGTCTTCCTCGGACGAGCTCTGAATGTCAAGATTAACTAAAAGAGATTGTAAAAGCAATTTACTATACTCACATCAGCATTAAACATGTTAGCAACAGTCATTTTCTTTAAGACAGGCTCTTTTTTGCCTGGTTTACTTAGAATAATAGAATATTTGCCATGGTTTGGTTTGTTTTTCTGAGACGAAAATATACATTACAAGAATCAAATATAACAAAAATGATTATACAAATATTAGTTTTAATAATAATTTGTTTTAGCTTACAGATGCATCACTGGTTTTATTTTCTGAATGTTTTTTCTTCGGTTCAGGTTCTTCCTCGGGATCGTAGGGTTCGTCTGAACCATGCCGCCTCTTCTCTGTCTTCTCTTCTCTTCGATCCTTATTATTTGCGGATCGTTTTTCCCTTTCTAACACACTGGCGCGCATGAAACGCCGTTACGAAAATATATAGCAAGTAACACAGTGACTGATGGAGTCATCAATTCATTAATGTTCAAAGGAGGAAAAGGCTAAAAATTTTTTTTATTAAAAATTAAACTCCCATTTGAGTTTCATAATGAATGCTTTCACTGTGTTAAACTTGGTATTTGAATTACCTTTTAACTGGCCCTCTTTTGCACTCATCTTCTTGGAACATAAAAGCGGAAATACAACACACTATAATAGCGCAGCACTGAATAACTTAAAATTTTAACCTTGTTAAGAAGACTGTAAAAGAAATTGGCATAAACTTTGAATATACTATAGTAAACTGAAGCCTATTTTAATATGCTAAAATTTTTCAGTCAAACGTAAACATTAAGCGCGGAGCTGATAAACAAACGTGTTCTTGAGTGTTTCGCTCTTTAGTTCGTCCCTCGTGCTTGAATTTAATTTCATTAGATATGCTTCGCTTATAAACATAAAAATGCCTAAGAAAAAGAAAATTGTTAAGAAAGTTAAAAAGAAGTTTTCTCAAAAACAAATTGAACAGTTCAAGAAAGACTTAGGACTGGGTGAAGATACGATAAAACATTTAAATGAGGTCGAAGAAATAGAGAAATCGGCGAAGCTCGTAAATAAAAATGCAGGCAAAAAGGGATGGGCATCTACAGACGTTATAGTTTACAGAGATCCACCGAAAAAGAAAAATAAAAATACAAAAACTAGTAGAAATTCAAACGACCTATCATCTGACGATCCTCAAATAAACTTGAACAATATTCGTCGAGAAGTTCATGCTTTCGCCTTAAAAGGATTTGATAAAGATAAAAGGAAAGATGCGAGAATTCGTCAACTAGTAAAATTAGGTGCAGATCCTCCTAAAGGACCAAGTTTAAACATAAAAGAACTTAAGGAGAAAAAATTTCATGAAAAGCAAGAAGAAAAAAATAAAAAAGAGACGGAAAAAAATTTAGGATACAAAATAAGCTCTATTAGTGCTGGAGCTATGAAAAAGCGTCGCTCAAAGAAAGATAAAAATGATATTGGAGCTCTTGATGGTCAAGTAGGAAGACATAGGGGTGGTATAACTAAGCTGAGTAAAAGAGACATAACATCCATATCGGGAAAGAAACATAAAAGATAAACAAACTCTTGTAAATATATGTTGTTTTCGTTATATATTAGTAGTGTAATAAAATTTTCGTTTTAGGTAAAAAAAATATATAATAAATCACCATTCTTTTACCTACAAACATCGACATTCTTCAGAATGTTAAAAAGAACGTTTTGTTCGACTTTAATTAACTTTTTTTAAGAGTTTTTAATTCATTTTGAGCAAAAATTGTAGAAAATTTCATCAAGTCGTTATTCTACTTGTATCATTGCCATACAGGTACGACATAAGGAAACTGAGGGGGAAAATTTTTATTAAAACGAAGTGAAATAATTAAATATCTTACTTGGATATCGTTAAAAGGTGACCCGGCATGAATAAATATGCCGTATAGGTCGCTGTAGCTATGAAGGCAACTATAACAGTGTCTATGTCAAGTTAAGGAATTTTATCATTATTTCATAATAAATTCTTATTTTAACTCTAGAAATTTTCAAAACCTATTTTACTGTTTTAAAAATACAATTGCTTAAAATACAAATAGGTAAACATTGAGAACAATTGGCTATATTTTGCTTAAAATTTCAAAGGATACTGAAAATAGATCTCTCCCAAGATTCCAACATATATAAACCAGTATGTAGTAAATACCAATAATACCAAAAACTAATCTTTTCACTTAGTGTTTTTGTCATCTTCAGTTCGGTTGTAGTTTCTAACACCAATTACAATTACTGACTTTCTTCAGTAGTGAATCACTGGACACTACAAAATTGAAGCGAATTTTTTTTCATATTAGCCGGGATACCCGTTTATTTCCAGTTGTGTTTGGCGCCAGTTTGGACTTAATAAAAATAATGGATTCTGATATAACACAAGATGTGTCGAAGAAATTTCTTATGATAGTTGATAGTAAGTTTAACGATATAAATATTCTTTTGAAAAATAAGTATTGATTTTTTATAGCAGTTAATAATAAAAAGGAAACCTCCATTATCGACCAATTTTTCAGATAAAATTAAAGATTCCGTTCAATCTGAAGACTCTCGACAATTCATTCAATTACGACATCCTCGTAGCGATGAAGCTTTCATGGTTTATGTATCGTTTGAAAAGAATAAGATTCTTGTTTACGAAGTCCTAAAATTTGAGGAGCAATACAGATCGTGGTTTATTGATGATGAAGTTCAATCAGGTTCCTTAATTTGTAAATACTTTGAATTGTATAAGAACATTAGCATTTTATTTTAGACGGTTCGTTGTATTTAATAACACCAATTGACTTAAGATTCATTATACTTCCGTACCTTTTAAAAAAATCTTCGGTAAGCTTAAAGCATACCTATTACTGACCTAATCGGCTAAATCCTCCTTAGCAATATATGCAAATTGAAGAGATTCTTAGTGATGAAGAATATGATAATCTACAAGTTTTTATGTCTCCTCCGAACGTAATAGAATCCTTAAGAACCATCTGTGATGTTAAAGGTTATCGATCTAAGAATTAATTACCATTATATATTAATTCGTTTTCTTTATAGATATCGGAGACACTTGTGTCTTAAAGTACTCGGAGGAAAAATGTTTAGATTGGCTTAAACTTAAAGTATATTCATAATAAGCTAATCAATTACTTATATTCTAATCAAATTTTTCTATTAGATTGAAAAGTTATCAAATTATTTAAAGGATCGACCACAGAGTGTCGAATACTCAGCTTGTGCAAGTAATTACGTAAAATCTTTAAAAGAAGAGAAAGCTACTACAGATCTTGTGGCCTATTCTTGTGGTATGTTTAGTGAGTATCTACCAAATGAAGTAGAAGAAAAGCTAAAGAAAATTTTAGGGTAAACGAATGTTCTTTAAATAATTTATTTAAATAGATAATTCTAAATTATTCTCATTTTTTTTAGCATTAAAGAAGTCGTTATGCGTAAAATTGAAAATCAAGTAAATTCTAAAGTAACCATATTAAAAAGACTTTCTTTTAGATTTAAAAAGCTTCTTTTATATTTAACTTATTAGAAAAGAAAATCTAACTCTTCCGCTGGTCCGAATGAAGATTATACGGAAACAATTGAAAGCACTGCTAAAAAAGTAAATATTTTTATCACTCTAAGTATTTATTCATTTTTATTCTTATATTTAACGAATAGCCTATGACAAAGAAAACGCTAGCCCAAAAGAAATTGGAAGCAGTTGATAAAAAGGGAATGAAAAGTATATCAAGTTTTTTTAAACAAGGAAAGAAATGAAACGATTAAACAACACTTGTATTATATATTTTAAAGAGGCTCAAAAGATATATAATAGGCTTTTATAATCTACGATATTTTTTGTATTATACAAGATAATTTTTCAATAAAAAACAACCCATTTCGATACGAAAATCATTGAAAGTTTAAATTTTTAAGTAACGTCTTAAGGTTTGTTTTAAACAATACAATGAATTTTTCCTTCTATATGAATAAAACAAATTCCAAAGTAAATAATTCTACTTTTCGACACCTTCAGTCGGGAGGAAAAGACAAGAAGGATATTTCTCAATCGTTGGACATTTCTCACTTGTTATTTAATGCAAATGATTCTAACATTGTTGAACAAGAATGTAAGAATGCCGATGATAGAGATGAAGATTCTCATTTTTCGGATAGTGATGAGACATTAGAAAAATTCAAGGAATCTATAAAATCATTTGAAACTGCTAAACCTTTTGTTAAAAAAAGGAAAAATCCATACAGAAAAGATTTAGATAGTATTACAAATAGATTATTTAAATTAATAATTAGAAGGAAGAAAAAGAAAAAGAACGCTCTAGTAAATAAGACGGCATCCCAAGATTTATACTCTATACAAGAGGGAATTCACGAGATTGATAATAAAGTTGAGAGAAGATCAACTTTGAAAGTATTTTTTCAAAAATTATCTTTTACTAAAAACAAATCCAAGAATAAATCTTGTGACAAAACTTCCGCTTATCAATTAGATAACGTAATTTATACAATTTTTAGTTACTGTTGTAACAATTAATAAAATATTTTAATAGGTTCAAGGCGATCCATCTGATTCTGGTCAATTGGTCAACGGAGCTAACAGGCGGAGAAATTCTTTATCCTCTAGTCTTGGTTTGAAATCTAAAACGCGTATTGTTGATAATTCTCCGAGTTTTAATTTTGGTCGTTTCTTTTATAAGAAGAATCAAAACGTTTCTACAGAATTTACTAAAAATTTTAATTGTGAAAATCTACAGAAGACATAGATGGCAAAGGGAATTTTACATTGTTTGTGCGTTTGTCCAAGCAAAGTAGGTTGTTTTTATTTTAATTGACAAGAAACAGGACCAAATATGTTTTTAAAACAATTTCAAATGAAGCGCGAAAAAAAACTTATTATTTAGTGCGGTCCTTGTCTTTGTGCGCATGCGTTGCTTGAATTTACTCGATACCGGAAAGTCGTTTGCCACGTAAGAAAAATGCCTGAAAGTGTCTTTACGGTTTGCCAGAAATTTCTTGAGAAATATTCACAAACAACTCCTAAAAAGTTGAAAATCATCGATGTCTACCTTGGGTATATTCTATTGACTGGGATCATCCAGTTTGTGTACTGTTGCTTGGTCGGCACTTTTCCGTTTAACTCTTTCTTGTCCGGTTTCATCTCAACCGTTGGAAGTTTTGTCTTGGGAGGTTAGTTTTTCATTTAATGCACAAGATGAATGTCTAAAGAATCAACATTGGAATTTTTGCACTATTTTCTGCAATGACAACAATTAAATCGTTTGTTGATATCATGCAGTGAAAAGTTGATTCTTTATATATATATTATAAACAGTTGAATAACATTTAACCATTTACTGATTTTTCAATTTTATTGCATACACTCATTAAATTTAATTATTTATTTCAGTATGCTTGAGGTTACAAGTAAATCCAGATAACAAAACGGACTTCGCTGGAATTAGTCCCGAAAGAGCCTTTGCCGACTTCATCTTTGCGCATGTCATTCTTCATTTGGTTGTAGTAAACTTTATTGGATAAGTTTTTGTCGGATGATAGAATTTAGAGAAATTGTTTAAAAGAATTCGACAGTTTGTTAATAAAAATCATACAAAAAAAAATGTACATTGCTTTTGTCTTTTACCAATTAATATATTAAACAGAATCCTTCTTCATTTCGTTTATATTCAACATACACAGATATTCGAATAGTGTTATACAAATTAGAATACTTATTAAATGATATACTACTCCTGTTTTTTTTTTATAGTCCATATTAGAATAAGTTGATTATTTATTTTATTTATTTATGATTACCAGAGTTCATTTGGTCGGCGAATCTTACTTGTCGACTCAAACTGCCATATACTTTAATTCTTGAGTCTTGCTTCCTTGTTTTACATTCTTTGTTGAAATTATTAATCTTCATTTCTTCCTCGTCAAAGTATCTTGAATGTCTTGGTGATTTTGAATAGCTGCTTTGCCTGTTTAAGTGTATTTTGTTTTTAAAGTAAAAGAATCATTTTTAATTATTGAGAAATAACTTAAATTCAATTAAAAAAAAGCAAAAGAAATATTCAAATTAATACTTTCTGTTCTTATATCAAGTTTATTTTTCATAAAACGGGAAAAAATAGAGAATTAAATTTTTAAATAAACGTTAATCAATTATCTGGACTCTGTTCTGTTTCTTTTTGAACGTTGTCTTCCTTAATTTCTTCTTTTCCAGATAATGCCGAAGTTGGCCTACTGGAAGGTTTTGTTGGCGTTTTTACTCCAGAACTTTTTCTAGAGGGTGCTTTTTCAGGTAGTGGTTCTGTTGGGGTTTTTACTCCAGAACCTTTTCTTGATGGTACTCTTTCAGATGGTTCTGTTGGTGATTTTACTCCAGAACCTTTTCTTGATGGTACTCTTTCAGATGGTTCTGTTGGTGATTTTACTCCAGAACCTTTTCTTGATGGTACTCTTTCAGATGGCTCTGTTGGTGATTTTACTCCAGAACTTTTTCTTGAAAGTACTCTTTCAGCTGATGATTCTGTTGGTGTAACTTTGCCAAAAACTCTCTCTTCCTCTTGCTGAGGTGGAGTTGGTCCTCTACTTTTTATTTTTTGAGCAGAGGTTGGCCGACTACCAGATTTTGCAGTCGATGGGGGTCTACTCTCAGCTTTTTGGGCAGAGGGTGGTCGACTATCTTTCTTTACCTCAGTGGCAGAAGGAGGCCTATTGTCAATTTTTGTAGCGGAGGATGCTCTACTAGCATCCGGCGCATCCTTATCTACATCCTTAGCTACCGAAACTGACCTGCTTGGAGTTTTGGCACCCTCCTCTATCTTGTCCGACTGTGTTTCTTTTGTGTCTTGGTCAGCATTCATGGATGAGGGCGAAAGGATTGGCCTTTCAAATTCTTGCAAGTCTTCAGGTAAATCCATATGCATCGTGGAATAATTGGGTTCTGATTGAGAGCATTGAGAAGTCGGTGTACTGAAGGACATCTCGTTTGCATCTAGCTGATCGGCATCTAACTGATCGGCATCTAACTGATCGGAATCTAGCTCATCATTCTGAATCTCGCCCACTTTGTCAATAAAGTCTTCTCCTTCTTTGTGAACTTGACCATGAGCAGCAAGAAGGAATCTTCGATTTTGTAATTTAGATTGCTTTCTAACGGTTTCCTTTTGCACTTCTGGTATAAGAAAACCGTGAACAAGTTCAGATACAATTTCTTCTGACTGTAGTTTATCGCGAGACTTTTCAGCTTCATAAGCGATATCATTTATCTTCTCGGCCATATCCTGTATAATTAAGGAAGGTGTTGTTAAAAACTAATGGTTTATAGAAAAAAAATAATTAAAGAGCAAACCTTAATTTCATCTCTAGCTTGTTGTTCTGCAGTAAAGTCCATGGAAGTTAAAATAACGTCTTCCAAATATCTATCAACACTATCTTGATGAACCTTGACGGCTTGTTTGAAAATTTCATCGTGTTCTCTTCTTCTACGTTCTTCAAGTTGTCTCCTACCAGACTCTTCAGCCTCTCTAATTCTTCTCTGTCTCTCAGCCAACATAGCAAAGGCATGAATTCTTCTTTCTTCTTGAAGACGTACAAGTTCTTTTGATAAAAAGTCTAACATATCTCCAAGGGCGGAACTTTCCATTTGATTGAGTTCCTGATCGACCAGAGCTTCCCGGTGGTCGTGTAATCTTCTTTGACGTTGAAGAGCGAGAGTTGCTTGTTTTTCTTGCTTCTTCATAGTCTGTTCTGCTTCTTGTAAAGCATGAGTAGAGCGGAGTTCTTTAATAAGCTCCATTCGCTTTTCTTTTCCTTCAAACATCATATTCTGAACTGCTCTTCCTCTTAACAACTTTTGTAGCTCAATAACAGCAAGTTCTCTCTCCTCTTCCTCATCGTCAGCTTCTTCGACTGAAGGTGTTGGTGGCCTTGGAGCAGGTTTCTCAATCTTCTGTAAGAATCTCAAAGGTTTTTGTTCTCTTTCCTCCTTACTCTTTTCCGATTTAATTATTTTGTGTATCTCCTCCAATTCTCTTTCTTGTCTAAACTTTCTCTTAGTAAAGCCATCTTTAGTAACAGTTAGAGGTTTGGGAGCCTTAACTTTAGGTCTTGTTACACAGTCAGGAAGAGACGCCTCCAATTCTAAAAGACCAGCATAAGTGTCCAGATATCTACTTTGAACAACAAATTGTTCTGCCCCTGAGTCAAGAAATACACCAATTCTAGTTAAAGGAGCGTAAGCAGAAGATCCAAAATCAGCGTAATCTTTGGTGATATCACGAGGATCTTTCTTATTTTCAATATTTTCTCTTTTCTTTACCAATTTTCTTAAGTTCTTAATATGATCTAAACGATCTCTTTCAAATTGCTTTTCTTTCTCTCTCTGCTTTCTTCCCCATAATTTATCAAGACGTTGTGTTTGCAGCTGTTGTTGTTTCTCTTCTCGCTTCTTCAATAGAGATTTCAGGACATTTAATCTTTCTTCCTAAAGAGTAAAATTTATGAACAATGAAATATTTAACGAAAGATATTTAACAAAATGCTCACCTGTAGCTTTTCGATTTCACTCTCACGAAGAGCCCACTCCTTCCTCTCTTGTTCATCCATCATTTTTCTTCTCTTCTCTATTTGGTCCATGTCGTGAAGTGGAGGTAGAGTAGCTTCCCAAGCTCTCTTCGCTCTCGCTCTCTCAATCATTTCAACCTCAGCCAATCCTGCAGGAAGCCCTCTACCATAGGCAAGAGTAGCCAAACTCAATAGCTCGGGTTGCGATCCGGGTCTAACTACATATTCGGGAGAGTAAGGGTCAGTTTGAGCCTGACTGTCACGATACATTGTCTGGACATAGACACTTCTAATCTTAGGAGTAGGAGCTCTTTGAGCCTGTTCGTCATTGTCAGCTTGCGCTCCTGAAAAGCCATCTCTCTCTCCACCCCTGGTTCCAGATAATACTACATCAGGTACATTTCGCATAAAAGGTATATTTGGCCGTTTAAAAAATTTATAACGATTTTTCGACATGTCCGGATTTTCATAAGCTTTCGGTGGAACTTTAACGGATGGATCATAGTTAAATTGCTTATAACGAATTAACGCCTCTCGAGCTTGATCAGCATAGCCTCTCCATTGACGATTTACAGTTTTTGGAACAGGATCGGTGACATTTAAACGAGCTTCAAATCGAGGATGATGTCGAAGCTCGCTGAACATATTCTCTCTGTGAGGAACTCGTTTGATCCTGTCAGTGCTTGTATGAGCTTTGAAGGTGGCTCTAGCATGATCCCTTTCTGCCGCTAACGTATGAACCGGATCTGATTGGAAATATGAAAAAAAGTTTAATCATGATAGAAACAGAAAGTCAATATACTATCCTTACCGTATAGATAATCATGCACCCTCGTAGCATTAACGACAGTTTTTTGATATGTTTGCGCTTGAGCTGCCATTTTCTATCCTGGCTATTCCATATCCAAGAGAAATTAGAAAATGTACTGATTCCTTTAGGATCGTTTGTCAATATTCTACGGACTTGGGTTGTCAAGCGTTGTTAGGGGCAACTATGAAATTGCGCATGCGCTGACTCTCATTAAAAAAGTCGCAAAGTTTTCCAAATTTATAGCAAGTATAAAAAAAATATTAATCAATCTTTTTTGTCCGTGTTTAAAAACTTGGTGGCAAACCTGAAAATACAGAGTCAATCAAAATGGCGCTGGCCCGAGAAGGCGCAATTTCCTTATACAGTTTTGCATTAGGCTCATCTATTCTTATTTTACCCACTGTCCTTCGAATCTTTTCATATTTACAAGAGCTTGTGAATAGTCATTGGTACATATCATCGGTTTTGTTTGCCATTGTCTTAAATGTATATTTTTTCTACCAATATACTGAGGAATCTTATTCGGTACTGTATTATCACTCAAACGGAGTATTTCAGCTAAACGTCATTCAAATGTTTTAATTCCCAGATTGCTGTAAGAGGAGGAAATCTTGGTGTTATTTTTGGAGTGTGCTTAGGACTTTGGTTTGAAGAGTCAACATTAAACCCTCTTTTTAGATATTTTGTTATATTAAGTTTCTTCCACTGGTCAGAGTATTTCATCACAGCTCTCCTAAATCCTTCCGACCTAAGCTTATCCTCTTATCTACTTAACCATAGTGTACAGTATCATATTGCTGCCTACATCAGTTGGATAGAATTTGCTGTAGAAGCTTATTATTTCCCTTGGATAAAAAATCTGTACCTCGTCTCATGGATTGGTTTACTTCTTGTAATCGGAGGAGAATTTCTAAGAAAATACGCTATGTACACAGCAGGAAAAAATTTCAGCCATTATATTAGACACCATAAAGAAAATCAGCACAAGTTAGTTACCTCAGGTGTTTATAGTTGGTTTAGGCATCCTTCATACGTTGGTTGGTTTTACTGGAGTATTGGTACTCAAGTTAGTATTTTTATCTTTGGATAATTCATTACTTACAGAAATCTAATTGAAAATATCTTTAGGTACTCCTGATAAATCCCATTTGTACAATCTTATATACTGTTATGTCGTGGATGTTCTTTCAAAGAAGAATAATAGAAGAAGAGAGAACATTGCTTGTATTCTTCGGAAGAGATTATTACTATTATCAAGAAAGAACACCAACAGGTCTGCCATTTATTGAAGGAAGTAGAGTGAAATTAGAAGATAAATGAGATGTGTAATTTAATTTAAATTCAAGCAAAGGTCATAAAAATTATTATTTATTTGTTTTCACTGAAAATATGAAAACTATGTGATCAATTTGTTAAAATTAATACAATATAAGGTAAAAACCGCAATTTGAATAAAATGTTATATGCAATTAATATTTCCTTTTTCGAACTATTTTAAAAGAAAACTTTAGTAAGGCAATCGGCCCCCTTTATATTGTAGCATTCGAATTTTCAAGTGTCGCGGTTAGCGATAAAAGCGCCACCTGGGTTTTCGGAAAAACAGTTACAGTGGAGTAGTATTGTAGTGCTCATAGCAACTTGATCAAATTTTTATATTTTATAGATAGCGTTTTTATTACGAATTCACCACTTTCGTTAAACAACAAGATTGAATGCAAATGCCTATGATTTTTCATGGGAGCTATCAACTTATTTCTGAAGAAAATCTATCAGAGAATACTAATTTTCACGCTATATATTTTGTTGAATGAGTGATAATAAGTGAAGCAGCTGAAAACTTTAAATATGGACTACGAGGACGTTGTCGATCCATTTAATGCAAGCTATGGCGAAATGGAAACGAGTCTATGTACTCAAAAACCTCCTGACGTAGTTTGGGATGATAATAATACCATCGATATAAAAAAAACCCAGCAAAAACGTGGGCATAAAGCATCAGGATATAGTCACTTTCAAATGTTGATTTCGAAAGAAGAAGCTCAGTAAGTTTATCTTGTGGAGATGTAATCTAGATATTATTCAATATTGTTTAACAGACTTCAAGAGGCTAAAGCGAGAGCAGGTAATGATATTAAATCGGCTGATCACGTAATGGAGCAATTAGAGACTCTATTTAAGGATGAAATAGAAGAGAGAAATAAATCTATGGAAACGTCAACATTGAATGAAGACGACTCTTTTATGTTAATTTCTCAAAACTTTCGAACGCCAAAGATATATAAAGAAAGTAAACAAACGAAATGTCAACAAGCTACAAGCACACCGTGCCAAAATGATATGTCATTAAAATCTCCAATATTATCCCCTATTGAAGAGGGAACACCTAAATCAGTTATAAAGCCAACTACGGTCAAGGACCATAAAGACTTAACAGTTTTAGGAGCTGCACCTAAAGTTCGTAGAAATATTATGAGAGTTCAATCCTTTGAACATCGCCCTGGTAGTCCTCCATCGAAAATAACATTTAACAAGACAAGATCATTTGAAGAAGAAAGGGGTTTGTTTTCTTAAATTATTCAATTATATATATATATATATATATATCGCCTTTAGTACGTAACTTTTATTGTTACTTATTTTTATAGCTGAACAAGCGTCAGAGCCGTTTGTAAGTAGTCAGACGGTAACAAGAAAATTTGTCTCAAAGGCAGCTATTAATGGTACATCATCCAGCAAATACATTAAACCTGCAGTTACAGTGAAATTAGTGGATAAACCGAGAATTATGGTGAACCATGGTAATCAATCATCGGCTACTAGCTCCACATCTACCCCTAGTCTCTCCACAACAGTGAAACCAACTACAACCAAGCAATTTATAACTAATGGTAACTCTTTGACAAAAGTGATTCAGCCATCATTCTCAAGCAATAACACTCGCTTGTCAGACAATCGTAACATTAAAGATACTAACGAATCAACCAGCACTGGCAAAACTTTGAACAGTACAAACTCCATTCCGGTAACCGAATCAACAACAACAATAACAACGTTATCAAACCAGAATACGAGAAAATTCGTATCTAACTCAAACTTTGTTACAAACTCATCTAAAACAGTTTGTTTTAATAAACAAAACACTAATTCTACAACAAGGAGGTTTAACAATCATATAGTTTGCTCAACAGCTATAACAACAACAACAGCAACAACATCATTTTCGAAAATGTCATCGGATATAGTACAAAATACTTACGAACCTTTAAAATCTGCTGATACAATAAAAAAAGAACCTCCAGTCCTAGCAACTCGAACATTTAAAAACTTTCAAAATCAGGCAACAAAGAAAGATTGCATCGCCTCAACATCAGTATCATTGAATATCGCTAAACCTGTTTTAACAAATAGCAATACAATGAAAGTATCGGCGGATATTAATCTATCAAAGAAGCCTTTGGATCCTATGAGGGCAACAACAAAAACTAAAACTTTTCGTCAAGGGAGAACATTTACACGGGCTGTTCTGGTAACTCAATCAAACCAGAAGCGTCCTGGACAGGCTGAGTTAAACGATTCAGATAACATTCCGCCTAAAAAAGTCGTATATAGTAAAGATGAAATTGAGAGGAAGAGACTACAAGCTCTTCAGCGCAAACAATCACAAAATATAAAATGAATTCATTAAAGTACTTGTGCTTTGTTTTTTTTCTTTTTGTAAAAAATTTTTATTTCTCATTTCAATAAAAAATCATTCAAATTTTTCAAGATACAATAAATATCAACGCCTAAAATTTCCCAGTTACTTGAAATCATTTCAATAGCATTAACAAACACAAACTAAAATTGTTATACAAGAGAATTTTAACAATAGTTTGTCACATTTTATAATATCTTCATAGTTAAATGTAAATTGAAATTTTTCAGCTTGTCACAACAATTGCAATTTTAAAAGTAACGTCCATTCTGTAATTTCTTTCGCTAATTAATCAAAGAAGGCTATAAGCTATTGTAAATAGGAAATGGCTAAAACGTTTGAAAGTTAATAACAGTATTTGTTCTGTTTGTAAAAAATTTGTATTCTTTTATAGATAAATAATCATTCAAATTTTAATTTAAATTGGTTAAACAATAACAGCTTTATGATTACTTGGTCATTTTAACATTTTCATAAGCTTTATACTTAACATTTCCTATAGTAATCTTGCATGATAAACCGAAACTGGTAAATCAGTATTTAAAACAGTTTTTGAGTGATATTCTAAGGCAGTTTGTCACATTTAGATGAATGGTGATGATTTAGAAATATTTGAAGTCTTTGTGGTTGTTGTTTGTCCTCCCTTCAAATTTATAGTTGAATTATAAAAAGTGTATATACTTTCTTTACTAAAAAGTACGCGGTACAACTTTTGCCTTTTGACCTTTGCTAGGAAGAGAGGGAGGACTGCCAAACCAAGACATTTTATATTCAAGAGTGTCCTTGATTAATTTTTGTTCGTCCGCTGTAAGGTGAAGTAAGACAGAAACAGCTTTAATAAGATGGATAGCTTCGGACTCTCTAGACAGCATAAACTTTATAACAACATGGCGTAAGTATTCATAATTTAAATGATCACATTTGCTACAGGTGACACCGTTATCCTTTGGTATAGGAGGTATAAAGTCGCTCAAATTGACATCGATTGTTGCTGGAATTTGTGGTAATGTTGGAAAGCTACGAGTTGAGTCCATCGGTAAAGGTTGTACCCGAAGTTCTTTTTGTAAAGTTTTTTTCATTTCATTTAGTCTTTGTTGCTGTAATTTTACAGTTTTACTCCTATCGGCTAAATTACTTTCAACAGATGCTAATTGTTTTGTCAATTTTATAATTTCCTGACATAAATTGTCATTTCTCTCTGTTTGAGTTGCCAACTCTTGCTTCAGATCAACTTCAAATTGTTTCGATTTCTTAAATTCTACAAAAATTAATAAATAGTAATAAGTTGTATAAATTTACTTCCAAATATAAATAGAAAGATATATAGATTATTCAGTACAAAATTAATAAACTTGCCTCCCTCATGGGAATCTATTTTTTGTTGAAGTTGATTAATTATATCCAAATTTTTAGAATTTTGTTCCGTAAGGCATACCCATTGAGCTGTTACATGATTTAATTCTTCCTGAAGCTTATTAAATTTTTCACTAAGGTCTTCAGCATTTTTCTCAATTCTATCTTTTTCGGCTTGTATATTTATCTGTATAAACAATCGATTATATATACCACGTCAGAGCGTTTATAACAGATGTTATAGGAAATAAAATCAAGCTTACTTTCTCGCTATTGAAGGCAGTTATTTCTTTTTTTAAATAGGTTATTTCCTTTTCGTATTCTCTCTTAGTAATTTCTATTTTTGACTTTTCAGAATTGGAATTAGTTACACTTGTTGCTAGTTTATCCTTAAGTTCAGCATTTGATTTTTCCTCATTTTTCAACTTTTCTTCCAAATTTTCTACAGTTTTATGCAATTGTTCAATCTTAAAAGAATGTTCTTTTTTTAACTCAAGTATTTCATTAACTAAAGAATCTTTCTCTTCATGCAGCGCATTCACATCTGGAGGATTAGTTGATCGACTGTTTTCTATAACTTTTTGCAAATTTTCTAATTTTAACCCTCTGGTAGCTGAGATTTCTTTTTCGTCATCCAACTTTTTAAGAGCTGAATCTCTCTCAGTTTGGGCATTAATGAGTAAATGTTTAACTTTTGCTAGCTCTTGACTTGCTAGACCTTCCTGTTCTTCTCGTTCTTCTTCTCTTTTAAATATTCTTTCTCTATATGCTTCAGCTTCTTTCAAACGGCCTTCCAAAATCATAATAGATCTTTTACTCTCCTCTTTGTCCTTATTTAATTCTCTTATTTTTATCTCTAGAGCTTTTCTTCCGCTGGAACCCTCCTTTTTCCCTAGGGTGTTATTGGTGTTCCTTTGGGGGCTGGATTGTGAACTACTATCAGAATCGACATCATTACGACTATTTTCTTTTGGAATGGCATATCCTGGTCCTCCTATTCCTCCTTGTCCTCCATTCCCGGGAGACAGTTCAGCGCCTTCATCAACTATTTTTTGTTTTAGCTTTGCAAACATTTATTATTCTATTGACAAAACACTACCAAATCGAGTGGTTTGTTGTAAAGATTCAATACTAGCAAAATTAATGTGTTTCGTAACCAGTAAACACTTTAAGAAGTGACAACTCAGAATAATAGATATACAATCTGCCACAATTTCAAACCAGTTTAGTATCTTCTGACATAACTAGTGTTATTCATGGCAGCGCAGCAGTTATTACTTAGCTGAATGGCTATTGGTTGATCGTCCGCCATTTTGCTCTGTAGAAAAAAATAATTGAAATACGTGCATGCTACGCTTACACCCTAACTTTTTGTAGAAAAAGTGGATTAAAAATATCTAATCACTATTTTACAAGATGGGGAAACGTTCGACGCAAACAACAAAGAGTGGGAAGTACATGAACCCCACTGATCAAGCTCGTTAGTATTAAGTTTTTTTTATCGATTAGAACCTCATACTAAAATTGTCTAATCTACTAGGTAAGGAAGCAAGGAAAAAAGAACTAAGAAAGGTAGTAATATAGATAACCACTATATATCTATATATTACAATTTTGCTATACAGAATAAGAAGCAAAGGCAAACTGTACGACATGCTGTCCTTAAAAGCAAAGATCCTCTTCAAATCTTTAAGGAACTGGACGGAGTTGACGACATGGGTAAAAATTAACTTTTAGAGAGAGCCATATAAATCTTATTCTGTTTAATCATTTTAGAATTTGATCCTATAAACGCTCCAAAATTAAATGAAAAAGTTTTAAAAGAGAAAAGGAGAAAATTAAAAGAAACTCTTAAACGGGTAATGGGAATGTATGTAAGTATGAAAATACCTATTTTATTTTCATTTTTTAATCATTGAACATCATTATTATATTCCTATAGGAAAAAGAAAATCCAAATTATTATTTTGAATTACGAAAAGCTGAATCCGAGTACGAAAGGCGCAAAGTTGAAAAACAAATCTATTATGGTAAATCTTGTTTCGTTCGTACATTATTTAGAATTAAATAGATTTGTTATCGTTGACTTTTAGAACAAGTACAGACGGCTAAAAGATGTACAATTGATCAAATTCCCCTACCTGAGAATAAAATAGGAGGTTAGTTGCTCTGAACACAAAACCATTTGTAAACTGAAAAATACTGCTTTTTCTTTAAGGTGGCATTCCTCTTCCTCCAATGACAGCTTCGTTACCACCACCAAAGATTGGAATTTTGAAGAAATCAGCGGAAACGTACGTACCTGTATTCATATATAAGAACTCCTGCATATAAGTTATTAATTTTTTGTTTTTTAATTTTAGCGCTAATAAGTTTCCTTTGCCCAAGAGAAAACCACCAGGTCCTCCTCCAGGTACTCCTCCTATCATATCTGATACTGATGATAGTGATTCAGACGACCCATTTCAACCTCGTAAGCAGAATTACATAGTTTAATAACTATTATTAATCAAAAAATTTTGTTAGCTATACCTAAAAAGCGTGTTATCCGATTCGATGATCCTGGAGATGGTGAAGAAAAAGATACTCGATTAACCATGTCAGCGGCTTACGAGTTATCGAATCAAATGGACAGTTATGAAGACGATGGTCCTCCTGGTGTAAGAGATCTTAGCCAGCAAAAACCTGCCCCGGTGGTTTTGCCTCCTGGTCCGCCACCAGGTTTACCCACTTTTCTTATGAGAGCGCAAACTGGCATGAATATTCGACATCCAAATCCACCACCGCAAATGCCTCATCAGTTCAGACCACCTGGACCTACAGTTCGTTTACCACCTGGACCTCCGCCTGGTCTCCCTCCTCATTTGATGAACAGGCCAGCAGCTCAGCAACAGAATATGAATCGTAATCCACAACAAAAATTGGATAATAGAAGAAGTCAGAGTGGTCCTACGATCGAGGCTAAGCCACAAATTAAGAATATTATGGGAGATGTAACTAGATTTACACCGATGGCTCTGAAAGTTAGACGAGAAGTTAAAGATAATAGGGGAAGAGTTATTAAAACTGGTCAAAATGATCCATTATTGGGATCTTCAGATAAACCGCTTGTTGGACCTACTAAAGATAAGGTCTACGATAGTTTTATGAGTGAACTTAAAGGCCTGTTATGAATATATTTGTTAAACAGTTTTTTTATCTTTTATTTAAAACTAAAAAACCCTCATGAGAAAAGGTTCTTTTACCTTGGTCAAGTAAACCATCATAATCAGTGTATGAATGACAAATTGAAATAAAAACTCAGCTTTGTTTTTTTTTTTAAAATCGAGAAATTGTAACATTTTGTCTCCAGCATCTTAGTACAACTTTTCTCTTTCCACTTGCGGTTTTCTCGTGTAAGATCTTAACTACTCTTACTCGTTTCACTCTCATTTCTTTATCCTTCACATCAGATATAATATCTACGTAATCACCTTCAGACATTTGAGCAGATTTCTTTAAGACCCGGTCTCCATTTAATCTTAGTTGACTGCCTAAAAAATAATCGTCGACTTTGCTGTGAATTTTAGTCAAATGAGTAAAGTTGACGCTTTTTTTAACATGAAAAACTATTTGCTATACCTTCTAGGTGTATTTAAACCAGAACTAAGAATCGAATCGAGTCTCATGGACGACTGCTGACTGATAATCTCGCGAAAATTATTTGGTAAACTTTTATCTTCTTCAAAGAATATTCTGGAATATTCGTTCTCATCGTCGCTGTCTTCATCATCTTCTTCGTCATCTGTGTCCTCGGGATCTTCATCATCCTCAGTTGCCGACTGCTTGTCTAATTTTTTTTTTTGCACAATACCTTTGCGTCCTTTGAGACGCTTTTGGATTTGAGCTACCGGTGTAATTTTTAATAAACTCTTCTCCAATACTGATTGTTTCAAGTCTTCTGGATTGCTTAGAAACTTTGGAGGGACTATTAAACTAAAATTTTTCCTATTGCTTACATTTGTAATTAAGCTATTGACCTCCGAAATTTTGTGAATAATGGGCCATGTTGATTTTAGTCTTAACAATAGCTTATGATTAATAGCTGCTGACATGGTTTTTATATTAAATATGAACGATAAAAAGTAAAATTATCTAAATCAAAATAGTTTCAAGTATTCTACGTAGTCTTTGATTTCGATAAGCCGCGCGATTGTCTGCGAATTGGAACAATAAAAGTTATTACTATAATACTGAAATATATATCATTATATAAGCGCTATTAATTAGTAGTAGTAAAATTTCGATACTGATAGATAAAAAAAGATGCCACCTATCGGTGGAGGAGCAGTGATTAACAATTGCATCAGAAAATTTTACAGCGACATTGTCTGCGACCTCTGGTTTTTCTAGCTCATTTCAAGATAAACTGTGCAAGCGTAAACATCACCCATGTCTAAGACAGCTTTCTAATTTCTGACCCCTTGGGTCAATTTTTAGGTAAATAAAGCACCTCTCAGTATAATGCATCTTTAAATATTCATTATTAATATACTAATTAACTATAGTTGTGATTAAAATGGAATTGCGCAATGAGTCGAACGGAAAATTTTCCGGTAGATTTGACAAAAAATCCAAGTGGATCTTCATCTCGCCTTTGGCAAAACGAAAAAGAAAAGGTTGATCCAGAATACACAAATTTCGAAATTAATCCAATATTACCTAGCTATTACGCAACTAAAGAAAAAGTGAGTAAATTGTTTCAAAATACTGCATCATTGTTATTATGTATGGTATTCATCCATTAAAGAAAGAAAAGCGTAGAGAAGGCAACAGGCTTGCAGCACAAAGATGCAGAAAAAAGAAGAAGGAAAAAGAATCGGATACGAATAAGGTATGTAAATCCTACCAACTTTATTGAAGCCTAGTCTTTATTCATTGTCATTCTTATTTTTTTTATCTATATATAGACGTTAGAAGAACTTGTCGAGCAAAATAAACAGCTTAAAGAATGGATCGACAATTTAGAAAGAGAGAAGCAGATTCTTCGAGTTAAATTGATAGAGAAGGCCTGTTTATCAAAGTATAATATCAATAGCTTAATAAATTGTCCCACCTAATAACATTTCAAGATTAAAGAGAGCATTTTTAAGCTAACTTCTCAGCACAAACAAAACTTATTTTTTAAATGATGTACGATTATCAATTTGTTATTCTGCTTAACCAGCTTTTCACTGTTTCTAATATATATGCTATACATTTGTTGTCTTACATATTCATATATACTGTGTGTGTACCGTGTATTTTCATTAGTTAGTAGTCTTTAAGTTTAATCAGTTTTGGATTTTTTTCTATAATAAACTAATTAATATCTGAAATTTATTATTACACGTGTGCTTAAAGTTCGCCTTTGTCGTATTCAAGGATAACTTTTAATGATAAGTCATTGACCTAAATTGATAATATAAGATAATTGATCATATTTCTTCTTTGAACATTAAATTTTTGTCTGAAAAGTAGGTCTCGAAGGTTAAGCAAATAGAAGCTAAAAGGAATTTCCCTGTAGTTTTTCACTGATTCATCTACACTTTGAAGCTTTTTTTAACTCTAGTTTAATGGAATTGTCGAACTATACTCCACGTCATTCTATGTTGAGGAAAAAAAATAACGTCTCATCTATTGCGAAATCGTCTCGTGAACTTTTGTAAGGTTCTACAGAAACCATACTATTCCATTTTGTTTTTTATCTTTTCTTGGAAACTTATAATATTAGACTTTGAAAGCGAAAATATAAATTTTTCAATAATGGTACACCAAAAAAACAAACAAGCATTTGCTTTAGTTTGAGTAGTAGTCTAAAAGATTGAGTACGTCAATGTCAAGGACATTGACATGTTGCAAGACCATTAGACTCGTCTGGAACTTCGAGAGTATAAAGTTAACTAAAAGTAATTCAAGTATACTTTAGGAAGCTACGTCTTTTGTTCTGAATAGCTATTTGAAAAGAGGGTAGGTAGAACAATATTATGTTATATTTTCTTATAGAGATAGAGAGAGAGCGAGAGAGATAGAGATAGAGAGACAGAGACAGAGAACTTGTAGAGTTTACCGCCGTTTCTATTTATAGGCTAGACACTGGTGAAAGTTGATCATTTGGAAGAAAATTGGGTTAACGCTGTATAAAAATAAAGAGAGGAGGAAAAGTTTTATTTTTACAAAGATGATTAATTTTAAATCTATGATAGATTATTTTACACTTATGGAAACAGTCAAAACATTACAAGTATTGACGTATGAGTTTCTAATGAAACATATAGAATTATATATTGAAGACGAAAGATTATATAATGAATGGATGAATAAAAGATTATCACCACTATTGGCTGGAAGATTATTATTCGATTTGAATGATACTTTGCTATTTATTCCTGAAAATATACTGAAATTATTTAATAAAGATATTTGCTTTTTCAAAGAGATTAAACTAAATTGTCGAAATGTTTATAAGAATTCGTCAATGGAGTTTTTAAAGGGTCATGCCCTGAGTAAAGTTTCCATTGAATTTGCTAGAAATATCCTATTGAAAGATTGGATTTGTTTTTTGGATGAGACACTTGTAACCCATCTATCTATAAAGGGATCCAGAGTATCTGATATTAGATACAAGGAAGAAGCTAGAAGTATTGCTTGCGTTACATGCCTAAAACCTTTTCAGAACATTGTACATCTTGATATTTCAAGAACCGGATTTGTCGATGAACAATTGAGATATATTTCACGAGAGCTTCCCGGAGTTGAGCATTTAAATATGTCGGAAACTTTAATAACAGATCTACGTCATCTTGAAGCTTTTCCGAAATTGAATTCGTTAGATTGCTCATTTCCACTTGATATAAAAGTATATGGTACATATTTGGCTCTATTACGTCTTAAATCGCTTGAGTATTTGGATATGTCGAGAGAAGACGGTATTACATACGACAAGCAATTTTTGGGCTACAATTACTGTAGACGAGTAGACGAGGACGATATTGATGATATTAAAACTGGTACTATTCCAAAGTGCTTCCTTACGAAATATAAATGGAAAATTGATGATTTTGTCAATTATGCTAATTGGCCGAATTTAAGTTATATTAATATGTCGGGAAGTTGGAGTCATACTCTATTTCCTTATATAAGAAAATTTATTGAGAGACATACTAAGCTAAAATATTTGGGTCTATTCGGTTTCGAAACGAATATGGAAAGAAATTTAGACTCTATTGATCCGGATATACGTCAATTTATTGTGAGTATTTAAGTAGTGTATATATACTAATACAAATACCGTTGAATAACACTATGTTTTCTAATTATATATAGGGAATAACGAGTGATAAGAAGAGATGTGTTCAGCATAGAGCTAAATTTATTAAGGCGAATAGAGGAAACGAATCACATTTTGTGTACTTTCTAAATTGGATTTTGGGACACAGTATCGATGCTGAAGACGAAGAATTAAAGGCTAAAGTTAAGGGAATTGAATACGAGATTGCAGAGGTTTTTTTTTGTTTTCACTTTGTTCAACATTTAAACAATAACACCAGAGAAAGTACTCAATTTTGTTTTCTTTTTTAATTTTTTTAGGTTGTCTTAGATCAATTAAATGAATTAAAGCATTCAGTCTATTCTTACGGCGATTCTTCAAGGAATATAATATCCTTGTTAGATACGTTTGTCGTAGTAAGGATCATTAATTTACCCGCTTCGCAAACTATTCTAAAAATACTTAAAACTTGTGCTCAAGTATTCCTGCAAAACGATGAAGATAGCTTTTGGACACACGATTTAAGTGATCTCTTTTTTATATTTAATAAATATTTCACTCATTTGAATGAAGTTTGTATTAAATTCTATTAAGTTTCTATATTATTTATAGATTTCTCTCTGAAAAATAGGTTGCTGATAGAAGTTTAATTCTTAAAAGACTATTTGACCATCCAAATCCAAATAGATGGACATCGTATTCGTATGTCTTATGCGATTTTTTGAATAAGATCATTGCGAAAAAGCTGGTAAGTGTATAATAATATTAATATTATAGATACTGTATTTGATAATTAACTAAATATAAAAATATGTAAATTAGCTGTCAACGAAGGAAATTATCTGTTTAACTGAAAGTTTCTATAAGTTTGAACATCGATTAAAGTATTTACTTAAATTCGATAAAGACGACGAAATTAAAGAGAGTTATGGTACTGTTAGAAAACTAATGAATCATTACATTCGTCAATGCGAAGCTGAATATAACTTGGATCTGAAACCTTGCGATAATAGGAAATAAAATGGGAAATCTATGGCTTTTGATTTTGTGAGAAATATTTTTTTGTGTGTTCAAATTTTGGAAAGAAAAAGAAAAAGAAAAAAAAAAGAATATTACATGAACTTTTCTACATTAATACATGTTCAACATATATGTTCTTTCTATTTATGTATTTAATGAATCTATTTATAAATGCATATTTTTTTTATTGTATCCGTTAATTTATATATTATAATGTATTAATTACATTATATAATATATATATTACGTGAATTCTTTTTACAATTGTTTTATTTGATGAAAAATCTTTAAATTTGTATTGAAATAAATCAAAGCAAATTTTTTTAATGTTTCTCTTAACTTCTCTTGTCTTTTTATGGCTTTTAAATCTTTTAATTAGTAGCTTGATTGCAAATTTAATTAAAATTTAAAAAAATGCTATAGTTAATTAATTTACATTAGATATTATATTTTTTTATGGAAATTTATCAAAGAAAAGTTAAATTGGGAAGAACTTCTCTTTAAGGAACAAACAATACTTATGTTTTGCTTTTTTGAAATACGAAAATGTTTGAAGTACTCGTAAGGACATCTATTTCAGATATAGTATAAATAAAAAAGTGCTTGATATATTGATACTTGCATATATATATATATAGATGCTTGATAAAAGCTTCAAACGTTATCTAACGATATAAAATTTGACAATCACACATAAAAACACTATCTCTTCTTATTCTGTCAACTTTTATGCGACGACACAAAATTTAGTCAATACTTTTATGATGTTTTGGTCAATAACTCGTATTTTCGCTCGGAGGATTCAATGTCAAAATTTCAGTTTGAAGAAAAAATGGCTTGGAACAGCGAGCAGTCAATTTGCATCGAAAGACAAAGTTCCATCTGGAGTATATATGCCTGGAGCAGGCGAAGGAGATTATAATGTTAAAGAAATATTGTTAAAAGATTTTGCTGAGAACAAGGAACGTGGGACAGAAAGCATTGAAGAAGATGATCAAATATGCCCAAAAGAAAGCGATATTGTTATTTTAGGAGGCGGAATAGTGGGATCATCTATTGCATATTTCTTGAAAAACCGGGTGCAAAATAGTATGAACGTTACAGTTGTTGAAAGAGATCCAACAGTTTGTAATTGATTCTTGATTCAAAAATATTCTGCAACCGTAGCCTTTATATTTCAGTATAGTCGAGCATCCACATGTCTTTCAGTTGGAGGTTTAAGACAACAATTTTCTTTACCAGAAAATATACAACTATCCCAATTCTCAGCAACATTCTTCAGAAAGATTAAAGAACACTTAAGCATTTTAGGTGAAGAACCACCCGATATTCAATTTCAACCATGCAGTTACCTCTTTCTTGCCACAAGTGAGACCTCGGCTGAAAACATTTTCAAGCAGCAAAGGCTTCAAAAGTAAAACTTTAGTATTTCTTTTTATCGCATTAAGTTAATTTTACGCATATATACTAATATATATAATTTATATACATACAAATAGAAAGGCATTACATATTGTTATCTTATTCGAAACAGAGAACTAGGAGCTAAGGTAGAAATTTTAACAAAACGCCAATTACAAGAAAAATTTCCATACATGAACTTTTCTGATATTTTAATAGGATCGATTGGTAAGTTTCTTTTAAAAAATAATTGCTATACTTTAGTCAGAAACGGTTAATCTATTCATTAATAGGATTAGAAAATGAAGGATACTTTGATCCTTGGTTACTTTTAGCGGCCATGAGAGCGAAAGCAGTATCATTAGGAGTAAAATACGTTAGAGGTGAAGTAACAGGTTTTAGATTTAAAGATCATCAAATGGCAAAACCCGATGGATCGGGTATGTTTATGAATCAAAAGAAATTGGATATGGTCGACGTAAATAAGTCTTATCTAAGTTCCTTATTTTTCACTTAATTTCGTATAAATATTTGTTAGGTTAAGTTGGAAGACGGAAACCATCATCCAATTAAATTTGCTGCTTGTGTTAATGCCGCTGGATGTTGGTCCGGTGAAATTGCATCAATGGCGGGAATAGGAAAAGGAAAGGGTATTCAATCTGTCCCTCTTCCCGTCGAACCTCGGTATAAACTAAAAATTTAGAAGAATTGCATGATTTAGTTTTTTGTTTATTAATAGCAAGCGTTATGTCTACGCGGTTCATTGTCCAGATGGTCCTTCCCTGAACTTCCCGATGTTAATCGACTATACCGGTACTTATATAAGACGAGAAGGTTTATCTGGGCATTATATTTGTGGCGTTTCTCCAACTGAGGTACTGCTAAATATACTTTGTATATTTATGTTTACTTGAGTATCTAACAATATATTTTTTCACTGTTCAGGAAGAGGAACCTGATATATCAGCGTTAGATGTTGATTACGAGTACTTTCAACATAAAATATGGCCTGCCTTAGCAAATAGAGTTCCTGCTTTCAATTGCTTAAAAGTATTAACCTTATAACCCTACTGGTAGATTGAATATAGCTAACGTTATGTATTTTTTTATAGGTCAAAAGTGCATGGGCCGGGTACTATGATTATAATTATTTCGATCAAAATGTCATAATAGGAAATCATCCATTTTACAAAAATATGATCTTTGCAACTGGTAGTTCAGGTCATGGTATACAACACGCACCAGCAATTGGAAATGCTGTTACGGAACTTATTGTTGATGGCGAATTCAAGACTATTGACCTAAAACGTCTATCTTTTGAACGCATACTTGAAGGCAATACCCTAAAGGAGGAGGAAATAGTTTAAAAATCAATGTTCAAACTTCATTTTTTATGTATATAGTACGCTTTAATTTTCACGTGAACAGTGGTTTTTCAACTTGTTTCAACTGATGCTTGGGAGTAGATTTTTGTTATAGTTTTGATTAATAAACTTGAAAACAATTTAAGCTTTTCTTTGAACAAACTTTGCTTAATACTCTAATTGTACATTTAATTCGTAATTTAAATTACTTTATTCTAGGTGCTGTAGTTTTATTTAACACTACAACCGCAAAATCTCGGTAAGTACAGCAAAATATTACTAAAATATATTTTAAAATAAATTGATAATGAACTGTTAAAGATGCAGTTTATTGTCTTAACTTTTTCTGTTGTTTGTCATGTTTGAAAAGTGCAAAAAAAAAGTTTTTAAAAAAAATACGAAAATGCGCACAATAAGATAGACAGTGAATGTGTGTAGTAGTTAGCTATACCATTATTTACGTTTGATCTACGAAAAACGTTCATCTATCTATTTCAAACAAATTTTCTACAACCGTCAATAATGGAAATAGGATCAGAAATTAGTGGGAAAATTAGGGTATGTTGTGTTTTTGCAATAAAACTAGGTTTTAATAAAATAATAACGTATTCTGAGTGGTCAACTATTTCCTTTACGTTCTACAAACTCGTGTTAATTATCTACAGTCAGCGATAAAGGCGAAATTGGTAGATTTAGGAGCCTATGTTGATGACGAATTGCCGGATTATATTATGGTCATGGTAGCGAATAAAAAGACCAAATTACAGATGACTGAAGACCTAAACTTATTTTTGGGTGATAATACGGAAAAATTTACTGACTGGTTAGGCCTAGATTAAAATAAATAGTATAAAACATTTTATTTTAAAATATTTGTTCAGGTTGCATGTACAGTTAAATAAGCTACAATTAACTGGAATAGGTATGTATCAATTAACTTAATGACGAAAGAAACATTCTAATAAATGCATTTTAGAAAGTAAACCCCCAAACAAAGTTCCCAACAAGGAGGTTTCCAAAGTTACAACAGAGTCTCACAAAAATATTAAGCAAAGAAAAGAAAGAGCAAAAGAGAGAGTACACAAGAATTCAAAATCTGAAAATGAAATTGGCCAGAAAGCTGCCGGATCTGTTGAAGATCCTGACATTGTAAGTTTGAGAACTGCTGATAATGATAGATTTGATGAGGAAGAGGACGATCGTTATAAGGAGAGGGAAGCAAAAAGAGCCAAACCTGTGGAAAAAGTTAAACTATCGGAAAAAACTGAAAAACCAAGAGATAAACCTGGATCTATTATAGGATCTATTGTTTGTCATTCCGATGACGAGGAAGATTATGATCCATCAAAACCTTCCATAGCAAGTAAAGTTGATGTCATACGTAAAACTAGGTTACCTCAAACTCTACAGGCGAATAAATCTCTATTGCTAAAAGCGATGAATGCCGCAAACCAATCAGTAGAGACAGCAAAGAAAAAGCTACATACAAAATCGAGGCGATCGAGAAGTCCTATTGATCATCAAGTATCTCCTCCTAAAAAACAGGAAAAACAGAATCCCCAGAGTTTGAGAAGTAAGTCTCCTCCTCGAAAAAGAAAGGGATCAACATATTTATCAAGAGAGGAAGAAGAAGAGGAACGAGAAAATTATCGAGTGGTAGCATCCAATACCGGGGATAAAAGAAAAGTCTTAAACAAGAGTCAGGACGTTAAAAAAGTCGAAGAGAATCGAGTAAGAGATGCTGTTCTCGGTGCTCTTAAAACAAATAGAGCCGACGATGAAGTCAAAGATTCAGATTCAGATGAAGAAACTTTACGTGCTAAGGCATTAGAAGCACAAAAGAGACGAACAAATTCTCCTAATTTTATTGTCACATTAGATGGCATAGATCCTGATCAAATGGACTCTCAAGTTGATTTCAGTTCTCCAATCGATGAAGAAGCTGATAATGAGAACAGTAGTATTGACGTAACAGCTAATTCACAAAGTATAAATGACAAGCATACATCACCTACAAAACCCGTTACAATAGCTCTAAATCCGGATTCGGATGAAGATATTAGCTTAGATAAAAGAAATTCGAAAGGTGAAGAAAAGTGTAAGTTTTGGCCGAATTGTAGCAAACCGAATTGCGGTTACTCACATCCAAGTCAACCTTGTCGAAATTTTCCTCAATGTAAATTTGCCGACAAATGCTTATATGCTCATCCTCCTTGTAAGTTTGATGCTAGCTGTACAAGATCCGATTGCCCATATACGCATACAAAGAAGGTTGCTGTACCTTTTGCGGCCGCGAAGAATTATCCGAAAGCAAAGGCTACTAATGTTTGCAAATTTTATCCAAAATGCACTAAAATGGACTGTCCTTTTACTCATCCTAAGGTAATATCTATTGAAATAAATGTGTTAGGTATAAAGAGTAATGTAATTTTTTATAGCTTTGTCGGTATGGAATTGGTTGTACCCAAAAGACTACTTGCATATTTATGCATCCGGAATTACCATCTAGGGATCAGCTAAAATGGAAACCTCCTGCACCCGCTACTGAAGTAAATGGACAAAAAGGAGAAGAATAGGACTTTAATAATGTACATATGTAACTGAATTTTATTATGCTAGATGATTTGGTTGAGAATTAATTGTGGAAAGAAATAGAGCGATACGCACTAAAATAACTTAAATAAATGAAAAAAAACATTAATTATTTTATTATTTATAAACATAAGCTAACAACTATACAAGCAACTATCAACGTTCCTTAGAGGCCATATGTCGCATCATTTGACTTGTCAATTTTTCTACTTTTTTAACATCCTGAGCATGTTCGGTTCGATATTGCAGGCATACTTGATCGTCCGTGATTTTAACTTTCAATTGTCCGTCACAATTTCGATACTTCAGAATGAAACGGCACTGTCGAATAAAATGATTTCATCAAAAAGAAGAACATATTATAGTGAAAAATACCTTCATCGGATCAGCTAAATACAATCTTTCGGCCGCTTTGGCAAATTCTTCCCAGATCGTAATATAAGTCATTTTTTATTTGGGCTATAAATAATATTAACTGAAATGATAAACTAGTCTATTTCGCTCTAACACGAGTCAATCTTCGATGATCCGTTTCCTGTTTCTATCTACTTTAATTTCACTCAAGTTAAAATAGCTGAGCAGAAAAATGATGTTTACGAACATACAAAATATTTTCATACTTAATTTCTAAATAAAATAAAAAAATTGATTAATTTACACTTTCAAATAAGACTTCTTGATAAAATATTTGTTTGAATTTTTGTTTTAGAAAAATTAAATATTTGCTTCACAATATTGAAAAATAACAAGTTATTTAATTTGGAATATAATCAATACGGACTATTCAATAAAATACTTCATCCGTAATTCTTTAATGCTAAAAACTACATAACTTTACTTTATGTATTGTTCGATAGATATCTAAATTAGGGACACTGTTACAACATCTAGAATGTTTTTTCAAAGCTTTTTAATTCAAGATAATTTCTTGCAAACATTTAAGATAGATCACTGCGATTTCTTCTTTATATACGTATTAGATATTTAACAGAAATAATTTCGAATTCAAAATTTTCATCAAGTTGAGATTTTCTTACTAAACTCCGAAAGATTTGCAACAATGAAGGAAAGATTGATTGAACTTGTTGCTAGAAACTTGGCAAAACCCAGAAATTCGCTCAGCGGCTTAATTATTGGTGTATGTTAAAAATATTTTCTTGTTATAATTTTTCATCAGTTTCTTTACGAAAAACTAGCATTATTTCTTAAGGAGAAGGAACAGAACATTGGAAGAGAATGCAGTTAAACTATCCAAAATAGAGAAAGATCATACTGTTTTGGAAATTGGGTTTGGGCCCGGAGTAGGCTTATCCAAAGCAGTGGAAAAAGTTCAAGGTTGTTTTTGCTTTATAGTCATTTACATCTTATATACCTAACATTTCATTATAATATAATTTTGATAATAAAAACTTGTACATTTCTTTAGATGGTAAAGGTAAAATATACGGGATCGAATTGTCTCTTTCGATGGTTAACTCTGCAAATTTGTTTTATAAAAAATATATAAATGCTGGGAAACTTGACATAACTTATGGGTCAGTGACACAATTACCATACGCCCCAAACACCTTCGACAGGATCTATCATGTCAATTGTTATTACTTTTGGAAAGATATGCCTCTAGCCTGCACCGAATTGTACAGAGTTTTGAAGCCAAATTCTTATGTTGTAGCTACTTTAAATTTAGAACGATTAAAATTATCGAAAAAGAAAGGCTTAATGAAATATGCTAGCTTCGATCCTATCAAATACATGCATGCTTTAGAAAGTGCTGGCTTCGAAAATGTTAAAATTGAGTATTTAAATGGTTATCAAGCGATCTATGGACATATAGCTAGTAAACCTCAAATGAGAATCATTGATGAAACAATTGTAAAAGCTAATAAATGAATATCTAAAAACAAACTTCCTTCTTTTGAAATTTTCTTTAAAATTAAACTTTCTATATCTCTTGTATACTGATCACAAACTTTATATTTATATCGAAATATTATTATTCGATGTATCGAAATCATCCGATGGCAGTCGATACGATATAGAGATAATAGGAAAAACTTTATTAAATTATATTAGCCTGTGAGGAATACAATAGATTATAATCTAAGCTCAAAAAATGTTAATAACACTAGAATTCAGGTGAAATATATTGTTTTATTCGTTTTTAAATTTTTGATTTGTTTCATATATTTTTATACATTTACTTATATTATCGTTCTGTTGCATGGGTTTTGTTTACAGCGGAGGCGCAGAAATGCTGTTTGACAATAAAAAATCTCATGAAGTAAATTTACCAGACACCGAAAAGTGTAAGTCTTCAAGTGACTCACGGAAACAAATAATTAATCTTAATTATGAAAAATAGGGACAATCGGCTCTTTGCTGCTTTGGATTAGAGATAATCTATTACGAGATAAGCCTGAATTATTTCTTCAAGATGATACTATGTAAGCGTTTAAAAACTAAGAATAAGGAAAAATTCAAATAAAACAAAGCGGAAGTTCTCTTAACCACTCTTTTTTTCAGACGACCAGGAATCCTTGTGCTAATAAATGACGCTGATTGGGAATTATATGTAAGTTATTTATAATATATATATAAACTTTATATATTTAAAGTTTGTTCCAATTAATTTATTTGTATAGGGTCAATCGGAATACGTTGTTGAAGCTAAAGACAAAATATCGTTTATATCTACCTTGCACGGAGGTTAGAATATTTTTGAATTGGAAGTCCCATTCTCCTAAATATATATACGCTTTTGGAAATTCAAGAGTAAATTTATTATTTTTATTTTTGTTTATTGCTCTTTTATCGACAAATTAAATAAACGCTTCTTCAACAGTGAGACTTTTCTAGCGTTTTCTACTTTGTTTAAGTTAAAAATTTACTACCATATAACAAAACTGCAACAAAGAAATTTCACAGTCTTAGCACACGTTAGAAAAAATTGTAGGTGGACGGTGGTAAACTGAATGGTTTTGATTTTCGTTTAAAGCTTCTAATCCTATATAACAATCGTTTCGTGAGGTACTTGGTAATCACCGTTGGAAACTCGCTTTTCAAGATTACCTTGAGCTTTTCCAAGAATAGCATTGTTTTCATCGACTGTTAAAAGTAATACAAAAAAAGATTAGAGATAAACTTTGCTATTTTAAATAATCACGTTTGGCAATTAATTGTTCCTGAAATCGTCTTTTCCTCTCATTCGTTTCTCTTAATTTCTTAACTAATTTGAAATATTCCTCATCTCTCGCTGATAAACGACATTCTAGTTCTCCTATTTTAAAGCGTAGCCGCTTTTCAATAGAAGGGTCTGCGGATCCTGCCTCAGTAACCCAGAACAGTGAAATGATTCGTTGAACTTCTTGAATAATGTGCTGGACGTTGACAACATTCATATTAACTTCTCTTAGAACAGAATAATCCGGACTCTGAATTTAAAAATGCAAGACATGATGAGAAATTTGTCAATTAGCAGAGAGTATATATTGAGTGGATAGATATGCATAGAAGATATATTATCAATATTTGTTGATTTCTGAACAACCACTTCAAAGGTGGTAATATACACATGCTATAATCAGCAATCATGCAAAAAAAAAAGGAAAAACAAACAAAAACATACAAATTGGGTTATCCATTATATCATAAAACTTCAATAGATATATAGATTCATTCACATTCGATTAAAACGAAAGTTTTTTGTTTCAATGTTCTACTCTTTTAAGAAGGAAATGCTTTTTGTAATTAAAAATATATCGTGGGTATTATCTAGACACAATGAGCATTACAAGGTTCTTGGAAATCTATATTTTTAAGTATACAATAGAAAATCTTTTCGTATATCTAAATAAATATTCATCAAGTTCTCTTCTCTTTTTTTAAATTATGGGAAAATGGGATTAGTAATTTTTTTTTCAAACAAAAAATTATAATAAATTAAATACTATTTTCATCAAAAAACAATTCATAAAAGGACCATATTAGTTCAATACAAATTCAAAAGCAAAATGCGTAAATAAAGATTAACAGAAACAGATTTTGTTACCTTATAACGCTGTGATGAAATGATGCAATGAAAATATAGTGAGAAAATATTTTGCGAAAATTAAATTTGCAATTGATAGTTTTTTTTAAAAGAAAAATTATAGAAAAACAAAAGAAGAAACTAAAAAAAGTGTGTTAACGGTGTACATTTTTTTTCACTTTGGGTGAACAATATTTAAGAGAAATATTTAGAAGAATATGTTTTATTATATATATATATATATAATTTATATATATATATATAAAGACAAATAACCAGATAACATGGTAATTAAGTAAAAAATATATGAAAACTTACATTTGAAGGTGATAATCTGCCATAACATTTCAATCTTTGATCCAAACGTATAGTAATACCAGATATAAGACTCTTACATTCTTCAACTTGTTTCTTAAGTAATTCAAAATCATCTAATTTACCCAGAGCGTAGAGTGTACGTAAATCTGAGCCAATTCTGACTGGCGATGCAACTGTATGACACGAAAGTAAAATTTTATAAGATAATTTTATATTTTTTACGAGTATAATTGGAAAAAATAGTTGCTTAGATTCGTATTTATATATACAGAAATACTGTACATAAATATACAATAGATGCATATATAAATATATCTAAATGTATATATATATATATATATATATATATAAAGTTGTACATGTAAAGAATCAACTACGTTGGTAAATCATTTTTTGTTAATATTTCACCACAGCATACTTTCTATGAAACTCAGTAGCCTATTATAAACTTAACAAGAAATTTTTTTATATCTAAGAAGTCTACTAAGAAAAAAAAGCCCAAACGACAGATAAATGTGGATCATTTTTAAACAACAAGACATTATACCTGATGCTTCAAAACTTTCTTCCTCTAAATTATTAGATTTTAAAAAAAATGATGATATTTTTGTTTTTTTTTTGCATAAAAACAATAATTAAATGCATGAATAATAAATAAAATAATAATAATAATAATAAAAAACAAGCAGCACATGCAAAATCTTTTTTTAATAGTAAGCAAAATCGGAACATGTGCTTTCTTTTTTTGTCATTTATATATTAATAATAGTGATAGTAGCAGTTGTAATTTTTGCTTAAATTTTGTTCCGTTTCATTTGACGACAATTAAAAAAAAGATTTTATTCATTCATAGAAATGAATAATTCTATTAAATTATCCGTCTCTTATCGTAAAATAAAATACTAGGCAAAACATCCACCATGCCTTTTTTGTTTTTTTTAATGTTAATATTCGTGATTAAATCATATGAAGATAAACTATAGGCTTACCTGGTGGGCATCTTGGATCTTCAATACTATAGCGCGAAGCTAACTCCTTTGAACGGTAATCTATCAATGTTATTAAATAAAAGAAGAAAAATTCAATTAATACACTTTATATCGAGTATAGCTGATAGAACAATTGATAGGGACAAAGGTTGATGAAAAAAAATTGACGTTGAAAAATTGATCAAAAGTTATTAAACAGCAAAAACGATTGTTAAAAAGGCTTACTAATCATAAACAAAATCAAGCGGAAGCTTCTGTGCAAAAAATTTAGAACAACAATCATTCCAAATTTTCATATCTCCGATTCGCACGGTTTCTCTTACCCTTGCGAATTTTATCCATTTCATGTTCGACTATCATTTTTTGTGCCAATGCCCCAAAATATCCTTTAGGCACGTAGTCGACGCTGCTGAATGACATGGGAGAAGGTACGCCCAAACTATCTAGAAGAGAAAGTTAGAAAAGTGGAAAATTTGCGGTTAAGAAAGCGTTTTAAGTGAACTGAAAAGCGGTTCTTTAAAAAACAAGGTGATAAACTAACAAAAAAGCAGGGCTTAAATAATTTGTTTTTAGTGTTAGTGAACAAATGTGAAGAAAAAAAAACAAGATAATAAAAATATATAAAATAAAAAGCTTGTTTTTCGTTGTAAAATTTAATTATTAATAATAAATAATATTTATCAGTCTACTGACAACTGATATTTCTACAACAAAGTAATAGGTGAAATATAAATTAGCTGCTGATAAAGCTAAGGTTATTTTCTTTTAATCAACTGTAAAAGATGTGATAATCGATTAAGTGATTAATTACCGAGAAAACTATTAAAAGAATTTAAAAAGAAAAGGAAATCGGTATTTCTCTTTTATCTTTTCTTTTTTTTTCTTTTTGAATGAAAGAACCTATGTATTCTTATAATTAAAAAGTGTGCATAAATTTTACTAACTTAAAACAAGCTAATTGTGCAAAAATATATCTTGTTAGATAATATAAATAGCGACTCTTGTCAACTTACCACCAGGAGATGATGGACGAATTCTTGAAGATGAAGTTGAATGTGGTGACAATCGGAGGGGACTTGATTGAGGCGTATTTTGTGGAGTGATTTTTGGCGTTGTATTTAAGCTTTTTCTTAGAATAAGTTCATCTCTTTCCGCTTTCACTCTGTCCAATTCTTGTAAGATTTCCTCAGATCTGTTTTCTTCCAGTTCTTCTCTTAATCTTTTAGCTTCTCTGGCCAAAGTTCCTAGCTCACTATCCTTTGTCTCCAATTCATTCTGTAGTATGCTTATTCTCTCTTCCAAAGCTTGCTTAATGTCCTTTGAATGTGTCATTGTATCTTCTATTTGATTGTGGAGGCTCTCAATTTCTTCCCTAAATTTGTCATTTTCAGCTCTGTTTTTCTCTAGCTCTTCTTTTGATTCTTCTGATGATTTTTTAGCAGTGTCCAATTCTTTTTGCAGCTGCTCAATATCTTGATTGAGTTCGAAGATTTTTTGAGCTGTTTCTAAATCTACTGGAGGTATAGATGCTCCTTCATTTGGTTCGGATCCTAAGGACGGTTCTCTTAGAGTTTTAAAAGGGCTATGATCTTCTATAAAGCGTCTGCTTGATTCTGATCCATCTCGTGGTCTTTCTACCGAGCTGAGATGACATTTTACTGATTGTAATTCTTCGTCCTTCTTCGATAGATCTTCCATCAATTCGTTTAACTCATCTAACCTTTGGTCTGCCAGAGACTCCAATTTCTTGATCTCTTCATTTTGTTGTCTTGTTTCTAGATACAAGGAATCAATTCTAGCCTTTAATCTCTTAACAACTTCAGATTCCTCATTGATATCGAGTGGTACAGAATTGGCTGTAAAATTGTTAACAGTTTCATTAGTAGGAGATAAAGGACACTCAGGATCATGACAAACAACTTTCTCTCTACTTAAAAGACTTCCTAATATTCTTTTTGCTAGAAATATTTCCATTTTTCAGTTGCTTCTCGTTTCAATGATTAATTAGATAAGATAAAAAAAATCGATTTTTCGCTGTCAGCTAAAGATTGAAATACTTATATATATATAGCATAGCTATATGTTTTTACAATACAGTATAAAAGATCGGCATATTTTTCAAGCGAAAATTCTACAAACTAAAATTGTTTTTTTTTTAATTGTTTAATTAAAACAATTAAACAAATATTTTAATTATAAAAAAAAGTTTCAAAACAAAAATTAAATGTTTTGTAATTTAATTGGATTTTTTGAATTGGGGAGCGGATTGGGGAGATGGGGGAGCTAGTAAAGAGCAGAACTTAGTATATACAGTACATAAAAAGTACGCTTTTAATTAACTTGATATCCAAAATATTTTCCAATTACAGCATTTATGATTTAAGTATATAAAAATTTTGTAACACGAATAACACTTATAGTGAGTAAAGAATTTTCCAATGCGAAATTATTGAAATGAAACGGAAATATATTTGTGTAGATAAGGAAATAATTAATTAAATTCAAGTATTTTACGTCTAATTGAAGTTCCTATTAGAAGAAATTTCAGCAGATTAAAAGTGGCTAAATCAATAACATAAACTATTGCAGCTACATGATATATACCACCAATATATATAAGGAATGAAACAAATAATGAAGATTCTTAAGCAATAAATTTCTCTTTACATTAAAATTTGCTTAGGATGATACCATATAATTTTCGTTTTACTACCATACGGGAATAGGCTTATTTAGAACCAGATGCTGAGTATTTTATCTTTAGCGTAGAATAACTCAAAAACTGGTGGACTACGGATGATATTTTGATTTTTTATACCACAGTAAATATAAAATTGGCTTGATACCAAGTTTTAGAAATATTGCTATTTCAAATTGAAAGACCAAATTATTGGAAGATAATATTTAACAGTAAATTTGAAATTAAAACCCACTAAAGCAAATAAAAATAGGTACGTATAATGTCTAAAATATACATCGTGGTAAGTCGTTAAAAATAAGCTAGAGGCCTAAGCATATGCATATCTATGAGAGTTAGAGAGAATTTGGAAAAAAGTATATAAACCGACGTGAAAGTATTTAATTGAAAAGAGTACTCTAAAAAGTTTAGTAGATAAGTTATCATAGTTAATAAAATCAATACCTCCAATTCGTCCAAGAAATATGGATAATCGATCGATTATGTCCTCTATGGAATATTTGAATTCCACAACATTATTGGATGTTATATCAACGCAATCAACTTCTCCTTCACTATCTTGATGAATCATTTCGCAAAATTTTGAAGATAGTTTTTCCGCTGTCTCCTTAATGTATTTGATTTCATTAAGGGCGTCGTCATTCTTTCCAGCATCTAAATTTTCGCGTGAAGCCTGAGAAAACATATCGGAGCATAAAATGGCAATAATCAATAAAACTTATCGAATATTTTAATTCTGTTTACGTTGCCTACATTAAAAAGCTAGAATACAGGAAGGTTTAGAATAATGAAATCAAAACTGTTGTTTGTTTAGGGTTTTCCTTTTTATAAGGTGACAGATTATGGATTATAGATTGATTGGATTATATTGAATGCAACAAATTACAAATAGGAAATGATTTAATTGCGTACGTATAATTAATGGCTTTCAATATCGTAACAATAGTTATACATCTTAATAAAGAAAATTCACCTGAAGCGCATTTTTCCTAAGTCACGTGATTATACCAATCAACTGACAAGCCAGTGTAAATTTTTATACGTATAAGTAAAATATTGATTCTTTATATCTTTACATAAAAAAATAAATAATAAAAAAATAAAAATTTCTTTAAAATATCTTCCTTTGTTTAAATATTCTCTCGTACAGTTTTTACTATAAATCAAGCAGACACAAACAAAATTAATACTATTCAAACATAGTAAATAATTAAATAAATAACTTTTGTCTCTCAATCTACATGTTTTATGCTTCGACAATTGATACGTTTTTTTTAAATATTCTATAACGAGTCAGAATATAATGCGCAAGGTGAATAAAAGCGTATTGCATAGATGGACAGTTCGATTGATTATCTACCCTTTTGAACTAAGAAAATTCTTATTATTCATGATTTAATACAATATGATAGAGTTAGGCTGTATGGGTGAATAAAATCTACTGTAAGAGTCACGCCTAATTCAACGTACCTTTAAGCTTGAATCAGACTGGCGCCTCTTCCCAGAGTTTGGTCTGGGAATTTTTGAAGTAGATTTTCGTCTTAAGTCCTCTTCAGAAGAGAGATTTTTCATTTTCTTCAAATTTTCAATCTCCAATTCCCTTTCAGTAAACTCGTCTCGTAAGTGTCGAGCGTTCTCTGGTAGGTCTGCGTCCCTCAATGGAGTGTCAGGAAGACCATTAAAAGAGGGTAGATAGGACAATCCAGTAAGACCCGTTGAATTTATCTTCTCACTCAATCGACTAGCATTGAAAGCTAATTCGTCAACAGCTGCCTCTAGACGGCTGTTTAAGATGAAACAAATATATTATCTTTAATAAACACGATCTATATAAAATAGATAAGATAATCGAACTATAAAAATATTTCGATGGAGAAAAATAAATTCTACATAGGCTACAACTAGCGAAACGCACTCTTTCGTACATTTAGGAGTAAGAAAGAGTAATTTACATTATTCTGCTGACACCCCAAATAGGTATACATTAAAAAAATTAAAATATGAAAGTATGAATAAAATTATAATTTCAAAATTAAAAAGCAAACATTTGTTTATTTTTGTTATCAGAGATATTTTATACTATTTCCTTCCATAGCCATTCGAAAAATTCAACTGAATCCGGAAATTCAAACAAGTAAAAAATTTAATATTAACTGTGGACTATCATATTTCTAATACGTATAAAAAGTTTTTCAAAAAAAAATAAATATATACAAGATAAATTTGCATTTTTCCTATATTGGAAACATACGCCTATAGACTGACAAAGCTGGATAGGGATTAGATATGCTATAATAGTCGAATACAATATAATTAAGTTATTATAACCCACGCCATATCGTTAATATATTAATTATATAAAATTAGAAATAATGCTTTACCCATTACAGATATCGTGTGTAATCATCGCTAACTGTTCCATTCTCCAAAAAAAAAAACAGTTGACAACTGCAGCTCGATAACTTGATCGTTTGTACCACGGTAATTGAAATTTAGCGAAAGTTTTTTTTATACGAAATAAAAACACTAACTTTCCCTAAAATTTAAGTATTGAACAGCTTACCCTAATTTACATTATTTGCTACTTAACGCAGACGAATCCAGACAACCGATTCCTTCATCAAGATGAGAGTACTAAGTAGTTTTTTATTAATTATACTATCGATTATTAATTCAATGGGCAGTTCTGATTTGGATTCTAAAAAGCCCTTGGTAATTGCTCATAGAGGAGCCTCTGGTGAATTGCCAGAACATACGACTGCGGCATATGAATTAGCTATAAACCAAGGAGCTGATTTTATTGAATGTGATATATGTCTCACTAAAGATCTTGTGCCATTCTGTTCTCATGATTGTTCATTGAATTCAAGTACTGATATTAGTACCAGAAAAGACTTGAAAGATCGAATCACAAAGCACGATATGGACTTTGATGAGCCTGAATTTTCAATGTCTGAAGACTACTTTTCTATAGACTTTACGTGGGATGAACTGAAAATGGTGAAAGTGAAACAAAGCAGACTTGATAGAGATCAGTCTCACAATTTTAAGTATTCTCTCTGTTCACTGGAGGAATTTTTAAATGTTGCGAAAAATTCAAAAAAACCTACTGGTGTCTATCCTGAATTAAAATATCCAGTATGGCAGAAACAACAACTTAAAACACAATTTAAAGAAAAGAATACGACTTACGAACAATTGATAGTGGATATACTTTATACTAATGGATTTGATAGTAAAAGTAAACGAGTCTTTATACAAACTTTCGATAAAGAAGCAGCCAAGAATTTACACAAAATAACAGATATGCCCATCATTTACTTAGCATGGCGAAATTTTGACTCATCTACTGTTAGAGAAGCAGCGGAATTTGCACAAGGCGTTGGTTTATGGAAAAATCTTATTTTTCATTGGGGAGGATATAAGAATGGAACAATTAAATCTACTGGCCTAGTTAAGGAAGCTCATGATTTGAAGTTAAAGGTGCACGTGTATACATTTCGAGTTGAAAGCAAACATGTCCCTTTCTTATTTGGAAATGACATTCGGCGAGAATATGATGCATATTTAAATGAAAAAATCGATGGATTTTTCACCGATTATCCCTACTCTCTATCATCACATTTAAACTATCGCTATGGTGAACAATGCCCAAAGTCGGAAAAAAGTGCCAATTTTGCTCGGAGACATATGGCTACCTATATTATTTATGCAATTACAGCCTTTGTATCCTTAATAATTAACAAATATTAATTGTCTAATAAGCTTTGGTCACTTTTTATCTAGTATAAATTCAATGTTTGTAAAATGAAATGGCCAAAAATAAAATTAAAACTTACCTTTCGTCCAAACGGTCTGTTTTTAAGTTTTCAGATAACTGTTGAGCTCGTCTAACGAAACTGTCGATGCCTTCAACCTAAGCAACAAAGTAAACAGATCAATACTATAAGGAACCAAGAGGATTATCGGTTAATTTAATTGGTATTTAATATACAAATGCAAAAGGAAAAAATAAATATGCTGAACAAGAAAATAAACAACTATTAAATAAATTACATATTTACCCTCTCTTTTCTCAATCTATCTAATATTGCCTCTTTTTCTCCTGCAGCTTTAACCAACGTGTCAATAAGTGTGTTTTTCTCCTTAACAATACCTCTAAGCTTTTCAAGTTGTTCTTGATTATTTTCTTCCACCCAATTAGATCTTCTGTCGAGTTTTTCTATTTCCAAATCTTTTCTGTTTACTTCTGTCCTAGTGTCGCTTAATTCAGTTCTTAGTTCTTCTAATTCGGCTTCTAACTTGTGTACAAGTCGTCTTGATTCTTCGTCTTTCTCAAAGCTAGCCCGTCGGAGTTCATTTATTGCTTTTAAATGCTGCCTCTTTAAATTCTCAATCAAGTTAACTGATTTTTCTCCATTTTCTAATTGCTTCACGTAGTTATCATCCTCTTGAAACTCTTTTTGCTTATGGTGTAAAGAGGCTTTTAAATTTTGAACAATTGCCTCGTGTTCGGCTAATTGATTTTCATTTTCTGCTCTTAAACTGTCAAGCTCTTTCCTTAATTGTTCTAATTGGGCTTCAGCATTAACCCTCTCTCTATCTGCTCTGGTTGTTTGAATTCGAAGACAATCCATAGCTTGCTCAGTCTCAGCTAAGATTTCGTTGGCCCTACAGATATCTACATCTCGTTGCTCTAATTCATTCTTAACCGCTTTCAACTCAGTTGTCAATTCTTCAACGGATTTTGTATAATTTTCATGTTGTTTCTCCGAGTCTGAGCGAAGGCTCTCGATCTCCTCGCGTAGATTGCTTATAAGGCCGTCGTTATCAATGCTGTCCAGTTGACGATTTTTTTGCACTAAATTCTTACTAAACTCTTCAATCTGATGATCCCTCGAGCTGATTGTTTTATTTGAATCATCCAGTAAGTTCTGTTTACCATTTAATTCATCCGTCTGTTAAGTTTATGCAAAAACAGGGGAAAGAAATTTGTTAGTGAAGAAAACAGAAAACAGGAAAAAACTTAATTTTATCTAAAGACTGCCAAACAAGAAATTAAGTTCTTTTGTACTTAATTTCTCTGAAATTATTGAGCAAAAAAAGTAAACAGGTTTTATAGAGCTTATATAACAGTATTTTCTTTCTTTGGGAAGCTTAAGTATTTTGAGAATAAAGATAAGAAACTAAAGTGTACACTCTCAACACAGCAATCATTAAACAAAACACGTACTTGTAAAATTTGTTCCCGTCTCTCTCCCATATTGACTTTATTCTCATAATTAGACTTTAGCTCTTCTATTTTCTCATTACACTCCTAACAAAAGAATCATTTAAATAGTTTAAGAGTATTATGATTAAACAAGAAACAAAAAACTACTTTGATTTCGTTCTCCTTCTTCTCCAATTCCTTCTTGTCAACCCGTAGTTGCTTTGTTAATTCTTGAATAATAGTATTTCGTTTTTCAATTTTTGATTTAAAACTGGCTTCGTCAAGTTTATTGTTATTATTACCATTCGATTGTAGCTGCTCTTCAAGTTTCTCAATAAATTCACTTTTTGTGACCAAGATAGACTTTAAGTCACTCATCTCTCTAAAGGATTCTTTAAGTTGATTATCTTTATCATCTAAAGACGTTAAAGAATCTTTCAACTCTCCATTTAATTTTCTATTTTCTCTTTCTAAAACTTCAACTTTTCTTTCAGCATGTGAGAATTTTTCTTTGATTTCTGTTATTTCATTTTGATGTTGTGCCGAAATAGTATCAATTGCTGAGCTAGCTCTTTTTAAAATCTCTGTTTTATCTTGTATCTCTTTTTTTAAGCTTTCATTTTCAACTTTGATGTCAATAATCTCACGCTCTGAATCTAGCACGCCACCTTTCTTACTATTCTGCTCCAGAAAATAGATTCGTAGTTTTAAGTTAAAATTTTCTTTTTTCAGTTCAGCTAGTTGCTGTTTAAAAAAAAATAACATAATACTAAAAAAATGTTCGTATTACAAAAATTCTAAAAGTTATTACATGCAATGAATAAAAGTAGTTTGCCTATTCCCATACACAAGAGAAAACAACATAAATTATATTAAAAAAAATCAAACCCATTTTTCTGCACTCTAAAAATTCTCTTTTTATACAAAGAAATCTATTTACCAAACAAATATATGAAAAGAACTTCATTAACTCATAAGGCGAAGATTATCATTGTAGATTTCAAAACTACTCTTATTACAACAAGGGTGTGTTTATTGATTGGCAATAGTAAAAAACATCATCCACCAAAAATGGTTAAATAAAAAAAATTTGGTTAAGAAACGAACAATAGGTTACTGAAAACTAGAAATACCTGGTGCAAATAAATCAGATGGAGTGAAAATCGTGCAGTATGAACACGGGGGCAGCTGCAACTAGCCTGTCACACACAACACTCAGGCGTTCTTAACTAATATACTAGAAGCAACAAATATTTTCTTTTGTAAACAAACCTGGTCATACTCCTTCATTGTCATAGTCCTGACTGGAGACATTCTTCCACTTGCAGTTTTCATAACCACTGAGATTTTTTATGTTAAAAATATATACATGAATTTTTCATAAATTAATATACTATATATATGAATTTCATTGTGTAGCAAGAACAGATAAAATTACAGTTATGAAAATATGAAGCACATGATTCTTTTTTATAGAAAAAAAATGCTTACAAGGCATTGAGCCATCACTAAATTCTATGTGGGTTCCAGGCGGACTAGTCAAGCTAACTTCTGCCATTTGTCCCGGACTTGCACTGAAAAAAAATTTACATTAAGGTACTTTAAAATATAAAATAAAACGAAATCTTGAAAGTAATAAACAGTCAAAAACCAACAAAAGACTATTCTTAATCCTTTTAGAGGCCATTTTCAAAATGAAATCGATACATTAGCCTACCAAATAATTAAAACTTTCAAGCCCAGTAATCTTTAACATGAACCGAACGATATTTGAAGATAGAAGGAACTTATTTTCGCATATCATATGTAGCAGTTCATTTTTTCCCACTAAACTGTAGTTTCCTTGAGTTTGCTACCTGCATTTTTCTAAATTCCTTAGCAAACTTAATGAACAAAATATTTACAATAAGAAACCTTCCTTTCTAGTTTGCAATATACGGCATTACTGTTACTAATTTAAAGCTTGCTTAAAGTCTTGGATTACATTGTATGAAATATTGTAAATACACACGGGCAAGCAAGGGGAGAATCAATAAGTACTTTAGAATAGAAATACATTATTTTTTCAGTAAATTTAACTTATGGATGAATTATAACTACAATTTCTTAGCGAGTTCTTAAATTATAAATTTTGTATAAATAGTTACCCTTCAAAAGTAATATGAGCTGAGATTCCTTTATTTTGGAATTGAAATTATAGATCTCGAAAGATTTCAAGTGATTATAAGTCAAGAAAAGATTTACATTACGAAGGTTTTCCGCCTGAAGGCAACTAAAAGACAGCACAAATAGAATATTATATTTACAGGCTTAAATCATGCGTCATTATAAAGTGCAAGTTTATCAACCACAGCCTCTTTATTGTATGAATGCTGTACCCAATTGGTTCTATTGATAACTCTAGTCCTTGCTTTGATAAGTACAAACAAAAATGGCGGAATAGATATCTTGAAGAAATGACGTAAATTTCCTAATTTCATTAGTTCATTATTAATATTACATGAAACAACATACTACAAATCTGGGAGTGGAGATGAATATCTTCTTTCTAACAGCCTCTTTCTCATGATTTGTAATCGAATAAATATAAAATGAACAAGATGAATGACAAAAAAAACAATGTTTATGTGTATTTATATCATTATATATAGGCCGTTTTTGATACTGGTAGGCACGATGCTATATAGGCCCGTAATAGAGTAATTTATTGTTTATAATTTCATATTACAAATTTCATTTCACTATGTGATTATAGACTACAGCTTAAAATTTTTCAAATGCACGAATTAGATATATGAATTTGAAAATAATGCTTGATTCCATAAATGTTGTTTTGCTCCAAAACAACTCGGAAAGATGCAATATAGATAACAAACGAAGGGAAAAAAACACAGAGGCTTCAAACGTCTATGACTCAAAATTGTATTTTGTCAAAACTTACCCAGACATTCTGAAAAATGTTAAAGAGCCAGCGAGCGACAATATAATAACCGTTGATTCGTAAAAACTGGTGATAATTCACAAGTCTATTACAAACATAAATTTATTATTCGCTAAATAAGTCCATCATATAATAAAGAATAAATAATTTCAATTAAATCGATATTCATTTATTTTTTCAAATTTACTTCGACTATTTTTAGTTAGAGTGGCTACCTGAAAACAAGTCGGCTTACACTCTGAAGTTATGGAAGAAATTGGATTATCCCCACCTCCCCCTGATAAAGTAGGAGATGTTTATATTTATTATAAAACACTAGAACATCTTTAACTAGATATCAACGCTAGATATAGAAAGTTGCTGTAGTTAAAAATTAGATTCAATCTGAAACGGCCTCGTCACTATGAACGATAATATAATGTTTCTCTAAACAGGCTATCTCAACTGACTTGTCAAACGTCTCATCTGTGGATATTAAACCAAATTTCACTCATGTTGATCCATTAGCTTTGGATCCAGAGGAATTGTATGTTAAATACAAGGTAATATTTCTGTTTACATGCTACTGGACACAATAAAATTTATTAATTAAATCACTACATATATTGACATTATTTCCTATTATATTAATACTAAGATTGTATTTAAGAATAAAGAAATGTATTTTACGGTTACCATCAGCTAATAATTGTTTTGAATAATCTCTTGAACTATTTTTCACAGAAATTGCAAGCTCAAATCGAGTTCCTAAAAGTTCAGGAAGGCTACATTAAGGATGAACAAAAAAATCTTAAAAAAGAATACCTTCACGCACAAGAGGAAGTTAAGCGAATACAGTCTGTTCCTTTAGTTATAGGCCAATTTTTAGAAGCTGTTGATCAGAACACAGGAATAGTTGGTTCCACGACTGGATCAAATTATTATGTGAGAATTTTATCAACAATTGACAGAGAGTTATTGAAGCCAAGCTCGAGTGTGGCTTTACATAAGCATAGTAATGCCTTAGTTGATGTCCTTCCCCCAGAAGCAGACAGTTCCATAAGTATGCTTCAGGCTGATGAAAAACCAGATGTAACGTATTCTGACATTGGTGGTATGGATATTCAAAAGCAGGAAGTTCGGGAAGCTGTTGAACTCCCTCTTACCCATTTTGATTTGTACAAACAAATTGGCATCGATCCACCAAGAGGAGTTTTAATGTTTGGTCCACCAGGCTGTGGCAAAACTATGTTAGCCAAAGCTGTAGCTCATCACACAACAGCAGCTTTCATTAGAGTGGTAGGGTCAGAGTTTGTTCAAAAATATTTAGGGGAAGGTCCAAGAATGGTCAGAGACGTTTTTCGCTTAGCAAAGGAAAACGCTCCAGCTATTATATTCATAGATGAAATTGATGCTATAGCTACTAAACGTTTTGACGCTCAAACTGGAGCAGACAGAGAAGTTCAGCGTATTTTATTGGAACTTTTGAATCAAATGGATGGATTTGATCAGACCGTAAATGTTAAAGTCATCATGGCAACAAATAGAGCTGATACTCTTGACCCTGCCCTTCTCAGACCAGGAAGGCTGGATCGAAAAATAGAATTTCCAATGCCCGATAGAAGACAAAAAAGATTAATCTTCTCTACAATTACTACAAAAATGAATTTATCAGACGAAGTCGATTTAGAAGACTATGTTGCCAGACCAGATAAGATCTCTGGTGCAGATATCAACGCCATTTGCCAGGAAGCTGGAATGCAGGCCGTAAGAGAAAATCGCTATGTTGTTTTGGCAAAAGATTTTGAAAAGGGATATAAGAATAACATCAAGAAAGATGAAACTGAACATGAATTTTATAAGTAACATAACTATAATCCTGTTAGTTTAATTTAGTGGCAGATAAAGTCGGACACCCTGTTGCAACATAAGTTAAACTTTTGCCTAGGGTATTTTGTCTGAGAATTGCTCTAGCAATTTGTGCCCTTAAAAAAAGCTTTGAAAAAATAAAAAAATTGTAATTTTCAAAAAAATGTTGATTTTCAGTACATCAAAATCACACTTAACACATTTAAGTCTAACACGACAGCCCTCTATAATTACACGCGGAATTTAGCCAGTCCGTAATGCAAAGGAAGTTTCGTAACGGACTTAAAAGGTCTGTAATTAATTTCTTAAACTTCTATGTGATCTGTTATATATCTGAAGATGGTATTTTATCCATTCAACAATCGCTTATATACTACTTTATATTAATTTCTGAGCCTGAGTTTGAAAAAATTACATTCTTGTTTTCGATTTTAATGATCTTGTTGAAATGAGAGATTGTTCAAAGCGAACGTGACTTAAAAAAGATTACTGCTAACGCCTCTCCAAATATTGAATGTACTTATTTATTCCAGTTAAGGTTGACATTAATTTTCACTGTTATGTCTACTGAAGTACAAATTGAAGCTGCAACGGAAAGGGAATATTATATGCAAAAAATATCTCGTCTGTTGATAGAGATTAAAGAAATACAAAATGTAAGAGATTTTAGAGATAACTAACTTATTGACCCATAATTCTATCAACGACTACAGAGGAACGAAGACGAAGAATTTCGCAAAAATTACTTTAACACTACTGGAGACCAAATAGAACCTCCAGAACAAACTGCACTACGGCTATCTAAATTAATTGATCAAAAAAAGGATTCCAGGGATTGTATATATTTTTTTCTTTAACGGTTATTTAATGATAATAAGTATTTTTTATCGATAGATATAATTCGCATTCTGCAAGATCAGACGAAGCTATTAAATAAAGAAGTCTTTGAGCTTGAAGCTAAACCAGAGGAAAAAATTTCGGATACAGTGGAAATTTCAGAAAAACGCTATGGAAAAAGTAGAAGAGGCAAGGGATTTGGAAGATACTAAGGTCATTAAACTTTTTAAAATACCATTTGTATTACAAAGTATGTACCACTTTCCATAGGTTTTAAGGTTTGAGTTGAGCACTCTGAAGAAGGACGCCAAAGTATATAAAAAAGAATCAAACATATTCTTTCGAGCCAATAAAGATCAAGTTATGTGTGAAGTAGATAAAAAGATAAAAGAGCTTGAAAAACGTTGTAATAGTTCGAAATAAATCAGAAGTTTTTAATTATATCAGAAACAAATGATATATCCTATGTCAATTTTTTGCTGCCCAATTTCATTGCACCGGATGCCTGCCTAGCTGCTCTTTTTTGTTCAATCTGCCTCTTCCTCTCGGCTTGTTTTTCTATCATTTTCTTTTTATGGTCATCTGCAGCTATTAGGAAAATATTTAGTCGAGTTTCAAATCTTATTCAGTTCAATTCAACTTACGAGGTTCTTCAATTGGGTCCCAATTCTCGGTATCCCAAGAGTTGCTTTCCCATGAAGTTTTCTCTGTATTAGTTGCTGGAGTTGACTTTGATAAGGTCTTTTTTGGCTAAAATATTATACAGATTAGTTTCTTTGATATATACTAAAGCATAAAGTAACTGACTTTATCTTTGGAGACAAGGGAGTTGAAGAAATCATCATTATTAACGTCTTGTCCCCAGTTATATGAAGAAACTGTATTATGATTTCCCTCTGTTTCTACGAAAGAATCGTTACCATCATTAGCAGTTTCATCCATATCTCCCCATTCTTCATCGTCCCATCCGTCCTTTGAGTTAGTATTTTCAGTGTCCTCTGTACTGTCATTCATATTTCCCCAATTTTCTACCTTATCCCATCCACACTCGCTTTCATCATCGCTTACATTCTCTGGTGTCGTAGTTTCAGTTCTGGTTTCAGAAGTGTTGTCAGGTTGTCTAGAGGCCTCTGGTGACTTGGGTTTATTAACCGTCGTCTTCTTCGGAGGAGTTCGATCTTTATTGTTTTTATAAAGTTTATGTGTTAATGTGGACATTCCACTGACAGCCCAACCGGCCCAAGAAGCAGCAGCAGAAGAACCTCTAGTAACACCTCCAACATTGACGTCTTTTTCCATTTCTGTTATAGAATCTGGATCCTCGGATACTTTTTCCAATTTGCCTAGAAAACATTTCATGGCGCGGAAAGCTTGGTCTCTTACATTTTTATCAAGGTCTAAAGTTAAAGGCGATAGACAGGGAAGTAAACGATGAGCACTTTCAGCTAGAGTAAATAAATGATGACTTGCAGCTATGGCCAAAACTCCAGCTTGCCTTGCTGGAGGAAATGGATCTTTTAATGCTCTTGTATAAGCAGAAATTAGAATCTTTTGTCGATTTCTCGGATCAAGATGACAAGCAATTTTTCCAAGACAGACTGTTGTATTAGTACGAATACCACCCTGGTCATCCTTACTTTGCAAGCGAGCAAAATGTTTCATGAGCTCTTCATTAAGGTTTTTATAGTTAAGTTTAGGAGATAAATGAATCATTGCTTTGATAGTATTTTCCCTAACAACTGGATTTGTATCTACAAAACCATTAACAACATTAGGAAAGATTTTTGAGTTAACTATATCAGCTGATAAGTGTTGGCAAAATGTCTCCATTTCCTGTAATAGTTTCACTCGAGTTGCTCTATCTGTAAATAATAAAAAACTTTTAACAAAACAAATATTCAAGGTATAAGATGAAATAAACCTGTGGATGAAAACAGCTTGACAATACATGGAACAATATATTTCTGATAATCCTCTGTCTCTAATAATCCTCCTATTTTGAATAGAGGAGGTAATATAGCAGAGCCTATATTACTAAAATCAAAAGCGTTCAGCAGTTGAGGTAAGATTCTTTTCGTACAGGCTCTTTTTGGAAAAGAATCTATAACTGATGAGAGGCTTGAAAAGAAATTATTCTTTTCCAACTCTTCTTTAATCTTAATAGAATAAGAAAGAGTATATTAGTACAGTGAAAGATAAAATAATTCATGACTAATTCTCTTGAAAAATACTTACTTGAATTTCTTCCAAAAAGAGCATGCAATCCACAAACTTATTATCCATGTAACATCTATTTTTTCTACACAATTCAATAAATTTTAATGATGTGGGCCTGATTTTTACGTTTGTGCTTAGCAGCTCTATATAAACTGGTAACAATGACTTAGGAATCTAAAAATAAGACAAATTTTCATTACTGTACATTGAGGATAATTCGATATTGTATTGTCTTCAAAGGATAGACAAACCTCATGAGTATCTTTCAACTGGTTAGATCTGGTTATGGGTGTATTATAACATTCCCAAATTAGGCATCCCAAACCCCAGCTATCAATAGCCCTGGAAGATGTTAAAAATATTCGTAATATTAACGAACATCTATAATTTCAATTACATACAGTTTGGCTTTCGGAGGTCTTACTCCTGAAAATCCTTCTGGAGGCTCGTACGCAGCTAAGCTTGACAACCTTGGACCATAGTCAACGTTTTCTTTTGCTGAGTAAATATATTCGAATCCAGCTAGTTTCCATTCCCCATTTTCAGTAACAAATACTGATGAGATACATATGTTATTGTGTACAAGATTACAATCTTTGTTGAGAAATGAGAGTCCTTTCTGTTCATCGTTAAATCACGTATTTAAAACAATCAAGATCGAGTATGTGTACATACAGATATCTGGTGTAATCCCCAGGATATTGCCATTTCTCTTCTAGGTCCACGTTCAATTTCGTCTTGAAGGTACACTTTTAAAGGTGTGGAATATTCAGTTACTAAAAGCATCTCTTTTTCAGTCTATAATAAGAGATTGTTTTTAAAACAATGCAGAGGAAATTTTCAAGAAAACACAAACCTCTATACCATCAATATACGTTAGAATATTAGGGTGTTTCATGGTTTTAAGAGTTTTAAAATAGTTTTTGGCCCGCTTCTTTTGCGCCTCATTTCGTTCGGCTATTGGAAATTTTAGTATTGTCACTGGACTTCCTGTCGTCTAAAAATATTCGAAAGATGTCGTTTAATACTCTAAAATAAAGATATTACGCACCTTATGTTTTCCCAGGCAAAACTGCCAATCGCTTCGATTTTCTATACCAGGAAGCTCCTGTTCAACTTCATAGGCAAACTCTTTCAAAGGATCTCTTGTGAACAACGACCACATTTTCAATAATCTTTCATCATTTCACAAACTATATATGATGACGCGTAGCAGAAAACGGAAGTAATTGTTTTTGGTACGGCCAAAACTGGTATTTAGTTTGTCAATCGCCAATTAAGTGAAACTTCAAATAACTTTTGTGAAACGATATATTTGACATAAAACAACTAATTAGAAGTTTTAATCCAATTGGGAAATGGATGTTATTGTTATTCTGGCTCTTCTGGAATCTTTTCCCCCCAGTTTTCATTAAACAATGTTAGTTTCTTAATTTTAGTTTTTTTTGTTACGTTTCTACTATTTAACTTCATTTTGTTGTTCTTTCTTGAAATAAAAAAACTTCTAAAAAAATATACAATTTGAAAAATTATGCATTAGGAAGAAACATAATTTCAAAAGTGAAAAATAAGTACTTTTCCCCTAATTATTGTCTGTTATCGCTCACAGGTCATTCATTCGTACCGGGAGGCAAGTTTTTAAATATTACAACCAACTCACCAGACAGTATGGACAGTACAGCTTAAACACATCAAATCTACAAGAGAGAGGGATTCTGCAAAATATATTTCCTAATACTTTGTAAAGACTCTCTAATAAGTAACCAAAAAAATCCCTAATAATCGTTTCTATAATGCTCTTACAGGAGGAATGAGTTAGAGGCCAAACTTTCATCCCCTCAGTGTTTCTATCTCGGTATAGATCCAACTGCAAGTAGTCTACATATAGGGAATTTGTTACCGTTAATTGCACTCTTACATTGTCAAAGAGCTGGACATAATGCTGTTGTCCTCGTTAATATCCTTAAAATTACAACAATGAACATCTGACAAACAATAATTTATTTACAGATTGGTGGTGCTACAGCACAAATAGGTGACCCTAGTGGAAAAAATAGTGAAAGAAATCCTATTGATAAAATTCATATAAGAGAAAATGTGTCCTCAATAAGAATGATAATTGAAAAAATACAAAAGAATTTCGATGATATGTTTCAAAAAGATAATCCCGGATCTTTTACGTATGTTAAGCGATACATTTTCATTTTAATATAAACCCCTCTATTATTTCAGTATTCTCAATAATGAAGATTGGTATTCCCAAATAAATCTGGTAGAATTTTTGTCAACATACGGAAGGCATTTTAGAATGGGTCCTCTCCTGAGTAGAGAAACGTCCGTTATATTTTATGATATTATTAACAATCTTAAGTAACTATAGTATGTTTTCCATAGAGTCCAAACTCGATTAAAGGGAGAGCAAGGTCTCAGTCTATGCGAGTTCACTTATCAAATATTCCAGTCTTACGATTGGTTTCATTTAATGAACAAATATAATTGCTATATTCAAATTGGAGGAAATGATCAAACTGGAAATATCGTTTCTGGATACGAGTTCATCCAAAGAGTTAAAAAAGATACTGTTTTTGGATTAACTGTCCCACTAATTACAGATTCGAGTGGCGCCAAATTGGGAAAGAGTGCTGGAAATTCAGTATGGTTAGACGGCATTCAAACCTCCGCATACGAGTTATATCAAGTTTGTAATTAATAAGGAAAAATAATGATATTGCTCTTTAAAGTTATTTTTACTATTTTTGAAGTTTTTTATCAACCTCCCTGACGATGATATGGAAAGAATGTTATCATTATTTACTTTTTTACCTATAGATTCCATAAAGAAACTTATAAATTTACATCTTGTTAGTACATTTTACAATCCGGGTTAATACTTCATATTTATCTTGTTTGTTACTATTTTAAAACATAGGAAAATCCATCCGAACGAATGGCTCAGAAAAAACTTGCAGTAGAGGTAGTGAAATTAGTTCACGGAGGTAAATGAAGATCATTTGTCTTTTAATGTGTTTCTTATAATATTAAAATTATTAGAGGTGGGAGTAGAGATAGCAGAAAAATATTCTGCAATTCTCTTTGGCAAAAATGAAGACGTTGCTAAAATGATAGGAGACTTAGATGGTACTGAATTACAGAATCTATTTAAGAATGCTTCTACAACACAAATTCAATTTGAGAATGGAATGAAGTTGTCTGATATTTGTATGGCCGCAAAATGCTTTAAAAGAAATAGTAAATATTGTAATTTCTTTTTAAAATAGAAATAACTAGTTTTTCTTCAACAAAATAGAGGACGCTGACAGAATCATTCGACAAGGAGGAGTTAAATTAAATGAACAAAAAGTTCTTGATCCGGAATATCGGATTGATGAAGCAAGTGCCATTTTAAAAAATGGAATAAGTGTTATTAAAGTGGGGAAAAAGAAATACTACATCATCGAGTGGTTCCCCGCAAGATCGTGATAATATACTTCTTTATAAGAAGTTGCGTTCTCTTGTTTTGCTTCAATACGTAAATAGCGATAATGGAAGTTTTAAGAGAGAGTAGTATAACAAGCTTGAAACGCATAAATGTCACACTGTGAAACTAATTTCTTTTCGTATTTTTTTCTTGTTTTCTTATGTTTTAGTACAAATATAAAAAAAAGGGATAAAGTGAGAAAAATTTTTTTTATAACAATCCTATAAAGATGTTTTCGTACAATTTTTTACAAACAACTAAACTAATAAAAAGTTTAAATATCAGTTTGATGCACCTTCACTAGAAGCTTCTTTCTTAAGGCCATTGCTGTTCTTAGTCAAGGTTTTTCTTCTTCTTCTGTTGTTTTTAAAGAAAAAGATAAGTTAAAAATTTATAATGAATTCCTTATAGTTAATAACTTTACTTTGTTGGTAATATTTCAACATCAGAATCTAAGGAATCATCCGACGTTCTTCTCTTTGGTGTACATTTTGGACATTGCCAACTTCCAGATGGGATATTTGGTATACCGAGACAAAAAGTATGATAACCTCTATCACACTGATCACAAAAAATCATTTTATCTTCATCTCTTGTTGATTCACAAAACGCGCATGCCTTACATTCCATACACTGCCAGCTATATTTTTTTATTTGAGTAAGCATATGTGATATTTCATAGCATGTCGGGTGTCCTGTGTATAGTAAAAATGTTCATTACAAAAATGTTCACTGGTACAAAAGGCTCTGGAGGGATTCGAACCCTCGATCTCCTGTTTACTAGACAGGCGCTTTAACCAACTAAGCCACAGAGCCATCTTATTCAAAATCTGATCATTTTAAATTTTAAGCATCTGTTATTATCGATTGGAAGCAAAGTGTTAATAAATACCTGCTCTTCCGCAATCGCCACATTTAACAAGATCTTCTGGTGATCCTTCCTTATTCTTTTGTTCGTCTCCTCGACAAATACCGCAAACTTCTTCGGTTGAGGCCTTAAGGCGATATTGAACACATATATATATATAAAAATTAAAAGATAAAAATAGAATATTCACTATTGGCGTTGGACTATCAGATGATTCTTTGGGAAGCGCACTCTGCAAAAATATTGAATTTATAAGAGAATTCCGGTTTTTAAAATACGAGATATATAAAACTTACTAAATTTAGTTTTAAAGGTGGTATTTCCCTAGCAACATTTCTCAAAGGCGGTCGACCCTATTATTTATTTTAAGATTATAAAAAGAACTTTTTTTGAAACAGGTATATTTGAATAGGTTTTACCCTTCTTCCTCTACCACGTCCTCGCCCTCTTCCAGGGCCTGGTGGTCTACCAACAGGCTTTGGTGGCAATTTCCTCGGCATGCTGAAGAGGAATGCTCCTCTTCTCTTACGTCTTGCTCGACCTCCAACTAATACCCTTGAAGCTCTATTTACAGGTGTTGTCTGTACCGGTTCTTTTTCAACTTCCTCTGGTACAATTTCATTATTACTTTCGTCCTCAGAACTCATGTCAGAACTTTGAGACTCTTCATCACTTTTACTTGATTCGGACTAGAAACAGATTTTTTCAATAAGTTAAAAATATTATCCTCTAAAATGCAATAAAAGAACTATTTACATCTTCAGAGAAATGAGTTTCCAATTCGGGAGGTGGTGTTGGAGGCATACGAAGAGCACAGTTCAGAGGCAGACATTTCAATTGAGTATTGTTAAATCTAGATATATCATTGTAATTATAGTATGATGCTTTTAACTTATACAAGACAGTAATATACTTTTTAGTGTAGTCTGTATATTGTCCTGGAATAAGAGCTGCTGGATATGCCTGTTTATAGGAAGGATCCTTCAATTTAAGTTTTCTTTGAGGGAAATGCACTTGCTACAGGAAATTAAAACAGTTAGAATTGTCATTATTTTCATTAATTAATAGAAAAAAAAAGTAATTAACGAACCATTGTTTGTAAATCGAAATAAACTCTTCTCTCATCTTTTCTTTCTCGTCGTAGATTGGAATTAAATTCAGAAGCTCCTTTAATTGCCTTTTTTCTTAAATGCTCTAGTTTATGTTTGTCAATTGTTTTCTGAGTACTATAAGTAGTTTTTACGGTTTCTATCATCTTTTTTCTTTCTCGCTCTCTAAGAACTTTAGCTATTTCTTTACATTTTTCAGGAAAGTCTTTTTCCATAAGTTCCATGACCTCTTCACTTCGTAATGGAACTAAGCCTATGTATGAAAGAATTTTCTAGTACTATTGCTACAACAAATATTATTAATGAAATCGGCTTATATACCTAGGTCAGATTGAGTTTCATTTACAAGTCCTCTATCTAGCAGATAATTTCGTTCGTTTGGTTCTATATTCCGTCGAGTCAATTCTATTTGTTAGAAACAATCCCGTTTAGAAGGAAAATCAATATTTGATAGAAATAATTTTACCTGGATATCTTCTTCTGAATGAAACTACTTCAAGATAATCAGAAATTTGTTCTTGCAGGAAATAATGATGCTCAGAGTTGGCTGGCCATTGATATTCTATAACTTCCTGAGCGCCAATTTGGCGGCTAAAATAAAAATTTTATTAGAATTATTGCAAATAAATTTTATGAAAGAATATAAAAATTAAAATCTTACGCGACGTGTCCGATTTGACTCATTTCCTTTCTTAACGATGTCCTACAGCTGGATCGTTTGGTGGGCTTTTCTCCACCATTTTTACTTTCAGGTTTACTTTGATCACTGCTTCTCGAATCCTCAGCATTTTGAGACGATTCAACTGAAGGTAACTTATATCTTTCAACAATATCTTCCTTAGAGGCCTTTGTGTCTGAATCTATTTCTTTTAGTTCTTCTGCCGTCTGCTTCTCAACTGAACTCTGATCATCGTCAGCAGCTGATTGTTCTTCTGTTGCAGTAGGTTCGTTTGAATTCTGATCTTCTTCCATCAGAACTGGTTCATTTGAATTTTGGTCTTCATCCATTGTTATGGGCTCGTTCGAATCCTCCGAGGGCGAAGGTTCATTTGAATTTTGATCTTCATCAATAGTTTTAGGTTCATTCGAATTCTGATCATCTTTCAAGGGAGAAGGTTCGCTTGAATTGCATTCTTCGTTCATAATAGTGTCTTTGCTAAAGATTTTATCATCCACAAGAGTTACTTCCTCATTTGAGTTGCTGTCGTCCTCAACATTTGTAACTTTCAGGTTTTGTGTGTTTAACTTTTGATCGTCTTCAACCGCACTAGATTCGTTCGAATGCTGATCGTCATCATTTTTAGAGCTGGATTCATCCGAACTTTGTTCGTCAGCTTTAGCTTTCAATCCTTCGAGGATCGTATTTTCTTTATCATCTGCTTCTGACAGTGTCTCTTTGGAGTCTGGCTCAATAACATCATTATTAGAATTACTGTCATTGTCATCGACAGTCTGCTCTTTAATATTATCCTCAGACTCTTCAGACGGTTCCAGTTGCGACTCAATCAAGGATTTACTTTCTTCTTCCGAGATACATTTTATAACACATTCTTCTAAGCATGCTTTCACTTCTGTAACAATAGTTTCTTCAGATATCTTGGAAACGACTTCCCCAACTTCTTCAGAGTATGAACAAATGTCTTCTAACGACAATTTTGCTTTCTTCGCAGAAATTTCTTGAGCATCTGCTGTCGTTTCGGGTGAAGCGGAAGATTTTTCCGAATCAATCGGTTGGTTATGATCCATTTTAAAGCTGCAAATTAATTATTTTATCACAAGAAAATATAAATATTTTTACTATAAGTTAACATAATAATAAAAATTCTATGCCCCAAGAATCGATCTAGAAAAGATTTCACAATAAAAACACTTGTCGAAAATTATATAAAACATTTATATACGTAATTAATATTTTGGTTAGATTTAATCAGCGCTAACTTTTATATCGTTATTAAAAATTTAAAACAAACTGCTTTAAATATGATACTTTTATTATCATAAATGCTTAATTTCTCTGTTTAAGCCTGAAATCTGGAATAATATTAATATTAGTTTTTACCTAATAGCCAAATGCGATTATATCTATTAATGTAAATTCTTAAAGCTCTAATAATCACTATATTATTATTTTGGCTTTTCTTTTCTACTTTAATAGTGAGATCGGTGAAAACAAAAAGAGAAGGAGAGTTCTGAGGTTCAAAACAAAGAGTACATGTATGAAATAAAAGAATCGAGCGAAAATTTAGATAATTTAACTGTCACATATGAATCGGAATTAAAATGAAGAAAAGTATGGATTACTGTTAATCATTTTTTGTTGTATTAATCGTTAACGTATATCTGTAATATAATTTTCAATACTTTATGAAAAACTTACTGAAAATCTCATATCCAAGATCGGCGTCGCTGAGACCGCGGGGCCGGAAGACAGTAGCGACATCTATAAATAGAACAAATTGCCGAACACCCAAACTTATAATTATTTTAAATTCTATAATAATTTAGAATCAAATAGACGCTTGTTACGGTCATTCTCATTGGTCTTGAAGTAATATCAATTTTCGTAGGCAAATCATTTTAATCATAAAAAATGTCAGGAAGAATTGTCTCTATCATGTCACAAGCTGTTCAAGCGGCAAAGAAAAGTGGTAGCATAATCAGAAACTTGTTTCAAGAAGGAAAGTGGGGTATTGTTAATAAGGTAATTATATATTTATATATTTTAATTTTATTAAGAAAAGATAATAGATGGCGCAAGAGTATTGAGAGAGATGGCGTGATTTCTGCAGGCTATAGTTCACAATCAAGTTTGCATCAGCTGGTTGGATTACATTGAGAGTGAAATAGTCAATAATGCCTTTATTAAGTGACATAATCGCTAGCTCTGTTAATATATCGGAAAAAGCAGGAAATATCATTAGAGATATTCTAAAAAAGGGTAACTTAGGAATTGTTGAGAAGGTATTGAATTAAATAGATTGGAATTATGGCACATACTGCTTTTAATGATAATGACATATAGATTTCAAATAATCTCTTTTGTTTTTCTGTAGGGAAAGAATGATTTGCAAACCGAAGCTGATAGGTCTGCCCAAAGATGCATTATGGCGTCATTAAAAAAACGTTATCCCAAGGTGACCATGATTGGTGAGGAGGAACTGGATTCTTCCCAAGTACCCGAAGATTGGATAGAACTATCTCAGTCAGAAGAAGTTTTAAGCACTGCAGATCGATTACCAGACAAACTAAAAAACGTGACAGACGACCAAGTAAGCCTCGTTTCCATGGCTACGTAATGTGCTTCATCGAGCACATAGCTGATATTCTTTTTTCTCCTTGTTGCGTTTAGATAATTATTTGGATCGACCCATTAGATGGTACAGCAGAGTACACGCAAGGTATTTTATGATTAAGGAAACTTTGTTATCAAATTGTAAAGATTTACTATCATCTATAGGCCTTCTGGATCATGTAACTGTACTAATTGGAGTAACGGTCAACGGAGAAGCGGTCGGTGGTGTAATCTATCAACCTTACTTTAACTATAAAGCTGGACCAGACGCTGAACTAGGAAGAACTATCTGGGGAATTGTGGGCGTGGGTAAGCATAATTATATATGCAACAGACAGTTTAGACAATGATATATCGTATGAATGTTTATTAAATTGCACCATCTGCAAACGGAACTTTTTATGATTATATACACAGATAGAATCACATCGTTACTATTCAATTGTTTTTCATTTTTCCAATACTATTAATATTGCATTCAGGAGCTTATGGAATACCTCAACCAACCGTTCCGCCATCTACTGGTAGAATTATAACAACGACTCGATCACATTCCAGTGGTTCTGTAAAAGCTGCCGTAGATTCTTGCGAGCCAACAGAAGTTATCAAAGTTGGTGGCGCTGGGCACAAAGTTCTCTTGCTCATTGAAGGCAAAGCTCATGCTTATGTATTTGCATCTCCAGGTTGTAAAAAATGGGATACTGCAGCTCCAGAAGCTGTCCTTAAGGCGGCCGGCGGAAAGTTGACAGATATAAGAGGTGTCAATATTCCATATGAAGTGAACGTTCCAAGAAGAAATTCCAGTGGAGTGCTGGCTACGTGCTTAGAGTCTGAGCACACTTGGTACTTGAATAAGATTCCGGATGAAGTTAAGAATGATTTGAAAGCGGATTAAGCTTAGTTTAATTTATTAGTGCAGATTAGTGACTACTCTCAGTTTTAGTCTTTCCCTGATTCGGTGTGTAGATTAACCATTTTGTTGAATATGGTCTATGCTGGAGTCTCCACTAAATTAGATAATACAAATTAACATATTAGAATATGAAATAACAAATAAACTAAATATTAAAATATTTTATTACCCCAAATTCTTGTTCGTAAGCCTTTTCATCTTGGTTAACTTGTGTTAATTGATCTTTTAGATGATCCTGCCACGATCTTATATCCCTAAACTGGCTCTGTGTTGTACGATAGCGTGGAATCGATTTTTGATTATAATTCTCCATGAGAGTCTTCAAAATGGTTTTACTGGTAATACTTCCTCTATATTGGTTGTACACAGTTAATCTCTTAGCTCGGTTAAGCTCCTGTGTTGCCAACTTTTTCAACTCAAATAGTCTAACCGCTTCTTGTATATGATTGTCAATTCTTTTGTAGACAACTTTAGGCCGATCTAAACCTATTCTTGACTTTTGTTTTTGGGAATTTGAAGAAGCTGTTGAGGGTCTAGAATGAATTTTTGAACCTTGTCTCGTTCCTGGTCTAGGTGCAGTTTTTGGTCGATTTTCCACTTGTCTATAAGGCGATTCTTCCAAACGCTTAGGGCGAAGAGGAACGTATCTAAAACGAAAATTTCGAACGGATCCCTCACTACTAGTAGAATTGGGAGACGTGTCACTTCTGACCAGAGGTAATCTCTTATGGAATACATTTCCGTTTGTCCGTTCACGATTCAAACGAGGCGGTGGTTGAGAAGCATCTTCAATAATAGTTGGTTCTCTCGAACAAAACGTCTGCGTTTTTTCTCGTCTCAAAGGGGTCATCGGCGGTATAAAAGTAGATTCGTACGGATTTCCTGTTTCCGGTCGTTTTTCTCTTGATTTTAAATCTGTTCGATTTCTATAGAGTTCTCTTCGATCTGGAGTATTTTGTTTCTTATAATCAGTTGTTTCTCTCTTTAATATAGGTCTATTATATTCAAACGTAGAACTCTTTTCGTCGTGGTTGTCTTTATTGATTGGTTTAGTTACCTTCTTATTGTACTCTTCCTTTGTATTGATTTCTCTTCTATCCCACCGATTAATGTGTTGCGGTTTTTTGTCACTTTTCTCCTTTTCGTCACGTTTTGTATCATTTGCCAAAGTAACTGATGGGTTATTGCTATTACGATTGAGCTTCTTTTTTTCTACAATAGGATCTTGCTCCTCTTTCAAATCATTTCTCTTCGTGTTACTTTTCTCATTGGCACGTTCTGTATCTCGAATATCGGACTCTGTCGTATGTTCAGTTTTTTGATTATCGTTAGAGTCGATAACAATTGATTCTTTAGCATTTGCAGGTTCTTTAGTTTCCTTTGGATTGCTTTCTTCTTCAGCTTTTGAATTATGTACAATTTTAGTTTCTCTAGCCTCTTTTGGTATTTCTTTTTCTTCGCTCACATGCGATTCTTCAAGAGAAGTATTCACAACCGCAGCTGCCACGGCAGTTGCTTCTAATACTGAAGATTCATGCATTTTCTTTTTGATTGTTTCATTATTATCTTTGGGTTTATCAACGACGACTGATTCCCCAATCGACTTTGAATTTTGGCCTACACCAGCTTCCGCTTTTGACTCTTGAACGCTATTTGGACGATTATCTTCCTGATTATTTTGCGACTTCACTTGGGAACTTTGTTCTTCTAGATGTGTTGTGGAAATTACTGCTTCGCTACTAACTTCCTCTTTCTTTTCATTTTTATTTTCAACTTTAGTTTCTTTGACAGTAGTCTGTGCTTTCTCGGCTGGTGAAATGTTTTCTGTCACGTTTTGATTTGTTTGCTCTGGGCTACTTTGGTTGTTTTCAGATTCTTGAGCTGACTTATTTCCAATTGTCTTGATGGGTGTTCCAATCTGACCATTGGGTATTTTTGACTCTGTTTTTTCACTTGAATGCGAAGTCATAGGCTTGGGGCTTGAATTGACTTTTTCATCTTGTGACTTGTCTGTCGCAACAGCTGCTGGTATTTTAGATTTTGTAGATTCTCTTGTGAATTGAGAATTGTTCTTATTAGGGCTTTTAACTGCTTCGGTTGGTCGTTTTTGAACTGCAGGTTTAGAAGGACTACTTGATTTCTTTTCAGTAACAGAAGATTTCTGTTTTTCAATTGGTTTAGCTCTAGATGATGCTCTTCGACTAGGAGCTCGAGTATCTCTGCGCTTTTTGTCACTATATGTAGAGACGGGAGGGATAGGAACGGGAACTGATATTGGAAAAGTTTCTCTCTTTGGATTATTACTGCTTTTGCTATTATCACCGTTACCAACAGTAGTTTTTGATGCTGACTTTTTGTCAGTTTCAAGTCTTTCAGTTTCCTGAGTCAAATTTGCTTGATTATTTCTCTGCTCTGCAGGTTTATGTTCACCACTTTGACTAGATAGCTTATCCTCATTTGCTTTACTTTGATCTTCTGTCTTCATTTCACTCGACTTGATTGAACCTTCTTTGTTAGCTGATTTATTTGTTTCGACTTGATTACTTTCTGTAGGTTTAACTTCATTCGATGTTTTTGCTTCAGCCTTGTTATCTTCCGAAGTTTTTGCTTCAACATTATTATCTTCTGATGCCTTTGCTTCTACCTTGTTATCTTCCGATGTCTTTGCCTCTACCTTGTTATCCTCCGATGTCTTTGCTTCTACCTTGTTATCTTTCGATGTCTTTGATTCTATATTGTTATCTTCCGATGTCTTTGCCTCTACCTTGTTATCCTCCGATGTCTTTGCTTCTACCTTGTTATCTTCCGATGTCTTTGCTGCTACTATATTATCTTCCGAGGTTTTTGATTCTACCTTATTATCTTCCGAAGAGGTTGTTTCAACCCTAGTGACTTCAGCAGTTCCTGCTTCTCTTTCACTATCATTCGATACTTTCGCTTCAACCTTGCTATCTTCTTCCTTTTCAATATCAGTATCTTTCTCTTCGGCTGAACCTGCGGATTTTGTATCGTCGACCTTCTTCTCTGATTTTGGCTCATTCACTTCTGCCTCTTCAGAATTAGTTTGTTTTAATTCACTATTTGATTCAGTAGTATTTTCTTCAAGTTTTTCCTTTTCAGCATTTGATTCCTCTGGATGTGTTGATTCAAGATTTGATTCAGCTGTCTTCTCTTCATCTATTGGTTTCTCATCGGGTTGTTCTATAGTTTTATTGTCATCTGTTTGAAACTCTTCTTTCTTCTCTTCAGGCGTATCCTCCGATATTTGCTCAGTTTCTTCACTAACATTTGCTTTACTTTCAATTTCTTCAGGTTTAGAATCATTCTTTATTTCTTCCTCCGCCTCGTCTTTGTTTTCATCATTTTTGTCATCATCTGCCTTTTTAATCTGTGGCTTAACAATTTCAGCACATTTAAAATGTTTCTTGTAAACGGCTATATCATATGGTTTCAACGATCTGTCCTTAATCTCATAAATTACATCCAAATCAGCGTCCTTATCAACCAACAGTTTACACAAATCTATGTTATTTGTCAATGTGGCAATGTGAAGGCACGTTCGGCCGTCAGCATTTGCTTTATTTACACTCTCCTTATCTTTAGCAACCGATAATAAATAGTCGACAATTTCTAAAAAGAGTAATTAATTTGTTATTTTTACCTTTCAAGGTTGATACAAAAGAAAATAAATTAAAATGGGAAATCATTTAAATACATTGATAGATAAAAGAAAAGAATTGTTCAAATAATAGAAATATTGTATTTCCACTGAAATTTACCATTATGGCCTTCCAAGCAAGCCTCATGGATGGCTCGTTCTTGCTTTCTGTTTGGCAACCATAAGTCTCCCTTGAACTCTTGTAACACTTTTAAACAATCCAAATGACCTTTTGAAGCTGCACAATGTGCTGGACTTCTTCCTTTGAAATCAGTTTGTGAAGGATTAGCACCATTCTGCCAAAAAAAAAATGAATTAATCCTATTTATTCAATATTTGATAACAATAATAATGTAATTACCTCTAGTAGAGCCTTAGTAGCCTTTACGTGCCCATGGCTGACAGCATAATATAAGGGTGTACAACCATTTTTATCTTCGGCGTCTACTTTTGCTGAACCAGCTAAAAAGTTAATAACTTCTTCAAAGCCCTGCGAAGCTGCACAATGTAAAGCACTTAATCCATCATTATCGGAAAAATTGACATTTGCTCCTTTATCGATGAGCATTTTACAAGCGTGCTGGGTACCAACGCAGGCAGCCCAAAGTAAAGCGGAACGACCGGTTTCGTCTTGTGAGTCCACTTCACAGTCATATCCCAAAAATTTTTCAAGGATTCCCTTAGCAGACTCGATATCATCATTTTCAGTTTTGTTAGAGCACAATTGAGCCGCATAGTGAAGGGGTGTGGCACCAAACGCGTCTTTGGAATTAGGATTGGCACCGGCCTCCATTAAAAGTGTAATAACTTCATCCTGGCCGCAAACTGAAGCCCAGTGCATAGTACTATGACTTTCATTATCAAGAATATTTGGGTCAGCTTTATAGGAAATAAGACATTTTATTAACTCGATATTTGACGATATAACGGCCAGGTGGAGAGGCGTATATCCGTCATCCTTATCCCGACAATTAGCAATCGTAGCATCCTTCTCCAGCAGTAGTTTAGCTATATCTGTTTTAGAAGATTCGGCGCAATAGTGAAGAGCTGTACGACCATGTTCATCGACGCCCTTAACATCCTAAAAATAAAGGAAGTAAAACCATTTTAAAGTTTCCCTTCTTTTCAACTACTATTACAATTCATTCAATAGAATGAATTAACATTTAAAGAGTATGTTTATTCAAGCTTATTTCCTATTTAGGCTGATTAGTTTAAGTTGAAATTTCACTTAAAAATGTTGAGTCAGTTAAAAAGGTAAACAAATATAAAGGCCTGTTAAAAAAAACGTAATAAGATTAAAATCTGGATAGTAAAACTTCTTTTACTATCATGCATAATTAAATAAGCCTAACAACTAAACATTTATGCGAACCAATAACAAAATCTTTGATTATCCAATAAAGAAAAGGAAATTTTAAGAGAACGATTATACTTCATTTGTGAAGTATTAATATTCCTTTATTAAAGACTAGCGAGAGATCAAAAATTGTTGAATTTGAAAAGAAAACTTATTGAAAAGAGATTATGAAAAACGCTTTATATAATTCAAATGGCGGAGTAGCTTAAATAATTACGATCTTCTTAACAATTGTTTAATAAATGATTGGAAAGGGGCTTGAAAAAAAAAATCCTTCCTTAAATTGTCTTAAGACAAGTGTAACTTTGTCGGTTTATTCTGTTCATTGTGTTTAACAATACGAACTGTTGGGAGTGGAAATATTAAATATAGAATACAGTTGTCGAGAGGAAGGTCTAACTGTTAAGTTATATCTAAAAAAACAACTATTCAATAGTGTAAGTTATTTATATAACCCCTTCTTTATATAAATATATACAAGTTTGTTAATTGTTTTCCCTCTGTTTTCCCTCTCTTTCTCTTCTTGTTTTTTCACTTAACATAATTGTTTAATCATTTAGCATATAGACAAATACGATAATCGACCCCGGAAAAGAGGTTATCCAGGAAAAATGACTGAAAATCCCTTTACCTATAGGGAAAGAGAACTAATCCATAATAAACAGCTCATATAAATTACTTGATCTGACTTTGAACAAGAACTCTAAATAGTACAAGGTAAAGTTATCTATATAAGTATAAATATCTTTCTCTGAAAGGGTCGCTCTAAATAGACTAAAAGGGAGAGAGAGAGAGAGAGAGAAAGAGAGAGAGAGAGACAAAAAAAGGTATATACAGAAAAAAATCCGGAATATTTTACCGTTTATCGATTTTTTTATAGAAGTACGAAGCTTGTAATCAATCACTTTATAAGAAAATGTGATATTTTTTAATTTTTCTTCGAAAATTCGTCAAAAATTAAGTAAAGTAATTAGATAAAACAAAAGATTCTTTTTCTTATTTCTTCTTAAGTGTTCTTTTTTTTCGTAATAAGATTTTTAATCTTTTTTTTATAAAAAAAAAAAGATTAAACATTAAATTTTTAAATGAAAAATTGCAAAGTTTACATAAATATTTCTGCTAAAAGATCCTTTAGAAAAATACCGAAAAATTCTTTAATCATTGTCTAACAAGTTTACATTGAACACGCGTCGTTCAAGCCCTTGAGAGTAGCATTGGGAATTGTATTAATTATTGATAACTATCCAGCTGTCAACTAAACCAAACATTCTTTATTAGTTACTGTCTATTAGTTTTAGATTAACTGATTTTGATGAATACAGGCGTGGCTGTTGAGAGAAATACTTTTTCTAAACGTTAAAACGCACATAAGACTATACACTTTTGATCTTAAACCGGCGTGTTCAAGTTAAGTAAAAGAGCAAGCGAAGTAAAAAATAAAGAAAACATTAAAGGTGTGAACAAAGAAGCCCTTAAATGAACTTACCGAATCTGATTCTAACAATTGTTGAACCTCTTCAAGGTTTTCTTCTCTAACAGCCTTAATTATGTCCGTCATTTTCGCTCCATCACTAAACTATCACCACCGCGACGTATTACTGTTGTTATCGACCTGCCTTTCCCGTTCACTCTAGCGACCGTCATAGATTTCTGAAGAGGCCTATAATCACAGCTGAAGAAGGCCTATAATCATTAATTATGCGCGCTCCAACCAATCACCAGCCGCGAATAATTTAGACGATCGATTTCGATTATTAGCTGTTATATTAATACAGAATTTTAGTTTTATTTCAGATTAATGAAACACATATATGGCCTATTAAGTCAGAATATTCAGAATTATACATTTTTTTCTTTTCTTCTGTATCTTTAACATTGACCAGTCCGTTCTTAAAACATTGGTCTAGGTTTCCTTGCTCTAATCCAAATAGGCTGATTTGTATGTCGTCACAGGAGGACATCTACATTGAAAATGTGAATCACCATATATATCATCAATTCGTCCAACCGGTGGCCAGAATTTTGAAGTGGGATTAACAAACTCGGCTGGAAAAGCAGCCATTTCTCTAGAATACGCCCTGTTCCATTCCGAAGCCGTAACGTCTTGAATTGTATGAGGTGATCGCTAATTAAAAAAAAGCAAATTCGTTAAATTAAAGCCATATGTCACACATTTATTCAACTGGTGTAATAATACCTTTAGCGGATTGTCATGCAAGTCTAATTTACCTTCGGCTATCATATCGATTTCTTTACGAATTGCTAGATTAAAGAAAAATAAAATTTGAAAAGGACGATTGAGAAAAGTTTAGTTTAATATCTTACAAATCAACGCGTCGCAATAACGATCTAATTCAGATTTGCTTTCACTTTCAGTTGGCTCAATCATCAAACAATCTGACACTGGCCAAGACATTGTAGGGGCATGGAATCCGTAATCTTGTAGTCTTTTAGCAATATCAGTAGCAACAATTTTAGTTGATGTTTTGAAATTTCTGCAGTCAATTATGAATTCGTGTGCGCAAAAGCCTATTCAAGAAATTCTATATTAGTTTCCTGTTAACATTAAAGTAACAGGGTAATAAAAATAGAATACCTTCATTATTCGTAAACAATATTTTGTAGTGTTTACTCAATCGCTTCGCCATGTAGTTTGCGTTTATTATAGCCATTTGAGTGGCTCTTTTCAATCCTTTAGGCCCCATTAGCTTTATGTAAGCATAGGAAATCGGTAAAATGGCACTAGAACCGTAGGGTGCAGCACTAACTGTGCCAAAGGATTGATGCCTCGCTCCGGCTGGACGAACAATTGGATGAGTTGGGAGATATGGTGCTAAATGAGCTTTTCTATAATAAAAGATTAAAACGGAAAAGTTAAAACTAAGATTCACATATTAAAAGTGCTCATTTCTTACACTCCTATTGGACCCATACCGGGCCCTCCTCCTCCATGAGGTATACAGAATGTTTTGTGTAAATTCAAGTGAGAAACATCCGATCCATAATCACCAGGTCTACACAAACCAACCTGGGCATTCATATTTGCTCCATCTAAGTATACTTGACCACCAAGATGGTGAATTAAATCGCAAATTTCTCTAATTTCTTTATCAAAAACACCGTTAGTTGATGGATAAGTTATCATCAACGCCGCTAATTTGTCACTCCACTCTTCTGCCTTGTTTTTCAAGTCGAGCATGTCAACTCCACCTTGTTTATTAACCTAATAAAATAGTAAAATTATTAAGCATTAATTTATTATTACTATTAACAAACTTTAATGTCTATAACATCCATTCCTGCCATTTTTGCACTAGCCGGATTCGTACCATGAGCAGATTCAGGTATAAGACAGACCTAGAGTAACAGTTTTTTACCAATTGCGGAAAATATTGATATATTTCATAAGAAAACAAAAACTGTGAAAATAAATTTACCACTCTATGCTTCTGATCATTATCATCCAGGTATGCTTTAATTGTCCTTAAACCTGCATATTCACCTTGAGCTCCGCTAGTTGAAAAAAAATTTTTATATTATAGTTTGATATGTGAAAAAAATGTGAAACCTGTTTGGTTGAAATGAAATCTTATCGTAGCCTGTAATCTCGCACAAATCTTTTTCAAAGTCCAAAAACAATTGTAAATAACCTTGAGCTTGTTCAATAGGTGCGAAGGGATGAATACTAGATAGAGCCGGCCAAGAGCTAGGCTGTATTGTTGATACAAACATTAAATCTTTATTTAACCGAACTCTGAACATTACTTACCATCATTTCCGTTGTACTATTCAATTTCATCGTACACGATCCAAGAGGGATCATTGAATGAACTAAAGATAAATCTTTATTCTCTAAGATTTTCATATATCTCACTATTTCAGTTTCTGACTGATATCTAAGAAAAAATTTCTTAATTTTAACTATATTCATAAATAACGCTTACTTACTTATTAAAAACTTCATGTTCCAGAAAAGATGATGTACGGCTGTGCTTTAATTTTTCAGTTAAATTTTCTTCCTCTTTAATTAAATCTTCCTATTTTATTAAAGTACATTATATTTTAACTCTTAGTATTCTATATATTTAGTTACCAAAGGGATTTCACAACCAAAAATCCATAAAAGATCTCTTACATCTTCATCTTCGATAGTCTCATCCAAAGAAACACCAATCTAAAATTATAACACGCAGGCGTGAGTGAATAAATGTTAAAATATGCTCTATTACATTGCCGTTTTCAAAATATCTCAAGTTGATTTTTTTCTGATTAGCTTTAATCATAATTTCAGAGGGAGTATAAACCGGTCGAATGTGTAGGGTATCGAAGAAATGTTCATTTTCTATTACATGACCTGTTTTTCTAAGTCCTAAAAAATCACATAGTAAATTAGATAAGACAGATCAAAACAAAATAACTTGTTGTTCACCTGCCGCGAGGACGCATGTAGCTTTATGAACTCTAGTACCAATGTGTTTTAGACCTTTAGGTCCGTGATAAACTGCATACATAGCAGACATATTAGCTAGCAGGGCTTGTGCTGTGCAAATGTTGCTCGTTGCTTTATTTCTTCGAATGTGTTGTTCTCTGGTTTGTAGAGCAAGTCGATAGCAATCTTTTCCATTTGAATCTCTGAAACAGGTTCCAAATTTATTTTTATATCAAAATGTACTAATAAGAGATAAGAACCAATCATTCGATTATTTGTGTACAAACCTCGACACTCCCACCATTCTACCTGGCATTAATCTTTTAAATTTATCTTTTACAGCAAAAAAGGCAGCATGCGGACCTCCGTATCCGAGAGGAACGCCAAATCGTTGAGTTGAACCAAGTGCTATATCGAAATCATATTCACCAGGAGGTTTAAGAGCCGTTAAAGCAAGTAGATCAGTTGCGCAAACAGCTAAACACTGTTGAATAATAGATGCTTGAAAAAACAGAAGGCAAATTACAAATCGTTTACTTGATGTTTATGAGCCTCCTCGACAAGATTTTGCATGTCATGTACGGTTCCTTCAGTGTCTGGGTACTGAAGTAGAAATCCTGCCACTTTTTTATCAAAAATCATCTTGTCACGATCAACAATATCTATATCTATTCCTAAGGGTCTGAAACCAAATTTTTATACTAATAATGCCTTTAAGCGGTGAAAAGGAAAGAGTTAAATACAAAGATCGTGTTAAACAGACGGCTATTGTTTGAGGATGACATTTCGAATCAATAATAAATTTGTTTCGTTTTGTTTGTCTGTGGCATAATGCAACTGCTTCAGCAGCTGCCGTAGATTCATCTAGTAAAGATGCATTTCCAATTTCCATTTTTGTCATATCGCAAACAAGAGTTTGATAGTTTATTAGACCTTCTAAACGTCCTTGAGATATTTCTGGCTGATAAGGCGTGTACTGCGTTGTCCTGAAGATAAAAATAGCTATATTTACTATATAGAATAAGTAGTAAGATACAAACCAGCCAGGGTTTTCAAACATATTTCGCAAAATAGTATTGGGTACATGGGTGTTATAATAGCCCATCCCCATGTAGGATCGCCAAACTTTATTATTTTCAGCTATTTTCATCAAACGGGATATTAATTCTGGCTCATCTATAAAAATATAATTTGCTTGATGACAATTTAATACTATAATACAAGCATTTAAATTAGATTAACCTAATTGCTCTTCAAGGTTCAATGGTCTTGTTAGTTTGATATTGTCAGGTATAGTTCGATTAGTTAATTCGTCTATATCCTGTAAATAATATTAAATTATTTCCTTCTTAACAATGAAATGTTGTCGAAAATAAGGTTAGTTGTGATTATATAGCAAAAAAAGGGCGTAAAGACTGATTTCTTGACACTTCAATAAACGGACAATATATTTTTAGCAGAGTATTGTATAGCTTGAGAACATGTAGACCAAACTTTCAGCTGAAAGACTATTTGGTAAAGAATAGGTAAATGTATAAGTATGCGTCTGTTTTTTAATGAACTTTTTTAGGTAATTATTTTTAAATGTTCTTTCAATCTATTATTAGAACGTGGAGAGAGAGTAGAGACTTAAAAATTGCTTATAGCTTTAATTTTTTTATTCCGTCATTTAAGAATTGCTATTTTTGGAACATTTCTGTTCTTGTGGTAAAATTGTTGCAGGTTAAGAGTTTTGTGACCTTGCGATTATTCGAAGAATGAATTACTGATCATTCTCTTGTCAATTCTCTTACATAATAATAATTTTAAAATGGGTATTTTAGAATCTGTAACCGAATTTTACTATTTTTTTAATTATACCTTTAAGCCAAGATACTTGATCATTTGGTATGCTTCTTCTTCAGTTGGTCCAATATGACGATTCGAAAAATCATCGTTCTTAGGAAAGTGATCTCTAAAGGTCGTTAAACTTCTCGCTGCTTTCTTGACAAACTGTAACGATCGTTTAGGACCGATTCCTTGGATTATACGATACATGTCTCGCAAACTGACTCAATGTAAAGCAGGTTTGAACCAGTTCTAACACTTATCACGCAAATATCAACCTGTTTTGCTGAAACGAACGATCCAAAACATTCTAACCCACGTGATTTCCCAAACGCGAGATCAACCAATGAACAATAATATTTCAGGGAAAGACTGGTAATTCCAATATTTCGCCTGTAAATGGAGCAGACGACATATAGTCTAAGTTGAAAGTTACGTGTTGTGGCTTTAATATTCCTATAAGCAAATAACTGTAAGTATCCTCTCAGAGACTTGATAGTAAATACAAATGCTCTATTACAAATTTCTCATTAAGAAGTTTTAAGACCTATTAGTAATATGGTACGTTAATGAAATTAAAGATAAGATATTTCAATATGCCTTGGGTGCATTGGACATATTCGTGCTTAATTACTCTCAAACAATAGCTTTGTAGTCATCTATTTTGCTTTATCAATTGTTAAAATGATTATACTCATGTTAATTTCAATTAAAGAAAATATGGTTTTTATCTTGATCTTACATTTCCTTGCATCATTCATTGCATTCATAAATTAAACTGAAATTATTGAAATCTCTTTCGTTTCAGATTCTTGCAAGCATGGGTAGTGTGGACGAAGAAATAGCCACGTTTAGACGAGATATTAAAAAAGGGTTTGTTATACACAAATCACAAATGTTAACAATGTAAATTCTTTCATGGTTTGTGTTATTAATACTTAAGGAATTCATTGACCTCTTATGAAATTGCTTTGAAAACTGTTAATATTCTACGAAAAGTAATCTCCGAATATCGATGGGCAAACGCTAGGTTAGTTAACATTATATTTGTCATTTCTGTTTGTTATTGCCTATTTATTACATTTAGAGAACTAATGGAGGAAATGAAAGAAAAGGGAAAGAATATGATGAGCGTTGCATCCAATCAATCAACTATCGGAAATATGGTTCGAAAAGGTTAATAGAATATAAATACTGTTTTATTATTGTAATAAATTAATTATCTATAGTGTTGAAAATTGTACGAGAAGAACATGCAAGGTTAATTTTTATCATATTTTTGTATCGCATCCTATGTAAAATGTAAATGTTGTTTATAGATGTCTCGAAGAGGATGATAATACTATTGAGCCAGTCAGAGAGGAATCTTTAACAAAATTATACTTGCTTAAATCAGAAGATACTTTTTCTCGTCCAGTTGAAAATTTAAGGACGAATATGTACGAAGCATTGACTGACTTAATATCAGAATTGGAGACAAGGTAGTGTTGTTTTGCAGATATATAAATATTTGCTAAGTGCCTAAATATTTTTTCCAATTATTAACTAGTCGAGAAGATATAATAAATCAAGCAGCAGAGCATATTCACTCAAATGAAGTAGTCCTTACATTTGGTTATTCAAGTATAGTCCTAGCATTTTTCAAAGTGATACTATCAAAGAGTAAGCTCTTACAAATCGTATAACATTATTTCTTTTCTTTATGTAGAAAGCAAGAAAGCAGATAGAATTTCAAGTTATTGTGGTTGAAGACGCACCAAAATTCAATGTAAGTTTCCATCGTTTGTTAATTTTTCAACTTTAAATAGAGTATATCTTTTAGGGTCAAAAAATGGCTGCGGAATTGGCACAATCTAAAATTAAAACAACTGTTATAAATGACTCAGCTGCCTTTTCGATAATGGCAAGAGTGAATAAAGTTTTCATTGGTACACACGCTATAATGGCAGATGGAGGGTAAGGTTGCATACAGTTACCTTTTGTTTAATAATACTTTCTTACCTCTTCAGTTTGAAAGCAAAATGTGGTATTCATAATATAGCTTTAGCAGCTAAGAGACATTCTGTACCAGTATGTAAAGTTGCTCTTTAGAATTGCAATATTATTAATTAGTTTCATTTTATAGGTTATCGTTTGTGCTGCACTATATAAGCTCTCTCCAGAATTTTTCACGTAATTTTTATAAATGTAGCTACTTTCAGATATAGTTTTAATAAGAAAATATCCTTGCAGATCACATGATCAGTCATCTTTCAATAAGCTTGGCTGTCCTCAAGAAGTTCTCAATTTTGCAGAGTGTGGTATTCCCAGCGATGTTCAAGTATACAATCCTATTTATGATTATGTTCCACCCGATCTTGTAACTCTAATTATAAGTAACATGTAAGTATACATAACTAACTATTCTTACGATCAATCTCTATAGATCTAGATATAGTTTCGGTTTTATTGATCAAAGTTTCATATGTCACATATTGTCTGATTGAAGTTGTATATAATTATATTATCTTATACTTAGGCTACTAGACAAATTTAAAAGCAAAACTTTTTCAGAGGAGGAAATGCCCCAACATACGTATATCGACTTTTGAGCGAGCTATATCATAGAGACGACTACATCTTGTAAACATACTCTGTTGCTTCCTTAATGATTGATATCAATAAATAAATTCTAAGTAGAACTTTGTTGTAGTTTAGCCGCGCTAGTTCTTTACCATTTATTCAGAAAATGGGTGTCACGTGACCCAATATAAGGCCTAATATTTAACGATAAACGTTCCGAGTATTGAAGCAGTGTCCTGTTGAATCGGTTTTTACATGTGCGGTATATAACGCTCATCGCACCAAAAATATGAAAAGTTACTGATATTTTTGATTTAGTTGTATTCTTAATTTAATTACAAGAACATTATATTATATATTAACAAACTATGGATCGAAATGTTGATGGAGAGGGTAACAAGGCATCCATGTCTGTCCCACAGCTAAATAATATGGTATAGTTATCTATGTGTAGATATATAAGTGTTCATTTATTCATTTCTTCTCTTAATTTAAACATTATTTCACGTCAAGGTTATAATCTTAAGAAAATATGTAAAACAAGCAAAAGTTCGGTGCATAAGAAAATTAACTCAAGATATTCAAAAGTTGAGAAAAAATAAGTCAGTAAAATATGTAACATTTCTTGAATGATTCTAATATTACATTAAACAAATGACAGGAAATTAAGTAAAGATAAAGCGGAGAGAAAAGTTCAGAAGACTTTAGAAGAAATATCATTAATAAAGGTTTGATATAATTACAAAAATATTTTGTATTCCATTACAGAAAAAACCTATTAAATATTTCCTTATTTTAGTCGTTAAAACCGGATATGGTTTCGAAATTTGCTTTATCAAATACCGAGAAATTTGATGGCAACAAAACTGAGGGAAAAATTGCTCACAAAAGTCTTCTACGGTTAGCTAACTGTAGTGTTCTGGAAAATTTTGTACAAAAATGGCGGGAAGAACACTCTGATTGGCAATCATTAGCTGCTTTTGTTTCTACAAAAAATACTGGTAGAAGATTTAAGCAAAAGGTTAAAACAGAAAAGGAGAAGAAAGTTGATAGATTATTGGCCGAAGAAGAGATTGAACGTTTAAAGAGTAAAATGAAAGGAGGTAGTATATCGAAACTGTTTGAATCGAAAAATAAGAAGAAAGAAGCTATTCCAGAAGAGTCTCTATTGGATCAGAGTGAAAATGATGAAGATAGTACAGATAGTGAGGAATATGTAACTTGTTACGAAGAACTAGAGAAAACTCCTAGTCCTGAGGCAACACAGCCGAAAGAAACTAAAAAGGAAAATATAAAGTTTGATAATGAGGAAAAGGTTGACAAACAGAGCACACAGAATAAAAAGTTAATGGAAATAAAAGAGTTTGACTTAATGAACGAAACTGATGAAATCAGTGTCGATAATTCCATTATACTTGATAGTGATGTATCTCAAAAGAAGAGAAATAGGGACAATTTCTTCCTTGCTAAAGATGCGGATAGCGACGATGGAGCTTCCGAAATTGAAGAATCTGATGAAGAAATGGAAGAGACAAATAATACTGATATAAAGAGAAAGAAAAATGTAGAGAGCGTATTTGTAACATCTCTTAGCACCAAAAATAATAAGAGAAAGAATTTCGCGCCAAAGTAAGTTAATTTTATGATTAATTTATTAATATTATTAATAATGGTTTTCCTATATTTCTTAAAGGAAAATGGAAAAAACGCAAAAGAATAAACCGTTTGCTCAAGAAAAGCCAAAGGAAAAATCATTTGCTGAACCAAAATTTAAAAAGAAGCCAGGTATACAATAATTATATTGATATTTTAAATGTTTACTTATTCATTTTTTTCATTATCGATAATATAGAAAAGAGAGAAATTGCCCAAGGAGAGAAACTGCATCCATCTTGGGAGGCCAAAAGGAAAGCAAATCAGCAACCATCTCTCAATTCTTACTCAGGAACGAGAATTACATTTGACGATGATTAAAATACAAGATATATAGATATATTTATATATCTTGATTGCATAGTTTTCAACTATAATTGCAAAGCTTTTGTACATTGAAAGATATTTTTTTTCATTTTAGAAAAAAATGAAAAAAATAATAAAAAAAAGATCACGTGATAATTGAATTTTTCTTTCAGTTGTTTGTTAATTAGTATATAAAGTACAAGAAAGATGATAAAATATAAAATAAAACATAATCATTATAATTAATAAAACGTTTGCTGATTGTTTTTAATCTAAAAAAATTCACTGATAAAGTATACAATATCATGTTTAATGAGATATAAAGATCTTGTTTCTCATATTCTATAGGCTTGGAGATGTGAAATTTTCTCTTTTTTTTTTCCAAAGCGAGTTGCTGCGGCTTTTCCGATTCCTTTCTCCTTCATTCTCTTAATCGCCAACCTTATGAGTACTCATAAAAAATCAAAAATTAACTACTAATATGTTTAAATATGCATGTTTTTTAAATAATCCTATATATTTATTTATTTACAATTCTTATTATATAAACTTATAAGAGAGAAAGTTGACATTTTTTAATATCATTCCTTCGTTCCATTGCTTATATCGGAGTATACATAATTTGCATAAATTAAAATGAATCTAAAAAAAAAGAGCGTCATTTACAAATATCATCGCAGCGTTAATTTAAAAAAAGTCATTTTTCGTATTTTTGAATATGTTATTTACTTTAATAAAATGTTGATCATATTATGGAGAAACAAGTTGGAAGCCTATAAACACGACTGTAAAGACCTCAAAGTGTACGTAGAACACGATTTTAATTAAAAACGATACAACATGTTTTTTTTGTTCAGCTAGGGGCGTCGGTTCATATGAAAGGAAAAATATGTATAAGATTTTAGATTCTCTCTTGAAATGACAAGCGATTGAATATTAAAAAGTTTTTTTTAATATTTTATATGCAGAGTTTATAAAATAAGATGGTCGTAAATGTTGAATCTTTAAATCGGACTGTGGATGAAGTTATAAGTAATTTCAAATGCCATGATAAAGGATTATTTCTACCTTTAGTTAACGAATATACATGGCCAATTAAAGCAAGAGCGTCTCTTTATTTTTTATCTTTAGTATGGTCATTCTTGGGTGTGTCAATTATTGCTGATAAATTTATGGCGTCTATTGAGGTTATAACGTCAAAAACAAGAAAAATTAAGTATACGGATCCGAATGGTACGAATATACTTTTGCATCTTTTTTTTTATGAAAAATAAGAAATGGATAATACTAGATAAAAACAATTGAACATCAATATCGATTCTCTCCTAACTCATAGCTTGGGAGAGAGAGATATCGATAATTGTATTAAAAATATGCAATTATTGCTTCTATATTAATTCATTATATATTTAAACTTATGCTAAATATTGAAAGAAATCATATTTAATAAGATACCTTTTTTCTGATTTGATGTAATTATAAACAGATAAGAATGTATCGCACTATATTGAAGTTCCAGTTTGGAATGATACAGTTGCGAATTTAACTTTAATGGCCCTTGGTTCTTCTGCACCGGAAATTCTATTGTCGTGTATAGAAATTATATTTAATAACTTTGAAGCTGGTAAACTAGGACCTGGAACTATTGTTGGTTCGGCTTCATTCAATTTGTTAGTTATAACCGCTGTCTGCGTTGTCTCAATTCCTAATTCGGAGAGCAGGAGCATTAAAGAATTTAACGTATTCGCTATAACGGCATTTTCTTCCGTTTTTGCCTATATATGGCTTCTTATAATCCTTATTGGAATTTCTCCAGATCACGTTGACCTATGGGAAGCTATTGTAACATTTTGTTTCTTTCCAGTATTAGTAGTAGCTTGTTACATTGTCGATAAAGGTTGTTTTGGTGTTTTTAAAAGGAAGCAAGACAATGATCAAGAGGCAACACTAGGTGCGTAAGAAAAGAAAATAAATGCTGTCCTTTACGAACTAATCTAAGTATAAAGCACGATTCAAGTATGTAATTATTATTGTACAGGTATATCAACTGAGGATGAAAAATATCGTAAAGATTTGATGCAATATATTAAGGTATACATTAAATAGACGACATTGATATCTTATTATTTAGTTAAAAGTATTAGTTATACGTATTAAGTTATATATATATATATGTATGTTTTTAAGCATTTAAAAATGGATGAAAATTATCAAGATTTAACGGAAAAAGAACTTGAGTCTCTAGCTAGAGCGGAATTACAAAAGATAAAACCCCCTCAAAAACGGACAAGAGCGTATTGGGTAAGAGAAGGTATGAGAGTCTTAACCAGACGGCAATCCTTAACCCTTTCTCCCAAATTAATCCAAAAAAGTGGAGAATTACGGTTATCCGATGTTCCAAGGAAGTACGCTGTTATAGAATTTGAAGCATCATCAAGTGTTGTTAGAGAGAACCAGGGATATGCTACGGTATTTGTTCAAAGGAGAGGCAATATCGAAATACCGGCTGTATGTAAAGTACATACAACCGATGGAACTGCAAAAGTGTCCGAAAATGATTATCAACCTTTAAATAAAATTGTTCTATTTAAAGCGAATGAGACTAGGAAACCCGTATTGATAAAAATCATTGACGATAACGAATTTGAAGAGAACGAAGTGTTCTTTGTCCAAGTAAACTCCCTCGATTGTTCATCTATAATAGACTGTTTAAAGGATGACGAAGCTGATACAACAGATATTAGAAAATATTTTGACGAATTAGGAATGTTTAACATAAAAGATGATGAATTTGAGATTAGACTATCGAATGTTTTTGATTTTGGACTAATGAAAATCGGATTGAATAAAATTCACGAAGTTATCATTGAAGATAACGATCAGCCGGGTACTTTAGAATTTAAGCATAATTGCATGCTTATAAAAGAGCATTGCGGGCACGCTAGAATACCCGTCACCAGACTGGATGGATGTGACGGTGATATTCAAATTAGATGGTATACTAAAGATGGAAAATCCAAATTAAATAGAGATTATTTAGGGAAAGAGGGCTATTTAAAATTTTGTAATGGTCAGCGTCAGAGGAATATCGAAATAGAAATTCTCAAAGATGCTTTACTTGAAGAGGTATAAAATCTAAGTAACCTGAAAATACGTTATTCTATTCTAAATTAAATTTCTTTTATCAGGATACAGGAGGCTTTGAAGTGTTTCTCGATCCTGATGACGCAAGTTTGGGTGTAAAAGTAGGTAAAATCGATCGAGTAGCAATAAGCATCCTTCCGGACGAAGAATTTCGAGGTGTTTTATCTAGAATTGTCAATAACGCCAATCAAGATTTATGGCATATCGAGTTGCATAAAACCACGTGGAAAGAACAGTTTAAAAATGCTTTTTCTGTAATTGAAGGTGATATTGATAAAGCATGTGCCATCGACTATATTTTGCACTTTTTATCCTTCTTTTGGAAAGTATTATTTGCATGCGTGCCACCCCCTGGTATTATGGGAGGATGGTTATCGTTCATTTTCTCTTTGTCATTGATTGGATTGTTAACTGCTATTGTTGGAGATTTAGCTGCTATTGCAGGTTGCCTATCAGGATTGGACGATTCAGTAACGGCAATAACCCTAGTTGCTCTTGGAACTAGTTTACCTGACTTATTTGCTAGTAAACAAGCCGCTTCAAAAGAGTCGACAGCTGATAATTCAATAGGTAACATTACAGGAAGTAACTCAGTCAATGTTTTCCTTGGTTTAGGCCTGCCATGGGTGATAGCGTCAATTTACCATACGACAAAAGTAACTTTATCTAACTTATAAATATTAATTATTTAATGTTATTAAAACAATACAAATATTTCTCTTTTAGAACAAAACTTTCAAAGTGGAAGCTGGAACTTTGGGTTTTAGCGTCTTAGTTTATTCCGTATTTGCTTCTATCTGTGTTGCTTCATTATTTATGCGCAGGAAACTAAAAGCGTTCGGAGGAGAATTAGGAGGAAGTACAAAACTTAAATGGTTAACTGCCATATGTTTGATTTTGATGTGGTTCGTCTACATCGTATTATCGGCTCTGCAGACATACAAGAAGTTAAATGTTCAGCTTGTCTAAAGTTAAAATCTTGTTTATAAAAATCTAAGAAAATACACATGTACAGTAATAGTCTGAGTACATATGAATTAATTTAACGAGCTGGTGGAGCTGGTGTAGAACTTTTACCACCAATCGTATTTGCACTTTTCTTTACAACATTGAGGAGCGTTTGTGAACTCTCTAAGATCTGTTAGAATGCATTGAATTATTTAACTGTTTTCCCTTGTTTTCAAAGTATTTTATCCGACATTACCTTCATGTAGGCTGCTTCTGTTTCTCGTATAGTATTATCGTATTCGTTTCTGGCAGCCATTTTTTTACTAAGGCTTTCGTTGACTTTAGCCAAACGTTCTGTTAGACTTCTAATATCATTTTGTAATTTCCGTTTTTCTTCCTCTTCTTCTATGATTTGCTTATGTAATTCGTCTCTTTTTGAGCACAACTCTTCAATGCCTAATCAAAGTGAGAAAAAAACTGTTTTTAACATCTGAAAGCAGCATTTGAGTAAATTTTACTTACACTTGACCAACTCATGATTATAAGTCTGTAATGCTGCCCCAGTTTGAGACATGACTAACTTAAAAATGAGGTGTTTGAGAAAGATCGAATTTAAAAATGAGCGATAAAGGGAGAATTGTATGTAAACAAAAAATGTAGTTCTGTCGCCATGTAAATCGGTTTTATTATTTTCGTATTTTTGCGACTAGCAGAAAAGATATCGTTAAAAAAATAGAATAATCTGGTAAAAAGTTTTTTAAGACATTCGAAAATAGCTTTGAATATTTGGCGCGATGGAAGAATGTAATAGATTGCCTTATGATTAATAAAGCATCTAATATTAGCATTAAATTTTCTGTTAGTCATAAATTGTCAGGCTTTCTCTTTGGTTTCTTTAATGTTCTTTTTTTTGCAGTTTAGTAGACTTAAAATAAGAATGAACTGCTTTATTAAAAGTGCGACTGAATGATTAATATACTAATACATTAGTATATAGTTTATATATATATATATATATTTAATTTTATAGGGAACATTTTTTTTGGCAACAAATAACAAATACTTAAAAAACTGTAGAAAGTTTCATAACTTCATATCCTATTTATCTGACGATCTTCTTAAATCGTGCCACTTTGACATGATCGGCTTCGCTCCAGCTCTAACCATTTTATGACCATAATGAGCGTAGAATCTATAGAAAGGGAACATTAAGAGTGATCGACAAACAATAGGACAGGAGCATAAAAATACAATATGACAATCAATATATGCTACTTACAATCCGAATAGCATTCCGGACAAATGAGCGGCATGATCAAATAATCTCCATCGAAAGATTATACCAAGAACATCAATTAGAATCAAACCATTCTTGGCCTGAGGTTTTTTCAATAGAAGGGAATATTACCGATAAAAATCAATATAATGAAAGAAAAAAAAGCCTTACATTGTCAGCTGTAAAAGAATGAGGTATTAGCTGGTCTACGAACGCAATACTTAGGCGAGCTTCTGGAAAGCGTGCACAAGTGAGCCCTAAAATAGCCATTATAGCTCCCGACTTCAAAAAAGAAAATAAATATCAAATAGACGCTGTTAAAAAATCTCTCTTGTGTGCAACTCACGGCTCCTAGGGATGGAACTCTACTATGCGTTAGTGCTTTGAAGATGTAACTCCCGTAATTAGATAAAAGACCTGTTAAATTATGATCTATGCACTGATAATCACAGTATAACTTAATTTATTAACCTGAAGTAACGAAGAATGCCACCATTTCCGGTGCTCCGAGCAGTGCTCCTGCGGCGTACGAGAAACTCCAAAACACATACATATTTGCTAACAAATGAAATGTATTGTAATGACTCCAAAATGAAAAAAACATTGATGATGATGCTGCTTTTGAATATGGACTTGATGAAAAATATTTAAGCATATATCGGCTAAGAGCTGGTACTTTCCAAGCTAAGAATACCCCTGTATTTATGGCAATGATAGAGACAGCTACTTTTTCTGTTAATTTCATTCTTTTCCATATTGAATGTATCTAAAATTAATTATAGATTAAAGAATACTTTGTAATACGTAATAGAATCCTTACTTGGCCACGAATACCCGAATGAACATTTGTGAACTGTTTTGACATAGAATAAGCTTTCTGACGCAATATTTCATATTGCCAAACCATACAAGCTCCATAGGCAGTAAGACTGACCTGAATATCAAATTTGCTATATAAAGCTAACATTGAAGTAAAAATATATTAACCCCAACACCCATTACTAAGGGTTTAATTAAACTAGGCCTAATATTGGGTTCAAGGTTCTTATCAGGAAAGAGGCTTCTCTTAGGTGAACTTTTTGTGTGTACTGTTTGGCCTCTTTGCCAAAAAGACTTAGATAGCCCAATATCTCTGAACGATTGCACATTGCCAAATCTAAATTCATTGTAAAAAATTAAAAATTTAAGATTCTCTGAAAAAAAAATGACAGCTGAAGAAAAATTAGGAAATGTGTTTACTTTTTCGTTGAAGTATTTATTGTATTTCTAAAACAGGAAGAGCTGAGAATGATTCTTAAAGACATATTTCAACTTTGTCGAAATTTCAATGTCAAGGTCAAATCGAGGGAAACCGGTATAAGTCACATAAAACATACTGAAGTTAGATGCGAAAAAAGTAGTTGAATTGTCGTTTAGGATTCAACACTATCGGAAATGTCAAGTTCGGAAGAAGATATACTAAAGCCGTGTTTGCCGGTTGGAGATGTTGAAATGGAAGAAAACGATGAAAGTGTTTATGCGTCGACCAGTAGCGGTTACCTAAAATTTGTTCAGTGCGTGACCGATAATGAGATAAAATGTTTTTCTTTAAATGAGCTAAACTTTCAGAGAAGAAAGGAAAAAATGCCCAAAAGTAGTGGTAGCAAAGAGGAAAAAGGAAGCTAAAGTAAAACAAACAGTATTTTATACATCATCTGAGGATGATGGCTTAATACCAGCTCCTGATGGTCTTGGATCACCTACCGACTGGCAAGACTATGTTTTAAAGCATTTTGATAGTCTCAGAGAAGTAAGCAATAATTGTGATTAAATATGGAATTAACTCAACATATTTTTAGCGAATGTGCGACGTAAGACTACAAAGAAAGCCTTCGAAAAGCGGTGTAAGTATGCAAGTCACTTTACCAATGGCTTTGTTGTTGTTTTTAATCAAGTAGTACCTTTATCTTGAAGATTAAGAATTTATCCGAAAGGGATTGCTGCCAATTTTGTCTAGGGACGGATTCCCCAGAGGAAGGTTCGACATTAATGATATTAGTTTTAAGAAAAGTTTATCAGACAAAGCATTACTTTTGTAGAGAATCCTGAAACTGCTCAACAACCGTCATTTAACATTTTACTTACACTCAACGCCGCTAAGATTAACTACTTTCTCAGTGTATTCGCCGATTGGCTGGACGATTATGAATTGACCTCTTTAAAATCAAAATGGTTATACGCATTTCTAATCGCAATAGAAACACCGCTAGTTCCTCACGTCTGTCACGATTTAAGAAGAATTGCAAGAGGTTGCGCTCGACATCGATCGACTTGTACGATAGACTCTGAATTCTTAGCTCAGTATAATCTGTTTATTACCATAGTTACCAGATATTTCGGACAATTTGATTTGATTGGCTAGTATATTTTAATTTATTTGCTAAATTAATACAATTTTTATTTACTTTGCTATGGTTCATGCTCGATTGTTTTAAAAGCTGAATGTAAATCATAAAATAGAAGCTTTCGTTTAATAGGATAAGGTAGAGGTTGGAGGTTAATCTTCTTGCGGACTTTAGGTTTTAGTGCCTGACGTAGTTTGTTCGCTGATAAACATAAAAGTGTTGGAACAACCTGTCGAAAGACAGAGGTAGCTCCGGCTTCTACTAGTAGATCAACGATTGGCTCGAATTGTAGAGCTCTTGCTAGATCAAGAGCATGTACGGGTTTATCCGATATGTTCATAATTGTTCCCGACACACAAGCGTTGACATTGCAGCCTTCCTGAACTAGCCTCAAAGCTGTTAGAGGTTGACAGGCAATTATAGCTAATATCAAAGGAGTTCTATTGTCTCCATCGAGAACGTCAACGTTCGCTCCGTTTTCTAAAAGTTCTTCTACTGTTTCTACAAAGCCTCTCTGAGACGCTTGATGAAGCGGAGTAAACTTCCATAGAGTACTATCCTGCTTATTTACGTCTAATCCAGCGTCAACTAAGCGTTTAATAATTTTGAAAACACCATTTTCCGCAGCTAAATGTAAACAAGTTTTTCCAGTATCGTCCTCAATATTGACTTTACTCTTCTTTAATAGAGCCGTCACTAATTCAACCTCACTCATCGCTGCCGCCAGATGCAGTGCCGTCTGTTGACGTTGGCCAGCCCTAAGGTCGACGTCGATTTCGTCGATTTCTATTAGCTTGCGCGCTAAATCGAAGTGCTTCGTTTGAATGGCGTAATAAATTAGGGGCTCACTATTAACAAGTCCCGGGAAGTATTTAATTATTAACGAAACACATCCGTTCAAGCCTGATTTAGTAGCTAATGATAAAGGTGTTCCATTTACGCTCCGTTGGCTAAAATCAGCATTATATATTATAAGTCTCCTTAAAACATTTTCCGCATTTTCGTTATCACCCAAAAGCGAATAATGGATACAATTCATATCTGATTTACAAACGATGGAAATGTCGCAGCCTTTTTGTATCAAAAAATCGAGAGCATCTATTCTACCAAGTTCTGCGGCAAACATTAAAAGCGTCTTTCCATCATCGTCTTGTTCATTGAGATCAAGTTTCGAATTCGAGTTTTCCACTAAATCCACGAATTTAGAGAAATTATCGGCCAATAGTTTCCTTAATAGATTATACATTTCAATTAGAATGATCTTTATAGATATTATCTTAGAGTTTCTATCATGTTTAAATAATAAATAATTAAATATGAATTTTTTAAAAATTATATCTCTGTCACATTGCCGAAAGATATTTTCCAGGTAAATGAAACGTGCTTAAAGCTCATACAAACGGGGTAAAAATCGATGCGTCTTGTGCCGATTACCCTCCTTGTTACTCCAGTTAGATTAATTAACTACTTGTTAGGGCTTTCTTTCAATTTTCCTAATATTTATTACTTATTAACTACAGATTACTTACTTTCTATAGGCGGTCTATTGTTCCATTAATCCTTATTTAACTAATTTAATAATAATATTCTATATTTCACTTTTATAATAATTAATACAAGATAATAATTCTGTTATTAATATTGAAATATGTTTATTTGTAAAATCGTAAATAACATTAAATAAAACAACAATGCGTAAATAAATTCATTCATAAATAGTTTAAAAAGCTATAAAGAACATTTATATAAAAATTTCAATACATATAATATATTTTGTAGGTAGTCAAATTTTCTTCCCCCAAAGATGAATCATAGACGATACCATATTCATCAACATATATTCATATGGATGGGTATTTTTTTTTAAATATTTGTCTTTTTTATCCTATGGTGCAATAGCAAATTACAGTTGAACTATCTAGAAAAAAGTCTGCTCAATGGTTAATTTATATTTACAATATTGTAAAAAATTTCAATATTCAATTGTTTTTTCTTTTTACTTTTCTTTTGCAGTTTGCATATTATGTTTCTCTTTCCTCTTTTGTTTTGCAGTATCTATATCGTTGACATAGTACAGATCACTTTACATTAAAGACTTCACAAATACCAGGCTGACGTGTAGCGACGCTGAGAAATTCTTTCCTCGTAATGATTCCATCACCATCACCATCCATTCGTTTGAATATATCTTCAGTTTGCACAGCTGCCAGATGTTCAGTATCTTCAAAACCCTTCATCTTTAATATAGCATTTAATGCGTGAATAATTTCGTTACGGCTTAAAGTTCCCGAATTATCAGTATCGTACATATCGAATACCCAATTTAGTCTCTCCTCTTTGCTTCCCCTACACGTCACACTTAAGGTTGTCATAAATTCTCTAAAATCTATAGTACCATTATTGTCAGAGTCATATGCCTGGAATATTATATCAGCTAGATCATCACTATTTTGCTGTCCTGAAATGGTCGAGTACATATATCTAAAATCTTCTCTTTCTATGTAACCAGTTGGAAAATCCTGATGAAATCGATCATACCAAGTTTGTAATTCAGACTGACTAAACTTTGTTTCAGTTCGTAGTTTATCAAGTATGCAACTAGTTTCAGTTTTATTTTTAGTTTTTGATTCTCCGTTTCCCATATTTAAAATGGCGATCACTGCTTAACAAAACACTATTTGAATGATAAATTCTATATAAGGCCAAATATATTGCTCAGAATCATTTGAATATTTAGGCCACCTCTATTCAAGAATAAGGAATAACAAATAAACCAACTACCTACCTATATTTTTCTTAGCACTAGGCTTTTATACATCTCAGATGGTTAATAATTCTTTAAAGTGTGTTATTCTCTGACTTTACCTTCTTTTCCTTGATGATTAAATAGTGATCGATACTTTTTTTTTTATTAAAAAATCAATATATTCAAACAAACGTGTAATGAGAGCCGAAATAAATCAATATATTCATCAAATCAACATGCTATGAAAGGCCAAAAAGAAACGTTTAATCGAAAATACGTTTAAAAAAGATTCATTTGTAATTATTACGCAATAATGATATGATTTTTGAAGTTTTATATGATTTTTATACTTATTATCTAAAAATAATTCCTTTCTTCTTTTGTCTAAAATCTTTATCTTTATCTCTTTCTTTCTTCGTTTCTCTCTCTCTCTCTCTCTTTTTCTGCCCATCTTTTTAAATACGATAATGAAAGAGAATAAATGATCATATAATAAATCATGTTTAGATTAAATTGTGTTTTAACTATCTAGACTCTCTTTTAGAAAACACATCCGTACAAGTCAATTATATAAATGTATAGGCTTATATATTCAATTGCATAAATTAGAGGTAAATTTTGCATAATGAATCAGCTTCTTTTGGAGAATTGATAAATTTTCAATTTAAGAGTCTTTACCAAACATCTCACTTGTCCACAAAGTCGTTGGTTACACCCCTAGAGAGTTGCTCTCCTCAAAGTGAAAAAAAGATGGATAAATGCCATCAAGTTGGGAGGAGTGCTGCTAAAAGGGTGTGTTTACAAATATTCTCTACTAAAGACAGGGAGAGGAATAGTTAATGTACTAAAATAACAGTATTTCTTTTATCTTCTATAGCAACATGGAGGCAGTTCTGAAGCTACAAACTGATTTAAGAGGATCACCTATTCATATTAAATCTGAACTGATTGGAATTTGATACCCCTATTAAAGAATCTTATAATTATTGTAATGTTTTCTCAGACGACAAAATGCCTCATGATGACAAAGTTCTTCTTGATCCGACGTAATACGAAGCTTTGACACACCGTATGCTGTCAGATAAAATTCTGCCCTTATCCAAGTACCTCCATGAACTTTTTACTTAAGTTAATCTCAAAGTTAAGGAACACACTGTTGTTTCGAAATGGTGCCGTACAAAGCTTTTATGAATAAAGTATAGAGATAAGTAAAGAACTAAAATCGCCATAAAAAATGCTTGTAAAACTGTTCAAACGAACTGATACATTCAGAAAGGTGTGCTATTTTAAAACACAGCTCTTTGGACATGTTAGATAAAGTTCATGATTTCTCTCAATATGATATTGGTTCTGTATTAATTGGCATGACAACACCTGGAGCTAGTAAAAAATCAAGCTTTTGTAGAATAGACGATGGGTTAATTCATATCTAAAAATATCTTTATTAGGGCTTGAAAGTATAAGATTGTTTGTTCAAAAGTAGCGTACAGAGAATTGTGGGTTATGTTCGCCCTATTTATACCAATTTAAAAAATGCTGATGAAGTAACGAAATCTCTGGAATTGTAAACTTTTTCAATCACGGCCGCACGAAAGATAAGAAAAATAAAGTTCCTCTTTAGACTCTTTTTTTCTTTAAGCAGATACAAGAACATAAGAGAGAAGACGATGAAGAAGATTTGGGAATTTTTAAGGAAGTAAGAGCAATTGATAGTTTACATGTTATTATGCTATAATCATTGAAAACATGTGATTATAGTCATGAATAATCGCATATAGGTAGATAAACACGATCAATTTGTGACATAGGTTCACTTACTGATCAGAATGAACTATGATTCCAATTGCAAAGAAGAAATTTCAGAAGAAGGATGTCCAAAATGAAGATCATCATGATACTGGATATTATCCTATTGGAATATGTACAATTAAGTGTAATGTATTGCTTGAGTGTGGACACATATGTTGCAAAAATTATCATCCTTTTGAAATTGATCATAATTGCTATCGTTATGTTGAGCAGGTTATTAGTCCTCTCTCTCTCTCTCTCTCTCTCTCTCTCTCTTTCTTATTCCAAAAGAATGAAATGGGATGAATCTCTAAATTGCGATCAGAAAGTAGAATATATTTTCCTGGTTGTAGACATAAGAAATTAGTTCCTTGAAGAGTTATGAGAGAGTATTTTTCGAACAGAAGCGTTCAGTAACTCTATATTGTACTACATATGAAGAGATGCTGGCCAAAACTTTCACAATTTCTTATCAGGAATATTATACATACATAGATGTTTGTAATAAATCTCAAACTGGATTACAAAAAGCCATGGCAATGGAACCTGTACACGAGAACTTAGTTGTGATCATCATAATATATGTAATGAAATATTTCGTTCTTGTGGCCAATCATATGAAAACGGTAAATGTGTGCTAGCCCTGACGGAAACAGTCAAAGGGATTGTTTAATTACAATTAAAGTTACAATATCGACATTTATGAAGGAATAAGAAACAAATGTTAAGTAGCTTTAAATCGGTAAAATATTTTGCTATGTTTGTCATGTAACACTCACATTTAAACAAAGTTATCCATGGCACTAGTCAATTTTAATATTTTTGTGAAACTCAAACCAGATTCATCAATTTTCTTGTAAAAGAAATCGGGTACTTCTTCACGAACTGTTTGCAGTTGATATAACATTTTACCATCAAAATCTTGTAGGAAATCTTTCAAATCAGCAATGTTCTCTTTCTCAATCCATTGGTTAATTCTGTCTTTATCCCATGTCTTCACTTCGTCTATGTTTCTTTTTTCACTTTTAAAAGATGCTAAAATTACGTATCAAAATTAGATTAGTTTAGTATTTCTTTACAATTTCAGTTACTTACGTGCCATTGTAGATGGTGCTGTTGTTGGAACTATGGCTTGATTATTGCTATCATCTGCATCTAGTATTCGATTTATTTCCCTTAGCAGCTTTTCCAAAGCCTTACTGAAGCTGAATTTGCCATCAAAATTAATATAAAACTTGGAGCCCATAAGGATACCCAACCAGCCATCTGGCTTATATCCTCTTTGTGTCATAATTGGTACAAATGGTTTTTGTAGTTTGAACATATACTCCGCCTCTGCTCTACAGCTGGGGCTCATCTTATATGATTCGGATAGGGCAACAACAATTAAACCACTTTCTTCAATGCCTTCTGCCATTTTTTCAAGAGTAGAGCCAGTCATTTGTTCAACATCGAGCCAAATATCAAAGCCGTTTTTCTTCAGTTCATTTGACAAATCTACAATTACGTCTTGAAAAGCCCAACTATAGCTTATAAAAATCTTCTTCTGAATAGTTTGATTTTTCTGTTGAGCCAACTTTTTTTTCATGTCTTCCTCACTGTTTCCATATAATATCCATAAACAGCCTTTAGCATTTTTACTATCCTTATCAGATCCCTTTTTAGCCAAAATTTCTAATTCAGTTTTACTCTGTTCAAGAATAATTTCCTTGCCCTCTTCATCAAATGCCAAAGACCATAGAACTTTGGCGGCGTATTGTCTTTCATCGAAATTTTCTGATGATAGAAGTTCAGTAAGAACGGGAACTATATCTTTATTCAAAAGAATTTTCTTATTTTCATCGTACGCCGCTAGCCTATCCAAGCCTAAAAGTAACTCATCTGGAGAAAATCCCGAATGACGTCTTTTAGACGATTCTAGAGCCTTCTTTAAAAAATTAATGATTTGACTTATAATAACATCTTTCCCACCGAGTTTATCAGCATTTTCCCCCTCCTTTACAACAGCTGATAGGAGCATTATAGATAAAGTTTGTAGAAATACAATTGAACTATTAATATAAATTTCTGCTGCAGGTCCGACACCATTTTCACGCAAGTGATCAATCAAGTGAGGAAATCTTCCCATATTTTGCAGGATACTTAAAGACGCTTTTAGTAAATATAAAACATTCTTTAAAAGATAAAAAGGTTTTGTTAATAATTTAATAAAACCTAATATAAGATAATTTTATACCTTGCTATTGGCGTTATCAGTATATGGTTTGTGTTGCAAGTTTGCTACCAACAATTTAGTAATGTCATTTTCCATTAGTTCCTATTTTTTGATTAAATTAATTAGATATTTGAAAAGATTTTTATATAAATGTTCAACTTACAGTACATAGCTCTTTGGATGAATCTGAATAGTTCCATAGGCAATTGTATACGAAATAGCATGGGAACCATATGTTGTCATTTTTAAAAACTCCAACACTATTGTACCAGATCATCATTTTTGAAGCAGTTGAAATGAATTTATATTTGATAAAATATGAGGCAATTGCTAATCTCCTCTCTTTTACTATTGCGGTGTCTTGCTTTTTTACCCAATACATTCCACTTAGAACCTTTAAATCGGCCAAAGTATCTGGCGAATCGTATGGTCGATTGTTTAAGTTATCTATAAGATTAGCTACGGTTTCTTCGGTCTCCATACAAGATGGGCTTCTCTTCAGATTTTCCTTTTCCTGTGTGGTTTCCTTAGTGATCACTGCTCCACCGGCTAGAACGGCAACATTTCCATTTCCCTCTGATTTTCCTTCGCCTTGATTGCTGTTCATGTCAGGCTTTTCATCTGAATTCTTCTCGGATGGTTCTGCAGTTGCTTTTTCCTCTTCAGGTTGTTTAATTTCTTCCTTTTGCTCCTGTTCTTCAGGTTCTTGCATAGTTTCGTCCTCTTTTTTCTCTTCAGATTTTTCTTCAGGTTTCTCCTCTTCTTTACTCTCCTCCACCTGTTTTTCTTCTTCTGGCTGTAACTCTTCCTCTTCTTTCTTTTCCTCCTTGTTCTCCTCTACTTGTGCCTCTTCAGCTGATTCTTCCTCTTTTTTATCTTCTGATTCCTTGTCTACCTCTTCTGCTGGTTCTTCCTCTTTTTTCTCTTCCGATTCCTTTTCTACCTCTTCTGCCGGTTCTTCCTCTTTTTTCTCTTCTAATTCTTTTTCCACCTCTTCCTCCGGTTTTTTTTCTTCCTCCTGTTTAGCTACTGCTTCGTCGTTTTGCTGTTTTTCTTCTTCCAATTTTGAATGAATAGATGTTTTGCTTGATGGCCTGCTCCGCTCTTCTTTCTTATTATCTTCGTTTCCAGCAGCCGATCTTACTGAGGCTTTGCTCGAAGGCCTTTCCTTTTCTGGCTTGGGACTTTGATTACCGTTCTCTTTAGTTGATCTAAGGGATGCTCTAGACCCCTGATTTTTATCAATATTAGAGTTCCTGCTCGAAGGTCGAGAATCCGCTTTTACAGCAGATTTATCACTTTCGTCTTTCGATCTTGTTGATGTTCTACTCGAAGTCCTCGGTTCCTCGTTCCTTGGGCTCTTTCGACCTTTTGACGTTATGGAAGTTCGACTCGATGGTCTTGAACCGCCGTTCTTAGGACTTTCTGTTCCGTTTTCCGCCTTAGACTTAATTGAGTTTCTACTGGAAGCTCTCGGCGGAGGAACTGGAGCTAATAAAAAAATAAAATACTTGAAAAAACATTTGAAAATTGACAAAAGAATCCAATTAAAAAGAAAACTAATTTTTCAACGATTCCCTGTGAAGAAGGAAAAGGAGAGAGAGAGAGAGAAAGATAAAAAACGGTTAAAACTCGTACTTAAACTATAACAAAACACAATAAAAAATGTGTAAATAGAAAATCTTCCTTGCTATTATTTATAATGAAAAAAGCGAAAAGTATTTTTTTAAAAAAAAAAAAAGTATTAAAAATTGTAATTAACAAAAATAATAACTTGTCTTGGTAGTATTAGAGATTTTTGCTGTTGTATATTTGAGTACTCACAGTTGGATTTAACACCGTTTTCTTGTTGATCCATAATTTTATTTAAGTTTGTTTAAATAAAATCTTAATCAAGATGCGGCAAATTCAGAATACTTGAAAGCTAAATTTAATAAATAAATAACAACATATCACCAATAATCATCTAAGCGGAGAGAAAAAGTACAATAACATGCCACAAATAGAATAAAGGTGCGCTTAGCAAGATTTCGTATATACAAATGAATTTGAGAATAGGAGAAAGCAATTGTATAAAATATTATATTTTTTAGAATCACCTTCTGGCCTACTTTGTTTGTTTTCAAAATCCTGTCGAAAGAGTACTTCTCCTAGACGCGAACGAAATTAATGTTTAACTGCGTCCATAGCAACAGTAGGGATTGTAAAGTTGAACAATATAACACAGGGAGTATCGGTAATAATTTTACTCAAGAGATGGCGTTAAATACAAAATATGTTCTCAGTTATTTAGAGCAACCATTTATAAAAAATTCTTTTCAATAAAAATAGAAGAGAAATGATAGAAAGAAAAAAATATGTAAATTAATAATCTTTATTTATTAAATAATAAATTTTTTCACTATTTTTGTACTTGTTTATTCTCTATTTAGCTGGAAAATGACTAAAAATCTTGAAACTTTGCAAACGTAAATAAAAGAACTTCCGTTAAAAATATTTGAAAAACTGCTTAACCTATCAATTAAGAGGAATATCCCAGTAACCGGGTAAATAGGCAAAGAAATATTAAAGAATTTTCAACAATTAAAAGTCTGACGATTAGCATTCTATATCTCTCATATAGCTAAAAAGCTTATTTTGTTGGATATTATTTTGAATAATAGAAGCTTATTGATAAAAAGCAATTGTTATTAAATTCATTTATTAATAACTTGTATAAATATTCGTCTTATATAATAAATACTTTACTAAGGAAATTTTATATAACTATACTTTTTACTAAAAAAGGAAAACAAATCTAAATAGAACGTCTTCAAAACTGACAATAACATTATCTGTTTTAACATTTTTCTTCTAGTTTTGTTAGTTTTTGTTTTTTTAAAAAAAAAAGGATTAACTAAATAATTCTATTAAGAAAAAAATCATTTATGAGCAATAATTAAAGATTGATTTTTTAGTTGATAAGATTAGAAAAAGATATATCGCTCTCTTTCTTTCTTTCTCTCTCTCTCTCTCTCTCTCTGTCTCTCTCCTATAAACAAAGTACTTTAAATTTTAAGTTGTTTATCTCGCTTTTGCTTTGTATTGAATAGTAATTTAATAATTATTTATGATAGATCATTGATAAATTGCATTTATCTTATGACGTCAGGAAAACGTAGGTGGAAAGGATATCTTAATTTAGTTGTTTTTATTTTATTGAGGCAGTCAATATGAGAAGGCGTCAACATAGGAGATGATTATGATTGAAGAGATATTTTATAGACTTTTCTTTTATTATCTAATTGTAATCCTTTATTTCCTGTTAAGAATAGGGAAACAATGATAGAATAATAAGAATATGGACATTCCCAAAATTATGAACAACAGTATCATTCGGATCTTTTCATTTATATTATTCTAATATATATAGTATATAAAGAGAAATTCATTTAAATACTTATGATAAATTGCACCCATTTGGGAGACAGACTAGAGAGAGAGAGAGAAGGCTTGTTCAGTTTAAGTCACAATGGTATTGTTCTCAAAGTTGCCTATCAATTTTTGTGATCAATTATTCTTAATGAATTATACAACCCGAGTCTCTTATCTGTAACACTATGGAACTAGTTTATATCTCTTAATCGTCTCAACGACTATTTATGACTGATAAACGAATAATGAAGCATGCTATGAAAGATACCTGAGATTAGTAAATATCTTCTTCTCCTTATTCCTCTCCACCTTATGGCTTATCTCTTCTTTTATCTATAATTACTGTAGAGAGAGATTTTAATTATTCAACCCATATAGCACAATAATAACGTTGTTATGCTTGGAGAGAGACAGAGAGAAAAGTTAAAAAATAGACTAGGCAGGAGAATATTGATAATCCTCATTTATTATTTATGAATGACATTTCCTGTATTTAATCTTTAAACAGACATTAAGATTCTTTAATTATCTTCAATCTTAGAACATCAATTTATTTAAGTCCTTCAAGTCTTTAACATAAAAAAAACCATTCGTTTTTAATAGAATCGAATGATCTATGCAACTTTATCCTTTTAAATATTAAGACACTACTTGAGATTGATAAATATATATTCATAGGATTAAGCTTTTTATCCGTAACTCTCCAATTAATCTAGATTCCTCGAAATATTTCAGAAATTTACGAGCTTCAGAACGAGTACTTTTCCACAGCAAGTCGAAGGGCTTATAATACTTGATAATTATTAGAGTTTAAGACGAAAACAGCCTATTACAGATTTAATTTTGGTGTGATGAGAGTAGACTAAATATTGACGATTCAATTGAAATTATATAAAATATGAGTATATCGTATGAATTCCTCATTTTTGACAATAAATTGTTTCTGTATAGAGAGAGAGAGAGAGAGAGAGAGAAACTACCAAATGAAGAAAATCTTTACAATTATACAGTCTAAATAACGACCGCAACTTCAATTAAAAGAAAAAATATAGACGAGGTTGTTGACATTACACAAAACCTAAATGATCTATTATATAAGAAACGTCAAGATTATTAAACTCTATAATAAAGTACAGGGAAAAATAACTTTTTCATCCCTCCAAAATTTACCTTTAAAGCTTTATCAAAGAAGAGACGCTTAATGCTTGTAAAGATTATTTCCTTTTGTAAAAACTATACATTATATCATTCTTATTTTAGGACAGAACATATAAAATTTAAAGCTAACGCCGATGTTTTCCATTTGGATTTTTTCTACCGCTGAAATACTAGAGTGAAAGACTGATAAATAACCCAAGATTTATTCTCACCATCTGTTAGACATGCAGGTTTTTTTTTAAAGAGTATTTTATTATGTCACTGATTGAATTTTTACTTTATATTTAAATTAAAAACTCTTTAGAAAATGTTGAAAAACAAACAAGCAAACAAAGCAAACAATTTCAAGATTAAAAGATATCTTATAGAGTTGTTTACTTTTGTAATTAATGGAGAGAAGATTTTTTTTTTAAATAATTCAATTAGCTAAAATAGAATTGTGCTAATTGATTAAAGAAGCTTTTTTTTTTAAATAAATATAAATGACTAATTCATCATCAAATTATCAACATAGTTATATTGTAATTCAATTTTTATTACTGAAAGGGAGAAGACACAATACATACTAACGAAATTATCTTTTCCTTCTTAACAATTCACTAGAGGGCGTAGTTTGTCTCATTTATACCTTTATATTTTAAATAAAAACTATATATATACAGTATATGTATATATATACATATATATTCATATATGTATAATGATGATGAGTGGTTTATATTAATAAATTATACATTTTAATCTAAATTTTATTTATCAATATTTAACCATAAATGAACAAAAATCAAGTATTCATAAAGAAATAAGACAAAAGAAAACGTTCTAATTTTCATATAAAACGAATAGCAATAAAAAGCGGACCAGCGAAAATTTATTAAGATGAAGACAAATGTATATAAAGATGTTACCAGGGCAACTGAAAAGTGCGTGACGCAGTTCGCCTTACTCTTCCCAACCTTGAGCGTGTAAAAAAAAAAAATCTTTACTTTCCTTCTCGTAAAGTTCTAACAACTAGTTTTTACAATTTTTTTTCTCCTATCGAATCTTAATGGATACTATGAAAAAAACAATCAATCGGATTTATTAATTAAAAAGAAGGTAAGGTTTTTTTTATCGTTGAAATTTTCATTTTTTTAGTATAAGAACAATATAAAAAAGAATTATAAACACTTTTTTATTGTTTTTTTAAAAAAACAAACTTCAATGAGATTTTCTATTAAATTTACTTAAAAGATATTACAATAGGTAAATGCATTGTTTGAAAAAAAAACAAAGCAAAACAAAGAAAGAAACTTGCAAGACGATTTTAATAAACATGAAAAAAGTATATGTGATTAATGATATTTGTAGGTGGTCTAACATTTTTGCTGTTTTTTTTCTTCTTCGGTAGGCAAAAAAAAAAAAAAAGCACGAAGAATACTTGCTTATATAATAAGGATAATATTTTTATATTTATAAGTTAACAGTTTGTAATAAAAAAAACATATAAAATATAGTAATTGTATGGAAAATATACAAACAAATGCAAAAGTACCATTTTCAACTGATGGAGATAACGTAAACACTTTTCTGCAACCGAAAATTAAGCGTTTATATTAATAAATTTATATATTTCTCTGTGTTTTTTATATAACTTTCTTCTATTTTCTTCCTATTTCATCTAGAGTTATTTACAAATAAAACAAGCATTGTTTTATTGTTTACATATACAGTATACACACAGCAAAAATATCCAGGCCTACGTTAAAAATAAGTGTAATTTAGAACAATGCTATTAATCATACATATATACTGCATTTGATAAAAAATTTGCTTTCTAACGACATTTATAATATTTACATCGCAATTAATATTCGATAATATCCAGGGAAACGGAAAAGAAGGTCGTTAAAAAAAAGAACATTTCTTCTTATCATCCGTAAATGAGGAAGCCTTATTAAGGAGAAAACAAAGGAATAAGAATTTCGACAAAAAAGATTAAAAAGCTTTTTTTTGTATTTATGAATACAGAATAGAAGCTTTAGAGGATAATAAAAAGAATTGAAAGTAAAATTTAAGGGGTTGCACGAAAACTAGAGAAAAGAATAAAAGATTGCTATCAGATGAACAGTTCGCTACAAATTGAACAACTTTCCGAACCGGAACGTTGGATAGTTATAACTATACTCACCTTTATTGGTTTAATTGGCGGACTCACCAATGTCGTTATAATAGCAGTGGCGGTGGTGACACCAGCCTTACGAAAACGTTGTCACCTTTTGGTAGTAAATTTGGCTGTGATTGATGGTCTTGTATGTATAATTGTTTGCCCTCTACTAATTCATGCCTTCCTCTTCCGAGCTTGGAGACTCTCGATATTCAGCTGCGAGGTCACATCGCTTATACAGGGACAAAACGCCGGTGTAAGTGTTCTAACTAACCTTGCAATTGCCGTCAATAGATGCGCTTTGGCAAAGTCTCACAAACATAGCATTTGCGGTGTAGATATCACCTCCACAAAGATAACCTACTTGATATTATTGTTTATTTGGTTCATCGTCTTCTTCGTAGTAATCTTGCCTCCATTAGGGGGCTTTGTTTACATTACTTTCAATTCGATATATGCCTATTGCACTCCATCATATTGGAAGAGTAAGAAGAGCCACTGGTTTTTTTATGCTTCATATACAACTATTTGTTTTCTCGTCTTGCCTATAGTAGCAACGGGTGTTTGTTATTATATAATATATTCAAATGTTCAAGTACGAATGGCCAATCGCGGATCAACATCCAGGAGAAGGTTTATAAAGGCTTGTCAACGTCTATCTCTCCTCTTCTTGGCTTTTCTCATTTGTTGGTTACCTTTAAATCTTCACTATTTAATAGATCCTCAACTGAACGACGTTCCACCTTGGGTGTCAAGGGCATTCCAGAACCTGTTCGTCTTCAATTCTAGTCTCAATCCTTTCCTCTTCGCAGCAAAATTTCCCGCTTTTCGAAAAGCAATTAAAAAAATGTTTGAACGTAGGAAGAGGAACGATATAAATAGAATATCAACACCGCCAAACGCCCTTACTTCATTACAGGAATCTTTTCAATAGAAAAAAAAAGAAACATTAATAAAAAACTACAAAAAGAGAAAAGAATAAAGAAAACAGAAGGAGCATGAGAAATCAAGAGAAATGAAAAGATTTGCAAGCATTCCTTTCCTATATTTTTTCCTTACAAACAGTATAACACTTGTAAGACATAACTCATTTTTGAATGGCAAATCTATGAAAAGCTATTCATTCTAATCATTTTTCATTTTTAAGTATAAAAGAAAAACCGTTTTCCTCCATTTCTATTACATTTGTTGTGTAAAAATACTCGAATGTAAGCTTTTTCCCTCCTCTCCAAGTCTCCTTTACCCCTCTGTTATTCCTTTCTATTTCTCCTATCAGTTTTTTTACTTGTTTTCTATCGTATCTCGTTAATAATGAAATATTAGAAAATTATAGAAACCATTTATATATAACTTGATGTAAATATATACTTGAAGGTAAATGTTTCATTAAATATTCAAATAATTCAAATATAATAGTAATTATCTTATTGTAATTAACTAATTTAAACAGTATAAATATTCATCTATAATTAAGTTAAATGCTTCGCATAGATTGTATCTTTTTCATTTGCATTTTAGCAAGGTAGTGACTGTTTTGGTGAGGCGGCATTTTCTAGAAAAAACGTATTTATTTGGGCTTTTTTCTTTTTTAATTGTATTTTTCCTCTCGGAATGAGGACAAACTCTTGACGATTACGCAAAAATGATTCAGTATTCTCGCTTAATTGAATTTTCATTGGTTTACTCAAGCTCTCCATTTCATTGGCAATGTTTACAGTTTCTCCGAAAACGCAATATCTAGGCATTATCTGGCCAACAACGCCAGCAACGCATGGTCCTGAATGAATACCAATTCTGACGAGGAGTTTGTAATCGGGCATATGATTTAATTTAAATCCTTTTCAAAATATAAAAAGAATTCGAGGAATTAATTAAAGAAAATAACCTCTCAAATGTCAATTATTATTGGCGTTTAGCAATTCTTTAATTAATCCCTTTCGTTGAAGAGATAAAGAGTAAAGCCGTATAAGCAATTTCAATTGCGTGCGTACTGCCGTTTCGAATAGGTAGACCTGAAGCAACCATAAAGGCGTCTCCGATTGTTGCTACTTTAAAAACGTCTCTCTGATCTAATATAGCATCAAATGATTCATATAATGAATTAAGAAATTCTAAAACATCGAATGGTGTTGATTTCGCACATAATTCAGTAAAACCAACAATATCGCTAAATAATATTGTAACGCAATCGTACTTTGCTGGACGGACTCTTTTACCATTTTTCAAATCTCTAGCAATCGATTTAGGCAGCATCATATGCAAAATTTCATCTGATCTATCTTTCTCTCCTTTAACCTCTTCCATTCTCTCTTCCACTAATATTTCTAAATTTTTTGCATACATTTGCAATCTGGCCATAAGATTATCGATATACGTCTTTTTCGATATCTCTATACTATTTAAAATATCCTTAGCTACCTGAAAATTGGGTCTGATATCGTAATCTTCATTCCAACAATTAGTCATTAGAGTAAACAAATCTTGAGGACATATGACCGCACATTTTGGTCTATATGAAACCTCTGAAGAACTTTTTACTAATTCAACAATTGTCTCAGGAGGGAATTGCTCGTAAAAGGGTTTACTTTGCGAAATTAGTTCCTGTATAGAAATAAAAGCAATTCTGAATCAGGATATGAAACAAATAAAGAATATATATTTGTCATACTTGTAAAATTATACCAAAACTATATACGTCCGCCGCTTGACTAATTGCAGAATGTTCTCGTAGGACTTCTGGTGCAGTCCATAATAACGTTGACGGATGTGGATCGTAACCGTCAATTTCTCTCAGACTATTGAGACCAAAATCTGTTATTTTTAATATCATTCTACTATTTATTACACAACTCTTTGATGTTAAAAAGCCGTGTATTTTGATTGGACTTTTATGCAAATAAATCATGCCATTAGTAATATCTTTCATTAGTTCATATCTTAATGATTGCTCTAAGGCAAAATCATGTGACAAAATAAGATTTTGAAGGTTACCCCTTGAGCAAAATTCTTCGAAAAGAAACACATAATTGGATAGAATCGATATTGAAATAAATTCGATCAAGTTATTATGATCAATCTGACGTCTAGCCTTAAGATCTTCTTGTACAGTTTTCGAAAATGTAATACCAATGTTTTCTAAGCGTTTGACAAACACTCTGTTTTGCTTGTAAATAACCGTATGTGACTGTTTGAAAGAGTCTGTTGAGAAAATGGATAGAATTTTATCTTCGTCCAAATCGTATCCCAATTTTTTGCTGCTAGTTTGCGATCTAGAACAAGAGTTTAAAGAAGACTTTGTTGAGTTTGTATCTTCATTATATTCGTTAACAGCTTGAACTTGAAGCCAATCTATGAAATAACTATTATCTTCCGATTCCCTAACAAGCCTAAACCTATAATATACTATCGTTCGTACAATTATGGGTATTACTAAAAACAATAAGACTATCAGCAATATAAAGTAAATACTAAAATTTTCTAAAATAGAAAATGAGCAATCTCTGCCAAAGCCACATTCAGGTTCGTCTAATGGTATACTGCCAGCTATCCAACTTATATCAGGTATAAATTGATGCTTTCCGAAATTCGTGTTATAACTTTATTATAATAACAAATGCTATTAAATTATATACATTCTCAATAGTTATGTTTATACCTAAATAATGGAATATATTTCTTCTTAATTACATCATATTGCATAAATTCTAAACCTAACGATTTATCAACATTTTTGTCAAATTTTATATCATTAAAATCATGTAGAAATATCTTCCTTCCCCTTAGTAAATTCAAAATGGTTGAACCTTTTATTCTTTTTGAAAGACGACAATCTTCGCATCTATCAAGAACGTATCCTAATACAAGGACACTTTCTAAATATAATAACTGCCAAATATTCCTTTCAAATAATGTATAATCTGGTTTATGGTGTCTTACAATCTTCTTAAAGTTATTCCAGACAGTATTATTTGGATTTTGATATCTAACATAAAAATATTGCCTAAAAGCATTTGCATTAGAATTAACCTAATATGAATAAATTATTAGTTCATTTTTTTGTATGCATTATATTAGTATATATAGTTAACCTTGTTAAAAATATCCATTTCTTCAATTTCATCGTCCGAATGGAAAGCTATGTACACATACGACGATGACGTCATCATTGATTTATAAGCGAATTTCATAAATTTTACTTCATTTTTAAAAGAGAAAAATAGAAAAAATATCCTTCCTTTAGTTTGTAGATTTAACATAAAATCTTGTAATGTATTATTATCAAAAGAGTTAATCTTTATAAGAGTAACGTTATACGAAACATTCGAATCTAGATTTTCAAAGATCTCTTCAGCTTTTATTCTAAATTCTGAATTGGTAGTTTCGTATAAAAGAATGATTTTATGCCAATTGTATTTATTTAATAGAATAGTTATAAATTGACGGTAAGAGCTAATTTTTATATTTCCCGAGAGTCTTATTGTATTTTCATATATATTTGCTATAGATCTATCTATAGTTAATCCTACAGCTGTAATTTGAAGAAGATCAGCTCCTGATATTAGTGGAGCTGTATAAAAAAGTTCATCAGAGCAACTAGGTCCAATAAATATCGTTATATTATGTTTTTTATACAATTCTGCAGTTTTTAGAATTACTTCTTTGCTACCACATTCAGATACGTTCGATATTCTTTTAATAAAATCAAAATGTATTCCATAACGGTCTATTACCTCAAGACGTCCAATTTCTAATACATCTTCTATTCTGTCAAAACTAAATCGATTGTTCGTTCTATCCAATATTACTCCTATTTTTACGCAGCGAATAAATATTATTGTTGGCCATATTAAATGAATAAATAAGATTATTCTAATTCTTTTAGCCATTCTGCAAATGTTCTATTTGACTTTTTTAAAAAATCTATTTTTGTTTCAAAATCTATTCATTTTGTAACCCAACTAATAAACCAGATTATTGTCTTTTTTTGTTAAATTTAACAAAACTTACCTAATTTTTATCTATTCTTACTAAATAAACGAATTATTTCGGATTCTATGTTGTTAATGATAAAACCTCTTACTTAGGCTTTTATCTTTAATTACGTAATTATTTAAGTTGTCTTCAATTTAGAGCTATTTAGTTTTTACCTTTTTTTATCTTGTGTTTATGTTATGTAATCTTGATATCTAGTAATTTAAAGTAGCTTTTGACATCGACTCATGATAGTAAAATATATGAAAGCCGATAGGCTTTAATTAGGAGTGTATTTAGTTGAACTTGATAAATTTAGAAGCTATTGCTATTCCATCCCTCTTTAAATGCCAACGCCATAAAATTTGAAAGTTATGAGACATCGTTATTTACCTGGGAACTATTTCCGCTTGCATGTAAGCTTCTAAGGACCGGAATTTTTCTTTTAAATATCAGATCATTTACCCTATCGTAAAATAAGGATACTATGGCTCCAAAGCCTAAATTTCAAGAAGGTATTGTAAATTTCGAAATAGTCGTAACTAGTGTGCAAAATATAAATTATAAATCAAATATTTCGGTGGGCTTGAATTATCGCTCAACCTGAATTTTTATTACGTGTAGTTTTTTAAAACGTTAATATACTACTAATAGTATTTTATTTTCATATTATAAATTTTTATTTAAGTTTTTTTCTTAAAGGTATTAATAATTCATTTGTATGTTTATTTGATATATGTATATCAGTACGTTTAATAGTACTACGAAGTGCACTATTATAATTATCAAAGGTAAACACAATTTCTTTCCGATAGGTGAAAAGCTATTATGTTATCATGGACCATTATTATATGAAGCGAAGGTAAAATGTATAATATTCTTTTGATATCTAAATTTATTTGAAAACTTATTTTAGTGTCTAAAAATTGATGCTGAAGAAGGAAAATCCATTAAGTATTACGTCCACTATAATGGATGGAACAAAAGGTTAAAGAAACTCTATAAAACGATTTTTTTTTATTTAATTAAAAGTATTAATTAACAGTTGGGATGAATGGGTTCCAGAGTCTCGAATATTAAAGCCCAATGATCAAAATATACAAAAAATGAAAGACTTAGAAACAAGTCAACTGTTCGTATACAAATTATTTATGCATATTACCATACTAAGTTGAAAATTGAATTTTCAGTAAAAAAGGCTCCTCAAAATCTAAAAGAATGAGAGAAAAACAAATTGATAAGACTAAAGGTAAACATCTGATTTTAGATAGCATTTCATGCAACATTATCTTCTAAATATAGAAAAAAAAAAAGAGAAAGTTGAAGAGAAGCCACCTCCAGAAGTGACACGTAAAAAACGCGCAAGAACAACGACATCCGATACAGTTTGTTAAAACAAATAGTCTTATAGTTTTTTCTTACAAACAGTTTTTTTAAGGATATGCCTGATGCAAAGAAAAAAAAAGTAGATTTGGAAACACCTAAAAAACAAGAAGTTAGTTTAACCTACAAATTATATTATTATTTCCCTGAAATGTAAGAGCGTTTATGTGCTTTTCTTTCAGCATGAGGAACAAACTTTAGACTGCCCTATTTCCATACCAGAAAATTTGAAAATTGCTTTGATTGAAGATCAAAAACAAATTGTTGAGCAAAATATTGTGAGTATACTTCATACTTTCAGCGTATTTAGTAGTCTATTCTGGATAAATGACTAACAATCCAGGTTAACAGGAACAAATTCATTGTTGCTAATGACAAATAAATCTTGTTTCATATTAACCACACTGGGTCTGCCTTTAAATTGGGCACTCCTCTCTTTGTTCCATTTCCAATTTCCTTTAATGTTCTCGATTACCAGTATATTCTTATAATTGCCATACATTGATGACGCAGCTCTTATATCAGTATGAGCTGCTATTAAGATTTTTCTTTTTTCATTCCACAACAATGAACCAGTACTATATTTTCCAAGTGAAATAAAAGAATATCCAACTTTGATACTTCTCTCCAGTCTCGTGTTCTTATAAATGCTGATTTGTATCGAGTATTCATCAAAAGTTTCTGCAATAGATGATACAAAAACGTTGTCTTTGGTAACCACTAAATCGTACGCTTTTTTTGGCACATTTTCTATTACTCTTATAATAGTATCGTTGACAACTTTATATATGCATTTAGAGCTCTTGCAGAGAAAATAGAGGATACCATCATATATACAAAGAGCAATCGGTTGCCTACCTCTCACTCTAAAATTCTTATCAATTCTGCCCTCTCTATAGGAATATTTGATAATATTTTTGCCATTTGCAATATATAGTTTGTTTTCATGATTTGCTATTCTAAGCCTAGGATAATCAATGGCATCACTGAATGGTTTTGCAGAAATGCTGTTGCCAATTTTAAATTCTTTAAATAAGCTTGCATTATTTCCGAATACATGGATGTAGACACTGGCACCCTTTTTCTTACTTCTGACAACAATAGTCTTGTCGTTCCAAGAACATGCTACAGTTTCATAGTCCTTTTTGCAATGCACTAATTCCATGTCAAAATAAGCGAAACCGCTGATCTTAAATTGATATCTGAGCTTTCTTCAAGAGTTTTTATATGCAGGTCTGTAATCTTCCGCAAAGAATGACTATTGATGATATTCTGAATGGATATATTTTATACAAAGAAAAAGACGATGAGTTAAACAAGTGAGCACGATGATTCATTTATCAAGGCAAAAATATCCATGGGTTTTTTCCCTTTCAGAGATAAAACCAAAGAAATTGTAGAAGGACTTAAAGAATACTTTGAAGATTTATTACCTAAGCATTTGTTGTATAAACAAGAACGTAGTCAACATGAAGAACTTATAACATCAAATCCGAAAGTAAGATTTACTCAACTGTATAGTATATCCCATTTCTTGCGATTATTTGGTAGGTATCAGGGTTTAATTATGTCATGATTTTCTTAATAGACGAAATTAAAATTTTATATTTTATTTCAGTAAAATTTGGTCAATTTCTACCGTTCAATTCTGATGAAGGCAAAGATAATGATTTGAAAACGTTAAAAGGCTACGCAGAAGATTTATTAGAATTTATAAATAATAAGAACTATTTAACGTCGTCTAAACGTAATTCAAAGTCAGTTGATGAACACTGACAGAGAGGCTGTCCGATATAATTACTCCCCTTATGATTTGGAGAACAACTTTTTAGTAGTCAGCATTAAAAAAGACAAATTATTTGGGATCTTATTAACTTTTGTTAGAGATCAGTTTAAAATACAAAGATTTTTGTGATAATTGAAAATTATTTCTAAGAAAATCGAAAAAAAATATTTTTGAAGAAAAAGTAGCAGTTTCTAATCAACAATTGAAGGAGTCTGATTTTTTGCACATTTCCACATTGCATTGATCAACTTTGTGAAACCAGTATCTTTATTCTTATCCAAACCCCTCATCATTCTTCTTTTAATTACACTGACAAACTCTTTATTACTCAATTCTCCATCATCGTTTTCATCAAATAGGGTGAAGACAACTTGGACAAGATGGTCACTTAGATTTACGTTTGCAACAGTTTTTGCAACGTGTTTGAATGTTGCTAGAAACAATTCGAATAGTATTTTACTAAAGAATTTTCAATATAATAAGGCCTTACCCTGATCAATAGACGCTCCAGCCAAATGATAAAACATTAGAGCGGTATCAATATCATTAATGAATTGCATAACTTGATAAAAGTCAACAAACTCTTTGAAAGTAATACCCTGTGATTCTCCTTTATAAGCTTTCTTTACTCTGGCTAACATTTTCCTCTTTCTTGCATCGGAAAACTTTGCATAAACAATCAAAATTTCAGAAAAGTCACGTTCGGATATTTTACCATCCTCAGGATCATATCTATTAAACTAAGAAATACAAAATAATTATTACATGTACTTCGAATTTCTAAGTCAATTGACCTCGAGAAGCAATATTTCATTTTGCAGTTGTTTCTGAAAATCTAGGAATTTATCAACAGTAAGTTTCTTAGAATGATCCCTTCCGAAGAAATAAGTAGACAATGCTGTATTCATTGATTTTAATGTATTTCCAGTAACAGCGTGATCTCTGTGTCTCATTCCCATACTTGTTTGTCTTCCAAGTAACTTTCTTACCTAAACGATAAATATTGTTAATAACGGAAAGGTTAAGTAAATTTTGAATACTTTTTCAAATTCCTCAAATTCTACTTCACCGTCGCCATTTAGATCAAACATTTTAAAAGCAATTTGAAATTGTTTTGGTGGAGCTATTTATAGAAAATTTCCATATAAAACATTGCAAAAATTTAATTAAATATTAATTAAATTTACTTGAAAGGATAACCAAGAGAAGCATATAATCAGAAAATGAAATAAGACCACTTTGACCGAGTTTATAGAATATGCTATCGGGTGATAGGATTGAAGAGACTTTATGTTTATTCTGAAGATATAAGTGAATATCTTTTAAAAATAACCATATAATGCGTTTATGAATACCTTTGGATCGTATTTCCTGAACTGATCTAAGCCTAGACCGTCTGGCTGTTTTACCCCAGGTGTAATTGATCTTAGGAAGTCATCGGGAGTCATATAAACCTCCGATATATGAGGATCATGATAAACTTTCAGAGTTGCAAAATAACGAAATATCTTATCCGGAGTCGAATAGTCTCGAATTCTGTTTTCATATTCGATAATCTATAATAGAATAATTATGATTTAATCAAGTGCGATAGTATGACTAGTTTAACCTTTCTATCTCTAAAGCCAACTTTCTTCTTTGCTTCTCCGTGTTCCTCTTCTTCTACCTTATCTGATGATGGATTTTCCTCCACAGTTGGAGACGCAGAATCTACTCTTCCCACCATTTTGTTAGCAAATTCTGCTGGCCTAGAGGAAATAAAGCAATAAGAATAGTCAAAATTTTCTCTTTACAAAGAAAGAACAATCCTTTATGTTAAATTCTCTTTTATAAATATATCGTTCATGCAGACATACCATGGTGTAAACATTATAGCAAATAAGCTACCACCGAGAAAGATGTAGTAAATGGCTGTGAATATATTGTTGGACGATTTCTTCTTTTCTTCATTAACAGCATCAAATAAACCTGTGTATCTATTTCTCTGTCGTTGTTGTTTGTAGTTATACAATATCGAAGGAGATTTGACGTCCTTTTGCAAACAGATTATCCGCATTGTAGAAAAACTGTTCCATGTTGAAATTCCAAGCTTACAAGACCTTAGATAGCCCGAGCGTTGAAGAATCAAACGCCCTAGCATACTTTCAGTAACAAAATTGATCTTTCGCTATTTTTCAATTGATAATTTGGTAAATTACAATACCCAAGGACAGAATCTATCTAGGAGTGGTAACAATATAGATGGCGCTATTACACATGGTAGCACTCTGCGAACATTTTCTAGTAAAAGAATAATAGGTTAATGCTATTTTTCCATTTCTAATAAGGTTCCATTCAATATTAGTAGATGAATGATATTATTAATGTATTTACTTGTATGACAAATATCGTCTTTGATAGCTTTTACCTATAATTGACTAAGTTTTGAGCAGATTCTTATTATCGATTTTTCTTCGTTATTTGTATAATGGATTAATATGCTTTCAAGTAATATTTTTGATTGGACTATTAAAAAATCGTTAAAACTGTATTTCCTAAAAAACATAAAATGAATACTTCTTGATCGACATTACACGTTAAGTTAATTTGTAAGAAACTGCAGTATTCGTTCATTAACTTCTTTCGGACGTTCCATCATAACCATATGACCAGCTTGTTGTAATACTTCTAAAGTTGAATATCGGATTACAGCTTTCATTTCCTCCTCTTCTTGTATTTTCACTAGTTTATCTGCCGCTCCATGAAGTATAAGGGTTGGGCAGGAAATTCGGCTGTGGTAAGAAGCGTCACCAGAAAGCCAAATTTGTCCTCTCATAGTATTCCTGAGAACGTAAGTCGGCACATCAAAAGCGGGACGTCTTTCCGCAATCAATGGATCATCATAAGCGAACTTATTAAATACTCTACTTAAGACAGGCTGACAACAAGATAATACTGGTGTAGGGAGGGAAAAAATCCCAGTTTGAGGTGCTAGAGGTGTAGGTCCACCACCTGAGACCATTATTAAACGAGATACTAAATGAGGACGTTGACGAGCGAGAATAGCTGCAAAGCAGCACCTGTAAAGAAAAATATAATAAACTACAATGATCTTCCAACGCCTATACAGATAGCTCATTTAGATAGATAACGTACCCGTAAGAATGACCAACAACAACATTCCAAGTGCTACATCGTGTGTCAAATATTTCCAAAATATCTTTCGATATTTCGTCAAAACGATAAGCTTGTTGATCCCTTGGTGCGTCACTAAATCCATGACCTATTAAATCAGGAGAGACAACTTCGTAACCAAGATTTGAGAAATATTCAATCTGACTCTTCCAGATATCGGAGGAACCTCCAACCCCATGAATAAAGAAAATAACAATGTTTTCTGGTGAAACAAGAGGCACTTGAAGTTTTCCTAAATCTTCGAAATTAAGGAGTGGTTCATTCTCTTTAATCGTTCTTGGTCTTTGGTGTCTATTAACATGCCTTACACACAGCTGACGATCGTCTCTTATCTTTTCCAAGCGATATTCTTCGCTAAATTCAGGCTGGGGGGATACTCTATTAGATCTTCCAAAATTTAGGCAACAAGGCATTTAACTAGCATATCAAGAACGTTTCGAACACATTTAAAAAAATTGCATAATATAAAAATAAATCTTATAAAAAATATAACAATTTATCAGTTTTTCTTCATATTTTCTAGTTCAAATTGTCTCTTCCTACGTGATACAAGTGAAATCTTAATATAGACTGAAAGGATTGCTGCCAGTCCTTAAAGCCCTTACAGCAACTGTACATACTCATATGGAATAGGTGGCGCCCTGCTTTTCTTGAGAGATATAAACCGTTAAAACAACACTAACAATTTATGCTAAATTCAGCACGATTTTAAGTCTATCTAAAATAGGGTTAGATTATCACGTTTTCATGTAAATATTTATTATATTAACTTAATATTCTTTCTTGAAATTAATAGTTTTCATTAAACGGATAAAAAAAGATATTTAGTAACATTACAATGTTCTAAAAAAAGAACGATGAAATATTCAAGTATTCAGAATGTTCTTCATATGGAATTTACAATTTCTTTTAAATTAAACTACTCTATGTAGTTGTAGTTAGTTGTTGCAGGTGACGTAAACTTTTAAGCGAGTTTTGTCATATACCAGTTTACACTATAATTTTACTCAAAAGGATCAGTTTATCACTCATTTTATAACTGTAACGTTGTGATAGGAACGATAAGAAAATTGACAGATTGTTATATATCATAAATTAGTTATGAAAAGGAGACAGATTGGGACTGTAGGAAAACAAACTACTACTCCAGAAGGAAATAGTAATAATGTTCAGCATCAGGAAGGAGTAGAATGTCCTTGGAAGGAGGCTCTAATTGTTCTCTCTGTTTCTTTGCTTGTTGTGTTCGTCTTAGTGCCTTTATTAGCTTTCTCATGGCCCATTCCACCAAGAACCGATCTGCATTGGTGGCAGACTGGTGTCATATACCAAGTTTATCCAAGGAGCTTTCAAGACTCCAATTCAGATGGAATAGGTGATTTAAAAGGAATAGAATCTAGATTAGATTATTTAAAATGGTTAGGAGTATCAGGAGTTTGGATAAGTCCCTTTTACAAATCACCAATGGCTGATTTTGGTTATGATATTTCTGACTACAAAGATGTAGATCCAATATTTGGAACTCTTAGTGACTTTGATGATTTGATTAAAGCTGCCCATGAAAAAGGACTTAAAATTATTATTGATCAAGTTCCAAATCATACAAGTAATCAACATAAGTGGTTTTTAGAAAGTAAAAAAGATCCCAAGTCCAAATATGCTGATTATTATATTTGGCATAAGGGTATCGATATGGGAAACGGAAAGAGAAAACCACCGAACAATTGGGTAAAATTTTTATAATTTTTGAATATTGTTTTATTGCTATTGTTTAAGTGTTTATAAAAAATTTATCTACTATTCGTAGTTAAACTTCTTCAAAGGATCTGCTTGGACATGGGACGAAGATAGACAAGCTTACTATTTCCATCAATTTACAAAAGAACAACCGGATTTAAACTATAGAAATCCAGCTGTTCGTCAAGAAATTTTGGTGAAAATTGATTTAAAATAATTTCATTTTGGTGTTTTTAACCTAACATAATCATATCAACAGGATACATTTAAATTTTGGTTGGATAGGGGAGTTGATGGCTTTAGAGTGGATGTTGCCCCCCTTCTCCTAGAAGAAGAACACCTCAAGGACGAACCTTTAAGTAATATACCTGGATTTGGTTCAGTAAGTATAATTAATACTAAATTAAATAAACATTTTTTTCATTCAGAGTTAAAATTATTATCTTTTTATAGGATGAATATTTTTCTTTGAAACATACTTATACTCATAACCTACCGGAAACTCACGAAATATTCAGATCATGGAGAAAGTTATTCGACGATCATCTAGAAAAAACTGGAAAATATATGTAAATTTTTTTATTACAAATAATATTGAAAGTCAATTTAATCTATATCTATTTTAGCTATATGGTTTTGGAAGCTTGGGATGATGACATTGAGAAATGGATGTCATTTTATCACAGTGGAGCGGATATGCCTTTTAACTTTCTATTTGCATTCAATTTAAATTCTACGTGCAAGTAAGATGAACTAATTAGTTTTTAATAATTTAATGATTCCTCTTGAATTTTTTATATTTAGTGCAAAGTGTATATCGAACTACGTTGATACTTGGCTTTCTAATATGCCTAAGAAAAAATGGGCTAATTGGCTGGTAAGTTTTCTTTAATTTATAAAAAATAGAAATAAATTGTCGACAACTCTCCTATTGATTATTTACTTGGGATAGACAGGAAATCATGACCAGCCTAGAATTGGAAGTAGAATGGGGAAGCAATTTACAAAACTATTAAATGTGTTACTGTTAACTTTACCCGGTACCCCAACAACTTACTATGGAGAAGAGATTGGTATGCAAAATATTGAAGTTTCGTTTGAAGACACACAAGATCCTTTTGGTAGAAACTATGGCAAGGATAGATATCAAGAAGTTTCAAGAGATCCTTGCCGATCGCCTATGCAATGGAATTCTGAGAAAAATGCAGGATTCTCCAACTCATCTAAAACTTGGTTACCAGTTCATCCTGGTTACAAAACACTTAATGTTGAAGTGAGTCATTAGCTTTATCTTTTTTAAAAAATCGATATATAAATAATCTCTTTTTACCAATATAGAAACAGAATAGCTCAATCTATTCGGATATCAGCTTGTATAGAGAATTAATCGAACTTAGGCAAACTCCCTCAATTCAATACGGATCATTAAATACAACATTGATCACGGACAATGTCTATACATATGTTCGATGGATAAAGGGAGTGTTTAATGCAAAGTTTATAATTATACTTAATCTTGGTAGTGAGAAGGAAGTGTTAGACTTTCATAATATGCCCAAGAACTACAGGCCTCTCAAACACTTTCCAAAAAAAGGTAAGGTTGTAATAGACACTCTGGTAACTGAACATCAAAGTCGAGTTGGCGAAGAAGTTCAGTTGAATCAAGTTTTAGTGATGCCAGAACAAGCCTTGATTATTAGATTCTATTAACGAACTAAATTACAATAGTACTAATTTTTTTTGCATTTTTTTATTATAATAGAAACTATTTACATTTAATTTGTCTCAGAAATTTCCAATTAATAAATCAAATAAAACAATAATTTGAAAAGAGTTCTCTTTATTGAATTAAACATAACATTATGCCAAAATTTAAAACAAACATGTAACGACATAATAGTAATCAATGCCAAGTTGGTGCCATTGAAATATTAATTATAATTGGACTGTGGAACTTCTCTTTCCTTCAAAAAAAATTTATTTATGTGAAAATTATCTCCGTGTTTTGATGTTTATTTGTTTTTATTTTCATTCTTCAAAGTAACGTCCTCCTCAAGTTATTTTTTTCCAACAAATATATTAAGTGAGATTATTCAAGACGTAAAGTATTTTCACATATGATAATTAATATTTACTGCAAAAGTTAAGGAGAAAGGGAAGAAGATAAACTTGATAGAAGAAACTAGTATTGTGAGTCTTTGAGAAGAGTTTACGGCTTTTTTTTATTACTAATTTTCCAACCTATCTCATGCAGGGATATAATCTATCTTATCCATGTCTCCCCATTGCTGATGTTCAAATATCTCCTCAGTTGAGTTCCTCTGCGACAAAATTTGTTCCTTAAACCCACGGAGTCCATCCTTCATACAACTCCGATAAATTATCTATTCTAGTCGCTTCCATAATTATGTAGTCGATCTATTTTAAAGGAAAAATATAACAATTAATAAATCTAACAAATATAAATGTATTCTTATAATTACCTGCTCGGTTGTAGACATTTTATAATTGATATCAGGATCTTTGCCGTCCAATTTTTGCTTAACTCTCGACCAAACGGAAGTCGCATAAGAATTTCTTTCTTGAGTTGCTGAGTAGAATAAATTTTCTATAAAATTCTTTCATATAAAACAAAAAAGAACTTACTCTTTCCAGTCTTTGGATCCAATTGAATTTTTTCAGAAAATTCTTATAAAAAATAAGACAAATTGAAAATATATGTGTCCTCTTTATTAAACAAAAAACTTACCTGTTTCCTTTGATTCCACTTGCAAGGCGTCCTCTGGCACAGGTAGATCAAGCTCTAACTTGTATAGATCATCATAAACCCTATAACGAAAGAATTAATAAGATTTCTCAAGCGTATATAAAAAGTCTTACTCTGATAAAACTTCTTGAATATTTGGAGCAAGACAATTGATCAAAGACAGATGTTCCCCAGGATTTTCATTAGTTAATATTTTTAATAGAGATGTAAAATCCTCAGAGAATTTCTTATATCTTTCCAAATACGTTTTAGCTTTACGACCGGTGGATAGATTTTCAAACTGTTGATATAAAAATAAAATATATATTACCAACTTTACTACTTTTTTAAGACTTAAGAAGTTACTATTATCTTTTACCTTTGAAACGGCTTTTAATGAATTGTTTATGCAAGAAGTTAAATGATGGAAAGATTTTAAAATAGGCTTAATTTTATCACATTCCATTTTCAAATCATTTTCAACTTGGACTAGCGCATCTTCTACATCGCTCTCTGAGAATTTCTCTTTAGCATTGTATAAATAATGTCGTACAACTTCCTCAAAATTTGGTGGTATATCTTCCATATTTAATAGTTTCATCAGATGACTTTCCAAAGGTGTTAAAGACGGTAAATTGCCTTTATTTTGACAAGTATCCTTTGCTTTATTCAATAAATCCATATTATTCTTTTGCTCAGCGATAATATCATCGCCACCATTACGTATACGCTCCATTTGAATAATAGAATTGCAAAGTTGAATAACATATTGAGATATTTCGTCGCTATTCTTCAATAGCTCGTTTCTTTTAAGAATAGCATCATTGAAAAAGTTTAGAGTTGTTTGTAGGTTAGCGTTTGCACCGCAAGCCCATTTTAATCGTTGTATGATGCTATAATCGATTTGATGCCAATTTTCACATAGATTATTAAGATTGGCTTGGTGCGTTGAGATGTTAGTGAGTTCAACTTGCAGGCTCATCAATATATGAGAAACTTGCCTAGCATAGGATTGAAATAGTTTAGGATTCTGCCAATGAACGGCCGTAATGTGACATTTTGTTCTTTCAATAACCTCTTTAATTCGAATAATATTCTTATCAAGACGATTCACAAAGTGCTGTTTCATCCAGTTCGATCCCATTTGCATCATAAGATTTGTTATTGAAGATATGGTAGCGGTGGATGAAGAGTTGGTTTTAACTTCCATAAAACGTTGTACTATAGCGTCTAAAGCCATTCGATTTGTAGCTCCGATGTCATTAGTTCGCAGAACGGCTTTAACATCAAATCCTAAGGCCGAAACGCAGGCACAGATATGATGAGATAACATTTCTGTACTATATCCGAGCATTTGTTGCTGAGTGAACTTGGCTATAAATTGCCTAATAGGTTGTTCTAGTTGCAGCTCATTAGATAATACACTATCAACTTTTCCAGTGTAAGCATTATTGGCTTCAGTTGCACGTTCAAAAAAAGTAACCATAGCATGAATCTCTTCTACAAACCATAAAAGTCGTAAAGGTTGGCAAGTTAAATCTGTCACTGGATTCAATTGCAAAGTTTTTACATCAAATGCAATGTCGACCCAATACCATTCATGAGGTATACGCATTTTAGAAGATCTCTCCGTAAAGTTTTGCCATTCTATGAATACTCTCTCAAACAATCCATGAAAACCAACAAAAATCATTTGTCCGTTTGTTAAATTCTCACTAGTAGATGTGATCAATTTCAAAAATTGATCATTTGCTCTTTTAACTCTTCTTAATAAATCTTCGGACGTCCTTTGCCCTAGTATAACATGATTTATATGAGTTTTTAAATCTATTATTACTCGATCAATAGGATCTCCAAGAACTCTGACAATTTCTGACAGTTCTTTCAAACTGGATTTTAGAGAGAGGTCATCAGCTCTTAGACATTTAATAGTTTCTGGTAAAATTATGTTTGCAAAAAAGTGGCTCATTTCTTGTAAAGCATTAAGAACGCTATGAATGGCGTTAAATGTCAAGGATGTTTCTTCTAGAAGGCTATTCTTTAAGCGTAGTTGCGGATGCAGAACATTCATTAAAGAGATATATTTATAAGCCAAATCTGCAACGTTAAAGTGCTCGTCCATAAACCAATCACCATCATTTGTTAGCAATGACACAGCTCTTTCTTTAGCGCCAAAAATATTACTTTCAATAAGTTTAAATTTTTTAACAGTAGAATTTAAATGAGTAATAATAATACTAAGGAACAGTGTTCTATTCCCATCAAGACGTTCATTAATCAGAGCAAACATTGCAGATAAAAGATCTTGCTCGTGAGTTTCCAATACTATCTTACTTAATTTTTCACTCTCTCTTCGCCTTGTATATTTGTCCAAAATATCCATCATAGTATTCAAAGAGATAGCTAACTTTGCCTCTGTTGAAAGAATATGTTGAGTCATCTCATTTCTCCTAACGTCTTTTAGATATTGCAATTTTATATATTCGAAAACTTTTTCACAACTTTCCACTGTGAAACTATCCAGAATAATTTTAAACCATTTTGTCCATGATAAATAAGGATTTTCTTCTATTAAAGCATTAGTAAATGGGGGAATACATGATACATAATTTATCAAGTATCCAAGGCATTTCTCAATAATGTTGTTCTTCTTCATCTGACTATCCCTGACTTGATTCTCTACACCTTGACCTTGATTTAGTAATTGGGTTTGGCCAGCATTGATAAGAAATTCCTCGACACACGAATAGCTAGAATTTACCGCAGGAGTTAAACCAAACTGCTTTTGTAAATCTTCGTAACTTTTACCCTTCAATACAAGCAATGTCCTCTCGTAAGCTGATCGGAAATTATCGATATCTATATATTTCATTTGAATTTCTGCGGTTACAGATTCCTTTAAGTGCTGTTCTTCTTTATTCTGCTCATATCTAATCGGTAAAGAATGGAATGGATGACCGGGATCGGCTGAAGCATCAGTCAGATATTTTATCAATTGGGATATGATATCCTCTGCTTCCTTCTGTTTTAACATATTATTGTAAGTTTCTTCTAACATTTTAACTTTTTCCACGATATTGCTGACATGCCCAGCCATTGTTTCTTTATTTCTAAACCACGATAATTTGTTTTCCTTCAACCGAATTGTTAACATTGAAACAGCAACAAATCTATCAGTTTTATGTTTACGTCTTCTAGCTTCGGTTGCACCGTGAATTTTTTGGGTTCCTCCATAAAGCGCACCCTGATAACCTGTATCATGACCAACGGTCCAGTCTATTAATGGATCATAAAGAAATGCTTCAAGGAGGGTAAGAAGTGTTTCTTTTCCTCTTCTCAATATCCTTAAAACCATTTCGGAACTTGATCTAAACAATCCCTCTACTCCAGTTACTCCCAGTGCGCTTTCAATGTTATGAGTCATTCTAAAAGGAACGTTTTCCGGGACACGTAAATTTTTACCTTTTTCAAAGCACACATTATAATCTATTTGAATGACTTCTCCAGTATTTAAATCAACGAGAATATTGTCTAAATGGCGATCTCCCAAACCAATAACATAGCCAATAACTGACATAAGAGCTATTGAATTATTGAAAGTTTTTACGACGTGAAGCCATTCGTCTGTTGATGTACTAGTACACCATAATTCTTTAGATAAAAGGTCTGAAGGTGTCTCCTTGATGAGTTCAGATAAAATTGCTTTTTTAGCTTCTTTTGGCCAGTCTTTTCTGTCTAATTTTGGATCCAACTTATTTCTCTCAAAAACTGACTTTAGTTTAGCATAAAAAACATCACTTGGTCTCGGGATGTGTGTTGGTAGAGGCTGATTATTTTTTATTGCACATGCTGTTAATTCCCTCTGTTGCCACCGTTTATATAAAGAAAACAGGGGTGTTCCAGCTTGAACCCATTCAATCAAACCTGATCGAGCTCCAAGAGGGGTTACAGAGTAATGTCTAGCATGTAATGATTTTCCCGACCTATTTAATTTTGCAAACATGTTATTAACAATTGAAATTAACTGCATTATTCTCTCATCCAAATGTAAATCTTCCAATCCTTTGAATAGAAAAGCGCATTTCTTGCCATCTTCACCAACAAAGTAAAGCTTCTTCGGTTTCGTTTTTGTTGGTAATATTTGAACAGTATTTTCTATAGATGAAATACTTAAGGGCTTCTGATGAGGAGAACAGCCAGGGAGAGGTATAGAGGTATTTTTTAATTTTGCAAGGTGAGGACTCATTTTATTCATCTGCAATAACAAGCTACTGCGTTTTTGAGCTCTTTCGTTCATCTTTTTCTGTATATCTTTAAATGGCTTCCAGCTGGAGCTTGGCCAACTCACATCAGGAGGATCCTTAAGTGTACGAAGAGCTTGCTGTATTTCTTCCAAATAAGTGTCACAAAACCATTGTTCATGTGGTGTTTCTGGCTTTCTACTGGTCAGTTCATATAAATTTTCCAAAATAAAAATTGTAGGTTTTAAGATAGCTTGATGCTTCTCCCTAGCTATAATATTTTTCATACTATCAGTCAAGTCATTATTGTTGTATACGGATTTTATTTCGTTTTCTAACTGCTTAAATCTTCTATCCATATCATTTTGATATTGCGTTAATGTTCCATTCCAAAGTTCATCCCACAAAAGTGTAATACGTCTTAATTCATAAACAAAAGCTTCTACTTCTGAAACCATTTTAGCATCTTTGGCTGAAAGTGTGTTAACAATTGCACCAAAACAGTGCTGTAGAAGGGTATTGACTCGATCTTCAGCCAATAGGTCGTCTTCTACATCTGCATCTCCTTCTTCCGCTTCATTTTGAGAAAGATATTTGTCAACGAGCCCTTTTTGATTGTGGAGCCGTTGAACAGATGCTGCAGTGTGTCCTACAACAGCTGGATAAACTATAAGATGGGGTACCTCCTCAGCTACACGACTAATTAAATTAGAAACTATCTGCCTTATAGTTGGATCCGGGTGATTCAGTCTCGAAAATAGCTGTGGAATGATACTTAACCATGAGCTAGCAGGTGTATTTTCTAATACCGGCTCTAGAGCTTCCTTTAATTCAGAAACGTGTTTGACTAACAATCTTAATAGTCTTAAAGTTGTTGTTGTGATAGCTTCAGAATCATTTGAATTGAGCTGGAGAAATGATCCGTACGCGTGTACAGCCAACAGATAAGGATGATACACTCGATCTTTGATTTCACTCCAAGTTTCTATGAGGCGATCAAGCACACTGTCAGCAGCAGTTTGTAATACACAACTGGAATTCAAAAGTTGCCTTCTGGTTAACTCTCGAGGGTCTTCATGTAGAGAAATATATTGTTCTGATATATCCTCTTCATTTACGAATCTAGCTGTTTGAACATAAGACATGATTTCAAAGATTTTCTCAGTATCTTCATCTTTTATTCCTTTTGGAAGCAGCTTTTTAATTTTATCACACTCTTCGGAAGTTAATTGAACTTTTCCTTCACTGACAAATTCATTTAAACGACGGCCCTGTTTGAGGCACCAGGTCGCAAAATTGATCCATGTTTTCCCCAATTTCGGAGCCTTAAGGCAAGCTAAACGAAGTAGGCTACCCGGTAATATATCCCTATTGTCAATTAAGGCCTTTTTATTAAGCTGCGGTATTACATCATCATTCTTCGACAGTCCTTCAATTTGAATAAGCGATTCCAGTTTATCTTCAATTGCTTCATCATTTCCAAGTTCTTCCGACATTCTTAAAGTGTCTGTCCATTTAACTATAGTCAATAAGCTCCTAGCTACCAATTCATGACAATCGGGCTCTTCAATAACTTTTAGTAGAGCACAGCTAAGGTTGCTGACCGCTTCAGACCCACTTATTCCATCATATTTTAACTTGGCTGCTTCTCTTTCTATAACTAAATAAGTTTTCCTGTTGACTAAGGGATAGCTATTTCTTAACTTATTTATCATACTGTCATAAGAATAATCAACGTCGTGAGCAACATGATCAGGTAGCACATTATGAATATAGTCGACCAGCAATTCCTGAGACAAAGTAGTGCAGTGCTGTTTCCTAGCTAGTCTTGCTCCCACCTGCATCAAATTGCTCAGCGTCGCAGCAGTTTTCGAATCTCTCAAATCGCCTGTCTGTTTCAAGAACCATAATGGCATCAAAATCATATCGAATCGGGATTTTTCAGCATTCTGCTGAAGATGATCTGTGATGCTAAGTGTACCATCTTTCTCTTTTTCTTTGCCGTAAGAATTAATAAAATGTAAATGTTGTAAGGTTAAAGAATCAACTTTCAAAGGCCAGTCCAGCATGTCAGTATCTAGCAAACGCTGACACCATAATTCGCAGAGGTGAGCATGATTTAAGGAATCTGCTTTGTCATTCACAATTGAGGCGATAACGTGTTGAAATGTTGCTGAATAGGAAATTTGCTTTGAGTTCCAAGAAGACAGAATGACTCCAGTATCAAAATTGGAAGATTTCTTTGCATGTTGAACTGATGTGCTAAACTCTCCCTTTTCAAAACTAGCCAAAGCTCTAACACTATCTAAATCTACGTCCAACTTAAAAGCAGAGAATATACTATCGGCGTCGATGTAATTTTCTTGATAATCTTTAATTTTATCACACCAATTATCCAATTCCTGCCAACTACCTAGTTCGCAGTAGATATCAGCTGTTAAGTTTACTAAATAATGGATCAAATTCGGATTTACATCCATATTGAAATCTTTCTTTTCTTCTTCTTTTGCTCCATCATCCTATGTTTACAGAATTTTTAGTAATTAACCAAAGAACACTATGTTAATATTACTGACCGAATTTCCTGAATCAGATTCTAGAGTGTTTCTATTTGGTTTATCAGGATTATTTACTTGAATATAATTATCCAAAACAATTTGAAAACTATAAGCCGAGTCCTGAAGTCTTCCAGAAGCACACTCAGCAAATGGTTTAAGCCAGAAATATTTCTTTCTGGCCACTTTTCTACACCAAACGTTTAAACCTTGGATCATTTGGGGAGATTTTAATTTACAAAGAGAAAATGCCGTTAATATTACGGTTTCTTCAAATTCTTTTGTCTAAAAATTAATAAGTTTGTAACGTTTTTTTGTTTTTTTTTAGAATTAAAATATACATTACTTTATATTTTTCATTTATTTCAAATTGACTAAGGAGTACAAATCCGTGTCTAACAGCCAGAGAATAGCGTTTAATTGCAATGGAAATATGCATTACGTGTAATCTAATCCGATTCAACCAGTCGTCACACACCTGACGATTGGTTCTGAAAAAATTTCGAATAGTCTGCAAGAAAAGTAAACTTAAAAATTTTTTATCTTGAATATTTAAATGAGTTAACTTTATTTGGAGCAGCTATAGCAATTGCAGTTCCTTCGTATGCATTATACAGTAACTTTTCCAAATGTTCAATAAATTGAAGTAAAAGATGCACACGAATATGATCATGTAAATCTGAAAAAAACTCTTATTACTAGAGTAACTAGTGAGTCGCTTATATACCATCTGAGGGTTTAAAAGAGTGATTTGAATTTTCTTCACTGCTTAACGACTTTCCATTTAGTTGTAATTCCTTTGCAAAGTCGACAATAACATTTTCAATACTCAAAATGGTTTCATTTGCTTTTCCAAGTGGAGTTCTAAGCTTTCCTGATAAACAATGATTTGCACATTGCCATGTAGCCCAAAACCACATAAAAATGGATATAGAATCGTACTGAAAAAATAATAAATTTCAATTTTAAATTTAATTGTTAGACAATCAATCACTACTTTAGAAATATCAAGAGAATATTTGGGAGCAATAGTATCTGGCACATCTTGTTGGGCGATAGCCGAATCAAATATCCGTTGCATCCATGATCCGTTATTTATTCTGAAATATTAAACAAATGATTATATGGTTTTCTTTTAAGAGCATAAAACTTACAAATCCTTTTCCCCTCTCAAAATATAATTCATAAAGCCTTTGAAAGCGTGTTGATCAAAACTTGCCATAGAGTTATTTATCATAATGTTACGTCTGGCATTCCAAAGCTCATTTAAAATAGGAGAATATTCACACTTTTTCATGTCATATGATCGAGTGATGTAAGTGTCTAATGGTAGAACTTTTAAAAGTAATAGAAAATTTTGCCTGATATCTGAATTGACGCTGCTGAGCTTAACCATGCAAACATCAAAGCAGTTATTCAAAAACGACATTGGAAAAGAAACTTGATGTTCAAAGCATTCTTTCAAGGTTTGGCAGGTTTCGTTTACAATAATATTACAACTGTCTGACATTGCTGCAAATATAAAAAAGTTACAATTGTGTAAAAATTTCAAATTTTTAATTCATGTATACCAATGTCGCACAGACAAGTTAAGAGCTTTACAAATAGTTCATTTTTAATCAGATTGGGAGTATATACCAGATATTTGAGAATATCTTTCGTCCATTTTAAACAAATTCTCCTAATAAGTTTAGAAAAAGTTTCTAACATGTAAAGAAAATATTAAAAATTAGTGACTACCTTATTTCATAACAAATTCCTGAACATTTTAAAATTTTTGTTAGAAATTTTAATAGCCTTTCAAAAAACTCTGTTGTTTCGCCTCCAAAATGGGATGTACTTGTGCCTGTATTAAGTGAACTGGACGAGATGAAGTGTTCATGTCTGTGTAAAATAATTTAGTGAGTAAGTCTATATATACAGTATATACTGTCTATATATATATATATATATATATATATGTTTACTTACGTTGAACAATAACTAAAGAAGGTTTGAAAGGCTGTCGCTGTTACTTCCGGATAGAATTGAATAAAGGTTTTATCCCATAGGCGAAGTCGATTGGAAAACAATTGAAATAGTGAAGGATTCAGAGCAAACTATATTAATTGATTTTGTTAATTTTTATCGTAATTCTTTTCAATTTAAATATCATTTACCGTCAATAAATTATTCTTCATTGTTGCCAAACTACTTAAAGCTACAGAGTAAAAGGTTGCATAACTTTCTGCCTGAACAATTGAATACTCCTTGTCTTTAAATGGATTATCAATATTCTCATCTAAGAGCCGAAAATGAGGTAAGTCATCATAATCAGCTATAACATTTAGGCATTTCTCCATATCGCACAAAAATAATCTATAACATTTATATATTGAGATATATATTTCATATTAATACGGTCAATACTTACGTATATGATTTCGTCAGAATTTGGACATTCTTGATTCTTAAAAGTGATTTATAAACTTCCGAGATCAGCTCTTGACTCTGAAAAGCTAAAAGTTTTAGGAACTAAGAAAACACTTTAAGTAAATTAATCACATTATTATCGTTAAATTGTCTGTAGGACGATATCACCGAATCAGCTCCGACAAAAAAATGTATAAACTCAAGGGGTAGTTTAGTTCCAGCTCTTTTAATTATCTGAAAAAAATTGATATTAAATATAATAAAAAGTAGTAGTTGCAACAAATTATTAACCTGTATAGCTAATTGAAGGAAGGAATAGAACTGTGGCAAACACTCTGGTTCTATACAGCATTGTGTTTTGACATAACTTAATAAATTTTCCTCTATAACATCGATTTCATCCGAGGAATATTGGACAAGATGTTTTAGACAATTATTACCTAAAATGAATATAGATTTGTTTAAAATCGCCCATCTTTATATATTAAATATTAAAAGAAAGCATTTTAAGTTTACCGTGTAAAATCAAAAATCTTTTCTTAAAGTTATATATCATTAGAGCCTCAACAGTTTGACATATCGAAATGGATGTCTGTAATTTTTTAAATATAAATAATTTTTAAAACGTAAAAACTAAGACTCGCCTTAGCAAATTCGTTTCTATTTTCCAAATTTTCTTCCAAACATTCGGCAAACACCGAAAACATTCTGAAGAATTGAAGTTATGTCTAATAAGATTATAGTAAGATATTTTTTCAAAATTTTTACCGTAACAAGGCAAGAGATTTCTCAACTAAATCTTCCCGGCTTTCTGAAGTGTCATCTTTTTCGTTTATATCTTTCATATCCTTTTATAATATTATTATAGTTTGTTTTAAAAAATAAACAGACAATAATCATAGTTTTTTGTTTACCTGCACATATGTACGAATATCTTCAACAAATAAAAGCATAAAATCTACAGCTTTATCAATACGGGTGCAAAAAAACGGTGATAGTTTTAGGCAAATATTTCTTGTATAAATCTGCATTTTTTCGTTGTTGGTAGCATCTATATTCCATCCGATTAGAACATCACAAATATCCTATGAACAATTTAATATAATAAAAAATAAAACTAATTGAAAAATTAATTAATCTTACAGAAAAATACGGATTAACAACTTCGGGATATTGAATACTGAGTATAACAATAATTTCAGTAATACTTTGAAACATTTTATCTTCATCTGCGTCTAATAATATTTTCAATATTGTTTTCATCATATCCTAAAATAACGGAACATTTAGTATTAAAAATAATCAATTCAAAAAATCTTACCTTCATCAAAGGTTGCATGAAACGCATTTTTTTATCTCGCTCTAAGATTTCTTGAATTATGTTCAAACAAAAGCTTCTTTCATTATTTAATTTAGACTCCTCTAATTTTTGATGTATCCAACTTAATAATCTTGAAATAAAAGATATAAAGCTTAATAAAACTTCTGAATAAAAGTATTATAAATGAACTTACTTATGACCTTCGTATTGCATAACATTAGCAGTAGAAGCTACAATAGATGATATTGTATCTAAGTTATCAATGAAAAACCTGCTGAATAATTTATAGACAAAAATAGATATGTTTTTCTTTTCAAACTTTGTTTAATACCTCTCCCGTTTGATATCAAACATAGCCTCAGCTATATCAAAAGCGTTAGAAATAACAATCTGAAATGTAAATAGCGATAATGAAAGTTTAACAATGAATTGTCTACTACCTTTTTGTTTTCATTATAATTATTAACAAATTCATGAAGAATTTTCAGAGATATTAATCTCCTCTCTTTTTCAATTTTTTCATTAGTCACTCTTTTGAGCAGTTTAACTATTCTGGTATCTTCGCTATAATACTTTGGTTCTAATTTAGCACGAAATTTCGTTGAATTTATTAGCTGGTATTTATTTAAGAAGTTACCCGATGAATAAGAAGAATTATGACGTGATGATGATCCTTCCATTCGGCTTCTACCACGAAACTCTCTAGATGTAACTGAAGATGATCTTGAAGCTGAGGGATAAAATTGATGTGTAAACTTGATATCTTCTTTAAAATGCTTTTACTTTATAGATTACAAATAGGTTATTTGACAAAAAAATTATACTAACTAGTTGGAGATTTAGTTACTTTCTCGTCATCATTTGAGTAAAGTTGACCCATAGATTTTCGGTATGAATTATCACCCACCATGGTGAAAAAATGCCACTAAAAAATCTGTCACATTATTTTAGAAACCACTCAAATTAAACATTGTACTGTATTCAAAGCTATTACTCAACTTACAATTAAATAGTAAATGTTATAATTGAAATTTCTTATGCAAAATAACAATCCACTAGTGAAAACGTGTCCCAAACAACCGTGAAGTAATTTCGTCCCATGTTTGTCATTTCATCACCTTAATTAAAGGTACAAGCAACGTTATCTTAAGATGAACAATTTTCAAGCCTCATATACGAAGCAAGTAATTCTATTGGTTAGATTCGGTTGTTATAGCCGAAAATACTTTTGGTTTCTGTTTGGTTTTGTACTTGAAAATTAAGAGACAGTCTTATAATTATTTGAATTAACAAATTCAAACCTGTATAGTTTTAAGATAAGAATATATATGATGTTATAATAGCTTGAGTCCTTTAAAAGATTTAAACTAGCAGGACCCAAGTCCGTGTAAATCCAAAAACGCGAAAGATTATAAACTATCGCTCAGCAGAAATATATTTCAAAGTAAATCTCGATATCCATAAGGGGCGGCAGTTCGGTGAACTAATTTTTTAAAAAATTTCTATATTTGTATAATGCAAAAATTGCTTTAACCTTAAGTTCTTAACGAAAATTACCAATACTTGGGCTATATTCTTAATTACTGTAATATAAATGTGATCGGCATGAAAGAAGTTCAAGAGTTATGAGTAAGATATAGAGGGCACTACCTGCATCTCGACACATCATCTTTAGTTGGAATATTATTTGTTTTGTTAGTAAAAGCTTTCCGGTTTGCGAAAAAATGAGGTAAATATCCTTCTATATGATCTTTTAGGAAATGTTTAATTCGTTATTCTAGATTATTAAATCAAAAGAGACTGAGAAATAGTAAAATTGAAATTGATTAGACGCTTATATAATATGCTCACCGTCGAACGTGAGCGATAATAAGATACTGCATATCTTTTCGTTTAAAAGTCTTGTTTGAATTTTCTAAGAAACACCTTAAATTTTTAGCAACGCATCAGAATATTTCGATTGGAAATACTATATGCGCGAAACTATAATTTTCGCTGGTCAACATCCTTACCTCTTCGTCTACTACGTTCTTCTCGCCCTATCACCTTTATTCGGAATCAGCGCTTACCTGTCGTACAAATTAGCGAAGGATATTGAAAGTCAGGAAAAGAAGAAGAAGAGGAAGAAGGAAAGAGAGGCAAATATTGCCAAAGCCCGAGGAAAAGACAAACCAGGCAGTTTGAAAGACAAGAAGAAAGAGGATAAAAAGAATATGTGACATCGGTCTAGGAATGTGATAACTAACAATTTTATGTATGAATTAACTCAGTCATACACTATAAATTGATAAGTTTATTAAATGTAAAATATTCCAAACTATTTTTCAAAAATTCAAAACTGAACAATAAAACTATTTAAATAAATAGTTTTGTTTATGAGCTGCCAAATCGAGTATCTTTAAAAAACAGTAATCAAATCGAAATTGAAAATCTATTTAGACAGTTAACACATTTATAAACTATCCTAGAAATTTTTTATGCGAATTCTCAATGAACACTACGCGCAACTGATATTTAGATACTTGTAAAGAGGAAATGGAATTAAATATATTGATTTAATGGAGTTAGACATTGTCGAATAGTGTAATAAAAGTTTTAATGTAGATCTTTAAGTGGGGTTTACTTTCAAAATATTGTTGTGTTCAACGAGCCTTATTCTAGTTTATAATTACTCATTTAACAAACGGTGGTCCGTATGCTAGATTAACACATTTAGTATACTTAAAGCACGTGATCAGCCACGTGTATGGAATAGATTTAAGTAGTGTTATTTTTTATACCACATCTGGTATCCAAACCAGTAACCGTAAGTTCGGAACATGACGAAATTCAATGATTTACCATCGGATGACAACAGCTATCTGTTTGACCCAAAGATCTTGAAAGATATTAATTGGGAGAACGCTACATGTACTTTTAAAAATAATATATCAATCGCCAATCCCGGAGACTCTTTAGTGATGAGACCTTTGAGAGATGATGACTTTCATCAAGATTATTTAGAGTTACTTGGCCAATTAACTAAAGTTGGTAAAATTGAAGAGGAGACATTTTTCAAGAGATTTGAAGAAATGAAGGAATGCTGTGGTACCTATTACATAATTGTCATTGAGGATTTAAAAAATAATCGAATTATTGGAACAAGCAGTCTGATCATTGAACATAAGTTTATACACACAGCTGGTCAAAGAGGAAGAATTGAAGACGTAGTTGTTGATAATGAATTCAGAGGCAAGCAACTAGGAAAATTATTAGTTCAAGCTCTTGTATTGGTTGCCAAAAAATTAGGCGTTTATAAAATATCTCTTGAATGTAAGATTCATAATATTCCTTTTTATGAACTATTTGGCTTTAAGAAAGATGAACAATCATTTATGATTCAAAGATTTGAAGAGATGTACTAGAGAAAAGAGAATTCATCTTCTAATAAAGGGGTTATCAAACATTAATTTTATCATATTTTACATTTTTCCCAATTATTTTCTTATATCATTCTTACTACTTAATTTTCGAAAAAATCAATACATTTCTCTTTTTAAATGTATAAAATAATACAAGACTATTTACTAGGCTTTCATTTTTCTACATATTGATCTTCCTTTAAGTTCCGAAACATAAACCTAAACTTAGGCCTAATGCAAAATGTTTGAACGGGTCTCTCTAAATACCAAATCTTTTATAGTTTACAATCACTCCAGATGCCTCAATTATTAATTATCATTACAAATCTAATTGTAAAATTCTCTTTAATTTAACTTAATAACTTAACTCATAGAAATATTTGATATTTTTTAACCAATCGAATTTGTCCGAATAAACACAATAAAGATATATTGTATCTTCTATTTATATATTATAATAAATAAATAAATATATATATATATAAGTATAATATTATATTGAGGAAAAAAAACGTTCCAATTTTAGAACAATCGATTAAAGTTTCAAGTAACTGGTTGTAGTATTTCGTTGTTCGGCTTTTAGGTATGCTTGTATTTACTTTTTGCACTTGACAGCAGACACTTTATCGTCTACGCGAGGAATCGTCACACGGACTATCTATTACTATTAAAAATTTTATAGAAATAAATTGTTAAGAAAGACCAGTAATAATCATGTCAAACTCAGCAGTAAGTTACATGTAATATCATAATCTGCTTCTCATATTTTAATGCCGGTATTCTTCTTATAGGAATTCACAACAGCCGCCGAAAAAATTAGAAATTTAACCAAAAAGCCTTCTGATGATGAATTAACTAATATCTATGGTTTATATAAACAAGCTACAACTGGAGATGTTAACATCGATCGTCCAGGAATGTTCGACATGAAAGGTATTTCTTATTTATTTTTTATGTGTACTATTGAACTCAAATGCAGACATTGAAGGAAATTTTAACTATACATCAAGTATTAAGTGAACTATCATTAATTTATTGCAGGAAAGGTTAAATGGGATGCATGGAAGGCTTGCGAAGGAAAGAGCAAAGAAGATGCTGAGAAAGAATACATCGCCAAAGCTAATGAAATTTGTACAAAATATACCTAATATCTTCGAAATGTAAATTTCCTTTGAAAAGAACAAAATAAACTTATAAGACTTTGAGTTTAAACCACAAAAGTTACTTAAATTAATTTAACTTCTTTCATTTTATCTTCTCAAACTTAACGGAAATAATACGTGGTAGATAAGCAGATAAATAAAAAATAGTTGCGCATGCGTACTTCAAATAAATAGTTACAACTTCTAAGTACGTTCCAAACAGCAAGATGTATGTACTTGAGAATTTGCACTTCGAACTCCTAAAAACTATGGATATGAATAATGTAATGAAATAGATTAAAGCTTCTCTTACTAACAACTGAAAAAACACAAATCACGCTATATGCAAATCATCATTTGTCGAATCAAAAATCTCGTATCCTTCTCTGTCAAAGCAGTCGTATATCCTGCATAGAATGCTCAAATAATTATGTTTGTAGGGAAAATGATAAAGAGAAAAGTAAAATTTCTTTTCCTTTCTGTGGAACTCAGTCTGATTAATCAGAAAGAGCAGAAACAACTCTGAAAAGGATACCACTTTTCGAAAACATCGAAAATTCTGATAATGATACTAGTATGTGTTTATTATTTATATAACTTAGTTTCTCTTAAAATTCTACGCTTTTCCGCAATGTTTGTCTAGTTAGCGACCCTGTTACGAAACTTTCAAGAATTATAAAATAATAGAGATAATTTTGCTCTAAATAATTTAGAAAACGTTGTATTAGCGGAATTTGACAAGGTTAACCTTAAGGTTATTCATAATCTAGACAAAATTATCGAAAAGATTAAACGTAAAGCTGAAAATATGAGAATACTCACAAACAACAAAACCTACTAGAATACGAAGTTCGCTGTTCTTACAGTGAAAAACTAATGGGCTATATGAGTTACTTAAAGTACTCAACGCCCTTAATTCTTTTTTGAAGGTGTAACTGGTGCTATATTTAAAATTGATTTAGAGTATATGAAATATACACTTAGACTTTCTGTAAATTATATATAGGAGTACAATCATCAATTAAATTTGATGCATTTCCTTTAGGTGTTGTAAAAGAATATCATGAAAAATTGTAAACATTTGATTTATTAGAAAAATATGATACTTTAGCGTATAGTGGGACATCAATGTACTTATTAGAATGTGTCAAACACGAAGACTGTAATTCTGATAAAATGAAACGATCGAATGCAAAACCAAATGAGATTATGCATTCTTGGTAAATGGGCTACTTAATTATCAAATGGTTGTGGACACTAAAAACATCTATCTTGCCTGAATAGCAAACTGGTGACGTATATAAAATAATTAAGGAGAGAGAAGCCCCAAGGTTTTGTTTGATTTACGATTAAACAATTGAATCATATATATTTTATGCTATATTTTAATACATAGTGTATCTGGATGAATCATCTGCCATATACGTGTCAGTTTAAAGTCTTCAACTAGATTTCTTATGATAGGGCAATAACATTAAATTTTCGAAGGGGCAGGGAGAAATTATCCTAGCTAACGTCACTGATCCTTTTAACTTCATATAAGACTATTAATTGAGATAAACAAACTCTTCAATTAATAATATGAAATCAGTAAAAAGAAACAATTTATACATCGGGAAAATGTAATATCGTTCCCATTATTAACTAGCAAACTGGTGATATGCTACGCGACATAAGCCATATAGAAAGTACAATCAAGCAAATATACCCGTACAATTTAATAGTTTTAGTTGTCACATATTTATGAATCTGTATGCTATCTTCTAACACGAAAGTGTGGTATTATCATTATTTACAAAAAAAAGAGCAGGTGATAAGATTACAGGAGAAGAAGAAGAAGAGAAATGTAACGAAAAGAAAATGTTCCACCCTAGACCAATTGACTTTATATCAATAGACATAAATTTTTGTTTAAAAAGAGAAATCTGCAACAGTTTTGTTATAGAATATTTGCATATATTATTAAATAAAAAATTACACATTGTAACAAAATGAGTTACGAGAAAACATCTATTTAAAAAGAAGTCATAATAATCAACGCTCAGGGAGAGAGAGTTAATAGAGTATTATCAGTAATAAACTGTATTTTTTTGTTATAATAAGAATATTGAAATCTTAATTTGGTAAGAGCACAGACATTTGGAAATGTTAATACTGATGTACAGTACTCTGTTAATCAATCTATATAAAAAAAATGTTTTCAGTTTTTAACAAACAAACACAAAAAGAATTTCCTCTTAATTTATAGATAAGGCAATTTGGGAAACAGTTGACTAGTCGACTAAAATGCACGCATATATATATATATATATACCTATACAGTATATATAGTATATATAATACTGTAATTTGTATATTATTGATGTTAAAAAAGAGCTGTAAAATAAATCTGAAAATTCAACAGAGCTTACATAAATTCTATACACGATTAGCAGCTGGTAAAGGATGCGGATCTTGTTCAGAATAGGCGGGAGGAGGTCGAAAGCGATAATCTACAACATATGTATACATAGGTGTAAAAAGTAATTCTCCAATAGTATTTTGTTCGTCGTCGTCTTCGTCTCTTATACTGACAGCACCACCAAGAGATTCGACGTACGTGGGTGGGGGATCATCAATTGGGGGAGGAGGTGTTGCAATTTCCCTATAAGGAGGAGGAACTGGAAGAGCAAGGGGTAATCGCCCGGAGCGATGTGGTACTGTTCCAATTGTAATTGGTAAATTCAAAGCCAAATTATATGCTCCTGGAATATGAACGGCTACTTTGACGTAATATTCTACCTTTATAAGGCAACAATTGACAATGGAAGGCGATACGGCAGGTATTTTCAATAATTGTGCATCCCACGTCGCTCTTGATCCGGCTGCAACAGGTAGTCCAGTCAGAACAGTAAACTTTGTGGCCCTGACCCTAGACTTTCCAGTTGCATAAAAAGTTTGCGTTTGATGAAGAGTGGCATAAGGTATGACTGTTCTGGATGTATGATTTTCGAAATGAGCCCAGATCGCAATAGATTCTCCTGGACAATAGCCTCTTCTATCTGTTCTGGCTGTAATTGATACGGGTCCAGAAGTACATAGCCAACAGCACAGCCTCTTTTCAGCACTATTTTCCACAGGGATTTGAAACTCAGATCGATTAATATCAATAGGACTAATTACAGTAAAAGCTCTCTTAGTTTTGTGATTCAAAGCCCAGGGCTTGTCCATTTCGGCCTTGAGCCAATAACGTATGCTTCCGTGCTTACCTTCAAAAGAGGTTGATATAGTGCGATCTAAAGGAACTTCGAAGGAAAAATCAAATTCATGACGACCTTCGTTTAATGTACCCCGATCGCCGTCAAAAAGAACAAGGCGTTTGAAGAAGTATTCAACTTCGGCTTTATAGTGTTCGGTGTACGAGCCTAATCGGGTGCCGGTACTTCGTGACTCTGTCCAATGAACTTTTGCAACACCTCTCATAAAAATCCTTAGAGCTCTCATTCGCATTTCTCCTTTAATGTCCACGATACACTGTCCATGAACTCGCTCACCGGGATGATAAACAGTCTTATTTTCAGTGAATACTATTTCAAAGCACTTTAATTTGCCCATTTTATTTCAGGTCGTACTCAAAGATTAAAATTCAAAGATTACAGTTGTCTCATTGTTTTTCCTGCCTTACGTCACACTAACTGATGAAAAACTAGCTCACTGTTGACAGCGGAAGTCTACTTTTAGTCTTTTGCGCAAAGTGCTGTAGTGAACGCGCATGCGCCTTTACTATGGTATGGCTAGAAAAAGATAAGCAGGGTACCACAAATATGAGAGAGAGAGAGAGCTACTTTTTATTCTCAAGAAAAAAATTCCAGTGATGAAGTTTTTAAAAAACTATAGAAAAAAGCTGGTTTTCTTATCTCTTCTTTTTCAAATCAACAAGCCTTAATCACTACTATTATTCGTATATGAAAGCGTTCATCCAACGAAAATCATAATTCTCTTTCTATAAAATGTCTCTTTATTTTCGAGTTGCTGTATCAATTGTGAACGAATATTTTTTTCTCCTCTTATGCGTATAAGATTTATATTTATATTGATTTATTTCCTAGATCTTAACACCCTATCTTGCTCTTTCCTTGTTTCCTATTGACTAGATTATATACTATATTTATAGTACTATAGTACAGTACATTATTCCTTTGGTGTACTGCTTCTTCTTATCGTTTATTCTTATTTGAAGCAGTTTATTTTTTTACATCAAACCAAACTCACGTAATAAGTACAGTTGTCTTGAAAATAGGTTATCTTTATATGCTTTGTTAAAGAGAGTATTCTAATATTCTTCTCTTTGGCTTTATAATTGCATTTACAGGTACTTTTTTCATTGATATTTCAATCTTAAGGCACATCTAGGAATTAAACAGTTAATTGTTCTGATAAGAATTTTTTACGTAAATATGGTATCATATAATGCACTGCAAAGAACTATGGCAATATTACTCAATATATTTATTGTAAATTAATGTTATTTATTCCACAAAGGAGGTCATTATGGTATATAGGCTTTTAGACAATCAAAATTTTAACGGTACTTAGTAATACGAGTTTTCTTTTACGAGTTTTTCTTCTATAACTAATAAGTTTTGCAATCTCATTCCGCGTTTGTCAAGTTTATTGTAGAGATCCATTGATTAGTTTGACAACTAGTAATCCAGTTTGGACTAATTATATCCATAACCATAATCATAAAAAATCTATTTATAGCATTTATATCAACGTTTGCAATTAAAATCATCTAAAAATATGCCAATATTAAATACTACTTGTATTTTATAAACTATAAAAGTAAACATACAGTAATCATTATAAATTATATTTATAATTATCTTCATTAGTGTCTTTCTTCTAGATGATAAAAGTGAAATTTTACTAATAACATGTTAGTGTTTATATTCTATGTTTTGACTAATAATCTAGCAATATCTCTAAATTTAATTCGGATATTATAATAATCTTAAAATATAATAATAAACTTAATTCATTGTTATAACTAAACGAATAAACAAGCATAGAACAGAAAGGAATAAAGCCGTAGAAAGCTAGCGCGTCAAAACGACATGATTTTCTTCTTTACGAAATAATCAATAAGAAAGTTAATCTATCATGGTTTTTCTTCTTTTTTTTTTGTAAAAAACATGATGCAATTAATCTTTTTCTTTATATATCACTATACAAGTTTTTTCGTTCCCTTATAAGAAATGGATGAATGATATTTACAGTAAAGGTTTTCGTTCTTATTTCAGACGAATAAACATTAAAATTAGGCAGTAAACGTTGCAAGTTGAAATATTTCTATATATCTATCATCTAATCTATCACTTTTTTCCCTTTCCGAAATACTAAGTAGACTGTACTTGTTGCCTATTTTTTTTTGACATTTAATCCTTTTTCTTATTAGACTTATTCCAGATAAAAACTAAAGTTATACCTTTTTTATTATTTAATTATATATCTTAGCAATAATATGGAAGTTTAAGGAGATATATTTAAGATGGATATTAAGCGTATTAGATTTATAAGATAATTAATTAAGAATTTGAGCATCGTAGGCTAATTGAATAGAATGTAATAAACGTTAGTAAGAGCAATGTAAAAAAAATTATAGAAAAAATTATTTAAATTCATTTAGGCGCCAAAACTGTAAATATTTCCGGTTTTCTTCGGAAATTTAAATTTGCTCTACAATACGAAAAGATTGTCTTGAACCAATAGACAATCGACACGTTCCCAATCGTCTGCATGAGCATTTTATTTTCATTTCAACTTCATATGCGAAGGAGGATGAAAGTTTACACGAGCATATTCGGCTTCTCCATAGCGTTGTTGCTTATCTTAAGCACATGGACAGGTTCCACTGAAGCTGCCGTTAAGGGACCCAAAGTTACTGATATTGTAAGTTTTTGTTTATTTTGGTAAAAACCTCAACCCCTTATGACCGGCACGTCTCATTTTAGGTTTTCTTCGATATTACAATTGGTGGCGAAAAAGCTGGACGCATTGAAATAGGTCTCTTTGGTAAAACCACCCCAAAAACGGCTAAAAATTTCAAGGAGCTTGCAGAAGGAGTTAATGAAGGACTAACTTACAAAAACAGCAAATTCCATAGAGTTATCAAAGATTTTATGATTCAAGGAGGTGACTTCACTAGGGGCGATGGAACAGGCGGCAAATCAATCTATGGCGAAAAATTCCCCGACGAAAACTTCAAGCTCAAGCATTATGGTTCTGGTTGGTTATCTATGGCTAATGCTGGAAAAGATACTAATGGATCACAATTCTTTATAACTGTTAAAAAAACCGAATGGTTAGATGGTAGACATGTAGTTTTTGGTAAAGTTTTAAAGGGTATGGATGTCGTTAGAAAAATTGAAAACACCAAAACAAGCAGCGATAGACCTGTATCAGAGGTCGTTATTGCTGATTGCGGTTCTCTACCAGTTGAAAAACCATTCGCGGTTGAGAGGGCAAATGCCGATGAATAAGTTATATAATAGTTTTGTTAATGAATAATTAATAAATTTTGTTAAAAAAGACAAAAAATTGCCTATGTGAATCCTAAGATTTTAACATAATAGGGGCGACATGTCCTTTCGAAAGAACTATTTTTGCTGATGTGGCAACGTATGCATCGAAGCTTTTATATCAACACACTGAACAAAATATGAAAAAAGCATATTTTTATGTAAAAAAAGATAACGGCTATTATTGTATTTATACAGACATCCAAATTCAGAATAAATTATGTCACTCCTGTAGAATTTAATAATAGTTAGTATTCAATAATAACAATTATTCGTAAAAGGTACTCACCTAGATAGTCGTCCATGAGCGAACCAATTGCGAACTATTTTAAAGACAATATTTAGCTTTATGTATTTATTCATGCAAATTATGTATCTTACAATATCCGAAGCATCCACTCTTGTACCTACAATCTTCAGGCGAATTTCATCATCTTGCTGGATTAGGGTATCCTGAAAAAAAACGCAAGATTTAGGGCTTTATTATAAAATAACTTTTTTTTATCAACCTCGTCTTTAGTTTTGTAGCAGGGAGGAGTAGCGTTTGGATCGAATTCGAGATCTGCTGGTATGGACTATAACATAGAAGTGTTAATATTTATTATTATTTTGGTCATGATCTTAACTTACGTGTCTTGAAATGAAACAACTCAACGGTCCAACCTCAACGAATAAGCCAACCTTGTTTACTTGAGTCACAACTCCATCTACAACCTCTCCTTTGAAAGGTCGGAATACAATGGCCTTGTAGGAAACAGGGTAAACAACGAAACCCTGTCCAGGTAAAATTCGACCGGCCCCTATGTCATCAATTGTCGTTACGGCTACAACAAAACCATGCTTTCCGGTGCATGTACCTTCTACTTCTGAGAAGAGTTTTTGTTTCACAGTATTTAAAAGATTTGGTCCGAAATAGCGGGGATGGAGCAATATTTCTTTATCCAAAGTTATCTGTATTATCGCCCATTATGAAATTTCAGAATCAAGCATATCGCACGAAAATTTAAAACAAAAGCTAGTGTTCAGTTTATGAGCTATTTAAAAATCACCGAACATTCTGAGTGTGATAATATATACTTAAAACATATGAAAACTTACATGGTAGAACATACCGCCTGCCGAAAATTAAGGATCAGGGAGTGCGCTCAAACCTTGGAATACTTTTCTATACTCAATTTCGTAAATAATTTCTGGGATAAATTTGACATATCTAAAAATTTAAATATCACGATATATATCTTTACTTATATTTATTTAAAATAAATAATATTCAGATAGGGTTTATTTTGATGTTTAATCTTGAAAAATAAAAGATTTATTTGTTTTAGAGAAAATAGTTTCTGATTGGATATTCTCTGAATCTCACGCATTACTATTAGTTGTTTTGAAAGTATAACGTTCAATTTACTCATTAGGTTTTGCTTGATTAGTGAGAATCTTGGATAAAAAATAGAACTGGTAATTTAGGTTACGCAATTCACATGGGCTATTAAGTCGTCTGCTAGCACTATTTCCGTTTAAAATCAAAATGGAGGGGAATTGCAATAATGCAATTCAATCATCAAATCCTCCTAATTTCACATTTTCTTTCACTGGTGCAAATAAAGAGGGACTTTTCGGTAGGTCTGTAATGAACCAGAATGAAAAACAGCAAACAGGAGGAAGTCAAAAAGAAAAGTTAACCCTTTTTGGTAAAGAAATTGTTGGTCAAGATAGCAACAAAGCTCCAAATTGGAATCCTTCAGTTTCTTCATCAAATGCACCTAACTTTGAGTTTAGCACGAGCTCTAAAAGTACTTTTGGATTATTTGGAAAGCCTGCAAACAAGGAACAAGACGGTGCATCTTTGTTTGCCTCTGATGATGGCAATCAGAGGCCTAAGACAGGTTTGTTTGGAAAAGAAGTTCAAAATGAAAATAAAGGAAAATTTTTCGACACAAGAAAACATTCTCAATTATCTAGTACATCGAAGTTTTCATTATCAAATAATGAAGGGAGTACCTCTAAGAGAATGCTTTTTGGTAAAGGCAATTTAGCTCAGGATGAGAAGGTTGAGAAAAAAATAGATGAACCTGCCACGGTTGATAAGCGACCGTTATTTAATAAAGGAGCTTTATCTGAAGGTGAAACCAAGAAACAGAAGAAAGACTGGTTGTCTACAAACTTACATGAAAGATTATTCAGAAGAGCAGTGCCTGGCCTAGGCAGTGACAGACCAAAATTGGTTTTCATTTGTAAAAAAATACCTATAAAATTTAATAAGAAAGACATTCTGAATAAGCATTTTAAAACATTTGGTCAAGTGACCAAAATATCCATAAATTCTTTCAAGCAAACGGCAATTGTACATTTTGCTGATACAAGATCTGCATTGGAAGCCAAAAAACATGGAACTAGAATACATGGTATGGATCATGACATAGAAATTGTTTGGGCCAAAACAAACCCACCATCTAATGCAAGTCAGAATGTTCCACAGCGGTCAGGAGCTTCTGAAGTCGCTAATAAGGGAAATATAAACGATGAACTATTAACAATGAAAGGCACAACAGATATAGAGGCAGACTTTAATTTCCCTGATTCAACTGTTGAAAGACTACCTCTTAGAACACGGCCCCGGCCAGCTTCACCTGTCAGGGTGGATAGTCCAGTTAATAGTCGAAGCGTTAGTCCTGCTCCAATTCGTTACAATGAGCTTGTCACAGGTAAAAATGCGGGCGAGAAATGGCTCGTATTAGACAATTATGACAAGAAATATCGAAAAAATTTCAAAGATAAGCCACGAAGAGGGCATGTTATGGGAACTTGTCCTGATATGTGTCCGGAAAAAGAGCGATATTTCAGAGAAGATAAAAGGAGATTGTCAATATATGAGGTTGTTCCTGGACATGATATTGTAGATCATTCACGAGCAGTTAAAGAATACAGTAGATCATCAGCTGATCAAGAAATGCCTTTACCCCATGAAGTTCGTCCAGTATATGTTCTTGAAAAAACTATGAACTATTTACTTCAAACTGTTTTGAAGATGCCTGACGAGGCTCATTGGGATGAATGGTACGACTTTTTATGGAATAGAACAAGGGCTATTAGAAAGGTAAGTGAACTTATTTAGATTATAGATTATATATATATGATGTTCATTTTAAGGATATCACTCAACAACAATTGTGCGATACGTCAACCGTAAGTTTGGTCGAAAAGTGCGCAAGATTTCATATCTATTGCTCCCATCGACTATGCGAACTTCATATGGCTGTGTTCGATAAAAAAATTAATGATGAAAACTTGACAAAATGCTTGCAAACCCTAAAGGAACTGTACAAAGACTTAGAATCGAAAGGAATACTTTGCCCAAACGAAGCAGAATTTCGTAGTTATATTGTTCTTATGAATTTAAATGGTGGTGATTGTTTAAGGTATTTTTTAAGTCAATACGTTCATATTTTCCTTTGATAAATTTGCAACAATTTCTCCCCTTTGTTTTATAGAGAAGTTCAGCAGTTAAGATTTGAAGTTAGAGAATCTAAACAAGTTCGATATGTTGTCAAAGTTCATCAAACATTGAATGCCAATAATTATGTACGATTTTTTAAACTTGTAAAAAAAGCATCTTTTCTACAAGCAGCTATACTACATCGTTATTTCGTTCAAGTTAGAACTTTTGCTTTGAAAGTTATGTGTAAAGCCTATACTGCAAATACTCAGGTATTATTTTTCTTGTCATTATCTTATTTAATTATTTCAATAATTTAAATAGATACCAATTGGAGATCTTGTGGATCAATTATGTTTTGAGGATGAATTTCAAGCTCAAGAATTTTTCCATCACTTTGAAATTGAAACAACTAATCAGCATGTTGTTTTAAAACAAAAATCACTAATTAAACCAGAAGCTGAATTTAAATTAAAAAGAGCTATACAACTAGTAGAAAGTAAAATGGAGGAACCGTTGGAGGAAGTTATAAACGGTGGTCCTTTAGAAAAGCTAAATGTTGAAGAACCTTCATCCAGCTTCGACAAAGATGGTCGATTTTACGTTCAAGCTTATATGCAAGTAGCACCAACAGAATCAGAGCCAACTGAAAGTGCTGAAAAATCTGATGAAGAAGTTTGTTTTAATTAAATTTGATAAAATTCTAGTTATAAATGATTTCTTTTTTATCATAGGTTATAAATAGTATATTTGAAAATTTTCTTAATGAAACCTGTAGAGAGACCATACTTACGATCATTGAAAGTGTTCACAGTGACGAAAAGCTTATTTCAAATATTAGAATTAATATTTGCAGTGAGCTTATCACGACAACCGTTAATTCTTACATAGCGTATGTATTTTTTTTTGTTTTAAGTATACTCACAGTTAAAATAATTGAACTTTCTTTTCGTTAGCGAAATATGCCAAGAATGCAAGAGAGAGGAAGTTGAAATTCATCATAGAAATAGGGCTGAAGCTGCTGCAATTAAACAAGCAGCTATACAAAATTGCACAAATTCATTAACTGACCTTGTCGTAAATGATTTATGCCGAGAGATCACTTCAGAAGAGTTGCATAGAGCCGAAAGAGAATGGACTGAAAAATTTAATCTTAGTTATTCAGAAGAACTTTTGTCCAGTTTAGTAGAAGATATTGTAGTCACAGATGCCAGGCACCTTTCATTTACTATTCATGAAAAGTCAATTCAAGAGCGAAAGCAATTTTTGCAGAATGCCCTTGAAAAAGTACAAATTTTAAGACTTGGTAATTTATGGAAATCATGGAAATTTGTGCTGAAAAAGCAATTACAGTTAAAATGGAATATGAAGCATTTTCCGTCTGCGCCACCTATTTTAACAACATCCGAACAATTAAATTCATTATCACAAGGAATTCGATTAGAGGGTGATAATATACATATAGGACACGCCAAAGTGACTGCAAAGAGAATAAATGATATTGCCTATGCCGACTTGAATATTAAAAAAGCGATTGAAGAAGCAGAAAAGAGACTGTGTGACTTAGAACACAAGTTTTTGTCTCCATTATCCTTATCTTACTCTATAGGCTCTCACTTGGCAAAGAACTGTAAGAGTAAGCATATTTACTGCAAAATATTATTAGCTCACCCAGAGACTGATCATAAACTTACTCAGTGGTTAAAGCAAAAATTCTCTCAAGGAGCAATTGATGATGAAAGATTTAATATCCAAAAAGTGAGTTTTGTTTGATAAATAAGCTGGTAAAAACTTAAATTTTGCTTTTGTTTTTCAGAGCAAACTATTGAGTCTATATACAACAGACATTGAAAATAAAAAAATAACCTTTTGTATAAGAACTCTTCAAGGAATTGGTTCAAATGATGCAACTTTGAGACAAGTGTTCAAAGGAACATCAGCCGTTATACTGTGTACAAGCAGTGAAACTGGAATTGAGCTTAACAAGCGAATAGATTATATACGAACGTTACCATTACAATCTCAGATTCCAATACTTGTTATGTCATCGAACCTAATTCAATTTCAAAAACTACAAGGATTTTCCGACTTTCGAATGGATATTTTACCATTCGATAACAAAGTTAAAACTCTTGATATGGTAAAATGAAAAAAAGGATAAAGATATTTGCATTTAACGATTCTCTCTTTTTTAATTGTAGCTGGAAGAAAATCTCGAATGGCTGGCTTTACGTTTACCATGTGAAATTTTACTGAAATCTTCCGATTTGTGCGATTACGTATCAGATATTTTACAAACTGAATATTTCAATTTAGTTTATAGAGACTTAATGAAACGACGAAAACAGAATCTACTTGATAGAGTAAGCCTATATACATATAGGTGGATTTTTGTGTTTATAATAATCTAATTATCTTTTACTTAAATCTAGGGACCTCAAATTATGATTCAGTTTTATAATGACGTTCTGAAATATATTGCTGAGAGTATTATTGCTTCTAGTGAACTGTCATCTTGGCCTATATATGAACTTGCTGAAAGTAACGAAGGTTTATAATATCAAACAATAGCTAAACATTTGTATTGAAATAACTTTGTCTAATTTTAGATTTACCACCAAACAATTGGAATGATTCACATATTATTGAGTACATAACAGATTTCATATTTTCATTAACGTTACCTGATTTTGAATTCACTAATGAAAAAACTGAAAATTGGTCGGATGTTGTTAATGATGTGACAGATTTTCTTGATGCTGCAATATCAACCAGCGACCTAAATTCCAGTCTGTTATATACAAAGTATGTAATACTTTTACTAAATTATTAAAAATTATTTTAATCAATCTTTTAAAAATTCTAGAGTAAATCGTCTTCTGCATAAAACTAAAGTAGCTTTCGAGGAGAGAGTCCTTTGTGAATGTGAATTACCAATTATATGTGTTCCGTGGACAGAGATAATTTCTTCTTGTATCAATCATCTCATATCGAATTTCAGGGTACGATATTAAAACAGTATTTCTTTGTTTTTATTAAATATATATTAACCTATTTTCTTTATTTTACAGATATTATCAAATGGTATCAAAGTCTTTTTAAATCCCGCCAGAAAGGTTGTTTACAAGCCGCCAAATGCGTGGATCAGCGAAGTCTTAAGCCAACCAGAGTCTATGCTAGATGCCACAATTGCAGAAACTGTTGCCAGGAACTTGAAAAGAAAAAGTATAGAGGTCAAAGAACCCTATAAAAAGAAGAAATTTTATATAAATGACGATACAAATTCATCTTTACTTGAAGTTGCTTGCAGCGTTGACCAATTATATGAAAGTATCGTAGAAGAAAAACAGGAAATGGAAATCGTTAATGAAATTATTAACATAACAACAGAACAAAGTAAAAATTCACAAAATCCATCATTTAACAACTTAGAGGAAGGACTTGAATTGCTAAATTCTGCCTTAGAAAGAGAAAAACTTGAGGAAACGATTTTAACACAAAAACTCCAATTTCTTTCTCAATAGGCTACATTGAGAATATGAATTATGTTTTTATTGTTATTTCTGTACATTTTCGTAAACGACGAGTAGTGAAAAAAAGGTTTTTTTTCACAAAAAATATACAAGAAATTTAGGATTAATTTCATTTTTTATGTGTAAATTAATCGTCATAAAATAATTCTTTTATTACTTATTTTACTGTTTTAAACTTGAAACACTTTTAATTGAAACAGTTGTTTATGACCAATAGTGAGTCAATTATGGGTAATTAATTCAGTATAATAGTGTTTTTTACTCTGCTAATTATCCTGATGAATATTCAAACTTCGTGACCTCTCTTAATTTACGGTTTCAAAACAGATTAGGAAATCAGTTTTGAAAGAGTAACCTTGACCTTTATTATTCAGTGTCTGTCATGTGACAATCATCCTATTTTAGCAGACGAACTTTACTTTTAAATGAGAGCATCGATGACCGTGATGCTCAATGTATGTACGTAAATACAGATCTAATCGGTCGTATTTACGTCGAAGACGATAAATTACATCATAATTGAGCTCTAATTTTTAAATTGATATCAAGAAATACGAAAGGAATAAATATTTTAAAAATATGAACATTGCCGCCGTTCAATCTACTATCTTCTTGCCATGGTTTATGCTTGCCTTTTTTATATGTTTTCAAGGAGTCATATGCTTTCGTCCAATCGTTCTTGTCCACGGTATCCTGAATGGTCCAGCAGAATTTAAAGATTTCTTAAAGATTTTAGAAACTGTAAGTTCAAAATATAAAATAATACCCGTGAGTACCTAACAAAGAGAATGTTCCATTGTATAGTACCACCCTGGAACGCCAACCGTTGTTATAGATGCTTATAATGATTTCCAAAGCTTTGATAGCATGTGGTTGCAACTTCATGACGTATCAAAATTAATTATGAATAAAACCAGTCATTTCGAGGATGGATATAATTTACTTTGCTTCTCACAGGGTAAACTCTCTTTCTTCATTCATAGTTTAAAATTTTAGGATAAGCGCTTAGTAATATTTTTAATCTACTTATCTATACGAACAATTTGTTGCGATATATAAAATCTGAACACTAACACTTATGCATATCGGTTGTGATCTATTTTATATTGCGATTTTCAGGTGGACTGTTATGCAGATCATTTATTCAAAGCGAAGATAAACATAGAGTCAGAAATTTTATATCATTAAGTTCGCCACAAGGTGGTCAGTATGGAAATACTGTATATATTCATTTTCATTTAATAAAAGAGGAGGCTTATAGGTAAGATTTTTTCTTTTTTAGTAAGACTTGACTTTGTTTATTGTGTTTGATAAGAATTTATTCCTTTAAGGTTTTTTTATACATTGGAAGGACAGAGATGGTCGGTAGGAAACTACTGGAATGGTTAGCTTTTTTAATTTATTCTTAATTCTTTGATTTAAAATTTTTATCATCAAAATAGATCCTCATCACCACGAGATGTATCTTAAATATAACACTTTTTTACCAAAAATGGATAATTCTGTCATAACTGAACAATCTGCTAGTAATAAGTTTTTTTTAACTGTCTCTTTAGATTCTATATATTATATTTAATTTTTATATATTTCATGTTCAGAATATAAAAGGAATCTGCTACAATTGAACAACTTCATCCTTATTGGAGGTCCGGATGATGGTGTAATTACACCATGGCAATCCAGGTTATTACATAATATAATAATGAATAATAATTAAAAAACTAAATTCAATATTTTCTTTCAGTCAATTTTCAATTTTTGATGAAAATGAACAAGTTGTTAATTACAAAGATAGACATTTATATAAAACTGATGCAATTGGATTAAAAACGCTGGAAGAACAAAATAAATTACATTTTTGTACAGTTCCTGGTGTGTTTCATACAAAATGGCATGGAAATTTGACTGTGTTTAAACAATGCATTGAACAATGGCTTGATTAATATTCTCTGTTTGAGAATTATTTCTGAACTGCAAACATTTTACGTATTTTTTAAACAGTATTTCGTTTATTATGAATTTTTTCTCATATTTTACTAACTTATATACTGTATATATATATTAATAATTTGCTTTTCAATGTAATTATTTATAGAAAGAGAAACAGGCTTTAAATTCCAAAAGCTTGATATTCTGACTTGTGAACTTTGTTGATTTTTTGATGATAATATCTTTTATAAAAAATGAATTATTTGAGGAAATTTTATCCCCAAAAAATATGAAAGAGAACTAAATAAAATGCTTTTAGAAATAAGAATCTCTGCTTTTTCTATATTTAATACAAAAAAGAATTTTTTCCTCATCCTGTTCAATTTCAGATAGAGGAAAAGCTTTTGTTCTTTTGCAATCAATAGAAATCATTAAATGAACTTGTGAAAGAGCAGTTGGATTAAGTTCTTTTTATAATTTACTTTCAAGCTCTTCATTGTCAGTGTTGCCAACGATATTTTTTTGTTTTACAAGATCGTCGTACAAATCCAATTTAATTCTGTGAGTTATCCATCTATGACTTGCATTGATTTTCTTAGTTCTTTGTTGAGCAAAATCATGAACGGTTCGCTCCAAATCCTCAGCTTTTGCATCGGCGTGAACAATTCCAAGTTTGATAGCTTCGCTCGAAACTAAACGAGTAGCATTTACAACAAACTTTTGTCTAGCGTAGTCTCCAGCTACTTTGGTTTTTATAAGTGCCATAACAAAATGAGGAAGTCTAGCATTTAGGAAGACTTCGTTAAAACTTATCCAACCCTTAGTACTGTTCATAATTCTATAGTCGTGCGATAAAGCCAGCATTGCACCTCCGGCAAATGTGTGTCCTAGAATACAAGTAATAATTTACATAGAAGGTTGAGGGTATTGAAGATTGGTTTACCAACCGTTTAACATTGCAATTGTCAATATTGGAAAACAAACGAGTCTGGAAACCAATGCATTAAACTCTATCCAAAATTCGTCTCCACCTACTCTCTCGTCAGTTAATTGCAAACCATTGCTGAAAAATCGACCTCGACCAGTAGTTATCATATAAGTTACATTTTCTGACCTTAAATAGAATATTTGTAAAACATTAAAATATAGTAATAAACAAATCGTAAGACTAACTCAAGAACTTTATCCAGAGCTATATTGAAATCTCTTATGAATTCTGGATTAATTCTATTATCCTCTCCATTGTTAAGGGTTAATTTAGCATAATTGCCACATATTTCGACAATAACAAGTCTTTCCTCTCCGGTAGTCATCTTAATCGCGCTGTGCCACCTGTCCTACTAAGACTATTTCGGTATTAGGCCTTTTAATCTATATGGCACGCAATGTCAACTCTTTCTAAAGACTTGAATATTACGTAAAGAAGTTATACGAGCTGCACAAGTTTTATCACTCTGCAAAATTCGAAACAAAAAATATAACTTAAGTTGAGTACATTCTTAAATTGGAATAAAAGCTCCATCTATCGGTCGAAAATCTATATATATAGTGTATATATATCTAAAAGAATACTATAAATAGTTTGAATTAATCAACGATTTTTCCATATATTTAGAGATTTTCTTTTAAAAAAGGAAATCAGTAAAAAGGAATTTTAAAGTGAAGACATAGGAATATTTTTTTACTTTTTATTCAAACAAAAACCGTTCTTATATTCAGCCGAGAATAGTCGATTCTGATCTATAATTCAAGGAAAAAAAAAGGTAGAATATAAAGTAAACAAATTCAGAGTAATCAGTATGAAGAGTGTGTTTCCCTGCAAGAAGAAAAGATCGGTTCGTCTAATAGACATTAAACGAAATTGATCGGTATAACATAAATAATACTGGTAATAAATAATGTATTCCCAATGTCTTTTTTTGTCTACATTTGAGAAATCAATCATTAAATTTTCTGGTTGCACTTATAATTCATATAGAACGGAATTTTCTTTTTATTCTCCTCTTATTCAAGGATAAATTGATATTTTTTTCACATAAGATAATTGTTCCATTTCTAATTTCATTTAAGCTTTTACAATATATCGTTATTATATTCAATTGAATATAATTTTATAATAAAAAGCTTAATAGATAGGTTGATGGGTTAGGTAAAAATCTAGACAATCTAATTATGTCATCTTTATCATTTATTCAAAGTCCTATTTTATTCTTCCATGTTTATTACCCTGATACAATGAGATATTGATTGGAAACTTGAGCACAAAAAAAAAAGTGTAAAAGATTGAACAGAGTATTAGATTAGCCGTAACATCTAAAAATTTAACACTACACAAAAGACATTCCTAATTATTGGTTCACTCATTAAAATCTTAGATGCTTAAGGCATCACGTGAAAATTGAACAATAAAAAAAAATGACATATTTAGACAACAATAAAAATGGCATAGAAAAACATCACAGCGTTTTAATAAAAGTTCTGCAAGCAAATAAGGCATGAATTTCTGAAGACACGAGAAGAATATGCATGCAGGCACACTGATTTGTGCCGAGGTTATAAACTAAAAACCATCATGATTGTTGTATTGGCAGCAAAGTCTGCAGTTTGTCGAGAAATGCTTGCAAATTAAAAATCAGGCTTAATAAAAGAGGAACATTTCCAGCAAAGAGATTCCTTTCATTTACCACGTTGAGCTTTGACTAGGATCCACTTCTGATTTAGGTCTAGTGCAGTAATTATCCAGCAGCATAGAGGTTGTATCTGAAGTTTCATGATTTTTTGCAGCAGTTTGTAGATCTGAAACATCTTTTTCATAAAGTATTTATAGCAAAAAGAATAAAATTACTTTTAATTAGCAAGATTATTTTCCTTCTGGCACCAAAAGTATCAATGTGTAATTCTTTCAAGTCGCTTTCGTTTAAAGTGAGAAAAGTACTCATATCAATCTATAAAAGAGCATAATAAGCATATAGCTGTTATTAAAGAGTAATAATAAAACCTCCTCTTCAGCAAATTTAGTTATATATTTATCCAAATCATTTTGATGAAGAATGTCACTTACAGCTGCAATCGAATCAATATCATTTTTAGGATCATTTTCTGGCATAGTACACAATTCACTAGATTGAAGCATTATATTTCTGACTGAATTTTCTAGGGGAGTACATGACATCGATTTTGAGAAACCATAACCAGAGAAAAAATTAGTAGGTGATCTCGTCTCTCCTTCAGGCCTCTTTTGAATAGCTATTGAAAAGATATTATTACTTGAAATTTCCAGGTGAAAATATTAATACTATGGTACCTAAATCAGCTAGATGTTTCCTTTCTTCATAATTCTTTCGATTTGGAGCGAAGAGAACATTATTTTCAATCAAGGACGAATCGAAATGATTTGAAATTCTAGTAGGACGATTAGCACCAGGTGCCTTTCGTTGTTCATTCAAAAAGGTATCGTCCGAATCTAGTTCAACTCCACTTTCGCAGGATGCAGGCGATGTACCGCTTACATCAGAAACAGCAAAAGGTGTCCGCTTAGATTTAAATAACTCGTCTAATAATTTGGCAGAACCCTGTGAGCGTTTTGCAAGTCCCGCTTCACCGAATTTTGTCTTCATTTCGGTGCAACCAAAAGAATAGCTACCACAAGCCTTTGTAAGGCCTGGTGGGGGTCTAACATCAGGTAAAGAATTTGTGCTCGACGTTAATTTTAAATTAATGTCTTTTCCAGAGAAACTATCATTGTTTTGATTAGATTTTGATTCTGTTGCAAGATTCCTGTCTAGAGGCTTCGCATCTTTGGTTTGATGCCATTGGGCGGAGTTTAAAGTTGAAGTGTGAGATTTTGTAGGGGCCCCATTCGCTTTTCGTTCTGTAATGGTTTTTAACCGTAAAGAATCTCGAGAATAAAAGTGTTTCTTATTACCAGATTCTGGTGGTTTCATCGACTGAACGACTCTTGTAGGGGTGTACAGATAGCTAGGAGGCATTTGAGAAGAGGGAGCCAGTAAAACAACTGGCTGATGATAATAGCCTAAAAAATACATCCTGATAACTTAAAAGAAATTCCAAAAGAAACAAAAACAGACTATTTGTGACAGGGGGCGGGATAGAACTTTCTGGTCGGGTAGGTACATTATCTTCTGAAGACAAGCAAAGCAGTCTTTGCCTTGACTGGAAAGCTTTGATAATATTTTGCTCTTTCGTTTTAACGTTGACTGACTGTTTACAAAAATTTAACGCAACTAGTGTCAAGTTAACAACAAAAGCAAAAAAAAGCTACCTTAGATGATTGTTTCGGCTTGGGTTTGATATGGACATTCAATTCAAGTTCAGAAGCCAGGGTGTTTACGCTTGCTGAAAGGCATAAATTATATTTAGAATAACCTGTCGTTTAACTTTCACCTAGCATTCGAAAATAGAATCTTGTGAAAAAAGATCCTGTTACGAACACGAATTGAAAGCTTCTTCACCCACTTATTTCTGATAAGCAATTTTTGATAAACCACCTACAGTTATTAATGAACTATTACGGGACTCAATCGACAATCTTGTCTACAAATATTTACTTTTCACTTGAACACGACAAAAGTGCGAATGTCTAAAGGCAAAATTTTTTAAAATTCTTAATCGATTAGACTAGTTTACAGTTGGTAAATAGTAAATACAATTGAATATGGAACGAATCCTAATTCAAATTGACGTAACAGTTCAACAGCACCGAGTCCGTTCAAATACGCGAGTAAGCACGTTCAAGCAGAATTTCGAGAACAATTATATCTAATAATATTTACAAACCTTGATCGAATGGTGCATCCTCTTTTGCATCAAACATCAACACTATTGGTAGGTAACCCTAGAAAAAAAATTTAAAGTAGGGCATGTAGCAAGTGTATGAATAGAATAAAGAAATCATTCAACTGCACAGTTCTTTATATTTGTCGATTATATAACATGACATTTAATAAAGAACTTACCAAGATAATTTGCCGAGCTACGAAGACACTATCAAAAAAGCCTACGATAGTTGCTGTGTACCTTTTACAGGTACTTATTTCAGACAATTGAATCTTAGTTTGAGAGAGAGTCATAGCTTGATTTAAAGCTGAACAATGTCTCCCTATAAGAGCAGCATGATGTTGATGAGACATCTCCATTTGTAATTTTACAGGAATTTGCTATGAAAAAAAATAGCAAAAATTTTGAATGTTTATACATATCTTAATAATTATCTCATTTACCATTAATCGACCATTGCTCAGTTCAGAGATTATAACTTTTATGGCATTGACATTCCACGCAGAACTTCTAACCGCAATTACGATAGTATTACCTCGATATTTAGTCATAATAGTGACATTATTTCCATATTGTAATTGTTCAATAGCTTCAGACGATGAATCGAGATATTGAGCTGGAACTAGTGAGGCAGCTATCTCAAAAGACACCAATAAAGGTTGTAGAGCCTGAGAAGCAACAATAACAGTATAAAATTATTGAAAACCAATGAATATATTTTATGTATTTTAATTTATACTCGAATCTTGTCTCTGGCTTCCTCTACTCCCTTTGGACTTCCCGAGATCGAAACCTGAAAATATTTACATGAAGAGTTGTTCAATAAAAAAAAATTCTTGGCAAAATAGATAGGGGTATTAAAATGACTAATTCTAAATAGGGCAAATCGAAGAGCAACCGTAACGATCGTATTGTTTTTCATTATTGATTAGCAGTAGAGAAGAGAAAGGGAAACGGTCGATCGCTAAAGCGTGAACTGTTACCTGATTACTTTTATCCTGCGTATTACCACGATTTGAATCTGGGAAGTGGATGTGACAGTTGGTTTTTTCCATAACTTTTCTGATATTTTGTCCACCTTTCCCTATCACATGACTATGTTCTGTATAAGGAACCTCGATCTTCAAAGTAACGCGTTGACTCTAAAAAAAAGTAATTGCGTCTATACTTAGTACATGAGAGAATTTATAAATTTGGCTAACAACGACGATCAAGTTCATTCGGTGCTTAATATTTTCTTTATACATCCATATAATCCAGGCAATCGGCAAGATAGAATTACATATAAAAATATCTATTCAAAACGTTACTCAAAAGGACAGATAGGAAAAAGCTTATTGTCAACAAGATTGGCTGCAAGTACAATTTTTATATACAATAGACAATTTTCACGAATTTACACAAAAGAAAACACTCTAAAGCCTTTGCAAACAAATTGGTAGCCTTAAAAGAAATTTAAGGAAATGCCAGGCATTTTGAATCCTATAACTATCGAACATTTATCACAAATAAGCCTAATATAATTTTTAAGTGTTCTTCCAATCGAAAAAAAGTCTTTAATTAGACGGTATAATACAAGCGAGAATAATACCTTAGAATCGAGAACTCTCATTACATGTTCCTTAGCCAGTTGAATGTTCTCTGCAGTGCCGAATACTTTAATGTGAGGATCTATTTTTTAAAACAAAATTTGCTTAAATAAAGAATAAAAAAAGACCGTTATAACCTTTCTTTGATTTAGCACCGATTTTGAGTCGAGAAGGCCATGTTATTGTAGTGCTTGTTGCTTTCATAACCTATATGTTGAAGTCTCTTATAAAAGAATTATGGAGTTTCTTGAGAATCTCATTACCTTTTCAAAGAATTCTTCCGCTTCTGTTCCATATTCAGAATTACTGAGTTCATCTGTAAAGCAAAAAAAATAGTTTCATAGGATTTTACAAAAAAAAAATTCAATAGAACAAAAATGTCTTTATGCACTTCGTATGTGTTGATATTAAAGAGCACTAACTTTTCAGCATCTGTTCTAACTTCTTTCGGTCAATTCGAAAACGTTCTTCGATTTCACTTGGATCATTTTGTTGTTCGCATGACTCTTCTGAAGATCTTGAAATCGTTTCTTGACTTGAGAAATTATTGTTGTTATCCGTATTATCCGCCATGGCCTAACTAACACTACTCAAGCAAACCGCTTAACGCACTGTCGTTCCGCGGGAGTATACAATATTCAAAACATTCTTGATTTTATTAAAATTATTCAATCTAATAATTGAACTGGATTGTCTTAATTGTTTAAAAATATTATGGCGTTTTCTTTGGCTTCCATAAATTAATAATGCTAATGTTAAAAGTTAATCTTTTACTCCGCGTAGTAATATTTAGGTGACCTGAAACTTAGAAACACAAGATGTCACTACAAGATTTTCAGCAAATAAAAGTTGCGAAACTACTTAAACTGTTTCAGAATTTTTAAAGTATTGATTGATGACAACTTGTAAACAAAAACAAATAAACTTTCATTTATTACCAATCTTAATTCAACAAATTGAATGGCATTCATGTGTTTATTCATAATGAGTATAAGAACAATTCACTACAAAGTGTATCACAGAAGGTGTGTAACAGTATTTCTCAAAGTGAAACTTTCTAAAGTACTTAAAACTATATAATTAATTTGTCTGTTCAACGAGTTCTATTGGATTCTGCAGTGAGTCACCATCACCAGCCAGCATAGAAGTTGTCGGTAAGGGAAGTCCACTAATAGCAAACACATTCAACCCCTCTTTAGGAATGTCATCGATTGTTATTTCTATTTCTCCTATTTCTTGCTCTCTTCTGACAGCAGTGTCATTTTCCTCAATAACCTCAGCAGTCTCGTCGATACCTTCGGCTTCGTCTTCTTCACTATCTAGAGTTACCGGCTTTCTCTCCGCATAGGATAGTTCAACCTCTCTCTTTTCTATCGCTTCGTCTTCATCAGAAGATGTATAGGAATCAACCAATTCCGCCATCTCATCATCTCGCTTTCTTTCCATTGCTTCAGCTTCGCTATCAAGCTTTTCCTCTTCCATGGCACTTCCTATGATTTCACTCTCAATGTCATCATCCACCTCGTCAGTTGATTCCGTATAGCTTCTTTTGTTGGGCTCATTCAAACCATGAAGAAGTCTGGCAAAGGCCAATTCATTAAACAATAATTCACTAATATCAATCATTAGTTCCTCGCAACATTCTTGAACTGCTCTCGAGTTGTATTTAGTGAGAGAATCACGTAGTACTCGACTCAGCTGCTTTTCGATAGTATTAGAATGAGATTCTATTGTTGTGTACCTTCTAACCGAATGAAGAACAACTTGTTCTAGATACTGCAGCATCTTAGTCGAACAAATATCATTCGCGTGGGCCCGAATTGCTCCTGTAACTTCCCGCATGATACATTTGACTTGGTTATCAAGAGCATTTGTATCCAATCCTGCAGTCTTTACTGCTCTGAAATTCCTTGCACGTTTTGCAACTTCCTCTCTATTTATGATTGTTTCACCTAGAGAGTCATGAGCAAAAGGTGGAGTGGATGTTCTATCACTTTCTGAAAGAGTGTATTTTCCGGAAGAAGTTTCACTCTCTCCTACAACATCTCGAAGATTATATAAAGCTCTTTGACGTAGCAAATCTGTGTTTAACCGTTGCAAATATCTGACCGCATCAAGGAGAAAATGTGGACGATTTTCGTTGAAAGATATTAACGTTGCTACTTCTGAATATATTTTTTCTTGAATAGCCGTATTACTACCAGAAGTGGCTCTATCTTTCATCCAGGTTTTTTGAGTCCTACTCTGATTTTCTATGGAAGTTCGATTGCTAATTAACTTATTTAGATGACTTTGAGATTTTGTAACATCTCTCTGTTGCTGTGACAATTGCGCCAGACAGTGTTGCATTGCTAACAATACATGTTGCTGTTGCAGAGTCGCTGTTGTTTGTTCATTAGCCGTATTGTTATTTGTCCTTTGCAGAATACTAACAGTCTCAGTTAAAGAATCTATCCGTCTTTTAAGTTCCTTTATCTCCTTTTTTGATTGTTTATCATTCGGTGGTCTACATGGGCCTGAAGTCCCTGGTAAGTAAAGAAAGGATATGTTATATTTCTAAAGGTAAAGGTTTTTTAATTTATTACCTCCTATTATAAAAGTGTCATCGGAATGAATAGAACCATTACTCGCTGCTGTCCTTCGGCCTGAATTTTCTGAGCCACCCCAGGTAGCAGCCGCAGCACTATGAACTGATGTTGCCGCTGCACTGGCTACCTCCGAATCATTAGTTGTTGGACCTAATCTAGTATTTCTTGAATCGACAATCCTTCGCGGTTTGCTAACCATATCTTCGAAAGCCTTCTTTTGATCTCTTATTTGTTCCTGTAAAATTCTTTGTTGTCGCATTCTATCATAAATTTCATCATTGCTAGCAGTAGGTAAAGGTTCTTGGAACGTTACACTGATGGAACCAGGAGTTTGAGCCACCCCAGTAGATTGACTAGACCTTTCTACTTGTTCTAGGTGTTCATTGAGCAATTGCAGTTGATTCTGAAGAAAAGCTAAGTGTGCTTGATGATCCATAATTTCAGCTCTTCCGTTTTGTTCAATTGAATCAATTTCGTCATCGTCATCTTCGTCATCTTCGTCATCCCCGTCGAATGCATCAGGATCTATCAATACTTGGGCAGCAGCACCATCTTCAGCTTCTTCAACGGCCATCCTTAATTGCTGCAGCTTTACTTCGGCATCCCTAAGCCTTTCGAACTGTAACCCAGTTGAGGTGATTTCAGAATTGCTAGTAGCTAAGCTATCGTCACCTTCGGCCTGATAAAATTGAACTAAATCTTTTAATTCGCTCAATTTTCTTTTAACTTCCTCTAATTTCTTCATTTTTGCTTGAACTTCTCTTTGATCTGGTATTTGTCTTTGTTCTCTTAGTACTTGACTTTGCTTTCCGTGACTCGCCCTTACGTTTTGTGGTCGTTCCATATCAATTGGCTCAGGGGATACTTTTAGAGATTGCAATTGATTAAGTAGAGATTCAACATGATATTTTTGATTTTGCAATTCTTCTAAACCGAAATCGCTTTTAACGTCACCGACATTTCTAACATAGTTTAATCGAGCAGCGGCAGCATAACTTGAGCTGTTCGATGCAGTGGCATTATTTGTTGGGGAGACTATTTCGTTGTCTGACTGCGATGTCCCGTCTGAAGACTGAGCATCTATATTCATATCTCCATTTCCTTGGCCTAATTCTCCCTGAAGCGCGAGCAATACAGCCTGGCGCCCCTGTAAAGCCCTTAACTCCTCTCTTCTATGGAGAACTTGGCGAAGTAAGCTAGTTTGCTCTTGTAGAGCGCTAATACCATTTTCCATACCATCATCATCATAATCGGTATCTGTGTGTCTTCCGAGAGCACTTTCAATCATGGGCCTATCGAATTCAAAATCTGACGATTGATCGCCCATAGAATTGGTAATAAACAGCATTTGTACATATTTTCTCTCCTGCTCTTTCAATCTTTGAAGCATTTCCTCTACTTGAAGGATACGTTCATCGTCTTCGTTGACAACAGCTGACTTCATTACCCGTAACATATTTGATGTCTGTCTTATGTATTGACGAACTTGCTGTAATCTATCACTCAGCTGGAAATCTTTGACTTCTACATCGTTCGTATTCGTTTTACGTTTGCGTGACTGATCGGATTTTCTTTTTGTTTCGCTTTTCTTTTGTTGTTTAGCAGGATTGGCTTTTGGTAAACGAAATCCCTCAATCGTTGAAGACGAACTATCTTCTTTATCATTGTCACTTGTACGTTGGCGGCGTCTACTCGACGAGGCCATTCTACAAACAAAATTGATTTAGCTTTCCATTGATCTGACAAATTTTGTCAACTTGTCGTGCGCCATCTATTAGATTATACAGGCTTTGACATGTATTTAAAAAAAATCTGTATAATCATTTCTTATAAAAAAATATTAATTTAGATAACGATAACTTCTATATAAATGATATTTACCTTGGGAATTCATTCATATACATTACACTATTTATTTTGTTAGATTTTTTTAAATCACATGAGTTTCAACTCATTTCATTTACAAAAATTGTTGACGCTTATAAAAGCTACTATAGACTCTACAGGTTATAACGTATCAATGATTAGAAACTTACGGTGGAATTTAATTGTTATGTCGAAATAAAAGCTATTTAGACATCAAATCAATTAACCACAGTACTTGGCAATGAAAAATGCACGGTGTTACTTAATACCGAGAGGGACCATGACGAACGCAATTATAGAAGAAAATTTGTAAGGTTTTAAAATACAGTATTAACAAATGAGTGTGGGAAAACTCTTCGAATTAGATATCAATTATTTAAAAAGTCTACTTGAAATTTAATTTATTAGAAAAAGACTTTTTACACAGAATGCTGTTGTCTATATTTTTTTTGATAAAATATCAAAAATTACTAAAATAGCATAAAAATTGAATTTAAGAATTAATAAGGAATTGATATTCTTTTTATACTAAAAAAAAGTAGTTCTAACTAAATTTGATTGATTATTGTTGAAGTACTATATTTAGAATGAAAAGATACAATATCTTCCGAATTCAAAGAGATATTTACGAAAAAAAAGTATTTTTAATTATACTGTGTAAGTAGATAAATATGCTTTTTCTGTAACTTTAACAAAGAGACGAACAACTTTTAAAATAGAATCTCAAAAATAAATTCACATAGATGAAGATGTTTATTCCGAGAATAAAAGCCTATTTAATTGGAGCATTTTTTAGATTTTTTACTGATATTTTACCATTTGATGTAAGCATAGCGTTACCCTTCCATTCGGCTTCACCATCGCTATTTGTAACAAGATCCGTCTAAAGAGAGTAAGAAATGTTTTTATTTTTATAAAAAAGAACAAATTAATCGAAAAAAGTTTCTACTTACAGCTAGGGTTTCCCAGATTTTCTTTTTTGGATTTAGTCTTTCATCAGGTTGTCCTTTCTCATATTTTTCAAATACTACTCTATCACCTGGCTGGCTATTTTCAGGTGGAATTAATGCTTCAACTTTTCTTTCTGGTTCATTGCTATATGAAGCAAATATTAGTAAAAATGGGATAATATATTTATTAATACTAACACAGAAGCGCAAAGAAGCATGGCACTTGATTCAACGCCTCTCATTTTTGTTGGCTTCAAATTGCACAAGAAAACTCCGAGACTATCTTTTAAATCTTCCATTTTGACTAATCCAGCTAGACCACTCACAACTGTTCTTACTTCACCATTGCCCAAGTCAACTTTTTCAACGTATAGACTCTCAGCGTCCGGATGCTAAGAACAATATTAATTAACAGAGATTTAATGTTATCCTTAAAATATCTACCATATTTATTTCTGTAATCTTTCCTATTCTTAAATCCAATCTAGAAGGTTCGATTTCATTTGCTGCTTTCGGTTGTTCCTTGGGATATGCTTTACTTGTTAGATTTTTTAATTCTTTTGACTGGAATTCTTGGCGAATAGGATTCAACATTTCGTTAATGTATTTCTTAACAGCTGATTTCAAATCGCCGGGATGGATTTGTTCTTCTTTGAAGGCTTTTTGAAGGTCTTCAAAAACGGTGAATTGAATATTTCCACCATACTCTTGCTTTCTCTCTACTTCGAAGGGTTTTTCGCCTAACAAAGGCAAAATTACGTGCTTCGCAAAGGCTAGTAGTCCATTATTTTCGATGTTTCCAGGCTCGCAAAAAGCTTGCTTAATTTTCTTGTTAACGTCTCCTTCGCTATCTAATAAATCAATTTTCGAATCTGCAACTGATGAACTCATCTTTGCTCCCATTAATCCAGGTACTAATTTATTATGGAAAAAAAAACTTAAATAGTCATAAATAAACCAAAAGGAATGAACCAACCCATTGGATTCATCAGATGTATTCTCTTTTTGTATCCCAATTTTGGTAAATATTTTTCAGCATAGGTGAAAATTTTTCGTTGATCAACTCCTCCGAATTGAGCGTCTACTTTAAGGTATTCCTCATCAAGAGCCTGTAATAATAAGCTTTCTTTAAACTTTCAACGTAATAAGTCGTATTTTACCTGAAGGCCAGGATATAGTAAACCGCTTAGTAGTGGATGATCTACTTGTTTGACAACTTCAGCTCCAGCTTTTTTTGCATCATGTTCAGTAACCATTGATGATAATCGATAAACGTCTAGTGTGTAATCTTGCTTTAACTGATAATCAGTTCCCCTAACAAATTTTAACTTTTCAAGTGGAACGTTAATAGATTTTAGCATAGATTTAATTATATTTTCGTAATATTCAGTTCTAAGCTTCAATAGTTCCCAAGGAGCTTTCATATTATCTAGATAAGCATGCAAGTCGGCAAATAGTATAGTGACATGACAACCAGCGCGAAGGAAATCCGCCACTTTCGACATAGGAACAAAATAAGCTATATGAGGCTTGCCGGTTGTAGCAGTTCCCCAGTAAATATTTAAATCTCTCTCTGAGACGATTTTTCTTAACTGATCTTCTCCTAGAACTTCCTGAAATATTTACATATATATATATATAGTTTTATAATGATGTAAGAAATCTAAATCGCTGAAATTGAAGTGCAATACCAACATCTAAATTCCTGGTAATTAATTTAAGCTTTTCGTCCACCGACATGGTTTGATCGGATGATGCCATTGTAATTGTAAACCTACAATAAAATTTTCAACAACTGAATAATTTAGAATTTATGTAGTTTCTGTTGAAAAACAAAAATATAAATAAAACTTACACGTGAGTCTCACGTAATATCACTGAAATTTAGCTTGATAACTGGTACAAGGCTAAAGTTCCAATTTTGTTTTGGGGTATTATCATTGAGCGAGGAATACGTATCCTACTTATAAACACTAAATACTGGTCATTTAAGGGATTTACAGATTTTACCATCTCTTCTATAAAATACTTAATGAGGGAGATATATCTATAAATAAATATACTATCAATTGCGTATATAATATTTAATAGAAAAAAACTAAAAAAAAATAATTTTAACTGTTGAAAAGATTTTTTAATAGAAACCTTGTTTAAAAGCTTCAATTTTTTAATACAACTATAACTCTGAGTTCTCTTTGATATATTCAGTCGGTTTATTGCTATTAAAGCTGTTATTAAATGCTTTGTTTACTTTATTACTTTTTAAGAAACAGTTTGCGGTCATAAAATATATTGCGCCATTGTTTCTCATTACTAAAGTTTCCAATAACGGTCATTCTAAGTTTAGTGCTACCAGATATGATTCCGAACACTAATTAAACATATACAGCAAATTCCTGTATCAAAGTAAGATTAATCTTTCGTTAGAATGTTTAACAATACGTAAAAATAAATATTCTTTAAGAAAGCAATAGTTAATCTATTTATTAATATTATATTTTGCACAATATTAATTTTAGGTAAGATATATCCACGTTTTGTGGATTATTAAATTTTTATATAACCTCAAAGATTATTTATAGAGTAGCTGAAAGTGATTAATACTAAATAAATATTTTAAAAAATCATATTAAAACGTTATCGTCTTTCAGATAAAAAGTACAATATTGAAATTATCCACATTATATAGACCTTTCGCTTGTCCTCGTATTCAAAGCCTAACATCACCTGTGATCTATCAAAATTAACTAAAAATGAGTAATGGTAAGAAGGAATAAAGAAAATTTTTTTTAATTTTTAATAAATTAATAAAAGTTTATATTTATTCCAGTTTTCAACTCTCTGTGGAAGCAATTTAAGACCCTATTTATCGTTCATGTTTTGATGGGATATATATTTGTTGTTTCCGGATTAATAGTATGTGGTCTAATGCTGCTCTGTTATCTAACAATTTGGCCATGGAATAAATGCCTTTATAGGAAAATAGTTGTTAGGCTAGCTTACTTACACTGGTCGCAATTTACATTCTTGGCTCAATGGTGGTCTGGATCTAATGCCACTGTACATTTAGAAAATGTGGATGATTTACAATATATTGGTCAAGAACACAATATTACCATGATGAATCACAAGTACGACATCGATTGGTTAATGGCATGGGTACTTAGCGAAAGGCTCCAAATGCTTGGTGGAACAAAAATTTATGGAAAGTCTTCTCTTAAGCTCGTTCCTCTAATTGGCTGGGCATGGACTTTTACCGAAAGTATTTTCTTGAAGAGAGAATGGGACAAGGACAAAGAGATTATTAAGAGAGACCTGTCCTTTTTAAGAGAATATCCTGATAATTATTGGGTTACTTTACTACTTTTTTGCGAAGGAACGAGATTTACAGAAGAAAAGTTGATAAAAAGCAATGAAATTGCTAGAAAAAAAGGTTTGAAAGAATTGAAACATCATTTACTTCCAAGAACAAAAGGATTTGTATTAAGTATGCACGGAGTTAAAGAAAAATTTTCCAGTATTCTTGACTTAACCATTGGATTTCGAAGCGATGGAGCTCAACCTACATTAATGAACGTAATTTGCGGTAGACCAGTTAAAGCAGAATTATACGTTAGGAGAATACCATTGTCACAAATACCTACTGATAATGATGAAAATTGCTCTGATTGGGTTCATAAGCTCTTCCAGGAAAAGGTTTTTAAAAACAAAATTAATAGCTAAACAACTCATTCATTTAATATATTTCCTTGTCTAGGACGAAATTTATGATAGTTTTGTTAAGGAAGGTGAATATAAAATTGGTACAAAACGAGAAATTCCAAAAAGACCACACGACTTGATAACTTATTTATGTTGGGCTGTTCTCCTCTTAACACCACTTTTTTATTACATTGGAGCTATTTTTATCAATGGTTCTTTACTTATCAAAATAATTTTTCTACTCATAATCTCTCTCGGTAAGTCATACCATTTAACAACAAAACTATAAAACCAATTGAACAATTTCTTTTTTTTTCTCCCGTCCAATTCCTTCTCCTCTCTAGCTACAATCGGTGTTAGGTTGATGATTATGGTTACCGAAATAAAACAAGGATCTAAATACGGAACAAGGGAAACTGTCAACAACAATTCAAAGAAGATAGATTAAACTAAAAAAGAAACAGTATATAATAATAATTATAGAGAGTAAGATCATCAGATCATTAAAAAAAAAAACAAATTTTCTTATCTGGTCGGTTATGATTGAATGAAAAAAAAAAACTAAAAAAAGAGGTTGTTTACTTTTACTGCATTAAAAGAATTACGCTTTTAGGCTGTGATAATCCTTTTTTTAATTATTTTATTGTTTCGAAAATATTCATTATAAAGTCTATATTCAATATAAAGCAAAGTAGAAAAAACCGAAAATAATTACATACAAAGATATATATGTAAAATGAATCTAGATGAAAATACATAGTTATCAAAACTTTTATCATAAGGGAATTTACGTTGTTATCTCACCCAAATGATCACTTTTCTATTTTATTAAAGAACTCTGTTGATTTACAATCTTGATAATATTTTTTCTGTTATTATTTGTTTCTGTTGTAACATTTCTTTTTCTTCATATACAAAAAAAAATAACAAAAGAATTATAATCATAAATATATAACGAAAGAGCTAATCAAAACGATTAAAACCTCTAACCAATCTCAAGGTGATTGTTTTTTATGTGATTTGTTACTTAATATTATCAAATCTATTAGAGTTTTATTCATTATCAAACACGATAGAGATAACATAAAATATATACTCATCAAGTCTGCCTGTTATATAAATGTTCTTTCACTTAAAACAAAAAAAACTAAAGCAGCAGCTATAATATAATCTTCAAATTAATTGTAACAAAGTCTGGAGTAATAATTGGTACATAGATGCTTAAAGTGCACTAGAACTTGAGTTCATTTAAAGACACGTACCAAAGTACAAAGACAAAATAATAGGAATAAAATTCGCTATCAAACTGAGTAAAACAAAGAAAATATTTTTAGCAGAAGAGGCAGATAGATTGATAGAAAGATAGAGAGATTTTCAACCTGTTTAAAAACTATTTCTATGTTTTGTGCCTTGTAGAATGACAAAGGTAAGACTTGTAAAAATTGGTCATATATGTATAAATATATTTATATGACAAGAGTACAGACAAAGTAATAAATATAATATCAAGGCTTAAAGAGAAAAAAAATGAATTTCCGCCCTTTTCTTACTGTTGAAAATGATACAAAACAGTCAAGGGAAGTAAAGCGCGAAATGAAAGCAAAACTAAAAATATTTTCTTAACCTAACGAGACCTTTATGAAAACAGTCGGATAGGTGAGGATGGAGAAATTGGATTTTTCTTTCAGATTTAATTTCATTGCTAGGCCTAAATTCCATATGTATAGAACAAGAAAGAAACAAGCAATGCGTGCGTGCACATGCTTTTCTTATCTGATTTTCTGAAATGCCGCTAGAGTGTTCTTTAAAATAAAAAAGAAATCTTCGTACAATTCCTTGTTAAGGCTAAAGTAGTTTTAAAGCAGACGCCTAGTGTCGCTTTGTAAAGGTCAAGGTTGTGATATCAACCGCAAAAACGATCTGCAATGCGTCGTAAATGCCAAAAAAAAATATTCCGACGACGGCGACTGTTGTTAACAAATTTTTCTTTAATATCTGTTATTTTTTTTGTAACGATTGTATTTGTGTATATATTTATGCGATTCTTCCGAAATGCAGCGACTGGACAGTCTCCACCCTCTAAGGTCGGTTATGTTGTTGAACCTTTACAAACGTTTTGCTCTTCTTCACTATTGATTGCTTACGTTCATTCCGCACCAAATCATCTTCTGAGAAGAAATACAATTAGAGATACATGGGGCAACCCGAGAAATTTCCCTGGGTTTCGGGTTATCTTTGTTCTAGGAAGAGTAGATGACAATAGAACCATGGACAGTATATTAATGGAATCCGAAATGTACGGAGATGTTCTTGTAGCAGATTTTTTAGATACTTATAAGAATTTGACGCTAAAGGCAGTTTCCGCTGTAACTTGGATGTCGAATCATTGCTCCAATGTAAAATATATACTAAAGACTGATGATGATATTTTCGTTAATCTTTTTACGCTTATCGACCAATTAAAATTGTACTCAAATATTAAAAATAGCTTCTTATGCTTAGTCTGGAATAGAATGAAGGTTGTTAGAGAGAAGAGAAGTAAATGGTACATATCAAAAGAGGAGTTCGAAAAGGATATCTTCCCTACTTATTGTTCAGGTTCCGCTTATATACTGACATCCGGAGTTGTTGGAAAGTTAGCAACAGCTGCTAAAGACGTAGGATTTTTCTGGGTCGATGATTTTTACGTAACGGGCTTACTAGCCAAGAGGTCGGGAGTAAGTTACGTTCAATTAAATCCAGGCTACGTTCTTTCTCCAACTACTTTTTACGAAAAATTTACAGAAGTTAGTTCAAGGAATAAGTTAATTTTTGGTCACGTTCAAAATGTTAATGAGATGAAAGCTGTTTGGAAGATTATCCATCGAGACCGTGCCAGATGGAATAATTCAGCTGCAGGGCTTTAGCGCAATTAGGAAATAAGACACTATGTGCTAATTAAGGCTTTCTTGTTATTTTTATTGTTTCTTATTTCTTTTTTCCTCTCTCTTTCTCGCTCCTCTCCCCTCTATCTTCTCTTCCTTCTCTTTCTTTATCAACAACATAAAAAAAAGACATTATTCAAGAATATCCCAACTTTAAGCAAATAATCAAAACAAATAATAAAACAATGCAAAAAAAAAGAGACTTTATTTTTCGTATTCTTTCAAAGAACTTACTTTGGTGACTTAAACGTTGTAAACGAATTGAAAAAACATGGTGGAAAAGGGTTTATTATGAATATTTTTTGTGCTTTTTTTTTGACCAATTTAATCTTTTTATTCATTTTTCTTTTACATCAATTAGGAAAAAATAAAAGAATTATTAAAAAACTATTTGATTTCAAGCTAAAGTTCATCCTTTAATTGCGATAGTCGAATTGGTGTGAGTATACCACCGTTCATCGGTGCTGGTTGTAAGGTAGAATCGTCAATTGGGTATAGAGGAACAAATGTTCCATTTACGTGCAAACCCGAAACCTGCTCGTCGGCTTTATAATTCCAATCGGAAACTGGTCTAAAATGGAGGAAAGCATTTGCAAATATTCTACCGTTAAATAACTTTGGTCTTCCGTGAATCAATTTTGCAGATTCGTATAATAGCATTTCTCCAGCTTCTAAACGAACTTCTTTTCGAGTACCATCGAATTCGACAACCTCTAAATACCAATCGTCCTTCTCTAACTCTTGATGAATTTGTAGGATAGTCGAAATAACGTGTGTGCTAACTCTATCGACATGGTTTCGTAAAACTGCTCCCTTATGATATTCCCTTATACCGTAAAATGCAGTTTGCTCTAATTTACATGAGCACCAACGTTCGAGAATTGGTTTTAAATGACTTCCAACTATTATTCTTTCATCTTCGTCCAATTGGACTAATGTAGTGTTAAATTGATTCTGATTAATATGACTGTCACCTATATTTTGTTCTACTCGTCGCTGAGAGGAATGCTTGTCGTAAAATCTTTTTAGACGTTTATAAATTGCCGATGGAATTTTACGTTTTAGGTAGCCGGAAGCTGTAAAATTATGTACGAGCCTGGGTTGTTTGACTTGTAATAATGTTCTATAAGCGTGATTCCACGATATCTGTTCACCAATTTTCATTTGTTCCTCCTCTGATTTATCGAGGGCTGTAAGCCAAATATTTTTCTCTTTCCAAATATAAGATGGTGCCTTAATTTCTAATACATCCGCGTGCCCAATTGCATAACCTTCTAAGAACTTTTCCTGTTCGTATACAAGAGCTCTGTCGGATAAATAACAGAACTTTGTAATTTGTTCACCCGCTCCCAGTTTGAAAGATGTGGGAACTTTCGGAGTATCTCTCTCCAATCGGGATTCAAATTGAACTTCTACCGGATTTCTTAAAGTGTTAATGATTGTCCTCTCCGCCCCTAGAAGTTCCCAAGACCATTCCAGAAACGATTTTGAATTCTTTGGTGTCCATATTACTGCTTCGTTCCATTGTTTATTCATCGGCAAATAAACGACGGATGGGAATACTTCAATTTTAAATATATCTGGTAAACTTGAAGTTTCGTACCACAAATATTGTTTGGATGTAACATTATCGTGGACGAAAAACGCTACATAGTTAATTGGAGGTAGTGCGTAGGAGTTTATAGAATATTTCTGCACTTCCGGTTCGTGTTCAGGGTCGGTGAAGAGTACAAATGCCGGACGAATTGTACCTCTACCTTCTGGCCACATAATAGTATCATACAACTGCTCTTCCGAATATACATATTCAGAGGGATGGTGCTCTCCAAAAATTCCCACTGCAAATAATACAGAAAATGATAGTAGCAATTTCATTGCGACCTAAAAAAATATATTCTATCAATATTGAATGATCGACCAAGCGAATCGACGCCGGTAGATGGCGGTATGAAAACCCCGTCTAATTAGCATAATCCATACGCGGGGAAACTTTTAACGATAATTAACCCGTATAGTGAAGCGAAAGTTGCTGAAGGCGGACCTAAAGAATAAAAGACGAAGAATGAAATTTTATTTACGCTTCAGTTAATTAATCTGCTTTGGCATTCCAAGTTGGGCGAGTTTCTGTTAATTCGAAATCGAACGCCGCCGACTAAAGGTCAACAAAAATTTTCAAAAGAGAACTTCATCAAGATCTTCTTCCGCTTCGTTTCAATTCTATAAGATTTTTTGATGTTTATTTAACTTATTGGCAGACAGCGCCCCCTAGTGGACGGACGAGGAGAGTAGACAGTTTCGTTGTTGATTCTGACAGAGATTCCTCAGTCGTCGAAAAGAATTGAATCGAGTAAGGTTAACAAGAAGATGTAAAATAGAGAAGATGATGTCATTAAATATGAGAACGACATTGATACTTTTTACTTTCTTAACTACTATTGAAGGAAATTATTGGTGGTAAGTTAATTTAAAGTAATAAATAATATAAATTGTACGAAATCTAATCGTAAATTACCATAAAGTCTACAACTTGTAGGTGTTTATGTAAACCAGGCCAAACTACCACAAGTTATCTTACTCAATACGTTAATCTAGCTGATAAAAAGTTAATCTATTCGTATTTTATGTCTTTTTTAAAGTATGTTTTACATTAGAAAGAAATACTTAATTGCTTAATTATACCTATTTTTTCACCGTTTGGCGGAACGTTTTACGATTATCTAAACATCCTCGGGACAAGTGAGTTATATAAGCTATAGCAAAAGAAAAGGAAAATGAAAGTTTTCCTCTCTTCTTTTATGTCAATCTTTCAAGTGGGATATATGAACAGATTCTAAAGTTTTTAAGTACTTGTACTTTGGTGTATATGACAATTCAAGATATCTTATACAGTTAAATTGACAAGGAGAAAGGAGCAGTAAAGTAAAGAAGATAAATATGAGCATGTAATCAAATATTAAATCGTAAATGATCTTGTCCAGAGGGGACTTTTAACAAAGTTGGCGATTTCAATAGCCACTTTACGCCCGATTTCAGGCGCGAAACTAAAAAACTGAATTGACTCTATGACGCAATTCCCAAACTCGACGGGGAATCTAACGAAAAGTTCTGGATAAACACGAAAACACACGCCTTCCCTTGATTAGTCTTAGAACGATTCGAGTATTTGATACAAGCAAAACATTCCACTTGCCTCCCTAGAGACCTAATTAAGATCCAGATGAAGCTTTAAATACAAACTGATATTGTACTTTACCTTATAACTAGATATTTATCTTTGGTTAGTTATGGATAAAACGTGCGTATTTTCCCATCCAGATAGCTAGGTTTAGATCTTTTAATTAAACCGTTTATTATTGTTTTTACTATGGATCTACGCTTAAAAAAATATACCCAAACTACAAATTTCCGGTTTTAGATTAATTGGTCCCTCTGAAAACTTTTCCTTTAAATTTTTTACAAAAACAAAACAGGTACTTGGGTATTGCTGGAAGTTCGACAACATTCTCTTCCAACCCAACAACGTGCACAAACTTGGATATTCTACATCCAAAACAGAGAAAAGTATGCCACAGGTCTAGAAACGTTCTGGATGTTATTAGCGAAGGAGCTTCAGTCGGTATTGAAGAGTGTCAGCATCAATTCTCTGATAGAAGATGGAATTGTACAACCTATAATACAACTGACGTGTTTGGTAACATAACGAAGACAAGTAAGCTATTGACATTTAAATTTCCTTTAATTGATAGTTTTACTCTTAACAAAACCCGACTTTAATCACATTTAATTAATTTACTCTCATCATTTTATCTTTTAATCTATTTCCTTCTCTTTTAAAAAAATCTTATCTCTTCTTTAAATATGTGTAACGTACGCTCTAAGTCTCAACGACGCTTTCATCCTTTCAATTCTTAATCGCCTATATAATTGAACTTTTTAATGAAGTTTGAATGTTAACCAAAAAAAAGATATTCTATTAAATCCGATTGGAAAGATTTAAAACCCATTCTGAACGACAATTCTAGCCGAAAATTGAAAAGTTTAAGTAGGCGTAAAAAATACTGTATAAGGCAGAATCAATTAAAATCTTTTCTTATGCCACCTTTAACGTCTTTTTTTTTTATTTATATATTTTTAGAGGGACGGGAGAAGGCTTATATTTATGCTATATCATCGGCCGGAGTAATGTATGCGGCAGCTAGGGCGTGCTCAAAAGGACAAATGAATATTTGTGGCTGCGATCATAGAGTGCGAAGAAGGAATACGAATGTAAGATGAAAGATAAAGATAATATAGTCATTATAATCTTTCTTCCTTTTTCCAGGGTAAATTTGTTTGGGGAGGTTGTTCCGTGGACGTTCGTTTCAGCGAAAAGTTTACAAGAGAGTTTCTCGATAGTAAAGAATCATCTATGAACGAAGACGGTTCTATGAATATCTGGAACAACAAGGCGGGTCGAAAAGTAGGTTTCTTTTTTTTTTATGTCTTTTAAAATGAATAGAAATTTGTAAAATCATTGGAAATTATTAGGAAATGATGGCAGAAATTATAGTTTCGACAAGTGTCTTAACGGCCCCGGGTAGTCTTTTCCCAAAAGATCGGCGATTATTTCCCATCTGTCCGAACCGAAAACCATATGTTTCTTTCCGCTACGGTCGGTTACAGCTATCCAGGGAGCTCCGAACGCACCTGTAGTTTTTCGTTCAAGTTATGTAAAAATTGATTGCGAAGAGAAAATTAAGGGATTAAATATTTTTTCTTACCGCCTTCAATTGCTTCTTGCGTGTAGCTAACTAATCGGTTTTTAGTGGTAGCGGACCTAGAGTCGGCAAGTGACTCTTCAATACACTTGTCGGTCAATCCGGCTTTACGAGCCGCCTCACTAATTACAGAATCTTCTGTAATGTCCTTTCCCTGGGAGTGAAAGGCGATCCATAGTTGGCGGGATAGCTCTTCAGTTTTTTCGGGACAACATAAATCTACAGCAGTGATGAATCTCATCGCTCCAAGAGTTCCTTTACTGAATGCAACTCTAACGAAATTTTCCGGGTTATGATTTATTGGAATACCATAGAACTTGGCTAATCTGGCGATGTCGGTTGGCAAATGCATTCCCTTAGTTGGGGAGACCAAAGCAGGCGGCTTGTTGCCGGACGCTTTCATCACACCGCCGAGGAAGAATGGCTTTAATTTGACGGAAATTCGCCAAGCCTCCCTCAGACGACAAGCCATTTCAAAAGCAAGCCAAGAGTAGGGTGAAACGACATCGTAATAGACTTCTATGCTTTCCGCCATTCTTAAACACAGTATATATTTGAGCCTTTGACAAGTGTATGCGGTGAAAATCTGTAACGGTCAAGGACTAAGATTTCAAAACATTTTGTGCTGCCATCTTTATTTATTAAAAAAGTTTATATACTGTATAAAAAAAGAATTTAAATAACTTTTTTGAAATGTATTTCTGTGTTTAATAGGCAATCAAGAAGACAATGAGACATCGTTGTAAATGTCATGGAGTTTCCGGTTCTTGTTCGGCTAAGATATGCTGGAGAGATATGGCACCCTTCCGTCAGATTGGCAAAGTTCTTAAGGAACGTTTCGATGGAGCAACTCTTGTAAAATTTGACAGACGATTAAATAAATTTGAACGTGTCGATAAAAGCTTAAAGGAACCTTCTAAAAGGGATCTTATATACTTAATCGATTCTCCAACTTTCTGCGAACCTGATAAGGGTTGGGGAAGCGTGGGAACAACTGGAAGAGTATGCAATAAAAATTCACCCGGTCTGGACGGTTGTTCGCTATTATGTTGCGGGAGAGGATTTAACAAATACGAGAAACACGTAACGGAAGACTGCGATTGTAAGTTTGTTTGGTGCTGCGACGTAAAATGTAACAGATGTAGTAAGAAGATTACGGAATATACTTGTAAATAAGTTGTGCTTTGTTCGTCTTATAGATGGCGCTTTGGTCTCTTTAATAGATTCTTTTTTTTCTTTTAATCTCTTTTTACATTATGCCGTCCCATTCATACCTACTAAATAAAGGTTTAAAAAATCGTGTACAAGTTTTTTATCAGTTTTTTTTTAATTTACTAAAAAGTTCAATATTACTGTAGTTTCTCTTTCCTCTTCTCTTTAGAAAGTAGAATAATGTTCTATTGTAGATTCTGCCATTAAAAATTCCTTCCCCTGTAGAAAGAACATTGCATTCGGCTATTATCTTTCAATAAAAGTAATGATTCTAAAACGTAAACAAACAAATGAATTGATTCTGTTTTTTTTTTTTTGCAAGTTTAACAAGAAGAGATAAATAAGGATATTTAAATAAATATAAAGTATATAAATAGTATATATTTCGTCATTTCAAAGCATTCCGTTTTGAACACATCATTAGTTAATCTTAAAATAATTAAGTAGTATAGTATAATCAACCTAATTAAATTCTCATACAATGATAAAGAAAGGAAAATGCTTATTGATTCTTTGTTTTTTAACGAGAATTAAATTAAAAGGTTTTATAAATTTGATATTTAAAAAAAATGACATTCGAGTTGAATGCTGTTGATTATTATGTCTATTAGGCTTAACTCTTCTCAAGGTACCGCCGTGGCTTGTTCTAATAAGATCAGAGAAGAATCAATGTACCGGAATGTTAATTCAACAGGACATTGTACTATCTTCCGCATCTTGCATAGCTGACGACTATGGGTTGCTATTTTAATTATTTTAATAACTCTTAATTGTTAAAGTTGACAACTATTAGTGCCATTTCAATTGTGTAACAGGTATATTAACGAGACTAGTTTAATTGTTATGTCAGGAAGGCGCTATGCCAATTTATTAGACGAACCTTATGAACAAAGAAGAAAATCAGAATCCATTCAGCTATTATCCAACTATGGCTTATCTTTAGTAATCACTGATAAAGGTGATAATGAATTTTCCGTTACAAAGATCGGTAAGGATATAGCCGTTCTCTTTATGGAAGAGGAATTTTTCAAATCAGATAAAGTTTATCATAAACATTCGTGGGAAATAAAGAGAGGAGACAGCGATTGTCGCCTGATTGGTTGGAATCCAAGTTTGTATTTGAAAACTATAGTATATTTTGACAACTAAATTAGAATACTATATTTAGAAATACAAAAACCAAGTAATACATATAATCCTCTTGAGGATAGAGGTTTAGTGATGCACATTCAAGTGGAATTACAAGATTGTCTAAATAGGATTAAATGTGCAAATGTTCCTCTTCATTATAGAGTAGATTCATATTTTACATCATAGAAAGGAAATAAATTTAAAAACATTAATAAAATCTATTTAATAGAATATAGTAGATTCTTCTGCCATAGTCTATTGTGACAATAATTTCTTTGGGATTAGCAGCTTTTGGAGAAATGTAAATTCAACTCATGTTACTCTTTATTTTATTAATCCTGAGGAAAGTAATAACTTGAGTCATTTTGTTGGCGACCATACAAATCACGTAGGTTCGGTTTAAAACCATTTTAATTATATTTACAATTACGTAACTTTTCCATTCTATAGGATCCGGATTGTCTTTCATCATGTCTTTGTTTGTTTTTGTTATTTGCTTAACTATTACTCTACTAAGTTTATTCATTATTATGCCCTTTTTAATATTACATAATTTTCGATTGTTGTTGGAATTGGATCGTGCTGGATATCAAACAAGCTCGGATCGAAGCTCAGGCAATCAGGTAAAACTATTACGTCATAATTCATGAATATTACGGTGAATCTCTTTTATAATCGTATAATCTTAAATGTAGTTGAGCGTTATAAGATCATCGGCTTCCAGCAAAAATAATATGCAACTGCTGCCTTTAAAGAGCTTTGCGAAACCCTCAATTGATTCCAGAAGGTCTCCTTCTTTGGACGAAGATAGTAAACGTCAACATATTATTAATATCCTCTCTATCCAAATTGTTGATAAGTATAGTAAAAGGAGAATATGGCTATCCTATATTCCGAAAAGAATAGAAAATGCTTGCCAGAGAACGAAAGGAAATCGTGTTTATAAGCAGGATTTCAAACAAGTTCAGCATTACATGGAAACTGTATCGGTATACTCGTTGAAAAGTGGAGAATTCCCCATTGAAGATATGATGCTTCTACTTCAAGGAATGGATATTGAAGATTGTCCAGTTGAAGGGTTAAAAATGCATAAGGGAAGTATCTGTCTATATAGCGATTCGGAGCCTTTCAGTTGCGAATTACCTTCTCATATTCTTTCATTTTATAACAATTTGTCCCAACAACAAGGCCAAAATTTACCATCAATTAGTAGTAATGTTTTATGGAGTGCTATTAACTAATTATTCATAAAAAATAATTTGTTTTGGTAATAAAAATTGCATGTATTCTCTTTTCAACCATTTCTTTTCATTTGAGTAAATAAATTATTTGATTTAACGATTATTATTGTTATTATTATTATTGTTGATGATATTGTTATTGTTGTTGATGTTGATATGATTTGAGCGCCTTCTTTCAACTACAATTGAATTACTAATAATGTCATAAGCACAACGTCCGTGTTGGAAACAAAATACAGTTAAGCAAACTGGAAAGAAGAATGCCATTGAGAAGTTTTTAATAATTGACCTAAATAGGGCACTGAAAAGAATTGCGAATAAATACACAAGTTAAATATTTACATTTATAGACTTACTTTTTAAAGCCAATATCACTAGCTGGTCTTACCCTAATAACATTATTATTAACAGCTATTGCACTATCACATGACACAACTACTAAACCCATCATTCTTTTACCTGGTGTGGCTCCACCCATTTCAATAATACCTTTTCTCAAACATAATGTCTATGTAAAAAAAAATGTTGATATAGCGTATTAAATTGCATTTTTATAATGAAAAAATGAAAATGGAAAGATAGATTACCTCGAAAATACTTATGAATATTCTATTAATTAGTTCAATTGCGACCAATTCCCAAGTCATGTTAACTGCCTTGTCATAATCTAGTTTATCATTTAGTATAGTATCCAGATCAAGATTATCTAGATTGCTATGGATAATAAAACTTTATATAGCCTTTTTTTTAAAAATGGTTTATTCTAAATTGTGTTCTTTTTTTTATATTACTGTAAAACTTACACTAATTCCAGTTGCTCTACAATGTACATTGTCACTGTCAGCTTAACGATAAAAAGTAACAAAAAGTCAATGAATTCAGCAGTCACTCGTTTCCATAATGACGGAACAAGAAACTCTGAAAATGTTAAATTTCTGTAAGTATGATGAACATTTCAACAAACATAAATATAAAAAGAAGTAATCGTAGGTAACGTATGTTGAGCACACCTCTTTCTTGAATTGTTGGTGGCTGCTCCGGTTGGCTCTGGTTAGGTTGAGTTTGCGATTGACTAGTTGCCTTCTGTTCTCTATTTGATGTATTAGTGTTTGGAGCTAGAGCAATTGACTGAAACATGCACCAGGCACTATATTGAACCATCCATTTTTGCAGAGCAGTGGCATATTCAGTCATGGTTTCGAATTTCTCATCTTTTCCTGTTTTTAGGTGACAGTTGTCGATATTTGGTAATTTGTTAAAGTCGAGGATATTAGTTTCATTTAGTTGATGGGGTGTTGCAGTTTCATCAATTTTCTCTTCTTTTAGGCGCTGACGTACTCCTATACCCTCCATGTTTGTTTTGCCTAAGAGTGGCGCTGTTGCAGTATACTACTTCCGTTTTCGGAGTTCATTGAAAAATATTGTATTTCCCCTTCCGGCTGAAAAAATGGAGGCAACCGGCGAAGCAACTAAAACTTCTGAAACGCATAATTTACCTTGGGTAGAAAAATATAGACCTAAAAAATTGGAAGAGCTTATATCTCACGATGATATTATTTCTACGATTAATCGTTTCTTAGCCCAGGATAGATTACCTCACTTATTATTGTACGGACCTCCTGGTACTGGAAAAACAAGTACTGTTTTGGCAATTTCCAAGCAAATTTACAAACCTGGCGAAATAACATCACACGTACTGGAATTGAACGCGTCCGATGATCGTGGTATTGACACAGTTCGTAATAAAATTATGAACTTTGCAGGTTATAACAATGCCTGTCAATTAATGTAAAATATTAAATCTAGTATTTCTATAATAGGCACGAAACCTGCCGGAAATTATCCTTTTAAAATGATTATACTTGATGAAGCTGATGCGATGACAAAAGATGCTCAGAACTCGCTTCGACGTATTATTGAACGCTTTACTGAGACAACGCGATTCTGCATAATCTGCAATTATTTATCAAAAATTATTCCCGCTATTCAATCGCGTTGTACAAGATTTCGATTTTCGCCTCTTAATAAGGACCAAATACTTCCTCGACTACACGAAGTTTGTAAAAAAGAGAACCTCTCCTTAGATCCAAACGGTGAAAAAGCCTTGCTAACCCTAGCAGAGGGTGATATGAGAAGGGTGCTAAATATACTACAAACTTGTTCAATGGCAAGCGATGAAATTATTACTGAGGAAAGCGTATACACATGTGTTGGTCATCCTCTTCCATCCCATGTGGAAGAAATTGCTGATTGGCTCTTTAATCATGACTTTATGCAAGCCTTTCGAAATACGTTCACCCTATTGCAAACACGCGGCTATGCTCTACAAGATATCTTAACAGATCTTCATCTTTTCGTTCACAGAATTAATATGCCTTCCCGATTGAGAATAAACATCATTGATAAAATGGCAGAAATTGAAGAAAGATTGTTGGTGGGTTCTTCCGATAAGATTCAGCTATCAGCTTTAGTAGCCGCTTTTCAGGAAGTTAAAGATTAGATTATTGCTCATTTAATCTATATTGTAAATTATATGGGATCGAACCTTTTTATAAAATGCATAAACTAACTTCAGTTATACTACAATAAATCAATTTGAAAACTTTGAACAGCTATAAAATATTTTCAAAACTACATTTTTTACTCTCTTTTGTCTTCAAATAAAAATTTTCGGGCTTGAAAAGTGTAGAGTTTAATATATATACTTTTAGCCTTCGTTCAAAAAGAACAAAATAGGTTTTCTCAACATTTAAAATAGTCGGCATCGAAAATTGTTCTGGTATTCATTGTCCATGTTACCACGTGATTTTGTTGCAATTTCCGAATCGTATTGTAGGGAATTTATCAGTTTATACACGTGAGAATCTACCGAAGTGTTTTTACAAGAAAATGGGGCGGCATCGAGTAATAAAATAAACATTTAAATTACAATTGTTATTAATTATATTAAATATTTTAACTTGCTAGCGTCGCGGAAAATCTGCGAGGAAAGCTCGAAAAGGACAAGTTGGAAATGATGAAGAAATTTACAAAAGTGCTCCTCATTCATTTATTTTTCATAAAGGCACTGTTGGAAGATCAGTTGTTGAGTTAGTAGCAAACCTCAGATTAATGATGGAACCCTATACAGCCAAAAATTTAAAAGTGATGCGATCTAATGTTTTAAAAGACTTTGTAAACGTTTCTGGATTACTCCATGTTACACATTTTATGATTTTGACAAAAACTGAAGATTATTTAAATTTAAGAGTCATGAGGGTTCCTAGAGGACCCACTCTGACATTTAGAGTAATAAAATACTCTCTTAATAAGGATGTTCTCACTAGTTTGAAAAAACCTTCCATGGAATCAAAGCAATTTACTCACCATCCTTTATTAGTTATGAGCGGGTTTACTGGAAATGGAATGCATTTCAAACTTTTATCTGATGTTTTTCAAAATATGTTTCCTTCCATAAATGTTCTAAAGGTGCGTTATATCTTGTTGATATTTCTTATTCAACATCTAAAGAGAAACATTTTTGAATTCTTAGGTCAACTTGAGCACAATTAGAAGATGCGTTCTTATAAATTACAATGCTGAAGATTCTACTATTGATATACGCCATTAGTAAGTTTTACCATGGTTCTTTTCTTCTTAGAGAAGCTAACAAGTTTGCATTACAGCAATGTAAAGGTTGTTCCTCTTGGTATGTCAAGAGGAGTAAAGAAACTAATCAAAGCAAAAATTCCCAACTTGAGTAGAATGCAAGATATGAGCGATTTGCTAACAAAGTAATTGTATATTTTGGAATTTAGTATTATTTATAGTAACATTTGCATTGTTCTACAGTGGTGGAGATTTTTCTGAAAGCGAAGCAGAGTTAGATGGGGATTTCAATCAAGTTTTCTTACCTCAAAAAGTTTCAGGAAGAGGAAATATCAAGTCTGCAAAAAGCGCAATTCGATTAACTGAAATTGGGCCACGTTTGACTCTAAAACTAATGAAGGTAAATATATAACAGTCTTTATATAGAGATTTTATAAATGAAGTATTAAAATTAGATCGAGGATGGACTTGGAGAAGGGGAAGTCCTCTATCACGATATCATCAAGAAAACACCAGAAGAACTTGAAGAAATAAATAAAATGAGAGAAAAGAAAAAGTAGAACACATCTTTTGACCCAAGACAAAGTAAAATCTATATTTATATATCTATTCGTTTTCAGACTATTGAAACTGCAAAGAAAGCAACAACAAGAAGCAAACGTTAAAAAGAAACAAGAGCTGAAAAATGAAATGAAAGAGAAAACTCTTGCAGGTATGAAAAGAAAACATGAAGATGAACAGGAAAGTGAGAGTGACGATGACGAGGCATATTATAGAGAGGAAGTTGGAGAAAATCCAGATCCTGGTAAGCTAATTGTTTGCGAAAAATTGGAAAAGCATGTTACAATATACTTTTTTTTTACTAGAATTTGCAATGATGAAGAGAAAAATAGCTAGGAGGGAAAAAATTGAAAAATCGAAGAAAAACGATTCGACAGGATCTGAAAAAGATCAATCAAAGTCTAAAAAGAAGTCTGGTCCCAAAACCATTTTAGATGAAATTATGGAAAGGAAGAAGAGAAAGAAGAAGAAGTTACGCCAAAAAGAAAAGAAACTAAAAATGAAAAGCGCAATGGCTAAAAAATATGGTAGTTTAAAAAAAGGAAAAGGAAAAGGGAAATAGTTGAATAATAATGGGATAAAAATTTTTGACTTTTTTTCTATTTTTGTTGGTTTATCGTATACCCGAATAAAAAAATTTCTAATTTTACATATAGAGTAAACTTAGTACTTTTATTAAATAGTTATTGTAATATTCATGTTCCTAAATGTACTCTTGATATTTGAAAATATTTAAATTAAATCCAGTAGAGTAATCTCGAATAGAAATGTATCATATTTTGATCACATGTAAGCCTATATAGCACGAGTAAACTGGTCAAATTTTTATGTATGTTTTACTTCGGAATTGAACTTTAGCTAAAAGTCATTACTATTAACCTTTGAAATAACAACCAGTTTTATTAAAATGTATACGATTAGGAAACTAGGTAGTAGATCTTCCTTAAGATGCATGTTACATTTAGGAAGACGCAAAATATGCACGGAAAGTTCCCAAGTCATTGCCTCTACAATAGATAAGTCTTCGGCAGAATATCAGGTTCTATAGGTTGCTGCGTACTTGTTAAATTTAAATAACGAGCTTTATCTATATAGGAGAACTATGACAGTCTGAAAAACATAGTTGATACTTTAAAATCAGACGTCAATACCATTATTCAAGGTGGAGGACCAAAAGCCGTTGAAAGACACTTATCTAGAGGAAAATTATTGCCTAGAGAAAGGATAAACACGCTCATAGATGAAGGGTAAGCAATTTTCAAGGCAAAATGTCATGTAAACATAATTTTAAAAAAATTTTTTTCATAAAAATAGCTCTTCATTTCTTGAACTGTCTCAATTAGCTGGCCATAATTTATATGGAAAAGATAGTGTACCTGCTGGAGGTATTATTACTGGAATAGGAAGAGTGTCTGGGTAAATTTGTATAAGTTTTGTCGTAAGAAAATTCCATATTTTATTTATGTGACATTTACAGGACTGAGTGCTTGATTGTTTGCAACGATCCAACAGTGAAAGGAGGTACATATTATCCTATAACAGTTAAGAAACACTTAAGAGCTCAAGAAATCGCCAGAGAAAATAACCTTCCTTGTATATATCTTGGTAAGTATCGCTTGTCTATTTCTTTTTATTGTTGTAGAAAGGCTATTTCATATAGGTTTTTATTTATTTTTTGTAGTTGACTCTGGTGGTGCAAACCTACCCCGACAAGACAATGTTTTCCCTGATAAAGAACATTTCGGAAGAATTTTCTATAATCAAGCAAGTTTATCCGCTATGGGAATTCCACAGGTATTCATTGGATCTTAAAGCCTTATTATCCTAAAAAAAAATCGATTATCTTAACTTTCAGATTGCTGTTGTAATGGGAAGTTGTACGGCTGGCGGTGCTTACGTACCAGCAATGGCTGATGAATCTATTATTGTCAAAAATCAAGGAACAATTTTTCTAGGTGGTCCTCCTCTAGTAAAGGCAGCCACTGGTGAAGACGTTACTGACGAAGATTTAGGAGGAGCTGACCTTCATTGTGGGTAAGACTGGCAGTAATTTTTTGGTTCAACTTTAAGCATAATTTATTAAAAACTTTCACAGAAAATCCGGTGTAACTGATCACTATGCTCTGGATGATGAACACGCTTTACATGTAGCTAGAAGAGTAGTTAAAAACTTGAATCGCTCAAAACATATGAACATTACTATTGAGAAGCCAGAAGATCCTTTATATCCAGCAGAAGAGTTGTATGGTATTGTAGGATCTAACTTGAAAAAAACATATGATATTCGACAAGTAATAGCAAGAATAGTCGATGGAAGTAAATTTGACGAATTCAAAGAGATGTATGGGGATACTTTAGTGACAGGATTCTCAAGAATTTGGGGTTTTCCTGTTGGAATAATTGGCAATAACGGTGTCTTATTTTCCGAATCCGCATTGAAAGTAAATTAAGCTTAATTATTTATAATTCATACATTTAGTCCTTCTCTGTCATCTTCAGGGCACACACTTCATTGAGCTCTGCTGTCAAAGAGGAATCCCATTATTATTCCTTCAAAATATCACTGGTAAGATGGTAATATTTTGTCAGTTGTCATCATTAAATTTCTAAATCGTTAGGCTTTATGGTTGGAAGAGAAGCCGAAGCAGGAGGCATAGCTAAAAATGGTGCCAAGATGGTTACCGCTGTTGCTTGTGCTAAAGTGCCAAAATTTACAGTTCTCATTGGTGGAAGTTATGGTGCAGGAAATTACGGAATGTGTGGTAGAGCATATAGCCCAAGATTTTTGTACATGTGGCCCAACTCTAGAATTTCAGTTATGGGTGGTGAACAAGCAGCTAAAGTCTTAGCAACAGTGTCAAAAATGCAAAGAGAAAGAGAAGGAAAGACTGTAAGCCTTTAAGAAGATACTTTAGGCCTTTAATTTTTTGCTTAAATTAACTCTTTTCTATTTTTAGTGGACTGATGAAGAGGAAGAAGCTCTAAAAGCCCCAATTATCAAAAAGTACGAAAAAGAGGGTCATCCATATTACGCCAGTGCTAGGTAGGATAGTGTTTTCTCTGACAAGAGACTATTTCAATTCATTTCGTAACTTGATTAATTTTATATTTAAAGATTATGGGACGACGGAGTTATCGATCCAACTGCAACAAGAGATATATTGGGTTTGAGTTTATCAGCATCATTAAATGCTCCTGTAGAGAAAACCAAATTTGGAGTCTTCAGAATGTAGAACAAAATCATTGGAGAGCTGATTAAAAAAATAACATATATGCACCATAAAAGATAAAACGAATAGTAACTAGTATCCATTTTATTACTTAATAAAATGTGAAAATTCAGTTGAAATATATATATATGAAAAGTATTTATTCTAACTTATTGAAATAGTACTTGACATTGATGGTGGTAATGCAAAAGAGTACGGTAGAATAAATAGTTTGAAAGAGCTTCTATTTATACTAAAGAAATTTATCTGTAATTAGCTTTATCCTTGTTTTGTTGATAAATTATTTATTTTTAGGTGAAATATAAGCTAATACATAGGATGCCTTTTAAGTATCAATGTATCCTTGAAAAGGAAATTATGGAAGGAAATTTGTTAATAATTCCCAATAATTATATTATATACAGACTATTTATAAATTTATCTTTATAGAACAATGTTCAAATGTACTCAAAATTTTGGAACATCTGGTTCAAAGTACAATAAAAACACATGTTCTGAAATATTAAACTGATGAAATTAGACGATAATTTTATCCAGTATTATACGAAACATGGATATTTATGATCTATATTGCAATAAACTCTTTTCTCAATATTTTGTTACTTTTATAAAAGTACACATTGGCTACACTTCTCAAATTATAGATGTAATAAATGTTTTCTTTTGAAGGATATATTAACAATTTACACTGTGTAACATGTAAATTAATTAAGTTTTTGTTCTATTATATATATATTTTATTTATAAAACTCTTTTGAATAATAATCGGATTTGTTTTTATAAATGAGAACGAAATAAAATGTCTACCAGTTTCTTTGTACATCTTAAAAACGAGCGAGAAACACTCGGAAGTTTATATCTTGCTGTCCTATCGATTTTTTTGCGAGTGGCAAGATGGAGTTTGCTGGGAGTAGAACCTCTTTCTAGGTGAATATACATATGATAAGTACATTGTTTAAAGTGATATAAAACTGGAAGCGGTCATTTCTTTCATTACTATTCCCAAAATTTGCTGCTGTTGATTTTAAAGCGCTTACTGTAAACATATTCTTTGCAAGGTCTGTTTACATAGCTATATAAAAATATGGGACTGTTAGATATTTGTAATTTAAATGGTATTTATCTATAATATTTAGGTGATTTTTCAATCCTAACTATCAATATAGGTAGCATTAGTATAATCTATGGTACAAGTCAAAAAGTAGCAACTTAGAATGTCTCCAGAGTGACTTCTAAACAATAAAATGAAGTTTCTTTGGGCCGTTAACATTCTCTTTAAGGCGTAGTGAACAACATTTAAAAAAAGCTATTAGTAATTAATCGCTAATTTTGCTATTTGATCCAATCGAAAATTACTCTTGACCCAATAACGTTTTTTCAAACCTTTTATCTACAATATGTCAATATTGGCATTTTATCATACATACAATATACAACAAAGTGTCCTTGTGTTAGATTGTTTATTTGAAAAAAAAATCTATAATCGAATTCTGTAGGGAATGATAGCCAGTTAAAATTCTAGACCTCTTCAAATGAAACATAGGAAAGAAAGGTTATTATTGATACCAGGGGGCGACAAAAACTTTCTATTTTATTTTGCAGTCGCATACTGTCTCAATAGTTTGAGAGCAATTGATTAAAATTGTACTTTTAGCTGTTTGATGTTAAATATAGGAGATGAAATTTTACACAAGGAATATTTACATCTTCAGGTCTTTAAAAATGAGATTCCGCTTGCGAGTAATCGCTCTTATTGGCTTAGTATGTACATCGGTTGTTTTCCTAATTGCTCGGAGGAGAAGTGTTGAAGTGAAAGGAAAAATGTTAGAAGATGCTAAAAGTTTGCTTCAAATATCTAATACTGACACTAAATGTGTAAAGAATAAACTAGAATTGTGGCCTAATTTTATTAAACAATTGTATGAAAGTCATAATGCTCAACCTCTAAATTGCAACCGAGAACCAGATTGGGTAATTGTTAAAAATGGTCGATTAAAATTTGTTGTAAAAGCAAAACATGTTACCTGTGATGCCACACCTTACAAAAGGATAGACGATGCAACGTATGAAGCATTGGCAGAAGTTAAGGGTTTAACTAGTGGTTCTCCAGTTCCTGCAGATTTTTTCGAGTTAACTTGCAGGGGTATGAAGGAAGGAACAATTAGTACTTATTCAAATTATCATGCGGCCATCAAAACAAGAAAAGAAATTGACGAGAGGCCTGTAACAAGTGATAAAAAATGGAACGTTATTATGTTCGGTTTTGACAGCGTCTCCCGGATGCAGTGGATGAGGCTGTTGCCGAAAACTTATGCATTTTTAACGAAAGAATTGGGATCCGTTGTCCTCGAAGGCTATAATATTGTAGGTGACGGAACGCCTCAAGCACTTTTGCCAATTTTGGCTGGGAAGCCGGAAACAGAGTTACCGGAAGCCAGAAGGAATTATAAAGATGCTAGTACTTTGGATGGGCATCCCTGGATATGGAAAAATTACACGGCTAATGGATACATTACCCAGTGGGGAGAAGATGAATTCCACTATGGTACTTTCCAATATAGGATGCTGGGATTTAGGAAACCTCCAACAGATTATTACGTTAGACCCTTTCAAAAACTTCTCAGAAAGAGAAATAATTTTTGTACTGGTTCCGTTCCAGGACATAAAGTGTTCATGAATTGGATAAATGAACTATGGCGAGTTTATAAAGATAAGCCTAAATTTTCCTTCCTCTTTCATTCAGCATACAGTCATGACTATGTAAAGAAATTGAGCATTGCTGACGATGATGTACTAGAGTGGATTAAAAGTCTTCAATCTTCAACAGCACTGAAAGATTCGTTTTTAATATTTATGGCCGATCACGGACCTAGATTTTCTTCACTTAGATCCAATGTTCAGGGAAAATATGAGGAACGAAATCCCTTTTTTTCGATCAGAATTCCAGACGAATTTCAAAAACTTCATCCCAAAGCATTGGAAATTTTAAAAGGAAATGCTGAACGTCTCACAACACCTTTTGATGTTTATTCTACTTTGCTAGATATACTCAATTATAAACCTGATATGCCTAATCCTACTAATCAGAGAAGTTTATCACTTCTTAGACCTATTCCTAAGGATCGAAACTGCGAAAGCGCTGGTATCCAAACTCATTGGTGCTCTTGTCTCTCTTGGAAGAAAATTGATTTAAAGGATAAAATTGTCGTTAATGCTGTAAACACTTTGATAGACGCCTTTAATAACGAAAATAATAAATTAGCAACAGGCTTATGTCATAAACTATCCCTGAAAGCAATTAGTAATGCCTCAATGTACGAACACGGAAGAGACATGCTGAAATTTAGAAAAAGTGCTGATACCGACGGTCGCATTCCAGACTTTTCTGACAATATGAGTACAGATGCTGCTCACTTACGGGTTAATTTTATTACTTCACCAAATGATGGAAAATACGAAGCAACGTTAATTTTAAATTTAAGTAGTAAAAAAATTGATCCCGACCTTAAACAAGTGTCAAGAGTTGACAGATACGGTGATCAACCAAAGTGTATTGTTGATAGATTTCCTGACTTAAGACAGTTTTGTTATTGTGTTTAGAGTGTTATTTTTTAGTAAAAGAAAGAGAGGAGACTCTGTAGTGTATTAGCAAATATAATAAGTAATATTTATACTTTTTCAAGGAGAACTATACTCTTTAATAAAGTATTTTTGTGGCTTTTATACATTTTATGTTGGACATTCTGATTTCTGTTTCATCTTGCGCAGTTGAACCATATTAATACTAACAATTCATGACTTATATTTATTAATAATTAATAATATGCTATCAGCAATTTGAAAGTGTTTTTACTTCTCTAATACCGTATAGTAATTTAAATGTTATTTAAGAGTAAATATTAACTTTTTCACACTTTTTGTTGCTATTAGCAAAAACATACACGAAACTTTCAAGTGTTCGCCAATCAGTTATGTAGTTATTGAGTTAGTGAAAGGGGAGGGAGTAATGTCATAGCGACAATTTCTAGACTGGTTCCCAGTCCATTTGCATTTTCCGTTTTGTTAAGAGCATAAACAAGTACCAGTTTATTTAGCTACAATCACCTCATCAGTACTAACTACTACAACGCATAAATATTATTGTTTTTAGTCTATTATTATATTATATTAATTCGTGGTAACTACTTTTTGATATCAATATTCTTCACTACAATCGAAGACTACAGTTAATAATTATTATTTACTGCGATCAACAACTTCCGAACGATTCAGTCAACTGAACACTTGTGACGAACATCTGATTCTTTTTGAATGATGAAGTATCATACATTTTTGTTATGTGTTACGTTTTTGATAAACAATTTAATATTATTGAGTGAACAGAGAGTATTAAACCATGAACAGCTTGAAGATAAATTTTCGCTATCGTTTAAAGACCTATCAAAAAACTATATGAGTCAAGATACATCAAAAAATACGCATTTACTTGATGATTATTTTAAAGCAGTCCAGAAAATTATAGATCCTGTTAAGGAAGAGCTTAATTCGGATAAAGAAAGAGTGACACCAGTTGTAGAGTGTCTACTATGCAAAGTACTAGTAGGTTTATCTCAAGTGTTAATGGAATCTATGAAAACAATGGACGAAATACAAGATTTATTAACGAAATTGTGTATATTTATTAAAATCAAAGATGATAATATATGTAGGGGAATAATAAAAGAATTTAAGGAGGAAGTACTTAGCGTATTCGATTTGGTTGTATTATCACCGGAGAATTTTTGTGGAACAATCTTTGGGGAACAATGTGCCCATGTCCATCACCCACATGAATTCTGGAATATTACCTTAAACAATATACCGAAACCACCTGTTACCTCATTAAAATATCCTAAAGTGAGTATATTGAATTTACTATTTAGCTAAATAAAACATATAATTAGTTTCAATATTTAAATCGTATATTTAATAATTAGCCTGGATTACCGACATTAAGAATATTACAATTGTCCGATATTCACGTTGATTTTAATTACAAAGTTGGCGGTAATGCAGAATGTAACGAACCTGTTTGTTGCAAAGACATTGATGGACAGCCCAGTTCGTTTAATAATTATGAAAATGAGTCAGAGAAATAAGCAGCCTAATTTAATAATTATTTATCTTATTGTACTACAGAAGGAAAACCGGCTGGTAAATGGGGAGATTATAGACAGTGCGATACACCCCGCCATACTCTAGAAAGCCTTTTTAAGCATTTGAAAAAAAATGAAAAGGTAAAGATAGAGAGAAATGGAATCACTTTCTTACATTCATTCATCAACTACGCACTTTTTCCTTTCTGTTATATAGTTCGACGCAATTTATTGGACTGGTGACTTGCCTGGTCACAACGTATGGAATCAAACGCGAAATGGTCAACTAGAACTTTTAGATTACTTAGCCAATACATTTCAAACCTACTTTCCCGATATTCCTGTATTTTCGACTCTTGGCAATCATGAAAGTGTGCCAGTTAATAGGTATATTAATAGTTGTTACAGTTACACTCTTTTTCTCTTATAAAATCGACTAAATTACACTTTTTCTATTATAAAAAGTTTTCCACCACCTTTTATTAAAGGAGATAATTCTATTGAATGGTTATATACAAGGGTTGAGAAAGATTGGAGACGTTGGCTTCCAAGAGACACGTTTGATGATATTAGGAGGTAAGAAAACCGTTAAGAACAAAGAAATGAAGTTTATATTTGAAAAAAGCTTTTATTTAAAAACATAGAATTATTTATCCATCTAAAAATGACGTTTTCATTGTTTTCTCTTATATTTTAGAGGTGCTTTTTACACGTTGCTATTAAAAGAAGGGCTACGCTTAATATCGTTAAATATGAATTATTGCAATTATCAAAATTGGTGGATGTTAATTAACAATAAAGATCCGGCAGGACAACTTCAATGGCTAATATCTGTTTTACAATATGCAGAAGATACTGGAGAAAAAGTTCATATAATTGGCCATATACCTCCAGGAATAGGTGTTTGTTTAAAACCTTGGAGTTGGAATTATTACAAGATTGTAAATAGGTTAGTTTAAATATTCAAATAGCTTAATGAATCCTCCATACTCGGCTATCACTAGGTAGCCGTCTCTATCAATAGTCAGTGATTGAGGGCGATCTAGTTTATCCTTTTCTGTTACCACATGTTTTATAAAATTACCGTTCTTGTCTAAAGCGTGAATGCGGTTATTTGCTGAATCGGCAATAAAAATATAGCCATGTTTGTCTACTGTCAAACCTTGAGGTCCTAGAAATTCTTCATCTGACGATCCTTGCGAACCGTAGGCAAATATTTCATTACCTTTCATATCGTATTCGTAAACTTTATGATCAACATAGTCAGTCACCAGAACACTTTCTTCATCACCGAGAGCAACGTATTGGGGCCAGGTTAATCGAGAACGTGGCTCTACGCTTGTTTTGACAGGCCCATCTTTGTCAAAAATATAGATACGTCCAGTTCCTTTATCGGTTACAATCAAATCAGTGTGAGATTTATTCATACAGAGGCCAAATGGTTCTAGAATTGTGGGGCCAAAATCAATCGTTCGGACTATCTTTTGGGGTTGTCTAACATCAAATATTTTTATACTATTAGCCCCAGGATCAGACACAGCGTAGTAGTTATTATCGATAACGGTAACGTTCCATGGTTTCTTTAGACATCCCTGTCCAATTTCGAGACGAGCCTGGCCCATTCGATTAAATGCTATTTAAAATTTACAATAAATAAAAGGAGCAAGGAGAAGGAAGAGATTAAACACTATTATACTATTTACCTCTTACTAGCTTATCAGCACAATCAACGATAATAAAATCCCCGTTTGGTGCCATCTGAACACAAGAAGGCCTACTTTTCCCTTTCCTAGAGAATTGAGATTCCGTAGAGAAAGATGATGTTAATCTAGCAGAATTCGTAAATCTTCCAGTTTCAATCTTCTTACCAAGTTTTACCTTTTTCATGCTGGAAGCTGGTTCCGCCTGTTTGAATTTGTCTATGTAAATTAGGATATGATAATTTTATAATATTCATATAGCAAGTTGTGTTGTTACAGAAAATTTGAGTTATATTAGTATATTTAACGTCTACTTATTTAAACTAAACAAGCATTTAAAGGAATACTAACTACATTTTCATCAGCGTCTAAATCATCATTATCATCGTTCTTTACGCTTGGAAGGGTTGGCAGTACTCTTATACCTCCGTACATATTTCTTTTTACGAAGTATTCACCCTCCTGATTTAAAATATTAGCTAACGCTTTAACAGATAGTTTAATGTTGTAGTGGCCAACTATAATAAAGGACAGGCCAGAAAGGCTTCTTTTATAGCAGAACAATTGCCCTTTTCTATCAAATTGCGTTATTCATAGGTTTTAGTTTCCTTCTCAATTATTTTGACTAAGATTTATCAATCTACTTCTGTATTTATTTCAGATACGAAAGTACCATAACAGGACAATTTTTTGGCCATACGCATACTGATTTTTACGAGATTTTTTATGATGATGTCAATTTTACAAGACCCGTAAGGTATACAAATAATGTTACCCTACATTTGCATCTACAATTTATTTTTATTTATATAAAAAATAACATTTCCTCCAGCACTGCTTATGTGTCACCTAGTGTTACGACTTATCCAAATTTAAATCCGGGTTATCGAGTTTACACTGTTGATGGAGTTCGAATAAATAGCACTTTTCATGTTTTGGATCACGAAACGTATTATTTAGATTTGGACGAAGCAAATCGAACAAATATACCTAATTGGAAGAAAGAATATTCAGCAAAGAGTGCTTATGATATGAAGAGTTTATTTCCGGAAGATTGGAACGATCTTTCGTCTCGAATGATGAAAAATGAAACACTATTTAATAAATTTTTTAGGTTGGTTGTTGAATATTTCGCTCTAAATTTTTCATTAATTAATATCTTTTCAACTAGGAACGCTTATAAACAAAGTCCAATTTCAAAGACAAAGTGCGGTAAAGCGTGTAGATCAAATTGGATTTGTGATACTTGGAGTGCAAGGAGTGGCGATCCTAAACTCTGTTCTTCTATATTTTCAGAAAAGCAATATCTAAACTACTATTATTCAAGTTTTAAAAAGCATAGATGCTAGAAGAGGACAATATAAATTTTCTCAGTCACCAGAGAAGAGTGTATTTTCATACCCCGTCTGCATTTAACAATTGTACTTAAAAAAAAAATAAACTTGATTGAAAACTGAAACATAGCTCTTTGAATTTAAAAAGAAAAAAACATACATATATAGACTTAATACCGCACACATAATAATAAATAGTAATATTATTATTAGTATTGTTATTATTATTATTATTGTTATTATTTTAATATTTTATTTGATGTAGTGCAGGATTTCCATTTAAGCAATATAAGTGTACGAATCAACAGATAATTCGTCTCTCTTAAGATAACCCTTGTCTATTAACGTTTCTATACATTTCTTTATGACAGAGATTAGTGGTGTAAATCTTGCCTTGCATTGATCTATTACTTCATCCATGAGAAGTGTATGTTTCAACAATCGCCGACTTTTCATTATTCTGACAATGGCAGCTTGAATAAGCATTTTTCTATCTTCTTGAACAGCAATTTTGCTTTTTTCAATTTCTTGTTTAGCTTCTTTAAGTGATGAAAATCCTGATGAAATGACTTTAAATTTGGTTCTCTTACTGGTAAATGCTAGGTTCAATTTGTATGAATTTTCGTCAATTTTAATGAGAATTTCAGACTGAATGAGAGCTTGTAGGTTTTTAACGGTATCCGATTCAGGTAGATTGGTTAGAGAGCGTATTTCTTTAATGGTTGCGCAATTAACTTCTTGAAAAGCAAGTAAAGATGCCATTTGAAACACACTCATGGTTACTTGATATGGTCTTATGGTATAATTTAATTTAACTTCAGCAGTGCAGAAAGGAAATAGCCACGTTAATTTTCGTCCATTAAACCTCACCTTGTAGAAACTTTCAAACTATATAGAAGATATAAAGATAAAATATTTTAAATAGTTGCATAAACAAAATATTATTAGTTATTTTAACTTACAGATTGTATACTGTGCTCTAAACAACTTGGTAAAGAGAATGATGGTAAATTTGATAAGCTTAAGGGCCAGGCGCATGCCTGAAGAACATTGAAAGAGAAAGTAACAACTTTTGAACTACATTGTTCTCTTTCCAAATAGGAATTGTAATCGTCCTTTAATTGATCTGTAACTTTAAGATCTTGAAGCATTTTATAAAATTTACTCGTAAATTCGTATCCGCAGGTTTCCTTTAATAGAGATACCATCCTTTCTTCTAGGTCATTAGAAACGCTAAGTGAATAAATAAGTCTACAGGAGAGCATTTTGGCGTAGATACGTTGGAAAATATCTTTGTCATCAATATGACGGAAAAGTATAATAGTGTCCATAAGTTTTTCTTCAATTTCATTTTCATTTAAGCTCATTTTCTTTGAAGTGCTCTTCTTTAACAAAACATCGCAATATTTGGCTAAGTATTCGGCACTCCTGTTATTGCTGGATTTAAGTTGCTTAGAATCGGTGGAATTTTTCCAATTCAAAACGGTTTCGAAAGCTCCATTTAAAGCATTTCTAAATATTTCATTATTATCAAAAACACTTTGAATTCTCTCTTCATATTGTCTGTAGACCTTAAGTAAGTCATGAACAAAGGAAACACACGATTCCGCCGGGACATCGTCTCTTACAGTTAATGCTTTTATCGTGATATAATCCTGAATGTCTTTAGATAATTGAGTTAATCCCTGTCTGCTTGGTATCAAAAATGTGTAGAGAATCTTAAGATGATCATCATTTTCACTGTGAGCCATTTCTTTGAAATCACCTTTAAGGCAGTCTATTTGTGATGTAACTAAACAATTTTCAACACGACTAATAACTGCATGAGCTATAGGGGCGTCTAAGAATTTTGTAGCTCTAAACTTTTCTTCGGCCACTCTACTATTCACGACCTTGGCGTATTCAGCACAGTTAAGAGTTGATAAAAGTCGTGACGCTTCCACTTTAAAATACCTATCTGTTTCATCCTCCAAGCGATCTTGTAGTTTATTTGCATAAGTTCGATCGTCCGTATCCGAGTTCTTATTTATATAATTACTCAGATCTTGAATAGATTGTACGCAGTTTTTTAAAGCATGATCGTTAACATTTCCCCCATTTCTAACGGTTTGATAAGCGTCAATTATCACGTTGAATAGACGATCGTGTATTTTTGATAAAATTTCATGGTACCAAACCATCATGCCTAAGTCTTGAATTTCGCATTTTTTAACATCTAAGTAATCGGAGGCTGGAACCTGAGAAGATAGCCTTTTGTTATTTTTGGTTCAAGGTCAATATAAAAAAGGAAATTTTTTTTATTCGTACTTACTGGGCAGTATTTTTTAACGTACTGTTGGTTCAAGTATGAAAATAGACCATTTATATAAGTGACAGCTCGACTATAGTTTAGCCAATAATCACTATAAACCGATAAAAGTTCTTGTTCAGAATTTTCAATAGTCTACATGAAAGTAAGATAAAAAACATAATTTAGTGAAATAAATACAATTCACTCTAAAGAGGAAATAAAATGCTTTTACCAGCAGAAGCTTCTTACTATGATCCTCGAGATATGCTTCAATTGAATTGTAGAGTTTGTCCGCGAATGAGTTCGGTATAGCTACGCATAAATCATAGACATCAGTGAAAAGCGGTTAAGAAAATTAACTATCACAATAATTCGTTAACAATACTACTAAATTAAATTATATTAAAAAAGGATATTGAAAAGATACACTCCACGTATCTCTTTCGACCATCCGGCAGTTGATAACGTTTTCGACAGTTTGAAGAATAGCTTGCCATTTTTCTTCAAAATCGACTTTTTTAGGTTTTAGAGAGGGCGTCATCTATTTTAAAAAATAACTATTATTAATGATTTTTAATAAATTGTACAATTATTCAGGAGTTTTATAACGTTTTTTGATTGTCAGATGACTCTTTAGAGGGGAAATATCTTAAAAAATAAAATGACAAAAATGATACAATTTAAAAATCTTTATAAATTCATTGCTGATCATTTTTTTCCATAGAGAAATTTTTCAAACGATTATGTTAAAAGTTTCAAATGCTAATTTCACTTTCATATTATATTTTCGGTTTTATATGAAAATATACAATAAGATTAACTTATCCTCTTCGCTCATACTAGTGGATTTCACAGAACAATTTAGGCCATTTAAAAAATATATGGTTTGTCCTGAAATCAAAGTACCCAGTCTTCTCGTTTTACTTACCGGTTTTAAAATAACATATTTAATCCGCTTGTCATTTTTCTTAGTTGAATTTTAAGGGATTATTCTTTAATATGTAAACACAGAATTAAAGAATAGTATTAAAATTAGGAGCTAAAAACTTGCAACTAAATCAAGTTGTCAGTTTATGCGAAATACGGAAAGTTTTTTATTTTAACATATAGATTCTTTTCACAGTAAGTACTAACTTTTAAAAGAGAGAAAGTAGTCAAAGTAACAAACGAGATTTCATTTTTTAGATGTTCACCAAAAAGCGGAAACGGATGTAAGACATTAATCTTGGAAATCTTCCGTGTGGGCGATACGAATTGCTTCCCTAGTAACAACCGTGTTGTCAAAACAACCACGATGGCGATCATATTAATTTGCAGTCATTCCTTGTCAACCGAAAGCCTCTAACACGACATGACATTATGTTTAACTCCAATTACAGGTTAGATTTAAACAATGAAAATACATATATATTTTAATTATAAAAGCTATTTGCTTACTTCTCTAGTTCTTCCTATAAAGCTTCTAATAAAGCTTATATAGAGAAACTTCGAGAGGAAAATTCCATACACAGGACATTGGAAACGATAAAATCGAAAAAACTTCAAAACGAAACTAATAAGAGAAGACGAATAGCTAGTGCTAAAGCTAGGGCTCAAGAAGAAGCTGAGGAGAAAAGGAGACAAGCAATTTTAGCGCAGAGACGAGCGGAATTAGAAGAAGCCACCGCCCGTTTTCAAAGAGGACATAGAACATATAAGCTATTGCAACAGCGTCGGCACTTTTCAACGGATAGACTCTGTTCACCACCACTATTAGAAGATGCTCTAAGGGCTATTGGTAGCAGTCCAAGAAATCAAAATAATACGGAAACAACTATCTCTCAAGTAAAATTAGCGTCAAACAGCTTCCGCAATACTAGAAACAGCAAATCATTGTTCGAGCAGCAATTAGAAAAGCACCAACAAATTTTGCAACAGCAACAGCAGGAACAGTTAGTTAAATTCAATTCTGCAATTTGGAAAGAAATAAATGGCGATTCGAAAGTCTGTGGAGTTGAAGAAATTGAAATCGATAATAAAGAAGATCTGAATTCGTCTAGCAGCAGCTTGACTAGTATAGATTCATTAGAGCAACCAACGTCATCTGTGGCTGTTAAACATTCCTCTTTACTCAATTCTACCAACGTTGCAGTGGTTACTCCTAATAATCATACAACCCCGCCTCCTTCTCAGGACGGTGATTGTTTGCAATCAACTGAACAACATTCACCAACTTACCAACAAGTGGTAAAAGAGCTTACTTTTACAACTAACAATGTAGAAATTAAGAAGGAATCTCAGGTTGAGAGCATGAATGTTCAACATAAGGATATTAATAATTCTCCATTAACTGCTATTCATAATTCTAATAAGATTACTACAGCTGAATCGATTGTTAAGGATCGACCTCAGGATATTCAAGTACGTGTAGCGGAGGTAAAAATGAAGCCTAATACTGAAGTGGTTCACTTGAAACACGAAGAACAAAGTAAAAGTCCGCCGGAAACGTCTCAGAATGGTAAAGCGGCTCAACATGGACTTCAATCCTATCCTCCAAACAAGTACGGTGCGAGGCCGCTACCACAACCCCCACCCTGTTCAGAGCCTCCCAATAACAGTCCTGTAGAAGATAAGGAAGACGTTGATTCGGTTGCGGAGGAAATTTTTCCCGCAAAACGACGAGCCCAATCGGCTACAGTCAGACGGCAAGCTAAAGAAGATATAACGGAACAACCCCTAAAGGGTATCTTGAAGAAGAGGCCAGTTCAGAGTGCTCCTCTGGGAAAGCGGGGAAACACAAGAGGATCAACTGTAAAAGATAGTTTAGAGATAATTCGAGGCCGAGGAATAGACAATCTTGACTTAAAACAGAGTAAAAGAAATGTACATTTTGCAACTGTACTATGCGAAGAAGCTGAATTTAATGAGCATTTATCAACAATAACTCGATTAACATCAAATTCTACTACATCAGCTGATAAAGAAAACAATAATGCTAATTACGTAAGCAATAATAACAAAAATTATACTAATAATAGTTATTCTAACAATTATAATGACAATAATAACTCAAAGATGGAGAATAATGGATCTTGTAACGATCATAATACTCATCAATACTCGAAAATTCCTAAATCTACAACGTCATTAAAACCTAAACCCCCCCAGGGTCCGCCACCCGCCGCTACTATACGGCGACGAATAATCTCTGCGAATTCTACCATTCCAACGTCCACTTCAACCTACCACGACGCTAAGCATACAAAACCAATTAGAGTGCAGAGCGCTCCCCCAAGAACATCCGTTCAGGGACTTTATAAATCGAATAAATTGGAGAGAACTCCAACTGATGATGAAATCAATTGGCTTTGGGATCGGGTAAGAACTTGCCTTCAACAAAAGCCCGAGGAAGCCCCGAAAGTATCACAGAAGGTTGTTGACGGTAGTAGTTTAATGAGAGCTGGAACTGTTCAAAGAATATCAAGTGCCAGGAACCCATTACAAACCCAATCGGCGATAAATCGAAGAAAAGTTAATATGGAAATGCTAAGTGCCTATTCCCGGAAGCAACCCGGCGGTAACATAATTGTTCAGGAAAGGCCCAACCAATTTGCACCCAAGTGTAATTCGAATGTGTCGGAGAGTATGGCTGGATTTTTAGCAGCTGAAGCCCTAACAGAGCAACAGCATTCGGTTACCGAAAGTCAATTAGAAAATGCCTTAGAACAGGCCAAAAGACAGCAATTCGTCCATAATCAACAAAGAAGTGCAACTCCAACATCACTTTCAGTTGAAGAGCAAAAACTTCGACAATCACTCGAAAGATTAGACGAAAAATTAAAAAGTAAATATACAGTATATTACTTTTTCTCTGTCCTTAATCATTATTTCTCCTCGCTTTTCAGATTATACAAATGTTATAGACGGTAGCGTTAAGATTACCTCGTTTGCTCCAAGACAACAGCAAGTATACGTAAGTACTAAACAAATATAGACAAAATTCTATACTTTCTATGAATGTTCATACATTTATATGCGAATTCAGGCCAGGCAGATCGCTTTCGAATAATAGTATAAAATAATAAGAAATGGTAAAAGAAAACGCATTATGATATGTTCACTAAATTTTTTAAATCAATAAGAAAACTTTATAATTGAAATTGAATATTATATCAATACTTGAATATATATATATATATATATATTAGTATATATATTCAAATATGAAAACTAAGAAATCAATCAATCAATCAATCAATGAAAAGCATGATTTTCTTCACAATTGCTTTATTATTCAGGCCTATTTTCCGTTGTTAAATACAAATAAGTTGTTGTAATTTTTATTAACCAGTTTATATAATCATTATTACAAAAAAAATGTTATTGGTATTTAAGTAATTTGTATATAAAAACGGGAAATACAAACATATTTATACGTATTTTTATTAATTTATTGTTGACAAACAATGGATAATTCTTTTTTGTTAATAGAATATAAAATTAAAAGAGAGAAACTATTGTCTATTATCATCATTGTTTATAATATAATCATATTCCTTATTATTAAATATGATAATGAAAACGATCATTCAAAAAGAGAATTCATTCTTTTCTCCTTTTATTATTATATCTTTCTTCTCTCTCTCTCTCTCTCTGTTTGTTTATTTTGCATGAATAATATGCACATATCTATATTTTCTATATCTTTTCCCAAATCATTATTATCTTTTATATTAATCCTCAGATTCAACCAACTGGATTTCGGGGACATACACCTATTTCAACTGGTTTTGGTAGGCGTCGTTCAACAATTGTCTCTTTAGCTCAGAGATATCATTGATTGATAGAACAATAATTTATTAATTTAATAATTTTACTTTCATATTTTTTTGTTTTACTTTTTATATTCTTTAATAAAAGAAGAAGCATAATTGTTCAAAATGTTAATAATGGTGTCAATAAAAGAATAATATATACAATAATATATAATGAAAACAAGAGAATATAAAGAGATAAATTATAAAGCAAGCTACAAATCATTCTCTTCTACTTTAAATTGATGTTTAAGTCTATTATTAGAACATTGTTATTGCAACTAGAAAACAATAAAGTCAAAAAATAGTAACAAGTTTCAAAATTGATATAAAAAATGAACTAATTATTCTTTTTTCATTTGTTTTTACCAAATTTATGTCACAAAGAAGTCATTTATATTTACTCACTTTTCATATCTTATCGATAAGTAATGAAGGTCACTTCTTTTCTAGTTTGAGTTCTATTTGATAACGATATTGGCTACTTGTCATTGAATTTGAAAATTATAAGAGAGTGTTAGATAGATAGAAAGTTAGATAGATAGTTAGACGGAGACGCTTTCTTTTATAAAGAGGAACATTCGTCTTTATTCAATTCAATTACTTCATTCTTTTCCTTTAAGAGCTGAAACATAAAAGTTAAATTAAAATTCCCTTTTAATAAAGTTTGTAAAGTAGAACCTCTTTATTTGTATCGTCAATATCCGTTAGAATTAGATCACCTTTCTCATCGTATAAATCGCAGGAACCGTATGGATATTCTTTACCAGTACGGTATTTATTAATAAATCTTCTAAGCATTCTAATGTGAACGAAAAGGTAACGATCCTTTACATAGTGTTTACACCTTAATGCTAAAAAGTATAGTAGGATAGTCATTAATTTATTATCGTTTAAATTAATTATTAATCTGTCCCAGACCTGGTATAAGGCTAATTGTAGAACTTACAAGAACGCTTATAAAGATACCGATAGCTGAATAATATAAATATGTCACAGCATAGAAATGCTGAAATCCTTTTCTGTTTTAATTTAAGTATTATTCAAAAACCATTCTATAGATTAAACTTGGATTCAAACTTACGGCTTATTCACTGGCATTGCTTTAGGTAATTTGCTTATAAATTCTTTACAATAGGCTAACGTCGAATTCAAATCGTAATAAGAGTTTGAACTTACAAGCGCTTCTTCGTAGATAGTTCCATTTAACATTCCTAAATTTATACCTGGAACATTCATGCATTCTCGAATAACATTCGCCGCTGAACAATTATAAATTGGCGAAGGTTTCATTTCAGAGGTGAATCTATAAATTAGTGACCCAATATTCATCCAAAATACAAAAGCAAGTGAAACTATACAACTGATAAATGACGCCTGCAAAGGGAAAGCGGAAAGTGAATGAAGAAGAAGCAGAAGATGGAGGAGAAAGAGAAGAATAATAATAAAATATCGTATTAAAATGATAATGAGAATAAAGCTTATATACTTTAGCAGAAACCCAAGGAAAGGATGCCGATGAAAGAATACTTGCGCACATCGGGCCCGATGCAAAGCCAATAACACTAAATAAAATCTAAACGAAAAGAAATATTAAATGCAAAAGTAATTTTTTTTAATAAAAAAAAGAAAATAAAATAGAAATTAATAAGAAAAAATCAATGCTCTTCATTTCCCTTCCACCCCCAACCCACCTCCAACCCCTGTTTTGTTTTGTTTTTTATTTTATTTACCTCAATAAGCGTTCCTTTGACGTATTGAAATCCAATCGCAAAACCTAATACTATAATACCAAAGAAACATACTGCAAATAGCATTCAAAGTTTAATATATTCTAATCCCATTGATAATCTATTACAATAAGGATTTATTGTTATTTATGTTTTACCGATTAATTTGTTTACATTTGCAGCCTTGTTCTCTTCAATATTTGGGTATCTAGGTTGCACAACACTCTCCCAAAAAACGGCTGCCAATGAATTTAAACCAGAAGACAATGTACTGCAGATAATATGTAGATGTGAAAACAATCTAATATTATTGGATATCAACCTTAAAGATGCGCTAAATAAACATGCTACAAATAATCCAGGTATTCCAGAATAACCCATTAATTCCATTACAAATAGTGGTAATATCTTGTTTAATTGTGTTAATTTATATTATAGAATAAATATGATTAACTAAATTTATTGGAATTACCTGATTTGGATCGTAAATAAGCCGAGAAGCTAGTGGATCACAACCTTTAAATGCATAATATGCAAATGCTGCCATACCGCAAAGGGTACTTGCAGTACTAATAAAGCCAAAAAACGGAACAGTTAAAATTATAGATCTGGATAGAAAATCAAAATTGAATAGAAATTTCCATTAATAAAGGAAAATTGGTAAACAAATAACTTATTGAATAATTTATTACTTTTTAGCCTGATTCATTGAAGTTAAGGCGGAATATCGTTGGATTGTTGGTTGTAAAGCGCCCATGCATAACCATAAAATAGGCATTACAAAGACAATGGACCAAAAAGATGATCTTATAGTCGGATTCGGATCGAGACTTTAATGTAAAGTAGAATGTTATAATCTGTAAAATTATGTAAATAAGTACTTAATAATTAATACTTGAAAAATTCAATTCTTCCGTATTGATCATTGATTTCCCACATTCTCTTAAATCCTCCAACAGATATTATACCCTTTTAAGATAAGATATTAGAAATATATATATATATATGTATATACATAAATTGATTCTGAACTCCTAATCATTTACATAAATATGAAAGAGATTTGTAAATTAAGCCTACTTTTACTAGAACAGTTATTAAACCAGCGAGAATGACACAACATTGAAAGACGTCAGTCCAAATTACAGCATTCATTCCACCCTAGAATTGTAGATAATATATATATGAATAGATTATTAAAATTTAGTTAATTATTTACAAAAGTTGTATAAATAGTTCCAACAATTGTACAGGCAATAATTGATATGTAACTAGGTAGGCCTGTTACACCCTGAAGGGCTACGGATGGTGCAAAAACTCCAATACCATTTACTAGAACCTGGGAAAAGAATGAGTTGCGTAAAGCTATTTACATAGTCAACTAGATATACTTACTGAAATAAGTGTAAGGAGCATAATATTGAGATATTTTACATAGTTCTCTTTATATCTTAAAGTGTAATACTAAAAAAATGTCAAGTTTGTAGATAAAAATCCATTCATTAATTCATAATTAAGAAATATGTATAAAAAATGATTTACTTCGAGACAACTTGTTAATTTTAATGGATAAAAGAGTGGTACGAAGAGAAACGCTCCAAAAAAATTGCCAAACATCATAGCTAATATCTGTAGTGAAAACTGAGTACCGTATGTATAAATTTCAGCTGGAGTTCCTAATATTCCAATTGCGGAGACGTATGTAACAAGAATTGAAAGAGAAACAGGTATCATTTGAAGTTTTCTTCCCCCCATTAAATATTCTCCAGTAGTATTCTCTTTTCGCTTTCTAAAAGCGCTAAATAATCCTATACTCAGTGATATCACTAGTGTAGTTGCAAAAAGCGCATAGTCGAGTACTGAGAACCTATGATCCATTGTAAACTTCAATTTTTCAATGCTTTGCATAAAGTTAGAAAGAACGTTTTCTCTTATCCTTTTCTTCTAGCTTTTGAACTTTTCAGTTGGCCAACTATATTTCAAACTTGATTATAAATACACTATTTGATATATATCATGAACAATGCATTCATTAACATCTAAACTTCGACTGACAGACGATTCTGATTTTATTATCTATATCTTTGATTTGAGAGTCTTTAGTGTATACTAACCGCTATCTTTTAATTTAAATGATTTATATAAAAGTGTCTATACACCGTATATGTTGTATAAATTATAATATACACCCGTAAACCTCTACATGTCTTGCCTCTTCCGTTCCAATCGCAATCTGGATAGATAACTCTAATCTCCATAAAAAAAACAACAACTTCATATGAATTGAAACATAAAAAGCATTCTATTTAGAAAGATAATATAAATACTACATTTGTTTTAACAATACATTTCACCATCTAATTCTTTAACATTGATAAAAAACGAAAAGAAGCTTATTTAGACTTTATTCATAACGATAACTCTCTCGAAAGATAGTAAAGATTTCATTTTAGCTTTTCGATGTAAACAGCTTTAAGTAAATTGTTTTTCGAGTAAACAAAAACAACACATTAATTTTATTATTGATCTTAATCATTGAACAAAGTAAGGCTATTCTCTGTGGCTACTTCTATAGTGTTTTTCATATATTAATATATACTGTATATTATATATATTTTGTATATATATAGAATTATAAGAATAACTGTCAATATTAGCCAAATAAAAAAAGAGAGACAATTTCCTCTCAGCTTTCTTTCTCCTTTTCTCTTTTATTCGCATTTGAAAAGGATCAAGTAAAATGAAGACAGTGTACAACTTTAATATAATAAATTCTTGATTCTATTAATTCAAGTGCCTTATTGTACTGCATAAAATATTCCTTTAGGGCTGGATAACTAGAATAAAAAGATATGAGAGAAAGAGAGAGAGAGAGAGAGAGAGGGAGGGAGAAGGGAAAAGGGGTGGAATGATAAAAAAAGGTTTTATTTATATTTATCGATTTTATTTTCCTTTGGAGATAAAAAGAAAAGTAAAAACGAAAAATATTGCATCTGAATTGAGTAATATTGATAAAGTTTTCAATTATATATTTACATATATATTGTGCAATTAAAAATAAGACCTTCAAATAATCTTGCGATAGTTTAGCACAAAAGATTAGAAAAAACATTCTCTCCGTATCCTTTTTCTGAAATATATGTTTTTTATATTTGTCTTATTAGTTTCAATGAGATATACTCATGTTATCAGTACTGAGATGGCACTATACACTAAGATTAGAATTCTAATTTGGACTCTCTTTTTTTTTTTATTTTTAGATTTTTATTTTCCAAAGTAAAAACAGCTAAAAATGTTTAGAAAAAAGGTTATTTTTATGATTAAATCTGAGTAAAAAGTGTGACGTAATAGATTTTAGGTTTTCCTAAACAGAAATCTAATTAATGGCAATAAGTTGATTAGTGATTGAAATCGTTAACTAATTTCCGGCTATAGTGGATATATATATATATTGATAAAAGCTAGGACAGTAAAACTAATAGAACTCCGATTAAATTGTATTCATATTATTTTTCTCTTCTTATCTTTCGTTACTATTTGAAGATGATCTAGCAGACAAGCAATTTTTTGCTTATTTTCTCTTTTTACTTCGATCTATAAATTAAATTAAAATATAACTTATTTATAAATATTTAACTCGAATCGTATTGGTTCTTACATTCGCATCTTGGTCCAAAGAACCCTGATATACAACTACATTGCCACATGTTATTGTTTACTAGGCATCTTCCAGCATTATAGCAGGGACTACTTGAGCAGACGTTACTTGTTGATATTTCACATCTTGATCCTGATGCATACGTTGGGCAAGAACAAACGAAATAACTACTGCTACCACTTATCTGATTAGAACAAACTCCACTGTTCAAGCATGGATTACTCGCACAAGGTTCATTGGAAACTGGTACTGTGCTGCAATAAAAACCTACTCCGGACCTTACACAATAATTTCCTGGACAAGGGTTTGATGAACAAGGATTAACACCGTTATTAGCTGTTGAAGAATAATTAGGAGAGTGATAAGAGATTCTTTAATAAATATATATATATGTATATGTATATTTTACAATAAGTTTCGCAGCGAGTTCCAATCCAAGGTGAAGTACACCTGCACGAGAAATAGGTATTGAAATTATCGCAAGTTCCTCCATTCATACACGGATTACTACTACAAGCTCCAACATTTCCCGCATCTATAAATAAACAATTAAATCTATAAATAGATAACTATTTAATGTAAAAAATATAAAGGTATCAAAATATCTCAGAATGATAAATTTTTTACTATAAGTTTCGCATCTTATCCCACTCCATGGAGGATTACAGGAGCAAGTGTAATAAGTATTAAAATTATTACATCGCCCACCATTCATACAAGGACTACTGGCGCAAGCGCCTTGAAGGGCTGATGGATCTAGCGTAGGATCAAAACAGAGTGTTTGAGTTTGGTTTTAAACTGTTAAAACTAAAAGTTATACTACTGTAAACTTCACAACGGGATCCAGAATAAGGACCATTGCAAGTACAGCCATACGAATTTACAAAAGATGTACAAAATCCATTATTCAAGCAAGGGTTGCTTTGACAAGGATTTGATCCAATAACTTATAATGACAATATATCATTATTTAATATTATATAGTCAATAACCTCCTAAACTACTTACGTGTTTCGCATCTTTGTCCAGTCCATTGACCAGGGCAATTGCAGGTATAATAGTTATTCTGATTGTTGCATATTCCGCCATTCATACATGGATTGCTCGAGCAAGGCAAATTGGTTCCCACTGAGAAAAAAATGATTATTAATTAGATCAAGATTTAAAAAGAAACCGATTAAAGTGTTTACTAATTTCACATCTTTGACCCGACCATCCATTATTACAAGAACATGTATAATGTGTATTATAGTTGTAACAAATACCATTATTAAAGCAGGGATTACTGAAACAGGCCCCGGTATTTGTTCCTACTCCTTATAATTTTTAACAAACAAAAATGTGTTTGTACCATAGTATATACAGGAATGTATACATTTATACATAAATATTAAAAATTCGTCTTATTCTTACTTGTTTCACATCTTTGTCCGGTGTAGCCATTGATGCACGAACACGTATAGTAGGTGTTAAAATTATTACAAACTCCAGAATTTAAGCATGGATTACTTGAACACGCTCCAACATTGTTTCCTGGTTGCGTTATCAGTTAATTAGTTTATAAGAACTATGTACAAGTTCATAGTAAAATGTTATTTTATGACACTAACTTGTTTCACATCTTTGTCCAGTATAACCATTGATGCATGTACATGTATAGTACGTATTGAAGTTATTACAAACTCCAGAATTTAAGCATGGATTACTTGAACAGGCTCCAACATTATTTCCTGACAATTATATAAATTTATTAATGAGAGATAGGATTGTATAGATCATTAACAATAGCTATTTCCCGTTGAACTAACCTATTTCACACCTCTGTCCGGTGTAACCATTAATACAGGAACATGTATAGTAAGTATTGAAGTTATTACAAACTCCAGAATTTAGACATGGATTACTTGAACAGACTCCAACATTATTTCCTGTTAATATTATGTGTTAATTAATAGATTATAAATAGGTACAACCTTATTATAATAAAAATAATAAGTATTTTCCTAAACTAACTTGTTTCACATCTCTGTCCAGTGTAGCCATTGATGCATGTACATGTATAGTAAGTATTGAAGTTATTACAAACTCCAGAATTCAAACATGGATTACTTGAACACGCTCCAACATTATTTCCTGTTCATTTTACATGCAAATTAATAGATTATAAATCAGTATAACCAAATTTCAGTAGGTATTTTCCTAAACTAACTTGTTTCACACCTCTGTCCAGTATAACCATTGATGCATGAACATGTATAGTAAGTATTGAAGTTATTACAAACTCCAGAATTTAGACATGGATTACTCGAGCAGGCTCCAACATTGTTTCCTGAAAAAAAATATTTGATTTTCATTCTATAATATGTAAGTATAATTTATAAGCAAAGCTATTTTTCCACACTAACTTGTTTCACACCTTTGTCCAGTATAGCCGTTAATACATGAACATGTATAGTAAGTATTGAAGTTATTACAAACTCCAGAATTTAGACATGGATTACTTGAACAGGCTCCAACATTGTTTACTGTTAATGTTATATGTTAAATAATAGATTATAAATAGGTATAACGTAATTGTAATAGGTATTTTTCCCATACTAACTTGTTTCGCATCTTTGTCCAGTGTAGCCATTGACGCAGGAGCATGTATAGTATGTGTTGAAATTGTTACAAACTCCAGAATTTAGGCAAGGATTACTAGAGCAAGCTCCAACGTTGTTTCCTAACAATGGTTATTATTGAAAAGCAGATAAGAAAAAGTAAGACTTTCTAATAAAAAGTACTTTGTCTACACTAACTTGTTTCGCATCTTTGTCCAGTGTAGCCATTGACACAGGAGCACGTATAGTACGTGTTGAAATTGTTGCAAACTCCAGAATTTAAGCATGGATTACTTGAACACGCTCCAACGTTGTTTCCTGGTTGTGTTTTCAGTTAATTAGCAGGTAAGAACTATGTACAAGTTCATAGTAAAATGTTATTTTATGACACTAACTTGTTTCACATCGTTGTCCAGTATAACCATTGGTGCATGAACATGTATAGTACGTATTGAAGTTATTACAAACTCCAGAATTTAAGCATGGATTACTTGAACAGGCTCCAACATTATTTCCTGACAATTATATAAATTTATTAATGAGAGGTAGGATTGTATAGATCATTAACAATAGCTATTTCCCGTTGAACTAACCTATTTCACACCTCTGTCCGGTGTAACCATTAGTACAGGAACATGTATAGTAGGTATTGAAGTTATTACAAACTCCAGAATTCAAACATGGATTACTTGAACACGCTCCAACGTTATTTCCTGGTTGTATTATTAGTTAATTAGTAGATAAAAATTATATACAAGTCCATAGCGAAATGTTATTTTATGACACTAACTTGTTTCACACCTTTGTCCAGTATAACCATTGATGCATGAACATGTATAGTAAGTATTGAAGTTATTACAAACTCCAGAATTTAGACATGGATTACTTGAACAGGCTCCAACATTGTTTCCTGTTAATATTATATGTTAAATAATAGATTATAAATAGGTATAACGTAATTGTAATAGGTATTTTTCCCATACTGACTTGTTTCGCATCTTTGTCCAGTGTAGCCATTGACGCAGGAGCAGGTATAGTACGTGTTGAAATTGTTACAAACTCCAGAATTTAGGCAAGGATTACTAGAGCAAGCTCCGATGTTGTTTCCTAACAATGGTTATTGTTGAAAAGCAGATAAGAAAAAGTAAGACTTTTTAATAAACAGTACTTTGTCTACACTAACTTGTTTCGCATCTTTGTCCAGTGTAGCCATTGACGCATGAACACGTATAGTAAGTATTGAAATTGTTACATACTCCCGAATTTAAACATGGATTACTTGAACACGCTCCTACGTTGTTGACAACTAGAATAGATTTGTAAAGGTAGTTATTTGAGGGAACATATGTTTTTATGAAATATATCTTTTTTACCAGTTTCACACCGCTGTCCAGTCCATCCGTTTTGGCAAGAACAGGTATAATAAGAATTGCCGTTTACGCAGTTTCCATTATTTAAACATGGATTACTCTGACAGGGATTTCCGTTGTTTGTTGGAACTGAAAGAAAGACAATGTTTCATAATTAAATACTCTTAGGTAATTATGGTGTAAATATTCTACCTGTGCATTGGGTACCACTCCAGCCACTTGAACAGGTACAATCATATCCGTTTCCTCTATCATTGCAAACTCCCGAGTTGTAACAAGGATTCGATCCACAAGCTCCTCCACCATAGGCTGAAAGTTAAATTTATTTATAGTCAAGTAATTCTATTAGTTTTAATTAAATATAATATTTCATACAATCACAATTTGTCCCATACCACCCAGAGTTACACGAACAAGAATAGTATGAATTATGATTATTACAGTTTCCATTTCTACAGGGGTTCGATGAACAGGGGTTTGGATTTGATACGGCTGAAAAAAGTCAATGATTTATTCTTTAGATATAAATCATTATACAATTTAATTGTTCATTTTTACAAACTTTCACAGCGGTTTCCTGTCCAGCCAGTTTTGCAAGAGCAGGAATAGCCTGCACCATTTTTTTGACAAGTTCCTCCATTTGCGCAAGGTGAACTTGAACAAGGATCAGATATGTATGATCGTCTCGCTAAATAAAAAGATAAAATGTTTTGAATAGTGAACACTTCAAATTAATTTAAAATGACAAACTTTCGCAAGTTTCTCCAACCCAGTCGTAGGTACAAACGCACTTTATCGAACCGTCATCTTGATAAGTACATCTCCCATTATTCTTACAGGGAGTGTTGTTGCAAAGAGCCAAGTCTAAGAAGACAATCGTGTATTAAATACAATAAATAACTTTGATTTTAACATTTTTTCTAACGAAATTACCTCTTTCGCACCTAAGACCAGATCGTCCTCTTTGACATTCACATCTATACTCATTATCAACTTCTGAACATAGTCCTCCGTTCTGGGAAAAAAGAACATTGAAATATAAAGACAACTACTTGTAAATTACTTTTACGTATACTTACCAAACACGGATTACTATTGCAAGGTCTACCGCACCATTCGCACGTCTGTTTACAGTATTTTGCCATCAATTCCTTGTCGTCTACACAATAATTATAACTTCTATAGAGAGAGCAATGTTTTAATCTATCGCCACATTCTCCTGGTCCCAGAGCAGTTAAATCTTTTTTTGTTTAAAAGACAATAAAATAATCATATAATCGAATAAAGGATAAGCAACATACCTGATGTTGTTATATTAATGATTGGCTTAGAAATAATAGGCTCTCCGTAACATCCCACTATAAAGATAGTTAGTAATATTACAAATAATTTGAAGTTGATAATCATTTTTTCTCTTTGTTTTTCTCTTTAGTAGAATTTACCAAAACAAAAAAATAGCCTTTTAGAAAAGACCTTTTAGACAACTGATAAGAAGGAAACAAAATAAAATCAACAATAAAGAATTAGAATTTTAGAGAGAGAGAGAGAGAGAGAGGTCTACATAAGACGAATCTGGGTGAAAAAATGTAATAGTTAACTAATAACTAGTAATATAGCCGTTCGACAAGAGCTAATAATCTCATTCGTAATATTACATTTCATACTATGTAATATTTACTCATATAAGATTACTTAACTCTTTTAGTTTTTCTTTAAAAATATACTGTAATTGGAAATTTATTGTACTTTTTACAGATATATTATTTCTATTATTCTCATTCATTTCCCTTGTTTTTTCTTTCTTTCTTTCTTTCTTTCTTTTTCTCTGGCTTCCTGTCTTTCTCTCCCGCCCCCTCCCTTCATTTTTTTTTTATTTTTAGGTACATTGTTCCCCTTTATTTTTTGACAGATTTGGTTACTTAACTAGTCGATTCTATATTTAGAATTTTTTTCTTTTTATAGAAAAATAAAAACGAAAATAAACTTTTTTTTCATCTTTCTATAAAAATAGCTTTCTTTTATAGGTTGTTTGTTCTATTGGATTGTAGTTGTATTTGCCGAATTTCAATTATGATAGTGGTGCCATCTGATAAACATAAAAATATAAATCTATCTAAAAACTACAAATTTCGCCTTTTAATTAATTATTTAATTATTTTATACAGAATTTAAACTATTAACTAATTTTCTAAATTGATTTATACTATAAAAATGAATACTAACTTTAAAAAAATTCATATAAGAAGGCCTGATTTCACCTTGACCTTTAAAGATCTAAAAATTAGCCCATGATTATCAGTAATAATTGCATTATTCTAGACGAAGGAGAAAAAAAATATGAATGATCTCGTTTGCTTGGATGATATCGAGAAATTGGCTTTAATCAAACTAGAGAATAGTCGCTATAAAGATTATCTAATTAGTGGAGCAGAGGATGAAAATGTTCTAGAAAGAAATTCTAAACGTTTGAAAGAGTGAGTTAGGGGAGGGTGACCTTTATCAATATTTTAGTATAACTTATTAACAGAATATATCTCTCTCCGAGAATTTGTGTAGACGTCTCTAATGTATCTCTAAACACAAAATTACTAGGAGAAAAATGTTCCGTTCCTATTGGTATAGCTCCTTCCTTAGCCCATAAGTTAGTTTGCAAGAATGGTGAACTGTCTACTGCTAACGGAGCTGAACAGTCTGATGTCATATACACAATGAGTACTTTTTCCAGTACAAGAATAGAAGATGTAGCAGCCCAAAATCCAAAGTTGATTAAATGGTATCAAGTTTATGTATTTAAAAATAGGGAAATAACTAAACAAGCTATTCAAAGAGCTGAAAAGGCTGGTTATAAAGCAATTGTATTAACGGTTGATGCGGCTGTTGCTGGTTTAAGACGCAAACTACTTAAGAAACCATTGTCGTTCCAACAGGATTTTTCTTTACCAAATTTTCCTAAAAATTTGGATAAATCACCAAGTTCTGGATTACCTTTTGGTTCTCAAATAACTTCGACACTTTCTTGGGGGGACGTTGATTGGTTAAGAACTATTACTAAACTTCCAATAATTATGAAAGGAGTTGCCACCGTAGAGGATATAATTTTATCGAAAAGGCACGGAGCGTCGGCTATTTGGATCTCTAATCATGGTGGAAGACAATTGGACGATGTTCCAGCCTCAATAGATGTTCTAGCTAAAATAGGTCGTACTGCTAAAGCATTGGAGTTGGAGCTCTATGTTGATGGAGGGTTTAGAAAGGGATCAGATGTATTTAAAGCTATAGCCTTAGGAGCAGATGCAGTATTTATTGGTAAACCTATTCTATACGCCTTAACAATCGGAGTTAGTAAACTGATACTTTCTGTTTTTTTCTAATAGTTTTAACCACTTTTATTCATTTTTTCCCAGGAAGAGCATTGCGTAAAGAAGCTATTTGATATAATGAAAACGGAGCTTGCAACAGTCATGGCACTTTGCGGAGTACGTAATGTCAATGAGATCAGCAAAAAATACTTGTGGGAAAATATAAGTCGCCTGTGAAAATAGAGCTATTAGATTAAACTAACACTTTTTTAATAGGAAATATAGTTCATTCATCCATTTAATCTACTAACAATTGAAAGAATACATCTAACAAATGACTCTTTTCGATATATATGTCATATTTGATATTATCAGATTTTGAAGAATGATATAATCTCCAACAGTTTTATACAGTATATACAGTACGTTCTATTTGCTTTAAAAAACAATATCCACAGTCTACAACACGAATGTGGAATATGTAAATTATATAATACTTGTATTTTAAATGGAATTACATGCTCAATTAAAGATGCTGCATTAACATTCTATTGAAATTTTATTGAAGATCAAATTTCTCATTAGCATTCGTCACTTTAATTTCGGTTGATATTTTTATAATTTTCATTAAAAATAACCAAGTAATTCTATTTTCTACTCTCTGAAACTTTAAATAGACATATCGTAGGAACACATAAGAAAGGTTCGGTAAAAGCAAGGAGAAAAGAGGAAAGAGATGAGAAAATCATTTATTACATTATTAAAAGTTGTTGTTTTTCATTAAGTAATATCAAAAAGACTAATGAGTATATGCTACATTTATTAAAAAACAGATAAGAGAAATTCATACCATGCTAATACATGTATGCCTATACATATGGACACTATATAATATCAAGTTGGAAAATATTTTCTATAAATTGCTGCTCGTTTGAACGATAATCAGTCTATTAGTAGAAGTTGTTTCGAAATGAATGATTACTCGTGAGTTTAAGCTACCTTTAGTATTATTTATAACTTTTTTTTATGTATTTCTACAGAGTGAAATGGAAAGAATCTTGTGTAAAATTACTAGAAGTTATGCTTAGATTAGACGATACGGCTTATTTTAGAGGCAGATACAAAGCTAAAACGGCGGCTCAGGTGAAATTTTGCGATTATTTATCTCATCAAGGAATGCAATGTGAACCAAGTCTGTTTGAAATAAAAAAGAAAATCATTTATGGAGACTATGTTCACCCACTTCAAGTCGGTCAAGATGTTCGAGCTCTCTTGAATCATGCTATTTCATTCTTTTCACCGTCGGACCAGGTAAAAACTTTCAACACATATTTTTTAGAATTTTCTAATGTTCTTCAATAGGATGGAATAGCAGCTAGTAGAACTTTATATTTCTTTGAAAAAGAGTTCCAAAAGATCCTAACTAACCAATCACGGGATGAAAATCCAAGAAAAAGGATTAGGACAAAGTAAACAATTACACTAAAGCATTTTTTCAAACCAGACAATTAAATAATTACACATTTTTCTATTTTTAAAGCTCATATTCTAATATGACAATTATTGATCAATCGAATTTTACTGACTCATATATTGTCGACAGGTGTCTATCATTTCATAATAAAATGAATATTCTTAAAAAATATGTTATTATTTATAGTCAACCGTCAACATCTGTAGAAATTCAAACATTACCAACAAGTCACGAAGGATCTGGCATCATGCTTGGCTGTAAAGGCGGAGAGGATCAAACTAATAAAGTATCTCAGAATGTCAACTCTTGTCGTCTTCATGTAAGTTGATATTTCATCAGTCAAATCACTTGAACAACTGGGATTGTTGACAGATAAAAGAAATGTGGCTGGGAAGTCAAATACTATCGAGTTCAGTGAAAATATTCGATAAACAGGTTTCATTCAGAGTGAAAAAACAAACAAGTCCGGACATTTACCAATATGACTTGGATGCAGAGGATATTGTGAAAATTGTTTTCCACTCTTGTTCCAATAGCACTGGTGTTCTCCTGTTCTACGTTATGCCTAATGCCATAAGGGAGATGAAAGCTTCTCTCAGTGATAATCATATAAACTCTAGTGTTATAACATTAGTTCTACACAGACTCGACGTTCAAAGTAAAATTCTTTTACAAGGATATATCCATCAACTATGCCAACGATCACCTTTTGCGTCTATGTTCGAAGAGGTTGACAAGAATACTATTCAAAATCTATTGAAAAAGTCTCTACATCCATCTCATATCGAGCGTTTCAACAAATTCTTCCCTATCTTGTCTTTGGCGTCTACAATCTCATCAACTAGAGTTGCACCATCAACAATGATAACAACAGTAGTAGAAAACCCAGTCACACAAATGAAGTCAGCAGGACCAGGACCATCGACATCAACAGCTTCATTTGCATGTAAAAACGAGCAATATGTAAATGCTGCAGAAATACTTGACGAAATCTTAAATTTATCGTCCTCTTATTCATCTCCCGTATCTGGAACGGAAACGAATGTAAATCCATCATTTTCAACAAATATTAATCCTATATCAAGTGTACTTGCTTACAATCCTAATCAACCGGTACAGTCAACAAATTTTCAGCAGTTTCCTAATCAGTCGCAAGTTCAAAATGATCTTATAGGACCAATATTTAATGAAGGTTCACAGAATACAGACTTTGAATCAAAAGGCGATAACGAAGACGAAGATGTGATTGTTGCATCGGAGAAAGTTAGCTTAAAGTGTCCCATTACGCAAGTTGTAATGAAAGAAGCTATGTTGAACAAAAAATGTAAACATTCGTACGATTTAAATGGAATAACAAGCTATTTAAATGCTCGGAAAGGTAAAGCAACACAATGTCCGGTTTCGGGTTGTACCAACGAAAACATTGAAATGAATGATTTACTACCGAACGTCAGACTGCAAAATATGATAAATAGAAACCGTTCAGAACCTAATAGAAGTGTTTTCACCTTATAGTAGTTACTTTAAGTTTTTTTGTTTTCTTTTATATTATGTAACAAGGTTTTTTTTGAGAGAGAAATAATTAAAAGCATTTATTCAACCCAAACTCTTATTTTGATGGCATTATTTTAATTACTGATTATGATAATCTTGTAAAGCATTTTAAAGGCGTAAAGATAGGCAGCTTTCGGGTTAATCTGTAAGTTGATTCAAACCATTCTAGATTCGGAAAAATGTTGCAGACTTGATTGTTGAGGTGTAAAACTAAATTCTATACATATAGAATCAGTTTGTATTGATAAAATACTTCTTTCATACAAAATTCATATAGAAGAAGGACCAGTTAAGGTTTTTTTAGGCAAGAAAATTCTGTACTTCCCTTTACTACACAGAAACGTATACTTAATAAAACTAAGGCTGTTCTCAATATCTATATTGTTTTCTAGTATATAAACATTTAAATGTAGTAGAATAAGAGCGATAATTCTATGTTTAAACTTATAATAAACTATCTCAGATTTTTGAAGAAAGCTACCTTAATAAATCTACTAAAGAATTTTATCACTATTGATAATTTCAAGAGAGAAAACTGGGTTAAAGTATTATAATATATTTACCTTTTCATAGAAATGTGTAAGAGATATATTGGGGTTATTCACCCTAACTTCAAAAAGAAGCAACAATTGGTGGCTTGACAATCAAAAAAATGAGGTTGCACATTAAATTTTCTGCCATTTCCACAACGTATTACGCGAAAAAGACCATTTAACATCCGTAATCTTGAACATTTATCATGGTTATTAGAGAGGCTTACTCATTAGGAAAAATGATAGATTATCACTAAAAATTCATTAAACGTAATTAAGATTTAATACTTTAAATGGAATTTTATACAAATTTCTCAATTGATTGATTAATTGAAGAGATTAATATGCTCATTCTTACTAAATAATGATGAAAGTGATATATGATTTTCATTCAAGGATTTGTGTTCAATACATTTATTCAACCTCATTCATAGTTTAAATCAGGACTTCTATGCTTGTGCAACCTTCTATTTCTCGATAGACCATATAAGAGACAATCTTTGAGTTATACGGTCTTCACTTTGACCTTTATATTACCTATTCAAGTTGACAATAAAAATAAGGAATTTGAATGAAAATTGAATTTTAGACGTCTCAGCAAAAGGTTATCAAAAACAAGGTACGGTTATTTATTAATATATATTGTACTGTACATACTGGATATTTGTTTTTAAAGAGAGTCAATATTGGTTTAAAGAACATAATACAACTAACCCTAGATGCTCTCTCTTAACTAATGTTATCAAATTATTCTTTAACGAATAAAATTATAATTTTCTTTTAAAAAAAAAAAACGAAAGCAAAGAAACAATACAAAGAAACTATCTACCGCAATTTTTTATTATAGGCCTAAAACATTTCTTTTTTAACCTAATTCAGTGCATTTAAATAGTATACGTATAGTTTATATATTAAAGATTATCCATGTAAATATTAGGATAAACTATTAAAAAATCTTTAAGCAAATAAGAAATGAAATTATTTCAATATTATTAACTAGACTCCTTTAAAAAGCGAAATATTTGTTTATATATATATTTATATATATAAGAAAAACATCCTTTTTAATATTATATTCTATTAAAACTCTGATCAATGATTTATACAGTATATCTGTATATTCTGCGAGTTTTGGAAACCTAATATTAAGCCTATTTCTGTTTTCTTTTCAATTTTTTTTAAAGGAAGTAATGGCAAGGTTTGAAACCCAAAATTTCTTTACTACGTTAGACTATACGCTATTTGGTAGTACTTTAATTATATCTCTGGGAATTGGAGTATTCAGCGCAATAAGAAATCGAAAGGATAATACAACTGGAGAATATTTAATGGGTGGAAGAAAACTAAAATTGGTGCCAGTTACCCTTTCAATTCTTGTTACGTTTGTTTCTGCTATTGGGATTTTAGGAAATCCTGCTGAAGTTTACTTATATGGAACTCAATTTTCGCTTCAAGTAGTTGCAATGATAATTGGCAATGTTATGGGAGCGTTGGTCTTTGTACCACTTTATTATCCATTAAAATTAACAAGCTCCTTTGAGGTGATGATTATTATTATCAAAAGTTGTATTTCTTAAATATGTAAGATATTGCAGTATTTTACGTTAAGATTTGAGGAAAATTCTGTAAAGAATCTTAATATTTTAATGAGTACTATCTTACTGGTAAGTTATCTGGAATAATACCTTATCATTTCATTAAAAGCATACTTTCCATCTACTATTATACAGATAATACTTAATGGTGTAGGAGTGTTTGCTCCAGCAATTGCTCTCCAATCCGTAACAGGCCTACCAAGCTATGTTTCAATAATAGCATGTATAGTTGTTGGAACAATATATACTACTGTTGTAAGTTCTTCTTTCAATCATTTCTTTTTATTCAAACATTTCTTACTCCAATTCAAATTCTAATACTGAAATATTCAGGGTGGAATGCAGGCCGTTATATGGACTGATGTATTCCAATCTGCCGTCATTTTTATTGGTTTGATGACCGTATCTATCAAAGTAGGACATTTCATTGTAGCAGAATAGTATTTAATCTTTTTTGCACTTGAAAAGGGTATCATTGCAGTTGGAGGATTCAAAGAAATGTGGGAGACCAATGATAAATACAACAGAATTGAATTTTTCAAGTAAAATTTACATCAGAAACTGCTAAAACATTGATAAAATGTATTTTATAATATATATTTAGCATTGACCCAGATCCAACAATTAGAACATCCTTCTGGTCCATTTGTTTTGTTATGCCACTTCTATGGGTAAGCCTTGCATCTTTGCAACCAACTGTTCAACGCTATTCAGCTTTAACTTCAATAAAGCAAGCACAATAGTAGGAGGATCTTTACAATTTGTCTTTCATTAATTTTAAAAACTATTCGGATTTAGTTCATTATATCTAAGCATTCCTGGGTTTGGCCTTATCACTATGTCGAGTACTTTATGCGGTTTGGCCGCTTTCGCTTTCTATGCAAAGAAAGGTTGTGATCCGATTGGAGCAAGAATGATCTATGATCCTAATCAGGTTTGCTCATTCTTTCTGTAAAATCATTCAACTATCTATTTCATTTTCAACTTTTCATTCTCCTAGATATTACCTTTGTTTGTTATGGAATTAATGGGTTACAGTGGAATACCAGGGCTGTTTGTTGCTTGTCTGTTTAGCGCATCGTTAAGGTAAGTGAAAACTTAATAGAAATTGAAATGGCCTATAAATAATTACAAAACTATCCAATATAGTACATTGTCGTCTACATTAAACGCTTTGGCAGCGGTTTTCTGGGATAGCATAATAGCCCAAAGATATCCGAATATGAAAGAAAGTACAGCAGCCAATTTAAATAAATTAATCGGTAATATATGATATAATTCTTCAAGCAGGATGCCATAAATGTAAATTTTCATTGTAGTTGGCCTCTTTGGATTGACTGTGTTGGGTTTTGCAATCGGCTTTCAGTATATCAAAGGAACTCTTATTGAAGTATAGCATAATGAAATTTTATTCAGATTTTACTAGAAATACTTCACAATTGTGTATGTGTATGTTTTTTTTTCCATATTGTTGATAGATATTCTTCAGTGTTATCGGCTCTGTATCAGGACCAGTTTGCGCTTGCCTCTTATCTTCGGCTTCATTTCCTTGGATCTCATCTACGGTTTTTAGACATTCTCTATTCTATTCTTTTAAATTTATTATAACTTCTCATCATTCCTTATTTAGGCAATTTTTATTAGTTTTGTTGTTTCTTTCCTCTTTGTTTTCTGGATGAATATTGGTTCTATGATATATAAGTTTACAACTGATAGAAGACCTTCACCTATTTTTAACTGCCCAATGGTACATATCATACAAGAATGTATGTCAGTTCCTGGTATATCAGCAAATATGTTGAATGGAACTATTTATAAAGAGCAAACTTTTAATTCAATTCCGTCCTCAAATGTCAATACAACTTTAGAGTATTGTACGAATTTCATGAAAAGATTACCACCAGCAATACCTCAAAATAAGCCGTACGTTATTTAAAAATTTCACTAGTAAAAAGTTCTGTCATTTACTAATTATAATAAATAGAGAGGGATTTGAGAACTTTTATGCTGTAACATATTTATATTATCCTGCTATTGGAATCGCAATATGCATCACCCTGAGTTGTTTGTTGAGTTTAATTCCAGGTATTCAGGGCAATTAGTTATAATATTGTTAATTGTATTGATCTTGATTTTTTTCTTAGCTCTAAAGTGTCAACACTACGTTAAAGATCGCTATCTATTCGAACATGCAAGAGCCATTCGAAGATTTTGTAATAAATATCGAACGGGCAAAGAGTATCCATACGGCTCAAGAGATTTTTTCGACGAAAAAGGTCACGTGATAATAAATGAAAGCGAACTTCATGAAAAGGTTTTTCTACTCATAATTCAATAACAAAAAATTCAAAATAACAACAATTTAATTATTCATTTTATTTTTTTTTAGTTTCTTAAGAAACAGAAGACTGCTGATATAAATAAAACCCATTTTTTGTCCTGATAACGATTATAGAGATTATCAATTATCTTCTTGACAGTAACATTCAAAAAGTAATTTATAGCTGTTTCTTTTTACATAAAATATGTAGTATAGATGTAAAGTTTTATTAAATCTTTATTAGAGTGCATCTTTGAACGGAAAGCCTATTCCTGTATATATATATATATATATATATATATACATATAGTATATAATCAGGTGATGATGATTCGATGTATAATTTGATAAAGATTCTATTTAAATAAATAAAACTGTAAAGACATATTTATCATGTTGTTTATTAAATCAAGCAGAAGATATGATATAAATCAAATATATGGAGACTGCTTGCTACAGTATATCGTTTTCAACTAAATCTCTTTCAAAACAACAGATGAGTAATTGTTTTGTGTACTTGTCATTTCAAAATATCGAAAATAAAAGAAGAGCTTTGACCTCATTAACTAAAAATAATTTCTAGTAGTTTTACAAACTACCTCTAATTGTTATAGTTTTTCGAAAACAGCTAGGTCTTTCACATTTCACTGTTAATATATAAGACTATTCGTACAGAGTCGAACAATGTATCAGGGATCTTATAGCTATGATAGGATCTTGTCGTAGAGGCTTGTAAAAAAACATAATGTACATTGCAAAACATTTAGATACTTCAAGTGAATTAAATGAGATATAAGTGTTTTGGCCTTTCAAAGACTTTTATATTATTAATAGAAAATAGAATGTTTGTAAAATAGGGTGTATAAAAATACTAAAATTGTAATAAAGATCTCATCTTTCAATAGACGTCCTACTTTGGGCAATAGTTGATGATGATCATAATAATAAAGGTAAATTTATAAATTAAAATTTTACAGATATAAGTACATCCTGAATTTTTACTATTATTCATTATAAGTAGTATTAAAAAGTAGCTCGACTACTTTCTCTTTCTAATAGTCTAAATATCTCTGTGCTTTCCAAGTTCATTGTGCTTTATCAAATAAAACTTAATTACTGTTTATTATCATATAACATTACAAACTAAATAGAATACTCTAACGGTTAAAGACAATAAAAAGATTTATAAAATTGTCCTCTCAAAAAAGCATCCGTATTAGAAAACATTTTATTACCTATTTCTCTCCAAATATTTAATAGAACAAAAAAAAAGAGCATTGACTCATTTTAATTAACATTTTTTTATAATTTTACAACACTTCTATCAAGTTCTGTGCGTTTCCTGTTTATCAAGTTTTGCAGTTTGACGTTCGGTAGTAAATCATTCATTTCAACGCATTTATTTGTACAACCCGAAACCGGACATTGTGTTGCCTTACCTTTCCGAGTATTCAAGTAACTTGTTATTCCATTTAAATCGTACGAATGTTTACATTTTTTGTTCAACATAGCTTCTTTCATTACAACTTGCGTGATGGGACATTTTACGCTGACTTTTTCCGATGCTACAATCACATCTTCATCTTCGTCACAGTCTTTTGATTCAATACTAGTATTAGCTGAACTTTCGTTGAGAATTTGGGTAATAAAGTCATTGTGAACTTGCGACTGATTAGGAAAATGTTGAAAAGTTGTTGATTGTACTGGTTGATTAGTAACACGAGCAAAACCGCTCGAAGTGGGATTACTATTTGTTGAAACAGATGGCATTATGTTGATAATTGGAGTTGATACTGGAGATCCATAAGAGGGTGATAAATTCAAGATTTCGTCGATTATTTCTGCAGCGTTAGAACTTGATTGCCTGTACTGATTTTTTTCAGGTGTATATGAGGTTGTTGATGTTGGTGCTCTTGTTGATGCCGTTGATACTGTTGTTATGACTGGACTTATGGTTATCGTTGCTCCTGTTATTGTTGATAATGCTGTAGGTGTTAAAGAGAAGGTGGGGAAGTATTTATTGAAACGTTCAATGTGAGACGGATGTAGAGACTTTTTCAAGAGATTTTGAATAGTATTCTTGTCAACCTCTTCGAACATAGACGCAAAAGGTGATCGTTGGCATAGTTGATGGGTATATCCTTGTAAAAGAATTTTACTTTGAACGTCGAGTCTGTGTAGAACTAATGTTATAACACTAGAGTTTATATGATTATCACTGAGAGAAGCTTTCATCTCCCTTATGGCACTAGGCATAACGTAGAACAGGAGAACACCAGTGCTATTGGAACAAGAGTGGAAAACAATTTTCACAATATCCTCTGCATCCAAGTCATATTGGTAAATATTTGGTCTCGTTTGTTTTTTCACTCTAAATGAAACCTGTTTATCGAATATTTTCACTGAACTTGATAGTATTTGATTTCCCAGCCACATTTCTTTTATCTGTCAACAATCCCAGTTGTTCAAGTGATTTGACTGATGAAATATCAACTTACATGAAGACGACAAGAGTTGACACTCTGAGATGCTTGAATGGCTTGATCCCGTTTTCCATTACAATTTCTGCTAATATTAGATTCTTCTTGACTTGTTGGAGGTGTTCGCATTTCGACAGATGAAAATGGCTGACTATAGATAATGAAAATTATATTTGAAATGCAAGTATGTCATTTTTGAAAAACTTTTTCACCTGTCAACAATTTGATGTGAGGGAGATGAATGTGGTTGATCAATAACTTGCATAGAAGAATTTGAGCTTTAAAAGTAGAAATATTTATAAGTTTTGGGGATCAGCTACTTTGAAATTGTATTATATTTTGTTTACTTTGTCCTCATCCTTTTTCTCGGATTTTCATCTCGTGATTGGTTAGTTAAGATCTTTTGGAACTCTTTTTCAAAGAAATGTAAGGTTCTACTTGCGGCTATTCCATCCTATTAAATAAAATTATGATATTTTAAAAGAATATGTTGAAGTTTATTACTTGATCTGATGACGAAAAGAATGAAATAGCATGATTTAAGAAAACTCGAACATCTTGACCGACTTGAAGTGAGTGTACATACTCTCCACAAGCTATTTTCCTCTTTATTTTAAATAGAGATGGTTCACATTGCATCCCTTGTTGAGATAAATAGTCATAAAATTTCGCTTGAGCTGCCGTTTTAGCTTTGTATCTGCCTCTAAAGCAAGCGGCATCTTCTAATTTAAGCATATCTTCCAGTAGTTTTGTGCAAGATTCTTTCCATTCTGGTCTGGAAAATAAATGAATTAAAAACAATTAAAATAATGGAAACTAAAACTCACGAGGAATCATTCATTTCGAAACAACTTCTACTAAAAATGTTGATTATCGCTCAAAACAGGGGACATAAAAGGAAAATATTTCTAATTTGACGAAGGTGTCCACATATATAGTGTGGTATGAGCTCCGCCCACAATTTTTTAATATATAATAACTAAAAGAACAAACCGTTTTTGATAGGTAATGGGTCCATACTTAACAGAAATCACCCGAACAGAAAGCAGCAAAAGTTAAAAAATTCGGCTTTATTTTCATCGAATAAAGTACTGTTTCCTTTAGTTTGGTTGATTTTTATATAATAGATCTATAGGCCATTTATTATTATTATTATTAGAATATAGATCGTTATTCGTATGTTTTACCTATGGAAAAGAGTAGTAATTACATTCGTTATGACTAAGGTTTTACTTTTCATTTTACAGTGAGTACCGCTGGCGGAAAAGTCGATTTGAAAATAGTTTTATTGGGAAAGGAAAATAGTGGAAAAACAAGTTTAGTAGAGAGATACGTGTATGATAGATTCGCTCCCAAGTATCAAAGTGTAAGAGAAAAAATTTATATGTTTTACGTCATAATATTAATTAATCCAAATTATTATCTAAAGACAATTGGTGCAGCTTTTGGAGCAAAAAAGATAACTCCTAAAGGTAGTTCGAAGGCGTATGTAGCAGGCATATGGGTAAAAAGATAATAGTACTGATAAATTAAATGATAATAATAGATCTGTGAAACAGGATACTGCTGGTGCTGAGCGATATGAAGCAATGAGTAGGATATATTATAGAGGAGCCAGAGCAGCAATTGTATGCTACGATATTACTGACGATACGAGCTTCGATAGAGTATGACAATTAAATAATATATCAACTGTTTTCTATAGTATTGAAAAATTATTCGCTAATCCTTCAAGGTTAAGCACTGGGTTAGAGAATTAAGAAAAAATGAAGAGAATTGTCTAGTATATTTATGCGGTTGCAAAAAAGATCTTGTTCACGAAAATAAACAAATAAGAAAAGTTGATTATCACGACGTAAACGATTATGCAGATGACATTAAAGCAAAACTCTTCGAAACTTCAAGCTTATTAAACGATGGAGTAGGTGAGTTAGATTTATTGGGGATTTTCGTACTTTCTCTTAATAAAATAATCGTATATATGTATAAATTTACGTTTATATACATAATATATTATGTACATATTCCGTATTTACATGCTTGAACAGCTGACGTATTTCAAACAATCGTCAATGACTACTACGAAGATGAAACGAAAATGTCAGCTAAAAATGGAGGAAACGGTATATAATTTGTATTATTTCCTAATAGTTTAACTGTTTTATTAAATTGTAAAATATTTCGACGACAGATCCAACGAATACCTCAAGTGTGTCACTAAGATTAACGGGGAAACGATCGTTTTGTTGTTTCAATAGGTAAACGTTTCTAAAGTTTACCTAAGAATTATTAAGCTTTATACAATTAAGACACTTGATTCAATTATATACTGTAAACTGTAAAAAAAAAGTATTTCCTACAAAGAAGAGGAAAATTATTAATAATTCTGCATATTCCCCTGGAGAGATTCTATGTTATAAGGAATAAAAGATGTACTGTATATTGTATATAGAATTTTTAAAAAATTTCTCTCAAGAGAAAAAATACACGAAAATAATCGCAACTTGATTTTTGTTGAACATTTACCTAACCAACAAAACATATATATAACAAACTTAAAATTGGATAGAATATAGACTTCGTTAACAGACTTTATGTTAAATGAAACGGAGAAACTGTTGTATAATTTACTAAATTTATGAACTATAATGAAATTTTGATATCAAGTTGAATTGTTGTCATTGTCTAGTTGTTTGTTCTTGTCTGATCGCTTTTTCTGGCGTTCTTGTTTTAGAGATCCTCTACGAAATTTATTAAGGCTAAACATTCTTTTCATACCGGAAAGTGATGCTTTCCTTGTGGAGAAACCTAATGTCACTCTGGATGATGATATTGGACTTCTCCGTCGAACGGATAATGTACCCCAATCGTGGTCTGTTCCACTTACAGGGCTTCGTGAAGGAGGTTTTGCGGCTAGTTCTCTGGCAGAACAGTCAGGCATATTAAGTACAGGCGTTGTTTCGTGAAAGCTCGAATAGTCAATTTTATATTTTCCATTATCCTTCTGATAAGTTATTAGTGGAGATAGACGATGAGCCCAAAGAATCTCACACGGTAGGTAAGACGTTCTTACCTGAGTGACCATACCGGAGGACTCAATAGTTCCTTCGAGTATTACTATTAATTCAAAAGATTCAGAGAATAAACTATCAGCACTAACATCAAATAGAGGAGATTCAGAGTTAATTTTATGCACAACAGTTGATGGCCAGGCTAAGAATACCTCGTTATCATCTGATTTTTCATTATGCACCTTTATCGTTTGCTGATAGAGAGGAAGCGTTTCTCCTTCCCTTGTCATTTTATTTTTAACTATTATAGCTCGAACTGTAACGGCAACTAATTGAGAATGTCTCATATCTCCGACTCTAAAAACCAAACAGTATTCACCGTCACGTATGCAAATTACAGCATTTTTTGAGAACATAATTGTTTCACCTCGTCTCCTTGGTCTTGATAATTTTGCAAATATCAAGCCAGTGAGCAGTGATTGAATGAGTAGCCCGAAACATGTCTGACAGCATAATAGGAAGATAGCGATTTTGCACCTTGTATTGATAACTCGCCTCCCGTAGCCGATTGTGTGCTGAGTTTCTATAGAAAAAAGGAAGGAAGAGGCGAAGTCATTGACGTATTGAACACAGGCATAATCTAATTCCGCTTCATCTTCGAATAGTCTAGCGGTGTCTTCGTTCCACCAGCAGATGAGATACCAGGCAACGGCGAATAATAGGAATGACATAATAAATATGAATACGCCCAAAAGTAATGTATAACTCCATTGAAGATCTAGTAGAGTTGTAAATAGGTCTAACATAAATCGACGTCGCCTTTGGGAGACATTTGTAAAAGTTAGATTAGTTTCTCCTGACTTATGCACTAGTCGGCGCTGATGTCTTTGTGCCCATAATCTCCCTCTTTTTACTAATGAGTTGACGTCTGTGTTCTGTTTAGGACAACCATCGTCATCCTCATTTGGCACTGAGTTATAACGTCTAATTTGAAAGCGGTCTGTATCAATGGGTAAAGGTTTACTATCGCATATGGGCATAGATGCTTTTCTATCGTATATTCTCGTTGGAATTTTGGGTGGTCGTAGTTGAAGAGGAGGGGTGGGAGAACTTCTTTTAATATCAACTTCTGGTGCTCTTTGTAGATCTTCGGGGGCGCTGGGAGCTTTACCGAGAGCAACATTTTCTTCGACGGTTAACGGAAGAAGACTTCCCACCTTTTGTTTAAAGAAAAGTACAACTATAAGTTGAAAGAACAATATTACTTTCAATAAACGAAAAAAAAAAAAACAATTAAGTATCGATAGATGTGCCTAATTTTGAAAAAAGGAATAAGCTTCTACCCAAAAATCTTCAGCACTCCTGGATACTCTCCTCCTAAGAATGTGACGCTTGCATCTTGTCTTCGCCCTGTTCTCTATCGAATACCTAGCAGCTGAACTATACATCTAAGGGATCCAAGACGGTAAAAAAGTTTGCGGTGTTTACTGCCGCATCGAACGTTTCACCCGTATGCGCGCGTCTGTGTGTGTGTGTGTGCATTTTATTCGCAGGAGGCGCGAATCCGGGTTAGGTTCGTTAACCGATGATCGATTTCTTCTTCCTAATCGATTAATTATCTTAGGTTTGCCCCTCTAGAATTCTATCAATCTTGCTATCCGCTGATAAGGGCTATCAGTTAACTAAGTTTGTATGATCCGAACCCCTTTAGTTTCGCTAGTCTCTAGAGTAACCCGTAATGACGTCTGACGTCACTGCTTCTGTATACACTTCTATTGCCATCTAAAAGCTTTTCCATAATATATTAATAAACGATTTGGAAACAGTATTTTTTAATAGTTCTGTTTCGAGTAATATAGCTATTTCATCCTTATCGTTGTTGTTAATAATTCCCAAAAGAATCGTTAAATCATTACGTTTACACGGTCAGGCCTTACTATATTGAATGTAGCCTACGAGGGGGCGTTTCTTATTTATAAATGAGACAACATTATACAGAGAAGAACTAATTAAGAACATAAATACATATTCATATTAAGAATCGGCTATCTTACTCTTTTTCCTTCTATTTCCATTACTCTTTCTCTTTCTCTTTCGTCTTCTATTCCTTTTCAACAGATGGCCGATTTAAAATCGAATCGAATTTTTTTTTTATAGTAAGACGACCGTTAAAATATAGAAAGAAGTAATTTTTTTCCAATAAAAAATATCCACTATAATACTGATTGCGTTATATTTATCTAGCACTCGTTATTTATACTACCCCAACGATTTAGAACTACCTTTAGCTGAGAAGGCTAAGGATATTAATTTTCTACGTCCAAAGTATTGTATTCTCTCTTTCTTTCTCATTCTCTTTCTCTCCCGCTCAAATGATTAATATATATATATATATATATATATATAAACTAAAAATGTCCATAAATAGAAAATATATCAATGAATATTAAATAAATCTGGCATAATTCAAGTATATAAAGAATTTGGATTTGGTCTTACTAAAGTAAACACTCAACCAATAAGTTAGAATTCTTTATAATGGCTAGTTAAAGTAGGATGGTAAGGATGAAAGATATTTTTTGCGTAGGAAGACATCTGTGCTTTTATTTGCAATACCAACAAAGTCGGTTGAGGCTTTTTTTATCCGAAGTGATCCTGGATTCAAAATATTGCGCCATCTATTGGATGCAAACGAGATTTTCAACGTTGATAGTTCTTTCATTCATCGCAAATAGAAAATAGAACTAAAAACCTCTCAAGAGGTGTTTAACAAGCTAGGCCAATGACCGAACACTAGCCATGTATGAACATACTATTTATATATACAGTATACTGTATAAATATATATATATATAATACTCTATTTTTTCTTCACATATTTATACTATATGTTTGAATATAACAGTAATAGCCTGATTTACCAAAAATTCCTCTTGATAGACCTATCACAAAGATCCTTTTGTTGTTCTATAAAACTAACTATTCTTTAAAAACCAATACAATTTCAATGATATAATACTATATAGTAAACTTTATTTCCCTATATAAAAACAACTAAGGTTACTTAGATAACGGTTTGTCTATAATTATTTCCGTATGCTAATAGGTGAGAAAAGATTCAAAAATAACCATTTTCTTATATGAAGAGAGAATTGGAGCGGGAGAAAATATTTTTTATGGGTATTTTCGCTCCTGCTCTTTATCATGACCTTTATATTTCTCTTTTTTTTAGTTTAAAAAAAAGTTCAACTGACCTCTTCACTATCTGCAATTTCGGTAGCTTTTTGCCTTACTAATGCTCTTTGTTTTCGTCTTGGACTATGAAGATAACCATTTGAAACTTTTCTACATCTTCCACCGTCCGACGTAAAGTTCAAGTCGCCAGTCTGCATGTTCGAACTTTGCTTGAACACAAAGAACTTGAGATTATTGATTTATCCTCATTCTCCTGCCCGATATATACTTATATGCATACTCTCTATACAGTGAAAATCTAAATATAAATGAACACTGAACAGTTCACAATAAACTTGTACACTTTCCGATAAAATTATGGGTACGGTCTGTCTACTAGGTAAAACTCCTAAATCAGCTAATTTTTAAGATCCTGAGAAGATATCGACCAATATTTATTTCGATAGTTTTGTACAGCTAAAAAAAACAGACAGGCCTACAAGTATGATTCGCTCTCGCCTCAATCCATCAGTTCGGGAAGAGAGAGAAGGGCGCCGAGAAAACTTTGTAGATTTGTTTACACACCAGTATATTTAGAGAAATTAGGCCTGTAAAAATTTGTTGAAAGAAGCCACTTATCGGCTAGGAGTGAACACGAAAAGGAAAATATTCACTTACCAAGCGCTATGTATTTACACTCTTGAATGTATCTAGGTATTGTTGATAGAATATATAATATCATCTATTGTAATCACAAGATAAGAATTCGATAAAGGATTAAAATTTGGAAAAGAAAAAAAAGTAGGAAGTTGATGTTCGTATAACACGTGTGTACATAGACAAAGATGGTGAAGAGCGTATATAGTGGCGCCATTTTCTATAATTATTTCTCTTATACCATAATAGTTTAAAATCGGATTAATTTCTCTTTGATATTAATAATTTCTGAACAATTGAACAATAGTATCGTTAAATATCTCATTATGAACACAAATACTGTTTTATATATAGTTCTTTCGGGGGCGTCTCTATTCTCCTGTTGAGATGAGAGATTTTTATTTACTTAAATCTTAGCAGGAAGTTTTCAGTTCGTTTTACAAGTGGACTACCGGATGGATGTACTCAGTAACCTTTATTATAGTTTTATATAATTAACGCTGAATAACCTCCGGAGAAAACAAACCAAACGCTTTCAATTAGCTTTTAAACGTTACGTAAAAGTAAAGTAAAAATATAAACTAGGGAAGATAAACATTGAAGAAAAAAACAACAAAAATAACAACATTTTCTTGTTATTTGCTTAATTATATATAAATATATAAATATATATATATATATCACAATTACAGATACTGTATACACTTTTAATGATTTATTAGTAATAATGAAATATCTAATATCCTTATATATCACTTATAAAAATTAATAATTATAAAAAAATAACAAATGAATTCGAGATGGAAAGAGAGAGAATGAGAAAGTTATTTTCTGTTTTTTCTTTCTTTTCTTTTTTTATTTAGATTCTGTTTATACAAACTTTTTTTTCTTTTTTTTTATGGTTTTATTTAGAATAATAGTTTGTCGTTCGTGACGTCAATGCAGAAAAGTATTTGCTTGTTGTTTGTTCTTACTAAATCCTTGTGAATAACTAAAGATTCAATTTAATATGAGCAACACAAAACTTATTGAACTGGTAATACTGTCCTCAAAGTTCTAGATTTTATGTTGTAGTGTGTTCCAGATATATTAAAGGAAAGAGTTGTTAGCCTAATTGTAGCCTATGTATTAAATAACTCGTATCGTTGAAAATCAAAAATTTGAAAAGAGTATTTTAGTTAATTTTAGTAAAAATAATAAAAAAAACGAAAAAGAGAAAGAAATTATAATGAAAATAACAAATTCTATTATGAATACTCAATTAAAAGTTGGAAAGCAGGAAGTTCCCGTTACGCAATCATACCTAATTCAGGCTCAGGATTTATACGATCAATTGGATGAAACCTCTAATCAATTAAAATCTAGAAAAGACGATAGAAGATGCCGTAAATCTGGCAATGATGGGCATGGTACTATATCTCCTGTAAAGTCTGTAGTTACTGTTAAAAGTAATAGCGATGATTCATTAACTAGATCAAGCAGCAAGGAAAAGATTAGTAAACCAACTAACACAAATGCCGTATTGTTAGCAAATATACGTTATAAAGAAAAAATCAGAAGAGAGAATCCCTTCCTAATTGATTATGATGTAGATAAAGAATACGAAGAGAAAACAGAATATCTTCTAAATAAAGTTCGAATAAAATCGGGAAGAGTAATCGGTCCCACCCCTAATTATTCAGATCTAAATCTTCGCGATATGAGTAGTTATGTATACGGTAATGAATATGGCAAATTATTTCAACTCGTTTCCTTAAAAGAACAAAAGAGAATCATCTTAAAGGCAATTACTCAAGCAAGGAAGATTTCGCGTAGGCCAAGTATTGGTATTCGATATATTGATTATGAAAATACGTCCAAATGTAATAAGATAGCTTCAGTTTTTATTCTATGTAAATTTACATCCACATTAATAATACTTACTTTCTTTCGCGTAGGTGAAGATAATGATGTAAAAGATGACGAATATGCGTTACAATCCAATAATAAATCGGTTGATATAAAAAGCTCCAAACTATCCCTTATTAAACACCAAACACCAGAGAAAAATAGAGAAATTTTAAAGAATTTATCCAATTTGTTTACAAATAGAGCAATTTATCAAAAGTTCTTATCGAAAGCTGTTCTCTCAATCCAACAAAAATTTATAAGGATACTTACATCTAAAAAATTCTTATATAAGCATTTGAAAGATATTTTAAAAGCTGACAAGGGAAAGATAAAATGAAAAAGTTTGTAATTAAAGATAGTCCGTCTTTTTTTTATTCTTCTTCCTATTTTTATGTCTGAGTCTTTCTCTATATATTCATAAAATCAGCCTGTTATGAGAATAGACGCTGCTGTTAAGAATAAACTGATGAATATATCTTGATTTTGTTTTCGATATTGATTATATAAAAAGGCTGCTAAAACGCTTTTCTGTTCTAAGTAAAATGATTACTATCATTAATTCATGAAAACATCATTAGTAACATTCAAGTCTACATCCTTGTTATCCATAAACAATAACATTCGATCACGCTTGTTATCTATTCGCTAATGTTTATTTAAAATATTAATATTATCAGTTTTTTTGTTTATTCAAACGAGTTCTATAAATTATAAATACTTTGGGAAATATTAGTATTTTTCTTTTATCAAACTTGATTCTAAATAATGGACAATTTATTGAACGTAAAAAAAAGGATATTAGATTAGGTTTTGAGAATAAATTCTATCTTTTTTTGTTTTGTATAATATTCTATAATTTAAAAGTTTTATTGAACATTTTCTTTTCTCTTTCTTTCTTAATTATTCAAGGCAGTTACTTACTCTCCGAAATAAAACTTTTTGTCCTGCTAAAGTATCGAATCAAAAATGAAAACTGGTATATATAGTTCTTGTCTTTTTTACCAATTTAAATTATTTTCTTATTGTAAAATAATGAATATTGTATCTTATAGTTCTTCATCATCTGAAGAAGATAATCAAAAAGATGAAACTAAAGTTGAAGAAAGTAAAGTGATTATTAAACATTCTCAAAAACTTACGGTTAACCCAAATCCTGAATATAAGCAAGCGAAAATACACCTTTTATCGCCCGCCGAAAACTATGCAACAGAAAAAGTCTCATCAAGTAAAATTGACTTACCTAATTCGTCATTCTGGAAAGGTGAAGACAGCCCAAGTAAACACAAAAGTGTGGAAAAAACGTCAAATATTGAACCAAAACGTATGAGAATGGATAAATTTGACGGAGGTTTGGAATACATTTTATATAAAAGTTTAAATTATCTTAAACTACTAATACACTTTATTAATATAATAGGGTCTGTCGACGTAACAAAAATCTACTTTAAAAAAGCTGAAAAACTAAAACAAAACTGCTTTTATGTTCATTCTCGAGTGTCGCCAGCTTTATATAACAAAACCGAACATTGTCTTCCCCGCTCTAAAGTATTCAACTTGAAAATTCATGATGGTGCCGTAAATAGAATTCTATGGAATATTCGAGATGAATATTCTCACCTACTAACAACATGTTCAATGGATAAAAGTATTAAAGTATGGTGCACTTTCGATCCAAACGAGAGGAAACTAGTTCAATGTTTTTCCGACCACTCAAAAGCCGTCAAAGATGTTATTTGGAGTAAATGTGGTAGAAAGTTATTTAGTTGCAGTTATGATAAAAGCGTTCATATTTATGATGTTGAAAAAGGTATCAGTTTAATAGTTTACTATAAAATAAGTCTGGATAATAAATTACAAGAATTTTTATAATAAAGGTCAGCTAACAAACGAATATAAAGACTTGGGCGATTTTATTACTTGCATTGAACATCATCCAGTTATGCCAAATACTTTCATATGTGGAAGTAAGAATTGTATATTAGCATTCGACACTAGAATTGGCTCGAAATACGTTAAAAAATTTACATATAAAGCTCATTTCGGTCAAGTTGGTAGCATATTCCCTTTTAATTCAAAACGTAGTCATTTATGTTTCGTTTCGGTTTTAGACTCAAGATGTTTCTTTTAGGGAAGATGGAAAGGCTTTCTTCTCCTGTAACGATATTGTTTCTAGAGAAATGTCAGATAGAAATATAATGGCATGGGACTTTGATTCTACAGCAGTTACTTCAAACCAAATATACCAAGTACAAAAGGATTGTTAACTCTTCAATTTATGTATAGTTATTTTTCTTCTTTCTTTAGGAACCATACAAGTGTACTAGATTAAAAGTTTGGGAAGAGAAAAATATTCTGTTGGCTCAAAGTCAGGGTAATTACATCGCATGCTTTGATCTTCAACCTCCATTTAAGATGAATAAAAGAATTAGATTTAAAGAACATAAGGTAAATTCATTGCGTGTTTTCAATTTTCGCTGAATCGCTTTCATCGATCTATTTAGGTGAACGGTTATAGTATAGGCATGGATTACGTAGGTGAATACGTCATTAGCGGAAGTTGCGACGGCAGTGTTTACATTTATGACTTCTTTACTGGAAAGTCAATAAAGAAAATGAATTTGGGTGATACTTGTATTTGCCTGGACGTTATTCATCATCCCGTTCTGAGAGGACTTATCACAACAGGGACGTGGAATGGTCGATTAGTTTGTTGGAATTAGAAGAGAAGGCATACTAGATGGATCTGTCAAGAAGTGATAAGAAGTTTTTGGTGATCTAATAAATCATTCGCCAATTTAGATTTTATCTTTGTAAATGCATTTATCAATTTGTAATCGATTAATACTTTTTATACAATTGGTAATTTATATTGAAATCCGCCTAAAATATGTCAAAACATATATTGAATAAGTCCTTAAAGTGTGTTTGATGAGGATGAAAAATTGGCGAAAGTATACTCTTATTTCGTTTACATCTTCTAGTTTCAGTCCATTATGGGTTGCAGGCAGTACGGACGTAAACGGTGGACGAGTAACGAATCCATCACATCTGATTTGATCCATTTGTCGGCGTTTCGGTTGTAGATAGTAATGAATTTATCAAGAGGCAATTTGACTTGTGTTTAAGGTCAAGACCTTGATGATTACTGATTAGTGACAAAATCGTCAGAGGGAAAATATCAGAGACAACAGTAATTATTAAAGGTGTCTTTGACCTTTTATCTGTATTCAAACGCCGTAAACCCTCACATTCTCAGTCATATTTAATCTTCTAAGAAGAAATAGTTTCCTGCCTTCTTTTGCTCAGAGTCCTGTTGAAACAAGAATAGGCTTGTTAATTACAAAATTACCAAATATTAAGTTAGCTTAGTGCAAAAAATTTAACAATCAGATTAAAAGTGATCCGCATGATTTATAGGAATGTGAACAGCAGAAAGTGTTTCATCATATTTCTATTAAATTTTTTTTAAAGAATTATTGACAATTTCTCACCTTAACCGAGTTTAATTTGTTGATTCTTGGTCTGAAGTTATTTGGGTCTCTTCGGAATGTGATATCCAAAGATTCCAAAAATTTATTCATTCCATTTAACAATGACTGTGGCCTTTGGAAAAAATTTACATTATAAATGTTCGTGCAACTAAAAAGTAAAAACTTACTTATTAGCTTTTGTTTGAACTGACGGCTTTCCTTCAAACACTATTACTTTGTCTGCTAAATAAGTTGCCATTATAAAATCATGCTCCACTATGAAAGCTGTCTTTTTAGCATGTAGGATGAATCGTTTGATTACTTTAGCTGCATGTAAACGTTGTTCTGAGTCCAAGTAAGCTGAAGGCTCATCAATTAAATAAACATCGGCTGGTTTACCAAGGCACAATGTGATAGCAACTCTTTGCAATTCACCACCAGATAAATTTTGTACTTCTTGGTCCATCAATTGTTCTATAAGCAGCGGTTTCATGACATCAGCAACGAACTGAGGATGTACATATGCGTCACGAATTTTTTCATGCAACAATTGTCTAACAGTTCCTTGAGATTTGGGACTGATCTTCTGAGGCTTATAACTGACGTTTAACGTTGGTGCTTTATCTCCACTATCAGGTTCCAGTCTTCCGGCCAACATTCGAATAAAAGTAGTTTTCCCAGTTCCATTTTCACCCAACATGACAACAATTTCAGAATCAGTAAATGCACCTCTAGCGATATCTAACTCAAAGCCTCCCATTTTCTTCTGCATATTGCCATAGTCGTATCTGCACATTCTCTTTATTTCTTCTTCCGTTGCAGTTTCTGCTACTTTGAATATAAGAGAAGTGTCTCTAAATCGCAAATTTTCTGTTGGCACGAAACCGTCAAGAAAGATATTTATTCCTTCCCGAACACTGAAAGGCATAGTAACCACTCCATAAGCTCCAGGAACACCATATAAACAGCAAATAAAATCAGATAAATAGTCTAATACAGATAAATCGTGTTCGACAACGATGACATAGCGATTAGCTTCTATCAAATTCCTAATTGCAAGAGCAGCTTTTAAACGCTGTTTAACGTCCAAGTAGGAGGAAGGTTCATCAAACATGAATCTACAATAGAAAAAATTTTAGCCGTTATAAAATTCAAGCTAAAACAATGTGACTTACATATCAGCACGTTGAATGCAAACCATGGCACAAGCAAACCTCTGCAGTTCTCCTCCAGATAAATCTTTTATTTCTCGGTCTCTAACATTCATCAAATCTGAATAGGATAGCACAAAAGTAAAATGGCGACTAATATTTCATTCATTTTTATTACCTAGAGTTGTGCAAACTCTTTCTTGATTATTCATTTCGTCTTTTTTATTTAATAAATCTTGAACTGTTCCCTTAACAGCTTTCGGAATTTGATCTACGTATTGAGGTTTAATGATGGCTTTTAAATCGTCCTCTAGAATTTTTGTGAAATAATTTTGCAATTCAGAGCCTCGGAAGTAAGTTACAACTTCCGTCCAGTCGGGTGGATTCTATAAAACATTCCCAAGTAATAACTCAATAGCAAAATTAGTTGATTCTTACAGAGAATTTTCCTAAATTTGGTTTGAGCTTTCCAGCTAGGATTTTTAATGCCGTTGACTTTCCGATACCATTAGTTCCCACAAGACCAAGAACTTCCCCTGGTCTTGGTATGGGCAATCTGTAAGATAACAGAGCAGTTTAAAAGTTTGTCTTTACTGGTAACATTAAGATGGTAAATTAAATTAAGTTCAGAACTTCTTAGAGAAACAATCATAGAAGTTTGGTGTCATGAAAAAAGTGTTCATCCTATAAATACTTCAAATATTCTACAAGACTCAATTTATCAACTAACCTATGTAGTTTAAATGAGTTGGCATTGTAACGATGCGTTGTCTGTTTTTCCAAATTACTTGGCAAATTTATGATGTTAATTGCTTCGAATGGACACTTTTTCACACAAATACCACAGCCAATGCACAATTCTTCGGAAATCCAGGCAATTTTATCGTTTGTTTCAACTTCTATACAAAGTTTACCTGAAAAATCACCATGTACTTTAAAAACGACTTTTCAGGTGAATTGTAACATACCCATTCGTACTACTGGACAAGATCTTTTACATTCTTGGCGACATTTTTTTGGTTTGCATTTATCATTGCTAACGATAGCAATACGAGTCAATTTGTCCTGTACCGGACCACCTCGGTCTTTTTTACTGTTGGAAAAATCAGCTAAATCTTAACAATTGTATACTCAAGATAAAGCCATATTTCCTTAAGAACAAAAAAACTATACCTCATTTTTCTGCCACGTGGTGATACAAGGATATGCCTGTTGAAAAAAATTCGACCTATGTTAACAAAAAAACTTCTGAATTATTGCACATTTATAGGCAATGACACATATGGTTTATAATATTTGAGAGCATCAAGCTTTTCAATTGATAGAAGGTTCTAAATTTTTCTCTACAGCTATTAAACATTTTCAGCAAGATGTAGGCAGTAAAATTAAGTTTATAAAGATTAAAAGTGAACAAATAATACGAACTTTGCACAAGGCCGATAGCTCAGGAACCACGCGCTGCTAAAAGGAACGACGCATGCGCGTTTATAAAATACTTTCGTAAAAAAATAAATTGAAATTTTCGAAAATTGAAATTATGGTAATTAAATTAAATAACGAAATAGATTAAGTTTTTTTTTACGTAAGTGTGTTTTGGGAGCCATTTTACTAACATGGCGCCTTTCTTATAAATTGATAAACAATTGCGCACTATTTACGACTTTGGTTTTATATATTTAAGTCATAAAGTATGTCTGCCTTGGATTTGGATGATGACTCTTCAATACATCGTTTGGAAGGTTCCCAAGAAAAACAACAAGGAGGTTTGATTGTCATGAAAAAGTAAGTTTTTTGATAATTTGTGTATTAAGTATTTAATTTTTATATATTTTGATTTGAAGTATAGTTAGTTACTTTTCTAAAATGAAATTACTTTGATTATGAAGAGGTCCTGCTCCTGGAACCGATCAGCATCAGTTTAAAATACCGACTGGGCGTCCTAAATCCTCTAATTTTGGTTTGGATGAGCTAGCAAAGAAAAAGAGAAGAGAAAAATATGAGAAAGAACGCTCGGAAAGAAAACGCACTTGGGAAGCCGAATATGACTCTGATCGCCCCAAGTATGACAAGAGTCGACGATCTTCTAGTCGGAGTAGGAGTGGGACCAGTAGCAGTAGCCGAAATGGCAGTAGCAGTAGTAGCGGTAGCAGATATAGGAGTAACGCAACTCCTTTACCGACTCCATCCTATATGTATAATGATTGGATGAAAAATCAAAGAAGAATGAAGGCTACACCTCAGGTTCACTCTGAAAGTAGACTATTTAATCCAGACACTTTATCTCCAGAATCAAAACGGGAGTACGAAGAGGAACAAAAACGATTGGATAGGCAATGGTATTCACTTGATGAAGGTCAAGAAGGCGAAGGCGTTTATGAGAATACAAATGATGAATATATCAAAAAGAAAGAAAAAGAACTAGAGATTAAAAAGCAAAAGAAAATGAGCGCCCAGCAGAAACAGATAGGAAGGGATAATGAAATGTGGGAAGTCAACAGAATGTTGAGGAGTGGAATGGTTCAACAAGTTAGTCTCGAAGAGGATTTTGATGAAAGCGCCGAAGCGCGTGTTCATATTCAAGTTCACAATATCCTGCCTCCATTTTTAGATGGAAGAATTGTATTTACTAAACAACCAGAGCCTGTTATCCCCGTTAAAGACCCTTCCAGCGATATGGCTATTGTTTCTAGGAAAGGTAGTATGTTGGTTCGAAGATGTAGAGAGCAAGCAGAAAGAAAAAAAGGTCAAAAAAAGCATTGGGAATTGGCTGGTACAAAACTTGGTGATATTATGGGTATAAAAAAAGAAGAAGAAAGGGATACAGGACCGGAAACAGCTGAAGGAGAGGCTGATTTTAAAGCTGGACAAAGATTTGCAGATCATATGAGTAAGAAAACAGATGCAGTAAGTGAGTTTGCCCTTAAGAAAAGTATGAAGCAACAAAGACAATATTTACCTATCTTCGCCGTTCGTGAGGAACTTCTAAATATTGTTAGGGATAATAATATTGTTATAATAGTTGGAGAGACTGGCTCAGGAAAAACTACCCAATTGACACAATACTTGCACGAAGATGGCTATACATCTAGAGGTATGGTAGGATGTACTCAACCCAGAAGAGTAGCAGCTATGTCTGTATCAAAACGAGTTTCAGAAGAAATGGATTGTGAGTTAGGAAAGCTTGTAGGTTATTCTATTAGATTTGAAGACTGCACGAGTGATAAAACTTTAATCAAATACATGACTGACGGTATTCTATTAAGAGAATCTCTACGAGACAGTGACTTAGATAATTATTCCGCCATAATAATGGACGAAGCTCACGAGAGATCTTTAAATACTGACGTTTTATTTGGTTTACTAAGAGATGTTGTTGCTCGAAGGAATGATTTGAAGCTGATTGTTACATCCGCTACAATGGATGCAACAAAATTCTCGACCTTCTTTGGAAATGTTCCAGTGTTTACAATTCCGGGACGGACGTTTCCAGTTGAAACGTTTTATTCAAAGAATTCGGTTGAAGATTACGTGGAGGCGACTGTAAAGCAGGCTTTACAAGTTCACTTAGGAGGTGCCCCAGGGGATATTCTTGTTTTCATGCCAGGCCAAGAAGACATCGAAGTCACGTGCGAAGTTATCGCAGAACGATTAGGTCAACTAGATGATGCTCCACAACTGGCAATTTTACCTATTTATTCTCAATTACCAAGTGATTTACAAGCTAAAATTTTTCAAAAAGCCCCCGGAAATGTTCGCAAATGCGTAGTTGCAACGAATATCGCCGAAACGTCTTTGACTGTTGACGGAATTCAGATCGTGCTTGACGCCGGCTACTGTAAATTGAAGGTTTATAACCCTAAAATTGGTATGGATGCCCTGCAGATATTTCCTATTTCTCAAGCAAATGCCAATCAACGATCGGGTAGAGCCGGTAGAACCGGTCCAGGCTTATGCTATAGGATGTATACATCTAGACAATACAAAGAAGATTTGCTAACGACGTCTGTTCCTGAAATTCAGAGAACTAATTTGGCTAATGTTGTTTTATTATTAAAATCACTAGGAGTTCAAGATTTATTACAATTTCATTTTATGGATCCACCCCCTGAGGATAATATATTGAATTCTATGTATCAATTATGGGTTTTGGGGGCTCTGGACAATACAGGACAATTAACAGCTTTGGGTAGAACGATGGTGGAATTCCCTCTTGACCCAGCTTTGTCTAAAATGTTGATTGTTAGCGAACAAATGGGATGCTCCAATGAGGTTTTAATAATCGTGTCTATGTTATCTGTGCCAGCTATATTTTTTCGACCTAAGGGAAGGGAAGATGAGGCAGATGCTGCAAGGGAAAAATTTGCAGTACCGGAAAGTGATCATCTAACGTTACTACACGTTTATCAGCAGTGGTCTAAGACGCAATATTCGACAACATGGTGCACTCAACATTTCATCCATGCTAAAGCTATGAGAAAAGTTAGAGAAGTGAGAGCACAATTGAAAGAAATTATCGAACAACAAAAGATGAAACTCATCTCGAGTGGTACAGAATGGGATATTGTCAGAAAATGTATTTGTTCTGCGTATTTTCACCATGCCGCACGCTTAAAAGGAATTGGCGAATACGTGAACTGTAGAACTGGTATGCCTTGCCATTTGCATCCGACTTCAGCTCTTTACGGAATGGGATTTACTCCCGATTACGTCGTATATCACGAATTAATTATGACATCTAAGGAATATATGCAATGCGTTACGGCTGTCGATGGTCATTGGTTGGCAGAACTGGGTCCTATGTTTTATAGTGTAAAGGAAAGCAATGAAACAAGAGTAGATAGAAAGAGGAATGAAATGAAACGTGTTGATACAATGGAAGAGGAAATGGTAAGAGCTCAGGAAAAATTGAAAGCTAGAAAGGAAGAAGAAGAGGCCAACCAGACACCTAATGCCAGAAAAAAGATTGTAACTCCGGGTTTAAAGAGGGCAGGAACTCCCTATATAAAGCCCAAAGGGAAAATTGGATTGTAGTTATACGAAGTTTTTTTTAAGAGAATAAGAGAAAACAAATACAATATGGTTAACTGTACAAATGCTTTCAAAAATTCGACCTTTAATATAATATTCATAACTCTGTTTTCATAAGGATCATCTAATGATTTTATAGATCTTTCCTATTGAACTAGCTTATGAAATTAGCTAGATTGTAAAAAATGCTTATCTTAAACTTGTCTTTGTTCAATAACGAACGAAGAGTAATTAAATATTGCTACCAATTGCTGTATAGACTCAAAGGTATTGTTTATACCGTATATATATATATATATATATCTTATTTCACGCACACACTCACTAATATATATATATATATATATATATAGATTTTATTGATTTCTTTGTGCACCTTCGACCTTTAAAGGGTCTACATTATTACGTGAATAAGGATTAGGATTAGGTTTTATTTTGGTGAATGAATAATTGGATCGGACGGTTTCTTTCAACTGTACTTTAGCGTATGAATCTACTTTGTTTTCATTGCTTCTAGCTGATTTTCTAATTCCTCAATTTTTTCCTCCATTCCCGATATTTTGAGATCTTTCTTTGCCAATTGATTCAATAATTCAGCCCGTCGTTTGTGTAATTTCCTTATCATTCTCTCTGCCTCTTCCTCATTCCTAACTACTTCGGAATTCTTGGGCGCCGTTAATGAGCTCTTTGCTCTGCGGGAAGCTGGAGAACGTTTGGTTGGTATAAACCAATCTGAGCCGGCTAAACCTTGAGATAACGCGCCATCTAACGATTGGTCATCCCCCGCCCCTAAAATTCGTAAGCATCTTTTCCTCTCTTCAATTAATGTTTCTCTGTGTGTAATCAATCGACGAGTTTGTTGCATTAACGTCTCTTCCAACTCTTTTAATTCATCGAGTAAATCTTTGCCATTTGTCGAAGACATTCTCTATATGGACAGAAAAAATGTGAATTTTCCTAATCATAGTATATTGATCGTACCTTAAACAAATCGCTTGTAGTATACATATCGTGAGCCCTAGATGTTAATTGTTCTTCGTTATCTTTCATGAATTTTCGTAGAGCCTTCGTCCTAGATTCAATTAACTCGTGGAGTTTCTTTATGTACGCTTTTTCTGATTTGACCTTTTCATCGGCCAAACTGGTGTGAGAATAAAATTCGTCTGTCATTATTTGCATTTTCAAAGCCAATAACTCTGCCATATTTCGCTTATCATACTCGCATACTCTTTTGCTGCTTCCGAACTTTCGGTGAACTAATAAACTAGCCTCTTTCTTTATTTTGTCACTGACCTCTATATCACCTCTCATCTGTTTGAGATCGGATTGAAGTTCTTTAGCAACTTTAGATTGGTCATTTTCAATTAATGATGAACAAAGATAATCAAAAGAGGAAGTTTCTGATGGTGTATCATACAAATATTCCAGGAATTTATGCCATTTCGAGTACTTTGTTTTCTCATTCTACAATATATAAAAGTTTAATTAAAATACAAGTACAACAACCATAAAAAAACAATTTGTAAAGGATTTACTATTTTTAATTTTAACGGTCTGTCTATATATAGATAATTTATATATTTATATATATCTATATATCTATATATATATATATACTGTGTATATATTATATATATATATAATCTTATTCAGGGACGAACATTGATCTAACAGGGTTGAAAAGTGCAGCGATTCCATTGATCCGTTCTTGAACAAGGCCGTTTTTGCATATTAAGCTAATTCTATATTTTTATTTCGAACAAATCCTTAAACTTATCTATGAATGGATTGTAATCTTCTATTGAAAGTTAATACAAAGAATGGAAATAACCTTATTCCCCAATGTTTTATCATTTTTTTTAATATAATAGTTTTTTATCAACTTTTCAACTGGTCGTTAAACGTTTATAATTTTTGTTGTTTCATTATTATTTTTGCTGTTAATCAATCGTTTAACAAAGGATTTTTTCATTACTTTTATTTAAAAAGGAGTCTATAATAGTTTCCTTTCATTGTAAATAAGTTTCAGAGTTCAAAAGGTATTTAAATTAACAGAAACATATATAGATATATTACAGTTTTGTAGGGAAAGAGAGAGAGAGAGAGAGAGAGAGAAAGAGCAGTAAACAGAACTTAAAAGAAAGGCTGTCTTTTGCCTAAATTGAAAGAAATAGTTATATTTTTTGTTTACCAGTATTTCTGAAGATTGCTCCTTCCTTAAAATTCCTTTCTGTACGAAATTTTCAAGAATGTTATCATTGATAATTATATTCTCCGATAAGGAAGTTTTTCTAATATTTAGAACTTTTTTTTCAAAATCATCCATGTTTTTTCTGGTTTTGTCCGTAGTCTAAAGCCGATTGACGTCCTTTCAATAAAGAATTTTTTTTTTGCCCCTGTCGATAAGCTGAAGATTGTTTCAGTAAAATGGCGCTAGTTGATTGGTTAAATCTTGAGTGCGTGTGGAAATTCACTTGGTTCAAAATATTTATTGGAAAACGTGCTTTTAAGTCATTCGCATAATCGGATATTTAGACAATAAATGCATATAAATTCGTTATAAATAGGAATTGTTTAGGTCGGAAGTTTTTTATTTTTTCAAAAATAACTAATCTTTTAGAAGTCGACAAAAAGAATGAACAAAATTAATAGTCCATTGGGAGTGTTTTATTTGAATAAATTATCAAATTCCTTACTTTTACACAATTTCTCACTCTCTTTCTCCCTTACTTTTAGTCAGTTTCCTGGACTTTTTCACTGTTTTCAGTAGGATGATGAATTTTTATTCCTGTTAACCAACATGACTTCGCTTCCTTGATCATTTACAATTATTCAGAAACACGTCTGACGTTTGATATCCATCAATGATTAATACAAATAAAAATATAAAAGTTACAAGTATAATATACTGTATACAATACAATATACGATCTAGAACAGCTTTGAAAGGTACGCATGATGATAGCCTTGATGAAGATGACTTTACTTGTTAATTATCAGTTAGAGAATACCTAATTATCTTTATTAATTTTATACCTCTAGTAATTTAATAATGAAAAAATAATTAGCATAATATGCAAATGTAAGCGCCGTTATAATAACTATTAGGAATTATTTATTAATTGTAAATAATTACTCATCCTTTTATGATGTAGTATTCTAAAATTCCAAACTGAATATAGTTCTTTCATATTTTTAACAAAAATAAAATACTAACCTGCCCTTGACCCTTACTATATCTAATACAGTAACTTAATATTGCCTTTACTTGTCACTTTCTGGATTTCTATTCGATTACAGTTGTCTTTCTCTTATACTCACTCTATGGTATTTAGTTTGCGTCTAGTTGTAGACTTGTTGTTATTCAAAGGCAGAAGATAATGAATAATATATAACTAATTATTATTCCTATTACTTTTCTCATTATAAATCAAAAAAATATTCAAACAGAGGAATATAAGGAACAATTGATTGCAAGAATGAAGACAAATATTCTAATTACGGAAGCGGGGAGAAGGAAGAATAGAAAAGTACCATAGATTTTTGTTTGTGAAAAGAATACATCATCAATAAGCTTTCGAAGTTAGAGACTTAAATTTCGAATGGGAGATGATGCTATATCGGTCTTTAGCTTTTTTTATTTTTATCCCTCCTCAGTCTGTATGTTTGTTTTTTAAAGGGTAAAAAGGTAAAGAGAAAACGTAAAAGAAACATAAACATAGAAGAATATAAATCAGTTCATTTTACCTTTATTTGATAGGATTTTTTTTTATTCACTTTTTCCTTTGCTTTACCAAAGCCGATAGAGAAAGCATGGAGAATGCCTCTCAGGAATAAATATATAGGCAAGAAACCTTGTGGAATAAATGATAAAATGATATCAATTAAAATTAGTGTCCGAGCTTATTAGAATATAGAGTACATTCAGTATACAACAGGTATTACTTTGTGTTTGGTATTAATCACTCTATTTTTCTCTATTATCTTCAATATTCTGTCTAAAGTAGTTATTAAAATAAAAAATAAAAGTTCACACTACTCAATTATTTAGGGTTTTGAAAGCTTAGTATCGGTCTAAACGGGCTTATCGATCAAAAAGTAAAGTTTACGTGCATTTATAAAAGGAAAATGATTTAATTAGCAGGAAATGTGTAATATGCTTACAATAATTTTTTTTTGTTACATTATTTATGTCTTTCGATTATAGAGAATATCTATTAATGTAGGATTTCTATAGATGAATATAATTGTCATTCTGTGAGGTATATCATATATTTTCTCTCTTTCGATCTCTCTCTCTCTCTCTATCTTTTCCGTTTTGTTGGTTCCTAACTTTCTCTATTTTTATTTTCTCCTTCTCCTCATCCCCCTCCTCTTCTCTCTCTATTTATTTCTCAAATCTATTCCACCGTAGACAGAGATAATTATATTTTTGTTATAGATAATCTACAAATGGAATATGTAATGAAAACGACTTGTTGCATTCTATTATTTTCTTTAGATCTTATTCATTTCGATTATACCTGCTCTTGCTAATAGTGAAAGAATAATTAAAACTAAACTAATCAATTGGCAATGGAGTTAAATTTAAGATTTGTATTTACTAATAGATAAGAAAGAATTTGATATTAATGACTGAAGTATGCAATATAACGTTAGGATAGCATGCAAGTTTTATCGATTACATAGTAAAATGAAGAAAATCATATTCCGCATCATATAAATCGTTACGTTGATCCTCCCATAACTATAAATCATATGATATTTTTTATCATTTACGTAAATTTTTGTGCGTTTGCTAGATATATACAAGATTTAATAATTCTGAAGGGTTGTAGTCTTCCAGATAAGTACTTATAGTCTAAAAGCCGTCAAAGTAAAACGATTATCAGTTCCCATGATATACATTTTCTAACTATAAGAAAAGTATTAAGGGACAAAGAGGGAATGAGAAAGACATCATCTTCTTACATCAATACAAGTGTTTATTTTTTCGTTCTTTTTATCAATTAATCATGTCTTTGCATTGAATCAAAACATCATATATGTAGTATAATACGCAAATATAAGCGTATGTGGGTGTATACAGGTAGAATCGTAAAATGTACACTTTTCTTATAGAAATCAGTCCGTGTTTGCAGTTTTATAGCTTGTTTCGAAACACTCTTTTTATTTGAACTTAAAATAGGTCACAACCTATTTATCATTTTAAGAAAAAAAAGAGGTTACGTACAAAGTGTGAACGGCAAAATGTTAATAGACACAAAACAAAACAAAGATAGTGAGATCTTTATTAAATACGATAAGTGAATTTCATTAGTGTTTTCCTTCTCTGTCCCTCTTTATATATATACTGTCTATACAGATAGAGAGAAAGAGAGAGAGAGAGAGAGAGAGAGAGAGAGAGAAAGAGAGAGAGAGAGTTATTTGTATGAAATAAATCGTTAAAAAATAGATAGTATTTTTTAGTAAAATTCTTTAGTATAATAAATCTTCAATGTCCGTCATATTATATATTTTTAGTTGTTTCTTAAGTCCTATGTCCTATTTCTTTTCTCCCTTTTCTTTACATAAAAAATGCATATGAAGTAAAAAGAAAAGGAGATAAATGAGTGATAAAATAAACAGTTGAGTTGCAGAAGAATTACTGCCTTTTGAAATTTCATTTGGACGAAAAGTGTGATATGAGCTCTATCGGTAAAGGGAAAATAATGGTAGAATTCTTTTCCGATGAGATTGTTGATAGTGTCTAAAATGAGAAATAAAATTATAACATTAGTCTTATTATTTGTAAAAGCAGGAAATGGAGGTCAAGATCAGGGACAAACCTGTAGATATCTTAGTTGTAAGGCGGCAGGACTTTCGGCCATAACGTCTGCGGCCTCTTTCAGAGCTCTCGCTGAGTCATTTTCACCTTCGGCTGCTATCACCTAGTTATTTGCAGTTTTGAAGTGATGGTAGGTGTGTAGAGGAAGCGTATAGATAAAAATTAAATTAATTGTCATTTAATAACGAGATGAAAAATGAAATAAATTAAAAGTTTTTACTTTAGCTCTGGCTTCCCTAGCGGCTTCTGCTTCTGCTGCCATGGCCCTTTGCAATTGAACAGGTAGCCGAACGTCTTTTCTAAATATTTACAAGCAAATATTATCAAGGAGGAGAGCGAGAAAACTAAAAAGAAAAGAAACCGAAGAAAAAACAACAAAATTTTGCTTACATTTCTACTCTTTCCACTCTAATACCCCAGTTAGTCGTGGCTTCATCCAAAATTAGCTGTAAACAGGATGTAGCTAGTTAAAATAACCTTGACTTGAGGCAAATTTGAATTTAAAGCCGAAATACAGGCTAAAAGAGTTTTGAATTTGCACTAACAAGCTGCTTTTCCTTTTCGATAGTTAAATATTAAGCCCTGTTTATTTCAACATATATCTTTAAGAATCATAAGAGATTTCTTCTTTATTGATTACAAGTCTATTAGTAATTTACCAGCGAACAAAAGAAAAAAAAAACACTACTATAAGCTTAAAGCCGCGTAAAAAAGTGACGGTACAAACTCCTCGTGGATGAAAGCTTTTTACAGAACGGATAGCTGTGTACGTCAGCAGCTGTTCCATTCATCGATTAACTTTGAGCTGAATTCTTAATGAAATACGTGAATTGATGTAAATTCGATAGAAAAATAAAGACCTGCATCGAATTGCTGATAGCCTCCCTTTCGCTGAGTATTTCACTCAAGTTTTTCGTCCCCAGAACATTTCGAAGAGTAGTTTGCGCTAGAAGGCGAGCTGTAGGGCAGAAAATGAAGGAAAAGTAACAAAATTCCAAGAAATTTTTCTAGATTAGGAGGTTGATATCACATAAAAAATAATGAAATATATAAAAAATAGAATATTACTCGAGTGGTGAGCGTTCTCGACATTTGCTACAGAAACCGTTGCGTTACTAACTCGATAATAGACGACAGCGTCTACCGAGACTGTAACAGAGTCCTTGGTCAGAACCTAGCCAAAAGAATGTAAGAGAAAGAGTAAAAAAAAATTAGCAGTTGGTAAACATCAATCTCTATAACAAAAATAAACTTATTTAAATATTCCTTCGTATTATAAAGTACTTCTATTTTAAGTTAAAAACCTAATGGCGTATAATGAATTCCCTTTATTTGTTAAATAAGGCCTTTATATTTTATATTTTATTAATTATTAATTATTTATGATTTTCCTTGCTCATTTGTTCACCATTTAAACTAGTTGATATTACTTCCTTCCTCTATGGTCATATTACCTATGCAAATAGAACGTACGATCACTCTAAAACTGTATATTGGACAAATTTAGTCACGTGTTGCAGTACAACAAACCTCCTGAGGCGGCACATCAAACGAGACTGTTCTTAAATCGACCTTCGTATAGCTCTCAATGCAGGGTAGAACGAAGAAAATTCCTGAAAAGCCCTTATGTGTAAATAGGTGTAGATTTAAAGAGTGAAAGGGGGATGGGGAGAGAGAAAAGAAAGAGAGAGAGAAAGAGAAAGAACGAGATTATATTTTTTTTTTGGGAAAATGAATGATGAAAGTGAAAAGCAAAGATATTGAACAAAGCTCTATATAAATAATATCTTTGCTCGTCCCTATCGCCTTATTTAATCATACTAAAAAATAGGCCGATAGCAAATTAATGGGGTGTGGAATCGCTGAGAAAACCGCCCCATCTGTATTAATGGCTTGGCTTTTTTCTCTACGAGAGAACAGCCTAAAGGTCACGTGCTTTGGCAGAATAATAAAAATAATGCAATAAAAGCAGTAAGTAATCCTCCTTCTTTGCAGTTATAATTAAGGCTTATGAGGAAGAATAAAGAAGTGTCATCTAATTCTTATTACCTGGACCTTTAGCTCCTCCGGATAAGAGACGTCCAAGTCGGAAAATCACGGCTCTTTCATATTCTTGCACAACCTGCAGAGAGTTGATGGAAACGTCTCAGAATTAAATACACAATAAAAATAGAGCTTTTTTCCAATACCCTGACCTATATATATTGTATATATTGTATATTCAATAATATAATTTGGGCTACAAACTAACCTGATACTGTTATATAACTTTTAAAATATGTTTTCAACAATTTTTTAAATGTTAGTGTGTTCTCTTACTACAATGTAGATTTTAGGCCTATTCACTAATCGTCTTATTGTAAAGTGTTATTGCCTTGTATACTTGCGTCAAACTTGTTTGCACGCTTACCTTCATACAAACGCAAAGTGACAGCGGAAAAGTGACTAGAGCTAGGAACCAAGCGAATATCGTCAGAACCCATCCACAAATTCCCAATCCGTCGGTACTCTCGTCAGCTGTATAAAGAGAACTATCCATGTTGAAATCTCAAAACTAAAATACAAATGTTATAAACAAACAAACCATTGAAAAATTTTACAAGATAAGAAAAACAAAAATAAATAAACGTAGAAAAAAATTAAGCTTTACCTTATCTTTATATATATATATATATATATATATATATATATAAATAATAGTAATATATACTATATATATATATTTAATTATCATAAAAAATTAGCTTTTTCCTATTTAATTTAATCATTATAAACTTTATTTTACAATTAATCTTAATTTTGTTTTTTTTTTAAAAAAAAAAGAAAACATAATAAAATATTAAGTATATAAAAATTAATTGAGTGAATATACTGTGTTACGTATAAAAATTTGATTAAAGAAAAAAGGCCAGTGTTATAAATACACGAAAAAAAACCACCTTCTCTCTTCTTTTTCGAAGAAAAGAAAAACAATACATTACAACAAAGTTTTCTGCCATACTCTAACCTTCTTCCTTAAAGTTAACAATTTGATCACGAGAATTAGAATTGGACGTCATTTTCCAGTTTCTCTACTCATATACTACTAATCTTGATATACGTATAGTTTTATAGAATTTATAAAATATATATATATATATATATATATATACTGTATATATAAAGAAGTTAATATAGGCTTAACACATCCAAAAATAAAGCTTATATGAAGATATATAAGCTATGTAAATTCATAAATTATGCAAGATGTAGGTAGAAGAAGAAAAGCGGGAACATAGCATCCAATACGTAATAACGGATAAGAATAACAACATGCAACTAATTGTGCAGTATGATGACTGAATGAAGAATGAAGATTTTTTTCCCCTTTTAAGTGCTAATTTGTGTTACGTAGCATATTGGTGTTTTAAGAAAATTATTATTGTGATTGTGAAAGACTGCTAATTGAAATTTTTTGGGGTGTGTCACTTTTTTTCAAAACAATAATTACTTAATCAAGTATAAAAATGATTCTGTAAAATTGAATTTATTATCTATTATCTTTTCATTTTAGAAAAAATTGCTTTAGGGTATTATTGTCTTTTATTCTCTGCTTTATTTCGCTCATCTCTTACTCTATCTATTTCTGTATGTTTCTCTTCAACCCCTCTTCTTCTTCTTCTTCTTTTCCTTTCTATATCAATATATATATATAGTAAATATGTAGATCTTGTTTTGTTGAAGCCCCTATATTTATTACGGTATATTCGTCCAAGTTTCATTATATTTTCTCATTTTCGGCTAATAATAATATGTAGTACAGATTCTTTCATATTCCATTACATTTAGAAAGGAAAGAAGTAGGAATAATGTACTTTCCAATTACATAAGCAATTTAAAGAGAGAGAGAGAGAGAGAGAGAAACATTAAAAGGGGTGAGAAAATAAGAAAAAGTAAAGAGAAAGAAATTATTGTTAAAAGAAGTGAACAACATTTAGAAAGCTATTATTCTGTCTGTTTAAAATTTTTCAATAATATTTACACATTTATACATATGAATACGTATACAGTACATTTTCGGAAGTAGATATATACTGTATAGTTGTATAGTTGTATATCATATAATATGCTTTTATTTCTTCTTGTTCTACCACATTTATGTACAATACTTATTATACATATGTATTTTTATGCGTATTTATATTTCCTGAGATCCTCTCCTGATCTCTAAACATACCGTAGTGATATCCTGTTCTCGCTTTTGCCGCTTCGCCGTTGTCTGTTTTTTCGATAAATTTTATAGGCCTAGATTTTTTCGATTAGTCACCAAGAAATTTTTTCACAGGTGAAATTGAAAGTAAGGGAGAAGGGAGGAAAGGAAATAGGAGAGGGAGAGGAGGTAGGAGATAGAAAATTATATTGACAATCGAAACGTAAAAGATCATTTAGACATAAGAGGAGAATAGGGATAGCGGGAGTTAGAATGAAACAAATGTACATTAAACGTAATAATTAATTAATAGGATGAAATAATAAATATGTATGATATACCACAAGAGTGTACTGCAATATTAGATTAAATGTATAAAGAAAGGATAAAAGATTTCTCTCCTATGCCCCTCTGCTACAATATAGGGTTCAAATAAAACGGTATTAAAGTCATGTAAATAACAATTAACAGTTAAGATATAACGTTGATATTATTTGGTAATTTTTAATTAATCTTTCTAACAGGAAAGAAATTCTACTAAAAAGGAAATTTGAATGACAAATGAAGGAATAAGAAAATAAATTATGAAGGTCATAGGCCTATAACCTTTAAAGACAAATCGATGGGCAAGGAATAAAAATAAGGGAAGCATAACGCAGTATTATGAATTGCTATTACTTTGTAAATTGAATGAATACGGATGTTAATAATTAAGAAGGAAAGATTTTAACGGCGTCCACTTCACTGAAGCCTTTGTTATTGGATGCTAGTCATTTGAAAAGAATCCATTATGGCAGAAAAACGATCGAGAACTGCTCCTTTATATATGCAAAGCAATGGTTTTGCTTTACGATTTTATTATTGCTATCTCTGATTTCCATTTAGCTAGAAAGGGCCGTTTCTTATTACGTTCAATCAGTAATTGTCTTTGGTCTCCTCATCTTCTGCCCCTAATTCCTCTAAAGCCTTACGTATTAATGAAAATAATTCACTTGAAAATGATTACAACCCTTTTCCATTCAACTAATATGATTAATAAGAATCTTTAAAACAAATTCATTTGATATATTAGATGGATGAATAAAAAGAAAATAAGCTACTTTCTTGACAGATTTAGTAAGAAAAATAAAGTTAAATAAATAAATATTAGGGAAGAGAGGAGAAGGAGAAGAGAAAGAGGGAGAGAAAAAAAAACATCCGCTAAATATTATTCTTCAATATCTTCCTTGTAATTTAGAATCTCTAGAGTGTAAGTATATGTTGTGATATATACAACCTATAAATTATTGCCGATTCTTTAAAACTAAATGGTCGTATAGAGTAAACTTAAACAACTTTTTTGGTCATTTTCTAGAATGGATAAAAGTATATAATACTTTTCTTTTATATCGAATCCAGAAAGTAGACATACCGACGCCTATGTAGGACGTCTTTTAGAGTTTCTTTAGTTTTTTTACAAAGTATATCCAAACATATTTAGCTACATGAACTTACATATATACTTAACGAATGAAAATAAATAGACAAGAATTCTCTACTAACCTCCAATTACCATTTGGTTATCTTCAGCCCTGTTAGGCCTATCGTACTTAGCAGCCATAACCTAACGAAGCTGCAGTTGGTGAATGTTTGCAGTGTTTGTATGGACATGGGCAATATAGCTATGTTCGATCGTAACGCCCTCTCTTAGATCGGTAAAGCTGTTCTCAGAAGGGGTGTACAAAATATTAAAAAAAAAAGAGAGAGAATATTTTACGTGCAACCGATGTTTCCGATAATGAAACTTAACAAAAACACAATGTACTACGATTTCTCTAATTAAAAATTAATACAATTAATTATTTATATAAACCAGAGAATTTTTATCTTTAAAAATTCTTGTTTTTTATCTTTTTCTTTTTTATCTAAAACACAAATGAACATCTTAGCATCTTTGTATTTTTTCTTTAATATATTCAAGTTTACGTTGTTGTTCATTAAATCATTAAACAAGATATTTAAATGTAATAATTTCAATATGCAGTGAATACTATTAAGAAGCAGGTTACTCGGTAAATTAATGTACGAGGTAGACGAGGATGTCAATATATATTGATGAATCGACGAAACTTTTTTAAATATGAGGACATTCTGTTAATAAAGATACGAAGAAACATAAAAAGACAGGGAGAGAGAGAGAGAGAGAGAGAGAGAGAGAAATACAGCAGTTTATCGAAGAAGAAGAGGAAGAAGAACTAAAACTAATTCATATTAACAAATGAATCGTTTAACTTAATATTAATATTTAAAAATATAATAAAGTGTTTATTATTCATAAAATACAAGAAAATACTAAAGGTTGGTGTATAATGCTTTGTTATTATCAGAGAAGATTCAATACATTCCCAAGTCTTGCGCTTAATTTGACTTTGTCTTTATTAAGTTTAATAATAATCGAGCTAGGCAAATGGAACGAAAACAATTAAAAAAAATCATATTAAACAAATAATATCAATTAAATATATATGTTTTATATACATTTTTGGCATTTCAATAACGTCTTTACCTGTTCAAAAATATGCATTAATTATACATATTCATATATCTATATAGATGTATTTTTTCAATATGATATAGACATACGTATAACATAAAAGTTATATATATATATATATATATATATATATATATATATATATATATACATTAGTATTATTACTTGAAGCATTGAATATACAATTTTTATTATTACAAATAGCGCCATCTATTGACAATTATATTATTCTTGTAGAATACATTGAAAAAACTTGCTTCCTTACTTAGCAGCAAACTATTTATCTTGATTAAGTTTTCGAGTAAATGAAGTAAAATTAGTATAATTAGAATGTTGTATACACAGATTCGCTTATCCCTAAAGAAAGAGCATAAGATCTCTTATTTTCTCATCCACTTACTCTCACCTTCTATCATTCATTCTCTCTCTCTTTTTTTCTTTAATTTCTTTTCTTCCCGTTAAAAATTAAGAATTAAAGCACATTTTAGATTCACTATATGCAGTAGAAAGACTAAAGTATACACTTACTACTTATCATTTATTAATGTATTTTTCCTCTACTATCGACTAGATTAGGTATTGTATTTACAAGATTAGCGCAAAAAGTATTTTGTATTTCATTGCTTAAGTTATATAGAAATTATATAATTAGAGTATTTCATTTCTAAATCAACTAATTACAGTATTAATTAGATTTCTTCTATCTGGAAAAGACAATGAAATATGATTCTTTTCTTTTTTCTGCATTTTGAGTTTATTTAAATTAGGTATAAAGTATATTATTTATGCTTAGGTTGTATAAGTTTAACGTATATTTTCTCTATTTCGTTATTTACTTTACCTTTAAGGAGGGAAAAAATTCCCTATTGGAGACAAAAAATATCATCTTTCTCTCGTTCAGTAGACGACCTAGATACAGCACAACCTATAATGTTATATAAGACGGTACATATATAATTAGAATAACGAAAATTGAGTAGTTATTAGTTTACTAATATTTTTCTGTATAACTAATGCAAGATGAAACCTAGTTTAAAGATATAGCTTATTCTCTTATTTACATTACACTACAGGGTGTTGTCATAGCAGCATTTCCCATGGCAGCTGGAGGAGGGCGAGAACGTGGCGAAGAGGATCGGCCAGAAGTCGCCTGGCCGGCTTCTAGTCACCTTTGCGGCTGTTGTATCTCTCTAATTCGAGTAGGTTTGTTTCCCAGAATCTTATCAATTTCATTCATTAAAGCTGGTGTTAATTTGGGAACAAATTGCACCGCTTGCAAATTCTCATGTAATTGCTCAACTGTAGACGCTCCTACAAGAACGCAGTGCACATTCTCATTCTTTAGGCACCATGCTACAATTTAAAAAGAAATAATAAAAATTAAAAAACACTTATATGGCGTATTGTTATGCTTTTTCTATAATCTATTGTTCTTTTTCCACGAACCTATGGCTAATTGTGCGGCGCTACAACCTATTTTTTCAGCAATTGTTTGAACTTCTCTTAGCTTGGCCTGCTGTTTTCTTCCCTCTTCACTTAGTATTCTATCTTTCAGCCAAGTGTATCCCTTCTGAGAAGCTCTCGAATAAACTGGTACGCCATCCTCGTATTTTCCGGTCAAAAAACCACACGCCAATGGCGACCAAGTCATTGCTCCCAAACCAATTTTGTGATACAATTCGGGCATATGCAGCTCTACCTTTTCCCTTTGAAAGATGTGATATTCTGCTTGTTCGGCTATCGGGGGTATTAAATTAAATTGTCGGGCTACAGAATACGCTTCCTAAGGGGAAGAAAAATATTCTAGTTAGCGACATCTATATTATAATATTAAATCAACACTAAGGTGACATATGTCGATGTAAGAGCGTATAAAACACTGTAGCAGTGTATACAGATCTATATATCGCACAAAGTCATTCCCCTAAGTACAAATTGATTGAAGTCAAGAACTCACCATTATCTCCATAGTAGACCATCTAGACGTGCCCCAATACATTGCCCATCCTTTATCGATTATATAACTGAATGCTCGGACGATTTCTGTAAAGAGAAAGAGAATAAATTGTTGTTTTCTTTCTGATAGAGGTTTGTTTTTATTTTTAAAACAAACCCTCCATAGGTGTATGTGGATCTGGTTTATTAGCGAACACAATATCGACATATTCCAACTGCAGTCTCTCTGCAATGATATTTTATTTTAAAAGATTAAAATAAGCAGAAAAAGTATACATTTCTGATATATTAGTACATATATATATATATATATCACATTTCTATTAATAACAATACGCAATTATATACAATAAGATTGTATACTTATCAACATTTAACTATAAGATGATATTAAGTATGCAACTCACCTAAAGAGGCTTTTAAGCCTTCAATAATATGCTTGCGAGATAATCCTTTTTCCGTCTCGGCTCTAGGAGGATTACGCATTTATATTCGTTATAACATCTATTGTACATACTCTACCATCTATACAGACTATACGAATAAGCGTATCTACACAATAATTTATTTAGAAACAAGCATTGCTAATACATATGTACAAAGCATACACAATTTATATTAATAGATAGATAGATTAAAGGTCCTGTTAAAAGGGTTCTACAGAAAGAGGGAGAGAGGGAAGGGAAAAGACTAAATAACTAAAATTATTTCATCCTTTAAATGGCTTTAAAGGTATGTATATACTTACTTCCCACCCCAGTATATCTTTGTAGTCACGATATAGCTGGATCGCCTCCATCCTTTCTTCTTAAGTAATTTTCCAAGAACAATTTCTGCCCTAAATTCGGCGTCTATGTAATTAAGGAATCGGAACGGATAAGGAATATTTTTTTTTCTATTCACTTACTTTCCAGCCGCGTAAACTTCTGCCGTGTCGAATACCTAGAAGTTTTTCAGACTATTTAATAAAATTGCAGTAGCTTTTTTTTTCTTTTATTCACATATAGGTCTATATCTAATATTTTTACATTCGTAGGCCTAAGACTTTTGTATGGGATGCTAATTTAAGCACTTATAGAGATACACTAGATATAAGCAGTACATCGTGTATATTAATATATATACATTATATATATATAAATATATAGCTAATAAAGAGTGACTTGTTTTTATAAAAAAAAAAAAAATTGGATTCATCATACTTACGTTTATTCCGCTTTCGTAGGCGAGAGTAAGCATCTCTTCAGCAATCTGTTTTTTGTAACAATATCTCGTTTTTGCAAGTGGTTAAGTGTTTATATACTCACCTCATCTGGAATTTGTGCTCCGAAAGTTACCCATGTACCTATAAGAAATAGTAAAAAGTCAATCTTTAACTAGTTTATCAGTCCCGAGCGTCTTGACACAGACTTATCTTATTCCCTTAGTAAATTAAATGAATATAGACGGAGAAAAACGCACTTACCTAGACCGATATTGGATACTCTCAAGCCCGATTTACCAAGGTTTCTGTTTAAAATGAATAGAATAAGTATTTCTTAATATAGAGCGATTTAAAAGAGATTTATGCTCATAGACGTCGACTATTCCACCTGTTTCTTATACAAGACATTTTTATGGTGTTATCATTCTTCATAATCCGATAGAAAAAGGCGTCAGTTGGTCAAATTTACAGTATAGCAATTGACAAACTCGGCTTTTAAGTGTATTGATGGCGACATTGACGACCCCTGGCGAATACCAACTTTTCTTCAATTTCGATATATTTAGTATATTTTATCCATTTAGCATATTATATTTTATAAACATAGCTTTTATATAGATTTATCTATACCATATAAATATATAAAGAACACATATTTTAATAGAAAAAAGTCTTTTTTTTTGCATATATAGACTGTTATATATTCATGCTACAAACAGTTATACTGCAATACTGTAAATGTGCGTATAGTAGTGTATACGTACGTTTACTGTATACTACATACACAGGCTAATATGTTAAAAATAATAAATAGATTACAATACGCTACATCAAACGGGTAATCTACATTTTATTATCATACCTAAAATTCTTCTTAACTATCTTAGCCGGAAGAGCTGATCGTAGTTGAACGGCATTGACTGGTTTAACGCCAATTAACGAATTTGTCGAATTATGATTGGCGGTCATTTTATATTTTTCAATACACTTTAGAACGTCTACTCTAAAAAGGCGTCTCCTAATGGCCTTGACATTAGCCTAGATGGCGTCTAGTACTATATCGATTGTTCGAATTTCGCAGGCCTATAAACTCGCGACTTTTGTTCAAAAAGTAATTTCTAGTGGTGTTAAAAAAGGGGCGTCTATTGCTTTGCCTTTTTTAAGGAAATTGAGATACCCATAGAGCTAATGCAGTTGTTCGATCCAATATCAATTTAGATTTTGGTTTAGCATAATTAGCTAACGATAGAAAATAAACAAGTAACTATTAACGACACCTATATACAAACACGGATATAAACCTTAAATACACGAAACACGCAAATATTCGCTATATAAACAAAATGATATATAGCACATATGTCATAAATAGAATTTATCGTAGGATAATGTCTAATTTATTGTTTATATTTCATTATATAAGAAACGTTACTAACACGCCATCTGCCTTGTAAAAGACGCTCTTTTCTCAGTTACGCCAATGCTGAATTTATTATTATTATTATTATTATTATTACTATTATTGTTATTTGTATTACTTTATTGCCTTTATTATCACTGCAATTATTGCTGTTATCGTAACTATGACCTATTATTTGTTAGTAAGCACTATTATGAATATACAATATAAAAAATGTGGGAAAAGAAGGGAAAAAAAACCTGTATGCTTTGAGTTGTTTGTCAGATTTTGAAGTTGTTTGTTTGGTGTTATGAACGCTTTGTTTTCTGCGGGTTTCTTCTATCTTTGACGAGGAAGTAGCATCGGCAGAAGATCGAGATCCCGAGTAGACGTTTTGCCTTTGCACCAGCCTGCATCAATTATTCATTGAAGGAGGATAAATTGCATGAAATCTCTTAATTCATCATTTCCAAATCGCGCGCGCTCTACGTAAAATTCATATGTAAAGACTAATAAAGAATTTATAAGTGTTTATATAAATATATGCAGGTTTACATTAATCTATTTTTACTTTCTCCTTTCTATAACTGAATAGTAGAGAAGATGCAAAGAGGAGAATGGTTAGTTGAATGGAAAAAAGGCATTTGCCTTCTACTACTTCCTCTCCGTTTTCATAATTTTCACGCATGATAAACATTCCTTCTTACCAACGATATATACTTACGAATAATGTATGAGTGAACTCATGTTGTTTGCAATGGACAGCGACGAATTAGGCCATGACGAGAATCGAAAATTAAGGACTTCTTTCTGTTATATTAGTAACGTTTTGGTTATGTAAGAATATACAAAGTGTATACTTTTTATATAAATATATGTACAGACAGACAGACACAAACCGCCACAAATAAGGTTGAAATGAAAGATAGAAAGAAAGAAAGAATGAATGAATAAATGAAATAAAAAAAGAGAGGAAAGATTGTTAATATTGTGTAAACACTTTTATACTATGCATATAAACTTGAACCGCTAATAAGCCAACAGATGAGAAACATATGTTTCTTAGATATATTTTACTATTATATCCTCAATTTGTAATAGTACTGTATATCAAAACAGACAATATATCTTTTCATCAATAAAGATCTTATAATACAACGCTATAATGTAAAAACATAAATCATTCAGATTATATGTATATATAATTTATAAAAACACATAAAATTGCGCTATACAACTTTGAATATAAAGGCGAAGTGAATAAATGAAAGAAACGAAACAGAAAAGTTTAATTTAATTATTCCTCTCTGAGGTGACGTAAGACGTTACTCGCTTTTTCATTTTTAGATGCCGATTTTTATACTCTTTTCTCATCGATCAACGATAGAAGTTAACCGTCGTAAATATAATCGAAAACAGCAAAAGATACGAAAGTCATGAATAATGCATAATTATTTATAAGAGTTAACTAGAATTTTATATATGTTCGCAATAGGTTTTAATCTATTTTCCTTCTTTTTTTTTATTTTTGTAAAACGAACGAACGCTTGACACGGTCATGTTAATTCTTTTTCGTTCCACCAATAATTACATTAACAGCCTGTTATAGAATAAAACAAAAAAAACTTCTCTAGAAGCAAGAAAAAGCTCTCGTCACGATATGTGATTCGCTATATTATATACTTATGCACAAAAGACTATAATCACTCTACGTATGCATTGGGTATCCGCCTTCCAGCATTCATGAATATTCACTCAATTTTTATCTAATATCAAGTATACAAATTAGCGGATTGAAAGTACTAAAAGCGAAGGAACAGGAAGAGGGAGAAGACTTTTGACAGAGGAGAAAACTAAACATTTATTTTCATTTTTCTTCCTATCTGATTATCTATCTCCCATATTCTTTTCGTTCTATTATTTTTTTTTATTAATCATTTCTTTTCCCTTACTGATTTCTTTCATTTTCCTCTCTCTCTCTCTCTCTTTCCAGCCTTCCCCCCTTCTCACATCATATATAAAAGTACCCCTGTCTAATAAAACAAGCATAAATGCAAATTTTTAATGATAAGTCTAGAGTGATTATTTTTAATATATTTCTTTATAAAACAAAATATAAAATGACAAACAAACAAACATAAACGCCAGTTCAATAAATCGTGCGCTAATTAACAATAGACAACAATACCAACAAGGGATTAATAAAGAGAAAAAAATACATTTACGAAATGTAGCTTATTTATTGGCTGTTCTCAGATAATCCTCACGGCACGGAACTTACCAAACTTGTTGCGCCGCCGTCAACTTTTTACTGAACGCCGTCGACGCCGGTTCGTGAAATTGCTCCCTCATAAAATCGATAGTCACGTGACTAACCTGGTTCGAGTCGGAGCGGCATCTAATTATTTAGAATGAAATTATGAATAATAATATAGTTTAATAAAAGATATATTTAGAAAACAGAACAAATTGAAAATATACATAAGATGCATATAAGATAGATGATAAGATATAAAGTCAGGAATGGAAGATGATAAGTCGCACTGTCATCGCTATTTCCTCCTTAAGAGATAGGCCGATATTGGCCAGTTAATTAAAGTTGATGTGTCTCGTATCGTGTATTCATTTAGCTAGTTCATTCGTTAATGTCACTACAAAGTCCCTACCAACCTCTAACGGAATTTAATTTACAAATGTCAAGAGCATAGGAGCAAATGGTTTGGCTTGGATTTTTTTCCCCTAGAATTGAATATAAAAAACAAAAAACAACCGCAAAAACGTATCAATTTAGCCAAAAACAAAGGAACCTTTAAAAATATATTAATATAATTGAGAGTAGAAAAAAAATAGATATGGACATCTTTTGCCTGAATCTATCATTTTATTTATTGATGATGCCAGATGGATAAATACTAAGAGAAAGAGAAACAAATAACAGAAAGAAAAACAATATGGAACTATTGATAGCTATCTTATTTTATTCTTATTTTACGACAAGTCCAGATGACTTAGGTTATTAAAAGTCTGTTAATAAAAGAAACGAGATAGATAGCTAGATGGATAAATAAATAGATAGATGGAAAGAAAGAGAGGTGTACGAAGAGACTTTATATACGTATTTCTATTACTACATCTGCTATAACTATAATTATTGGCTTACTCCCGTTTTACGGTCAATCTCATCTATATAACAAAAGAAGCTATCTTTTGTATCGAAAGTAGATTTTACTTGAAAGAAATGTTATTTTATTTCTTGCTATAAATAGGACAATTAAGTAAGTTCATAATTGTATCCAGTTCCCTATGAAATAGCTTGTGGAAAAAAACACTATAAATAAATATGAACTAATAAGTATAAACACAGTATATAAAGTTATAAAATCATAATTTTATCTAAAGTATAACATATACAAGATAATTATTTATTTATTATGTAATATATTAGTATATATTATACAGTATATATATATATACAGTATATATTAATGTATTTAAGTGTAAATGTGTGTCTGTGCATATTATTTCACTGTATTCAAGTAGATTGTAAGGAATTCTTCAAAATTGAAAGTTGCTTCTCCCTTTCTCTGTAAATCTTTTTTTGCGAATGAATCGGTGGAATTCTTGACAAGAACGCAAGCGTGAATAAAAGCGTCAAATGTAATACAGCCTCTGCCAGTCGTATCGTACCTTTTTACGACGACTTGGGAAAAGTTGGGACTTAGACGAAAGCCCATTTGATTAAACGCTGTGATAAAGTTTAATAAAATTGGTTATAAATGTTTATAGCCTTTCTATTTATATAGCATACTAACCACTAGTCAATTCGTTAACATCAATTGTACCTGATCTATCTCTATCAAATGATTCAAATATTCTTTTCCATTCTTGAATATAATTCCATAAAGCTTGAAATTCATTTATATCAATTTTCTGATCATTACTCCTATCAAACAATTCTGTTAAAATGATAGAAATTTCAAGATTAACTTATTTCTAAACTATTCTTGTTTTATTCAATAATTTAATGACTTAATAAAGATATAAATATTTTATAAGAATTATTTACATTGTAATAGAACACTAACTTATCATTAATATACATGTTTCCATACTGAATCGACTCCAATCGCTATTTGTTAATGCTGCCTGTAATTCAAGGGCAGACACCCTTCCATTACCAGATTGATCAATGGCCGTAAACCATTCTCTAATATTTTGGGTGACTCCTGAAAATATGATTGAAATTAAATCCAGAATATAGTTTGTTAATCTCTCTACCTTGACCACCAGGATATTGATTATGCGACTGATTATAACCTGTTTATTTTCAATATATATATATAATATAATAAAAATATAATTGTCAACATGAAGACTAATATGTATATATTATTTCACCTTGGTTGTTCTGATACTGTCCCGTATTATTCTGAAATTGTCCCGGATTATTCTGAAATTGTCCTGGATTATTCTGGTATTGTCCTGGATTTTGGTATCCTCCACCAACGGGAGGTGCAGATGCGTATTGTTGTTGTTGATAGCCTAAAGATTCAATTAATTACAAGATCTATTAAATATTCAGTATTGTGATTTACTACAAACCTTGATTCATAGGCGCCTGATTGCTCCATCCCGAACCAGTTCCCTAAAATTAATCATCGAGTAAACTTTGTTCGAAAAATAAGAAATTTACTATTTCCTAAAACTTCAAAATATTTAAAATAAAGAGAAAAATATTTAAAAATCAATAACTATCTGAATTACATGATGACGTCTTTCTAGGACACTAAAAACTAAGTATTTTACTTACCCAGCCACTAGCCATTTTTACTATCACGGACACTGAGCTTCAAATGAGATTAGAACCGTTTTTACAGCGACAAGGGCGCCAAACGGTTATTTCGAAAAGAAATTAAGATTTTGCAGTAAAATTTATTATAATTTATGAAATTATAATAAAATTTCTAATTTTTTAGAAATAAAAATTTAAATTCTATAATTTTTAATCCAATGTAGAAACAAATCTTAAGGTAACACATGATTCAACTGAACGTTAATCTCCAATTATCGCTAGGGCTATTAAAAGAATGAGTCACCATGTGAAAGAGTACAGAGGAATATCTGACTACACTTTATTACATAGAATTATTTTGAAAACAGGAACAAATTTAATGACTTCGTAAATATGAAATGAGTGGGTCTAAGAGTCATTCTCTTCATAAAAATATCTTGCGTAATACTACAGATCTTTTCTAATAATATTACTGTATCATAGCTAGGATTTATTATTAAAGAAGGGTAGAATGAAATTTTCTTTGGCCCAGTCCCCTTTTACTCAACAATTCCACTCAGCTACTATAGATAATTCGACATCAGGTGGGTCTAATGCCATCTTTTATTCTAATTCCAAATAAAAGCTATCCCTAAGATGTGTTTAGTTTAGATGAATATTTATACATAAAAAAATGATAAATACAATGTATAAGGTAATTAGAAGTTGTATTGATATGATGAACAAGCAATCAAATCTTCTTTTAACGTATTCTACGTTCACAAACCGTTTATACAATGATACACGTGAAACTCCTGCATAAACCTACAAACTTGTCCTTGTTTACAGCATACCCCTTTAGCGCAGCAGAATCTACCCGTACCACAAAAAATTGGCTTTCTTTGAATTCTTCCGCAGAACTCCTTACCCTTGTGAGGCCCTCTCATGATTCGTCCTTAAAAAGTTATTAATAATCGTCATTAATCCATACCCTAGTTTTTAAGAAAGATACCTCTTTTGATAAGATTAGAGTTATCATCAAATTCCTCAGATATGCTAAAAAAAAGTTCAAAAGAGAAAAATGGTTCAACTTAAAAAGTTTATTAATAAATACTCAATCACTTACAAAGGATTGAACGAAGGTTCTTCATCCGAGCTATAAAAAGATAAAAGATAACAATTCACTAGTGTATAAATTCAATATTAAATTGTAATTTCTTACAATAAATCCATCCTTGTATAAGCTAAAGCAATGGTACTGAACATTAACAAGCAAACGAAGATTTTCTCCATTTTGTATAGTTTCCTTTCTTTTTGGACTGTTCTTCATTTTTTCAGTATTATTTTGAAAAATGAAATGAAGAAGAAAGAAAGCAAAAATGCAAAGATTAAATTATTATGTAAATATAATAAAAGCGTAAAGGGAATCTATTCTCATAATCTATCAATCAGTTTTTAATAAAAAAAACAGCACGCCCTACTTTATTATAAAAAGTATTATAGAATACAATCAATAAGGGAAATATTCTCAGAGACTAAATGACCTTTGACCGTTATCTATAGAGTAATTGTCTATTATATACAATATACATGTAAAAAGATAGAAATGACATATTACTTTAAACAACTTCTTATTTTAATGACTAAAAAACTAAAGGATAATGAAAATTACTACTTTAATTAATATTCAATATATTGAATTACCTAAGAGGAACAATATTATTATAGAGCTTATCTAATCGGATAAAACTTTAAAAGGGAAAAGAGTAAATGTCATTCTCGTATACTTACATCTTTGCTCCTTTCCGCAAAACTGCTTGATAAAGGCGGCTCTATATATTTATACTTGAACCCTAGTGAGTCAATTACGTTTCTTTACTAGCAAATTAGTAAGAGTATCATATACTCTTAATTTAATTTATATCACCTTTTTTATAATTTTTACATATTTAATGGAATTTTAATTCAATGATTTTGAAACAATTGCATAATGATACCTAAGCAAATTTAGTAAATTCAATGACAATTTCAAAGAAAAAATAGACGGTTTTTTTTTTTAAACAAAAACAATTATAACTGCAACTCTTTCATTTGTTATGGAACAGTTAAAAATCTAAAAATAACTATTTTCATCATAAATATTTTCCCTTTTAATAGAGGTTATAAGAAGGAAAATATGAAAATTTATCTTTAACGGACGTCTTCGTCTTAATGCTTTTTTCCCCCCGTCTAAATATAATGGATGAAGCGTGTGCTGTAAAATAAATTCTCCTCTAACGACTAAACATCTCTACCCAAACTCGGTCAAATAGGGTTGTTTTCTCCGTTAGACAACTCTCGGGTATTTTCTTTTGTCTGAATTTAATTTACGTTGATGCTTTTCCTTTGTATTGTTATTATTATTAACAAAACCGTTATCATTTTCCTCTTTAACTTAAAGTTTCCAACAAAGCTTGTTATAATGTTTTAACTACGGTATTAAAGATTTATTCTAATCTATTAATCTCTGAACATTTTTACAATTAATCGCTTAGATAAAATAAAGTTTTCACTTGACAACTAACAAGAGTGTTTCTATGTTTATCGTGTTGTTTTGTTGTCGTTATTTTTTTTATTGAAGAAATAGCCTTTAAAGTTGAAGAATGAATAAATTCTTTACAATCTAAACATCAATTTTGCAATAAATCACCCGAATTAATTATATTCCCTATGCTACAGCTGGAGGTGACTTTTTATGTATATTTGGATGAAAAAAGTCTTTATCGATTGAAAACGTTTCCCCAATTGTAAAAGAAAAAATAGCTAGATTGTTCTATTTATTTTCCGTATTGTTTCTTTTATACCAATTATAGAATTTATATTATCTATTAGAAATGTACATGACTTTGGGTCTTCTTCTTTATTAAACAATAAGTAATTTGAAGTATTTAACCTTTTATCTCTCGTAGAATCATTAATCATTATTGGTCGAGTGGCTGTATTGTAAATTAGTTATAGGTAGGTGATTTCCATTGAATATTGTTACCGCTTTAATTTCCCATTTGGATACTCCTTTTGTCACGTTAATGAAGTTTTAAACTGCTTGTTAGATGACGAAATAATAAATCTATAAAAGCTTATATCTCTTTTATCAACGTTAAATATGATAATAGTATAGTATTCTACTGTGAATTTTTCTTCGAATTCATAAGATATACTATACCGGTTTTATACTATGAATACCTTACACCAGTATATTTTATTTTAGGTAATAGTTAATTAATTACTTCTTAATTAATTTTATTTTTCAATAAACTATATTCCTCTGTCCTTTAACAATCTAATTATCGAACTACTGTCTAATTTTTTTGATAAGACTATTCATATTTCATACGCCATCTATCGAGTATTGATATTGAATCACTAAAATCAAAAACTTTTAATTTCTCAAGATATAAGAAAGATACAAGCTAAACGCTTTACATTCTCCAGAGGTAGCTTTTTAATTAAGTAGTCACATCGTTTAAATGAGTAAGAAACATAGAGGAGGGGAAAAAACACAACACGCAAAACATTGGCAACTAGTTAACTTAAGATAAAACATTTGTTAAACTTTTATAAAATAAATTTATTACCACAATTGTTTTGTTTGTTTTGTTTGTCTTTTAAAATGTAAAAAGTGTATAATAAAAAAAATATAAAAAAATGAAAATATTCACATTAATAAACTATTCTTTTTTTATTATACGTCAAATGAAATATTTTTTGACAAGTCTGTGCAACGTCGACTAAAATTTTATGAAAAGCCATAACTCAAAACCCCGAGTACTATCCCTCTTTTCAATTCGTTTTCTTTTTATTTAATTGCTTGATATATATTTGTAAAATTTTATTTTTTTTTTCTCTTTTTTTCTCTTTTATCTTTTCTTTATCATAGATTTTTTCTCTCTTTTCTTCTTCTGCTACTTCTTCTTCTTATGTTTCCTTTTTTATACTTCCTCTACCTTTCTTTCTTTCATTTTTTTATTAATCATTGTTTTCTATTACATCTTATTTATTGCGTGAATAGAACAGACAAATGAAAAGAAAGAGGAAATATAATTAGTTATCTAGCGCTCTAGTCCATTTTTACTTTATTTCTTACTAATAATTGACAATTGAAAATTGAGTATAAAAGATGATAAATATCCTTTTTAAACATTGCATGTCTCTCTCTTCTTTGATCATAAATTTTCGTTAGACTTTTTCTACTATAATTAGTCGGTAAATTTTTTAAGGAATTAGGCCTAGAGAAAATTGATGAATTTATAAAAATATTGATTTTTTATTTTTTTTTTTATTTATTATTTTCTTTAAACTAGTCCTTATTTGACTTTACAACAAACTTCCTAGTGCCTAGCATTATAACAGAGAAATTTTAATAATTAATATTATAATGAGGAAAGATTCTGTAATATAATTGAGTTTTTTTTTTTAATTATATTACTAACAATCAGTTTTTATTTCAGGAAGGACTATTAAGTTTTTTATGTTGGATTCACTCTAATACGACTTTAATCATGGCAAAATCCGATGAATCTACTAAATCGATTGGTCTCTCACCATCTTCGTTCTTAATGTTTTTATCGGCTCCTTTTTGAATAAGAAATCTGGATGGACAGAGGAGAAGATTCATTAGTAATATATATATATATATATATATATATAATTGATTAAGATCTAGAAGAAACCTGGCAATGTCGACGTGTCCATTTGCACAGGCTGCGTGCAGGGGTGTCCATGTATCTATAATAACAAGATTATTTCACATGCATAATGCTAGAAAAACAAGGATTTATTTAGCCATGAAAAGGAAAACCCATCCAACCTTCATCGGTTTTATTAACATCAGCTCCGTGTCTGATTAGAAGCCTAACAGCCTGAAAATTTCCATCGACGACCGCCTGGTGTAAAGCCGTCATTCCTGATAATAAAAAGTTATAATAAATGTTTAGGTATACTTTTTAGTTTTTCCACTATTGCTTACCTGAGCTAGACATACTATTAATATCCATTTTTAAACTAGCCCTTCGTAACATCCTATCCATGGCTTGAACATCATTTTCTTTTATATTATCCAGAAAAACCAACTCATCCGGAAAACGAACTCTCGCTGTCTTATTTTTACTCGAACCTTCTGGCTGCTCTTGCTCTTCTTTTAATAATAAACTTGCTCTTCTGCTCATTTTCTTCGATTTATCAAGTTATACCTGAAGAATGACAAGCTCCCGGTTATCATTCCCTCTTCACTCTAGTCCGATAGTTTATATATAAATGCTTTAGCACTTAAAGAGGACTATTTAATCGCACTAGATTTACACAGTGTAGGTATAGTCTCTTTCCTCGTACTCTCAAAATTATAGGCCTTATATACATTTTTCTTTTATCGTAGTTGCTTTAAAAGAAACTATAAAATTTAAGTGAACATATAAGGGAAGAGATTTAATGGAAATAGAGGATAATGTTTTTTTTGTGTCTGCCTGTCTCCTCTCTTTCTTTATGTCTGTATCTTTCCTTCGTTTTCTTTTCCTTCTTTCCTCCCACTCATTCTCATTCACTCACTTAATCTCTCTCTCTCTCTCTTTCTGTGCAGTTTCAAAAATTGATAAAGAAAAGAAACGTAGTTTTGCTTTAAAGGACCACCTATAGATGCTAAATAATTTATAATGAAGCACTTTTTTGCCCTCTTGCTCTATTGGAATTATATTAATAAATAAAAAACTCTGCGTATACAGTATATAATAAATAAATGTAGTTTATACCACTTAGTTTGATATATTTTCTTATTATCTAATATAAAAATGAAATTGATTTAAATATTTCATATGTGTTAGAATAGGGCGAAAAAATTCAACAGATATATATATATATCTATATAGTTTATCTATTTTAATTGATGAAATTGTAATTGACATTTCATTTTATCTATATATTGATAGAAATACACTCATGTTATCGTACTAGCGCCCTTTTGTTCTGTTAATACCCGAATATATTTAACATTAACAAAATACATTCTTATTGATAAGAATAAATGATATAGATAATAAAAACTTACCAAATATGAATTCTAAAGGTAATTGATACGGATTTGTTATATTATCTACTCGAAATGTGGCTGATATTATATAATAGAAGGTTCGAAGTATAAAACGTTCCACAAATGTTATACCAGTTTTGTTAGTAGAATATTCTATTGTTCTTCTAATTTGATGATGGATTAAATAATAAGTAATAATATAACTATTCAGGTAAAGCAGGTAATCCGAGTTCTGTGATTCCAAGCGCCGTAATAAAAGTCTTGTACGCTAGCCTAACGGCGCATCTAGTCTTTTAAGTCCGGGTTTCGTTTGTTTATTATTCACTAATATGACAGTAGAATATCGAAATCAACGTAATACATTCTCAAAGACTAGACTACCTCTCGTCCTCTCTTTAAATATACAGAGCGTTTTTCTTTGTTGAACTACTTAAAATATATAAAATAACCTAAAAAAAAATATCCATGCCAAAATATAATCAAACTAACGATTATAAAGAGAGTGTAATGTCAACATATCATAAAACATTGTTTTCTCTTATCATATTGATAGGGTTGTCTCTTTTTATTTTTTTTCTTCTTTTTTTTTTTTATATTTTTATGTTTCTTTCACTCTTCAAATCTCTCACTGTGTCAGTTTCTAAGTGAACTTTAAACGGTTAATATCAATAATGAAAAGACAAAAAAGGATATATTTTTTAATTTATATATTAATAAATAAAAAGGATTAATAATAAAAAAAAGGTAAGAATATTGACACATTAGCTTTATTTTCAAGGATTTTTATATATAACTGTCAATAAGGTTTATGTCGCCGATTGAGCAGATGATAATATATATATATATATATAATAACTGTATTATAAAAAAAAAGAAGAAAGGATAGAGAAAAAAGAAACGAGAAATACATGCCACCGGAAGTTGTGAATCTTTTTTTATTGCTTAAAATTCAACATAGCGAATCATGCGGTTAAACTATTAAAAACCTCTAGATTTTTAGATTGGAAAAATTCCATACGCTTTTTAAGAGCAAACAATAATAAATACTCAATATAGATTGCAAATTTAATCGACTAACCTAAAAATTTTTATCATCTTAACATATACAATAACAACTTTATACTGTATATACTGTATTAAATACTTCATAAGCATAATTTATAGAATAAAAGACAAGAAAAACTCGCTTTTAAGATGTATATATACTGTATATATAAAAATTAAGAAATGTGATGAAAGAACGTTCCTTGCTGTTTATCGACAGAAAGTATAGTAAAAACGAGATTATTTCTTTTTTTTTCCTCCTTTCTGATATATATTAATAGATTATAAAGTGTAATTGAAATATTCGATTGATAATACACCATCTGACATTTTATTCTATTTAATATGAAAAGAACGGAGACAGATATCGAACGATCAATGTATAAACAAGTAAATAGACACACATTTACAGTATATGAACACTGAATAAGAATTACCTTATACTATAAAAATTGATCTTTTACCACAAAAGTAAAATAAATATATTATAAAACTTTTCAACAATTACGTCATTCTTTAAAGGAATTTTTTAAATAGATAAGATGAAATGAGGAAATCATGTCGGCTAGATCCAAATCCGGCTTACACAGACATTCAATTACATAATAATAGACCAATTTTACATATTGCATTCCTAACAATAATTTCAATTTTCCCCTTTATGATTAATTATGGATAAATGGGATATTAAAATCTTTGAGAAATGGGCAATTTTATATCAAAAAAAAAAATTCTAATAATAATAAATATAAAGAAATAGGCCAAATTTTCAGTATTATTCCCACACCACCAATTTAAATGTGTTAGAGGGTAGGTTGGATTTCCCTTTTTCTCTTTTTCTTACAAATTCTGATTAGATGTGTATATATAAATTTATGATACTTGGTATAACTGCTAAATTGTATTCCCCTTTTATAACCTGTTTACGCTTGACATATTATTTTACTTTGTAATCGATTATATAAAAGAGCAAGATAACCTTAGAATAAGAAAACAGTTATAGATATTTAAATAATGCTAATATAGAAGAAAGTGGTGTATACGGGTAGGTTTAACGCTTAACTCAACATAGAAAATATAACAAAACTTGAAATATTGATTATGAAATCTTATACAGGACTCATTAAAAAATTTTGAAAAAAGGTATATGCCCTAAGAAAACTACTTCGAGTCGTTCATGGCTTGTACTCATTGTAGTTCTTGTCCTCAATTTCTACAAAATCAAATGCAAAATTTACAACAAGAACTTGAAAGGATAAAGATAGAATTAAATTTGAGAAATGAACGAGAGGCTTCCAATATCGATTCTCTGAAGTAAACATAATTAACCAATCTTAAAGAACGCCAGTTAATTGGAATAGTTGTTTTAATAGATATTTCGTTGTAGGTTAACTACTTCCAATGAATTGCAAAAGCTGAGAAATGATAACGAGAAACTTTTGGATAAACTGGAAGAGAGAAGATTGGAATCAACCAACAATAGGAATACGATAGAAGATGTATAAAATATTTAAATATTGATTTATACAAATTAAGCAATTACTATTTTAATAGCTAAATAATCAGGTTAAAAAATTGGATAATTTCCCAAATCCTTTTGTTGTTGAAGAAACATTAACGTTTCTTAAGTTTGTAGTCTTCAATAATATTGTATTATCGACATTATTGTAATTAGCTTTATCAATCTATTTCCATTTATTTCTTCCAATAGAAATCAATATAAAGTGGCAACTAAAGAAATCGAAGATATAAAGGAAAAGTTAAATTGTCTTGATAATACTGAGGTGATGTTAAAAGAGGCTATTTGTTTATTAATTTCAAAGAGATTATTATTTCGTTTTAAGCAGGAGAAAAAAAAAATTCTTCAAAATGAGAAATTAGCCCATTCAATCACTAAGAAACACTTAAAGTTTGTTCGCGACGAGCTAATTAAAGTTGAAAATCAAATGAGAAAACAAAGAGATATGTATAACGAAAGACTTTCTAGTATGGCTAATTGCGAAACTGGAAAAACTCGAATTGAAAAAATCGATCAAATAATTATTGTTTCTGATGAAAAAGCACAAATGTTGCTTGATGGAAGTGGAATGATTTGATTCTAATTGAGCATCGAATAGAGCAAAGAATGAGCATGTTCTTTCGTCACAATTCTGTATCACCAGTACGTTAATATTTTATAATCACTACAGTTAAAACATTCTTATCAAGATTTGTAAAAGCTCTGTGATTCGATCGCCAACAATTAAGGATGTTATTTCTTGGTAAAATTTTTTATATTAATCAAAAGGTTTCACAAAAGAAAAAATGATTTTTAGACGATTACTTCATTATCAAAGAACAATTAAAAATATTCGCATGCTGACTTAAACAAACAATTCTCTACAGGACACTCTGCCCAATTTATATTTCTTTGCATCCTTCGAAAGTAAAATTTTATGAAAGTTTGTCATAGAGGATACTTGATGTAAATCTATTTTTATTCCTGATTTGTGGAATGTATTTATGTGATAATTAATGTCGTCTTCTTCACTTGGTAATAAAATACCACAAGCAGTGCAATGATGTTTTTCTTTACTAACATGTTCTCTTAATTTAATTTTGTCAGCGATAAGTTTTATCTCCCGTTCGACATCTTTGTTCGTTCTAATTTCATAACAATCCTTAGGATCTAAATCGTGTTCTTCAGCATGCTTAGAATATGACTTGGAGCGAGAACTATAAAATAAACAGTTACACACTTTACAAGCATACTTCCTATACTTGAAATGCTGAGATATGTGAGATTTCATATCTCCAAGAGGAAAATAATCAAGACAGAAACAACACAGGTAACCTGATTTCTTTTTAGTTTCAATTCCCAAGTCATTGCTAGTTCTACTCTGTGGAAAAGAAAGTTTTCGTTTCTTTACTTGCTGAAAAGGAGTTTCTTCATATAATGATAAACTAATAGGACTAGACTGTTCTGAAGCAACATTTTTCTTTTTTGGTTGAATATTCGGGACGGAATCAGTTATTTCACTTTTTGATGGTGAAAGGCGTTTTTCATTAATAATAAACTCTCTTGTGGTGCAATTATTAACTACCGTTACTTTTGATGCGATATATAGATTCCTAATACTGGATATTTTTAAATTAGACGTATCGTGATTGAATCGGATATGCTCGGTAAGACTGTTATAGTCTACAGAAGAGTAAACACATCTCGTTACATGACAATAAATTGGCTTAAGTATATGACTTCTAAGTACATGACTGTGTAGGATTTTCAAATCATTTTCATTTCTAGCCCTGTAGTTGCAATATCCACATTTATTGATAATTATCGACTCAGGGGCCATTTCGCTTGATGTTGTAGGTTGCGCCGAATCTGTTTCGTTCAATGTTTTCTTTTGGTGTGAATCATCCTCTTTTGGTATGGATATATTTTCTTTTGTTTTAGATTTTTCAGTTGAAACTGAACTTGTTTCCATTGAACATTGTATTTTTTCATCATTTTTTAATTCTCTCTCCGAATCTTCAAACAAGCTTATACAGGAGAGATAGCTTGACATGTAATATTTTGAACCACCTTTATGTATATTTTCAAAATGAGATATTAGCTCATTTTTATCTTTTAATTTTAAATAGCAAGATGTGCACTTATATCTTAGTTTCCGGTCATAATGATCAAGAATAGATTTAAAATCTCCATAATCTTTTAAGCAATTATAACAAGTAATTTTATACGAGAATTTGTGAAAGCGCTCAAAATGACATAGTAAATCCTCTCTCTTATTTGCAAAATAATTACACCTTCTTATACTACATCTCCATATTCCTTCTTGCCCTTCCCGTAGATGACTTTTTACGATATGACTTGAAAGAGATTGAAGATCCATAAGCTCCTCTACACAATAAAAGCAGATTGCCTTTTCTTCTTTATGCCTTTCGGAGAAGTGCTCCTCAAAATCGGATAGCTTCGAAGAACCAAAATTGCAATTTCCACACTGATAGCAACCTTTCCTGTGATTACGGCGTTCTTTAAACAAATTATTCTTATTTTCAGTTTCAACATTCACTTTTGCTTTCATCATATTTGCTAAATTCTTAAATACCCGCTCAATTAAAATGCATTCAGTAGTTGATGAAATTTCATTTTTCATATTATGATAACATGAAGTCGTACTTCTGCTCAAATTATGAATATGAGCAGAAATATGATTCCTCAATCGAGAAGAATCCTCAAATGGCAAAATGGAACTACAGGTTTCACAAAATATGGAACTATCTTCCATGCGAATTTTTAAGCATGGTAACGTTATAGCAGATAGCAGGTTGCCTGTTTTAAGGTATTTTTGTAATAACGGAATTTTACAAGATGAAGAGCCATTATCCAAATGTCCTTCAACTGCATGCTGTTGTCGAAGTCTTTCATTGTCATCTTGGGTGATGGCAGTGCCGTCTCTTTCTTGACACGTCTCAGCGGCAGGTGTTGGTTGAATGTTTGTTGATTTAGATCCTTTTAGCTCCTCCTGATTTTTAAATGACAATTTATAAACCTTCCTTCCGGTATTAAAGATTTCCTTTTTAAGATAATACTGGCTGAAAAAAAGACCAAGCTTTTGTTCCTGAATGCGATGTTGTTTAGTAATATGGCTTTTCAACTTTTGATAATTGTTAAAACTATTATCACATTGAAAACATGGCGTTATTGACGGCAAATGTTTCATCATTAAGTGGGTTATCATTGCTGAATGACTATTTGAGTTATTGCTGCAATATTTACAGCTAAAGATTATCTCTTTTCTAGATACCTTTGGGATGTCTCTTTTTTGTTGAACATTGTGAGCCTCAGCTGTTATTTGTTGAATGGATGGTAACGAGAAATTTTCTCGGGGAGAAATAGCTGTCGAATCTTTAGCAGAAGTTCCCATTGCTGCCGTTCTAGATTGATTTTGTGACATTTTTTTAACAGGAAATCTTTAGTTTTTCTATCCTAATTAATAGAACGGCATATTCTGACTCTGTCCGCAAAATTAATTGAAAAAATCAATATCAAGTAGCATTGAAAACTTTTATAAATTATTATAAAAAAAATAACCAACTAACTATCTTACCCACCCTGCAATAGTGAAATTTGGATTTTGCAAATTTTCGGGCAAAGTTAATTTTATGCTATCTCGATTTTCTAATAAAGTATACTTACAAATCTTGTAGGAATGGAAAAAGTTGTAACTAGAAAACAGCAAGCAGCATGGTCTTAAAAAAACCTAGGTAATGTCGTTTTACAATACCTTAATTTTTGAAGATGAGAGTTTCACGCTTTCAGGTATTAATTGAATTAAAATATTAATTTGTTATCCTTATTTGTATTCTTACTACTTAAAGATACTATCATTTCTAAATACAAGTATTGAAAAGTGCTTTCAAAAGATAAACCCTCTTCAAAGTAAAGTCTGTCCTGAAAAGGAAGTCACGTGATTGAAATTCAAGACGGAGTATTCCATTTTTGTTAAAACAATATGATTTTAGATATTAGAACAGGTAACCCGTCTATGTTTCACAATACCGGCAAGGACAAATTGTCTGCTTGATAGAGACCACGGCAAAAACTTACGATATTTACTAAACTCGACAAAAAATAAATACTATCTAATTATGTCGACACATAAGCCAACCAGTATGGATGATGATGATCCTGTTGTTAAAATGATTAAAAATACTGGTTGTTTAGAGCAACATTATAAGGTTCAAGAATGCTTTTTTGACAAGCAAGATTGGAGGAAATGTCAAGAAGAAGTAAAATCATTTAAGGATTGTATGAGAAAGAGTGCTTTAAAGAAAAAAGACACATAAGATGCGGACAAAAACATAATATTTCTTCTCTGTAACAGTTTTTTTTTGTTTAATTGTGACGTTTGCTAATTTTATAAAAAAAATTTGTTTATAAATTACGATGTTATTCATTCAAATGGAATTGAAATATTTACGATTACTCAGAACATACTGATATTAAGTTATTAGTTCTAACATTCGGTGAGAAGTTTGATTCTATCATTTTTCTCAGTTTCCAAGAGAACGTAAACAAATGTATCATAAGCAGCCAAGCCTTTAATGCCATTCAAGGAAGCAGTCTTTTCATTAATAACTATCCTTGACTTACCATTAGACTCCAATTGAATAATGCAAGCATCTTTGTTATCAGCAACTAAAATATTGCCATTCCTATCAACGCACATTGCTCCAGGACAGTTTTTTAAATTCCAAGTCGCTATTAGTATACCAGTTTCTATTGAGAATTGGTGAATTTGTCTTGTTTCGGGATCTCCAACGAAAATGAATTCATCTCCCTTACAAACAACATGTCCTGTCCGACGAATTGGTGCCGTAATTGTCTTTTCTTTCATCCAATTCTCAGTATTAAAGATAAGAACTTCACTTGTTGAAGCAACAACAAGTTTACCGGTTGAAGCCGTCGTTGCAATATGTGGATATCGTCCACTGAATAGATTACGATGCTTCACTATAGGTATGCCTATTTTACTAAAATCAGTCTCTAAAATGGTTCCTTCCGGATCGGCACTTCTTGCTATAAATATCTTCTTTTTGAACTCGGCTAAATCATGTTCACAAAGATCCTTTTCGTGATGTATTTGATCAGATGTATCTAAACAGTGCTTTTTCACACATTTAGCGGTTAGAATATCTCCTCCTTCAGTAGCAACGAGAGCGTGAATACGGTGTTTCATTGGTATTTCATCAACAAACCTCCAAGTTTGCAATACTTCGGTATCTTTTAAAAATTGATGGCGAAAAAAGGATTAAAAACACACATTTATAATAACAATAATAATCACCATTACTCTCTCTATTATTATTCAATGAAAGAATACTTGATTCCATTTGTATTGTACTGCTTGAACATTTGTGTAAGCGTCTATAGTCATTTGTAGAATAAAAGTTCTTCGGAGGACTAATATGAACTATACTTGGCTCTCTCATCGCATTGTTAAGATTTAAATTCTCTACAGAGGTGAATGATGAAGTATCTTTTATTCTTAGCTCATCAATTGCTGATCTTACTTTCTTTGAAGCCCTCTTCCAACTTACAGGATCAAGGTTTATTGGAATTGATAAACGCCCTTTCAAAGGCTGCTGAGACCATTTCAGTGAAAGTAAGTCCAAACCCGTTGATGCAATATTGAGGGCGTGTATTACTTCACTTAACTTGTTAACATTCTGGGATATCTCTTCGTCCGATCCCATGTTCATTTCTATGCCCTATTCGGATATTATGATGTATAGCTATAAAAAAGTATTATTTAAATTTCAAATTTCAAAAAGTTACGATCCATAAAGCATCACTTTATTAATAATAGAAAATACTAATATATTTATATTGCACACAAAATATAGTAATATATTAAATAAACATGGGAAACTTTTCAAGATTAAATTTATAGTGTAGTTTTTTAGTGATTAGTCTCGCTTCAATCAAGGAGCATACTTTTCATAGAATTTGAACAATTCATTACTTTCAACGACGTTTATTACCACCTCCAGCAAATATCATTGCTAGCCTGATAAATATATTCATAGTATCGAGATAGATTGAAATAGAATTATTGATTGGGTCATAACCATGTTCGCCTTTAAAACCATATATTGCTGGATAATCTTCAGCTCTCTTTACAATTTTTTGCGTATCGTATAGTAAAAATAAACCAAAAAGGACAAGACCACCGTATACGGTAATTGAATATAGTCCAGCTCCAAAAACAGAAGTTGGCGGCAGGAACATTGATCCGATTGAGGACATAAATACTACACCCAGTCCCATGGCTAACGGACCGCCCATATTCAAAAATTTATCACTTGGAGCACACATTGCCAAAGTTGAAAGCCCACCAACAATTCCAGCCGTGTAGCTAGCTGCTCTTAGCATAATTGGGCCACCAAGTAACGTTAAGGGGGCAACAATGGCCCCCATAGTTGCGACGTGAACCATCCATGCCACTTGTTTTGCTCCAAATTCCCCCTTGTATGGAATACTTCTTGCAACAGCTCCAGTTCCAAGTACTGCTGCCATAGAAACCAGGAGGCTAACCCAGCCAGTACGACTCACCAATCTCATAAGGGGAGCACTTCTGCTAATGGCGTAGGCAGAGGCGGCAGTAATTCCAATGCCACTTCCAAAATACATGTAGGTACTTTTAACCCTTTCGCGAACGTATTCTGGCCATACAGCTGCTTTATCAGCGGTTCCAGCTTCACTTGATAAGCCAAGTCCATAAAAACAGAGTGCTCCAATTCCTAGAGCTGATGCCCCAGCTACTACGCCTTTTCCCAATCCAAAAGCTAGTGAAGTTGTTAACGATCAAAATCGATCATGTAAACATAAGGAAAATTACAAACCTGCGTCTGCTCCACGAGATGTTTCAACTTTTGGGGTAAGAATTTTTCTTTTCAACGGAGTTCTTGCTTGACTTTGCCAATGCCTCTGCGATCTGATTTGCGGTATTCGTTCTCTAAGCAGATTTCTGCTTGAAGGGGTTACTGTTCGATAAGCTTGTGATAAACAAGCTCTAACTGCCAATAGTGTTGTCATATTGATATTTTTAATCTTTGGAACACTAATGAAAGCGGAGATTTTGCTGAAAGTCTGAACAACTTTCTAGATTTTTCTGATGAAATATGGACTTGACCTTCCAATCACTTTTGCAATTTCCGATCAAAATGTATTCTAAAATTATTGGCTCAGTGTCCATATTTAATCTTAAATTCATACTTCAAACTATCTCTGTCATTAGAAGCTTTTCTAAAAATCTATCGTAAAAAATTACATCAGTAAAATTTTTTGCCAAAATCTAATTTGTTATTCTTCAACCTAAGGGCACTGATATGAATTTTTTATTCGAACACGAATATTTATTCTAAATTGTCATACTATTTATAGTTTTAAAAAAGTTCGAAATATATTTTAAAGGAGAATATTTATTTCCCAAAGGTAATTTTTCCATAAAAACAACATTATAAGGAAATGTTTCAGCTATTAAACAATAAACACTAGATGTCGCTAGCTCATTCTGAAACAATCATGTGTCGCTCTCTATATATTATCATTTAATATCGCTCATTAAAAAACGTGTTTATTTTTTAAGACAGAAATTTCCAGATATACTTAATAATAAAAAATGGATGATGAAGCAATTGGATTCGGTATTGAAGAGATTACTAATTATAAAATTGTGAATGGTAAAATTGTATTTGGAAAAGACGATGTCAAAAGGGTATGTGAAATATTTTATAACAAGTCATTTCGTTCGATTAGAAACGGATTTAATAACAATTTTAAATACTTTTAGCATTAGGGTTAACTCTTTTGAATATTAATGCAATGAGATTTTCGAAAGAAGTTTTAAGCATTTCATTTATTATTTATAGGTATCATTAAATCCTAAGAAGGAAAAGGTATCAAAACCGAAAAAAAAAACCTCTGTTAAGAAAAGAAAGGTTAAAGAAGAAGATGAAGTTGACGAAGAAACCCTAAAATCACAAAAAAAACAGAAAATGGCTGAGATTAGCTCGGACATTTCATTGGACGATATGATTGCCTGGAAGGGCATGCATATTCCTCATCTTTTGCTAATGGGGCTTCAAAAGAATGGTATGACGTCTCCGACACCAATTCAATCCCTCACTTTACCATCTGCTATTAGGGATCATTTAAACATTCTAGGAGCTGCCCCAACTGGTAGTGGAAAAACTCTAGCATTTTCCTTACCTATCCTTACTTCTTTAATACTTGATAATTTCGACTGCCAAGATAATCTATATGCACTAATCATAACCCCTACACGAGAGCTGGCAAAGCAAATAACCCAACATATAGAGAATGTTTCTAATCATATACCACTAAAGATTTCTACTATTGTCGGGGGTCTTGCCCCCCAAAAACAAGAACGTGAGCTCAAGAAAAAGCCTCATATAATTGTTGCTACTCCTGGAAGATTATGGGATCTTTGGAAGACCGGGTCAGAGCATTTGACCAATTGTGGAAAACATTTAAGATATTTAGTTGTAGACGAAGCTGATCGGATGATAGAAGCAGCCCACTTTGATGATTTAAATAAAATATTGGATCAATTGGCCGCGGATCAAGCTCAGGGAAACTTTAGACAGACTTTTGTTTACTCTGCAACTTTGACAGTCGTTCATAAAGGTCCTCAAAGATATGTTAAGAAAAAAGGTGGTCGGACGGTTGATGGTAAAATTCAAGAAATTTTGGATCGACTGAATATTAAGAAAAAGCCCAAGATAGTTGATTTAACGGCAGGAGAAAAGGAAGAAATAAAACCCGAAAATCTTTTAGAAGCCAAGATATATTGTAGTTCGTTAGAAGATAAAGATGTCGCATTATTTGTTTTTCTGCAATCTTATGCGGGAAGAAGTCTTATTTTTGTTAACAGTAAGGATGCTGTTAGAAGACTTCGTTCAATTTTGGATTTGTTGAAATGTCCTCCTCTCCTTCTACACGCTGATATGCATCAACGTCAGAGACTTAAGCATTTGGAAAAGTTTTCTTCAACGGAAAATGCTATTTTATTGGCAACGGACGTCGCGGCCAGAGGTCTTGATATAGAAAATGTCCAACACGTTATCCATTATAACGTGCCACGAACGGCTGAAACTTATATCCATCGATCAGGAAGGACAGCGAGAGCAAACAAGTCAGGAATATCAATACTCTTAGTTACACATGACGATATGAGGAAATATAAGAATATTTTGATGACTTTAAAAAAAGACGATCTAAATGACTTTCCTTTAGATCTTGGACATCTAAAAGTTGCTAAAGAGAGAGTAAATCTAGCACGTCAAATAGATGTTGAACAACATAGGGTACGCAAAACAAACGTTACAAATAGATGGTTCGAACAGGCAGCTGAAGAAGCTGGTATAATTTTGGACGAGAGACAGATTGTTGACGAAGGAATCGATGCAGCTGACTTTAAAAGGAGAAATCAATATTTAAAGAAAGAACTAAATGAATTATTGAAGCAACCATTAACTAGAATTTCAACAAAATATCCTGATTTGATTGTAAAGAAACAAAATGATACTGATAACGCTGTTAAATTAGCAAAAGAACGAGCAATTAAAAAGAAATAATTTGATTAATAAAAAAATTAATTCATAGTTTTCCATTATTAATATCAATTTCTAATAGGGTTTTCTATTATTATCAGATAACGGCTGTAAATATGATTATATGAACCCTAAAAATTACGAGCTTTAACATAAATATAAAAATTTATTAGCCAAAAATATTCAAAGGTATAAAATGGAATTATTTATGATAAAGAATTTTACTGTATATTCAATAACAAGTACTAAAATCTTTGAAGAGAGAAATAATAACAATACAATTATCTTTGAAGAAATTTTGTTTGGTCAGCACTATTTGATAGATTGAAGATTGGCTCAAAGGGTCACGGAATGTAGGAGAGAATCCTCTTAAAATAAATTGATTTTAATAAAATTGCTGACATGTTTATTAAAGTAGAGATCTAACTACATACGATAAATTAGTAATCCATTTTATAGTACGTGTTGGTACTACGTATGAGACTCATATTTAAGAGGTGATTTATTTACTTTAAGGAACCGAATGGAATATTTTCATTAGCTAAATAGCATCTTATGTAAAACTAGACTCTTAAATCATGCAATATCTGTAATTACTAAATTAGTTAGGATTAAATTAGTATTTAGATAATAAATTGTATATTAAAGCAACAAAATGCTTTTAATGTGTAAATAAATTGTTTTTATTTATTTCAAATCTAGGCAACATATACAATTGTAAGAGACGATCTCTCAATACAAATGTAAAATTAAATAAAAGTTGAACATTTGAACAAAAATTTTTTAAAATCTTTGGCTCACTTTTCTCTCAAATATTATAAGAGAAATAGGTCATAAGCAACGTATCATCTATCCCTATTTATTTCAAGTTCAGATGGGAAGAAAAAAATTAGATCAGACTTTAAACGTGCCATATCTTATACATCTTCATCTCTAAAAAACGAAAGAGAATAACTTTAAAAGTTATTTTAAGCTTGAAACAGTTTAATAAATATATAACAAATATTGTATTACATTACAATAGAGTAAGTATTCTATGTTTATAATTGTATAAAAAGAAAAACAATAACAAAAACAATAACAAACAATTGACAAAGATAATTGTAAACATTTGGCTAAATTTTGAATATATCCCGCAGAGATAATAAATACAATTATAGCAAAAATTTGCCAAGCCAATAATTTAGGATACGATCTACTTGCTTGTAATATCATTATTATTACTATTATTAAATCTATATAAATAGACTTATTACGAACTTTGAGCTTAAACTTTAGTTTAGGGATCAAAGACTGAAACAATTGATTCATAAGTATTTGTAAGAAGTTCAATTTTCAATGCTATTCGTTCTACAATATAACCTGACTATTATATAGTTGAATATTAATAATACTATATATATTATAAGAACATGCATCTGACTTTAGCTTAATAATAATTACTATAATATATCATTTACGTTGTAAAATAAGTTGATAAGCAATTTAGTTAATAAAATAGCTTTGATAAATAGTGGCAATAATATAATTTTTAAAGCTTTCAATTATAAATCATATAATATAATATATAGTTTATATATTGCATAATATATATATATATATATATCTATATACATATAATTTATTTAGCTTTATATAAAGATTAAAATTTACCTCGTCGGAAAGAATATGCTCGAGTATATTTCCTTTAATAATTAATAATCAATTTAATAGTCTTAAAAATAGTTTACTCAAGTCATCACGTTTACAATTCCGAATGGAAGTCTTTTTAATAAAGAGCAAGAATATCTTCCTTTTTGTGTGAAATTAATACATAAAGCATATTTACTGCATATAGTTGAGGAGATAAATCTTGAACTTTGTTATACAGTAAATAATAATCATTTTTTTTTATAAATATTTACCAAAGGAAATCCATTTCCTCATCAAATTCTTCTTTGACACACAGATTACTCTCAATTGTATTATTATAATCTACGTAGAAAAGGAGAAACCTGCAAGGGAAATAAATCTACGATAAATCATTGCTCTCTATATATTTATATTATTTCTAAATAAACGCTATATTTAAGTATAAACACTCGGTAGAATAATTAAGGTAGATATGATCATAATAGCATACCTTTTTAAGGGAGATGGTAATGGTAGTTTATTGATTAGTGGAGCGATATCTTTCCCTTGAGAATAACATGAAATTTTTTTCCTAATACTCAAACGGGCAAGATTTTCTAAACGGGAGGGACAAGTTAAGTGCCGTTCTACCCACTTTTTCAACCTTTCATCACGCATTGTAGAAACGTTACATGGATATCTTAAAAATTCATTCATCGTTAAACTTGCTCCAGCTAACAGTAATAGCTGAAGTGTACGTATTCGACCATTGAAAATACACCAATAGAGGGGTGTACAACCTCCTCTGTCACCAATATTCATATCAGCGCCATGTGCAATTAATATTGATGCGTTATGCTCGCTTCCAAAATAAACAGCGTGAAGTAAAGCTGTTTCCCCATTCATATCTCGAGCGTTCAATGGTGCACCATATTTTACAAGTAAAGCAGTAGGCCACGGTGTATCAATCCTAGCTGCAAGCATCAAAGGTGACCATTGAAAAGCATTCTGTGCAGAAATGTCGATGAGATTATGCTCCAGTATGTAGTGAATAAGTTCTTTCGATTTGGATCCAACGGCCAAATGTAAAAGATTCTCATCTTTTATTGTCAAATTTGTTAAATTGGCACCAACTCGTATTAGTAACTTAACGATCTCCAAGTCACCTTTCGAAGCAGCAAGATGTAGGCTTGTAAAACCATCCTTATCGTAAGAGTCGACGGAACAGCCAGCTAAATAGATAAGAGAATTATTGTCGCGTCAAAAAAAAATTTAATTTGATAAACCTTTCAACAGTTTCTGACACACTTCTATACTTTGTACTTTCACGGCAAGATGCAAGGCTGTCGTTGTCATTGTTACGGCCTCGCAACGTACACACGGATCAGCCCCATCACATAATAGGAGATCAACAACGGCTACATTTTTAGACTGTATGGCCTCCATAAGAGGTGTACACTCTAAGCAGTTTTTAGCATTTAATTGTAAACATTGCCTAGTTAAGCGATAACGATTACAATTGTCGCAGTGACATGTTTCTTCATGACCTCCTCTCATTGCTTTATCTCCTCCAGCAGCTGCTGTTCTAGCGTGTCTTTCAGCGTGAAGTTTAATTAGAAGTTTCACCATTTCATATCCTTTCTCTCTATCTTTACAAGCTAAATGTAAAGGTGTATCACCTTCATAATTTCTTTGATTCAAATTTGATCCAGCTTCAACCAACATTTTGGCTATTATTTCATTATTTTGTAAAACAGCCAAATGAAGTGAAGAATTACCGACCGGTACAGTATGATAATGAAAGGGTCCGCAGGACACTTGAGTTGTACCCTCCGTCACATTATATTCAGCACCTAATTTTAGTAGAGTTTTAACCGCTGTATAGCTACTACTTTTAACAGCCAAAATTAACGGTGCATCTTGCTGAGATCCTGAATCCCTATTCAATTTTGCGCCTAAATGAATTAACATTTTACAAAGATCTTCATCTCCTTTAGATGCAGCGATTACGAGAGGTGATAGTCCATCATCAACTTGATTCAAGTCAGCTTCAAGTCTTACAAGGAGATGAATTATTTCAATTGAACGGTTAATAATTGCAGTAGATAGTTGACGCTGAAGAACTTCAGCTGTAGCATTTGTAGCTAGTTTTCGAAAAAGCTGTACTTGATTTTTTGTAACAGCTATATTAAGAATATTATCAAGACAATTTGGAATAATACTGTAGTTAGCACCGTAAGCTAAAAGAAGCTCAATGTGATTTATATGATTCAAAGAAATTGCTTTCAGTAGTGGTAAGACGTCATTTTCATTTGCAGGCATTTGATTAGGATCACCTCCTCTTTCAAGAGCTATTTTTAGAGGTCTTTCATCCGGTATAGTAACTAATATCCCTACAAAAGTATGACCATTCGGTAGAGGCGTATTTATCTGAAATGATAAAAAATATAAGTAGGTTTCTAGAATAAGAACTTGAAAATGTTTACTTCTTTCTCCGAAAAGTAAGCCAGAATGGGTTGAATTTCTATATAATTTTCCTCCTTATATGTTGATAGTAAATTGAGAAGTGTGTACAACTTTGGCGTATATTCAGGGCAATTATTGGAATCCCCCAATACTTCATCAACGTTAAAATACTTTTCCATCATTTGTTGCTTTTATCAATTCCAAAAAATAAAGTCAATAAAATTTCCCTTTAAGACAGCGTATCAGTTAAAATGAACCGTTATACGGTTGTTTATATATTAAAAGTTCATATGTTTTCAGACATTTTAAAAATGACAGCTGATTGCCTACATAGGATTATTTTCGTATAAAATTTTTATAAGAACAATATTGTTCGCTAAAAATATCTTCGAATTAGAAGATTTCTTACAAAAAATTTGATTTTGAAAAACAAAACAATTTTATGTTGTTTCGTATGTGATAAACATTTTATTTTTCAGGCAAGTTTGTCATTCCAAAAAAAATTCCTGGAAATAAATCAGACGTTACGCAAATAGACGAAAATTTGCTTTTTCGAACGCAACATTCGTTCAACTGCAACCAAAATAAAACCTATTATGCATTTTTTTCCTAAACGACGAAAGTGTTAGAAAAAGGTAATGTAACAAAATTTTTGGTAATTGTGGAGTTATTTCTTGTGAGCGATATTAGATAGAAGACTAGGTGTAGTTTTGTTGTTGTGTTTATATCTTTCAAGTTCACTGCTTTTTTTCTTTTTATCATATCTATCGTTATCACAATTGGTTGTTGTGATATCAGCAGTGGATTCGAAGAAATTATGTGGTTTAAAACTAGATCAAAATTGTGAAAAAGTGTTGTTAAGGCCTTTGTGCAGAGAATATTGTGAATAAACAAATTCATGGATCGGAATTCATTACGCCTACTCAGGATCTATTAGAATAGTAAATTAAGTGATTTGAAAGGCGTTATATTTCTTCGAAACAGACAGAAATTGTTGAGTTGTATAAAGTTTCTGTTTTGTAAAAGCGCTTGTTTCAGCATGTGTTGTATTTTTATATAACAAAAAAAAAATACAATGCGAAATGTTCCTTCAATAAGTCTAGAATGTAATTTTCTTAGACCTCTGGAACTATGCAAGACGAACAATACGAATTGCAATCCGAGCTGGAAAGAGGAGAAAATCGAACAGAACCTCTCCAAGGCAATACATTCCAATCGTACCTTCCCGACAAGAATCGAACATACAGCTGTTTGCATTGCCGGGCTCATTTAGCAAATCATTCCGATCTGATTTCAAAATCGTTTCATGGAAGCCAAGGTCGAGCCTATTTGTTCAACACAGTCGTTAACGTTTCATGTGGTAAAGCCGAACAGCGTGTACTTTTAACCGGTTTACACGCAGTAGCTGACATATCTTGCCAATGTTGTCAAACAACTTTAGGCTGGAAATACGAAGTGGCCTTCGAACCTTCTCAGAAATATAAGGAAGGTAAGTATATTATCGAACAGACACATCTTGTTAAAGACAATCATTGGGAATCGTCATAAATCTATATTATGCTTCCCAATATTTTATTTCTCAGTCAATGCAATTTACATGTCTTGCTTTAAAGGCAAATATATATATATTTTTTTTCTAAAATCGCCATTACAACACTTATGTATATACCAAATACAGTATAAATACAGTATATCTATATATACTATATATATATATATATATATATATATAAATATATACTGTATATTTATATATTTACATCAAATGTTCAGTCAAAGAATGCAGCAGAAAAAAATGAAACAAATGTTTTTTCTTTAAAAAAAAAAAGAATTAAATGTTGAACTAACTTTTTATGGTTCCACTAAAAGGTGATGTATATTTTATCTCTCTGTATCGTATTGCGTGATATTTCTTATATATAAAAAAGACTGGATCTCTCTATCTTTACATCCGTATGTATTTATTTACTTTTTCCTTTTTATACTTAAAAAAAACAGAATACCATCAAATGATTTTGTAAATGTCCTTTTTATTTTTTTTTCTTATAAGATATTCTTTTTGTTTGTTTCTTTGTTACAATCGAAATTTGTCACGAAAAAATAAAAAATAAAAAAAAAACATGTAAAAAAAACAAAAAAAAAAAGAAAATTTGTTGTTGAAAGAAGCTTAAGAGGTTTAACATGTTAGCGAAGGTATTAAAAACTCCGGTTTTAGCAGATGATGAAAAGTAGGTGGTGATTAGTTTCTTTTGTAATTGCCCTATATAGCACAACCTTTATAGTATTATGTTCACTTATTTTCTGACATGGAAAATCATAGATCTCTATCTCTCTCTCTCTCCCTGTCTCTCTCGCTTTCTCTCGTAAGCCAAAAATAGTTATTTATTTAGAGACGTTTAATGGAAATTTATGTCCCATAACATAATTATCTCTGAAAAAGAAATGATTAATAAAAACCCTCACAATATCCTGAAACAATTATCGATCCTTAACGAAGCTTAACGTTTATAGTTAATATAATAATAGCAATCATTTGTACAACTGATTGAAAATTCAATGTTTAACAATCGACTTTCTCGAGACGAAACACTGAATGACTGCAGAAAAATCGATACCGAATTAGGCAAGCAGCAGTCGAGTAATCTATTAGAATTATTTAAGGAAGAGCAAACATATAATAATAATTTTAAATTGTCAATTTAACAAGTTGAGATTGTTAATTCCCTTACCATAGATAGAAAAGGAAGGATTGTCCACTCTAATTAATTTAAAGAATACAGAAATAAATATCTTGCGCTAAAACATTATACTTTCCCAGTCTGACCTTTTCTAGTCCATTCACTTACCTATTGGCCGAAAAGAACATTTGCATTAGGAGAATAAGTTCACCTGACATATAACTGGCGAAAAAGATGAATAGAACTCCAGAAAATATGTGTCAATATTTCTGGAAAGTCAGGAGGAAAACAATAACAAATAGAACACAAAATAAAGATATATATAGTATACAGTATATATATATATTAATTACGATTAATAAGCTAGGAAACTTCCATGGCCTTATTCTTTCTATGTGTAAGTATCAGCCTTTACCGATTTTCTAAACACCAGTGACTACAGGCCTACACTAAATAAAGGAGCAAACCTTAATTACATTTAGTTTTATTCATTAGTTTCATTAGCAAAACAGTTAAATATACTCTATATATATATACAATCGATTTTAAATACAAATTGTAATATATTACATCTAAGCTGCGAGTAGACATTAGACTTTATTTACTATATAGTATTACCCTCATTATCATATAGGACTAAATCTATTAGGATTTTATACTTTTAATTACTGGGTATCTTATTCTTTTTCCTTTGCTGACATATTCGTCTGTCAATCTGCTACAGTGCATATATGCTGTACATGCCGGTAGTTACATTCACTTAGTTTCGTGTTTTTTCCAAATATATCTAATTGGTTGAAGCTGTCTGTGAGTTTTTGAAACTACATTTGATATCTGAAGCACACCTAGTAAGGTATTAAATAAACTTTGCAGAGAGACCTTGAACTAGAATTAAAGTAAAAGAGAGATGATGCTCCTTTAAGCAGCGTATTGCGTTATATTGTTATAGAATGACCTTCGTGACAGTAAATTAGATTCTTTTCAAGAAAGAATTTTATACGGTATCCTTAACAAAAAGTTCCTCGGAAATCATTGCCTTAATTCATGGGAATACTAACTGATGATTCAGTAAAGGTTGCTAATTATTTAATATTTTACATATTACAGTTAAAAACTATATTATCAATTTACAATTAGTCATATTTCCGTAAATATGAATGGATTTTCTATCTCTCATCGTGATTTTCTATATCAACTGCAACTGTAATATTTTTATAATCTAATTTCTCATCGTCTTCTTCCTCTTCCGCCTCTTCCAATTTTTCGATCATGATTTTATCACTATTTCCGTCTTCTTCCGCTTGATTAAATTCTTTTAATGGGTCTGAATCTGTTTCAGTAATGTACGTGTATGTGTAGCTTTTTTGACGTTTTACACTTTTCGAAGTACGAATGGGTGAGGTCTCGCAAACGTCACTCACATAATCTGCTAAACGATTCTTCAATGTGAAATAGTCCCTCTCTGCTTCCCTCTCATAGTTATGAAGTTGCTCTACGAATCGGCCATAGAACGAAGACTGAATCTTCTTTAGTACATATGCAAATAAGAGAACTAATGTGCCACAAATGCAACCAACATATATATGATAATAATAAGGCGGCAACGGTTCAGATTCTACATTTATACTCTTGTAATCGAATTTCTCGCCTAAACACGATCCAATTATAGGTTCTGGCATATTACAATCTCTATGCCTCTCCATACGCCTTTCTTTACAAGTAGAGCAAGGTCTCCAAGCAACCCAGGGACCCCATTCTCCCATAATAGGCCTAAAACATATAACATGAGCCACATTTTTGAAACAATCTCTATTAACCCAGTCAATAGTTGAGTCGCTATCAAGTGAGGCAGTAAAACACGCACCCTCTCCCAAGCCTGTTTCAACTATTTTGCTGTGCGTAGACGGTATGGCGTCGAAATCTTTCCAGAGGTCGCTTTGCCAAATGAATGTATCGGCTGAAGATGCTCTATGTAAACCTAACCAAACGTTACGAAATTTTAATTTTCTTAATCTTACAAAAAACGAATTTCCAGTATCAACATCTTGTTGAATCCAAAGCTTTAGAACATGCATTCCGATCGACCGACACGCCATCTTTGCGCTTTGAAAGTTCATTCTATGTAGGTGAGTATAGCAATAGCCTCCTTCATTATCGAAATAGACTTCCGACGTAATTTCTTTTACGCCTTCCTTTATTAAATCAAAACAAAAATTAGGCCGTTTTATATAATTAAAGGCACATGGTTCATTTCTCCAACATCGTCTTGATGCTTTTAACTTACATTCCAGATAGTATTGGAAGAAAGAGAAGCGAATGCATAGAGTGAATTCGGCGCATTTTTTCATGCAATCATCCAACGAAACGGCATTCTTAGTTGAGAGATAAAATCTCTCCCTGTCAGGACAAATTTGGCTATCATCCTCACCTTCAAATGTAAAATTCAATGATAAGCCATTAATTTCTTGTTTGATAGTAAAGGAAGTATCGAGCTTGTTTCTTTGTTTACATTCGTTATAACTGGTAGCTAGATTCTTTACAGTCACTGACGTCTCCTTCTTTGCAATAAAAACATTAGACGGTTGTTCGACCACACTACACATTTCTCGGATAACTTCCGTTCTTGCTGGACCCCCACAATGATTATGATAGTGACAACTGGGCGGACTATCGCAGCTTCTTTTCTTAAGTACTATCCTCCAAGAATACCGTCAAACGGATTGTCTACAAAAAGCAGACAGATCATTCAACAAGGAAAACTTATTAGTCTTATTTAATCTTAAGTTTGTCTATTCGTTACTATATTCTTCCGAAGTCAATTCGTTTGGACGGTACCCTTCTTCAGAACAAAGGTTGATCATTTCCCACTTGCCCCAGAATCCATATTGAGGCCTATAACATAAAACATCTACTTTTTCAGAACAGTTATAATTACTTAATACTTCGGTTTGTATATCGATAACGAGGCACTTTTCAGAATTGAATTGCTGATCTTTAAATTCCAAGCTAACAGAATTTTTCCATGTGGACGAGTCCATTTGAAAAATTGTTCTATTTTCCCTCAAAATAGCATTCAATCCAACCCAAAAAACACTAGTCGATAGGAGACTAGTACTATTTTTAAATCCCAAACTGATTTTAGTATTTTCCTCTAGTACTTTTAAATGAGAATAATCAGATAAAGGAATATATTCTGGTAAATAATTGAGAAATTCAAATCTAGCCATGTCTTTCCGTCTGCAAACTTCTTTGCTTTCTGATGCGTTAACGTTTCTTTCACACGAAAAACATATATTTGACTTATCGATAAAGCTTGAATTGGTCGCCTGAAAGCAGCAAAATTGTGTGGTGTATGAATAATTGACAAATATAGATATCAGAACTAGCCACATTGTATAAATTCTTTCCATTTTTAAATAATTCTTTTTTAAACTTTAAATGTGACCATAGGACTAATTTATTAATATATAATATACTATATATATATATATATATGGTATAATTAAATATATATACTTCCTCTTAACCCTTTATAAATGAATAACAGATAGACCGACGGTAATATAGACAGATAGAAAAGGAGAATTTTTTCTTTTGTACATGAAATAATCAATGCTATGTGTTTGCAATCTCATATAATACAAGTAATTGAATATCATCTGTCAATTAGCTTCTTGGGAGGAATTTAATCGGAGCTGTAAGCGACGTAAGTTTAAGTTAATATATACTACACGAAAAATTCTATTATAAATAGTACTTGTCGAAATAATGAAACAGCGAAAAATCTGTATCAAGTAATTTCCCTTTTACTTGCCTACTTTAAACTAGAATAAAGAAGAAAGAACGGAAGAAAGAAAGAGAGAGAGAGAACTGTTCAATCAAAAGTAAAAATAAAATAGAAATTTCTCTCTCTCTCTCTCTCTCTCTCTCTCTCTGTATGACTACGTCATACACTCCAGCTCACTTTCTCTTTCATTTTTTCCAAGTGAAAAAAAATACATAGACCTTTTCATACACAGTTAATAAAAGAGAGTACTTATGATGGAAGTATTTTAATATTGGTTGTAGTAATTGTTTTATAGATCATTTTATTAACATTTGAACAAATAAAACAAAAAAAAAGCGAGAAAGATTAAAGAAGAGAATTTTTTTTATAAAAAAAAAATATTTCAGTTTTAATCAAATTAAAGTGAATGTTTTAAAAGTTACCGATTTTTGGAAAAGGATTATAGATACAATTACCTGGGGCGCTACGAAATTTATTCATGGATCCTGCATGCTTTTTGACGTTTCTGAATGAAAAGAGGAAAAAGAAAGAAAGTAACAAAATATTTATTCGAGGCGAATAACTTATTAGGATAATTTTTGGTGCAACTGGATCGATAGGAAATGTAAATAAGATAAAAAAGAAAATCAGTGCCTTAAACGTATGCTATTTGAAGACAATTGCTACCTTAATTGATTGTAAATAAATGATGAATATTATAAGATAGTTTTTTTATCTAAAGAGATAAAATAATAAAATTTTTTGAGACTAGTGAAAAAAAGTATGCTAGCTTTTCTAAACCGTTTGTCAAGCTTAATTACTATTGCCACCTTGTCGAGTGTACGGCAAACAAGTTGGCGATATGGGAGGAAAAGGGAGCGTTTAGCCTTCTAATATATAGGCCTAAAATCGTTTTGCAGCGCCACGTTGCCAAGCATTTTTTCCCGATTCGTTGCAGGACGCTTTTCAAACTTCTATGGCAGCCAATTTTAGATGATGAGCAGCGCTAGAGCGAGGTTGGCAAGTGCGGCCCGTGGTAGATCCTCGAGTCGTGAGAGACGAAATCCCTCAGCTACAACAAAACCAAAGAATGAATCGCCAAAGAGACCGGTGAAGTCCGCTATTAAGGCTAAGAGTGAAACTGATAAGGCAAAAGACGTTAAAGTAGAAGGAAGTAATGAAGCAAAGGCTAATGCGCCAAAAAAAGTTGAAGATGACTCAAAAAACAAAGGAGAAGTGGATAATGTGGATAAAGCTGAAAGGAAGAAAGAAGAAGGCGATAAAAGTAAAGTTCAACCGTCAACTTCTCAAAATAAGTCCGAAAAAGTAGACACTACACCTACTGTCAAGAAAAAGGTAGAAACAAGTAGAAAACTCAACTCTGAACCAGCGAAAAACGATGCTAAAAAAGACGGTACCAAAACTCCATCCATCCCACCAAAGGATAAACCTCATAATGACGATCCTAATGCAACAGAGTCAAAAAATAAAACTGAATCCGAGCCTAAAAACACTAACGAAACAATAAGTGAACCTAAGACGGATAAAACAGAAAACAAGGAAAAGACAGAGAAAGCGGAAAAGGCTGAAAAGGCTGAAAAGGCTGAAAAGGCTGAAAAGGCTGAAAAGGTTGAAAAGGCTGAAAAACAAGAAAAACAAGAAAAAACTGACAAAACTGATAAAAGTGATAAAAGTGATAAAAGTGATAAAACTGAAAAAACTGACAAACCTGATAAAACGAAAAAAGTTGAATCGGAAAAAACACCACAACAGCAAACTAGTCAGAAACAAGAACAGAAAGTTGAACAAACTAAGAGTAATACTATCGAGAAACGATCAAATGGTTCTATACCTCCTGCAAATTTAAAGGAATCTCCTAAGGAAGAAAATAAAGAGCTGCAAAAATCATCTCCTAGACCAGCTAAAAAACTAATTGAGGAACAGAAACAGAGAGCAACACCTCCTCCTTCTAACACAAGATCAGCTTCGACACCAAAATTGCCTGAAAAGAAGGATGATAAGAAGAAAAAAGATGAAAAAAAACCAAAAGATGAGAAGAAATCAAAGGAAAAGGATGAAAAGCAGAATGAAATTAAAACGGCTGAAAAGAAGGAAAGCGAGGAAAAACAAGAGGAAAAGCTACCAATGGTGCTTGAACTCGCAATGAAAGGAGCTTGGAGTGAATTAGACCAATATCTTCGAACAGTAGCCCAGAATCCGCTACAGGATATTGATGCTCAAGATCCGGTAAACAATTTGCAAACCGACTAAATAAAATGAAACTGATAGAAAATCAATCAATTTCTCTCATTTTACTCTTTTATTATGATCTCATAAACAGTTGTGTTTTTCCCTCAGGTATCTAATTCAACTGCCTTAATGATGGCAGTTAAGGAGAACAAAATTGTAATAGCAGAGAGGCTGATGGAACTGGGTGCCGACGTTAACAAACGCGAAAAGGTTTGTCAGATTTCTATTGATTTTAAACAAGACCGTTAAAAAGAATTAACTAGCCGATTGTTTCGACTCGGTAAATATTCGATTGATTCGAAAGCGTTGAATAATTGCGTTTACCTACCAAACAAACGCTTTGCAGTCCGTCATATGCGATATAATTATAGCAGTATTTTTTTTTATACGACTGAGGTACAATAGAAATCGGTGGGCTCGACGCTTTTAGCGAAACGATCGTTCTTCTTTTCTACCTTTCTCGACTTTTTTTTTATTTTCAATTTATTGATTAATGATCGATTTTAAACCTCTCTTTCCCTCTCACTATGAATAGGACGCTAAAACGGCTCTCCATTTTGCTGCTTCCTACTGCAAGGATGATATGGTTAGAGCATTACTAAATCGTAAAGCTGATGCAAATTCTCGTGATGGTGTACGTAAACTATTGAACAGTTTTTTTTGATTTTCATTCATTCTTATTTGTGTAAAAAATGAAAAAAAAAAAAGGGAAATAGTTCGATAAAGTTTAATGCATCTGCAAACACAATAGGCCAAAGAACAACTACCTTTACATATGGCTTGTTCAAGATCTATTGGCGTCGTCGCCATAGTTCAACTTCTATTGAAGAACGCCGCCAAGGAATCCAGGTTGATTGAGGATAAAGTAAAGAAACTTTTAATAAATAGCTTCGAACGCATTTATAATTTAGGTCTATTTATATAGGATGGTTGCTTGCCAATGATGTTAGCCGCAGAAGCGGGTAATGTATCGGTTTGTAGGGAATTACTCTTAAGTTTCCCAGAAGAGCAATTATCATCAAGAAAGAGAGATACCGGTGACACAATATTACACGTAGCATGCAGAAAAAAAGAGTCCGATATGGTCAAGGCGTTTGTCGAAAATGGAGCTCAATTAGACGCGCAAAATGTAAGCTTTTTATTTACATGCTTATTTATTTCATTTTAATTAATATCTATCGTGAAACATAGACTGACGGCCATACACCTTTGCATATATCAAGCTGGGAAGGCGACGAAACCGTTGTCAAATACCTTGTCCAATATAAACCAAATCCTAATTTAACGGATCAGTTCGATAGAACACCACTTCATCTTGCTGCTGAGAAAGGTCATACAACTATTGTCGATATACTTATCGATAAGTATAGAGCTGATATTAACGCTCGAACGAAGGATGGCTCAACTTTAATGCATGTTGCTTCTCAGTTTGGACATCCAGATACGGCAATGACATTTCTAAGGAAAGGTGTGCCTTTGCACATGCCTAATAAGGGTGGAGCACTTTGCTTACATGCAGCAGCCATGAGAGGCCATAACTCTGTAATTAAGGCCTTATTAACTAAGGGAGCGTCAGTAGATGCGACTACAAAAGATAAATACACAGCCTTACACGTTGCTGTAGAGCACTGCAAACCTTTAGTTGTTCAAACGTTATTAGGTATGGGAGCACCAGTAGAAATAAAGGGAGGTAAAATAAAGGAAACACCACTACATATTGCTTCAAGAGTTCAAGGGGGTGAAAGATGCGCCGAATTACTGCTAAAAAGCGGAGCTGATGTCAATGCCACTCAAGAGGTAGAACGACAATTTAGAACCGTCTACAAATATATTAAACAAAGAGTTTCTCTTCTTACAGAATGGTGAGACGGCATTACACATATCTGCTCGCTACGGTCAACTAAATATGTGCAAAGCTCTGCTAGCCGAAGGAGCGGATCCAACATGGCAATCAAAGGCAGGTGAAACACCCCTTCATATTTCTGTTCGCTATTGCTGCTGGCCTGTGGCTAATGCCCTACTCAAATTTATTGAAAAAGAAAAAAGTCGATTCGATGCAGTCGTGTTGACAAACACTCAAAATGCGGTGAGTACAAAACAATTTAAATCATTGTTTTTTATATTGAAGTCTGAAATGTTACTCATGCAAATTATCAATTAATTTTACACTTAGTTATTTTTTTCAATACTATATCTATGAATAATTTAATAAAGGAAGGAGAAACAGCAGTTCACTATGCAGCTGAAATTAAGAAAGAGAAACTTCATCGTGAATTCGAGGATATTGATCTTATTAAAACTCTGCTTGAATACGATGGAGATACAAATATACATACAAAATTGGTTTTTATATTTCTATTATTAGAAACAGAAAGTCAAATAAATATATGTTTTAGACTCAAGAGACGCCTTTGCACTATTGTGCTAGAGCGGGAAATGATGACGTACTGCTGGAAATAGTTAAACACATTGGACCGGGAAAGGTTCAAGTAGCAGTGAATAAACAAGCCAAGGTAAAACAGCTAATATAGATTTTATAAACGACCGAGTTCATTAATGAATATGTATGAATTTTATCAAAATAGAATGGTTGGTCACCTCTGCTAGTAGCAAGCGAAAACGGGCATTTAGAAATATTAAAAATTCTATTAAAGAATCATGCAAGAGTTGACGTATTTGACGAAGTAAGATAATATATAACTTTTATCAAAAGACTATCTATCCAACTGTTATTCACTCTATCAGCACGGGAAAGCAGCGTTGCATTTATCAGCCGAGCATGGTCATGCTAAAGTTGCCGATCTTCTACTCCAACATAAGGCATTCGTTAACGCAAAATCAAAATTGGGTGTAACACCTTTGCATTTGGCAGCGCAAAACGGTTACAATGCTCTTGTTAAACTACTTATTGAAAATCATTCGGCTAGTATCGATGCTCTAAGTTTGGTAAGAGTTATGAAAGAGTTTTGTTTTTTGAGAGGCCTCGTTTTAAAAGCTTAAAAAGGTAAAAGTGACTTTATTACTTATTATTATAGGCGAAACAAACTCCATTACATATGGCTGCTCAAAATGGTCAAATGGAAGTTTGTAATACTTTATTAAAGATGAAAAGTGACGCTAGTGCTACAGATGCGGTAAGATTAACATTAAAAATCTAATAATTAGTTTTAAATTATTTTTAATTAGCACGGACAAACTCCATTACACTTGGCAGCAGAAAATGACCATTCAAATGTAGTTAAATTGTTTCTAAAACATCGACCAGAGTTGGTAGGAATGGCTAATACTGTAAGTAATTGACTAAGCAAAACAAAGGCATTACTAATAATTTTTCCCATTTTTGTTTTGAATTTCAGGACGAGGTAAGGCTATTATAGTCTGTATATAAAAAGAAAGGAAGAAAGAGGGATTCTATTAATGTAAATTGATTTCTAATACTGAAAAAAAAATTGATTTCAGAATGGTATGACTTGCGCTCATATTGCCGCATCTAAAGGGAGTGTCGCAGTTATAAGGGAATTGATGAGATTTAACAAGATCGTTGTAACAACAGCCAGAAATAGGGTAAATATTTTCTCTATTGAATTTTTCATTCATCCGTTACATAATCTCTTCTCTTACTCATTTCTTTTTTTTTTTAAAAAAACAGACAAGTGATTCTACAACACTCCATCTGGCGGCTGCTGGTGGACATTCGGCTGTTGTAAGAACATTAATTGATGCGGGTGCCTCCCCTGTGGATGAGAATAGCGTACGTTTGAGAGTTAAAATATAAAGAAAAAAATGAGGGATATTTGCTAAAAATAATTTTTCCAATACTTTTTTTTTCTAAAGGAGGGAATGACAGCAATTCATCTTGCTGCAAAACACGGACACACTCAAGTTCTAGATGAACTAAAAAAAAAAATGTCTGTCAAAGTAAGAAGAGAGCGTTTAAATTAAATTGAAATCTGCTGTAAAGTGTATTTATTTGATAGGTATCGAGTACAAAATCCGGTTTAACTGCATTGCATGTCGCTGCCCATTACGGTCAAATAGACTTTGTCCGCGAAATGTTAAATAAAGTTCCGGCAACGCTACGAAGTGAATCAGTTGATACGGAAACGATACAAAATGAATCTGGTTTTACTCCGTTGCATTTAGCGGCTCAGTCTGGTCATGAAGGTCTTGTCAGACTCCTTCTTAATTCACCAGGAGTCGTTGCAGACGTACCAACAAATCTTCATGGATCATTGGCCCTTCATCTAGCCGCTCAGTCTGGTCATACAGCAGTTGTTTCTCTTTTATTAAGTAAGTCTACAAGCCAATTGCATGTAAAGGATAAAAAGGGTAGGACGGGACTCCATCTTGCGGCAGCTAATGGGCATATTGATATGGTTTCACTTTTACTGGGTCAAGGAGCAGATATTAATTCGTATGATAAGAACGGTTGGACGGCCCTACATTTTTGCTCGAAGGCAGGTCATATAGACGTTGTTAAACTTTTAATTGAAGCTGGAGCCGGCCCGACATACGAAACCAAAGATGGAAAAGTAGCTCTTTGTTATGCGGCATCAATGAACCATGCCGAAGTTCTCAGCTACTTATTAAAAAAAGAACACAACACAAGTACTTTGATGGACGACAACAAATTTGTTTTCGATCTCATGGTTGTGGGCAAGCTTAACGACAATAAGTCGATACAAGAATTCGTTCTAGTTTCCCAGGCACCTGTCGATACTGCCGTCAAATTATCGAGAAACTTCCGTGTTCTGGCGACAAAGGAAAAAGAGAGAGCGAAAGATTTATTAGCTGTCGGTGATTTTTGCGAAGCTATGGCAACCGAATTGAACGCCATAGCAGCCAGTGTGTCGTCAGCCGGATTGATTTTAAAGGCCGTTGATGAAAGGGGCATGCCTTTTTTAGATGTTCTCATTGAATGTGAACAAAAAGAAGTTATGTCGCACGCTGCTGTTCAGAAACATCTGACGGAAGTTTGGATGGGTAAATTAAGCGAATGGTCCAGCTGGAAAATGCTTTTACTTTTTGCCAGCCTCCTTATGCTTCCTCCTGTTTGGCTTGTCTTCTCATTACCCATTAAACATAGCTTGAATAAGATACCGGTTATCAAGTTTATGAGTTATCTTGTATCCCATTTCTATTTGATTATACTTTTCTATTTGGTTGCTGTAAATCCTTTGGTTCCAATCTGGAAATCGGGTTCCCTAATACCGAACTGGCATGAATGGCTACTTTTAGCTTGGCTATCGGGTTTACTCGTTTCGGAACTTACTAATCCAGGCGATAGGGCTGGCTTAGGTTGGATTCGCGTATTAATTATCGGTATTTGCTCGATAGGCGTTGCGGTACATATTCTGGGAGCCGCCTTTTCCGGCGATCAACGACTGCAATGTATTTACGCACGCAATCAATTCTTTGGCTTCTCTCTGCTTTTGTGTTTCGCTCAACTCCTAGATTTTCTATCATTCCATCATTTATTCGGTCCTTGGGCCATCATTATTCGAGATTTGATGAAAGATTTGACAAGATTTCTTGTAATATTACTTATATTTATGATGGGCTTTACCCTACTCATGAGTGCCATCTATCAACCGGTTACGGCAGAACCAGCCACCAACGCCCAATTAGGTGATGGAACTGGAGCAGGAGGAGCATCTACTGATAATGTTTTTAAAACTTTTGAGCTTTTATTTTTTGCTTTATTTGGTCTTGTTGAACCAGAAAATCTTCCACCCGTCCATAGAAATCCAATATGGACAATTACGTTAGCCAAAGCTGTATTTGGTATATACCAGATTGTCACTATTATCGTTCTAATTAATTTACTTATCGCTATGATGTCGGATACATATCAAAGAATCCAAGCTCAATCAGATACTGAATGGAAATTTGGTAGGGCAAAACTCTTCCGAAATATGAATAAGACGAGTGCAACGCCGTCTCCTTTAAACCTCTTCACAAAACTATACACATATCTTAGAGTGCTATGCAAGCATAGAAGTAAAGTCTGTTCCTCTTCAGCGCAACAGTTTATTGACGAAGAAGAGGATGTCGATGGCGGAAGCGACGCCAGAAGTCTTGAAATGGTACATAGTGGGGGATGGGCGATGAGACGTAACACTCAGGTTGCGCCTGAAGGCGGGGGTGGCTTTTTAGCTGCGGGCGGAACAAAGGGCACTCATGGTCCCCCACGAATCGAACAAGTTGTAGATTGGAAATTAGTCGCCAAAAAGTTTTTGGCTTTGCAAGGAGATGCTACGGAAGAAGATGTAGAAAATGATTATTTGTCAGTCAAAACCAATTCAACAGTTGTCGATGAAAGGCAAGAATCTAACGTTTCATAAACATAAAATACATATCTATGTTTATATACTTATACATATTTGCATAAACGTATATTTAAGGTTAGATTTACTCTTTATACTTGAATATTTTTTAGCTGTTTATTTCATTTCTTTAATACATTCTATTTTTGTGTCAAATTATGTAAATATTAGAGAAGATTCGACATCCGCCAGAAGGCGTATTCCTATTCCCACTTCTCCATGCAAGCTATCGAAGAGAATTAAAAAGTCTAACGATTGCCAATAAACAAACAAAAAACGGGGTTGGATTGTTTCGTTGCCTGATAACCGACGTTTAGCGTTACTTTCTGACGTCTATAACGGTTTTTCCATTGAAAAAAAAAAAAGAAATAATTCTCTAAAAAGCTTAACTTAAACACTAGCATTTTAAAAGTATTGAATCTTTATTGTATAAATTTATTCCTTGTTGTTTTTTTTATTTCAAAGAATAGAGCATATTACAAAGGATATAAATTATTAATAAAGATTATAAAATGAATTGTGAATATTGCTGTCATTAGAATAAAAGCTCAGTGGTTGGTACATGAACGAAAAAAAGAGAGCTTTATTTTAAATAATTAATAAATTGAGTCCATTCTCCTAGAAGAAATAAGGGGATATAACAATTCTCAATAGGATAAATTTAAATGAATAAGTTAAAAGACAGCATGCTAAACTGGTTGGAGACCGAATTTTTGGATCAGTAATAAGTAATCTAGCCTATATTAAATAGCGGCTTATCTTTTTAGGGAATAGTCCATTATCAGTTTTTAATAGAAATTGGGCGTAAAGAAAACCTTTGAGAGGTGAACTTTTTATTTATTGAAATCACCTAAATATGCCAATATAATTAATACAATATGAAGATGTCGTCGACTGCCTAAAAGGACCATTGAAAATCACTAAGGAATCAATAAAAAGGTCGTGAATGGGGTCACTTTCTCGTTGTATCGTTGAAGTAATTTATGGATTTTGATCGACAGCATAAAAAAGAATGCAAACAAAAAAACCTTTCAAAAACTTTTTTGAGTCTTTTCACGTCGTAGTTTTGGTCTAAGCCTATGATAAAAATTGTAAATATATGTAAAACAAGGGAGGCAAACGATTGTATTTGTCTTCCTAAGGCTTGTATTATCCTTTACATACAATTTTAGATTCGCTAGTTAAACATTTCCGCTCGCCAGGTGTCGCTGAACAAGCAATTCATAGATGGCGTGTTTTCATACCTGAAAGAGTGCGCATGCGCACGTTTTGTGTCGAACGGTGTGTTGATTGAGGAATTTTGACAATATTTTGGCTAGAAAGGACGCAATTTCGGATAAATTAGTTGTGATTGTTAACTTATTAATTAATCAATTAATTGAAGGAGTTAAAAGGATTAAAACTGAGAAGGATTTCAAGAAATGAGCTACTCCATTTAGTCAAGGTGCTACGAGAAGTTTTGCCCTGTCAGGTGTGTATATGGCGAAGGTGTACACTTGGCCCTTTGCCAAATTTCGTTAAAAGTAGTGTAAGCGTTTTTTTTTATTTTACTTAAAAACGTAAGAGGGTTATTGAGTTGACCTAAAGCTTTCGTCAAGTATAGAATAAAACTGCAAATATGTCAACCAAGTCTGTGGTAGAAAAAGGGGACGGCCACAGGTGTTGTAAACGCTCTTGAAACGTATTCTCGTATTCGCGAAAATAATATGGCACGTTTATTGTCTAAACTTGCCAATATATTGACGGGTTGATTTTATTGATGATTTATTAATGTACAGGTGACGTGCTTCGGAAAATGGCGTTCGTAAGAGGCGTCTCGAACAATCACAGTCTATCGATGAGTTTTATGGGGACGAAAGGCCTTCGAAACGCTCCCGGAGACAATAATTGCTTTTTGAATAGCGCCGTCCAGGTATGAAATAAAAAACGGGTAAATTATGACAGTAAATCGATGACGAGTCGGACTTTACAGTTTGTCATCGCTCTCTGTTTAGATACTTTATCAATTAAGAGTTTTATTACACAAAGTATAGTAAAATATTCTATGAATGCGTAGAACGTATATCGTATTTTTTTTTATAAAAAAAAGAGCTTGAATAATAGATAATCGCTATTAATAGAAAGTTTAATCGGTTGGAAATAATTATAAATTAACACAAAGCGTTAATTGGCTATAAGTTTATTCTCCTGGGGAGAAAAAAATGTTCAATGTGAATATTTTAAATGTTTACAAGCACTTGAACAATTAAATCTTTAAAGTTTACAAGAATTCTGGGATAAATCAATTAAACTTTGGTATCTCTTTTGATGCGGTTAACAAATTAAACAATTTGTTTATAAGGTAGCCGACAGGGAGCTTCTTACATAGAAGCGAAAAATTCCATGCACCTGTTATAAACAGCGGGAGCTTATCAGCTAACAAGAGATAAAGCATGCCGACTGAATTAATGTTTTTATTCGAGAAAATGAAGACTGTGATTTATTTTTCAGGTTTTATGGCATACTGATGCCTTTAGACGCTGCTTCAGACAACTAAGCGGTCATGAATGTCATACTAATTCCTGTATATTTTGTGCCTTAAAGGTAAATACCTGCTACGACTTCTTTTTCTACATTTGTGTAAATAATCACCGAATTTTCTCTTCAGGCCTTGTTTACTCAACTACAATATAGCGATCGGAATTGTCTACAGGCGGATGTCCTCCGGTTAGTAATTCATATAAGATTTTTCGATTTCTTTTGGCGCTTCCCCCTCCTTACAAGGCGCTTTATTTATCTTTCTTTTGATAAGAAATGGAATGGAACAAGTTGTATTACTTTCTCTCCTCCGCCAGATGGCGTGATTGACTTCGAGGATTTATGCAATTGTTCTATTCTATTGTTTACATCCCAAATATACTGAATAACAAAAAATTTCCATACAGGAAAGCGCTTGCTAACGGCTTCGGGAATCAATTTGATTTCGGGCAGCAACACGACGCCGTTGAAGTATTCGTGAGTGTTGTTTTTATAATTCGTTTGGCCAGCCGCCAACTCCGTTCCGCGTCACTTGAACAATTCGCGATTGGCCGACGGGATTTTTAGTCACGTGATTGAATTGCACCTGCATTCTTTCAATGATTCGTTTTTGGCCCCATATTTTTCGTAGTGGCGTTTGCGTTTTCAATCGATGAATCATCATCATTATTATTCAAGAGCGCGTAATTTATTTCAGGAAAACATTTTACAACGATTGCATGAACACGTAACGGGAGATCGTGGGAGGAATGAAGATGATTGCAAAGAGGGCCATTGCATTCCACACGCTAAATTTTCCATGAAAGTGTCCGTAGACGTGGTATGTCGAAGGTGTGGCAAAAGGGAAGTGGGGCACTCATTCCAACAATTGATTGCTTATGTTCCTACGAACGCTCTTGTTAAGCAATCGGCCACCGACAAATTTGGTCTAAGCTTTAGAGAAGCTATAAGTTACGGTGATAGTCGTCAATGCCCGGTACAATGCGGCGGAACAGCTTATTTACGGAGGAAGTTGCTGAATTCACCGGACATTGTTGGTGTCGGCTTCGTATGGGATACTGATAGACCAGAACAACGCTATATATCGGAAGTTTTACGTCGTTTAAGCGAGAGTATTCATCTTGCTCATTTATTTCAAGAAATTGATTCTCCATTTAATAATAACCTTCGATTAGTCGGTATTGTCTGCTATTACGGCAAACATTACACATCTTTTTGTTTGCATACGAGCACATCGAAGTGGGTTCACATTGACGATGCAAACGTTGTCGAAATAGGCGATAATTTTGACGAAGTTCTCACAAAGTGCATAAAAGAACAATTTCAACCACTCCTACTCATTTACGCAAATCCCAACGCTTCACCGCTAGATGTCTCCAAGGCTCCGTCCCTTACCACCGTTGTTAATACGCCATCTAGTGAGTATTCGAAACATAATATGTGCCCTCCCATCTATTCAGAACTTTCAATTGCTAATTTTCTTTCCACAGAAATTGAAAAAGCTATGCCAAAACCTGATATAAAACCTAAACCGACCATTAAAGGCCGCCACATACGTCAACCGAGCTTTATTGAGGCTGTAGAAAAGCGTAACGAACCCTTTGCCTTTAAGTCAAATTGGGTTCGGGAATTTTCGTCGGAAAATGGAGACGAAGTAGATAGTTATATAGCAAAGGCAAACGTTCAAAAAGTTTTAGATGCAGTTGGAATAGGCAGAAGAAAAAGCGAATGTGATAGTGCTGATGATAACAGCTCAACTTCTGGGTATAGAACAGACTCTTCTAATTGTAGTTCAAATAGATCGTCAAATTCATCATCAACGACCAATGAAGAATCTAGACGGAATCTTGTAGAGAATGTCCGACAACACATAGCAAAAATGAATTTACAAACGGCCCGGCACTCATTAGCATCGTCGACCGATTCTCTTTTATCTAATGTTACTTTGAGCAACACGGATGAAGTTAGCGACGCATGCGCTCCCATAGACGAATTGTTGACAAAATCGAATGATGCGGAAAATCATGGTGATACGAGTAGGGCTCTTACATTTTGCAATGAAGCATTGACAGAATGTCAGAGAGTTTTGCAAAAGTTCGGACACCTTGAAAGACAATATTTAATTCCTTTAGAAAATAGACAAACAACTTGTATAATTAGGTCAAATTCGTTAGGTATAAAATTGGAACAAAGGAGAAGTCCGTCCCCCAGCCATGTTCGACAGAGTAGTTCATCTAGTACTCTTACACCTCATAGTAGGGGACCGAGCCTGTCGTCGCTAGATGCTCTCGACGCTGCAGAAGATGCACCATCATCTAACGTTTACGGTACATTACCGAAACAAGGTGAAACCTATAAAAATTTCTTGAATAAGCAGCGTTCGGAGACATTGATAGTTAATAATGGATTTCCTGTGCCAAACGACACGAACTTGTTGGATCATTTTAGCGACGACACAAGCGATACGACGTCTTTAAGCAGTAACGCCACCTGTCCGAGCGACGGTTGTACACCAACTAAGATTATACGATCTCCACTTAAATCTGCGTTAAGCAGGCGAAAACGCCATCATCACCATCATCATAACCACCATCACAATAAAAATGTGCGATTTAGCGAAGAGGTAGTGTTAATTGCTGCGAAAAACGGTGATTTTATGGAACAAGTCGAATCACCGACGCAGCAAATTGATTATATGAACTACGTGCACAAATTAGTGGCTCATAGCCGTGAGAAGAGGCCTTGTACACCGTTTAGTACTGCTGTTCAATGTGCATTGTGTAAGAACGCTGATGTTTCACCTAAGTATAATTACTGCTCTAATTGCCAGCACTATCTAAAGCAATTTGGTCAGCAGTTCTGAAAGCAAATAAGGAAGTGCTCGAATAGATAATTCGTCCGTAGTTGTTTATTTTCCCTGACTTTTTAATTTTGTATTTGTACAGAAGAATTTATATATATAGACTCATTTAATTAAGTATAAAGATGCTCTTTTTTATTTTATTTTTAACGTATACTAATTGTTGTTTCTTTAGTTCATAACGACCGGTGATAAAAATTTTAATGGAAGAGAATCTTGTTGTTTTAATCAATACATTTGTAGATGCTGCCGCCATCTATACTAAGAAAAAACTAATTAGACGACTTAATAACGCAATTAGGTTAATCGCGTCGTTTGCTCGCCTAACAAATAATAGAGACGGCTTTTTCTATCGACAAACGCGCGAATAATATTCGCCAAACAAAGGTCAAGCTATTATGGAAAAAAAATTGTCCCAAAAGCATCGCTAAATTTGATTGAACGATGGACAAAGCAATTCTAATTGAATACGTATAAAGTAATTGTATTGCTTTGCTATGTAAAATGCCACCATCCAAAAAATCGGAATATAGCATTGGCCGGAAGCTATCGACATTCGATTAGGGCGGGAAAATTTCGCGTAGAATGTATTCATTTGTCGGCCATTGTTCCGCCCTGAAGAAATTATTATTAAATTAAATGTTGGAAATCAGAAATAAACGGGCGCGAAGGCAAATTCGTTTAACGCTGTAGAACAAATGAAGCGGCCACCAATGAGCGCATTATCATGAATAATTAATGCTCAACGCCGCATTCTAGCAGCTGATTGGCAGACGGAGGGAGGAGAGAGAGACGTTCATAAGTAACGCCGCTCCGCGTGACGCCTTCCGCGCGCTTTTCGACTTCCGAACTCGGTGATCCGAAGAAAGGTAAATATATTTTTTTACACTTGTTATATATTTATAAAGCCGTCCCGCCGCGAAAATTCTATCAAACGCTCTAATTTAATTTCGTCTAAATTTCATTATGCAGCATTGACGTTAGATCTTTCCTCATTCCGCACGACATGGTCGATCGACTCGGTTTGCACGGCTTACCGACGCAATTGGTAAGTATTTACTATATTAAATAATTTAGACAGTGAAAAGGGCGTCGACTGTTTCGTAAGATGATGCCGCAACAGATTACAAACAATAGTCGTTTGAAAGAGGATCATAATCGCTCGCCTAATTAGTACGTTTCCTTTTCGTGACCGCACACGAAGAGAATGTTTTAAGAGTTTCCAAAGCGATTTCAATAACGAATTTTTCGAGAGGGAAACAGTTATTTTTAATCATTAATTATCGTTTATGATCAAAAACTCCGCTTTTCCGAGCCAACGAATCGGACGAGTAGTGGATCGTGCTAAAGACGCCGACGCCGTTCGAAACGCCTGCGGCCAACCAGCCACAAATTATATCGCGTACTAATCCAATTTGACGCTTAATCACAACAATTAGTGGAAAGCGTGACGTCATATTTCGGGGGCAGACCGACTGGGCGGTTTGCCATGCCCTCTGTTCAATTGGAATTGCCCTAACGAGCGTCTAACCAAGAAAGAAAGGCTATATTTGACATGTTTCTAACCGAAGTACACATACAGTATATATATATATATATATATATAAATGTATACGTAGGGAAACATAATATATTTAAAACAATTGCATCTCTTACGTATTAAGTATTAATACAATGTATAAATATTTTGCGTGCGCTCTAAGTAGCCGAAAACATCGAGAAGTGTGTTACGAAACAATGTAATACTGTTTTCCCTTTTTTTATTCTGTTAAAGTATCGTATAAAGTGATGAGGTCTATATATATATAAATATAAATATATATATATATATATATATATATATATATATATATAAACTTATAGCAAGTCAGACGCATCACAAATATGAATATTAATGAACTTTGAAAAACATGGACGATAAAAAAAAATAACTGTTAAATTTGGTGACTACAATAATGACAAAAATTTTTATTGCTCATTATTCGATCAAAGGACTTCTTTGGGCGTCGACGACGTCACGAGTCACGGACTGGCATGCGATTCAGGGCGTCACCTGATGAGGCGTTTAATTGACGTCGAACAGGTCGCACGTGCCGAAACCGCCGTCACTCTGCTATTCAAAAGACGGCTTTGCTAATTAATAGCGGTTTTACTCAAGCTTTTTTCTCATCAAAACAGGCGTCAAAACTGTATTGTCTACATTGTCCTACTGCTCCAACACCATTGAACAGACCGCTAGACTTTCCTCATCTGACCGCTTGTAAGTAGATCGATCGGTATACTTTTCTATACGAAGATTACTAGTAATAAATGTTAAAGTAACTCAATTTTCGACTTCCGGCCTCTGAGGAACGGCAACACAATAGGGCCGTATTAGTGGATTGATTAAACGCTTTATAATATTTTCGCGCCGCAGATCCTTCTCCCTACGGCGGTTTACACGGCGCCGAACTTCATGATGACGCATTCTCCAGAAGAAAACAAAGAAGGAATAGAACAACCTTTACTTTACAACAGTTAGAAGAGTTAGAAAAAGCGTTCGCTCAAACTCATTACCCGGACGTATTTACTAGAGAAGAACTAGCGATGAGGATCAATTTGACTGAAGCCCGAGTTCAGGTAAAGGGCTATAATTTTTAATGCTTATTTATAAAGACTGCGCATCTTGTGATCTAAGATGCCTGTAATATTTAGAAAATTATGAATAAAGGGGATAATAAAAAGGTGAATCGTTCAAGAATCCCGGAAGGAGTATTGAAAGGAAAGAAGAGAAGATGCGTATACACGTGAGCGCGCTGCTGGTCCTACGCATTTGCAACTCAATTAATCTGTCCCTCAATCAGATTTAGCTTCGCTTTACATCAGTCAACGACGGCTTAATAGATATTAAACATCGCGCTATAAGAGGATTGTAGCATAATGGCGGCAAGGTGCTGACACAATAGAGAGGCGAACTCTAGGGACAGTCGTCGGCGTTTTTCCTCTGTACAATGCCTAGCGAATATAAGAGTATACAATGTGTATTTAGGGTATACAGTATACTGTATATATCTTTATACAAATATTCTCGCCTCACTTGCCTTTCAATCTACGGTTCATAAAACTTTATATACTTTATACATTACGTATATATTTTATATGGATGGGGGATAATTCATCCTATCTCTTCACTCTTTACTCTATATAAACAAGTGTTTTACAGTCGATTACGTTTGTTCTCATTTTCCAAACCCTCCTACCACTCTTCTATACTGCTAATAATCTCATAATGACCTCCTAATGCAGCTTTCAGCATAATGAATGTTTTTATCGTATTTCGTATTAACGAATCGAACGCCTTCCTACAGGTCTGGTTTCAAAACCGACGAGCCAAGTGGAGAAAAAGTGAGCGCTTCCAGACAACAACTAGTTCTACCACAGCAACAACTACTACCACCGCAACATGTCCTATTAACGATGATGACTCTTCCCCTCAACTTATTCTTTCTCCGTGCTCCCCTGTTAAGGAAATTGCTGATGAGGAGGAAACTTCTGCAAAGGGGGAGGAGGGTGAAGAAGAAGATGATGATGAAGAAAGACCCCGAGTTGAAGAAGATGATAACGTAATAGACAATACTAGCATTGGACCGAAAATAGAAATTGAGCAGAGTGAGCAAGAAGATGAGAATGTTGAAGTGAAAAATGAAGAAGCCTCTTCAACCGACGAGAAAAAAGATGAATTATTAAGAGCAGAGTCAAAGACGGAAAAGGAACCTAGTCCCGAGAATCGCGGCTTAATTTCAACAGCAGTAGTCAATAACAATAATAACAATAACAACAACAACAGGGACGCCTTTCTTGCCTTGTCGGAAGCGGCTTGTAGAGCGGCAATTAGGCAACCTTCTAGTTTCGGTTCGGCTTTGGAATTGGCTGCTCTTCGCCAGCAGTCTACTGTGTACGATTCTTTTGTTGCTTCTCGTTTAGGATCGTTTGGACATTTGGCCGTTAACCCTTTTAAAAGTAAGCTACTTATTCCTTTGATCCAACAGTTAAACGGTGATCCTAATCTCGTTTTACGTCCACTTTATTTTTTCGCAGATCTCTTTCCCCATCCACCATTTTGCCCCTGTTGTCCACCGAACTTGCGTCCTACTCTGGGTTTTAATCAGCCAGCTTTTCCTCCTACTCTTCACCCTCAAATGCACAATTTCATAATGGCAGCTGCAGCGGCCAATTCACCGGATTCTAAAAGAAAATTCGGATCATCAGAGCACACCGTAGAATCTTTAATTGGACAGCCTAAAAGTAAAAGTGGACAATAATTAATTGAATGTTTCTACGTTTGCGGGTATGAGCTATTTTTTTTCCTTTCATTTCTTTCCACGGAAATTATGAACCGGAAGAAGCAAAGAAAATGTGTCAAAATTGTATAATTAATTATATAATTTTATAATTCGCACCCATTTGTATGTTATGAAATAACTTCATTGTAAACCTATTTTACCGGTTTGTAATTATCCTAAAGACGGCCTCTTTTGACGTCGATGAGTGTTTAACATCCATTGAGTTAGATATATCGTTGGCATAAGGTTAACAAAAGATGGTAATTTTCTAAGAAACAAGTCATCTTGTACAGGTGAAATATATTAAGTTGAATTTACTTAGTTTATAATAAGTGATAAAAGGTAGAATAGATAAATAGAAGAATTTTTTCTGACGTTTTCATTCGGCTTTTGCACTTGAAAGATGAAGACAAAAAAAAAATACACAAGTACTCTGTTATTCGTTTAATTACCTTATAACTACCGGCGATTAATCGACTTTGAAAAATAAAACCTTCTTTTTATACAATAGGAAGATTTACTTATATTAAATTTATTGAAAAAGAAAAGAGATTGCGAATACCTGGACAATAGGCTTAATTTGTAAGAAAATGACCAGTCTTTTCTCTCCCTATGCCTTCGTATATCGAATTAAAAAAAAAAACAAAAGTTGTGTTATAAAAAAATAGTTAAAAAAAGAACAAAAGGAAGTTTGTAAAAGTAAAAAAAAAACTGTACATTGTGTAAGTGTCGTCTGGTGCCATGGCGTTTGATAAAGGAATAAAATTGGGGCGTTTACGCCGAGAAAATTGTCGAAATTGGCGGCCGAATAAAATAATAGGGCGGTGGAAATTGGCGAACAATGTTTCATTGACAATTCGAGCACAACTTGCAAACAGCAAATCAAATCAAGCACTGTCTAACGCATTTTTCTCCCTTCCCTCAATAATGTAACTTTATTTACGATACCGACGCCGTCTAGCGGCTTAGCCGAAATTTTTCTTATACTAAAACTCTCCTCACCCCTGCCCCGTTATAAGCCGACGCAATATGGCGCTATTCCATTAGCAAAAAGCCACTTAGAAAGAAAATTACGCACCGACAAATCATTTCGAAGGTTTCACCTCGTTAAATTAATATCTCAAAGGATCACGTGACGACATGATGGGAGGGACTAGAAAAATAAGAAAACTAAACGCGAAAAAGATGAAGAACGGACGAACAGTAGTCATTTGGGCTTCTTGTATTATATGAAGACCTCTTAAGATACCCACTACATCTTGTATTATTGAAAGATACGTTACGTTCAAAGTCGCTTTATCCTAGCCTCTTCCATACCCCTTCTGCCTTTATCCCAACTCAACTAGTCGGCGTCGTATTAGGTTCAACAAATAATAATAATAAGGGCCATGAGTTTTATATTCCTGTATTTTCCTTTTGATCAAGAAAGTGGAAAGCTTAAGGGGTTTCTTTATTATTATTATTATTATTATTATTATTATTTCGGTGACGGGAAGAGTCGAGAAGCGTGGCGCTAAATAATTGATGGCCGCGCCAGACGGAAAGTAACGTAGATTATGCGCCGTAATGCAGTTAGGCCATGACAAGATGCGATTAGCATTGGAGATTTGCAGATTACAATTACTTTCTGACGTGCCCTGTATACGTATGTACTGTGTTAGTTTTACCTTCCATTTTCTCTTCTCATCTTACGTTCTGTTCTTAAATTAATATCGTCTCAAATTTCTCCAAGTCATTCAATTAAACGTATAAAGTTTTTAATTTATTAATATGCTTATATATATATATATCTATACATATATTTATATATCCTCAGTATATCCCTTTGAACAGTGGATAATGCATCTAATATATAATAGTCGTACATAGACAATATAGACATAGGAAGCCGACGCAAACACTCGTCACCCACTCAATTCCATTATGCTTATTAGACGGACGTCACTCGAGAAGGAAAGTTGAAAGAGTAAGAAGCGCGACGCCGCCTAAAAGTGAATTAGACCGTTAGACAGCATTCAATTGAGAACAAATTACGCTTATGGAACCTCATAGACACTAATATTCTCAGTTGATTGAAAACAGTAAATAGAATTTATCTAGGATACAGTCGGCCCGTTGATACAATTGACACTAAATTTTCCTTCTCTTTTCTGCTTAGTTACACTTAATACTTACGCCAGCAAGTGCGAAGGAGTAGTGTATTGTTTGTTGAACTCGCTAACTTTTATAACGCTCAACTTTGATCATACTCAATTAAAAGGACGGTTTTTGCGTCATATAGAGTTTATTTCGAGCAGTACCTCTTTTATTTCAATTTCGTCTTGCACCCATATTTCATAAGTTTCTCATTTATATTATTATGTGTTATTATACCTATTTATACAGATTTTTATTTTTTTTGTTGTATTTACTTACTCTCTTTATGTACAATCTACAAACTTGACTACGTTATATGAGTATAGGAACTTTTTCAACAGATGTCGTTCTTTTGTTAAAGCGCCATCTGTTGTTATTTTATTGAACTAAGGTTTAAAACAGAGAAAAAAAAACTGAAAATAATACTGAATATATGATCTATGCATATAAAACTTGGAAGAAGAGAGATTATGTAAATCATAAAATAAAATGCTGTTATTTCGGCCTTTTATTTACAAAGCCGTATCTGGCACGCCGTGACTTGCGATAACAACATCTAACTGACGAAGGGCCTCATCAGTTGTCGTCGTAAAGATGGAAGGTCGTTCAATTGTACTTTGTCTTGACCTATAACTGGGTGGATTCGATCGATTGGTGACTATTTGTGGCCTAGTCGAAACTCTAGACCTATAGCTAGGTGGAGCCGTCGACGGGAGACTTTGGTCTGTTTGCCCTAGGCGGATCTGAGTAACTATGTGATCTAGCTGGGATTGTTCGTATGTAGGCGGTGCTAAATGAGGCCTCCTAGAGGGCAAACTACCGCCTCCACGATTTCTTTCAGGCCTACTGGTCATCCTTCGTCTGCGACCACCAGGGGTTGCATAATCCCCTAATCCGAATAGCGCGTGGCAAGGCTCTTCTCTATTTGTTGAACACCTCCAACCAAAACCAACAATAATAACCAATAATATTCCTAGGCCTATAAACATTAGAGATAGTGTTAGAAAACTTTGTTCCTTTAGAGTCACATGAAGACTTCCTAGGACAATTCCCGCCGCCACACAACAAACACCAAACATTGCCAAACCTATTAAAACCCAACGCAGACTAGTTGCCAGTGTAACACATGAGAACTGATTAAAGGAGAAAGACGATTAATTATTAAATATTCAATGAAAAAAATAATCTCTTATAAAAAGAATAATTAAACTAACGCAGCATTCCGAGCAATCTCGCTCTAAGTTCTGATTATCATCGGTCCTCGACGAATGGACAATTGATATTGATGGTCGTCGCATGGAGTTAGAACTTATAATATCTGGCAAAGTATCTGTCGGTTCGGTGACAGTCGTTTGATTAATGTTGACGGAAGTATTGGCTAAATTCGGAACAACCGAGTTCGATGCGGGACTAGGGGTAACGGAAACACTGAGAGTATTTTGTAAGATGGCGTCTCTAAGGATGTGCTGATGCCTTTCCAGAGAACTTTGAGCTATTTGAACGTCAAGGATAACAGGATTGTCTGATTGTTGCCTAGCGGTGACACGATTTGTCGATTCTCCATTTCGTTCTCGTCGACTTGTCGAATTTGAAGCTATTCTAACTCTTGATTGATTCTCACTTGCAGATCGGGCAGTTGTTCTCCTGCCAGGACGTGAAGACTCCATAATATTCAAATATCTAGCCCTAGTAATGGGTGGTTGATTAGCCAGAACTTGATCTCTCCTAACAGGTCTTTGCGTCGATGCTGAATGATCATTCGTGGTACATCTGGTTGTCATTACTTTCCCTTTATCTCAAAAAAGATAAGTTGTAAATCGAATCGCGTAGCGTTCATTGTTCAACAGGGCAGCTAACCCCGTCTTCGGCTACAACAAACAACGATCGCGCCATCTGCAGATTATTCGTTCCTTTGCCGCCTTTTTTCTTTGTTCTTCCACTTGGCAAAGTGCCCGCCTTTTCCTACTGGCAATCGTTATCAAGTGTCGCACCACGGTTCCTCTTAATAGGTTCTTAAAAACGCTAGAACGATTAGCAGAAATGGCGACCATAGGCCCAAGTGCATACTTTTTTCCTTGTTGATATTTTGGCACAGAGCCTGTAATGCAAAGCAAAGTTAGGCCGGTTCTTTATAATATTTTATATGATATTTATATAAAAATAGTACAAGCTGTTAAAAAAGGATCGGTAGGAAAAAAAGGCGAATCAATTAACTATTCCGCTCGTATATCCCCACTTTTATACACGTTTAACTGCGTGCTATAAACATGCCGGCGGGCCTTGTCGGAATATACTTGGTCTGGAAATCAGCTGCAGATTTATACTTTATATGATACGAATGGATATTTTTCTTTCTTTAGTACGTTTAGTACATATTTTCCCGAAACTACCGGCTAAAGGCGGGAAAAGTATGATTCGCAGATTTTCCAATTTCTCTGCCAAGTTTATTTGAGGTTGAGGTGGCGCGGCAATCGCTACTCTTCTTTTTTTAAAGGGACTGTAGCGCTAGCTAGTGTGTATACTGGTAGAGTGAGAGACAGAGAGAGAAAGAAAGAAGGGAAAGGATTAGATAGAGAGAAGGTCCGAAGAAAAACAAGACTATTGGCAAGGGCGGCTTCCTTTAGGAATAAAGGACACAGAAAAGAAAGTTCAGGCCGCCCTGTTATGCCAGTCGGACGTATTATGGCAAATTCCACATTGCATCCGTACATGGGATTTGTGGCCGATTGGTTAGATACTGTGCGATTTTTGGAAGGTGAGTAAACAAGACATAGAGCGCCATTGTTGCTATATATTTTGAGATAGACGGACCACTAAAGTTCACGTGCATACGCATATAAACGTATATACTTTTATACATGAATATTCATTAGGGCATGCAAGTGTGCTCACGCTCACTCACTCATATGTATATATATATATACACACACCCACATACACACACACTCACACACAGACACAGACTCAGACACGGTACACATACACACGCTTAAAAAAGGTATACACCTACTAACGCCCGAATTTAATTAAAATGCTCTCCGACGTACGAGAGTTCTCCAATTACGTAACCGTTGGAGGTAAGTAGAAAGTAGATAAAAGAACTGAATAGGACTTAAAAAGTTACTAATTATTTTCTCATTTTTCAACTCAACAGACAATAAAGAAAGGTTAATCCTTTACGTTATCCTTGCTTTATTTGCTGCCATCATAGTTCTCCTCTTAACCCTTCTCATCCGTCTTAGCCGCCAAAAGAAACGTTATAAAAGAAAACTTGGGCGAAATCGGTTTTTTAAACCGTCAACAGTTAGAAGATCACCATCACCGTTTTTCTACGACCCAATTACTCATTATCAAAGTGCGGATAATGTAGATATCAATATTTTACCACCCAGCAGGAATGGTTCAAATCATAATTCTGATCAACAACCCATTTACTCCAGACCCTTTAGAATAAAACCCCCCGCAGATACGGGCGAGTTTCCACCATCTTTAAGGCGGAATGTTTGTTTAGTGGATAGCAGTGGCAATACCTCCGTTAAAGAACGTGCTGAAGTCGACATTTCTTCGGAGAAAGAAACGAGAAGAAAGTTCAGCTATAGTTCTTCAGAGGCAACAACGAACCGTCCGTTATTCACCTCGTCGCCATTACCATCCTCCTCGTCAAACTCGTCACCTCCAGCCGCTGTTCACCGTCTCGGACCAAGAGGCGGGTCCAGGACTTTTGATAACTACTATAGAGTTAAGCGGTCTCCCTAAGGAATGCGTGCGCACAATATCAACAAGCGCATCTGACAAATAGAATAAACAAACGCTCGCCTGATATATAATATGTGCGAGTAAAAGTTGTTTTATTTTCGCTCCTCCATTCCGCCGTTTTATGGTCCAGTGGTCTCCCTGCGAACGTTTTGTTTCTTGGGCGATATTACACAATCGCCTTCGTATTTTTTATATATCAAAGAATCAACAAGTGCCTTTTTTTTCCTTTCAAAATTTTTACAAATGTTCCATAACTTTGTAAATGTTAATTTAAAACAAACAACTCTACAACTTGCTTCTTGTTCTTTTTTGTTTTTTATTTTGTACAGTGAGATTTCTCGAGAGTGGTGCTATAATGAAATGAACCAAAATTTTTTTTTAAATATATATATAATACACAAGTTATTTATATGAATATAAAGAAAAATGTATTTCTATTTATGATGAAAGCGTATATAGAACATTGATATCTGTCTCATTGAATTCCTTTGATCATTTAGTTACATATCAACTACAAACAGCTAATGTGAAACACAAAAGTTAAGTCGAAATCAAAGAACCAACGAAAATTGAAGAGAGATATTTTTATTATCAGAAATTTACCTATCACTCAACACTCTGATTATAAGACAAAAATAATAAAGAAGCTAAAACTTTATATAAAAGAAACACTATTTATTTATTTACATAGGCAAATATATCGAATAACGCTACTTTTTCCGTATGGTTGCGCCCTCTGCATATAGTTCATAAGCACTAGCTGTGTACACACACTCAGACTAACGCAAGTGTAAAAGCCATATTGTATTCATCTGTAAATAAGCATCTTGGTAGAAAGATGATCAATAGATTTCTTTGTAATAGTCTAAATAATAAGATTACGAGGTAGATGTCAATTCAATCTCAGGAACAAATAGTTAACAGCAGCCCTTTTTGCTTTCAATCAAATAATCAAGTACTCTCCATTTGCTGTTAAAAAAAGCATAAAAATGAAAAGAATTTCAGCCTAAGTCGAATTTTTTTTTTCTACAATAAAAGAAGAGAAGGAAATTTTTATTTTAAGAGATTTTCTTTTCACTTAAAGAAAAACGAAGAGAAGAAAGTAGATCTTGTGACGTGTAAATGGCGATTTAACCCCTTTATCTGTAAACTCGTACAATACGTTACATTTCGTATTGTATTTCTAATGTAAAAGAAAAAAAAAGGCAAATTAGTTGTCTTTTATACAAAGGGAAAAAAAAATCACTTATAAACAGACATCTATGAATGATTAAAATATTTGCTTATATTATTGTTATACATGTAGTATATACGTATACATAGACAGTATTTACTGCTATACATACTATATATAGGATTTTTAAAAAGTCTCTTTGTCTTTTTTATCTTACTCATCTATTTTTCATCTAGGCAAAGAGAGAGCAAGAAGAAAAAGTTAATACTTTTATTAGTAAAATATTATTACCTTTCCTTAATCAATTATCAGACAACACGCAAGATATTTCTTAAAGTAAATTATTTCATGCTATCAACAGATTACGTGGAGGGAGAAAAAAGGAGCATTTTCAACAATAGAATTGTGTATTTTATATTAGAAGCGTTACCTAGGTAACGTACAATCAATGCATTTTATATATCTTACGTCGCAAACGCCTGTCGTCAGTTGCACTATCGACACCTGATTATAAAAAAAACCGAAACTATAGGATCATGTGAGCTCATAGCCGTCTGGCGAATAGATTGGAAAAGGTTTGTAGTTTCTCTTAACCGTCTCAGAGGCTTCAATCCGAAATACCGTAATCTTTTTTTTCTATAAGAAACATCTCTTTTAAATGGGTAGTGCGGCCAGTTCGCCCGAAAGCGGGCTTACAATTGAAAAGACGACTGACAGACCCCTAAGTAGTAATATCAGTACAAACTCCAATAGGAACGTACATTTGACAAAGCCAAAAAGTAAGTGTTTCTAAATTGAATGTTTTCTTCTCGTATTTGTTGCATTTACTTCTAATTCAACAACTTGATACAAAGGTTTCGATAACGATGGTAAAAATACAACTTTGATCCGGACAAGCCAAGTGGCACCCATTGTTATAAAGAATTGTAGAGAGGAATTTCAGCATGTAACCGACTTCAAAGAACCACTCGTTTTTGCTAAAATTGCTGATAATCTGAACGAACATGCTTTGATCAAGGTAAGAGTAGTTAAATGGTGGATAAAAGGAGACGTCTACTTAATTATTTTACTCAATAATTTCACAGAACCTTTATTTTATGGTGCGAGATATCCAGGACAATATTGACGAATGTGATACGATGAAAGAATTACTATCTCCCAATTTCTTAAAAGTGGATCTTGATTATCCCATTTACTCTTCTGGTCAGCCAACAAAACAGGGTTTACGAAAGATTCTCAATCACATTCGTAAAGATAATAATCTAGATGATCTCCTGCTCATAAATCTCAGGACAGAGCCAATATTGTTTTTAAAGAATGGGAAGGACGCAATACCCTATTCAATGAGACGTTTTGATAAGCCGACAGATTGCCTTTCATATTTGTCAGTTGATGATGAACATTCTATAAGGAAAGAGGTGTGTAATATTAGCTTATAATCGATGCTATTTACCCTGTTACTTTAAATCATGCAAACATGATAGCGAATGTAATTTATCGACTAACCCCGCTTTTTTCCTGTCAGGTGATTGACTTAGCGAGTTTAAGAGAAGATAACACTTTCTTCTTTTATGATAAAACTACCGATTTAGAAAAGAGCCATCAAAAGGTTAGCAGGGTCGCCTACGAGGATGATTTATATACTACAGATGAAATCTATGCAGATCATACTTTTAACAATAAAAGAGGGCAAGTTCGGTAGGTGAAGAATGCTTTTGTACGCCTTTCAATTAACTTGTTCAAAATTTTATTGTATAGATATATAAGACTTGCTTTTCCTGTGATCGGGTTTCCAAAAGAATCAAGTATCGATTCTTTTCTCGATATTTTTCGAGTGAGTTTCTTTTTATCCCTATTTTTTTACATATATTCTCTTTCAACTCTTATTTGTGTTGTTATTGTATATCATTTGGTCGATAGATTTTTATCAATAATTTATTTTAGACAATCCCTAATTTCTTTGATGCTTCTTCTTCTTCGAAATCACCTGCAATCCTATTCACCTGCTGGACTGGTTCCGATCGGTCTACACTTGGAAAGATATTGGCTGTTTTACTTATTTCTCATAAAACAGGATTTCCATTAAAGTTTCCAAAGGAGAAAACTTCAAACGACAACTATTGGCATATACAGCAACTCGTCGATGTTCTTCCGAATGGTCAGAGAGTTAAAGATGAAGTTGATTGGGCACTTGGAACATGTAGCAAATTATACAATTTGAAAAATGCTGCTGAAGCAGCTTCAACATTGAATACTTCAGAAGAAGCAATTAATATTGCTTTATACCATTTGGAAAGGTACCTCTTCGTGCTAATTTTTAACGCCTACCTTCATAGTCAATATAGATGGCAATTTGGCGAATCTTTTAGTAGGTGGACTAGACGCCAGTCTAGGTTATATGAAATTCTCAACAGTATCGATATAAGGGAGAAGTTAGTGCCTCCAACTGTGATTGAGAATCATAAACGAGTTTTGCTGAGCGACAACTACATTGGCTTAGATGTGTTAGGTGCTGAAGGTGAGTTTTTTACTCCAAACGTTCGTAAACTGCAAAGATTTCCTATATATGGGAGCGGACAATGTACGCACAAAGGATTAAAGCAAATTATCAGTATTCTAAAGGGGGATAAATATAAACATCCTAAAGTTTTATTAATAAATCTAAGAGAAGATCCTATTGTTGAATGCGATGGAAAAACCTATTCATGGCGCAATCCAGAAAATTTACACGAACCTGTTGATATTAAAAATTCAACTGGAACATTTATGGAAGAGATAGAAATGAGCCTTAAAAAAACGATTGAACAAGCCAAAACCGTGCGAGTTGTTGACGATATTAAAAAGCCCAGCTTGGAAAAAACTTTTGCAGATGTCAAAACTCCAAGACAAGTGGCGGAAATGTTTAGTAGGGATGACTTAGCTTACTATCGAGCACCAATTCGAGATTATTGCTCTCCAAGGGAACAGGATTTTGATTTTCTTTTAACAACTGTTAATAGCCATGAGGAATTTTCAACAGATGAAGATGGACCAGCTGTTGTACTCCAATGTCGAACTGGTAAGGGGAGAACAACAACTGCAATGGCAATAACTTGTTTAATCGTTTGTCATAAAAGAGGATTCCCCTACGGCACAAAACCCGGGGAGGAGGAGCGGGTATCGATTCCCTGGGCTCATTTAACAAAAGGAAATTATAAAGTAAGGATAGAACGAGTACATATTTTCTAATTATATTTCTTTAGTCAGCTATTTTTCTCCTTTTTACAGGTAGTTCAGGAACTTTTACGCAAAATACCCAACGGCCATCAGATGAAAAGGGAAGTTGACTTTGTTCTGGATAGCTGCAGCGATACAATGACTCCAATGCATTACCACATGAGGGAGGTGATATTCTTTGTGATTAAAAAGGTGCGCATTGTGTTTTCCAAGTTTTTTCTTATAATTGCTCAGTTTTCTAAGTTAACGGTATTACAGATCAAAGGAGCGAAAAGCGAAGAAGATAAAGAGCGGTTATATGTTCGAAGTCTTAAACATTTAGAAAGATATATGTACCTGATTCTTTTCAATGCATACTTGCATTGCGAACGACGCTTCAAATGGAAAACCTCTTTTGAAAATTGGATGTCTGACGTAAGCTTTTTGTCAAAAATTTTTTTACTCTCCCGCTTCCTTTTATCAGGGAAGAGAAGTAATTAAATTCATTTTTTATGCCGTTTGTTGTTACAGGTGGCCGCCAAATCCGGCGTTTATGATATTCTTGACAATTTGATGATAAATGATTATGAAACACCTACTTGGGACAAGTACTCAACAAGACGCAATAGATGGCGTTTTAATAGTCGAAAAATAATTCCCCACTACAATCACCTTGCATAGAAAAGGCTATAATATAACTTAAAGAAAAATATCCCTTCTCCTTTTATTCTGCACAATAACTGTGATAAAAACTGGTAACACATGAATAAATTGTATTACAAATATGCCAAAAAAAATCATGATTTATGGCCTATTTAATAAAAATAAGAAAGCACTAAGACTAAATCCATTTAGAAATATAACATAATAAAAAAAACGTAAAAATAACATTAAGAATGAAGTCATAACAGAGAAAGAGGTCAGGAAGAGGGGAAACGTGGAAATAGGCCACTTTCTCAGACTATAGTCATTCTTCTGAACCAGCAAGACAAGACACGAAGCGAACTGTTAGTCATTTTATTGAATGCGATAGTATAAAAGGGTAAATATACGTATATTTTTGAATCAACATCTTTTGAGTTTAAGCTTTAAGATCATGCAGTGTACTAAATTTGATCGTAAGAGGAAAATTCTAGGATTATTTGTGAAATTGATGATGAAACGATTGAAGTTGATAGCGTTTTTAACAACACTAACAGTTACTGGTGTTATTGTAGGAATATCTACCTTCAATAATATATTATCGACAACATCTCTTCTAAATCAAAATTTAATAACTAAGTTAATTATGGGAACTTCGGATAGAAGAGTTATGCATGTCGTTAAACCTTTAAATCTTTATTTTCATGCAGCCTTTTTTGATGATCGTGAAAATTTTAGAAGGCTAAGAATTTTCGGAATTCAAAGAAAGGATTCACTTTACTTAGAGGTTAACTATTATTGTATTCTTGAAGTAGGTCAAGAAGAGAGCCGAGTTCAGGGGAAGAGATTCGTGATTGAAACTTGGCCAGCGTGGGGCTTAGCATATTCAGTTGAAGTTGAATGTAATATAACTCAAGAAGTTGACAAGGTTCAACTTGAAATGGTCACAGAAACGAGCGAAGTTTATGTAGTTCAGATGCCCATTGAGAAAGCTGAAAAGCCTGACCCTGCTGAAGGTCAAAAAGACTTGGCAGTTTGTATAAAATGCTTACACGGCGAATTCCCCCCTGAGAGATTAGTTGAATGGATTGAAACTCTTAAAGCGGTGGGGGTTGAGAAATTTTTCATCTACGACAGTGGCTTACACGTTTCATCTAGGTATGTTTTTGATTATTATCAAAAAGACATTGAAGTCACATACTTTCCATTTACAAATGCTCTAATGAGGATATCAGAGTTTTCATACAATCCGGATAATGTTGAAAACTACTCTTTAATGCAGCATCTTTACATTTTATCATTAAATGATTGTTTGTATAGGCATTACAAACAGTATAAATTCTTCATGATAATTGATCTTGATGAAATGATACTACCAACAGAAGGTTTATCAATTGTTGATGTAGTCAAAAGATTGGCACATGAGGATAAGAAAAATCCTGGATTTCTCTTTCCGACGTCATGGCACTTCGAAGATATGGGTCCTGTAAATGATGATGTACCTAATTACTTGTACTTTCAGAAATACGCTAAATCTGGTAGCCCAATAGACAATCAACCAAAGTCGATTGTTTCTTCTCATCTTGCAGAGTTAATTCAATGGCATTGTGTAGTGAAACCCATCATTAAGAATAATCTAGTACCTTGGAAAAATTATGGATACACCCATCATTATAGGGGGAACTGCACCAAAAAATTTGATGCAGCAACCTGTTCCGATATGCTAAGAACAGGTTTTGAGAAAGATTTAACAATAGTCAAATATAAGCAGTTGATTGCCCATTCCGTTAAGCACGTCCTACAGCAGCTTCAGTTTATTGATAGCTAGTTTAATACCCTATTTATAGAAAGAGTTACAGAATACAGGTGAACTGGTATTATAACAAACTTTAGATGCTATTGATATTCCTATCTTATTACTAAAGCTCAAAAAAACTTGCTAATCTTTTCATATCTTTTAGGAAAATTGTTACTGTAAATTTTTTTTAAATCACAATGAAAAAGGTTTTATTTTAGCATTTAGGAAAAAAAATGCATAAATTAATGAGCAAATATTGTTAAAATACAGATTATTTTTTGTTTTCAAGCTGAACAAAAGTCTAATAACAGTATATTTTTGACTCGAATATTGGAAATAAATTAATAAGATGAACTTGACGTTGATATACTCAACTAAAAATAGTAGTTATGCCAGCAGTTTTATGTTTTAGTCGGTAGTTGCTTTTGGTCGTCTTCGACGAGGTCTATCTTCGCTATTATCTTGTGTATCATCTAAAATAACATCCGATTCCTCTTCCTGAAAGTTAATAAAAAATTTAAAGACTTTATTTAATAATTGAACTATTTAACGACTAAGCAAACGTACTTGATCATGCTTCGGATCTGTCTCAAGGGTTGTACTCTTGACTTCAGATTTGTCTACATAAGGTCTATTAGAAAATGGTAAATGATCACACATAATAACGAGTACCTATGAAGAAGAAAGACAAAAAAAAAATAATAATTAACTCTTTCATAATTTAAACAATAAAGAAAATTCATACTATGCCAGCAATAATTCCAATTAGAATAGTTGCCACGGCAAATATAACGAAAGAACCCCATTCGGGTATACCATATCGTGTGGTTATTTCTTCGTGTATAGACTGGTAAAATAAAAAAAGGAAGAAGGTATATACACTTAGGAAAAGTAAACGATTAATATAATAAAATGTAAATAGGAAAGCGTATCATTTTTGCAAGCTTACCCGTATGAACATAGAAAATTCAAAAAATGAAGATATGACAGACATACTATTTGAAATATAAAATAGATCGTTAATTAAACATAAAATATTCTAAATAATAATTATTACATACTGAACGCTTTTAGGATCTTGATACCATGGCATTGGCTCTATATCATTGTATTTTTTTTCGTCTATAAAATCAATAAGATCCTCTGACTGCGACTCCCCACGATAGTATCGAAAGATGCCGTCTTTCACACTAAATGTTGTTTAGATATTGTAAAAAAAAAAAAACAAAAAAAAAAAAAATAATCAATTATTCGTATCAAGTTTCAAATAAATTATAGACTGAAATTAGAGAACATGAGTAATCTTACTGATAAAATGATGGAAGTCTTGTAATTAGAAAACGGCCACTTAATCCTATAATAGTAAAATAGGAATAAATATCAAATATATTTGTATCTACGATGTATTAAAAAACAAAGTGATATATATATTGAAAATTTGAGACGCTTACCAGCATGCTCATTAACATCAATTTGGGCGACTTTAACATCCAAATCTTTGCTCCATTCAGCAAATTTATTCCACTCTTCTTCATTATTCTTGCAAGCTGGACACCAGGGAGCATAACTATGGAAATGAATGGACATTATAGCAATTATAAAAATGACTTAAAATAGCATTAAAGGTACTTTAGACGCTTTCTATTTGTTTTAGTGGAAGATTATGGTATCCTTGATAATAAAATATATTTCAGATCCCTCATGTTACATAGCATAAATCATAAAAGACTTTTAATACAATTTAATCACCCCTCTACCTACTTTCTCCTCATTAATAACCCTTTAATGCGTTAAATCGCCTTTGACTACTTAACATCACTTTTACTTTATTTTGTTATTTTTGAATGGATGCTCTTACGTCAACAAATATTTTCCTTAAAGTATGATAACTCTTTGTGAATGAAAGCAATTAAAAAGCAATTTGATCCGTGAATGTATACTATTCAGTTAAACATGTGTTTGAATATTATAAATATACAATTACTGTTTTATAAACCCAATAAATGTTTACTTCATTTGTTTCATCAGCTGTATAAAAAATTGGGAAATGAATACACCTATCTATGATAACTTTGTATCGAAAAACCTTTCAGTTAACAAATTCCAATTCAATCTGACAAGTCAAAGTCTCAATAGTAATCGGATGAGACAAAAGCTAAGTAGAAGTAATAATATGATTTAGATAAACGCGAATATACGGAATTCCTCGAAGAAGAAGGTACAAACAATTTAACCATCCAATGACCAGTTAAAATTTCTCTCCATGTATATTCATTGAGTTCAAGAGAGTACGACTTTTCCTTTGCATAAGACGAAGATAAACATAATATTAAAAAAGTCGAGAGAAAATGAACAAATAACATATTTTAAAAATATCGTCTGTCCCGGAAGTACATGTGTTCTCCTGGTATATTTGGTAGGGGTACGTAATCATTTAACAATTATACAAGAGATGGCATTAGTGTTTTATACCTGGAGCTGGATACCAGACTAATTGTATATTTTGTTTTGACTCCACAGTCGAATTGGATTGCGATAAAATGTAGTACTACGGCGATTTCGTTAAATTACATGTTGTAATAAATGGTTATTTAAAAATTAAAAGGAGTAAGATAAATACTGGAGAGAGGTCGTATTCGTAAGTAATTTAGAAACAGTTATATTTAACACTCTTCATTTGTGCAATGTTTCTCTCACTGTACAATACTGCATAGGTCTATATAAAAAAGAATAATGTCTCTGTTGGTAGGATTTTAAATTCTTTGTTGTTTGTATTTGGTGAGTATATGCTTATCTAAAAGTGCTGAAGGGTGTAAACATTAGTAACAAAATCCTATTTCAATAAGAGCAGTTAGGAAAACACTTTTCACTCAAACTTTATGAGAATGCAAAGTAAATATCATATTGATATATTATTGGCTTTTTTTTTCATTCTACTTCCGATTAGGTAATCATGGGAAATCAAGAATCAGGCCAGTTTCCAAGTTCGATGAGAACACCAGCTTGCGATCGAAGAGAATTGGGAAAGAGTAAATCAAGGCGGCGAATAGATAAACTACTACACCGCCATAGAACAACTAAAAATCGAGGACGATCTCTGTCTCCCTCGGAAAGTCGAATTCCCTTGCCTGATACTCCTAATGTCAATAGACTGCGTAGGTGTAGTTTATCGAATATCGATAAAAGTGACGATGATCCGCTAATGAACACCACTCAGCGAGCTGCCAAATGCCGTACAGTTGATAAATTAGATTTTTTAACGACGAAAAGCGAACGGTCATCTTACTCGTCGGTCATTAGTGAGAGTGATAACAAGTTTGAAGAAGGGTATTCACTTTCTAGTCAGTCTTCCGATTATCTTGTTTCTAAAGAAAGTTCGCAGTATTTAGCATCAACAGCCGACCCATATGTAAATGAAACCCGTAACGATGATTTCCGGGGCGCAATAATCGATAAGCAATCACCATCGGCAGCGAATAGAGTCAATGAGCAAATGGCCGATTTGAAATCGAATGACGCTCTTGATCAAATTAAGCAAATAATAGATCATTTAAGTGAAGAACAGGAGAGGAGGAACTCTTCTCAGGAATCCGTTATGCATATAGAAAAGCTTTTTCACGACGAAGAATTGAACGATGGCTTGTTTGACGAAGTGTTCAGTCCAATTACTACAAAATTACCACCAGGAAAAGAATTTCCAACCAACTTATCCAGGCATAAATCAATAAGTGACGAAAATATGGAACATAGCTGCAGGCGAATTTCTCCAGCTAGATACGTTCGTAAAACGAAAAGGGATCATTTTAAGTCCTTAAGCGATTTAAGCAAACGAAAATCAACACCTCCCAATAGTATTAGTAGTGCTTCCTCATTACTTGATGCAACTTTTAAGCACAAGCGTAGATATCTTAGCGAGGGTGATTCAAAGAATATACAACCAAACGATGTTACTCTTGATGAATTTGAGAAGGATGGAATTAAATTAACAAAAGAGGAAAAATGGTTAAGATCGTGTAGTATAAGTGCGGATCATCATATTTCAAAACCCTATGAAATTCCACCTAAATTAAATTTTACGGATTTAGAAAAATTCGAAGGTAATTTAATTTATTATTATTGATCAATTATTAACAAAAGTATTAAATAATTGTTTACTTTTCTATTTCAACCAATAGGTTTTATGTTAGTTAATTGGTTAAAATCTAGTTTTGAAGATGAATCTATCGAGTTAGAAATAAACAGCGTTCAAGCAAAATATTTTGCTTTACAGTTCTGCACAAATTTATTAGCAATTGGTGTTCTAAAACCAGTTATGCAGGACGATGAAGTTCTGCTTAATGGGATTTTTAAACCGGACAGAATGTATTACTGGGCCCATTCAGAGAAAATGTTGCAGCATTTAGAAGTAATTCCGAGCCGAGTAACGTCTTCTGTCTGGTCTCAGGAGAATATCAATAATTCGGAACAGAAAGATCGATCAGTCGAAAAACTTAGTCCACATTCACCCCGATCAGGTAGAGTAATTTCTTTCCGTATTTTATGATTCATAGGAAATGAAGGAAATTTTTCTCGATGATTCATTTCCCAATATTATTTTTATGATTTGTCTTATTTCTCATATTCATTTTTAATAATACATCATTCTTCAAGTCTAACTATTTCAGAGCAAAGCTACGTTATATCCAACATAAGAAGAGAGTTAAAAGACGAAGTTACCAGATTGAAGGAGTCACATGATCATCACATCAATTTAATTCGACGCCAGTATTCTGCACGATTGAGAGAATATGAAGCCAAATTAAAGAAACTAGAAAAAGAACGAATGAAAAAGAACTGTTCAAATTTTAGCACGCAAACTCCAGTGAAGACAAATGGAAATGCTTCCATACAAACTAAGCCGATTACGAAAAACATGTTCACGCAAGCGGATTTACCCCAATTTTATAGTAAAAGTACAAATACGGAAGAAAGGATTTACGATGCTAAATTATCTTGTGCACCGAATGCCTCTCTAGCCAAAAATACTGCAGCTCCAAAACCGTCCTCAATTCCAGCCCCACCTCGTAAGTTCAATCAATGTCACCAATTAAATATGCAATGTAGATTAATTGTTACAAACAGCTCCCCCGCCACCTCCCCAATTTTATAGTATCCCTTGTCCTCCTCCCATACCACCTACATCCAATGTACCTGCAGCTCCTCCACTGTCTGGAATGTCTATTCCACCTCCTCCGCCCTTATCTGCAGCTCAAATACCATTAGCCCCTCCATTACCTGGTGCTCCTATTCCTCCTGCCCCCCCGTTACCCGGGGCTCCTATTCCTCCTGCCCCCCCGTTACCCGGGGCTCCTATTCCTCCTGCCCCCCCTCTACCCGGGGCTTCTATTCCTCCTGCACCACCATTACCAGGTAGTGTGTCTAAACGTATGTTGTTTGCCTGATTAAATATATTAATTTTTTTTTAGGTCCACCGTTAGCAAGCGGCGGGATTCCATCGGCCCCGCCCATTCCTCCCCCACTTGGTAAGTACCAAAGAATAATTTTCTGCTCTTTGTAAACAGAATGTCATCTTTAACATCCATTTACAGCTTCCTTTCCTAATTCATCTGTGCCTCAGGCACCTCCTCCGCCACCAGGTATACTTAAATATATACCTAAGGTCTATTCACAGTTTCCTTTTTTAACAATTAAAAAACCAGCTCCTCCACTTCCTGGATCTGTACCTTGTCCACCTCCAGGTTAATTTAGAAAATAGCTAATAATGTCACAGATAATATCTTCACGCTTTTAAATCGTCTACAGCTCCACCAATACCAGGTTGCCCGGGAACTGGAATACCAGGTCCGCCTCCAGGTTAATACGGCATTAGCATTTGCCCTCTTCCTTAATTCTTTTTTCTTCATCCTTTATTTACTCAACAGCTCCACCAGTACCAGGATTTGCAATGCCCGTCGCTCCATCCATTCCGTCAGTCAAAGGTAAATCATATAAAACGTACAAAAAAGAGTAAATAAGCAACAATTATCTTTTTTTTCTCTAGTAAGAGATCGAATAACACCGAAATCCAAAATGAAACCTTTGTTTTGGAAACGAATTCAACTGTGTCAAATTCCAGTTTTAAATAGGTTGGTTCTAGTGTATAGTATATTTATTTTCGATATGGTATTCGATTAAATGGATTTTCGATGAATTTAATTCAAAATTAAGTGAAAATAAAAAGAAAAATCTATGGACGAGTTTAAAAGAACCGAAAATTGATTATGATGAATTAGATAATTTATTTTCGAAAATCGAAGTAAAACGTCAACAGAAGACAATCGAAAAGAAGGAAGTAAAGAAGGAAAAGAAGGAAATTGCCAAGTTATTAGATGAGAAACGATCTAGAGAAGTAGGAATTTTCATATCAAGTCAACGCATATCAATTGATATTGTCGAGAAGGGTTTGTAACGCTTTAACGCTTTTATTTATTCCATATTCATATTACTTTTGACAGCTGTTATCGATCTTGATAATTCAGTTTTAAGCCTTGAGCATTTGAAAGCTATATACGATATGGTTGGTTATACTTCATCTCTCTATTTTCTTTCTTTTCTTTTTTTTTGGATTAGGCTCAAGATCTAATTAATGATTTTTCTTTTTTTTTAGAAAGGTACAAACGAAGAATTAGAGTTATTAGAACATCATATGAAATCTAAACCAGATATTGCATTGGATAAGCCAGACCAGTAATTGAATATATATATATATATAATATATAAATACTCTGGACATTATCATATAATTGAAAAGAAATTCCTTTATTAAAACAGATTTGTTTATAACATCTCAAAAATAGCTTGCTTCAAAGAGAGAACTAATTCGCTCATCTTTCAATCAACGTTTATTGAAATGGTTTCCAACGTCGAGTCTGATTTGAATAATTTAAAACATATTTGCCAGGTAAATTACTTTTCTATTTTCAATCCGAGAGAAAAAATATCTCCTCTATTTTCCTATCTATATTCAATTTCTAATTTAATTCTATTTATTTGTTTAGACACTACTTGAAAGTGATAAAGTTCATTTTATTATAAGTTTGATTCTGGCCTGCGGAAATTATATGAATGGAGGTTTGTTGATTTTAAAATGATTTATATATGCTGTCTATACAATACGAAATGAAATTTCCTATATGTCGTTCTTTCTTATTGACAATATTTTCTATCTGTGAGAAGAGAACACGATGTAAACGAATTAAATTATGTCTATGTTAGGTAGTGTTACTTGCCAAACTCATTCGTTGACAATGACGAATTAATCGTATAAACAATTCGATTTAGGTACGGCGAGAGGTCAGGCAGATGCTTTCGGATTGGAAATCTTGTCTAAATTAGCAGATGTTAAAACAAAAGATCAAAGATCCAACCTAATACAATATATTGTAGCAACATATTTAAAATTCCACAATTACTCCGAAGGAGATATTTGTCCTATACCTGATTCCTCTGAAATTGAAAAGGCGTCACTAGTTAAATTCGAGGATGTTGATAAACAAATTAATAATATTAAAAATTCCCTGAATCGTGAGTATCTCCTCAAAGCTTCTTTTCATTATAAATAAGTAAAAGGGAAAAAGATGCGAGAGTTATACTCTAATTACCTTTTTTCCTATTATAGAATTTAATAAACAAGTTGAAAAAGTATTAAATGTCTCTTCTGAAGATGTTCTAGAACCTTTTAAATCAGTTATGTTGTCCTTCGCAAAGGAAGGTTGGTAGTTCTCTCTTAAAAAAAAAAAGAAAAAAAAATTAGATAAAAAAACTAGTTGGGAAGAGAAAGAGATAATTATTTTCCTTTCCAATGCAGCTGCAAAAGATATTGAGAAGCAAATGAAAAATTTAAAAGAAACAAATGAAATGTATGTAATAGTATATATATATATATATATATATATAATTTAATATATATATATATACATTAATAGGTTTGACAAATGCGTGGATTTTTACATTATTGGACAAACTGATATGGAAAAAAATCCCGAAAAATTCTTCGAATTATGGAAAAATTTTTCCAATGTTATTAAGGATACTTGGAAAAAAATTACAATGAATATTATTAAGGAAAAGTAATTGTTTTCAATTGGTGTTTCTTTATTTCTTTATATATATAGTCTTTTATTTTTCTTCCTAAATCTAGAGCAAAATTAGCTGAGAAAAAAATTAGAGATGGACGAAAAACGCAAGCGAATAAAACAAATATTACAAAGAATGTTGCTCCCTTGGTAATATTTTATGATTAATTAATTAATTAATTAATTAATTTTCTCTTTAATAGAAGAATAAATTAGCTAAGAAAGGATTGTTAAATAAATAAAGAAAAAAGTAGGAGAAGAGTAGAAGGAGTATGCAGATTAAGAAAACGGGATTAGAAAATCAAAATGGATAAAGATTTGTTATATTTCTCTCTCCCCCCACTTTCTCTCTCTTCTTCTCTTCCCTATCTGTTTCTTTCAATCTGGCTTTTTTGTAGTATCTTTTCTCTCTAGTTTCCTTTTTTTTATAATTATCGATTTTGAACGATTGGTGCTGTTTTATTTAAAAAAAACTATGATTAAACATTCAGAGATACAAAATTACTATAAAAAAACAAGGAAAAAACAAATTAGTCAGCAAAATTGCTATAATCATTAATTGAGTAGCTTTTTTTCTTCTTTTTTTGATATACTCAAATGTACTCAGATGATGATAATGTTGATGATGTTAATGCTATAATGAAAATTTTTGACGATGATGATGATGACGATGATGATGATTATTATTATTACGATGATGGTGGGTGATAAGATGATAGTAAAGAATATACAACTGGCATAATTGGAATATTTTTTTAATAGATTAATAAAAGAATTTGCAATTTAGAAAATTTACTTATTATGCATAAATACCGGGAAAAAAGAATTACAAACTGGTACATGGTGCTTTTGTTTTTTGCCCCTTGTTTTGTTTTTTTTTTTTACTTTGAGCAATATGCAAATAGAAATTTAATATTTATGTTCCAGTTTTCATACAGAATATCAGTTGAAATAAAATTGTTTTGCATTCTATTCAATTAATATCAGGCGAGAGAGTTTAGAAAGAGATACGGTTAGGGCTTTGTACGCCATCTGGTATTTATAGTTGAAACTAAATTGTACTTTCGAAACGGTTGTTGATAAAGGTAACAACGTAACGAAGGGCTGTAAGGGAGTGTTATAAGGAAAGAAAAACTATGGTTGACGCCCCGGGTTTCACTTTTATTGAATAGGTGATAATTCCTATGTCTTTTCTTTTTAAGAACTATACAATAATCTCCTATTTTCAAGATATAATCCCTTTCAAAGCGGATTAGTAAATTATGTAAGCAATTTGGCTAATAGGTTTTATGGCTAAGTTTACTATGTCGATAGGGGTAACTAAAAGTAATATATATATTTATGTAAAACTACTTAAAATATTTCTTTATTCATATATAAAACACAACTTAGCGTATTCGTGCATGCATAAAGATAATAAATGATGGTTATTTATCATAACGTGTTTAGCATATATGACGCCATCTTTGGCGAATAATAATAAAGATCCTTTTCCACTAAGCTGACAAGTAAAGTTGTAACTTATTATGATAATATTAAGTATATTCTTAAATGATTTACTCTCCCTTCTCCCTTTTCGCCATTCAAATAAAAGTTTAATTGCATTCACTCAATTTTCGGTCATGCATAAATAAAAAACGGCCACCTTTACAGTACGGAACATAGTTTATATATAGGATTTAAATTAATAAATAGAGTATACATACCTCGAGGCTGGTTAAGAGGAGTGATAGAGAGAAAGGGAACAAAACAGTAAGAGTTAAAGAAAAACTGTAGAAAATGGGATAAAGAGCGGGGTCTCTATGAAAGAGGTTTTTTATTTTTATACGAATTAATCGGTGCCGCATAAATATTCAATAAAATTCACGGGAAATGAACGTAAATGAAAAGTAAGAATAACAAGCGACTGGTGTATCTTGCGGGCATGGTCAGAAATGAGTATAGAAGAAGCAATCACTTTCTTTCATTCAGAACACTCACTTAGCACTGCGTGAATGGGTCTCGAGCACCGAGCGCCTCGTGTCAGCGCCCCTTGAGCACCATTCGATATTTGATACGGCGCATACACTATGAGATTTTTTCGATGAGAAAGCCACTAAATTATATATATATAGGTCCTCTTTTAATTAAATTCCCCATACTACACGAAGAGTGGGAAAGAGAATGAAGAGGAGCGAACAGAAATTATATGCAGTCTATATATATATAGCATTCTAATATACAGTATATACAATAAATACTAATATATACAAATATGTAGTTTGCTTAATTTCTTCTGTTTTCTACTTTTCTTTCTTCTCTCATTCAGTCTCTCCGATTCCCCGTTTTTTTTTCTTTTCAACTACTTTTATAGGGGCGTCTTGCATATTGGAAAACCACCCTATTTAACCTTTTTTTTATCCTTTTTGAGGTGACGAAATAAAACAGCTAACTACACCCCTTGTGGATTGTGACAAATTGTTTCGAATTCTATGATGAATTCCTTTTTTACCCTCATTTCCACATTCTTATAGTTAATTTAAAAAAGGAAAGAAATAAAACGTATTCCTCTCTTGACGAATATTAAACGAAGAGTGGGCTGGTTTTTATGCAAAACGATTACGTAATCGAGTGAGGCGTTAACGCTTCACTTTATAATAGGCTATCTTGTCACCGACACTCGCGCCTGAAACGCGTCTACCTTCTGTTGAGTTAGGAAACGTGACACTGTATAATTGTATACGCCTTGACAGCAGTTGGTGCGTATTCATTAAACCATTTATAAAGAAGGAAAATTTACGTTCGCACCTTCGTAGTAGAACGCCCATTGCCGAGAGCACACACTGAGTAGTCTAACAACGTTCCGTAACAATGTTGCATATCCGCCAGATTTGTATGCATATCATAATGAAAAGGGGAAAGAGAAAAATAATCAACATAAGGCTGACAAAAAAGAAACGGCTGATGAGACGCTCAAGCAAGCATGACGTGCCAAACTCGTCTAGGACAATGCGATCTTCTGCACCTTATACTTCCGGACGGCGGCGCGATGTCCCGGTGTCAAATAATCGCAAAACTGGACGATTAATGAGCAATTGATACGCGCCAGTATTTTGCGCCCGATTTCATCTTGCTCGGTTGCCGTTGTTTTCCATAATCGGCTTCGAAATGAGCATTATTACGACGCAGGTGGTCAGGGGGTGTGGCTTGTTACGTGCTTCATTGTTTGAGGTGACAAAGCTTTACTGGACCCTGAGCTGTATAGGTCGATCAGTAATTGCTGTTGACAGATGTAGCGGATTTACGCCTAGGACAATAAAAGCCAATTAATCTGTGGCGCATAAGAGAGCTGCAGTCTGCATTTGACAGCTCGCCTTAATTGTTTTTCTGACTGCTGCTCTCTATACATTTAATGTTTATACGCTTATTAGCCCGGCAGAAAGGCGTTAGAAAAACCAACAAATTCTCCAATTTCCAAATTTCCCGTTTGAAAAATACATACGCAAACCATGCATTCGCATACGGGGCATTATCTTTTTAATAAAAGGTTAACCCCGCCCATTTTAATGTTACAGCCAATCACCGTCGCGGGGGCGGGATCAACAACGGTTTCGGTAGCATAAAACCGATTGAACTAATTCGTTAAACTCTTACTAGCTGCCATCATGTTCTCGCAAAATGCTGGATTCTGTCCACGACCCTTTCATCATGTTCCTCCTCTAGCATTTTCACTTCCTTTCTGCGTATTCAACGAAAAATCTCGGACGCCTCCTAGAACGCCGTCACCGACTTTGAAGGTGACGTCTAAGGCGGAAAGTGACGCCTCAACGCCGTCCTCTAGTCAATTGAAGTTTGGAATAAACGCTATATTGTCGAAAGATACTCCGTCTTATAAAAAAACGCCTTCTCCTGAAAACAAAGGTTAAAAATCTTTTTGTAAATATTTTAATATAAAGTTTGAGGTTGTCTAAATCGAATTTTAATCCTTTATCCACTTTATAAGCTTTATTATCGATCACTATGACTAGTAAAATAATAAAGAATATTGCGTGTCAGTTTAACGCTTAAATGCTTCAACTGCAATTTTAATAATTGTGCCGTTTTTTCCCTTCTTCTTCTGTAACAGTGGCAACTCCTACACGCAGATATTCGATTCGAGCTCCTCCATACTCCCCAGAAATCCCAAATTCATACATGTTCGACCCATTCCATTTTAGCCAAACCCAAGCTAATCCGAACCCCCACTACAATATGCCAGGTTTGAAATAGCTTTATTTATTTAAGAGTTTTAAAACCGTCTAAAGACAATTTGTTGTTTCTACAGCCAGCGGGCCATCCGTTCTCCCGCTTCATCACGCATTCTCTTTATTGAATAATATGCGCGGTAAACCGAGGAGAGGAATGCTTAGGAGAGCTGTTTTCTCCGATTCTCAGAGGAAGGGTTTAGAGGACACATTCCAAAAACAGAAATATATTAGTAAACCCGATCGGAAAAATCTAGCAGAGAAATTGGGACTAAAGGATTCACAGGTAAATAAATAAATTTTCTGTATTCTATATAAATCTATATACAGTGCACGTAGATAATCTTTTGTTTAATTTTAACCCGAACCGTACAGTTTACTTTTTATTTTAACACCTTTTTGTCAAGACACCTTCCAATTCCATCTGTTAAACTTTTATTATACTTGAAAGAACATTTGACGCTTGTTTATTGAATTGAAATTGTTACAATGTGTAAAAAAAATTGTTTGATATATTGAAAATTAAAAATATCCCTATAAGAAAATAATTTAAATTACTAATCAATAGAAACAACTAGACCAAGTAGGCGTGGCTAAAAAGAAAGTTGTACTCTATTTGTGCCACATAACGATTTACCATATACTTATTCATTGAGATAATTATGATAATTATCTAATTATATAGTATAAAAACTCGTGCATTTCTTTCTTAAGTGAAAAGGTAAATATAATTTTGGGTAAACGTTCTTTTAAAATATCCGATTTCTATAGAATCCCTATTTTTCGGCATATATTAAAAAAGGGTAGGAGAGCGCGGTAGGGAGAGAAAGCGGAAAAATCACCGATTAAACTATAATTGATGTTTTATGGCCGATACGAGAATTTTGTTAAAAGCCTTAACCCTTAGGAAAATATTTACGCAAATCAAATTTTTCGACGCTGAAGTATTAATCTATTCGCGTCGGTTTCTATAAGATCAAGTAAACTGATAAAGTTTTATTAAAAGCGAAGCAAAAAAAGTGATTTATAAATACTCCATTCATTTATAATAGTGCGGGAACAACAAAGAAACAAAACGTACGGTTAAGTCTACAGATGTTTCATGCTTCTTTTTAGATATGTTTATTTATAAAGGTACGCACCATACGGGCGTCCCTATGTTGGGTATATATAAATATATATTTTGTATATAAATACATATTTAAAAACGTCCAATATACATATCCACTCGAGTATAAACACGTGTTAAATGTATATGTGCCGGTTATATACGGGTATTGTATGTGTTGGTTGGTAATTAGCTACAAGCAACCGAAAGACGGCACCTGTTCATTTCGATTAGCAAATATATTTCACTGATTTCTTTTTATGTTTATTTATTCATCAGGTAAAAATATGGTTTCAAAATCGGAGAATGAAATGGAGAAATTCAAAAGAAAGAGAAATGCTTTCATCAGGCAGGGATAAACCATCTACAATACCGCAATCACCCATAAACGCGGAAGAGAGCGATGAGGATGAAATTAACTTGGTGTCATGACAAATTTGAAGGAAAAGTGAAAAAGCTCTGTAAAAATAGAGAGAAGTGAATAAATAAATAAAAAAAAGAAAATAAGAACAAGAGACTGATTTTCTTTTTTTGGATGGTGCTCGAACTTGGGGAATTTTCTAAATGCCATAAATGCTAGATATACGATCCGCCTAATTGATCTTTATTGGTTAATCCGACTCTTATTTACACGGATCGAAACTGTCGACAAAACCCTAAGGCTATTCTGGCTCTTCGACAATTCGAAAAAAACGTTTATTTAAGGGACGGAAAAAAAAAAGAAAAAATCTTCATAAACTTTAGCAAGCTACCGTTTCGTATTATTAATGTTTATCTTGTGACATTAGTGTCAAGCTTTAAGACGCTTTTGTTGACATTTCGAATGTGTTTGAACACGGGACTGGTAGCGTACGGTGTTCGCTTATTAAAATATACATGTATGTTTATATGTAATCTATCTCAAGAACCGTCTCTTTGTCAATGATTTTCTATATATATATATATATATCTATATAAATAGATAAATATAAATTATTGTACAGACATACGAATGTAAAGTACAGTGCTTATATATATATATATATATATATAAATCCATCTACATATACTTAAAGATATATGTTTGTTTAACTATTATACTGTATATGTAAATAATAAATAGATTTATAAAAGAAAATAATATATATATATATATATATATATATATATTATACTGTATATATATATACAAGTATATTAATTCGTATTAGAAAATCATATAGATATATTAACTCTATAATTGCAATAAATTTCTTACATAATTACTTAATGATTAGAGTTTATTCTAACGATTTTCTCTATTCCCTATCTAGACCACTACCAAGCTCTTTAGACTCTATATCAATAAATATTCTATATAATAATATAATAATAATAATATTAACATTCATAATAATAATCAATTAAAATGCTTTCATGTCTCTTTTCACGCCATAAATGGCCTATAACACATAAAAATCACGATTCATAAAGCGGATCAGACGGGAGGACGCCAGCAATATCAAACAAAACGAGAAATATCAAAGGTAGCGCCGAATCGGTGAACGGTCTTAGCATACAAACAGTGAGATTAAAATTCACTTTCCGCCGCCGCAAAATTGAAAAAGGCGCACGTGGTGCTGAAAACGGTATTATGTCAGCACAAGCTGTTCCACCAGTCAATTTATAGCCGACTGGAAAAGGGGTAAATGAGAACGAGAAAAGGCAAACGGATTTTTTTCAAAGAGATGCTAAAAAGGACGTTTATTCAAAGTTGAATAAACACAAGGGTTATGCGGAAAAAAAACAGTTCTATTAGGTAAAAAATTATAATAAGAAGAGAAAATAATCTCGGAAAATGAGGGCAATTAGCTCAAATAAACTCGGATTGCAAAAGCCAATTACGGTACATGACGAACAATAATAGAAATGGGTGGAAAAACGACGCGTAGAATAAATATTATAGATTGAATTCTGGCACTGAGAATCGGGCAATATGGTGAAGAAGGAAAATAAAAAGGGTGGCGGAGCGAACGTAATTCATTCCGTTCACGAATTTCATATGCAGCTTTTATTGATGATATTCCCCGCTTATCAACTTGTCTCCGAGTTAGTAACGATCGGTCGCATTTCCTCTTACAATATACCATCTTTATGGAATAGATAAATGTTTAGACAATGGCATGCATATATGAAACCAAAAGATTAATGTATAAGTGCAGGTAATTCAAGATAAATAGCTCTACTGCATAAACCATATGCTCTATATATATATATATATATATATATATATATATATATATATATATAAATGAACTTTCATCTGGATTTATATTTTGTATATAATTCTATAAATGTCTATAGCACTACATGTGCTTATATTAATATCATATGCAGTAAATACAGTAAATACAGTATATATATATATATTAATAATATGGATTTTTGCAGCAACCAATTTCCCAGTCCACTCAAATGTCTAATCGTCCTAAACGGGATATTAAAAAGCAACTGTTTGTAAAACTAATTATTCGAATTGACTTTCGTTCAATAAACGATCCGTTGAACACTAATCCGCGTAGTATGTATGTTTTATTAAGTTTGAACAGGCTTAACCATATCACCCAACTCCCTCCTGAAACGGCCCATGTTATTTACACGCCTTGACATTTGGCATGAATTAAAAGCCGCCTGCCCGGGTATTACTTTCTGAATATATAAACAAGCCTATTCAATTTGTTTGCGTTTTATGCCAATATATATATAAAAACCTTCGTGAGAATGCAAGCATGCTGCTATTATAAAAAAATAGAAAAAAAATCTCAATCTCTCCTTTTTTTGAAATATAATCATATGCTAAAGCAAACAAAAGTTACACCAACGGAGCTTCAAACGCTTATGCTAATTAATTGACGCCTTTGATTAGACGATTTGAAAAGTTTTTTTTTTATAGCACTTTTTTTTTTCTCCCCACTCCTCTAATCTGTTGGTAACGTTGAGGTCGCGTCGGAATTGATTGTAGAGAGACGAAGAGAGAGAGAAAAGTTGACGGTGTTAAAAAATCCTACTTCTCAACGTCACTCGACGCCACTCGTTTTAATTGTCGGTTAAGTCGACGTTTCGACGGAAAACCGTGCGCGGACTACTAACTTTACTTACACTCTTATGTACTCAAAATTCCACTCTTTTCTCCTTTTCAATGTCAGAGAATTACCTTTCAACAATAGAGTCTTAATTATTAACTGCTATACTATTTGTAAGATTAAAAGAGAAAAACCGTTCAGTGTTTACATAGCGTTCAATACGGTAATAATTAAACATACATTTACCGGTCTCTGAACATTTTTACAATAAATTTCATATTAATTGATATCTATAAAGGATGTAAAGAGATCTTCAGTATCGTTTATACGCCTCTATATATATATATATATATATATATATATATTGTAACTAATCTAAAAACGCTTGACCTTTAACTTCTACGATTTTAGTTTTATTAATTGTTATACCATATTTAAAATGCAACATATTTGTATATTGTTCGTCTCACCACGCATCAAATCAATACAACACCAAATGTTACACGAGTCCTGCCTCTAAAAAGTGAATAAGTACGTGAGCGCAGACTATATTAGTAGCCATATTATTAATTTTTCAGTCAAAAGATTACCAGATGCATCGATAAAGTAATCCTCTGTATATATTACAGTTTCTCCTTTTAAGCGGTCATCTTTACTTTTAACCCCTCCTACCGTTTTCTTTATTCCCCCCGTCCTCCCCCCCCCCAAACCCATACTCTTTCTTTCCGCTTCCACTTTCTCTCTCTCTGTCTGTCCAATCTCCCTCTTCTTTTTTGATATATTTTGTTTTTGTTAATTTCTTATACTAACACCATTATTTAGTTTGCTATCAGCTATATCAGTTGCAACAGGTTTTAAACGACTTGGGATAAAAACTTTATTCTCTTTCTTCTTTTTTATATAGACAGAAGGCGCCATCTGTCGAAATATTCACAAAATGTTTCTTCTTGATTTAAACAGCGTTTTATGACTATTCTAAAGGCGTCTCTCGCCTCTGTCCTCTTTAGTGCTCATAAAAGCTTGTTGAATAGCTGATAATAAAACTCGAAGGATATATAAAAGTGAATGTAATGTTTTTTTCAAAAGGTTCATTTCATGCGGGACAAGTGGAAAGAAAAAGAAACGCAAGAGAAGAGGAGAATAGAGAAAACAAGTTACAACGTTATTTTTAATACTATTTGCTGGCCCACATAAACGAATTAAAAGTCTATAAATCATCTTTTTTTGGACATTTTCGTATTACAAACTGAATAATGAAATACGTAATACGTTAAGTGAATATATCCTTTCGCTAAATAATATATAATAGTTTATTTATTCTCTTACAAATTGCGATACTAATTAGTGTGTGTTAATTATTTTCTATGCCTGAGTAAACGGCTCATTCTCTTTTACTTTAGTACTGTTTTATTAGAGATCAATACCAACATTAATAGCTCGCTTAATGTTTATTAAGCTAACTTAGCCCTGTAATATGCCTACAAAAAGTCTTCTCTCTGCCGACAGAATTTATAATAAAGAGAAAAAAGGATCGATCAAACAAACGGACCATGCTTCTCTCCTTTCCCTTTCTTTTCTTTCTTCTCTCTTCCTTCAATCAAAGAATTAGTGTACTTGCTTGTGTTTCTTTTTTTTGCTTTTGTTTTTGTTGCTTTTACACCAGTTTATTCTATTAGAAAACATACATATTTTATACAGTTGATACGATTATACGTAAAAATCACTTAGAATACGATAGATAACGATTTCTTTTGACAAAAAAAGAACAAAAATTTCGAAGTATTAAAATATCCTTTTTTTCTTTTTTATGGATTTTTTTCTTCTTTCTTCCTTTCTATCTCTTCATCTGTTGTAGCCTATTTCCGAGAGAGATGAACAAGATGAATGATAAACATAGAAGAGTAATTTTTTATCTAAATAAATTATTTTAAATAGAAAAGAGAAAAGAAAAACGGTGAATTTTCAGTGGTGAGCGTCCACGTTTACGTATGGATTATTAATCAATCGTCCGGTATTAATAGCTCTTCGTCATCGCTTGTGCTATTAATTACTTCGCTTGGAGGTTCGCTGGGTGTCGCCTGCAACAGTTGTTCTTCTTCGTCCACAATCGAAACTCTGGATGCTTCTTCACTGTTTCTATAGCCATAGAAAGCGTATATAATAAGGCCTATTAGTATCCAGACGCTGCAAAAAATCCAATATAGTGCCCTGAATCGTACAAGGAGGATGACAATTAATTCTAAGGTTAATAAGTTTAACCATGGCGTCAAAGGAGCCTTTATAATGTACGAACTATTATAGCATAAACCCTCCTCTGCTTGAGATTGGGTTGCTATTGTTCCCATAAAACCAAAGAGGACCAAGAGTAGGACGCATAATGTGAAAATTAAAAACCCATTTCCTGCTGCTAATTTGCTATAGAATATAGTTAGGATTGTACAACCAACGAAACTAACTATGATAAACATGGCGGACGAGAAGACAACTCTTTTGAACGAAGCTGCAGATGCAAAGGAAGACAAGTGTACCGCCAAACCTAAAGAACAAAATCTTCTCTGACTTTGCTCTGTAAGGTAATCTTCGACAACTCTATCTATATCTCCTTCTTCGTTCTGTTCAGGAGTTGTCTCGCTATCAACTGAACCATAAATTTTTCCATTGTGTGTTGTCAATCGCCTTGGAGGTAAGCTAAAGCTTTCAACAGGATAGTACTTCAGACACAGTAGACCAATAACACAAATTGACTGACAAAACAGAAAGTTAAAACTAGCCAGTTGAATAAGGTGGATTGTTTCAAATACACCAGTTAACACACATCCAATTACACATATGAAGATTGTTGAAAATACAAAGGCATTAGTTCGCCCATCTTGAAACTTAAATATATTGAAACAGAGGCCATGCGAAGACATTTTCGTAAGAAGTTTGGAACCAAAGCGGATGTAAATCCTTAAAAGGATAGTGCAATAGATTACAGCCAGGAAACAGAAGATATATCGTATCCAAGACATGTGCCTCAAAGCAAATCCTTCAGGAAGGACGGTTTCAGTTAAGTAGATGTCAGGATCTGCTAAGAGACTAAAGGTCAGGGCAATAGCCCCAAAGCTTAGTAAGCTGACAAAGAGCTTTGAAAAGAGAGCTAATGGAAAGGTTGATCTGGAGGAAGAAAGTGTTGGATTTATTGAAGAAGACATAGGTATTATTCCCACAAAAAGAATCATCGAGCTCGATGTTCCCTCCAAAACCTGAATTATTTAAAATATGTATATATTAGTATATAAGAAAAGATAAATTGAATGAATAAGAACTACACTTACTCCTCCAAATCCATCTAAAAAGAAATGTTTCTTCCAAATGTTCCAATCCAAGTGGAATAAAGCAACAACACATACGAAAGTTAAAAGTAGAAAGGCTGCGCAATTAACAATTAATAAAGCTAGTTTAGGTTGTTTGACACCGGCAACTAGTAAACTTCCAACGATGAGCAATATTCCGAGAGCAAGAAAATCTGGTCTATCACCCAAATGACGATCCCCGTTTGAATGAAAGGTCGTAATAGTAAAATTGAGTATCGGACTTCCAATTAGAAAGTCAAAATTCTGAGAAATTGAGCGAGCCAGCAAAGAGGCAACTGCAGTATGCTGGAGAATCGTCGACCAGCCGACGATGAAGGCCGGAAGTTCACCAATAGTCCTGTAGACATATTCATAAGCAGTTCCAACGAATGATGATGATCTTGTTCGTATTTCGATGAAATTTATTGCTGATAGGGAAAAGAACCGAAAATTTAATAGTCAGTTGAGGTAATTATGTTTCACTTAGTCATAAAGTATCAAAAGAAAAGTGAACTTTACAACCTTCTATAAATAGCCAATAATTGACAAAAGGATGGTTATTTGTATAATAAACTATAAGAATTTAATATATTAAACGTTATATATAGCATTTACTTATCGGGTTTTCTGTTGTACATACCTAGTAACATTGCTTGCTTATGAACATCGATTACAGTAAACTTTGTCACCTAGTCAATTATTGACCAATTTACCTCTAGTTTATTTAAATACATGGTCAGCACTGATTTTTTCAGTGTTATAGACCTAATTTACTTACCCAATAGGGTAGCTAGTAAAGTAGCCAGACATATTGATAAGATAAATGCGCTTCCGGAAATCTTTTGCACAATAGCACAAGACACGATGTAAATAGCGAGGCCAAATGTGTATTTGAGGCCTATGTAGGAAACGTCTATCCAATTTGGCGCTGTCGGGGACGTTTGTCCTGAGAGCGGGTTCCTCTGTGTTCTAAATAGCTTGTGGAGTAATGAGGGCATTCCTAATAGGTCCTCTCTTTTTCGTATAGTCAGGATTAACTGATGTAAACAATCAACATGGACGTCGAAACGTTGCTGTTGACGTCACGAATCGAGTGAAGAAAGGCGGCGTCGATTGATTGATTTTTTTTTCGTTGCAGCGCTGTCTGGTGTATAAATATACTGTTAGATATATATATATATATATATGTATATATACTGTTAGATATATATATACTATATATATATATATCATTGTTTCTTTAAATGTACGGAATTTGCTAGTATGACATTTATAAACATTTCCATATACTTAATTAAATGAGGCTTCATATCTACTACAAAAGTTTACTACTTTTACTATAGTTGTCACTTCTTTTCCATTCATTTCTTTTACCCTTCTTTTCCTCTTCTCATTCTCTTTTTCTCTCTCAAGTACTTTTACCTAATTCTACAAGGTTAAAAGATTTCTTTAGCTTTATCCTTACATAAGAACTACAAGATATATATAGAAAGTAAAGTTTTCTCAATCCTATCTTAGCCTTTATGCTCTCATCTCTTATCTCCTTAAGAAAATACTATTTTGTTGGGAATTTGTTTTTTATTTTTGTGGGAGAAGTAGTAGTCAATTGTAAGGTGGAAGATTGAAAGCACTTATTTAATATTCATTGATATTAATGTTAAAATAAATTATATGTCAAGAAAGCATGAAAGAAACAGCAAAATGTGACAATAATTCGAATTTCTACTTCGAATTAATAATGATCTTTTGTTAAGGGTCTTTTTTAATTTTCTCCACTTTTCGACGAAAGTAGAGTGCAAATGGCAAGTAAATTTTAGAAGGCATTATTAAAGGTTAATAATGATACCGGTGAGTCACATAAACGTTTAACGCATACGTTTTTTCCCATCCAATTATTTAATATTTTTTATGTACATGCTCAGACTTAATTATCCCAGGAGTAAATCTCATTTCAACCTTAGTTAGCTACTGATTGCAATGTTATTAGAGCGCCATCTCTAGTAGAAGTATCTGAACTGGATGAAATAATCTTTTATTATAGTGAATGACTGATTAAATATTCTTCAAAAGATCGATTTACATTGAATTAAACAACGTCTATTTTATTACATTCGCTCTTTTATTGCAGTAACCGAACTCATGTTCTTATAACAAGTATTATAATTTTATTGAAAGGTAATAAATAATTATTACATTTATCATTTCCTATTCGTCTTATTCCTTTTTAAATAAAACGTCAATATTTCTATCAATAATTATCAAAGGATAACCAAAGAATGGAACAAAAAGGAAGAACGTATTCAGCCGTTTTAGAAATGCTATCATCTTTCACTGCTCTGTAGAGTTTATCTAATTAGAAAGAAAGTAGAGATTGAGAGAAAGAGGGAGAGATTGCTGGAGACAGAGAGGGGGAAAGAGAGAAAGAGAGTGAGAGTAAGAGAGACATAGACAGGGACAGAGACAGAGACAGAGAAAGAAAGAGGCGTAAGAGATATGATCCTAATTGAAAAATGAGTAAGGCGTTTCTTATATGGGCTGTATTCGTTTCGATTGAAGGAAAACATTCCATCGCCATCAACTAGAACTCAATCTGACTTGTAATCAGACAGCTCTCGTATTTTGGGGGAAATATTAGTGAGATTTCATCCGGAGCTGACAAAACTTCACTTCCTCATTTCCTGCAATCACAAATGACTCCCAAACTTCCGGTTCTCTTCCACCCAAATTCAACTACTAATATTGAATTTTTCCAACCATTTTAATGCGAAATACTATATTATCAAGTAGAATCGACTATTTTCCTATCGTATTTGTGTAAGTTACATTATAAAAGCTCTATAGCTGAAAAACACTCTTCAATACCTTTTAAGTATACGGTCGACACAGTAAACAATGAGTTAATAATCTCCTGAAAAGATAGATGGAGCTACCACCGAATGAAAATTTAATATACATTTGATGTACTCCTATAAATAATCAGTATGCCATAATTTTTTTTTGTCGTTTTTATAAGTTGCGGCAAGAATTCCAGCGCTTATTGAATAATAGCTAAAAGACGCACTGGAATGAATCATACGAGATAATAGAACTTTGGCAAAGTTTATCCAGCAAATATGTAGCTTCCAATTTCTGACGCCTTGCATTATTACTAATTCCCAGTTTAGCCTATATATAATCCACCTGAAAACGATATGGTTTGTTTGTTCTGAATTTGGGTAATGAAAAAGATATGCCACATATAGTATTACCCAATTTAGAAGGTTTATTTTTCCATCTAAACGAATTAACCGTTAGTTGCGTGAATTTTACGACAGGAGAAGAGATTAGATCTATAAAAAAGAATGTGCAGTATATCTCAATCGAGAAGAGTAAGTGATTGCATGCTAAGTGTGTTAAAAACTATATGAAAAATGTGAAAGAAAAGGGGAGGAGATGGGCGATTCCCCATAGATTTTATTCGAATTCTCCTTTTCCGCTCGACGGAAGAGAATTCGATCTCCCGAAAAATTCCCCTATCCAAACAAAAAACCGAAATTTCTCTCCCCAGCCCATTGGCCTGCTAAGAGAGAAAAAACGAACAATTATTAGGAAAAGGAGGGAGGAGAAAAAAAACCCATCTCGTTAATCGACAACCGTCCTGGACAAACTAGGGCTCGTTAGAGATTGTCGATTTGAACACCATCTAGCGGCGGGCACATTCTTGTTCGGTTGGCAAACGGAATAATGGGAAGATGGTGAAATGACGACCAGTTCTAAAAAATGCTGGGTGTTTGGCATTTTTTAGGCCTATTCACTTTGGCCTCGGGTTGGCGAGAGAATTCTACATATAAAAGTTCGGACGTTTATGACTATTATGGAATTTCGCCAACGGTCACCGATGGTGGAAACTGGTAAGTTGAAAAAGACGAAAATCTACATCGAAGATTAAAGGATCTTCGAAATCGAATAAGGATATAAAAGATCGTAAATAATTCGATATATTTGGTGTTTTTAACTCCCATCGCCTATCGCAAGACTTTTACGATTCTGTGGGGCGTTAAATCCTTAAAAACGGTGTCGTCTTATCACTTTTTAAACTCGTGAGGATAGCTTAAAACTGTTAGCTTCCTTTTACTGTAACTTATAATTTATTAACACGTTCGAGAGATAAATAGCTACAGCCAATATCGAATCAAACGACAAACTGATCAACTCAGAGTGTAAATGACAACTTCTGGATTGCACAGTAATTGAAAAAATCTCGAGTAACGTTCCAGCTTAATGTCCTGTATTAATTCGTCTATTCATTTCGTCAAAAGGGAAGAGGTAGATAACTTTAAGGGGAACAATTCGATTTTTTTCTTTGCGAGAATAACGAATACATTAGCCACAGAATCAATAAAGAAACTAGCAAAAAAATAGATCCGCCGAACAAATAAGTATAAAAAGCACCGTCGGCGGGCTACCCCCTTCCTTACTTATCACGGTTATTAATTATCATAAGGATCAATATTTCGGCCAACAAGTTGCAAAAGTTGTCTTCCACTTCCGAATTGAACCGCCAGACGAAAAGCAAAAGCCGATTATTAGAGGAAAATTCCCGGGGCGATAGAAATTCGCCTCACGCACAAGCCGCCATATTTTCGCGTCTATTTAACTTTCGGACGCCTTTTAAGACGGTTCTGCAATAATGAGCACGCATGAATCGAATAATTTGAAGAAGGTGACGACAAGAATTTAGCATTTTTGTATTAGAGGAGGGTTGGTACCGATCGATTTATCGGTAAGGGTAGAAAAGCTTTTGAAAATGACAGGTGGTGCAGGAAATGAAAGTGCGTTAAGTGGCCGTTCGTTAATTGGCGTAGGACGGAACGCGCCTAGCATCTTTTCCTATAGTCTAAATTCATATTATTTACTTTCTAAGTCTTTTATTTGGTAAACATGCTAATTCATTCCTTATAAATTTATACTGTATATTACTTTTTATTTTCCCCTGCTGAATGAAAACAGCTGCGATGAGGAGAAAAAGAAAAACCCTGTTTTATCTACGGAACCATGTACTTTCGAAGGTAAATTAAAAAGGCCAGTTAACTGGTTTGGCTATATAGCCGAATTCGATATGGCACCTCATAGTGGGATTTTACAATATCAAATATCATATGCAAAGAAGGATTGCTGTATAAAATTACTTCTTTATTTACATGATGACGTAGACAAGATGAGAGCTCACATGAACTGTTTACAAAAACTGGGAGTTCTCGACCCTCGAAGCAACCAGGTTATAACCTTGTCACCAACCACTGAATCTTCCGGCTGTACCAGCAATGAAACTGTGAGAAATGGAAGAGAGATGATCGATTGTAAGAGCGGAAGGAAACTGTCGTCGGCTCTGACTTTGCGCTGGTCGATTGCTGTAAGTAGCTGTGGTTTGCCTAAGGGACTAGATATCTCATATAGGATTATAATTCATGGATACGTCGGAACTTGTCCGACGAACGTTAACCACGCCTCAAAAATCGACAAATTTACGGTTTCGATAATGGTTTGGACTGTGATATTCACTTTCTTGATGCGCCTGAACTAAATGCTATTTTATTCCTTCTCAATCTTCTTCCAAGATGTTATTTCTTTCTCCTTTTTCACTATTGGCGTTATCTCCTACTTTACTACTTTACTCATTTTGTTCTTAACGGGTAACGCAGACAATATGACCTGAGAATAAAGTCTTTAAAAAGCGGATATTCTACTTTCTCTCTTCAGCGACCTCTACTTCGCCTAATTACTTCTTTGGAAGCGCTACTTTTGTTATTTTTACCGAATTGGCGCCCTAAGAAAGGAGAGGAAGAGAGGGAAACGAGTTATCTATTAAAAAATAAGCGTTTTTCAGGCGTTGTCTATTTTTTATCAAATAAAAAAAACATTACTTTGGATGTGTTGAAGGGTATGAGAGAGAGATTGAGTGAAGGGGAAAAAGGGAGGAGAAAATGGATGAAAGAGTGTTGTTGGGAGAGCATTAAGAGTTAGTAAGCATGTTAAGTTATAGGAAGAGAAAAGAAAGAGATATAATACAAAGGAAAGAGGGCGAGAGTTAGAAAGATTGACGAGAGAGAAAGACAGGAAAAGTATAGAAATATTAAAAGTATATGTGCGAGAGAATGAAAGAAAGAAATACAATTGGAATACAACACAAACCCTCTCTAACTTTCAATGACAAAACGTCAATATGTAAATATTTATCCACAATATACGAACTAACTAAGAGCAAACCGTTTAATGCTTAATAAATATACATTCATCGAAGTAAAAACAATTAAATCGACATACGTCGATTCTATATTATTTATTAGATAGACCATTATATAACCATCCACCAGAAAATATTGAAACGAATCGCCATTGTTAGCTTCTGGTGTAATAATGCAAATTATAAACTGTAAACTTTACAATTTGTTCTGTAGAGCACTTGTTATAAATCCATTCAATAGAAGAGTGAAGGTGAGGGCGGGGTCAATAAAACTATTTGATTGAGTAGATTCCCGTTTGCTAAATAGAAAAGATATCAAACGATACATTGGACGGGTCGGCTGCCAAGAAACTTCGCTCATTATGATCGTTATCTAGAGCATTGCAGTAGACCGCGTAACGCCGTTTTCGTTTCAGCAATTTCATTTCGACAGTGGATGAGCCCAGTTGTATATTTCGTACGCAGTCAATTACACAGATATATTTGGATTAATCGCCTCCTGTATAAACGAAAAATGATCTCCATTGGGGAATCCTAAGATAAGCGGTCTAAATATTTGATTAAGACCGACTAACATAAAAATAAATTTATGCATGTATTTCACATCTCATTTAATAAGTTTTTCGCCGAAAATACTCTTTTCAATATGGTAATTAGACAATGAAAAAGGATGTACTCATTGGGCTTGAGTTTAATCGTTCCCCAGACTACGTAGATTATCCATTACGTGTGTATAAATACAATTTGGTAGAGAAGCATGTGGAGTGCGTAGCCTTATAAAAAATAATCAATTTGTCCCACAATATAGCATTTGCAAACCCATCAATAGCCAGCCAAATGAAAAGTTTGCTCTAGTTACTCCATTTTACGAGTATTTACGACCATTCCATCAAAGGCCGGGTTCGTGACCGCTTGAAACTTCTCCATAATACCATACTTTCTTTCATCTATCTTTACAGCTGAAAAAAAAGACTTTTTACAAATCGATAAATACAGTAAATATTTGATATGAATATTTGCTGGTTGATCGCTCGAGTATCGCATTGCAGTCCCTTAAAATAAGAGCATACACGGAAATGACTATTGTAAAGGAGAAATAGTTGAAAATAAGTTTAAAATGAAAGGGCTGAAGCTAAAGGAACGTGACGCCCCGAATAATCGACGATTTAACGCAATAATTAATTTCTTCCTCTCCAACATTTATTACATCCGTCTACAATTTTTTAGTTAGACGCCTACATTTCGTGCCACAATAAAAGCGTGTCGATTTCGATTAGAAACACCTCCCAAAAAATTGCTTACGCTACTGGATTACCACCAGGGTTGAAGTTGAAAGGAAAGAGAAAGACTACGATCGAAAGAAAAAGAAAAAAATTCAGCTTCTGGAAGAAATTTTCTCATACTGACCTTTTAACGATTTTCAATGAAAGATACGCGCCTGAGAAATCGGCCAATCTTTAGTCCGTGCGGAATTCGAAATCGATTGAGGCTATTTAATTTGGGTAGAAATTTGAACTGCCGCTCTTATTTAACTCCTCTACCGTCTGTCTTTAATATTTTGCCATCTCTCATACCTTACAATAAGGGCTTAAAAGGTTTGCGGTTGCTATATTTAAATCCTACACCCATTTGTATTTGTCTGTTAAGTGCGTATCAATTCCAAAGCATAAAAAGACTTTCATAAATTGAGTAAATGAATGAAATCATTGTTCTTATATGCCTAAGAGTATTCGTGCAATAAATGATTGATGAGCTTCACTGATCAATTTCATCTTTTCGCTTACTGCGTCGTTTTTCCCCGAGATCGAAACAACAAGCTTTTTTTCAGTGATAGTGTGCGACAATCTTTTATCGATTAATCAGCTTTGAACCACGAAAAGTAAATTGTCAATATATATGCATAAATAACGTTGCAGTACTTTATTGAAGCAAGAGTAGCTCTTGCATTTTCTCCCACTAATTAACCCAATTTCTAAACGAACCCACTTGGTATATAGGCCTTTATATAATCGAAACAATGATAGCTTTACAATAAAAGTGAAATCTTTGACAAGAAAACTAGAAAGAGGAGAAGAGAAAAAAATGAACGAATGATTAGGAAAAAAGTTTTCATTTCAGTTCTAACACCAACAGCGAAGAGTCTTCCTCAAGTTTTACTATCTCCTTGTTATAAGTGATTAATCAATATTAAATGTCTTATGTAGAAGTGTTCTATCTCTCATAATTGACAAGAACGAAAATCTACGTATCATTAAATAGTGTATGCACCTGCTCATGTTTTTTATGATTTTGATAAAATTCGATGGCTTTTTCCAAGATTCTAGATGGCATTAGTGAGTAATAAACTGGGTTATAGGAAGCCCAATAAGAACAGCCACTACATTGACTAAAGTAGGGAAATGAGGGGATATCGTAAAGTTACAAAAAGATTGAATGGAATTAGTGCATTTGCCATATAAACACAATTTGAGGAAGAGAATAGCCTCTTGATTTTCTCTTTTATATTCTGCTATGTTCTTTTTGTATTTGAGAACAATTGACTTCGAAAGGACTTTTCTTTCGATTTCTTGTCTAAAAAACCCATTTTTTCTTTTTCATTCTCCCAGTTTCGTATTTATCTTATGTTTTTGTATTTTATTAATATTTGATTTATTTTCCGTATGCTCTGTGAACAAATATAGTATAAAAACCAATTGGAATATCTGATTACCTTCTTCGGTAGTTGGCGCTTATTACCTACTTTCTCAAGCGACATCTTACGGATTCTCTCGTAATTGAAAAGAAAATTTGTACATCTTTGTACGAAAAGTCTATTTTCGCCACTCTCCGAGAGATAAATAGGGTTAGAAAATTGTATTTTAGATCGTAAGAGAAAAATAGTAAGCACGATCTGTTTCGAATTCTTATTTAAATATACTTTTTTTTTTCTATACCAGCAGAAATCGTTAAGGAACATTGATTTATGAGGAAGCATTCGATAGAATAATTGTTTGATGAATTAAGTAAATAAATAAGATTCCATAGATGTTATTAATTTACTTTACTTATTTATAGTTTTTTTATTTCAATTTGCCATTTTGCATCTGAGCATTCCGAAGGTCCACCGGTTACGGTGGCTATGTAAAGAACGTTACTGCAGGTTTCAGTATCTCGATTAAAGCACACAAAACTGGGTCTTCCCAATACCCTTAGAGCACCTTTTGCCTTAAAATTAGATTGAAAAAGTAATATTTTCCATTGTTTAAAGCAGGCAACAGCAAACTCATTTCCTGGTAAAATACACAAACCTATCGGATTTGTATGCTGAGCTAAGCTGACCTCCGTTAGAACCGACTTATCATTTTTGTCCATTATTAATATATTTTCATCAATGCAATATTGTAGTGATGCATATAAATTCTTCGTTCCGACACTCATAGACAGGACCTTACCTAACCGCGTTATCTCCCAATTATCTTTCGATTCGCTAAAGGATAAATATTGAACAATACTTGTCTCGTTCTTACATTCATCGATTGCAAAATAAACACCTGTTTCATCAACAGATAATGCTGAGATCAGTCCCAATTTTGTATTAAAGAATGAGTTCTTAGTACCATCTTCCGAATTTCTATATATATTTTCCTTATCACAAGTGAAAATTTCATCTTTTTCATCTATTGCAAAACCAGTTAAACTAATGAATCCATTCATTGAAATTATCGTCTCAATTAACTCCCCCAATAAGGTAAATTTCTTTAATTCGGTGCGGATAGACTCCTTTCCTTCACCTTTGCAGCTCATCAAAATAAACAAATTTTTCTTGCTCATTTTCATGTCGATAATATGGGAGCAGTCCAACTCAAATCCATCTTTTGCCTTAATGGATGTCATAGTAGCAATATAAATGCAATATTCAAACAAAATTAACAAGCACTCTAAGATTATCGTAAGAAACTGTAAAGCTCTGTAAAAATACTGTAAAATAATATCTAATACATGCAAGAGTTTTGGCCTTCTGACTAAAATAAATCAGACAATATTGATTGACTGTTACCATGGCCTGTTGCCAAGATATACTTTGGTCTAGTGTTGGATTGCAATTTATTTATGTCATTTTTCTGCTATTTTTACGAGCCATTTATCATATAGTAAATTTTTTTGATCAAAAATAAATCAAAAGAATACTATTCTCTTCATTTAAAGTATCTCCTTCTCTTCCTTCGCTAATCCTCCCATCTCTTTTGCCGCCTCACCCCCTCATTCCCCCCCCCCCCCACCCCAGGATGCATTTGCCTTTTCACTCCATTTATCTTATATTACATTCTTCCTCCTTCCTCCTCTATCTCTCTCTTTTGTCTGAGATATATTTCATTTATAATCCTTATCGATAAGTTTGCTTTATATAGATCAAAACAGATAATAAATACAAGTTCAAAACTCACATTTATTTGTTATATTATAATCTATTGAAACAAGTTATATACCTATTATGTACTCTTAACAAAAGTCAATTAGTTACGGATTGAGGTCTATAACCATTTAAAAAGAACTATATTCTAATCTAATTACCACCATTAGGAATTAATTGCAATTGTTCCAAAGTTCTCTTTACTCGCTCTTTAATTACCATTTTATAACGAGAAATTGCCGGGTCAATCCTGTATGATGAGAGCATTTCGTTGCACGTTTTTTTATTAAATTTGCTTGAGCATTTCCCTCTAAAGTGATGAGTATAGCCATGTTCTTGCCATGATATTTTTAAATTACGATTAGCGGGCTTCGATACTGCATGCCATTGAATCAATTCAGCATTTCTGGTACAGATAATCGACTTTGGCTGATTATCTAATGGAGGGCTGGATTTAGAGAATCGTTGAAAATATAATTGGGAAGTTATCCCTTGTACCATGCCCATATCTTCAAAATGCCATGCAGTTAGAAAAGTAAAACCTGTATTCCTTTTATAATTCTTGGCCAGATCCTGAACAATTCTAACAATTGATAAACCTTTAGTGGGCAGTATCATTTCATCTAAATCGATTATCATAAGGTATTTGTATTGTTTATAGTGCCTGTATAAACAATCGTTAAACGATATTAGATAAATGTGTTGAAGAAGGGAATATCGTTCTACAGAATCTATTTTGTAACGTATATTTGAAAGTCTTAACAAGGCTGATGAATAGGGAAAGTTTGTGACTTCCACTAAATCAGAGTAATAATCGAAAACGTATCTTGAGCTACTGTCTAAACCGCTATCATAAATGTAAAAATGCTGTACACCGGCAGCTTTGAGCGTTTCTATCCATTCGACTGTCCTTTCAATGGGAAAAGCACCGTTCATATTCTTAACGCAGACAGCTAAGTCTTGTTGTCCCACTGAAGGATTCGGTTCGCTTGCTCTCTCAACCGGTAAAAAAACTTCATATATCTTTTTACTTCTTGTTATCATTTCTAATCTCATTGTATCGACTGCTTCGGTAACATTGCACTCTATCTGAACAGCTTTCGCTTTCCCATGTTCGGGCCATTCGTCTACAAGATACTTTTTACCCCTTATTTTCATTTGGCCACGACTGGTATCAATAACACAATAATATTTCACCCCCAAGTATAAGCTCTCTGTTCTTTGGACGCCAAAGATCCTAATAATATTTGATGAGTATCGTTCATCAAGAAAGGCTCCATGAAGAAAGAGATCAATATTTTTAACGGGATGCATCACTTTTCTCTCAATGCTTCCCAAAATTAATCGCTCACTACCGTCATTTACCGACGATTTCTCAATATTAACCGGCCTGCTGCACTTGAAGAAAACAAGAAACAAACAACATATACAGCAAATAAAACAAACTATATTTATCGCATTGAATTTTCCTCTTAGTGCCATTGCATACATCTAGTTTTCCTTAATAACAAAGTCAGGAAAACCTTAGGAAGAAAATTGTCGGCAGGGAAAATTTCAGTATAGCCGTGACATGTGAAAAAGGCCTATTATATAAAATAAACGGTGCGTGTAATATTTCATTCATGCGTGAATTAGTATAAATTTTTTGTGGTTGAATTTACATAACTGTATTTCTCAAGATGTTTTATAACGAATTAAATTGCCTCAAAGTTTGGATTCGGTTACGCAGTTTGCAACTAGTTCTGCTGCTTCAATTGCGCATCCCCAGCTTAGACTTACGCCATTTCCCCCGTGTCCATAATTGTGGATCAACTGTTTCATAATTGAAATATTATTCAACTATAATCATTTAAATATAATAAGTAGAATTGCTTACGGGAATTTGTTTATTGCCATGTTTATATGTATCTCTCTCCAGCCTAATTGGAGACCTATGAGGTCGAAACCCAACCCAAACCCATTCTTTTTGGCCGCCTGCCAAGGATGGTACCAATTTTACACCATTTTCCCATAAAGAATCTGTATCTTCTGCTCTTATTGTAAAATCTGTATCGTTTACTTGTCTTGTGCCTCCAACAATAACAGTTTCCCTTCTATAACAAACCAAAATACCTGATTTTAGTTGGGATTGTAAAGAGATACAAATTCTACCAACCCTGGAATGACCCATGAGGTATGCCCAGAAAAAACAAAGTTCTTTATCCAAGGTGCTTTAGCTCGGATCATTTGACCTCTTATCGGAACCATCGTCTTATCTCCAATTAAATCCCTACTCCCAAATCCCGAACAATTAACGATAATATCGCTATCGTCAGCTACTTCTGACAAGGAACTTAATCGACGCTTTACGATTTTTCCGCCATTCGCTGTAAATCTTTTCGTAATGAAAGAAAAAAAAAGATCATGAAAGATAAAAGAATAAAAAGAAAAATCTAAAAGAAAAACCCTTAATACTATAAAGAGAAAATAAATACTGGAACGTATTTAAATAAATATATAAAATCCTTACTGTTTAGCTAAAAAGGGTAGATACCATCGGCATTCAATTAGGTTTGTTGTATAAGCAACTCCACAACTATATACAAGATAATTTGATGGTAAAAGTTAAGATAAGAAACAAAATTTACTGTTATGAAAGGAATACTAACGGTTGAGAATTGCCAAACATACTCATTTCTTTAGGTGTACATTGTCTAAATTGATAAACTATATCTTTGTAGAAAAAGTCCTGTAAAGGAGGAAAATGGCAATTTATTCAAGTACCGGAGTGTAATATAACCCTTAATACAATACATAGTTTTTGGCGTATTCTTCATCATAAAAATGATAACCACTTATAGTCGAGAGTCCGGCTTCTCTAGCTTCCTTACTTCTCGCTAATTGATCGTATCTATTCCAAGAATCTTTACACCATCGTCTATTGATGAGTAATATTGATTTCTTTTAATTTTAGACTTTGGACCACCGCACCATATTAATTTATAGTTATTTAATGCTTAAATAGTGAGATTAATAGAATTTTCTAACTTTACTTTATTCAAATCGTTCCCTTTCATCAAACTTAGTGTAGGTCTATAAATTCCTGCAGCGCCGTCACTAGTTGTTTCTAGACCAAACTTATCGGCGAGAACCGTGACCTTTGCATGTGGTAGGATTTGTTGAATTCGGAGAGCAGTAGACAATCCGATTACTCCAGCTCCAATTACTTTAACTTTTAAATTTCCTCTCCGTTCCATTATTTTTCAATTTTATTTTTCCTTTTATTAAACTTTGCACTGTTGAGGATTTGTTACAAAAAATCAATATCTTCAAAATAGCTTGATAATGTAAACTGTGTCACGTGACCTATCTAGATGAACAAAATGGCTACCGTAACATTCAAATTATAGTAATTTTATTATAATGAACATTGCTAAACATGGACAAAAATATTTAAAAGATTATGTTTGCTCTCCTTATGACAAAATAAAACAAGATTTAGCTTTCTTTTCAATAATTACTTACCAAAGCGTTCAACTTTTGAGTGTTAAATGTATTCTGTTTTAAGTTTTGTTATGTGCTTGCTTTGAATTTAACTTAATATTATTTATCAATACGTACATAATTTGATAAAACCAATGACCTGTGGTTATAGGTTTTGTTATATTCACCCTAAGCATAAGCATGTACGCCATCTAGTTGATTGGAGTATACCCTAGCAACGGTGTATATACAATTAGGTTTGTGTTATAAAATTGTTTAAATCAAACGGCCTATCATTGGCCAGAGATTAACGTATTATATCTAGCAAACTTTACCATGGCGGCAACGGCAGCTAGTCCTGATATGAAGACCGAAACCACCCCTGAGTTAGGTCTTCCTTACTCTAGACATTATGCCCAGAAGATTAGAGATTTAGGACAATCTTCAAAAGATACATGGATAAACAAATTATTTAACCATATATGGAAGCCAGGAGGTGGTGGTACGCCTGAAAAGGACAGAAAGGATAAGGAAAAAGTTTTCTTGTCTCTTCCATCGAAGAGTGCGCCTATTCGACCTACATCAGCAGTCTCGAAACTTAGTTTACCACCTGAGTTAGCCAACTCGCCTTATTTGCAACAAATAAGAGATCATCGTATCGAAATTAAAGCTGACAAACCAAAAAGAAAGAATGATCTTCCAGAAAAGACTAAAGTTAAAACAGTGGCGAAAAAATTAGAGCTCTCTGCTCCTGTGATTAAAAAGTCAATGGTCGATAGTCCGTTGGTCGACAGCATAAAACACTCAAAGAAAATGCCTAGTCTACCGACAGAAATAGAAAGAAGAGCTAAAAGCATGACAAAACGAGCTTTAAAGGTAAAATAAAACGAAGTAAAAAAAAATCCTTGTTTCAAAACTGTGATTATCTGTTTCAGAATCAAAAGATCTTTTTTGTCGAAGGTCCTTATCCAGTCGATGTGTTCGTTAGGGCAAGTTTAAGAAAAAGGGGTTGGGTTGAAAAATTTACAAGTCAGAGAATGATGCAACAAATCAATTACAAATCCAATAATAATTTAAAGTTAGGATGCGAAACCGACGAAGGTATTTATAAAATAATAGATTAGACATTGATCGTGAATGATCTATCAAATTATCAACTATATTTAAAGTTGGCTAGGAGTTTAAAATCCTATTCATATTTACATTTGATAAAAGCAAAATATTTACTGTATATTTAAATTGATAGTGCAACTTTTATTCTTTCGAAGTAGGCCTCATTAACTGGGAAAGTAACTCAGATAAATATTTGATTTGTTATTCATATATGGTCTATAAAAGTAAGATTCCTCTTTAAAAATTCATGCTTATTCATGATAAGCAATTCAATTAATGGCGGCACGCTCTTGAATATATAACGCCCCGCTATCGTTTCTTATAGCAACTCAGTAGTTAGTTTTAGTCTATTTACCATAGCTTTGATGGATTATGATATCGTCTTTTAAATATCATTTGTCACGTGACATGACAATCAGAAAATCCTTTTTATTCATTTATTTATATTTATAAGGGTGTATTTAATTATAAGAGAGATTTATCTAGTTAATCTTTTCTCGCTTATTGTTTGGTTTCTCATTTTTCTATACTCTTCTCTCTCCCTTCTATATCAGCTTCCCACGTATCTCTATTATGAAATTTACAGATTTTCTAAGCATTCAAAATCAGAATTTGCCTCCTGCGTGGGAAGAAGAGAATGGAGTATATGCTCTCGCTGCAAGAATCATTCGATCCGTTCCGCCTCGATTCGTTTGGGCGTGTAAAAGTCGAGTTTGTGAGATGGTCGTTCGTCATGAACAGCTCGTCAATCATTTTCAAAAAGGTCGCTACTTTTCCTCTAAAGTTGGCCTTACAAATTCGCTTAAGGATTTAGTATGGATCAATAGCGTCGATTCACAATCATTCTTCCCGCGAAGCTACATATTAAATGACGACGACAAAGAGGATTTAGTCGATGATTTTCGTATTACGTCTTGTATTTGTATGCTCAAATGCATTTTAAGATTTTACTGTCAAGATAGGAGAAGTTCAGAAACTTCACTTCGAAGGGAAAACTCAAAGTATGAAGAGGTCCGACACGTAGATTTAGAACCTTTCTCTACTGAGGACACAAAGCTTAAAATAAGTTCGCCAAGGGTAGAATTAACAAAAAACCCTATAAAGGAGACCGATACGTCTAGTATATGTAATGTTGAAGAAGATGAGGTCAAAGAACCTGATAGAGAGGTAGCAGCAAGCCCTGAAGATCGTCAAAAGACTTTACCCAATTTATCTGAAACTAGGAAACCAAAGACTGGAGGTCAAATTCCTCAGCAAGCTGTGGAGCTTGCCTTGCAATATCTTCAAAACTATTGTAGATCGAAGAATCATGACGACGTTGAACAAAATTTATCGAATAAAAATTTAACAAAATCTCAATGGAATAATCTATTAGATTGGTCTTATAGAGTTCAAATAGAAGGTGCCATTGTGCCCGTAACAGAGTCAATCTTAAAAGAAATTGGAGATGTGTTGAAGAAATTCAAAAAAATTTGGCCTCAATTCGAATTGGATGGATCGAAGAATATTTGGATCATTAAACCAGGAGACAAGAGTAAGGGTATCGGTATAGAATTTACATCAAAACTATCAGATATGCTAAAATATGTAAATAATTCAACAACTTCCGGAACGTATGTCGTTCAAAAGTATGTAGAAACGCCACTTTTAATTCATGGTTGTAAATTTGATATGCGTCAATGGTTCTTAGTGACTGATTGGAATCCATTAACTGTTTGGTTTTATGCTGATTCTTATCTTCGAATTTGTAGTCAACCTTATGACAGCGAAAATATGCATGAATCAATACACTTATCAAATGTAGCCGTTCAACAATTCTATGAAAATTCTAGGGATAGATCTAAAAATTTACCTGAAAATAATTTTATGAGCTCCACTAGCTTTAAAGAGTATTTAACACATATTGGACATACGGAAGCTTGGGATAATATAGTTTTTCCTGGAATGAAGAAAGCAGTTATAAACTGTTTAATGGCGACCCAAGATGTTCCGGAGATGAGAAAATCTGCATTTGAACTCTACGGGGCTGATTTTATACTAGATGAGGATTTCAAACCGTGGCTTTTAGAAATAAACTCTTCTCCTGGTATGGCGCCTACTTGTTTAGAAAAAATGAGATTGTGCCAATCAGTTATTGACGATACTATCAAGGGTAAAGCTAATCGATAAGAGCTGTAATATAAAACTTATATTTTTTTTTGTTTTTAATTAGTTGTAATTGATAAGAGAGAAGATAAGAATTGCTCAACAGGTAAATTTGAACTGGCGTTCAGAGACCAATACGTTTGTCAGCCACGATGTGTTGATCCGAAAATGAGTCTAGCAGGTCAAAAAATTAGAAGGATTGACCTTAGCGTAAGTATTTCTTAAATAATGCCAAGTTTTTAATTCTTACTTTCGCCACCTATTGAGCACTTAAACGCCAGAGGATATTTTTCACAAAGTATTAAGTAGCAGAAATAGCTTCCAATATAGGCTTAGACACTTACATTTATTCTCCTTTCAAACGGCCTAGTTTGAAGACTAATATGTATTTTATTTCAGCGTTACATGGCATTTGATGCTTACTTTACAAAGAAAGAAAAACAAAAGGAAGAGCGTCATAAGAAGAAAAAAGATCAATTGGAAACTACCGATCAAAAACCATCAGAAAAAATAATAGAAGAAAAGGAAGAGAAGGAAGAAAAAGTTACACCTTCGCCAAGAGAAGTAAAGGAATCAAATAGTTCAGAGGAAAGAGGCAGACGGGAGGAGAAAATCTTGAAATCAGTGCGAACTTCTAGTCCATCAAAATCTGTCCCACCAACCACGTTAATGAGAGAGAAACAACTGGCTCAAATCTATGCAACCAGTCCAACTCGAAAACCTTAACATCCAAACAAATAACCATTCGACACAATCAACTTGCAAAAATTCAGTATTATTTACACGTTATCATTCTTCAAAAGATTTAAATACAAAATACGTTTTCTCTAATGATGTATTTTTCGTCCAATATTGAAATTTCAAGGAAACACAGTTGATAGACTTGTAACAAGTAGCCTAAAATATTCAATCGAGCACGCACAGTTTTTCTTTTGTTTAGATAATTCTGAAGCATACTTTTTTTATATTATACATATTAACAAGATATATGACAATCTTCCTTTCAAAATTAACTATTCCATCCAATAACATTGTGAAGTAGCCAACAATCAATCATTAATGCATTTATAGTATAATGAATTTTTTAATTTGATTTGATTAACAAACATTATTTGATACTATGACATAATTTATCTCTAATTTAAATAGCAATGTGACGTGAGGAAGCAGGCTCAGTGATGCGTAGTATTCACCATTAAAATCCATTTTACACAACTACTCCAATAGTTTTCTCAGTTGTTTTTGCTTTCTTTTCTAAGTTTCGTTTCCTGTCGATATTGCCAACCTAGGATAAATTACAAGTCAATTTTCATGATAATATAAATCTCTCGACTTTGAAAAATAGCTATATTTCGGAGAAGTTATTCTAAAATGAATTAATAATTTCTTTTATATCTACCTCTTCATCGATGGCTCTAAACTGCCAGGTAAAATCAGCTGGATATAGAAACGGCCTCTGATCGAAACGATTATCATCCGGGCTATAAGATTCAGCGTGATAGGACGGAGTGGCAACAGTCATTTTATGTCTATTAATTGCATAGCATCTAAAGAAATATTTCACTTTGGTCCCAATCTAAGAGACAAAAAAAGTAATAATGTCTATAAAATAGAAAATGAAGAGTCATTTATAAACCTGGATATGAGAAAATTTATCTGACCATAGACCATATAGTTTGCAGAACATAGAATATGGACCACACATTGCTTGCTTTCGTAATTTACCATATATCGACAATTCATCATACGTCATACCCATATCTTGCTGTTGAATAATTAATAATAAAAAACTATAAATAACAATAATTTTTTACAACCACCTCGTCTGTCTGACTTAATTCTCCGTCTTTTAAAGGCTCCAGTTCAGCTGTTGGTGGTGCTGCGTAAATTCTGGATGAGAAAACTTAATTTAAATTTGTATTTTGATTTTAATAATAGAAATAAATTGGAAGACTTTTAATTACAAATAATGACTATTATATAAATTATCATGAATATATAAACTTTTCTAGTTCATATAGAGAGATTATTGCAGATTTGAGAATATTAGCGTTGACTTACGAATTTAAGCTGGTCCATTTGAAATGGTCGACACAGTAGCGGATAAATGACTTTAAATCAGTCTTGCTTATTCCACCAATAGGATTAATATCAGCACTGGAGCAATCATATTTGGTCATATATCCTCTTAAGCATTCGTCGACATTAGCCGAACCTAAGACAAGCAAGCCTCCTGGTTTCCCTCTGGCCCATAAAGAAAGCTGTGCAAATAGGTAAGCAAGAACCATTCTCAACCTTGCTTGAATGTTCTGCAAAGCTAAATTTTCCCTATCTGAACCCCCGTAAGCTCTAAACTTGGGTATTAGCGAAAAAGCAGTGGTAAATATTCCAATAACTGCCTTTACTGCAGTTTCAATATTAATTTCCAAATGATAGCTTCCAAGTTCTGCAGCTAGAGCCGAGGCTCGCTTCTTCGTGTCTTTCGAACTCTGATCACTACCCATATAGCAGGTAGTAAAAATTCTGTTGCATAGCTCTTTGGGGTCGGTAGGTATGTAGTTTGAATCACCAACAATATTTCTAGAATCTGCGATCACACGTTCATTGCCCTTTGAGGATATGCCAGCAAAACTCAATTAAGAGGAAAAAATAAGAGGAAACAGTCTTTACCCTTTTGACAGCATCGCATACCAAGTGACACATAGAACCAACTATTGCAGCAGTAGATGAACTGTCAATTCCTCCTACAGAAGACAAAGACCTATTGTTTAATTTTGAATCTCTATATTAGCAGAAAGACATAGAAAAGTACTTTCGTTTTAGTTCAAACGAGTACTTATCATTATGGATAGTGCTGGGTGTAAGTGAACAAAGGAAAATATTAATCAGTTGCCATTTGCTGTTACCTGACAGCGGCAAGAAGTAGCCTCCTTGTCTAGATCTTCTTAAATAATCCCACAGCCAGCAGGCTGGTCCAAGTGCAATTTCTTCCTCGGCCAAATGATACTGCCATTGGACTGGCTGATACGACGGCAGACATAAATCGTCAGAAGAACAGCTAAAGTCGCATATAATTCTGGGGTAAGGAGATGCACATGCAGCCTGTCGAAAAATATTTTTTCTTTTGATATGGCTACTTATAAGTTATTATAGTTTTACCGCCTCATTCCGGCTTCTCATAGTATTTCTATAGCTTCGAACATCCTCCAAGTCAAGGGTAGCAGTCAGGACTTGCTAAAAATAAAAAATATAATTAGATTAATTTAAAAATGATAAAATTTAAACAAAAAACTTTATAGAATCTCTTCTGTTTACTCTTGAGAACATTATTTGACTAAGAAAAGGGTAAATCTATATAAAGCCTAAGGAATGGTAAAAAAAAGACTTATTTAAATTAGACTTTTGATTGAGAGCTTAATCCTAAAAAATACTAGTCGATATGAATACCGATCCCTTAAAATAATATTTATGAAGTACTATTCTATTATGAATATCTAAAGTAAGAATTTGCCTATTAGTCATCATAATATTCTCACTGGACTTGTTTATAAGTCACCTTTTATATAAGAAATGCGATTGAACAATTTACCGAAGGGAGAGAGAGTCTGTTATGTGCGAGTATAAAACTGACGAATAATAAAGGTTTAAAAACTTGAGAGTGGGAAGAGTCAAAGTTGTAGAGACAATTTTTTTTGAGCGAAATAGTCTGTCTCTTCGGACAATAACATGTAATATACTAAATATAGAAGTTCTGTTTCTGCATTTCACCTTAACTAAATGGTTAGGAAATATAAAACGTTAGAGACATTACGAGCAACTCATTAAGATGCTGATAAAAATTATTCTGTTACGAATACCATTAAAGATATGAAGAATATATATTTTTTATTTGTAAAGTCACACCCTTTGAAAATGTACTCTCTGTTCTCATTTTCTAAATATTTGTAACATAGATTTTTACTGCTCGTAGGGTTTTTCATGTTAAGAAGTTTGGATTTTTACTAACGTAATCTTATCTTTGTTTTATAGGAAAGTATATACATATTTAAAGAGTACAATTTCCATAATTCCTCAAGAATTAAAACAAATACTTACGACATCATCAAGAGAAAATTGTGAGCCTTGTGCAACTGTATGCCCATTTATAGATATCATCGAACACCCATCATAATACACCCTCTCACCATCACATCCTTGATGGTTTGAAAACATATAGATACCACCACCTTTTGATGTAGCAGAATTAATGAGGTCTACTCTAATATAGGCCTTCCTCAGTTGATGGTGACTTCCACTTGAATTAGTAAATATCTCGACACCATCTAAACCCATTTCTATATGACTAGAAGCAGTGTGCCACATTTCCTCGCATATTTCACTTCCTATACAAGTATCAATTGTGGAAATAACAGCGTCTCCTATTGATATAAGGCTTTGTCCAGTAATGTCCCGAATTAACCGTGGTAAATGAAAATCTTCTACTTGCCGGAACTTCATCCAAGGAGTAAACCATCGTCCCTCTCTGTAATTTCCGTCATTACATAATCGTAGTTTTGGACGGATTAGGAGAAGTTTTCTAGATAAATAAAATTTTTTAAAATAAGCTAAAAGTGCAAAACAATACATACTTGTTGAGAAAATACACTCGACAGTTGTACGCAACATTTTTATGCATTACTGGCCTGTTTAAAAAAAAGATTGAATAGAGAAACTTAAATTGAAAACGAAGAAACTGAGAATCTCAAAACAATGCGTTGCCATTTCCCGCTTTCTTCGCATAAATCACCTCCTGTAGTTAGACGTCACAACACTACGAAGTAGTAACGATCAAGTCGTCGACGACGTCAAACGTACGTAAAACTGGTCAGTCTACAGGTAAGATACTTCGGTCTATTTTTTGTAAAATTAATAGAGAATATCTCTAGTCAATGAGCCATTATGACAATTTTCATTATTGACAATTTGCTTATGGCAAAAATTGAATAAATATAATAAGGAGTACACAGATCTGATAGATAAAAAAAAGGGATTTCCAGTACACTGAGAGAAATGTTTTAGGTAAAAAATTTAGGTATAAATTTATGGATTAATGTGAGTTTTTACTTTATGAAAAAAAACAAATTACTTTTCTAGTGACCCTAATAAAGTGCCAACCTTGTTGTCAAAGTAAAAACGATTATTGCTGTTGATTCTACAAAAACAATTGCAACATTTCAGATCGCGACGCCAACTCGGTTTAAAATGCGAATTTTTCTCCTCATGGCCGTCGTTTGCGTCTTTCTTTTTGGAAGCGCCTACAGCGAAGACAAAGCTATTTTAGCAGTTTGTGGGTCTTATCCGCTCAAGAAAGTTGAGGAATGGAGCTCATTAACAGGTTTTTACTATTATTATTATGTATTTACTCTGAGAAATATAGAAAACGAAAAATCAAATCAATAGAATCAAAACATGATCATCAGTTCAAGTTACACCTGTAGAACATTTGGATTTAATAAAAACTTAAGACATTTTCACGCCAAAAAAATATACTTTCCTTCCGGCCTATGAAACGGAAGATGGCGCTTATATAAAAATTAACACTTATTAATTATGAAAACCTAATTATTTTTACAGGAAAACCTGTTGATTTCATTCTGAATGCTATGAAGCAAATCGATAATGAAAATTATAAAAAACTTATGGATCTGTATAACAAGTACGCCGAATGTACAAGTGGAGCAAATGATTACTTCGGATAAATTACACTGTAGAACAAAGTCTACGTACTGAACGTAAGCGTAATTTTTCGTTAAATAAAAATGCGGTCACTCTTCAATTAAAATATCCATATTAAACAATCAGTGTCATCTTTGGGTTAGGAAGCACGACTGATGACAATTTTTTTTTAGACTTTTGCTAAATTATAAAAGGTTAACTTTATCCCTCATCCCAGAGGAAATTCTTAGGGTGGGCTCACTTTTTATTCTCATACCAACTCATTAAAAGATGGATAACAAGTCACTAAAGATATTTGTCAAGCTTCACAATACGCCTAATTCTTTAAATACATGTCTTTCTAAAGTTACTTTCTTTTACACGCAACCATTTTAATCATTTAAGTAGAAGATTATACTTGCAACACCATAGTTTATTATCTAAAACTAATTAATAATTATGGATAAAAAATCGTTTGTATAATTAAAAAGAAGCCGTATTTTTTCAGAAAATTATTATACTTTTTTGCACAGCTAAAAATTTAAGAGTGACTCGAATAAAGATAAAAGATACACTTAAAAAAAAAGGCTTATGAGTAAAAAGTGATAATAAAAAAGGACTTGGCTATAAAAAAAAGTCCCTGTAATTTGTCTGGACAAATATATATATAAAATTTTAAGAGTGAAGTTTGTCAAACAAATATATAATCCGCATAGCCTTTTTAATCTAGACAAAATAATTTGTAGGGATTAGCTATTTTAATGATAAGCCTGTTTTCAGCATTATTTTTGTTCAAGAGGTTTAGTTTGTTTCCATGTCAGTTCTTTCTAAAAATACCTATATAAAATTAGACAACATGACTATTTTTACGAATGGGCAACATATTTAACTTTATTATTTTAATTTAAATTACTATTATTACTTCTAATTCTTAATTTTTTTTTTACTTATTGAATAGTAAAAACCTATCAAATAACCGTAAATTCTATAGCTAAAATATTTATTTAAGAGGAAGTGCAAGTATTTTTTATTGAAGGAATCGCAAAAAAAAAAATTTTCATTAAAAAAAAGCAATTAGGTATTCCATTTCAAGAACATGTCTTAGAAAATTCTATTCTCTTTAGAAACGAATTAAGCGTAACAATCTTATTCCTTGGAACGTAAATTTGACGAAATACTCATTATACCATTCCTTATAGTAATACAAATTCCTTATTATCTAATAGAATGTTACAAGAAATAGTAATTTAACTTGCAAGTGGTTTTTCACAAGGACAATTTCTGCTAAGCATACGATTTAGTGTAGCTGCATTTAGTATTAAACTTAATCTGAACTAAGTTGGAGAGATTTCTCTTTTAAATATATACAAAACTTGCTCTAAATAATTGAGAAATGCTTGTCAGGAACATTTTTGATATGCCAATAATGTTTATGGCCCCCTGCTAAATCAATTCAATCAATAACGGAAATTAACTACTAAATTATTCTCCGCATTGTTTTCCTTGCTTAAAGACGAATAAAAAGAAAAATATTCTTTAAATATAATAAAGATATATTTCACTTACATTCCAACATCACAAATGATGTCTTGACAATCAGGAGAGTTTAGGAGCTTGGCTAAAACCTGCCAAGAATGTAGAAATGTATCGCTCTCATAAAAATGATCAGCGCATCCATAACCACTATAAACAAAAGTATGATTATTTGGATTACCGAGAAAATTAACATTCTTACGGAATTTCCAACTCTGGTCCAAGACGATACGTTGCTCCCGCCTCTTTTGCCTTTTTTATACCTTAAGAAACAATCATTTCACTAGTTTAACGAATAAATCAGTATTTATTCTATGAACCTAAATATTGACTTTTAAATATCTTTCTAATCAATAAAATATGGATCTGAGTTTTCCAGATATACACATTTAGAGAACGATGAATAGCTATTTAGAACGTTGTCGACACATAGTCTTTTATAATTATTAAATTAATTACACGCTAAATAGTCTATTAGTACTTAATATTGAGCGATAATACAATAATAAAAACATACTTTCTAATATTCTGTTGTAATTTCCTTCAAAATCCATTGCCCATTGGTTCAATGTACAAGTTGCTAAAGTAACTTTACGTCCCATTTTTATAATCTTTTAATATTTTCAGTTGTTGTGCTTCAATTTAATATCTCTGTATTTATGGAACGTTCGAAGGATATTGCTTGGCACCAATCGATCGTCACGTGATGGAGAAACATGATTCATCGATAACTTTTGTTTTATATTTATTTTCGATTTGCAACTATTGAAAAATGATTTTCTCCAAATAAAAAAATATGAAATGGGGAAAAGAAATTATTTCAAAAAGCTTAACTATAGATAAGTTTTATATACAAAGGATTGTGCCAGTATTTCTATTCCATAAAAAAATTTCAATTATTATTAAAAATCAGATCTTTTAAGCTTTTAAATAAATGAAAAAGAAAGGAAAAGAGTATCTTTGATCATTCATTCTTGTAATAAATTAAAGCTCTGGAAAAAATTTACTAAAAGACTTATTTATAGTCTTCGTATATTTTTAAAAAAAATGAGAATAAGATAGAATAGCCATTCATAGCCCTTATTACGCTAAAATGTAACCCATTCAGTAACTACAAACTCTTTTTTTAAACCTAATTTAATGTTTAATCTTGATAACACCATTATAGAATGGTGTGAAACGTATTAAGAATTGAGCCAATATTTTAAGTAAGAAAGGGTAAAAAAAGAGATAGGAGAAAATGGGCCATTGAAAAGAATATCCAAGATATTAACTTTCAAACTGAATATAAGACTGTGCTGATTTAACGAAAAGCGAAAAACGGAATAACTTCTACTTCTTTCAAATATATAAAAATTATATCAATCAGGTTCATTGACATCTGTTCAATTAGTTCAGTTTCTAATTTATCTAAATTACGAAAAAAGACATCAGCTGTGAAGAGAGAATGAAATGTCACCTGTGTTAATGGATGTCTGACTGTTTCACCTGAATAGTTTATGTTTGTTGGAGACTTGGTCAACTACTTTTATCTCAGTTTGAAAATTACATTAATTAGACATATTACAATATGACTTATAAATGGGTTTTACCCGACAAATTTCCTGGTAATTCTCCTATGGTTTCTTACGCATCCTTATTAAAAAATTGTTTAACGAACTTCCTATTTCATTAATTGTAATTGTATATTTACAGAAGGAAAAAAAACAAACAATATAAGATATGACTCTTTAGCTGATGTATAAAGGAAGCACGTTGACTCGCTACCTAGAGCATTATTTTTTATATTTCCTTTCAATTGTAGGACAATGTTGAAACAATTCTACTTTTTCTCATTTATATTTTATAATGAATATAGAGAATATCGCATTAATTAATAAACAATAATAAGTATGTTAATTAAATCGGAAAGGTTCTCTTTCATCAGAGAGACAGAGAGAGATGCAGAGAAAGACAAAGAGACAGGGAGAAAGGGGCGAAGGGAGATACAGAAAAACAGAAAGAGAGGCTCGGAGAATAGAAATAAATAACATTTTAATTAGATGAAATCTTCTTCTGCATGGTTTATGTCTAATTTCCTCAGTCCATCGAATTTTTCCAAAAGCTTTTCAACTGGTCGTTTCTTACTTGATCTCTTCATATTCAGTGCTGCCGTTGAGAAACGTGAAACTTGAGCTGAAATCATCATTTTTTCCTCTTCTTCAATAGTTTTTCCTTCTCTATGAATAACATATGAACATATCAGAAAAGCCGATATGAATATTGGGAAAATTGATAATAGAATGACAATAAAATGCTTATTATCATTAAAATATTTCTCAAATAAAGGCCCACAAGTTTTATTATGAATTGTTTCAACTACATATTTTGTTTCATTTCTCGTATCACTTCCGTTTAAATACACTGTTGGAAATAATAATTATAGAAATACAAAATAAATTGCCTACAACCTACTTATATGGTTTTTCAGTTGCTGAAAGCAGTGTCTACTGGAAAATCTATACTTTTTCCTTTTGTAAGAGTAGCAACAGGACTTTGGATAAACTGTTTTGTCATCTTTATAAGTTATAGTTGTAATCTCCAGAAAGTCAGTGATATTTTCATAACCACAACATTCAAAATTAATTTGTAATCTATTGATTATTTTCCTTAAATCAAAAAGCTTTGGATCTTGATCTGCTTCAACTTCCTCTGGAGAGAAGCTTCTCTTAAAAATTTCTACAATTGTGTCGCTAAATGATGCTAAAGGACTTGCCATAGATATATAAATCACAAGAGCTATCTGAAAAGTAATTACGTTTATGGTTTGTGTCTATTTAAATTTCAGGTTAAACCTTTATAAATAAAAGGCATCCAAGAAGACTCATGTAAATTGTAACTGCTAAGGATTCTCTTGTTACTGCTCCAGATAGACCTATAATCCCAGTGATATATACAATCGAAAAAAGAGAAACTAGAGAAAAAACTGCCACTTGAATGACATTCACACTCTCTTTTCTGTCAGGATGTTTATGCCTTTGGTACTCAGCTGCTCTATATAGAAAATCATACGAAGAGGTATTAGCTAAGAAAATGGAAATTACTACAGCCCCAGATGCAATAAAGATTAAACAGACATTAACACATATTAATATTGATTGAGAGGTCATTTTTTTTAAAATAAAATGTTAATTACTAATTATTAATTATTTTAAAAGTTTAAAATTGCTGCATGATGCGCGTTTGCACTCAATGTAAAGAAAAGAAGAAATTATTCGTTTAATCACTTGACAGACTCCGTGAAAAAGTAGTTAATTTATAAATTACATAACGACTATGGGTAAATAGTTTTTTGTAGAGAATATCCAAAAAGTAAGGCGTCAACAGAGAATTGAATCTGGCTTGTATTAGGTGCAACACAAATAGTATTGTTCTTATTATATAAGAATATGATAAAAGTTGATATTTAAAAACTTCATCCGCTATCAATTTGTCAGTGACTAAATTAGATCAATTTCACTTTAAATAGAACCTTATTAACTTATTATTGTCAAATTCTCTCCATTCACTCTAAATCCCTGTTTATGCTACAAAGCTACAAAACTATTGATTTTTCTTGACAAACAAGAGATGGCGCTAACATACGATTATAAATAAAGAAACAAGAACAACATTATTTAATTGAGGATTATTTTTTAAACAAAAAATTTTTATTAGTAAAAGGGTAACAATATTAAACACGAAATATTCAAGTACGAAAATAATCTAAGATTAACGTTCAAGTCAAAATCAATCTGTTTGAAACGTTCTGCAAAATTAGAAAATATGATATATCTACAAATGAATTTAGCTGCAGGAAAAATGGCACAGGAAAAGTTTAAGTTGTTAGACGGAAGATTCTTGTATAATAGTGAGTGATTGAAAATTTGGCTGTGTTTCAACTACAGGACGACGAGGTAAAGTTGCTGCAGGCGCCGATATATTTGAAGAATTATGAGGAGTATTCAATTGTTCCGGAGCGGAGGAATCTCGGCGCATTCTGCTAATAGTCCCATACGATTGTATTACTCTCTGATTCGCAGGTTCAGCTGGAGGGCAAATAAGAAAGCTTTTAACAAGTAGAAAGTAATCTGCATTTGTTCTATAAAGTATACATAAAAATTTATATAATGCTTTTTGAATTGATTAGCAATATCTGACAAAGTACGAGTTTGTTTGAGTTGTTAAGATTCCGACTTACCTATATTTATTCTCTCTAATGATCGTGTTAAATTCGAACGTCGTAAATTTGAAATATTATGTGGAGGCGAGTTAGGAATCCAGTCCAGGTTGACCGGAGGCAAAGAACACTTTCTATAGAACAACATATAAGCAGAAGAAGTAACAACTTCACTTTCCATTATCTTATTCACTTGTTTGTCGTCATATATATGCCACTTCTTGTCTGGGTGACCAGACCGACAAACAGCTGTATAGTGACCGCCCAACATATTACCATAATGATTGACCACGCCAACTAGGTCGTATATGTGCTGATTATGAGGAGACTTGAATCGATGAGAACTTTCACAAACATATTTTGATAAATCTAACCCTGTTATGGGATATGTGACCAATAGATCGACCTTAACCCTTCTTGCAGTTGGGGCGATTTGTCGAAATCTTTTCAAGTGTATAACTAACATATCTGGAGTTGACCAAAATTTTAAAACTTTATTTGGCTTCGCCGGCCGTTTGTTGCAATTAGGACACATCCATGTGTCATCTTCGAGACGTTCATCTTTTGTGTACAATTGAAGACAATCGTATAACGTACAAATAGGGTTTGAAGCATTGGCGACACGAACCTGCTCAACAGATTCGTGTTCGTCAACCGTTTGATGAGCCAGACCGCTCTGAATTTCATCTTGAAACTCTGCTACCATCTTAATATGAACAGGTCCAGAACTTGGAATGTGTTCTTCGAGAATCTTCTCAACTTCAGCAACGAGAAGAGGATGCTCTACGTCTCTTGGTAGCTCTTTTGAGCCATCGCTACTAATTACTTTTAAACTAACAGCTTCAGAATTTGTTCTTATTAATTGAGAAATATAGCCAGAAAGATCAGAGTAAGTAGCGAGACGATCAAAGCTAAACGTTAAAGGTGACCCAAACCGTCGACCTCCTAAACTTGTTATAAGAACGATAAGAATATAGCTACTATTCTGTGAGGGAGGAAGGGTTTGGATTGCGTAGATGGGATCAGCTTCATGAATACTGTTGATAGATAATTCATCTGTCAGCGTCCGGTGAAAGCCATCATAATATATTTCGGCTAGAATCAAATTCTTATGACTTATGTTAGTATCCTCGGCCACAACCTCTCGAAGTCGCTGAATATTCTCATCAGCATCCATTAGCATACCGACTTTCAATTGTTTAGGAAACGAGTGCAAGGTTTCGGGTAGATAAACAATCACAATGAATACAGGTCGCCGTCCTTGGTGAGGAAGTGGTAGGGAGAGTGATAAAAATGGATCAAAAGTATTCGAACACTTGTTACACATTGGACATGTTATTGATGAACGATACAGAGCTTGAAATCGATCGTAAATAAATGACTTATTGCATTTTGATTGGTTAGAAAGAGCTTCTTCTGCGGCTTTCGCATCATCTCTGATTACCGTCTGTAAGAATAAATTTCGTCTGTAACAATATTAAATGCAAGAATTTTCAATACTTATTTATCAAATAAACTCTTTATACACAAATATGTGATAAACATTCCTCAAAATAAAAACCATAATCAATACCTATTGTTGACTCGCGAGTTGTATTCAACTGCTTTTAGATTTCAATACTTAAGAGAAGGTATTGAAAAAAATAATTAGGCGTTTCCCATATCAATTTGTACGCATATATATGTTAAATAAATTTTAAATGTATATACTGTTTGTTTATATAATGCCCTCTATTTGTATATAAATTCCGACAGTCTAGAATAGTAATGAGAAAAAAAATTGCTTTTTTTCTGAACTTTCAATTAAAAGACTTAGTTTTATGATTGGGAAAAATTTCTTTTTATAGAACAGGCCGACTGATAAAATACAAAGGCCAGTTTATTTAACGTCGTAATAATTAGTTCAGGTAAACCGAACAACTAACCTTTCTCGTAGAAATCTTTTTGTTTTTTGTTGATTTGGCAATATTCATCTCATCGTGAAGATTGTCAAGTAGCCATAGTAAAAATTCATGAGCGTCGTGCTGTTCAGTACCACTATATTGGACGGCTTTTTTCCCAATAATATGCTTAAATGAACTAGATATTTCAGATTTGTATCCATTTGTCCACAGAGATTTTAGAACTCTAGAGAGTGAGTCAGATAGTTCTTGAGAATTTCCAATTCTCTTTAAAACATCCTGCTTATATTTATTTAGTACAAAATATTTTGTCACTTCTAGAGTATGACTAAGACATTGTAAAACTGCATTCATATAGCATGTATTTCCATGATTATATAAGCCAACAATCCCGGCATTCGCATTTTGAGCGAGTCTGAAAGTATCAGTAAAAAGAGAAATGTTAAAAGTTATCTACCATCTTTTAGACTATTTCTCGCTAACTTGAGAATTACCCACAAAAAGTTAAAAGTTTTGGAAAGATTGTTATCTAGCTTGCGATATTACATTTAATATTTACGCAGAATGATAAAGTTTCTGCTAATCAAACTATTAGATATTTGTTCATATCTTGTGACAATTTCATAATTCCCATCGATATCAGTAGATAATTTTTAGTCATTATGAGTACTAAACCTAATTGTTTTGCTAAATTAGGCTTACAGGAGATAGTATAGAATAAATAGTTTTTTATCAATACCTAAGCATTTTTTGTTTTTCATCATCTTTCGAACTCTTTAAAAAAAATTTCTTGATCACAGATGCTAGGCTTCTCTTCTTCTGAGGTGTTCTTCTCGATAAGGTGTCTACCGGTCGATGAGAAGAAATTAAATGTGGCGAATCAAAATTAAGGGATCCCTGTCTTCCCCCAGGTACTCCGTCTGCCATTGTTCTACAACTATCCTTTTAACTTAATAACTAGAACTTAACAAACGTCAGAACGGGTATAAGTTGTAAAAATTCAAGAGCAATTAATCCGCCATTGTTGTTGACACACTTTCCGACTTCCGAGCTCAGTAACCCCCTCTACCTGTTTAGCGGATAAAACGGCAGAATGTTTTATGAATTGTTCAGCGGAAACGGAAATGCTTACTTCTAGAATATCCGGCGCGCTTTTTTTTTCAACAATGCAGAAATGTAAATACGGTCCAACAAATACATATATGATTAACACACCTCTGGGAGAATTTCAACTAGAATGCTGCTCATATGGTATCCACAGTCTTCATCATATGCCAAAAGTTTTCAAAGTAGAAAAGACTGCCTCGGTTGTTGTGTCAGACCAGAGGTATCCTGACAATGGCTATCAATATAAGCCAGTGAAAGATTGTGTAAATTGGCTTCAAGAATTTTTTGATAACAAAGAGCCCAGTTCACTACCTACAATATGTTGGTCAGAAGAAAAGACAACAGATTTTCACCTGAATATTTGGAAAACACTAGCTGAAAGAGTTAAGTTTGGACAGACAGTAAGCTATGGCCAATTAGCCGAAATGAGCGGATATAACAAGAGATTTTCAAGGGCAGTTGGACATTCTATGAGAGAAAATCCTGTTGTTTTAATTGTTCCTTGCCATAGAGTAATACTCGCCTCAAAGAAACCTGGCCACTACGCAGCAGGCCAAAAAGACGAAATGAAACAATGGTTACTAAATCACGAGAGAGAAAGAAAAGTACAAGAACCTTAAAAGCTGTAAATAGAATATTAAGAACAAAAACTTGAATATTTTATGTTAATTATTTACCCTAAATTTCTTACTCATCCCTTAAAGATATAATTCAATTATTTCATATTAAACAGTAATTAAAACATTCGAAAGTATAATTAATATTTTTTTCATATCAATAAAGAAATAATTAATGAACTCTGTTTTTTTTTTCTCTCCTCACTAAGAACCCATTGAAAATAATAGATAATCATTTAAAAAAAAAACATCTGGAAAAGTTATAGTATTATTTAACTATTCAACTGTTGAAACGATAATATTTAAAAGAGTAATTATTTTAATATTAATAATTAACATTATATTTCGATTTGGACATCATTTTAAAGAGTTTAAAAAATTAAATTATTCATTTTTTTTTATATATGAAAAAAAAAATAACATGAAAAAAAAACTAAAAAAACAATTAACATTCAATCCAGTAGTAAGTATAAGAATATTAAGCGATAATGAAGACAGCTCGGAAGAAGATTACTTGGGTAAAGAAAATGGAAAAAGTGGTAAAAGGGTTGCTAAATCACCTCTTATGCGACGAGCTTCAATTAAAAGACAGTCAACGAAGAAAACCAATTCTAATAAGCATAGAAGAAAGGCTAGAAGGAAAGGGAGGCGCGAAAGAAAAAACTTCCATTAACTTATTAATGAACTCGTAAGAAAAAGTGGGACGGTACTTTGAATACGAAGAAAATAATTGACTGATATACGTGAAATATAGGGATTAAAGTCTAATTTGATATTCAAATATGAATGTAATATAATTCCAAAAAAGTTTATATTAATAAAAATTCACATAGCTAAAAGGTTTAATGAACTATTATATGTTCTATGAATGAAAATTATAGCTGCTATTCATTACGTAATGATACAGATGGCGCTTGTATTTTATACGAAATTATATTTTAGATAAAGGCGAAGGTTACTGGACTTCGAGTCTTCTGTCATTCATTCCGTTATAAAAATGCATCTAATTGTGGAAACACTTTTTACCGTTATCCTAGTTCTTTACTATTTAATTGAATCTATAGTTTGGACGTTCTTACCAAACAGTTGGCGATATAAAGACGTCCAAAATCAAACAGTTCTAATTACTGGTGCCGGTAGTGGATTGGGACGCCTTCTTGCTTTCAGATTCGCAAAATTGGGATGTGCAACAGTACTGTGGGACATTGATTCTAAGGGAAATGCAAAAACAGCAGCTGAAATTAAACAACGATACAATAGTGAATGCTTAACCTATACAGTTGATTTGAGTAGTAAAGAATCTATTTATGAAACTGCAAATAAAGTTAAAGAAGATATAGGAGAAATAAATATTTTGATAAACAATGCTGGTATAGTTACTGGTAAAAAGTTTATGGAATGCCAAGATGCTCTTATTGAAAAGACATTCCAAGTGAATACGTCAGCTCACTTCTGGGTTAAAATTTTATTATAATGTTTATTCTGAATCTTATAATTAATGTACAAATTTCTTTCTGTAATTAGACAACAAAAGCCTTCCTTCCAAGAATGTTAAAGCTTAATCACGGACATATTGTTAATATAGCCAGTGCCGCAGGATTAACGGGAGTTACAGGATTAGCTGACTATTGCGCTTCAAAGTTCGCTGTCGTTGGCTTTACTGAGAGTTTATCAATGGAATTAACTTCATTAGAGAAAACAGGGGTGAAAACAACCGTTGTTTGTCCATACTATATAGATACTGGCATGTTCAAAGGAGTTAAAACAAAGTTAGCTTTCTTTCTTGGACAGAAAAATCCTGAAAAATTAATTATTAGACTTTACTTTACTGATTATTATTCTTACTATTCAGATTTCCGGAAATATTGCCGATAGTAACTCCGGAACACGCTGTTGATAGAATGATGGATGGAATTCTTTCCAACAAAAGTGAAGTTTGGATTCCTAGATCATTATACGTCCTACTATCTGTAAAAGGGTAAGTAATTTCTCTTTCTTATCATAATATTTAAGGTTTTCCTTAAAATATTCTCTGAATGTTTGTTCATGATAAATGTAAATATATATTTTTATACTTTTCCTACAGACTATTACCAACTAAATGCCAAGCCTTGCTAAGTCAATTTTTCGGTATAAGTAACTGTATGGACGAGTTTGTTGGTAGAGAATAATAATCTTTATATGTTTAGTTGTTTTAATAATTGTTTTGTCAACAAAATTTTGAGGTCTCTAACAAATAAAGCATTTCTGTTGATTTATAAAAAAGAAATAAGGGACTAAATTTAAAATTCGCTTTGTCCTATTTTCCTCTGGAATTGACTACCAATACAACCTTTTAACCTTTATACGTCGAGTCGTACTTACTTTGATAATTAAATAGATAACATATATTATATATATATATATATATATATATATATGAAGAATAAGCGATATGAATGTAGCACACAGTATCAAGAGGTAACACAGAGACGAGAAAAAGCCACAGGCCATACAAAATAACCTTAAATAGATAGTTCAAGTAACACGACACCCTATTTTTAATATATAAATGTCCAAAATTTGAGGCTTCCAATTTCTTCTCCCGGATATAGATAGTCTTAAAAAGGGGGAAGGCAGTCTTCGTTTCAATCACGAAAGACGTTCCATCCATAAGAAAGACATCTGTATGTATCCCTTTTCTTGTAAAAATAACTTCAATCAAATTCAATTACATGACGCACGACTACCATGGTTAGTAGGTTTAGCTTCCACCCGTACAAAAATCATTACTATGGCCCCTAAAGAAAAACAGAAGTTTGATCCCTTCCTAAAATCTTATCAAATTTAATACCATTTATCAAATAGATAAGACAAATATCTTAGAAAAAAAACCTCTTTAAAGACTTTTTTCGTCTATTTTTAACATTTGGACAAAGATTAGAGAAGGGATGAGAAGAAATACCCCAAACATTAATAATGAATCATTGCATTGATAGCGTGGGAAAAAAAATAAATCGTTTATGATGATTAGAGTCCATCAAGGTAACGAATAAAGTTTGTTCTATAAATAGATAAAACGCAATGGACGTAAAATTGCGTTTACTGAAAATTGTATTTCGTTAGTACATAACCTGAAGCAGGTTCCTTATTTTTAATTGTATAAAAAAAACAATAAAAGAAATTCATATAAAATAAAGAAGGGAAAAGAAGAAGAAAAAGAAGAAAGAGAATAATAATCTATTTTTAAGGTTTTCCTTATCTTTTTCCTCCTATTCTCCTATTCTTTATTTTTTTCTATTCTTATTTCTTTCATTGCTTTTAGTGCTATTAAACAGTTCTGTGGGAGGAAATTTTTCACTTTTAATTCAAATCTTGGAGCGAGAGAGAAAGAGAGAGTATTTTAAACTGATCAGTACAACAGACCATTATTTTACATAATAAAACATCTAAGATAGATCAGAAATTATATGAAATCTAGTTATCCTTAGTAGAGGAAAAACTGTAAGAAATTGCAGTTTCTTTCTAACGAAAATATACATAAATACAATAGGCAAGTATATAGTATACACGAACAGGAGTTTACAGCTTCTTCTCTTTAAAGAATTAACCGTAAATGTCAAATCTGCTTTGCTAATGTAAATGGTAAGAAATACAAATAAAAGGCAACATAGCTGCAGTGACATTTTAGCATTAGAAAGTTATTCACTCTACTTGATTTCTTACCATGCAAAATAATCCTTTATTACCTTAGTTATTAAAAAAACAACTAGATGGAGGTAGTTACCCTTTAATTAATAATTTACTATCAACATTTTACAATACTTTTAAATAAAGTAATTGTTTAAAGAGGGAGAAGAGAGACAGAGAGAGAGAGAGACAAGAGAGACTAAGAGAGAGAGATAGAGAAAAAATAGAAGGAAATAAATGAATGACATTAAATCTAATATTTCCGTTTAGTTTCATATTATTAGGATTTCTTTTATAGATAAAAAATATATATATATATAACCTGTTTGTTTAGGTTTATACGGCCAATTAATTTTTGAAATATTGTTAAATTATACGTAGAAAAGAATATCAGGAAAAAAAAAGAACAGACCTATAAAATAAGCTAAAACGAAACACGTAAAGCGGTGTTTAGTATTGTATGGCAAGAAAAAGAATGGAATGTCAACCGCAATTTTTTGAACAGGTTTGAAGTAGGATTGTTTGTATCACCTATTTAATCCCCGATGATTAATCGTAAGAACGTTTTCTACTATAATAAAAATGTTCTTTGTTCTTTCCATTAACCTCAAACAGTCTTGTTGTAATAGACTAATCTCTTTTCTTATGAAATAAGAATTTTTATACAGATATTTATATTCTGAAAGCATTTCAAACAGTTCTTTTTATCCGAAAATTTAATAATAATAGTAAAAATAATGATGATATTAATAATACATCTATACTAATTTAGACTAATATTAAGCACGTTTCTAACTATATATACTTAGGCGCCGATTATATCAAATTCAATGTCGACAAGTTGGACGCGTTGATTATTAAAAATATGATAGATAGGGTCGAACGTTGAAAAAACATTTCCAAATTGTGCATAATCTAAAAGGATAAGGCGTCTCTTTTGTTTTTTTTTTCTATACTCTATCCCCTAAATTTAACTATTTAAAGCCTTAAACTCTTGATTGTTAAATCTAATTTACTTCTTTAGTTTATTGAGATACTTAATTTGGAATTGATCGTAAGATCTTCTATTTGCCTACCTTAGTTTAGCCCACACTTTCTTCTCTTTCACTCGCTTCTAAGCAAATATAATTTTACGGCGTACAAATTTCTTTATTAATAACCATTCCATACAAATACGAAACGTTCGTCCGTGACGACGAACGTGCTCTAAACACGCAAAATGAAGGCAATACAAAAAAACAATCCCAGGAACAACTATAATAAGTACAGCGATTCGAAGACGGAAACGAAAAAAAGCCGCTTAAGAGATAAACTAATATCAGAGTATTCATGGCTTTCCTACCACTTCTCCCTACCTGCTGTGTCCCTGCAAGACCAGTATGTCATTTATATATAAACTGCTCCCTCTCTAACTCCTTCCAATAAAAAAGGATAATAATTGACATCTGCCTTTGACCGGAAATTGGCTCAGGAAACAGTCGAAAAAGTGAAAGAGAGGTGGAAGCAAAAAAAAAATGTAGAAAAGCAAATGCGTTTGCGTTAATCCAGTTAGGCGGTTGGAAGACAACGTTATTAGCTTGGATTATCTATCTTTTTTGTTTTTACGACAACCGACGATGCATAATAATCGAATTCCTATAGGCGAAGGAAGGAGAAAACACAAGGCTCATATAAGTACTTCAAGAGAAGAGAAAATAAAAAACAAATCCTATACGAACAAAAAGAAGCTACAGATCGAGAAAATTTGCCTATGGCTCTAATGATTGATACTGCAATGCGGCTTTCGAGAGGAAAGAAAACCACATTTAGTTAGAGTAGATAGTTAAGAAACCGGGTTCAGGATAGAAGATAGAGAGAAAGCAAAATGTCACCTCACTCGTGTCTTTTCTTAAAATGTCAATCAAAAATTTCTTTACAAAAACTTATTAGAGTTTTGTGACAATTCGGGCTATGGGCGTTTAATTGCGAGAACGAAGCCAATTAACCCAACACTCTACCTCTCCTTCCTCTCCACTCCGGTACATTAAATAAATACTCACTTAAAAAATTGGGGCTTATATATTTTGCCGTAAGCAAACACTATGGGGTTTTTTTTTCGTTTTGAAAATCTCGTAATCACTTATAAATATACATTTATGTGTGTATTTATTGTTTCTTTTTTAGTGTGGAACTAAATAATTGGGACGCAACGAGTTGGAAAATACGTATTCATCGCATTTTCTATTATCTATAGTGTAAGATGATTGTATCTGGTGAAATCCAGCACGAAGAGCGTTTCTTTTTCCCTTATCTAGTACTCCGTGATGGATGCTGATCTGAAAAAGTTAGTCAAGACCACAAACCTGTGCAAATAGGGTAGAATCAAATAGATAAAAGCTAACCAAAAAAGATGTTATATAGAATAAAGAAAGAAACATCAAAATCACGTCATCCATAGGGGTTTTCATTCGTTTTTCATTCCATTTCATATATTGCCAGCGATTTTCTCTTTCTAGTAACCTGCTCACAGCTATGAAAGAAAGATATAGCAGGGGGAAGAGTAAAAGGATAAAGGAAGGTATAGAAGAAAGAGACAAAAAGAGACAAAGTATATAAAGTTGTCACGATTTTGAGCTTTTAACTATTCGCCTTACTTTCATTTTTCTCTTCATTTTCCATTTTTTCTCTCAATGCTTCATTGTAGCCTTCATTAAGCTTGATTATGATAAAATTCAAAACGGCTTGCCATGAATCTCGAGCATCTCCGTTGAATCGAAATTTTAGCTCCTGCTTCCAAACGAAAAGAATCGCTTCAGTAAAAGCGTCCCAATATTTCGGTCTGAAGCCTTGAAAGAGAACGTGTCTTCTGCCCAGACCAATGAGAAGGGGTGATAAAACCTCCATATCGTCAAGATTATCAACGGCTGCCCCCACAGCTTGCATAAATCTAGAGGCATGCCCCTTAAAATGATGATCGTTTAGAAGTTTTTCACCTTCTAAATCTCGGCAAGGAAAAAGATTCTTAATTTGCGGATGCAACTCGAAAATCCTCAAGAATACCATAGCCGCTCTCCCACTTAGGTCATTCGATATCCTCTTCCAAGTATTACGTATAACACTCTTTTGTTTTTCGGAAAGTTGATCTGAACGAGAGAGTAGAATAGTTGGTGGTGCAATGGATTTAGACGCTGAACATCCCATCACGGAGTCAAAGTAACGAGTGTGTGCACTGTAATCATGAAATGAGCTTCGTGTCTGACGCGTTAATACATTTTAGTTATATTTTAAGCGCGGACATTAAACGTTAAAAATGGAACAACGAAATTATTGACATTAACTAGTTTTTTGACAAACCAACAGTCTATTCTCTTCTTTTTTAATCGACTATATCGGGCCGATTTTTTCCCTGTCACAGTCTTTATCAGTTTATCACCGTCGAACAAAGTTATTTCAGTCTCATTTTTCATCTCTTTTATTCGAACTCGTGATCTTCTTAGAAAGGCTAGTAAACCTGACCCTCGGTGACTGTCAGATCTGGATCGTTTTATATAGATACCCAAATGATCTGGACGATCTGTTCCCGCCAGATGGCGTAAAAGAGTTATGTTTGAACCCCCTTTAATTTTGATACGGACGCGAAAACGCGAAACAGAGATGGAAGTTATTGCAGATACATTTAGGCTATATCCGACACTCTTCCATCTATAAGGCGCTGAATCGACGAGAATTTTCCGCGGCGTCACTATGATTCTGTGACGGCCCACTGCGGCTGCCATTTGCCCGAAAAACGTTCGATTGGCTTCGTATTCGACAAGACGAGCGTTAAGCGTAATTCGGGAGTCATGCAATAATTGAACGACCGTGCCGTTTTCGGCTGTGACGTCGAAACAAACACTGGCTCCCCCTGACGCTTTCAACAAAAAATGTGGGTCGCTCTCAGCTGCAAAGTGCAAAATAGGCTTACAAGAAAATGCTATATTTCATAAAATTTCTTACCGAAATCGTCATGACGCTCTCCAGGTGCCGGAGACCACGTCCAGGGTGCTAAAAAAATGTTATCCATCAGTGTCAATATCGATTTGCAAAGATAATCTAATACACCCATACCTGAATTTTTATCGAGCGCGTTCCAGTCATCGTGACGCTCAAGATGCACTTGAATACGAGGAGAATGAAACGTTAAAGAGGAAACGGGCGTCACTAGACCATACTGTTATAAATGCATAACGTGACTCTTTGCTGTACTCATTCGTCAAAGCTCTTACCTCTAATGACAACCGCTGAGCTCTGCGTCTGTTTTCTGATGATGTGAGATCCAGCAATTGAGAGATAGTTAGATAAGCCCATGCTAAACTGGCATTCCCAATATCATCCCACTTGGTCGTTGTTTTCGAAAGGTTATGTCCATCGCCATCTAAGCCGTTTAGATGGGCTTTAAGCGGTGTTTCCGGCGACTTGCGTTTACCTGCAATTAGAACTTCCGAATTGTTCATATAAATTGGCCAACGTGTTCTAGACAGCGTGCGTTCCTCTATCCCTTCGTAAGTAGTTTGGAATGCAAGAAGAGCTGGTTTATTGAGCCTGTCAAACAGAGACTTCAATCTCGTTGATGCCTGAGGGTCAACTCGAATCTGATGAGAAAATCCGCCGGTGACTGCTGACAATCTTCTTAAGAGCAAGACGTCCGCTTGACGCCCTAATGCTACGCCATACAAAGGAAACGACGTTCGTCGTTTGATGTTAGAAATGATCTGACTTTGGTTTGTTACACCAACAGAAGGCCGGCCGTCCGTTATGAAGATGATGAAGGATGCCTTGGATGGATGAACGTGGCGAGCAGCTTTCGTCAGCATACGGACACTTTCCAGTAACGCAGAATTAATGTTGGTCCCTGCAGCGAGTCGACACCGTTCGGCTTTGAATAGTAATTAGGTTAAAATTAACTTACAGCCAGTAGGCCGAATCCTGCTTGACATGAAGTCCTTAGCGTCCTCAACGTTTTTCGCAGACGCCTTTTGCAGTTCACCCTGTCTCCACCACGTCACTTTGGTATTGAAATGCAACACGTTAAAGTAATCTGCTTCGGTCAGCTGGTCCAAAGCCGCCGTCAGAGCTTTTCTAAGTTGCTGCAAACGGAAGCCTTTCATGGAGGCACTACTGTCTACTGCAAAGACTACCCTTCGTTCTACCGGTTTTTTTACATGAATTTTTGCTGCATGCAGCATATAACCGCCGCCTACGGCGAGAACGCCTGCATCATCTATTCCGTTCTTACGCAAATAGTACAGTAAAACGATCTGCTCGAGTGGCGTCTTCTGTTTCTTGTAGTTTAATTGTTGCCAAACCACCCGTAATTCGTTTGTTCTCCTTATCGTGACGTTAGTTGAAGTCTTTGGTTTTACTTCAAATTTTTCAATTTCCTTAGTTTCCCTTACCCTAATATCCGCTTTGAGGTTCCTAACTAAAGCTTCTCCAGGGTCAACATGGAGTATGTGTTCTATGACCCCGGATCTTTCATTAAGGAGCAAAACATAATCCAGTTCGACCCGAGCTGAACTGTGGGCTTGTACTTCTAGTTTTGTTTGCACTTCTATTGTGTCGGTAGGGCTGAATTCGATACCATATAACTACGCATAGCATAAAGATCGATAAGAAGGAATTTTTTTCTCACCCCTTTACTTTTTCAGTATCCTTAGCCCTGTCGGTGACTCTGGCCCGATCAGTATTACCCCAAGCGTCGAATCTGTCGCAATAAAAACTTCATTTTCAACGCTTCCCGAACTCTCCCCGGAGGAAAAGCGAAAAAATAAACGAACTTACACCGTCAAATTACATACGTAGGCAGAACGGGGTATGCGAAGCTTGAGCGTCGTCTTGACAGTAGAATTGCTTTCATTTTCTATTAGAGCATCTATTCGTGTGTTTGCCAAACGGGAACGGATATCGGTAGACCAGGTCAGTGAGGCGATTCGAACGCGTTCGATTTGAGCCTAAGAAACGTTAATTAACTAACGGAACAATTAATGGGCGCGTTTGTTCGGGTGCAGATTAGCGTCTTTGGGGAGCGTTTTATACAAAACTCTGAAAAGACTCCAAGGAAAAAAAAGAGGACTAGATGTACTACTCTATTAGTTTCGATATCATTCTCTTCTAAACGCATTTATGCAAATACAATTCTTTGCTTATAACGTAATCGGAAAAGTTTTTTTTGATTATCGAATACACTACTATAGTACGACGTACTCAAAGTGAAAGAGATTTTTGTTACCGAATTCGATAGAAAGGCCAAAAGCAAGATCGAACGTAGCATTCTTTCTTTTTTTGTCCACAGCCGTCAACGTGCTCGATCGAGTGGTCCGTTAATCCGTCGGTATAAGCTGCCCTTATTCTTTTGAACGATACCGCGTCGACTGTGGTGACACCTTAAAAGCGAAAAGTCACTAGTGACATCTATTAAGCAAAAAAGTGTTAAACTGCCAAAACATGAGAAAAATTATATTAACAGGTATAGAAGAAGCCTGAGCGACGGAAGCTACCTTTTATTCTATTGGCGTTTATCTAAGCTAATAAATTTATTATAAAGGTCGTTGCTCAACTAGATTTGTACACTACCTACACCGTAAAGGTCAGTTATCGATGGTGCCCTAGGGTTGTACTTATAGCCAACCGTTAAATTACGATAAGTTGAAAGGCCTATATTCAAAAGAGCAATAATACCGGATAATAATTCTTGAAGTTTACAAGCGCCACACGCAATTATTTTTGAATACTATCACTGTAGACTAATTGTGTGCATTGTACGAAATATAATGCAGTATATATATATATTATATAAATATATACTGCTATTTGCTGTACTATGTGAAATAATGTTGAAATACTGTGTATTAATTTAAACACAATGAGGTCTACTCTATACTTTCGGAGATGGTCTACACATACTGCAAAATGTATGATGCGTAAATAAACAAGGCATTAATGGCATGATATTAAGATTCAGTCTACGCATATAAATGAACTTGAAGTTAGAAAAACGACAACTGAGACGTAATAGAGTTGTAAAGCGGAAAATGAAGTTGATTTTACCAGTAAGAAAATTCACAAAGAAAATGAATCAAAGAAGTATAATAGGTCTACACGTCCCACGTTCATTTTAGAATTTCATTTCCACTACCCCTCTACTGGCAAAAGTCCGATACAAATTAATTGTTTAGATATAATAAATGTATGCCTACAGATGGCAGTGTACAACCGTATTCTTCCCATGTCGCTTAGGCAACAGTTAATATCGTCTGCAATAATCTCTCTTATTGAATAGGCCTTGGCAGAAATACTCTTACCTTAGATGTCTTCAAATTCAACGGTTATCCGTCTTCATGCGGAGGAAAAAAATGTCGGATTTGATCCCAACGAAAGTCTGATGTCCAAATGGAGGAAGAGTTATGAAAGCAATAGAAGAAGATCTGTAGCTGTTTCAAAATACTACTCTTTTGGTTATTTCTTCTGTATCTGTTCTGCTGAGTTGTACTGTGCTTTTACTGAAATTATACCATATTTCTATTCTCAATTCGGCTGGGAGTATGTCTACTTTATGAAGGTTATAGCAATGTTTGTCTTTATAAATACTATTGCCAATTGGATGCTCACTGTATTAACAAAGACTCACGTTCCTCAAGACAACGACAGACCTGATAGTGTTAATCTTGCCTGGAAGAAATACGAAAACTCTACCGACCACTCTGGAGAACAGATAATAAACCTTGGAAGCGTCGATAGAAGTGATTTGCACTGGACATTCTGTAAAACCTGTGAAGTTCCGGCGCCCCCTAGATCTCATCATTGTCCTATCTGCGAACGCTGCATATTAAAGAGGGATCACCACTGTTTCTTAGTTGGAACTTGTATTGGCTTCTATAACCAGCGCTTCTTCGTAATACTTACTTTTTACGTAGCTATTGCTAGTTTTGTGGGACTAGCCCACATTGCAGTTTACATGAAAGATACTTATTATCCATTTCATTCGATCATTGACTGGTTTTTTCCAGTCACTCTCACACGATTCGTGATGGGAGATGTTAGTCTAATTCATACCTTACTTATGATTCAGATATATACTTTTTGGTGGTCTGGTCCTGTTTGTCTGGGCTTTTTTTTGTACCAATTAATTGCTATATATTACGGCAAAACAGCTTATGAGCTGGCTAAAACTCGACGACCGAATAGAATTCGGTCTCTTAATCCAATTTCGTACAATTTTCAAAGCGTTTTTGGATCATTTTGGCCGATAAATTTTATTTTCCCCGCTCATCCTATTCTTAAACAATTAGGTGACGGAAGAAATTGGCCAGGAGTTAAAATTAAATATGACGTTTAACAGAATAAATTAATTTTCGTTAAATTTATTTTTTTTAAGGGATGGCTTTCACATAAACATCTAATTTTCCATTCGACATTAAAGTAACACGCAATCTTTTTTATAATTTTAGTTCGTCAAGATATGGTACTTGTGACAAGTTACCAACGGCTGCGAACGCAGGTTTTCCTTTGAAAATTTGAGCAGCGACGTTCTTTACTGCGCTTGCATCTACTTCATCGATTGCTTTACCAAACTCGGCTGGTTCCATAAGGGCTCCCCTGTAAGCGGCTTGCAATGCCAAATCTTGTACTAAGCCAGCACTACTCTCCAACTCCATCCACATGGTAGATTTCACACTACGCTTTGCTGTTTCCAAAGCTTCGGCGGATACGGAACCAGAGGCAACCTGTCCAATCTGCTCTGTAGTTGCTTTAAGAACAGAAGCAATATCTGCTGATTTTGCAACAGCCTGTACACCGAATAAACCGCTATCGGAATAGACTAAGTTCATACTAGAGACTTGGACAGGAGATTTAGCTGCCTTGCTTGCCGCATCTTGCAATTTGCCGGTATTTGAATATTTCATATGAGGTCCAACACCTAATATTCTTTGCAAAACCAAAGTTGCAAAGTATTCCTTGTCGCCTATACTAGAAGATTTAGTGGCTAGAGCGGCGAATGTAAATTCCCCTGGGATGTCAACACGTTGTTCACCTCCATAAAATACAGCCTCTTGAGGTTTTTTTGCTGTACCAGTTACATTCATACTCTGTGTTAATTTTACTAAATCTTTGTGATCCACTCCTACTCCAGAAACAATCAGGTCCCCAGCAGTAAACATATCCTTTGCGTACGATGTCATCATTTCATGATTGATACCCGAAATTCTATTCCTATCGATATACAAGGAATTTGCTAAGGTTCTTCTGTAAGCTGCTGTATGCAACAATTCAATGACACGTGTATTGTAATCTAGATCTAGCCTGCCCAAATCCAAATTTAAATAATCGGGAACGCGATCTTTCACTTCCCAACGCTTGAAGTTCTGCATAAATGCTGCTTCACCAAGGAATTGAAAAGCTTGTGTTAATTTGTCTCTGTCAGCCTGGAGTGAGTAACAAACATGTTCTCTAGTGGTTGTGCAAGTCAAATCGGCTCCTAGTTGCTGCAAGTTTCTGGTTAAGCCAAATTGTGTTACATTTTGGGTACTAAGAGCAGCCCCTGTCCTTAGAGCGTGACAAACACCCAAATTTTCATAGCTTTCATTACGTGTTCCAGCCTTAAAGAGAATGGAAATATGGGCTATTGGAGCGTAATTTTCCAAGGAGGTTACCAAAGCTCCATTATTTAGACGTGTTATCTAAAAAAAAATTCTCTGTCAATGTCATTGGTGTCATATTTCAAATTAATCTACCTGAGCACTTTGCTTGGGAAGAGAAACTCGCGACGCCTCTTGATGTTCAGCCAAACGTGTGGCATATAACCTTTTCTGTAGAAAAGAGAAACGCGAATATAAAAACCGAGCGAAAATAAAGGACGGGTCACTCGAGGACGAACTTTTATAAGCCGAATGAAAGTCAATGACAATTTTTTCTCAATTTTTCAATAAAAAAATCTTAGAAAGGTAATTAATTACCTGAACAGACGCAGCAATGGGTCTCGATGCGGCTCTCATTTGCGATGTTTTTGATAGAAATGAAACGACCAAGTTCGGGAATATAATATGGCCGAATTATAGGCACCAAGATACAATACTGTTCTTTAAAAAATGGCAGGCTCCAGTGTTCTTTTTCAGCGCGGAAAGGTTATAAAACATCTATTATTCAATAATTTTTTTATTGTATATCGAAATTATTATTTTAAAACATTTTACCTTAGAATTTAAGATATTAAATAAATTTTTAAAGAGAATTATTAAAAATGCCAAATATTAACGATATTATCGCTCAACGTTTGAATTACGTTCTCTTCCAGAGCGAATATGAAGAAGATATTTGGGATGATACTGATTTAATTGCAGCATATGATCTTGCTATCGATAGTTTTAAGGTGATATTAAGCGTACATGAGAAAACGAAGTGTCATTTGCAGTTTTTCTATGATAGGCTCGAGTAGGTCTTCAAGAGGGTTCTGCACCCCCCCAACACGGTCCTAGAAGAGATTATCGTTCATCATATAAAGGAAGAAGTAAACGGAGAAAGAGCAAAAGTAACGATGATTGGCAAATAGGTTCAAAATGTTTTGCTGTTTTTAGCGAAGATGGAGAGACTTATGAAGCGGTCATAAGTAGCATTGACAGAGAAAATGGAACTTGTGTTGTGACTTATACTGGTTATGGAAATAACGAAGAACAGTATTTATCTGATTTGATATCATCTGCAAATGAACATGAATATCCGGAAGAGGTAAATAAAACATACCTTTTAAATTCGAAATGAAATTTTACGCTTTAATATTCTAAAATTTATATCATTACTTGAATTTTTAAATAGATGGATGCTTACAATAATGATGGTAGAAAAGCTTATTCTGAAAAGGGCAGACAAGATATGAATTATGAACGATATCATGAAAGTAGCAGTAATGAAAGACATAACGAAAGATTCAGCAAGTATCACAGCCAGTATGAAGGCATGAAAATTCCCAGTTTTAATGAAAGAAATATGCCACCGCCACCGCCACCTATGAGTCTTCCACCGTTTGGTTCCATGCCTCCTATACCTCCTTTCGCTATGAACGTCAGTTTATAATAGATCTTGAATTAATTAACTGTAAGTTTCTTATGTTTAATAAAAATCTAATGCAGATACCTGCCCCTCCCCTACCTTCAATACCACCTTCCCACCCTGGTATGTTTTCTAAACCAGCAAGAGACGATGAAGAATTGAAAAATATGCTTCTGTCTTGGTATATGAGTGGTTATCATACAGGGTACTATCAGGTATATATTTGACATAAGTCTGTCTTGTTTCTCACATAATATTTTCATATTCAGGGGCTAAGAGAAGGTCGAAGAGAATAGAAATCTACCTTTGATATTAAAACTATTAGTAAATCATGATCAGTCTTTAATCTCAATACAAGAAAAACGAATTTTACTTTTGTTAAAAATTTTATAATGAATTAAAAGTTTTTTCTAATAACTCTCGATGTTGCACGCTGCAATATCCGTTTTGTTATTGATTGTTTTGTAATACTTTTCACTGTATTTAGAAAGAAAGTTTTTTGAATTATATATTAGAAAAATTTCATCACTAGGCTTCAGATAAACGTTTGTCACTAGAGAAAAAACACACGCAGTAACTACCGCTTCCCATTAAAGCTAGACTCTTGCTATTTTTATTCCAGCATAATCCGGAAACGTTCATTATATCTGACATAAAGGAAAGATTAACATATGTTCATTTATTGAACACTAATGAATGAAAGGGTTATAATACAAACTAGGCGTTGATGGAATTCTGACGCACAGGCTTCCTGACGGAGACCACATAAAAAGATTATTGCATGTCGTTGCTAAAGCTAATCGAGTTTCGTTGGGATCCCAAGCTATATCTGAAAGAAAATAGTGCATAAACAAACACCAAATATTCTCATTGAATATATTGACCTGTAATGCTTTCTTTATGAATGAGAACAGAATGAAGCTTAAAGATTTCTGATATTTTCCAAATGAACAAGCATTGAGGATGAGCATCTACAAACAGACAAAACGGTAAAATATACACAAGGTGCACGTAATCTCATTCTGCATTAATGAATTTATCAAAAGAAGTGTAAATTATACATGAAATGATCAATGAAAAAACAAAATACCGTTCACTGTATAAAGAAATTGAGAATTGTGGCTGAATCCCAGACGAGATATTCCAGTAGCAACTTCCGTTTGTTCACAAATCTCTTTTAGAGGTAATTCGGTCTTCTTGTCATCAACTAACGCATAATGACTCTGCATAGACTGTCGAATACTTTTTAGATCTTTCAAACTTAGATCCGGTGTTTTGTTTTCTTGCCGATACACAATAGTGTCAACAGAATCAATTTCAGTTTCGTGACCTCTAATACACAGAGCCTTCCAGGTAACTGTATTCAAAATGAAAAGACGTCCATCAAATGAGCCTGCAGCTAATAGACTAGCTGATTTATCAAACTGCAGACAGCGAAAGCCGGCAGTTGATGAAGTTGGCTGAAAGTTTGCCTTTTTGACTCCTTGCATATCATAGACAATTAAGTTATTTGGAATGAGCGACTCCCAAACGACGACTCCGCTACCGTCTGGAATCCATTCTATACCGTTAGCATCCTCCGTCTCACATTGGAAGTGCTTATGTAATTGCCAATTAGAGTTTACATTAAAAATACTAATACAGTCTTGGAAATCGCGCCTCTCCAGTAGAGCCAGAAACTTTCCATCTCTACTGAAAGATTTATTTTTGGGACAATTTTTGGGATATTTTATATATGAAACAGTTTTAGCAGCTAATGACCATACAGTGATGCGTAAGTAAAATTGCCATGTTGTTAATATGTGGCGGGAATCGGAACTCCAACAGGCATCGATTAGTCCGGCTGATCCCTCATCAATTTTACAGTTCCATTCAGAATGCTCTATATTCCAGATCTGCAGTGTTTTTTAATAAAGTTACTTGAAATAAATGAAAGTTTTGAATAATTTAATGATCATACTTGAATTATTCCTCTGTCGTAGAGGGCGCAGAGTATAAATTGAGAGTCTGGTGACCACTGGAAGTAAAGCGTCGCTTGTAGTCAGAGTAAATCATTAGTAACGGGGTTATTGGGAACATTTAATGAGACTACTATGAAAAGCTTTTGTGACACATGGGAAAATCTGTATGACGTCACTGCATAGCAAACCTGGAGAAACTGCAGCACATCAACGCAGGTAAACATACGCGCTACTTGCAGAGTTTCGGCGTCTCTTACTACAAGCCGGTATTGAACGGCGTTTGCCTGTAAGGACGTAAAAAAAACCGATTACATATTAAAGAAATCAATGTCGATGGCCAGAACTTGGAAAATTCGACAGGTAGGAAATAAATAACAATAAATATTTTAACTTGAATAAACAAGCAGAGTTATAGTGGAAAAAGTATGTCTATATGATACAAACCACAAAGTTTCCATCTGGGGAATAAGCCACCAGATCGGAAGTTTGTTGAAAACATTCCGAGAAATTCATAGTTTCAAATCAAACCGGTCGCATGTTTCGCGCATGAATCATCTACCAGTATTGAAGCGCTTGGAGGCGCTATTCTCTGATCAACCAACACAGCTTTTACAAAGCAGGAAGCAGCAAACCGGAAATAGTTGAGTTAGTAGAAAAAAAACCACGCGCGCTATGAGACTATAACTACTGATATTAGACAATTAATGAGGGTTTGTTACATTGATTATGCGATATAATTCATATTATAAAAGTGCAGCGATACTTCTTTTGCTATGGCGCTTTTGTCGGTGTTTTTACAAACGTTTATTCGATGTCAAGCAGTTTCGATTTGTGTGTAAATAGAACGGAACGCTATTCATCAGACGCCTGATCAATTTCTACCCCGATTCGATCCGCATTAATGTGTTGTACAAAAGAAAAGTCATTACTGACTCAGATATGCTTTCGCAAAGCTTCTTAATTGGAAATTTGTTTTATCCGTACAGAACATTATGGAACCTACATCTTGCGAGGAAAAATTAAATCTTTCGTCTCAAGAAAGTCAAACAAAGCCTCCAATGTCTCAAGAGACTTTTGAAATGCTTTTAAAATCCGTGAGAGATATTAAAGAAACAGGGTAAAAAGAGAGGACTATTGATAAAAGAGTAATCAATAACTTGAGCCTTTTCTTACAGGGATTTCATATATGAGAAGCAAGTGGACGTTGAGTACGCACACAATGGTGAATCCGATTCGGCGCTATTGGAGATTGAACGTTATCATATTCAACCTAGTGTTCAAGCGGAAATGATTTCAGATTATGTAAATTCTCACTTAGTATCAATAATCAAGAAAACTAAATTGTATTTCTTTTTTTAGAATATTATAACTCAGAAACCAACCAGTCCGGATTCCTACTGTGACCAGATGTCACCTAATCTACCCGAATCTACTCAAATTCATAGCTCTCCTATCATTCCGTCCAATGTATCGTATGCTGGTGAATACGATTTTAAAATAGGCTTTCAAAAGCAACAGAAAGATACCAAATCAATCACGTGGACATACTCAGAAACACTGCATAAGCTTTACGTTCGCATGGATTCAGCTTGTCCAGTTAAATTCAAAACATCTACAACCCCGCCGTTCAGTTGTTTTATCAGGGCCATACCAATATACACAAAGCCAGAACATATTAGAGAGGTCGTTAAGCGCTGTCCCAACCATTCGTCAAAGGAAGATAAGACGATGACAGCGCCTGAGCATTTAGTACGATGTGAACATAAAACGGCAGAGTATTTTACTGATGAATATACCTTAAGGCAAAGTGTAACTTTTCCTCAAGAGCAACCTCAACCAGGAGCAGAATGGGTCACAAATATATTTAGATTTATGTGTTTCTCATCTTGTGTTGGAGGTTTGAATAGGAGACCAATTGAACTAGTCTTTACTTTGGAAGATCGGCATGGAAATGTTCTGGGAAGGCAAGCAGTGGAAGTACGAATTTGTGCCTGTCCTGGACGGGACAGAAAGGCAGATGAAAAGCATCATGTACAAAATTTGAAAACTCGTATTGCATCACCAACAGAGGATGAGAAACCACAACAAGTAGCTATTAATACTGAGATAACTACCGTTTCCACTAAGCGACAAAAGCTAGATGATGATGAAGTCTTCAACGTTACCGTATCTATTCAACTTATTTTATACAAACTTATAAATAAAATTACTAATAAGTTTATATAACAGGTCAGAGGACGCGAGAATTACGAAATCATTACGCGAATTAGAGATTCTCTGGAGTTGGCATCTATGATACCACAACAACAAAAAGAAAATATGAAAAAACAAGTTCAGAAACCTGTTCCAGAAGTACCCAGAAAGTATGTATTCCGTTTTATTTCCCTTCATTTGAATGCACCTACTTGTTGTCTCAGTTCTCTCTCTAAATTTATTGAACACAATTTTTGCAGAACTGAGGCCACAAGTAGATCTCGAATGGCTAGAATGAAGAGCGATTACCTCTTTTACTAACCTATATGGAACTAACTTTATTTTTTTTTTTGTTATTTGTACTGTTTTAGACTGTAGTAATTTTTTTCTGAATACAATGACTTACAGACCGTCCATTCCACAAAAAATGATTTCAATTCCTACTAATTTGGGTCAGTTTGGCATTGGTGACTCGTTTCCTGCAGTTGAGCCGGAAAAAGGTTCAACTACATCAAGTTCTATAGCTATTGATAAGAATACTAGCGTCGAAGATTGGCTAAAGTCGATTGGAATGGCTGCTTATACGGATATGTTTCACGCGAAGGGGTTTGAAATAGTCACTCAATTGGAAAACTTCTCCAATAGAGTACGCATTTCCTTTTCATTTTTACTTGTCGATAATTGACTATGTTCATATTTCGCTTTTATTCTTATATTATAGAATTTAAAAGAACTGAAAATAGGGGAGGCCCATCAAGAGACTATTTGGTTAGAGTTAAATGAACTTCGTAAAAGACTTAGTCAGAAAACTACTCCAGTTCATAGAGAATTTAGCGATTCAGCCTCCTCCTTAACAGGAGGACATGGGCACAGCTTTACCGTGTCAAAGTATCGGTTCCAAAGAATTTTATCAGTGAAGGGTGACAATGATCATACTTACAGTAACAAAACTTAAGTAGTATAAAAACTGTAGCATGGTGACCTAAATATTGATTTGTTATGAATTGTACAGCATGTAAAAAAGAATGACTATTAATTTTTGATGTCTTTTGTTATATTGTTCCCAGAGATATTATATTGTTTGAAGAGTTATACGTCATTTATCACCTTAACATATAATATTCCTGTAAGCTAGATATTATAAAAAATTATTTTTCAACTGTATTTTATTAAAGTTGGTAATCCGTTATCAGAAGATAATGCATATAAGGCTCTAAAGGTTTGCCAATCATCCGGCTTTCCATTCTTTTGGACTTGGATATTTAATTGTCTAATTAAATTATCTAAATTATTTAATATAAAAAGACGTATTATAGTCACTTTATAATCACAAAGGATGCTAATATATTCATGAACTTCTCTTATATTTTTATAAGAGACGGCTCTGGGAATCTTGAAAAGTGTTCCAACGGCTTTTAAATTCTTTAGAGCTTTTTCATTTACGGTTGAATAAACTAAAAATAATACAAGTTGTTAATGAGTCTAAATATTAATTGACACTTACCATTTAAAGACTTTTTCTGAACAGTTATAAATTTGGTATAGGCTTCTGTTAAATTTTCAAACTCCTTGCAAATTGCCTGGTAGGCTTTACAAATACTCAATTTTTCATCTAAAGGTACCTGTTTCCAATTTCTTGCAGCACTAGCTTCTTCAAGTGTTGAGAAAAGATTTGTATATCGAGTAGTTGTTTGTTGAACATTTAATAAACGCTTTAATCGGTTATCACTATTATAAAACACAGTTTTTTCTAAATTTGTAATAAAAGAAGGCTGTGGATTATTTGCCAATTTTTTGCGAACGTCACGAATTTGTTTCTGAAATTTTCTGTTTAAGCGCGCCAATCTTTGTACGTTTTGCGGTAGTTTTAGATTGTTCCTGTCGATAAAATTGTTTGTTCTGTATTAAAAGAACATTAAACAATAGTTTTTCTCTATTTACCCTTCTTTCATAATGTTGAAACGTTTCGTATTCTCATTGATTTCTGTATTTTTTCCTTTTTCATTTTTTTTATTTGCTATATGAGGTTGACATGGAATAGTTTCTTCTTTCTGATTACTATCTATAGTTGGAGTTTCTGAAGTTACTGTTTCATCAACAGAGAGGCTTGATAAAGCTTGTTGAGTTTCCTTTACTAAACTTTGCTTAGTTTGTATTGTTGCGGATCTAGTTAACTTTTGCCTTGCTAGACTTGTTTTCGTGTTATGAGCCTTCAATACTTTTCGTTTTGTTTCTACATCAGTTTTGAATGGTGCTGTTTTATAGGTAGGAACTGGAGCAGTTTTTACTTGATTCCCTTTCTGAGAATTGCTAGAAAGGGTTCGAGTAGATAGTGGAGCTTTGGTCTTTTCTGAAACTGGTTTATGGGGTTTTAACTCAATAGCTTTTGTAGGCTTAACAGGTTTCTCAGGTTTTAGTAACTCTTTTGTTTGAAGTACCCTATCTAGTTTCTCTTTTCTCCTCTGTAGTTCGAGCAATCTTTCTTCTTCTGCAGTTTTATCTGCTAAAGTTTTAGCAGCTTTTGCAAGAATTTTATCAGCTTCACTCAAGGTCATTAACTCTCTCTCTATAGTTGCAATAACAAACTGGATGAATTTTATATCATAAAAAAAAAAGCTTTGTAATCTTACCAGATAACATTGGAGCTTTCTCATCTGATTCTGTATTCAGCTTCTCATTTTTTTTTGGAATATCCCAAGGATGTAGTAATTTAGAGAACTTGTTACAAATACCTATAGATTCTTGTTTCTTACTTGAGCATAGCTGAATATTCCTACTTATCACTTGAATTCTAAATAAGTAAAATAAAACATAATAATGGGGTAAATTAAGTCACAACAAATAATGGAATTTCACTCTCAGCTTACACGTATTCAAGGTCCGTATTTGTGTTTTTATCCATGAAAATTCACTTTTGGCCAGACGAACATCATTATAAAACTGGCCTTGACATTTATATAGCAGACAGGGATTTTAAAAAGTGCTGTTGTAGTTCAATTGTTAAGAGCGATAATAGGTCAATATTACTTTTTTGTTTATTTAGATTAATGTCCAATCGTTGTACTATATAAAAAACGAGAATACTTCAATAAATTTATTAATTTCAAAAGATATAGATCGATATTCTGTAAAATCCAATCTTTAATTGATATGGTTAAAGGTATGGTTAAAATTTGGTGGTTATGGTAAGATAACCATGGGTGTTTTTTTAAAAAACTAAAATATTATTTACTAATCTATTATTTCAAAAAAGAGATATAAATACGAAGAAAATTTATTTTGTATATCAATTACTTTTAAGCCGGCCATTTTGTCAGTTTCTACTGCTAACAAACTTTAAAAGGTATTTTTCATTGAAAACATTTTCTTTAAAACATGTGTGTGTAATTTTGATAACTTGGGATAGTGTCAATTTAAAATATAATTTATCCATAAACCAATGTTCACCAGCAAATAGAGGTTGTATGGTTTTAAAATATCGAATTGTGATAAGCTAACCACTGTAATTACAACCGTAATCAGTCAGATTGAAATTTAAAAAATGTTTTTTGATCAAATCAACTCTTGTATTTAAATTTGTTATTATTCTTAATTTGTAATTTATATCTTCAATTTTTTAGATTAAGAATATAGAAAATAAAAAATTTGGTCAGAAGATATTTGTATAAAGTCGACATAAACTCTTTTGATGGATAGCTTTGAGCCTATCTGTAGAGGAACTCCGGCTGCTTATGAGGATGTGGTGGAGGTAACTGTTAGTGAAAATAATGCACGAAAGGAAATTTTGGACTTTATAGATAAAGAAGAGATAGCAGCTGAGAGTAAAAAAGAAATTCCAGTTAAGCTATATAGAAAAATAATTCCCATGATGGTCGTTTACACAAATAATGGACAGCACAAATCATACAAAAAAGGTTAGTCTGTTAAAGGGAATTTTCTTGAAATTTTATTACAAAATATACAAGTTTTGTTTATTAGCCAGAGGTATTTGGTCCAAAACACCTGCAGATTGGCCGCCTGATGTACCTTTCGAAGATCCCAATAATCCGAAAGGTGGAGAAAAGCCTAGGAAATCAACGCTCCTTAAAATGTTTACTTATCTAAAGAATAAAGTTAAGGTATTGTTGGTTTAACATGCCATCGTGCTAAATAAAAATAATGTTATTGGTCAAAATTCTTAGGGAATAGAAATGAACCGATCGGAAAAACCTCTGAGCGAGCTGTATGAAACTGCATATACTGTTCAAATACAAGAGCAGGATGCTCATGATCAGTTTCCTTATACAGTTGTTAGCTGTGATAACTATTTAGTACAGAGCGATGATCTACAATGGGATATCCTAAAGAGAATAGGACTTAAGTTGGAAGAAATAAAGAGTAAGGTTCCTCTATTGCCCCATTCTAAGTATATTTCAAATTGATAATGTTTAAAGATTCGGACAAACGATTACCTGATGACCAGCATCAAATCCTGAGTAGATGCCACAAGCTTCTGTCTATATGTTTTGAATACAACAAAAAAGATGTTTTAAAAAAAGCCAGCGAAATGGAATTATGTTTAGATCATGTATATTATAACACTGGGGAAGATACTTTAAATATAAGCGTATGGAAAAACTTTGTAATAAATGCTGTAAACAAAGGACAGAATTCTGATAGTTCTGACGGAACTGAAAAAAATTTCCCCGAATCATCCACCTATTGTAAGTCTTGGTTATCATTGATTCAATTTGTTTGTAATAATAACTTTTAAAGCAGTTGACGATAGAGAAATGCCATCGCAATCCGAATCTCCGAGTCCAGATCCTAACTTGGCCTCTCCTTTAAGGAAGAGAAGAAAAAAATAATAAATCGAACTTACTTAGTGATTTCTTTTGACATTCACGCAAACTTTTTAGAAAAGTTCGCATTTTCAACGACACACAACTTAAATGTTTACTATCCTATGATAGATATAATATTTAGTTTTTTTTCAATCTTATGTTATAATTCGTTTATATTTTTTTTTGTTTCTATATTTTTAAAGTAAATTCTTTATAATATGCTTAAGTTTATTATTGTTACTCTTTGTCTTAAAAAATAGATTATAGATTATGCATAGTTATATAATCATTTGCATCTTTCAGTAGATTAAGTAAATTAAGATTGGACTGTAATTTGTTTTGGATACCATCATTATTAGTAAGAGAAATCCAACCGAAAGATTGATGTTCACTTGGACGAAGAACTATGGGTTCTAAAGGATTTTTCAGACGGGCCAGGAAGAAAGTTGCTTGTTTGAAACCTTTTCTTGTATTATATTGAGTTGCTTTTTTATAATTTTCAATAAAATTATATTTCTTTTCAGTTAGCCCAGTCTCTTCGAAGACTTCTCTAATTGCGGTCATTTTTTCATCTTCACTACCTTCCATTCTTCCTAAATATGAAAAAGAAATAAAGCTTATAATTCAAAATTCAATTTGTAATAGTTGTGCAATACTTTATGAGGTTTACCTTTAGGAGGAGTCCAATTTCTCGGATTCATGTGTTGTAATACCAAATACTCTCTCTTATTATCAATATCTCTATAGATAATCATTCCAGCAGAGAATATTTTTATTTCTCGTGATCTCTCCATGAAACTTGTCACTAAATTTAGTCAAGTTCAAGGACAATTGCTAAATGCAGTGATATAAATTTATAGGGGGAATGCTTCATTGAGCAATAATTCAAGAAACTGAATAGAGCTAAAAATTCTGTCTATTATTAATATTTGTACGAAGATAACTTATACTTTGTTTATTTATTATATTTATCCATATTTAAATAAAACTGGCAGTTTAACAAAAACGTAATTTCCTTTAAGCAGAGTAAATAAATAATATTTGTACGAGAAATATAATAATTACATGTCGTAATTCAAATTTTTCGATATTTGATGAATTACAATAGTCTGTCGAACAATAATAGAATTCTTTCCTTCCTAGATCTAAAGTAATAAGAATAATAAATAAAGACTTTTAATAGTAAAAAAGAAACTGTTAAAGAAAGATGAAATTTCTAACTTTTCTTCTCCTCCATAATTATAGCCTCTCCTCTTTCATCTAATTGAAAGTCTGGTCTATGCAATTGAAAAGCGCAATATCGAACTGTAAAACCTTCGTTATCAATTTCAACTAGTTCATTATCATTCGATAACTCTCTTTTATTTTGATAAAGATATAATGACTTTACGCAAATTTCTGCTTCGCAAATTTCATTAAAGTTAGCAGTTGAATTAATTGGACAATCTTTCAAATCGAGTACAGAAGAATTTTCCCATAGAGATTTGAATTCATTACCGCAAGCATAACATTTGATTGTTACACCTATACTTAGATATACAAAACTTATTTTATTTGTTGTTTAGGGTTATTTAGCATTTGAAAAAAGAATACTTACACAATGGATGATATAAGAGGGAAAGTAACAATATTATTCGACGAATCATAGTGTATATTCTTCTTATTTCAAAACTTTTTATTCTTATCAACACTTTCGATTTTTGAAAAAAAGTCTAATGTTATCGTAATTGTAAAAGTACAATAAATTATAATGAACTATTACGTATTCGAGTCTTTTAACTTTCTTATTTATAGCTTTAGTTAACTATGCCTTAGAGCTATACTTTCTAATGGGAGAAACACTTTACCATTTTCGAATTAACAAAATTCCGTTACTTTTTATGAAGCTTTATATCTTCAAAGAAAAAAATATGTATATACTGCATAAATCTACTTTTTAAGCCATTTTAGATAATGTCAAAGTTTTGCATTTGAATTTCTATTTAATATGTTATTACGCAAAATAAATGCAAGTAAGCTACTGTAAACAAAACACAGAGAAAACTGGTAAAGTAAACTTTTGCTAACTGGAAGTTGGCTTGTTTTGAAAGATAAATTCAGTGACTTTTAGAAAATATCTTATGAATATTTCTTAAGTGGGAAAGCAGTAGACTAGAAATAAAAAAAAACATAATGAGTTTAAGAAATGAAGTATTCAGACTGTATCGAAGGTGTATTAAACTGTCTAAAACCTGGGTATCGCTCCATGCTAACGAAACGACTAATGAAAGAAACTTCATTTTAGCTGAAACGAGAACGTTATTTAGAAAAAATAAAGATGTAACAACAAAATTTCTTAATATCGATCATTTCGCAAAATATTCGCTTAAGCCAGTTTTTTTTAGTTAACAAACTTTGAAGAGATTAGACAGCATGTACGAGAAGGGGAAAGTCGGATAGAAATGGGTAAGTATGTACATGCACTGGTGAGATAATAATGCTATGACATTTACAACCCAGCACTTCATTATCAGATACCCTATCCTCGTCCGGTAAGTATAATTCAAAAATAATGCGAAAGTAATGTCTGTATTGAGAAAGTGACAATTTAAACAGATACATCTGCCACAGTCTTCTCTTCCCCCGAGTAAAACGAAGCGATTTAAATCACAAAAGAGAATTGTTGAAGAAGCAACTCCCATTTATACAAAATCCTTATATAAAGAGAACAAAAATACTTAATGATTTCTAAATTTAAAGAAGGGAACTAGAAGGAAAGAAAGAAAAGATAAACAAATAAAAAGGGTATCTAATGTTCTTATATTCTTAACTCTTAATTTTTAGAATATAATATATTCTCTTTTTCATGAAAAGAAAAGTTCTTTTAATAATTGAAAAGGGAAACTGAAATATGTTAATAAGAAGGTAAATTAGCGTCTTTAGCTAAAATACCAAAAACAATCAATTAACAATTATAAAAGCATAAAAGTAGAGAATATTGCAAAATAATGTTAACTGTAATCAAAACTTGCTTGACACATATTACGTTTAATTAATTTTTTAAGTCAGGTTTCATGCAATAAAAAGTTATTCCCAATTTTTTTTGCTTTGTTTCTTTTTTTCCTTTATATGCAGTATTGAAAAGTTAAGCTGCCCATCTCCGTCAAAGAAGTGTCTTTAATAAAAAAAAGCTTCGTAGAAGAACAAATATAATATAAAGTTTGTAAAACAGAACAAAAAAATAGAAGAAATAATCGTAAAACAAAGAAAAAGAAGCATATAAAAAGAGATAAAATTATAGAAATTGGTAAAAAAAAAACAAAAAAAAAGAAAACAAAAAAGGTATGTATATATAAAAATATATAGATATACAATAAGACCCTGAATATCTTCTTGAAGTAGGTTTCTATTAGGAGGTAGTCAAAAAAATTTTGAAAAATCCCTGATAGATGAATAAAAGTTAGAAAGCTTGAATTCGATTATTTCCGAAATCAACAACGAAAATCGTTCCATCAGGTCCAATACACACACCGGATGGTCTATCAAATTGACCAGATTCATGGCCGAATGTTCCCCATCTTGCAATCAGATTGCCTGAGGTATTGAATACCTGTATCCTATGATTTCGAGAATCGGCAACTATAATATTCCCTTCGAAATCACAGGCGACTCCCTGAGGCCTTAGTAATTGACCTGCACCAGATCCTTCTTGACCATGGACGTGAGCAGCCGACATACTGTCTTTAATAATTAGCAAGCAGTGACTATTGAACTCTGTAACAACTAGATGTCCATTCGGTAGGAAGGAAACGCCGCGGGGCGAATCAAAGTGGCGCCAAGCACCAATAGTTGAGTCGGACCCATACTTTGTAAGAAATCTACCGTCCATAGAAAATAATTGAATTCTATGATTCCTTGTATCTGAAACGGCTATTACTGATTTATCATTTACAGCAACATCCCACGGGTAGTTGAATTGGCCGGGTTTTGAACCTTAAGCATTGATTGTTGTAAGTGTCAACAAAAGATATTAAAAGAATTCAACTCACCCTTCTCGCCCCATCCATTCAGCCAACGACCATTCTGATCGAAAACTTGAATTCTATGATTGTCTTTGTCGGCGACGATAATCTCATTTCGAGAATTACAAGCGACACCTGCGGGTCTGTCAAGTTGGCCGGGTCTTGATCCCAAACTTCCAAATGCCTTCATAAATTTCCCCCGCGAATCGAAAATTTGAATTCGATTGTTTGAGCGATCCGCAATAATTACGAAACCGTCCTTGTTAGTGCAAACTCCCCATGGTCTGGATAGTTGACCTTCGCCATCTCCCTCCTGACTAAATATATATTTGGCGCGTGATATGGAAGCATAATTTCGGCTTGACCGAATAGTAACAGTAAATGGCGAATTTTTTATACTTCTGCCTCTAAGTGTGACATATATTCGACAGATTCCTTCCACATTTGGTGTGTAGCTGACTACGTAATTTCCGTTTAGTCGGTCGACAATTTGGCTAGGAAGAACCTGAGATTCGGCTGCATTCTTAACGATTACGGTAAAAGGATCGCCTCCACCCATTCTACTTTGACCGTTATGATCGACAGCGTGTATGAAGAAGACAGCGACTTTAGCGACGACAGCACACCTGCAACCATCGCCCGAAGCATAGCATAGAGTAGCACAGGCAGAACTTGATACTCTACCAAGTTTTTGTTCTATATCAAACAGATGAACGTCTGGAGGTGAAAAGGTTATTACATCGTCTTCATACGGTTCAGTGGGATAGGTAACAATGTTGTAGTCGATATCGGCGCCTCTTTCCAATTGAGAGAGTTGATACTTCCGCTGTAGGCATATGGCTTTTAGGCTATCCAACTGCTTATAAAGTGTATCCACTTTACAATTACGGATATTATCAATTTGCCTCAGTAGCTCACGCTCCCGCTCTTCGATCAGGCCTATAAAATGACATGCTTTCCCATGAACGTCATTTGATACTGCCACGGCTCGTCTCTGGATGCAATCAGCCGTTTTCTGAACCTGAATAATAGCTTGTTCAAAGTTGTCTATTTCGTCTCGAAGTCTTCTATGTAATTTTGGGTCGCTTTTAAAGGGTGGCGGAGATAATGGTAGTATAGAATGATCTTTAGTCAACCGTACCCTTTGGTGGGCTGACAAGCAAGAAGAGCACAAATTCTCACAACATTCCTCGCAGCGGTAACTCGCCTCCGCTCCGTCTCCAGATGAACAAAACGAATTAGTTGTTTCGGTGAAAAAACTTTTAAACTCTTCTTCGATGGCGCTCAGGTTAAATGGTTCAAAGTCAGTGTCGAGTGGAGCGTTACATTTTGGACATTTCGCATCGTCCTTAAGGCAGTTCAAGCAGACTTTATGCTGACATTCTAAAATCCTTATACTTTCCCAACGTTGGCACAATGTACAGCTTAGCATAGCGTACGGCGAAGCCGTAGCCATTCCATTCAATCAATGCGTGTCTATACCTCCTCTTCGTTTACCAAAACACGAGTATTACGTAATAGTAGGAAAGCGTAGGTTCTCCGTAAATTTTTACCAATTATTTTGTATAAATACGTTGAATGAATATACCGAGTTATTAATATATATAAGAGACGTCCACTTCTTACTAACAAACACGACTATAGTGTCTTTAACGTCACAAAATACCCAAGTCGAATCGTTTACTTACGTCTATACGTTTCTGCGTACGTCAACCGCCATATTGACCTATTTTTCAGCCAATCAACAAACTCTACAACATCACGTGTTTAAGTATGAATGGCTACTAGAACTACTAGGCCCAAATCTCTTGCGTAATGGGCGCGGAGTCCATCCAAGTCAATTTGGCAAAACAATAATAAATAAAGAACAGCAGATTGATGATTCAGAGTGATAGGTTCAAGAACGATAAGATATTGATACATGTTTTGAAGATTGGATTCTCACTATCTCAAACAAAAATAAAGAGAGACGAGCAGGGGGTTTGGCGTATCTCTATCATAGACAAAAAGTGAAAGTTGGTTAGCATTAGATCACACACTTAAGAGACTTTGATATAGACTATAGGGTCAGAAATTATTCTAAAATAAGAGATAAATGAAAACACAATGAAAATTATTGATAAGTAAAAGATAATAAAATTCTACCCATTAAACCTATTTTATCGTTTAAATGATGCAATTGAACTCAATTAAATCTTTGAAACATTTTTTATCTTGATTCATCTGTTCAGTAACAGTTTTTTTTAAAAAACTTAAAAAATTAGATAACAATTTTTTGTCAATTTTTTTTTTATAAAAAACAAAATTGTCTTAGTTTACATTTTGTAGTTTAGTTTAAAAGCAGGTATACGAAATGATAAAGAATGTATAGATATTGTTGTATTTAGGCTATTCATAAAAATGAATAATATTTATGAGTAATCAATTGTATATAATAAGAGAATTTAACGACTAAATTGGCTATAGAAAAGCAGTAATCATCGTTCTAACTTTAGATTATAAGAAGCGTTGTTGTTTTTTTTTTCTTTCTTTTTTAAAATCTGATAACCACGTAACTTTTCTGTTTAGATAAGAGATAATAAGCTATCTTCACTTAAAGCTTAACAAACAAATGTAATAGCTATACTATATGTTGTATATCATACGAATTTTATTGAATTAAAATCATTTTCTAGTTTAGATCCTAGTGCATATTTTACTAACAAACTCGCACATCTGGGCTCCACGATTTGCAGCTGTTTCAAGAACCTCGACGTGATTTGCTTTTCGTTCAGTATCATAATCAAAGATTGCTTCGTTAGTAACCAATGATAGCCCAAAACACCGTAGACCACAATGTCTGGCAACCATTACTTCAGGTGCTGTACTCATTCCGACAACGTCTGCTCCGAGGTTCCTTATCAATTTGCATTCTGCAATTGTTTCGTAAAATGGTCCTAACTGCATGGCATAAACACCTTCGTGTAGAAATTTATCTACTCCTAACTCAGCTGCAACTTCCTTTGCTAATTTTCTTAAATCTTTGTCGTAGGCGTCCGATAGAGCTGTAAAGCGAGTACCAAATTCGTCATCATTTAAACCTACTAATGGTCCAATTCCAGCCAAGGCTGGCAAGCAAATATGATCTTTAATAATCATAACATCGCCCACTTTATAGTTTTCGTTTAGACCTCCGCAAGCATTGGTAACAATAAGTGTATCAATTCCTAAAAGTTTCATAACTCTCACAGGAAGTGTTACTTTGGCCATTGAATGTCCTTCGTAAGCATGAAATCTGCCCTGCATACAAACAACTTTTTTTGACCCGAGATTACCAAAAACCAAGCGTCCAGCGTGACCGATAACTTTGTTCAAAAATGAAAATAGGAATCATAATAATACAATACTAATAAATAGATTTCTTTCTTACCTGTGCTAATCGGGAAACCCGGAATATCCGCGTAGTCAATTACATACTTATTTTCGACTAATTCAGCTAGGCCTCCTAGTCCTGAACCGCAAATTATTCCAATCGTTGGCTCAATGCCAGTTTTAGTTCGTAAAAAGTCAGTAATTTTCTTGACTTTTTCATAAGTGAAGCTGTTTAAAGGCAAATTTGAATTTATTTGATATTTATTCAAATAATTTTCTTAATAACAATTCATTTAAAAAATAGTGTTATACATTTATTAATGAACATTTTTACTAGTTTTACGCTTTGAGTCAATAACCTCTTCCTATTTTGTATAGCAGAATCGCAAAAAAACGCTAAAATGAAGTATAAAACACGTTCAATATTCAACAATTTTTTCAAAATTCAACAGTTCATTTAATTAGACGTTACGTTAAAATATTACTTACTTAGTATTATCTGTCATTCTTCAGTTTATTCGATAAAATAGTCAGGTGAGGTCAACATTAAACGATAGAATGCTGAATGCAACCGCTGACTGCGATCAATACACTGTAGGTTATGCATAAGTCACGTGACCAGCATTTATTATGGTGATAAACTACGATTCTTTATTCACTATTTTATTGGGAAATTGTTCGTCTAAGTTTATAAGTGAAAATTTTAAAGCATTAAATTTAATAAAGTTGAGAAACAGCACAGACGTTAGAAACTTATAATTAGACCAATAAGATATATGCAGTTAATTTTTTTATAAAACAGATCACAAACAAAAATTGCATTGATAACGTTAAAATTTTTATCAACCGAAGTAGGCTTTAGATATCAAAAGTTACGTTGCGCAATACACAATTGCTTGGTAAAGGATTGTTCTTCTTGCATTTTAAAGTTATGTTGATGAAACTAATATTGTCTTTTAAAACATGAAAATGTTAATCATGTTTGTTGATTGAGATAAATTAGATTTTATGCGAAAAGATTTTTCATATCCGACATTGCTCTTTTTATGTTTCTCGCAAATCTTTCTGGATCCTTAAAACGGCAAAAAGTTTATATTTATTATTTAATAAATAATATTACTAATTGAAAAGTTTTACTTACAGTTTCATTGCAGGACTTTTTGCACGAAATGTGAAAGAATATTACATCCTCTCCAGCAATTATATACGATACTCCATAACCATCATCGGCTACTGGTCCGAAACCTCCACCTGCTGAAATAAATTCTGGATTTCTAACTAAATCCAATTTATCAGTTTGCTGATGAGGAGTCTGAAGGATATGAAATATTAAAAAGTATTTCGTGTTTATTAATTTTAAAAAGTGAAATTTTTACTTGGCTTGTTGACAGTCTCCAAGGTTCACTTAAAACTTCCTTCAAGAATGCACTTTCAATACCCAAATATTTGGAAACAACGTAAAGACAGAATAGATGTCTGTCTATTCCTTTACCGGACATGGCGTCTTTATAACCCATTTGATGTCTATCAGTCGCCTTTCTAAACAACTTTACTTTATCGTCTCTCTACATACAGAAAACATAGGAAAAGATAAAGCACAAATGACATATAGTGTTGCTTAATTTCTCTTACGGAAACATTGGAGTCCATCATTGCTTTAACAAATTCAGCAGATTCGATTGTACAAGAGCGAACAGTTTCAGTTCTACCTTCTCTAAAAAGTCTTGTCATGGAAGCTTCGTATGTTAAACAAAACTTTCCTGCATCCTAATAGAATTTCATAATAAATTTTCTTAATAGAAAAAGAACTTTGAATTAAAAATTTGAATAAATCTTACTCTATAATAGGCCAGTTGCAAGGCCATTTGAATAAACGCATCAGGACTCATTTTACAGGTTTTGATAAATCCTTTTCCGAATGCATCATGTTTTAATAGATTTAAATCAACATCCTCTATTAAAGCTTTTGCGATTGCCAGCTGCTGATCAACAACTTTACAACACTGTTTTAGCAAAAAAGAATCATTTATTTATTACGTAATTAATATTTTATAATATTATGTAACCTCATCATCAAGATCCCATTGCAAACGAATCGGATTTGGAGCATTGAATGGTAATTCTCCACGAGTATGGCCGTCAGCAGTATATCTATTTATATATATATATATGTTTATCATTTAATCAGGCTAATAAATTGATAAATATGAGGGGGGAGGGCAAGGTGAAAATGGATAACAATAAATTTGAATTTACTTTAAAGGAATATTAAAACAGGAAAAAGAAATAGAGAAGCAAGCTTAGAAAAATAAGTAATAGAATTATTCCTTTCTTTTAAAATAGGAATCGTTAATAAAGATGTTTATACCCGAGAGATGCTTCATCGGCTATAGTGGTTTCCCACAAATGCCCCATTATTGGAGCGTCGGCCCTGTGCAATCCGATGAAAGAGTAAATAAATAAATCAGTAAAAACAGATAAGAAAATCAAAAGACATATAAGAATGATTAAAAATCGTTTATATAGACTTCTTTTCCGCAAAGTTCTTCTTTCTTGTACATTTTTAATCGTGCTTAGTAGAGGCAGTGAAAATTAATAAAAAAAGATGTGCAGAGAAACACAGTTTTTTTTAACACTGCATTTAATATTATATAATCGTACCCGATCTTAACTGTATCTTCCATTAAAGTATGCTCCCACAAATGCGCCATTATTGGAGCATCAGCCCTTTTAGTTTACATTAGCATATTTATAAAAAAAATATATGTATATATACAGTATATATATATATATATATATACACAATAATTATATATAAAAATTATTTAAATATTAGATTAGTAATCATTTTTTTAATGACATACCAAGAATGTTCGGCGTTGAATCCCATCTAAATGAGAAAAAGAATCATTTACATTTTATAAGGATGTTTATTTTAAAAATAATCATCTTACTCTTCCATTTCTGCAGATTACCAACGTAAATGATTTGTCGAACCATCTATCGTAACCTTTGCCATGCAGCATAGACTTTCCAAAATTGTTTAATTTTGTAGGATCTTCTTCGTCGTAGTCATGTTCTTCATCGTCCAATACGACAACGAATGCAGATTTTTCAATAGCTTCTAAAGAAGTTTTGTTTACCCCTTTCGCAAAATGCTCTACTCTAGCTTTTGCCCATGGAATTCTATCACCTGCTGTCATTGCGGCTAATCTTTCTTCACCCTTTACTGGTTCACTTTCATCAAGAATGATTTTTTCGAGCATTTGTTCAATTTGTCTTGGTAGTAGGAGAACTCCCTTAAAGTAAATGTATACTTTAAAGTAACGACCTTTATGATAAACGACGATATGTTTTGAGCTTTTATAGTGCACAAGCTTATCACTTTCTTCGCCAGGAATTCTTGTAGTGTTGAACTGCCTCTCGTATTGTGCAGAACACAAAGGAATGGTTCCATTCAACATTATCGGTTTGATCAATTCTTTATCCATTTGTCGTCTAAACATAAGCATTGCATAGATAGCATTGGCTGCTCTTGCTATTTGAATGTTAGTGGGATGGATCATAATAGCATCAAGACCATAAAAATTAGAATTAACCATGATTGGTGATCTTCCTCTAAGATAAACATATTCTTCCCACCAATCAGATACGTAGTTTGAAGCCCACCAGGATTTAAGAATAAGGTAGCGCTGAAACCTTGGTCCATCTCCTCTCCTAAATTCTTCAACCAACCGTTCCATACGAGCGTATTGAGTATCATTCAGAAGCGGTCTAACAGAACGCAAATATCGTTTCATAGTATCATTAATTGAGGGAATAGGAAGACTCGGTAGCGATCCCTGATAACTGTATAATAGTGGTCTTCGGTTTACAAGAACTTTGACTCCTAACAGCCAAATTTTTGTTGCCACCGACATTTTTCCATGAGGTTCATACATCCAACCTTTGTAGCAGAACATTAATTTTAGAGTGTATCGAAGAGTTGCTATGCCAACTAGCCAAACACCCGTAGAAAAGGCAAGACATGCCACAATCTTTTTATTAGTTTCATGAGTTTTAATCAAGTTGAATCCGGGAAGTTGCGAAACATAGTCGACAACTTTACATATTTGTTTCAATCCTGCATAGTGCAGCCCCACAAACGCTCCACTCGTTACCAGCCACGAAGCCGGGGAGGCTGGGTAAACCCCATTATGAACGTGATTCTTAAGGTATATTATTGGTTATTATATGTTGTGTATTGTTTACATTTGTTATTGAAATTTATTGACAACATACCATGAATGTAGCCGTCTTTTTTTTCCAAGATCGTACACCGCTGATCCAAACGGCTCTGAGAGCTTCGTGATTTACGTTAACGTCAACACCCTCCGGTGTAACAGAGAACGAAAACGCTACTGCACTATGAGCTTCCGCCATATGTCTATTGAAATGCGGGTTCATTACGATTGTTGAAATAATTAATTGAAAACAATATTACTAAAGTACGAGTTTAAATCATGTACTTGTACAGTATATATATATATATATATATATATATATATATATATATATATATATATATATATAGTGGACTTTGTTCGATATTGAAAGTCGGCGACCGTCCTAGATAAGCAAATCTTACCTTTTTGAAAAGTTCTACGTCATTGATAGCTAGAAGAAAGTGAATTATAGACCTTAGGGACTTTTTAAGGCTACTAGTTGAATTTCCTAAAATGAAAAAACCAGCTGTTGCTAATTGCATTGTGCGTCGAACACACAGGTACACCACTCAATTAGAATACGGACCTAACAAAAACAACAGCTCTAAATAACCTGCATTAGACTATCCTACATGATATAGTACTACATAGGGGGATAGCTATCATAATGACGATGAGTGAAAATTGTATATTTTATAAAAGTAAAAAAAAAACAACCTCGAATAGCACTTCAGTGAACAACAAACAATTCTAACCTTGACCTTAGGGTTCTTAAGACCGCAGTTAAGAATATTTCTATTAAAATAAACAGAATTATTTATTAAAGTATTTTTCCAGAATATATTGAGATAAAACGAAATATAAAAAATAGCAGTGAAAATTTTATTAGAAAAAATTTCTATATCGTAGTGTCGATTAGTATTCAAGCGGAAGTTAGGAAAAAATAATTGTTCAAGCTTTTTGCAAGCTTTAAAATTAATTTGAAAGATTTTTTCTTTCAATTATGTACGATCTAATCATCTTTAAAGTTTTTTACCAAGATTTTCCACACTTTGAAACTGTTAATTATTCAGCAGATGGCGGCTAAAATTTTGCACTTGCTTCTGGTTATTGATCGAAAACGTGAAGAGCTGAGTGCAAAAAAGATCCGCTATCAACAAGGTCAGAACAAATCAGCAAAATAAATTTTCAAAAATATGAATATAATCACCCAGCAAGGTTACTATTTAGAATTTCCAACAAATAGTTTTAATTTCTATCTGATGAATGTGATTGTGATTGTTTTTCCTCTCAGATTATCTTGTTTGTGGAACGTGTCAATCGAGTTTCCAATTATCTGACATACTTCTATTTATGAATCATAAGAGGTTCGATTGTGACCAGAAGCAAGATACGGAAAAAATACTTCAATGTACAACCTGTTCTCAGATGTTTTATACCCCTTGGTCATTGCTGAAACACGCTCAGAATGTTCATGGTTTCGGAATCTACAGGGACCAAATAAATAATGTAGGAAAAAAGGGTTTAAGTGAAACAACAAAGAGAGATCATAAGGCTCTAACTGAAATGATTAAGAATGCTATAAATTCTACTTTACAAACTCTTGCTAAACCAACTGTAGATCCAACGCCAGTAGAAGAAAATAATCCACTAATGTTACTCGCAGAACAGGCTACGGATGAAAGTTCTAACAGGTGTCAAAGTAAAACTTGTGCTGAAATTTGTGCGTGTCCTCCGGGCTTTTGCGGTGCAAAAGGCAATGACTCTGACGAAAGTGAGAGAGGGCGTGAAGATGAGCCCTTAGTAATGTGTACACCAGAGGGTCAGAAATGCGGATCCGAAGAAGTAGACAACTGTGCAAGCAATAATTGTTGCTGTAACAGTACAGACAATTGTGATTGTGGTATTGGTCTTGTTTTAGAAAAATGTTGTAATTCTATAGTTCCTAAAAAGAGGAGAAGACACCTTCAGAAGCATTTAGAACATAAGCGTCAAGTTGACCATCAATTAACAAATATTCCTACATCAGGAGGCGATTCAGTAGATTCTTCCAACAACGGTGATTCCAATGTTACTACAGATGTTAACAGATCTCAAATAAGGAAACGAAGGTACCCTACCACTAAACCTTTCTCTTGTGAAATGTGTAAAGAGAGCTTTAACCAGAGAATCCACTTAAAAAAACATATGAGCAAACACACGGGCATTAAACCCTATAAATGCGGCCAATGTAATTATTCAACTGTCGAGAGAAGTCATTTAAAGGTTCACATTCGAGTACACACTGGTAAATATTTTGCCATCAGTTACTTTATTTCACTTTAATGAAATTCATTTAACTTTAGGAGAGAAACCGTTCAAATGTGATTATTGCGACTATAGAACGGCTCAAAATTCTACTTTAAAAATTCACTTAAAACGACACCATAATCAACAAAATAAGACAAAAAGTACTGAAAATTCAATCTCCGAAACTTCCAGTTCTATTGACACACCCTTTTCAATCGAAACTGACACAATGCACAATTTAATGTTGCTTTCTAATTCTCCTTTAACCCCAAATATATGATATGCTAGACAATTGGACCTATCTTTCAAATATCGCTTTAAAGAGTACGATTGAACCTAAAAATACAATATGCAATATATTTATAAATTTTAGTAAGATAAATACATTTTGAATGAAATTATGTCTTTCATTGAGAACCCCTAGTATTGTAATATTCAATATATAATAATCGTATAGGAGTAACACTATTTAATATTAATATTGCTACTTCAATTCTTTTTCAACAATGAAAACAAACTAATTATAAACAACAAAAAAAAGCAAAACATAAGTTTCAAAGTAAATTCCAGTATTTATTTATCCATATAGTCATAAGCCATCTGTTCAATCATTATTTTTAATTAACAACAAATGTTTCCAAACAAGAAGAACAATCATTATTGGCCTAGTTTAATGAAAATTTAATATTAATCAGATATTTATTAATAGTATGATATGACTATATTTAGTCAAAATTTTGATGTATTATCCTAATTTATAAATTAGAATACCCTAACCCCAGCCTTGAAAATCCTTATCGATAAATTTCAATTGTAATAGATATATCTACTACTTTTAATGATATTTTTCAATTATAGCTGACTTTGATGATATTATAATATCAGTTAAAATGATATCTGGCGAAATAGCCTTGCCCTAATTATAGGACCTGAGAAATTCATTAAAATTTCACTCTTATTATAGGCTCTCCTTTCCAATGCTGTAAAAATTATCTTAATGAAATTTATTTTGATAAAGAAATGTCTAAAAAGGCGAAATCTTAACAAAATTGGAGATTATAATTCTTTAGTACAAAGTAACTTTCATTTTTTTTCTATGAAAACTTTTACTTTATCTTTCTAAGTAAATGATCAAAACTGATATTTAAGGTTAAACTTTCGATTAACGGATGATATTTGTCAGATAATTCAATATTCAGCGATAGCATATAAAGTTTCTTCACTTTTCACTCTAAGAGTTATTAGATTAAACTTGAGAGGATTTCATTTTAATACCACTTTAGACGGTAGATGGCACAACACTACCCGCGCAAGAGTATTCCTGCCCCCTTCAATTATATATTGTAACTAAAATGGATAGAGATGTTTTAAAAATATTTTTATTATCTCAACAAAGACATGAAATATTTGAAAATTTCTCAAAAGTTAATAAAGATGGCGAAGAGAGTAGATCTTTATAAGTTTCTGGCAATTTCATTATCATTGTCTATAGAAATTTCTATAGACATTATGTAGTGTAGGAACATTCGTTTCATACGCAACACCTTCGAACTTTGAATGAAAATGAAAAGAAAAACTCTGTATATAGATATTATATGAAAGGCAATTAGGCACGCGAACACGCGTCTCAACGCAACGATTACGGACCGGTAAACGTATAATAAAAAACTTGTACATATAGAATTATTATATTTGAAAAAAGAACGGCTAATAGTGTATCGAATTGGCGCTTTAAAAGAACCGAATTGCGAGTTTGTATTGTTACGAATGGCGTTATTTAGTATATATTTCCGACTATCGGGTCGTTCGAACGTCCTATTAGATTAGTTCGCTTGAACGACTTCGGTTTTTCGGGTCAGATAAGGATCGGCAAACGGATATTCTTCGTGTTCCTCCTTTTTGTAGTCGCATTTATTCATTGAAAAATTCAAAGGTTTTTGAGACAGAATGAGTTATGTACAATTGAATATGTGTATCATGTATATATACATACTTATTAATATTACATGTATAATATACTGTATACAAGTAATCTATGTATATAGTATATATAAGCATTATATATATATATAAAACTATATATATATATTAGTATATAAAATTTATTTCCGTTCAATTAGCGATTTTTCGCCCCGAGCTCTCTACAGCGCCACCTGGCCAACGTTCCACTATCGGGTCATTCGAATCATGAGCGACGAATCGGACGCTCCCTGTGCTTCCTTCGTCAGATCTACGGATCGTTACCCAAGAACACCTAAATGTGCAAGATGTAGAAATCATGGAGTTGTTTCGGCTTTAAAGGGACATAAAAGATTCTGCCGTTGGCGGGATTGTATGTGCGCTAAATGTACTTTAATTGCCGAACGTCAAAGAGTTATGGCTGCCCAGGTAGCTCTTAGGAGGCAACAAGCCCAAGAGGAGAATGAAGCTAGAGAATTGGGTTTACTTTACGGTCCGAATGGTTTACTATCTTTAAATTCAGAAAGCCTCCCGGTCCTAGATGAAAGGGATGTTAAAGCAGCAAAGTTAGCTTTGAGCAGGTCGGACAAGCAAAAAGCCGAAAGTTCAAGTGGCGAGTCGACAGTTGGTAAGCCATATTTTACTTACTTGTTTATTTATTGAACGATCACTTATATCAAGTTACGACCCGAAATTCTATTCGGAACAATAGTGTAACGAATAGCGGTCCGCGCAAAACGCTTTGCCATCGCAAGCGCATGCGCGCAATACTTGCTTTCAATTTGTAAAAAAAAGAAAAAGAAAGTACTTTTTTCGCGCGAAAAACTTGAAGAGTAAAAAAAGGAATTGAATAAAGAACTTCGCCGGTGGCTGAATGTAATATTTAGAACTTATTCCTTGTCACCATCAGTTAAACAAGACAAGTCACGTGATCAAATGAAAAAAAAGACTACGGGCGGAAACAAGTGTAAGCTAAAATATTTACATTCGACGGTTCGGGGCCACATTAACACATGGTTGCCGCCATCTTTTTCGTCAGTCACGATCATATACAATGCCTTATTGACATTAGATATTGCGCGTTTGCTAAACTGTTGACAAATTTACCTTTTTTCAAACAAACGAAAAGCCTTAACTACGCTTATTTCACTCCGTTTTCGCACTTAGAAATCGTACGTGAATATTTGCGTGAAATTGAGATTTTGTTGACAATTCAGTGGGGTTGAAAAGCGGCGTCTGGTTGAATTTTTAATGAGAAAGAAAAACTCGAGACTTTGGGAAAAAGAAAGCCGTTTCCTTAAATGAAATTCCTATGTATATATTTATCATATTGAAAATCATTAGAAAGTCAACTTATTCATATTTTGTTTAATTTTATATTTTATCTATTGACAATACGTCTTTAAAAAAACATAATAAAAGATGAAAAGAGAAATAGATAGAGTGAAAGAAAAGTGAAAAGGAAGAAAGAGCGATGATATTGAGTTATTTTTTAATAAAATCTTCCGTTTGATAAATTCTTATGGCAAGGTGCTAAAAGTAAATGCGGAAAGTCTATATACTTTATTACAAATACATATATCTGTATGGTAACGTAATTAACCGCAAGTTAAGTAGACAGGTAAACAATACGTGAAAAGGTGAGCATACGGATATAAAGCTATTTTTTTTTGAAGTTATGAATAGCTGTTCATACATGCATGATTTAAAATATACATTTTACTTTATTTACTTCTGACAAAAACTGTCAACAAATCTCAGGTTCCGGCAAATAATTCCGACAAAAGAAAAGCGTGAAAATGGTATTTTTTAAATAAAACTGTTCAAATTCTTTCATGAGAGACATGTACTGTATATACATTTATCCTCTTTTAAAATTCTTCTTTTTTGACACCATTACAATATAATTATATATTTGTTATAAGCCATTTTCCCAGCTGGAAATCATTATTGACAAATCTTTTGCCAAGTGACTAAGACATATATAAATCTACTTTTTGATAGATTTCTATTTGACGCTTTTTTTTTCACTCAAAAAGATCAGACAGGATTATTGTCGGGAAATAATAAAAATCCATACCCGTTTGTAATTAATCAAAGACAAAAGAATAATTGTCGCGCTTTTTCCGCTCGGAGACGCCTCGAGACGCTCATGTTGGTGACGTCGATGATGTATGGCGACTGTAAGTGGCAAGCATTGCTTTGTAGGCAAATCACCGTTACAGATTTCTATAGATAAATGACGCGCCTTGCCGATGGCACCCCTTAATCGGAGCGTCTATTGCGAAGCGATGACGCGTATAGAGACGCCGCCGTTAATGACGGGGACTGCTGCAGGCGTCGTCTATGATACTTGAAAAATTTCATCTAGGAACGAGTTTTCAAACAAATATATTCATGAGGGAGGAGCCAAAATAAAAACGTCTTAGGGGCCACCTGGCAGATCTTGTTAATTGATTACATCAGAATTGTAGAAAGGCGTCCGAGTGAGTAAAATTGGGGCGTTACTCGAACACATGGCGCCAATTGTACAAACGTATATTTTACGCTTCATTTACTTGGAGATATATCAGTTTATTTATTTCATTATCGTCTGCCCGAGTTTTATAACTGTTTATTTTCGTGAGCTCCGCCCTAATTCGAAACAGTCTTTTCTATTTACATCATTTCTTAATCAACTGTTTCGTTTACATGGTCTCGGATATACACACTAGTATTTTCTAGAAACTTAATCCCGGAATTTATATCATTATATTTGATCTAGCATCCACCTGCCTTTTTATATCATTCTATACGGTATTAAAATTGTTTAAAACCAAATTAGAAACGAAGAAAGTAAAACGAAGTGACGATGGCGCGACGACGCCGACAATGGTATCTACGACCCCTCCGCCGCCACAATCTCCGGCTATGGGCGATCAAGACGATGATATAGATGTTACAACGGACGACGCCTCGGAAGAGGATGAGACACCGGAAGGAAAATCTTTGGATATGCTTAGACGTCTCTTTCCGCTAAAAAGCACTGGTGAATTAAGTAGAGCACTTCGTCAACATCAAAACGACGCTTTAAAGTGCATAGAAATGCTACTTAAAGCGTCTCCTCAAAACGGTCAAATTGGTGGACAAGAAACTCCGCAAGTCACGCTACCAATTTTCTCTCAATCTCCATTTTTACCACCGGGTTTAGCGGCTTTCAAACCAACATCAACGACTCCCAGATTTTCTCCTCTGGTACCGCCAAGACCTTTCCCACTTCCGTACAGCCCCCTATTACCAAGTTTTATGAATGGTTATGCTAACATCTTTCCTAAAGCTGGCTACAATCCATTTAACCCAGCAGATAATGCTAAATAAAGAGTTTTAATTAACTGTATCATGTAATAATAGTCCTATATGTCTATAATTGCTAGTCTTTTTTTGTACGTATTTTGTCTCAATTTCTCCATTCCCTCTCTTTTTTCTCCAGCTTATAACCTATTATATTTTTTTTACCTAGTTGTTGAATAAAAACCTATTGTATTCCATTAAACAATGATAGACGGTCTTATAAAAAAAACAGCGCCATCTGCAACTTTGACTATTCAATGTATTTCGAATTTGAAATGGCTAATTAGGCAAATGCTAGCATTGTTGAAAATTAGCGCCGTTTAAGATCCTCACGATCGCGCCACCTAGTGCGAAGTTCGTGCGTGAGCAGAGGTCAGAAACGCATCTGCTTTCGGAATTCTTTCGATTCTCAGCCTTTTACGAATATGTAAATTAGCCGTAGTTTTTAAAGTTTGATGCGATTCGGAATTTCAATTTCCTTTCAGTTTCATTTACTTTGTTTATTTTTAACTTATTCTAATTTTTCACTCTTATATTTGATTTGAATTATTTGCTAAGAATTCATTCAAAGATTTCAAATATTGTTCAAAAGTACCCCATATGGATCTGTTATTGGATAAACTATATTTTTCCATGTCAAAGCAACAATTTTGGCGTCTATCCTTCTTGTCAAAAAATAGAAGATTCACTTGTATACGTATAATTATATATTTGCAGGACTATACAAATTAAAAAAATTCGACGCCCTTGGGCAGGTGGCGATTTTAACGCTCATCGTTCTGACATTAAATACAGTTATGTATGTTTACGCGCGTCATGCGATCGTATCGAATAACCTGAGCGTTCGACAGATGGAGCCGGAGGCAAACTCTACAGAACGTTTTCACTCGGACGTCAAAAGGAATTTTTTCGCTCGTTTGAAATTGAACAAAAAAATCGATTCGACTATCGAATTTTTAATAATTTTTAGGCTGTGAACATTTTTATGCCTTTTCCAACGAATTATTCACGTTTCGTCAATATTGATTTTATTGAAACACTTTAATCGAAAGAGATTTAAATGTTTGTTTTTTCAACTTAAAGACGTTCGTATTTTTTTACTGTATTGTGTATATTGTATTGGTTTTCTATTTCTATTTTATATTCTCTATAGCAATTAATCTTTCGTATATAAAATACATATCGGCGAATCTTACAGAACAAACAACTACGTCAAACTTTTATTTATTACTTATTATTGTAAAAATACAAAATTAATTCTAAAAATATTGCTTACGTTATATTCTCATATTCTCTATTTTTAAAAAATATTACCTTTTTACTCAACTTAGAACGAAAGGAAGAAAGACAACTTTTATATATATATATATAAAAGATATGTTAACTTTTTCCTTATCAGTAAGATTATAGTTGTTCACTAAATTTTGAATGAGACGGCTTCCTTTTTTCTGTTTATTTATTGAAAAGTGATAGACGTATTTGTAAATTATATACAAACGATCGCTAGATCTCGTTTTACAGATTAAGAGTCCCGCTCTTTCTTAATTTTCAAAGGAACCGAAAGTTACCGACCATCGTATTAATTTCAATCTCAATTTACAGATGGCGCTAGTTGTCGATCTTTTGCATACAATTTCTATTTTGGCGCCAAACCGAAGTATTCAAAATATCGAATTTCCCATAAACTAGTAATACTATTGTATCATATATAAAAGTTAATATTATGTTAAAGAGTATAAAATTTCGATAGACTTTTCTACAATTGTATTGTAAATTATACAATATTTTTACTATAATACAACAAAATCAAACGTTGGCTAATGTTACACGATCTATATTATTCTTTAATATTGATCTTTTCTTTTTACGATAAACAGGGAAATAGATCTGAAAATAATGATTCTACGTCGCTTATAAAGTCATCGCTCAAGAAACCAGATTCGTCGGATGAACTTGCCTCAGTTTCGTCAGGCTCTGGTGAAAATTTCAAGGGATATGATTCGTTCTTGTTATCTTCTAGCAATTGTAAGCTGAGTTCTTGCAATTCTTTTAAATCATCATCTAATGCTATTATTTCTTCTTCTTCTTCCTCCGATCTTTCATCTTTATTAGTAGCAATAAAAGATTCATCTTCGGATCTGCTATATTGGTGATCCATTTGTATGGCTTTACTTGAGTGCTTTTCGAAATTTGGGTTTTCTTCATTAGTTTCTGAGAAATTTGTGATTTCATCGACGAGTTGTTGCAATAAATCAGGCTGAGAGTTGTAATTGTCGCCAGGACATGAGTAACTAGCTGGAGAAGAAGAAGAGGTTTCAAATCCTTCTGCAGAGGAGTTTTGAGTACTGCTGACTCTGTAACCTCATCTTTGCATCTCCTGGTAGTTTCATCATTTAGGCAACAACGCAACTGGTCAGTCTCTTTATTTGCTCTTTTAACTTCGTCTCTCAACTCTTGATTTTCTCGTCTTAGAAGCTGATTCTGTTTCTCCAAATTTTCAATCATCAATTCAAGCTCAGACATTTTTTGCTTTTTCCTATCTCTGGCAACCTGAGCTGCCACCCGATTCTTTAGTTTTCTCCTTAATAATCTTTCTTCAGCAGTTAAAACCGTTAATCGACGACGTTTTCTACATGTTGTTCCAGAGTTATGTTCGTCGCAGTCAAGAAAATCATCTTGCTGTGCAAGAGCCTCAGCCGCTGCCTCATAACCACCACCATTATCAATGAAGGGTCGTTTAAGATTAATTGAAGGTTCAATAATAACCGTTCTAGGTATAATCGTTGCCATAATTTACTATTATATATATCTAATTAAAAAAAAGTACTGTTATATTGGCAATAGCCGTCGTAATTTTGGTAAGTTTCAACGAAAACACATTGTTTATCTATCCTTTGAATGACTCACACTAGAACGTGTGTAAAGCTGATTGGTCTGCCACTGTCATCACCACAATTGCGCATGCGCGAAAAAACTGATGCAATATATGAGAGAGATGTGATCATAGTAATATTTCTTGAATTACAAATATGATCATTTTACCTTCCGTTGGCTATTGTTTTCTTTTCAAATAAATGAGAGTGATTTTATTACTGTAGTCGCCATCTATATTCTATTTATATATAGGGCTCTTCCAATTGATTAGTGTCTAATTTAGAGCAGAAAAAAATTAAGTGTATTTTTTAGCCTTCTAGTCTTAAATTTAGACGATAGAGCATTAATAACGTCTAATAGTAAACAATTAGGTGCTAAATACAATACTTTTATCAATAAAAGCGTTGTTTTGCATGTTCTTAAGAGGTGTGGCAAGTGTATTTCAAGAGGCAATCTAAAACTAAGGAATATATAGCTAATAATTTCATTGTTCTCTTCCTTTCCTCATTTAACAATTTCCTTTTAATTCGTCTATATATCTATATTTTAATTAATCTCTTCTTCTAATCTATTCTTCTTTTCAAAGATGTAATTAATATAAACACCTGTTGTATTTTGTATATTACTTATAGAATTAAACAAAAAACTACTTTAAGCCTATATACTAAAAAAGACAAGAAACGTATGGTTTATAAAATTCATCTCTGACTTTCCAAACATAATTTTCAAGCCTTCTTTATCAAAACTATCTGGTTTTTTTTTATGTTTTTGGATCTGCTTTATAAAACTAAAATTTGGCTAAAAATAGAAAGTTATTTAAAGATATCTACGTTATTTATTTAAAAAAGTCTATAGAGGAAGGAATGTTGTAAAAAATAATCTGGTAATAAACTAAGACAAAAGAATCTTCTAGTCTAGCGAATGTAAGATATCTCTGTCATATTTAAATTGATTATTATTGTAGTTTTGATTGTTTGTTGATTGCTTCCATTATTTTATTTGAATGAAAATATTTTTAGAGAAAGAGAGAGAGAGAGAGAAAGAAAGGAAAAAAGGCGAAAGAAGGAAAGAAAGAGTCAATGAGAAAGGAAGGATTGTATTATAACTATATAACGTTGTATTTCTTCATTTCATTCTCTTGGGAGTGGTCGTTATAGACGCCATCTATCGTGTATATACAAGTGTCTATAGTATAAGGTAGTAATCGCTAAAGTCTAGAAATATCATAAGAAACATTCTAAACTACTTCAAGATTAATACCTAAAAAGTTATATATAAATTAATAGAGTATTATTAAAGTATGAGCGCTATCGTTCATCTTCCTTGTATTATTTAGAACCTGAATGTCTTATTGTATTTATAGACAGACATGTGATGGCTCTCTTTTAAGTATTTTCTCTTAGAGATAGGGTGCAATACCCCGTCAAAAATCCACTATGAAAGAGAACGACTTAAAAAGAAGCTTGCTTACTTTGGGAATTCCCGTGTAGGGTAATGCCATTATAGAATTTAGCAATAGAAAGCTAGGCACGGAAACAAGGGTTATAGAGGAAAATTTTGCAGTACTTTTTGATCTTACGAAAAGAAACTTTAATAAATATGAAGATATGAATTAACATCTGGAAAAGTGCAGATAGAATAATGGGAAGGGTATTTTTTGTATCTACGATGTAGTTAATCACACTGTATGCAGCTCAAAACACGTAACAGATGCACAGCTATGCGAAATCGTGCGGATACTGCTCTTCCTTAACTGGATCTAGTGGCGATGGGGAATTGTCTTTATAAAACACATCATCATCTTTTTCTGTCATCTGAATAGCACACGTTTCGACATCGTCACTCGTTGAATATTCCTGCGAGTGTAACCCATTATAATGACATTCCAAAGCGACTGTAAAAGGGGGTTGAATTCTTATTTGTACTTTCCGGGGGGTTTTCTCCATAGCAGTGAGATCGCTTCTGTCTTCCTTTAATGAAAATGTCCTTTGAGACGACTGTTGTTCTGTTTGGAATTCAATTCTCTTCTTTTCCATTAGTAAGCGAGTTTTAATCTTTTCTTCCTTTCTTTCCAATCTCTTAACCTTATCCATATCTGACAAGTACTTACGAAAAGACTTATCTTGTTTTCCCTTATTTATAACAGATCCTATCATAAGAACTATTCCGAATCCGTAAATTACAACTACAACGCAAACGTAGTACAGAGCACCGATACTGTCTTCATTTCTTTTGTAAGCGTTAAAACTTGAATTCGCGTTGGTTTGCACGGATGCTATAAGCGTCTCGTTGCCAATATCCTGAATTTTTAGCCTAAAATCCATTTTCTTACCAACTTTCTTCAACCCGGCCTATTTATTGTACGAGCATGCAAAGAGAAAAAAAAATCACTTACATTTATGCGCACTCAAACGCGAAAGTAGTACCTGAATCAATACTCTCTTCATACTGCCATTCCATCTCACCATTCCACAGTTAGAAGGAATACAATATATTTTTATCTCGCTTACAAACTGCAGAGAATATCTGCAAATTATATAATAATGAACTGCTAGGAGGCGTACGAATAGACTTGAAATTACTCTATAATAAACAGAAAAAACATAAGCCAAACAGTCAATTATCATAACATACCTGTATACGCGTGCGTAAGCAACAGTCTGTCTATTGGCCTATAGTTAAATATCACTTTCGTTTCATAGGTTTCTAAATTCTTTCCGTTTTCTACTAAAGGACAACAGTCACCAAAGCCTTTATTAATTAATTAAGAGTTTACTAGTTTAATATAGAATTCGCCCCCTTCCCTCCGTCCCCGCCCTTTTTTTAAAAATAGAAATGTATATGATATTACCTAAAGGATTAAAAAGTTTATACTGTTTGTAAGTATATATGATTAATGGGGGTTATTCTTTTAACAGGTCCCGTATCTGAAATAGTTTTGTTTAAGGTAAATTTTCCACCAGATTTACGATGTTTTCGCTTCGATTAAACACTTAAAAGAGCATTAAGAGGTGGAGTTTTAGTTATTTTTGAACAGGTACACACTTAATAAACTACGCCTAATTAAAACATTATTTAATAAAAAACATCAACAGACAAACTGTATTATTATCGTACAAACAATATCATATTATACAGTATATACTGTATATATATAAATATCTTTGAAAGCTGTATTTTTATAAGTATGAAGTAGAGGGCAGGTTTTTCTAGAATGAAGAACGAAGGAGACACCTATCGTTTACGAAGCGTGGATGCTATTAGATATTCCAGTTTCGTCGCGACCCCTATTAAGTTGTTCAATCGTAACGAAATAATTTCTGTCGCCATAATTAATGCTTAGAGTATTGTAATTTTGGTAGCTTACTTTTTACCCGTGCGTGAATTCCACTAAAAAGCGTTTCTTTTCGGATCATTGAACTAATCATACAAGATTACTATTTTATTCTTTATTCCTGTATTTTCTATTCTATTTTCCTTTTTTTCTTATTTATTAATATTCTTATATTAATGGATAGAATATAAGATAGTCGTTTACTAGATATGACAAACTCTGTAAATAGATAAAAAGAAAACAGGTAGATAAATTAAATCAATGACATAGTCCACAAAAATAATACAAACTCAAAAAGCCGATTATCTATTTGCTACTTCATCACAAAACGGAAGCGCTCTGGAGGCGTAGTTAACGATGGGATTCCAAAAAGGCATCGTGTAGCATAACGTCTTTAACCTCTAGTTACCCATTTTACTACAACTCTTTTTTCTCCTTAGGGGTGGAGTCCTACCCATAGCTCTTTTACAGCCAATACGTTTAAACGGCAATCGTTTCGAAATCGGGAAATGATTGTAGAAAGAAACGGTCGAACCGAAATCAATAAGCATCATAAGCCTAAAAGCGACATTGTTAACTGAAAATTGTCAGCTAGCAGTGAATAGAAATAACAGCGTTGAATAGTTTCAGTCATTATGAAAAAAAAAGGGTGGAGTAGGAATTATACCTTATAGATTTAGGCCTAGTCGACACTTAAATTAGAAAAAGAGAAAGCTGAAATTTAGGGAGGGGGAGGGGGAGGGGGACGCTCTTGAAACAATCGTATTAAGACGCTTAATAATGTCTACAAGATTGTTTGACGAAACTGAATCTATAACCCGATTGGCACGCGACAGCACATTTTGACAGATGATATTTAACAAGTAATTATGAAGCTAATTAATTCCAATGAATATTAATAGTAAAAAAAGTCGTCGATTCGTACAAGACGCGTCAATTAAGTATGACTACCCATTAATTAATCGTTAATTGCTGGAAACATGCGATCCTGTGACATACATATATACATGGATTACGCAATATCAATCCTTTATAATACAACTTTCGTACAGAATGGAACACGCACTATGAAGAGATTACAAGTAAAGTTCCGCTAAGACAGATGGCGCTGACAACCCTACCGAATTTTATAGTCTCATAAATCGATGTAATCGTGTTATAAAGCCAGTGATTTTATCGAACGATTTCGATGCGAATAATAAACGCCTTGATAAACGTCAAGAAAGTTTTACGCGTTCAAATATTGATGAATGCAAACTAAGGCGGCGTTAATTGCAGTCGGCACGCGAATGCTGCGACAAACCGCCTTACGTAATCGAGCGTCGATGTGTGAATTGGGAGAAAATTTAGGAAGACGCCATTTTTCTATCCCTATAGCGCAGTCTTCCGTCGAACCGGCAACTAGTGATTAGAAGGGAAATTTTTCGGCGTCGAGCTCTATAAATATTCCCGAGCGTCTCTTTCGAGGGTCGTTGAGGAGACTATGCGTGTAAATGACTTTATCGGTATATAATTTATCGATTTCGGTCAAAGTTGTGAATGCACATGTATTTATAGATGAGGGGATGGAAGGGAAAAGGAGAAATTGCTAAAGCGTTCGCCGATAATCGAATGAAGACGAAGCGATAAAGCGAGCAAATATTGCTGGATATGTTTGCGGAAGAAAAACTCATTTCCGAGCTCAGTCAAATGTTTGAATCGCACCAGTCTGCTTAAAAAAGTAAAAATCACAATATAATCCTATAGGCCTATAATTGTGTTATTTTTGGAAAAGCGCAAAAAAGAAACGCTATAAGAGCAATTAACAGTTGGATTTTATTTATATAAAGTGATATATATTTGTTATTCAAAGTAGCCCTTAGACACGTATCAATCTGTATCTATATATATAGTAAAACGGTTGTTATAAAAATATTTCTCTCATCTAATCTGCCTTTATCCTAATATATATCTACTCGCATATCTATTTAGTGAGCGCTTAGTAAGCGTCTATTTACAGAAGAAAACTCATTTCCGAACGGCGTCAAACTTTGTCAAACTTTGCCACCAAACAGCTGAATGGAAAACGTCATTCAAGCGCGACGTTTTGAATCGGATCGATTTTTTTCCAGATTGGCAAATCGTGTTACCATTCTTCGACGAGTGCCTCACGCCCCACGCCAACCGGAAACGGAATTGGGCCGACCTGTTGTGGCGGCACGTGGCCGTCGCAATTATACCGGAAACGCTCGACTTTTTTTCTCCGATGCCGAACGTTCGATTTGCGTGCGGCGTTTCGCCTCCAATTCACGTCAATTGCAGTGCACTATGAATTTTTGTGGGGCGTCTATTTTCGAATACGTCTGTTGGCAAATTTTCTCCCATTAAACGAAACGATTTGTTGAATTCCTCAGAGACGGTTGGGCGTCTTAAAAGGCTATCGAATAGTCCTATATTTACGAGAGAGTATTATTATTTTCTCTCCTCTTTTCATTATAAGACGCGTTTAAAGGAAGGAGATGGATGACGTGGAAAAAGTTGCGACTTTTTGCCTTCTACCGTTTCTCCTTACCTTCCCTTCTTCATTCCCTCCTCCCGCGCTGACTTGCGCACACTCTTTTCTCAGCCGTCTCTCTTTCCGTTATTTCCTTTGAACAGGATGGCGGCGTACAGCGCTATTTCCCTTATGTAGAAAGAAAAACTTTGCGTTCTTTTACTTTTACGAACGCTCCATTTACATTTGAACATTCTCCTTTCTTGTTCTTTTCGCGTGCTGGATCGGCTTATCCCACTAAAGTGTAGAATATATTTTGCTCGACTGCACCATAGACATCAAAAGGACTGTAACGGAAGCAAACTGCAGCCGCAGGCAGCGTTTTATAGCCTTTGAAAATCATTCAATTTGAGAAGGCGGATAAATAGGACTGATTGAATTGCTAAATTCCCGAAGACCGTCGGCGGAGACGCTCATCCCAAGTGACGGCCGACGGCTGTCCATCTAGATCGAGACATCTATATATAGATTGTACATACTGTACAAGGAAGAAGATGAAAAATGCCCGGCTCTATAGCAAATTAGTCTAATTAAGCGTCTACTAAGCATCTACTAAGCGTCTAAAAAGCGTCACTTATTCTCGCAATTATGGACTAATTGGCGTAAAGTATTTCTACGCGGCAAACCCAGTCCGGGATCCGAAAATGGAAGGAGGAAATTCGCTAGAAATTGCTGGCGTCTCTTTTTTACAGTAAAACGCGCGCAGAACTATTCCAGCCAATCAGCGCTCGTCGCACGCCGAACGTTCAACAGTCATAAAGTGACGCCGATCATGCCGCGGTCGTTCCTGATTCGCAAAATTTCTGTAGGTGAAAATTTCTCCAGAAAAAATGATTGGACTATACCTCCACTTATGCCATTGGTCAGATGCTTCCCTTTTCTAGGTTGGTATTCAAAAAGAGAGCGAGTCGTTTCTTATAAAATCATCGTTGCTAGCAGATTACAGCAATTCCCTGGTGCCGCCGCCATCGGAACAAAAGACACAAACCGCATCGACAACCGTCGCTTATACTTATGACGCCTTTTTCGTTTCGGATGGAAGGTCAAGACGAAACAAAAAAAATTCAGAAAAAGTTCCAAGCACAAAGTATGCCTGCGATGAGTGCGGAAAGACGTACGCCACTTCTTCAAATCTCTCCCGTCATAAACAGACTCACCGAGCGTTGGATTCAACATCAGCTAAGAAGTGCCCTCATTGCTCCAAGGCCTATGTTTCTATGCCAGCACTGGCAATGCATGTATTAACGCACGAACTCCGACACGAATGCAGAATGTGCGGGAAGAGGTTTTCCAGACCTTGGCTCCTACAAGGTCATATGCGATCTCATACTGGAGAGCGTCCTTTTGGATGCGCTCATTGCGGAAAGGCTTTCGCTGACAGGTTCGTACCATTTACTTTCATCTCCAGATGCTATTTATTGAATATCACTATAAGAAAAATATTCTTTAATTATTTATTAGAATAAATATAGGCTCAGATATAGATGTATATAATATATGTTCAGTAAACTCACAACATTTATATTAATACAAGATATGTATATATAATATGTATAAATATACACAAATATTCTATTTATAAGGATATTACGTAATTAGTTTTCATTTCCACTTAAAGCTAAGATTTTTTATTGTCTCAACTATAGAAAATTTGCTCCGTTACAATAGCTTAATGAAATATGCATGAAATCAAAGAAAAATTGAAAACTATGTGTCTATTTACTTTACTCTAACTCCAACAGGTCTAACCTTCGCGCTCATATGCACACTCATTCTTCGTCAAAACAATACAAGTGTCATCGTTGCCAGCGTTCCTTCGCCCTCAAATCCTACCTTTCTAAGCATCTTGAAGCTCAGTGTTGCAACGATTGAAACAGGTGGTTTGGTTCGCAACGCACGCAAAATCGAATGCAAACAAATAATCTTGACAAACAAAGTCACATATTTGCACTGTTGCTTTATTGACAAACGACGTCTTAACTGAACGACGACGCGTCCCGCTCATCGAATTTGTCCGTTTCTTGCACATTTTTTCTCCTTATATAGACGAATAAAAAAATACACGTTCGAATTATAGAATTTAGATTGATTTTTACTTCGTTCATTCCCTTTCATTTTTTTTCTTTCCTGCTTCATACTTATATTCGTTTTCTCTCCCCTCCTCCCCCCTCATTCTCTCGTTCCCCTTTAATTTTCTTTCTGAATTTTAATCACTTAATTAAGACGATATCGTCCAAAAGATGGCGCCATCTTTGGAAAGTAAAAAGTTTTAATAGACTTTACAGTCGAATAACTTCTCACCGCCACTTTAGTGGTAGGGGTCTATTTAATCTGTGATTTTCGTCATAGTTTTAGTGGAGTAGGGATTAAACTGCTCAAGAAAGTTAAGAAGCGGATTTTTTTCGAATTGCCATATCGCGTGCACACGAAACATAGAAATGATTATCGAACGCTTGAATGACTCCAGTCAAGAGAGACACTTCCTGACTTTTTATCGATGAGATTTGGAGCAGAACAATTACATTGCAAGATGAATATTAAATTGATTTCTACTGCTTAATCAACAGGGAGTGGTTAAAATACATACAACAACAATTTGCCCTATACGTTTAAATAGTAGGGAGAATGAGCCTGAAATGGGAACGGTATTGATTTGCCATTCCACTTAAAACACATTAGCCCTATTAGGGAATTTGAAAAAAAATTCTCAAATAAAAGAATAGAATCATTTAATAACAAACGATTAACCATTGTTTATTCCAAAAATAATGGACATTTTAAAAAGAGATATCAGTCATTTTTTGTATTAATTACACGCCGCCGATCCTGAAAAAGTCCACCAACTTGTATCTGAAAAAAAAAAGCAGGAAAAATAACATCGGCATTACAATAACAAAAAGAAAGAAAGAAAGAAAGAAAAAAAGAGAGCATTAATTACCGTTTAATAGAATATTCAACTTAAAACAACAATTGAACGAAAATAAGTCACTTAACCGTAACAGATTAAGTTTTATTCAATAAATTTTTTTATAAATTATAGAAATAAAATAAACGTTTCCAATAAAAGTTTGTTTATATCCTACTTGTTTTATTATTAAATTTTCTTTAGTTAACTATGCTTTTTGTTCGTTTGATGTTTTTATCGAAAAAATTAATTGTTGAAAAAAAAGAAATAGGTAAAAAAAAAAGAAAAAAAAAGCTGATTAAAAGTACTTGCACTTTAAATATTGAATAGAAAAGATTGAAATAAAGAGGTCAAATTGAAAAACACTCACAGGACTTGTAAAAGCCGCATTAATGCTAGTCGCATTACTTTCTCTGGCATAATATTTCCTTTCAATCACCTTGTCAAAAAATCTACTTAATGTTACAGCGTTACTTGTACCAGGTGCTAAATGTTTTACTTGAGTACAATCCTGTTGATTATTATTAATTATTTTTAAACATTATTAATGTTTCTTCTTGTTGGAGAAAGAAAATCTATTCTATTGAACTTACAAGAGTAATTTCATCTGCTCCGCATTCTTCACAAATACCTGATCGCCTACGGGATTTTTGGACACTTTCAGCCATATCAACTTTTGTACCAATAAGAAGAATAGGAACTTGAGTACCAGCGAATATTTCCGGGTCATAATCGTGTCTATGCAATGAAGCAGATTTTAGAGTGGGAAAGGGTGATTGCCCGATTCATTTGATTGATCAGGATCGACATTAATATGAAAGATATGGGTTTTTGTTTAACAAGAGCTGTAGTTACCCTTCTATTCTCTCCTTTTGTTCTTTATTCAAAACTTCACCGAGCCATTTCCGTAAATTCTGTTCAGTTTTTCTATTAGTTAAATCGTGAACAAGAATAACTCCGTGTACTGGATTGTAGAATATTGAACGGCTATTTGTATGAGCCGACCAGCCTCCAATATCCCATAGCTCAATAAAATAATCTTTTTGATGAAGTGTTCCAGCTTTATATTCATGAAGCTTGAACAATAAAGTGTACATTAAGTATTTGCCGTACAGATATCACTGCATATTTACCTTACACTCAACTGAACAGCCTATTGTCCAGTAAGGATTAGCGATTGGTTCGTTATGACATATTAAGTGAATTAGAGATGTCTTCCCAACACCTAATTATAATATCTTATATTATCGCTCAACTTTAATATATTTAGATATATCATATTTATTATAGATAATTTTACCCGAATCTCCTACAATCAAAACTCGTACTTTTTCTATTGCCGCCATAAAGTTAATCAAAGTCGTCAAAGTAGCGGTTTACCGTCTTATTTAGGCGCAATTGTTGCACAAGTAAAATTTTTTACGTGGACTATCCGTGAAAGGGAACAATTTTGAAAAGTTTTTTAACTCTTTTCATAATAGAATATCTTATTGAATGTGAATGATTTAATTTGCAAATATGGAGTAAATTTCTTAGAATATCAATTCCACTAGCAAAATAAAAGAAACGACATATTGTAATTAGTTCTCTATCCCTTTTCTCTTCATCTCTCTCTCTCTCTCTTCTCTTTCCTTTTCCCCCGCCAAAAACACTTCTGCTGCCATCTAGTGAGTTTAGATCGAAATTCTTCCGTGATTCATAATTAAATGAGCGGCGTTTATCCTTTATATGGTAGACGTCTATTTACGTTACACGCAAACGTCGCATAGGAATAAAAGAAATGCCGTGCCCTAGAAACAGAAAATTGAACAAAAGATGAAAGAATTTACGCAATAATCTTTATTTCGGCAATTCCTTGAAATACGGAAAGAGATCGATTCTCATTGAAATTGATTGCAAATTGATTCTTTGATTGTATTATGTAGATAATTCAACAGACGGTACTGGTGGCAAGAGTCGAACGCTGTTATCACCCGGGGATAGTTTAATGTTTTTTATAGAATGACGAACAGCTATAAGAGCAGATTCAAAAAGTGGATAATGCTGTGTCAATGTCACCAGAGATTTAAGGACCATTTGAGCACATCTTCCATTTGCTTGGGGAGTTGTACGGCTTGCTGTAACCATTAGCGTGACGCTATCGGCCAGAGAATTGATCTGGGTAATGTCCCGACGAAAATTCTTCCAGATTTTATGATCTTCTTCCACATCCATGATTCTGGTAGCCAGTGCCGAAACAATGTCTATAGAGGTTCTTATAACATCTTTGAGATTCTTTTCTAATATCTCTTCCTCGTTAGCCTTTAATGATTGTTTAACAACCTCAAAAACGCAATCTGAAGCAGCCTTTGCCCCCTCTAATATCGATTTTCTAACATTTAATTGAATAAGCGGTTGCGTAATATCCTCTTCATCTCCATCGAATGTTATTAAATCGGCGTTTATAGTCTGAGTGGACACTGAAGTGCGTCTACTTTTTTTGCGAAGACAAGAGGGCGTATCTCCAGCAATTAATGCCAAAGAGGAAGCAGCAAAAACCGTTTTTAAAACGCTTTTTTCACAGTCCGACAAGCCTCGGCGAGTTTGGACGAATAATAGCAGATTATTGGTTAATTCCCGAATCGAATCCCTAAGCGAATCTCCAGTCGTTCTACTTAGGACTGTACTACGAACTGTACGACGCCATAGATTGGAGACAGTGTCTAATTTCTCCAAAGCAGGAATACAATGAAACATAGACTTTTCCTCGTTCACAGCGAACACTTGAAAGGTGTTGATTAGCCTCTGGCAATTTGATATAATACTATCAATAAAACTTGGTTGTTCTGAAAATATAAATAGCAATCTGTTTATACTTTATACTCTAGACATATAAATATAAGTATAGCGTATATAGCATATATAAATTTATATATATACTGTATATCCCAAAAACAATCTTAATAGGACTAACAGAAAGATAGTTATTGCAAATTAAAACCGGTAGGTTTTCAAGTGTTATAAAGACCAAGCAAAGTGAAAAGCACTTTAGCATTTTCTCTCTCTATATTACTACTTTTTTTTTATTTCCGAAATGAAGAATAAGGTATAATGTCCTATTTTGAAAACTCTTGATTAGCTGGCGGTGTTTTTTTCCCTAAAAAATATAAATATCTTATAAAAGAATAATTGTTACCTTCGTTTTGGCTTTTCTTAATTGAGTATAAAACGTCTTCGCACTGTTTGAATATATTTAATGAATCACTATTATTTGAGAGTTGAGGAGTTAGTGGAATATGATTATCAGTTGAATTAGGTACGTCCTTTACTGGTATAAGTTCGTCTGATTTGGGAGATGCTCTTTCTTCGGTTTCCATAGTCAGGAGTAAATCAGCAACAGATACGTCTAAGCTTCTGTTCGATGAATAATATATTATTCTGCGTTTTGTATGTAAATTGGAATTTTTTTCCTCACATCAGCGAATCTTTGGGCAATTTCCTTTTAGCAAGGATATCGGAGTATTTAGTTAAATCCTCTTTCGTCCAGGTATCGTTCGGATCAAAAAACACTTCGTCTTCATTGCTTATCAGGATAGAATCTTGCTGATAAAAAAAAAGCAGCATGAAATAAAATGTTAATCCTTTAGTCTATTTGTCGACTGTTTTGTATATAATCCCACGAGGGGCGAATATTTCAATTCCAAAAAAAAATTACCTTGTGTTTTCCACCTATTTAGTCTTAAATAACACTTAATATCATGATATAATATCACAATTGAAAGATAAAAGCAATTTAAATACCTCCAGCACACAAATATGCTAGCAGAATAGTGAAAATATAAATTATTGCTTACCTCATATAATAACTTTCTCATTTGAACAAGACGTTCTTTTAATTTAATTATCGACCATCTCGTGCTGAGAGACATCTGAATGTTAATCACTTTTATAATTCTCTCTTTTTCGTCATCACTTTCTTCAGCAGCCTTAACAAATACCTTTTAACAAAGTAAATAGTTTAGCAATGAGTACATTGCTTATCATCTTAAACTAGTAAAACAAATATCTTGTACAAGGGAAAAATTTCTCACATAGTCTTTATTCAATAATTGACTTATCTCATTAGCTTCTTCAACCAACATAGCAACTCTATCCAACGGTAATGAACTCTTACGATTAATTGGTTTTGATAATTTTGATTTTTGCTTAACATTTTTAGAGCCGGCAATTTTCTTTCCCGGTGTCATATTTAGAATGTTAACAAATAGTGGATTTAGTATGAAAAACGTCAATACTTGGAACTTGCTCGAACACGTTCTCTTCTTTTAATACTCACAAAACATTGATTATTCGCTCGCACACTAGAGCAACAACTATTTAATCACTTGAACCTAATAATTTTTGATATCGGTCGAACAAAAAAATTAGGATAAAAATTATTATTATTGTACGTAACGCCACCTACATTTTTACATCTTGTACATTAAGTAGGCTAAATAAATACTGTATATATAAATTTTTCCTTTTATACTTAAGCAAAAATTCTCCTAACGTAAACCATATTAAATAAGTTAGGTATTAATTGTAAAGAAACCATTTGAAAAGTTTTAAATAGTTTTATTTTTGATTTGTTTAAGTATATAGAGACAAACTGATTTTTTGAGTTTGCATAAACGAATATATTTACATAACTCAGTTCATTAAACAAAAAAAGAAAAAACATTTTAGTCATTTGCTTTAGCTAAGCTGTACTTAAAAAAAGAAGTCAAGACATAAAAAGGTCGTCAACTTGACTGTTTGATATATTGTTTTCTTTTTGTCTAAGCAGCTATATTGAGTAGTTGTAATTTTTTTTTCTTTTTACAATCTATATCACTTCTACGCTTAACCACAATTAAAACCAACCAACCAACTAACCGCCACCACCACAATCACTGCTGCAGTTATAATGCCCCATTATTTTTTCATTGAAATATTTAAAGTTTACATGATTTCCTTTTCAATTTAAAACTCAACATAAGAACATATCTCTTTAATTCAGGCTTTATTCTTTATAGTATCTAAAAATTGTGTTATACAAATATATAGGTGAATATTTCATTTTTTTCAAAAATAATTTCATATCCTAGATCTTTATCTTCTCTTTTTCCTCCAAAATAAATTTTTTTGCTGTAGGAGATTCAAAAAAAAAGAAAAAAAAAGAAAAAACAAAAAAAAACAACAAAAACAACATAAAGTTATTTAAATAAATAATCAGAGATTTTTCTTATCAATTCAACAAAACTTAATTTAAAACATTAAGAATTTAATTTTGGCTATATTCTAAGTCTTAGTTATGTTCTCAGATTCGGCTTTGTTCTCTATTTTCTTTTTTTGGTTGATATAAACATTTACAAATATTGAAAAGAAAACTATAACAATTCCCAATGATCCAATAGGAGTAATTGGATGGCCGTAAAATAGGCTTGATAATAAAATGGATAAGGCTAGACGTATGGTCATTATTAAAGTAAATACAACTGGTCCAAATTCATCAATCGTTTTAAATATAAATAATTGTCCAACAGCTCCACAAACACCTAATAAAAGAACGTGAAATGCAAAAACTTCGTAACGAAACATAAAAGATGCTGCTTCTGTAAATCCTCCTTGTTCCAGCAACGTTACAGATGTAAATATGACACTAAATAGATTAACGCAAGCCATCATTTGTACAGAAGACATTTTGTGGGTTTTGAACAGTTTCGACTGCCAATTTGATGTAAATGAGTCAAAAATAACATAACCCAGCAAGAGTACAACCCCTGCAAAAGTGGTTGTGGACGAATATCCCTTTACGGCATCTTTAGTTGCAAATATAAAGAGAAATAATCCAATGGATATAAAAAGAGCTAATATATATTCATGTAGCTTGTAAGTTTTGTTGGAAACGATCTTGCTCATAGCCATAACTGGTATTATTTTTGAAGCTTTAGTCATAACTTGCATTGGAAAACTTACATATTTTAAAGCTTCGTATTGAAACCATGAACTCATTATGTTAGAAAAAGATGCATAGGAGTATTTATAGATTGGTGCTAAATGTCTTGGCTGTTTTCTTACAATACAAACTAAGCAAGCAGTTACAAATGCAAATATTCTATTCATAAACACCAAAAATTGAGAATTTTTAAAGTTTTCCCCTTTAAAATCTACTGTTTCTCCATATTTATAGGCCATAATTCTTTCTTGTAAAAGACCCCAAGATAAATAAGACAATTGCAACCCCGTTGCACAAATAATAATCCAAAAAGCCTTTCTGCCAAAGGAGGTTTTTTTAAGTTGTTCTTGAGCTCTGGTACTTTCCTCTATTGATTGCTCTTGTCCATAAATGAACGAGCGAACAAAATGAATGAGAAATTTATTATCTACAGTAAAAACATGTTCGCTTTTATTATTTAAATATATATATAATTTTATTAATAAAAGCTTACTTCCTCTCTCAATATAATTAGTCTTTTTTAAATAGTATATAAGAATACATCCTGGAAGAACAATGCTTGAATATCCAACTAAATTCATAATTAATTTCAGCACCCAAAAGTCGTGCCACTCTCCGAGCATATCATGACTGTTCTTGGTTTTATCTTGCGCTGCGTAAATTATTGCAGGAACTCCAAATAAGAGAAAGGTTATTGTCAAATAAACCATCAGCCTGTTCAAGGAATTATAATGAAACTCAATATGATTAGTACTTATAGGCTGTTTGATTTTAATATTAAAAATGCTCTCGCTGTGTCGTTGCAAACCGCCACTTTGAAAACAATATATGAATAAATACTGCCTCCACCTAAATGAAACAACAGTTATGACTTGGATCAATTTTGGAAACATATGTTGCGGATATGCTGGCACTACTGCAGTTATTCGTTCAATGACTGATATTTAAATATTAAATTTCTCCTTCAAGCATACTAAAGTAAGTTCCTATTAGCTTGGCATCTGCTAATAAATTATTATAAAGTCGGCCATCAATGCCTACTGTGATGCTCAGGCTTAAACAGAAATTTGACAAATCGGAAATCAATAATTTTTAAATGGGAAAAATATACACACAGTAATTCAAGGGTAATTGAGAAGATATATTATTCCGCTTTGCTATGTTCAATTGGTAACTCACTAAATTTATCGTACTTCTGTTTTAAATTAACAGAGTTATAATCAAAATTGTACAAAGACTATAGCTCTGTATCATAAATATGCGATTAAGTATTAATCTGTAAATTTTCTCATTCCATCTAATCAAGATATACCTTTTCTTCAGTGCACCTCCATTCATATTTGCTTTAGTAGCGTTCTTTGCCTATATTTTTACATTTTTGTCACGCCCTCATTTGGAAACATAATTAAAGTGTCCAAAAATCGAATACTTTTCGATATTTACACAGTGCTCTAGTTAGTGACCTTGACCTGCCGCAATATCAATCTGAAGAATTCTATTTGCTCTCTTAAATATTTCGGTAGGTATTCGTTTACGTTTTTTTCTGAGTTAGGCTTTTTAAAAGATAAAATTAACTGATAAGAAAATTTTATATAAGACCGTTGTTAAAAGGTTACACATAGTGGAGCATCAAACTTCATAGATTCCAATAACGATGGCAAGCAACATTCTCGCAAAAAATACCCCAAGATTCGTAGAATCTGTAATGACCGCATCAGCTGGTGATTTCAAATCAAATGCCATCTTTGAAAAAATTGGAGAAGAAATGGGCAAAGTTAGTTCTCTTAATATATCTCTTCAATACATGTTACTAGTTTTTGGCCTTTTTTTATAGAATGGAGCCGACTATGTTAAAAAAATCAAAGGTATCTTTTGCTTTAAAGTCAAAAATGCTAAAGGCGAACAGGGTGTATGGATTGTTGATGCCAAGAATGGAAATGGTTCTGTCAAATTTGTTAACGAAGGTAAGTTTTATCATTATAAACTTTAATCTTTGATAAAGATTGTCAAACGCCCTCTACCGAAAGGCAACCATATAAAAGTTCCTTGTTCATTTCCATAGTAATTGGAACTTCTTTTATCAATTTTTAATTTGAGTAATGTTTATATTTATAGGCAAAGGAGATGTAACTATCGCTATGGGAGATGAGGACATGATAAAGATGATGCTTGGACAATTAAACCCTCAACAAGCTTTCTTCCAAGGAAAGTTAAAAATCACTGGAAATATGGGACTAGCAATGAAAATGAAGGAATTCCAAGCTCAAGCTAAAGCAAAATTGTAATTTTTTAAAAAATTTGAATGAACATATTTCAATACATTATTATTCCCAAAAACATACTTTTTTGTCCAAGTTCATAGAAACATTTATATAATAACCGATAAAAATAAGTTAAATATCCAACAATATAATCATTTTATCAATTAATAAAAGATTATTTACTCGAACAAAATTCGGACATTGTATTCAAGAGAAATAGCATTATAATTTTGAATTAAGGAATACATTTCGATATTAATGCGCGATATGAGACTGTCATTGAACTTTGCTACTAAGTTTAAAATGTAGAATTTTTCATTTATTGATCATAATTTCATACTAAATCAACTGTCTATACAACTCCAGCTCCTTTTAATTTTTCGATTAATTGTGAAACGTCTTCCACCTGAAAATATAAGCGAAAATTAATGTATAAGATTCTTAGTATTAATATTTCTTTATCGTACCTTTTGACCAGCTTCCCTAACCGGCGGATCCTCTACGCTAATCACTTGTTGCTTTGGTGTAAGGTCCACTCCTAAGTCTGCTGCTGTTTTCTTTTCAATAGGTTTCTTCTTGGCTTTCTATCAACAGAAACAGAAAGTTAAAATCAAAGTGCCGAAAGTACTTAATATAATTCAAAGTTTACCATAATATTAGGAAGTGTAGCATATCTGGGTTCGTTCAACCTCAAGTCAGTTGTTATAACGGTTGGCAGTTTTAAATTAATTGTTTCTAAGCCTCCGTCAATTTCTCTAGTTACTTTAAGGCCATCGCCGTCTTTTTCAATCTTTGAAAAAAAGTCATACTTGATTTAGGCATTAGATATTAAATTTTATATTTACTTTGCTAGCGAAAGTTGCCTGTGGCCAATCCAAGTTAGCGGCAATCATTTGTCCAGTTTGGTTGTTGTCACCGTCGATAGCTTGTTTACCAACAATAACTACATCAGCTTTATTTTCAGTTGCAAGCTTGGCAAATATTTTCGAAATGTGATAAGGTTCAACTTTGCTCAAATCAGCAGCCGGGATATCAATATGGATTCCTTTGTCAGCTCCCATGGCAAGGGCGGTTCGGATCGTTTCCTATTGTTTACACAGATATATAATAATATAATAATTCTGGAAAAAGGGGGTACTTTACTTGACATTGTTGTGGTCCACATGAGACAACAATAATTTCTGATGCCAACTTTTTTTCTTTCATGCGTACAGCTTCTTCAATTCCGATTTCATCGAAAGGGTTCATAGAATGCTTAACACCTTCGGTAACAACACCGCTCTTATCCGGCTTTACCCTAACCTAAAGAGCGATATTACAAGAATTAGCCACAAACCGATACTATTTTCCTCGTAAATCTCATAAAGAGAGTTATTTACTTATTTATTTTAGAGGTAACAATTTTAAACAATTTTAGAATTACCTTAACGGCATAATCAATAACCCGTTTGCAACCAACAAGAATTCGTAGAGCCATTTCTCAAGGTTATTATAGCCGGAAACAGTAAGTTCGGACTGGAGTTGAATATCTAGGTACAAATAATCGTAATTTTGATCATAAAATATTGCAAAATGGCAACAGAAAAAATTAAAAGTATTGTAAAAACTTAATTTTAATAAAGAAAAAATAATGCAGCGTCTTTTACATTTTTGTCTGTATTTACGAAGGGTGAACATTTCCGGTGCTGCAGTCCTCGCATGACTGTAGAGTGATGAGCAACTAAAGACCCGACTCCCAAGTGTAATGCAGCCTTAAAGAAGAGTTAACCAGTTAAAGTGGCCACTTGAATACGATCTGGTCACGAATGGATGAACAGAAAAAACATAATAATCCATCACCCTTGAATTCGGCTGGATTCATATCTAAACTTTTTTTCTGGTAAAGTATCTACCAATTTTTGCAATATTAATTCAATAAAAGACCTATTTCTACAAAATTAGTGATGAAACAATTAATTAATTCGAACTGCCGACGTTATAGCGAAATCTATTTTATAAAATATATTACTCTATCAGCTGTTTATCATAACAAAACATCTTTTTAAAATTCAAAAAAAACTATATTTTACGATTTAAAAGGAACAGCTACATAACACATAGAAATCCTTTTTTACAGTTGCTAATTGTGCCATATATTATCATTTTCTATAGTTCTGTAATTATTTGTTAAGTAACTCGTATTTGGATAGTAACATCTTCCAATGTCGAAAGTACGTCAGTTTAAATAAAGTTCAAGCTGACTACTCTTTAAAAGTTAGATCGTATTTTTTTGCCCCTTTTAGAATGATACTATAAAGTTTAATTTATATAATAACCCTTTATACCTAAAGAAATCTATTTCTTTAACTTGTTTGACTGATGCAAAGAAATTTTTGTATTTTATAATATAAAAATCTTTTCTTGTTTTATATATCTTTGAACCTATTTTTATCAGGCTATTTCTTTCGCTTTCTATAAATTTCAGTTCTTTCGTAATATTGCCAAATTTGAATAAATATACTGAAATTAATTAATTGATATAGATACTAATCAACATATCAATAATATTTGTAAAATCTCCCCTATAAATATAGACATATTAGCATATTGATTGGCATTACTTCCTTTATGTAAGTGCAAAACAGTATCCTTCCTATCTAAACGTATAACATGACTTTTAAATATAATGATTATAAAGCATTTGTTATGATAAAACAATATAATCTAATAGGTCTTGCTTAAAATAATATACTCATATTGATATTAATTTTTATAATGAATATCACTGTTTTTAACAGGTGGCTAAATCCGATATTTGTTGTTGGAAAGTCAAAATCATTGGAAGCAACTGATTTATACAATATTCCTGAGGAAGATTCCTCTGAATATATATGTAATTCATTAGAAAGGTATCAAATATCTTTTAGTATTCTTTATTGTTTATTTTAGATGTAAAAGTGTCACTTTTAATAGAGAATGGAACAAAGAGTTGACAAAGAACAACAAGCGAAAACCGAGCTTGTTACGAGCTATTATCCGAACTTTTTGGGTCAAATATATGCTTTCTGGAATAGTAGCTTTTATAGAAGTAAGTAATATGTTAGCAAGCTTTCATTTTCATTTCTCAAAATATTGCTAATGACTTCTTTGTCTAAAGGAAATGTTAAAGGTCGTTCAACCAATTCTAATCGGTGGTTTGATCAGCTATTTTCGTCAGGATAGTACTGTCTCAATGAGAACTGCATTGCTTTACGCTATGGGTATCAGCTTGGCAACAATGGGAGTTGCTTTAGTTCATCATCCCTACTTTTTCATTGTTCAAAGAATTGGTATGCAAATGCGAATAGCTTGTTGCAGTTTAATATATAAAAAAGTAAATAAACACAAGTTTTTTTAGAAAATAGATTACTTTTAAAAACAAATTTATTTTCAAGGCTCTAAAACTGAACAACTCATCTTTGGAGAAAACCACCATTGGTCAAATAGTGAATTTAATGTCGAATGATGTAAATAGATTTGATCAGGTTAGCTCATATTTATAACTAACTTTTGTTTTCAATCTCAATTAAATACTAAAATGTTTAACTAAAAAAGGGAACTCTCTTCTTACATTACTTGTGGATAGGGCCTGTACAGGCTGTGATAGTTCTTACAATATTGTGCAATATGGTCGGCCCTTCAGCTTTAGCAGGATTTGCATTGTTGTTACTATTAATACCCGTCCAAACTTTGATGGGTCGATTATTTACTGCTCTAAGGTATTTTTAATAAGTTAAATGTAAATACAAAATTCTTTAATATTCTTCATGAAAATATAATATAGGAGAAAAACTGCTACCCAAACTGATTCTCGAGTTCGTTTAATGAACGAAATTATCACGGGAATACGAGTTATAAAAACTTATTGTTGGGAGAAATTATTCGCTGAATTGGTTACGAAAGTTCGAAAGTAAGTTATTCTATAATTTTTCACCCTAATTGATTATTTATTAGAGCATAGCAAGCAATTTTATTATTTTAGTTAGTCTTAAATCTCTTAGTAAATTAAAGAATTGTAATTAGAATAAAAAAAGCTAATATAAAGAGATTCTCTCCTAATATAGTATATTGATAAATATTGTATGCATAGCGTATGCTATGTATATCTAAAAGTTAAAAAGTTTATTATTTTTCTTAAACTATCTTTTAATAATTATTAACAGCGAACTATTGGTTTGATTTTAGAAAATTATCGTAATTTCTTATTTCTTAGGGTAAACAACTAAATTCTCGGTTAATTTTATCATTTATTCTAGATATTATAATTCTATATAAGTACAAATTACTATATTTCAAATAAATACAATAAAAGTAAAAGAAAAATAATAGACAAATCTATGTTGCATGTATAGTATACATATTAAACATTATATATCTAATTAATATTATAATAATTGATCTATTAGCTTACCGATATTACTGATTAATTTGCTTCTATACGATCTATTACGCTGGCTTTATAACCATACAATTTAATATTATTGTACTGTAGTTTTGTTACTTAATAGGTTTTTAGTATGGTGAAAAAAAAAGGATTAAGAAAAAGTCTTTGTAGGCCAATTTAAGTCATAATTTGATGATCCAGAATATTGAATTTACTTCAGCTTGGAAATTAAACGAGTTAGTGTAAGTGGATCGTTTCGAGCACTTATACTTGCTCCATTTTTTGCCTCTGTAAAACTCGTATTATTTTTTACTGTCTCAACTATGAGCCTATCTGGCATTCAATTAAAAGCTAGTAATATATTTATGGCTCTTGGAATATTTGATGCGCTAAGACTGACACTCTGTCTGTTCATTCCATTGGCAATTACTTATGGAAGTGAAAGTCTTTTATCTTTGCGAAGAATTCAGGTAGACAACTTTAAAGAATATTCTGAGAGTTGAAGTATGCAAAACAGTAATTTTTTTTCTTTCATTGCCCGCTTTGCTTCCAAATCCCCACTTCACTAACGCCTTATTTTTTCTTCTTTGAATGAACGATTCTTTTTTAACTACTCATAAATTGGAGGGTGGAAATTTTGTATTAAAAGTTTCAAATACTATTCAAAGAAGCTCGGGAGGGGTATCGATATCTACTATTTTGACTTTAGTTTTATTACATTCTGGAAGATTCTAAGATCAACTTGGAAAAGGGTAGTCACGAAGCGGAATGAACTTTTTACTGATTTGATCAAAATTTTGGTTGAAATCCTTCTTTTTGTCGTTAGAGGATTCCAATAACCAATCGCCTATTGTAATATTAAGAATTTCTATCAATAGAATTTAGGTATCATTAAACACATATTCAAACAGCGAAAAGTTGATTTTATTTTATATTTTCATGAGCTTTTGCTTTTTAAATCACAACAAATTATTCACTATTTACAAAGCTAATTTCGTTAAAACAATTTTAAATTATTCACTTTTCATCATTATCATCTCTTCCAGAGAAGAATTAAAATTCGTAAAGATACAGGGAATTATATATAGCTTAGAAGGAGGAATTTCTGATGAAATGGGATCATTTATGGTAGCTTTAATTATCCTTTGCTCGATTGTTGAGACTAAGAAATTAATGCAAAGTGAATTTTTGTTTCCAACAAAGACTTTTCTATCACTTTTAGAAGTTAGCATTGGATGGTTCTTTACGTCCGCTTGTGTAGGCTTTTCTGAACTTAACATTACGATCAGACGTTTGCAGGTTTGATTTAGGGTAATTTATATAATTGCTTTTTAACATATCGCTTCGAAAGATAACTTGTAAAAGTAGCTGTCGAGTCATTTCTCTTGATATCGATTATGTGAATTTTATTCCAGATCCGAAATAGGATTCGTCAGATCGTCGAAAACATGGAAAGCTTTTTCTGAAGGCCAAAGCGCGATTGGTGCTAAACTCCTCGTCTATTTAGTAGTGATAAGCGTATTTTTAACGGATAGATATACTTTTCGTGCGGAAATTGTTTTTCCCCTGGCTAGTTTAATGCACATTCTACGTGGAACAGTCTTTAGGCGTTTTGTTCATTGCGTTTTCTGTGTTGCTGATATTCGAGTGTCCTGTGAACGTCTGAAGGTTAGGACAAAAGCAAAAGCTCTCTACATTCGTTGATGTTGCATACTTCAATTTTCCTTATGATTAAAATAATTTTTTATCCCTATTCGTTTATGCAGTCTCATTACGATATCTTTACGATATGTTTTATCGCAGGAATTTTTATTATTGGAAGAACTTGAGCCACCATCACCGCCATTGTCTGCAGATTGTGAATCTGACAAGCCAAGTCTTAGAGTGAACAAAATTTCTGCATCTTGGGATAATGTAAATTATTGAACACCGAGTCCAAAATAAACTTTTCTTATGTATATATATATATATTTATTTAGAATGAAATGCCTATCATATCCGATATTAGCTTTGAAGCCAAACCGGGAGACTTAATTGCAATTATAGGACCAGTTGGATCTGGAAAATCGTCTCTACTCTTGTCACTGGTTGATCAAATGCACATTGTCAGCGGCGATGTTAAATCAAAAGGAAAAATAGCTTACGTTCCTCAAGTTCCATGGATATTTAGTTCAAGTGTTCGTCAAAATATCCTTTTTGGACAATCTTTCGATCAGATTCGATACGATCGAGCAATAAAAGTATCTGCATTGAAAATGGATTTAAAATTAATGGAGAAAGGTGATCAAACTTTGGTCGGAGAAAGAGGTGTTTCCCTTAGTGGAGGACAAAAAGCTAGAATTTGTCTGGCCAGAGCAGTTTATGCTGACTCTGATATTTATTTATTAGATGACCCTCTGAGTGCTGTTGATACTAAAGTGGGTGCCCATCTTTTTGAAGAGTGTATTCGTGGGATTCTCAAAAAGAAGGTCCGATTACTAGTAACACACCAAGTTCAAATGCTACAAACAGCAACAATGATACTAATTATGAAAGATGGTAAGATTTCTGGTCGAGGAACGTATGATGAATTAGCCAAGTCGGGAATAGATTTTTCATCATTGCTAAAAAGAGATGAGGAAGAAGGCGAAGATAAGCAAGAACGCTTAGATAGTAGTATCAGTTTATCTCATTCTGCATTAGCTAATACCTTAAGGGATGATGACGTTGATGACAATCTACTTGAAACAGAGCCATTTCTTAGGTCTAATTCTGTTTCAAAATGTACACTAAATGGCTTAAAATCAAAGAAAAGCGCATCTAAGAATTCACTAAATTCAAAGAAAAGCTTGTCGAGACTGTCTTTGACTTCAAAGAGGAGTCTACGACTTCGATCAAGTGTAACATCACTATCATCATTTATGGCAGAAGGAGAGGTTAGTCATAATTTCAGTCTACAGTAGAAATCTATAACTTTTACTCTTTTTAGGCTGAATTCATAGCCCCTGTTACTGAAGAACAAATTGCAAAAGGAACAGTCAGCTTAAATGTTTACTGGAAGTACATGATTGCTGGAGCTGGAATAATTGGATTGTTTGTGCTAGCTTTTATTAATATTGCAGCCCAGCTCACTTATGTAGGATGTGACTTATGGCTATCTCATTGGACACACGTTGAAGAGCAAAGAGTATCTGAATTAAACGCACAAAATTTGGATTATGAGCGTTTTAATTCATCCAATGTTACAGTTCAAGAAGTCAACACCAAAAGAAATATTGCTATTTATTCTGGATTAACATTTGCCGTTTTCATATTTGGTATGCTTAGGGCTCTGTTCATATTTCATGTAAGATTACGCATTTATCATACAATAATATTATCTATGGTAACAAGAAAAAACTTTAATCTTTTCTTTCTCTTACGTGTAGATTATGATATCAGCTGCCAAAACTTTACATAATGCCATGTTTAAAGCAATATTGGGTTGTCCTGTTTTATTCTTCGATACTAATCCTGCAGGTAGGGTACTTAACCGGTTTTCAAAAGACACTGGGCAGATGGATGAACTTTTACCATTGACTTGGTTTGACTTTATTCAAGTAATATGCATACTTTATTTCTAACAGATTATTAATTAGCTTTTTATTTTATTATATCTAGTGCGCAATGCAAATAGCCGCAATTATTATTCTAACTGGTTCAGCAAATCCGTGGGTTTTCCTTGCTGTAGCACCTCTTGCTATTGTTTTCATCTACGTTCGCTCATATTTTCTCAATACAACTAGAGATGTAAAAAGATTGGAGGGTACTAGTCGTTCACCAGTTTTCAGTCATGTATCAGCAACTTTGAACGGTCTGCAAACAATCAGAATATTTCGCGTACAGGACGTATTTACAAAAGAATTCCATCAACACCAAGATGCTCATAGCGAAGCATGGTTCATGTTTTTATGTACTACTAGATGGTTTGCAATTCGTCTAGATTGGCTTTGTACATTCTTTGTAGTGTTTGTATGCTTTTCAGTAATTTTCTCAAGTAAGTTCAATAGGTTAAAGTTATAAATTTTAAGAAATATAATATTTTTAAACTTGGCTTGACATAGAACTGGATTCTGGAATTGCTGGACTTTCTCTAACTTATTCTATATCGCTGCTAGGACTGTTCCAATGGGGTGTCAGACAGAGCGCCGAAGTGGAAAATCAAGTACCTTGACCTTATTCTTTAAATTACTCCGTATTTTTTCAGAGTATTCCTTATTTTTAACAGATGACTTCAGTTGAGAGAATAATGGAGTATTCTGAGTTAGAGCAAGAGGCAAAACCTTTATCAGATCCTGATAAAAAACCTCCACCGACTTGGCCAGAAAGAGGGCAAATTAAAGTAGCTGACTTATGCTTTAAATATTCAAAGGATGGACCCCTAGTACTAAAAAATTTGAATTTTGAAATTTATCCAGAAGAAAAAGTAAGACACTAAATAAAAGAAATTAAAAATCGAACTTATCTATTGCCCTAAATGTTCTATTTAGATTGGAATAGTTGGTCGTACAGGTGCAGGAAAAAGCTCGTTGATTGCAACTTTTTTCCGATTAGCTGAACCCCAAGGGAAAATTGAAATAGACAATTACAACATATTAACACTCGGCCTGCAAGATGTTCGATCGAAAATATCAATTATACCTCAAGATCCCGTTTTATTCAATGGAACAGTCAGACAGAATATTGATCCTTTTAATCAACATGACGATAAAGAGATATGGTCAGCTCTAGAAGAAGTTCGTATGAAGGACGCGGTGAATGACTTACCAAGTGGACTTCAAGCAGGTGTAAGTGAGGGAGGTGGCAACTTTTCAGTTGGACAGAGACAGCTTTTTTGTTTAGCAAGAGCTGTTCTGAAGCATAATAAAATCATGATAATAGACGAGGCTACAGCCAATGTAGATCCAATGTTAGTTTAACTTACTTAGTAACGAGACTTCAAATTTATTATTTTAATTTTTAGAACCGACTCTCTTATTCAAACTACTATAAAAGAAAAATTTAAAAATTGTACAGTTCTCACTATTGCTCATAGGTTACATACCATCATGAATTCTGATAGGATATTGGTAAGTCTCTTATTGGCCTGCTTATTAAAGTAAACTGATGGTTTTATACGTCTAATAGGTACTTGATCAAGGTCGTATCGTTGAATTTGATGAGCCGCATATATTATTAGAGAAAACAGACGGCTTTTTGTGTTCAATGGTCAAACAGACAGGTGATAACGAATCAGCCAGGTTAATTGAAATTGCCAAACAAGTTGCCGACAAGCATAAAATGGACCATCGCTACTCGAAGAAAGAACCGAATGGTATAGAAAAATAAGATATCTACATTTAGAAATGTTCAATTTCATCCGAATGAGAAATGATCTCTCAAACGAAAATTAGCTACAATTCATATTGCGAGAAGCATTAAAAAAATGACTATATTTCTGTAGTGTTTACAAATAACAGAGTACTTGAAAATGCGCTTTCAGGGCACGATATATGTCAGTTTCTTAACAATTTGTATATCACTAAAAATATATACATAACCGTCTAGTCGCACTTCTATAAAATTTTTCAAATTTTCAATTTAGAAAGACATATCAGCATTCATACTATTTCGACTGCTTTGTGTTGAGATCTTCATTAATGCGCAAAGCTGAAATTTTCATAGAAATAAGTTATTTCGTACATCAGAATATAGTTCAATGAACTATGAAAATCGTGTTCAAAAAACGTACTCGCTTGAATTTTGCTTGGCAAGTTTGTAAACTCTCTAACATATTATCAAAATCGCAATTAGATAAATCGATTGGTTCCAATGTATCAAGAATATCTTGGCATATTTTTAATTTTCTAGGAAGATAACAAAAATTTGTAAATAATTCAAAAGATTTTAACCCCGAGGCTTACGTATCCGACATATTATGATTTGATAATCGCTTGCGGCATTCAAGGCAAAATCCTCGATAAAATCCAATCTATTATACAAATATTGTTTAGTGAAGAATATGCGAATTGTTAAAAGATCTCTAAGATTACTTTCAACAGATGGAATATATGCGATAACTGAAAGCTTCAAAGCCCTTCATAGTAAAAAGTGTTATATAAAGTTATAGCAAAAATAAAAGTTGCCTGCTTTGATGGATAAAGTATTTTGAAAAATATGTTTTATATGCTAACCTCTGCAGCGCAAGAACTAGCTTGTTTAACGCCTAAAAGAAAAGCATCTCCAAAGCCTCGATGTTCTCCTGTTGAAAATCCTTCACTAAAACCTTCTTTTTGAAACCTAATTTTAACACAGATTATTCTTTAAGAATGATAGAGAAGACTTTTTATTACTTATCCTCTGCCATAGCTATCATGTCCAAAAATTCAATGTTTTCTCCCATAGTTGTATTTTTAAATCTGTTATCGCTCAATACACAACTTATTAAACATTTTTACCAGTTTTCACGTAGATCTTACTAAAAACTGTCTGGTAACAATTAAATCCAAACTACGATAAAACATAGACTTTAATGTTATGCTTTGTAGAATATTCTTCCTTTGACTATGTTTTGAAAAAATTTAAATTAACATCTTTTTCGATGAAATAAATGAATTTTTAATTATTCGAAGTGAATTCGCTTTTTATAAATATCGATAATTCCATCAGTCAAAACTACAAAAGAGCATTAGATATATTATATTGTGCTATGGAGATATGGAAAAACACTAATAACATCAGATAAAACTTTAGTTTTTGATAATTTGCTAAAAATCCACTTGTTTATCAAATTTTATAATAAATAATGATACGTTATAAATTGGAGTTTTTCTTATCTTAGCAAGAAGATACAGACTACAGCTATTAAGTTTGTGAAACATGTTAGCAATTGATCAAATATTGCGATTATTGATTTCCTTTTAAATACTTAATGATCTTTATGTTAAAAGTCACTTGTCTTACACCGACTAGTATCGCCCTTGATTTAGCAGCTGCTGTTATCGTCGTCTTTTTCGACGCCTCGGTCATGCGCCGTCAAAAGCGGAAGTAGAGAGAAGATTGATAAAAATTGACAAAAAATATTAAGAACAAAAGAGATAAATCAGTGAATTAATGGAATCATTAGGTTATTCTTTCGAGACGCCTCGTTGGACGTTCCAAATAAGATCTTGTTTTGCCAGCGTTTGTGAATTGTTTTCAGAATTTTCGCTACACATAGCACCAACATATCATCATGACAGATGTGAAAGGTAAAAATGTGTTCAGATTATCTTTCGATCAATTTTTATAATTGGCGCCGAAAACTCGTGGCGGAATGACATCTGTACTTCCTTTATAGATTTTTCTACAACATTTTAGTATAGTTTTGTCTCTATTCTTCATAGTTGATTTAGCTAAGTAGTCAGAAATATGACAATCACGGAAATAGAACCGTACGTGATAGTTTATGTCCAGCTAAAACAATAATTTATTTATTCCATTTCCGGATATCAATATATGTTTTTGTAAACAGGTCGGTTCAGATGCGTTTATATACACTAAACAAACGGCATTTCTTTCTGGTTTTCGTCGGATTTGCCTTTTCCTTTCTATTAACTGTTTTTATCGGTTTAGCAGGTAAGTGTTCTTTCTCAACTACGATTTATTTTGCAGACCTTCTTTATCAATTAAATTACTTTTCTCCTATAAAAGGGCCACCGATTTTAAAGTCTGATCGAGTGAATTTAACATCCCCTAGATTATCAGTTTGTATTCTTTTGCTATTTACTAAAAACTAAGAGAGAATTTTTATATATAATACATTATTTCTCTATAAATAGCAATCTGGCCCATATACTTTTAGCTCTCCTTTTGTGTCTACCTTTAATCAACAACTATGGTTTCTTTCTAAAATTTCCTTACAGAGGAGTGGAAGTTTGTATTAAACGAATATATATATATATATATTAATTGCAATTAATTAAACATTCATTTATTAATCTAATATAGAAACCAAACTAGAAATTCCACTAAAAATAGAGGTTAAAGTTTTAGGAATCTATGATCGAAATGATCAGTCAAGAATGACACCAGTCTATAAAAATACTGCTCACAATAGATCAAGGAGCCTTAAATGTTCCCAAGATGTTTGTAAACAGTTAATAATTTAATAGAATAAAATATTCTTAATGAAAAATAATTGCAGGGATGTGATGAAATTATTATTCTGCATCTTGAATATCTTGCTTATTCAGAGTATAAGATAGGAGTGAATATTTATGCGTTGGATCAGAATGTTCATTTTAAAGACGTTCAATTCAAAGTAAGTTTTAATATATTCTCTTTCTTATTAAAAATGATTAATATTTCTCTTCTTTTTCTTCCGATATAGTATAAAACTTATAATTCATCTTTTACCCAATTTCAAATATGGTTTAGATTTGTTTTTCTTGTACTTACATTTATCGTAACGGTAAGATTAAACTAAAAACAAACATGTATAAAGAATACTAAAAACTATTGTTAACCTGTTAATATAGTGCCTATTTGCTCATTCTTTACGACGTTTCTCAATGAGAGATTGGTCCATTGAACAACGCTGGATGTCTCTTCTTTTACCATTATTATTATTATATAATAATCCATTTTTTCCACTTCTGTTCCTTGTTAATTCGGCATTGCCAAGTATTTTGGATGGAATATTTCAAGTAACGTTCTTATCCGTCCTACTATTATTTTGGTTATGTCTGTATCACGGTGTAAGACAGACGAAACGTAGATTCTTAATCTTCTACGCCCCTAAGCTACTCATAGTAGGCCTTTTGTGGATAGTTGCTATAATGATAACATGTTGGCAGCATTATAAAGAAATTTCGGATCCGACATACAATTATAAATCGGATACTGGGAATTTTTTTGGATTTAAGATATTCTTCTTCATTGTGGGTAGCCTTTATTTGGTTTATCTCCTATATTTAGTTGTTAGGGCCTATGCTGAATTACGAAATATGCCATACTTTGATGTTCGTCTCAAGTTCCTCACAGTGTTGATGCTGATTGTCGTTGTTGTTACAATAACAATTACATCCTTACGTTATGGATCTTCCGTTTTGGAAGAGAATTTTGTGGCTGAGCTATCAACACATTACGAGAACAGTGCCGAATTTTTAGCATTTTACGGTCTTTTGAACTTTTATCTATATACTATGGCTTTTGTCTACTCCCCAGCAAAAAATGCTGTCTTAGGTTGGTAAATTGCGTCAATTTAGCGCAGCTCATTTTTTACGATCATGATTAAATCTCAATTAATAAAAATTAACGAGAATTTTGCCTGACAGAATCACATTTTAAAGACGACCCAAGTTTAACTATGTTAAATGACTCAGATGAAGAAGTAATTTATGGGTAATTTGAATAAATTTGCATAATTCTTCATTCTTCTGTCTATTTAAACAATTAATATTATTTTAGGGCTGAATCTGAACAACAGGCTTTGACTAGAAAGCAATTCTACGATAGCGAAGAAGAAGCATTTAATAATTGAACAAGTGATTTAATTTTAACAAGAAGATTATAATATGAATAATATTTCAATCTGTCTTTCTAGTCAATTTTTAAAAAAGAAGTGTTTAGAGACTCCACTCCCACCCTCCTCTCATTTCCCTAGCTTCTCTCTTCTCTCTCTCTCTCTCTTTCACTCTCTTTTCTGGGTATATAACGAAATAGAAAAAAAAAAAAGAAATTCCAGACGGCTTACTTTTACATTCCATTTCAAAAAAGCTTTACTGAGAACATCATTCTTGAAATTTTTGGTGATAATAAAACAGAAAGAAAAAAGTTGATAAAAAAATATAAACTGTACAAAATATAACTGAAAATTTAAATATAATTAATGATTTCTAATGAAATAAAAAATGTTTATAAATATTCTGTTTGAATTCAATACAGAAAAAAATTCTAGAAGATATTTAATAATTGAATTTTTTATTCTTTTTCTTGTATTTTTCAGATCGTTTGTTAAAACTTATATAAAAAGAAACATAATAAAGTAAAATTAAACAAAAAAAGAAATTATCCATTTTATTACAAAAGATATTTTAAGCAGTTATTAATCTCAATTTTGGATTTGCCAAAATACTTTCCTTTTGCATTGTTTTATTAAATTCATGTTTAGCTTTCTTAGCTACGTATACTAAAAGCAGAATAGTTGTCATCATCTATATTGTAAGGTGAGATAAAGGAATATAAATCTGGTTATCTATATGACGATGATTTTATGTTTAATAACTCACTTGAACGGCGAATGCTAGATATCCTAAAAATGAAGTTGTACTGTTCACATTGTGAAGGATAACATCCTCCATAGATCGTAATGTTGAACCAATGTAAGCATTGAGTATTTGGGTAGGTAGCAGTCCAATGACTGAAGCTATTAAATACCTGCCACTGGATATATTCGACAGCTGTAAACCAATTTAGTTATTAAAGAAATAGAGCTAATAATAAATAACTTACTGCAAATAATGCGTTTTGCAAACCGAATGGTATTGGCGTTAGTCTTGAAATGACAACAATCTTTCTCGGATTATTTTCAACAAGCTTAATAAATGATTGAATAGTATTGTTCTTTAGTATACGCTCTATAAAAAGATTTGTACAAAAGGTTTTCAAGGCAAAATGCGCGAAAACTATTCCAAATAAGGCGCAGACACTAACAAACAATGCTCCGAATAATAAACCATAGAGATAACCGGAAGCGACGTTGAGAAGAACATATCCCCAAGCTATCGGTAATGATACCAATGCGAAAAGTACCAAAAAAACCAAAAAGGTTATAACTATATCACCCTTTTCGATGTTAATTAGTAGCAACTTAAAGTAATGACGGCCGGTGAAAAGGCATATTGTTATGGCTAGTAAAAATAAGCAGATGCAGGCGATTAGTCTCTTCCGACCGATATAAACGCTTATCTCCAAATTCACGTCACTGGCGTTTCTCTTGTGGGTAAATGGAAGCTTACTCCGCCCATTTCGCAAATGACCAGAAATCTTCGACACTATACCACCCAGAGTCTTCGACATGAAGAAAGTAGTGTGCATTATGGCACTAAATGTAAAAAATGTGGTCTTTTTTCCTCCAACTCCAGCTCTGTGCTACATCCGTCGCATGTAAGACGAAGAGAGCAGACGCCTTAAATTTCCTATGACATCTGGTGTATACAGTTATTGCACTCATATAGATGTCGCTACTGTATGTTTTTCGTAATTATATCTTAGATGACTAAGTAAATATTAGTTTGTTGGATTAAAGAGTACTTTTCTAATCAGTCTTCCTCTTAGTAAGACAAAGTCTCAAGCTTAAGGTGACAAATTATGAAAATCCTTTCAGCGTAGTCTAAAACTGCACAACAAAAATTTATATACTGTATAAGTAATTTGCGGTTAAAAGTGGGGAATAAATTATTAGCTTTCTAGACAATTTCCTGATGATCCCTAAATAGAAATTCTGAAGGCTCATTGCTCTTGTACAAAATAAAGGTAGGAACGTGCCGAAATAACAGTTTTTTGCTTCCTATTGTCCCACATTTAAGCCAACATAGTATAATGGTAGAGAGAACTTCCGCACCACTTTTCGCGATCCTCTCACTCCCGCTTACCTCGTTTACATGACGAGCTATATTTTAAAAAGATAGAATTATTTTTCACTTTTCTAAATAATACTAACAACTCTATGTTTTATTTTCTCTTTCTTCATTCACCAAAAAAAGGAGAAGTAGAAGAAAAAGAAGAAGAAGAAGAGATTATGATCAATTTATATTTAACATTTATGAATACTTTAAAACCATTGGAAAGAACCTATTACATTTGAAATGTTAAGGGTCACTTAATTCATTCATTTATTGAATAAACTGGAAAATTTATTAGATTGCATAAAAGATATATTCTTATTTTTCCTTTATTCCATCTATCTTTTCATTCTCATGCACTAGAATCTAATCTAGAATTTTTGTATTCCTATCCTAATAATCTTTATATTTCGAGGATCCTATCAGTTTTTTATTAAATCATCCATATATCTCGTACAAAAGTTTATAAACTACGCATTTAAGACTGCAATGCTCAGTAATATTTAATTTGGCGATTGAACCGTAACCCTGATAATCAATAACGAAGAGCAAAAGCATGTTTTATTCAAGCTTCACCCGTGGAGATTGTGACGCAAACTTAATTAATGCGGTGTTTTTAAGTTGAACGCCATTCGAACGCCAACTAGCATTCAAGCATGTCGCGTCCGTCTAGCTCGAGATCTCAAGCAAAACTTAACCGTCCAGCTTCGGCTCAGAGTCGCCAAGCCTGGTCTACTGATTCTGGTAAAGACAATCCTAGCTTTGGAAATGACGATGCACCAGCACCCATGCAAAGCGAGTTGTATGATCCTAATTCGAAGGACCCGAGAGAAGAAGTTGAGCTCCAAGTTGAAGATCCAAACACAGGTTGTGCACAAAGATTTTCAAGAATCGTTAGAGGTAAGATGGGAAAAAGTTTGCTTTTCCAAGAAATTTCAATTAAAAAACTGCTGTTTTTCCTTTCAACTTTTTAGCTCTGTGGGCAACTAGACAAACGGAAGACACAACTTCCGATAAGGAAATGCACATTAAGACAACTTTAAGAGAATTACTGGTCTACGTAATTTTCCTTATCATCTTGTGTATTGGTAAGAAAAATAGTATATTTTAAAAGTAATAGCTTTTAAGACTTAATAAGACAAAAGCCATAAAATTAACTTATTCAATTAATATTAAAAATATCCTATTGTTAGATTAGAACTTAATTATTCAAACGACTTTCTCAATTGAAAACCTACACAAAAATCTTATCTATTCAATTATTTCTAACTTCAAAAATCAATATATAGATTTCTTTTTTAACCTTAAAGGAATTCTAATGAAACAATATATTCCGTGCAAATTATTCAAGTCTTTTTTATTTATATTCCACATTAGGATAGGCTGAATCTTTTTTTTTTTTTAATAAAAAATAATAAAACATTGAATTATTTATTAGAAAAGAGTTATATTCTGAATTTTTGATTATCTTCTCCCAACGCTTTTGTTTATTTCTTATTTCAGATATTATCGATTGATTTATTTCTATATTTCCATTTTCAGTGACCTTCGCTATGACCAGTCCAACTTTATATTATTACACGAAAGTTATGAGTGAATTGTTCTTGGACTCCCAATTTCCTGATACTAAGAATACTTTCCGTGGAATGACTAGTATGGCCGATTTTTGGAGGGTACAAACATATATTTTTCCTATAGTTGACTCTTTTTAGACGCTTTTTTTTATTTTATTATACAGTTCTCTGAAACTCCTCTTATGGACGGTTTGTACTGGGAAAAATGGTACAATGGAAGAAATGTTAGCCAGAATGAACTTGGTTATATCTTCTACGAGAACAAAGTTTTAGGAGTTCCCCGACTAAGACAATTGAAAGTTCGGAACGACTCTTGCACGGTTCACAGCGATTTTCAAAATGATATTAAACAGTGTTATGATGTTTATGCTAAGAGTATTGAAGATAAAAATCCTTTTGGAAAGATGAATGGATCCGCGTAAGTTTAATTTAGATGAATTTCAACATTTTCTATCTTTTCTTTCCTTTATCAGATGGACGTACAGCTCGGAATCGCAATTGAAAGGAAGTTCTCACTGGGGATTGATAAGTACTTACGGTGGTGGAGGTTATGTTCAAAATTTGGCAACAACTATGGAAAAATCCAAGATAATTATTGCCGATTTAAAGCAAAATCTCTGGTTGGATAGGGGAACGAGAGCCATTTTCGTTGATTTCACTGTCTACAATGCCAATATTAATTTATTCTGTGTGGTTCGTTTGCTAATTGAATTCCCAGCAACGGGAGGAGCTATACCATCTTGGAATTTTAGAACCGTAAAGCTTATTCGTTATGTAACTGCTGGAGATTATTTCGTTTTGGCTTGCGAGGCTATTTTCTGCTTATTCATCTGCTATTATATTGTAGAGGAAGTTCTTGAGATCAAAAGACTAAAATTCAGCTACTTTAAGAGTTTCTGGAACATTTTGGACATTCTCGTAATAGTAATTTCCTTTGTCTGCGTGATATTCAACGTTTATAGAACGATTAAAGTCGATAAAATGCTAACTGATCTCTTGAAACAGCCTGAGGAATATCCTGATTTTGAATTTCTCAGCTATTGGCAAGTTCAATTTAACAGCGCAATCGCTATACTGGTTTTCCTTGCATGGATTAAAATTTTCAAGTACATCTCTTTCAACAAAACAATGACCCAACTTAGTTCCACTCTGGCTAGATGTGCTAAAGATTTAGCTGGTTTTGCTGTTATGTTCTTTATTGTGTTCTTGGCTTTTGCACAATTGGGATATTTAATCTTCGGTACCCAGGTTAAAGACTTTTCGTCATTCCCTAGTGCAATCTTTACCCTTTTCCGTATCATCTTGGGTGATTTTAACTTCCACGAATTAGAAGCTGCAAATAGAGTTTTGGGTCCCATGTACTTTATTCTCTACGTATTCTTCGTATTCTTTGTCCTCCTTAACATGTTTTTGGCCATCATCAACGACACTTACTCGGAGGTCAAAGCAGATGTTTCAAGTCAGCAGAACGAATTTGAAGTTGGCGATTACTTTAAGAAGAGTTACGACAAGATGTTGGATAAATTGAACATAAAGAGAGATAAGATTATCGATATCCAAAAAGCATTGAAATCAGCTGATATTAATCACGATAAACAGCTAGATTTCGAGGAATGGAGACAAGATCTAAAGACAAGAGGTTATGCCGAAGCTGAAATCGAAGCAGTTTTCGCTAAATACGATCTGGACGGAGATAGAATTCTTGACGAAAATGAGCAAAAGAGAATGCAAGCTGATCTCGAAGGACAGAAACAGAAATTAAGCAAGGACTTAATGGATGTTGAAGCAGGCGATAGACCTAAGAGTGGTCTTGGTTCTGACAGCGACGAGGAGGATCACGGTGCAAGATCCACTTCAGGTGTATCTTATGAAGAGTTTGTCATACTTGCGAGAAGAGTTGATAGGATGGAGCATTCTATAGGATCGATAGTATCGAAAATCGATGCCGTTCTACTAAAACTTGAAGCAATGGAGAGAGCAAAGACAAAAAGAAGAGAGACGATGAGTAAGCTGCTAGATAGTATTAGTGAGGTAAATATAGACATATACTTATATATATATACAGTATATATATATTAGCTAATTAATCGGGTAATCACTAACTAACATAATAATGTTTTTAAATAGTCTGGCGGAGATGATGATAAACGAGAGCAAATGGAGAAGCTAGTCAGGGATGAACTTGAAAAGTGGGACTCTGACGGTATGGGTTCTTCAGCTAGTCTACGTCAACGTCCCCCATCCAGACCAGGATCAAATATGGGAGGAGCCCCAAATGTTCGTACACAAAATGCATTAGCTTATCTAAGCATATCCTTATATTTGTTTACGACTCTTACGCTAATATTGATTATTTTCTCCCCAAACAGTAAAGAAATTGAGGAAAGCAGAAAAAGTTACAAAGAACTTTTTTCTTCAAATTCTATTTTCACAGTTTCTCTCTGTAAACAATCTTCTAACGAAGTGCAAATGCCTGTAATAATTGGTTATTTTCTTCAATTGGCGCCACCTACTAAAGCATTAACCTCTAATTAAATGTGAAATTATATTATTGGCTATAATTAAGTGGTTGAATAACGCTTAATTGATGTTGAAATAATCATTTTTTTAGTTGATTTCATATTCTCTTTGTATTAGTCCAAAAGTAAAAAAATAATAGAATGGGAAAAGCCGGGCAAACTAACTTTTCCTTTTTCAGTATGAGAAAACAATACAAATGATTTTCACTTGCAAAATATTTAAATAAGTAGCTTGTTTTTACTTCTCTATTTTTACTTTAGTATTTTTTAACACTTAGGCAACATTTTATTAAAACAGAAGAGAGAGACGTGGGGAGAGCGGGAGAGAGAGAGAGAGAGAAATAAAAAGCAACTAAAGTATTTAAAAATTCCCCTTTTCTTCCTCTCAGTTATTCTCTCTAATAAAATAAGTTTATCGCTTTGGGATTTAACTTATACTTTATAGGCCTATAAGTTAGAGTAAAGCTTAAGAAACGATTAAGATTCTATTATGGGAATGATGCTGAGTTAACGATTTTCATAAGGATTTTTCGTAAAGGGTGAAATTGATCTAACACACTATACATTGGCAAATTTCCAAAAACGTGTGTGGGTGTTTGCACGGCCATACTGCAGAGTGGGCTAAACAATTCGCTCATCACTCTGCAGTTTGCAGCTGCTGGACGTACATATTGCAGGAGGAGAGGATATGTGAAATGGATGAGTTCTATTCTAAATTCCCATTGAATATACATAACGATCAAGTAACGCCTTCTTTGTCAACCAATAAAAGACCTTCACCAAAATCTGTAGCCAAACGTTTAAAGACGTTGTTTAGACGGAAACGATCCAGGAAGTATCAATTGTCGGGGAGTGATAATCAATCGACCTGCTTTCCTAACTTGGATAATTTGTCTTGCGAAACAGGATGTATAGTGAGGATGAATAATGCGGCCAAACTACGGCAAACTTATTCAAAACAGGTGTCATTCTGTGTTTATACTTAATAGAGATATGCAAAATTCACGTTTATTTATAAAATTGTCCCTATAAACAAGCCCGATAATTCTTTTTAATAGAAACCAGAACTGTTTTACATGTATATTCTTTCTTTATTTCCATAAGATTGTTCTTGGTCCAGCCGATTATATCCACCAAGAGCCGTCTCCCGCTCTCAAATATCCGAGAGGGGTAAGAAACCTGAGAAGAAAAGAATATTCTAAAGACGATCCGAAAGATGTTCTACTTCTTAAATTCCAGAGGGAAATAGAAGATTTACGAAAGAAATTACAAGAAGGTGAGTGACTGACCTACTAATTGTGCTTTTTTCGCTAGAAAAGTATTACTCAAAAGTAGTAGAACAAGTAAACAAATAAAATAGGGAAAAGTTATTTTCATCTGTTTTTCTGACTATTACTTTCTTGTTGAAATTGTTTCCTCTAAATTTATAGATAGCGAAGAGTCAGGGGATGAATCGGGTTTCTGTTGCGAGAAAGAATCCGAAGAGGAGACAAACAATTTGTTATCACCTCATCACGATAACGAGCTCCCACTAGAACATCGAATTGAAACAATTAGGATGATAAATAAAAGTAGGGAGAAAGGTCCTAGAAGTAAGTTAAGAATTGAGAATGTTCTTGTTGAAAAACAAATGGAATTAAGGCAAGCAGAGTAGGTTCCTCTGACTTTAAATAGAAAATAGATTATTCTCATCATTATTCTCTCCATATAGGAAAGAGAAAGCTATGATTAAGAATAAGCTACTGCAAATTGAAAAGAAGATAATTGTGGAGGGTGAAAATCTTTTACAAAAGGCCGAAGAACAAGAAAGATTATTAGAAGAAAGCACAAAGGAATTGGATAGAGGTACCTTCAAGCAAATAGAACTTCGTAAGCAGCTTGAAAAGAAAGAGGTAATCCTAATTCCTAAAAAATATATACTTTATATAGACATATTATATATATTAATATTTATATATATATATATATATAGACATATACTGAAATAAATGTTGTTTTCCAGCAAGAAAAGTTGGATATTGAAGAAAAATATTCAAATCTTCAGGAAGAAGCTTCAGGAAAGACAGCTAAATTAAACAAAATATGGGCCATGTTAATTCAAGCTAAAACAGAACATGCCGAAATTCAATTAGAACATCAAAAAGAAATGGAAAGACTATTAGATAATCTACGAAATCTAAACAAGGAACTACGTTTACAAATGCTAATTATTGACAATTTTATACCTTTGGAATATCAGGAAATAATTGAACAACAGATGGACTGGGACGATGCTTTAGGCGAATGGCAGCTGAAGTGTATTGCTTACACTGGAAATAATATGAAGAAGACTTCGCTAATTTCTGTTAAAGATAACAAAAATACCCTAGATATAGGTTTATCAAATATTTAGATACCTTATTCTGAGCAGCCTGTGGAGATCGGCCCCAAGAAGAACGATTAGGAAGCAGTTAGGCTTAGAGTGTTAAATAGGCCTAAAATAATGAAGAAGTAAAAAATACACACACACACACACACACACACACATATACTGTATATATATATATATATATATACACTCTCTCTATCTTGATCCTTGTTTTTTTTTGTACCCTCTCTCAATCGGTTTTATTTATAACAATGTTCGGTTTTTTTTGCTACAGTGGAATAAGATTATCATTCATTGTTCCTGCTTCATTATATCAAAGAAAAGGCTTGTTTATGATATAAAAAGAAAGATTCTTTCATTTTTGCATGTCTTATGGAACATTTTCTTTCACTTGATGATTACATTTTTGTGCCTCTAATTGTTATGGAAAAGAATCTGCATTCACTATTTCTTTTATAATACAGGAGAAAGGTCGCTATTTATCTACATTTTCATTGATATATTGTATCATAGACAATTTTGTTTATAGGCGTTTGACTTTTTTTGTTTTTTTTGTGTTTTTTTTTAAAAAAAAAACAAAGAAAAGCGTCTTTATCTTATAAACACGAAATAATAATAAAGAATAATTTGCCAGTTTTGTTAAATTATTGTCTTTTTTTAAAGATTTTAATGCATTTATTAATTTAAAGTTTTAATACTCTAGTACATTTGTAACCTTAGACGGTCCAAACAAAACGAAATTATATAGTTTTAAATTAAATCGTTAGTCCGAAAATTAAATAGGGGGGATTATTAAAGCCAGTCCGTTTATTAACATCTCTCGTGAATGTCCAAAAGCTCTTCAGTGATTTCATTTCCAGTGAATGGCAAATCATAGACTCTATCGATGCTTTCGATTTTTTCGGTGTATTCATTGTATTGGGCTGGGATGTATCCTCTGGAGATGGCTTCTTCTTTCTCCATACAGACGAAGTTAACGTTCTTCAAGGTTCTGTATTTGTTTTCTGGTCTGCAAGTTCTTGGGCATTCTGGGAAAGCTTGTTGAGAAATGCAGATCATGTCACCCTTTCTGAGATGTCTCTTTACGATTCTGTGTTGCAAGACAGGTTGGCAGGTTCTTAGGGAAAGGGTTCTTTCTCTTCTGCATGATCCTGATTCGATAACATGGTTGATGAGCTCTTCAGATCTGCTGCTATCTTGTAAGTATTCGCATTGACCGCAAACGTATCCTCTCATTTCTGGGGCAATGACAACTTTGGTTTCATAACCGTCACTTACGACAGTCCATCCTTGGATTTCGGATTGGCAAATAACTTTTTGGGTTTGTCCTTCAAATCCTTGTCTTTGGCAGACGATGTGGTCTGTGGTGTATTCAGATGGGATTCTGAGGGAGGTCAATTCTCTTTCGAGGTTGAAATGTTTGCCGTTGACGATCAACTTGGGGAGAACTCCGAAAGATCTTGGAACGATTTGGATGAGGCTTTCTTGTCCGTAGTAGATTTCGATTTTTTGTTGAGAGGTTTCCTCAGTTGTGGAAGTGATCATCCATTGGGGTCTTGGACGGCAATCCTTGGCAAGAACGGTTTCACATTCGCTCTTTTCAGAGGTGTGGTAAACTTTGCCTTCGAAAGTTTTGACAATCTTGGCAGTCTTGGTGCAGACTGGTTTGTAGAGAGATTGTCTGTTGACGGTTGTTGGACGGATTGGAAGAACATCAGGGACGAGGAAGGTAAAGACTGGGAGGTTGGTGGCACGGATGGTGGTCAACATAGTGTTGGCAACGAGATCAACCTTACCCAAAGCTGGGCACATCTTGACAAGCAATTCGTAGTTGAGGACTCCAATTCTTGGGTTGTATCTCATAGAGACATCAGCGTATTGTTCCATGATTTGGTGAATCCAGCCTTGAAGGATAACAAGGGTTTCGATAGCGCTCTTGGGAAGAAGTTGAACGGTCATTGGGGAGCTTCTCATTTCAACCCTGACGGTTTGTGGAAGAACGTATTTCAAGAGTTGAGTTTGTTGGTTGAAGCATTGTTCGTGATGGATTCCCAAGTATTTGTTGATTTCCTTCAAATCTTCAACAAAGAGGTTGATCATGCTGATTCGGCGATGGTCAACGAAGACGGAAAGACCAGCGAATTGTCTTTGGTTGCAGAATCCGTTCATGCAAAGAGTTGGGGCGACAAAGTGTCCCTTGACATAGGTTTGGGGAAGAGACTTTTGGGTCATCAACACAGCGAATTGGTGGTGAAGGAAGTTTCTGGTAAAGATCCATTTCAAGTTAAGTTCTACTTCTGGTCTGACAGTTGAGAGCCATCTGCTGGATGATCTTTGTTGGATTTTAACTTTCAATGCTGATCTGTAAAAGTGTTTTTCAACATGTCCGAAATCGAATGGGATTCTAGAATCGGTATCATTGACCATATCAACGATATCTTCACCATACAAGCCAGACCACAATTTTTGGTAAGCACTTTCGACATCCATAGTTTCTTTGATGATTGGTCTTTCGATTCTTTCGTATGGTCTAAGTTCAACCAAAAGTTCAACTGGGGTGTCCAATTCTTGTTCAACGACAAGACGGAGTTTGTTGGGGCATGCCATAAGGGGAACAGCAGAGAATGGTGTCTTTCTGATGCAAGATTCAACTTCCATGGTGATTTCTGGGAAGAGGTATGGCAATTGGATGGTCTTTTGGATGGTGAATGGTTCAACGGTTTCCTTGGCAAGGATTGGAGTGACTTGTTCGTAAACTTTAATTTCTTTCTTTTCTTCCAAAACAACGATGGTAGCTGGTCTCATGTAAGCAGTTACGGAAGGCTTTTGTCTTTGGGCAAGTTTGTAGATGGTTCTAAGAGTCATTCGTGGATGTTCTCTAACCAATTCCAATTCACCGTTGATGGGCAAGATAGTGCTAACGAAAGCTTCATACATAACACCGGTTTGGATCTTGGGGATAGCACTGACCAATTTGTTTCTCTTGATCAAGATGTGTCTGATTTGGAAGTCCTTATTTTGGGTTTCGATATGGATTTTTCTTGGGAATTGAAGATATTTGATGCATTTTTCGATTCTTGGTTCGGTAACGATTTTAAGTTGTCCTCTCATGTGGAAGATGTTAGCATAGGTGGAGTTCCATGCAGTATTGAGTCCAGTTGGGCTTGGGATAAGAGTCATGGCATTGACAGAGCCCAAAATATTGGTCATGCTGATGTCAAGTCCAGTTTGCAATTGTTCAAGGAGATCAGTAACTTGGGAGTAGATATCTCTTGGGCTGGAAGATTTGACGATGAGGGTTTTCAAAACATCTTCAACGATTTCTCTAAGAGCTGGAACATCCAAATAGATGGTTTCGTAGTTGAAAAGACGGATGCTCAATTCCAAGTTCTTTTCGATATCGAAGTCTCTGGACATGTACAAGGTTCTGTATTCATTGTTATTGAACAATTCGTAGAGTTCTCTTGGCAATTTCATGCTTTCTTCTTGGAAAATTTCCTTGATCTTTTCCAAAGAAAGTTCACCTTCAAGCATCTTGGCAATGATGGAAACTTTGCTTCCCAAAACTTGTTGGAGGTATTGGGGCAATCCTTTGGTCTTTAAGCTAACTTCAATGGGCTTGGTAACGTGTCCCATACCAGTCAAGTAAGTTTTATAGTTGATCCAAGCTGGAACCATTTGGGTGGAGACAGGGGTGGTGTATTGAAGGACAGAGTAAGCTCCAGAAAGAGAAGGAATGTCCAAACCGAACATTTTCAAGGTGTGAGAGTATTGGATTGGGAAAACTGGGAGTTTGTTGGTGATGAGCAAGTGTTTCAAGTTTTCTCTGAAAAGAGCGGCAACAGTGGTTGGGTAGACCATTTCAGAGTAAGATTTCAACATTGAGCAAACGAAAGATTGAAGGTTAACATTGCGCTCATATTGGATGTGTTGAACAATAATTTGGAGAGTTGGGAGACTGCATTCTTTTTCAACAAGCAACTTAACGCAGTGCATTCTCAATTCAACATTTTCGGATTGATCAAGGAAGATTTCGAGAAGAACCTTTTCCAAATATTCAAAAGATTCAACCTTTCTGACGGTATCGATAGCTTCGATTCTTATTTCGGTTTCATATTTCTGAGATTTTGCCAAGTCAAGAGTTTTGGAAACTTGTTCTCTGGTCAATTGGATGTTTCCGAGGGCTTTCAAGACGCACTTGCATCTATCCATGTTGGTTCTGATGTTGTTTTCGGCAATATCGATCAATTTGGAGACGATTCTGTTAACGAAAGATTCAACTTGTTCGTATCTTCTGGCATCCTTGTACATAGTTTGGAGACGGTCGGTCATGGTTCCAACGGCGAGGACAACGGTTCTCTTCAAGCTGACTTTTTGGAGTCTTTCGGAGAGTTTCAACAATTGTTCAATGATTTTTTTGCATGGTTGAGCTTTCAATGAGAGACTCTTGACGTAAGTAATGGATTTAACAAGAGAAACGGATTCTTCTTCGATGAGTTCCAAAACAACGGTAGCACACTCAGGGGTACCGCAAGTTGGGAGAAGATCCATCAAAATGGTTTGTTGTTCTTCATCTCTGATTTGTTTCATGATTCTCTTCAACATGGTGGGAGTGCATTTTCTCAACAAACCAACAACCTTTTCCAATTGAACTTTAACTTCTTCGGCTCCCAATTTGATTTGTCCGTGCAAAGTTTCGATTTCTCTAACAATTTCTTCCTCAAATCTTCCTTGTTCAGACATTTCAATAGTTTCCAAGATTCTTTCTGGCAACAATTGTTTCTTGTTGACTTCAAATTCGATGTTTTTGGAAACGTATCTTCCACCAGTGATTGGTCTAACTTCACCATTGTCTCTGATGACCTTCTTGAGGACCATAGAGGTGAGTCCGTGAACGGCGACGGTATTGGTCTTAACTCCTGTGATTGGGATGAAGTACATAGAGTTTTGTCTGGCTTGAAGTAAAACAGCTGGGATGGTTTCGGAACCTTCCAATACCAAAATTTCGTATTGAGTTTTCATTGATGGAACCAATTCGTATTTGCAGGTCAATTCATCTTCGGTTCTTTCCAAACATCTAGAAAGACCAGAGGTGGAGAATTTGTAGATTGGAGAAGCGGTTTCTTCACAGTTGGTGAAGTTGCGGACCTTGTTCAAAACGTAGACCTCATCAGAACCGGAAAGTTTGTTGTAAGTGATTTTGGTATCACAAGTTCCGCTGATATCACGTTCTTGTACATTGAATACTTGGGGAGTTTTTTCAAATTCCTTTGGTAAAAATGGTTGAAGACCGCTAACGATGGCTCTCTTGATGTTGACAGACCAATCTTCATCATCTCTTTCGACATAGATCTTTCCATCATCGATTTCTGATTCAAGAAATTTGAAACCGAAAGGCTTTTGGATCATTTCGACGAGATCTTCAACATCGCTCAATCTGGCCATATCACCAACTGGGATTTGGTTGAGAGGAGTTGGAAGTTCCAAACGTTTAGCTTGCAAAATTTCAACATTTCTCAATTTGAGAGTAGTGGATCCAGATAGAGGTCTTCTTGCCAATTCATAAGTACAAACAAGTTGTCCCTTAATCTTAAGTCCGGAGTAAGTTTGTGAAGCACCTTCAATTCCATGTAAAATATCACTTTCATAATCAAAAACAAGTGCATCATCAGTGCCAACTTGTTTAGGTTGGAAAGGGTTTGGTTGAATGTTGAATGCGCCTATAAAAATAGGAGAAAAGTTTATTCAACGTTATAAAATTCAATTTTATGAAATATACTTACTAGCGAATGCGAGGGAGATCAAAAGCAAAATTGCCGACTGCATGTTTATTGTTTATGCCTCGACTTGACTGCTTCGTACAGATCTAAACGAAGCTTCGGCTTTTATACGATTTGATGTTCTAAAATCAGTTCTTATGCATATGCAAATATTGGTTTTCACACAAAAAAAATTGTTACGTAAGTAATCTACAAGTTCAATGTTCAATAACCTTGAATAACAAGCATTGAACATTTAAAATATAGCTTTTCTTTGCAATTCTAGAGTGAATGTAAGTGTAACATAGTCAATTTAATCTCCCCTAAAACATTACAAGAAGATGCAAGCATTTTTCATAAGCATGCAAATAACCCTTGATTAATTGGAAATTTCCCGAAGTTTCTTCTTATCTTTAAAAGAAGGTAGTTCATAGGCTTAAAGCGAATTTTTTATATTCGTGATTAAACTTATCGCATAATCAATTTTCTTACGTAAAAAAATATAATAAAGAAGAGATAAGCCCTCTTTTATAAAATTAAAACAATAGGGGAAAGACATCTGGGGTTTCTTATATAATATTTATAGAAGCTAAATGCTAATCATATAGTTTGTTTTATCAGACAAGGCTGTTATTTAGTATTTTATTATTATTTCTCCTAAAAGTATAGAATCGAGATTATCTCTTAGTACGTTGTTACGTAACTACTTTAAAAGTTGTTAGGCTGTTTGTGTCCTGCCTTGAATTGGGTCGACATGTCCTTGGTTGGATGGTAAAAACAAGAAAACAAGAATATTATAGATATATTCTCTATTCTATGTATAGATCTACAAATAACTAAAAAAATGTTGCTATATCCTCGCAGGCTCTTTATTTTAAAAAGGTTATTAATTACATTAATGTTAAGATACAGTTACAAGGTTTTTTACGATCTCCTTCCCTCTTTCGCTCTCTTTCTCTCTCTTTCTCTCTCTGTTGTACTGTGTTTGTGTGTCTGGGTGCACATCTCCCCACTCCTATACATTTCTATCTTTTTCTCTGTCTCATACTTCTTTGTTATAGTCTTATTCATTCTGTAACTTGCTATTTATAAATTTATTAATCTATTTCTCCTCTCTAACTCACTCTTTCTTTCTCCTTTTTATTGTTTGCATTGAATGGATATTTCATTTCATTTCCCTTAATAAAGTTAATATTGTTTTATTGAACATTAAGTATCTATGATACTTTTTATGTAAATAAGAGTTTTCTTATTATTAATATAGATATATTTCAATTTTAGTATTCCACTTTATAACCTATCTTTCATTTTGAAAAGAGCAGGTATTAAAAAATTATGTAAGTTGGCCTCTAAATAATTTATTTATAATCTCTAATTTTATTAAGCTTCGATCAAAGTTTTAGTTTGGTCTAGCTGAGAACTTGTTTTAAAATAATAGATAATCAATAAATTGTCGATTAGCAATTGAACGCTTACTCCGATTAGACGCCTTTCATCAAATAATTTTTATAGAATAATAAATGAGCGACGTAATTTAAGTTGGAGAATATTAAATTTTTAGCTAATTTCCCACAATCAACGTATCAAAATTAGTATACGGATATAGAACATGCTCTATACATTGTATATAGTATAAATTATATAATAAGTTAATATATTGCATATAATCTAATATAGATAAATGATAATGTATTAGTAATAAAACTGTTCAGATCATATATACTGCATTTTATGGTACATACAAACGCTATATATACAGTATATATATATATATATATATATGCAGTAGTAAATCTTATATGCACGATGCCTGAAGTTTACATCTTTGAATGCGGATAATATATAAAGAGTAGCCTTTCAGATAATCATTTTCAAATCAGTTTGGCATTTCTCTCCTTAGGTTCCTCCTTTTACTTGATAGTACACGATTCGAAGTGGTATTTTAGACGCTATCTCGGACAGCACTTACCAATTTGGACGTCCCCTCGCTCTATAAATCATTCGTCCTTGCCAGGGATTACTCATGCTGATTGCTTAGAATAGGTTATAGTCAAAACAAAACGTCTATTTGCAGTACATGCACTGAGTAATAAGTATATTTCGCCTTTAGAGAAGGTTTTTAGGTAATTACTCTCTGCCACCTCTATTTATTGACATTTGAACTGAATCTCTTTAATAAACTACATGTTAATATTCATTGTCGAATACTTATTTCCATGTGCCCAGACAAGCATAAGCCTAGTGTCTAGAAAACCAACGACTTGATGAAAAATAACATACTATCAGAGTAATCGTTTTAATCAGTCAAGAAGGACCTGTTTCCTTCCGTACATTCCTCTCGAAAGGGGTTCCTAACACAGGAAAAGATTGATATTTTGGAATTATAACATGATAGATTAAGCCGTAAGGTGTGTTGTCAGAAGTTGTGATAAACTGTAAACAGCTTAGTTACAACAATATAAAGAAAATAAAAACAATAATAGAAAAGAAGTTCTTCAAAAGCTCTTCACTACCAGAAAGACAAAAGGGAAAAAATCAATGAATAAAAACAAAAACTTAATTACTTTTTAGCGAATCTCAATTCGAAACTGTGGATAAGGCAATATCCGAGACGGGGGACGGAGTCAGCGGACGTAATTAAGTCGGGCTATAGGCAAAAAAGGATAGAGAAAAAAGGAATAGGAAAAAAGGATGGAATAATGAAAAACAATTATACGAAACATAAGTGGAAAAAGGTAAAGTAAAAGGCTAAATTTTTTACTACTTAAATATATTATATTGAATTAGATATATTAGATGTTTTTAGGAAAATTGGATGAAAAGATAGTCTTCTTTCTTCCTAGTATCAACCTATTTCTTATGAAAGTGAAACCAACAAATAAGAGGAGCTGAGAAAAGAGAAAACCCGGCTTAAGTAAATGCTGGTGGTCTCTTTACTAAATAAAGATATGCCCTGAAGCCGTCTTTTATGCTTTGCAACACCAAAGCCAGCAGAACTAGTTGGGGGTTACTTACAGTTCGAAAAAGATCCTACTTCAGTCTTCATTATTCAAGTATCGAAAGTCTCTTTCATTCAAGATCGATTGTATGTCATATACTATTTATATAGAATAAACAATATATGAAGAGGACAGAATTTTTAAGTTATTTATCAATTGGCATCTTTCTCGAATCTTTTTTAAGTACGCATCTAAACTCTAATCGTCTCTGAATGAAAATGCTAATTTCAGGCCAGATTTGATTCCCTCGACGTCACGCGATCATATACAGATTATAGACCTGCTCTTCCTTTTCAAATAACTTTTTACAATAAGGTAGTTAGTCACGTGATGAAATAATTTAAGAGGCGTCAAGAGTACGACCTTCTAATCGCGACCCCTTTTTCCATTTTTTCTGTACAAACGTCTTTTATCGCTCCCGGGACGCCTATATAGGTTTATATAAATTATGTAAGAATCATATATATCCCTTAGTCCGGCTAATTCGCACTTCATTTGAAGGAAGATGCCGTACTATTTCCGATTCGCTTTTCCTATTGTACTCTTATATACAATATATTTAGTTTAGTGTCACGTAGACTCTCACTGACTTAGACGCTCACCGATTTCCTATTAAGATGGTTTCTTTAGGTTTTTAACGCTCCACAAATCTGTTGAAAAAGAATTAGGAACAAATTGAGGAAGGGGATATGTGAATACATGAAGGTTATGGTAAATGCGATGGAGGTGGAAGGGGGAGGAGGATGGAGAAGATAGAAAATAGGAGAGATGGTAAAAAAAAGTTATCGATTTTTTCTTTTTTATCTAATTAACGATTGCAAGGATTTTTCCGCGGATGCTGTATAAAATAAAACTTGATTTTAAAGAAGACGTAACTTGTTCTTTATCCATTTGATCTGACACAATTCGTCCGAATAAGAAGATCACAAATAAAATAACCTGTAAAGATTCGCTCAACTAGAAAAAAATATTAAACGATCATTTATTCTTCTCGTTTAAGTACTGTATAGTTTTGTTCATTGTTTGTCTATTCCAACTAGGAATAATGCGTATCAAATTTGCTTGTATATAAACCAGATCGAAGAACAAGTAAGGTTTTGGAATGTTTTAGCAGATGCTAAAGTAAGTATTATTATTCGACGAGCAAGCAAAACAGCGAAATTTCCGCGTTTTGCAGTCGAGCACACTATACAGCAATCTCTTTTACGGCTAACGCTTTTACGAATCGTTTCCGCAAATGCCTAATGCATTTTCCGTCGTTGGTCTCCCATATGATATATAGTATATAATACGAAAAATATATGTATAGTTTTTCAACACGGTGCTTACACTTTTCCAGTTGTAATATACCTTAATCTTGTGTGAATGCCACTAGTATCTACAGACTACACCTATGCATTAAACTATAAGTATATATGCAGTATTTTACAATAAATCATATTGGTGCAAACTGAAATTCAAGACATCCAAAAGAACAAGAATTTACCATGTATTATAAATATAGACTTTACAGACCCGGCTATCCTCCAAGGTACGTATAACTCGTCTGCTGAGTTCTTTACAAATCAACAGCTTTCTTTGATTTTTTCTTCCTTTTGTAATTTTTTTAAAATATCAATGAAGCGGGAAAACGAATAATACTAAAAGCTTATCTCTTGTAGTAGTAAAAATTTCATTGAACAAGCTTAAGGAAGCACAACTAGTAACATCCAAAGGCTAAATTAGGTCATTTTGGATTGACGGATTCGTGAATAATATTTTAACTTTTTTTAAAGTAACAGCTGTTATTAATAAACTCATTAAATACATAATATTGAAGCCTTTTGATGGGAAAATATGGATTAAAATAGAATAGGGAGTAAAAATAATAAAATATATCAGAAAACAAAGAGTATTGAAGATACAGAATGAAAGAGAGATATAGAGATAGATAAGCTGATAAAGCGAGAGAGTGAGAGGGTGAGAGGGAAAGAGAGAAAGAGAGAGTGAGAAAGTGAGAGAGAGAGAAAGAGAGAGAGAGACAAAGAGCGCGAGAGAGCGAGAGAGGGAGAGATACAGAGAGAGAGAGAGAGAGAGAGAGGAATAGATAAGAAAGGAAGGGGTATAAAGGGTAGGAACAAAATTGAAACGAATACATATCTTATTTTATAATTAATAATATCAAAGAAAACAACTTAATATAATATATTAGTATCTATTAAAAAAAACAGAACTAGCAATAGTAGGAATCTATCAAGGAAGATCGCTAACGATAGGAAAAATATGATATAGATACGTAGAAAATAAAATTTTTGTTTCCTTTTAGCTTTCATTAGATAATCAATAAAAAAAATAAGAAAAATGAACTTAGTACGAATTATTCCCACTGTTGTTTGTCTCTCTCCTCTTTCCATACTTACTTTTATTTTATGCTTTCTTTCTAAAAAAGAGAGAAGGAAAATTCTTCCAATTCTCTTTTAATCAAGTTTTAATGGATTAAAATCGCAGAAAAAACTGAGAATTACTTTGTAAAAATAAACAAATAAAGTTAGTTTCTATTTACTTAACCGTTCATATACTGCAATGTACACAGTATAACAGTATAAACAACCTGGTAATTTTTGACGTTTTCAATATAATTGAGCACCCGTATACAAACATAGATATATCGATACATTATTAGTATACACACAAATATATATATATATATGTGTGTATATTTACAAAATATATGTATATAAGTATGCATTGTATATTCAGAATATTTATATAAAAGTATACACGATGCACAAATATACAACTTTTATAATAATACTGAATATACTTATAACATTTATTTCATACTTACGCATTATATAATGTAATTGTCGTCGACTAGAGAAAACTGTATGAATATTTATGTATATAAACAGTATATATACAACTGTTTTTTCATAGTAAAAAAAATACGAATACACGTAGGCCAATCAATGCTCTATTCATCCAATATCACAAAATGAACGTGTCCTCTTCAATGGAACTGCATTTGACTTTTCGCCGTTCGCTACGACGCAACTGCAAATCGCCGTACGAAGGCGGAGGGCCAACCCTTAAAGGGTGATCTGCTGCTGATGTTGATGGCTCCTCATCTAGTCCTACAAGTGACGCTGTAGGATTGTCTGGTGGCAAGTAGGTAACTGTATCCAAATTATTAGTCCTCGTTTTCCGTTTTTTCGTTTTCTCCTCATTGAGGTGAACGCAATTGTATTCTTCCCCTAGACCGGCTGAGGTGGCCGATGGAGATTGGAAGGCTTGAGAAGTTGGAGAGGAATCGAACGACTCCTTCAATGCAGAGGCGTCCGAATAGCAGAATGAGCAACATTTTCCCTGCACGTAGACGCATAACAGACACGAGATTATTAGTAATCCCATACCGATTAGAAGAATTATGGGACCGGTTAACCGGATTCGTTCAACGTATGAATTTATTGGAGGGGCAAACCAACCGGCCAGAGTAAGAACAAAACCGGCTGTAGATAAAATAAGACCTAAGAAAAGAGTCACCGACGTCTTAGAGCAGGTCATGTCGATCCGATACAGCATAGTGTTAAGGTATGAAAACTCGGTTGATCACTGACGAATCCTCTAAGCGAGCGCCACCTGTACAAACAACTAGAAATACGCAACAGAGTAAATCCACTTTACGGTATCAACCGTGTGAACAATACAAAATTTGCTCAAGAATTCATTAAAGGACAGCTCTCCTCTTACTGTTTCTTTCTCTTTTCCTCTCACTTTTTCTCGACTTGATCGTATTTGAGTTCTACTTTCGAGCCGCTACAGCAATGCCGCCTCGTGAATGCGATTGTAACTTTGTCAATGAATACTCGGCGATGTGAAGCAAACTCAAGCTGACAGACGGTCGTCCAAGAAACTCGGCGTTTGTCGCGAGAAACCTTCGAAAAACTCCGAGTGCAGATTTAATTTGCGCCCTTTTACGCGATACTGTCATGGGTATTGAGCTGAAGTGTACCTATAAACTCTGAACACATTCGATGCGGTCTAAAACTTATTCTTTTCCTTTCTATTTATTTACATCAATACTTTTTTCGCGGAAAAATGGCAAATCGCCTTTATTCCCTCCGATGTGGGAATAAGTGTGAAGTGGACGGCAGAGGAAATTTAGTGCGAATTGGGAGTAGAAAGGAGACCAGGGTCTGTTATCGAGCGTCATTAATTTACGATCGAAATCAATATAGGTCACCACCATTCCGTACAATGTCCGTATCAATAGTGCAATTGATGAATGAGCTCTATTCCTATTGTCCCAGGATAAGTCTGACAAGCTTTTCTCGTCTACGGCTTAGTTAATCATAATTTTCTTTCGCATATTGAGGAAAAAGCTACTGATCAGCTCTTTTAAAGCTAAGCACCAAGTCCATCCATCAAATATTTTGACATTAAACCATTGCTAGGTATATTATCAATTTACTTAGGGCTGGAGCCTACCAGTTATCGTCCTATAATGACGCCAAATAGGAAATAGACTTTTGATTAATTATATTCTTAGCTAGCTCTTTATTATGATCAACTACTACTTCCCATCGCCTTTTATTATTTCATTTTCTTTTTTAATTATGTCTTTTGGCGTTTGTGGTACTAATGAAAATAGAGTTTCCAAACAACAATAAAACAATAATTTTCATAGTTTAATATGGTAATCTCTTGAGTTAATATTCAATTTTCTGCTCTTTTATCTTTTTCCTTTTATGTTTATGCAACTTTTCTTTTAGACTTTTAGAGTAGTTACATCATGGAAAGATGAATTAATAACTTAAAATTACCGGAAGTTCATGCCAGAGAGAAAAGCTAGGAAATAGTAAATTGCTCTTGGGAGTGTTTCACCTCTAAGCCAAAAATATGATATTGTAAATATATGAAAGTATACATGCAAGCTAAATGAATAAAAAAAAATTATATATATATATATAAGTATATATTTAGACGTCTATTATATTTATAAATAAACTACGAGAATATCAATAAACTCTATAAACAGTAGACAGAATTAGACTATAGTTAGGTATCATATGAAACTATTAAAAGAATATAAATAAATATATACGCTATATGCATAGTATATATTAAAATATTTAGAGCAATTTTTACCTATTCTATATTTACAGTACTTGGTTTATATGATACTTTTCATCACGATCGTTTATACAATTTGTTAGACATAAATTTCTTTCTATCATCACATAGTTTGCCTAAACAGACTTAAACGAGGCGTGCTATTGATTATGACGAACAAGGCGAAAAATAAAGAGGATTTATTGTGCTTTTTTTAGCGCTTTTGGCCTGTCCAAACTCGTCAAGAGACTAATTCTGACTTGAATTTGAACTAATTCCATGAAAAGGAATCACTTTTTTTTTTAATCCTCTTTTATCCTACTTCAGACAAACTAGCTTAAAAATTAGCTGGAATGAATTAATAATAAAAAGGAACTTTCATAAATTACTGGTATCATAAAGTGTAAACCTGATTAATTACTCAACATCCCAGTTTGTCACCAACACCTCAATTTAGTTTTATAATTCATACAACGTTTCTGTCTTGAATAAATAAATAAATAAATAAATAATATCCTAAATAAAGAATATGGGAAGGAAAAGAAAGTTTCTATCGTCAACTGTGATGCGATATAAGAAACAAATACATAGATGTTACACTTTAAAGGAATCGTTCTGTATATATACCATACGTATAAATTACGTGATATATCTCTACAGCTGAAATCGGACATCAGAGTTAAAGTACGCATGACATATTCTTTTCCCGCAATGTGCTTTAATGACGTCATCGATTGTTATTGAACCGTGTGGGTCGTAAAAAAAAACCAGCAAATTGCAGAAATTGAAGCCTTCCATGAATAGTTTATTCGATAACAATCAATTATTCCGTATACTTATGCAAAAAAAAGAAAGCATGAAAAGTCTAGGAAGGCAAACTTAGGTCGATTCATAGTTTGCTTACCTTACCAATGGAACAGACAGCTCGGGGATAATTACAAGACAAACAGCTCTATACAACTCCTGGAAAAAAATAGTATGAAGTTTGGCACACCATACTATATAATTACAAGGCTCCTTGTTTTAGGTGAAAGAAAAATTTCCTATGAAAGTATTAATAACGAATCGATATAAGTAATTGAATGCCAGAATTATGCGATAAAGAAAACCGATACTAATCAATTGACTTTCGCTCGATTCCCAGTAGAAAATAGTTCAGATTAATATCGACATTTAATAGCAAGAGAAATTTTTTATTCTAATCGCTCGTTACTAGAAAATATTTCTCAGAAAGAAACGTTGAGGAAATAATTGAGCTTATTACAGCTCATTTGTTATCAAAAAGGAAGAAATGATGGCAAAGAATAAATTACTTACCTTACCCAGGAAAATTTCCTTTCGCCCCTACCTTCTATCCTTGCATTCATCCCCCTATTACCTGCCTATTCAAATTCTCCCTTAAGTTTCTTCATATTTTATCTTTTTTTTTTTATTACAAGCAGCTGCTACTTAACGGCGACAAGAGTGCCGTGGGAATAACTAATTAATTTATTGTTCGCGTGTTTCAGTTAACTTTGTGGTTTCGTAGTTTTTGGTGACCTTGATCTGGCTTTTCTCTTCTTTTGAACGAGGTGTATCGGATTGGATAAGCGTCTTTGCAAATTTAGACTAAGGCCATATAAAGCATAATTGGATAGTTGACAAAGGATAGATTCTGCACTCGCCGTTGCTTTCGTAGGATCTATTTTTGAAAATGAAGTTTTTGAAATTATAAATAATAACCAGAAAAGAAAACAATATGCTTTTATTTAATTAAGCAAAGTAGCATAATATACCAGGTGAACTTGCAAAGTACTGATCTATAATAGATTTGACGGCTGCATTTTGCTTTAAATCAGATTCCAGTGATTTTATGGAAATTGATGACAAAGGTAAATTATTGTAAACTCTAATACATCCATCGAACGAAGCATATGCCAAACATGGCTTATTATAATCTTTCTCTGTCGAACAATAACTACCTGAATAATGAATAATAATTATAAACTCTGCAATCTTTGTGGTAAATTAAAAGAAAACATTACAACCGGTTGAAAAGGAAGCAACGTGCTGTGGAAAATCGAATCGAACTACATCCTGGTCTAGACTTATTATATAAGTATGCCCGTCCCAAGAGCATGCTACTATTTCCTCGGAGCCGTCCCCCTGTTCATTGACTGTAATTATAAACGACAATCTATCTAAGAGTTATATTACCATTATATCAATTTTATGTAAACTAAATAATTTTCGATCGACTATGAGAGACCAAATTATCCTATCATAATCAACTACTGTTATTGTACCTGAAAAAGAAATATTTAGTTAAAAATATTACTCTAAAAAAACGAATATAAACCATCAAGTGTGCAAATAGCCGAATAGTAAACAGTCTCTCCATCTTTACACCTCTTTATGTTGCCAATAACCTCTGTACTTATATCGGGATTTCTCGCTCGTCTCGACCCCAGAGGATGGTAGAACAAATAGGGTCCTGGAAATTCCGAGTTAACTTTATCTCTGAAGTCGAAAAGCTCATTTTAACAAAAACACTTTTGTTTGCTATTTACAAAATTAAATTATTATATACAAACGAGTCGGGAAATTTCAAGGTACAATAAGTCCCACCCGGCTGTGAGACGATTAAATCAACCGATTGCAAATCGGGATTATTACACCATGACACTGATCCTAATAAACCGGCTAGTGTCCACTCCTCGACCAATTTAAATTCATTTTCAGACCATTTAAAAGCTCGTACTTTCCTATCGCTATAGCCAATAACTAACTCTACTTCACCATCTTTATCTAATTTTGTGGAAATCGAGAAATTCCTTATCAGTTAGACGATATGAAAGAATTTTAAAGATACAAGTACAGACTTATATCAGTAATGCAGAAGCACTTATTGTTCGGCAATAGTTTCTGTTGAAAACTGGGCGTTATAGTATAAGCGTTACTATAAATGTTCATAGATTCGTTATTGGCATCAAAATTGAAATCATTTTGCGACTCTCCTAAATTATCAAAATCGGAAAATTGATCATCTTCTGAATGGTTAGCCGAAATAGCATCCCCTTCATCGTTCTCAAGTTCCGGTTTCGCTTCCTCCCCCACGAAACGACTTGACTGCGTTCCGTAATTTACGTTATGTCACATAATATGCAAAAACATGCATTGCTTATAGAAACAATTCGTTACTTACGGAATCAAATGGAGTTGATGGAATAAAATTATCCGATTCGTCATTAGTTGGTGAAATATCGAAAAAATAGCACCATCCTTCAACAGTTAAACATACTAGCAGATTCTGAAGAAACGATTAGTTAAAGGTTAAAATAGTGTTAACTGTACTTATATATAATTACTTTTCCAGTATTACAGACCGGTCCACATCCGACTGACGTTATCTGTTAGAATCGGCGGTAATAAAATGTATCAAGGACATAATCAAATTTAGTTAGCAAACCATGTGCAAGTTGCCAGCTGTCTTCCATGGATATTTACTGTCGAACTTATAAATGAATATATCACCTGATGTTGTGCCAAGAAACATTTCATTTTTCTATTATTATAAACGATAATAAAGAACAACACGAAAATTAGACTATTTTACATACTCCATCATTATCTACATCCCCAAAAGACAATGCATTAGAAGAAACCATTCCATCATAAAGAAAAGTTAGATTTTCTTTAAAGGATACCGTCCTCATTTTGCACAAAAATAATTATGACGTTTTTTTTTTTAAGACGCATCAGATATATAGCTTTTCAAAGTATAAGACAAGATAGAAAGTATAATGCAAAAATACAATTACTTTTGAAGTTTAAAGAGCCAAAAAAATTAAAAGAGTCTCAATATATTATAATATTTTTAACGTTTTCTGGATAACGAAAGGAGAACGTTTCAAAAGAAGTACAATTTGCTCAATATGAACGTAATGTATAATGGCTAAACCTAGAACTTTTGGCTGACAAAATTTGATGGCCAAATAGGAATAAAGAGGTTAAATTCAATAAATACCATTTAGCAACCCTTTTGTCTCAGCCACTTTAGTAATTTAAGTACAATTGATTTAAAAATTTCACTCTTTAGGAATTTGGAGTATCTCTTTCCTTTTTATACTATATATACAGTATGTATACATATTCATTAATATGGATCAACAAGAACAAAATGTTACAATCTGAGAATGTTTGCAACGGAATGGAAAGGGAACGAGGTTAAAGATTGGATTACATTGCTCTGGCTAAGGCTTATCCTGTTATTTATTATGCTTTAATTTCGTAATTTTTCAACCTTAAACATGCGAAAGCATGAATTATAAAAGTCTTCAAAAGACTTCATCCGTCTCAATTTGAATGTTTGCTATTATCAATGAAGCTTGGTAATATATCGGAAAAAAAATTGGACCTTTATTACCCTTTTGAGCAAGAATCTCTCCCTTTGGACATTAATATTTGATAATTGTAACTTTACGTTTAAAAGTACTCAAATAAATGAGAAAGTAAATAATTCTCATCTTGATTATTAGTATTAGCATTTGAAAGAATTTTGAAGGGAAGAGAAGGCTGCACGTTGAAAAATAAATGCAGTATAATAAATCATTTTCTACTTACTTTTCATTAGTTTCTATCAAACAACTAAATTAACTGCTCTTTTTAAAAGAACGTTAATAAATCAACTAAATGGGAAAAATTTCAGGGTTTTGCATTGTACATTCTGAGCCAATAAATCTTCTTGTGTGTTAAGTTTTTAAATATTTATGATTCCAGAATATTTTAATAAAAATTCTATTTTTCTTTATTATAATACATTTTCAAACAACTTCAAATAGTTGTATATAAACAGTCCGTTCCATTTACTTAGAGCCTATCCTTGTACGTTTATTCCAAGAGAAGTTTGCCCCGTATGATTTGGGTCTTGTTTGAAGCCAGTTTCTCTCGTCAATTTGGTACTTCCAACCTGAGAATTTTGGAAGATAAGCAATGGCAAAATAAATTTACATCATATTCTCTTAGGCTAATACTTTATAATGTTTTAAAATGTCTAAAGTGTACAGAAGAAAACACTTTACCATTCTTTTCGCAAAAGGCAGCTGCATCCTCTTTAGATGAAAATTCTACGTGAGTGTTTGACAAAGGATCGCCCGTTGAGCTCCAACCCATAAGAGGATTTTCCCATCTCTCTCTAGTATCAAACTCTAGTCTCCAAGTTTTAGAACCATGGGTCCCGCTCTGCATAGCATTCTTAGGTGGAACGAATATTCTCACTCTACGCTCTTTTATATGTTCCTCCGGTACTCCAGATATAACACTGATATCTTCCTGCAATTATCAACATTACAACTCTTTTAGAAAACCTTATCTACAGCCGTTTATATATGTTTTCTTACCGTGTTATTTATTGTTATTTTATTTTTATCTCCCGAAAGTGTTACGGGCCGATGTATAATGTCAACAAAGTGTTGATTTGAAGCATGAAACGATCTATTTTTTCAAACAATTTATTTAAAATAGTTACACTATTAAAGGGGTGTCAATGTTATTAATTGTATTTACCTGATCAAAGATCTTTGGGATAGAACTTGCAAAAAGTTGACAACCTTCAAGCTCGCCATTTTTCAGTCGCCTTGACCTTCAACTCAAAAATAGATAAATATTTTCGTACTTTTCAAAAGTATTAATATTCAATAAAATGTACAAATCAGAGAGTAATTAAAATAAAAGTACACATGTCTAGTTTTCTATAACGATTGTTTTAATACGAAAATGCATGTTTCAGGTGTATCCGGTTGGCCATTTTGAAAACTGATGATCGTTCAATGAAGACTATGAATTGGGAAGGTTTGATGATTAAATAGCAAATTCAATGTTTTGACTAACAGTTATATACACAGAATCAGTAGAAACACTGAAGAAAATTAGAGAGGATGGTTATCGTAAGAGTCACGAAGTCATAGCAATTTGGATCGACTGTTTATCTCATTTCACGCATAAATTAGGAGATGACGGTACTTTGTCCAAAATCAATGTGATAATATAATCTAAACAGCTAATCTTTTAGCATGGGTCATATACGAACAAGTAGCAATTGCGGCGTTGGACTGCGGTAGAGATGACATAGCAGAAGTAGTATTTTTTCCTATCTCCTAAAACAACTCACTTAATTCAATCCATTCTCTTGACATAGCAATGCATCAGAAAACTAAGACATAGATTTTCATCAAGTCAACGAGTAAGGAGACTGGAAGGAATGTACTACGAAAGTAAAAGAAAGTTTGAAGAAGCCCGAGAGATTTACGACAAAATTCTTAAAGCTGATGAAACCGATTTGGTACAGAAACCTTCTAGAATCTGAAATGGTTAATTAATATATTTTAATTTATTTTAGATGACAAGAAAACGAAAAATAGCAATACTGAAAGCGCAGCACCAATCATCGGAAGCCATCAAGGAGCTTAACAAACACTTGCTACAGTTAGTATTTGTTTTATATATTCTTTTAGCGATTATCTAATAATGGATGTTCCAGCTTTCAAAGCGATTACGACTCTTGGATGGAACTTTGCGATTTATATTTAAGTGAACAAGACTATGCAAAAGCAGCATTCTGCATGGAAGAACTATTGCTTTCTAATCCTCATAATCACCTATACTATCAAAAATACGCCGAAGTAAGTAAAAATAAAAGACTAATAATCATGTTTCGTATTAGACCTAGCTTAATAATACAAACTAAATATATTATCCAGATTAAATATACACAAGGAACCGCGGATAACTTACATATAGCCAGATCATACTTTGCGCAAGCGATAAAAATCAACCCGAACAATATGAGAGCCCTTTATGGACTCTATTTGGTAAGAATTTAAAAGAAAAGTAATAATTTTTAATCAAGCATAACTTTATGTCTCTTTTTTTCTTTAATAGACAACAAACACTTTAGCTACAAGTACAAAACCAAAAGAAAAGAAGGAACATACGAAAATGTTGAAAACTATGTCTTGGGCATCGGATCAAATTAGGAAGAAAGTAAAGTCTACTCCTTTGCCAGTAAACGATAATTTGATCGACGCTACAGACTACTTATTTGAATCGTTGAAAATTGCTTAGGCTATTGAATTTCCTTGTTAAATTAATTTAATTCGTTGTTTCTTTTTATATCACGTCTGAGTTGTTTTTACATATAGTAATAACTCGAATGATGGTATCTATTTTTGCTTAATAAAAAGTTGAATTTGAGAATTAATTAAACGACAAATTAAGCCCAAGTGTTTAAATTATTTTTAATTACTTTAAATTATAAGTTGGTCCATACACAATATTGTAATATACAAGTGTAATAATACAGAATAACGTTGGCGAAATTGTCACAGAATAGCCCATTCCTCTGTATATTCTATCTGGCCCACCTACGAAATAACCAATCAAAAATAATATTCTTCCTAGGACGAATAGAATTGAAAGTGTCGGTATCAACTGCAATTTTGTCTCATCCAACCAAGTTGACAAAGCTAGTTGAGGTAAGGAGCTGAGTAGTATTTGTTCGACAGTATTGCTTAATACTCTTCTAAAAATTTCAAATTTTTCGCTGGATCCCGTAGTCTTAATCGGGTTAATGAGCGTTGCGTTGGTAAACCTCGAAGACGCAACAAATTGAATAGTACCGAACAGAAACAAATGAGAAAAGACTTGCCATCGAAGAGCGTATGCAAGACGCATTCCAGTTGTTACAATTTCTGCTTCAAATTTCGGTGGGTTTACATAATAAACGCTAAACAAAACAATACAGGCGCAAAAGATGCCAGATACCATGCCTTGCCTCAATATAATTAATTGTTTGTTTCCCAAACTAGTTTCTTTTGCCATTATTGTTGCTTTTTTTTAACAAATTATATTAGAATTTGTATATATCTTCTAATATTAAACTGCAAATGAAGACATACAGGTGAGCAGATAGAGGGCGCTGTTATAGGACAACTATGTCAGACTCTTTTTTCTTCGTAAATATTTATAAAAAAGCTATACGAATTTTCTTGATAAAATAATAGTTTTATCAAGTTTAGTTTTTGTAATCATCTTAAATCAACTTATAATTAATTACTAACGAAAAAGTGATAAAAAAGCGTGTTTAGGCCTAAGAAAAAAAACAAATTACACCGTACTCCGTATTTCGAATATTAAACAAAACAACAGTGACGTTGCTCTTTTATCGTTTTTTGTTTGTTTATAAAATTAGTAAACCATTGAATAAATGAAGTTATTCAGCTTAATAGCTATGCTAATGAATATTGGATCATTAATGACCAATTGTCCAAGGGAGTGTAATTCTGTAGGACTATGCCAGAATGAAATTTGCATATGTAGTCCAAATTATGGTGGGAATGATTGTTCAGAGATTATTGGTTTAGTATCATTGCCAAATTACTCATTAGACGATTCGGTGTTTTTTGAACGAATAAACGCGCAATCAGCTATTGATTGTTCAAATTTATGCTCTGAGAGATCATGTTCAGCTTTCGTCTACGATTGGACTAGGCTAGTAACGATCTTCAAAAGTATCACTTATAAAAAAATATATTAACAAAGTATCTCCTCCTCCTGATTAATCAGTAGGAATTTTACGCCATCTATCGTTTCTTGCCTAGACATTTCACAAGTGAGGTTAATTGTTTCCTTTTGCCGAATAATACAACGGAAGACATGAAAGCTCTAGAATTGATTGGAAAAACTTATTATCAAGATATTAATGAATGTGAATCAGAATTGGGCAAAAAATGTCATTTTAACAACGGCATATGTTTAAATACATTTGGCTCTTTTTCTTGTTCTTGTCGTCATGGTTTTGAACTAATATCGGAAGCTATTTGCTCCGATGTAGATGAATGTAGCATATTGAAAAACGAGTCGTGTCCGATTGGAGAATATTGTTTCAACACTATTGGAAGTTTTGAATGTGTTACAAAGCAAAGGGCAATAAAGGCAGAGAAGCTAAAAAAGTCTAACCTTAAAATTTGCCCAAAAGGAACTTGGGGAAAAAATTGTTCAAATACTTGCGGCGCTTGTAAAAATCACCTTAATTGCAATAGCATTACAGGAGTCTGTAAAAACGGTTGTGATAACGGTTTCATTACCAAGTATTGTAATAAAACCTCTACTTTATTGATAAGTAACAAGTTAACGAAAAAGAACAGTGATATTAGATTGAAGAGGCGAAATAAAAGGTGCCATCCCATTTATTCCTGTCACGGCTATGGAATGTGTATTAGGGGAGAATGCAAATGTATGACTGGATATTTTGGTTCAGACTGTCGTCAAGTATCCGGATTCTATATGCTAGAAAAATCTTGGGCTATTGATGGTTTTCGGCCCATGTCCATGTCAACTCAATCTCTTCTGGAATGTAGGAATAATTGTATAGCCAACAATTGTTTAGCCTTCGAATTTGATCATTTCGCAAAAGGCAAGAACTGGTAAGTTTTTAAAAAAAACATCTCCTCAATCTAAGCTTGAATATGTTAAACCTTGTTGAATTGGCAGCTTCCTCATAGATGACTATACTCCATCTTTTAGAGAGAATCGAACTGTCCATAAATGGTCATATATAGATATTAACGAGTGTTTATCAAATCCCTGTCGAAATAACGGATCGTATTGTCAAAATTTAGTGGGATCTTTTTTATGTTTACACAATCAACCGAGATCTTTAGTCTCGACATCCTCAAGAAATTTAAATGTTACATTTCCAATTACTTTTACAGTAATAAGCAATTTAAATCCAGCGTTAGAAAATCCGGCTTCAATCGAATTTAATGAAGCTTCAAATGATTTATCAAAGGAATTGCGAGATATAATTGAAGATTCTTTAGGTAGGTCTGAAGGGATAAAGGGATAAGATAATTTTAAAATTTCTATAGTAATACCTATTTAAACACTTTCTTACATAAGGTAAGATTTTATTAAGTTGAAAATCTTATCCCTTAAATATAATAGGAAGGAGAATTTTCCAATTTTGACTTTCATTTTACGGATAAAAAGAGTGGCCAGGGTTACATATATTTCTCTGTGACACTTTACCCTATTAGAGAAAATTCAATTGAGTCTGTAAGGAAAATCTTATCAACTGCTCTAAGCTACAGTCAATTTCCTTTTCTAAGAAGTGTTACAATTGGTATTGCATCAGCTATTGAAGATGATAGTAAAAATAAAAGATCAAAAAGATATGCGTCGCTAACCAATTGGGTTTGTATACTATACCATGTTTTGAAATAATGTAAAACTCAACAATTTCGTATTTTGATTAGAAAATTTTGGGATGCGAACTTAATCCTTGTCAAAATGGCGGGGCATGTTTATATGATGCTGAAAAGCAAAGAAAAGAATGTTTTTGCCCACCCAACTATTATGGCAGTTGGTGTCAGCATTTTGAATCTTCATGTTCTAAAAAATGTGGTGAAAAAGCTATATGTCGAAATGTAGGTAAACAATGTGCCTGCTTGCCTGGTTGGACCGGGAAATACTGCCAAGAAAGAATTGAAGATGGCGTTTGCCCACTGCTATTCTGTGGTGAAAGAGGTGTTTGTAGGAAAAATGACTTTGATTCGAAAACACTCTCAAGTGGTCAATATGAGTGTCTGTGTGAAGATAACTGGACAGGTACTAATTGCAAGTGGGAAAAGGCCGGATGTTTAAAAGACCCCTGTCAAAATGGTGGAACCTGTACGGTTTTCGAAGTGGGAAGAATATTGAAATTTCAGTGAGTATTCATTCATTTATTTAAAATTTTAAAGCCATTTAAAACACTCAGAAGATAAAATTGTAATTTCAATCAAACACTAGATGTTCATGCCCCGAAGGGTTTAGAGGCCTATATTGTCAGCAAGACACATTAAATCCTTGTAAATCATCAGAATGTATTCATGGAGTCTGTAAACCCACTGGGTCTTCTTACGAATGCATTTGTAAAACCGGTTACGCAGGCAGGTGGTGTGAAGTTGAAGAAAATGACAAGTGGAAGGACACAAGTACTTCAGATGAATCAACAACAAATATGGACAATATTGGTTTCTGGGTATCGTTGACAGTCCTTTTATTAGTTGCAATAGGTTTATTTGCTATAATAGTTTATTGTTTAATTGAATTTTGTACTTTGATTTGGGGAAAAAGTAAGCGACTGGATAAATATAACTGTTAAATTATCCAATATTGTCATTTAAAAATAAAAGTGCAAAAACCGAGTGACTAGCGTAACTTTTAATAAAAAATATAAAACAAAATCCCTATAATTCTCCTCTAAAGTCACTTCTGTCTATATTCAGCAATTCGAAAACACTGGGCGCCAAAATTACCGCATTTATAGCCATAGCATTATAAGTTATTAATTTATAAGGTATTTCGATCAATCCAAATTTCCTATGTTCAACGTTTCTCCAGTCAAACCCAAATATTTTACATAGACCATAAATGGAACCATACTTGAAAGTGAATCTCGTTATGACAAGTATAATCAAACCAACAACTTGCCGTATAAAAACTATAGAGCATACTTTTAATGACGGCATTGTAATTTCATGTTTCAAACTTTGATGCTCATAACCAGTTCTTGTCATAAGGTTCCATTCTCTTGCAAACCAATGGCCAATCATAATTCCTCCAGCTATTCCGAGAACGAGTGCAGTATCGCCTCTAGCGCTATTCCATTCCTTACATTTTGGATAAAAAGCCATAATGAGAATTAAAATAGATGGTATAACAATGGGTGTATATGGATAGTCGAGTATATAGGGGTCGAGTATGTCGAGTATTGGTAGAAAAATTGGTGTAATGAGGAAAATGTAAACATAGCCGGCAAGGATATCCTGAAAACAAATTTCCATAATATTTACTTGTGTTACTATATGGCTAACTTACAAGAATGGAGTGCATGCCTAAGTACAATCGACTTAGGCCAACCAATAATCCCCAAAGAGAGCAAATTATAATGCCAATATAAGCGTAGTAGTCATATCGTGTATAAGTAAATATGAATGCTGCAACTGGAAGGCCAACACCTGTCATGGCATGTGTTGATGGAAACCCGTATTCTAGTTCGTACCTTTTTTCCAACCTAATTACAGGAGGGCTTGCGGGTCTTGGATATTTGAGGAAATCTTTAGTTGCTTGTCCAATGTACATGTATACAGCCCAAAACATACAAACTCTTCTTCCTACAAAAGAGTCAACACTCCAAAAGAACCATGAGAAAAAAAAAGTCAAAAAAAGTTCATTTCCCAAAGCTGATCCAATTTGAAAAAGAACATCTAGCGATTTATTCGTTATAACAAAATCTTTCTCTTTCTGTTTTTTATTCTTGCCATTTTCATATGATTTACCATTAGTTCCATTTTTTGACATACCATTCGCTGAATACCGGCGGATACCACATAATTCTTGAAAATACGCAACAAGGCTTGGATCGTGAAGGTATTGAATTACTGATCTAGATTTTGACAACACTGTTGTTCCAGAGGTCATTTCCACTTAAAAAAGGTGGATATATTTTAAATTAAGGAAATAACACGGTGAAAGATGATTTTAACATTGGAACAAAGTTCGATTATGTACCGAATTATCCGTAAAATATTTCGGAAAAATATCGACTTACGATATTTCGGGAATTAGTAGCATAAATAAAACTCGACTGAAATCGATTCACTTTCAAATTGTTAAAGTAATTTTAAGGTTAATTTGCATTTATTAGACTAATAATATAGAATATTTTAAATATCATTAAATACTTTGCAAACAAAATTGTAATCATATGATATTGTTAATAATGCACGAAAACGAAAAATATTATAGAGCGATAATACAAATATTTTAATTTTAGATGATTGAAATTACGTGCAATGACCGTTTAGGTAAAAAAGTAAGAATTAAGTGCAAGTAAGTATTAACTTATATATCAATAGTAGGCGGATATTCATTATTGTCATTACTCTAGCGCTGATGACACAATAGGAGACTTAAAGAAGCTTATTGCAGCCCAAACCGGCACCAAATGGGATCGCATTGTTCTAAAGAAATGGTATATAACTATTTTAAAACTATTAATTTTAAATACATAATAAATGTTTTTCAATTAGGTATACGATTTATAAGGATCACGTAACTTTACAAGATTGTAAGAATAATCTTAGAGTAGCATCATTATCAGCTTTTAATGAACCTTCTTTTCAGACGAAATTCACGACGGAATGAATTTGGAATTGTATTATCAATAAGATAACATTTTGGATACTTTTTAACTGGAATTTAAACAAGCTCCCAAACAATTCAATAGAGTCTTCTTTTGTAAAACTATTGTATATACAACTTTTATGTTTCCTTATCTGTATTTTAATTAAAGGATAATCATAAGTCTATAAGCGTTAAGTCTCACATTACAAACATATAGAAAAAGCAATAAAACGTTAATTATTAATCAAGGCAGTTGTAGAAGAATTCGGAAACACTAAACGTTATAGTATTACTTGGTGTGTAATAATAGTAGTGAGCACTTGGTAAGAAAAGCATAAATATAATGTGAAATTTAGCTCAATTACGTAGAATAAAGTGAAAAAGCGGACCTCAGTTTTGTGACGGAGTTGCTTGTTTACGTTTAGACGCTAACAAGCTATGATGTTTCTCAGTAGCTGCATTGATATCTCCTTTGGATTTAGTGTTGAAATTTATTAACAAATTCTCCGGAAGCAGCTTCCCATTTGTCACTAATTCAGCCTGACGCATCACATGATGGGAAATTTCTTCACTTATGATTGAATCGTTTTGATAACTAGGATGACTGGTAACCAAATGTCTTAACCATTTAGCTGCTGTCCATAATTCTCCGCTTGCTCTTCTTTCAATGAGCTTTAAGTACTGTAGAACTGTGCATTGGGTATCAACATCGCAGTCATCAATGGATGTAATATAGTGCTTTACCAATGGTACAAGACCTGGAAAATTACTACAACCATTAATAATTTCATTGACGGACAATTGAACTGTTTCACAGCAATTGTATCCTTCACACTCTGTTACATATCTTCTAAACCAAAACTTCTCATTCAAAACAGCGTCCCTCTTTTGAGCCTTTTGCATATTTTCATGTAACTTTGAGATTGGCAAGACAAAGTGCAACTTGTAGGACATTATTGCTCTTGTTAACATAACAATGAAAGTGGCAAATGCCGCATTTTCAAAATCTGTTAATTGAACCTCAGTTGGTCTAAATTCTACTCTCCATCCAATTGAAGATTGGGGAGGAGGAGGTTTAAATCTCATACTTTGCCAATTGGTACTTTGAATGTTCTCAAAATGATCAGTATCGTCATCACCACTTGGATCTATTTTCTCAGAAAACAATGATAATGTATCTCTTATAAATAAATGAGCTATGTGCTGTGCCAGTAGGTCATCAATGTCATTCTCTCTCAGTTTGTCATAGATCTTTTTGTCGTATAATAACTCAACATCATTATATTTTGCGTGTTTATCGTGAAGGTAGGAGTCAGCGGTTCCGTACCTCGATTTCTGTATAACAAACCTGTCCTCTTTCAACGGATCCAACCCTCTCTCTTCTCTTGTTCTGTCATCTACTGAGGCTGATATAATGTCCCACCTACAGTCAACATCAGCCAAATATCCTCTGAAATACGGTGTAGCCGCCGATAAAGCGAGAATGATTGGGCACAGCGGAGACAATTCATCATACAAAAGACGAGCTTCATCAACACAGCAGGCCTATTTAAAATTTTTGCCAATAATTTTTTACTTAATTTTTACAAAATTATACTAACTTGGAATGTCATTTGCAAACAACTGCATCCCATACCGAAACCCATACAATCCATATAAATGTGTCCAGGTTTGGCTCCAGGATCATCTGATGTTTGTTCAGGCGTATTTTTATCTTTATAAACTGTAGATTATTGTAAGATTACTTAAAGATCATTATGTGATTGTATAGTAAAGCCTTACTTGGAACGTTAATATGAGGTTTTTCACCTCTGCGTTCTCTCACGTTTCTTGTAAGTGTTCTAGAAAATACATAATCTAAAGGTAATTTTAGAGTTATTAAACAATATACAATAAATATACTTAAATCTGGGATGCATTCCGAAGATAGCTTCGTCCGGAAAATACAACGAATGAGAAGCTCCTGAGTTAGGTGTTGGTTCGAGTTTTGGGAAAGTAAAGTCAGGACAACCCACTCTCGGAAAAACTGCTAAACTCAATGGATATTCATTATCTTTCAGCAATTTTTTAACTTCATTTCTTCTCAATTCCATATTAGCTTCCACTACGTTAAAATGAGCCATTAAATGTCCGTAAGGCTTTCCGGGAGTTCCTTCAATCATGTAGCATGCATATTCCGGTCTCCAAGTTGTTGGATGATCACTGAGTATTTAAGGCGAAATGATTATTCGTAATACCCTAGAAGGAAGAAAAAAGTTCAACTAACTTTGGGAAATTTCTTTCCTTTTCCTGAAGAATATCCAAGATTTCCTCCGCTTTGAGTACAACTCTAGCTCGTTTGGCTTGATCATCGAATTGAACCAACATATATTCAACCTACACAGTATATGTTTATATTTAATATTTATGACGTGTCAGAGTTACGAACAAACCTCGTCGCCCCATTTCAATTCATCGCCTCTTCTATTCTTCAGTTTATGGTAGAGTTTTATAAATTGCTCAATTCCTAATTTCCTGACGTGCTCTGCGTATTTTCTTGTTTCTTGCCAAGATAGTGGAGAACCCTCGCTCAGCAGGCCCATGATTGCGTTAAAATGAAGCGTTTATTTTTTTTGTTTTAGGTAGTGTGGCGCGATTGATAGCAAAAACGATCACCGTGACTTGCTGTTTTTGAGGACTAATAGTATCAAAAATAGGAGCTATTTCCGTAACGACTGCTCCCAAATTCTGCGACTGGTATTCAAACGATTAACAAGGGCAAAATTCAACCTAATCCTTTGTGTACACCAGATGGCGCCTTTTTTTTAAAAAATGCTTTTTCTATGCAATAATCTTGAAGTAATATTGACTATATAATATACAGTACATAAGCTTTGTAGGTGTTTATTAATAGTATCAAAACTAGTGAAATAATTCTTTGCCTTCGGGTATTAAGCATACGCTGAACTCAATAATGGATAACAGTTGATAATCTTTATGTTATACTTCTTTTTGTTGCATTGTATATATTGTATATATGTATATTATTCAAGAAACACAACAGAATTTTTTCTAAAGTCAGTTTTAATACAAGAAAATTTAGAATATAATTAAAGAAATTGTACATTATTCACTTTCGCAGAACAATTGAGTACGATTTAAGAAATTCATTCGATCCGTATAGAATAAGATGCATAAATCATTTTCTAAGGCCTTGTATTGATTCGATCCTAATTCCTGTTTACCATCAAAATACAATAAAAACATGGAAACCATACGAAAATTTGAATATTATCATAAAAAATGGAGTTTTGTATTACCTTTTTCTTTGTTTCAATGTCCTTTAAGAGTGTCTTTGCTTTCACTTCACAACTTTGTAGTGACGTTGAAAGATTGTGAAAGTATTGTGAATAGAGATTCTCGAACATATTCAGTACTGAGTTATCGTTGAGTTCCTTACATAAGTTTTCACTAGAATAATATAAAAACAAAAGGGGATGTGATAAGTATAATGAAAAAACAAATTACAATACTAACAGTTCCTTTATTTTATTAATAACATCTTCATTTCTTTTAAAATTAGATATTTGATTATTCTTATACTTTTCAGTTAAAACTTGCGCCCGTTCATTTATGAATGAAAATGGATAGAATAATTTCTTACTATGGCTCTTCTCAGTGCTCAAAACTAAAAATAGATCAATTTTTATATGTTATGCTCTAAAAAACATTTGTTCTATTTATTATTTACCTTGAACTTCTGTGAGAATTTGACCTAGCATCAATGACGTAGCATCTTTTGAGTGAACAGTTGTTCTGGTATCATAATTCTCAATAGCGCAAATTGCCTCTAAAACTTTCTAAATTATAAAAGAATTAGATAAGGTGCCAAGTGCTCTTGATGATTGTTTTCATCTTATCTTACCGATCTACTCTCTATGCAGGTTTGAAAATCAGAAAGAAACGAAGAAATCGCTGTCAAGAGATGTTTCGTCTCTCGATGTCTTTGCACTTCTATATCAGATGCTACTAATAAAATGTCCCAACGAGCTCTCTGCTTAGCCAATTCTTCAATAACCTGTTGAATTGAAATTTTATTAAATCTCTTATAATAAACATATTAAAAATGAGATTATACTTGGTCCTGTTTATCTAAAAAATAGTTTTGTCTCATTATTTTCAAGTCGTAATCTCCTCTTAATATTCTTGTTTCCTGAGCCTCTTGAGCGTGTTGTAACAGCATTGGTAAAGAGTTTGTTGTTAGATTCAAGATATCATTCTCTATTCTTCTAGACTTTGATTTGTTCTCATTTATCTGCTTTCTAAAAATAAACCAAGTCAATAAAGAAAGAAAAGAGAAAATTATTATTTATAGACTGCTTAATTAAGGAAGAAAAACTTACTCTAATGCACTAATGTTTTTGGAAAATTTACTGATTTCAACAGTATCAAGGAATTGATTTGCAGCTGAAAGAGATGCTTCTAATAACAAAGCATTAAAGTACTTCTTCTCCTTTTCAAAAAATCTATATAAATACACATGAAATATTTATATTTAAAAATCCAAGAAAACACCTCTTTTACTTACAGCTTTTTTAATCTTGCTAGCTGTCTACATTGAGCTATATTCACTTCTTCGCAATATCCTTTTAATAATAATATCTCAGGTTTAGTGACGTCTAAAAATTCGAACTGAGTATCGTTCTTTTTCACAGCCAACTCTTCAATTCCCTATATTCGAAAAAGGTAAAATTGAGCTTTATGTAATAACTTTAAATCTTTAATCTTGTATGTATTACTTGAATAAACTGGCGTTTTGTAAATTGCGTTAATTGCTGAGTGAAGATCTTCTCTGCTTCCTTATGTTGATCGAAAGGCATATTACTAAAAAACATATTTTCTCCAATGGATGCTAACTGACGAACACCAATTTGAACGTTTGACAATGCATTATCTACCTTTAAGGGAAATATTAATATTAATTGGAAATAAATAGATATTATAGGAAAAGGAATACTTTTTTGCATGCTTCTGTTGACGACTTCAGAGCTCTTTCATATTCAGCTTCACATTTATTTGGACAAGTTTGAGCTTCTTCTTCACTTTCTGATTTTTTCCTTCTAGCTACCCTGTCATTGGAAAGTAGTTTGTAATACTTTATCATACTATCTTTAATTAAGTGATCTCAATACCGAAGGTAATTTCTTTCTTCCATTAAGTTGCAATATATTTCTTCTTGAAGGTTTACAGCATGTTGTAAATATTCGTTTTCGATTCTAATTGAAAATCCTCTGTTATTCTAGATTGATTAAAGAGATTTTCTATTATACCTTTCTTTCTCTAACTCGAATGCATTTTCCTCTATTTTCAGAGTGATAGAATCGATATTTTCCTCCACTTGTACAGGCGTTATCTGTTGATCAGCCTTCGAGCTGAAAAATAAATGCTAATCTTCAAGATGAAAGACTCATGAAGAATACTTGCTGTAATAGTTCTTCGTTAGTTACAATGTTATCTTCAGAGAGATTTTTAACCAGATCATATAATTGAAATTCATCATTTTCCAGTGCAATATTAACGTCTTCTATATTTAAGGGCCCTTCATATCCTAAATTTCGCATAAAAACTATAAACTGAGAGCTATTATCTACCGACATAGCGACGATTTAAAAGAACTTAACGATTTTGAAAAACCGCCGAAAATACCTGATCATATAAATTATGAAATACAGATGTCGCTGCAAGTTCTATTGTATTATCGAAAAACAAACAATTATAATTGAAGTGTCCATAATGTTTAAATAATGGAAGAAGAGTAGAATTCAAGTTGTAATTAAATCTTGTATGTTTATTTTTGTACAGAAATTGAAAAGCATAGAAACTTTGAAAACAAAATCCCTCAAACATACATAAAATATTTTATTAAATCTTTTTATCGCAGACTTTTCAAGTACTTTCAATCAGTTTTTATTGTATAACACATCGCATTTCTTTGAAGGTTAATAAGAGTCCGCTTATGTTTTATTTAATTTTCACAGTGAGGATGGTTAGGTGTAGTTCTCAAGAAAAAGGTTCCTCTACCTGGCATAGTGTCGGCATAGTATCCCATTCTTTGACAATCAACGCCTGCTGTACATGTTTCACATTTACCCTATTTTTGGAAAATACAGAATGTTTAGATAAAAGAAAATCATTTTAAGTATATTTGTGTTTACATCGTCGGCATCGTCATCGCTGTTGCAGGGATATGCAGTGTATTGGCATTGATCTTTATCCATTGAAATCCTAAAGTATCGTACACAAACACTGTGATCAGAGCAGCTACCATCTTCGCAAGGAGGTTGGAAATCTCCCTTATTTGGGAAGAAGTCTACGTCACCAACTGGTTTTCCAAGACCGAGATAGATGAAACCCTTAGTATTGGTATGGATATTATCTTGGAATCTAGCATCTTCTTTGTCAAGACGGAATCTTGGATCTCCACCATCGAAACCAGGACCTTTATAATGAATTACATTGCGTTGCTCTTTTAAAAACAATTCTAAGCAAAATTCTTACCGGCGGGATCAAGACCAGTGGCTCTTCCTAAAACCAAACTGTAAGTGTAATTCATCATATCTCCATAATATCCACAAACATGAGCGCCCAAGCTATGGCCAACACAATGGTAGGTATCGATATCTCCACCGAATCTATCAAGTAATCTTTTAGTAAATACTCCAGTACAGCTACCGGCCAAACGGGCATTGGCAACAGCCTATAGAAAAATCATATTATATGAAAGAATATAAGAAAGCTGTGTTAATTTTTGTTACCTGAAAATATACTAAATCGGTAGCGCCTGGCCAATCAACAACAAAAACATTGGCATCGACATGGTCCAAAATAGCATCTTTAGTTGCGTAATGGGAAGCCGATCGACCATTCCATCCGTGCCAAACGAATTTAGTTGGCTTATTCTGATCAAATTCGTTTCTAAATTTAAAAAACTGTTAATTAGTTCAGTTTTAATATGATATTAAATGATCTATTTACGGTAATTGGTCTAAGGTACAGTCAATAGGATCATCGCGATTATTTCTTGTAAAGAGTTCGTATGTAATATCCTGTTCTTCAATGGGTTCCGGTAACCAATCTCCCTCGAATGGAGGATCATCATTAAAGCATCCGCATGGTGGATAACAAACCTCAGCACAACTGAAAATAAAAAAGAAAAACGAGATAATATACGTAACTGTACTCTCATCGTTAAATATGTATTAAAATTACAAGGCAAAAGGCAATAGAAGCAAAGCCGCAAAGTATTTCATGATGACTGAAATAATTTTTAAAGTAATATATTTAAGCTTATTTATACCTAAACGTAATTTTTTTTCTTTATCATCCATCTGTTCAAACCCATTGTAAATAACTATGAAAAGTATGTAGGAATAAAAATATTTGTTTCATAACTACATTCCAAAAGTACGCAGGTTAAAATGAGGAGATTATCATAAACTTTCATTTTCTAAATATATTTAAATTTGAACAAACTTTTAAATTCTTTATCAAAGATTATTTCTAAAAGTAAAATACATTTTTCATACTTTAGAATCATAAGAATACAAAAGTATTAACTAATTAAAACAACGTATTAACAATAAAAATATGTGTAAGGTGAGATAGGGAGAGAGAGAGAGAGAGAGATGAACCTTCTTTTCCTTTACATTAGTAGGTTTTGTGCGAGAGTAAAAGTGAAGTTGACGTGATGCATTATTAATTTATACAATAAGGGTAAATTCTTTTTGTCCTGAGATAGAATGAGCCCCTTCCGGGCATTTCATTGGCGTACCAACCCATCTTTTGGCAAGTTGTGTTCATTTGACAAGAATGACCACAATTACCATAAAGGTGAATTATAAAACGATCGATAACACTTTTAGTTCCTACAACGTGACATGGTTCAGCAATGAAAGAGCATTCTCTCTCTAAAGATGCCACAAAGTAATCTTTAGCTATACTATGAGCGCAAGATTTTGCAGATAATATTGCTGTAATAAGAAAAAATATTCCTTTTATCCTACAAAGATTGTTTTTAACATCTTATTAACATACACTTGCTGACATATTCACACGGTGGCTGCTCTTCGCGGTAATTTGGAAAGAAATCTACGTGACCAAGAGGCATGGAGATACCTAATACTTTGTCAAAACCTTTCGTGCTCGTATGAATATTATCTTGGAAAAGTGCATCTGATTTATCCAACCTCTTTGAGTTACGAGTATACTTGAAGCAAGGACCTTTTGATGTTGTAAAAAAAACAGAATTAATTACACGTTACGAGAAATTTATAGAAAAAAAAGAGGGAAACATATTTACCTGCAGGATCTAATCCTGTTGCTCGACCTAATATCATGTTAAATCTTTTGAATTTTTGACCAATGTAACCGCAAGCGTGAGCTCCCAAACTATGACCTATGCAATGATAGTCCATAGATGATCCACCGTACTTATAAATTAGTCTTCTTAGATAATAAGCCACACAGTGTCCGACCAATTGTAAATTGGTAACGGACTAAGAAATTAATTAAATTAATTAATTAAGTCTATTTTTAAGTTTCCTACTTTGCAGTATAATAGGTTGGAAATAGATGTCCAATTGACGAGGAAAACGTTAACTTGTTTCTTAGACTGAAATATCTTATCCTTAGTTGATGTAAAAGTTTCGGGTGAACTTTTCCAGCCATGTAGAAAGAGTTTAGTTGGTCTATTACTCTTAAAATCATCACTATTCAATACAAAAGATGAACACAATTAAGTGGAAAAGACAATCAAATACTTAACGGTAAAAATGATAAACTGGTTCGAATTGGATCATTAGGTTTCTCTGGAGTGTATAAATCAAAAGTAATATCATCAGATTTTATTGATTCAAACATAGGAGCATCTAAAAAACATTTAGAAAAAAAGCTCTATTTAATCCTAAAAGTCAATTTACTCGATTAAATGTTTTACCCATAAAAAATCTATCATTTGTAACACATCCACATCGTTTGTAACAAACAGTTTTAAAACTAGACAATTGAATTGTAATATAGAAATCTTTTATAATTAATAGCTTTAATTAATAAAAATTTAATTACCTTCTGCACAGTACAAACATAGAAAGTAGAAGAGAGAATAAAACAAACTTTCTTATATTCTCAATCATAACTACTTTACTTTTGCACTAGTTTTATGTTTATGATTTGATGAAGTTGAGGAAGAATAGTGTATGTGTATGCTTGTTAATCCATGTATGGTTTTTATTAGGTCTCGAACTTTATATAAATATTTAGGCTTTAACTTTAAAATACAAAGTACAATTTGCCTTATTTATATGTTTAGGATTTTGATATTTAATAGTACACAACTTTCAGACAACAAAAGACATTTGTCAAATGTATTAAGTTAATGCTACAGAATATCTATATAATTCAGCCTATTTTGTCCATTTTCAAGTCATCTAATTGGAGCATTTGATAAGAAGGTCAAGGAATAGTACAAAATAGATTCTAATAAAAATTTTTTAATAGGAAGACTGGATAGTAGAAAGATGTTTCTAGATTCTCTATTTAGTTTTTTTTTATGTTAAATTTATCTTATCTTAACATTGAAAGTGTCTCTCGTTATAGTTACTTTTTAAGTAGATGCTATATACTTTTTAATCGGGAAGCTTAACTCCATAAAAGACATTTTTATATTTGCGATATTAGCATCAAAATACATTTTTTAATAAACGTCTAATCTATTCGTTCATGATAAAAACATATTAATTAACGTAATTTTTTTTTTACCTCAGTATTTCTTACTAAAAGAGATTGAAACATAAAAAGATCTGACATTTCTCAAGACAATATTTTATCAAAACAAACAAAATATTTCCAACTAATTATTGATAAAAAGAACTTAGTTCTAATGAAAAAGAAACAAAATTTTCTATCAGAATATTCATATTTATTTCTTTATTTTCTTTTAGATTAAAGATAAAGATATATAGTATATTCTTTTTAGAAAGGTATAAGAAGAGAAGAGATTGGTACGTTCCTAATTGGAAAATGTAGAAGAGAACCTTAAGATGTTTACTATTTCCTTTCTTTGTTTTTTAATTGTTCTTTTCTAGGAAATTAACTATTCTATTTTTAAACTACTCAACTTGTTTAATTAATATTATATTTTCTAATATTTATATATACATATATGTACACTACTTCTATATAAGGAAGAAATTTTGTGTTGGTGAGTCATAGAGGAATTCCTCAAGTATTTTCCCTAACACGTGTCTGTTGCTACGTTCAACATTCTACGTTTGCGCAATATTTCGAATTTTATACATAAGTTGAGTCAAAAGTGTTCAATACTACTCTAGAGAGAGAGCAGACATGGTTGATTTTAAAGTTGATTTGCCTTATGGAGCGGAATATACTGTAACTCCAAAAGGTTTAAATTACTTACATTATCTGGTAGAGTGCAGAGAAATTGGTCTTCTTCGTCAGTTCATAGGATGGAACGGAAATGTGAACGAGAAGAATAGTTTTGGATTGTCTCCTCTGTATATTGCATGTATGAGTGGTTGTGTAGAAGTTGTAGAGCTATTATTAAGAAACGGAGCTGATCCTAATGTCAAGCCTGTTCCTCTTCATGCAGCAGTAAAAATTGGCAATATAAACATTATTAAATTGTTATGCTATTGGGGAGCTGATATTAACGCAATAGATACGTCAGGACATAATGCTTTACATATTGCGTGTACAGTTGCCACCGTGAATCTCACGATTGTCAAATTTCTCTTAGAAAACAAATGCTTTCGTCAAACGGAAAAAGTTCCCTCTGTCTTATATTTTGCAATAGATAGAGATGATATTTCTTTAGTCAAATTACTGGACAGTTATAATGCAAATGAAAAATATGATAATGTTCAAGGTATGACACCTCTCATTCGGGCTTGTACAACCCAAGCTAGTGATGAAATTCTCAGTATTTTACTCAAATCAACTACTGTCACTTATTCTATAAACAACGAACAATCTCCTTGGTATTTCCTCTGGTTTTATCATAGGTAAAAATATATATACTGTATATATATATATCGTATATACATAGAATATACAGTGTACATAGTAGTCCTTCAGCTAATATTGATAATTTAATATTATACAGGTGTAATATAATCGAGGAAGCCTTAGCTATGAATCCCTTTCTAAGTTTTGCCAATGTCGACGAGAAAGCAACACCAATATGTTGGGCTATAGATCTCAATTGCGAAAAATGCTTAAAGAATGTCATGAAATATGGACCAAACAGTTCAAGAGCTGTTGTACTTTCGTATCATTTTCCAATCGAGTTGGCTTTTTACTATTCACCCCAAAAGCAATATGATAGTTGCTGTATTAGTTATTTGCAATCACATATGAGTGAATATCGTCTACATTTGGGATTATTACTTTTAACTCATGGAGCTGATTCTTTTGAATTATGGAATGGATTGGGTTGGAATGCACAACCTGAAAAAGGTCTTTTACCATTCAAAATTGCAATAAGAGTTTACGGCTTTACCAATCTAAATAAAATTAAAATGTATAGTTTATTAGAAAGGATAAGGAATTCTGAAGCTATAGAACTTATAGAAAGAGCTATATTCAGCCATCAGTATAACTCTAAACTTCCACAAGTCACAAAAACTTTAAGAGAACAATGCATTATTTGTGTGAGAAGACACTCAAGATTTAATGTATTACATACAATTAACAATTTAGATATTCCATTAGCAATGAAGCGTTGGATACTCCTCGATCCCAATGAACCTATTTTAATTAAGTATATATCTTAATAAGTCAAAGAGAAAGTGAAAATGAACAAAATATTCAACCTTTGCAAAAAACTGCAAAAGTCTTTTAATTCTTTTTTAATTGAAATCATTCTCTAGATATGTTTGTTTATAATTGTTGTTCGAATTTCATAATTTTATACTTCGTTTTTTTACAATTTTAATACATTTATCTTTTAATCAATTTAATAAATATTCATTTTATATTTTGCATATTTTCCCGCCTTTATAGTGAATGATATATAATATTTGTAAAATACAACTTCTTCCCAAGGTTACTTTTTATGGTAGGTAAAGAATTATCGATTTAACATGCTTTACCTACCTTCATTCATGTCTTATCAATGAAAAATTTCTAACAAGTTTGGCTTTGTTGTTGGATCATCGACATTCGATCTAATGGATGACGAAGTGGATGTTCTTCGTCGTGCTTATGCAGAGAAATCTATTGAATGCGAAACTCTTCGCCAAGAATGCTTCCAATATGTAGAATTACTGCGGAGAAAGTCGGTAAGGGCCAGACCTCGATCAAAGCGCATACAAGTTAATATGAATATTAGATTTGGAAAGTCAGTTGGGGTTCAGACTTACGATGGGTAAGAAGCGAAATAATATTTTGATAATATAATAAAAACACTTTGCTAAACAGCCTTCTAGCTTCTACCGACAAGCGAACTATTGCAACTAGACCGTTGGAGAAAGACTTTCTTTCGAATACGCAAGCAGAAGAAAAACCTCTTGTCAGATCCGCTAGCTTTGTCAATTTGGTCCAGAATTGGGAGAGACAAGCAATTAAACCAAAAATTTCAACGAATACTTGTAGAGTTTCTTCCGAATCAAGATCAACAAAGAACGAAATAATTGAAAAGGATTATAAGAGAAAATTTCGCGATTTAATGAACGATTGGCAAAGAGCGGTTGTTAACGGGGAAACAATGAATTCTGAAAGCTTGGACTAATTTGCTCTTACTTTCACCTTTCATAGCTTCGCTTTAATAAATCATAGTCGGGTTTATTTTAAATTTTTCATATCTTGGACACTGAAATACACAAGCTTTATGAAATTTTAACAGTTTTATAGTAGAACAAAAGTCAAGATAATAATTACAAGTTTTCTTTTGTAGAGAAAGAAGCGAAATAAAAACAAAATAATAATGAAAATCGTGTGATGGAAGGGTTCACTATCTCGTTACAGTAAACTTTAAGACATAGATTGAGAAAAGAAAAGTTAAAATACATTTCACGTACAGATATACAGATACTAATATTTTCCGGAATAAATACTTTTACTTCCCTTCAGTATTCTACCCTAACAGTTAGCAGATATATTTTCAGAATAATTAATATTTGGTCTCATAAAAGAGAAAGAGATAATGTATCAGGAGACATACTTATAAGATACATTTTGTGCAAATACAGACAAACATTAAAACTTAAGTGAAGCTTATTTTCTAATTTCTTGACGTTTAGTCTTGGAAAGATTTGTATTGGTTCTTCAAGACAATATCAATATCCTGCAATTAAATATAAAATGTTTAACTTTAAACAGTCAATAGAAAAGTAACATCTAAACACTATATAATATGCTACTACAAGACATTCAGTTGAAAAAAGGATGCTAGATATTTAGAAAAATTATCATTCGTCGCTTTACATTAGCCACATATACCTGTAAAGATTAAGACACGAGCTATTAGAAAGGTAATTACTATAGAATGTATAGCTTAAAAGCGCTGAATATTGATTTATGCTGCCAAAAATAACCAGCCGCTTAAGTCTAAAGGCAGTTTTAAGGTGTGATTTGTCATACGAACTATATCTTATAAAGGCCTTTTCTCTTAAACAATTATGTTTTTCATGCAATTCCATTGTTTTTCGTCAGTGCAAGAGTGAAATATAAATGAAAAAAACTTGCTTTAAACCAACCTGTTCACTGTACTTGTTCTATATACTAAATGAAGATTTCTAGCTATTTAAACTATTCCAAATTGAAACAAATTGAACTCACCTTTATCAACAGCCCTTTCAACTTTTGGTAGCTTATTTCCAACTCATCGTTGATAACGATATGATCGTAGGCTCCTTGGGTTTTTGAATATTCCATCTCTCCATTCGCTATTTTAAGTCTACGTTGGATAGCTTCTTCAGTGTCTAGAAGATTACCAAAAGAGTCAATCAATGAGCGCAAAGCTAATATATTTAATTTATAAATCACCTGTCTTTCGATCCCTCAATCTTTGTTCTAGTTTTTCTAAACTAGGAGGTTGAATGAATATGCACAGTGGATTCAAGTCGGTTTTTTTGATATTTTTAACACCCTTGATTGAAAAAAATTTTGAAAAATGAAAGAAATTGATATGAAACGTTTTCTGAAATTACCTGCATATCTATGTCCAGCATACATATTCTGCCAGAAGCTTGAACTTTTTCAATAGCCATCTTACTTGTTCCATATAAATTATTGGAAAATTCAGCGTGTTCAACGAATTCATTATTCGATATCATTTTAGTCATTTCTTCCCTTGAAACGTAATAATAATGAGTTCCATGCTTTTCTCCTGGACGGGGATCTCGAGTTGTGTGTGAGACGCTGAAACAGACAATTAAAATTTCACTATTACATACAAGTCAAATACAAATTATAAACAGTATCTCAATTAACAATTACACACCTCACGTTGTTATTTAGAAAAGTTTCTCCTAAATAGCATATTTTTTAAGCACTTTTTTTTTAATGCAAGAATACAATACCTAACTTGTCTACAAAGGCTTTTTAATCATAAATACTACAAATAATAGAATTATTTTTCAGCTATGGAGTGTACAAAAATACAGGTAGGACACTATGATTGTCACGAATAAATAAGCGTTTATTTTTCTCATTTCTTACCTGAAAGCAAAACATTTAGGATATTCTTCCATAAGTTTTTTCAACAATGTACTTTTCCCACTGCCACTTGGACCGCTAAGAACAACAGGCCTTATGCTTGCCATGACGTTTGAAGCGAATTTGCGCACCTGAAAACAACCGCCTTTATAACCCCAAAGAATATTGACGAACCCACAAGGATTCGTTTTAGAAGACAACTTTTAACTTAACATACAACAACTAGAAACAGATTAAACACTTATTAGAATTACTATGAGAATAATATTAGGCGTCTATAAAAAAGAAAATAAAATTAATCATTTAAGAAGAGTGGTGAAAGGAAAACCCCTCATGATAACTAGGATAGTCATATGGTCGCATCTGTAACTATTAGGGAAAATCAATAAATCATTAAAGTATCCTTTGATAATACTGTGAGGATAAGAATACTTTCATCTTTTAATTATAAATGGCTAGAAAAAGCTTCCATGTCATAATTTAAAAAACTTGTTCATATCAAATGTTGTCTGCTTAGCATTTCTCAAAGAAAAGTTTGAAGTATCTTTTTTTATTTTAGCCTTAAAATCAGACAAGTTAAATTTTTTTCTACAAGTATTTGCAAAAAAAAGTAGTCTAACATTACGATAGTTATATTTACTCATGATAAATCATAAAAAAGATTGCCTAATATTCATATTCAAGCCACTATTCCATAACCTTGATGAAAATTATTCTTACCTAATAGAGTCTAATACTGAATATAGTATTAATTTTTATTTGAAAAGAAATTGCTAACTATTCACTTTCATTGATCGAAGCGCGGACACAGTGTGTTCGTTGAGGACAGACAGTTTTCCCAGATTAATTATGTTGTAATCGGTTAAAACTAGTACAAAAGTGTTGAAATAATACAGAACATTGTTTGGTTTTAAGTAAAATAGAAGTTAATTTAATTTTTTTGCATTTATCTAACCTTTTAAACGTAAGGTCACAACGTGTATAAGAAATTCAGGCGGTTAAGATACAAATACAATTACTTTACCTTAAAAATCAACCAATTTTATATTCGATTATTGGAAAGAGAAGATGTTTTCTTCAAATTTTTTCAAATAAAATAAAATTAATTAAATAATGGGAAAGTAAAAAAATGTTTAATTATTCGTGATTCCATATATCAACGACATTGATGCATGGAAAAGTTTAGAATAATTGTCTTTCAATGTAGAATATATAGATATAAATATATAGACATTATATATAATCTTTAATGTAAAAAGAATAAGAGATGAGTGGAATTGCTATTAATTAATTACCTGGTTAATAATCATACGGCTGAAGAAAGGATATCTTTGATGTTCTTCCTGCAACGGCCTATGTATACTCCTAAAGTACGTGGGCACGAAATATTCCAATTTGGTTAAATATGTTCTGAAAACTGGTTATGATTGCTACGCTAGTTGCTGAGTTTTTTTCAAATTTTACACACCTTAGCTTTTTATGATATTTGAAAAAAAATTGAATGTTTATTCGATAAATTAATGTTCTTTTGTTGAAATGCCCTTGAATTAGCATAAACTAATCAATATAGGTGTCAAATTTAAAGATTGCGCAAGTTGTCCTTTATCTTTCCTTTTATTGAAAATAAATCAGTCACAATCCGGGCAACATTACGTGTAAAATAAGGACAATAGAGGATGTATGGACCAATAACACGTAGAAAAAAAAGCAAAGTGGCATCTGTCGGAATAAATTTTAACAATAACTTATCAATCTCTCAAAGATATGGCCGTATTCACTAGCCTTATAGCAGACACTAAGCAATGTCGGAGAATTTCCTTCTCTTATCACCAAAATGCTACGATCTACTTATAAATCAGAAAGAAATTTTTAACGGTAAACCTATCATTAAAACCTTGCTGTATGTAATACCATTTAAAAATGCTATAAGGTAAATTAAGGACAAATATCGATATATTTTAGCGATGTAGGCCCACAAATATCTTCTTATGTAATATAATTACATACAGGTCTTATATGTAATAAATTTTTCGTAAATAATCTCAAGAATCCCATGTTGAAGTTATAAACATTTATAAGAGTGTTTTTAACCTACTTACAAAAGTAATCTGTTCAAATTTAACAGAAGATTGCTTAAAGCTTCTTACTAGTAAATTGATTGGCTATTCTGTCATTCTAGCTACTTCATTGTTTGGTAAGAATCTCATAGAATATTTACATATGTAACTTATTCAATTAAAATGTAAAATATTTCTATTTTAAAGCAAAACTTCCTCAAGTTTTTAAAATATGGAAGGTCAAAAGCGTTCAGGGGATACAATTTCTTTATGTTTTCCTCGCTTTAATAACAACTTGCTGGAATATTAGCTATTCGTACGTAAAAAATTATCCAATAAGGTAAGACTTTTTGTCAAAAGTTTATATATATATATACTAACCTATTCCTCTTCTCTCCCTCTCTCTCTCTCTCTCTCTCTCTCCCTCCTTTTAGTGTATGGGGTGAAAGTATCTGCCTGGGTATACAAGCCTTAATAATAAACTGCCTGTTTCTATATTACACGAATAGGAGAGCTTATATACCTTTTCTTATCATCTTTGTATTTTCGATGTCATTGATATTATTATCTCCATTTGTACCATTGATATTTCATCAAACACTACAAGTGCTATCTACTCCAATTGTGGCTTTTTCAAAAGTAATTATGCAGCATACATTTTTATAATGATTTATCTATATGAACAACTGTTCTCCTCTTTGCAGATAGTTCAGATTTATGCTAATTTCAAAAACTCAGATTGCGGACAATTATCCCTTTTAACAGTCCTTCTACAGACTTTTCGTACTACTGGAAGACTGTATACAAATTTAATTGAAACTGGGGATGTGCTGAAGATTTCTATATACAGTAGTGTTTCACTTCTGAACTTTATACTATGTTTTCAAGTTGTTTATTATTCTAAGACGGCTAAAGTAAAATCTCGTAAAGACTGATTTATTGTCTATTGGAAAAACGAAATGATTTACTTTTTAATATTATTGTTATTATAAATTTGTATATTTTGTAATTAATGAAGAATGCTGAATTAGTTTATGAGTATTAACAAAACAACGAAGCTAATATTATTATTATTATTTTTGTCAATTTTAGGAATTATTTATGAATTAAAAAGTATTTAAATATTTGCTTTTGTAAATTTAATAGGGAAATTTTTTTATAAATGGAAAAATCATTAAGAAAAAGAACACTGGACTAACCGGTTCCATAAATGTAATGACCGGTTCTCAGCTTGAAAATAATAGAATATCTTGCAATTATTTATCTTGATTGGGATGTGATAAAACCAATATAAACCAATTATCTTTTCATTATTTTTCAAAAATATTTACTGATCAACCTATATTTTACGATTTCGTCTTCGTATTCCTAAATGCGCCGGGTAGCTTCCTACCAAATACAAACAAACATCTAAAAAATCGTCTATAATCCAAAAAGTCTTGCATAATGGAGGTTCGCAAGCGAAGTAATGAAAAGCCTATGCAAGCTAAGACCCGCGATAGTAGGAAGAATGGTTCAACAAAGTTAAAAAAATTAGATAATCAAATTGGTATGAAAATTTGGTTAATTATCATTCTTTTAAACTTGGCCTTTCTTCTATTTGCTCATTCGCGCAACTTTGTCTTTCCTGAACCCAAAACAATTGACAAATCAAGCGATGGTGAGTTTATTGAGGAAATTGCGAGAAGCCATCTAGTCAATATCACTGATATTGGAGTACGAACGGTTGGTAGTGTTGAAAATGAAGTAACAACGGTTGAGTATTTGTTGTCAACTCTGAGAAAATATCGCGAAGGATCGGCAAACTCTCATACATTCGAAATTATATCCGAGAGAAGTTCTGGCTCTTACACATTGGATGCTCTTGGTGCCTCTTTTGGACAATTATACGAAAATGTTAACAATATAGCAGTCAGATTGAGGCCAAAATCTGGTACGAATCATGATTTATTAGTAAATTGCCATTATGACTCGCAAATCGGGGCTCCTGGTGCCAGTGACGACGTGGTGTCTTGTGCGCTTATGCTCGAAGTTTTGAGAATCCTTAGTAAATCTCCAGAAAATTTGAATCACGGAATCATTTTTCTGTTCAATGGCGCAGAAGAGACCATCCTCCAAGCAAGCCATGGTTTCATAACTCAACATCCTTGGGCAAAAACTATTAGAGCTTTTGTTAATTTGGAAGCAGCTGGAGCTGGAGGTAGAGAACTATTGTTTCAAGCCGGCCCTGGAACTCCCTGGCTCTTAGATACTTATGCTAAAAGTGCTCCTCACCCATTTGCTGCCGTATTTGGACAAGAACTCTTTCAATCGGGAATCATCCCCTCTGACACTGATTTTCGAATATTTAGAGATCATGGAGGATTATCCGGTAGTTGTTTTATATTTACATCAGTGAAATAGTTATTTAAAATGTATCTATAATAAATAGGATTGGATATCGCATATATTCATAACGGCTATGTCTATCATACCATTTTCGATGATCCAAGTCGAATTCCAACGGGATGTATTCAACGAGGAGGTAATTAGTTTAAAATATAATATTTTTCAAGTACAATATGATGATATGTTACACAGGTGAAAACTTGCTGGCTGTTGTAAAAGCCATTGCGAACTCATCGTATCTATCAAAACCGTCGGAATTTAAGAAGGATCCTTTTGTGTTTTTTGATTTCTACGGATATTTTATGATTGTTTATCCTTCTTCTTATGGTCTCGTTTTAAACTGCACCGCTTGTGCAATTGTTCTTTTGGAAGTGATAAATAGAATTTTTGGTTTTTCAAAAAGTGAATAATACGGCAATGGTTTTATATTAATACTAATGACTTTTATTAAAACAGGGGGAGTTGGACGGTCAGAGTATATTAAAGCCTTCTTAGTCGGTTTACTTGCACAAATTATAGCTCTTTTTGCATCACTTCTCCTCTCCTTCTCTGTGGCATTCCTACTAACTAAATTTAATAAAGTTCTTTCTTGGTATACAAATACCTGGCTTCTATTCCGTAAGTATTTATTATATTTACCAAATCGTGAACGAAAGTATATGCAAATATATTTTTATTAGCGTTATACGTCGCGCCATCGTTTCTGTCAATGATTGCTGTTCATAATTTCTTTAAAGGAAAATTAGAGACCAAAGTAAGTTAGAATATTTAATTAATAAGTGTATACTATATGCTTTTAATATTCATACTTTTTTTCCAATTGAAGAATAATTCCATGGATATAGAGGAGATTGTGTTCGAAAGCACTATTTTTATCTTCACAATTCTTTTATTTGTTGCAACACTATTTAAGTAAGTAACATTTTGTACTTTCGATTCAAATAAAAAACCCGATCTCTCCTTTTTTTTTAGGATAGACTCTGCTGTTCTGCTCTTTCTTACTGTGTTACCACCGATTTTAATCAAGGTCCACGGAAGTTCATTGTTATCGGCGGGTAATACTAGTTTAATTTTTTCAAGTAGAGTTTATATCGCTTAAAACTTTTTAATTTCAGAAAAAAGCCTGCACGTTCTGAAATTAAGATGTTTCTTACATATTTTGTCAATAAGCATTCCCCTATCCGTTGGAATTTACTTCATTTATAATATTTACGCCTTTTTTGTACCACTATTTGGTAGAACTGGTAATGGAATTCCTCCAGACTACGTTATAGCAGTCTTAACTACCATCCTATCTTATTTCTGCCTATGTTTCCAAGTAGATAAAGCTTTAAATCTTTCTTATTAATTACGTATATACAATATTTGTATGATAATCATTACAGATGTCATTAGTCTACGTAACCAAATGTGTTAAGAAATTGATGCTACTCTTGGCCGGATTACTTGTATTAGGTTTGCTCCTTGTGTTTTTTACAAATATGGGTTTTCCGTACTCAGCAAACAAAAATAGTCCATCCACCCAAAGACTCATAGTCCAGGTAAAAATTTATAATCTTAAAATAGCTTTGTGAACAAACTTATAGGTTTATCTTGTGAAAAATAGCATGCCGCTGTAACCGAACGTAAAGGAAACTCTCTCAATAAAATTCATTCAGGACTGTGGATTTCTTCTTTCGATTATTATGGAATTCAACAGATAGAAAAGAATCCAATGGTTGCCAAAGCCACTCATCAAACATGCAAAGTTGAGGAGCCTTATTGTGGTCAACCTTTTTATTTTCCAATTACCCGCATGATAAAGCATTCATACTGGATTCCTGGAGATTCACCAAATATTGAACCTGCAGTTCATTTAGAGGAAGTTAAAAGAATTGAAACAGAGACAGGAGTTCGAGTCTATTTTAAATTAGATGGTATAAAATTTAGATATAAAATAGATTTTATGAAAAAATTCACATTCTTTCAGGCCCAGAAAGACGTGTAATATCGATCAGACCAGATAAAGATGTTGAACTTACGGCTTGGTCTTTATCAAATAGAATAGGAAAACCAGCATTAGTATCTGGTGGATTCAAAAATTATTTTATCTTTTATGTATACGGAACCAGGCCTAAAACACCAACAGAATTCTGGTGCGAATTCAAAGGCATTACAAAAACAACGAAAAACTATATAAAAATTGGAGTAACAGGTCATCATGTCCAAGGTAAAAATAATTGGTCAAAATTACTACAAGAATTCAGTAAGAGTCTACCAGACACTATCTCACCAATAATTGTCTCATCTGACCAACATTTGTACAACTTTTAAGAATATAATTGTTCGGTTATGCTTCTTTTTTTTCATTTATTTTTCATTTCTACACTAAAAAAGCTATTTAAAAGAAATTTTAAATAAATTCTTTATTTCTTGCTTTAAAAAATTTCATAAAAAGAAATGACCTTTAAAATGATCAATATCGTAGAAAAAGTAGAAAATCTATATATATATATATATATATATACTCAATGTTTCGATATTTGAAACTCTTTACCTATAAAAGTAGATATAATAGAAAAAAATCTCATGGAAGAATATTAGATTTTCGAATAAAATATTCTATTTTTTATCAGTTATTTTCTCATAGACAACTATAATATCATCTTCATCATCGGCCTCAACTTTTCTAGTCTCTTTTATCTTAGCAAACATATCTTTTAAATTATTTGAGGCCCTTCTTTTGATGTTGATAGTTTCTCGTTTTTCAGCATCTCGCTTTAGTCCCTTCTTAATAAGATCTGGTTTTTCTGCACTTCGTTTCGCAACTTTCTTTTTCATATTTGTTAAAAATCCCTTAATATCGTTCTGTTTACTGGTTATTTTGCTACTTTCTTGTAAAGTTGACATTCGCACACCCATAAGTCTAAGTTTCAGCAATTTAGAATTCATTATTTCAGTTTCTAATAAATCATAAGCAGTTTTGAAAATTAGTTCATAATCATCCGTAAAATTCGCTATTGTTTGAGCCTTTGTTTTAACAGAAAAATCAGACTTCTTTATCTTGAGAGTAATCGTTTTACCCTGCAGCATACAAGTTAATCATTTAAATATTATTTTGAAACTAGAATACTAAACCACTAAGTTATGTCTTTTTAAGTCTCCTCCAAGTTCATTACACAAATCTAAACATTTCTTATACATTTCATCTCTATCAGTCATTTCTCTAAAAGTTCTTTCTACACTCATACTCTTTCTTTCTCCATGGCTATAAAGAAAATACTTTTGAATTAAATATCTTATAATAAATAATAATAGTTCTATTCTAGTTTTGAATAGAAACCTGCTAACAAAAGTAGAACCTATTCCTAAGGAGATTTTCATGTAATAACGAAATGAAATGTCAGACGATATTAATTGTAATTCTCCTCGTTTTTTGAACAAATCTTGGCAGTATTTAATTTCCATTCCTGATAGCATTTTTTCACAAACTTTACCAATTCCACTAATCTGAGAGTTAAATAATTTATTCGATGTCGTTGATAAACAAACATAATATTATTTACCTTTCGTATTGGTAGTTCATCGATAAAATTGATTACGTCCTCCCTGGTTGGAAGTACTCGATATTGACCATTCGGCTTGTTCATGTCTGAACACACTTTAGACAACAGAGTATTTGGAGCGATACCTACAGAGGAGACGTTATCATAGCTATTTCTGATAACAAGCGAATATATACAAAAGTTTTTACCCGCACTGGCAGTTAAATGTGTTGATTGTTCAATACGAAAGCGCATTTCCTTGACTGCTTCATTTATATCCAGCCCAAAAAGAACTGCATCAAATGGTGCTGTTTTGAAAATTCTTTTTTCACAATTTTCACAAAAATCTGGTAAATTTTCTCCACTAGCTTTTATATTTTCCTCATTACTATCATCCTCATCAAATAAATCAGGACTGGATGAGATATCCTCATTTTTCTCTGGGATTTCTTCCTGACCTTGATTTTCGTCGTATACATATTTAGGACAATACTTTTCGCAAAAACACATTTCTTCACTCCTCCAAACAACAGGTACAGTTCTCTCTGAATCTTCACTTTCACGTCTCCATTGCATATGACTTGTAAAATCTAAATAACCTTCATCCAAACTCATCATTGAAAAATTTGGATCATAAGTTGCAAACACTTTTTGAACTTGTTTACTAACAGCTTTATATTTAAAGAAATGGGGCCGAATAATAGTAAGGTCTTGGCACAGCTTTTTTGCAATGAAACCAGGCATTCCTGCCCTTACGCCAAAACGGCGAGCAATATAGTTGGAAGTACTCTGAAGTAGAATCATATTTTCTAAGATATTAGTGTTAATTTAGCTACATACCAACATCGAATTTCCTCCAACAGCCATTGCCTTTTCTCTAAGAGAAGGATCATCTCTCATTTCTACTGCTGCATAAAACATATCCATATCAACATGGACCATTATTCTAGAAAGGTCCCTGAATGCTTCCAATTCGGCCAAAACTTTGTCGGCCTAATTGAAAAATAAATTACTGTATTAACTTTATTTATAATCTTTCCTTCCTTTGATTCCACTCACTTTTTTCCTTGCGGCTTCAATCTGCTCTTCTGTAAACTTATTTAATTGAGCTCTTTGCCTTTTAACTCTCTCTTCTAATTGTTTCTCTTTTCTTAATTCATTTTGATAAAACTTAGACCCTAAGATTGTTCATATAATTACAGTTTTTCGATCCACACTACAGCATCATCAAACCTACCTTTCGATGCTTCGTGAATGATTTTATTTATTTTTTCTTTATCCAAGCCTTGCATGCCAGCTTTATTATCATTTAAAGCCATTCTTGATATGGGTTTTTCGACATGGATATTTCTCATATCAGTGGAGGATCTACTATCATTCTGTCTCTCACTTTCCAACTTTGTCTTTTTTTCTTGAGCTGAATTAATGGGATAACTTTGAGGTTCTCCTGCAGTGAAATTTGATGCAGAGATTTCGCAATCGTTACTGGAGGAGCATAGTTCTTTGTCTTTTGTCTTATGGATAGTAGTATCAATACTGTTATCTAGTTGATTACAGAAATTAGTTTTAATGTTATCTGGACTACAGTTTCTTATTACCTCCAGGATCCAGTATATTGGCATCATTTACCCATTCGTCATCACTTGACCACATATCTCATTTATCGCTCAGAGTTGTTCAGAATTAAAAACACATAAAAACTATAATTTAAAATACTGCTATCACACCGGATACAAATTGGGCACAGACTCTCTCTGACGGATCTTTATTATTTATGATCCTGTAATATCAACTTGAAGGATCACTTAACTCTAAAGATGATCAATCAATTTGAGGCAGATGGCGCCAAAATTTTTTGAAATAGAATGAAAATGCGCCCTCTAGAAGTTAAAATAAAATAAATACTTTATTTATTTTTTAAATAACTTAAATTTTCAATTAACTATAACAAACAATAGTTCAATATTTGAACATTATTTCTTCGATAGAATATGGATTAAAGATTTTTTCACCCAAAAAATCTTAATATTAATTTTGTACCACATAGTATATTTTATATTGCTCTTATGATATCAATGTACTTAATGAAACAATTTTTTAACTGACAAATAATTAAGAAAAATGTTTGCATTAGATGTTCTGCCAGATTGTAGTTCCCCCTTGTGTTTCGTAAATTGATCGAGCAACAATCGGCATTTTAATGACTTATTACTTATAAATAATCTTCCAGTATTTCTAGTATCGCATATAACATATAAAATACACCTATACACAGACAAGAAAACATTTTTCTCAACAATCTTGTACAGTAGTTTAATTTCCACCGAGGGTATTTCCTCGACCCCACCTATGACCTCCTCTATCTTCTTCTGTTCGTCTTGACGGCGCTTGACCAAATCCTGCCGTATTGCGACGGTTAGGAAAAAAACTATATCTATTAATTTAAAAAAAAGTATTATAATTATTAATAATGAACATAAAGAATTTATAATATCTTACAAAAATCCTGGTGTAGAGAGTAGACTTCTACCACCGTATTCCTGAGGATATTTGTACATGATAAAGAAGTAAAGATGGCCCACTAATATTCCAAACAATTCGCTCATACCCCTAATCACAAAATTAAATTTTTAATTATGTATTTTAAATTAGTATTCTCTTTTTAACCAACCCTCCTAGAATCATATTAAATCCTGCCAAGACCCAGGGTAAATACATTGCCTAGAAAATTTCAATTAATTAATAAAGAGAAACAATGCTAAAAGATAAAACAAACTTTGAATTGAGTTCCAAACCAAAAAGATACTATTTGATCTTTATTGATTTGACACCAGACGTATATAACGCTAAGTATCATTGGATCCATAAGTAGCTAGGGAGAAAGCAAATTTTTATGAAATAAAAATTGGTAAGTACATATGAACCATATTAAAAATACATAGTAAACTATGAAAAATGTTACTTATATACAAATAAACTGAACTTTCTATTTCTCAAAGAGACAAATTAAACTTTTTTGGAGCTGGCTATACAATACTTTAAGGATTTAAACATTTAAAAGTACTAACCATTAAGCTGGCAGCTAATCCTATAAACTAAAAAATTATATGGTTAAGGAAATGTAAAAGGTTAAAATTGATTGATCTTGCTCTGTCAAGTTAAAATTCATTTTTAAAAAAAGGATACCACAAGGCAAATCCAGTTGATTATCAACATAAATAAGTAATCAGCAGGCCTTCCATCGAATAATCCAGTTTCTAGTCGCGAAGAATAAGAGTAAAGAAAATACAAATTTATCAAGTAGTGAAATCCTGTTTGAGGCATGATTGGGTAGTAAATGAGAGCCGTAAGCGGTCTCCATATCTGAAGTTAGCTTGATGAAACACATTTTGATAATTTACACAAATGTTAATACCTGGAACTTTGATAATAGAAGGTGCGAATCCAATATCATTGTCATGGGGCTAACTAATCCTATTTTCCCCATCAGGGGCAAGACAACTGATGCTGTAAACCAATATCGGGTGATCTGAGGAATACCCCGATACCAATCCCCTATTTCATTGGTAGTCATTTCAAGTAATGACCTTTATATGCTAAATTTGTAGCAATTATCGTTTATCGAAGCTGTTTTTCAAGAGATTGTTTTCAACAGTGACGACGTGTATTTCTCTCGGCGGAAGTATGCCTTATACAATATAAAATAGTTCATTTTATTCTCAGTCTAAAAAATTCCTGAATCATCTCAAAAAAATAAATAATTTTTTTTAAAGTATAATCGTCATTAAAAAGAAGAATAAATAAAGCGGATTTTTACGAAAGAAGCGCAGGAATACAGACCGGAACCTGAAATCGTCCTTTTTCCGGTTGCGTGTCAGCCATTTTGACCACGTTGTTGGAGCTCTGCTAAAAATGGTAATTTATTGCGTCTTTTCTACCATTATTTCTTGCTAACTATGCTGAAGTTACTCTTAAAAATATAACTAATAGTAATGTCGTAGTTTTAAAGCGCTAAAATTATTTTATATGCTTAGAATGTGATTTTTTTCAGGCAGCAAGACCACTTATCACAGTGTACAATGAGAAAGGCGAAGCAACTTCGACCAACATTACTTTGCCGGCTGTATTCAAGGCCCCAATTAGGCCCGATATTGTGAACTTCGTTCACAATGAAATGATGAAGAATACAAGACAGCCTTATGCTGTTTCGGAAAAAGCCGGTCAGTGAAGAATTTTCAGTAACCTATATATTTTTGCCAAAACTCAAGTCAATTAACTTAACATATACGTACAACTTTAAACACAAAAGCCTAAAGTAAAGTTTAGGAATCTGTGCAGCAATTTTCATTCCAAAAAATTTACCACGTGGATTTTTTTTTAGGACACCAAACCTCGGCTGAATCTTGGGGAACCGGACGAGCTGTTGCTCGAATTCCTCGTGTAAGAGGAGGCGGTACTCACCGCTCTGGACAGGGTGCATTTGGAAACATGTGCCGTGGTGGTAGAATGTTTGCACCAACAAAAACATGGCGTCGCTGGCACAGACGTATCAATACTAACCAGAGAAGATACGCCATGTGTTCGGCTATCGCCGCCACTGGAATCCCATCCCTCGTCATGAGCAAGGGACATAAAATCGAAGAAGTTCCTGAAGTACCTTTGGTATTGTCTGACAATGTACAAGAAGTGAAGAAAACTAAGGAAGCTGTTGCTGTTCTCCGAAAACTAAAAGCCTACAAAGACGTCGAAAAAGTTAAGGCGTCAAGAAGAATGAGAGCTGGTAAAGGAAAGTTAAGAAATCGCCGAAGAGTTCAGAAGCGAGGCCCCGTTGTCATCTACGCGTAAGTAAAATTTTGTGAAAATATATAAAAATTAATTTATCATGATGATATTAACCATTGGTCCGTGTTTCTGATAACCGTGAATTTACCCATAATGGCACTGATTTAAGAAAAAGAAACTAGAATTGCTTCTACTATAAGCAGCGCTTAAAATTACTTTTTTTACTTTTCAGCCAAGACAACGGTTTAACACGAGCCTTCAGAAACATCCCTGGTATCACACTTTTAAATGTAAACCGATTAAATATCCTTAAAATCGCACCTGGTGGCCATGTCGGTCGTTTTTGTATTTGGATGTCTTCAGCCTTCAAAAAGTTAGACTCCATCTACGGAACATGGAAATCCGAGTCTACTGAAAAATCGAACTATAACCTCCCAATGTCTAAAATGACAAACTCAGATTTAAGTAGACTTCTCCGAGCCCAAAATGTTGTAAAGTCGTTGGAGAAGCCAAAGAGGAATCCACACAAGAAGATCCAGAAAAAGAATCCATTGAAGAACATACGCCTTATGCAGAAATTGAACCCATACGCCATTGTTCAAAAGAGAAATGCGATTTTAACAAATGAAAAGAGAAGAATCGAAAGACAGGCAATCAGAGATAAGAAACGTGGAGTAAGTAAATCTCATAATTATTACGCAAAAGTACCCTAGTTTTGATGTCACCATTCGTAAAATATTCTCCAAAGTCGACTAATAATTTGATTCTTTTGTTGTCACCAAACGCTTAAGTTTTATTTTCATTTTATGCTTCTTAGTTGGATTCAAGTGAAATTGATGAGGTATTGAACAATCTTTTTGTCTGTTGAAATTCGGTTCACTTTAGAGTTAAATTATTTCAAACAGAAACGCTTAAATTTTCAGCAGAAGTATTATAAGCTATGTGTATGAATTTTATTTTTTATTTGTTTGGTGACAGATATTTTTTTGAAGGGTTTTTTTTATTTTATTAGTATAGGTAGTTGAAAAGTTGGCCACTAGATATTTTCTAATATTTGACGTAATTTACAGATCACGAGTGTTGATGAATCAGGTTCTAAAGCGAGACCCAGACGTATTACGAAGAAGAAGCCAGTTAAGAAGTCGAAAAAAGGAGGAAAGTAAACGTTGAAATTGCGTCTTTCCTGTTGTTGTCTTGACTCGCAATAAAGCTTTGACGAATGAATTTAATATGTCTTTAAACTTGATCATTCGTAGAGATATAGGCAAATTATCATCTGCTTAATCTTACTAGAAGATTTTTTACAGCAAAACTTATGGAATATATATATATAGTAAACAATTATTGGACTATAAAACATGCAATATCTCCACAACTGCAAATCGACCTAATTCCGTTTCCGTGCTTCAAAGTTTCCTGAGTGCTTATACAATAAAAAAGTTACAATATTATACGATCTTGTTTGCTTGAAACACAGAAAACTACCCTAAGTGTTTTTTTTCAAATTGATTAAAGGTTCTAAGGCAGGCATCGAATTTATGTAGTTATTCTGATTCTATAGCACTTAACATTTTAATTAACCGAAATAGTGTTTCGAAATATTATTTCATAAGTATCGATATAATAGCCGAAGCTTGTAATTCGCTTTAGTTGCTGCTTTATTATTAGGCATCAGACGAAAAAGTATTAGTCAAAAAATTTTCACGCTTCACCAAAAAGGCTTTACGTATTCAGATTAGATATCCGTCTTTTGGTTGGTTTTAGCGTTTAGCTCCTCTGTAAGCCTCAATAAATTCTTTGAGTGTGATTTGTCCATCCTGATTGACATCAAATTTCCCCATAAGGAACTAAATTAAGAAACGTACAGTTAACAATAGGCTTTAATTAAGCTATCAATTTTTTTACTTCGATTTGGGCCTGAATATTAGCCTCCGAACCTAATTTGTCACGGTGTTGATTGACGATCTTCTCAACCATAACTCTTATTTCTTTTCTGTCAACTAAACCACTTTTGTCTGTGTCCAACTGGTAGAAAATGTTGGTGAGTTCTTCATCGCTTAAAGTCATCTGTGAGGTAGGGTAATATGATTAAGAGGAAAAAGGTATATGATTCAATAGCATGCCATAGATTTGGCCTATAGCGTCGCAAAGGTACAGGCCTTTGGGATTTTGAATGGAAAAGCTAAGAAATAAAAATATATAGCAGTGACTAAAAAAGCAGTGTATAAAAAATATTGGACGCAAACTTCTATTTTTATTTGTATAAAGCTTAGGAAAATCTGTTTAGTGCATATTAATATATTCCCTTTTTTTAGTATACGTTGTTAACGTATACGTCGTCCTTGTTGCTATCAATATTATTTCTTAATCGAATTAATAGCCAATATCTAAATCTATTAAGAAAATCCTTAATCTTTCCTATGAAATTTGTTATAAATCAAAGGCTTTCGAACACAGGTTAGACAATGTTTTATACGAATAAAAGAAAAACTATTAAATCAACAACGCTTTAAAATCATTTTTTCTACGTTAACCTACATAAAAGATTCAAGTTGTAACTTACTTTAGTGTATATGCTAAATTTGAACGTTTGAATAAAAGCAACGTTGGTTCTTGAACAGCTTGTCACAGAGTGTTGGCAAGCATAAAATCCAGCATATTTAAATTCTATACAAAAGACGAGTCATGACTAGTAGTGAATATTCACTAGCTCTCTTCCGGTACCTTTGCAATACAACTTTTTTTTATAAACTTCTCAATTCGGTAAACAAGTTAAAATACCTTTAAGACTAATGATTAAAAAGAATAGCGCCTTGAGCCTTTTTATTTGTTAATCTAAGCATGATAAAATACCAACTTAACAAAAGAATTGCAACTATATAAAACTAATAAAAAAGAGAAAAGCTTTCAGTAGAAGTAGTTTTTTTTTTATTTTTAATATTAAGATGGGAATTTCCATATTTAAACATAATATTAATCATATATGTTTTGTATGAGTTCTTAGCGGTGGTAGAGGTTCAACACGGGCTCCTTCTTGATAAGAATTTGGATGATATATACCCCATTTTGGCATAGCTACCTGACCCTGAATATCTCTGGGTACAGCTTGAAAGCCTTTATAAATCGGTATCATCTGCTTGTGATCGTTATTAAATGTTTGCTTTTCATGTGGACGATCAGTTTTCTCCCATGACCAAAGACGGTATTTTGTATCAGCCGAACGAATAGTATCGACTCGTCGCTGGTACCAATCGGGGTGGGTAGCTGTTGAACTTCTTGCATACATGTCTGGCATGGCTGAGCCCCATTTTCTCCATGCGCCATAAGAACGATCGCAGTGACTACTGTGATAAGGACTTGGAGTGCTGTGATCTGCTTGCCTGTAGAGAATTCAATTAAGTAAGAGATTTTTAAAAAATCTTTCTGGGAAATATAAAGTTATTAGTCTTACCATTGTTTCGGTATATAGGCCAGTGGAGGGGGTCTATGTCTCAAATGTGTTACAGTTGGATCGACTAGGCTTAGAGACATTATGGAAACTGTCTATCCAAATTTTATGCAGTATAATATAGTTTTTCTCCTTTTTTTTAATGCTCTTGTTTAGTTTGATCAGGTAGGTGTTGTTTTGAAAACAGGTTGCCAAGCAATATCTAACCATAACAAAAATGGCGGCAACAGTTAAGGGAGCTCATACTTGTACAGTAACAAAATCAAGATACGAGCCAAACTGGTCCAGATTCCCACCTCACGTACCTACTTATCCGAACCCACCGGCACTTCTAAGGTTGCTTTCCCTCGAGTTTTCTTTTTTATAAAAAAAAAGAAAGGGAGGAACAAATTCGCTTTTTTTTTGCTGTAGGCCTAAAAAAATAATTTTCTTTACAGGCGAACTGAAGCTGATAAATATACCAATCCTGGTGATACATTTTACACTTACTATAAAGAATCAAGACCGTGGAATGTTGAATATCCTGAATGGAGAGAAGAATTTTTTAGACTTGACCCAAGAGCACCAGTAGAACGTAAAATTGATTATAAATTAGGTCCTAATGCCCCTGCATACAAACCCTCAGTGAAGCCACCCCTCCCTAAATGGAATAGGCAAGGTTTACCGCCAACTGAGGCTAAGAGAGCCTTTGGTATGAAACGAATGAGCGAAACCTACGGAGCGAAAAATTTGTATGAATTTTCTAATGCAATGACGTCTACTCAATACAAGAAACCGATACCTAACGTCTACGGGCCATTGCTAAGAGATGAAGTTTATGGAGTAAGACATCAGCACAATTACCATGGTTTTATGCCATTTGATGATTATTATTTTTGAATATTTACTTTAAAGAGTACCTTTAAATTTACTTGCAATTCACTTTACAACTTTTATCCAAAGAGAAAACAAAAAGCCCAACAAATACAAGAGAACGAAAGACAAAAAACTTGGCATCACATTGAAAAAATACTGTTTTTTCCCTTTGTTTTTAATTAATATTCTTCTAGTCATCGAAACATTCTATCTGAGCCAAATAGCAAACCAACTGTCCAACAGTCCAATTTGCGAATTTCTTTTGCCAAATTCGAATCTTCGATGATAAATGTCTAGAGCAAGTCAAATAGCAAATGGACACCCCTGCTCTAGAGGCTGCTGCCCATTCCAAAAGGGTTCGCATAGATTCTTCCTCTCGTCTAGAATGTAGAACAATCCTGCGCATGCGTAAAGACTCATTCGAATTACGAACGATTTTAGATAGGGCATCATGATAGACTAGGTTTGAAAAATTTTCAATATAAGCTTCCTTACTTGATGGCTCTTTAGCTAGCATCACATAAACACTCTTTAGAGCATCGCCTAGAATATCTTTAGTGAATGCAGTACTCCAGCTTTCAACTTCCCTCCTATAGACATCCGTTGAAGTTCTATCCCAATCGGAACCAAACAACTCTATAAAGGCTGCGTCAAAGGATTCTACTAACAGATCCTGAACATACCAACTTATTTGACCTGAACTTACGCTCCTCCATCGTCTTCTTCTCCCAGGTGACATTTGCCACTTCTCAGAGAGCAACGTCTCCATCGAGCGCCTCCTTAATTTAATAGTTCGGTATGGAATTATAGGTTCCAATTGGAGAGGAACGCTTTCAGCAACTGGTGAAATGAGACTTGGAGATGGTGATGGAGCACTTGAAACGAGCATAGAATGAAAGTCACTCAACGTTCTGTCAGGAGCTTGTTGGGATTTGTCTACAGCGTCATCAAGAACCCGCTTTACGAACATATCAGCAAAGTATAGCAAATAATTTGGGCGGAATTCAATTTCTAATTCGGCTCTTGCTGACAGCATACTTCTTTTTACCAAATCAGAACAAAAATCCCGTAATTGTCTCTCAAATGTTACCTGTTTAGGTCTTCTTAATCGTGGGGAACACTTTCTGAAAGGTATAATAACGGACTTTTCATCATCAGTTGATAATTTGTGCACTTCCATTGCACCGCTTAACATATCATCTACCAAACTGCTTACACTATGCTTAAACAACTTCTCGTTGTCAGTGCGATTAGAGCTGACTGTTCGACGCAGTTCCATTTCTTCCTTAATTACTTCCGCTGGAAAATCGCAACTAATCCTAGAACTCTGACGTCTAATTTCATAATCAGTTGATTCAATGCTCGTTCTAGATGAGGCAGAATTTCTTCTGCGAAACTCTAAATCAGATGACGTTTCAGCACTAGTTCGACGGTTAGTTAAAAATTTGAAATCAATTGACGATGTACTAGACCTATTTCCTTGGCTCGGTTTTGTCCCTGAACTCGACGTAGAATCTGTTGATGATCTGCATGAAGAGCGTCTAGCTATGTATAAATTATAAGCTTCAAATATTATATTTTGCGCTTCCAATGTCCCTTCGAAGACAGCTCTTTGGGCGATGTCTCCGGCAAAAGCATCTAAATGAATAAATTTTTGTTCTAAATTAATTGCTGATGGTGACAACGACCGGTTAATGACATGATGACTAACAGGCCCCTTTTGAGTAGTTAACAGAAAATTCTTTTCTAAATGATTTAAAAAGGCTTCTTTATGATTATCGAGAAGAACAAAAACATCTCGTTTATCACCAAGGGTTTGAATAACATCGACAGTTTCTTCTCTGGCAGAAGTTGCCAGTTTGTCATATAATAAATTAGTGATAACAGCCAAATGTGGCATGCATTCTTTTGTAGCTATATGCATTAGTGCGTGACCAGGTGGCGATACGGAATGGACGCTTAATTGACATAGCGGTAAGGAACATTTTATCCAATCGTTCAAGTCCCCTTTCTTCCTTAAACCGATTCGTGTATACACAATACTGGACGGTGATTTTTCTTCCGTCAGAGATTCAATAAAGGAAAAGAGATAACGCAGGTTTGCCACAAAGAAGTTTCCGTCCTTTCCTTGCAAATAACGGAAAGACGATGATATGTTTGGACTTATCTTTGGATTATTTGGTGGAAGAATTCCTAGGAAACTGGCACACACTAATGAAGCAACAAGGTCATCGGATAGCTCAATTCTCCTAAGAACAAAGGAGAATTTATTCCTGAATGGTGAAGGCCTTTGGACACAAGCCATGCAAGCTGTTCTTCTGGCGATTATTGGTAAAAGAACGTTATAGAAAGTCATACGTTCATTTTCAGAAGCAATTTCATCAAGGAAATAGATAAGACCTTCAAATTGCTTTAAATATCGTCGTTCACTTAATTGAATCTCGCTTGATCGGTAGAGTTGCCTGAGAGAAGCGTGCAGATCTGCAGTCGACGTACAATCGTTGAAGGCGTCCAAACACTTGACGATTTTGTACCAACTTCGACAATCGCATGGTAGATTTAGCAGAGGTTCTCCACCTGGCATGGTTTCACACCGAGCAAATTATTTGATTTTTCTCATGATATTCATTCAACCATTGACAACGTTAAATAACGGGAACGTTTGGTGAGCGCGGAACGTAGAAAGAGAGCGAAAAACGACTTTTTGATTAGAATGTGATTTTAATTATAGTATAGATGGCGCTAGAATAGATATTATTGTAATAATGGATTTCTTTGGGCGAAATAATTATTTTAAAGCAATAATTACTATGAAAAAATTTCATAATACAAAAGTTTTTGTGTACATAATTTTGTATTAAAATTTACATGATGTTTTAAAGCGTGACTTCCGCTTCGCGGTACATTTACGAAATATTCTTCATAGCAGACGCTTAAGCAATCCCAAATCAAGAACTTTGCATCAAAATACCCTTGTTGAAAACTTATCCTTAAGCGCTTTTGTTATCTATCTAATTAGAGATAAGGAGAATTAATAAGATTTTGATTGTATTAGCTGTATTATTTGTACCTGAGACCCATTGTTTAACAATGTAAAACTCTCTTTCTCTTTTATTATAAAAAGATCGATGGAAAAATCATAATACTTATGATAAAAAGGACTACTTATAAATGCAGTGCTTCAAATTATATATGTTCTATAAAAAATCCTATAAATATTTCGCAGCGCAATATAACACGAATATAGCTGTTTATTAGGAATATGAAATATGGTGAAACATGATATGTACTTTGTTATTTGTTTTGTATAAAACTAAAGCTCCGCCCTGCTAAAATTTCCAAAGGGATCTGTTTGGAATTTAAACCAAAAGCTAGAAAAATATAACACTTCAGTAAAACTGACGTTTATTCTCATGAAAACGAGATAAGGCTACAGTTGCAGCTGTGCAGCAGTAAATTACAGTTATTTTGGGCTGGATATCGCGTATGTTTTTATTTATTCTCGATTAAGATAATTCTGAGTTTATGTTGGTTTTGGCATATACAAAGTAAACATTAATACATGAAACACCACTGAGGTTGAACTGCGTCTCTCTTAGGCCTAGTCTCAAAGACTACAGATGGCATTAAAGTCGAAAGAGCAGACGACAAAGATAATCAAAATGGCGCGCAGCATGAGGAAAAACTGATTGCTAAGCGCAAAAGCCGATTTTTTAAAAAGCAATAAACAAAAGGAGTAGTTAAATGTTGACCACATGGCTTGAAAGTAACTCATCGTCGGATGCGGGCTATTCAACGCTATCTAGCGCTAACTGCTTGCTTAATAGTCTGTCTATTACTGCTCTTCGTCCTACCGAAATGGGAGAATTCGTCTGCTCAATTTTCAGTTAAAAAGGAATTACAATCTTTTCTTGATCACCATGACTTGGAGACTTACTGGTCGGAAAGAAAGGTTTCTCCTGGTCGATTATGCAGTATGGAAAGTTGTTTCGACTACTCCAAGTGCCGAAATGCTTTCAAAGTTTACGTTTATCCTTCGGAAGGACAGGAATCCCAGAATGACGAAGATATAGTTGAGGACCAACAAAAGTCGATCTACGAAGCAATACTAACATCGATTAAAGAATCCCGGTACTATACGCAAGATCCCAAGGAAGCTTGCCTATTCGTCTTGTCTATCGACACGCTCGATCGAGATAAACTTAGTAATCTTTATGTCAGCAACGTTCAATCGAAAATACGAGCTCTCGATTTATGGAATGAAGGAAAAAATCATATTATTTTTAACCTATATAGTGGGAGTTGGTCAGATTATATCGAACGATTAGATTTCAATTATGGGAAGGCCATACTTGCAAAAGCGTCAATATCCGAGGACTTTTTTCGACAAGGATTTGATGTTTCTCTTCCTCTCTTCCACAAAGAGCATGCTCAAAAAGGCGGTAGTAATGGATTGTTAAGGGCTAATACAGTTCCTGCTTTACGAAGCTTAAAGTTGGTATTTAAAGGTAAACGATATCTAACTGGTATAGGCTCAGAAACAAGAAATACTCTGTATCATATACATAACGGCAAGGATATGATACTCTTAACTACGTGTAAACACGGTAAAGGATGGCAAAATAAGATGGATGAAAGATGTGAAGAGGATAACATTGAATACGACAAGTAAGCCTTTTATAATGCTAGATTTGGGTAGTTGCAATCGAGTTTCTTTCTCTTGCCCTTTTGATTAATTTTGAAACTTTCAAAAGATCCTTTCAATAAAAAGAGAAAGGATGGTTTTGTTTTTGTGAAGCGTCCGAGTGCCCACACCGGAAGCGGCCAGAGAGATAAATCCGTGAAACATGCCTCGTAGGCATCGTATTGCAAAAGGCTCAAACATCTGTTTGTCTTCATTCTTCGTGTTTAATGTTGCAGTTTGCCGCTTATAAGAGTGGTTTGGGAGGGGTGGTAGGTGTGGAGTGTATGCTAGTGGTAATATATCATTTGCGTCCGACAAAACGAGTCGAGCATAGCTTAATTCTCATTTTGCCAAATATGATAAGTAGATTAGATTTAATGTGTAAATCACAGGAGACAAAAAATGTTCGATAATGTCGAAAGGACTGGAATCTATCGATTGGTTTACGCCCACAATTCTAACGTATCATATCGATGTCGAGACGGCTAGTCACGCTCGAGATTTTCTCCACTAATTAGACGGCGTGCCGGTGAAGAATGGCGATAGAATGTTTATACAAACCAAAGACAGTCTTTTATGTAAAGCTAAGTGATGGAATGATAGTGTAAAGTAGGCGGACGCGTCAATCAATCAACGGTTCGGGTTTCTTTATCTCTTTTCCCGTATAACAGCCTCCGCGAACTAATTAAAAAAAGTTCTAACTAGTCGAACTCCTTTGCCTGTCACGTCGCCTTCTGCGCTCCAACGACTCCCCCTTTTCGAATGCTAAATCAAGTTGGTAAAGTTGATTAGAGCCACGGACCGTAAATACCTTCTTTATACGATTGCTGCTGCGTATAGGCATCTGTAGCCCTTCTCAAGCGTCCATTAAGTCACGGACAACCTTCCCCGTCCGACGAGTTTCTCGCGTGCTATTTACTAGACCTTAGCCATTTTTCATTCCTTTCGTTGATTTATCAATGTTTCTGATCGATGGAAAGCGACGATTAGTGACAGGTCTGTTAGGAAGTGATTATCGAACGTCTCTGATGTTAGAATCGACTTTTTCGTCATTTTTTCATCTTGATTGTTGCTCGTCCATCTGAGATATAATAGCTTAAGGCTTTAGTTAATTTTCGCTCTTTAAACTGTATATATACAGTATATATCAGTGTATTTTAGCTATTTACTTATTTATTTATTTTTACTTCCGCGCTATATTTCTAAAATAACAATATAATTTGTATATAAACAAACTTTACCTTGACAAAAGTAAAGCTTTCAAAGTAATAGTAATAACTTAAATAATAATAAAAGAATGCATAAAAAGGAGTAATTTAACTCATTCTTGTATTAAAAAAAAGGTAAATTCGAGAATATTTGTGTTCACTTCAAAAAGAGAAAAGGAAAGAGTCAACGTAATAACACTGGAATATAATGATAGGTTTTGGAGTCGTGTAAAAAGCTTCGTTCCGTATGATTATTATTCGACTTTGATGTTAAACGTGATGAGAACAAAGATGCAAAAAGACACGAATATGACTATTATTCAACCAACCAAGTGGTCGACAATATTTCTTAAACTGTCTTGTGTAAATTTATACAGTTTAAACAATTGTCTTTCTTATTTTGCGGATTATCTTTAGCGTCTCTTTAATTGTACTTCTTTCTGATAATTTTTTGAGTATGTTAGCTAAGCTGTTTGGGAAAGTACTAAAGAGCGCCGTATTTTTCTTAAGTCAAGTAGGCATTTGTTCGAATTTATCATTCATGGTGACCACCATAACAGATGGGACTACAAAACTCTACTTATTAACTCAACTTTCTGCCTGGTCCCTCGGGGTCGTCGGCTCGGCTCTTATCGGTTTCTTGAAGCTTTGGAAGCTGGCTGCATACCAGTTCTTCTCAGCAACGGTTGGGTTTTACCCTTTTCTGAGGTGATTGAATGGAAGAAGGCAGTTGTTTGGGGGGACGAGAGATTACTACTGCAAGTAAGTTAAGATGAAAGTTTTTTTTTTGTTTCTTTCATTTTATCCATTCTATGGACCATGAACTAATTGGCCGAGTGTAAAAAGCGACTTTTCCAAGTGAATAGGAACGCAGAGCCAGATCGTACGTTTGACAAACATTATTTCACAGTTTGATTCCCTTCGGCGAACAGAATCAATTCTCCAACCCGTTGTTGCGTTTCGTTTAAGCGTTACCCCAATTTCGGCGAGTCGCCGTATTTCCGCTCCAATCCAATCCGTTTCTTTTATTCGTTTCAAATCAAATTTCCTAATAATTCTAAATCGAAAAAAAAATGGTTGTGGTTTGTTAATATGCCTGTCAATTTTTACAATAAAAGTCGATGACCCAGTAAGAGAATTCCCAAAGGTGATGGACTAGAATGGGATTTATAGAGACGATTCCACCTTCTTTCCATCTATCACTCCGGCCATTACCCCTTGTTCCTTGTTCTTTTATTAAAACTTGTATTTATTGTGGACTTTTTTTTATGACAGGTACCCGATATAGTTAGGTCTATTCCACATTGGAAAATTCTCGAAATGCGGCAACAGACACAGTTCTTGTGGAGCACTTATTTCTCATCTGTCGACAAGATCGTCATGACGACGCTAGAGGTTGATTTTTACTATTCGGTTTCATGTTCGCGAAATTAGCCTCGTTTTTTTTTCTCTCCACCCTGCCAGATAATAAAGGAACGTATTGACACGCAAGCGGCAACACGTTCCAAGTGGGTTTGGAATGTCGCTCCGGGAGCTTTGGCCACACTTCCCGATTTTTCAGAATCTCTAAAGGACTATCCTTTTTTTAGGCGACGTTTACGCCTCCATTCGACCAAAAATTTTACAGCAGTCATATACGTTTCATCGGAGCAATCAAGTGTTTCGCCATTAATCAGACTTATAAAACGCTTATCAAAGTCAACGCATTTAACCAAAGTAAGATCACTATTGAAAAAATATTTCTTTTTATAAGAGATAGAATAAAATACGGTTTGGACCATTAATAATTTTCTTTTTAGATTTTATTACTATGGAACAAGAGTACGGCTCCATTTCGATTACGTAGGAACTTTGCAAACGTAAAAGCTAATATAATTCTCAAAGTAATCAACGTAAGTAAAGTCTTCTTTGTGTATATTGTAGATATTTTTAATTTCGTCTTTTACATACGATACGTCTAAAAAACTTTATAGTAGATAATTTCAACGATTTTCTTACTCGAGCCATACTCTCTTTTTTTCCTATAAATACTTTATACGCGTGTTACTTTGCGAATGTTGTCTACCTAGATTTAGACAGTATTGGAATTTAGCGATGATAATAGAGAAATAATTCATACAAGAATAAAAATCGAAAAGAGTCCTCTCTTTTTCATACTATACGTAATTTTTCTTCTATAGTAATTCCTTCTCTCTCTCTCTCTCTCTCTCTTTTCTTTCTAGCTCCCACTTTCTCTATGGTCTATCAATAGTGTTTATATAGAAAAAAGCCTGTATTTCCATCTTATAACGACGTGAACAAGATAAAAATTTCTAGAGCAACTATAAAAGACTTTTTAAAGAAAAGAGAAAATAGACTAAAAAGAACTAATATAATCTAGATTAAATGAAGAGAAATCAGTGCTTCTCATTGATGCGCCAGGGAATATTTTCCCATCTAATATGCAAATAATTTACGTAAATTTTAAAAATTTTCTATAAAAGTTATTTAAGAACTGAATATCTAGATTTAAAAGTCTTTTTTCTAATAATCTGACTGAAAGTATTTTGTTTTTTTAAGCTCAAATTAAAAGCTTATTGTTTATTTATAATAATCCATCTAGGTTTTATAAACTAGTTTAAGTGTAAATAAATAAATAAATAAATATATACTAGCACAAAGTATATATATATATACATTTTTCTATATATTTATCTATATAATTGTATATACTAATATATTATGCTCATCAAGTATTCACAAAAAACGGTAGTTAAATAATTAGATAAAATTCTTTAAATCCAGTTTTTAGATCGCTGTTGTTTTTATACGCTCTACTAAATTTACACACAAGGCTGTTCTTTTTCCTCCTCTGCTAATTTAACTAGTTATATATAAATTATTTAAACTTCCTACTGTATGGCTTCGTAACAATACAAAGAGAAATAAAATTGTTCTACAGCACATAATTTTTTTCTATTTATTCATATCCCTTTTCCTCTCTCTCTCTCTCTCTCTCATTTCTCTTCAAGTTTTTGTGCATTAGGAGAACATATGTAATATTTATTATATAATTTATATAGAAAAATTGTTGACAAATGGAAAACATATGTAAATTAAAGATATAGGATGACCCATACCGAAATTGATCCATATAGAAACAGATATATTTGAGAAAGAAAGAAATCGATTTTGCTGTAATGAGCTTTTCAAAAGACTTTGCCTAGAGAGGTTCAAAGTTCTATTGACCTATTGTTTGTAAATTATATGTTATATGAAAATTTTTTATAGAGTTACATATTTATCTTTTATTTAACGGTGAAAAATTTCGTTAGGCGGTGATATATTGCCTTTTAATTTACTGTTTATCTCAATTATTGATTTAGTAGACAGCTTCGGCCAACCCTAGTCTGTCTTAACATAACAATACTTCTGGTGGGAGTCGGGCTGCGAGTAATTTGTATTAAACGAGATATTCGTGACGCTTTTTCAGCACGTTAACGAACGCTTCTACCCACACGAAGAAATCGACACGGACGCTGTGTTGAGTTTAGACGAAGATGCCTTATTGATAACGGACGAGGTTTTTTTCTTTATTACGCTTTACGACGTCGTGCATCACTGTCGTCTTATTGTTAAACAGATCGATTTTGCATTCTCCGTCTGGCAAGAGTTTCCCGATCGGATCGTTGGCTATCCGGCTCGAAGTCATTATTGGCATGAGGCCAGGGAACAGTGGATGTACTCATCGGCTCAAAAACATCACTTCTCAATGGTGCTAACCTACGCTTCATTTTATCATAAGTAAAATTAACTTGATTAAATACTGACATCAAGGTTTATTAACTAAATAAATAATTTCCTGACAGATATTATAATTATCTTTATACTCATTCGCTCCATACACCGCTGTTCAACATTGTCTCTACTGCTCCACATTGTACACATATACTCATGAACTTTCTCGTTAGTCACGTAACAAAACGTCCGCCAATTAAGGTCTTACAACGTAAGATTTCTACGGCTAACGAACGTATGCAACCATCCGAATCATGGATGATGGAACGCTCAGCCGATTTCGTCGACAGTCAGAGTTGTATGTTAAATATAACCAAAATATTTGGTTATATGCCGCTCAAAAATTCTCAAGTTCGTATTGATCCTCTCCTTTATAAGGACCACGTATCGAAACACCGAAAGAAATATAAAACTGTCGAAAATATTACGTGGAATTGAGATATAAATAAAGAAAGAGAATAAGAAGAAAATGATGACGTTGATAAAAAGAAGAAAAAACTCTTTCTTTTCTTATATTCCACAAAAAATGAGCCTATTCCCTGCAATTTGTGACCATGGTGCTAACATGAAGGAGCAAAAAATTGTTTTTAAAAGAAGATATATATATATATATATATATATATATATATATATGTATATTAATGTAATCCTATATAATCTACTATGATTCTATTCATAAGAATGAGTAAGTGATTTTTTATTTGCCTTCTTTGTTTTTTTTCTAAATGGACAGGTCGTATCGGTCTAGTCGTAATGTTTTTCTGTTATCAAATAAATATTTAATTTTTAATTTAATGATTTTTTCTCTTCCTTTCTCTTCCCTTTTATTCTTTTTATGTGTTTTATCTTTAATTTATATGACCGCCAACCGATAGATGGCGATTTTAATTTTTTTTTTATTTTTTTATACTTGTTACGTTATTTATTTGCAAATGGTCATACGAACATAAAAAGATACATAATGGCCTAATAATTTATGGGCTTATATTAAATTATAGAGATTCGGCGTAATTTTATTTTTAACCTACTCTTACTAGTTGTATACTACAGTTATGTTGGCGTCAACAAATTCGGTAGAACAAAGGGCAGTGTTGTCTCTATTGCCTCCAATGAAAATTGAGTTTAGGAGGGCTTTCCATCCATCAGACGGTTTACTTAACCATTTTGTCAAGATGAAATACGAGGACTCTAGTTTCTTTGATTACGTTCTGGATAATTTGGAATGTAATAATGAGGCTATGCACCTAATAACTTCTGCTGCACTTATAGAAGAAGATTTAGACTCCTGCAACAGTTCGATTCCATTAATGAGTGAAAAAATTGATATGTTTGTTTATTATAAGAACAGAGTTATTTGGCCGATTCTAAGAGCTTTGGTTAACAGGGGATGGAATTTATCTTTAGGCAAACTTGTTAAAAAACTCGACTTGGACGGTAAATTCCAGTGGAATTTTAGCCTACTTATCAGTACACTACTGTACGCTATAAAAGTAAAAAAGTCAAATATTATTAATTATTTAATTGATAATTATTCTTTCGAAATAAGCGAGGACTGCCAAAAGATTTTAACTATCTTTCCCTTGATACTCCACAGTGATAACGGAGATAAAATCCATATATTTAACGGTCTATTTAATAAAGTCCGTTCGAAAGCGGAATCAATTAACTATCGGAATATTGGCGTAAAAGTCCTCCAAAGTTGTACGGAAGCGGGTATAAAGCTAGACGATTTTGTAATAGTTATGAACATAGAAAAAGATATTTGGAGTAGAAGTTGGAAAGTTCAAATTCTTGCTGAGAATGCTTTCAAACTATCAAACAGCTCGATATTCATTTATTTATTATCGCATTGCCCAGATCTGATCGATATTTACAGACGAGAAGATTATTGGTATTTGATTATGCAAAAACCAACTGAAATGATAGATTATTTGATAAAACGGGTTCCAGATATTCTTATATGGTACGATAATCTCTTATCGGGAAAGTACAATTGTAAAAAAGATTTTAAATATAAACTCTTTACGGAGAATGATCTATCGAATATTTTCCGTTGTGAATCTGTTGTTTGTTTCTTCAAGAAGCGCGATACCTTTTATAAAATATATCTGTACTGGCAAAGTGGTCTGGCAGGGATCAATCTAACGAATTTGAGCTTATACTATTTCCGTTGTTTACGGACAATTGTTAAATTTATGGATCTCTATGGCATTTCAATAGATGAAGCTGGAAATTATTTCTGTAATTGGTATGTAAGTAACGTAAGGCGTAGTTTAAAGTTCAACTACACTTGCTTAGACCTTGGCTCCTTAGTGCTACCAATATTTATGGAGTACGGATATGTATATCGAGGAAGTCTACGGCTCGTGTCATGTAATCCATTAACTAGGAAATTATTCTGGTTATTCTCATCAAGGCCCATTTGTTTACTAGGACCGCAGGGTGAAGAAATTTTGGACCCTGATTTCGGCATTCAACCCCTGTGGCATTTAAGTGCCCTAGTAATTAGACGTTCGATAAGACGCCCTTTCAAAAGATCTATTGAAGCTCTTCAAGTACCAGCCACTATTAAATTTCAAATTCAATTGGAGCAAGAATTAATGAGAAGGATAGAAGCGAATCCCGCCATATTCTTTCCTAATTCCATACGTGACGCCCTACTTTAGAAAATAAAATTTCTAAATATGATAAGTCGCTAACACAACCTAGATTTGTGTCTTTTGTAGATCGAACTTATCAGGCTAGATTGTATAAGCCTAATCAGCTATGAATTGAAAGTAAATTTTTACAATCTTTTTCTCATTGTTCCTACTAAAAGAAGGTAGGATGTGACTCTTATAGTTAATTTTTCATCATCTAAATATGAATTTCAAAGGCGTCTTTTACTATAGTTTAATTATTCTTAAAGATTATATCATGAAAAGATGAAGATATAAATGACTAGTTATAATCTCTGCAAATATGGATAAAACATGCTGTTCAGTTGTTGAGTATTATAAATTTATGATAAAGATACATAATATCATAAATATTAAGAAAATAAACAATATATATATATATATATATATATATATATATATATTAGTAATTGTATACGTCAACGATAAGTCGAAAGTCTAACTGTACTCTAAATCTTAAAAACATCTTTCGTGCATTTGTTAATTTCTTTTTTTCTGTGTAACGTGAACAACGGAAACAGAATGTCGACAATGTCGATTCCGGTTAATCCAACCGGATAGGACTACAAAATTAAACGTTTCTTACAATCTATACAATACTTATATTCAGTGAACGCTTTGACCGTTCCGGCGTTTATAATTATGAATTGAGGGGAAAAAAAAAACGCTTAATCGGAAAAAAAAGTGTAAATTTTAAAACGATTCCCTTTTTCATAAAATTTAAATAAAAAATAGATGAAATAAGAAATGAAGAAAATGATAAGATATTCCTTTCCTTGTTTTTAAACATGAATAAGAAAGTGGGTTAATAAACTGATCTTATTGGTGGAAAATTTTGTACTTATATTCAATTTTAATGGAAAATGAAACGTGTGTTTAATTGTTTTCTAAAAGTTTTGTTTACGGCTGTTAAATATCGATTGTTAGGCATAACGTAGCCCTTTGGCTATAGTGGTTTTTTTTCTTTTTGTGTGTATCACCAAATAGATCTCAATGTTTTTACTTACTTTAGAATCTCTCTTCCTCTCTTCCTCTTTTTTCCTTCCTACCGCCTATACTATTCTATACACTTACACTGCTCTCCCCTTTTACCCGCTCATCTCTCTCTCTCTCTCTCTCTCTTTCTCCCATCTTTATTTCGGTTTAAAATTTAGAGACGAGTTTTTTTCGTAAAATCTTCACTTTGAAGTCTATAATGCTCGATCTATTTAGAAAGAGGTTAAGAATCCTTTAAAAGAAGAAATATAGGATGAAAATTGTCTTAAGAATATTCTACGAGTGTTTTAACAGTACTACAAAAAACAAGCAAATAAAGAAAAGAAAATAGTGAGAAATGAGGAATGGAAGGAAGAAAGAGAGACAGAGAGAGAGAGAGCGAAAAAAAAGTAATTTATATTCTTCTCTTCTTATCTAGCTGAAAAATTCAACAACTCTCTATCTAGTATATTCTAAAAGGCGTTCTTCAAGACAAGAACAACAAACACAGCAACTCAGTTATAGGGAAATTTAATATTTCTAGTCATTCTTAATTCGCTAAAATTATCCATCTAAGCGTAACTCTTACTTTTGTCCAATAACAGGTTCGTAGTAAAGGTTTATTAATTAACTCTTCAAGGTAACAATTCATATATCAATAGATGTTTTTATAATGCGTTTTGTTGGCTTTAAAGAATGAGAGATTAATTCCTCTCATCTTTGCTAAAGAAGTATATTTTAGCTTGGTGTCTTTAAGCAAGATAAGATTTACCCCCAATAATCCAGATAATGGAATTAGTGTCTCAAAGTATTCATAATTAAACGTTTGATAATCTACTTTATCACTTTCAGTCACATTTATGAGCTACTACAGGCCTGTTTATCATGCTCTTCGTGTGAGCATAACTATCCTATATAGAAAAGAAGAGGGAAAGCATAGAATTTATTTTTCTTTGAGTAGAGTATAAGATTTTAAAAAACTATTAGCCGCATCGATGATCAGAAGACCGGTATGTTTCTTTTCCAAAGATAGGTAAGATGCCCAAGCAACCGGTAATTTTGTCTGCCCTAAAAAATCTGGAAGGTGTAGAGGAAGAAATACTACTATACCTATACGAAGGGTTATCTTTTCTTCCTCTCTTCGTTTTATCTATTGCAATCAAAGTAATTAAAAAACAATTCAAATGGGAAATATCTTTCAAAATCAATAATTCAGTTAATAAAGGACGAAAAAGTGATGTTCTATCTCGTAAAGGATGTTAACTCTTACACTGACCGGAATAGAGAATATTCTGAATTTTCAGATAAACGATAATTGATAGGAAAAACTCCATTATACTTCTTCCTAAGCATTTTATCGTTTTTTTTATAAATGACCTTTGCGCTCCCAATAATAAAACAATAAGCATAAAAGGCAAACGGATTATAAAGTTGACTAATTTAGACAAAGAGAGGTTGGCTTTTAAGGGCAACATTTTCCAATTGTTACCATAATATGTCACATAACGAACTATATATAATTAATATATATTTATATGTGTGTGAATTGAATAAATTAGGACTTAGTTGCTCTCTGAAAAAGAGATAGAACAAAATACATATTAAGCAAGGCCATCTGGCGATTGAAGTGATTCATTTTAGATAGATAGATAAAGATAAATTTCTATTTGTATTTTTAGGTAAAAATTTGCAAGGAACACTATGGAGAAGTTCATAGCATATTTACAGATGTTTAATAGTCGTCGTCTGAACTGTCGTCGTCGTCGTCTCCACCCCTGATAGTTTTTCCTTTCTTTGATACTCCTATAATTTTAGTACTTTTTTTTGGTTGATCAGGTGGTGTTAGTAGATCGCCACTGTAATTAATAACTTGGGCCTGGGCTATTCTCCATTCCATCATCTCAGTTGAAAAGTCATCACGACCGCCTAAATCGTCAAAGCCAACAATATAATCTTTCGTTTTCGAGTCTTTAATGAGACATAGAGTGGGGATAACTCGAATCTTGAGTCTTTCGGCCAAAAATGGAGCCTTCTCAGCGTTTATTTTAACAAATCGGCACTCTAAGTGTTTCGCAGCCAAGATTCTGAGATGCTTATCAACGATTTTGCATCGTTCAGCACTGTCACGGTAAAAATGGCAAACAGCATTTTTCGATTGTTTTCCAACTTCAAAAAATTCTTTTTCTTCTGCTAATTCTGAGTATTCTCCATGACCTATGATAGGAATAATACATAAAGTTATTTCTTATGTTGAAAAAAGTCGACAAAAAAATCTGTTACCTAGTTGTTTCCAGTTCGCTTTCATTTCTTGCATTTTCTTCATTTGGGCGATTCTTTGTTTTCGTATACTTTCCAGATCGTTCTCATCGAGTTTATCCAGTCGTTCAATTTCGGCGTCTACTTGCTGTTCAACAACCTTAGCTACCTATAAATTAAAGAAGAATTTTGTTGCCGTCAGAACTTGCACGTGCACATTGAAAATTTGTAATCATCAATAATACCTGTTCCAATTGGTTTTGTATTATTTGTGATGCTTGATCTGCTGCCATTCTGATAGACTATTAACTCTTTTCTTTAATAACTCGTCAAATATTCTCTAATACACATATAATTCGTTATTTACGTCTGTTTCTAAGCGATATTACAATATCCGGTATGACAGCACCGCACCTTCAAGTCAGTTTTAAATTTTATTTGTTTCCGGTATTTTACCGCCATAAATTCAAACAAGGGAAATTTTTTTAAAAAACTGTAAATTTAAATCATTCCTTGTCTATTCAAACGCAATTTCATTACAGAAAGTATATTATAAATAAAAAGGAAATGTCTTTATCTAACAAAGATCAATAAGGCATCAATAATTGAAAGAATTCTGTTTGTTTTATCGAATTTAACAATATAGAAATATAAAAGCTAATTGAACCACTGGCTATTATTTTTTATATAAATAGCATGTTCTTATAAAAAGATTTTTTCTAAGAGATTTGAATTAAAACTAAAAATATATTGAATTTCTCTTCAAGAAGGAAACTGTTATTGTAGTGTTTAATGGTTGACTTTAAAAGAATAGAAAGAAGTATTTAACCTATAATCCAAATATACGAATTCAATCGGTGCTTTTTCTTACTTATCTTAAATATTATGTTTTATGCAGGACATTTAGATACAATGCTCTATATTTAGACGGATAAAAGAAAGAGAGTATTATTTCAATAAAAAATATATTTATGTTAATATTTAGGACGATAGAACATTTATTTCTAAAACAAAGCCCCCTTCATCTCATATGAGACAGTGTGAGAAGCTAGCCTACATAATTTGTCTGAGCCCCTGTCCAATAAAAGAGTAGATATATTACCCTTTAAAAAAAAAGAATATTATTTAGTCAATGCAAAACAACAATAACCTTAACATAGTCCTTTCATGAGAATTATAACGAAACAAGTTTACCCTTGTTGTAAAGACTTGAAAGGATTTGATTTTCTAGAACAAACCACATGGTTGTATTGATGTGTAATTTTTTGTTTGTTTGGAAATAAAATTTATAATTTTTCTTGCGGGCCTTCTCTCTCTCTCTCTCTTTAAAAGTAGGCTTATTTTCTTCGTTTCTTAAAAATTCCAGTGTTTGTTAAATCATCTCATGGGAAATCATGTTGATAATGTTTTTATACGATAGATGGCGTATTGTTCTTTGTCTAACGTCTTCAGTGCATTGTCCAATTACTTTTGACAGAATAGGCGATATATCACCTAATATCGTTAACATAAGAAAATTAATTTGATTACGTTTAAATTAAATATATTCAACTGGACAATATAATTTATTTGCATCCTTTTTAAATTTGGACACTTTTGCCTCTATTTGACATATGACTGTGAAGAAAATACGGAACCGGAAATTTGAAATTTGAAAGCGCTTTTTCCAATTTTTTGACTAATTAGTTTCTTGAGTTTAAGGAATAACTTGTCCATGTAGACTTGATCAAATTTGTCAACGGCAACGATTTCAGATTGGAACTTCGTAGAGCAGCACGTACTCAAAGATCTTTCATCATTACCCTTCCTCATACTCTATTAAACAATGTCTGAGAATTTGTTCCTTACGGAATCGATAGTAGAGAAGATTTTAGATGCATCAGTAGATATACCCGTTGCAGCATATTGCCTACCCAAAACAGGGATATTAAACTTTTGTGCATCAGCTGATGTATCATTGGAAATAACAAACAAAGCGATAAAGAAATTTTGTTCCTTAGCAGGCAACGACTACATTTGCTCAATTCTTAATGTTAACATAAAGGATTATTCAATGTTGATAAAATATCGTAAATGTTTCGAATGTTGCAAAAAGAAATTAATATGGCCTTTAATTACGAAGTATTTAGATTGCCATAAAATAGATGCAGTATCCGGTATATTTGGAGATGACCATTTGTCATCTCTATCTTATAATACATTGATATATTGCATTGAAAATAACTACATCGATCATTTTCTTCATTTATGGAAATGGTTCCTTTTACAGAGAAACTTTGAAATAAATAACAAAGTCTTAGCTTTTTTATTAGCCAGAGGTGTCACTGATGAACTCAAACTAATTATAGTCATGCTTGATTGGCTAAAGAATAAAATAAGATTCAGTTCCCATTGGAGAAGTAAGAGAAGATATGATATTCAATTTTACTCTGAGAGGAATGTTACTTGGCAACATATTGAGAAATTCATGGAATTGTACGGAAGTATCAGAGATAGTAATAGCGAAAAATTACTCTTTGATTGTTATAAAAATGGTAATTCGAATGTTTTTTTTAAATTACTTGACGAGAAACCAGATTTAAAGAATTACATTCCATCCAATAACGAAGCTTTCCATTTAATTGAAACATCAGAGGAGATTCGCGATTACTTTATTCAAAAGAACCCGTATATTCTACAGGAACTTCACGATTATATAATGGAGATATCTGATGAGAATTTATATTGTGGAATTTGGAGCGTAGATTTTGCTAATTTATTCAAAGTTCAAATGCTATCTGACTTTTTTGTTGAGAAGCAAACTTTAAAAAAAGTCTATAGTCTGTGGTTAAATAAGGCTTGGTGTGCGTCCGTCTACGTTGTTGTGCCAAATACTGTACAACATCAGAGAAAGACAGTTTATGATATTGTTAGATTTTTCAATAAGCATAAAATGCCCCTAAAGAAACTGGGAAATCAGTTTTGCTATCGAATATTTAGAGCCATTACTGAAAAAATGACTAATTTCATAGAAGAGGCGTATTGGGTCTTGCCTATGCTTCTACAAAATGGATTCGTATTCACTGGCAAAACTCCCGGCAGTTTTGAACTCGCAGCTTTGGGTAAACTTTTAAATTTCCTATCTTAGTCTTATCTTACCTTATCTTTATCCTCAGATGAAAATTGTAGGAGACTACTTAAGGTTTTATTTTTAACATCTAGTCAGAAATGTACATTCTCAAGTTGTCTTCTTGACGAAATTGACCTTTGTTCAAAACCAAGAACTCTAGTCAACCTGGCAGTCACTACTCTTCGAGAAAATAGGCGGGAAAATATTGAAAATTTTATCTCAGGTTTGCGACTCCCTCAACCTATGCAGAGTCTAATTCTTCTAGAAGATGTACTTCAAGTACTAGGCGTCATGTCAAAGATAGAGATACCGGAGAGCAAAGACGACTTATATACGGAACATACAGAAAATTGTCTTGTTAAAAATATAATGGTCAAGGACTTGGCGGCAGACTATTTGAAGGAAGTTGATGTTTTAAATCCTATTCCGGTGCATTGATCGTTTTAAACAAAATTTACTATTTCTCTAATAAAATACTCTTTTAGATATACAAAACCGGAAATATTGTTTTTGAGCTAGTCCTTTAGAACAACTTTTTACTCATTATATCTCTTATTATTCAATTTGAAACCGCAGAGTCATATACTTGAAATGTATTTTTATTTATAATCATCTACTTTGCAAATTTTGCGTCAACGTATTGTATTATATTTGACTTCGTTTTTCTGAAGTATTGAATCAAACACGGTCCATAAACGTTTGATTCCTAGCTCTCGAAGATATTTCCTGTGGTGATAACTTACGATGGTTTTTCATCTGTTCTATTTTTGAACATTCAGAATACTAACGCGTGTTAAAAAACTAAAGAACGATGTTTTTCGATTTCATTCATCTTCAACTGTATTAGGCAATAAACTCGTAAGGAATAGGTGTCAAAAATTGAGGCTTGTTGAACTTTGTTCTAACGTAGTGAGCCTCCTTGGGTTGCTCCGGCTGTTTGAAAAAAAAAGCCGTTAAGTGGAGGGTATGGGAAAGAGGAAAAACGCATTATTTTATGAAGAATTTCAGATGCCAATTCCGTTTCATTAAGATCAAACGGTAATTCCAGCTATTTTTGGTTAATTCATCATGTTGCGTCGCAAGAAAAAGAACATGTGATAAACGAATACTTACGATTCTCTTAACGGTAAACTTTTCGTTCTTAGCTTTAGCGGCTTTCTTTATGTTTTCATTCTCCTTTACACGTTTCAAGAAATCCAAACGACAGTTCGAGTGTTTGACGTGCTCTACTCTAACGTTGATTCTCTTTGGCAAAATTCTGCCCCTGTTAAAAATGAACACGTGGTCAAACTTAGCATGGCCGAATTTTTCGAAAATGGCGTTCTCTCTTTCAGAAAGACTAATCATATTGATCATTAGTTTATCAATTGGGGTATATGTGTTCATCAAGTTTCTATCAAGACTTTTAGTGTAAACAAAATGGCTACTTACTTTACACGCTTGTTGACGATGACTCCAACGGCATGTTGTGTAACGTTGAAAACTTTTCCAGTACGGCCGTGGTAGGATTTATGCGGCATACCCTTTTGTACCGCGCCGTTTCCCTTGATGTCGACGATATCACCACGTCGGTAGACTTTCATATAAGTGGACAAGGGAATAAGACCCTTGTGGCGGAATTGTCTTGAGAACATATACCGCGTTCCGCGGCGGTAACCCTTGGTATTGGTCATCTTGGCACCTGAAAAGTAAATGAAATGAAATATAAGTTAACATGCGAGACGAAAAAAATGGAGAAAAATTTGACGCGCAACCTTGAGCACGTGGTAAATTTTCCAATTTCTAAATTCGCCTTTTTTTTATTCATATCTCTTCGCTAATTAATACTTCGACTTAATACAAATTACTTATTCGTAAAATAAAACTACGGAGACTAGTTTTGAAGGAAGAAAAATGTAAAAGTGACTCTACCTCCTTTCTGCCAATATGGACGACGGGAAAAGGAAGTTTGTAGCGACTAGCGGCAGGATGTCTAAATGTTTTCGTATTTTAATAAAAACATTATAATTGTTTTTTATGCTTGAGACTTAAGTTTAAATTATATTAAAGTATTTATATCTTTACAACTAAATTTGTGACTTTAATTTAGTCACAACGACATTGAGCGAAAGTACAGAGAATGTTTATATTCAAGTCAAAATGGCGAAGGGTGGGACAAGATTAAACTGAATTTGCTCAAATCATGGTAAGTTTTAAATTGTTAGACTGTGTTACTATTTTGAGCAATGGTTTATCAGTATTTCTATTATTAGATTTGATTTTTGCTTCGAGTATATTTGCATGTCGTTAGATTTAATTGTTTTAAACTGATAGAATTTTGTAAACCATTTAATAATTGATAAACTTGTAAAAATTTCATGTGTCTTTTGCTTAGGGAGCGAATGAATCGCACCTAGTTAAGGAAATTGGTTCTGATCAGTTCCCCCCCAACGAACATTTCTTTGGATTAATTAATGTAAGTTACCATTATTTCGCAATAATATTCTCATTATTATTAAATTTTTAGTTTGGTAATACTTGCTACTGCAATTCTGTTCTGCAAGCTTTATTTTTCTGCCGTCCATTCCGAGAGAAAATTCTGCAGTACAAGCAACAACAGAAAAATCAGAAGAAAGAAACATTATTAACCTGTTTAGCTGATCTATTTCATAACATTGCCAATCAGAAAAAGAAAGTTGGCACAATTGCTCCAAAGAAATTTGTTCAACGTCTTCGAAGGGAAAATGGTATAATATAATTCAATAAAATGCCATTTTTGATTTTAAGAATGTGTCTATCGTCAAGATTTGTTCGATAACTACCTACAACAAGATGCGCATGAATTCTTGAATTATTTGCTGAATACGATAGCCGATCTACTACAAGGTATCTTCTTCTAACTTTTGCATTTATGTTTCCCTATTAAATTAACAATTTTAAATAATATAAACCAACAGAAGAAAGTGTTTTAAGGATAAGTAAAAGTTTAAAATTAGGTAATCAATTAGTCACTGACTTTCTTTTACTTAAAAGGAATTGATTTGTTCTGTACACTTGATATCATAAAAATAACTAAAAGCAACTATCTATTATCATATTTGTTGTAACAAGAATAATAACCAATTGAAAAGAATTATACTAGCATCTTTATATGAATTATTATTGCAAAGTGATTACATTTTCTTTTTTATCATTTGTTTCTATAGAAAAATCTTTAACTTCAAAATCTGCAAAAGGCAACAACCTTTCTAATCATTCATCAGCTGCAAATGGTAGTACTGCCATGGCTAATGGACCATTGCTGAATAAAAATGAAATAGTGCCACCAACATGGGTTCATGAATTATTTCAGGGAACCCTAACGAACGAAACCAAGTGTATGAATTGCGAAACGGTATTTTATATACACTTATTTTATATCAATATCATTCTGCTTTTATAACATTTCAAGTAATTTTTTCTCATTCTCATATGCATGATCCTAGTAGATGCTGTATAATGTATTACTTATAACTAGAGCTTTGTACAGAAAAAGTTAATAGGATTTCTGGTCCAATTCACTTGTAATTAATAGAATCAGTATTGCTTTTTTTTTTTTGGACATTGATAAATTTAAATTAATGACTTCTGTTATGACATTTTTAGGTTAGTAGCAAAGATGAAGACTTTCTAGACTTGTCTGTTGATGTCGAACAAAATACATCCATATCTCATTGTCTAAGAGGATTTAGTAGTACCGAAACACTTTGTGCTGAATATAAGTACTATTGTGAAGTTTGTTGCAGTAAACAAGAAGCTCAAAAACGGTAAGTGATATATAAACTACTTGATCTAGTCGTTCATCATTAAAAACTATTTTGTTAATATCTTTTCCTTGTTTAGAATGCGAATAAAGAATCTACCTCAGGTCCTCGCCCTCCACTTGAAGCGATTCAAATATGTGGAACAAGTCAATAGATATACAAAATTAAGTTACAGAGTTGTCTTTCCATTAGAATTACGATTGTATAATACAGTACGTATAATACTACTTCCCGATGTTAAATATATACATTCGCTTTCATTTTACGCTATTTTACAGAGCGATGACGCTGTAAACAAAGACAGATTATATGATTTGGTTTCTGTCGTCGTTCATTGTGGAACAGGACCAAATAGAGGCCATTATATTAGCATTGTTAAATCACATGGCTTATGGTTATTGTTTGACGATGACATGATTGACGTAAGAATATTATGACGTTGATGATAAATTGTCTATTAAACTATTTAAATTATTCAGAAAATTGAACCATCGACTTTTGAAGACTTTTACGGTCTCGCTCAAGATTTCCAAAAAGGTCAAAGCGAAAGCGGATACATTCTTTTTTATCAATCTCGTGAAATATGAATGTTCAAAACAACCTGCATTTCTACTTCAACTGTCTGTATTGTTGACATTCTCGTTTTGTTCATAATAACTTAAGCCTGTGATTGAATTTTAATTTTTTTCTTGAACACTTGTAACACTATCATGCATGTACATAAATTGTATATTTGATATTTATAAGTCATAGCGATATATCATTGGATAGATTCAATGGACACTTGTTTCACGTACTGCTGTTCATTCTGAAGAATAAAAGATCAGGATTTGATAACTGATAGTATTATTCATTGTTTTCATTATGATGCTTTATCAATTGACTTCCACGTAGGTTTTTCTATTTTTTTCGAAACTCCTCTGAAAACTGGTATAAATAATATTGTTTGAAAGTTTTACTTAGCTAGAAAATGGGTGCCTTTAATATTTTAACCCATTCTGTCTCACTAATCGATGGAGCAGGACTGCTATTTTTAGCAGTATATTTTGTATCCTTTTCAATATATTTGTAATCAATTTATTATTTATATTGATATATCTAGATATAGTTAATTTTTATTATATATCTCCCTAATTTCGTTCACGTTTTTTATAAGTGTCATTATTTCTTAACTTGTGAAGACTATAACCCTTTCTGATTTAGAATGCGACTACCTGAATGCACAACAATGCTGTCAAAAGTTAAACAGAGTTTGTAGCATGTCTTTAGTATTTTGTATCCCCTTGAGAGTAATTATACCGACATTCTTCTGCTTGAAGTTAATAGACTGCGAAATGGAAAGATGTAATTAGAATTTTTGATACATTTCTTTTATCTTATTTCTAAATATATATCCATCGAAAGTTTATCTGATAAAAAAAAATTAGTCATTCGTCACAAGCAGATTCAACTTGGTCAATTACATAAAGGGGGAAGGAGAAGAATATTACTTATTATTAACCAAATTTTCTGTTATTTACTCTGCAGTGCGTTTTACCAGAACTGCTTGCTCATAGTTTGATAATGGTAATGCTTATATTCAACTTTAATTATAAAATATTTATAGTAAACGCGCCTCTATTCGGCTATATCGCTTACACGTAAGTTAATTTTTTATTTCAATATTTTATCAGAAAGAAAATAAATGTTTATTTCTTTTCCTATTTATAAAGGTATTTGACCAAACCTCCAGGACAAATAGGCATATTCGATCCTTTAGAAATACATAACAAACAACAATTGAAGAACCATATCAAAACTGCTATAGTTAAACTCGGCTATCATCTCATCCTATTCTTTATTTATCTTTACGGGTAAAGGAAAACAAACCATATTTGTTTAAATATTGGAAACTATTGACAATAAAGAAATTTTTTTCTTCTTTCTTTTTCAGACTTATCTTCGCCTTGCTAGGAGAATAATGAAAATGAAGAGTTAGCACAAATGATAATTATAATTTCAATAACTTTAATAATTTTTTTTCCTCATATCTTCTTTTCTATCATCATTTCTTGCCTTTTTTCAATTATTGAAAGAAATCCATTAAAGATCAAAAATTGTCAGTCAAAGAATGTGAAAGTGTTTTTTTTTATACATCATTTTTTATGTGTTAATTTTTGGATTACAAATAATGACTATTGAACACAAGGACATATATATATATATATATATATATACAAGTATTGAAATATTATATATATATATATATATATACTGTATTTCTATTGCACTTTAAACATAGTATAAAGAAGATGATATGAAAATAGGGAAGAAGGGTTTTATATTTAGGATACAATTTTGTTTGTCCAAGTGCTGATATTTTCGTTTTTTACCCAACTTTCTTTGTTTGTTGGGAGGGCATTAAGTAGAACATTAAATACGAAATGACTGATTTGCTATGATTCTGTATATATCCTAATTAAAACTCTTTTATATTTCTTATCGAATAATCAGAGTATATATTTTATATTTTATACCGAGGCAAATTTGAATGAAATTGTATTATGTAATAATTGTATAGAATACTAGACTGTGGTTGAACTTTTTTTCTAAGCATTAGAATAGAAAAAGGTGTGAGATCTCATAATCTCCTGCTTGAAGAGAGAAAGAAACTTTTAGATATTAAAGTAGTATAAGCAAACACTCAGAAGAAGAATAGTCTTCACAACAGTTCGTTAATACAAGCAGCTAATTCTTTCAGCGTATTTCTTTTCTTGACATATTCGTAGAAATGCACGTGGTTCATATTGATAGACTTAAAGAGATAGACTGTATACAAATATGTAGTTCAATATTTGTTCTACATTTGATATGCTGTATATTAATAACAATTTAAAAATTCAATAGATTTAATTACCAATAACGTAAAGTTATGTAAAGTTCTAAGAACGATAGGGGTTTCCTTGAAGAAAAAAGAAAATATTAAAGATTACGTAGCTACGAAGTTTTCACTTTTTTGGTATCAAACTAGGCGGTTTTTAAAATATATATTTATAAAGAGTTCAAATATGATGACCTATAAAATGAACTGATAAATATTTCTTAGAAATAATATTGTAAATTCAGTATTTGCCGGTCAATTACATAAACAAAAATACTTTCAAATATTATTGTATAATTAAAGACATAGTATTTATTTGTTAAAAAGCATATTCAGTTTACTTTGAAAGAGTTGACTAAGGCCACTTATATTCCTATTAAATACAGAGAAATGTGTGAAAAATGCAACTAACTAGACAAGAAAAATTCCTATACAGAAAAGATTTAGGGAAGGGTAATTTTTAAAAGAAAATTGTTGCTTTTAAATTCATACAGTATATACAGTTTTTGATCAAATTCAAACAATAACGTTGAAGGCAGACATTTCAAAATCATACAATAGAACTAAATAGCAATGTGATTGAGTATGTATTAAGTAAATAAAAAGAGCAGATTCAATTTTATGTTTATTTCATTTTATTTATCATATTTATGAATATTTTATCATGAAGTACATATTTGAATTTGTTAAATTAATGAATGAATGATACGTATTTATATGCGATGTGTATTCAATATATGCCTGTTATATGTACATACATTACTTTATCAAAAGGAGTTTATATACAAAGAATAGGTTATATTATCCATGTATACTATAGCAAGTTCTCTCGTATCAACACTAATTAGATATTTTCGGCAAACAAATGCTGAAGTCAATGAAGTTTATATTTCTGAAAAGCTTGGATTATTGTCATAGCAAATATTTGGTAATTGTCCTAGTTAACAGTAGCAAGCGTAGATCGGGTATACTAGAAACTTAAGAAAGATATTATTCTGTACTTGTTTTCTTCTAGTTCTACTTTAAAGACAAAATTAGAATATTTTAAGGATTATAATTAGAGTAAGGAATTTTTTCAAAGTTTATTTCAAGCAGATTGTTTAGGTGTATGCAAATATATCCTATGTAGTCAAAGAGTTGATCTTTTGTTAACTATATTTGAAATAGTGTAAAAAAACTTACTTTCAGGAGCGACATCGTAACGTTTACAACGGTCGAAAACTTTCTCAGAAGAGGCAAACTTTTAATCTTTTAATAAAATATATATACATCTAATTAAGATTTGCTGTTGAATCATTAAATTTAAAATCCATTGCCTATTTACTTTCTAGTAAAAATAAAAAAACCTTGAAAATTCCTGATAATTGCTCAGTCTCTTAGATCTTCCCGTTTTCTAAACAAGGCTTTACGTATACGTGCTTTGCTGGATATATCTGGTAATTTGAGTGTACAAAATATATTTTTCCACATTTTCAATATCACTTATTCAACAGAAATGAAAAGAATAGCCATAACTGGTTTTTCAGGACGGTTACCAGAAAGTTCAAATGTTAATGAATTTTGGAGAAATCTTCAGGATGGCGTTGATATGGTAACTGAGGACGAGAGAAGATGGCCTCTTGGTAAATTTTAATATATTGACTTGAATGTAATGCTTCTATTTTCTATTTTCCTAACAAAAGGTATTTATGATTTGCCACTAAGCAATGGAAAACTAAAAGATATAACTCATTTTGATGCTTCATTTTTCAATATACATGCAAAACAAGCAACCGCTATGGATCCTCAATTAAGACTGCTTTTAGAAGTAGTGTACGAAGCTATCATGGACTCTGGTTTTACAATAAATGAAATGAGTGGAACAAAAACAGCAGTATATGTTGGATGTATACATTCAGACAATCACCACAACATAACAACTGATGCTACCAGCATAAATGGATATGAAATGACTGGAAATGCAAGAACAATGATGGCAAATAGAATTTCCTATTCTTTTAACTTCCAAGGTCCAAGTTTAGCTGTGGACACAGCTTGCAGTTCGAGTTTAGAAGCACTTAATCTGGCATACCATGCTCTACTTGATGGATCTTGCGAAAATGCAATTGTAGCTGGATCGCATCTTCTTTTAAGACCCGAAAGTAGTGTTCAATTTAACAAACTTCACATGCTTTCGCCAGACGGTAGATGTAAATCATTCGACGATTCAGGTTTCTATTTATGTTTAGATTTTATTTTATATAATAAATACAACCTTTAAAACAATTGTAGCAAATGGTTACGTAAGAAGTGAAGGGATCATTGCGCTTTTCCTACAGAATTATAAAGATGCACGACGTATCTATTCTTCTGTTCTTGGTTCTCTTGATAACTGCGACGGTCAAAAAGAATTAGGTTAGAAAGATAAACAAATTAAAGAAACAATTAACTACTAAATAACAATATCTTAGGAATTACTTTTCCCTCTGGAAATGTTCAATCAAATTTATTAAGAGATGTCTACCGTCAAGCTAACATCGACCCGTTGAAAGTTTCTTATATTGAAGCACATGGAACAGGTACACAAGCTGGCGATCCCCAAGAGTTAAAGGCTTTGGATAAAGTATTCTGTGATAAAAGGGAAAGTCCTTTATTGGTTGGATCTGTCAAAAGTAATATGGGACACTGTGAGCCAGCGGCTGGACTAGCGAGTTTAGTTAAACTAATATTAGCGCATGAACACCGTTTACTACCTGGGAACCTCAATTATAAACAGCCAAATCGAAATATTGAATCACTGATTAGTGAAAGAATTAAGGTTGTTGACCGACTAACACCATGGGAAGGGGGAATTGTTGGCATAAACTCTTTTGGCTTTGGCGGTGCGAACGTTCATTCAATTCTCAACTTTGACGCAACAGAAGGCGTAATAGACAATTTATCAGATAGGCCTACAGTGGGTTTGGTTTGTGCTAGAACCAAAGAAGGGGTCGAAAATCTATTGAATCTTTTTGAAAATAATACAAACAATTTAGGTTTACAATTTTTATGTTACAATCAAAGGAAAGAATCCAGTAATCTTTTGCCATTCAGAGGTTTTATTACGTTAAATACGCCTTCAACTCTGAAAGGAATTCAAGTAAGTCATTTTATTCATCCAACCGCCAAAATCTTAATGTAACACTTTACTCTATGACATCCAATTCAACAGAAGTTCACTGAACCCGATACAAAAAGACCAATTTATTATGTCTATCCGGGAATGGGTTGTCAATGGGTTGGCATGGGAAGAGATATGATGACGTTTGATTGCTTTCGCAATTCAATAGAAACGTGTTCAAAAGCATTGATGAACGTCGGAATGGATTTGAAGCGTCTACTTGAAAAGGGCACAGAGGATGATTTTAAAAATCCTCTCAACACTTTTATTTGTATAACTTCCATACAAATTGCGCTCACTGATTTATTAGAAGAGTTTGGGATCGAAGCTGATGGGATAATCGGTCATTCGGTAGGAGAGTTGGGTTGTGCCTATGCAGATAAGACATTGACTGCAGAACAAACTGTGTTATGCGCCTATTGGAGAGGTAAGTGTATTAAGGATGCAAACCTTCGGCCGGGAGCAATGGCAGCCGTAGGTTTAACTTGGGAAGACGCTATGAATAAGTGTCCACCAAACGTTGTACCGGCTTGCAATAATTCTGAAGAAACACAAACGGTAAGCGGACCTTTCGAGTGTGTCAAGGAGTTTGCTGACCAACTCAAGAATGAGGGCTACTTTGTTAGAATTGTTGATAGTTCGGGTGTCGCTTTCCACTCTCCGGAACTAATGGTTTGTTCACCTCAGTTTACTGAAAAACTTCAAAGAGTCATTAAAGAACCAAAAAAGAGGAGTAGTAAGTGGATTAGCACCGCATTTCCGGAAGAAGAATGGGATAATCAAGAGGCATGCTATTCGTCAGCAGAATATCATACACATAATTTCACACATCCTGTTTTATTTAATGCTGCCTTGAAAATGATACCGAATGATTCTATAATTATTGAAATTGGTCCACATGGTCTACTGCAATCAGTTATTAAGAGAGCCTTAGGACCAAGTGCTTATCTTACTAGCTTAATGAAGAAGAACGATAAAGATAACTTGGGATTTTTTATGAAAAATCTAGGATTGTAAGTTTCATTTCAGAGGAATATCTTACATTAATTATCCTTCGATGTTTATTAGATTACATAACATTGGAAAGAACGTTGATACAATGAAATTACAGCCAAAGGTAAGACTTCCTATTGGTCAAGGAACACCATTAATATCTCCATGTATCCAATGGAATCATGAAATTGAGTGGCCTCTTCTTAAAACTGATTTAAGAGGAGGAAATTCAGTTAAGAATAGCGGTGAAATTGTAATTTTAAGTGCCGAAGAATTGGAACCCTTAAAAGATCATAAAATAGACGGTCGACTCCTATTTCCAGCAACTGGTTATGTTGACATTTTGTGGAAAAGATATGCAGGTTTGATCGGAGTGGACAAGGAGTCGTTGTCTATCGTTATTAGGGACTTTCACCTTCATCACGCTGTTTTAATACCAGAGGAAGGCGATTTAGAATTTCACGTTCGAATATCTGCCAGTAGTGGAGTGTTTGAGATAAATGAAAGTGAAAGTTTAGTTGTAAATGGACAAATAGATAAATATCATGCACCAAAAGCAAGTTTTCGTAGAGAAGGAAATAATTTACAATTATCAGATGATGACGAGAAATTTCAACTAACTAAAGAAGATATTTATAAAGAATTACGTGTGAGAGGTTACGACTACGGTCCAAATTTTCAATTAGTTACATCATCAACCTTAAACGGATATACGGGAAAGATATTATGGCAAAATAGTTGGATAACATTTCTCGATTCAATGTTACAAGTACATGCTTTAAGCTCTGTTAATCGCTCACTAAAACTACCAACAAGAATACGACGACTGGTTATAAACACTGATAATTTAGCTTTCATCAATAATGAAGGTAAGATATAAAATATTATCAAATAGTCTCTTTTTTATTGATATTTTTAAATATTTTCAATAATAGAAATCAACTTTACTTTTGATCCATTAACAAACACCTGCATTGCCGGAGGAGTACGATTAATTGGTTTGCAGCTAAATGTCTCTCCAAGAAAGTTCGATAACCAGCAAAATGTATTACAGAAATATGAATTTGTTGAATTTAAGAAGACTGTTGAAGTACATTCTCAACTTCTATTTTATTTAAATAGTTGTATTAGTATGTTAGAAGGATATAGTACTAATGCAAATAGAGATAATGGCAGGAACGTGACACAAGATTATGAATACAAACAAGAGAGTAAATCAAAGAGGAAAATGTCGACAATAAATATACATTATCGCCGACAATCGATTTCTAAAGAAGAGAATATTGAAACTTTGAAACAAACAATTCGATTGTTTATTGATAAAAAAGCTATACCCTCAAGAGATACTTTAATTAAAAGCTTATCAGATGACAAACTAATAAACAATCTTATGGGAGAAAGACAATTTAAAGCGGCTTTGGACGTAATATTTCTTAACAAGCCTACTAACAGATTAAGATTATTATATTATATTACTGAATCACCGTTTAACTGGACATTTATTCAAAGGATTAAGAACACTCTGAAGCAGTATGCTACTCATCAATTTGAGGAGATTTATTCTGGATGCGAAAAAGCCGATGAAACTTCTAAAAATAGTTTTGCGCAAGTCGGATGGTCAAAAGATCCTAAGAGTTTAGATATTGTTCTAGTAAAGGACTATTTAACTTGCAATTATGACTTGAAAGCTATTTGGGAAGTACTTAAAGACGACGGATTTCTTTTCCTTCACGAAACAACAACCAAACATTCCATTTTAAATAATTTAAAAAGTATCTTATCAATACCAACTAATGGTAAATCGTTTAAAAGCTTAAACTATAGTGAAATAATAAGTAAATTGGAATCTGCCGGATGGAAAATAATTATCGAAAGATATGATAATATCTTTTCTTCATTTATGGTTTGTAAAAAAAAACTTCCCTATGTACCAAGACCAATTATCATACCATGCAATGATTATGAACAATTTGAGTGGGTGGACAAGTTAAAATCCGCTATGGAGGAAACAAATAAAGATAAGAATACTAGAGTATGGTTAATAGCCGATAAAGATAATAGAAATGGTATTGTGGGTTTTTTGAATAGCCTTAGACAGGAACCAGATGGTGATAAAGTGAGGTAGTTGAAAAGTGATCTATTAAGCAAATATCAATGTTTACCGACAACGTTTTCTTATTATAGGTGCTTATTCAACGCAAACCTTGAAGACGAATTAATTCCTGAGTGTTACCTACCTGGTGGTGATAAGTTTACTGAATTATTAGCGAAAGATTTGGTCTTTAATATCTTTCGTAATGGAACTTTGGGTTGTTTTTGTCACTTTCACATTGAAGATGGTTCGTCAGACATTCAAGTTCAATTCCTTTATATACAATTCTCTTTTTTCATTATACAGTCACTTCTTGTACTGATCTTGAAAATGCCTATGCAACTGCATTTCTTCGGGGGGATTTATCAACTTTACAATGGGTTCAATCTAAACCACGACCTCATCAATGTCCTGAAAAAAAGATGGTTTATACTCACTACGCTTCACTAAATTTCCGAGACGTTATGTTAGCGACCGGTCGCCTAAGTTTAGACGCAATTCCAGGTGCGCAACAAGATGATGACCAATTTCTCGGTATTGAATATTCTGGAATTGATGAATCGGGTAAAAGGGTAATTGGTCTTATTGATTTTGGAGGTTTAGCAACGAACATTCAGATTGATAAGCGATATTCATGGCAAGTACCCGATAATTGGAATTTAAAGGATGCAGCAACAATTCCAGTTGCTTATGCTACTGCATATTACGCACTAGTTGTTAGAGCAAGAATTAAGTTTGGCGAAAAAATCCTGATTCAATCGGCGACGAGGTTTTCTTTTAAATTCAATCATTTTCAACTAATTTATATTATATAATGCAGTGCTGTTGGTCAAGCCGCTATTCAAATTGCTAAATCGTTCAATTCTATAATATATACAACTGTTGGTACGGAAGAAAAACTTCAGTTTTTAATGGATAATTTCAAGATACCTAGAGAGAGAATTTCCCATTCTAGAACTACACAGTTTGTTGATGACATATTACAAGAAACAAATGGAAAAGGGGTCGATATCCTGCTCAATTCATTAAGTGAAGAAAAATTACAAGCAGGAATTGACATTTTAGCAAAAAATGGTAGATTTCTGGAGATTGGAAAATTTGATCTTTCTCAGAATCATAAACTGGGAATGTCGGCATTTCTAAAGAATATATCGTTTCACGGTATAGTTTTGGAGAACCTATTCGAAGATTATAGCATTTGGCAAGAAGTTTGGCAACTTGTAAAGACAGGATTAGAGACTAATATTGTTAAACCACTTCCCACTTATGTATTCTCAAAGAATAAGTTAGAAGAGGCCTTTAGATTCATGGCTGAAGGAAAACATATTGGAAAAATATTAATAAAGGTTTAAAAAAGATAAATATTAATTTAAGATATTTTGTTTACATTTTTTCATTTTTTGTCAGCTAAGAACTGAATCTAAATACTCAATATTTCAAAGACTCTGCATGAAAGACAAAAATTTTCCACCAGAAAGTGTTCTAGTGCAAGGGTACAAAAAGACTTATTGTAACCCAAACAAATCATATATAATAACTGGCGGATTGGGTGGTTTAGGTCTAGAGCTGGCTGGATTTCTTATTCAAAGAGGAGCCACTCGTATAATACTCACATCAAGATCAGGTATAAAGAATGGATATCAAGCCAAGCTAGTAAAACACTGGCAGAAAAATGGATGTAATATCATTATCTTAAAGGAAAACATTGCTTCATTAGACGAATCGAAAGTTATCTTTCAACAAGCAAAGTCTCTTGGACCGATTGGTGGCATTTTTCATTTGGCAGCCGTTCTTAGAGATGGTATCTTTAGTGGTCAGAGTGCAGAATCGTTTAAAGCAGTTGCAGAGACAAAGATTAAAGGAACCTTAAATTTGGACACGCTATCAAGAGCAGAATGCCGAAATTCGCTAGATTGGTTTGTTGTTTTTTCATCTGCAGCAAGTGGATATGGTAATGCAGGACAAACGAATTATGCATACGCAAATTCATTCATGGAACGTATCTGTGAGAAGAGGAGAAAAGATGGTTTTCCTGCTGTAGGAATACAATGGGGCTTTATGGGAGACGTTGGTATAGTTGTTAACAATCTCTCGGGAAACGAGTGGTACATGACTGGAATTGGCGTACAAAGAGTAGCATCTTATTTAAATACATTGGACAATATTCTTTTAAATAATTGGGAGATATTAAGTAGTATTGTACCAGTTAAACAACGCAATTCCTCAAATAATGACGAAAATGAAGATAGAGTTCACGTAGCAATTTCGGCAATCTATAGTGTTCTCGGTAATAATTTATTTACTTTAAATTGTCTGAATTCTTCAACTGTAAACTCTATATTTATATAAAATCTAGGTATCGATGAAGATAATATGACAATAGACGAAGACGTTGCACTAATAGATATGGGATTGGACTCTTTGATGACAACAGAAATAAGGCAAATATTGGGACGCCGATTCGATGTTCAATTGACGGTAGCAGAGGTTCAAAGCTTGAATATAAAGAAAATAACACAACTTTTATCAAAAAAGTGAAAGTTAACAAAATCAATTACAAAATTATTAATTATTAACAAATGGACTAAACTTTGATGGTAATTTTGATAAGAGAAATGAACTAATGACTAAGTGACGCTTGTTTTACCTTCGAGTAGAAAACAATAATAAACTATAACAATAGTATTTATGTCATCAATGATTTGCGTGTGACTCAAAATTTTATGCAAACCATTTTAGTACTTTCTGAAATCAGCCATAATACATTGAAATTCTATAGGTTTTATGGAAAATAGTGTTATTTTTAGGTAGTAGCTATTAAATAAAACATTTCTTTTACTTGAGCCTGGAGGCCGATAATAGTTTTAAAAAACAACTAGCAAGTACAACATAAACTATGTCAACATCTTTTTATAAACGTGAATGATATGACGTAAAAGCTTGATCTACTTCTTACGTTCTGATTGAAACTGAAAATAATAGGTTATCAAAAATTCCTATCGCATAGACATTTAATGATTAATTATATTATAAATGTGTCTTTTGACAAGTTCCATCATTCCAACACAAATTAGATATATATATATATAGCAAACAAATGTAAAAGTCAACGAGGTTCACATTTCTAAAAGACTTGAGATATTGCCATAGCAAATATTTGATAATTCTGTTTGTGAACAGTAGCAAGAGTAGATCGGTTTTAGTACAATAAAGTTGAAAAAGATATTATCATTCTTTTGAAAAAGAAAGAAGAAAGATTTGTGAATTCAATTAGAGAAATACCTATATTAAAATTAAAAACTCTGTTATAAGAGGACTTTGTATGTGAAACGAGATACCCTACAAATTCATTAACTGCTCTTTTGTCAATGATAGATCAAATATCTAAAAAATTTTATCTGAAGGCTATCTATATGAAGACTAAGAGACTAAGAACTCGTGTAGCATTTTCAGTAACAAATTATACATATTTCTGTCTCTTTAAATCTTTCTTTTTTCCATGTTTGTTATCTAAGTTTCCTACATATTCAAATTTCACTAAGTCACCACTATCTCTATCAAACGTTAGTCGCATAGAAATTGTATTTGTCTCAAACACTGTTTCTGACACTTTTAAGAGTTTTGCAATCCTTTCCTCGTTACATTTAAAAGGCATCAAATGCTTACAGAAAGAATTTCATTAGTAGTATTTCTCCTTACGTAATCGACAAAATTTTCTTTTGCCTAAAAGTAGTTCAGGTATTAAATTCTTACATTTTTTAATCATTAGTTTAATTTGTATCACTTGGTTGAAGTAATTAAAACAGAATTATTACTTCCTCGCGACCACCGTTTACTACCTGGGAACCTCAATTATAAACAGCCAAATCGAAATATTGAATCACTGATTAGTGAAAGAATTAAGGTTGTTGACCGACTAACACCATGGGAAGGGGGAATTGTTGGCATAAACTCTTTTGGCTTTGGCGGTGCGAACGTTCATTCAATTCTCAACTTTGACGCAACAGAAGGCGTAATAGACAATTTATCAGATAGGCCTACAGTGGGTTTGGTTTGTGCTAGAACCAAAGAAGGGGTCGAAAATCTATTGAATCTTTTTGAAAATAATACAAACAATTTAGGTTTACAATTTTTATGTTACAATCAAAGGAAAGAATCCAGTAATCTTTTGCCATTCAGAGGTTTTATTACGTTAAATACGCCTTCAACTCTGAAAGGAATTCAAGTAAGTCATTTTATTCATCCAACCGCCAAAATCTTAATGTAACACTTTACTCTATGACATCCAATTCAACAGAAGTTCACTGAACCCGATACAAAAAGACCAATTTATTATGTCTATCCGGGAATGGGTTGTCAATGGGTTGGCATGGGAAGAGATATGATGACGTTTGATTGCTTTCGCAATTCAATAGAAACGTGTTCAAAAGCATTGATGAACGTCGGAATGGATTTGAAGCGTCTACTTGAAAAGGGCACAGAGGATGATTTTAAAAATCCTCTCAACACTTTTATTTGTATAACTTCCATACAAATTGCGCTCACTGATTTATTAGAAGAGTTTGGGATCGAAGCTGATGGGATAATCGGTCATTCGGTAGGAGAGTTGGGTTGTGCCTATGCAGATAAGACACTGACTGCAGAACAAACTGTGTTATGCGCCTATTGGAGAGGTAAGTGTATTAAGGATGCAAACCTTCGGCCGGGAGCAATGGCAGCCGTAGGTTTAACTTGGGAAGACGCTATGAATAAGTGTCCACCAAACGTTGTACCGGCTTGCAATAATTCTGAAGAAACACAAACGGTAAGCGGACCTTTCGAGTGTGTCAAGGAGTTTGCTGACCAACTCAAGAATGAGGGCTACTTTGTTAGAATTGTTGATAGTTCGGGTGTCGCTTTCCACTCTCCGGAACTAATGGTTTGTTCACCTCAGTTTACTGAAAAACTTCAAAGAGTCATTAAAGAACCAAAAAAGAGGAGTAGTAAGTGGATTAGCACCGCATTTCCGGAAGAAGAATGGGATAATCAAAAAGCATCATCAGCAGAAAACCACACATATAGTATCATAAATGTTATACCATTCAATCCTTTCATGATAGTAGTTTTGTTTTTTTGAAAATAAACTTAACCTTTAATTCTATATTTAATATTTTTAATTTTGATAAAATACGTTTGAATAAGACAATTATGAATGAAATATGAATTTATAAAGGCTGTAGAAGTATAGTTTTAATTTGTGTTTACTCAGTTGTTTTAGGTTGTTAAGGAGATATAATGCTAATGAAAACAGAGACAACTCGATGCCTGTACTGTCATTGTAACATAAGATGACGAATGCAAATAGGCGAGTATTTCAAAAAGTATAATACATTTTATTCACCAATTGATTGTTAAGAATATCAAAAATGCAAAAAATACAATTGGAATGTTTATTGAGAAAAGAAGTTATACACCCAAATGAAATTTTAAATTAATTCTATGATAAGTAACAATATACTTGACGCTTTTAATTACAAAACTTTTCTTTATGTAATATACTAATGAAAACATAATTGTTTGAAATATGAATTAATTGTACTATACTTTTAAACAGTTGATAACAATCTGCGATAGAAATGTTAACTGCTTGTCATCAATTTTACGAGATTTATTTTGGATGTGAAAAAGTATGAAAAGAACTAGTTAAAATACTTAGAGAAGTGTTTGTTCGCACAGTAACAAACGACTATTTAAATTGTACTTCCAGTATTTGAGAAGTACATACAGATGGCGATCCTTTCTCTTTCCTCACGAAACATCAACAAGAGCTTTTATTTGTAGACAATTTTTTTTATCGTTCCTGAAGTGTTTAGGAGTATTATATTTGTTCCAGGACAATTTTTATCATCCCTTCCAAAAATTTTAAACCAATAGATAAATTAAAATATGCTTTTTTGTGAAATAAATAAGAATAAAAATAATATCATACAGTTATGTATTAAAAATGGTACTGCTGTCTTTTAAGAAGAATAAAATCATAAAATGATGTAGGCGAAAAGTGGTCTATTAAGCAAATATCACTGTTTACCGCCAATAATTTCTTTTTATGAGCACTTTTTCACATGAATGTGAGATATGCTATGTTCTATTTATCTACAGTTAGTTATCTACAATGATAGTTTTCCTCAGTAAAACAGTAATGATGTCTGACGGAAAAATTTTGTATAGTTAACAATCTCTCGGGAAACGAGTGGTACATGACTGGAATTGGCGTACAAAGAGTAGCATCTTATTTAAATACATTGGACAATATTCTTTTAAATAATTGGGAGATATTAAGTAGTATTGTACCAGTTAAACAACGCAATTCCTCAAATAATGACGAAAATGAAGATAGAGTTCACGTAGCAATTTCGGCAATCTATAGTGTTCTCGGTAATAATTTATTTACTTTAAATTGTCTGAATTCTTCAACTGTAAACTCTATATTTATATAAAATCTAGGTATCGATGAAGATAATATGACAATAGACGAAGACGTTGCACTAATAGATATGGGATTGGACTCTTTGATGACAACAGAAATAAGGCAAATATTGGGACGCCGATTCGATGTTCAATTGACGGTAGCAGAGGTTCAAAGCTTGAATATAAAGAAAATAACGCAACTTTTATCAAAAAAGTGAAAGTTAACAAAATCAATTACAAAATTATTAATTATTAACAAATGGACTAAACTTTGATGGTAATTTTGATAAGAGAAATGAACTAATGACTAAGTGACGCTTGTTTTACCTTCGAGTAGACAACAATAATAAACTATAACAATAGTATTTATGTCATCAATGACTTATGATATGAAAACAATTGTCATTAAATAATAACAATTGACTCCATGTTTAACAATATGTTGTGTTTGCTTTCCTTTTCAAAATTGTAATAAATTTAATAAATTAAATCAATTACTCTCAGAGTCATATGTCTTTCTTTTGGCCTTTTTTTTAGATTTCTTATGTCGTTTTCTGCGTTTGTCTTCTTCCGAACTATGCTCAAAGTAATCCGATTCAGTTTCTGACTTTTCTGAATGTGATTCATCTGCCCTATATTTATCTTTAGTTTTATGCTTTTTTTTCGATTTTTTTTTCTCAGTCTTCTTTTTATTCTTTGATCTATTGTGAAAATATAGTGGTGTGAATATGACGTCAGTTCAAAAATAGGAATGTTATTTTTCATTATAAAACGTGAATCATCTAATCCAAAATAAATTTCTGCACAACACTTTCTAGAAAATCAAGATTTTATAAATACACCTTTACGAATATTTTCTTAAAAAGAAAACTTTTATGATTTAATTGATTATCGACAGAAAAAGTGAGAATAATCATTATATAGCCTGCAGGCAGGGCTTAGTTATTTTATGTTTTTTCATTATTTGGCCTAGGCAAAAACATATTGACTTATTGGTAATTTTAAGGGACTTATGTTATTTAGTGTCATTTTTCTTCAATGCTGTTTACGAAATGATTGACACAGAAATTGCGTGTGAGGGATAGTCTATCCAACACTCCTTCTATGTAAGAGTTTTGTCAATTGAAACTGTTTGCAGATCTCAAAACCTATCCTTATTATAAATGTTTATCACCTTTTACGATTAGGCTTTTCGTTCTTTTCTAACTTGCTTCCGGAATCTGTGAAAACGATAATACATTAGCAGTCCATTACACAGTCATAAACAATCTCGACTTTGGCATGATTTTTTAATGAGGGATGATGAAATCCTTTGAAAATATGAAAGTCATTTACGTCGGATACTTAAGCTGATAACTTACCTGCTGAAATTTTTTGTAAAGGTGTTAAATAATCATCATCCGACTCTGAACTTGTACTGCTTACGTCTAAGATAACTTGTTTCTTTGAGCTAACGTTTAGAAAATTCTTACATTGAAAAGTCAAATGTCCCGCTAAGTGATGAATACATTGATAAACAAAGGATCTAGGTTCATTTTACAATACCCTACCATAGCCACATTTCCGGCAAAGACCTCTAGTATCTGGATTGATACCCGTAATTCGAGAGGATAAATCTAGATAAAAAAAGACGCTCTGTCTAAGAAATAATCGATTCTTAAAGACTTATATAAATTATATATTACTTTGTAGATGTTCCCTAAACGAACTCATGTGAATAAATTATCTTTAAAATTTAATGTTTAAAAACAAAATATTGCCCGGTAGTTTTCTTATACCGCCGGAAGTCACCTGAAAATCAATCTGCGCATGCGTTCAGATACGCCACCTACTGGTTATAAAATAATTGTACTTTCGAAAAAGATTTTTTACAATTTTGGAATCAAGAAAAGAATTTTATTCAAGCACTAAGATTAGAGTATAAATACTTATTTTTTGTGAGTAATTATTTGATCTGAAGAGGAAATAAGATTTCGTCAAAAGAGTGAAAAATGCTATGTGACGGCGTCTCGTATACATCGTTAGCACAAGTTGAACACAAATTAACATTTTGTGATGGTGAACAATCCTTACAGCTCCATCGAACCCCTCGAATAGGATTCTGTTTACATTTGCTACATTCATAACCTCGGTGAACTGAATCGTTGTTCTTTCGTACTTCTTTCAGAATGTTTTCTTTTAGTTTTATTAAGTTATTTAATTCATTTTCTTCCTTTTTACTAGTTGTAGATTCTTTTGAAGTTTCAGTCTCGCTTGCAATTTCTCTATCTGGTTCATCCTTAACAGATTGACTGAAGGGTTCATTTTTCAAAGCTGGAGGTAGTTGGTAGGATGTCATAAAAGTTGAATTTAAATTTAAGGCTTGTTGTAGAAATTTAGCCCTTGGTTTAATTTTTCTAAACGTATTCGTTACATTAGGAACTCTTCCTGGAATTGGTAAACCTGATTTAGCTAATTTGATAAAATATTTTTGAACTCTTGATTGAACTTGCAGGGTTGTTCTATTGCCCAAGGCTCGAGCAATTTTTTCCCATCTTCTGGCTTCTACTTCTTCTGATGGATATATAGTTAACAGTTCTTCTAATTTCCTTTGCTCTAATTCAGTCCATGGTTGTTTATAGGAGACTGTTTTTTGCTTCGAATCATCACTTTCCTCCTCCTCGTTTACCTCTTCTTTTGTAGCAACATGACCTTCTCGCTCTAAGAAAATCCTCTCTTTTTCTTTAGTTCTCTCCTCCATTTCAAATTTCTCTCTGATACGGTCCTCCTCAAGGCTAGTTTCATATTTGCTCCATTCAATTTTAGGCACTTTCCAGATATTTTGAAATTTGGGTATTTTTATAGATTCTTTCTGCAACTCCTTACAAAAATCAGTTGGGTTTTCAATAGCTTTCCGCTTCAAATTAGCAAGATAGTCAATGTCTTTAAGAGCTTGAACTTTTTGAGCTTCTAGAATAGCCATCGTAGATAACAATTTCCGATAATCTTTACAGTCTCTGTAAACTAACGCGTCGGATTCAAAGTAATATTCATTGTATTTATCAGCTTCTTCATCAGTAGAACTGTCTGAGAAGGTTTGCATTTCAAAATCATCGCAGCTGTTGGTATCTTCAGGAGGTTTATTATCGCTCTCTGCCTCATTTTCCGTTGTTAAAGGCTTCAAAAGACTTAGATCTAGTTCTTCATTTAGAAGGCACCTTGATACTTCACTTCGAGAAGTTAGAAGTGACATTTTCTAATAAAAGAAAAATATTAAATTTATAAAAACATCTATTTCCGTTCAGAGTTATATTCGTATTATCGAACTAGCTTCCGCTGTGTTGGACACCGTAAACCTTAATTTGAAACTTACAGATTCTTTTACCTCGAACAGTCTTTTTATTTAACGTGGTAGCAAAGTACTTTAATCAAATAATAAAATTTTACATGAGTTCTTTTTAAAGGACTTTTTTTTTATTAAGTAATATTCTATTTTATTATATTTCTCACAGATAACTTTACATATAAAAGTACCACAGGACAATTGCGAAAGACGACGGTAGAACATAGAGGTAAAAAGTTTTAAATATTGGATGATTTCATTCTTCATCCATCATATTTTCTTCGTTATCAATTTCAGAAGTTTCCGTTGGTTCTGATGTAACTGAGTATAAATCGGAAGAAGATCTATTAAAGTTTGAACTGTCATTGTTAGACGTATCACCAAAACCCATAGGATAGCCATTATAACTATAATAGCTGATATTTGGTATATTTCTAACAGAGCAAACTTTTAAGGCTGATCTGTTTATGTTCATGGAACTTGTTTTAAGCCATTCATTGGAATGGGGACAGTATTTTTCAACCATAGAAATTGTGTGACTGCCGTCAAATCCACCAATAACATAAATTGCATCATGTAAAATAGTAGCAGCAAAATTTGAACGGGCAATTTTCATTGATGGAATTTTCTCCCATTTTCTGTTGTCCTCGTCAAATTTCTCTCCACACCTTAGTCTTCTCTCTCCGTCGAAGCCACCCAAGGCATAGAGAGTATTGTGAAAATTAACTAAGCTAACACCACTTCTACTCTGACAGAGTGGTGGTAATAGTGTCCACTGATTTGTTGAAGGGTCATACATTTCAGCCGTATTGAGACAATTTTCTCCATCAAACCCACCAACTATAATTAACTTTCCTTGAAAAGTATCACTTCCAGCATCGGATCTTCTATTAATCATTGAACTTATCAAGCTCCATTGATTACTGTATGGATCATACTTTTCTGCTGTTTGCAGGCGCCATCTACCGTCATAGCCACCACATGCATAGAGACTATCATCAAGAAGTGAAGTTGCAACGTAGCAGCGTTGGTGATGCATTGGAGCCGCCTGATACCACCTCAAATTAACTGGATCAAAAACTCTAACAGTATTGTAATAATTACTTCCATCAAATCCTCCAATCATGTATAATTTACCATCAAAAGAAATCATTCCATGATATGCTCTTGGCGAAGCATCATTCAAATCTGGATGACTGATCCACCTATCTGCCGAGGAGTCATACGTTTCAAAGTTAGCAATTGGACTACCTCCACTCCAACCACCAATACAGAATAAAACATCTCGAGGTAGTCTTGTTTTAATTAATTGTGTCTTTGAGTCGGACATTTCCATAATATTGTTTATGTAATTAATCAAAGACTTGTTCTTTTGGACTAAATCATCGTTTAGTATGGCCTGTACGAAATTTATCGAACACAGGGGCAGACGGATATTAATAACGAGTTCATGAAAATTACTTTCTCGTTCGTCTCTTTTATGAGAAACCCATTTTATAGTTGCTTTAAAAACAGAATCTTCTGTATCTATATACAATTCATCATTTTTTATCAAGCTAACTACTTCTTGCAGTCTTAGCTCATTAAAATCATCAGTTTCGGAGAATTCTTTAAAACGATGCAGAATGTATCTCTTTGCAGTTGAAGATAATAATAAACAGGAGTACGATTCGGCAAATCGCCAAATATCTACGCAATTAAACAAATTTAATTGAGATTCGATAACTTTTGTACATAATTCTGATAAACCGGAAACTAATAGACTATCTGCAACTGGTAGAACCATCATGGCTATATCGCTATTGATATCTACATGTTTATTATACATGTATTCAAGAACGTAATAAAAAGATTTTGATTCTACAGTTTTCAATCGTACTTGATACTGTTCAGTTTCTTTTAAACCATTTGTAAAAAGAGCTCTAAAATATGGACTAGAGGCTGCTAGGACTACTCTGTGAACATGGAATTCTTTATCGTCTGTATAAACTACTGTATCGCATAAAATTCTATTTTTTCTAAATTCATTTAGATTTTCAGACATCTCCAAGAACTCCCTAGCACTAGTGTCTTCCCTATCAACCATTTCCTTAACTAATTTAGGTCTAATATTAGTAATCTAGTTTTCTTTAACTCTCTTTCTTTCCTCTCTCCCCTTTTGGTTCGATTTCAAATTTTGAATTTTTAAACATTCTGACTCAAAACAATTATATTAATTAAAAATTCGTTAATTAATTTTTCTATGCTTATGAATATTAATAGAGCTTAATTATAAATTTCAAATAATGATGAAATATATGTCAGTATGTAGTAGTTGCCTTAAAATACAATCAATTGTGTCGAAGAAGAATGCGACAGAATAAGGATTACTATAAGTGAGAGGAATAAAAGGAAGAATTAGCATAGTGGGAGCTTGTCTGAACATGTCTAGTTGTACAAGTATTATGTAGGTTAGAATAAATACAATTCATTAATCTTATATATATATATATATATTTGAAAGTCTTCGAATAAGGATGAAACATATATTGTGATTTTGTTAATTTTTTATTTATACTATTTCTTTCATTCATGATTAGGTTGAAAGTTTTTAATTAAGTAGGTGTCGCCCCTGTCTAATATTTCTGAATTTTACGTGACGTCTGTGCATTTGTCTATGGAATATGATTCGTACTTAGTTTAGGTGGTGTTTATAATACAATTGAATTGTGGAATAATGACGATGGGAGAGGAGAATGAAGATGAATTAGCCGCGAATATTCCATCAAGTCCTCACATAGTCAAACAAAAAAGGAAGAAGAAGAAGACAGGTAAAACTGGTAGAGAAGCACTTGAAGTTAATGTTGGCGAAATTTATGACGAAGCAACGGATAGTGCAGTTACGACTCAAGATGAAGGAAGATTATCTAGAAGAAAGAAGAGAGCAAGATTCGATTCTGATATCGATGGTCATAGAGAAGCGAATAGTATTCTTGAAGAAGACGAAAACGAGGACGATTTTGAAATAACAACAGTAGAAGAAGGTATTAACTTGATCTAATAAAATTTCCAATCACTTCTTTTATTAAAACGATATTAAATGGGTTTTTTTGTCGTTATTGTATTGAAAACACAGAAGAGCTTTATTTATCATCGATTGAAAACTGTAAATTATCAAGATTTCAACGGGAAAGGTTATTTATGAGAGGCAAAAAATGGTCGGAGAATAAGGAAAGGGATATTTCATTAAAATGTTTTCTTGCCTGCTTATCAAGATTAGATGATCAGGATGGATTCGATTCATTGGCTGAATGTTTGCATGAAGTAAGGTCTCATTTTTAAATAACTTATTAAGTAGTAATAATTCGTACTCTATCTAACATTCGAATTGTTTGTATTGGACAGGTAGCGGGCATTTTTGCTGAGAAAGGAGAATGTAAGTATATATAATAGAGTTCTATAATGTTATGTCGTATAATCGATTATATTGATCAAAAAATATCGTTTCTTCTTACTATTTGCCTTTAAGACGAAAAAGCAGTACAGTTTGTTCAGGCTGAAAAGCTCTTTTACGAAACAGCCCTCGTTGATACGGCGCAATTGCAGACACAATTAGGTTGTCAAAACGCTTAATTTCTTCATCTATTAATGGCTTTGTGATGTTTTACACATACTCTATTCGTTTTCTAGAGCGTAATAGGACGAATACAGATAATAGAACAACGGATGAAGATAAACCTGATGCGATTAGAGCGGAGGAGTACGAACATCTTGCCCGATTATGTCTTGAGAAGAAACAACCGTATCTCGCATTAGAATATCAAGGAAAGGTACAATATTGTTTTCTTTAATAATTCATTATGTAGTTAAGTTTATATGCGCCTCTTATATCCGAATTCTATCTTCAGGCAACCAAATTACGTCAGCAGATATTTGGTGACCAACATCAAATTACTGTAAAGAGTTTGGACTTTTTCACATGTATTTATGGAGAAGTTGGAAAGCAACAATATTCAGAAACCTTGGAAAAGGTCAAGCATATCGAAGTCGATGACGAGAGCGCAGCTGGAATGGAAACAGAACTCAGAAATCGACGAAAGGCTAATGGACAAGAAAATTTAGATGACATTCGTAAGTGATCCTCCTCAGCTATGAGCTATGTTTATTAGGATTTTATCATAGGTTCAAAATCGGAAAAGATTAGGAGGGAAGTACTCCAAAATGAACGATGGGAGGAAATACAAAGACAAGGTATGCTTTTTCTTTATAATTAATAACGTAAGCTTATTTGTTAATAAATTCATTTAATAGAAGAATGGATATCAAATGCTCTCTTACTGGTATTGTTCGTTATTGCGGCTGTTGTGATGGTATGCGCAGGATCGTTTATTTATTGTCGAGTTACGAAGAATTCTGCTGTATGCTCTTCCGTTTCTTCCGACATACAATACGCCTACATGAGGTCGAAATATCTATATTATTACTATATGAAGCCAACAAATAAGAATGTTATGGGTGGATAAATTAAAAGAAAAAAGTGATATTATTAATGATCATTAATCCCTAATGTCTTCCAAAAGAAGAGAGAAGATTAGATAGAAGATAATTTTGTCTTTATTTCTCTCATGATTTTCAAAAGTTTCTTGAATATTCTTTATTTATATTTGGTTCTCTGAATTTGTTTATTATATTTGAAACTTTTTGGTTGAAAATAATGATAAAAACATTAAATTGAGTAAAAGATGTTTGTTATTTAATCTAGAAAATCATTAATACGATGATGATGACACTTTCGCTTTTACGCCGCTTATATTTTATCCTTTAATCCGGATAAAAGTACTGTTATAAAGTATACACTGTATAAATGTTAGAAATAAAAGAAAACAGTTGGAAAGGTGGGAGATATTTCGTTAATCTTTTTCTTTCATTCATTCATTCATTCTTTTATTTGCTAAACCTTTTAGTATTTCTTTTAGTAAACCTTTTTAAGCCGAAGGAAAAAAATTAAAAAAAAAACCCAAGGGTAGCTTGTCTTTTTCTGTTTTTTGTTTTCTCTTCTATTGCTGTAGGCCTATATGAATACTGTTGAAATTCTGTATTTCTCTAAAGTTTTTCGCCGTTAGTGTAGTATTTAGCCACCTGTTGTAATGCCTCTTAAATCTTTCTTCGAAAAAGTCTTGATCAATCTTTCTTCGTTGTCTAAATCTCTTTCTTCTGGCAGCAATAGACGATTTATGGTTTTCGATTCTTGTGTGTTCAGGTGTATAATTAAGAGCTTGTAGTCTTTTACATAAGTTGAGTGTTTCTTCAGAATCCAGTTCGGTTTTAGTAGACCAAGGCCATTGGATTTGAGTTATACTTAATAGATGTAGGAACGTTTCGCATCTGTGAATTACTGAAGCAATAAACTGTAGCAGTAGGATAAGGGTGAACAACGATAAGGATAAGAGGCCAATAGGTTCAAAATTTTCAGGCATCTCATCATCCGAACGTGGAATAGTTATAAAAAAGAAATCTTCTAAAGCTTCCTTAAGGAGTTGTAGTTGGAAAATGACTACCATCCACAAAGTGTTAAGCATAACAAATCCAAGAACCATACTATTCCTTAGATTCTTAAGGTCTTTTTCCATTTTTGATTTTTCCTTCTCAGATAAATTTAAAGGATGTAGGTAATGTTCTTTCAATTGTTTCCAGAAGAACACTTCTTCAGTGCTCAATTCTTTCATTATACCAAAATTGATGTATTTGTCATGAATCCATCCATCATCATATTTTCTCGAGACTTTATATCTCTTACGAGCTTCATCTTCAGATTCTTCTGCTTCTTCTCTCGTTCCCCAAGATATTATATTCAAATTACAAAGGGCGTAGATAGGCAATAATAAATATCCAGAGGGTATACATAAATAGTAGAGGAGTCCATGAACAATACAGAATATTTCTTGAGGATGCATCAGAGCTGTGATAATGAAAAATCCTGCAAGGGCAAGTACGAATACAACGTTGGGAGACGACCAAGAATCTTGAACGGCTGTTACGATTGTTCCAATGGTAACAATGGTCATAACTATTGCATATAGAGCGCTAAAAACGGCTGAAACTTTAAGTTGTATATCTGGTTTAAGCACAAGACAAACAGCCAAGTAAAATATTGCTGGACCTATGCTTAATAGATAACTTTGCCACAAATCTATATTTAAAACTGCATTATAGGCACCAGCGATCATCATGAGAATTGTTGCTGGTCCAAGGATGCTCGAAATGAACAAGAGAAATTGATAGGCTACGAATAAATAGCTGAAGTTATCATTCTTTGCAACAGTCGTTCGACACGACGAGAGAATATCCATTAAATTGAACATTGTTGAAGGAACCCATCTTCGTCTCTGGTTATAGAATTCGGCAAACGATTGAGGGGCATAGGTTAAAGCATCGGCAACGGCGCAGTATTCCACCTTGTAACCCTGTTGAAGGAGTAGCGTACAGAGCCATCTATCTTCTCCTTGATCGAATTGAACAAACTCGCTGGCCGATGTACAAGTTATTGCATAGCGTCGAGCAACGTTATCATCCATAAGTGCACTACCTCGAAACAATGAAAAACATCCGGGGGAACATAAGACACAACCGTACACGTGCTCAGCAGCTTTTTGAAGCCAATGGCCAATAGCATATTCAAACTTCTGATACCAAATGACAGGACCTTTTCCGATTGGATGGATTCTACCGCAAGCCGCTCCAACTTTTGGGTTGCTTTTCATTTTATCTAGCAGAACTCGAACTGCTTCGGGTTGGAAATCAACATCACCGTCCAAGGCAAGAATATAGGTTTGATCCGCTTCCTGTTCGTCTAGCTTTCTAAACCCCAGAAGGTAATAGATGTACATGCATTGAGACCATCTTTTATTTTTTCTAAATTTAGTGCTATCTTTAAGATGAACTGTTAATCTTGAACCTCCTGGCAAACACCATTCTAGCCTTCCTCCATACGGCGTAATTATCCTAGCTGGATGTTCAAATTCTACCTCCTCCTGATGGACTGAACTTGCCGCTTCATTAATAGATTGGAGGAATCTATGAACATAGTTATTAAAAATAACTTCATCGTTCTCATTTAATTCCATGGCGTCATCAAAGAAAATTTCAGCTAAGGGATAGAAAGCAACAATAGATGATGTTAGCCATTTCAATAAAAATCTTACTTTGAAATTCATAAAGATCCGGATTGTCTATGCCAAATATTTCTTTAGTTTTCTTTCTCGCTGAGTAATCCATATCCATTCTGAAGATAGATTTTAAAAGCTGAGTCATTTCCTGTTTCGTTTCGTGCCAGACTGTTGCACAAGCAAAAATTTTAGGAATACAAAAGTCTTTAATTAAATCAGGATGATTATCGAATCTTCTCCTGTTTAAAAGAAGACCTTCACAGAGTAATGGCGAATCGAACATGGGAAAGAGAAACAATCTGAAAAATATAACATTAGAATAAAGTATTTAATGTTAAAATCATACTGTTCAGATTTTTGCATCCTTAATTGACTCGGAAACCAAATATGGCAATTAACCATTAGGAATACTATCCAAGAAAGTCCATAGAGTAGATAATCCCACCAGTCGATTTCTTCTTTACAAAGAATATCTGATCGGAATATCTCTAAAATTCCTTGTCTACAATCCAGCCAAACCACCAATAGAGCTAAAGGAGTTGATAAAGTTAAAGCCAAGGAGAATGCGAACTTTTGCATCGTTAATCTACAAGATATCACTGCTAGATAATAAGCTACAAGGCTAGAACCAATTTGGATAAAGAGAGGATAGTTTGAAATTGACACTGTTGAAAATCGAAAATCTGAATAGAATGCGAAAGGGAAAAGTAGAACAGTTATTCCTTTGAAAAGGGCAGAGAAGGGTGCTGTATTCGTTTTCATTTCTTCCGCTGATTGCTTTATTGGGAGAATTTTTGATTCGGAGTCAACAAAATTGAGCCAAAATTGAATTGTACAACAGGTTAGTCCAACAGGTATTTCCCAACTTTCAAATTTTATTGCAAAGAATATAGTTATGCCCAATTGAATTAAACCGAATATAAAGGAAGAACCTTTCCAGATTCCATTACTCCAAAATCCAGTTGGCTTTGAGAAAAGAAGGGATACTATGATTGGTAAAAGACAAATGTTACTTGTCACCAGTACAGATGCGCGGACATCCAACATATTTTGTATATTAAAAGCAATTAAACATACTCCAACAGCTTGAATACAATCAACAAATATTGTTTGAATTAACTGACTAAAGTTAGGTCTCCTTGCACCTCCAAAAGTGGCCTTAATAGCCGATATAAGAAAGGCTAGAGCGTAAGGTACTTCCAGTGCTATGATGAGTGCTGTCGTCGATTCGTCAGTTCTGGAAGTGATTGTTTCATTCTTAACGCTACTAGAAAGCCATGTAAAGGAAATTTTACTGGCAACAGAACTGAACAAAATAGCAGCAAACAAGACAAAATAAGAGAGAAATTTCAAAACTTTCGTCAATATTCGTACTATTTCATGAGAATTCTGCCTTTCCGGTTCAATATATCGGAATCTATCCCATTCCGTTCTTCTAGAGTCTCTCTCTTCGTTCATCATTTTTAAAAAGAACGTTATGTTTTGCTTTAACAGAGTTTAAGAAGATATAGGAGAACAAAATTCCATATAGATCCACCCAACTGAAATTTACCTTTCAAGATAAGGATTAGCAGTTAAACGATTGTGACGTGTACAGAATTTTAAATTCTTTGAATATGGTGACAATTTTTTACTCATTTTTTTTTATTTTAATAGATTTCTTATATTTTATTGATACAACTCCATTAATTGGTTGTTGGAGACCAACTAATAATTCAAGTAAATGTATAAAAACTAGTATGTTTAAGATATTCAAATTTCAATCGATATGTATAAATCAGAAGAAAGATAAAGTGCGAAAAATGTCACTCTTATACCTTGACGATTGTCTGAAAGAGTGTTTAAAACAAGATTTTTGTAAAAGCGTTACTTATAGACGTCTTTCAAATATAACAATATGTTATCAACATTCTATTATTTGTAGTTATAATTTTAATTCGACTACTGATAAGTTATTTATTAAATCTTTTGATATTTTCAACACTTTCTTTTCACCATTTTATGAAAGAAACATAGAAATAGGAGGTGTATTTTTTCTTTCGTCGTGCTTTAATGATATATGCCTAATTTTGGCGGGAAAACGCAATTATTACGATGCTGAATCTATATGTAACTCTCACGGATTTGACATATGGTCGCCGAATAAGACTTTGGATAGGGATTTAGCAAAAGTTGTTGGTGATATTTACAGTACGGGTGTCTTCTGGAAGAAGACGTTAGTCAACTCGATTATATGCCTAACTATAGATATAGGCCTAAAAACTAGCAGTACGCGTTGCGAGACTGATAAACCATATACAGTTTGTTGGAAGAAAATAACTGGCGGATGGTCTCAATGGTCCCAATGGTATAGATGTTCTTTAGATTCATGCGCATCGAATGACAAAGAGAGATTTAGATTGTGTAACAATCCACCACCATATCAAGGTTTTAATTGCACAGGATCAAGCGTTGAATATTTAATAGAACCTCACGGAGGAATTGCGAGTCAGGATTATCTTCTTCACGAACTAGCAAATATTTTAACTGTTGTAACCATATTAGTTCTTCTAATGGCTGGTTACTATTACACTGAATGGATGAAATTGAAGATGGTATCTATAGATGATTATGAAGACTATCAAAAACTATTTAGATCCTTTGATGGATAGATACGTTAATACTTGTATTTATTTAATAATTGAAAAATTGCTATCCAATTGAACTTTCTTAAGAAGAGAGTAAGATATCAGAAGCTATTAGAGAGGAAGCTATAAAGTAATACAAAACTATTAGCTCTATCAAGAAAGATTAACGTTATTCATAGTTATTCGTTTGAAAGTGTTAATATGACATCCCGTAATTTCTCATATTCATGCATAGAATTGAATATCTGGCTGCTAATTCTTATCCAAGCTTCGCCATTTAGACAAAATACCGATGTATTTATGTGAAATTCTTCGTTCAGTTTAAAGAGCAATTCGGGATAGTCTGTAAAAAGAATTTCTTTAGCTTCTTCCGGAATTGGATATTTCTTCATACAAGGCAATTTTATCAAGGACATATTTGGAGCCATCATACTATTGGGAACTGGTAAATAACTTGTGTTCCACGCTTCTACTAACATCTTTGTTGCTGCTTTCATTAATGATGAATTGTATTTTATAATATTATCCTTTGGGAGAAACGAGACGGTTTATTAAAAATTATCTTTGATTAAACTATATCATACCATTCCTCCGACTTTTTCTACAAATTCCCTCGATTTCTCAAAACAAAACAGGCTAGTTTGATCTCTTGCTGACAAGTATTGGAATCGTTTCCTAAATGGTTTCCAATCATAACGAGCGCCGCTTATAATATTATAAAAATCTTCATGATACTTCTCCTTAACGTACAACATCCCGAAACTTCTTGGAACAAAATTCCATTTATGCAGGCTTGCTATTGTTTTTACATTGAATAGTTAAATGACATTTTTTGTCTTTAAGAATTACTCATCCTACCACTATAAAAATCGGGGTCGAGCTCTGTTAAGTTCAAAGAAACTTGTCCAGGTCCGTGTGCACCATCTATAAGAACGATAATATTTCTATCTTTAAATAGTTTCATTAATTTCTCAACCGGCCACAGTATTGGTACAGAACTTGAAATGTGATCTTTGAATAGAGTTCAAGTTGTTATTGTTAGGCATTACATTCATTTTGGCTTAGTTATTTTTTAAAATATAAACCTATGATGACCATTTTTATATCTGGAAAGTTTTCGAGCTTTTGTTCGAAAAGTTGAACAAACTCTTCTTCATCGTTAATAGGCAGTTTAATATCCACATTTCGAACTTTGAAACCCCGTTGTTTAGCGATTTTCTCAGTTGCTTTCAAAGTAGCTAAATAGATGAACGAATGAACCTGGAAAAGGAGGAGAAATATGGATATAGCAATTAGATATTATCTTGTAAAGAAAGTAAATGCTACCAAAATAGCGTCCCCTTCAGAAAGGGGTACGGATATTAAACAGCTGTTGATTCCGTGTGTTGTATTGTCTGTTAAAACTGTTATAAACATATATATTTAAGCTTTAACTGTATAAGCTACTTATTAATATTAGTATATTGGAATGTTTTACCAATATTTCTCTCATCGGCCCCCACAAAGTTAGCAACAAGACTTGTATTTTTTTCGTATAGTTCGAAATGCTTCTCACAAAAAAAATATCTAGGATTCTCTTCCTGAAGTCTAATTAGACTGTTAAACGTATGAATTAAATAATATGACGCATAAAAAAGTTATAATACTCTACTTCATTCTATGATTGAAGATATCTTTGGGAACTATACCCCAAGATCCTGTATTTATCATAATATAATCTTCATTTACCATTAAAACATCTTTCATACAGTCACCGAACTCCATCCTTGCAAAAAGTACTTTTGTTTATAGATTGTTTCCAAGTTTTATTTGACAGTTTTCATCACTAACGACCTCTATCTTATATCTTTGTTTTTTTTTTCTTTGTATAAGTTTAACTAAATAGTTATTGATATTTTTCTTTATTGAAACAAAAAAAGGGTAAAATATTTATTTGCCGTTTATTCTTTAGTTAAGCCGTATAAAACAATCTCATTTTCATCCGAAATAATAGAAAAACATAGGAAGCAAAGAAAGACATTAAACATTTAACGGAGTACAAATATACAATAATATATTTTGGATAAGTTTTATTTTATTTAGATGAAATATGAAAGATATAGATCAAAAGGTAAAGAGGGAAGAGTTTGATAATAGCGAAGTAAATTTACTCTCTTTTCTATATATTTCGTAGAGAATCAATAGAGTTGACGAAATAATAAACATTCGGATGAACAAATATATACTTAGGTAATATAGCTTTTACAAAAATATCTATAGAGTATAGTTGAGTTTGAAAACGAGCCTAAAAAGTGTTATATGTTAAAAAGGGGAGGGGTTGGGGAGGGGGGTGGAGGCGGAGAGGAATATCGTTAAATTCGAGTATTATCAGTTCCAATTTCTTTATCTTCCTCAAAAGCTGGATTTTGATGTCCATTCTCCTTGCTAGCTTCTCTCTTTCGCTTATAGTCTTCAAGCTTTTTCTTATTATTAGCTGTCCATTGCTCTCTCTCTTCTTTTGAAACTGACATTGTCCATGATTCTATTTCCTCTACCGTATCTGGAAGTGCTCTACCCATTGTCTCCGGCTCTAAAAGTACTAGGAAGGAGGCCATGAACGACAAAATTCCAAAGACTGTTCCAGGTACCCAAAGATATTTTCTGTACTAAAAATAAAAAGTAGAGAAATCAAATATTATTTTAACTATTTAAAAAATGCATAGCTTACTAAATAGACACTGTAGGGAGCTAATATGGCACCAATAAAACCGAATCCAGCTGTGATTCCTAAGCCTGTACTTCTTAGTAAGGTTGGGTAGATTTCTTGGGCATAGACCAACTCAATACACCATGCCCCCGCAACGCCGAACTTGGAAATAAGAGCAAAAGTAGTAACCATCTTTCCCTTGTCTAGACTTCCAACTAGAAAAAAAGTATATTATTTAAATTATTTAATGAATGTTTGAATATACTGTATATGAACTATTTTTCCATACAAGAATATTGGGATGCTACAGAAGAAAGTATCATAAAAATGGCAGAGAACAAGTGAAATCCCATTAGAGGATATTTTCTACCAAGCTTGTTGGAAGCAATTATGGCAACTATTACACTCGGAATTTCAACAACGGATACTATCATAAAGTTGATATAACGATCTCCTTCCATAGCAGCCGTTAAAAGTGAAAGTCCAAAGTACATGAGGTTATTCGATAAACTACAAATTCATGAAGTTTGAATTACATACATCTTTTAGAACATAAATAAGAATTAAAATGTATACAAACACTAAGAAAAGCATAGTTAACATATAACGTCTTGGTCGAGGTGATTTTAATAGTCTTAACATGGAAGGTTTCTTCAAATCTGTCTCTCCTTCTTTTAATTCTGCTTGTACGTTGTCGTCGAGAATATCGTCGGGTAGATCAACATTATTTACTTTTGCAGCTTTCTTTAAGATTACCATAGCCTCCTCATTCCGATAATTCGCCACAAGAAATCGAATAGATTCGGGACACCAGCTTAATACATCATCTAATTAGCATGGAAGAGAGGAAAGGATATGAACGTAAATTATACATACAAGTAGAAGAGAAGACATATGAAGGGTGGTATGGAAATATAAAGTTGTAATTTTCTCCAATCCCGTAGAAAATAGGCCCAAAGCGAAAGCGAAGTCATTCCTGCTGCTGTAAACAAGTAGGCTCCAGGTGCCATGAAAGTTCTATGATTCATAATAGAGCAAACATTAATAAATTATCCAAAAAATTATTAATAAAACCTTAATTCCGTTGGAAATAATTCACAGGCAATAACAAATCCAGTCATAGTTAGACCCTGAGATAGAGCTCCCGTAAGAAATTGAAATATACAGAAGGCCACATAATTTGGAGAGAAAGACATGCATATTCCAAAGACATTCATGAAAAACTGACAAATGAAGAATAATTTTTTCCTTCCGAATTTATCTGCAAAAGGAGTAAATAGCACAGCTCCTAAACATACTCCAACGTTAAATGTCGTCTGGGAATTCTCTACGTAGGTATCCTTATCACAGACTAAGTCCCATTCCATAGTAATAGTTCCTTTTGGATCGAAACCAATAGGATCATAAGTCCACGAATTGCAGCCAATCGTATCATTATTAGTAAAATTTAGTGGATATTTAAATATTTTGCAGGACGACGGTTCTAATTCATCAGTTAGATCGTTGATGACATGAGGTATTGCTTGCTTAACAGTATAATTTCCATCAATTTTACAATGGTGCGGGTTGATGACCCCTGTTCATAAAATGTTATCAACATATTATATTAAGGGTAAAAGTTGTATGTTTGTTCAAAGCCACAAATTTTAGATTAAACATTTGTATAATCTATAAATAAACATTTGTAAAAGAAATTAAACTTACACCAGTGCCGGGGTTGTACTGGACAAATTATAAACAGCATAAAGAAACAGGATTACCCAATTTGTTTTATTACATTTTTCACAATAATATGCTAAAATCAGTTCTTTTTTTATGATATTCTAACAAAAGAATTCTCAATAGAACAAATATTTTAATTTTTTGAATGAGTACACTGTTCTTTATCTTTTTTATTGTATAATATTAAACTTCATTAATGAATGATTAATGGTTTCTATTCACTAATTGATTGCTAAACTATCAAAAAAAGATATACATTTACCTAAACCTAAATACTTTTCACGTTAATTCTAATAGATAAGGAACCAATTAAGTCAGATAGTTGGTCGGAAAGCTGCATAAAAATATCATAAATCTTAAACCATCATTGAATTCTTAATGGATTTATATAAAAAATATCTTTTCATTTCTTATTAACGTTAAAAGTTTCTTTTTGAAAAAAGGAGAAGGAAGAAAAGTTTCTTCTTTTCGACTTATGGAGTTTCTTCGCAAAGAAGATAAAAAAACAACGTAACTTACCTATAAAAACAATTGCCATTAATTGCCAAATTGCGGGCAAACCAAAGCTTAAGCAGAGGACACAATAGATCATTAATTGCCATCTACCCCATTTACCAAGATAATGATAAGCTTCTTCGAGTCCCATGTTGAGCGAGTAACTAGGCAGAGCACTTTTTTCGGAACAAAAGTAAATATATACACGAGCGTTTGCTTAAATTTGTCGCGATCGAGGCCTCGATAGGTTTGATTTGTGTTATAGGATGATAACTGGCTTTAAAAAGAGAACTTAAATAACAACCCAACTTTGCCTTCGACCCTTTTGGAGGGAATTCACATCGCTTCAATAAGGTTAGTGTCCTATGAAAATTCAAACTATCTAGACCAATCACAATCGTTCTTCTTTAAACACTCCCAAAATATATTACTTAATGAAACGTAAAACAAATGAATTTTTATAGTATTTGTTGAATTTTCACTTTTTACTATCAGTCAATCAAGCTTTATCAGTACTTTCATCGTTATTGTCGCCGTTTTCTCTCAATCTATCTCTTTACGAAGAAAATATGTTTATATTTTTTAAGGTAGAATTAAATAAGACAAATATTTTGAGTGATCACGCTGTAAATCCCGCTAGCCTTGTAATACCTTAACTTTATTAAATAAACACACATGTTTAATATTAAATTAAGGTTTCAAACAGTTCGTATAGAATTTTAAGATTTTCTTTCTCAGTTTGAATATAAGTATGTTAACAGTTTAGTTTATCGGTTTTCCTTTAAAAGAAGATAGAATGTTTTACATGCATACTTAATTAACTTTAGTATATTGTTTTCTTTAAAATACTAAATATGCTAAAATACAAGTATTGTATATCAAAATAACATTTTGGTGTTGATTATGTGTTCCCTTAAAAATTTTGTTTATAATCTTTGAATCAACACCAAAGTTGAAAAACTTGAAAAGCATCCTTTAAGATTTTGCTTGGTTCTTTTGTTTACACAGATGGTGGAATAGAAAACAAATATATCGTTATACTGTAATTTATTAATACTTTTTGAATGGGAAAGTTTTTAAAAAAATACTTTTAACTTAATAATTTAAGAGTTTCGTTCATAAAGTGAAAAAGTTATTTGACGAACACCTCAGTTTTAAATTTTAACAAAAATCGGCTCCGTTCTTTTAAGATAAATACGATATCAGATAATTTCTTACATGTCTCTCCTTTTTACAGCTTTTTCCAATTAACTTTTCAATAAATCAATCTTTTATACTTTCTTATCGAATTAGTTATAAATATGTATTGGTTTTTATTAAACGTATTGTTTCCTTTGCTATTGACCTTCAACTTCCGATAATTGCTTTTTTGTAAAACCCTGAACATCGGGGGAAACTTCAACGACTATTTTATGAATCATTTCCTTTATAATACTAGGCCAAATTTGCTCAAGAGCCATCTGCTTTTGATGAATGTTCACTGCTTGAACGGTTAGCTCAGCCACTAGAGATCGTGCCAGTCGTTTTCGGGTATTGCAGGCCTTCGATTTTGATCTAATGACATCTTGCGTTACATATGTTAAAGCTGCACGAGATACACTCTCTCCCGGGTGTTGTTTATCAATTTGCCGAACAGTTTCTAAGCGACTCTTTTCGTCAGCAGTATAAGACAAATGCTTTCTTCTTGGATCGCCTATCAATGAAAGCAGTCTGGAGTGGGATAACTGAGTTGTGGTCATATGAGAGAGCATGCTAAAGTACTTCTCAGCATTTACAATATCTGTTGGCGTAACCTGAAATAAAAAAAATGCATTATTTTATCAGAGTAATAAAAGACAAATTAGCTTTCTTAAGTGTTGTTTTTTTTTTTAACCGTTTTTTTGGCCTTCTTTTCAAAGCGCTTATGAATTTCACAATCTTTCAAAAAGCGTTCTATTATGCTCAACTTATCGGCCTTATTGTTAGCCGGTTTGACGCTTAAAGGCAGATTACAAGCGGGTGGAGTTCGAACAGTTATAGCCGGAAGTCCTGCAGGAAGTGGAGAACATGAACGAGCTCTTTCATTTCGTTTCTCTTCTTTAGCTTCTGTTTTACTCTGTCTGGCACTTGCCATTCTATCTGGTTCATCACCATAAACTAATCGTTCAACTGTGTCATTTCTTTTCAGAATGACAGGGATTTTATCAGGAACTTTTTTCAAAGAAGATCTCCATGTCATTAAATCACAACTGTCAGTTTCAGTTTCGTATTTATTCTTCATAAGAGTTGGTGATCCAATCATTACTAAGCTGTTATGGCATTTCGTAGAATAGTCCTGCAGTCTAAGAACATGTCTACTGTAATAGTCAGTAGGCTTAATTTGATTAGAAATAGTCTTTTCATTTTCTTGCGGGTCTTTTTTAATCCTTTTTTCCTTTAATTGCAAAATACGCTCTTTCGCCTCGCGCGGTAGGCGCGGCACCTTATCTTTAGCAAGCATGATATCGTCTGGCAACTCATTTTTTTTACAGCCGTTGTTTCGAAAAGTTCATGCTTAATGAGCCAGTGGCGCGTCGCAATAGGTAAATGGCCACCGAATCGATACAATGCAAAATCATTGAGCGCCACTAATCCACTTGTACGTTAAATAATGACACTGTTCTTGGGGGTTAAAAAACATTCAAAATCGATAACATCATTAAAATATGTTTCAATCGATCACCCCCGACGATTAATTTCCTGCTTGCCTGACAGAAATTCTTTCTTGGTACTCTTAACGAAACATAAAATTTACCTCTTTATCATTAATCTTCCTCAAGTTCAAATGCGCCAAACGAAATAGTAGATAAGCCCTCCACAAAACAAACTCCGTGACGGAATTACCTTCTATTTCAATGGTTATAGAATCTAGTCGTCGAAGCACAGCTAAGGCATTGAATTGAGCAAGGTTTTTTATATTCGCCGCAGTAAATATAAGACTCTGTATGAATATTAAAAATAAGAGCACTCTAGCCATAATAATTTACTTAGTGAATTAAAAAAACACACCGTTACTGAGGGATAACGAGCGCGAAGCTTTCCAAGATGTTTTATGATACAATCAAATTCTATGAACTTGAAAATTATCGTTGAAATTACTCCAGCAGCTTGAACACCCCAATTCTTATCGAGAGCGTCCAATGCTCCGGCACCATAAAGACTAAGAGTATTTTCATTTTCCAATTCAGCCAAGTGATCTAAACTATTCGGTGCTCTATTTAAAAAAATAACAAAATTAGTACTGTTTTATAAATAAATAATGGAATTGTTTGGAAAAATAACCTCGAACTAGTCCTATGTGCATTTGAAGAAGCTGGTCGAGTAGAGGGTCGACTTTCTAAAAGGCCAGTCCCGTTTGCATTTTGAGTATTTTCAACAACGGATTTAGCGCTAGCAGGCCTAATGCTATTACTACGACTGGAGAAGGAAAATGAAAAAAACACTAATCACCTTAAGTCATTAATGATAAATGAGTAAATCAAAATAAAAACTTGAACGTAAAGAACGATAAATCTAAACAACTTTTTAAGTGCCTTCAAAAAAAATCGTTCAAACGTGACTTAATAAAAAAAAACACTAATCACAAAGTAAAAGATAGAATAAAATCTATCTGAAAAAAAATGGAAACATATAATTTAAAAAAAGAGTAATAAATAAATAAATAAAGAACATTTTCTGTGGGAAAATAAAAAAAAATTCTCATTTTTTTTTAAAGTATACCGAGGAATATACAGGGAGCTTTCATTAAAAGCGTTGAAAGGTTGAATTGACCTTCGATTCAACATTTTCTGTTGATTGACGTGAAGACTGGAAATATATATGATAGAAAAATATTGCATGCAAAAAAAAAATATATACAGTATATGTAAACAAGTATACAGTATATATATATATATATATATATATATATACAGTCACGATAATAACTAATTATAACAAGGGATAAACATGTGAATTTTTTGACGACCAAAATGTTTATGGTCTAGATTATTTCACAAGCCATTAAGTAATTTTAACACAGTTGCTATGACCTTACAATTAAGAGTTATTATCTGCCAGATCACAAGCAATAACAAGGAAAATGGAATTTTGGATTACAAAAAAATGAAGATTTAAACCATACTGGACGGCACAAGAAATTTTACAAAACTGTACTGTGCCTATTCAGATATCATTGTCTAATGTCAAAAAGGTTTTACACAAATACAAGTTGAAATGGAAGAGTTGAAAAATAGGCCCTTCTAAAATCCAACTCTAAAAAGGAAGCAAATTAATTAACTTTTACAGTTCTTCAACCAAGACTTCATGTACAGATTTAATATGATAAGGCAAATGAAAATTATATAACGCCAAATAATCACCTTATAAAACCTTTTTTCTTTGTACTAATTACTTATTATCGTGACTGTATACTATATACATCAATTAGACGGTTTTATATGCCCTTTTTAAAACAAAATTGTTCTACACAATGTTTCTTTTCGTTTTCGAAAGCACATGCAAGTTTGTCATAATTAAAAAAAAAAAGCCACTGATTCTGAACTATTTACTTTTTAGAAATTAAACGTTGTTAAACAATAATTGTTTCAGTGTTTTATTTCTTATTATTAATTGACTCACCTAGACTTGAGTTGTCGATTTGTCTCAGTAACTTCATTAGGTATATTTCCTACATGAGTGGCATGAATTTCTTTTATAGAATTGACTTGCGAGCTGGTTTTAGCCATTAAACTACCCTGCATCATTTCCCATTGTCTTTTAGCATTGTTAATAGCTACCATTCTTCTCTCCTTTGAAATATAAACAATTCAATGAAAACTTAATGAATAATTATTTAAACAAGGTTTACTTTTAAGGCGGCAACTTTATTTGTTTCCTTTTTCTTTTCAACATCTTTTCTAGCCATTATCATAGCTAATCTTCTCTCTTCTTCCTATAAATATAATGTTCATAAATCCCACTTTCAATTTTACAAAGAAATTAAGTTAAACTTACAGTTAGTTTTTTATTATCTAGACTCTTTAAATGATGAATATTTTTTAATATATTTTGCTTATAATGGCTTTCTTGAGAAATAGGATTACCATCTAAAGTCAATTCAAGTAAACTCATAGAATCTCCTAAGCAGGTTATATCATCATAGCTATAAAACAAAAAAAAGAGAACACATTTAAAAGATAGAATCAGTGAATTCTTTGTAATATATCGATTATTGTTCTAACATCTCTTATACGTTTGTCCAATTAAACTATTTTAAAAGTAAGCTTTTATAACCTAAACGCTAATCCAGATAGTTTAGCTTGAGAAAATAATCTTAAGGGTCTAGGATAAACTTTTTTCGATTGTTGATACATCCGTAAAGGTAAAGGTGGCAGTTTACAAGACGGTGGAGTCGAAACAGTCCTCTTGGAACACTCGCAGACAAGTCCATCTTTTGTCAAAAACATTTGATCCATGGGCATAATTTTTGCAACAAGTAGCCGCTGTTTAGCACGAATGTTAAACAACAACTAGTCTTCTCAATGTTTTCTTTTTCTTTATATAAACAAACGATGTTTAAACGAGGAATGGTGTAAATCATATCATTATTGATTAATCATCGATTCGTTTATCTAAGTAACGGAAACGTCTTGTACTTCAACAAGTTTAATAAATTAATCGTTCGCTGTTCAGTTATCCAATCTGGTTTAATCAGTTTACTTCCTTGTCCAAAATTATCGACTTACATAAGAAATGCATGATGAGTTTCCCTTGGCTACGAGTTTTACAGTAACGTATTTATTGACCGGAATAAATTATATCGTACCAGTTTGTCAATAGATAGACAAGATGATTGATTAATAATAGAAAAAACATTCATACCTTGAAATTTGATTTAGGCTCAAAAATAGCCTTTGCATATTCGGAAGGTTATCAATATCATTCTGTTTAAATGTTCACTATTTAATATTTGGCATAATTTTATAGATAAAGTAAATTTAGAATCCTCATTATACATAATTAACTAACCACAACATTGATCTGATTTCTTCGTAAATTTAATTCTTGTAAAGCTGTCATTCCTTTTAAATTATCAACATATTTAATTTGATTTCCCGCTAAATTTAATACTCTTAATTCTGTTAAGTGTTGCAAATTTTCAATGGATTGAATCTATTCTCAGTTGAAAAGAAAAGAGATTATATTAAAAAAAAATTCTTAAAGTATGTAATATATTTCTACTTCACACCTGATTGCCGTGCAGATCAAGAACGTCAAGTTTCAAAAGTTCTCCTAAATTTTCGATTTTTCTTATCCTATTCAACAGTATATTATTATGCTAATCAACTTTTATCAAATATAAGTTTCTTCCACTAATACCTATTTTTTCCTAACATAAGTACCCTTAATGATTTAAGGGTTTCTATTCCCGAAATACTTTCAACATGATTGTCATACATATCAAGAAAAATCAGCTTTCTTAGACGAGATACATTCTGAAAAGAACAAAGATAGAGGTGCCATCTATTGACTTTAGAATAAAAAAAGGGTAGGGTCTATTCATACTTGGATTTTACTTATTGAGTTATGCTGATAATTAAGTAAGCGTAATTGGTCCTCATTCTCCAACATAGGACAAGCACTCAATCGCCGCCTGTAAAAATAAAATATATCAGAAAAATGGGATATCATTCAAAAATTCTAAAGGCTCTTTGTATCTATTGATCATAATCGATACCATTAACCGCTATTGATTGACGGTATAAATAAGTCATTATTTGAAGTCGTAATTCTTATTAAAACATATTCAATATTCGTTTTAGATTTTTTTCTTTTTGCATTAAGTAGAAATAGCTATAATAATTTCTTTTTTTTATATATATTTCTTACCTATCAAGATTCAATCGATCAGGGTTCGATTGACGTTCTTCTGGCGTCCTATACACAATTTGGACACCCGGATGTAATGGACTTTCGGTAAACATCACGCGATCGCCTGTAGAAATTTTGTTTTATTTCAAATGAAAAACAAAAACAAAAAAAACAATTATAAAAACGAAATTGTTTAAAGTAAGTTTAAATAAGAAATTGAACATATTGAAGTCTTATTTTTGAAAGCATTCCTTCGTTAGTAATACTAGAGAGGCTTGTCAAATACCAGATTAAATTATTTGATCTACAGTTAGAAAAGCGTATTAATCTAATATTGAAGAAAAACAAAACAAAAGGAAAAAATTGTAATTGAATTTTTCCAACACCGTAAAAAAAATATGTGCATACCATCCGCCTCTGATACGACTGAACTACCTGGAATATTCGTTCCCAATCGGGAGGCACTCGAAGGTGCTTTTACGGCTATTTTACCTCCGGGAAACGCTTGAGAATTCAATAAAATTGAACGATTCTCGTCAACATGATTTGTTGTTAAATCTTGTACATAAGCGGTGGGTAAAGTTTGCATAAGCCTTCTAGGAGCAGTAGACGCTCGAAGTATTGGTTCTTTCATAAAAATATTTAAAAAAAAACAAAAAAAAAAGAGAAAAGTCAACAAAAATAAAAAATGAAATAAAAACTTAAAAAAAAATTGTCTTAGTAAAATAATAATAAAAGTAAAATGCATAAAAGTTGAGCGAGCTTAGATCATTAAAACAACATTGTCAGATAGAGATATACCTGGTAAAGTGTTATCATTATTATGTTGTTGAGCAGATCTTGTCGATGAAGGATTACTAGAACCATAAACCACGCCACTTACTGGAATGTCCTTACGAAATTTATCGTCTGCCCTACCAGCACTTAATGTCTATTTTTTATGAATAAAAAAGTCGTAGTTTATGACTTTGTAGCGGTTACAAAGTAACTTTAGTATATTTACCTGTTTTGAACCAATAGGACGTTCATTTACTGAAGTTGCAATGGCTTGTAACGCTAATTGAGGTCCGACAGTGACGACCTAGAGAATAACTTTTTTCGTTAGAAACGATCTGCGAATAAAGCGGGATTAAGTAGACTTACATCTTTTCCTTTTTGTTTTAATTTCCCCACAGAATACATCATCGATCAGATTGTGCTATGTGTCATTGTACAAAATATGTAATAGTAACATACGATCAACAGTATCTGACAAATCTAACAAAAATAATCAGTTAGGGTAAATTTTGAATTGTTTTGATTAGTTCCTCCATATTGGTATTGCCGACAATATATCTGGTATGGCGCGAAAATACTTCAACTCAGTAGGCGACGCTAGTAGTACTCGGACAAAATGGCGGACTCGGTTGATATGGAAATAAAGAAAGTGTGCATTAATTTTTCATTATATTTACAATTTAATGACGTTTTTTAAATATACTATGGGATAAAATAGGTTGCATAGGAATTGCACAATTATAAAATGATCGTGAAATCTTACGATAAACGCTTAGTCGGCCATCAATCCTTACATTCGTTCAGTACATTCATTTCGTTACAGCACCTCTCGGAGCTTCAATTGAAGATGTACAGCACGAAAGAACAAATCGCTACATCTAACAAGCAAATTGATAATTTCAAAAAATCCGTGATTCATTCAAACCTAGTTATGGCAGAAATAAATCAACTTCCTGAAGAAACAAAAACGTTTGAGACTCTGGGTAGAGCGTACGTATATGTACCATTTGAAATTGAAAAGAAGTTCAATCTTTATTTCTTTACAGTTTTATTCGCATGCCAATGCCTAAAATAAAAACTATGCTGTCTGATAGAGTAACAAACGCAACTGATAAAATTAAAACTCTTGAGGTATGTGACATATTTGCATTCGTTTTTAATAACAACGAGTTAATACATTTTTCTTGCAGGGAAATATCTCCTACCTACAAAAAAATTTAAAGGAAAGTGAAGAAAATGTTAGGGAATTAATCAATAGCAAGAGGAAGTAGTATTTTTATACTGTTTTCAAATTTTTTCTTAAATATTTAACGTTTTGACTTTGAACTGAAATATGAAAATATAATACATTCGCTTTAAAGTTCAATCATTTTCATTTAATTAGATGCTTTAATATTTATTCGAAAGACAATGTCACAAACATATTATTGTCCAACTGGTGTAGTTCCTGTGTAAATCGAAGACCCTAATGGACTTTTCGGTGGCACGGGTGGAGATTTAGTCGCTCCTGAAATGGGTGGCAATGGTGTTGTCAGTTTTTCAGTAGTTGGTGGAGTTGCTGGATGATTGGTTTCACCAGGGACATACTTTTGTCCTGATCTTGCTACACTAATGTAATTTCGAATTGAACCGCTCCCAGCCACTTCATTGTGGCCATATATCATTTTGTTCATATCCAATTCTAACAATCTCGGTGTATTGATTAAATTGTCTGAGAAAGATCCAACTTTATGAACCGCGGCTTGAGGTGACCAGTAATTAGATTCTGCAGATGTGCCAACTGTCAGCCTACTCATAATAGGAATAGCTCCTGTTGAGGCTGGTCTGGTTGATTCTTCAGTATTCTTTTTTTGCAGTTGTCGAGATGCAGGAGTTGGGGCTGGAGTTTGCCAAGCCTTGGCTCGACCTTCTATTTGTGAATGACGAATAGCTTTGGGGGCATTTACTGTTGATGCTGTTTGAGCCACTGGTCTGTACGAGAAGAACGGCTTAATAAGGAATACACCAGCTGCATTTTCAATCTCATCAAGTGTGTCCATTAAGTCATATGCTAACTTGACTCGTTCCTCACTCAAATTATCCATCTTATAAGCCCATCTTTCAGATCTTACAGCCTGAAAAGCCTCCATTCGTTGAAGTGCTACTCTAACGTTATCATTTATACTTCGGCTTCTGGTCCGTATTCTATCTTCAACTTGCTTCATTCGAACATGATGAATATATTTCCGCACAAGTTGCGATAATCTCATTGCAGGAACGCTAACATAACTTTCCATTTTTTCAACGGCAGATCGCACACTCTCTTCACTGAGTCGTCGCTCATTCAAAGCACGTTTTAAGACACGTGTATTTTGTTCGGCATCAAGCCTTGTAAACATTAATGGAGGCGACTCCTCTTTCCTCCCAGAATTGATCCTACCCTGCGTTTTCGTAGCAACCGCCAGGTCTCGGCGAAGATTTGTGATGGTGTCTTGCATCTCCATCATAACAACAGTTTGATGATGTTGTTGAGTTTCATTTCTTTTTATCTCTTCCTCGTGAGCCTTTCGTCTGTTTTAACATCTTTCTAATTAGGATAATCTAATACGTTTTCAAGAACTTACAGTTTGTCATATTGAGATTTTAAATCTTGAAAATCTGATGAACTATTACGCACTTGTTCAGAGGGTGTAGAATTTGGTGCAGTGTTTGGAGGAGCAGTCATTGGCATTGTGCGATCCCTTGTAGTTAAAGATCTCGTTTGATCACGAGAGATGAACCCAATAGATGAAACTGGATAATCCTAGACAATTTTAACAATAAATAAGTATAATTAATTCAATGTAATATTCAAAGTCTTCAATAACATTGATAATGTTAGTATTATAGGACATGCCATAACAAAAAAAAATATTATCATCATAAAAGATAGCTTATAAAAACATTGATTTCATGCTAATCAAATATACCTATTACACAATTCAAGCAAATAAACTAAGTAATGGGTTTATAGGATACATAATATGTATTGTTTTTCTTTAAGTTAGGTTTCTTACCGATGTATAACTCGATCGTGATTCTACTAAGAGCTGCATAAAAAGGAGTAAATATCTACTATTTAACAGTGCAATTTTATTTTATATCAGTGCCTAAGGTGTGATTCTTTTTTAATGCAAAGGTCGTGATTATATAGTAGTTTCTCTATTAGAGTATATATATTCAAACATACGTATGATGATCTAAATATTTACCTGATCAGTCATCGTTAATTCACCAATAATTTTCAATACAAAGCCCAATATTGTCCCGATGCTCTCCCTCATAGATTCAATCTGAGGTTGTACAGTCGTTGTTTTATCAAATACGAGAACTTTATTATCATCCAATTGTTGTCCTAATGATGGCATTTCTGAGAAGGGAAAACACTTATGAAACTTTGAAAATTACCATTTCTAAAATCAGACCTTTATCGTAAAAATGTGACGAAACGGCTTGCTTAAATCCGATAACTGTGTCATAGGTCTTTAAATATTCCTGTACGATAGGATGTTCAAAGAGGGGCGGTTGTTTCCTAGGGTTGAAAAACATAAAATTAGCAAGCGTATACATAATCTAAATATGACAGCCAAGGACAACGAGTAAAAAAGTTTTTCGTTTGAGAATACACCGAAAAAGACATTTAAACCAATACAAAACATACCAATCCATAATATCCTCTCTACATTAAGTTTTTAGTTTTAAGTAATGTTTTAAGATAATCATTATTAAAAATTGTAATTTTACAAAACAACGAATATCTTATACCGTTCTTCTTCATTTTCTTCCTCTTCCTCTTCTCTTATATGAGCTAACTCTACGCTATGACTAACCGATTCGATCGATTCAATAAATGTTTAAATACAAGTAGTTAAACTATCTAAAGACTTACCTAGAAATAAAAGTTTCAGTTCTATCTTTTGAAAACGAAGCAGCTAAAGGAGAAGTTCCTACGTCGAATGTAATTACTTCGACTGTATTTGAAATCGTTTTTTAACATGAATTTATAAATCTTTAGCTAAGAAAACCTACCTTTGCCCTCATCCGGTAAAGGCATATCACCATTTTCGTCTAATTCCGCAGATGATAGGACAGAGTTGTTTCTAATTTCAGTGGGTATTCCAGGAGATTTTGATCGTCTTCCTTCTGTTCTCGACCGTCTTTCACTTAGTGCTGATTTATGATGTTGACGTAAAACTGCTCTGGCTTTTGCTGAATTTGCTCTTAATTCTTCCAAATTGGCTGGTCCATCCTCACCGGAGTCACTCCGCGAGTAGAGCTGTGTAAAAGGAAATCAATAAGCAACCGTTGGGGAGGTGTTATTTTAGGATTATGATAATTGGTTGATTATGCAGGTTTAAAATAAAAAAAAACATCAATCTCATAGGTTATTGTCAACATATTAAAAAGATATTGTGATTAGCTAGCCAACTGCCGATATCTAATATTCTCAGGGAAACTACTATGCTTAAATGTGTCTGCTTCGTTCGGTTGGAAGCCTGTGTTATTGGGTATCAGCAAACAGACCTCTTCCTCCTTTGAATCGGAGGATGAACTAGATTCAGAATCATCGTCAACCTCCTCCGGTTGAGAGGAAGAATTCGATGATGACGATGACGTTTCATCATCCGAATTATTCTCGCTGTCAGACTGTGGATGTTAGAAAAGCATCACAAATACGGACAACAATTAAGAAATCCAAAGAAAACAATTTATGATATTCAATCTGCTTGTTACTGAAAAACTGTTTAGATTAGCTTTACAACAAATAGTGTCACAGCATAAACACAAACAACGGTCGAAACAGACCAGGGGCGATAATAATATCTCTTCCTTTTTCTCCTCGATCGTTGAACTCTTTTCTTCTTTTACGTCTGACAATTCCGATTGTAATTTTTGAGTAGAAGCTACTGTTATATCTTTCTCAAGTTCAATCTCTGTCCCACTCTTCACACGAGGAGCATCTTCAAGAGAGGGTGTTTTCGATAGAGTTTTTTTAGATATTAGAGATTGCTGCGAAAAGTATTTATTTTGTATATTTTGGGAAGAGTGATGGATTTGTTTAGGATAATATTGTGATTAGATTTGAAGAAAAAAAAAGTAAATTGTGAAGGAATTTTTGGGGAAAGTTTAAAAATATTATTTAAATAATTAGAGGATATAATTTATAGAGTCTGTAAAGATATGAGAAAGATAGAAGTTGGTCCACTTTTAAAACATCTGATCGAACCTTAGATGACGTTATACGCTGCAATGGAATATCGGTTTCAGCTAGAGCTGTAAATACCGACTTAGGATGTACTCCGACAATTTCAGCTTCCTCTATAACTTTGTCAATCAATGTACATAAAGCAGATAATTTTATATCTTCAGTAACAAGGCTCTTTAAAGCGATTACTAGCTCAGATCGTTCCCTTCTCGATCTCCTTCCTTCTATTTCGCTTTTTGTTTTCTTCCTTGACATTTTTGTCTTCTCCATTGTGACAGGGGTTGGTGTGGTTTGATTGGTTGTGGGAGGAGAATGTGATTTCTATATTGAATGTGTTTTAAGGGGAGCGGAATTGGAAATGTAGAATATTTATAATTAATGCATAGATTAGTCGATTTTGTCATTTATACAATTTAAAACACAAATATTCAATAAATTGAAGAAATATACACCGAAAACCTACCTCTGCTTCTTCAGAGTTGTCATTTTGTTGCTCAATTATTTTTGATTCTTCCCTAAGAATCTCTCTTTCGGCTACCTTAGCATCATCAGTTTGAGTTAGCAATTTCTCTTCATCAACATTAGGTATTTCCACCATTGGTTCTACTCGTGGGCTAGTTTCGGCGCTGGCCTGTCTCGACAATTTTGTATCAATATCCTTCTTTCTCTCCTCTTCATCTTTTTCCTATGTGTTTTCACAAGAAAAGCTTTTTGTTAATCACGAACATATAACTAGAATAAATAATTGATAAGGAAACAAAAAAACTATACCGCTATGACGTCCAATACTCTTAATCTATTACGTTTAATAGCCTTACCGCTGACGAACATTATAATAGAGTGTGTATCAAGACAAGATAAGTTTTAAATCCTTTATCAAATAGTAAACAAATCGTTTTTAAAATAAAAGTCAACCATTCAAAGTGAAAATTTATCTCCTATAAATAAGCCTGTTTATCAAAGTACTTGAAAAATTCTTATACAGCGAAGTTGAGTCGATATGAGCTTAAATTTGACAAAATAATTCCTTGATTAATACTCTCTATATTCTCACCAATGTGTAACGGCTAAGATAAACTACTACTGCAGAATGACGTTAAGGCAAATAAAATCAGTATATCACCGTGTCTTATCTCAATCTCAATTGTTCGCTTTGAGTTAATCTTTCAATGGAATAAAAAATACTTCATAAAGTAAGGTAAACTTTCTAGTTTGAAACTTTCAATAGAGGAAGTCGTATAGAAAATCACTTAAAAATTCTATTTAAGTAGTTATTGAGTAACTAGCTCAAATCTTTGGATATATTTTCAAAGCAGTTTTATACAAGTTGCCGACATTAAAAGATAGCGTTATCATAAAAATAATACTTACAAGAGTTTCTTGCTGCAGTATAAATGTTTCCAGTTGATCCATGGCCGCATCGGCGTCTTTTTCAGCTAGAGAGTGCAGGTTAACAGCCTGATCGGCTCTTTTAATTAATACATCGCGCTCCTTTTCCCATTTTGATTTGTGGTCGTGAAATTGTGCTTTAAGCGTTTGTACCTTAAAAGATATTTCAGCAAAATGATATGATTTATATATTTAACAAAAATATTTTTATAGTTCATTACCTTTCTATTAGTTTTTGCAATTGTTGTTTCTGTAATATCTTCTAATTCAGCTATTTTTTCTTGAGCCAGCTGTCGATATTGGGCAAATCTACCTAGAACATGATTCATCGGAACGTTGCCCCATCCCTCCTCATCCTTGAGGTCAAATGCGTCTGTAAAGTCGACAACACTATCCTCTAAAACTGGCACAAGGTGTTTATTGGCCTCAAATTGACCAGTCGAAGCATCACCATCTACATCCTGGACACTAACTTCGTTTCTAGTCTTGGGAGGTGGACGCTGTACGAAAAGATAGAGAATAAATTGATAAAGTAAGTGGCAAACTACTATATTATATATATATATAAATTTATAGGTAGACGAACAATACAGTTCACACTGTACACTTAGCGGCACATAGCAGTCACAAATAGGAAAAGTTTGAAAAATTGATAGATATAATCTGTAAAGTTTTAAAGATTTTTCGAAAGCTAGAGCCGGAAGTAGCTTTATATACAACAATTCCGTTTCAAACCTGCTTCGATCTGAAGCTCTGAGTAGATTTCTTTGGAAGGTTTGCTGGTTTTGTCTGCTCTGTAACTCCTTTGTCCTACATATTTTAAAAGTTTGTTAGTTAATACACATAACAATGAAATACCATAGCAACAATAGCTAGTCTAGTATATATAACCATTTAAAGGAATATATACTTTACTACAAAATTACAACATTAAGAAAAGTAGAACAAACCAAACGTCGTACGAATAAAACATTTTTCATACGATTTTCATTCCATTCGTATACAACGTGCTTTGGTAATATACACTCTAAAGCCATCTCTACCGCAAAGGATTATTTCGTCGCTTTGGACTTTGTTTGCGGTAGTGACGCCTTTAAAAACTCATCGATTAGAGAATTACAATTCAAACGAGTCATTGCATTTTATTGAAATGCTTCGACTAGTTCACTTCCCCATCAATAGAAAAAAAAAGGGTACAAAAGGTAGAAATAAAAAGAAAAACAAGTAGGGATTTTTTTTAAGGATTGTGTTCATAAAAAAATAATCAAAAGGTGGCTTTTTTTGTATATAAAAGTCTCTTAAAAATTTTCATTTAGATGAAATAAAATAACAAACATTTCCGTTATTCTTTAACATTTAGACATACCCTAGATCTCGAACGAGATTTTGATTTATTCCTATTTTTTCCTTTAGCCTTCTTCTATTGTTTTTATCGCGTGTTTTTATTTTTTTATTTTTTGGTAACAAAAATTCGAAACATCATAATAAGTTAAGAGATATAATTTATAAATATATATCTTACTTTATGCTTATTTTTATATTTTTATATCCTTTCTTATCATTTTTTTTTATTATTTTATTATTATAAAATTGTGTTTTAAAGGGGAGTATACTTACGGGTCTAGAATCGTGTTTAGTTCCATCGGAATGTGCACCCTATAAACAATACTCTTATAGTAATTAACTAAAAAGTGAAAAAGTAAACTTTTTTCTTTGTCAAAAAAAATTAAAATAAAATACATAAATCAATAAATCTAAGCAAAAAAAAGTATAAAAGTGCTTTTGTTGTTGTTGAAGTTGCTCTTTTTAAAAAAAAAACAATCAACTAAAATAAAGAACCACACACAGAAAATTTTTGTTCGCAAAATTAGCGAAAAAAAGAGATTATTCCATTGATCTATTATCGCTCTCGAATTCTTTTCTTTTTTTTTTTTGGTAAAAAATTCTTCTTAAAAAAAACTTCTTTTCTTTTTTTTTATAGAATAAAAATTATTGTAAAAATGAAAAAAAATTTGCTTTTTGTTAAAAAATTTTTGCTCTTATAAAATTGATATTTAAACGTAAAAATGGTGAATTAATTTCGATAGGTGAAAAAATACACGATAATTAAAAAATGTGGGAAAAAGTATAACAGCAAATTTTTGTTGGTATAATTATTTTGTTTTTAAATTATTTTTCATACTGATGATGCTACTGCTGTGATATGTTCGTCGTTTTCTGTGTGAACGACGTGTGTTGAAGCTACTGGGGTTGGTGTCGGTTCTTTAACGGAATGCTGTGAAAATCATGCATTTTTATGATGTGAGCCGGTAGATTAAAAGAACAGAATAGAGCGAAATATAAACGCAATCTCTCAGACAATACAGTCATGCGATCAGACCTCTTATTAAGTTATTGAAGGAAATCACTGTATGATAGAATAAAGTAATAAATATATATGTACATCCAGAGCACTCTGACCTAATTTATAATATCTACATATAAAACTTTTAAATTAGCAGACTGTTAATAGGGGGAAAATTATTAGTATTGGCACAAAAGTATAAAGCTACGCTGACTAGTATTGTCACCGTCATCTCCTTCTCCCTCTCTTCCTCCTCCATCGCAATCTCCTCCGTCTCCTCTCCCCTACTGGACGTTTCTTCTAATTCATCTGTAACTTCCTCACCCTCTACAAATTCTTGACCGTCTACTCTTTGTTTAACTAATTTTCCTTGAATATGTTTTTTACTCCTTGAACGACTTTCACCCTTAATTGCTTTCATCTTTTGAGTAACAATAGTTTCCTCTTTAAATTTAGCTTTTAAAGTCTCATTCAACTTTTGCTCTGTTTGCTCTCTTTCGGCCTCTAAATTTTCTAGAGCATCTAACGCCATCTGTCGCCTAGTATCAGCGTCATTCTAAGAGATACATTATAAAAACTTAGAGGGATTGTCTGTAAAAAAGGCCTTAAGAAAGTTTTAGTACACAACACATACCGCTTCCTGCCTTGTATCTTCTATCTCTCTCTAAATATATGAAGAAATTAATTTAATCATTAAAGTCTCCCTCTTGAAAAAAAACGCAAATTAAACGTACATCTAGAAAAGTTAATCTTCTCATTGCATCATCCTTGATATATGAGGGAGGGAAAAGAGTTAATTTAACTTTTTCTTAACAAAGAAAAAAAAATAAAAACCATACAATTTCTAACTTGGCGTCGTCCAATTCGGCCTAGACGTTAAATGAACCGAAGAAAAAAAAAGGGAAAAAATTGATTTTTAAAAAAAAATGAAAAAAGTCGAATACTTTTAATAAGATATATATATATATATGTATATATTAAGTAAACGTACAGCTAAAGATATAGCTTGCTTCGTTGTGCTTGCCTGAAAAAAGAAAGGTAATAGTTTATATAGTATATATATACCTTTAAATACATATTATCATTAAATGCTAATAGTCAAACAAAATGTTAGTAAAAAAGCTGTAAAGGTTTTAGTATATTCTGTAAAAGTATTGAACACTTCAATTAGCATGTTTTTATTAGAAATATAAATAACAAACAACAAACTAATATTCTTATTTATGAATATTTTTGATGAAAGTATATACTGTATGTACAGTATAACTAAGTAGCTATTGAATGAAAGTGTTAAGCCTATAGCGGAAAAATATAGCACACACACACACACACGTTCAAACATACACATTTATCTTTCAAACCACTTATTTCCTCCTGGAAATATATAATTAAAAAAAAAAAGAGTTGATAATTGTTCAAAGAACTCCTTGAATTAATCATATTATTTTGTATATATGTATATATATATATATGTTTATATTCTAATATATATATATATAAATGTAAATATATAAAGAATTAAAATTAATTTACGCCACCTTTCGCATTGTTTCTTTGATTAGTTTAATATTTTGGGAATTTTATGTATATTGTATCTTATTTATCTTTTATAATCTGATAAAAAGTATACAGTAGCTTAGTCTTAAAAGAAAAGTTTATAATGACACTTTTGCTACGTTGTGGAATGTTGTATACGAGTTTTAATTGGAATGAAAACAATGTACGAAAAAAGGACAAGATACACGTAGAACTCACAGTTAATATGTAGGCGGTTGACGAAGAAGATACGGCGGCAGGATCAAAAGGCGTTGGATTCAAGTCAACTAGATCTCTTAAATCCGTATAATCGGAAAGTCTAACTTGAACCCCGAGCATTTTTTTTTTAAATTTACTCCGTCATTAGCGAGGAATACTAGTTCAATATTTCACGAAATATTTATCCTAAAGCTTCTGTCTCTTATCTATCTTGTTAATCACTTTTCTTTCGATGACAGACGCGAACCGTCTGCAAAAGCCTTAGCAACAAGTGAACATTTAAGCCTACAAAAACTGTCAATTCATACGTCGATATCTGACAAAAGCTTGGATCACGTGATCACTGTTCACAATGTATCTCCGTCACAATATTCTTTTAGTTGAATTAATTGATCTCCGTAATACAAAAATAATTCAGTTATATTAATGCAAACTTTCGAATCGTTAAAGACGCTAATTTATAAAGGTTTCTTTATTTCGTCTCGGTCCGTAATCTCGGACTTTAACAAGGATAGGCGAAGGAAAAAGTATTCTACTATCGATAATTTTTCGTTGGAATAGGAAGAAATCCTATAATTCGAATGTTCAATATATTGAACCAATTGTTTTTTCCAGCATTTTTATGCTGACGACGCCAAGGGCCTTTGACTTTAATGAATATTTAATAGCCATGTACAAAAACTATTTTAATTACCAATTAGGAAATAACTTTCTTATCAACTAGTTAATTAATTATTACTGGTAACTATATCTATATATTATATATTAAACGTATAAAATATGTATAGATATATAATAGAAATAATAATATACATAAATAAATATTAATATATGCCATATACAAACTGTATACATAATTATAATATATACAGTACTGACTGTATATTTATCTATTTTCTGGATAGTATAAAGAATTGAATAGCAGATCGGCTATTTAAATAAAGGTTATTCTTTCCTATATAAACTTTAATACCTATTATTATCAATATTCAAATTATTAAGTAGCATTAAATTTTTGTTTTTTAAACAGAAATAAATCTGTTCAAGTAAAATAAAATATAAAATATGATCGATCAATAGTTAACGACAAAAAAGTTTACTGAGTACATTCGACTAATGGATTATTTATAATTCGATCAAACGACGTCTATAATTTTTGTTCTCGGCTTCTAGTGTTCGTAACATTACAGTTCTCTTATTCAATACACGTTCGATTAACAGGCCACTTAAACAAGAAGATAGTATAAATAGAAGGACTGAAAGGAAAAAATTCAATCTTCAATTGACTAATTTTTTTTTTACGGGCGTCTCTCTTTCAATCTTAAAGTTTTTTATGTCAACACTTTTTCCTATTTTTTTAATTGTACAATCAATCCGATAGGTGGCGTTATGCATATAAATCATTAAGCAGCACATAACTTTATCAATAAAGATAAAGTAGAGTGTTTAAATTCAACACTTACCAAAAGTTTTTTAACTTCTTCTATATGCTGCCTTCTTAATTCTTCAATTTCCTTCTTATGATCAGTTTTTATCACTTCAACTTGTTTGTTATGCAAATTCATTAATTCTGTTTTAAGTACAAATGACAAATTTTCTTATAGAAAGGAGTAATATACGAGAAAATATCTATTGTCAAAATAGATATAGGATAGTATAAAGGGGGAAGAGGACAAAATAAAGCGTCAAATTAAAAGAAAAACATAGATATTTATAATATTAGAATGTCTAATACTCAAAATAATAAAAATAACAAATATAATAATCTATTTAATTAATTATGCAAATAAAATTATATGAATATTCATAAACTAAACATTTAAAACACATCAGTTTACAAAATATGCTTATATATCTAAATAAATAAAAAAATATATGTATAAACCAAAATAATAAAACAAAAAATCGTTTTAAATTCGTTAATAAATTAAAAACGGTGCTTTTTTTTCAGTATAACGAAGGTGTTAATTTCCGTTTGAACCAATAATATTTCCTTATTGATTTGAAAAATATGGAAATTTATCATTATAATCCCCTCCCCTTCGTTATACTTCTAAATTCGTTGTTTTTTTTATGTGATTAAAGGCACAAACCCTCATTTCTCTTTTCCAACGATTCTGTTAAGTTTAGTAATATAATTAACAAATATATATTTAATATTAATTTTCATTCTGTTATGTAAAGTGATAAAATAACAGCAGAAAACTCAATAGGCCTAATTGATGCTCCTTACATCCCATAGATTAATGGGATCTTTTATCTTAAGAAAATAATCTATCTTCAGAATCCAAGTGAAAATGGAATCTCAACTGTGTTTTGCAAATTGAAACATAACATTTTTCAGAAGCTAAATCTCTCTTTGAGTGGTAAAAATCTAGTATTTAACCTATCAATTTCTATTTTCATTCCCTACGTTTTATGTTTCTTTTCTCTCTATTATCCATAGAGTTAGTAGAATTTAAATTTTCAGTATTAATTGATTAATTAATCAACCGTTATATTCAAATTGAATAAACATCGGTATTGTATAAATTATCTATCATCTTTTTACCTAATTTTGCTTGGTGCTCGTACATTTGGTTATCATTTAAAGCATTTTGGAGTTGTTCCAATTTTCTCTATAAAACAGGGATAAAAGGATTAGTTTTCCAACGTAATACAGTATGGTAAATGTTTTATAACCCTTACTTGACTTTCATCACTAGCAGCTGCCAGTCGTTGTTGATTTTGCTCCTTTTGAATCTTTTGCTCTCCGTAATCCACCTCCATTTTCCCTAGCTAAAAAGAGATAGATTTTTTAGGAAAACAAGTATTTTTCAATAATAAATTTTGATAAAATAAAACCTGAAGTTTCATATCTTTGATTAATTGATTTTTCCTTTCAATTTCATCTCTGAGCCCTTCATTCTCCGAAGTATTTTTCTATGTTTAATTTAATTTAAATGCACATGTTTATATATACTAAATATATAACATTTCCCTTCTACAAATAAACAAACCTTTCCAACTTCAGCAGCGGCTTTAAAACGTTGAGCTTCCATATTTTTTAATTCAACTTGTTTGTACAACTGTTGAATTTTGTCTTCTTTAGTTTCAATTTCTATGGATTAAACAATAAAAAAATAATATGTTTTTGTTCAAAGTAAACTGATCATAAAACTAACCGTTCATAGCTTGTTGTAATTTCTCACTTAGAGCGGCTAGATCATCTTTAGTCTTTTCCAATTTTTTCTCCAAGCTTTTCTTTCCCCTAAGAAAAGTATTCAAATTAATTTAATCAATCATCTTTTCTTCTCTTTTTTTGGATAGGAAAGACACGTGACATATATACGTTTATAGTTTTATATAATACAAGATTTAAAAGAGTTTAACATCAATTTCATAATATTTTTTTCAATCTTACGACAATGTTACCTGGCTTCTTGCCACATTTGTAATTGTGCTGGACTAATTATAGGATAGGAGGGAGTTTGTTAAAGTGAGTTTATTGTTTATCATTAAGTTTGTAGTGGTTAATATAAATATTAATTAAAAACTTACTTATTACTGGCTTTGGCCTGGGCGTATTGATACATATGTTCAACCATTTCCTTATTTAATTCGGCTAATCTTTGAGCCAATTCTTTTGCCTTTTGCAGTGATTCATCAATTGCTTCGGCAACGTCGTCCATTTCAAGATCGGGTGATGAGATGGCCGCCTGATCATCGTCGTCTATATGGTGAGCATTTTCCATGAAAAACTAAGATGGTATCGTAAGAAATAAGAACACAATAAATTTAAATTAAACGAAACAAATTGCGGTTTTATTACATCGTTAACTTGTTGCAGTAGACGTAACTTTTGGCCGCATACATTCTCATAACCAACTATAAATATAGTGATTTGCTGCTGATACTATATGGAAAAGGAAGATGTTAGTTAATAGTTGAGTTTTCACTCAGGAGATTAACCTTTTTCTTTTTCACTTGATCTTTCAGTAACTCTTCCAGCTCGGACTATAAAATTTATTTAAATGTTAATGGCCACTTTATTGTATTTATGGTCGTAAATTTCTGTTATATTGTGCACTTACTACATCATTTAAGTATTCTGTATTTGTTGGTTGACTAGCAGTAATTAGCTGCTCTCCTAGCTCGAAATTTCCATAAATCTTTTTCAACAAGATTAAAAATTAATTGTCTATAAGGTAAAATTTAACTTTTTACCTTGTCAACTCTATTGAGTACTTGATGTAGTTCATCTCTAGTTTCATCCGCAATACGTTTAGCGAGAGATCTTGCGTTCCTATCAAGGACTGCTTGAGCAGCACCGTCTCCACGGTCTAATATCGTTATACTTCCGACGTAGTTAGTCATTGTTTCATCTAAATTACTGACAACATTAAAGTAATTGTATATTCATCTGAATCGGAAGTTTAAACAGATTTCCGATTTGGAAGAGAAAGAACGTTCTATAAAGAGAATAAAAGTATAATTACAAGAAATTTTAGAGAGGTAGACGATGTTATCCAAAAATTAAATATTTTTATCGACTTAATTAACTAGTAACTTGAGTCAAAAATTTCGAGCTTCGTTTAAAATATTCAGTTGTCGTATTGTTCAGAAACATCAAAGATGTCCATTATGATCACGTGACGTAGTTGCTATGGAAAAATGACGCGGGACAACAGTAGTCGGAACTGATTTCGTTCAAGAGTCAGTTTTGGAAGAGCTTGCACCCTCTTTCCTACCATTTAAATATATCTTTGTAAGTGTGAAGGAAGCATTGGTTTAATAATCTCTAAAGAATATATTTATATAGTTTCTTTAAAAAATTAATTGATCTGCTAAACTTTCTTTAAAGTCTTTGTCTAGTTCAAGATTATAAGGGATTTATTGTTAATCCAGCTCACATAATTAATACAATAAATATTTCGATTTGAGCAAACTTTGAATAGTAAAAATAATAATCAGTGGATTTTACCGATACTGAAATAATAGAAAGCAACCATTTTTATCAATTAATCTCCTAAATGCTCATTTGCTTTCAAAACAAAATATATGAAAAAATAAACATAATAGAGAGAGAAAAGAGATGGATAGATAGATTGATTGATCGATTGAAAATAACTGAAAAACACAGTTGAAAAATCAATTTTTTTATTTATATATCCTGTGTATCTGTTAAAAAGAACAACAATTTAACTCATCTCGATAATGAATACAGGTAGACATTTAAATACAGAAAATTGTTTCAAAATCGAATTGTACCTGCAGGTTTAAAAAAACAAAAAGAAATACCTAATGAATTAACATTATGTATATGTGACCTGTATAGCCACGAACCAATCTCCTTTTTTATATTCCTAGTAAGCATATATTTCTAATAGTTATATTAACAATTTGTTGAATGAATAGAAGATAATTTCTGGAGTATTTTTGTTTTTTTTTCTTCCTTTTAACTAGAACAAATACTTGCAAACTGCTCCGTAGTGCATGGCCGCTGCGACAAAGACGAAACAGTGCCAGATGGCGTGAGCGAATGGTATTCTCCCGTCACTTTTAAAAAATACTATACCAGCAATGTATACTACGCCACCTATGAACATCTCCCACAAGCCACTTGAATCTTCAAGGACAAAAATTAGGGGAAGGGAGGGTAATAAGCCAACCATAACGTAGAGTAATGTTTCTAAAAATTTATACTGTTCATGAAATGTATATTGATAGAGTATCCCTATAATAGCAGAAATCCACACGGTGTAAAGGACCGGTGTTGCAGCTTTTTGCACGTCTTCCTTTAGAATTAACCACGGTGTGTAAGAAGATGCTATAAAGAGGTAAATAACGGCTCTGTCTCCTACATGGAAAAAAGTTTTTAGACTCTTTCTTCTTGATAAATCTTTTGATAATGTTATTGCATGGAAGACTGTAGAAGTTGTGAATACTATAACGAGAGAGCTGCCGTAAATCCAAGCAACAATGCGAGTATTAAAATCACTGGAAATATAGAGCATCCATAAAAAGCCAACAAACGCTGGTACAATAAATATCTATAATAAAATATTATTATTAAATAACAGCTTATGTAGAACAATAAGAATTTGATACTTACGGCGTGAGTAATAACGTTGGCAACACTCTCAGGAAAAGTTGCTTGATAAGGTTCCCCAGGTTTTGCCCGAGGATTCATGTACCTATTTGATTTAAAAGATTTTCTTAGAACATGATTTTTATTAATGCTACTTTTATATCCTTGGAGAATTACTGCTTGTGTCATTGCTGTAAAAATAATCGATAGATTTTACAAGCTGCAGTTAGCTAGATAGATTGTAAATTATAACACTACTCTTATTATACATTGAAAAATAAAAAATGCTGCCATTCATTTCCGATTAACCGTATTTGTATAGGCTAACCTATATTCCTTCATCGATCATATACACAATTAAACATGTTAGCTAATTGTTAAACGTTTTAAGTGTTATAAATAATGACATCAAACCTCTTTAATTTGTCTGCTTCGTTCATACTGTACATGAAAAAAGACTAGATCGAGTTGGTAGTGAAATGGAAGGATTTAAGAAAGGAACATGTTGTATAGTGGTAATATAAATCGTTCGATTAATAAATCAATATTTGAAAATTTCCTTTAGCGGCATAATTACAGTCTAGGCCTTTATTAAAGCCTTTCAATACGTCTGCCCACTGTCATCCAATTTGTATATTTTCGTACTGAAAACAATACGTCCTTCCATTTATCACCTTACGAAGCATAACGATCTAATTCATAGGCTTATAGTAATTTTTTATGTTTTTACAAGTACATTTTTGTGCATCTCTAAATATAGAAAAAATATGCACCAATAAGATACAGAATATCATGTGCTATATCAACAGTATATACTTAATATTTAATATTTAATATATATATGTATACAGAAGCTATATACTGTGTATATACAGTATATGTATATACACATATATATATACAGTAGATACACTGTACAATAGTCATTCTGTCTCTGTACATATATAACTTTCTATTAACATAAGTGAAAATACTGTATTAAAATAAATACATCAAATGCTGCTTTTTTTTTATTATTGTTTACCTTTTCCAACTGTCCGGAACATGCATATTTCTTTTCGTAGCTTCCACTTATGTGCAGTTTGTAGGCATCAAATTTATTATTTAACACAGATAGTTAGGTATCGTAACTGCTTATAGATTCTAAACAATATCGAACTATACTTAATTGTTGCCAGTTAACGATGTTCATTGTATATGTTGCGTTGCAACATCCTACCTAACTGCTCACTTCAAACCATCAAAAGAACTGACGCCCTCATCGATTTTCTCTGCACTCTCGCACTCTAGAATTTCAGTTTCCGACAGATGGGGTTCTTGTTGCGAATCTCTTTTGCAGTTGTTTAAAGAACAAATATTTTTTGATAAATCAAGTGAAATACGTTTTTTTATCGATAAATCTGCACCATTCGTATGTTAACACACACACACACACAATTTTCAAATGTCAACTTATGCAGTATAAACGTAAATGTAAAGTATACAAAACAATGTATGCTTTACTATATATATGAAGTAAAAAAATTGGTTGGGTTCTACGATAGGTTCATAGTACCAGTTGTTTGCGTTCTTGTTAATGCAAATATGGGCGGAAGAGTAACCGTTCGCTTAGGATTAATTCTGTCCTCTATGAAATTTACTGTTGCTTTCTTAGGTCGACGACTAGGGCTTAATGCAGTTGAATTACTGTAAGATGTATCAGTTCGTAAGAGAGGCTTTCTTTCAAGCATTTGCTTCTCGGCAATTGTAATCGGTGGGAGAGATTCTGTACTCTTTTGTGGTAAAACTTCATTGAACTTACTGTTCTTCCCATGTTTCACGTGAGCGAAAATCTCGGGAAAAGGTGATAATTCAATATGAAATCCTGAGTATGAACAGACTAGAGGCAGTTCCAATTCAACGCTCTCCGCATTTTTCTTCTCCTCCATAGATTGAATAACTTTTTTAACGCATTTCGAATATATAAACTTCAATTGATTAGGATCGACAATATTTTCTACCTCTTCTTCGTCTTCGTCTTCATTTCCCTTACTCGGCTGAAGACTAGTGCTATTTTTCTTTGTCGCCTTCTTTTTCTTTTTCCGCTTCTTGCTCGGCATTCTCGTTAATAGGCGTCAATCCTTTTTCACAATTACAACTAGCGGTAATCGTCCATTTATGCGACCGATTTCATGTTAGACCGAACAATGGCGCAGAACTGGCAACAATAGAAATGCTTGTCCTAATTGGTTATTCGATCAATGAATAATCCTTTTGCGGATCTAGGCTCACCATTCAATTGTTTTCCTTGACGATGTTTTTTGTTTTATACGAATCCTTTTGTATTAAAACTGATCGAATTCGACCATTTCCGATCAATTGTAAAAATGAAAGTCCTATTCCTTTATTCCTTACCTTAATTCTTTATAAAGGAAAGAAATATATATTCTCCTTATTTTAACTTTCAATAATTAAAACATCCAATAGACTGTTTCATAATCGCTTACTTTTCAGTCTTAATAAATATAGGCTTAATACCCTATAAAATTTTCAACGCTCAAGAGACGGTTGTCACGCTCACGAATCATATCAACATATGATTGCTTTCATTCAATTTAAATAAAACTTTATGAATTATTAGTAATATCATTTCAAATTGTTAAAACAGCCAAATAAAGTAAACAATATTTTCATGAATATGAACTGATTCATCGTTATTTTTTTTATACTTCTTTTGTTATCCTTTTCAGAATAAATGTATTATTACATATATATATATATATATATATATATATATTGATATGAGTATAGTTTTTACAAGTATTTTATCTACCGATTCAAAACATATTTATAGCATTAATCTCCTCTTCTATACCGACAAAATAATAAAAGCTAGAGAGAATTACAATGTTCAATTGAGCAAATTAATTCCCCTTTACCAAAGGCAACCGGTAACAAGTTGGCGAGTGGGAGGAGGATTGTTAAGAAGTTTGTAAGACAAGCATACAATTAATATGGCCTAGGTATGGGGTATTATAAATATTAAATAGATTAAAGAGGGAAAGTATTAAATTAACTATTAGAAAGACTGAATACAGAAAACCTATATATGTTTATACGTTATCTATAGTATAAATTTCCTTTAAAAGGTCAATAACCTTTTGAAATGTTCAAAAAAATGAAAAATCATTATTTAATATTAAAATGAAACGAAAAGCAAAATAAAAAACTGCACGAATCTTACCTCATTTATAATTTTCTTATTTGGTTGTGAATTTCGTTGTTACATTCGTCTATCTTCATAAATAAAGAAAATATACTGTTTGTATAATAGGGCTGTATATTCCTTAACAATTAATGAAAAAAGAGGTATATGAAAAGATGTTTTACGAAGAGAGGGTAAGCTTTGCTGAGGTCATTTTTTTTCTAGAATATGTATGGATCTTTCTATTCAAGGATGACGAAAATGATATTGAAATATATATTTGTTCTATTTGTTAAAGAAAAAAGTATGAGTATATGAAAAATGAGGAAAGGGAATATAAAAGAAAAAGGGGAATATTCTCCCTTTATAACATATTAACAAAAAAACGAATATAGTTTGAAACAATCAATTCAAATTATGTGATATGATAGACGTACAAAAAAAGCCAATTTAGAAGCCTCTTAGCTTTCATTTAGGTTAGGAAATTGAAAAATTCTATTACTTTATAATTTAACTAATTATTACTTGATGTTCATGCTACTGTTTGAAATATGCTATCCATATTTCATCATTTACTCTTAATCTATGCATAACCTGTACATACTAGTGACCTATTTTCGAAAATTTCTTTTCAATATGAAACAAACAGTTGAGTCTTTTTTTCAAGCATTAGGCTTAGAAAATATACTTTTACTGGTACTGAGAAACAAAATAAGGAGTAATATATCCGTTTAGCGTCGAGGCGCCATCTACACTACGTTCAACCAACTATTAACAATGATCTCTCTCTCTCTTAGAAAACTTAAGATATCTTTGTTTTAATAAATAGTCAATTATCTTTCAAGTAAAATTCTACAATTTAAAACTGTTAATAGCTATTTCGAAATATCTAATAGATGATAGAATGAATCATTTGCTATCATACTTTTCTATAGCAATACCAATAACAAAAGCAGGAAACTAATGGAAATAAATATAATATTTGAGAAATAAATTCCAATAGTTCACATATAAATCGCACCTTTAAGAGTAACCTATAAGTATCTACTAATAAGACACTTGGTTATTCGATTACCCTATACAATATAAAATAATCAAAGAGAACTGAAGAGAGACGGGCATATACACTGATATAGTTAAGTTTACCTTCTAAGCATACTTGAAAAGTTGAGTGGAAAGTGTATCAGTGAATAGAAGCTGTCTTTGTCTTCATATAGATTAGTGGTAAAGGCCTGTGGCAATTAATACATTAGACAAATCCTTCTACGTGTAATTCAATACACCTACAACCAAACTTTTATATAAAGTTATACATCAGCTAGATAAACAAGAGTAATTGTTCTTTTTGGAAATCTACCTTCATCTTTCTACGGTTTATCGATTCGGAAGACTAAAAGAATATTTATATTTGAATCAAGATATTCAAGCTTCCGAGTTGTTTTCAAGGCCTATTATATTATATTATTCTTACTCTTCCTCTTCTTGTTTTTCTATTTTTAAACGTAAAGATATTCCAATAATACTATTGTTTATAGTTATTTTATTATTATTATATACTGTTTTTACTATAAATATATTTCAATAGATACGCATCTTCCAAGTATGTATTACTAACAATGTTTTAATTACTCTCTCTTCCTTCTCTTTTCGATCCGTTCTTTTGTTTTATTGTTTTGTATTGGAGACATAATCTTTTTAAAAAGAAAAATTACTGACAGAAAGAGAAAGAAAACGGGGAAAAAATACTGAAAATAAATTGACAATCCAAGACTTAGTTATCTTGAAACTTTAAAATCGTTTTAGCATCTTTGCGGTACTAGGCCAATATTAGCTTTTTCGATTTTCAGTTTTCGTAGTTCTGCCAATAGCTTTTTGGCGTCTTTTTTTAATATTCTCTTCTTTGGCGTTACGTAAGTTAGTCTATGAGTTGTGTTAAAATCATGTTCTCCTATTAAAGCTATTGGTTTGTCTTCTGGTTTGTAATTCATAATGGTTTCAGGTTTCTTTTCGATGAATGTCTCACCGGTTGTCGTAGATGTTTGCAGAGAAGCTGTTGGCGGTAAATACGAATTTTTCTCGTGGAAATCGCCAAAACGGGGTCTTGGGGAAACGTTATAGGGTTTAAAGTGCTCCTGGAACATAGTTGTACAATCTAGTGGAGGCTTTGTATCAACATATTTGGTTTGAGGTGGCTTCGGAGGGGGTTGGTAAGCTTTGGCTACATCAAGGGGTTGATAATCTAACTTTTGATTTGTCTTGGTCTCAAATTTTACTTTAGGTGTTTCGTATTCATCCGACTCCTTCTTACAACTCTTCATCATGGGATGATCGACAACGTCTATTCCTTTAAATTCCCTACGCTGCTCGGTTTCGAATGATCTCCTATTATTATATTTTAAGTCAATCGTCGAAGGAGGAGGAGTAACGGGTCGAGGAGGGAGTGGCTGTGGTCCCGTTGTCTTCCCAAAATCGCGCTTAAATTGGGTTTGATCATTGAATTTACCCTTGTTCTTTGGCGCAACTATGGAGAAGCTTTGCATTTTTGGGTCAATCATTTCAGCTCTCTTACCCTCTTCACCTTTAAATGTTGTTTTCGATGTTGTTGTTAGTTCCATCTCTCCTTCAGGCTTCAGGGTTCCGCCAGCTAATTTCACCATCTCAGGTCTCTTACCAAACTCACCACGGAATGTTTCTTGCGTGGTCGATTGAGGTAATTTCTTGTCATCCCAATAAAGAACAGAGTTCGTAAATGATGGCAGTTCACCGAAAGACAGCATTTGCGGTTGCTGAGGCCAATGTTTATAATGCTCTTTGGTTGTTGTAGTAGAATCGAATTTGCCTCCTTTCTTCATTACAACATTATTTTTTGGAGGTATAGATGCAGGCGCACTCTTACGGATGTCAGGTAATTTTATTTTCTTTTCCGTGTATTCTTTAGTATATTCTGTATTACTATCCAAAGGAGCCTTTGGGGCTTCGTACGAATCTTCAATTTTAATCGGAGCTACTCTACCTTTGTTTTCTCTCTCGAAAAACTCACTTCTTTGCCATGTTTCAAAGGTCATAGGTGGAGGATTTGGGTCTCTTGGCGAAGGAGGAGGTCGTTTAGAGCTTCTAACCCTACTTTGTTTCTTCCTATAAGCTTCTTGATAATGAGTTTCCGGAAACGGTCCCTGTTTCTTGTTGGTCTTTTCAAACGGTTGACAGGCATTTTCTTTTTTAGACTTGTGAAATCTAGGCGGACTTTGAATCCGATCGCAAATTTCGGGAAATTTACTTCTCCATTCAGGAAATTCTCTCATTAAAGTTTCCAACTCAACATCAACGGTTGTAAAGCCACTGGATGCTCTAGAAGCATTACTTCTACCCGATTTCCCCATGTTTAATCTTGCAACTTCTTATTGTCCTATTCAGTTGCCACGACGCAACCACTTGACAACACGAGGAGGCGCTTTCGTCGCGATCTCCTAGTATGCAGGTTTTATGTAACTAATAAAATGGATTGTGTTTAATCAATTAGATTAAAAATTACAGAATTAATAACAAGTTAAGAATAGGATACAGTTTCTTACTTTAAGAGCAAATAGATAAATTCTTAAAGTAATAGTACGCTGAATAATTCACAACTATTCGATTCACGATCAGCTAAGCATTCTGGTTACGTTTACTGTAGACAAATAGTAGAAAATTATTGTTTATCGATGTTATAAAAAGAGCAAAAGGTACTTTTTTTAAGTAAAAGATTTGACTTTTCAATGATTGTAAATAGTCTGATTCATTAAGGTGGCAATTAGTCAATTTTCTAGCCTATTTAATCTATAATATTCTCTTTTTTATGTGAATGATTTGAGTTAATTTGCAACTAAACAAGAAATAGTGGCAGCTTAGCTAAGCAACAGTTAAAAACAAAATATTAATTAGACGATTTAATAGCTGTGGATATTGTAGGGTGTGGAGCATATCAGCTATAGCTATCAATTAAAGCTAGCCACTTTTATTTGCCAGCTTTCTCAAATAGGCTTAAATACCAGGTTTTTCTTAGCGGATTACGTATATTTTTCCACAGGTTTTCAATCGTACTATTGTTAAGTTTACTCAAGAAGTCTAGAACTTCTCTAATAATGCTATTAGAGGTCGCATATGAAAAAAGAAATCCCTGCAATCATGCAAATTTCCATTTATTCATATTCTTTATCTCCCTTTAACCCGGTAATGAATATTCAATCAATAACTACTGTATAGGTTCGAGCCCTGATAAAAGGAACCGAACATCAGTAGGAATAACAGACGCTCAGCGTCCCATACAAAGTGGTTTTGGCTTTGTGGTAACCATACTTACTGAAGTGTCATCACACGCATTTGCGAATGTTGTCAGCTAAGTGTGCTGAAGATTTTAAAGATGACGCCGTGATCTTGGTCAAGGAGCAGCAAGTTAATCCGTCACTTACCAAAAGATCTTTCAATATACGAAGGCAATAAGTGCGCTCGGACAACGAAAACTCACCATGAAGAATGCTTATGAATCGTTTTCTATTGCAAGTTTTAAATAGGTCAAAAGATTGTAGAGTACTTCCTATTCAATAGATCGGTTTGTCGCTCCATTTATATATATATATAAAACTTATATCGACGAATTGGGCCACTAGATCCTTTGAATCGCCCTGCTTTTTCAATCCAACGTTATATTTTCATATAATCGATTGAATATCTTTCACAACTATAGGAATTTCAATAATGTCAAAACTTTCATATCTGATTCATAAAAAGCCTACACATTCTCTTCCACTCTATTAAATGATATCTTAACATTGTATACGATTACATTTTAACATCTTTATCCTTTTGTATAAATCATATAGAAAAGGTCAAAAATAGACTTTCAATTGTTATTCGAAAGGTTAATTTCTTTCTTTTTTGTTATAAAGCTCTACTTAATCAAGAATTGACAATTTTATCCATTAATAAATAAATTATATATATTTATATGAAAACTGTACATTTTATAGAAATTACTCTCTAAATATCAACTTTTTCCCATTTAATATATCTTTACTAGTTAATGATGACAAAGTTTCAACTGTTTGATTATAAGTCGTTAATCACAATTCCTGTATCAATATTTAATTACATGCATAATTTAGGAAAATTTTTAAGATAACTTCTATGAAATACGACTAATTAACATAATACAGTTATAAAATAAAACAATTGCCTTTTTCTAGATATACAGTATATCTATGCTAATTAAACAATCAAAATTAATATCGTCTATTACTACAAATCATTGTTCTAATGATGGTTCCTATTATTTATAATTTGCATGACAATTTTGGTACAGTTGGCGATATTACAACCCTCTTTTATTTAAAGGAAATAGTTTGTCCGAAAAATGAGTTTCTTAGTACCAAATAAATTTCGTTAAGGGCTTGAGAGGAGAGGTTACTGATTGAAAGACTTCTAGGCAATTTTTAATTAAATTAATTAAAAAATTAACATAATAAATATAAGTTTTCGATTGTTTTTTTTAATATTCTTATATCATAAATAGTATAGTTTTCATAAGGTAATAAGGGGACTATAGAGGTAAAAGAAAAAAAGGAAGAATACTAATATAATTACTATTCACTAAATGCTCAATACTTGTTCGTATAAGAGATGAGAAGGATTATGAGAAAGATATGTATTTGTTACGAATGACGAGTTTTTAAACAGTAGAATGAGATTTGGTTGAAAAAAAAACTGTACGGTTCTTTTAAGAAACCACACTCGTCAAACATATTCCATATGCAAACCAAAGCCATCACTGATTAATCGCTATGCATAGAAGACAAATCCAGGCCGATGACTGTCGATCGGAAACGGTGAAATGAAACGAGGATCATTGCAAATGAGTATTTGAGCATCAACGCTAATCATATGTAGATAGGCGGCGTTATTCATGCATAATTCATTGGTCCAAGACGCTAGAGGTGTCATACGATCCGGTACAGTTGTATTGAAGCGATATGGATGCTAATACGAATGCAGCTTTGGATCCCTGGGAGAATGTACCAAGTGTTCAAGCTAGCATAACAAGGTCTTTATCCAACCTTTCCGGAAACTTACCAAGATCAGCCTCGCAAATTAAGAAATCTCCCTCAGTGCCATCAAGATCATCTTCAAAGATTGTTCATACCCAGGTTCGTCATATTTATTTTGATATTGAAAACAATCTTAACTTTTAACTGATAAGCAAAGAGAATATTTATAAGTGCATCTTGAACAATTAATGAATTAATTAATTGTTCCTTCTTCCTCTTTCATCAAGTTTAATTAGGAAATTTTTGCAATTCTTCGTAGGTATCTCTAGACGATGAAACAAATAGTATTAAAGTTGCATTGGCTGAGGAGGGAGGAACGGGCTGTCCTCCACCAATTGATGAGGAAGCCAAAGAAAAAGACAGCTACGTAGACGATGACGAAATAAAATTGCAAGAAAGTGGTGAATACGAATATATATATCAAGAAGAGCCAAATTGTTGCAAAAGAGGAGTGGCAACAGTTCAAAATGCGGCTCATTCATTTTGTCATAGGAATAAACGTATTATTAAATATATTGCATCCACTATTGTCATCATAGCATATGTCGTATATTTATTTTTTGCTCTATGGCATGATTTTCAATTGGCCCAACCTCTTGCCATTATTACTGCATTAATAGTAGGAGGAGCAATTTTCACAAGGATTTCGCGAAAATGGGGTGATCAAATTCATGGATTTCTTTGCCATCCAATTAAAGTATTGAACGAACACAAGAAATTGGTAATAGCATTTCGAGTGTAAGTAACTTTTCTAATTGGCGAAGAAATCGACAAGATAACCTTGTTTATATTAACAGAGCCGTCTACACCCTCCTTGTAATTGGAATCATATTGTTTCTGGTCATTGACGTGGGAGCAGACCGATTACGATTGACATCGGCCAGTGGCATGGTCTTTCTCGTTTTAATAGTCTATTTCACCTCCACTAATCCTGCTAAAGTAAATATATAACTCACTTGACAAAGTATGAAACATTTTTACTTATAGTTTGAATTTTTTCATAAACTTACAGGTAAACTGGAGACCTGTTGTATGGGGATTAGTACTGCAAATTATTCTGGGTTTTATCATTCTTCGTTGGGAAGATGGATATAAATTCTTCCAGCTGGCTGGTAATAAAACAGAGACGTTTCTGAGCTTTGCAGATAAAGGATCCGAATTCGTATTTGGTGCAAAAGGCATCAAGGATCATCCTATGGCTATGCAGGTCTTCCCGATTGTAATCTATTTCAGTGCCATAACGAATATTTTCTATTATTTGGGAATTATGCAATGGGTCGTCCGAAAAGTATCATGGTTAATGCAGTTTACCATGGGAACGACAGCTATAGAATCGTTGAATGCAGCTATGAATATATTCATTGGAATGGCCGAATCTTGCGTCGTACTTAGGCCTTTTATACCAAGGTTAACTCGATCTGAACTGCATGCTGTTATGACGGGGGGTTTTGCAACAGTTGCCGGCTCCTATATCGCTCTCTTGATAAAGGTAGGAGCCGAAGGTGTACATTTAATGTCCGCGGCTATTATGTCGGCTCCGGCCGCTTTAGCTATCGCAAAGCTAAGTTATCCGGAAACTGAGGAATCTCATACGAAAACTGAGGAAGACGTCTACTTGGAAAAGATGCCGGCTAAGAACTTTATGGAAGCTGCTTCAAACGGTGCCATATCTGCAATTAAAGTTGTTGCATCTGTTGCGGCAAATTTAATCGCCATAATAGGTTTGTTAACTTTCCTTGATTCTACATTGGCCTGGTTCGGAGCGAAGGTTGGCTATGAAGAGCTTAACTTTCAGATTCTTTGCTCCTACTTTTTCTATCCTTTGGCTATTATCATGGGAGTACCTATTGAGGATGCGCATAAGGTTGCAGGAGTTATTGGAAAGAAAGTTTTTGTAGATGAATTACTCTCCTTCCAAGAACTCGTAAAACTCATAGGAGACAAAGCTATATCGGTAAGCTTTACGATAGCTTTAATCAAGTTACTTTTAACGTTTCTTCAAATTGATTTCATTTATTTTTATATTTTCATTTCTTTTTATAGCATCGGGCATGTGTCATAGCTACGTATGCTTGTTGCGGCTTCGGTTCCATAGCCGCAATTGGCGTTTATATAGGCGCTATGGCTGCTGTAGCACCTTCTATGAAACCAATTATTGTTGAAATAGCCCCAAGAGCGATGATAAATGGAAATATTGCTGGCTTTATGACTGCGTGCATTGCTGGTGTTCTATACAAAGAAGATAACGTAAAATTTCAAACACCAGGAGAACCGTTCGACGTTATGGACTATATCGAAAAGCATGCATTAGTAGTCAAGTCACTAATTGAAGATTGGATATCAAATAATAATTACACATCTAATTCATTAATGTTTGAAAATATAACTTCTTCTACACAATCTATGATTACTTAAGCTTACATCGTAAAATCAAACAAAGTTTGTATATTAAAAAGCATAAAAGTAAATTATTGGGCATGCCCGCGTGCCTTTACTCAATTTTTATTTATATTCATTCAGCATTAGTGTTAACTGCATATTAAAACTTATTTGGGAATAATAGATAGCCTTTTCACTTATCTATACATATATATATATATATTACATAATATTTATATCTCTCTGCTTGCTCTCTAATTTACATATGCAAAAGTGTATGTCGTATTTTATTGGTAATTTGTATAATGTTTACGAAATTTAAACTACGTAGATATGATACTTTATGTCAATGTAAACTTATGTTATCTACAGTGTGGGATATAAGAAGTTTGTAGATAAATAAAGTTGAATGACTTTCAATTTGCTTAATTGGTGAAAGTTTTAACAAATATAGAATGAACATTAAATTAAAATTTAGCAGTTAGTTTTGATGTTATATTTCTGTGACTTGTAAATTCGTCTTTTACTTGGAAATGGAGCTGCTAGTCATGCATTCTGTGTCTATATTGATAATTATCTTGTAATATAAACTCAATATCAATATTGAAGTATTTTACACGATATATGACGATAGAATACAAATTTACAGTGCAAAAATATTCAAATATGATCACATGATAAAGAAAGTAAAAAGAGTATTTTCAATCCTTCCAGAAAATATCCAAGATAAAGAGTTTTACGAGTTCTTGGAAGGAGAATAATTCATCTACAAAAAATAAATTGATAATTTGTGAATTAAATAAAATAATTGATAATTTGTAAATCAACAAAATATAAATAAATAGTTGATATAAGTTAGCACTTCCCTCTTTTTTTTTGAATGATTATTTTCGTACGATTTGTTTAGTTTGAATAACAGTTGAGTTACATAATAAAATCTATTCAAAAAAATCTGTCATCAACATTGGTCGATAATTAATTATTCCAAAAAGAGAAATATAAGTAAAAGAACATTCGAAAATATCTGTTTTAACCATTTTTATCGTGACCTTGAACTTAAACCGTAGGCAATGGTAGACGTCCAACAAATTGTCGTTGCAACAGGCTTTTCAGCTCTAACTCATCCATTTGCGTATGCTAAAGTGCTAATACAGGTTCGGATTTTTCACTCTTTAGAAAAAGAATCTTGTTTTATTAGTTTTTCTACTGTAAACTTAAAATATAGTCTGTCGCGCATTCAGGACAAATTCCTTTCATTGATCCCTTCTATACTCTTAATGAATGCATAACTTTTCAGCTTGGATATGAACCTATCCCTCCGGTTAGATCTAGAAGTCTATTAGGAAAACCTGTATATTCCTACCCTAATATATTCCGATACAGTAAGTGTTCTTTCTTTTTTTGACGTTCCATACAAGTCATGCATCAAATATTTATTTGTATGTTATGAAGCTTCTCTCACACTATTTATAAGCATTCAATTTCTTATATTCTAAATATTGATAAGTACCACTTAATCTCGATTATCATTCTTTCAATCTCTTATCACAATTTGCAAGTCTAATTAGCAACTAAATAATTTTTCCATTTTCAGTGAAATATCTTGCACATGAAGAGGGTTTTCTTGGCTTATATAGGGGATTTTTACCAAGAGCTTCCTCAACTGTTCTTTCAAACATCATTACACAATGTATCAGCTCGACTCCCTGCTTCAAAAGGAATACTGATCGCCTAACTCTAGGAAAACATGAAACTAAGGCTCAAAATGACTCGTTTGTCATTCTGATCAAAGATGTAATTATATTTAAGTAAAAATCAATTAATAAAAGCTAACTTAAACTCTGTTGTAGACATCTAAAGAAATGGTTGCAAGATGCACAGGTGTTATAATCTCTTACCCCCTGCAAGGTATAATAATACTTTTTGAAACGCTGAAAACTCCTTTCATATGATAATCTTTACACTTTAGTGATAATGATTAGATCCATGGCACAGTTTGTTGGACAGGAAACTATATACAAGTACATAGAATTTATTAAACTAAAATTCCATAAAAATGAAAAGAAAAATAATTACCTTTGTTTCAAAATAGTTCCATTTTGAACGGATTTAATGAAATTTACAAAAATGAGGGTGTTGCTGGCTTCTTTGAGTATGCATATTTTACTTGCTATTCCGTATAGCTTTTTTATTTCTGAATACTTATTATAGGGGATTGCTTTCCCGTCTTGCGGGTGAAGTTGCAACATTATGGGCTTGTAATATTATTTCTCATCTTGCTGTTAAATATTTGATTTCTCAAACAGAGGTACGTGACAAATTAATAAATATTATTATCTCGATATCCAACAATGGGCGCATGAAATGTTTCTCTTAAAAATTACATTTAAAAAAAAAGACAATAGTGAATATCTTCTCTTAATCGATTCAATTCTTTACAATTCAGGACCCAGAAAAATTATCTATCTTGATATCACCAATCGCCAGTGTAAGTATAAAATTTTAATATTTTTCTCTATTAACAGGTTTCCTATAAAGAGTACATTAATCAAAATGTACATGATCGCGCTACTCGATTGTTACTTTTATACATCTCTTGGGATGTAATTGCTAGTCATTTATATTCAGAATTTGTAACAGTTAGTAAATGTAGTACAAGTAATAGGCAGAAAATTAACCGCGTGTATTTTTATTAACTATATTCTAAACAAAAGTTGTTTTTATTATAGGTTCTGGTCACGAATTGGACTTATCCCTTTATTTTAACAGCAAACATAATGGCAGTGAACAATTCCGGGTAAATTTAACAATTGTAATTCTTGCAGCGAAGTAAAATATTATAAACTTTGTTTCTTTAGCTTGGCTATTACCAAACCACCCTTTGGACAAAGTTACGACTCTTGGAAATCCTGTTGGCAACATTTGACCGAAATTGTAAGTTGATTGTAAAATAGCTCGATGCTAATGTTATCATACTTTCGTGGCTTTTAGAATCGATTGAAGAGAGGAGCTGGAATGATAATGAGAACATTTCCAAATCTTGTCTGAAAGTACGTTTTACAAAGTAATTCAACCTCGATTCGATCTTAGTTTGTTGTAGTTACTTGATACATTATCAGAATGATTTGATAAGTAACAAATCTTTCCTTGCAGTAAAATACAATTTTTTTGAGGACAATGAAATAGTGTTTGTCTAATATACTTTGGGTAAAAAGAATACGATATAATACTTTCTACGAAATGCTAATTGATTAATCAATCTAAATATATTTTAATTGAATAAAATAATTATTTTTAGTAACCCCTCTCAACTTGAACAACATCATCCATAGCCTTTTTTGAAGTGTACTGTTCAAACTTGTGGGCAAAATCATCCGCAACCTCATTGGCAAATGTCACGCCAGCAGTGTGATGAGTCACAAAGACATTCGGATAGTCGTAGAGTTTATTACTAGGGGGTAGTGGCTCCTCATTAAAAACGTCCAGTACTGCACCTTGTATCCATTTTTCACTATCAATCGATAACAATGATAAAGCATTAAAACAAGACAATAATTCTTTAAACAACTTACTCTAAAGCCTCGCATAAGCTCTCATCAGATATAATAGAACCTCTACCCATATTTAAAAATAAAGGCTGCTTCTTACAGACACTTAGTCTTTTTCCTGAGAGTAAGCCTCTTGTTTCTTCTGTTTGAGGCATTACGTTGCATATAAAATCGCAATTCGACAACACTTCATCCAAGTCGTTGGTATGCCTAGTAAAATTAAGCCTTTATGTTTATAATTATTTGAATTGTAGACATTGTTACCTATGATGATCAATGAAGTTACATTTCTCATGTGAAGATTTAGTTATAGCCCAAACAGTCATATCGAAAACTTTAGCTTTTCTTGCCACTAGAGAATTTGCTAATTTTATAAAATGATTTAAAAGACACTTGAAACAACTTACATTCCTTGCCAATAGATCCACAACCTAAAATAGCAATAGATTTTCCATAGAGGGAACAAAAGTTACGAAAGTCCTGCTTCCCCCTATTTTTGGAAAATACAATATGAATTTCAATTACATTTGATTACTTAGTATCAACCATTTATGATCAAGTTGATATTTTTTCATTGCGAAGAAGTTTCTATTTGAGGCAATCATATTTCCTATAGCCCACTCTGACATTTGTTGAGGATAAGAACCCACTGTTCTTGTTATTATTGGCTTAGGAGAGCAACAAAAATTAGATTGTAATAAGAAAATAAATTGTCTTCAAGTACTCGATTTTTCGTCCAATCGTATTTCAAGATACATTCCACTCCAGCCCATGGAGAATGAAACCATTTGAGATTTGGGCACTTGTCAAATAATTTAGATGAAAGAAGATATCTCGGTTCAGTTATTACTATTTCAGCTTTCTCAAGGTCACCTGATACAATTTCTTCTGTAAACAAAATTGGTTGTAACTAATGATCCTCATCAAGCAGAATATGATTTAAACAAACCATTCGTTCCGTAAGCTTTTAGTATTATTTTATCTCCTAGGAGCTTATTTATCTCCCTTTGCAAGTCTTTCAAAGTAGTAACAGCAACAACATAAACCTGCGACATTTTGCTGATAGTGAACAATTCATTAAACAATAGTTAAAAACAATTGGCTTGAGCGATAATATAAATTGGCGTGAAGTTTAAACAGATTCATCATAAGAGCAGAAAATGTTAAGATGAATATAAGTTAAATACGACATTCAAGAGTAATAACTACTTCAATTGTTGTAGCTTTCCTAACATTAGCACAACTTTAGAGATATCGTTAATGTCAAGTTTAATAAATTTGTTTAAGAAATTTTGTCGATTCTAAAGTTTTTGTGGAAACTGGTGAAAAACGCCACCTAATGCTTTAGAAAGAAACTACACCGTTCCTTCGGAAACATAATACTAAAGATTTAAATATCGACTCCACTAGCTATATATAATACTTGATCCAATAATACAAATAATAAATTATAACTAGTTTGTTTTAATTATTTTTCCCATTAATCTTTTGATTAAAACTTCGAGTCGTCAGAAGAATTTTTTAAATCTATTCCGAGTTTTGTTAAGTTTCTTAAATTCCCAAATCATATATCAATTTAATAATGATTGGCAGCAGGTACAGTTGGAAAATATATAATTATCAACTTAATAAATCATTTTTATTCATTAGCAGGCCTTCATCAGTATCCTCTGGTCTTTCTAGAAACGTCAAAGATGTATTTATTTTCTCTTTAAAATCATTTTATGCCTTTATTTATTGTAAATCTTTTAAGGTTCCCGATAATAGCCTTGAATTTCTTCCTTCAGAAGGTAAGAATGACTATACTAAGTATAATCTTTTAATTCGTTGTGCTTAGATGGTCGACCAGCTTTATCAAGAGAGTCGTCAACAGCCTCGATTGGCTCTCGTCCGCTGAGTTCAGGCACCAAAAAAACATTGACACCCGTTAAAAAAATCGATATGCAAGCAGTTAAGAGAAAACCCGAGCAAACATTTTTTAACACTATTCAGAATCCTATAGACATTCCTACATTGGTGAGGAAATCTTCAAATACATCAAATTCTGACAAACCTGAAGTTAATGCAAAGCAAGCTTGGGCTGAAGAATCTACACAAATATCTGATAAATCTAAGGAGAATAAAACTGATATTGGTTCAATGGGAAATGAGGATGAAGATAGCGAAGATACAGAAAGTAGCTCTGAAGAAGAGGAACAAGGAGCTCCAGAAGAATTGAAAATGGAGGTATATTTTCTTTAAGTAAAAGTTTTAAATAGTTTCAATAGTTAAAATCGAAACGTTCTTTTTAGTTCTTGACCTGTCTAATGTCAAAGGATTATGATAATGCTACGAAACTGTGCAAAATGAGTAAGTTATCATTCTAAACTTTTCAAATCTTTCAAAACTTTATCGTTTTCAGTTCTTATTTACGAACCAAATCATGAGGATGCTCTTGAATTTCAAAAATTGATTTTAGAAAAAATTGAACTGGGTAATTAGATCAATTATTTCTTTTTTAATTTCAATTAAATTGCTAGTATAATTCAGATGCTGAGGAGTTAGAGTCATCGGATAGTTGTGACAGTGACGAAGACACTAGCGGTAGTGATAGTGAAAGTAATAACAGTAGCGAGGGCGAAGAAGAAAAAGAGGAAAAGACCGACGAAAAAATAGTAAATTTTAACGAGAAAACTTTCATGACAGAAAACTTAAGTTAACTTGTTGAAGAATTTTATTAATTTTAATGATTGTATAAACTCTTTAATTTGTTTTCGTTTTTTCTATATTTTTTTCAGTAGCTTTTAAATCCAATCGAATTTAATTCTTTATGATTCAAATTCGAGTTATTCAGAATCATTCTGCCGTCCATGCCGATCTGTATTAAAGATATATTATTGTTTGTTCGTTTTAAAATAAATTACTGCCTAATAATAAGTAAATCAGTACCAACAGTGATTTCATGAGAATCATCACGGCGAGTGAAGGTAAATTCATCATAAAAATAAAAATAAAAAGAAAGACACAAGCACTTACATCGAGGATAAGAGTAGATGAAATTTTTTTTTTTAAATAGTCGTCCTTATTCTGTAAAAAATTTTAAGAATTTAAGAAGGAAGTCTACTTCATTGCTTATTAAATTAGGTTGGAGATTTATCAGTACCAACAGTGATTTCATTAAAATCATCACGGCGAGTGAAGGTAAATTCATCATAGTAATTTTTACAAATTTAAATGCAAGCGAACACCTACCTAACGAAGCTGAGTGTTCAAGCCAACATCTTTAATCTGTAAAGAAATGTACATTTGATAACTCTTGCAATTTTATCTTTAACTAGAAATCTTAGAAACTGAAGAAGTTCAGTACCTACATTGATTTCATTAAAATCATCACGGCGAGTGAAGGTAAATTCATCATAAAAATGAAAACGAAAGATTAAGGCAACAAGCACTTACTTTGAGAGTTTCAGAAGATATAATTCTTTTTTTTGAAGAAGTCGTCTTTGTTCTGTAAAAATTAAGAAATTTTAGAGGGATGACTATTTCAATTCATATTAAACTAAGTTGGAGATTAATCAGTACCAACAGTGATTTCATTAAAATCATCACGGCGAGTGAAGGTAAATTCATCATGGTATTTTTAACAAATTTAAATGCAAGCGAACACCTACCTAACCAAACTGAGTTTCCATTGCCTCTTCAACCCATCATCTTTAATCTGTAAAGAAATGTACATTTGATAACTCTTGTCATTTTATTTTGAACTAACAATCTTAGAAACTGAAGAAGTTCAGTACCTACATTGATTTCATTAAAATCATCACGGCGAGTGAAGGTAAATTCATCATAAAATATTACAATACTTTAAAAAAGAAATTTTGCTTTTCTTACTTTTCCCAGTCGTTGAATATTTCTATAACAAGAAATTTTTTTCGCGAGTTTCAGCCACGTGGTTCTAACTATCTTCGAAAGTAGTCTAAATTCAGAAACCACAAACTTTTCTGTTTCTTCATTTTAACAATGTTGAAATTGCTTTTCCTTCTTTAATTTTGACAGAGATATAAGCAGATAAAAGTTCTGACATGAGAACGAATATCGGAAGAGCCCAGTGGTGCCCGGAAGCTCAAATGCTATGAGAGCAGAAAAAATACGAAAGTAATACTTTCAAAATGGCGATTACATCTTTTAACTACTTTCTTATTATAAAATCATAATTTTACAGCCACAAACAATATAATAGTATATGTAAAAATCTTTTTATCCTTTACTTATTCCAAAAGTATGATTTCTTTGTGTGAAAATAAAAAACTTCGAAGAGAGAAAAGTTCATTTCAAATAAATTGCAACTAACGCATAATCTTACAGTGTCCATACTGGAATCGATTCGACAGCGAACGATATTTGAAGAACTTACGAAAGCGTCCAACAAATTAAAAATTTTAGTTGGTTTTTCAAGAGATCGCATCTAAAAAAAGCTATTTTTGAGTGAGAGATTTACTATATTTGGCCTATTTTGTGAGTAGATTTGCGGAAGCATTTTTTATAGTACAATAAGTTTGGTATAATGATGGTTAGTTTACGTAAAATGTAAATTGCCCTGACCGGCTTTTAAAAGCTGCTTTGATCTTTCTGTTACAATTATTTAGAGGTTATATTTTTTAAATATATTATATCACAAATAATTATTCAAGAATATTAGTTCATTATCTTTCAAGATATTTCTAATTTATATGTTAAGAAATATAGGTCTAAATGGGAATTTTAAAATAAGAATAGACTGTGATTAATTTAATATATTTAACACATGTACATTTAATAGATATATGTTTTATAATATAGATATAAGTTATCACATGTATGATAAGAAAGCGAATTGGATTACTAGAGGTATACAGCGGTTGTTTAAAAAGGACTAATTTTTTTCCATAATGATAAATTAAATGTTTATTATTCAAATCTGTTCAAAACTTTTTATAAATTGTAGAATGATATATTCTTTGGACAGAAAAAGCTTTCCTGATCAAAGCTGATATGATATTTTTCCGCTTACACAACCAGTCTAGACAATAAACTGGTGTTTTTTCTTGGCCGCCATCGCCAATATTTCGGTGTAGATGAAACAAAGTAAGATATTTATAGAGTTAATACGCATACAAGATCATTCCTGAAAATGTATATTATTATTTTTAAATTTTAATCTATAATTGTGCTTTTTTTTTAAAAAATGCATTGATTTTTAAGATTAATCTGCTAAATATATATTGAGTGAACGATAAAGAACTAAAATCCAGCCAGTCGTAGTTGATGTAGTTGTCCTTGACAACTTTAGCTTTTTTAAAAGTTGTGTAGTGGCTCACGACGATCAGATAATAAACATCTTGAGCTTTTATTTGGAATTATAGCTGTAAAACAGACTTTCTTTGGAATTTATTCATGAGTACTAAAAAGCGTACGTAACATGTCTATCAAATATTTTCTTGTATCTAAAAATTTTTACTAATGCAATTTAATCTTGGTATTTTATAATTTAGAGACGGCTTCCTTATTTAGAAAAATTTATACATAGCATAAAATGAAGAAACGATAATCACTCCTATTAATATTTTCCCTTGAGCTTACTACATTCACTCCAGTTTACTTATTAAATTCAAGTTGAAACTAATTGTTACATTTTTACTAACTTCACAAAGAATATTCAAAGAAATTGATTCTTGATAGAAAATGATAGTTTTTTTTTCACAGTTTTAAAGAATTCAATGGCGGCGAATAATTTCCCTCAAAATCAATTACGACCATACCCTCAGCCTGGATATCAAGTAAGATATTTGTTTTTTTTTTCCAATAGAATCTAATATTTCGAAAGCTATATATAATAACCAAAAATTCTAATCCAATAGAAATCTAATATATTGGTATTCGTTATCCATTAAGCTACCAAAAAAGTCATTTAATGCTAACTTCTATCTTTAATTTGATCAATTATGCGACAAATTTATCATTAATCTTTCTATTAATTTTTTTTTGTTTCTAATAATTATCCTATTATTTTCGAAATACCGCTACGAAATGAAAAATTCATTCTATTACTATTCTCGCTTATAATTGCTATTTTAACTTTTTTTTTACAATTTATAAGGAACATATAATAATGAATTGTATTTAAATTCTAATTACAGACTGGAAATTATGGAATGCAACAGAGGCCTATGTCTGGTAATTTTATGTCTGGACCTGGACAAGTTATGCCTGGCAGATCAATGTCTATGAACTATGGTGCAGGTAAAGATAAAAGTCTGTTATCTTTTTCGATTCGTAATTTTTATTTTTCTATAAGTTTAAAAAGTTATTTAAGATTTTTAAAACATACCGTATATAATGTATAAAAAAGAGCAAAGTGAAATCAGCATAGTGCGATTAATCATGGATTAGGGCGTCAATTTTATTTGTCAGGAAGCTGGTTGCGTGAATCAGAAGGATTACAAGGTATTAGCCTCTGGATTGAGGAACTGTATCCGCTGAGAACAATAGGCCTATTTTGATTAGTTACATCGATTATTGACGTATATTGTGCGAAAATAACCTTGTTTTTTTTTGTACAGCTCTCAGTCGTCCACCAACCGCAACCCCGAGCGCAATGCAACAGCAACAGCAACACAGCTTACGGAGAGGAACCTCAGCTCCGTCTCAAGATTCTAGGATTAAACAGTTTGTTTTATAATTTGTTTCAAAAGATAATTGAACTATATTTCTTTGAATATTTTGTTTAATAGAAAGAAAAAGAGGAAAATTGCTGATAAAGTTATTCCAGAGAAAATTAGAGAACTTGTTCCTGAATCGAACGCTTATATGGAGCTATTGGCTTTTGAAAGAAAGTTAGACGCGACGATTATGCGTAAACGTTTAGATATTCAAGAAGCTTTGAAACGGCCTCACAAAGTAAAAAGGAAACTAAGAATTTATATATCAAACACATTCACGCCCGCCAAGCCTGCTGAGCTTAATAACGGACAAGATGCGCCAGCATCCTGGGAATTACGAGTTGAAGGAAAACTTATTGATGAGCCGAGTGCGGAGGCAGCTAAGGCACCGAAGAGAAAGTTTTCTTCATTTTTCAAATCTCTTGTAATAGAACTAGATAAAGAATTGTATGGACCCGATAATCATCTTGTTGAGTGGCATCGTACGCCAACTACTCAGGAAACCGATGGATTCCAAGTTAAGAGACCAGGTGATCAGAATGTAAAGTGTATGGTTTTGTTGATGCTTGATTATCAACCTCCTCAATTTAAACTTGACTCTCGTCTGGCAAGGGTTTTGGGTGTTCACACAAATAGCCGCCCAGTCATTATAGAACATCTGTGGCAATATATAAAAACTCATAGACTTCAAGACGAGCACGAAAGGGAATATATCAATTTAGATGATTCATTGAAACATTGCTTTGAAGTTAGTAGGATGAAATTTGCCGAAGTACCCCAAAGGCTCCATTCGTTGCTTTCCCCACCTGATCCGATTGTTATATCCCATTTGATAACTGTTGAAGGACAAGAAACTAAGAAAACTTCATGTTATGACATAGAAGTTGAAGTGGTTGGTAGAATATATCATCCGTTTATATATTTTAAATTTTGATTTAGTAATTTATTCCTATTGTTCCTTTCCCGCAGGATGACTCAATTAAATCTCAAATGAACAACTTTCTTTTATCAACGACGAGCCAAAATGATTTAGCTCAATTGGATAATAAAATACATGAAACTGTTGAAACTATTAATCAATTAAAGGTAAAGATAAAAGAAATATAATAAAGACAATATGCATGAGTATATTTGATTTAATATCGATTTCCTTTTATTCTTATAGACCAGTCGGGAGTTCCTTCTTGGATTTAGTAAAGATCCGCAAGAATCCATAAATAATTGGCTAATAAGTCAAACGAAAGATTTGAAAGTAATAACCGATACGGTTGGAAATCCGGAAGAAGAGAGAAGAGCTGAATTTTATTATCAACCATGGTCACAAGAAGCCGTTTGTCGCTATTTTTATAATAAGGTAACATTATATTACTGTTTAAATAATTGAATATTTAACTAATTTTCATTTTAATAGATACAACAAAAAAGAGCTGAATTGGAACAAGCTCTAGGAATACGATCTTCAAATCAATAGATATTAGCTATTAATAATGTCGTATATACTTATTTTCAAAATTAGATAATTCGATTTTCTATTTGTACAGTATCACCAGCATTCGTGTTCCTATGTCTATAAAATAAACGTAGTTTTATTATTATTATATATTTTTTTGCAATTATTTATAATATTGTTACTTTTTATCAGCCCTAAAACAGAAACCTGTGCAATTGAATGTGAAAAAGCATAAGATCATATAATGAATATTATCATCATCTGTTTGTAATTTGAATAAAAACCCTTAAGACTTCAGTTTACCAATGACTTAGCAATACTACTGAACATTAAGTAATACAGTATTGTTTATAATAGGAATGTTTGCTTTTTTATTTTTTCAAGTAGATTTATTTTTTGGAATTCTTCCCATTGTAAAAAATTCATCATTCGGTTTCATATCTAATAAATGAGCCATTCTATTTGACAATGCAAAAAATGATGCTATTGAACCAATATCCCATGCATCTTCTTTATCGAATCCTATCTTCTCCAATTCCTCAAATTGATTGTGTTCAAGAGGCTTACCGGACGCAACAGCCATAGCAAAGTCTAGTATTATCTTTTCCCTTTCAGTTATATCTGCACTTTTGTAATTTATAGCCACTTGATCAGCTACAAAAGGTCGTTTGGAATATATTCTGTGTACAGCTCCATGGGCAACTATACAATATAAGCAATGATTTAATGAGCTGGTAGCAACAATAATTAACTCTTTTTCATCATTAGTAAGTTTTGAATTTGGATCGTTCATAACAGCATCGTAATAGGCAAAGAACGCTCTATACTCCTTAGGACGATGAGAAAACGCTTTAAAAACATTCGGCAAAAATCCTGTCTATAAAATTTATCAATTAGCGGTTTTATTGTGGACATTAACAATCTGATGGATCACTTTTTGTTCTACTTCGTTCATTTGCTGTTGAATGTCATCATCTAACGTCGAACGCTGGGGAATCGGATATCGAGAAAAGAGCCTAGGCGAAACTACACTTAGTCTATTAAATATCTATAAAAAAGATACAAAAACTTATCGTTTATCTTATTATAGAACGAATATAGGAAATAGTTATATATCAATTCTATCACCTGACGTTTGAATATTGATCTAATCATGTTAAGCTGGTGGAGAATAGTAGAAGGTATATTTGAAAGGTTGTAGGGGAATTTAACCTTCTATATCAAGCTGTTGATATTTTTAATGGCGTAGACCATGAAACCAGTCTTAAAAATACTTTTTATATACAATTCTATAAGGACTACCCATAATTTTTTTAAAAAAACAGGCCTATTAGATTGTGATACGACTTTATACTTTATAAACACATGTTGTTTAATTTATTAAATAATTATTCTCTATTATTGAACGTTGACATATATTTACAAGTCTGCTCATAAACAAAAAACATTAAGGATGATGTTAACATTGCTTTTATTACACTTGGTGTGAAGCCTTTATAGAATCCTCTATAGCCTTCTGACTTTGCTATATCAATTATACATTTTCTCATATTGACGTGATTTTTGGTAATTCCTAAACCAATCCTTGCTTTACCAAAACCAACAACTTGAAGACGCTTCTTTACAACATCTGATGGATATGTTAGTGTTTTCGCTGTAAGTCCAGATAATAAGCCAACCAATGGAAGAAATTTCGAATCAAGTTGTTTTGCGTTAGGAGATAGAGCCTTTTTAGCAATTTGAGAAAATTTTGTATAGGAGAAAAATTGCAATCCAGAATATGGTGCAATTTGTAATAGAGTTGGTGATAAACCTTTATATAAAGATCTCCAGCCTTCCACTTCTAGGATTGTTTTCGTAGCTGTTAACATATTAGTATAAGCCTATTTGTAGAAAAAAGGAATATTTGATTATTGTAATTTTAAAAAGAATAATAAACTTCTTACAGATTTACTTTTTTGAGCAATGAATCTAGTTCTTAGTAAATCAAACGGATATGAGCATATAGTTGCTGTACATCCTGATAGTGCTCCGCAAAAGAAATGGGTAGAAGATCGCCATTCTTCAGATGACTTTGGTATAATAGTTGCCAAGGATTTAGTATATAGTTCAAAAGATCCAAACTGACCAATTCCGTATATTACTGATAGAATTTGAGCAGGATTATGACCATTCCAAAGTGCAAATATCCCTTCTTCTTTAAATATAGTCCTCGACGTATGAAACAATCCACGATATTTCGATGTCTGAGCTGACTTGCTTATTTCCTCAACTTGAACCTGTTGACAAATATTTGTTTACGGCTTATTCATTGAGCTTAGCTCTATCTCTTTACCTGCATACGTATTTTAAGAACATCTAGTGGTTGTAGTACTGCCCTACAAACGACTCCACTAATAGCACCAGCAGCCGCCTTCTGAGACTGACGAATTGGCTTGGAATCTTTCGGATCGTAACCAACCATGGAGTTTTGGTTGATTCTTTATAATTGAAGTTTAATAACTGACTATCCTGCCTCATAAGCTATCTAATTAAACGAGTTCACTGAAAAAATGTTCAAATATTACATTTTATTTGATACATTTAAATCGTAAAAGTATCGTAAAAAGTATTATTGAATTGTGTATATTTAAGAAAACTTTTGTACTTGCTTTTGCTTTATCTTAATGATGAAAATTAATAAATGTTAATTTTTAATAAAAGTCTATCGTCAAACTATTGATATCAAATAAATTATACAGTTATAACAAAAAGGAAGCATATTAAACGAAACGAAAGTTTAGTGTAAAAATGGGCAGAATATTCATAGGCAGAGGATTACGGATATTTTTATTAAAAAGAGAATAGAGTATATGTATATATAAAATTCGTACTTTCTATTTCTATGTACTGTATGATAAATCTCTATATGACCAAGTCATTTTGGACTAATCCACATCTTTCAAAAACTATGGCAGATTTTTTTGGGGACTTACTAAAATTCTAAAAACGGTCATCGCTAAGTAACAGAATCAACTTAGGACCGGTTTAGTTTTGAAAAACATTCAGTCTCGAAGTAACTCAGCCCATTATTACTATCTTGACTGATGTCTACCTTAGAAACAGAGGACAGCTACTTTAATCTTCTATCCTTCGATCTGTATGCTACCATACAAGCTACTTTGCAGGTATTAGAGAATATTATTTTTCCTTTTCTTTTATAAAGAAAATTTTACTTTCAATGAGTACTGTTAATTATCGGTCAGGCTCCCAGCTACCATATATACTTCGAAGCTCTACTAATATTTTGGATCCTAAAACTTTTATTCTTTACTAAAAGTTATAAGCCTAAGAGGCACTTAACAGAAACAGTAAGTGGTACATTGTTGTTAGACTGGATTGTAAAGGGATGAGTCATTTTTTATCAGGAAAAAGAAGATCTAATAAAAGAGTGGGAACCTGAGCCTCTTGTACCTAGTTATCCAGAAGACGATCCGATAATAAACGGTTTTGAAAATTGTGTTGTTCAGAGGTTTGTTCGAAATTGTATAAGAACTCATTGTCTTATGTTGATTAATCTCTATCAAACAGCAAAATAGGAAAATTAGTTACCGTAAATGGAATAGAATGCATAAACCTTGCCTCCTTTAATTTCCTCGGAATTGTAGGCAGAAAAGATATAGAGGTATTATTGAAAAAATTTCAAAAAGCATTCTGAATCTGACCTTATTTTTACCATAGCAAGAGGCAATTAATACAATATCGAAATATGGTGTCGGCTCTTGTGGACCTAGAGGGTTTTATGGAACAGTTGGTTAGTAATTAAGAATGATGTAAATATGCAAGAGTTTATTGTAATTTTTCTTTTAGATGTTCACTTAAATCTTGAAGAAGAACTGCAAAGATTTATGGGAGTCGAAGAAGCTATTTTATATTCTTATGGCTTTTCAACTATTGCCAGTGCTATTCCAGCATATTCCAAAAGAGGAGATGTTATCTTTGCGTTGGTTTCGAATACTAATATTTGAAATATGTCTAACATCTTTTAATTTCTTTCTAAAGTGACGATGGCGTTAGCTTTTCTCTCCAAAAAGGTATTCAAGCCAGTAGAAGTAAAGTCTATTGGTTCAAACATAACGACTTAGAACATCTAAAAACCCTTTTGGAATTGCAAGCAGCAGTTGATATAAAAGTTTGTTTTCATGAGTAAATAATTGGGAATTTACTTTTAAATATATATTTTTTTCTAATAAATAGGAACCAAAAAAGGCTAAAGTTACGAGACGATTTCTGGTATGCGAAGGAGTATATTTGAATTTTGGTGATATTTGTCCTCTTCCCAAAATGGTCGAATTAAAGCATAAATATAAATTTCGAATTTTTATGGATGAAAGCGTCTCATTTGGAACTTTGGGTAAGACTGGCCGTGGTGTTACTGAACATTATGGAGTACCTGTTAGTATTATGCAATAAATTTAAATATTTCACAAAAAGTATGATGACTGATTTATCTTTTTGCTATTGAACTAGATAAGTGAAGTCGATCTACTTTGCGCTTCATTAGAAAACTCGCTTGGTTCTATTGGAGGATTTGCTTGTGGACGGAGCTACGTTGTTGATCATCAGGTATACGTGCATAGGTTATATTAGTCAAACTATCTTAAAAATGTCCCATTTTTAGAGGCTATCGGGTCAAGGTTATTGTTTCTCGGCTTCCCAACCACCTTTTATGGCTCAAGCTGCTATTAAAGCTTTAAACATTATTGAGACAGATAACCGTAAGATATTCAAATTTACTGTTTTTGTTTTCTGTAATTGACCTGGAATCGTTTCTCTTATATTAGAACTTATCTCCAATTTGCAAAAGAATTGCAAGTATATGCATAGTACTCTCAAGAAGTAAGCAAATCTTTCACAATTCAATTCATCTTATTAATCATTTTCTTTTAAATTTAGGATTAAAAAGATAAAATTAGTAGGCGAACCATTCTCGGCTGTGCAGCATCTGCAAATAAGCTGTGAATTGACTAGACAGGAGAAAGACATAGCACTGGGAGAAATTGCTAAAAGGTGTAGAGAACAAGGCGTTGCTGTAACCAAATCAGCATATTTAGACGAACAAGAAAAGACGCTACCCCCGCCAAGGTAAGTCTTTTATGGCATTTTTAGTAATATTTCTCATTAAAAAATTCATATTTTCAGTATCAGAATTGCTGTGTCAAATTTGCTATCAACTGATGATATCGATACAGCTGTTTCAAAGTTGGACACTATAATTCAAGATTGTTTAAGCTTCTGTTGAAATTCACTCATTTTCAATATTTTGACACATTTAATTACAGTAAACATTTTTCTAAACAAATTCTATGTTTGTTGCTCATTAATCTTATCGTTTTATCTACAATAAAAATAATGAACTAACACTAATACTCATTATTTCAATATAAGATAGGCCGATAAGAGATTTAAAATATTTATTAATAACAAACCATTTCAAAGTGGAAAGATAATAAAGGTATCAAGAATTGCATAAAGGAGTATCGTTAAAATTTGTGCATCAATCAATGTGATAATAAGCATTAAACCATAATTTGCCAGATTTTCTTAAACTACGAATTATGTCGGCAAATGCTGTTCCCAATTTTTTCTCGACGTATGTCACGTTGTGCTTCTTACAAAGATCTTTAACATACGGTGCCACCTAAGACAATAATTTGATTATTAGGGGTAGCAACCCTGATTTCTCCTTACCTTTGGATAATTATGTCGTGGCATTGTTGGGAAGAGGTGGTGCTCAATTTGGAAGTTTAAATGACCACTGAACCAATTATTAAATAATCCAGGTTCTACATTACATGTTGAAATCAACTGGGAAGTTACCCAATCATTATTATGATCTTTACCAATTTCCATAGGAAGATGATTCATTTGAGTAACAAAGACAAACCAGTGAGATTCTAACCATCTGTTATTTTTTTAAAAAGTTGGTTGGTGTTTTGATAAACATAAATATCATTCAACTATAGTTACTCACCTGACAAACATATAGAATTTAAAAGTTGCCCAACCTCCTGCTAATATACTGTTCCCTAGATAAAAGAATTTAAGGAAGAAGGTAGACATCCATAGAACGTCGTACCAATCTCTTCTCATTAAAACAAAATATATATTTTCTAGATGAAAGTAGCCCGGTAAAAGAAACCATGGACCGAGAATCCAGAAGTAATTATGTTGATGATTATATGGGGCTTTGCCTCTTTTCTGACTACCCCATTCTCTTGGTAGATGATCACCTAGAAGGAATACTTGCGGTAGAGTTATATCCGGATCTTTTTTATGGATATTTGGTTTAACGTGATGTTGAAAGTGCCTAAAATTCCACCAATGAGATGAAGCTCCTTTCAAATGACCAATTGTAATTTGATGAAAGAGATGATTTAATTTGAAATTATTAAAGACACTTAAATGTCCATAATCGTGTTGAGTCCATCCAGCTTGAGCTTGTGCAGTCGCTAAAAGTCCTGCTGAAACCAACCATACGGGCCAACAATCTCCGAATTGCCAAAGGAGATACCAAGCTACACATTCTATACCAATTATGTGAAGAAAATGTAATAAGTAGAATATTGGTTGAACTTTAAACAACTCCATATTTTTAAACTTTTCTCTTAACTGCCCAAAATCTTCTGTAAGTTGATTCTAAAAATAGATTAAAAAATATCCTGTTAAAAGTACAGTTTATTACATATTAGACGGTATATAAATCTGATATCCGCAGTTTATACTAGGGCTATAAGTTCAATAAAATACACGTATAAACTCGTTTACTTTGATTGTTTAATATTAAGAATAGAATATTCTCCTATTCATTATCTATTCAGTGGAAGTGATAAGAAAGTTTGATGAATGAATTCTTTTTTCAAGGAGTGTGATAATAGAGATTTTCCTAATTCAGCATTTTTCTTAATAGTGTTCTTTAGTTAAAAAAAACTTACTGTTTTTGCATTTTTGATTCGACCAACTAACAGAGGATTCATATACTTTTGTATAAGCTTGAGATCGTTATGCATACTACGCCAAGCTTCCTGATTAAAATATGAACACGTTTATTAATGGTAGTTATTCAATAGAATATATAGAAAATTATTAATAGCTTACTGTGGCGTCTTGGCCATGGAAATGGGCGATTATTTTAGCTCCGCCAGGATGTTTCCTTTGCCAATTTTTTACATTGTAAATTTTATTTTCTACTACGATCCACTTCTCACCGCTCTTCACTCGTTGTTCTACTTCCTCCCACGTATACATGTTCGAATCTTCAACCATTCTTTTGGGTTATACTTTGCTATATCCGTAGCTAGGTAACCACCCTCTCATTCGACCGATCCTCTGTGTATGAACAAAACTGGTAGTGGCTTGAAAATTTTTATCCAATCAGAGATTATTCTTTAAAGCCGGCCTATTCACCCGCAATTTACGGTTGCAATCACCTATTTGTGGTGCCATCTATTGGTGTTCTAAACTATATAATATAGTATATATATATAATATATATACGTCTTCGTTTATTTTTAACGACAAAACAGTCAAAATTAAATCACAAAAACAGAGTTTTATCTGCACAAAATCTGAAAATATGCAGTATGTGGAGAAAAAAACTAATAGAATTTATTGTACAGTAATAAGTACCGTACGTGTATGTAACTCTTATATAAATAATAGTCTAACATTAAACCCAAACATTCACGCTCCGTAAGGATTTGTAAACCCGTTTCGAACTGTGATCCATCGAACTACTAACCATGCCATAAAAAATGGCTGCCTTTCAAATTCTAATCTCTATTAGTTTCAGAGCTGGAGGTGCTTTTAGTTTCTGCTGACTGACTCCTATAATATCATTTCTGACAGACAGGCCTCGCGGATATGAGATTTCATCTTCCAAACAAATCATACTTTCCAACAATTTGTTTCCAGTTAAAGATAACAAATAAATTTTATCTCCAAGCCAATCTGCAACAACCAGTTGCTTCTTATTTCTAAATGCAATACCTTTTGGAACTTTAAATTGGCTTTTCCCAATAGAACCAAGATAAGTTCCGGTACCCGTATCGAATGTTTGGATACATTTCGTCATAGAATCAGTCACAAAAATTACATCGTTTGAGACTGCCAAATATTCAGGTCTTTGCATTGATTTTGTGGAGAATGACGATACGAAATTGCCACCATCATCTAAAACAATTATAGCATTCTGCTCTGAATCAGCGACATATATTCTGTCGGCACACTTTGATACACCCAGAGGCCATGAGAAATTGTAATCCGACCACTGTTTCAAATGTGACATTTCAAGGTCACACTTAAAAATAGATCGAGAATGATGATCGGATGCCAAAACTGTATTCGCATCTAGAGGTTCTATACCAAAGGGAAGAATTTTGCCACTGAAGAAACATTTCGGTCTTACAGATGATGGATTAAAGAGCTTAATTGATGAATGAGGCCAGAGGCCATCGGTTACCAATAATTCTCCTTTCTCCGTAAAAGCTAAGGTCAAGGTAATTTGTCAGAACTTCTTTGAAACGAAATGATAAAATTTCGAATACTAACTGACATCGTGGGGCTGGCGTAGAGAAGGTGTATAATTCCTCCTATTTTCAAGGGACCAAACAATCAAGCTTTGTGCTCTATTCAGCAGAACCATTTTTTTTTTATCGCTTCCTTTTTCGTCTTGTGCTCGTCTTTTTTCAGGTGCACCTGGAACGAATTCGGGGTTATGGTCGGTTGTCATCTGAAATTTCCATGTCACAACAAATTACATGGGTTAACAAGACAATTTCTGAAGGTTTTAAATAAGCAGCACAGATCATTAGCACTTTCAAGGTCCAAACAGAAATGTTCACTCATGAAATGTAGATCTTAGATAGATGAGATTTTATATAGCTGGATCACACTCACTAGCTTTCAATATAAAAATTTAAATATCCCGAACTATAAAACTGATTCATCAGCAGTTTTTTTTTTATAAGCGAAATTGTATGATGAAAATAGAATAAACATAAACAATACAATGCTCTATATTTTTTTATTCCACGAATCATTCTCAAATTGTTTGTTAATAAGGCTCAATATACATACCAGATAACTATAGTAATATATTAGTATTTCTAAAAGAGTTTAAAAGCTAATATTTTATGAGGAGGGCGTAAATTGAAAGTAAGAATATTAAGTAGAGAAATTTAATAATTCTTTTGATTATAGGAAAAAATCAATAAAAATGGCAGAGGAATGCTTAGATAAAATTATAAATACCTTTATAGGATTTAATTTAATTCATATGCTTTTTATGTATCAAAAACTAGTATTATTTATCAGCTGCTAAACATCGCCATCTTAAATATTCGCCGTCACTGATGACTTCCTGTCACGTGACAACATTTTTATGTTGTCTTAGCAACGAAACAAACTAGTCAACTCCAATCGGCTGGCAAATCGGTTATTGACAATATAATAGCTATTCAAGCCTCTTCCACATTAAATTGAAAGAATGTCTGCCACAGCCAATCCTAAATCTATGCGACGACCAAAATCTTGGGACGAAACCGTAGAAGAAGCATATAGGTTTCAACTGGCTGGTTACAGAGACGAAAGAGATTATCTACAAATCAACGGATTGGAAGAAAATCCTGATAGGTGGGAACATAATGGCTGGATAAAGAAGCTTAAGAGAAGAGACGGTTTTTTTTATTATTTTAACAAAACCAGAGAATGTTCTGATAAAGATGTTCATAGAACCAAGATATATCTTTATTAAATGTTATCTAATCTTATATTAAATATTACTATGTAAATCAAGACAATAACGTGTAAATAGTATGATGAACAAACGTTAAAGAAAGAAAGAAAGAAAAAAAGAATGGAAAAAGAACAAAAACCTAGAAAGTTCTCTGAAAATATGCCTATTGTGTGCTTTATATTTTGCCCTCGCATAAAGTTTATAAAGTTTGAACAGAAGTAGATAAACCTTATTGTACTGTTTACTAAACAGATCGTTTACTTTTCTTGTATTTATAATAATTTTAATAATACTCATTAATAATTTAAAGGTGTTATTTTACAAGATGGCGATATTTTCTTTAAATTTGCAACTGTTTTATTTAATCGATAGCTAAATTTCTCCTTTTTCGATCTTTCTTCAATCACTCGAAGAATGCATGATTTTAATAGTTGAGGAAGTTTCGCCGGGTTTTCTTCAAACACCAATAATTGTCTAAATAAAGATAATATTCTTAAATGCTCTTTTGGGCTTGTCTCTGCGGTGTATTCTTCTAATTCCATCCTCTCTTTAGGGGGTATTTCATATTCTATAGATAATCCTGTCGCTAATAGAGCATTATCTTTGCTAAATCCAATACCATTCATTTTTCTTTCTCCCATATCTTTCTTATTCAAATCTTTAATAGATCGTTTTAATTCTACTATTAAACATTCAGAATTAATAATTGTTCCTGGATTTTCTTCATTAATCAACTTCTTTTCTGATTTTCGTTTAAAAAAGAACATTCGTGTAACTTGAATAAATTTTTTAATAATTTCTTTTAAAAGAAAAGTCAAACAAATTTCTCCTCTATTGATGATTGTTGAATGAAAAAACGAATCGAATTGACAACAAATGCTTTTATTACCTCAATAGAAATTTACGGAGAAACCTTTTATACACGATATTTTTCAATGAAAACAAACGGTAAATATCAATTTTCATTCAAGTTAAATTCGATTTTTCCACCTATGTTGATGTTTTTAGGGTGCAGCGTGTCAATTAGTCATTATAATATCTTTATATCTACTACTTAGCTTGATTTAGGCTTATGTTATTTTATTTGAAAAGTACTGAATAAAATGCATTTGCTTACTATTTAAATAAAGTTAGTAAACAAATGGAGCTGTGAGAAAATTATTATTGACGGCCATTTTCGAATATTCTCTTGCTTTTGCTTTGAAAGACTAGAAAAGGGGTTATGAATTCCCCTCTTATTTAGTCAAGATAAAATTTGTTCCAGATACAGAATCGTTATTCTAATTAATGAAAAGAAATATGAATAAAGCATTTATTATTTAGTTCTTGTTGTCAATTTTTTAGGCATATATATTTCTAATTCTTAAATAATTTCAATAGAATTTTAAATATTCCTTCGGAAGCGGAAAGGGATGACTTGACGCGCATGCGTATGCAATATTGTTATTATATTTCTCAATATACCAAATTTGTTGCATTTAAGAATTGAAAGAGGAAAGTCAGCGAAAGAAAATGGGTGATCACGAGAAAAAGGCGCAAGATTTAATGGCGCAAGCCGAAAAGAAGACGAAATCTGGAGGTATTTTCGGGATGTTTGGGTAAATATCTCATTTGATATTTATAATATCCTTAGTGTATTGATTAGAATATAGTATGAAATGAAAAAAAATTATTTTAACTATAATAAACTTATATAGATAAATTTAAAGTTACAGTAAAATAAATCTAAATATGATATTCAATAACTTTATTCTATTTAATAAAGTAAAAGTTAATTATTTCGATAAATCAAAGGGGTTCTTCCAAGTCCGAAGAAGCTGCTGAATTATATGATAGAGCTGCAAACTCGTTTAAAATGGCTAAAAACTGGAATGGTAAATAATAATTTAATATTAAATATTAACACTTTGGAAGAGATTTTTTTAAACGTTTACTCCATTAGGAGCGGGAAAAGCCTTCTCTCAATCGGCTCAGATTTACTTAAAATTGAATAGTAAACACGAAGCAGCATCCCACTACGTCGATGCTGGAAACGCTTACAAAAAGTGTGACGTTAATGGTTAGTTAATTGTTTTAATGTAACACTTAGCGATATTTAGCTTTTACCTACTATTCTTCTCCATCAATAGAGGCAGTTTCTTGTATAACGAAAGCCATTGAAATATACACTGATATGGGTAAATTTACTATCGCGGCTAAACATCACATAACCATCGCTGAAATCTTTGAAAATGATATGATTGATATTGAAAAAGCAATTACTCATTATGAACAAGCTGCAGACTATTACAAAGGAGAAGAATCAAACAGTTCGGCCAACAAATGCTTATTAAAGGTTGCGCAATATGCCGCTCAAATGGAACAATACGAAAAGGCAATTGACATTTACGAAACAGTAAGTTTTTTCATAATTTCTAATGTAAGAAAACAATTCTCCCTATCTACATTTTGTGATAAAAAGATAGGAAAGAAAAGTCTAAACACAAAATTAACGTCATACGGAGCACCAGAATATTTCTTTCGAGCGTTACTGATTAGGCTAATACAAGATCATATTGATACTGAAATAGCTATGGAAAAGTATCAGAAGATCTATCTGATACTTTCCAGTACAAAAGAGTTTAAATTTATAAAGGTAGATAGTAAAAGCTTTCGCAAACTATAATTGGCGCTTCTTTAAATCCTAATTGCGATATTTCCTTTAACAAAGATTTAATAATTTTGGCTTTTATAATATTTTCTTTCTCTATTTCTCTTTTTCCTATTGCCGTCCTCTTTAGATTGCTCAAGCTGTGTTAGGAAATCAGCTTCTAAAATACAGCGCAGCAGATCATTTATTCAAAGCAGCTCTATGTAGATTAGCCATGGATAAAGATGTTACCGATGCAAATACTGCTCTTGAAAAGTACGAAAAGATGATGCCATCATTCGCTGACAAAAGGGAAGCTAAACTTTTGAAGGTTTGCTTAATAATCTATGCTTATCTTTAATTTTCGCCCTATTGCTAAAAAACAAATCAGTGGACTTTCACTGAGAAATGTTAAAGTATACATTTATACTAATAAATCTTTTCAAATAGAAACTGATTGAAGCTATTGAAGATAGCAATCCCGATAATTTTGCGGATGCTGTTAAGGAATACGATAGTATTTCTCGTCTGGATCAATGGTATACTGCAATTTTGTTGAAGATTAAGAAAGGAATCGAAGGAGACGCCGACTTAAGATAAATTATCTTCTTATTTTCATTCCGAGTGAAATAACTTAATCCAATCTATTTTGTCTCAAAAAAAAGTCAAATCTTCTACATAATATATTAGTTTAAGATTAAATTCTAGATTTAAGCAAGATATAAATCTGGTCATTTTGTTAATGTATCATTTTCCTTTTTCCGCCTTCTCTCATTAGAAATTTGATGATTATCATCATTTCTAGGCTAGATATTATTCAAATTAGTTGCCTCCTCTCCGCAGAGCAGTTAAAAAAAGTCTAGTCAACAAAAGAATCTAACATTCCTTCTAATCATTCAATTTTGTAGAAGTAGGACAGTACTGTGATATAAATTTACAGTCATTTTTTTTTAATGCTTTAAACTTAAATTAAAGTTAGTATACTTGTTTTCAAGTTTAATATAAATGACTAAATACGATGTAGAATTTACAATTTGATGTTAAATCTATGTAATACATACCATTCTGTTCATTTCTTCTATTTATTTCAATTGCGGATGATTAATAGATGGATGATAATATGTAGTGTAAATTGATTTGACAATTTGTTAATATTAATAATAAACGTGTATGTTAAACGTCTTTGCACCATCTTCAATATGTAATTTGAAGAGTGCACAACTTTTCCTTTAACAGAGAAAAGATTATTAAAATGCGAAATACAGTCTATCATTGCATTTTGCTTCAAAATGTACGTGTTTTTCAAGTTATCACTATTAAATTGATGATAAAATCAGATGATAATGATATAGCTGTCGAACTCAATTTCTGATTCATAAAACAGTGAACTCTTCAATTAGCTTATACTTTTTTGTTAAAAGGACAACATTAGACTTGCACGTTTCTACACCGACATATAATATTGAACCACGTTGGAAGATATTGCATAAACTATTATTTTCGCGCCAATTCAATTTCCTTAACGGATTAGACTGGATTCGTAGTACATTTATTTTTAAACAATAAAGGTTGTTTTTTTTTCAAGATAGACAGTCTAAATTATTTTCAAGACAATTTTTAATAATCTAAACAAAAATACAAAAAAAAATCTTTAATTAATCTAAAATTTTAATCTCTCTATCATCTTCTGCAGAAATTTATGTTTCTTTCAACGTCGATCGAATCAGCAACGAAAATGAAATCTATATAAAGTTATCTAAAGAATTGCTAAGATATTCTCTTAATTGCCATTGATAGGGTTCATTTTTCACTAGGTTCACAATCATTCATAGGACCACAATTTAAAGAAAACGCTTTAGCAATATTTTCTAAAATTAGGACTATTATACATAAACCTTAGTATTCTTTCTCTTTTCCGAAATAACATACCTATGCAGGGTATTTTTACTGGGACAATTAATCAGTATTATATAATTTGCCACGTTGAAAGGAGTACCGTCGACAACCTTTTCAGTATATTCTGATAGAGAAAAAAACCCGTAAACTCTCTGAGTCATTGGGTAAGAAATTTTTTTTTCAATTCTGTGAACATGAATGAACATAAAATAAAGATACAATTTGTACAAAAACACAAAATAAACGTATATGATATTTCATTCAATCAAGAAATATCATTCCTTAAATCAATGTATTTATAGTAAATTTGTAAACTATTAAAATCGTCTATTTACTGTTCAGTTGCATTCATTCCTCTTTATGAGATCTGCCATCTGCAGGAAACTCTCGCTAATTCCTTCTCCTGTCTTTACGCTACAGGCTTGAATGTACCACTGTTTAGAAATTTCACTCAATTGAAGTTTGTCACGTATAGTTTCAGGACTTAATGCATCTGAAAAATGAATGTTATTTAAATAAATACAATTCAAATATGTTCATAAATGACCACTCACTAGGCAAATCTTGTTTGTTGGCCATAACAACGACAGGGACATGCCTCATATTATCATCTTGCACTATGGAATGCAAAAATTCTCTGGCTTCATCCATTCTTTCAACATCGCTTGAGTCAACGACGAAGACTAAGCCTGTTTAAATGGCAATTTATTTACAAAGTTTAAAAGAAGAGAATAGTTTGTACAAACCGCTTGCATCGTGATAGTAATGATAAAACAATGCTCGCATTTTACATCCACCGCCAACATCCCAAACCGTAAAGTTTAAACCTCTGGTAGGTTGAACAGTTTCTACATTGAATCCCACGGTTGGAATAGTGCAAACATTCTCTTTTAATTTAACTTTATAAAGAATTGAAGTTTTTCCAGCATTATCCAATCCCAAAAGTAAAATTCGACATGGTTTTGATTCATTTACAAAGCTGTAAGCAGTATATAAAGTATCAGCGATCTTTGACAAAAGTATACCCATTTTATCCAACTATCCAGATTCTCTACAAACATTTGAAAAATGAACCAAATCTCCTTTTATATTCTTTCAGAGAAAGGTTGCACAAATATTTATGTTGTTTATTCTAATAACATACTGTATGATAAAAAACCCTCCACGTCATCAAACAGCTTTAGGCAGTTTCAGGAAGCAAAATATGTAAATTAATCATAAACTGCGGCCATTAAGCTTTTTTTAAATAAAACATTCGTTGATCCTTAGTTTTCGAATGGTAGAGTCAATTGTTTCTCTTTAGCCAGAGATTGCCTAAACCCAAATATAATACGAGTATTCAAAACTAACTGATTTTACTTCAACTTTTTCGCTGTAATTCAACTTTCTCAACATTTATAATATTATTTGAAAATGATTAGATTCATTTATTAATTTTAATATCTTTATGAAGGAATGTTGAGTTGAATGTTTTAGTAAAGGTTGCACCTTGCCACGCTTGAATTATACACGCTGGCAATAATTTTGCTTATATTTGTTTTACCCGACTGGAAAATGATATTAAAGAACATATAATAAGAGTATAAGCCTTTTATTATACTAAAAATAAGAATAGACATGCAAAATTGGTAAATTGACCAATAGTTCATATATTTATATAATGTTTACTAATTATTCAATTCTGGGAACATGAATGAACATAAAATAAAGATACAATTTGTACAAAAACACAAAATAAACGTATATGATATTTCATTCAATCAAGAAATATCATTCCTTAAATCAATGTATTTATTGTTAATCTGTGTGCTTTTAAAATCGCGTATTTTCTGTTCAATAGCGTTTATTCCTCTTTATGAGATCTGCCATCTGCAGGAAACTCTCGCAAATTCCTTCTCCTGTGTTTGCGCAACAGGCTTGAATGTACCACTGTTTAGAGATTCTACTCAATTGAAGTTTGTCAAGTATAGTTTCAGGACTTAATGCATCTGAAAAATGAATGTTATTTAAATAAATACAATTCAAATATGTTCATAAATGACCACTCACTAGGCAAATCTTGTTTGTTGGCCATAACAACGACAGGGACATGTCTCATATTATCATCTTGCATTATGGAATGGAGTTCTTCTCTGGCTTCATCCATTCTTTCAACATCGTTTGAATCAACGACGAAGACTAAGCCTGTTTAAATGGCAATTTATTTACAAAGTTTAAAAGAAGAGAATAGTTTGTACAAACCGCTTGCATCGTTATAGTAATGATGCCACAAGGCCCGAAGTCTCTTTTGACCGCCAACATCCCAAACCGTAAAGTTTAGACCTTTGGCAGGTTGAACAGTTTCTACATTGAATCCAATGGTTGGAATAGTGCAAACATTCTCTTTTAATTTAACTTTATAAAGAATTGAAGTTTTTCCAGCATTATCCAATCCCAAAAGTAAAATTCGACATGGTTTTGATTCATTTACAAAGCTGTAAGCAGTATATAAAGTATCAGCGATCTTTGACAAAAGTATACCCATTTTATCCAACTATCCAGATTCACTGCTAACATTTGAAAAATGAACCAAATCTCCTTTTATATTCTTTCAGAGAAAGGTTGCACAACGCCAATCAAAACTCCGCCACGCTGGAGGAATTAGAACAGGCAATTCCAATTGCACAACAAATTAGACTGGATCCATGGTATATTTTTCTTTTTTTTTTTCATATTCACTATTTTACTACTCTAATCAATGTAATAATTATTTTTAAGATAAATAAAAAAGTTTTCGAACTGTTGCGAATAAATTTGTTAAAATATTTACACTTTAACGTTCAATTTCGTAGTTTTATATTATTTCTTCGAAAAGACGGAACTCATTAGTTATCGAATTATTATATTATCATATAAAACTAAATTTATTTGCAAAAGAAATATGTTAGAAGTTTAAAAAACTATAATTTTTCATATTTTTTCTGTTTTGATGATTAATTTGCTATGACATGAAATATTGAAATGATTATTTACAAATTGAATCTAGGTGGCTTTCTTCAATAACATGACTCAGAAAAAACTTGTTTATAAAAAACTAAAACAATTAGCATTTTCACTATAAATGTATAGAACATAAAGAATAACTTTATATAGGTTTTTTTTTTATAAAAAAAAACTTTTACTTTTTCCATCATTCATTAGTTTTACTTTTTCGTTGTTGATCATTTCGCCCAATTTTTTAAAACTTTCGATTAATCCCTCTCCTGAAGATATGCATACTGGTTGTATATGAAATTTACTTGAGAAATGAGATAAATCGAGTCTTTGCAAAAGATTATCACAGGATATTGCGTCTAAAAAAAAAATATACAGTATAGTCATGCCTATTATTTAGAAAAGCATAAAAAATTGATTATTAACCTGGTAAATCAGGATTATTTGCCATAATAACTATAGGAATATTCCTTGAAAATTCAATTTCCATCAGTTCAGAGAATTTTCCTAAGGCAGTTTGTAATAAATTAGTCCGGTGGCAATCAATTACAAACAGCAATCCTTTGAGTAATTTCAAATAGGAAAAAGAAATTGATAATTATTACTGAGCAAACCTTTACAACTTTGCAAATAGTGTGGCCAGAGTACATTGATGTGAAACTTTTCTCCAATACAGAATATATTAAAACTTAAATTATCTGTAATTTGAATTGTTTCAACAATGAAGCCAATAGAAGTTACCGGAAGAAGATTATCATCTTGCTTAATTTTCTTTAAAATGTTCATTTTGTCGTTATCATCTAATCCTAAAAGTAAAATTTGATGAAATTTAATATTACTGATAACATCGCGAGCAGTTGAAATCGCAGTAGATGTCTCCGTTGGAAGCATTTCTTGATGATTAATCTGTGCCTGTGAGAGAGTTCTTTTCTCTTAGTTTTACCATACCTTTCATAGATGGAGCTTACCTTGTTTAGTTAAGAAGTTTATAAGTATCAAACTGTTTAATATTTATTTTTTTATTGCTTATATTTTTCATTTACGTTTTATCTTTTATCATATCTAGTGATTAAGCCTTGCCATAATTTGAAACTAGAATTATAGGGTTTAATAGTCAAATGTTTTCCCGCTTTTATCATTTCCGGAATAGTAAACAGGTGATCGTATTTATCAAAGGGCCGCTTCAAAATTTTTAATAAATGAATAATCCGATAGAAATTGTAGTAAACTTTTAAAATTGTAAATTATTGACGGGTAAAAACCAGTATTTGTCAAAATATAACCAGTCCTTTTCTCCGTTCCGCCCTTATATCGTTATTTCCACATCCGGTGTTATGGCGACGACCGCGGTAGCGAAGTTGACCAGAGTTTTTGCTCCAAAATTAGTTAGCTATGCTAAGTGCAGACCATTGATACCCCAGAGCAAAGTCTTATTGCGCTCATACACTTTAAGTGCAACAAAATTAGCAAATGGTAAGTTCTTAAAATACCGTTTTCCAAGTTGTCCTTGATCTTACAGTTTTATTAAATTAAAAACTCTTTAATATCTCTTCAGATAGATATTTTACGAAAGATCACGAATGGGTGACTGTTGATGGAGGAGAAGCCACTGTTGGCATCAGTGATCATGCTCAGACAAATTTGGGAGAAATTGTTTTTGTTCAATTACCAGATGTTAGTTCAGAATTTTCGCTGGGAGAAGAATGCGGAGCATTAGAAAGCGTTAAAGCTGCTTCAGATATTATCTGTCCCTTGTCTGGAAAAGTTTTTGCCAAGAATTCAGCTGTTGAAGACGATCCAACAAAAATAAATCAATCTCCCTACGATGATGGTATGATAACATCATTAACTTCAACGTATTATCAATAATTTAAAGTCTTTTCTCTTTATAAATAGGTTGGCTATTTAAGTTGGAAATGACAAACACGAAAGAAGTTGAAGAACTTATGAATGAAGACGAATATCATAAATTTTTAAAGGAGGATGATTGAGCGGGAGGTCAAATAAAATTTAATATCGCTTAATGCTATAAAGCGAACTTATCAACTACAGATAAAAAATCGTTATTTTGTTGTTTAAAAAGCCTATATTTTTCTATATATATAATTAACCTTGGAAATAAAATCTTTTGAATATTTTAGCTACTATAGTTATTCTACTAAACACAACTTAGTAGAATGTTAAAAATTGAAAAGTTTGGATAGTATGAGAATATAAGTGCTTTTAAAAAAAAAACCATTTTATTAGGATATCCTCTTACCATTGTTACATTTATACAGAGAAATATTAACTAGTTGTTTCTAAACCATGGAATATTGTCAAGAAATGATTCTCCTTGGGCTTGTACAGGAGCTGTTTGAGATTTTTCCAACCTTTCTGAAACGCTGCGGTTAGAGGTTACTGGAAATAAGGAAAAGCGGGTTGTTGTAGATGTTATTGCAAGTAGATTGTGTTGATCGGGGTTTCCACTCATTGTTTTTCTCATATCAGTCGGGTTACTATCCTTTCCAGTGAAGATACCAAAAAAGAGTTTATTTTTCTGACATTGTCTTTGCAGATGTTGAGACATTGGGGGAGAAAATACTGCAAAATCGAATGGATCTACTCTCTTCTCAAAATCTTGCAATACACTTTGGTATTCTTCGTTCTGAATGTGTAATTAATACTATATAAAATTGATTGAATTGAATTAAATTAGTTTACCAAAATTTTATCAGCACATAAGAACGAATGAAGAAATTGTACATCGAAAAGCATTTGTAAAGCTATAACTTGTCTAATTGCTCCATCTGATTGATTAACTCTTTCACTGCTCTTACTAGATGTTAAATAATGTTGATAGTTCTCTAAAACTTTCCTCCAGAGTGTGCTGGTAAATTTCTGAATAATAGTTCTGTAAAAATGCACAATTTCGTTACAATCGGAATCTTTTGGTTTTTGCTTTACTGACCTTGGAATTGAATGTCCTCCGATTGTATGTAAGAGTAAGCGAGCGTTAAACAATAGATCATGAACGTACCACGAAGCTGTCATTGGTATCCTAATTTGGGTGCTAACTGCTTTATCATTATCATCTTCCTTCTCTTCTATTAATATCTCATCCCATTTCTAAAAATAATCATAGACAAATTTCATGTTTATTATGTATCAAAAGGAATCTGTTGATTAACTTACAGTTGATTCATAAATGAAAGACGAAAGTGAAATTCCAGAAAAGTGTACCTCAAACTTACCAACTAAATCAATTATTGCATAATCGGTCCATAGACTAAAAACATTCAACTATAGTTTATCCTAAAAAATAATAAAAAATTCATACCTTAAAGTTTCTTCAAAGAACTGTGATAACAAGTTTTCGCAATGAAACCATTTACTATTCTTCTCCGACTTAATTTTAGTTATATTTTTTAGAAATTTTACACTCTCTTCATAAGAACTATTCAATATACATTGTGTAATTGAAGGGCATAATTTCAATAAAGAGTCTGCTATTCTTCCTAACAGAACACCCACTCTAGCTAAAATTTCATTATTGTCCTCTCGTTTTATTCTAGTTCTTAATTCTTCAATTAACCTGTTAAATAGATAACAACAAATTAATTTAGTATTTAGAAAACAAAAGAGATATGTATTAACTTTTTAAGGTAAGATTCCGTTAAATCTAATAGAGAATTTGTTAATTTTTCGTTTAGGGAATATTTATCAAACACCAGCTTTTCCTCATCCTCCAGTTCAACACTATAACCATTATAAGTTCTTTTCAGGAAATATTCCATATCCTCTAATAATGACTTAATTGAAGCATTAACATATTTACAAAATCTTTGAACGGATGGTGAATATCCTTTCGTTTTCATAACTAAACCACCACCACTTGTCAAAGATTTTGCCGAAGATGACATCCAAGCACAATCAGATGTTAAATCTTCTGCTTGCTCTTGCCAAACATATGAATGAATATTTATGTCTCTTTGAATATCTGTAACATTTCGAAGCATATCGTCTAAAAAGGCATTGTTTTTTTCAAGCATTTCATCAAATGATTTAGTAACTAATTGTTCAATTCGTTTTTGAAACATAGGCGATAGTATATCTTTCCAAACACACATTTCATAACCCAAAATAGATCTACATATAGTATGCCAAAGACTAAATCTAGAATCTTCCTTTAACAATTCCCAAATACTTTCCAATATATTAGACATGCTTTTTATAGAGTCTAAATACATAAGAAAATCGCTAACATTTTCCTTAATGAGCTTAGAGCTCCTGTTTATATAAGAGTTAGTTAATTAATGGCTTGATGTTAAACATGTTATCAATTGTACTCACGCTATGAACCATTCTTCGCATAAACTCCTTAAATCATTCTCCGAAACAACGCAAAGATCATCAACTTTAGAAGATGTATCTGGAACAATTAGTTATTTATTTAATAAACTAATAAATTAACTTTTAATAAAAATTTCAACAAACCATTTATGACAAGATATGTATATTCTTTACATGAAAATTGATCTAATAGCCTTTCGACATATTCCTTTTGTGTATTATTACGCAACTTATGCAAAATGAAAGATTCTGAAAATAATCATATTATATAATATTGAAAATTATTATAAATATAAATAAAACTCTTACCATAATTCTCCTTCGCAAATATAACATATATTTGATAGAGGGAATTAAACATTAGAGTGACTAATTTACATATTTTACTCTTTATTGTTACGGATTGAGTTTCGGTTCGACAAGCTTTTTGTAATGCGTTCTAAATTTAAAATGTGAAAATTAATAAGGTTATAATGTAATTTTCAACCTTACCGTTCGGCCAACGAGAAAATCCCTTAGTACTTGACGACAAGTGAAATTTTCAAGAAATAATATAGCACTCAAGCTTTCGGCAACTATATCATCATCTACATCAATCATTTGAAGAACGTTTCTGCACATCTATAGAATTTTGAAGATTTACATTAAAGACTTTAAACTCAATTTTAAGAAATGTTACATTTAAAATTGTTGTTTTGAAATGGATTAATGAAACCCATTGTAAATGAATAACTGGAGCATTCTGCAATATATGTGGAAACTTCCTTTGAATATTTGATTGAATATTTTTTGTTATAAGATACAGTTGTGTAGCCAATAAGAATTTTTTTGCGCTCAGAGCTTCCCAGATCTATAAACATTAGTAAATATTTTCTTAATTTAATCTTTGATAATATTTAAATGTTCTTACGTGTTCTGACATTGACATATACATTTTTACTTGCTTACACATTTCAAAATCATTTTCTATTGAGGAGCAAGCCATTATCGAATCTAGGAATGGAGCGCTACCAGAATCGACTTTGGAAATTTGAAGTTCCATCTAAATAGAAAGAAGTATTATACATTGTTAAGCTGAGAAATCTCATGCAATATCGTCAAAAATACCTTTTCTGCATTACTCTTCATATCACGAATTGTATCTGCTGCATCTATAATATCACGATATCTTTCTCCAACCATTTGCCTGAGGTTTTCTTTCTTTTTTTCGATTTCCGCACGAGTACTCTGTTCTATAGCTATGATATCTTGAATAGGTTTTCCCTCAAAGAGGGTTGTCACATCCTCCGATTGTGGCATAACTATAAAGGGTGCTTTTTCTACCACTTTCCTCTCAATTTAATGATAAATATATCATAAAAACTCACTGAAAATGCTACCGAAAACAATAATACAGTATTCAACCAACTCTGCCAGCAGATGTCTATTTCCGTGTCCGCTTGGTTACGTGTTAGTCAAACAAACTGTTTGGAAATTATCTGACCTGAACTATGAGCCAGGCGACGTAAAAGATTCTATAAACTGATAAACAGTTAAACAAAGTTTTTTTTAACTTGGAAAGTTCAACCGAGAGCTCTTTTAAATTTTCTATGGATATATACTGTCAATAAAATATTTGAGGTACCTAAACACTTAAAAATAGTATGGGTATATTTTATGTAATATACATATTAACTTATTAAGTGTCTGAAAAATCCCATAAATAACTTGCCTACTCTGTTTTTTTTTTCAATTTTTTATAGTATTTTAGTATTGTATATTTAGCATTTGTGCTGCCATTAATTTAAAGAGTTACAATATGTTATTGACCTTTGACTTTTAGTACTAGCCAAAAAGTGATCTGGCACTCAATATTAATTATAACTAATAAATGTTGCTTCTAAAGTTTCCTTTAGGTGTATAAGTGCAGAGTTTCGTTCTTAAAGTTTATGCAATTCTCTTAATACGCTATTTAACTCATTTTTCTAGATGGCGCCAACCGTCAATAGAGCTATTTCAAAGAAAAACTTAGTTGACCAATGAGCGCTCTTTATATAAATTCAAACGAAACGATCGTTTATCGCTCACCGATATGACAGATTCAGGTGCGTTTTTAAATTATTACTTTTTAAAGTTATTATTAATCAAATTTCATTTCTGATTTATGGTATATATTAACTATTGTTCATTTGATTGAATCTAGGCGACGATCGAACCGCCGTCATAGTAGGCACAAAGCTTCGTCAAGATAAAGAATTGGTTGAGTGTATAAGAATATTAAATATAAAATATGTATATAGCGACACCGGTTTTGAGCATATCAAAAGAAATGTTATATTTGTGCTGGATAACTTTGACGGCGATATTTTTACAAAATTAAGAGAACTTAAAGCTAGAATATATGGACCGCCTGTTTTAAAAAGGTGTGCCAGGTATAATGAGGTAACCGTACAAATTTTTCTATTCTGTTTCGTATATTTTAAATATTTTTATACTTTAGAGTTTACCAGAATCGTCCCGGCCACAGTACTGTTGTACTATGCGAAATGTTGTCCTGTGTTTTACAGGTTTTAAGCAAAATCGAGAACAATTGGTAACGTGTTTATTTTACAATATCAGTGATCATTTGTTTATCTGTGATTACATCCCATCAGTCTCGACTGGCAGATTTAGTGCATCATATGGGTGGTAGTATCAGAAGAGATTACACCCCGAAAGTAACTCATTTAGTTGCTAATTGGTAAGAAGAGTATTACATTCGATGTATTAAAACTAACGATCTATATTACTTTTCATTTATTTAGTGCTGGAGGAGAAAAATATAGACATGCAGTATGCTTTGGAAAAAATATAATGGCAGCCAGATGGGTTTCAGAATGTTGGAACGTTGCTAACGACATTGTTCGAACTGCTGATGATTCAGTTTTGGTTCGTTAATTATTTTACTATAAAGCTTTTATATTTATTTACATATATATGTATATATATATTTGTGTTATTTTTAAATATTAGATGACACACAAGATTAGACCTTTTACTTTTTGCGTTTTATGCTTTTTTGGAATTTCAAGTCAAGAAAGAATAGAAATGGAACAATTAGCTGATCAAAATGGTAAAGATATTTGTTAAATAATATACTTTAGTTTCTATTGGAAAAATAAAAATACTATTTCCCAATAGATGGTCGAGTTGTAGATGATCCGGAAACTCCTCTTTGTACTCATCTTGTCGTTGGACCAGAGACAAGAGATCTTCCATTTGAATTGCATCCTCAACTTCATGTAGTGAGAGCGGAGGTAATTATATTTTGATAGTTTATAGAAGATAATTTATATTTTCAAATTCTTACAATGACAACACGTTAATTTAAAAATTAAATGCTACGTTTAGTGGTTCTGGGGGTGTTTACAAATGGAAGCCACCGCCGATGAGAACCTTTATAAGTACGAAGCAACGAAGTCAACATCCAGCGCTAGTCCAGCTACTCCTGGAACAAAAACTAGGAAAAGAAAGAGAGCTTTAAAAGAGAATTTAGCTCATTTAGCGGCTGGAGGGCGGGATAGCTCGTTACATGTAAGTTATTTCGAACGATATAAAATATTTTTATATAATATAAATGATTTACGAATAGATCGTACCACTTCCAAAAAGAAAATCGAACGGTGATCAAGCATCTTTCTCTTCTTCTCTTATTTTTGATGCCTCTATCGATAACGAATTATCTCCAGTCCGTAAGTACTCTTAATAATACTCTTATTCGTTATTACTTTTTTGAAATTCCAACAAACTTAATGACAAAAAAAGTTATTAATATATTTAGTTAAATCGAATACGACAATATTACGTAAATTTGATATTGAAAGTTACCATAGAACAATACCGATTCTTATGGATAATGAAAAAAGAGAAGAGTCATTTGTCGAATTAACAAATGAAGCTATTGCCGATGAACTATTTGAACAGACAAACATATTTGATTGTACTATATCAACAACCAGTAATGAATTACAATCAGATCCTAGACCATCAATTTTGGAGGAGAGTTTTAAAACTCTGGATAACGATAACATTAATCCTTTAAAAAATGTAAAAAGGACGAAATCGGTTAGGTCGAATTATGATCGTATGTCAATTATGAGCATTTCAAGCATTACTAGTTATAGAGCAATTTCAGAGAAAAAAAGGTGTATTGATAGTATAATGGAAAGATTGGAGTCATTTAAAAACAACCAGTTATACCCAGGGATTAGTAATTGATAGGCTGCTAAGACTTTTATTGTTATCCCTTTTTATTGTTGTACTTAACAGTTGAAGCAATTGTTTTAAAATCTTATGTAATACTACATTGTTTGACAGATACACCGTCTAAGACCCCAGTTATTAAAGTACCTTTAATAGCTAAGGATATGAGTAAACGTCAAAAAATTGCAATAGAATTGTTAGAGACTGAAAGGAATTACGTACATATCTTAGCCTTTATGATAACGGTTTGTACAAAAATTTTATTTAATTGACACCTTTGTTTTTATTTAATTACATAATATTACTAATTGCTCTATATCTCTTTAAACAATTCAGGTCAAAGACGAATTAGAAAACACAGACCAACCAGGCGGTGCGATTTTAGCTCAACACGATGTCCGTGATATTTTTGGCTCCTTACAACTTATATACGACGTTCATTTTGAAATGTTGAAAAAGTTTAATCAACTAATTAATAATTGGAAAGAAGATTGTAAAATTGGTCAAGTTATTGTTCAAAATGTTTCTTCCATTGAAAAAGCCTATCCACCATTTATAAATTATCAAGATAGAACTGCAAAAAGAATAGCTGAATGTGATATGGAGAATGGACGCTTTCACGCGTTCCAAAAACGATTACAATCTAGATCAGACGGTATAAGAGAGAGTATAACTGAATTAATTATAAGACCTGTTCAAAGGTTACCTAGTATGAAGCTGTTGCTAGAGAATCTTCTAGCAAATACGCCAGAAACTCATGACGATCATGAATGTTTAAAAGATGCTCTCAAAAAGCTTCATCAGGTTACATCAAAAGTCAATGAAGGTAAAAAGACTATAGATGATCGTTTTAAGTTATTCGAATTAAACGAAAAGATCGATGGTTTACCACCAACCTGTTTGAGCTCGAATAGACATTTCTTAAAGCAAATTAACGTCTGCGAATTGACCGAAACTACCGGAAGTGGACAAAATTTAACACTTTTCCTTTTCGATGATATCCTAATATTGGCTAAACGAAGAAAAACTACAGTTGGTGCAACACCTCAAAGAAAAACTCATAAGTTTCTAAAGGAATTGCATTTAGGTGGTATAAAAAGAGTTGTTGATATCAAGGATGCTGATATGCGTGGCGCGTTTGGTTTAATAGTTACCGATTCTAGTGAAAAAGAGCGTTTAATAGCGTTTATTTTGGGTGATGATGAACTCATATCAAAGAAGGACTTTTTAGTTGTTTTATGCAAGCAAGTTTCTAGGACTCAGTGTACTACAGATTACGTAAGTATTACATATAATTTTATAGCCCAATCCAAAAAATGAATTCATTTAATAAGTAAAAAATTATTCAGTTAAGTCATATGATCACAAAAGATGGTAGACATTTTAAACAATTTAAAACTGATAGTGGATCATTAAAAGTAGTTAAATTCCGAAATATTCGTAAGACAAAATTATAATTATATTAAGTTAATTATTATATTATTTAATATTATATGTCAATGTTCTTTTTTTTTGTTTTGTATTTAGTTGGAAAAATAACTTCATCAACTATACATAAAAAGAAAATCTATCGTTAAATTAAACAAGAAAAAAACATTAGAATTTGTTTTTTCTTTTTTTTTCTATTCATCTAATAGTTTTAAATAGTTTTACAAAAAAGTTAACAATTGTAATTGTTCTTCTATTAATAGGATTGATTTTTATATTAATTTTATCATTTATTCTTTTTTTTCTCTCTCTTTTCTAGGAAAATATCTTGGCTCATGGTGTTGATGCATCACTTCTTCATTTAGATACTCCCGATTCCCATAATAGGACATTGAGCAGAGCCGCTAGGTTGTTGAACTACAATACATATATATATATATTTGTCTAAATCTTTATTATTTCTTTAAATAGGAGCTTAAGTAAACGAGTTAGCAGAGCTTTTTCATTCTCTAGAACACCTAGAAAATTACAAAGAGCTGTAGCTTCTGTCAGCCATGTAATGTCCCCGAGAATGAAAACTGATACTCTTAACGGTATATATTACATTAATTTCGTTTTTAATTATATATATTTTCTTGTTAATCAATCTTATTCTTATTTCTCTCTTTTACAGGAAAAATGACACCGACGTTAGACAGACCTATGAGGACTGGAACTAGCAGCGCTAGTATGCTAGATTTAGCTGTACGTTTCACTTATTTTTTTTCTTTTAATAACTTTTTTATGAGAGTGAATAAATTCGTAGGAAAGTTTTGATTCCGTTTTGGAGGAGAGTTCTAATTCCCTATCCCGTAGGCATCCCTATTTCTCTGTGAGTTTGTTAGATAGTCAAGAGTTTTGTTAGACTACTTAGAGAGATTAGAGAGAAATTTTAGTAGTTTTATTTTTGTGGTTTTTTTTTTTCTTGTTGTTTTTTATTGAATTTTTTTTTGTCGAGAAGTTAGATTTCTAACTACTATTTTCTATTATAAGCATTAGATCTAACGTTCTTTTTTTCCCGTGCTATGGATGTTGTCATTCCCCAGATTTTCTTACGATATACTTTACTATTCCGTTCTTTATTCTATTATAGGCAGCCCAAACTCTCGATGAAGATATTATTGAAGTATTTGAAGACGAAGTTGGCAGTTCGCCTGTTTTGACCTCTTGATCTTGACTGTTTGTGAGACAGATATTTGCATATCTTTAAAAATTGCTCATATCGAAATATAGCGAATCCAGATACTTTTAAAAATTGTGTCTATATTTAGTGCTGTGTAAAAAATTTGTTCCAATGCCAACTCTGTATATGGAATAAAGTTTTTATAAATGACTGCCTGAAATTTCTCTATAGAATGTATAAAACTTTTAACTTCTAATAATAAAGAAATTTTATGTGCTTTAAACAATTTAATTACTTTTTTTTGTCTTTTATCAACAGAAAATGACAAGAAATGGTCCAGAATTTGGAAGTACCCTTTCATTGCAACCAGCGCGTTCTATTTCTTCTAAGCGTTTTTGGAACCGACTATTAGACTAGTTTAACGCAATATCTTCAATATTTTTAAGATTGTGCCATAAATGCTTTTAATTCAATTATAATCTTCAGTCTTCATATCTTCCTACCCCAGAAATTTATTTAAAACAAGCATATCTTCTATGAATTGTGGTTATCCAAATTCATTATTTTTGTGATTACATAAAATACATTCATTAGAAATTAACTTAAATTATATATATAAATTATATATAAATATACATGTATTGTCGTCGTAATAGCTCTAACTTAATTATAACTAGTAGGCGTCTTTATATATATATATATAAATATAACGTAAAGTTGTACACATCTAACCATCGAATACATATGTATATGTATCTATTTATTCATTTATACTTATATATATATAGGTGATCTTTATAATTTTAAGTAGTTGGATAAGTTTTCTTTTGAGTTTTAAATTCCTACAAAAAGATACCGCTACCAGTTTTTATTGGAATATTTCGTCGAGTATGAACGTGGAAGAAGAAACGCTATTAACAAGTCTTTTCAAAACCTCTTTTCCCGAATCATGGAGAGATAATCCCGACTTCCAAGAATATCTCTCTGAACTTTCCTCCTTTGGGATCGATAGATTGAATTGCGAACCTGAAAGATTAGCTGAGGAAAAATCTCAAATATTAGCAGACACCCAACAGTTGGCCTTTAAGAATTATGGTGCTTTCATTGAAACTGCCGAGTGCTCTAAAGAGATTTTTCAGGACTTTCAGGTAATGAATAATCAAATTATGAATTAACTCCATTTCGCCGTTGACTGATAAATGTATAAAAATTTCCCTCCTACCCGACTAGGTAATTGAGCGAAGTGTTGATAACGTCTTGGAAAAAATTCCAAAACTGGCCGACCTTTGTTCCGAATTTACTAAAAATGCTAAGGAAATAAATTCTAATAGGAAAAAGGCTAGTGTAGCATTGCAGAAGCACACACAGTTATTAGAGTTGTTGGAAATACCTCAATTGTTAGACACTTGTGTTCGAAATGGTTACTACGACGAAGCTTTAGAATTAATTTCTCATGTTAGGAGACTAGAAAAAAAATTTTCCTCAATATCGATAATAGAAAGTATAGTTAAAGATGTCGCAATTTGCTCCCAACTAATGTTAACTCAATTAATTGAGCAGTTGAGATCAAATATTCAATTGCCCAGTTGCCTGAAAATAATCGGTTACTTAAGAAGAATGGATGTTTTTACTGAAATTCAATTAAGAATGAAATATCTTCATGCAAGGGATAGTTGGTTTTCTTCAGTTATATCTCAGATTCCAAACGATGATTCTTATATATATCTTAATAGAGTTATTGATTTGTCGAGGGTTCATCTTTTCGATATTGTCACTCAGTATCGAGCAATCTTTTCAGACGACGAATCAAAATATTCTAGTGAATCTGTACTCATTCAAGAGTGGATAATTTTGAGAGTAAACAACTTTCTAAATATTGTGAAAGCTAATGTTGTTAAAGATTCGGCATTCAATCGAATTGATTCATTACTTGGGCAATGTATGTATTTTGGTTTAAGCTTCAGTCGCGTCGGATCAGATTTTCGGCCTTTAGTTGCTAAAGTAAGTTTATATAAAGAATAATAAGAAAAGAAAGGAGATAATATACTAATAATTCGTTAAATCTAGATCTTTCGTGATGTGATGTTGGATAAATTTAATGAAATTATTAAAAAGGCTGATGAACAATTTACAATGGATATGCAGAAGCTAACTTTAATTCTTCCTCCTCCCTCTTCTGTAACGGCTACTATTCAATCATTACAATATAATCCAAACTATCCAGACTCTCTGAACTTTCTTTATTATCAACCTTTGACGGTCTATTTAAATGCTCTACTGACCTCTTTGAACGTCATTGCTCCATGCTGTATAACAAATTTGGCCATGTCAGTTCGAGATAAATTGGAAAATTCTTTGGAAAGAGCCTCAAAGGAAATATACGACTATTACAAAGCAGAAGAACAGTCAATGAATGAGTTAGAGATTGAAAGATTCCAAAAATTATGTCTGGCATTCAGAGATGAACTAATTCCATATATTAATAAGTGTTTCGGACAAATTTTTCCTCTATCTACAACTGCAAGCATTCTTGGTTTAAGTACAACTCAGGCCAATCGACTGGTTTGTTATTTTACACACGTTTTATTAAGATATAAATCCGTCAATTATATTTATTACATAAAATTAACATGATATTAATTTATTCCAGATGTTAGGCAGTTTAAACATGAGTAAAATATTGGAAATTTTAAAGGAGAGACTACCTAATACGGGCATTGACAAAAAAGAGAATGAAACATTCGATTCGAACGAATTTGAGGGCGATAAAAGTTCAGAATTAGACAGTAAAGTAGATATTGACGAGAAAAAAGATGAAACAGCAGAAAAAGAAGAATTTGAGGATACTGAAAAAAATATGGATAAAGTTAAGGACAGTCTAGAAGAAGTAGAATCTGAAAAAGAATTAGAAATTGCAGATGTTGCAGTCGGAGAAAAAGAAATTGAAAGCGAAGAAGGAGAAGTAAAAGAAAAAGAACAAGGAGAAGCAGAGGCAGCGGCGGAAGAAGAACATTTATCAGTGAATAGTTAGATTATCTTTTCTAATGCCTCAACAATATTTAATTTATTACAAAATTCTTTTCTATATGTGCAAATTATTTTTGTCAATATGATGAGGCAAACTATAGTTAGGTGTAGTTTATATGGTTATCCCAAAAAGAATTGCAATTAATCTTTAATTTTTTTTCGAGCCCTCCAAAATCGTTCTCTTGGATAACTACTCATTGATTTTTTCCTTTTAATATTTGCGTGCTTTGAAAGCTTTAATCAACTTAATCCTGAATGAATATAATTGGATTTGGTGGTTACCGAGTATAGGTGATATTTTCCTAAGAGGACATATATTCGTACTCGTGTTCTTCCATAAATCCGCAATCGAGTGGACTCCAAATAACTTTATCTTTAATCTCTTGAAAACATTCGTCAAATTGACGCAATCTGGAACCAACGTATCCCTTTCGGCGATATTTTTTTGCGTTCCAGGGCCAAGTTTGAACTTTAGCTTTTTCAGGTGCCTTTAAGAATGTTTGAATATTTGGTTCATTCGCCTTTTGATTGGCCATTAATTTAGATTTAATATTTTTTTCAACGTTCATTTTAAATTGGGCAGATCTTAATTCCTGTTGCAGTTTCCATTCCTTTTTACAGACGAGCATAGCTCTTTGAATATCGTTACATAAGTTTTCGTTCAATTTGAAATTTTCCAATTGAAGCTGAAGGTGGCAATCATTAAAAGTCAATCTTACAAAACAGCCGCAGTTTTCAATCGATTGAACATTGTACAAATATAATTTCCGTTCTAGAATGCTCATAGAAGAGTCGTTGTAGATTAAAAGGCACAATCTCGAGAGAACGATATGTTTCCTTTTGCTAGAGTCTTCATCAGAGAATCTCAACTCAATATTAAATGATTGAGAAATATCCATATCATCGTGGCCACGTACGAGTTGCTCCATATTATTATCACTTGTTTCTCCTGTTGTGTCGGCCCTTTTATCTAAGTGAACGTGACCTTACGCTCCTTTTTTAGATTTACGATTCCAATATCTTAAAGAAAAGTACTTTTTATTGCAATTTGCTTACGTGAAGCATTCTATTTTTGACTTTCTATTCACGATGGGATAAACAGACAATTAGCCTCTTAGATATTCTTTTGTTAGTAATGATAAAAATATTGATACGGCAGTAGAAGTTCTCAACTGGGTTGAACTGTTACAAAAATCCGTTTCGCATACGCAAGTGTATAATTCAGATTTATCAAATGGTCTTACTGTATCAGTACTATGACATTTTAGAGTTGAAAATCTTCTTTCAGAGTAGCAACCTCGATCAATTATTGGTTTTTCCTCATTTATTAAGGGTATAAAACGTTTAACGAAGCATTGAACTCCAAGACAAGTTTTAAACTCTCTTTGCAAATTAAATCTACTTTGGGGATGTTCTAAAAATTGGCAACTCTCTTCTCCGTTATGACAGACGAAACAACGAATTTGATTACTAAAAGTTCTCTTCTGATTCGAATGATGAATTGATTTTGCTTTCACGCTATCTCTATGCGAATTAGAATTTATTTCTCCATCTATATCATCAATATAGGAACCATCGTCATTTAGGCCTACCTTCTCAAAAGTATTACTACTACCAGACAAAGAGGATGTTCGCTTTTTCAAACGTTGATGATTAATTTCCTCTATATTATCGACGTAATCATCAAACTCAATTGAGGATGCATAATCATTACTTTCACTAAATGACGTTCTATTTTGTAATATAAATCGATATTGAGTAATAATGGCCAAAATAGTATTTATCATATCCAACCAATAAACTATTCTTATAAATAATAACATAATTTCAATTTTTAGATAAAATTAAAAAGATATTTTCATTTGATGACGTCATTAATTATTTAATATAAATAATTAATTGAACTGTTTTACTTCAATTTGAAATAATTATTGAATATTCATATTTATTAATTATTTGTTAAAGTTTGTTCTATTTTAATGTCTTTATTAAGAGATCTATAAAGACTAAATGTTTGTAATGAAACAAAAACCTTAGAAAGGTCTATTTAATTGTTGGTTTACATTGTAAACATTCGTTAAATATGGAACGTAAGTTTTAGCCCGGAAGCAATTCCACCGTTCCAATACGTAATATAGAAAGTATATATTTACTTAGTTAGAGTCATAGAAGCTTTAATTTCTCTTTGTTTTTAATACAAATTTCTTAAAGTTTACACTTTTTTTTATATTAATGGAATATAAAATATGACGTAACTGTGTTCGATAATTAATTCATCGTCATGCAGAATTACAATAGTGTTTTACAATTCAGGATTAACGACTGTTCGATATAAAATAGGAAAAGAAGCCTATGATTACTTATTGAAAAGTGAACAGTTCGATCGGCTCGGTTACTAAGCACAGTAGAGGGGCGGCAGTTTAAAAATGTCACAGGCGGAAAAAGACCGAAAAAATGTCCGGCTGGCTCCAATTCAACTAAGGGAAAAACCTTCAAAGAAATATACAAAACCTATATCTGGAAGAGAATCTTGGTGGAGAAATCACATAAAGGAAACTCCAAATCCAGGAGCTTACGAGCCTTTCGATCCTTGGTGCGAACTTAGCAAGAGACCAAACAGTTATAGATTCAAAGCTGGTAAGAGAGTTACAGAAATTAATTCGGCGAATGGAGCGTTACTGTTACCCGGAGCCTACAATCATCCATCTTTTACTCAAAGGCTAGACAAGGAAAATATATCAACGTATTCATTTAAAGGATGCGGAAGATTAGCTAAAAGTGGTATGCAATCAGACAAAAAAGATAAGGTAATAATAACATTTTTCAATTTATCGAGTACTTATTAAATAGATTATAAAAAAGATTGTTGTTTGTACAGTACATAGACGTTTGTCCAGGAATGTACAATACTGAAAATTACTTGGCAGTAGACGGACATAAAGCAACAAAAAAGTTAGCATGCAAAGAATTTTCTTATTTTCTCATTAATTATAAAATCAATAATATATTCTTGCTATTCTCCAAAGGCTATCCGTCTTTAAGTCGACAAGTACCCGTTTACCTTCCGATCAAATGAAACCGGTACTATTTATATACAGAGTTTACTGTATAAATAATATCGCGAAATGATTTGTTTATTAATTAATTTAAAAACAGAAAATCGGTCCTGCTCCTGGTTATTACGAATATCGGTCTCCAACACCACCGCACGCTATCTCCTCGTCCTTTAAGTCGACCGCTCCTAGATTCAAGACATCGCATACGGTAATAAATCCGCTTTAATTATTATACGCACGTATGAATTTAATAACATTTTAATATCTTTAAATAGAAAACCCCCGGGGCAGGATCCTACGAACCAACTTACCAAAGTCCAATGCCCGAAACTATTAAGAGTATGGCTAGAATAGGGACATTCTTTAACAGTGCTAACGCTCATAAAGTTTCACTTTGAAAGTTCTTGAATATAATATCAGTATTGTTTTTGTTGTTATTTTCATATATATGCAAAACTAAAGAAGAAAATTTTAGCTATCATAAATTATTGAACAAACTTTATAAAAGAATGTTAGAATAGGCTTTACTTAGTTTCAGCTAACTCTTTTACAATTACAATATGTATTAAGTAGAGTTGAATGAAATAGAAAAGAAGAAAGAGAAAGAGAAAGAGGGAGAGAGAGAGAAAAAAACACGGATTGAATAGAGTAAAAGATGCTTTAAAAAAACAAACAAAAAACAACATCATTACGGAATAAACAATAGAAAAATGCAACGTACAATTAAAGGCCTTTCTGTATATACTAGTTGGTAAATGAATATAAACATATATAAACATATAGTTGTATAGAGGTTAAAATGAAATCATAAACAAACCCAAATATTTGAGTGTACAAATTTAAATAAAAAACAAAAAAAAAACACCTTCTGCTCGGGATATAACCACGTGTCATAAATCAATGAAGTATGAAGTATGTATTAAAGAAATTGCACAAATGTTACTAATTTTTACTCTGAACAGATAGATATATTTTATCTAGGGGCGTGTTGTTTTCAATGAAAATCTCGTGACTATTAGTAATTTATAAAGGCTATTGAATTTTCAAAAATTTCATTTTAATAAGCTAATTCGCAAGTTAACGAGAATGAAATTTTTTTCGGCAATTTTACTATTCATATATAATTTTTATATATGTTATTCTTTGGATAATGGTTTGGCTAGAACACCTCCAATGGGCTGGTTATCTTGGGAAAGGTTTAGGTGTAATATCGATTGTGTCAACGATCCCGACAATTGTATAAGGTTTGTCTTACTTTTTCCCTTTTTCAACAATGTAATTATTTTATCTAATATTTTCTTTGATTCAGTGAGAATTTATACAAAAGGATGGCCGATCATTTAGCCGCAGATGGTTACAAGGATGTCGGTTATCAATATGTAAATATAGACGATTGCTGGATGGCTATGGAAAGGGACCAAAAGACCGGATCTCTTGTGGCTGATCCTAAAAGATTCCCCAGTGGTATAAAAGCATTAGCCGACTACGTTCACGGTAAAGGTTTAAAATTAGGAATTTATGAGGATTTCGGTACAAAAACATGTGGGGGATATCCCGGATCAGAGTACTATTTACAAAAGGATGCGGAAACTTTCGCTGAGTGGGGTGTTGACATGTTAAAGCTTGATGGATGTTATTCCAATGTCAATCAAATGGATGACGGTAATTCAGCGTAAATAGTAGCTGGATTAAATATAAAGTGTTTATCTTTCAGCCTATCCAATTATGGGTCAATGGTTAAATAGAACAGGGCGACACATGGTTTACTCTTGCAGTTGGCCAGCCTATCAACAAGGTCATCAGCACATTGACTATGCCAATATTGCTAAACACTGTAATCTTTGGAGAAATTATGGAGATATTGCCGATTCTTGGGATTCAGTTACATCAATTATTAATTTCTATGGTAGTAACAAGGAAAACTTTGCTCAAGTTGCTGGACCAGGCAATTTCAACGATCCAGATATGCTTATCCTGGGAGATTACGGATTAAGTTATGATCAAGAAAAAACTCAAATGGCAATGTGGTCGATTATGGCAGCTCCGTTATTTATGTCTGTCGATCTTCGTAATATTAAACCTCAATCAAAGGCTCTTTTACAAAATAAGCGAGTTATCGCAATAAATCAAGATATGCTTGGTGTTCAAGGGCAGAGAGTGCTAGTGAAAGGCGACGTTGGAATTTGGACTAAACCAATTCTTCCAACAAATAGCATGGCTGTTGCCTTTCAATGTAGTAGTACTTCAACTCCAGAAAAAATATCCATTCAACTCAAGGACATTGGTCTTACCCATTCTGCTGGTTACAACGCAACCGAAGTATTTGATAATACTCAAATTGGTATGTTTAAATCAAACAGCCAATTCACCGCCACAGTTAATCCTTCTGGAATATTTTTCGTCAAATTTACTGCTCTATAACCTGACTTAATGGCTGTATTTAATCTAATACACAAAATAATCATATTGTATTAAATTTTTTAAAATCATAAAAAGGTCATTCGCATTAGCAGATATAGAATGATTTACAAAAAAGATCATTCAACTAATTAGGTCGAGGTGTCAAGTGATTCTCTTTAGGTCTATAAAAGTGTTCGATAATAGCTTCTATCATCTCGTTCAGTTCATTGCTAACCTCTTCACGACTACGCCTATTTATAAAAAAAATAAAGGTTTCTTTTTGTTCGTATATCAAAGATACAAATTTATAGATATATTTACCCTGGTTCGGCGCAATATTCAGTATAATATTTTATCTTGGGTTCTGTTCCGCTGGTTCTCAGTGTTGCTATGCATCCATTACTAAAGGTGAAGGTTAACATTTGACTTGACGCAGAAACAGGGAGGATCTGTTTACGAAAGTTTAAAAGATAAGCTGATGATTATAATTCAATTGTATTCAATCTTACAGGTTTATTATCAGGTTGACTATTATCATATCCAGTTGTCAAATCTCTAATGTATTTGATTTCGAAACGGCCACAATGCGAAGGATATTTTCCTTTACCGTCAAAATTTCTTATATCGTTAAATAATTTATTAATAGTAGCTTCATCATGACAAATAAAGTATGAATTTCTAGATATATGTTGACCGTATCTGAAAAATTATTAAATTATTATATAAATGATACAGTTTTGTATTAATGAAACAATTCACGTACTTCTCATATATCTTTTCTAATTGTTGCTTACAATTAAGATTCTCTTTTGCAAGGTGAATAATCATCTCCGCCAGGACAACCGCAGCACTAATACCGTCTTTATCAAGTACTTTATCACTGCACATAAATCCTGTTTGTATGCCAAACAATTTAAAAATATTTTTACTTTCAAGGGATTAGTTTTTATTAATAAGCTTAATATAAGCATATTTAATACAATAAATAAAACTTTACCAATGGCTTCCTCAAAAGCGAATAATACAGTTTTTCCTTTTTTTCGTAGTTCGTGAGCTTTATTACCCATCCACTTGAATCCAGTAAGTGTCTCCTACATTTAAGAGAAAATAATGAAAAAATGATATTTTATATATTAATGAGCTTACTTCAAATTTAAAATTTTCTACTCGGGCAATACTTCCAATAATTTGGGAAGACACTGTACTAGCAATTGCGTAGACATCGCCTAATGAGTAAATATTATTATTAATATTTTTCTCAAGGCTTTAACGGCATGTGTTCTCTTGACAATGAGATTCTATTTTATTTATTTATTTATTACTCTAAGTTAATCTTCTTATTCTATTTTGTTAATTAATTTGTTTTTATTTTATGTTTGTATTTTTAAAAATATTCATAGCTTTTTGAAAAGTTTTCCTTACCATAATTGGTATTGGAATTTTTCCTTGAATACATTTTCCAAGTCCAATGCCCTAGAAGAGCTCCAATTTCATTGCCGGAAAACACATGCCACGAACCGCTGCAACGCATGGATAAATTTTATCATAAATGGCTACTATATAAATAAGAACTTGGATCCATATAACTTTATTATAGGTTATTAATAAAATGTTAAATGGCGATGAATTGAACGGCGGTAACCATGCTTTTTGCTTTTTTTTTTTTTCAAAGAATCTATTCTCACCGCGGCTAGTATTAGTAATATCTAGTCGAGTCGAGAGCCACCACAAATATAAACTACCCAATTCATTTCCGGAAAAACACTTCCATTCGCCACTGTATCAAAGCAAATTATTTGACAAGCAAGTAACAATCATTATAGCATTTCGTTTTTGTTAAAGCAAAGATCGTCAGCCGTTCGAAATCATTCGAAAGCCTAAAAAGGAAACTGAGCTTACTTTGCCTGCTTTTCCGCAAGGGCTAATCTATCCGCGTCCGGATCATTCGCTAAAATCACTTTACAATCGTTTTCATCAGCAGTTTTCATCGCCAAATTCTATTTTTTAAAAAAAATTCCCAAATTTAATCAATTCTTTTTCTGCATTTCTCAATAATGAACTTACCAGTGCGCTTTTTCCCTCTTCTGGATTTGGGAATTGGACAGTTGTAAATTCGGGATCAACTTCGACTTGTTCTATCACAGGGATTGGTTTAGGCAAATTAAAAATCTCAAAGGCTTTCTGAATTGCTGGATATCCAACACCATGCATGGCTGTGTATGTAAATTTAACATCTGTTTTGCTATTTTCGTCTTTAAAATGGCACAAGCCCTCTAAATCCTTAATATAATTGGTGAAAGTTTCTTTATATACGTCGGTACAAAGATTATTGTCTGTTTCATCTAACTGCCAAACATTTTCCCACGGTTCCAAATTTTCAAGAATGCTCCTACTGATATATTCATCATGAGGTTCTATTATCTATAAAAGGCAAATACTAGATTAAAGTTTCCTCACGAACAAAAAGTAAAATTAGTTTCTTTTACTTGAGCACCATTAGAATAATACACTTTATAGCCGTTATCATCCTTTGGATTGTGTGATGCAGTTACCATTATTCCCCAATCGCAGCCTTTCGAAAGAACAGTATATGGCTGGAATGAGATTTTATTACTTTTAAAATAAAAGTGCATTTGCTAAGAATATTTACGACGAAAGGTGTTGGACATGTATGGGACATTGTATAGACTTTGATATTTTGTAACGTCAATACTCTGGCAACTCTTTGGGCGAACCTTTAGATGACAAATGATTAATTTTAATTTTTTTTCATTAGAATAATTAATCTAATAATAATACCGATGACTATTATGTCGGCCATCAAAGCCAATTACTACTCCATTCTTTCTTACATTAGGTGTTACTGTTAACATGTATTTTGCAAATCCTTGAGTTGTCTGGATTATTGTCAAGTCGTTCATCATCGAATATCCTGCACCCATTCTTGCTCTAAGACCAGCAGTACCAAATGCCATTCTTTTTAATAACCTATTATTTAGCTCATTTTCATTGTCATTCTGGACGAGTTTCTTAATTTCATCGCACGTGTCATCCCGCTATTACGTGGAACATTTTACGTTTATCGTATTGCATCACATTTAAATCGCTTTTTTTAAAGACAGATTATCACCTTATCCCATCTGATCCATTCTTCTATTTTATCATCTAGCTCTTTGTTACCAAATTTCTTGATGAACGCCATATAGTACTCTTGAATGTTTACAACGATTTACCACAGACTCGATTAAAAATGAAATCCATAATAATACTTAACTTCCGGTTACCAGGCTAATATATAAACCACCAATCAACATGTTTAGTTTGTTAGTAGATCTGCTTCCGACTTTTTATTGGCTATAAAATAAGCGAAATACGCATGCGTTGTAGCAGACGGCGATCAGCTTATCATCGAAAGATCGCATTGATTGTTAATAAACAGGAAATAGAACGTCAACGTCAAACATAACGCGTTGTCAATTCGTGATAATTTGATTAATACTGCAATTGCTATAGTACAATATGGAAGTTGGAGAAGTTCGTATTGCTGAAGATGAAGATTTCAATAAAGTTAGACAAATGTGCACGTGTCACGATGGGTAAGTGAATGAAAAAATTTAAATTATCAAGAAACAACAAAGTAATATTTATTTTCTCAACAGCTGGACAAAAGAGTATTGCAAAAACAATATCACTGTATGGAGTAAAGACAATGATGTATCAGATTTTAAAGTTATAAAAGTAAGCAAAAACTGTAATATTTTGATATGAGTCATTTTTAGCTGTTTTATTTTATTTCTTTTGTAAATAATGAATAATTTACATCCGTTAAATTAAATAATGTTATGTTTGTGGGTGGTTTTCAGCTAAAAGCTCATTTGGATAAAATTAGTGCTACTATGTTGTACGATACTTTGCATGATAGTAAATATCGCAAGTTATGGGATAGGAATATGATTGAGGGTTATGAAATATGCTGCCTTAATCCAAATAATGACATTAGTTATTATTCAAGTTAGTAGTAAGACCGTTTTTAAGAATGACTCTTTTTAATGACTAATATTTTACACCTGTAAACAGTCAGCACTCCTTCGCCCCTGAAAAATCGAGACTTTGTTTTACTTCGTTCATGGTTAGATATAGGAAGGGAAATTTTTATTATCAATCATAGTGTGAATCATGCGAGTGTACCTACAAAAAAGAATTTTGTGAGAGGTTTGTCTTTCATCACTGGATATTACATTGTTCCTGATGGCAAACCGGAAGAAAAAGGTTGTACACTCAATTATGTGACTCAAAGTGATCCTAAAGGTATACGATTTGTTTATTTGGTCATTAAGCTGCTTCAAATATTAGATAAGCCATCTTATTTATTTTTAGGTAAACTTCCGACTTGGGTAGTGAATAAATTATCGAAATTCGTTGCTCCAAAAATCGTTAAACGCCTGACAAAGGCGGCTTTAGCATATCCTAAATGGAAGGCTGAACATGAACCTCACTTTAAGCCTTGGCATAACCCGGAGCAGATGTCATATCTACCTAAGCTAAATTTATCAGATATTGGTTCTATTAACGACACTCTGAAAGCGTCTGGCGTTGATGAATCTAATGTTGCTGAGTCTGATGCGGAGAAAGTGTCTCAAAACGGAGATGAAGAAAGCGACTAAATCATCCGTTAAGATCTGCATGTTTTTTGAAATCTTTTTTAAAAGTATTATGTACATATTTCTTCTCGGATTACAAAAAGACACCTACTTCTATGCCATAGTTGAAGATAACTAAACATTCCTTTCTGCTTTCTATCAAATTGCTCAAGATATATGTACGTTTACTTTTGAGTCTTATATTTGGTTATGGAGGACGAGGTCAACAAATAAACTAATTCAAATAAATTTTTCTCGAGTTAGTTATTCATCTTTACAAATGGTCGATTGTTACCATACGTAAAGCACACACAGCCTGTACAAATTGATTAATTTCAATGAAAGATGATATGTAAAAGTAGAAAAAGGCCAATTTAGCATAAGGTACAAACTAACAATCTCAAACTATCAGATTGCATATTATTTTAAAAAACTAAGCGGTTTTAATAACGATCACGAAAAAAAATAGCATAGCTTACATCTAGTATAATAACATTAGGCAACATATAGAGCGAATTAGAGAAGGGGCGGAGAAGTGAAAGAGTTTATACAGCATATTGATTTTTATTTCGCTTTCGTTAAACCAAAGTTATAAGCGTATGGGAAATTATTTATAATTCATAAAAAAGTATCTTTAGCCTATTATCAAACGGTTTAAATAGTTTATTTAAAAAAAGAATCATTATGATTTATCAAACCATTTAGAACTTTTGCTTTTAATGCTTTGCTTATAATTATTTACGAGTTTATCAAATTTGTCACTCTCATAGTACTGCCTTTTCCTCTTCGCATTATTTACGGTCCCCAACTGAAAAATAGCAGTTTGTTTGATTATTAAATTTGACAATAATTTGTTTTAAATGAGTGAGAAGCCTTACCAATTGAGCATCCTCAGCAAAAGCTCTTTTTCTTTTCTCTTTCTTAGTCTTTTTTCCCTTAGTGGTCTCAGTTTGTCTGGGCTTATGCCTAACTTTAGCTCCTGAACGTTTAGGTAACACTAGTCCCTTAACTTTTTGCTTTTCAACAGGCGTCTTTGATGTATCTGTTTTAAAGTTTTTCGTTTTCTTTTTTGTTTGCTTTTCAGTCTGTTTGGCCAGTGCTCTTTGCTGTCTCTCTTCCCGGGCTTGTAGTTTTGCTTTATTTTCCAATGAGAATTCAACGATCGGACGCTGTATTTGATAAATAGTTTTAAAGAAATCAATTCATTTTTGCATTTTTCACATTTTACCTTGGAATCACCAAATATATCTGGATTGTTATTTAGGGTTCTCAAAGCTAATAAGGCATGCTCGTGCTCTATAAAATTTACAAAAGCGTAACCACGAGAGCGCCCAATTCCCTTACTATTCAATTTATTAAGATCTCTCATTATACGGCATTCATTAATTCGAGCTTTTTTCTCATCAATTGCTTTTAGAACAATTGTTTTAAGCTTCTTATCAGTCACGGGGACAGGTATATTATGGATACATAAACGAGTTGTTGACACGAATACATTGGGATCTTTCAGTTTTACTCTTTTTATCTGTTCTATTCTGGCTCTCTTCTGTAAATCGGCTGGTGTAATACCCTCAGCATCTTTCGTACCAGCTCTAATGAGACCTTCTCTAGCAAGCCATAAATTTCTTTTATCAACCTTTGCATTTTTTTTTTGCATGTCCGACTTAAGCTTCTCCGTATCATTTCTTGTAAGTGCTACGATTACAGATAGTTCTTTGTCATCGAGGAATATACCTCCTTGATCTGATTTATCATTCGCAATTCGAACACACTCATCAGCTGATAATTTATCTTTAAATTTAATGAATGCCATTCCTGGAATGATTGACAAAAACTATGTTAGATATTTTGCAAAATTCTACTTAAATTGGATAAAAACCTCTGCTGTGCTGTGTGGCTTTATCGACTACAATTCGACAATATTCGACTGTACCAAAATGTGTAAAGAGTTCCTTCAATTCTGCTTCATCAGAGTCCAGTGACATATTACTATAATGTGGCAAATGTAATATGTAAGATAATAAATTCAGAAATTACAGATATGCTCACCGAACAAAAACTGTTTTACCATCTTTTGCGTCATCATTTTTTTTATCCGACATATTAGCATGGGTTTTATCTGTTAAATATTTACTGGAGTTATTTTATGTAAACCAATTGAAATCAAGAGCACAAACCATCTGAATCGTCGTCCTCTTTATCACTCTCTTCATCAACATCACTTTCATCATCGTCCTTATCCGTACTTTCGGAATCATCAGCATCTTCATCATCATCATCCTCTTCACTTATATCTTCATTATCAACATCATCTTTGCTTATATAATCATCGTTATCATCTTTATTTTCCTCCTCCCTAATCTCTTCCTCTTTCTCAGGTTCATCTATTATAAAGCATTGAATCAATAGTAATTTACCTTCTCTGAATTATTTGATAATTGTAACACTTGTTTTCTCTGAAATTACCTGTTAAATTACCAACTGGTTGTCTCTTATTTAATTTTTCGAAACGACTTTTAGATAGAGAGAAATCTACAGCAATGGGTCTGCCTGGAATATAAATGAATCGTAAGAATAATAGCCTATTGATAATTAAAAAAGAGATAATTTTACCGTTTAGTTCTTGTCCGTTCAAAGCTTTTATAGCTTCAGCAGCTTCTTTTAAGTCAGAAAATTGAACAAAACCGAATCCTTTCGATTTTCCATCTAAATAGCAATAAAAGATATATAAGAGATATTCTTACAGGCATTGTATTATTTAAATTCAAAAGCAACCTTCTTTTTTGGGTAATGTGATGTCAGTAATTTCTCCATATGGTGAAAAGACGTTTTGCAGACTTTCTTCTTCACACTAAAACAAAAATAATTATGCTCTTTTTCCAGTTCAAGTATTACTCATTGAATTACCTTAAAGGGTAAGTTTCTAACAATCAATCTAGCACTCTTGGGATTTAACAAGGTTTTTATTTGTTTTTCCTGTCGTTTTTTGGCTAAAGTTGGATCTTGAGCTTTAATTGGAATGATTAAATTTAAATGAAGAATATTAGCAAAAATATTATGTTATTATATTTAAGGACGTATTATATGCAGATTAGTATATTTTTGTTTGTTCTATTCTGTAGGTTTTTAATTACAAAAATTTTCTATTTAATATGAAAATAATTGCATGAAAAGAATTTATATTTTAGTGTATAGATCAAGTCAATTTCCTTAATTTATTTTAATGTTAGACAACCTCTTGTAAATGTCTCAGATACAAAATCCAATTGACAAAAGCTTCTCTGTTTTCTGAATTATACTACAGGGTTTAATATCTTTTGTTTTAAATACAAAAAAAGTAATTAATCATTAATCCTATTATATACTGCATGCTGATATTTCTAGCCCCATATTACATTTTGTATTAAATATGGATCTAACGGCTTAGATATTTTTCCTTATTATTTTAGTTAGTGAAAATCCTGGTAGTAGGTTTCTGACTATAAACATCAGTTTGGTTTATTTCTAACAATTTTAAAAATGAAAAAATCAAACTATTTGATTTTGTAAAATAGCAGACGCTTTTCTTTTTACAGATATCTTAAATATTTAGCAAATTACGAGGGTTTCATAAAAGTATGACATATTTCGGCTTGATGTAATAGTATAATTTGAAGATTTACTTATAATTCATCATTTATTAAATTTAAATGTACCTTTTTTATCTTTCTTTGACTTCATTGTGTTCCAGTTACACTACCATACTATTTTCTACACGTGCTGATTTGGACATCCGGTTTAGGCGTATAATAAAAGCAGTATTGTAAAGAATGTTCTAATCGACTGTAAGTTATCAACTAAATAGTCTTTTTAAGACCAAAATCTAATAAATCAATATGAAAAAAATTCCAAATAATTCCATTTAATATATTCTGGAAAGTAAATGTTTAACTTGAAAAATTACTAGAATATATCCAAACTATACTTATTATCGCTAGTACAAGAATATTTAAAAATGTCAAAAATATTTTTCTCCATTTCTCATTTAAATCAGTGATTGACAATTCATAATTCTAATTTTGTTGTTGACCTCTACAACGACAAAATCGTGATTTGTTTTGACATAATCATCTATTTATCCAAGATTTGTTGTCGTAAATATTATCATAAAACTCTTTAATAATCTAAAATATTTAATGATTATTATCAAAAAATGCTATATTGTTGTTCTTTGGCTAGTTTAAATTTATCTATTCTTTTTGCTATAGTTTCAACGGAAATCGAAGAATCCGTATGAATATGAACTTAATAGAGAGGTAAAACCTTTTGTGTGCTCATTTGGAATACAAGATTTAAGCAAATGACCGTAAATTTGTATAAATTGTATATAAATAGTTTTTTGTTCGGTAGCCAAATATTATCTATATCTGTTATTTTTAAAGTATAAACTAACAACTCTTCAGAAGTAAAAAAAAATTCATTGGAAACGTATTTTGAAGTAAAGCAAAGACTACTTTTTTTTATATTTGTCATAAGGACTAATTATTTTGGTCATCAAAGAAACATTTTGATACTTATACCATTCGCTATAGAAAATTGTCAAAAATTTAGTCCTATTGATAAACGCCAAAATCGATCTCTTTACTGTTTTTCATTTTCAATTCTCTGTCGACTTTACAGCAAATAAGCCATTTGCCAACCTTTTTCGTTTCATTTTATCTAGTAATTAGATGCTTAGGTTCTTACTTATTAAACATTTAAAATACTTAAAATTCTCTTTGTACTTAGGTACGTTATAATAGATATTGCATACATTGATATATTTGAAAGACGATATATGGAGGAGACAAATCGATCTGGTATCATGTAAAAATGTATAAATGAGATTTTTATTACAAAAACAAATGACTCTTATGATTATAAGAGTGTACAACTAAATAAAAAGAGACTTATTCAACCGCCAGGTGTAACTTAGTCTCTTGTCAGACGAGGTGAGAGATATTCCCCACCCAACAATCTTTTCTCAATGCAACAAAACTATTAAAATATCAATTTATGAAGAAGGATGTACTGGTAAATTATAGCTCATTAACAAAATTTTGTTCAATCTAATAGAGAACAATTTGGGTAATTCAACAATGTATTTATCTAAATAGAACAATACTAAATTGTAGTATTACGAAATAGTATTTCGTCTCTTAAGTATAGCCGATTCAGTATGAATAACTATTACTTTAATAATTAAATTGTAATTAAATATAACGCGTGTGCTTACCTATAAGGTGCGGATTAGTTAACCTTCACTTGATCCTAGTTAGTACTCATTTTTTGCGAACTTTTTAGACTCGTTTGATCTTTTTTTTTTCTAATAAAAAGACTCTCATATGTAAGAAATAAGGGAATTTGATAAGATATTGATCTCTTAGACTAGGATTTAGAATGAAGAGGCGGTGCAAAATTGAAGTGTCACATTCAGTGACTTCAAAGATTTATATAAGCTTTTTTCAAACTTTTAAAACACATTTATTCTTTAATACTCTATTATCTCTTTTATATTCATAGAACTGAAAAGTAGTATTTAAAAGATCCTCCTTCTTTTTAATGAGATTTATAAATAGTGCAATAGTATACTTATGTAATTAAATTATAATAGATTCCATTAAAGCTGCTTTAAAAAAATGCTTTACCTGACGAAACTCATTTTATACCATTCTAACTTTAAGTAACTTTCAGATGGAAATAGATGAAGTATATAAACGTATTCAGAAATATAGCAGTGGGGATTTAACGAAAGCTTTAGAAAATGCCTCTGATATCAATCAAAAACACAAGCGGAACGGCGATACTCTCCTTCATATCACTTGCAGATTGGGTAGAAAAGATTTAGTGCAAATTTTGATAGAGTCATTCCATGCCAACCCTGAAATAGCAAATAATGATGGTAAACGCCCGTTACACGAAGCCTCTCAAAATGATCATTTGGATTGTGTTGAATACCTCTTAGAGCGAAAAGTATGTGTCGATTCTTTGAAAAGGGCCGATTGGACGTCGCTAATGTTGGCTGCTGTGAAATCGTCCTTGAACTTAATAAAAGTGTTAATCGATTATGGCGCGTCCACGAATGTTCGAAATAAAGATGGTTGGACACCAATTCATATAGCCGTACGTTCAGGACGTATTGAAATTGTTTCTTACTTTCTTACTATCGATAGTACTCTATGGGAAACGCGCAGCAATAATGGAAGAAGTATTTTACACACAGCTTGTATTCATGGGCATTGCGAAATGGTCAAATATCTTCTAAGAAAAACTGCAATAAGCGTTCATCTCAAAGACAGTTGTGGTTTAAATCCCTTAATGGATGCTGTAAAGGGAGGTTCCGTTGATATAATCGATCTTCTTGTTACAAATGGGGCAAATATAAATGATACTGATAATTTAGGGAAGAGTTGCATCCACATAGCAGCTCAAGCGAACCAAGCTGATGTCATAAAACATTTGATAAAGCATCACAATGTTGATATCAACGCTCAAACAACTGTAGGACTATCAACGGCTCTGCATATAGCCTGCAAAGAACACTTGAAAAATATCGTAAAAACATTATTAGAATTGGGGGCTAATCCAGCCTTAGAAGATTCCCGAAACCGAAAAGCAGAGGAAATTGCTAGAATAGTTGATGCGGCTGACTGCTTAAGTCTGTTAACTAATTAATTATACAGCTTTAAAATACACTTTTATAAGAGATATAGTTATTATATTTTGTTTTCTGCTTACTAAGCAAACTATAGTTACACTTACGCTAATCAAATAGAGGATAAAAGAGACATAGTCAATTTTTTTTGTAAAAAAAACTATAAGATAAATGATATATTTCTTAGTATAACAGGCTATCCGATTGGTATTTCAAAGATTATACTCTAGTGAGAGTACTTTAGCGTAAATTGTTTAAAATTTGAAGCTAAAGAAAGTACCTGAATTGGGAAACTAGTTCTACATCTTCGTTGCACTCAAGCGAATATTTCAAATTGTTTCTTATCTTTTAAATTTAACAATTTAACCTAAAACACAATAATTTTTATTCGAACAAGGTAAAACAGCAAAATAAGTAACAGGTAAAGAAATAATTTCTCTATACGATAATTTTTTTAGGAAACGCCCGAACACGTGACTTTTGCAAACTTTGTTCCGTGAGTACGTTTTATTTTTAAAGGTGTAGAATATCGTTGAAACATAGAAATCGTGAAAATTAGTCGATAAAAATTTCTTCATAGCACCTCAGTCTTCCGCGTGATTTACTTCTAAGAGATTCGGTGTCGTTACTTCAACGTTTGGAGTGGGTTGAACGGAAGTACGAATTGCCGTTGCAGGATCCCAAAAGAAAGTGTAATAAACAGCTAGAGCTATGGCAGCCAAAGACACAGCTAATACATATGCTAATATTGTCATAAGACGAACTGATTTCGTTTGAGCTTTCGACGACATTCTTCTCGGGCATCGTCTAATTCTAGCTGACCAACTTACACGCCATCTGCCTTTTGTATTAAACACTAGATGTCGTACGATATCTTAAAGTTATCGGATGATAAGATTTTCAGATTCTCATTAGATATGTTACCAACAACTGAAAAAGACTATAATCAACGCCGAATTTCGCCTTTTATAAAGGGTGCTTTTGGCTTAATCCTAACAGCCAGTATTGATATGCTAATAGGATTTTCCACATCATATTGGGCAACTTGGGAAAAAATAGAAACTCGATCATACGGAGGCTATGGACTATGGAAAATGTGGTCATGCTCTCCAAAAGAATTAGGTGATGGCGAATATAGCAGAAACACTTTTACCTGCTCATATAAATTAGCAGGTTGGTTTGAATTCCCGGGATGGTATGTTACAACGCAAGTTTTCTCCTGCATTGGTTTCGCTGGAATGCTTCTTACTGTATTTGGTTTGGCAATGTATATATGCAGAGTATCTCTTCGAACTCAGAGAACTATATCAGTTTTGATAACAATTGGTCATTGTTCTGGTTTTTCACTTCTAGTCAGTTTGGCAATATTCGGTTTTAAAGTTGTGTCTGATATTGACGCGAAAAAGACAACTGAATGGTATCTCAGTTGGTCATTTACATTAATTTGCACAGCTTTTGTATTGAATGAAATTGCCGCTTCAGTTCTTGCTTCGGAAAAACATAAAATTTTAAAAGATCAGAAAGACACACAAAAACTTGAAGAAGATATGAGAAATGTATTGACTAAAATTTCATCGTTTCAAACCAAATAAATTACCTTTTATAACTTTAGGAACACGTCTAATTGTAAGAGATACTCTTGTAGACCGTTTTATAATACTACCAACAGTTACTTTACTTTCATCACAATTTATTACCTTGTCCGTTATAATATCCTCGCAGTTTTCTTTAATTCCGTGCAAATACTTATTATACATATCGTCTTTCACTAAAATTAAACTTCGAGGTTGAACAAAAATAGATAAAAAATGTCGCTCTTCAAATTGCGATGATTCCGTTTCACACTAAAATAAAAGAGGAAATAGTTAAATTCATCAAAATATTGAAAATCTATTTCAATTACTTCTACTCCCTCATTTAAGGGTTGATAAAAGTCTAATAGAGTATGTGAACCGAGAGATATTGTTGAAACGGTCGGCCAATAGAGCGATCCGTCTAGGTGGGGCTGTTTGAATAGAAATTTTTAGAGGTTTTAACGAGTTGTTCTTTATAATACCATAATTCCTTGTCCAGCAGTGTATTCATTAACCAAAACATGATTCGGTTTGAGATTATTAAAAGCTCCGCAACCGGCAATTTTTTCCATATACGTCGTTAACCACTTAAATAGAATATTAAATAATTTGTTTATCTATTCAATTGTTATCTAAAATATTTACGTCTGGAATATTTTCAGTTACCATTCCTTTCTCGTGCGGTAATCCACCTAAGATAAAGTTTAGTTTGATAAAGTACTTTAATAAATTTGTAGGCGAACATTAACCCCAATTTTGTAAACGTCTATGCGATAGTTGAGTCCATTTTGGTTTGGGTACATTGTTTACTTTCCTTAAGAGAAATTCTTCCTCGTCTTCAGATATAAAATTCGGAATATAATATATGGTATCCGGTGCCTGCAGAACGATTATAAAAACCTTAACGAAAATTTTGTTGAAGTTTGAAAATCTAAAGTTTCTTCTTGACATTATCGTCGAGTTACGAGTATAATGATTTAATATGTGCTGAATTATAAATAACGATAAAATGAAACTTTACCGATTTCAAACGAAACTCTTCCAAAGAGAATTCTTTCTCAGCTGATTTCTGCCCGTTTTCTGCCATGCTCTATGTAATATTTCGCTTTCTCTCCTCATGTTTTGCTATTCAAATTATTGATTTAAGACTTTAAATGATGGAGATAATGTTAAATTGAATTAAAAATTGAAGTGAAATGGTTTGTAGTCATTATTGATTGTAGACTTAGACTTTTCGGTAAAGTAATTATCATAGATTAAAAAGGCTTCTCTATTGTCGCTCAAATATTCTTTGTGCTGATGGCTCTTGGTACCTAGGGTTTAATTAAAATATACTTTGATGTTCTTTACGTTTGCTGTAGAATATAGTATTTTACTTAAAGAATTAAAATTTCTTAAATAAAATGATTTAGTTTGTTGCTAACAACAATCTAGTGAAACATTAATAAATTCATTTCCCAAGTAACATTCTGTTAATAAGACAAAAATTTTACATTGTAGATGACTGTAAATAGATATATGAGTAGAACTATTTGTTCCTTTAACTAATCAATTTAATGTGGTTTTATATATAGCGTTTAGCATTGAGTGGTGACGGTCGGAAACCCGGCTCAAAGGGTCGGCAAGATTACGTTCACACTGATATTCTGACTCCAAGGACTTTTCATGTAAGTATAGTACTGATTCAACCTTTTTACTCGAAACGGTTAAGAGTTTTGAAACCAACGATCTTTTTCTATAAATAGAATAAAACTTTTTTTTACAAAAACTGCCTTATATGTTTTGAAAAGATTTATTTGTAAAAATTCAAACAGAGTCAGTCAAAACGTAGTGTCAGGTTTATGATATGTTTTGCTTATGTGTTCAAATTTAGAAAGAACAAAATAGCAATATTTTTATAGTATATACTTGTGTATACAGCATATACAATACCTAAATATATATATATATATATTTGAACACGAGTATTCAAATTTTTCTTGAATAGCATATTAGATTTAAATAATCAATAGTAACTGCAAATTTCTCAAAGAAGATAATAAGTACGCTTTCAGCAGTTAAACCCTTATGAATAATTTAATATTCAAAACAGCTGGTCATATATACATTCTGAAAATTTCAGAGCATTTCTATGTAATTTTATATTTTTGGAAACCTCTGAAACAAATAAACAAATACATAACACTGATATTTTCACGCGGTGTTTTTTAAATCATATATTTACCAATCATTCCGCTTATGCCTCTGTTAAAAGTACATAAAAGAAATCTTTTCTAAGTCACTGGGACTGTTCAACCAATCAACATTCACCTATCTTTTCAAATTTTTTCAACATGTGTAACATAGTTTTAGTTTGGTGGCTCGTAATGACATGTTCCGAGCAAACAGTAGCCTTAGGCAATTGTCAAAATATGATCGGATTTGGGTAAATTTATAACGCCTATATTTCATTTAGAAATTATTAATTCAAATGTATTCATAACGGGTATATATTTGCTCTTTTTAGGTTGAACTTGTTGAAGCAGCAATACAGAGGAATACACTTATCTTCTCTGGAGAAAATGAAGATACACTTGGTAGAATTTTTATAACGGTTACATTGCTTAGACATTTTGGCAGATTTGTTCGAAATTGTCGAAAAATTAGCGTTCTTTTGGTTGAAAATGGTAAGTTTATTTAATTATTGTAGTAAGTATTGGTACGATAAAATTTACTGGCAACATATTTATACAAATATTGCCGTTAAGTTTTTAAGTATTCTCACCATTTTTGTGTTTTTAATTCAACTGTTCAAGAGAATGCTTTTCATTTAAAATAGTTACCTGACCGATTTGCTTTGTTAAATGAAATATAGATTTTAGCATTCACTTGTTAAAATATATAGAGAATAAATAGAAAAAAATAAATATAGAGAGAATTTGAAATATCTACCAGAACGAATAGCAAATCGCCTCTGGAGATGTGTAAATTCAATTTTTTTGCCTAAAGTTAATATTGCTTCGAGGGTATAAATACTACAATTGATTATTTAAAACAGACTTTATTAATACTTATGTTTGTCAGAGCACACAGAATATATCTAATACTTTCCATATACTTTTGATATCTCATATATCTCTGCAGTTTTATACATGGAGATATAAACCGAATTTTTAGTAACAATGGATAATGTTTTCATCCCGAAGACATTTGAATTTTTTTTCAATATTATATTTGAAGGAAATGTATAGTTTTTGACTAACTACTAACGGAATGATAATATATTTTGTAGTTTATATACTACACAGTGTATGCATTATTTGAATAATCTAATATCTGCTCATAAAAAATCTTTTATTAAATACTAAACTACTATATACAGTATATAGGAGAATGATATATGCTGATATTTTGGCTATTATTATCTGTAATGCGAACAACTAAATCAAAAAATCATTATTTGTTCATCAAACTGATTTAGTAAAATAACAACTTGACCATATTTTAGTCTGATATTTTAATATTCCAAGACAGCATCTCATCTTTTTAATATTATTATTCAGCATAAGATGTAAATGAATTATTCTATTAAAATGAAAGTTATAAAAACTAAAGAAAACAGTGTATCCTACTATTTAAACAATAGAGTTTAATTATACCTTAGCATACAACACATTTGCAACTGTTGAAATATAGTAGTAATGTTATTTATAATAGAATAGACCTATTTATAATAGAATTCTTTGTTAATTGACTAGAAGTCGCACAAATTTGATTATAATGAATAAATTTTTTCAAAATAACATGCATTAAATTTATTTTTACACTATTTTAAGCATAAATACTTTTATATGGATAAATATACTCATATATGTAACCATAATAGACTATATCAGTATATATTTTCGGGGACTATGATCATTTCAATTTATATAAGCCTATATAGTCTATAGGGAATTTTTTTTGGTAATGTTACATTAATGGTAGACTAGTATGATATATTTTCTATTTATGATTAATTTTAGATCAAGACATATACTGTATATAAAGAATCAGCTCTTTTTATTTATATTTATGAGTATATTTTTTATATACATTAAAATATTGATTATAATCTATTTTTAGATATCTATTTTACTGATTTTACACATATTGTTTATATTATTAATCTTTGTTTGAAAAACAAATTCTAAACAAAAACTCTCTTTCCTTTTATTTTTACAGATAATATTGTCAACCAGTTCGAGGACGTTATTGGTATTCACTCAAACTTACGGGTTTGTAAATTACCTAGTGATGATCAACTTAGTAAAAATGAACATGAAAGCGATCTATTGTTTGAATATCAAGTTTTTATATGTAAACCTGAAGATTTGCTCAAATTTATTCAAAACGGCCTCTTATCTTTAACTGATATTTATGTTTTGGTTTTATATGATGCTCGACAAGTTTTATCCAGCGAACATCCTTATGCCGAGATTATGCGCAAATACAGATCGTTGAATTATGATGAGAAGCCAAGAGTTTTAGGACTAGATAAATCAGTTCTTGCTTGCTCGTTTACGGAACCCAAGGAATTGCGGTGTAACTTAGACGATCTAGAAGCAGCATTAGAATGTCGATGCGAAACTGCCACTGATGAAGTTTATACTGATTATTATGGTGCAAGACCAACCGTTCAGCTACACGATTGTTCTCCAGTTTCCGATTCAAACGAACTTTACCAAGAGATGATGTCTATTATCAACAACGTCCTTGGATATGTCCAAAATATACAACCAACGGAAGAGGACTCAGCAGAAGACTCCACAGCAACTCCCAAAACTGTGTTTAAGGAATGTTTGAACGTTTTAACAACTCTTGGTACTTGGTGTCTTGCAATTGTAGCAGAATCAATGTTAAAACAAGTATGGAAATTAGCCAAAATGGAAAAGAAGGATAAACATAAGCAACTTTTGCTGCTCACACAAACCAATTTAGCTTTGCTCTATTCAATTGGATGGCGTCACTTCGAAGAACGGGTAAATAGTAAAGAAGATTTTGAAGAAATGATTTCACCTAGAGCTCTTGCGCTCATCAAAATTTTAAGTAAATATGAGCCAACTCAAAAGTTTGTTATTCAAAGTAAAAGTGAAATTAATGAAGAAAAGAAAAAAGAAGAATACGAAGAGGAAAATTATAAAGATTCGGACTCAGAAGGAAGTAGTTACTCTTTTGGGTCGTCCTTAGACTTTTCGGACTACGAAGATGAGACTGCTGAAAAATATGTTGAAAAAAATATCGATTCAGATAAACCACAATATATAGCTCGGCTTTACAATTCCGATGAAAAACGTGATGAAGAGAACCTTTACGGTGTTGTTTTCCTTGATCGAAGACACTCTGCCTTTGCTTTGAATAAATTGGTTACTGAACTATGCAATTGGGATGCAAGTCTTTATTTCATTCACAGTGCATATGTTAGTGGTAATAAGGGCGAAGATGTAATGAGACAATTCCGTTTAAAAAATCTGAATTTATTATTTGCGACGAGTTCCCTTCCAGCAGGAGCAGATCTTCCAAAATGCAATTTAGTAGTTCAATTCGATCCACCAATAGACTTTAAAATGTTTGTCCTAAGTAAGACCAAGGCTCAGGCAAATAAATCAGCTTATCATATTTTAACTGATAATCGCCTACACGATAATTTCCCAGAGACTTTAGAAAACTTTAAGGAAATAGAGGAGATTTTAACTAGCAGATTAAGAGAAAAGGATAACAATAGAGAAGGTATAGGGGAGGAATGTGAAAATGACGAATATGATCCTCTTATTTATGAAGAAATAGTCAAACCGTATAGAACTGAGAAGGCGTGTGTGACTCTGACCTCCGCAACTGCCTTGGTAAACAGGTTAGTAAAATAGCCTTTTTCATTATTAGTAATTTAAAACAACTTTTAAACCACTATTTGTTGAATTATCATGCTTAAATTACCCGTAGGTACTGCGCTAAACTCCCAAGTGACGCCTTCACTCAACTCTCCGCTTCTGCTGTTATAGAGCAAGTCAATAATGTTAAACCTATATTTGTTTGCCAACTACAATTACCGATTAACTCACCCATCAAATTGCCAATAAGGGTAAGATTTCCTCTACAATTAAATATGCAATATAGTAGGTATCTATTTTACTAAAACAGAATAAAAATGTTTTTCTTTTCAAAGGGTGAAGAAATGCCAACAAAAAAACTTGCTAGAATGTCCGCGGCCTTAAAGACTTGTGAAATATTACATAAACAAGGTGAACTTGATTCCTCTCTGGTACCGGTTGGAAAAGATTTAGTTCGATACGAGAGCGATGAAGATGAGCTAGAATGGTCTAATACACACGCCCGTCCCGGTTCAAGTAAACGAAAACAACATTACGATAAATTAATCGCTTCTTGTTTACAAACACCAGTTTCTAACGGAACTGAAATTTGCTGTTTGTATAGCATTGACATGACTCTTACAAGACCCATAGATGAAGCCCAGAATGTTAGAGGGCGAAAGATTTATATGCCTCAAAGCACAGATAAATGTTTCGGTTTCCTAGTCAAGCATCGCTTGCCAAACTTACCCAGCTTTCCCGTATTTACAAGATCAGGCGAAGTAACTGTATCTTGTAATTTAATAAACGATCGAATTCGTGTGACTAGTGATCAACTAAAGATTGTTACTAGCTTTCATTATGCAATTTTTCGAAAAACACTTAGATTGGGAAAAGATCCTATGTTATTTGAACCAAAAGAATCACCAAGTTGCGCTTTAATCATCCCTTTAATCGGAAAAGAATCTGAAATTGAATGGGAGTACGCGCAAAAAGTAATAGACTTTTACGATTCAAATGCTGATATTATAGAAAAGAAAGACTTCATATTTGAGAAGGAAGTATTCGAAGATGCAGTTGTCATGCCTTCTTACAGGAATAAGGACCAGCCACAGCATTTTTATGTAGCAGAAATTCGTACAGATTTATCACCTAAAAGTCCATTCCCCTCAGATTCCTTTGATAGTTTTAAAGAGTATTATGAAGTGAAATACAATTTGGGAATAAGCGATCTTAAGCAGCCGCTCTTGGATGTCGATCATACATCAGTAAGACTCAATCTACTAACACCTCGATATGTCAATCAAAAGGGTAGGGCGTTACCAACTAGCAGTCTAGAGACAAGAAGAGCCAGACGAGAATCCCTTCGACAGAAGCAGATTCTCATTCCAGAACTTTGTCATGTTCATGTGTTGCAAGCTTCTTTATGGAGGAAAATGGTTTGCCTGCCAGCCATATTTTATAGAATGAATTCTTTATTGTTAGCAAGTGAACTTCGAAATCGAATATCTAAAAAGGCAGCTATTGGTGTAGCTAATGTTCCAGAAGAATATCAGTATCCTGCTCTAGAATTTGACTATTCATTAGCACCACCAATCAACTCTGATGACGAGTCAAACTTTTCACCAGAAGTTCAAGAAAGCTTAAATTCCTCCATGTCGAGCGAGACTCAAGAGATTGTTTCTTTCAAAGACCGAATTGATGTTGACACGTGGTTGGGCCCGTCTCCGACAGACCTTTTACAAGCTTTAACTATGTCAAATGCTAACGATTTTTTTAATTTGGAACGACTGGAAACAATAGGGGATTCCTTCCTAAAGTTTGCTGTTACTGTCTTCTTATATTGCAGACATCCAGGTATACACGAAGGCAAATTAAGCTATTTACGAAGTAAACAAGTATCCAATTATAATTTATATAAACTGGGAAAACGTCACAAGTTGCCAGAGTGTATGGTAGCATCAAAATTTGAACCAGGAGAAAATTGGCTTCCTCCTGGATTTGTTATGGGCACTTACAAGGAGCTTGATGTCCACTTTGGGCCCGAAAATAGTCATAGTGAGAGGACTGTTATTACTTATTATCTTCAGACACAACATAGTTTACCCGATAAAAGTATTGCGGACTGTGTTGAGGCACTGATAGGTTGTTACTTGAATTCTTGCGGTCAAAAAGCTGCTATTCGTCTCATGTCTTGGTTAGGCTTGAAGGTAATTGAAGAGAGGGAAAATTCTAAATTCTCGCCGCCAAGTCCACTTTTAGCTCATGTTCCAAGGGCAACTAATATTTTAGACAATCTTCTGGATGGTTTTGAAGAGTTCGAAAGAATAATCGGTTATCAGTTCAACGACAGGGCTTATTTACTCCAGGCATTTACTCATGCAGGTTATCACTATAATAGTGTAACTGATTGCTACCAGAGACTGGAGTTTCTGGGGGATGCAGTTCTTGATTATGTTATTACGAGACACTTATTCGAAGATAGACGGAAGCACTCGCCCGGTGTTCTTACTGATCTCCGCTCTGCCCTAGTTAATAATAACATGTTCGCTTGGCTTGCAGTTGCTTGGAATTATCATAAATTTTTTCGAGCTATTTCTCCACAACTTTTCGAAGTAATTAATAAGTTTGTTGCGTGGCATAGATCACATTCGGACCAAGTTCTCTTGGATGATAATCTGGGTCTAGAAACTGATGAAGGTCACGAAGCTCAAGATATTGAAATTCCAAAAGCTCTGGGTGATATTTTCGAATCCGTTGCTGGAGCAATTTACTTAGATTCTAAGATGTCCTTGGATGTTGTATGGCAAGTCTATTACAAATTAATGAAGACACAAATTGACGCTTTCACTGAGAGTATACCAAAATCGCCAGTGCGCGAGCTGCTAGAACAAGAACCCGAAACAGCGAAGTTTGAACGTCCGGAAAGAACGATCGATGGTAAAATACGCGTAACTGTAACAGTTATCGGAAAAGGTCTTTATAAAGGAATAGGAAGAAACTATAGAATAGCAAAGAATGCAGCAGCCAGAAGAGCCTTGAAAGAAATTCGAATTCTCGAGGCATTCTGGGCAAATAAAGAAAAGACTATTATTAAAAACGAAATTAATGAAGGGAATGAAGAAGAGTAATTTCTTTAACTCGACTATCCAAAAAAAACATGATGTGATATTATAAAATACACAAACATATCTTATTGAAAAACAAGATATGTAAACTTACCTCAATTCCAAATGACCATAAACTATAAACGAACGGAAAAAAAAAGAATGAATACAGCATGCAAATAGTATCATTGCAAAAGACTATTTATGTTGCAAATAATCGTTTTGCTTCAAATCTCTAGCCGTATTTACATTTTCTATTTGTGTCATCAGTATTACTTGTCGTTTTTGAGCCTTTTCCTTGCTATTACCAATGTTCTAATTTTGGAAAAAGCAACGAAAAATTTTATCATCTGTTATCTGTTTTGCTTTATATAGATATTGAAAAAAGAGGGTCCCTCCCCCTTGCCTTATTTCTCCCCTTTTGTTATATTGTTTGACATTTTAATGTTAAGCTATGACTAAATCAACATTAAAAATAGGATTGTTAGAAGCTATTGAATATACAACTTAAAAAATGTTGAAGTTATTCATATACTACTAATATATAACTTATTTATTAGGCCTCTTTTAGATATTTTTATTTCCACACTATTCTACACATTTGGCACAGCGGGAATTTCTTTTTTTGACTTAAATCAAAACTTTATTATCATCAAGTTATTAGCTTTGAGGCCAATATTTTTTATTAAAGACAGTTTTTGCTTTAATATTCTTCGTTCTCTTCTTCACCTTCTCCCTCAACGGAGTCGACACCGACTTCTTCGTAGTCCTTCTCGAGAGCAGCCAAATCCTCACGGGCTTCAGAGAATTCTCCTTCTTCCATACCTTCACCGACGTACCAGTGGACGAAAGCTCTCTTGGCGTACATCAAGTCAAACTTGTGATCCAAACGAGCCCAGGCTTCGGCAATAGCAGTAGTGTTGGACAACATGCATACAGCTCTTTGTACCTTAGCCAAGTCACCACCTGGTACAACAGTTGGTGGTTGGTAGTTGATTCCGACCTTGAAGCCAGTTGGGCACCAGTCTACGAATTGGATGGTTCTCTTGGTCTTGATGGTGGCGATGGCAGCGTTGACGTCCTTGGGAACAACATCACCTCTGTACAACATACAGCAGGCCATGTATTTACCGTGACGGGGATCGCATTTTACCATCTGGTTGGCGGGTTCGAAACAGGCGTTGGTGATTTCAGCAACGGACAATTGTTCGTGGTAGGCCTTTTCGGCAGAGATTACTGGAGCGTATGTGGCCAAGGGGAAATGGATTCTTGGGTATGGTACCAAGTTGGTCTGGAATTCAGTCAAATCGACGTTCAATGCACCATCGAACCTAAGGGAGGCAGTGATGGATGAAACGATTTGACCGATCAATCTGTTTAGGTTGGTGTATGTTGGGCGTTCGATGTCCAAATTTCTTCGGCAGATATCGTAGATGGCTTCGTTGTCAACCATAAAGGCACAATCGGAGTGTTCCAAAGTGGTGTGGGTGGTCAAGATGGAGTTGTATGGTTCAACAACAGCTGTTGAGACTTGGGGAGCAGGGTAGATGGCGAATTCCAATTTGGATTTCTTTCCGTAATCAACGGAGAGACGTTCCATAAGGAGAGAAGTGAAACCAGATCCGGTACCACCACCGAAGGAGTGGAAGATCAAGAAACCTTGAAGACCGGTACATTGGTCAGCCAATTTTCTGATTCTGTCCAAAACCAAGTCAACGATTTCTTTACCAATGGTGTAATGACCTCTGGCGTAGTTGTTGGCGGCATCTTCTTTGCCAGTGATCAATTGTTCGGGATGGAACAATTGTCTGTAAGTTCCGGTACGGACTTCATCAACTACGGTTGGTTCCAAGTCAACGAAGACGGCACGTGGAACGTGCTTTCCGGCTCCAGTTTCCGAGAAGAAGGTGTTGAAAGAATCGTCTCCACCTCCGATGGTTTTGTCACTGGGCATTTGTCCATCTGGTTGAATTCCGTGTTCCAAACAGTACAATTCCCAACAGGCGTTACCGATTTGTACACCGGCTTGTCCGACGTGGATAGAAATACACTCCCTCTATAGGAAGAAATATAATAAGGTTAATAGATAAGAAAAATATTCGGACAAATAAAACTATATGCTCAAAAAAACCCAAAATTACTTACCATGATTGAGTAATTTAGGTTTCAAAGTAAATAAACTTGAAGAAGTACGTTGTAAAGGAACGAAGTGGCTCTCGAAGCTGACCGTGAGTCTGCAAGAAGAGATACCAACTAATGGTAAAGAATGCTAACAAACAGAGGCTTTTTATAGTAGGTAATGTTTGTTGTCGGAAACTAAGGATACGGAGACTAAGCGACCAGACGGGAAACTCGTTCCGTCTTTAAATCTTATCAGGTTCAATATGTGCCGGAATTCGGTATTGGAGACGATTATTATTTAATTTATTTATGATAAGGAACTTCGTGTACTGACTTGTTTAAATACTTACCGCTTAGAAATTTTCTGAACAAAATGTGTTCTTTCTCGACGACTTGTCGTTGAGTTCTTTATTATTATTATCAATATCTTTGGTACTACTAAGATAAACTGAGTACTTGTTAATTGAATTTAACTCAAATCAGCTATGTTTTCAATACTTTGCTCTTATGTCTGAAACGAAACAGTCATTTGCAATTTACGTATTAGACGCTTCATTAACCTTTTAAAGTGATGCGTCTATTTATTTTAATTCTATATTTTGTGATATTTTGATGTTTAGCTCTTTTTTGTTGATTTATTTCTATCGTAACTAACGTCGGTTGTTAAGAGGTTAAGAGTACGACTCAATTTTTAATAGGCCTAGGTTATCAGCCATATTTTCCCTTTTGAACTGAATTAATACCACCTGCAAAGGTTTTTTTTTATGTATAGTAGAGGAATTCTGTATTCTTGTAGATTGAAGGAATTTCTCTAGTATCAGTTTGTAAGCTAAGAGAAAAAAAAATCCCTTATTATACTAGATAGAAAATTCTTTCATTTCAGAAGCTTTGAAGATAAAAATACATTATTTTAGCCACCTATCGGATAAATGAGTAATATTTACTTAGTACAAAATGAACAATGAAAGAGGACTGTAAATCAATGCTAATAAGATATACTGTCAAATTTTTATCAACCTTTCATGCCGGGTGATCACGCCATATGCTATTTACCCTTTCCTATATTCATACTTAATTATGTCCATGTCGACCCCCATTTGTTCTCTTCTACGACAGGAGACTAAAATAAGATGTAACTTGCTTAGAGGCTTTGAAAAAAATTTCCTGCTGTATATTAGAGTTCTTTTCTAAAGAACATAAACAAGAAAATAGCATACTTTACCGATTCTTACTCCATTACCCCAAGAGGATAATCGTCTCCTGTTTTCAAATGGATAAAACAGACTCGACTTGATAAGTTAAACAGCATATTTACAAACGTAGCTTGATTGATAGACCTATAAAGAGTTAATGGGCACTCTTACATAAAATATATCTGTAAACTATATATTCTAGATATTCTATACATCTTCAAAAAGATTCCACAAGAACGATTACTGTTAAAAAAAATCCAATGAGAAATATAACCCTCTTGTTTATTTAGGGATTATTTAATTAGCATAGCAGAGATATGCCTTTTTATTCATGATAAGAAGGAAAGGAAGAGAGTGTGTAATGTGTATGCGCGCTTGTGTATGTATATGTTAACAATATCAATTATCTATAACTGATTTCTTTTTTAATTGAGATAGTTTATAATACAAAAAACCAAACTTTTAAGTCATTTATCCTATTCAAATTAACTTTCGTAATTAATTTCTAACTAAATTAATAAGACAATTAACCCAAAAAGTATAATGTTACTTAGTTATTCATTTGAATTATTTCTTATTTTTCTTTTTTATTAAAAAATATTCCAAAATTTTTATACTGTGTTTGGACAGAAGAAACGAACGGTTTCCCTTTTTCCTCTTTCTCATCTATTAGCGACAAAATTGTTCTGGTTGAATGAACTTTTTTCCTATGGAATTTCAATTTCAACTTTTCCACTTGCTACCACTTGTAGGGAAATCATGGCGGAAAAATTTTACACGGTTATTTACTAATAGGTAGAAATTTTTAGTTAAAGTTTGCTCTTTAGTTTAGGTTTAATGTGAGAAAATTGAGAGGAAATGTTCTTGTTATACGCTGTTAATGTAATAGGAAAAAATATGATTAAGTGAGTTTGGCGTAAAGGATGGGGAAGAGGGAGAGCAAATCGGGAAGAAAAGAAAAGAGATATTGCATAATACCGAAAAGGTTGCTAGTGTCAAGTCATAGGGGGGAAGGGAGTGAGAGAAAAAAGAGAGATAATTATCGAAGTTTCTTTAAACTATCATTCTCCTTGACTCTATTATTCATGTGTTTCTGTATTTCACTCTGCCTTCAATCGTCATTAAACTTCTCTTTCAATTTATGAGATTCTTTGGCCTAAGGCCGAAATATATCGATGTAGATTAGCATCTAAATTCCAAGATTTTTTGGGCAGCTCCAGTGATGCAACACGCGAAAAGAGATGTATGTAGATATATTATAGTAAATAACACTGATAGATAGAGAGAGAGAGGCTGCAAATGCTATTCACCTTTGCAAATGTAGTATTTGAAAAGTTTATGAATGCACATTTACTTTTACTATCCGACCCATTAATAAAAATCGCCTTTAGGATCAGTTAAACAAGTAGGCCTAAGAACTGAGCGAGGGGACCGGATTCAGCTGATTACTTTAGTAAAGTTTACTCTTTATCGAATTATTCTGGGCGGCGTCTGAAAAAAATCTATTTGATTGTTACCGATACGTAGGAGTCTGGTTTTACTATTTGTCACGTGTTTGGAGTATAATAATATTGTTTTGTTGATTGTTATTTGACTGTACAAACACGCATAATTGGATATGTAATCTAATAAACAAATAGAATACATAACTATATAAATGACACTGCTCTTTGCGGTTTAGTCTCAAAATATATATATATATAAAATAATATATAGCAGGAGGATGCGCACTTTTATAGGGGAAATGTAGCTTATTGAAGAGCGGAAAAGTAGGTGTATTTATATGCTGCATGATATTTGTGTATATACGTTGCTCAACATTCGTTGAGGGAATAGGATTGCATTGATGCACAATTGCCATTTGCACCCCTCTTTTTAGCCGAATCGAATATGTTTGCCGATAAAATCGTCTCTTCTCCGATTGCTAATACTCTTTCGTCAGTTTTACCTCGTTCTCTGACAGCTTAAGAGTGATGTATCACGGTTTTAACAATTCCAGCTGTTTACTGATATTCCAGTACATCTGCTTTCCACAGCTTTATGTTTTTATAACTTTTAATTAAACAAATTCACACATTTTTTTACTTTCTTCCTATTTTCCTTCCATCACTGATTATTTTCAATCGAATTCTGATTTTTTTTATTTATGATTTTAACGATTTTCTTCGATTATGAGTAATATGACAAGCGTTTATGAGAAAGAAGTTTGGTGGGAGATTGAGTAGATTTCAATTAGCTTCACAGTAACGTTATAGCAATAAACTTCTGCATTGTAAACACATGGCAGTTTCGAATTACTAGAATAAATCAATTAGAACGATAGAGTGTACGGTGATGGTACTCGGGAAACGTCTAGCTGACGTTTTTTTTCAAGAAAATGACGTCCATCAAAGAAAGACACTTTTGCTTCTTCTTTTTCTTCCGCACTTTAGATATTTTTCCCCCCCGAAAAGGGAACTGTAGTTTACTTCTCCGTTATTAATATTTTTCATTTATTTCTAATAAAAAAGTGAAGGACTGTCCGATTAGAAAATCAAATAGTGGAAAAGTAGGGCAATGCTATTAATTAATTTTTTCAACAAAGTGTTTAGGATGTTGAATGAAAAATAAAAAGCGGGCTCCGACAAAAAGGCGCCACATATAATTTGCATATGTGCGTAGCGCATGCGCTGACGAATTTTCTTTGTGCAAACTAGCCTGGGGCACGAGTTCGGCAATGAACAATACGACGCATGGAAAACCGTTAGCTTTAATTATTGTTGGATACTTCGTTCCTGTTATTTTCTTCCTCATCTTCATTGTTGGAGTTATAGGAAATGGAAGTCTTGTACTCATAATTATTCGCAATAAGATTTTACACAACGCTCCAAATATTCACATAGTTTCGTTGGCCTGTGGAGACCTGCTTCTCATAATTATTGCCGTCCCATTTACAGCTACAATCTTCACTTTCGACAGTTGGCCCTATGGAACAGTTGTCTGCCAACTTAGCGAATATCTGCAAACTCTCTCTGTAGGAGTCTCCGTGTTCACATTGACAGCGCTAAGTGCTGACCGTTACAATGCTATCGTCAACCCAATGAAGCATGTCAAAAAGGTATCACCGGTTAAATTTGCTTTAATAATTGCCTCCTTAATTTGGTTATTGGCAAGTCTGTTAGCTCTACCTGATGGAATCTTATCAGATGTGGAAATTACAAATGTATCAACCATATCTTTTTGCACTAGATACCCAAATTCTCAGCCCTCTTGGTATAGCAAAGTTAGAGTCATAACCGATTTTACTATCTATTTTAGTGTACCTCTTCTAGTTATCTTTGCTTTTTATCTCTTAATGGCGAGAATGCTAATTAAAAGTGCAAGAGAGCTCCGGGAGGGTCAATGTTCTTCATACGGTTCAAATTCAAATAAGCAGCTAGAATCTAGAAAGAAAGTAGCCAAGTTAGTTTTAGCATTTGTCTTAGTTTTCGTCGTTTGCTGGTTGCCAAGACATATCTATGTATTTTGGTTTCATTTCACAGAAGACCGCTGGTCAACTTTTTGGCTCTTCTTTAAGATATTTAGCTTCTGTTTAGCATTCATTAACTCCTGCGTTAATCCAATTTCCCTGTACCTATTATCGAAACAATTCCGTTCCTATTACAACAGATATTTACTCTGTTGTTTTGCATCTAAACCCTATCGAACGCACCAGCCTCTGCAGATTGAATGCCGTTCTCAAGCTCGTCAAACGACCAATAGTGCAACTGCAGTCAGTCTGTTGTAAAGATTTGATATGAAAATGAAGATAAATGAAGCAGGAAGAGAGTGAAGATAAATGATTATAAGCATGAAAAAAAAAAATAACGAGCAAAAGTTCGTAACATTATTACTATTTGATTGTATACAGATTTATGTCGTAGATATTGAGAGTAACACCTGTACCACATTGACGAATCGTGTACACAAATGCAGTGCAGAAGGCGTACCATTTATCGTGAAAAATTGTACATTCAGTGTTTATATATATATATATATATACATATACTGTATATATATACTGTATATATATATATATATATATATTTATATAATTTATATAAAGTTCACACATGTTTAGTTCGTTAATTGCGTGTCGGCGTTGAGACGTGTTCGGACTTTTAATCGGCGTCTATTTAATTGCTTAGAGGTCGTAATGTTTATTCAAAACACCGAAATTACTTATTCACACTACGCCATCTACTTTTATAAGCTGAAATTATATTCCCTAGTCTAATTAGATACTCATCGAGTCGTGCTAACGAATTAGGTACGACCAAGATCAAACCGCTCTAGCATTTGCTGCACAGTCATTGGCAATATAATATGGGGTGCACGGCGTCTAATGTCAATGGTAGTAATCACCAAAAGAGACCGTCTTCAGCAAAAGTTCAACCTGTTAGATCGTCTCTCCGGTTGAGTAACAAGGACACTGCAATCCAGGATAGACGACTTTCAAATTCTATTTCCTCAGACAACGAAGAATATCTTGACCCGAATAGTCTAACGACTAAGGATCCGCTTCTCTTATTTCGCAAGTGGTTCGAAGAGGCCCAATACAGTGAGGGAGTACACTTGGCCACGTCTATGACGTTGGGTACTTGTAGTAAGTATGTATAATTAGATTGTGTGTACATAAAGCAGGGAAAGGTCTACAACTTCCTTCTCTTTTCGCAGAAAAGGTATTCCGTCTTCTAGAATTGTAGGTGTAAAAGGCTTTGACTCTGAAGGCTTTAAAATTGCGACAAATAAATACAGTAGGAAAGCCCTTGATATGATGGAAGTACCCCATGCTTCTTTAATGTTTTATTGGGAACCTATGAACAGGATGGTAAGAATAGACGGTCCAGTAGACCTGCTCACTGAAGAACAAGCCGTTGAAATATGGAAATCTTTACCTAGAGCAGCTCAATTAATTCACTATGCGAGTGATCAAGATAAGTACTTGTCGAGTCGGCAAGATTTCATTGATAGGAGGAGAAGGTTAGAAAATGAATTTGGAGATTCTACCCCAATACCGAAAAATCCTGACTGGTATGTAATTTAAACGAGTATAAAAAAAATAGATAAGATAAACACAGAAAGATGATTCCTTGACCTATTCCGTTTTACTCTTCCAGGGTTGCTTTTAACGTTCGACCGGAAAAATGGGAATTTTATCAAGTATCATCCGATTTACCCGATAGGTTACTGTTTACCAAGGAAAATGATGCCACCATAGATGGCGTCTTTTGTCAGGCAAGAACCAACGATTGGCTTATATTTCGCCTTAGCCCGTGATGTTACGATTTGTAAACGATCTTATTATATTCAAAAATTCTTGCACAATCAAATCAGTGTATTCCTAATAAAAGAAAACCCTCTCTCTCTCTTCCGTTCTTTCACAATATTTCTCTCAATTCCCTAGCAAAGATAGTTTGTACTCTTTCGAGTAAAAGGCGAATGTTTGTCAAAATAAAAATAAAGAAAGAATATAATGATATGCACAGTGAAAACTGAATGTTTTCTATTATTTCTAGTATAAGTAAATAAATATACACAATATAAAAAAATAGATGAAAATATATCTTGGTGAAGAAATCTATAATAAACAGAGAAAGCTGGTATATTTAAGGAAAAGGAGGTTGAATCTTGAGAATGAAAATTATCAGTTACACAAAATTGCGTCCGTTTCCCCTACAATTCACTTCCCGAAATACCGGAAGGAGTATGTATGTCGACCATAATTAACAACTTCCAATACGTTAAGGAAATGCTTCTACAGGCGTCTCTAGAATATTAAGGTTAAAAAATTCTATTTCTGTAGTATAAAGGCTTATACCCTTGAATTATCCTTCAGATATATTAAGTATATTAACTATGTTAAATAAATACAACAACTGCCTATATTAGAGACCAAGTAGATAGCTAAAAAGAAAATTTGCTGTAAAGAAGAAAAAACGCGAGTAGACGCCTTCTTTTTTCTTTAGGAAAAGTTCATTCGTATCGTGCAGCAATGTTAGAATCTGTAACGAAGCTAACTAGGCACAGGCATGCAATTAATAAAGCCTTAAGTCTGTGGCCTTTTAGAGTTCTGACACGGGTAACTGGTTCTGTTTTAAAAAATATTTAGGAGATAATTGTGAATAAAGCGTATACATAAGTTAAAACAAATATATACGACAGTTTAATTATAGATTAAGGTAAATGATTAGCAAGAAAAGGAAAAGAAGAAGAGAAAGGGGAGCATAACACCCGTTTAATTATTAATAATCTTTCACTCAACGAAAATAGTAACATGGGCGAGATGAATACAATTTTGAAAGAAGATAAAAAGCAGGAGAAAATTACTCAACAGAGAAGAGAAATAGGCTTTTGTTAACAGTAAACGTTTTTGTAGATTTTTCTATTGGTTGCCTCGTCTCTTTTTAAAAATGTATAGTCGTCTATAAAGCAGCTTTGAAGAATAGTGTGATTCTTTGCAGCCTTCGTACCAAACACTTATTACTTTCGCTTTCGCATATTTATCATCTTTTTCCTCATTCACTTTTTTCTATGCTATACTATAAAAGAGCTGGCTCTTCGTCCCCGCGGTCCTGTGCAGACTGCAGCAGCAGCACTTATACTCGGGAAAAAGCTATATCTCGAGTCTGAAGGTGACACATCGCCTGTTACAAAAGTACTACTTCTCGTTTCTATTCTGACTATTGGTGGATCACCTTCAGCTGACGAACGATGTCCAAGTATAAAAGGACTTAGAAATTGTGCTGGGTCAGCCGAAAATCCCCCTGACGCGCGAATCAATGAATAAACTGCAAAAGGTGTCAAAAGAGGTTGCGACCAAGCTAACATAGATAAAAATTGAAAAGTTTCTGGAGATGCGTTTACCCAGGGCTCTATTGCATACAGACCTAATAGGGGCAGACACATAATAATAAAGAGAGTCGTATAGGTCGTCAGTATTCGCAGTTTGTAATTCATCATTCTGACGGTTTCTCTTATATTTCTCTTGTCGATCATGACCGATCGTCTCCTTTGAGAATAAGTTTGTACTGTTGGGTCAATAGAGACAGTCGCTCGAACAAGTGTAGATAATCTGTAATAATTGCAACGTGACACATCATTTGACATTCGGCGGAGAAAAGAGATTGTCATTAAAGTTGCCATAGATTCCAATAGTAACCAAACCACGTGCAAAACATAATTGCTTGTTACGCCAGTAACAAACTGGCACTGTTCTGCTGATCTTCCTCCAGGCATAAAAGCAACTCCCAGGTTTGTGATAATTGCGGCAAACCAGATAACGACTAGGGCAAACCACACACAGCAACAGTTTTGAGATGCGTTCACTCCTAAAGTTATATCCGAGAAGGAATATACTTCATTCATTACAATAGTCAGCAAGTTGAATGAAGCGCATGTGACTAAGACTATGTAAGTGCCTGCCAAGGCACTACAAATAGTTGGTGGCTCGACTTCAATAATAGAGAAGGGAATGCAATATGCCGATCTTATAGCATCCAACAAACATTGATGCAAAAGGAAAGCGTTTACAGGTCTCCTTAAATTTGGTAAAAAACAAAAAACGAGTAGTAATACAAGGTTTGTTAGAATACCTGTACAAGCTATACTGCCCATCAACCAACTCTCCGTCCTTGTTGTTGCATTACTAAACATACTGTTCGGTTTGTGTCAGCTTGATAAAACTTCAAATAGAATTCACGCGAAAAAGTATACTAAAGAGCAGCACGGAGACAAGAAACGAAGTAACAAAAGGATGCAAGGGCACCAGGCGCCCAGATACGATCGCTTGTCGGCCGATCAAGTCTCAATTTACGATCAATTCCGGCCGACGATCCAAGAATTTTTTTCGTATTTCGATCGATGAAGATGGAATTAAACCTCTTTTCTATCCCTTTCCGTTGCCACAACACTTTCCTTTAACGAACGCATCAGGTGCATTTTACTTTGCAGGCAATGAGTTTTCTTCTTTTTTTATTTCGTCAAAACGAAATTTAGTTGTAATCCAACTTGACTATATTAAATTCTTTCCACCTAGACAATAAGAACGCCATCTACCGATTGATGCATCTTTAGATTTTGGAATTTTTATCATTCCATTCTATCTCTGTAAAAGAATCAATAGATTAAATAAATGAGAAGGGACTAGGCAGGGCAAGGGAGAGCTTAGAAACAAAACTTTAATTGTATGATTAGATATTATAATTAAGGAAATATAGGTTTAAATAAGCAAGTAAAAATTAGTTAAATGAAGAAAATATATAATAAAATAAAGTATTAATACAATCAACAATTGAAGAGAAGAGGAAGAAAGGAATAAATTAAAAATTTATCAAGATTAGTCATCATCTCTCTTCATTTTTTAGTACATTTTTTTAATCGTGAGACCACAAGTAAAATTATCATTCTCTAGGTTAAAAAAAGAACATTTACTATAAACTTGTTCTAATCTAAACCAGACTAATTAAAATATTTTTTTTTCCAAAGCTATATTATCTATCTTGACAAAATGCCTATAAGGTATAGCATAGTAAATTGATATAATTCTATATTTATTTCCTTCCTACGACTTAGTTTTTTTACTCTCTGAGATATTTTACATAAAAATTTACAAGAGAAATTGAATTTCTATCGAATAAAAAACGTAAAATTAGAAACGTGTACTCTCTTTGCCGACTTAATTGAAATTCAAATCTACACTCTGCTTTTATTCAACGTTCAGATTGTAAATCATCAACATGTTACTACAATTTTATACAATATTACTATGCCTTCACTTTCAATTCGGTAAGCTCTGTCTAAAAAACAACCTTAATAGATAAGAAATCAATGGGAATATAGTATACAGTATAACCATATACTGTATATTTATTATATAATAAAGTTAGATAGTTTAGCTACTTGTAAATTAATTTATGTTATGATTCCTTAAGCAAATAAACTATTGGATTCTATGATGTTGTCTCTTCCTTCAGATATCGTTATGCCTTTCAAAGCGAATTCTTTCTTAAAAAATTGGCGGTGAGTTATTACTTAGTAATTTAATTAAAGGTAACGTCTATGTATAATTATAAATAAGAATATATATATATATATATATATATACTGTATTAATATGTAAAGATAAAAGATAATTACAAGAAAAGTCTATTTCCAATAACTTTGTAGCCAAGCAACACGAAAAGACTGCAGCCGATGCGAAAATCGTTTGAAGGAATTAATATGTAAATTAAATGACGCTGGAGTATGCCTTAGTAATGAAGATGGTCAAAGAATATATCCAAAGAGGGCAGGTAGCGGTTTAGAACACTGTGTTTTAACTGCTGGTTGTAATGATAATCTGAAGTGTATTATTGAAAAATGTAATCATTCCCTTAAACGGAAGTAATGAACTAGAAATCTTTAGAGTATGATTCGTGTTAATTCATGGTTGTCTTTGTAATTTCAAAGTATCGGATATTTTTTAATATTATCAATTTCTGTGTTTATTCCCCAAATACAGAAGGCAAATTACTAATTAATTTGTATTTTTTTTATTTGTTATACAAACTGACTGTCCCCTAGTCAAATTCTATCAAAGTCTGCTGCCGAGTGAGAAGTTGTTGAAGATGCAGTTAGGAATTTAGTTTCATTAATTTGAGGTAACTTAATAGAATGTCTTTTAGGAATAGGTAACTTGTCCGGCGTGTTTGTTGTTGTTGCTTCTCTATTTGTACAAGAGTCAGTTGGTGTAGACGGTGGAGCTCGTACTGGTGGTAATTTTTTTTCGTCCATGCCAAAGTACGATTCTATATGAAGTGGTGTCTCTTTGAAATAATGCTGAACGTGAATATGCTGCCGTGGACCGACGTTGCTGTGCACTGTTTGATGTTCAATGCTTTGAAGTGATCTATCATTCAAACGAACACATATTAATGTTTGACGAACATCGTCGTCGCAGAAAATCTTTGTATTCTTTTTTTTTCTTTGACCTTCTCTACGGCGTTTCGCCTTTAATATCGCTAATTCACCGGAAACACGAGGTAAGAGACGGGCAATCGATTCCATACGATCATCCAAACGCTCTTTCACTTCCTTTGGTTTAGGGTTTGATAGTGTAGGTCGATATAGCCATTGACCTTGTACTCTAAGCGATGAATCAACATGATTTGGTGAGACTTTCCTCCTCGGGCTTGTCGGCAAAAGAGGTTCAAATCGAGGTCGTTGATGAAGAGCATGCCTAAGCCAAGACCAATCTTCCGTTTCTTTTTCTAAAGAATAATTGGTTTGAGGGTAGCCGAGAAGACGAGGGCTCTTTTTTTTCGCTGTTATTGATACTTTCTTTTCCTTCCATACTTCATCAAGTATTTCTGGTTCGTCGTATTGAACCTTAGGTAATATAATTTTTAAAATCCTAGGTCCAGTGCCCTCATCGCTTAAATAGCCGGAACTATCGTCCTCGGTTGAATTCTTTTTATTTCGTTTCGCCATGCCGATCAGTTGAATTTTAATTAAACAACGCGGCGAGCCAAACCTAGTTTGCATTGATTTAAAAGGCGTTTATTGATTGGACTGTTCGAACTAATTGACTATGGGTGATTGAAAATAATCGCACCCTATTTTGAGTAGGACGTTTTTGCGTATTTAGGTTATATTGTTTATGTTGAAGATATATTTCAGTAATAGCTGAATAATTCTATACGATACCCATAAATTATGAATGAAATTGGTTTGGATCAATTTAGACGTTTCATTTGTTGTAATGAACAAAAAGGGAACTAGACAGCCTGTCTTCGTCGGATTCGTTCAACGTAAACCGTTATGCAGAAGAGAAAATTCAAAAATCGATCATAAATCGACTATAGTACAAAATATTCAACTATCAACTAATGAAGTTAAAAATCGAATACAAGGGATAAACACAAATCAAGTTCAAAATATATTAATCATCGAACAGGAAGATGTAGCAGCGGACTCTTATATAAACATTATTGATGATTATGATAGAAAGTCGAAGATAATGACTCTGTCTCCTATACAAGAGGTATCTCCACTATCTACGCCATCTAAAAGATAGACTAAATTCTACCCAGTCCATAAATAAATAATACAACAAATTTTTCTGAAGTGTTTTCAGATAAACAATGCATGTTATGAGATTCTTTTTAATACAACTACAGTCTTATTTTCTAAGCCTTTTCCTTTTCTTCTACTATTATAAATCTTCTGTAAGAAAAATATATTCTCTACAATCTTTATTCAACAACGCTAAATGTCTATTAGATACAAAAATACTCCTCCGCTAACATTCTCTCTTGGGATTTATTAATAGGGTATAGGCATAGATTTACAAAATTCCACTGACAGCTAATAATACCGTTACGGCCTATTTTTTTGTTTGTTAGTTTTTTATGGTATATATACAGTATATACAGTATTAATATAATATATTTTTGAATGACTTAATGCTAATAGAGAAAAGTATTATTTATGTTGTCTCAAGTTAAATAATATAAACTCTATATTTGTGTAAACGAAATTTCACAGCTTTACTAAAGTGTTAGTTTTAATAAATTGTTGAAAAACACGACTAAGAAGTTGATTATATTACTTGAAAAGATGAAAAAAACATATTTAGCGAAATAGACAGAATTCTTTTACAGGAAACTGGTAGAGGCATGGAAAATCTCTCTCTTTGGCATAAACTAACTTAACTATTGTTTTAGTATACTTTAATTGTTCATCAGTATGTCCTTATTGCGAAAATTTACGACAAATTTACCATCAACTATGTTGGCAACACTTAAATTGAAGAGTAGAATTGGTAATAATGAATATACTTATATTACCTTCATTATCGCTAATAAATGTGACATTGCAGTGCCGAACTATCTACCGTGTTCAGTAATCAGTGCAGTTTCTATTACCAATTTCAAACCGGTTACAGAATATCCAAGTAAGTGTTTTAATCTGATATTTACAGTGTCATTATTTTTTAATAGTTTTTTTTAGTTTTTAAATATAGGCTATAAAATACTATTAGATTTACTACTGACAATCAGATATATACCTTAGAATGATATTTAATTATTCCTGTCGTGGGAGGCGAGAAATGAATAAAAATGGCATTAATCACATTTTTTTAAAACTAGAAATCGAATTTCCTGAACGTCGTAAATTAAGAATGTTGGAAAAGGTACCACAGTCTTTTATTGGTAATAGACCACAAAAAATGATGAAACGATTAATCGATATGAGAGGTCCTGAATTGTATCATACAACCCTTATCCATAAACAATATGGTATTAGAGCAATTCTCGGAGGAAAGCTTCGCCACGGACATTTTGAAATGATTCGAAATGGTATTGGCCGTCATATGGACGATTCTCGAATGTTTGCTAGGTGGAGAGTTGACGCCCCATGGAAGTCAGTAACGAAAAAGGGCCAAGGACATAGAATGGGTGGAGGAAAAGGTTCAGTTGATCATTATGTAACACCTGTTCGATCGGGAAGAATAATCGTTGAGGTTTCGTTATTAAGTAGTTTTTAGTTTGTTTTTAAGTGATACTTTTATAATGATATTATAGATGGGAGGCTACTGTGAATATGAGGAAGTTGAACCATTTCTTAGGCGTATTGCTGAGAAAATGCCCTTTAAAGCTGAAGTAATTAGTCAGGAGATGCTTGATGTAAGTACTTTATATTCGTTATAATTCAATGAAAATTATAATTCGAAAGAAAAAAGCAGCATTTCCTCTATTCAAACCATTTTTTATTATATCTTCTAGAACGAAAAAGCTAATGAAACAAAGTTGAAAGAAGAAAATTTAAATCCACTTAACTTTGAATATTGTGTTACTAATAATTTTTTAGGCTGTAGAAAATGGGCAACACCGTACGATTATCTTTGGCATGGTAAACATCGATAATATATTTATTTATAATCTTTTCAAATTTCCTTGTATACATTTATTATGTTTAATAAAACTAGTTTGTTTAAATTGCATATCATGAAGATGTTAAACAGTTTCTCTTTAAAATTAGCACTATTTATAATGAATCACAAAAATACGTTGTCGAAAAATATTCCATTAAGTCACAGTGTCCATTGTAAGATTTAAGCTCACATGACAAATTTTTGTGTTTTACTAATTACTTAATCTACGGTTAACACCCGGACTCCAACAATCAGGAACTTTATAATGGATACCGCGTGCAGTCTTAGAAATGTTGCTGAGGATTCAACAAGTGATGCGAAACCATTGTTACCAACTAATCGCAGAAGCAATCCCTCTGATTCGTGGTTTTTAAGTTTAACAGAAAGTATTCGAATAGAAGAAACTGCATCTTCTGAATGTAATAGTCAATCGAGTCGAGATATTAGTCATAGGAGCCTATCAACATTCTCAGGTGTTTTTAGTCCTGTTGCACTGTCGATGTTCAGCACTTTGCTATTTCTCCGAATAGGTTCGTGAAATGGATAGAAGCTATAATAGATTTATAATATAAATCCTTGCATTACAGGTTTTGTTGTCGGCCAATCAGGAGTTTGGGAAAGCATTATTCAATTAATTTTAGCTTATTTTATTTTAATTATGACCATATTGTCTATTTGCGCCGTTTCAACAAATGGAAAGGTAGAAGGAGGAGGAGCTTATTGTTAGTATTTCCTTATATTTTCCTTTAAGTAACTTTTCTTTATTGGAAGATTGTTATCTAAAGTTTTCTTTTTATAGCAGATAATTTATAAAGCATTATTATATTAGTTTTACCTTGAACCGCATTCGAAGTTAATAACTCTTAATTAGGTCATAACGCCCACAGTCTGTCTTGTAATTAACTCAATGTAGGATTACAGTGTAATTTATTCTTACAGTTATGATAAGCCGCACGCTTGGTCCAGAATTTGGTGGAGCTATAGGCTTACTTTTCTATCTTGCGAATATATTTGCATGTGGACTATACGTTAGCGGGTTTGTTGAAGGATTGGTTGATAATTTTGGTCCTGGAGGAACATTTGTCAAGGATGGTGAAGGCATTCAACAAGCTGGGCGGTGGTGGGTTTATCTTTACTGCTCTGGAGTTTTGGCCTTTTGTCTGATAGTTTGTCTCACAGGTGGCGCTCTGTTTGCTAGACTATCAGCCCTTATTCTTGTGATTGTTACTGCTTCCTTTTTGTCGATTCCGATAAGCATGTTCTTGAAAAAGGAACTATGTATACCCTTTCCCAACTCTAACAATTTATCACATCCGCACACTAACGAAACAAATGGTACCTTTCCGACAGCGTGCGGAAATTATACGGGATTTCGTGCCTCTACTTTTAGAAATAATATGAATGCTGCATATACAATTGACTATTTAACTGGAAAAAGCATGAATTTTGCTTCAGTTTTTGCAGTCTTATTTAGTTCTGTAACTGGAATAATGAATGGGGCCAATATGAGCGGAGAGCTAAAAAAACCCAATAAAGCTATACCTAGAGGAACTTTAGCTGCAGTTGCCTTTACATTTACTATATATTTACTACTAGAGTTATTAGTTGCAGGAACGACCACTCGGCCTCTTCTAGTGAATAATTATGTATTTCTGCAGAGTATCAATAAATGCCCTCCTTTAATATTAGCTGGAATATTCGCTACGACATTATCAGCTGCTCTAGGAAATTTAATTGGAGCGTCAAGAATTTTAGAGGCAGTCGCCAAAGATGAAATCTTTTGGAAGCTTCTTCGTCCGGCTACAAAAACGCTTTGTAAGGGAAATCCAATTATTGCGGTTTTTGTTTCATGGATACTGGTTCAATTAATCTTATTAATCGGATCCTTGAATGCAATCGCTCCTATTACTTCCGTATTTTTCCTCCTTTCTTATGCAGCTGTAAACCTAGCTTGTCTGGGTCTGAGTGTAGCTTCACCCCCAAACTTTAGGCCAACCTTTAGATATTTTTCATGGCACACCTCTTCCTTAGGGTTGGCTGGCTGCTTGGTTATGTGCTTTCTCGTCAACCCAGTTTTTTCAGGTGTCGGCGTTTCCTGCATGCTTCTTACTTTTGTGGCCTTACATTTACGAGCTTTTCCAACCAGTTGGGGAAGCTTTTCACAAGCACTAATATTCCATCAAGTTCGCAAATATATGCTTATGCTGGATACTAGAAAAGAGCATGTCAGATTTTGGAGGCCTCATGTCCTTTTATTGGCCAACAACGCTAGATCATCTTTAGGATCGATATTTTTGTGTAATGATTTAAAAAAGAGTGGATTATACGTTATTGGTAATGTTGTTGTATCGAAAGATCACAATACTGACGAGGATAAAGTATCATCGCTCTTACGTCGTTGGCTAGATGTCGTCAATGAGTTTAAAATAAAAGCATTTGTTGAGGTTACCAATGCGTTCACATTAAGGGAAGGTGCACATCAACTAGTTCGATTAAGCGGAATGGGAGCGATAAAACCCAACATAATTTGCTTAGGATTCTGGGATGAATCATCGCCTGAAGAACATAATCCAGATAATTTTAGGCGGAAAACATTTTTCTCATCTTCTCGCCAAGGAAGTTCACTGGAAAAATTTGATTCGATCAGAGATTCTTCAGAAAGAACTGTTGAAATTGACGAATGGGTTCAATTAATTGCAGATATAATTGATATGAGAAAAAATGTTTGCGTTCTAAGGTACACTAACAAGTTATCCTACAGAGAAAAAGAAGGATTTATTGACGTCTGGCCTGTAAATTTTTTTGATCAGAATACTCACGACTATATAGATATTACCAGTCAATTGATGCTTCAGCTATCCTGCGTAGTTCACATGAGAGATGATTGGAAAAAATTCAAATTAAGATTTTTCCTATGCGCCGACCAAATGGATGAATCAATTATAGCAAGAAAGGAGAAAAAATTCGTCAATATGCTTAAGGAACTACGTATACCAGCAGTTGTTCAATTAGTTCGTTGGCAAAATGTATCTTCTCTTCCTCTGGGCACTTATGGAAATGAACTAATAAAGGAGCACTGTGATTCAGCTCGTCTTATATTTCTTTATCTGCCTCATCCTACAGAGAATTATAAGTTATACAGAAAGCAATTGGACTTGTTAACTAAAGATTTGCCACCGGTTATACTTGTTCATGGAGTTCGATCCGTCGTTACAACAAGTCTATGATTTACACTCAAAAAAAAAGACTCATTTAATTAATCATAAACATTATTTAAGCTACTTTAATTTCTCTTTAAAGTTCAGTGACAATATTTCTCTTTAGATCTTTATTTATAAGTATATTAAAGTAGTTTAATATCAATAAACTGACCAAAATCTGTAAAATGAAAGTATAGTGATTTTAGTTTATACGTTCGTGAACAATACTATTTGTATGAAAGAGAATGACAACATTTTGGAATTTACAGCATTTAAAAACCACCAGATGAAAATGTTTTTCATGTACTCGTGTCATTACTTCCTGTAATGTTGCAGACGATATAGAGGCATTTTGTCAAGACACTTTTCTTTTTTTATAAAAGGAAATAAAAGTAAACTTTTTGTTTTCCCTTATTCAACACATTATATTAATAAAAGTATTTATTTTATTCTTATTTAAAAAGAAAATTCTATTCGATCGCTATTGAATTTAGAACGAACATCCGGTTTTCGTGCATTTCTTTTTTATCGCGCCCTACTTGCGTTTTAACAGAACATTTAATTGCGAAGCACGTTGGAATTTTACAAGGTAAATAGAGGCAAAAACCATTTTTAGAGAGTTTTAATTTATTTCCGTCAAGTCTTCACAACTATGATCGGTTCTGATATTTAGTATATTATTCAATCTAGTTTTCAGGCGATATGTCTATTAAAGTTAATTAAATAGAAAGTATTGTTTCAAAAATTATTCTGACTCTGATTTTTTTTGACGAAAGGTCAGTCTTTTAATATTTTTAATATGCAAAATTGGAATTAAAATTCAGATATAAGCAGCTGTGGGTTATCGATTTAGCTGAGGGAATCGCAATTGAGAACTAGAATAAAAATATACTTCCTCATTTAAAAGATATAAAAAGATCGCTATGTTAGTTTAAAATACTAACTATTTGCTCCTTAGGCATGGAGGAAATAAGAAAAACAGCTGAATTTTATGGACAAGCTCACGTCTTTAAGTATTGGGAGCATCTTAGCGACGATGAAAAAGACAAACTAAAAGAAGACCTTTCAACTATCGACTTTGCTGCGATTGGATTGAATTTTCAAAAGTGTGTGTCTCAATTGGAAAAAATGGGGCAAAAGATCGACAATGAAATTGAACCACCATCGGAAGATTGTTTATTTTCAAAAGCTCTTGGTTCAAGCGAAGATGTTGAACGATATACACAAATAGGTAAGAAAATTAAGAAAAGAGGCTGATATTAATCAATTAATCAAAATTACTTTTAATACAAATTTTTGTTCCTTAAGAAATAGGCAAAGAGAGGTTAAGCGATAATCGTATTATATTTCTATACGTTTTAGGTTACAAGGCTATATCGGACAACCGGGTGGCACTTCTTCTGTTGGCAGGTGGTCAAGGAACACGCTTAGGCGTTCCTTATCCGAAAGGAATGTATGACATTGGTCTTCCTTCTAAAAAAACTTTGTACCAAATTCAAGCTGAAAGAATAATCAAAGTACAAAGAAATGCTATGAAGCTAAATAATAGCAGCCAGTCGCCCGTTATACCGTGGTATATAATGGTCTCGAAGCATACTAAAGATATGACCGAGAAATTTTTTGAAGAACACAACTATTTCGGCCTCGAAAAGGATAATGTTTCTTTCTTTGTGCAAAGATTACTACCGTGTCTAGACTTTGATGGAAAGATCATTATGGAATCTAAATTTAAAGTTGCAAAAGCTCCTGATGGAAATGGAGGCCTATACGCTGCATTAAACGATGCTAATGTGAATAATTTCAGCAATTTAGATATACAAATTAATATTTTCTTTTCAATATAAAATAGATTATTGAAGATATGGAAAAACGTGGAATTCGCCATATATGTATTCATGGTGTAGATAATATTCTCGTAAAACTAGCTGATCCTGCTTTCATGGGATATTGCGAGGATAGGGGAGCGAGCTGTGGCTCAAAAGTTGTTGAAAAGAAAAATCCCGAAGAATCTGTTGGAGTTGTGTGTAAAATAAACAATCAGTATGGAGTTGTCGAATATAGTGAAATATCTAAGGAGACATCAGAAAAGAGGAAACCAGATGGTCGTCTCTTATACAGTGGCGCCAATATCGTATATCATTATCTCAATTTCGAATTTTTGAAGCTTATTTGCAGGTTTTTTTTGCTTTTCTTTATATTTATATTTTATATATACGCTTTACTAATTAATTAATTATCTAACAGAGATTATGTAGACGATTTAGATCCTCATGTAGCAAAGAAGAAGATACCTTTCGTCAATGAAAATGGTACAACAGTCAAACCTGAACAAGTCAACGGTATTAAAATAGAAAAATTCGTCTTTGACATATTTAAATATGCTACGTAAGTTTCCATATTTTAATTAAGTTTTTTATTCAATTCGTGTTTATAGCAATTTTGTTTTGTGGGAAGTTCTTAAGGAAGATGAATTTGCACCTTTAAAAAATGCCGATGGAGCTAGTTCGGCAACTCCAACTGAATGTAGGAAAATGATGTTGGATCTATGCAGACGATACGTTTTGAACGCTGGTGGTCAATTCTCCCAAGATGATGGGTATATTATATTATATATTATATGTTTAATATATTACCAATACTTTTATAATTGATTAACTTGTATTTCTATTATTTTGATACAGATCTAATGATTCTATTGTATGTGAAATTTCACCGTTATTATCATACGATGGCGAAGTAAGTAGAATTGATATCTATTCATTTATAAGAAATAGTATAATAAATAAACAATTGAACATCAACAGGACTTGGGTGATATTGTTAACAATGAAACGTTCTATTCACCTTTAGTATTATACGCTAAAGAGGAAAAGGAGAAGAGTTTTCTCAATAAAATTTAAGGGAATTTTACACAATGTGGCTATATTCTGTATTATTTTTTTCTTGATTTATTTTATATTATATACTATATGCTTTCAATTTAATAATTTGACTATCAATCTTAACTTTCTGCCTCTCTTTTCTTCTAATTTATCAATTATTCTTTATTCAATTCAGTTGAAAATGAAATTTTGGCTCGTCAAAAATTCTCTGTGATGATACTGTCTCACTCTCTGAGTCTCTCTTTGTCTCCAAATTACTCTTTTTTTCTTTATTATTCTACATATTTTTTTTTTGGTTCGGAAACGATGAAAAGACTACTTAACAGCTATACATATATATTGTAGAATATTTTAATGTGATGGGAAGTAGATACAACTTTTTGTGCCATTTTCCACAGTATAATTTCAATATGATCAATATAGAACAAACTTTTTTCATGGAATTAACAATAAATCATCAAAATTTCAAGATTTTCCATCAATTAATAAAATCTTGATATAATGAAAAATTCATTGTAAACTTTACAGGATAATATTTACATTTAACAATTTGCTTTTGATTGATTAGACAAAAAATGACGGTTACGACATTCATTACGAATCAATAGATTATTTCGAATCAAATTAAGGCGCCACCTATTATTTTTGATAAGAGTAACAGGGAATAATTTTAATTAAATATTTTTGTTTCCGTTTCTCGCCGGTTTCAAAAGGTTTATTTAGTAAAACTTCTTCTATTGAAAATAAAAAAAAGAGAAACAGATTATGCAAAAACAAACAAATTACATAATATTTTCATATAACTATAGAAAATTTACAAGAAAACTAGGAACAGAAGGGACAGAAAAGAAAGCTAGAAAGAAAAAGAGAGAGAAGGAAGAGAAGACGGCGGTTGATACTATTTTTTTCTAGTTTTTTTATTTCCCTTTCTCCCATTCCGTCTTCATTTCTCACTTCTACATCTCCTTGGCAAGGCACTACATTGGTATAATTTATCAAAAATGATAAACTTTGTATGAAATATTCGTTAGTATTAAAAATTGATTAAGAAACATTGTGATAAAAATGCAATACGAATAGCAATTTTCCTTTTCTTTTAACATACGACCAGAGCATGAAAAGATAAAGGTTTTACAAAAAAATAGGCGAGATAATAAAGAGATTATTTCATCTTAACGACTTGAAATATGACCAAAAGCGGCAAATTTCATTCTCTTTTGCTTCTGCCTTTGATTACAGAACCAAACTCTTACAACGCTCTTCTTCAGACTTAACTTGTCAGCTATTTGAGCGATCTTTTCGCCGGATGGTCTTGGTTGCACAGCAAAGTAGGCCTCCAGCGATCTCTTCTCTGGTGCAGCTATTGATGTTCTCTTTCTCTTTCTATCTGCTGCCGAATGGAAGATCTCTCTTGTCACGTTATTATCTCTTGCCTGTCTTTCCGCCTCGTCCAGCCAGGCGGCAAGAACAGGTTTTAAAGCAATCATATTATTATGACTCAGCGTTAACGATTCGAACCTGCAAATCGTGCTTTGGCTGAGCGAACCCACACCAGGTAATTTCAAATTACCCAAAGCTTTACCGACATCAGCTTGCGTAACGCCCAACTTGATCCTTCTCTGTTTAAATCTCTCTGCGAAAGCTTCTAGCTCTCGTGGGTCACAATCCATCTCCTGGACGGCAGAATGTTGCATCGAATGATGTGATGGTGCCGCAGCGAAAGGGGGATGATGATTAACACCATGAGGTGGTTGGCTATATGCCTGCGAGTACATCATCTGATGTTGCATGTGGTCAGAAATGTGGTGAGTCGATAGCGAAGTAGCCGAGCCAAGTTGATCCAGCATAGCTTGGTCGGGAATTGCCGCAGAATTCATATAGTGCGTCGGGAAAGAGTGCATTTGGTGCTGGGATCTGGATGTAGGAATCGCCGAAATATCTGACGACGAATTTGGCGCACTTACATGAACCCCCATACCACTGTAAAACGTCTCCGGTTTCATTAACGATGGTGGAGGTCCATTTGTCGCGTGTTTCGGCATATCTGCAACTAAATCAGGCCTAGCTGATAAAATAGCTGCATTTTCAAATCCAGGTCCAAAGATTTCATTCTAGAAAAACAAAATTTAAACGTTAGAATATGTTTATCAAGTTTGCCTTTAACTTTAAAGTTCAAGTTTGGCAAGCGAAGAAAACTTTCTCTAAAGTTTGATAGCAACAGGTAAAAAAAACTTACCATCATGCTGACAGTGGACGCTTTGAGTGACGTCGAACGACGAAGTGACGCCCGCCTCAATTCAAGGTGTTTCAAATATGCATGAGTATTTGAATAACTATATACCATTCACTCTGAGCGTCATCAATCTCCCGGGAGGGACAACTCTTTTACATTGTTCTTCTTTTTCTCTGATCTAGGCCTTTGCACTTTATATAATGCAAGTATCAATTGCGATCAACTTTAAGGGATTTTAATGTCAATCCCAGCCTTTGGCAGTTAACAGATGTGAAATCCCTTTCAATCGAAGAGTTTGTCTTTTCTTCTTTTGTTTACTTTTTTAACTTTTACTAATAAATAACTAAGGAAAATGTTCCTATAAGAGAAGGCATTTAAGTTAAAAAGAACTAAAGGAAAACGGGTATCCTCTAAGAACATTAGTTATAATCCAATTTTAATAAAACTTGACCTTTTTTTTACCGCTTGTTCGTACATTCAATTAACTTTTACGAAGTAATACTTTATTAATATGACTTTTTAGTAAGTTTTTGCTTTATTTAGCTTTAGCCTTCAACCTTTAGTTGTCATTAACAATAACTAATTAGAACAATTAAAAATGTTCTTTTGTAGTTTTCCTTTTCGTTTATTGGTTTGTATTTGTATTTATAGTTGTTTGTTGTTACTGTTGAAGATAGTTGGCAAATATTAACAGCTTAAGGGAAAAAAGTACTGATTTTATAGAGATAAATTGAATTTTAACAAAAAGACGAAGCTGTTTGTCAATTGACTGCCATCAAGGTGCAACAGATAGACAATAGGACATAAGAATTTATGTTGAAAGGCTAAGAATATGTAATGAGTTAGATTGAGTGTCTAACAAAGAAGTAGGCGGAGCGTGCACTAGATCGTTCAAGCATGTCGCTCTTCAGAACATCAAATATGCAAAAGGCCGCCATGTTTGCGTGAATAGCGGAAGGAGAATTTTATTGTTTTGTCCCTTTTTCCAAAAGGGAAAAAAATGTAAGACTAACATGAAATAACATAATTAAAATATTAACATTACTACTCAGATTAAAACGAACATCTTTTCAAAATTTGCTGAATAGACATTAAAATTGAATATGTTTTTTGACAAACTAACAAGCTAAGACAATCTTTTAAGTTATGTTTTATTATAATATATATTATACAGAAAATGAATACAAAACATTAACTTCTCGAATAACAGCGATAATAAAAGGAGAGTAAAATGGAGAGACTGATGAAAATTATATGAGGCTTTTCTCAAACTATAAACAAGAATTGAACTGGCTTTTCAATAAAACTAAAACAAATTAGATAATTCGACGTTGTGGGCGTTTCTATTCAATTGACGACATAAATATATTTATGTTTCATACCCAAAACAATTTAAAGATGATCTGAACCTTTTCAAAAAACGAATGCAAGGACAGGAAAGTGAGAGAGAGAGAGAAGGAATGAATGTAAAAAGTGAATAATAATCTAAAGAATAGATTAATTGTTCTTTCCTTCAGTATATGACTGATTTCATAATTTAAAATTTTCTATTGTTCCCAATGAAAAGTTATTGTTAAGTATATTACCATTATAAATTTATTTCAATATATCTATAGTTGTCTATTATAACTTTGGCATTGTTTTAAAATTTATAGTGAATTTTTCGCAGTGTTATCAAAGTCTTAGGAAAAATATTGTGTGTTAAATTAAATACAAAAATCAACTATATACAATTTATTAATAAGAATATTCTTTTATAGAGCTACATTTATTTATTCATTCTTTAGCTTTCTCTGCAAATTGTCTATCTTTTTTCGTTTTTTCACCTATGTTTTTCGTAACTTCTATATTGTTTATTATAATATTCCAATTATCCTTTGTTTGTTACACTTCCCCATTATTATGCGGCTGTCTAAAATGACTATAAAAAACTTATACATTTTGTATAGTATTGTAAATTTTCGTCTGGTTCACTTTTCTTTTTATTGTATCTATTAATTTATTAATAAATTTCAATGTTAAGCTATCTTTAATTATCTTTTATTCGTAATCTTTAATTTCTCTTCGCAATATTTGACTAAAAAGTTGAGGACGAAGAGAAGAATGATGCTTTTAATAGGAAAGTAACATTTGTTAAGTATCTAGAAATTTTCAATGAAAAAAAAAGAAAAGAATGGATATTAATATATTAAGATAAAAAAATTTATATAGGCTATAGAGTACCAGCAGATCCATTATACTTAACAGGTTCTTATAATACCTATCAACTGCCTAAGGATATAACAGATTGTATATTACAATGTCAGATTGTACTTTTAAGGCGCCAAAAAGAGTCCGCGCTGTGAAGCGAGTTAACGTCTCTACTTTAACCAATCCTCTCCTATCTTTCACTTCCATTTCTAGTTAATGTGGTTTTGATTAAGGAATTAAGTAATTATTACAATTAATACTTTAATTAATTTACTAATTGGGAATTAATTAAGTATTTACTTCGAAAGTAAATTGAGGAAAACAAGCACGACAGTATATTGTATATATGTGTTTTATTTTTGTAGGAGGCGACAATAGGATTTAATGGGGCGTCATGTTCGTTTCGGGATGATGAGCTTGAGGATTTATTCACCGAAGCAAGAAGTTTTTGTTAAATTATTTAAGGATTTCTCGACGGTGACAACTAACGGATGGCAATCATTAACAACCTCAATGTCAAATACACTTAATTCCGTCTAATGCTTTTTTCCCTTTCTCTCTATCTCTTTTGCGCCTTTGTCTATGTTTGTATGTATGTATGCATGTCTGTCTGTCTGTCTGTCTGTCTCAATGTTTCCCCAACAATATATGTGTTCTTTATCTTAAAATATAGAATGATCAAGTAATAACTGACTGATTGATCTTAAATTATTCTCTCCTAATATTTGTCTATTACTAATACAAATATATAAATATCTAACTATAATTCAGCCGAAGAATTTATAGTATTAAATATTATGTTGTAATGACGTAACATATATATATTACATGTGTCTATGAGAGTTTCTACATTATAAATAATTCTCTAATTAAATTGCTGGCGCTGGAACGATAATTTTTTAATTAGGATATTTAAATAAGAGTCATTGAAGGGCAAACAACTATGCAACAACACTATAGAAGAAAAATATTGTACAATAGATGGAGCAAAATGTTCAAGATATGTCACGCCACCTATCTTAAAAGGATTACACATCTATTAAAAGGTAAAATGCGAGGAAAGAGGAGGATATAATTGGGCAATAAAAATATAACCTGGAATTATTCTTTGTATAAGGATAGAAAGAAGAGGGAGCTATAATAGAAGGATTATAATATTTCATTCTGATTCCTAATAAAGCATAAAGGAGTGTACGAAAAGGGTCAATTTTTACCTTGTATTCTTGATGAAAAGGTGTACTCCCGCTGTGATAAGGTCCTAAGGGATGGAAAAATCTCTACCTCGCTTGAAAGTTGATTAATAATTAGAGCGAGTGCAGAAATTTTTTCTACTTGTTTTTATCTTCAATATCATAGAGTCGAGTACGTTTATCCCAATCTTTTGAAAGGGTTTATCTCAAATTCAAAATGTAACGCCTAACAGAACTTGACAGATGATTTTTTAAAAAAAAACCGTTTAACATTTTCATTACACAGACATTTTATTAATCGACCTTAAAGGTTTCATGTAAAATGTTGTTAATGAATTCTAAGAGAGAGTAAACAGACGCTACGAGTCTGTACGTGCTTCCATCGTTCTTTTTTTCCCTTTTTTCTCTCAAGCAATAGTAGGATTTGGTGTATTATTACCCGTGTAAGTTATGGACCTTTGATAAAGTGTATACAGAACCGTTCAATTTGCGACCATATGTACAAAGTAAATTGAACAAAAGCGGATCCTTGAACAAATAGCGTATGCGGTTGAGTAAAAGAGAAAAAATTTCTATGAATAAGCAAGTAGTTGCACAATTTATATATGAAACTTTAATGATTATGGAGAAAAAGAGAGAGAGAGAGAAAGAAAAACGAAAAGAGAGAGAGAAAGGTACGAAATTAAAAATTAACAATTTTTTTTTAATTAAATTGCGATAAAAAAAAAAGCTTTTGATTTCTGCTCTTTTCCTTTTTTTAGTCGGGATAAACAATTCTTTAGAATGTTGTCTCATAGAAAATAAACAGGTAAAAACAATCGTATGCAAACTGTCCCATGTCTATAGAATGTTTGTCGATGTATTGTGTTCAATACGACGTCGTTTTATACCTTGGCACAAGACAAACAGAGCGTTCTTTACCTTTTCTTCTTCCTCTTCTTTTCGCAGATGCTTTAGGGTTATATTTTCCCATATGGTACTTTTTTTATTCTATAGTCTTTTTTTAAATAAGAGAGAATACTTGTTCCATAGCTACTAACATTTCCATTAGTATATTGATTCATTTTCTTTCCTAATACTTCTAATACTATCCGTTTATTTTACGCTTGAAATAAAATAATAACTTTATCCTCCTCTTACGGGAAATTAATTATTGGAGAAATACTCCTAATTAACCCAAGTTAATATATGTAAATGTATTCAATTTTATTCGTATTACCAATATTCGTATATATTATATATATATACAGAAAATACTTTTATAATTATTTATAACCTCTTAATATAAAATGGTACATTTATAATTCTCTTTATTCTCATCATACTCCTCAATTCCGTTCCATCATTTTGTTTTACATTGTTATTCTATTCTATCTTAATTCGACTTTGGCAGTATAAAAGTCTTACTTATAAAATTCATAATTAATAAGATAAATTTATTCAACTAATGGGAAAATATAAATAGTTTTCTTTTTCTCATTTTCATGTTTTTCAATCTGTAACTCTTTTTTTTTGTTTACATTAATAACTTTTTATCTATTATTGATAGGCCTAAAATTGCGGAAAGTATAAGGAAACGTATTATTTATATACATGTATTGTATACATTGTAGTATTAGCACGTTATATATATATACATATATATGTATATATTTGCCTATTTGATCATTATAGGATAAAAAAAAGGCTAAAGAAATTATTACTTGAAACGTAGAAGGATTTTGAATTAATCATATAGCAACGGAAAAGAGATTATATCGATTAGTACAAGAAATCGAAGCTTTAAAAAGAGTCTGTAAAGATTTTCGATAAGCTCCGCCTCACGCATGCGCATTTTACGTTTTACCTGCAACGCGTTGTTATAAAGGCGAATTAAAGGGATTTATTGAAGTAGAGACGATTGGGGTTTTGCCCCGTCGTCTCCGACGGCCGCGTAAAACTCTAAATAGAAACTTTTTCAATGTTTAATAACTAAAAATGTATTTAAACAATATAAAAGAAGTATTTAGAGATAATTTTAGTTAAATTAATTAATTTATTAAGTATATCTACATAAAATTCCTTATCAACTCCGTCCAGGACTGTAAATAGACCAGAATTAAAATAAATAAAATTAAAATTCGTATTATTAAATGAATGGTTAAGATAATTGAAAGAATGGATGATGATGATGATGGTTGCGATACTGGTTTGTGGTAATAATTACCATAAGAATTGTTATAAGCTTCGACGTTAAGATGAATTGAGAATGAAGAGAGAACATGAAAATTGAAAATTTTAATGGTAAGTTTAATAGAAAAATTTATTATTTGTATAGCGAAATTTTTAACGCTTAACGAAATAGACGCTTGAATGAACGGTTTACGTGGAATTTGCGTGCAAAAATTCTTTAGACGTAGGGAATTTAACAAAGTCTAATTGTAAATCGTTCCTTGAATTCTATTCCATTAAATAAATAGTTTAGCTTAGGAGATTTAAGGAGAGAAAGACGTCAATTATATTAAAATTGAATGAGGGAAGAAAAGGGAAAAATTGAAATTTGTGACGCTCGTACAGTATTTGTAGTTGGTCATTGTGAGCAAAACTTCATGATTTTTCCAGGAAATTGTTTGAAAATGGAATAATTTCCGTATGGAATACCACACCTGTGTATTACTTCCCAAGAGTGCTAAAATGAACGCTTCGTAGCACCGCTTAATAACGCCTCTTTATTGTTACATACAATATACTTACCGCGTATATAAACGCTATTAATGTCTAAATTACTTATGCACGAGTAATAAATCGAAAACCGTTATTAATAGCTGGTTGAGAAATTTTTGGCAAAAACATCTCCTTAATATAGATGTTAAAAAAACAAACAAACATTAATTCATACCGCACGGACATTAATTAAGAACACCTGGCGAAATTATTAAGAGGAGAGAAAAAACTTCTACTTCAAGGCTATTGTTCATTATCGGCTTGTAAAAATAAAAAAAAAACAAAAAGAAGCTGTTTATACAGTTTCTATAGAGACGAAATATATTATATGCTGTATAAACTTGTTTTTTCTTTCTACGTTATATAAAAGTCTATACGAAATAATTACCGTCTGCTAGAAGAATAAATAGAATAGGACAAAAAAAAGAATCATTTAATTATATACAGTATATACTGTATATATATAAAAACTATTGCCTTGATATTCCTTGTATGGAAATAATATTGATGTTGATGTCTCCGCTGTAATTTATGAGCTATATATATCGAAGACAGAGAGACTCGTATAAAAAGAATACCTGACAAAGGTGATTGAACAGTAATTTAGCATACGCGTTCAAAAATTCATGCAAGCAGCAGATGTTTCCATGTTCTTTTGATTAAAACCTTCCGCGCACCAACGTCGAGAGGATTAAAGTTGAACTTTGCATCTGACATTCGAAATTCTTGTTTTGAAAGGGTTAACTGTTGAGAGCGTCGCAAATTAGATGTCGTTCTTTTATACATTATAACTACTGATCCGACTCTACTCCCTTATATATATATATACAGATAAATTAGTTAATATATGAAATTTTGCGCATATAATTATTTAATAATAGGAAACTGTCTTAAATACTTGTGCGAGTTAATATATCAGACAGTCGGTGGCTCGCGTGAGCGGGGGAAAGAAAACGAAACCGCCGTTCGCATCCTGAGCGTCTATTGAACAATTTCTTAGGTGTTGGAAAATGCCATTAGACTGTGAGAAAACAAAGCGAAATGGCGGATTCGTTCGATAATTGCCTGCTGGGCAACATTCGTTATACGTGCACGCAATGGTCTATTTAGACAGTTTCTTCTTTATTCCCTTTTAATTATAGACGACTTTTCAATATTAAAATTAGAAGGGATTTCTCTCTTTTGTATCATTCTCTTCATTCGTCTAATCTTTTAATTATGTACCTTTTTCTTTTTTTATTTGAATAACGTACCTAGTATTTGAAAATCCCATTCAAGGAGTTAAACGCTACTATATTTGCACAGATTTTCTAGATCAATTTCCCAAAAGCAATGTGATATTTTTATCGGTGTCATTACATAAATAAGAGGTATTAACGTAAACTACTACGATTGTACTCGATAAATGCTAGATTGAACGAGAAGAATACTCGATAAACAATAAATAGTATAGTTGTTTACGATATTTTCCAAGTGTGTTCATTCATTTGGAAATTGTTCATTTTAGTATAAAAACTAAAAAAATCATTTACATCTCTTTTCTTTTTTTGAACAGAAAATATACGGAATGAAAGAAATGAACGATGAATAAAAGAATGAAAAGAAAGAAATAATAAAACAAGTTTCTTTTTGGCCAGTTTTAAGCGATAGCTGTGATAAAATAACTTAATTAATGCTTTTTAAATTGTGTGTTTTCTATGTTAACAATTGAAATATATAACATTACTCCCTTATTTTATAATTATTTGTATTTATCTATCTATCCCACTATGCACTTTTTACTTATATATATATATATATATATATATATATATATATATATTTAACAGGGAGTATCAACAATTTTTTGGCTAACTATGCATTGTAAAATATACATATATATCTATATAATTAATTATTTATACTCTAGATAATTAGCTTTATTGTTAAAAAAAAGTAGTTGAATTTAAGAAAGATAAAGTCTAGATTCAAGCTAAATTGTGATCAAGTTTGTAAAATTATTCTCTATTCTGTTTTGTATTGTTTGCATGCTCCAAATTATTTTGAACACATTTTCTCTGTTCAGCAAAAAAAAAAATAATAGAAAGAATTCAATACATCTATGAATATTTATAAAGATTATGTTTAAGAATAAAAAATCTCTGTTTGAATAGTCTTGAAAACTTTCAAATTGAGTACTTTTAAGGGTTGAGGAAGGGGAGGGGGCAGCAGTTTTAATTGCGTAATAAGGAGATTTGCTGTACTTACGGTACGTTCGTACTACCGACAAACGCACAATGTGTACATATTAACCCGCGTGTAAGGCAATAATTCAAGACGTCACGCCGCGTTGTCCAGTCTGATGTTGACGCTATATATTGTTCAGTGAACAATAAAGCATCGACGCCCTGATTAAGACACGCTTGTTTAGGCCCGAGGGTATCGAGTGTCTTATACCCAGTGGGTCTCTTTACCTGTCTATAGAAGAGATTAATCTTGTTGATTTGTCTCTTACCAGTATCCTCTAGATAAAACTACCGACCCCGTTATTTCCCTCTCCCTTTTCCTGTATTTGCCCAGATATTAATCCGGTATTGGAAAACAAGAGATTGAAACTGATACATTTACAATCGCCCCAAATTCTTTTCACTTCAATAACCACTAATCTTAACCCTATAGCATAATACCACTTAAACTGTTACCTCACAGATGTATAGAATCTGACTTTCATTCTTCTACTTGCTCCCACCCTCTTTCTTTTTCTTTCTTTCTTTCTATCTTTCCCTCACCTCATATCCCTTTCCGGTCTTACGTATACAGACAATGGGATATTGTTGATAACCACTAGATGGCGCAGTTTATTTTATGTAAGGACGTTCAAGCGTGAGGAAAATAATGTATTTTTTTCTTTTATTCGCTTCATTTCATTTAGTCTATAATAAGAAGAACAGAGATATATTGAGTTGGCAAGAATGATCGATAATTTCTATTCTTGTCTCAAATTAATGAGTTTCTCCGAATAATAAAGTCCAAGGGTTAATGTATAGATGATTAATCCGAGGAAAAAGCATATCTCTCCAAACAAACAATTAAAATATCCGACGTGTTTACTCCTTAAACGACAACTTACGCTATTCTATTCAATCTAAGTAGTAATCGGATATGTTGATAATTCATGAGTTAAATATTATGTAGGATAAAAAAAGAAGGCGTAAGTGACGCTAGGAGGATCAATTGACCGATTTGAACAATAAAAACGGATACGATCGAAACTTAAAATTCTCATAGAGACAATCGACTCTAAACTCTCAACAGTTATGCCGCAAGCAAGAAATAAAGTTCTCCTTCAAGCTCAAGATTCAACCTCTTTTGGTGCTAATTCAAGATTCATAGCCGTAGTCAAACAATCGGAAAAGATGGAACGACGAGCCCAAATGGCCAATGCTATTGAGAAGAGAATGTCAAGAATGAAACTTAAAGTTATCGAAAGACACGCTGATATACTTGAAAGAAGGTTGGAGAGAGTTTGTCTCAGAACAAATCAGAGTTTAAAGAAGATTTTAGCATATAGAAAGGTAGTAAATGAAAATACATCTTATTCAACCGAGAGTCGGTCGTTTCGTTTCCAAGTGGAAAAGGCAATTGCGGAAATGGACGATATGAAAATAAAAAATGATAAAACTAAAAAACTTTTAGAAATGAGTAAAGAAGAGCAAAGCGTCTGTTTAAAAAAGGGAATGGCGTTCCTAAAAAGACGCCCCGAATCGAATCTATTAGCTAAACGAGAATTAGCTCACCTGACAAGACCATTTTTTAGGCGAAATCTTGGACTACAAGAAGATTTTCTTAGTTCAACATAAAAACGAGAAGAGTTGTTAATCTCAGTGCTCACGAATTCAAAGATGTTCTCTTATACAACGTACAATTTTATAACAATCTATAACTATAACAAGTATAATAAGAAAGATAGAAAAACAACGACAAAAGAGACAATTCTCAACAGACTATTTTCCAATTTTCATTATTTATGCCTTATTGAATTAATTTCTTATGTAAAAAGATGAACGATTACAATTTATATAGTACATTCTTCTGCCAATTATTGTTTTAACTATAAAAATTTAAGACTCTTTTATAATTAAATAATTAAAAGAAACTATTTATAGTAGTTATTCAAAGATCCTTTGTATAGTTATATCCAATTTTTGAATCAGTATATATGTTATGGCACAATTGATTTATAAATCAACAATAACACTTTGTCACCTTGTTTTTTAAGTGTTGGATGTCAAAAATAAAATGAAAATGACTCATGCATAATTAATATAATTAATTAAAATTAAAGGATGGCCTTGTGTTTTTAGTCTATTATCTCAATTCTTAAATATACTTTTGGATAGAATTTCTCTTTTTAATGAAAGAGGAAAAGGAAACCGGAAAAGACTTAAATAAAAATCACTTTTTATTTTTTTATCATGCTATCTGGCGTCTATAAGAGAAATAATGAAAGAGAAACGATTTACTCATTTACCAATTATTCTATTCTTTCAAGATTCATTCAGTTGAGCAATTTTGACTAATCACTTATTCAAATCAATTTCTTTGTTTTATGTCTAATTAATTATCAATTGAAGCATTGCAGTAAAGACTGCAAATAAGAGTCTATTACAAAATGTTTGAAATCAAAGAGAATAATTTGTATTACTATTTAAAAGGAGATTACGAACGTCTCTTATAAATGTTTATCATTCTTAGCTAATTTTTATATGTAAAGAGAATTTTAATATTAATATTTTGAAAGATACTAGAAGGCGTTAGTGTAAAGTTTTTTGATCGTGCGATATTGAGCTATTAACAAGAGATATGAATTTATAATAATATTATTTCCAGTTAAAGTGCGATGTTGCTCTTATCTATTTATCGAGGATACTGAGCTTTATCATTTCCTCAATAAAATAAGAATAAAGTTGAGAATGTAACCGTCCCATAAAAGTAACTTTTTCTATTTATAAAGCTTATCTTAAGAGGACAATTTGATCATAAATAGGGGAAGCATGAAACTAAACTGTTGATGTTAAGCAGGAGGAGGATTAAAGATTACAATCCACTTAAAAAGTAAATAACTCTCTCTCTCTCTCTCTCTTTCTCTATAAACTTATTGCAAAACGGAAGCTATTCTTTTTAGATAATTTTGTTGTTAACCTTATTATAAAAATATCAAAATATTTCATTTAACCCTCTTTTATTTAGTCATTTATCTTTATACTTTCACGTTTAACATATTGTTATTCTCACCGCTTCTGCTTCTTTATAAAGAAGATACCTAGAAGATAATTTTAGCTCCATTTGAAATCTTACATAATACTAAGATGTCTTTTAAATTAATCTTATACCTTTTCTCTGTACTTTTCATTGGTTATTCTGAGTAAGTAGTTGAATTTTTCCTAACGAGCTAGTGGGATTGTTTTTCTGATTTTTGGTCCTTAGGTCTGCAGAAATATGCTGCTCAGGATTAGGATGTTTTAGCGACAACCGTCCTTTTGATCACCTTCCTTTACCTAGTTGCCCTGATGTTATTTCACCCATATTTAATTTGTATACAAGATCTAATAGAAATAGCCCACAAAGGGTTTATAGAAACGGCATTCCGTAAGTTTTCTATCCTCTTGGCAACTTATACTCTAAGAATAAACTTTAACATACTGTATTTGTCTGCCATCTTTAGGTCATTGTATAGAGGAGTGAAGAGAACTGTTTTCCTCGTTCACGGCTTCAATAATAATGAGAATGTAGATTGGATAATTGAAATGAAAAATGCTTTCTTGATTAGGGAAGATGTTAACGTAATTGTTACTGGATGGGGTGGAGGAGCAGAAACTATAGATTACCCATGGGCTGCTTCTAACACCAGAGTTGTTGGTGCCGAAATTGGAGTAACTGCCGAAAATTTGATTATCAATGGCGGATCCTCTCTCTCAAGAATGTGGTGTGTTGGACACAGTTTAGGTGCACATACTTGCGGTCATGCTGGTAAAAAGCAGAAATTTGCAAGAATTACCGGATTAGATCCTGCCGGACCACTTTTCGAGAATTACGACATTGAAGCAGGTTTAAATCCTACAAGAGGCAATTTCGTTGACATAATTCACACCGCTGGTAAAGATGGAGGAATTATAGATTTTGGAACCCTAAAAGCACTTGGTCATGCTGATTTTTATCCCAACAATGGTGGTTTTCAACCAGGTTTATTTCCAATTAAATATTTAAATATACAATATAATGCTTAAATATCTATACTTAGGTTGCTTCCTGAAAATGAAAAATGGTTTAAGAATCGCTTGCAGCCATGGTCGAGCTTGCGCTTACTTTACAGAGTCTGTTTTGGGTAATTGTAAATTTTATGCTAAACAAAAGTGCACAGACAATTGGAACATACCAAGCAGTTGTAGTAGCTGTTCAAATTGTGCAATAATGGGTTATGATGCAAGTTCTTCTCAAACAGGAAATTTTAACTTACCAACAAACTCAAACAGGCCATTTTGTAAAGGTTAAAGTTGAATGTTATTGTATTATATCACACGGTTTATTATAAATACAAGAGTTTGTACAATTGAACAGATAAAGTACCAACATAATGTACGAATATCCTAATTTTTAAAGTAACATTTTAATAAACAACTGCACTTTCACAAGTGATAAGATATTTATTTAAGAAATGATATAAAAAAACTGTTATGTTAAAGACAATGATAGAGAAAGTGGAGGAGAGGAATAGAGAACAGAACGATGAAACTGAATGGAAAGAAATGATAATGGACAGAGAAGCAGGAGAAAGAGCAAGAATGTTAGCCAACTACATAATATAGTTTTCAGCGATGTTGGATTCTGTCAAAGTAATATGGTTCACATAATGAGAAATGTAAAAATAAATCATTATGTATCATTCATAATACTAACGGAAGTGATCTGTTTGCTTATTTTCTTAAGATCATCGATCCTGGCAAGGAATTAGTTCAAGTGTAAAATTTCCAAGAAAATTAGGACTATTGATGTGGCTAGAAGGTTTTCCAACAAGAAGCAATTTGATACTGTTCAATACATAAAAAAAGAGTTAGACGTACAAGATGTAAACAGAATAATTGCTTTTATTAGAAAAGGGCTGTAATTATTATTTGTGTCGCTTCAGCCAACATCGAAACCTTCTCGACCATTTGTTGGCTCTATGCTAAACTTATTTATCAAATGACCAAAAGACCATGGGGTTTAACCATGTCAGCTTGGGAAGCAACCAGAATTAATGATTGGTCGTCTGCCGAACAGAATACCATGTCCGAAAGTAATTGTAATCAGAACGCTCCCACATTTCTTTATCATTCCATAGTTATAGTTGTGTTGTATCAAGGAGAAGCCAATACTCACAACCCTGCAAAATAGGCTTGCTCTCAAAAGAATCTGATTGAACGATGGAGTAGGGATTTGAATAACCAATCAGATTTATTTTAATATTCTCAAAAGTTGGCTTCAACATTGACGTAATGCTGAGAGAAGTCGTTTTCCAAGTTTTCGAAGGACCTAAAGTCATTTTTTCGGATATAGGCCTAATCTAGAATTACGTAACGTTTTATGTCGGCTGCAATGGATTTATTTGACTTTGATTCACCTGTGGAAAAGTTATGTAGTATTTAGTAAGCTTTAGGTCTTTTATAGAACTTTAACACAAATAGCATTCATTCACACCATCAAACAGAAATATTTGATAGACAAGCTGTAGGAGCTTTCAAACTAGTCTATGAGATACTAAGGTCCTTTCCCAACTTCAATTGTAGCTCTTGAAAATGAAAAACAAGTTATAGTTGTCGGCAGAAACATCGAATTGATATATAAATCAATGATTAGATATTCAGGTCCGTATGTCCAGATGAAACAAAACAATGCCCAGTTTATCGCAAAGAAAATGATCTACCAGTTTCGTCTTTTCTGTTAGAAATTCCCAAAGGGAAGTTAAATTAAATTTTGTTTTTCTATAAAAAATATACATTTTTAAATGATTGAATAGAAATATTCTACTACTATTTACCATATTCAAATGATTCTCAATGAACTATATAGTAAAACGCAATAAATCATGAATAGTTAGCACTCAACAGAATGTTTACTTTAAGAAAGTATGAATCGTTTATGGCATATCTTCGAACTGTTCATTCAATGTTTTATTGAATTTATTGTATTGTTCTTATTATATGGGTTCAGTAGTTAATCTCTTAGATTTATACACAAATAATATAAAACATAAGCACATGGCGTGAAATGCGTTTATTGATAATGTATAGTATATCTGAGTTCAATTTATCCAGAGCTCTTCAAGTACTTCCATTAGCTATTTATGAAAAACAGACACTTCCATCAATATTTATGTCGCCTTCAATGTCAGCGGAGATGACATACGCAAATGTGTACAATGCAGGATAAAATTTTGCAGTATAAGTTCAAAGGTTAATTAAATCTCAAATGAAAAGTGTGTGAAGAAATCACACTTTTCAAACAAATGCTATAAAATAGATATATTGAAATATTTTCATAATGATATAAACTATTAGTTCCTTGTACATAAGTTCGATCGCCTTGTACCAACTACTTAGCCAAATATCTAAGTATTGAAATTATAGACAGAATTTTATCAATTATGATATCTTTTTTAAGAAAACAATTGCAAAGCTTTTAAAAACTTTTCATTAAAAATATCTTTATCCAAATAGATTATCCTTTCATTTCACTTCATCTCTGCCTTTCAATAATTTCTATAGTTTTCTTTTCTCATAATCATATTATCTTGCAGTAGCGAAACTAAAAATTTTCCACTCGATCGTTGAACCACTCTTAGTATTGATCTCTTCAAAAATAAAGAATATGTCGATCATCTCTGTTTAGCATTGTAAATGGAGGAAAGTTGTAAAACATAGTTATTTACTTGAACTGTTCAAGCAGCATGACACAGTGTTTTTCTAACCTATATAGTTGCTTTTCTAAAAAAGCCAAACAACTTACGAGTATTGAATGAATTGTTAAGAATTATAAGTTGTTAGAATGTGTTGTATACAGTTTTATATAAGTGCTTGTGACTGTTACTTTTAATTACAATGAGACTTCCATTTTAAGAATGATTCTTATTTTTCAAATATTAAGCCACTAAATACAACTTACCACAGTTTCTTAATAGGCAATTTTCATATCGTATCCCGTCACCTTCACAAGGGTCTCCAGAATTTGTGCAGACTCTTCTGGAGATTTTTATCCCACTTCCACATGTTGCACTACAACTTTCCCAAACACCCCACGCAGACCATCCCCCACTTGCTAAAGTGGAAAACGTATGAAGTTTCGAAAAACTCAATGAAACATATACTTACTGGGACAGGCACTCATAGTACACTCTTCAGAATCCCCGCCTGAACCGGAACATTCAGAACCCCCTTCTGAAGGACTAGGATTATTACATTGTCTTGTTCTTCCTCTAGTCCCAGCTCCACATGTGACACTGCAACTTCCCCAGTTACTCCAAGCAGACCATCCACCATTTACTGAGGATGAACATGAATAAAACGTCGAAATACCTCGATGAAACATTTACTAATACTTACTGGGACAGGCACTTAAAGTACACTCTTCAGAGTTCCCACCTGAACCGGAACATTCAGAACCCCCTTCTGAAGGACTAGGATTATTACATTGTCTTGTTCTTCCTCTTGTCCCAGTTCCACATGTTACACTACAACTTCCCCAGTTACTCCAAGCAGACCATCCACCATTTACTGAGGATGAACATGAATAAAACGTCGAAATACCTCGATGAAACATTTACTAATACTTACTGGGACAGGCTCTCAAAGTACACTCTTCAGAATCCCCGCCTGAACCGGAACATTCAGAACCCCCTTCTGAAGGACTAGGATTATTACATTGTCTTGTTCTTCCTCTTGTCCCAGCTCCACATGTGACACTGCAACTTCCCCAGTTACTCCAAGCAGACCATCCACCATTTACTGAGGATGAACATGAATAAAACGTCGAAATACCTCGATGAAACATTTACTAATACTTACTGGGACAGGCTCTCAAAGTACACTCTTCGGAATCCCCCCCTGAACCAGAACATTCAGAACCCCCTTCTGAAGGACTAGGATTATTACATTGTCTTGTTCTTCCTCTTGTCCCAGCTCCACATGTGACACTGCAACTTCCCCAGTTACTCCAAGCAGACCATCCACCATTTACTGAGGATGAACATGAATAAAACGTCGAAATACCTCGATGAAACATTTACTAATACTTACTGGGACAGGCTCTCAAAGTACACTCTTCGGAATCCCCCCCTGAACCAGAACATTCAGAACCCCCTTCTGAAGGACTAGGATTATTACATTGTCTTGTTCTTCCTCTAGTCCCAGCTCCACATGTGACACTACAGCTTCCCCAATCACTCCAAGCAGACCATCCACCATTTACTGACGTAGTTAATTGTTTATATTTCCTTAAAATATGAAACAAGTTCTTACCTGGACATGAGTTCGCGTTGCAGGTTTCAGATCGTTTTGATGATCCTTGGGAGCATGTTGAAGTTAGGCATGTTCTAGTAGCTGTTCGTGAGCCACTGCCGCAAGTGCTTGTACATGAAGACCATGTACCCCAAGTTCCCCAGGATTCAGTTGGTCGTACTAATGTATCGTCAATTGGAGGGGCTGGAGCAATCGGAGTTAATTCTCTTTCAGGGATGTCACCTACGGGAGCGATCGGAACTAAATCTTTGTCAACTACATCCCGGTCGACTTGAGCTAAATCTTGTTTTACTTAAACAGACAATATATTGATAACGTTAAATAAAGTTTTAGAAATTTTGAGGTATTTTCCTCATTACCTAAATCCGTATTTGCAGTTTGAATAAGAATGATAGAATTTAAATCAAAACCAATACTAAGGAAAAATGTGGAAATAAATAGTTGCTTCATGATTGTAATCCGTGAGATCAGTGACACTCAGACAAATGTTCATGGATATATAATTCTTTTCCTTAAACGAATAGACTGTGCTTTGTTTTTCAAAATGATTAATAGTGTTGTTCCTTGAATTGGATTTCTATCTTACATCAATTGAATACACAATACACTACTTTTATCGACAACTTTTATTCTATATTTAAGAAAATAAATGAAATAACTGTTCTAGTTACAAAGTACAGTCACGTGTGTAAAAAAAGTGAAGAGAGTTTTCTCTATGACTATTAATAGTTTATGCTCCATGACAAATCTACTTTTATCTTCTTCTTTCAGTCTTCCTATCGTTTCTACGTTCCCTGTAAGTTTCGTATCGGTTGTGGCTATCATATTTGTCTCGTTTATCGCGCCTATCGTTCCTATCCCTGGATCTGCTTCGTCGATGATTTCTGTCTCTATGATGATGATGATGGTGATCGTTACGATCATAGCGATCGCGACGATCCCTCCTTGTATCTCTGTAATATCTCTATTGGAAGAAAGATCAATATGTTTCAGATATTGTGAACTCTAAGACGTAAAAGAACTTACTTCTTTTCTATTACGTTCATGTGATCTTGATCTTGACCTGGAGCGTTTTCTTTGCTTTTTCGATTTAGAATCATCTTTCTCTTCATCGGAGAAAACGTAGTCATATTTATTGCTAAAAGGAAAATATAAATAACAGTGTTTTTTTTTAGTATATTGGTAGTAAACTTACTCTTTACGGGCAGTGTCCTTGATTTTTAATTTAACTCGACCTTCAGAATCAAGGAAATCCTTCTTACGTAATTTTGATACAGATTGACTGAAATCAACGTGTATTCTTCTGTCATCAATAAGTACATTATCCATTTTAAAATAAGCACTTTCACAATCTTCAGCCTATAAATTAATAATTCATATAATAAATAAGTATAACATAAACTATAATAATCTACCTTTTCAAACTCAATAAATGCATATTGTAGTGATTCTCCAGATTTATCGTCTCTTATAATTTCACAGCTAAATTTAATCATAATAATAGTTACCATTTTAATATTCATAGGTAATTTTTTATATAGTAATAGTTAAACACTTACCTTTCAATTTTACCAAACCTTGAGAATATTATTTCCAAATCTTCATCAGTTGTTATTGGATTTAGTTTGCATACGAACAAGATGTTATCTGGTGGTTTTATATCCGCATCTGGTATATCTCCTATCTATTAAAAATGTTATGTTTAACTTCTCTTTTTAGTTTCTTTCTACTGACCATTTGGAGTATTTGAGCATTTGCTTTTGCTTCCTTGTTTTCGTTCATTTCTTGAATTTGTTCTGCAGTTTTACCTTTATGTTCATCCAATTCTTCATCTATTCCAATACGAACAGTCTGTTTGTAAAATCGGAATGATGCAATAAATACATAAGAGGCAAATATAATTAAAGTATACTTCTAATTGTTCTTTAGTTGGTTCTGGAGATCTGTCTGGTATTAACGCAGCAAGACCTTCCGGATCATCAAATGGATCGTCAAGAATAATCGTATGTAAAATTCTAAGGAATAAAGTTATTTAAAATGATATTAATGACTGTTGATTCATTGAATTTTACCTAATATCTCTATACGGTCTATGATCTTCATCGCAATAGGCCTCATTTAGTTTCTCTAAAACATTATCTTTGTCTTCCGCAACCTCACCAAAAACTGTGTGAACTCCATCTAAATAATCCAAGTCTGGAGCTAATGTTACAAAGAATTGAGATCCATGCATATTACTTCCGTTATTGACCATTGATAAAGCTCCCATCTTTCTATGCTTGATTCTTGGTTTTGTTTCTGCTTCAAAATAATTGGCTTGCTCTCCATAGCACTTTCTACAGAATTAACTAATATGTACATTATAACTGATATTGATAGTAATAATCTACCCAAAAATTGATATTCCTCCTTTCCCAGTTCCTGATGGATCTCCAGTTTGAGCAGATAAATTTCTCTGGTAAAAGAAGCCGGGTAATTAACATATGTTCATAAAACAGAATATGAAATAGATAGCTTACTTGAATTGAGTGAAATAGACTGAAGTTATAATACTTTATTTTGCACAGCTTTAAGAAATTTTTACTGCCTGAAATTAATTAAATGTGAGTTAAATAATAACAAACATGCTGAATGAAAACTAAAGCTTACAATTTGGTCTTTCATCAGGATAAAGATCAATAACAAGACTTCCGATTGACGTCTCAATGAGTACTGACATCTTTAAAGAATACAATCAATATTGAGCCTTATTAACTTCTTTTTGAAATTTAACAAAAAATGTAAAAAGAACCTTTCTTATGATCGCAAACCAAACGACATGAGCGAAAATCAATTTTTCCTAAAGTGAATATTTCGTTTTTAGTCAACTGGTAAACAGATGTTCCTGTTTTCAGACGGTTCATTAAATTGACAAGTATAAGTTGGAAAAGTATTATTTAGTTAATGAAAATGCCTACAATTTTGACAAAAAAGGAAGAGCATGAAAAATTTATATCAAATTTGACAGGCACATCAATCACAGAGATAGCTTTCGTCCAATTTTATCCGATATTACTCTTTCTTTTAAAAGAACTTATTGTTGCTTTTCTTTTGAAAGACGCTTTTATAAATACAGGGTCTGATGATAAAATATATTACTATCATTATTAAGAAATGTTACTAATAATAATTCTTAACTATTTTTTTAGATTAAAATTTATTCTGGACTTTTTCGTTTTAATCATTCCGATGCTAGTAGCGTCAACAATTGGATCAAACTTTTTATACGAATTATACATTATAACAACATTAATAATAGTAGGATTTTTATTGGTAATACCCCAGCTAGAAAAAGCTGGTAGAAAGAAAATCTCTATTAAGGAAGAAATTAATAAATTTTTTCAAGATACCTTTGCAAATGAAATTCCAGGAATAACTCATTTTCGATCATATGCTAATATTGGAACTGCTATTCTTATATTGGCAATAGATTTTTCAGTATGCCCTAGAAGATTTGCTAAAACAGAAAATTTTGGAACAGGCCTTATGGACATTGGAGTAGGGTCGTTTGTCTTTGCAAACGGTATAGTTTCACCTCAGGCAACTGGTAAATCAGGGGTTGATAAGTAAGAGAAAAATTCTCCAATTTCCTTATAATTTTCCTTATTCTATTCTTTATAGTTCCTTTTGGAGAAATATCAAAAAAAACCTTATTTCAAGTTTACCATTGATTGGCTTAGGCTTTGGGAGATTGTATTCATTAAAGGCGACAGATTACCATGAACACGTGACAGAATATGGAATTCATTGGAATTTTTTTTTTACTTTGGCAATTGTTAAGGTAGATTTATTGTAGAATTATAAAAGAATCTCATGAATAATGGTCATTTTCCATAGATCTTATCATCGCTATTCGTGTTTAGAAATACGATTGGAAACTTGATAAGTAGCGTCATTTGTGTCACATGTCACGAAATATTACTTCAACTTAAATTTAAATCATATATCCTTAACGAAACTGATAGAAGTGGTCTACTAAACGCGAATAAAGAAGGAATTATATCATGCATAGGCTATTTATCAATTTATCTCTTTTCCGTATGGTTCGGATCACTACTATTCAATTACAGGTTGATTTATTTACATTTCTATACATTTCCTTATTTGAAACATTTTAATTTATTTTTCTTTCGTTTCTTCCCTCTATCTCTTCTTTATATGTAAAAGAAAGCAAACAATGAAAGATTGGATTAAGATTTTTCTCCAAATATTACTATTAGATTGCTTCCTTTGGTTTTTTCTATATATATTAAGGAATAATATTGATAACATTAGTAGAAGAATGGCAAATTTTTCGTATTGTATTTGGATGGTAAAGTTTTAATTAAATAAAAATAATAGCAATCAAAAACAAACAGAAATAACATAAATGAATAAACAAGTTTTAATTAATGTTTTATTATTCTTCAGATATCTGCCAGCATATCGGTCATTTGTTCATTTATAGGCCTAGAGTTATTATTAGAATTTTTAAAAAGGATACAAATTCTACCAAAGAGAAGTAATATATAATATTTATTTATTTTTAATATTAAATTATGAATTAATTAATAATTTCAAGGTGAAAAGTTCTGTTTACTTAAAGCTACTAATAGAAATGGTCTCATTTATTTTCTATTAGCAAATCTCATGACCGGAGCAGTAAATATGCGTTTCAATACAGTAAAACTGGACGATTCGTCAGCATTTTCAATACTATCCATCTATTTATTAAGTTTAAATATTATTATATCGATATTGCATTGCAAACATCTAACAATAAAATTTTGGTGAAAGTTTGTGTAATTTGTAAATGTTTTCTTCACTACAAGTTAAATTAGGTTTCCATTGGAGAGGACCAATCTTGCACCGTTATATTCAAATCTTCTGACAGCATAGGAAAATCATTATCTGTTGAGGAGGCTGATAGGTTGTTTAGAAAAGTATCAACTTGTGCCTGGAAATTTTTGTCAGTTTCCAGCACTTCCGAACTATGTGTCTGTAGTTGCAAAAAGTCATAATCGATCGTATGGCAACTATTCTGGGAGTTTGGAGAAAGAATATCTTCTTGAAAGATTGGTGTAGGGGGTTCTTGCACAGCTGGCGTAGGTGGTTCAAATTCATCTGAATTTCCATTGAATTCCGGAATGAATGTATATTGACTCCTGAATTTTAAAAAGAAATAATAAACAATCGTTTTATCCTTGCATAATTACAAATAGTTATACCTCTTGTTATTTGATCTGAGAACAACTTGGTAGTTTACCCTCTCAGCATTATATTCATCTTCTCCAGCTGATCAAGAAAAATACAATAAAGTTGCTTTAATAACAGAAATAACTTTTCTTACGTGATTCCTCGATATTATTTGCTAGTGCCTGCTGGAAAGATTGAGTTTCCAATTTTTGATATTCAATAGGACTAAGTATAACTTTGCCGTTGCTAACTAGTTTCCTTCCAGTTCCGTAAATTTTCATTTCATTTAGTGTCTCGTATAAATCCAAGTTTCTCTGTTCCAATTCCTTGTAAGTTAAAAAATCCTGTAGATGGTAAATTTGGTTGTCTTGTTTCACTGCTAGTGTAAAATTTGCTTGGGGTGATGCTCCTTGAGTAGCTTCTATTCTACTCTCGGCAAAACGGACGAGGAAAGTTCCATTGTCATAATCTGCAAGAATTCTTTCAGCGTAGCCCTTACTTATAAAGCCATAAACCAATCTAAAGTGAAAAACAATTAGCTTTCGATAAAATTAATGCACAAGAATTTTTCTTTTTACCTTGTCTGCCAATATTTATTTACTTTCTGTGAAGTTAGTGAATTGGTGCATGTGACAAACCAATGCCAAGGAGTAAAACTCTTTTTATGAAGTCTATCTTCATTTGTTCGGGGGCTATGTCTCTCCGGATATTTTTTCTATTTTAAATACAAAGTAAGTGAATAAAATGTTTAGAAAATATTTATTTATACCGTTAAAAGATCCTGAAGAGAGATGGCACTGCTGTCATCATTCAACACTAGTAAAGATAAAAAAGTGAATATATTATTTGAGGTTGGATAGAATAAGTGAAATTTTAACTCTTACGGAATCTGTGTCTCAAATAGTTGACTTGTTCGGTTGTTAAATGTCGTCCGGTATTTGCATAGTAATGTTCTATCAAAATTTTCTTGAATTCACTCCAAGGTTTCTCAACAGCATTTCCAAAAAGTCTAAGCCAGCTCATATTCGCTTTTGCTTGTATAGTTTGGGATGTTTGTGAAATAATTACAAACGCTCTCGTATCGATATGCAAATTAAATTCCCGATTATTCCATGTGAATTTTTTCAAGTCAATATGTAAGTAATATCTGAAGGCTGCGACTGCATTATCTCTATCTGATTTCGGTCTATCCTTAGTTTCAGAGTTATTCTTTAATCCCGAATTAAATTCAAAATTAACCATTTTATTAGAATCAATAATTTTATTTGGATTTTTATTGTGAAATTCGAAGGAAGATTTAATAAATTGCTTTTCTTTTTTGTTCGCCTGTTGCGTCTCTTGCATTATGTTTGTTTGCTTAATTCCTGTGGAACTTGTCACGTTCATAGCCTCACTGCACATTAAGCGTAAAATAAAGTGAGCCTTTGTAGCAAGACGCTTTTCTGCCTTGACAGTTTCAGTTGTTGGTAACAGAATAATAAGAAATTGGTTTATTAGCTGCGTAAGGTCATTATTCAAGGCTTTTATATCTCCTGTTAGTTTTTCATTTGAATACATTAAAGTGTGCTTTTCTATTATATCTTTACAATTCAGCGAGTCGCAATAATTCAAGATTTCTGAGTTTTTACCCATATTTTGTAACATGATATCAAACTCTTGTATCCCTTGGATGAATAGAGACATGCTATATATAGATATATTTAAAGGCATCTATAAGTTAACTATTTTACAAATAAAATGCTTACTTACACTTTATCCAGGGAATTGATACATTTTGTTGATATTTCAACAAATGTTCTTTCCTCATTTTTAAATTTAGTACACTCGCCAATAAAGATATTTACCGCATGGTGAATTTTTTTAACTAATTCATTAACTCGCTCAGTAAATTTCTATGGAGGAAACTTTGGTAAGTATATGTCTATGTATATGTTTTATTCTTTTACCTTAAAGAAATCAACATTTTCCTCTACTATATTGGACAACCTAAATTTCTGCCACTGACAAACGCAAACCTGCAAAGACGGAAAGTTACTTTCTCGGAAATATTGAATATTAATCATAATATTACATTCGCTTCTAACTGTATATGTTGAAGGCATGTTTTCTCTTTTAATTCTTCAACATAGTGATTATCTAGAAGTGATTTGTCTGAATTCTTCTCAATCGTTTTTCTATTGGCATTTCTATGAAGAAATATCAAATTTTTAAGTTTCACTATAATAGTGTTAATCTAAAGTGAAAGTTGGAATTCTCACCTTTTAGACATTTTTTAATCTTGAATTGTTTCTCCAGCAATCTCTTCGAAAGCACAAATAACAATCATTAATATATTTGTCCAGAAAATAAAACTACGTGATAGTATGGGAGCTTAAACTTTTCAATCATGTGCTTTCCGGGAGTAATCTGGCAGTACGAAATATGTTCACTTCTTGGTTGGATGATGAAAGGAAAGAAGAGGTTTTATATAGGTTGCTCGAAATAGTAGAAAAAAGCACTTCAACAAGTTTTCATTTTCTAAAATAATTTGATAAAGATTTTCGTACTCTTATTAAAAATAATATGAATTATGTTCAATTTTGCTTCATATATCTGTTTTATAGATAGGAAAGTTTTCGCAAAAAATTGTGTAACCCAAATTAATCCTTCTCGAATAAACCGGATACTAAACTAGCAGACGTAAAAATGATAATAAACGTTTTCGAGAAACCGCTACTGATCAAAGCTCTGACTAATACATTCATTATAAAAATGTCTGTTATTATTTAAATCAATATATCAACAAAACCTACAACAATACTTTGCAACATATAATTGAAATAACTTGTATACTTTTTACTTTCATTTTATAAGATTTACTAAAAGTAAAATGTCATTTATTATTAGTGTTTTAGACGTCTTTTTTTTTTATCATATATTAGCTAGTAGTCTACCCTTATAATCCCTCTAATTTACAATATATTATACGTGTATGTATACTGCAGAACAAATAGAATTTGTATTTGATAAATATTGTAAATTAACGATTTTGTTGCATAACTTTCTACAATTGAATAAAATTGTCTAAACATTCTTCATACATTTTTCTGATTAAGATTTTTTGGTTCCATTTTTTTTCCTTTTTAGTAGACTTTTCTTTTTCCTTAACTAAAGTTATTTACAATTCACAACACGTATTTTAGGAACACTATGCACGATTGTTAATCATGCAAAAATAGGTGGAATGGCTGTAGAGGAAAATAAGATTAAAATTTCTCTTTCGACTAGTATACTGATTGGGCAACTGACTAATCAATTTTTGTAAAATATCTCCTCCAATATCTGTCTGCTACTGTTTTTTTTAAATATTTTGCACACCTCGGAATGTTCTTAAGAGATACGTAGAAGTGAAAGAATAGATTCTTCTAACGTACTTTATTCTTCTATTCTTTAAATTTGTAAATTAATTTAACCATCCGCCAATTGGCGTACTTTTAGCGAGCCATCAGCTCCACAAGATAATAAATGTCTATCGGGCGTTAAAGTCAATTGTAAAACTCCCTTACTACTTCCGGACACATTTCTAAATAAAGACGACTTTGAATGTTGTCCCGTAAAGGTGTGAATTAGTCTGTGAGCGTCTAAACGCCAAATCTTTATATCACCTTCTCCACCTCCAGTAACTAAGAGTTGTTCAGCAGGATCTATTGCTAAAGCTCTAATTGGTGTTCCTTCGTGTGCCATAAAGGTATGCTGAACTCTCCTCGATCTAGTATCGATGACTGAGACATCACCCTTTCTACCAGCAGTAATAATTTGTTGTCTATGAGGAGCATAAACGATCGAAGTTGCGCCAGCTTCGTGAACAGGCCAGTAAGCAACTCTTGCTCTTCGACTAGGTAATAAAGTGTCCCAGAGGGCAACGTGTTTATTATCTCCATTCCCGCAGGTGGCTAGGACGCTTGAACTTCCTGCCCAGACTAAACCTGCTGATGCTTTACTATGGCATTGTATACGAGCATATGGTTTGGCAACCGTCGCAGCAACGCCCAACTGCCAAAAACTGACAGCGCCTTCGGCATCGCTAACTCCCAATTTGTTTCCGTGGGCGTTAAATAGGCAACAAGTGACGGCCGGAAATGTACCGGATGGCCTGACATCGCATACACTATTTCTATGTCCCCACTCCCATAACTTGACGGCACCATCACTACAACCGGTTACGTAATAAGGCAGATTTGGATGTGCTCCCATCCGTCTGATACCGGACTGTTGAGTCCTTTTGCAGAGCTGTATGTTTTTAAAAATATTACGTATTATTAATTAATAATTTCATTTGCAATCTTAGCATTGTAATACAAATTTTCAAGGAAGGATCCTTATGTATATAACAAAAATCTAAACGCTAAATTGGTGCATTTATAATGAAAACAAAAACACTAGAAAAAAAAAAAGATCTCTGTGCACACGAGTTTTTCAACTGGAAATTTATCATCTAATTAACTTATAAAACAACTATTTTTTTTTTAATGAAAGAACTTTAATTCTAGATCAGTAAACAGATTACAACGCCCTTTAAGGATGAAAGACGAACGTTACTATTCTTTCTTCTTTCTAATATCTAACAAAGTCACTTTAAATATCATCTAACATCCTCTAATATTAAAATATATATATTATAATATATATTTAAATATTCTTCCTTTTCGGAAAGATAACAGAAAACAAAAAGGTAAATAAGTAAATAAATCATATTGATCAGTGAACGATAAAAGGATTTGCGAACATCTTTTTTTTGAGCATGCTACACATCATTCCAAAAACTTGAACAATATCTAGAACGTGAAAATCGAATAACTGACCGTTTTAACCAACCGCCTACTACATTCGACCAAACTAGCGTTTGATCCAGATAAATTATTGGCAATACCCTTCACCTGCAACCGTCGTAGCAAAAAAAGAAAAAAAATAAAGAAATAAGAACAACAGAGAAATAGAAGGAGAAAAAGAAAATCTTTTCCTTTTAAATAAAACGTTAAAAGTTATTCTTTTCTTTATTCTCTCTTTGCTAATTATATCAGCATTTCTCTTTTAAAATATAGAAAACAATACAATTCAATAATACATACTGCAAATATATAATATCTACAGTATTTTAAAAAATTAGAAAAATATTATTATTGCATATACTCTAGCAATAATAATAATAATAGTATTAAATATTACATTGTTACCAAAAGTATTATTAATACCCTATTAAAAAGACTATAACTAGAGATTGTTAGCAATAGTTTACATAGAGAGAGAGAGATAGATAAATAGATAAATCGATAAAGATATATAAAGAAAGTGAAAGTATATGGAAAATTACTCAATCAATATTACTATTATTGTTGTTGTATTTTACTTTACAACGCTTTTTCCTTAATAAAAATGATATTACAGAAAGTAAAAAACAAAAAAAGCAACAATAGCTTTAATAGATAAAAAAAATATATTACATTTACATGCAATTTATATAAATTTATATTATTATCTATTAATAGCTTACTTTTTTTCGTTTTATAATAATTATTATAAAAGGAATTATGATAAAAAAAACGGCGCTTTTTTAATTATTAATATTCTATTTCTATTACCATCACTTTTCATTTGGTAATGGTTTATTATCGTTATAATGATGACGACTATTCGTAAAATTGTTCTTCGAGTGATTGATTATTTTTTCAATTTAATTAGAACTACATTGACTTTAATTAGAAAATAAAAATGTATAACTTACAACACTTGTTCCATCTCTTTGAAGACTAGAGCCAACAACCGAAGTAGGCATTGGAAAAGCTCCAGGAGCAGTTGGAGTATTCATTAAACTAGCTGCTCTAGGTATTACAACAAAATCACCAGTGGGTGCCACTGGCTGCATCATAGTTTCTATATCATATTCAGTATTATCTTCTAACCAAGCGGGGGGTGATAAAACCCCAGAAACGTCTAATTCTACAATCTCCTTAACAGTTGCTAAAGCTGCACAATGTAGATTTGTCTGTTTACGCATAAAAAAAAATATTAATAAAATCATTTAACATAATTAATCACAAAGATCAATTCAGCTTATAGCAACAATATTCAAGTTTAAAGTTTCGCTAGAATATTAAGAAAAATTAATTTGTGCCCCCGAATTAACATTCAACAAGATTTTTACAACTTTTACATTGCCTTCTGTGTAAGGTTACTATATATAATTTTTGTTTTGTTTTGGAAAATTTAAAAGTATCATAAATAATAAAAAAAAATAAATAAAAAATAAGGAAAAATAAAACAAAAAACAAAGCAAAGATAAATCAAGAAATTTTTCTATGGTACTTTTGTTTAAATTTTCCAAATTGACATATACATTTACTTAAGGGGAAGGGAGAGAGGAAGGGGACGGGGAGAAGGGAGTCGATAAACGAATTATCACAAATTAAACTTCTAAAAATCAAAAGCAATAAAAAAGTGGTAAAGGTGATCTAACAAGTATTTTTTACTATTTTAACAAAATAAGATAAAGCTAATCGACAAACGAACCCATACCATCATTGGTTCACCACCGTATTCGGATGATAAACGTTGAGCCCAAACACCCGTATACTGTTGAATATTACAGTAAAAAAAACCCTTTCTAGTTAAAACGAAAGAAAAACCAAAGAGATATTTTTATTGTATTTTGAAATACCTGATTCAAACAGAATGCTACAATATCATCCTGTTCCCTATGTATAATCTTCATTGGAGCTTCATCAGGTTCTACTTTGGCGTCTGTAACATCCTCCTCATCTTCACTAGGTGGTAAATTTGGCTGACGCTTCTTAAATAGATACCTAATAAACACATCTTGTAGACTATCTTGTCTAACCAAGTAATACCAGAGCCGTTTAACAGGGAGACAATCAGGAGAGGCGCTGAAAGGTGTATTATGAACATCTCTCATTGCTTTATACTTTAAAAGAGCTGGGCCATTGCTATTCGAATCAACATAAAGGGTAGGAATGTACTCTTGTGGAGGTCCGCCAAATGAGTTAAGAGCTTCTGATAAATTACCATCCCATTCCTCTAACGTTCGGAAAACAGCGTGAAGAAGTGGCGAGACAACAGGAAGATCAACCAATTCCACTCCAACTGATGGTACAAACATTCTCAAGTGAACTCTTACGTGTCGAACGATAGCAAATCTTATCAACGTCCATGAATAAGAGTTAGGATCACAGTGTTCAGTATTAGCTGGCAAAGAGCTTTTCGTATTTTCTCCAAACTCGTCAGTTTCATCTTCGTCTTCACTTGGCGCCGAATCAGCCGAATCATAATCAACTCTTTCTTCGTGAGGATTTTCGTAGGGTTTTGTCAAAAGATAAGTGACCATTGAAGTTTCTGGAGCTATGTATCTTTCCTTGTAAGTGGGTTTATCGTCTCTTAAGGACGTCGATTGACTAGCACCACTAGGAGCACCTAAAATTCTCATATGTAACTTTGTTCGTTGTTTATCTACATCACTGCGATTCACTTGTCGATTTTCAGAAACAGCGACCCTAACCACTTTTCTTGCTCCACCACCGAATAGTGCAGGCCACATTGTCGCACACAAAGGATGTCCAACTAATCTATATAGAGCATCGGCATCGAATAAGGCAAGAGCCGCTGATAAAAGAGATAAATAGGCAGCAACCAAACTCTCCAATAACAAGATACGAACTTTTGGAGCATCCTTATCCCGGCCTTTTAGCAGTAATTGCTTTAGGGACGTAACACCTGGCCAATCTGCCGGGGCAGAAGTGGCCTTGTTTTCGTCACATGACAAATTCCTAGAGCGCCGTGCCCCCGTCACCAGGAAGGTGTTGGGCGACAGAGGTTGCTGACCACTCCAAGGTTCAACGTGATCTGAATCGCACAGACACTGGTAAATAGAAGCGGATAATGCAGCTGCAATATCTCGCATGACTAAAACTTTCCTTATAGTTTGCATTTCATTTGTCGGTGGCAATTCCAGCTTGAGAATTGATTTTAATAGATCTCTTGTTGTTAGGCACAAATGTCGAATCGGGTCTGATACAACTGTTTTGACGCTCGCAACCGCCGAGCTAACTAATGGTAAAGTTGTAGGAAATGGTAAAGAATGGTGAAGGGTACTCCTAGCATCTTGTTGTAACTCCTGTAATAAAAGCAATAGCTCCATTCGCACGGAGGCTAAACCACCTCCTGCTGCACCATGCAGAGCAGAAAAAGCCAGGAGGGTTCGTAGAATTCTTTCATGAGCATGGAGCCACTTTCTTCTTCTAGTCATTCGTTCAATTTTCGCGTCTAAATCGAGTTTTTCGGCTAAAATAACTTCATGTAAAGTGGGTATTGCTGTTTTTTGATCTGCTGTTGAGCTGAGACTATTTGAATTATCAATTTCAGGTAAGTTAACATGGTATGAACACAATTGCCGAAGGGCTTCCATTTCCTTTTCTAAAAATGTATACAAATGAGCTCTTAGATGTCCGCCATCAACCTCGTAGCCTGTAGCCAAGGTTGACAATTCTTGTGTCATTATTTTGATGCTAGCAATCATTTTCATCTGTTGCGCCATTTCGTCATCAGCAGCTGATTTTGTCTCAAATTCTTCATCAATATTATCTTCTTCAGTACCTAAAGTTAATTCAGAAGCATCCCCACCAATTAACGGCTGGCTCCAGTCGAAGGCATCAGCCGTTTCTCCTCCATTAATTTTTTTTGATTGTTCCTTAGTCTTTTCTTTCCCTTCTAAAACAACGTCGGGTAATCTAGAGAGAACTTCTAAAGCCAACATTGGACAACCCGACCTGAGGTGTTGATATGCAGTGTTGAAATATAATCTTCTTTCGGTAGGTGTAACACGGACGTTCGTTGGCTCAGAACTAAAACCACCAAGTGGAAGGTGACTATCGGCCGCAGCTATTTGCTGGCGTACGATTAATGGATGTGTTCGTAGATAATTGTAAAAATTGAAGACGTTGGCCTCTTCATCTTCCTCATTATTTCTATATGCTCTACACGAACCAGCCTTTGGTTCCAGAAGTGTACTTAAAGCATTCGAATACTCCCCCAACATCCAATACGCCATTGATCGAATAAAGGGATCAGGATGAGCCAATGTAATATCCCTGTCTAATCCATTTTCATTCTTTGCGCCGAGACATTCTTCGTACAGTAACCTCTTAACTGACTTTGGCAGACCCTCATCTAATTGGACGTCATGTAATCTTGCTATAACCAAAACTAATTGCAAATCATCTAACTTATTTAAGCAGACTTCTATGGCATCTCTAACAGCTCCAGCCAACAAGAAGAAAGCTGCTGCATGCTCAAAACGCTGTCTTCCTAACAATGCAAAAGCATTCTTTAAAGCTGCTTTACGCCATCTCTCTTCGCTGAAATCTCGTTTGAAGAATTCCATCATTTTTGTATCATCTACTGATCTAAATAAGCCCCATAAGACATTCTTTTTTCTCAACGCCAAATAAAACAGCGCAGCATCTAATGGATCACGCTTTTGTTCGAATGACGATTTAGCCATTCTCTCGACCATTGTTCTTAAAATGGAAACTGACCTAACCCACCATCCAATTCCCAACTGGCGTAGTTCGGGCCATGTTTTAGCTCCACTTCCAGTTGCTAGATCGACTAGCTCGCTTTCAGCTTCAGAATGGAATGCCCAAGCAATTATGGACGGACTAAGACCCTTTCTCACCAAAGGTGCCCTTTGACGTAGTGGCAGCGTCTTTATTAAATACATATAATGTCGAGTAGCCAAAAGAAATCGTAGACCACAATCATCAACAGCATCTGTTAAATAACGTAGAAAAATAATAAATAAGCAACCTAAAAGAACCAATATTTATTAAATAATCAATTTTTAGTTAAATAATAGAAAGTACAACTGAAAGAAAATCATAATTATAAAGTAATATAATAATAATAATAATAATAACAAATGTTTACGCTAATAAATAAATGCTTTTAATATTATATAGATGCTTATCAGTACTTTTATAATAAATTAATATTAAAAACAATTAACTTATTGAAGGTTAGAAATATTAAATTTATGATAAGTAAAAGCATACAATTTGTAAAAGAAAACGGAATTATAATATATACATATATATATATATATATATACTGTATATACATATCAAAGAGAGAGAGAGAGAGAGAGAGAGAGAGAAGCAGGGAATATATATAATATAAGAGAATTCAATACATATACTGTATGCATGTGTAATTAATTATACAGTATTAATACTGTGCGCATACTTTCAAGAGCTTAAATGTTAGTATTTACTGTATATAGACAGTATACATGCATACAAATGAAAAATACGTAAAACTTATGAATAGAGATTATGATGTAAATAAAAAAATAAACTGGGGGTAAAAAAAACGTTTTGTGCAAAAATAGAAATGAAAAACGAAAAAAAAAAAAAAAAGAGAAAAGAGAAAAGTTTTTTAACATTCTTTAAAAAAGATAAACAACATTTGTCGAATTAAAAAAAGAACCTGCGCAGATTATATCAGTTGCTTGTCCTGATTGTCTTGCTAAAACTGTTATAAATAGCACTTAATGTCTAATGTTTCGGGTAAATAGAGTTAATTAGAAATTTAATTATTATAGATAATAAACTATTTGTAGATATTCGACTGGATTAGCATTATTAAAGTTTTCTCCAAATGGCAGCATAGCTAAGGATAAGCCGATTATCTATCTGTTATTATCTATATTAATTACCTTGGAGAGCCATATCAGCAGGTCTATTTGCTCCAAAATCCGCTCTAGTTGTTGCGACGGTATCTGCCAAGGCCAACAAGTACATTTGGTCAACTGATGACAGACCAGGCAATCTTGTGTGAATCAAATGCCTTTGCAGCTGTTTCGTTTGAGACGGTCCCCAATGCGCTGTAGAACTTCCGGTAGATAGACTACGTTTTCGCCTTCGAGACATTTCGCGAATGCCAGTGACATCATCCGCAAAAGTTTCATCTTCGTCCTCTTCATCCTCTTCGTCTTTATGCTCATATTCAAAAGTAGTTGGTGTTTTGAATAGAGCATCGTAGTCATCACTACCCGTGTTTACTGTTTGGGCGGGCGATAGGGGACTTGGCTCTAAATTCTTTGAAGAATCGACAGCCAATAAACTATAAATTGGCAATGGTGGAACAGCAGATTCTTCAACACCGTTTTCTGCCGATTGGAATTCTTCTGCCTCAGCAACAGAAACGGTTCTAGAAAATGATCTCGTTCGACCAGTTTCATGATATGAGGTTGGCCTAGTTGTGAGGCAGTTCACTAAATGACATAGGATAGCCTTAACTCTCCTAATTCGCCCAAAGTTTAGCAACTCGAGTAGTTGTCTAGGATGATATTGTGGTAAAACAGGATGAGCACGGCGAGCCTCTTCAAAAAGCCCGACGTCATTAAGAATTTGTGGCGGCTTGGATTTCTTTGAATCCTTCTTTTGCCTACTATCCTTTGTTAAGCTAATTAAGGAGGAACTAGAAGGCAATATAGTGACTGGTTGAGTATTAGCTAGGACATCTCCTCTCCATTGGCTATATACATGAGTCTCATTTTCAAAGCCCACAACTAAAAGGCCATCACGCACCCACGACATAAATACTGGAATCGGAGTCAGCCCGTCGGCCGTTACCAATTCTACGTCCCTTATCAGTGTCCATCTGCAATAATTTTAATTCAAGCTGTGAATGTAATTTTTCAAAGTCGTGTATTTTTTACCTGACTTCTTCGTTCTTTTGTGCAACAGCTATTGATTTCGTTTTAGTTAATGGTCTCCTTCTGCCGCCCCCTTCACCCCCCACACCCAAGCTGGCAATTAATTCTGGAGCACTAACGGCTGCGTAAATGTGAAGGCGCGTTCCTATACAAACTGTTAAAACGTGAGCGCCATCTTCAGTTGTAACCCAATCTAAATGAACCTTTTGTTTTCTATTATACCCTAAATCAAGGGTAACTTCACAATTCCAACCCGCCCCTCCAGTTGATTCACATTCCATTATAGAAACGGCTATTGAATGTTTGCCAACATGGTGCGCCAGAGCTAGTCGTCCCGTATAGGCACAGCTGACCACTAATGGAGTGGCCATTGCTTGTAAACTACTATCACCTTCCAAAACTGTTTTGTATTCTACCCATGACATGCTTCCGTCGTATTTCCACAATCGAATTCTTGTATCGGAACATGCGGTTACTATCTGATAAGGAGCTTTACATCCGGTCGCGTGCAATGACGACGAACTTAAATGGCCCGCGGCTACTTTAACATCAATAATATCGACATCGGGTGGTAAATTTAATGTCGCTTTGCACACCCTTGTACAAGTAACGGTCACGCGAACTTTATGCATATATAAAGGAGTTTTCATTGAACTGCATTCTGGTGTATGATAATGAAAATTTTCTTCTTCATTATCTTGAACTAGAGGTGAATCGGGTGAAAAGTTCTGTCTTTCAACCTCCTCTGTTAAAAATAGACAAATAACCGTGATTCTATTGAACGTAAAATTTTATTTTAAAAGATATAAAATTTATGATACTAAATTGGAAAAAGATAACTGATTTATATAGAAATGAAGAGAGGGGTGTGTGGTTAACTGCCACCATCAATTTTGCACGGTAAAAGGCGTGAATGTCAAATTGAGGTATTTTTTCATTTCTAATGGCAATTTACGCCTCACCAAATCGATTCAAATAAGAAAAATTAATAAAACTTTTTCATCCGTTCCTATGCCTAGTTTTCACTTTATCTATTCAAACATTAGCTACTACTCGTATCATATTAAAAAACTGTGTTGATACTATTTAGTCATTAAAAACTATTATTAATTAATGAGTCAACCGTATATATTGTTGACGTGGTTTTGTTCATGGATAATCTATAAGGTATGAGAAACGTATTAAATAAAAATCTTATTTTGTCAATTAAGCGTATTGTTAAATTACTTTATGCAATTATCATCTTTACTATACAAAGTAGTAGACACAAGAAACTCGTTAATATTGCAGTTTGCTTGTTTCCTGTAGAGGTAACTGCTCTTAATGAGATTGCTTTGTGAAAACGTACCTATAATATATAAATTATAGATTTGTAGTATATTCTAAGAAAATCCAGGTCTTAATTGTATTATTTTTTCTTTAAATAAGTAGTAATCATTGAAAAAACTCTTTGAAAATATCTTTAATTAACTATTAAGCTTGAATTTCAAACAACCCTTAAAAAGTCCTTGTGCACGTTTGAAAAATAAATAATTATTGAAGGAAACTCAAAATTTCTCGACTCATTATGTGCGCATCATTGGCCACAGACGACCGTTCCACTTAAATCTAATGATCAGTGCTTGAAATCGTTTTATATATTCAATTGTTGAGCTACGTAAGCAATTTTTCGCTTACTTGCCTCTTTAGTTAGCGTTTTAGTTAGGGAATTAGGTTATTTATAAATTGAAACATTAGCCAGCGTTTTTTTTCGTCTTACGCTGACTTCAAGTATATACTTAAAAAAATAAGAAGGTATTGCTTACCAGGAGCAACGACATGAACTCTCCACATGTATACTTCGCCGTTTTTCTTTACCAATACTATGTACATATCGTCATCGTCTTCTGTGTTCATTGTGTTACCATCGAATGCATGAACAAGAGCCACATCACTCCAGTCACCTTTTTCAACTTCGTCCAATTCTAATATACAACCCGGTCTAGCTGTAGACTGCTTTGATATTAAATTCATTGGCACACCACCCTGTTCCTCTTCGTCTTCTATTAAACCTACTTCATCTACGTCGACATTTTTTTTATTTGATGGTATATATAGAAGGGCCCTAGCATCAACAACAGCCAAGCACAACTTTAACTTAGAACCATCAGAAACAACTAGCATTGCAGCTGGTGAATTTGTATGAGTATCTAAGGACGTTGAAGGTAAAAGTTTCGGCAGCCATGCCACATGCGAAAAGGCAGTTCTTGAGGGCGAATCTATTCTAGCTAACTCTAATAGCCCTCCTGATTCGGCTAATGGTCCAACGGGGTCCACTCTCCATAGAATCAATTCGGATAAATTCTGACCAATATCCTGGCTTGGACAATAGCGTGCTGTAGTCAGTAGGAGAGGTAACAGGGGATGACAAGCCGCCGTACTAGTGTGAAATCTGTGACCGCTCGCTCTAGCTTGATGAGTAACACTCAAGATATGAGAACATCTAGACCCGTCAGCAACCGATGCCTTCCAAGCATTTATCGATCCATCGTTGTGTTTAGAGAAAATTTTTATACTAGATGTAAACGTATAATCTGGTAGCAGAATTAATCTGGTAAAAAGGGATAATAATTTTTTGTTATATTGTTTGTAAAGGTGCCAAAAAAAATTTCTATTATTACCGAGAACAAATGCTAGCCGCGTCCGGCGCTGGTAAAGCGTTGGGAATTTGTAAGGAGAAAGTTACGTGGGGTTGCCTAAAGGAGCCGGGCGCACATTCGTCTAACCATTCAACGATCCAGACTAATATCGATCCTATATAATAATAGTGTTATTATAATGAGAATTTTGTTAACGGTTAATAAATAAGATAAATTACCATCAACAGGATGCACTCCTATGAGCATATCCCCATTTTCATGCCACTCTCTCATTAAACTTTCTATTCTACTATCTAAAGTACTAACAACATCGCCATCGGTTGAGGTAGCTACGCTTTTTATTGATGCGGTATCGGCAGGGGTTTGTGGAACTGAACCATCCGTTTGTTTGAGATCAGTTACAATATTTTCTGCATGTTTTACGAAATGCAACTCTTTGTTATTTAACCAATGGACGTTAAAACTGAAATTGCTAGGAAATGCTGGCTTTATATGAAGCTCTGGAGTGACAGTCGCTGCTAAATGCATATGTAGGCCTGGAGCAACGCTATTTGGATGAATTCCAAACTTGTGAAAATCATGAACTGATTGTGTTGAAGGTAATGGGCTTATGGCGTGTGGTTGGCAATGTTTTGCAGAGTGTGTTGCTCTTTGTAATAATCTTCGCCTATGTCTGTGAACGTGAAAGGCCGAAGCTGAATTGTAATTTCCAGATTCTAATTGTTGAACATCGACCAAGCCATGGTCGGGGAGGACGGTTTCCAACCAAATTCTGCAGATATTGTCTACACAGGTAGTTAACAGAGCGTTAGCAACAGCTCCTCGTGACATATGTCTTGATGTTCTTCTCCAAGAAAAAGACGTAACGGCTCTAGGATGCGCAATATACACAAATGAGAAATGAACCTCTTCCCTCTTAGGACTTAGGCTATCAGCCCTAACAAGAGGAGGAGATACTCTTTTATTTTCATACCACACTTTAACTAGTCTATCATTAGCAGAAATCGAACCAAATAGTAGGCCGTCGGAAGAAAATCGAACTAATACTATAGGTGAGGAAGGTTTACATTGCCAAACACATATCCAATCCATTTTCGATTTTTCTTCTTCGTCTTGGAACCAAGTTTTCTTTTTGGGAGCAGACCACAATTGTAAATATTCACCTCCGGATAAAATTCGAACGCCTTCATTATCCCACGATAAGGTATTTACTTGAGCTGAGCATTGGCAAACACCACCGTATGACCATTGATATTTAACAGCCTAGAAAAAGGAACATTTACGAGCAAAGCTCTATATTAAGAAAAGACAAGTTTATCAACAAAATGAGTCAATTATATAATTTGAAAGACACCAAAGAATACAAAATAGAATACAAACCTCTGTTGAATTTTCATGATGCATTAAACGTGACGGTTCAAATATTTTAATATATGTTGAATAGGCAGCTGCTATCCGACCGCAATCCTCACAAGCATCAACACAACTCACCAATTCATCTCCAGGAATTATTTGTACTCTTTTCAAAGTCAAAGATAGGATAACGACGTCGCAGCCCGCAGCGTAAGCCTGTGAAAAATTGTCTTTAATAAAGCTTTTGGTCGTAAATTAATTCTGGACAGTTACATAGGAACAGTGACTGATATTTTGCGAAATGACACTCATAAATATTAATGTAAGCAATAATTTAATGCCTATATAATTCTTCAAGTTCTCATGACAATAATAAATCATTAAAAATAGGATAATTGACCAGTTAGGCGAAATCGACTTCTTTAAATACAATAAAATGCTTTAATTAAAAAATAATAAAACAATTATAGATATTTGACATGATAAGATAAATGATCAGGGTATTAAGTAATGATTGAACATAATCAATGAACAATTGGTTATACCAAAAATGATGTTCCTTCAACAGAGCCGACAGAGAACGACTGTTCTCCATCATTCGCCGCTCCTGTGAGTATTTGCTGACGATTCATGATGCTATCATTGGTGATTTCTCTAGTAAGCCGTTCTTTTTCGTTATTTTCGCCGACTTACAAATTCTGTTGTCCGCCATTTTGGACAAAATATGGCATCCTATTCCGCCTACTTTCGTCATCAAGAGGATACCCATGGAATTCCAATCCGGCTATTAATAGATTTTATCAAATTAAAATTCAAAAACCAATGTATTTATACCATGCATTATTTATTTCTCTAAAAATCGAAAGCAACTCCTAAAAGATTTCTTAAATAGTCAGAGGTCACTATCGTTTATACAGGTCAGCCATTTTCGTTCTAGACTTTCCAACATGCGAGCAATCACCATGGTATTTTATTCCCAAAAGCGTATACAATTCCTTAAAATACAAAATATTAGCATATATTCTAATAGACATAATAAATTCAAAGTAGAATAGAATAAATAAAATTGCAAATATTAATAATTTTCATTATTTTCATCGATTAGAAATTGAAATCATCATGAAAAAATAATCTTTGAATAATTGTTCGAAAAATATTTCAACGGTTATTTAAATTTGTTTGCATGGCTAGCTCTTTAACAAAGAAATGATTAAATGACCCTTATAAACAATTACCAGGTCGTATATCGTATTTTTATTTACAGTTTATGCTTTTTTCATGTCTTTTTATCAATTTTTTTGACATGTAACAAATTCTTTGAAAAAGATCAAAAGAAGAAAGTTAAACGATTTGTGTAATTAAGATTTAGAAAGAGAAAAAGGAAGGGGAAAAGACAAAAAAAAACCATTATATAATTATATTGAAATATAGAATTAAATTCTTTACTAATTGCATTTAATTCTTTCTTATTAAAATTACGGTTAATCCTCTTCTTCTTTACTTCTTTTTAACGGGTAGCTCTTTTAAATTATTACGTCATTATTATATACTCGGTGGCTAATTCTAAGTCGACCGGCTCATGCCGGTTGAGTTTCATCGAACAAGGAAGGCCAATTAGCGAGAGAATAGTGCTTAAATGCGACGAATCGTAAAAATACTTTTACTTTAGTGAAATTTAAACATGATCGTCAGAAGTGACAAGTCCTAGATTGAAACCCTAAAATTATACGCGACAAACAATCCAATCATCTCAGTTGTTTAGTGATGAGTAATTGTAGATCAATTTCGTTTCAATCTAGTCATTTTGAACGTTTTAAAATACTAGGTGTTTATTAATTCGTACAAAAGAATTGAAAGTACACACTTAGACGCTCATATTACAAAAACTTCCACCAGATGGCGATTAATAATTCATTGAATAGGAAAAGTTTCTTTTTTAATCTAATAAATACTTATCGTCAAGTGCAATATATTTTTGTGTATTTCCTATTTAATAATGTAACAAGTAACGAGAAATTCACTTAACTTACTTAAATAGAAATGAAAGGTAAAACCATAAAAAAGGGGGCAGTTGTAACACTACAACCTTTAATGATTCCTAATTTTGTTCGTCTTGGAGATTTTTTATTAAGATACGGGAAATATAGTAGATGATCAAAGTGTATGGGAAACAGTTGGTTTAGTCATAAATGGCTTTTGCCGTTTATATGTAAAAAAATGCTTCATGAGAATGAAAAGAGAGGGAGAGAGTTACAGGGAATATTTCGTATTTGCAAATAGCGTATATGGATTTCTCTTCTCTCGGTTTAGCAACGTTACTTTATCTCAGTAGAAAGCAGTATATTTAAAAGTACGCGCGACAGCGTATCTCTTGAATATAGGCCAAGTTGTTATTTTTCTTATTTATCTATAACTATATTTTATGTCCTTCCTGTAGAGTATATATGCATACATAAATATATGTGTGTTTATATTTATTTAATGATATAAACACTAATATCTACATATACAGTATATACTGTATATATATATAATATTTGGCTATGCATTTTGTTCTTAATACGGAGATAGATAGAAAAGTTTTAAGGTCATGATTGCAATAAAGCCGTAAAAAGGTACCTTTGTTGGACAATCTTTTACGATACGTTGAGAACAAGTACGTTGTCGGAAATTAATTCGAAAGAATAACTCTATACTCTGTAACTTTATACCTTCAGAAAAAGTTAATTCCTTTCATGTTTACTGTTAAAACTTAAAAGTTCTATACTCCTTAATAACAGTAATAACAATAATAATAATAAAAACTGCTTAGTCGGTATAAAATAAGAATTTTCTGATATTATCGAATTCCCTCGGGGTCAGAAACAAAACGATATCGGTAGGAAAGGATCAATTAAGTGCCGAAAGAGGCTGCAATTCACACAATACGCATTGTACTCCTTTGCAGTTAGCTAATTTGGTAATGTACAGAAGCGGCTGTTCTCTTTTTTTTACTTTTAGATAATAAACTGTCTTACATACTAAATGGGTTTATACAGAAGTGAATAAAATGAACATCGCCGAATGATGGCGCCATCTTACGCTACCTTTTATGCCAATAAATAATAATTCCCAATTATCCTTAGTCTAGGTCGAGCAATTTATTAAAATAATTTTTATTACAATATAATTGATGAAACTAGTAAACTCTTGGCGATGTTGGTCAAAATTGAAGGTAATTGATACAGATAGTTGCAAATAGAAAGAAAATTAGTTAACTTATTAAGCCTATAAAGTCAGAGTCATTAAATAGATAATACGGAAAATTGGCGTGTGTTACGGTAAATTGGAGCAAATAAAATGAAAACCCGCATATAAAAAAATGGTGTGAATACGACTCGTTGTCGTCAATGAATTGAACCGTAATCGAAGCTGAGCGTCAATTCTATCTTTGATTTAGTCGTATATGAACGCTTGTATACGTATAGAGTTCGATATACAACAACATTCTCCGAAACATAAATATTTTCCCACTCTTTTTCCTATTCAATGATATCAGAGATCTAAACAGGATTCAATGATATGATAGCCACCGCAAAACGAGTCGAAGCCTCCAAATACGTACGTATTACTTAAGTTTTTCATTTGTATAGGCAAAAATTTAATTGTACAGTATATAAGTGCATAAATGTATGTACCATATGTAAGTATTTATGTATATGGATAGAAATTTGTCGATAAACGTTGTAGTGACAAAAACTTTGACAATAATTAATATATATGTATAACATATACACCAATAACCTCTAGTTTTATATTTAGTTTCTTCGTAACCGTTTTGAAATGCGAATAGAAAAAATACAAGGTAAGTTTCCTACAATAAAATACTCCTAGTTTACAGAAAAAAATCACATTTGACATATTTTTAAGCTTTTATGTCGTTAATACCATTGTTATATCTTATAGGTAATAATAGTTTTCCTATTAAACATGTACACAATGCATTTCTACTTTTATTTACAAAAAAAAAAAAGTAGATAAATTATTACCCCCTACCTTCCTCCCGTACAACTAACCCTTACCAACGATATCTCACCCGTTTTTTATTTCCGCCCCTCCATTTCTTTTTTGAATAAAGCTTCGCTTGGCTTAAATTATCCCTTTTCAGTTATTTATTTGTTTTAATATTCTCTCTTTAAAAAGGGATAATAATAAGAATATAGGTAGAAAAATAAATAAAGAAACAAGATACAATACCGAATAGTCGAGGATAGAAAGAAGGAGAGACTGAATTGTTGAAGGGATAGAAAGAAAAGAAAATCTATCTTTATAAGTCCTATATTATATTTTTCTATTTACCTCAGTCCCATACATCGACCATTTTTCCTTTTTTTTTTCTTCTTCTGCATTTTGCTCTATTATTAATCTCTCTTTAGCCTTTTTAACTATATTTTTACGTTTTATTGTCTTTTTCTTTACTTTTTTTAAACCAATATCTAACGGTCTTAGCAATCACACCATCTGTTCAAACTTCTAAATATATATCTGTTATACAAGAATTAAAATATAGGTTGTAGGCCTATAAAACGTTTTATTCTTGAGGGCGCGTGCAAGCGTATATTATTTAGTTAGGAAGTGAACGTTTACGTGAGAGCGGTAATTAATCACGGCTGAAAGTAGACTGCCGTAGAGAGAAATTACTATAAAATCATATAGCCTTCGGGGAATTGACTACAGAGGCTACAGGACGTTTAAATGATTACTTCATAGGTCGAGTAGGGAATTGAATAGACCGCCTTTTTTTCTCCTTACTTTCTCGCACACTTGAACAGTTAATTTCCAAGATTTTTATCAGGAAAATTTTTTTTTACGATAAATGTATATTATATAATAAAAATAGATTATTTCTAATTGTCAACTTCCGGCTTACGCCCGAGAAAAAATTCATCGAAGCGGGTGGATGGGTGACAGTTTGATTCACTGACCGCTGTAATCGGTGAATATTGACGCCTATTCAACGTTCGTGATAAATGCTTGCCATGACCAATTTTATTCGCCGTCATTATCCTAAGGCCTTTTCTTCGGTACTATCGAGGCGAACGAAGACAGTTCACCTGTCCACTCTGATCCTTTAAAAGCCTTAAATATACATAATATAAGAGTATAGGGCATGTACATTTTTTTAAATATATAAATTCTATAACTCGTTTTAGAGGGAACTAAATACGATATGCAAACAGCTTTTTCCTTCCTTGTTCTCAGGCGTATATCATTCTCTCCACTTTATATCGTGTTTAAGTATACTTATGGGAAAGTAGAACTTAACCTGCATAAAATTCAATAGGCAACATTAAAATTCGTTTGTAGAACGAGTAAGCAACGCAATATTTGAATATATAGAATACTGAATGTATATATATATATATATATACATGGAGAACATCTAGACTTCCTGCCTTTTCAGTAGGTCTAACGAAGCGAGGGCAAATGTTTTGCATTGAAATTTCCGCGTTCTCGTCCCCTGCAACGCCTCTGGGGAGGCTTGTGTCAACATGGCGACTATATATTACATCACTTCCGCATCTCTTCTGTGTCACCTTTTAAGGAGGGTGCAATTGACACAGTAGGCCTCAATTATTCGTTTATGAATGATTGAGCGAGAATTACCATACATATATCATCTATACAAATAATTAATTACATTTGGTACTTGCTATTTATTTTCGCGCGCTTTTTTTTCTATTACCGCTCTTAAAACACTTCGACGTAATAGCTTAACGAATATATTTATAGGCTTTCAATTATTATTATAAATATAGAGTGAAAATTTTCTGTCATCTAGAAAATCAATCTTGCGATGTTTATCGAAGCGGGCGTCGTTTAACGGTGCGATGACGTCAGGCAATATAATACTGCGTGCCCGTGCTCTATGGTGCCCGTTTTAGACAAATAATAAACATCAGTCACGCAATCCTTGTATAACTTGTGTACAATATCATCTCGCTAAATGAGACAAATCAGCCCTTGTCACTTTACTTTCCAAACTTGAACAGAATTCTTCCCTCTTATTTTCATTTTTTGTATAAACTTTATCAGTAGGAAAGTAATGGAAGCTTAAGAAATCTTGTACTATATTTAATATTTAACACTACATAAGTGTGCTGTATATACTTTTCACTATAAACCAACAGCTATATAGATATATGTATATAGATAAGACAAAAAAAAACTCGCACGATTCACCTCGTTCTCACCTTTGTCCGTCTTGATAAAGAGTAGATTACGAGTAGATGCAATTCCGTTATCTATTTTATAAATGAACTACGATTACAACTTCCTTAGATAATATCTGAAAATCGAACGCGTCGCTTGTAAAAAAGGCGGTTGTATATTTGTTAAGTTAGCATATGCTCTTAATCTATTGAACACGTGCAAGCGAAAGGGTCTAACCTAATCCGATAATTCAGAACTGAAACAGTTTAATCAACTTCCGTTAAGCAAATAAGTGAAAAAAGATCGGGCGTCGGCCTTCAACACTATGTTTTGTATGTTGTGTTTGTTCCTTGTTCCTTTTCCTCTTCCGTCTTCCTCATTCCGGTTCGGTGAGCCGGTTGATTCGAAGAGGCAAATGGCTGCTATTTTTCATACCTATACATTTCGGTGTTATTCGATAGGCGTTGTTTAAAGAACGACGCGCCGTCTCCTCGCGCCTTGAATATATTTTCATGGCGTCGTGCGTTTGTATAATTGGCGCCTTCGAAATGCAAATAGACTCGTTATATGCATATAGGCTTTTTCGTGTTCGAAAGTTTAAATCTTGCTCCTAGGCCTAGTGTTAATGTAAATATACCTATGCATGGTGTATGTATATAAATATATATATATTTGATAAACCAACTAACCCCAATCTTTTAAACTGCAAGTGTTCTAATATGTATATTTATTCATATATTAAACTATACAAGAATAGGGGTAAATTTATGCCAAGCATATAAAATACACTTGAGTCGTTAACAGATGGGTTTTTTCGGGAAAGTTTCTAAGACCTTTTCTGCGATCTTCATCGGATAAGATGGAGAGGATTTGTTGTGTGCCGACTGCCGACTATATATTTAAGTGAAAGTTTCGAAAGAAACTGATTTAGCGGCGGTATACTCCATTCAACCCATTGTCGATTCTATGGGTCTTATCTCTCTCACAATTGCCGCTTCAAGGGAAGCGGGAAAAGGAGTAAAAGAATGAGAGGGTAAGAGAGAGAGATATATAGATAGATAGATAGATAGAGAAAATAAGGGCAACGAGCGGGAAGTACGGCAAATATACCGCGAGCTGAAAATAGTGCGGGAAATAAAATGATTGACAGAATAGCAGAGTGAAAAAAAAAATGAACAAAATAAAACGAATGGCATAGGACAAATCGACGCCACGCTACTGAATATTCAATAAAACGTTTCATTCACTTAAATCAGGATCGTAAGATTATTGGCTTAGAAAAGTCACGTGACTTAAATATTATGAATGGCGCGTTGTAAGAAAAGTCGTCGAGATCACGTGGTAGGCGAGATGGCGCGCGCTTTTTCGACGGCGGAAGTGCACGGGGTCAGCGGGCTCATACGGAAAGTAGACGTCGTCTGGAACGCTTGAAAACTCCTCATCGACCATCAGAACGACCTAGATTCTCTCGCCATCGACTGTTCTTGTATACTGTATAATATTTATACAAGTATACAATTCTACTATACGTCGTAGAAAAAGCCATAGTGTATATTTGAACCATCGTGAACCGCTCACAAAAGGCGAACGGTACGTGCGCACTTCTTTGGATGATCTTACGCCGCCGCCGCCACTACGCCGATCATATCGCAATTTGCCGACTTACGCTACCATAAGGCACCTCTTTATTCTCGGCCAAAGTACTTCGACTCTTCTCTTTTTTAGCTCTTGCTTTGCTCTCCTCATTTTTCTCTCGTTCTCTACTCTATTGCATTGCAAAATAAAACTTTAAAGTTACTGAGAAAAACTTTGAAACGTGAAATTCAACTTTACGCAGGAGCAAAAATGCCAGCTGCAGCAACTGCGTCATCTCCAAATTTGGACTGCAACGCAAACGAAAGGGAGGAAAAGGAAGTTAGACGTTTATCAGATGAACTTCGTCAATCATACGGACCTCCTTCGTCCTGGGCGCATCCAACAGCGAAAATAGGTAAGCCTTTAAGAAATATTTTTAAGTCCTCTCCTCGTTAATGACCGCTCGAGCCATCCGACACCTGACCTAGGCTGTCCTCTTATCGCAGTGTCACACGCGCCCCCCGCCTCCAAGAAGGGTTGTCCTACCAGAAAAATGCCCTTCAGCGCTGGTCATAGCGCGCATCTTTTCGCGTATTGTTGTACGAGCCAATTAAGTGGACGGCATATCGAGGCACTGGGTGGGTTTATATATGTCAGCAATTCCTAGTTTTAACTGTCCCATCGTTAATTCTTTAACGCGGGAGTCTTTTTATGAGAATTTTTCTCTATTATGTGAGTAAACGAAAGAAAAATAAAAGGGGATGGGTGCTTTACGGTTTTTCATTTTTTACGTTCTCTCGCTCTCTTAGCCTTTTCATTGAGGTGCCAAGATAGAAAAAGCGAGAATAGAGATTCTATAATAGAAAAAATGGTAAAACGAAGGGAGAAATTCAAACGGGCTGTTTGAATTGCAATATTTAGACCATTCTGTATATGCGTTTTGTTGGCAACGGCTTCGTATATTGAATTGCGTTATTATATAGGGAAAAAAAATTCAATATAATAGACGCGGTTGCATGATAAAGGCCTACGATATCAAACCTAGTTTTTTGACCAATGGTTAGCCCTCATGAACTGTCTAATTTGGTCAGTTGGCATGTCTGATTGAACGGTGAGCGGTATGATTATATACTGTGCAGTGTGAATGTGTGATCGATCGCCGTGATTATTACGATTGAGAATTTGGACAGTTTACTTGACGTTATCTTGACCACGACGCCCAGTGAGATTGATTTACGATTTTTTCTTTTCTTTCTGTAGTTGTCTCATTTAGGTTCTATGGGTGCGTTTAACAAGTGCAGGGGGGTTTTTGGGTATGGGATGGATAAAAGAAAAAAAAAATCGTCATTTTTGCTTCGTAGTAATCGCGATAGGCGACAGCACCATGGCGACCACGCACCTGCTGATGTTCGAAACTCGTCAGGCATCTCAAGCTACCAGTCCGTCGAATGTTTGCGTTTGTGCTTGAGAGCAGGAAGCGTTCTATTGCTAGTTGATCGTTCATGCAGCACAATTTTTTTTCTGTGTAAATTTCCGATTTTAGGACACGGCGCTTATACGGGTTCAGCTGAGTGTGACGAACTATTACGTAATTTACTCCCTTGTCCTCGTGGCTCACAACTCGGAGTTTAATCCGAGTCAGCTCTAATACATCATATGCCTCAATAAACAATGTTCAAGCTGTCGCTATCAAATCGTCGTTATTACTCAGCACCATTCAAGCAAAATCAACGTGACTCCGGCGGATCACGTGACAATAAACGAAAGACAAGTTCTTCTCATTTTCACCACACGTCACTGGTGCTTGCCGTGTTTAAGCGTCTATCGGCCTTCGCCATCTTTCACGTCCAACGGTAATTAGGCGGAGTGAAGATGCTAATTAGTTGGTCGGCTCCTTCAGAAGCGTCGTGGAGGGTCTATGGCGGCGGATCGTGTGATGTTCGGTCTCTCGGTTGGCGGTTCGGAAAAAAGTAGCAGATTTTATGGTACTGTGTGTGGTTCCCTTTTTTCTCCCCTTAATACCTTTGGTCTTCGCACAAACGCTCGTCGACCCGGTGACGCCGAAAGTACTCGAACAGGTGCCCAAAACCCCATCGATGTATCGAATGAACATTATAAAGTCGTTTTACGCATTCTTGCCTGGATAAATATGTAAAAGCTAGTAAAATGTGCCCAACATTTTTTTAGCGCCGACAGTGAAAGGCACAGCCGAACGCAATCAGCGTTGTATGTTCAGCATAAATGTCAAGTCGCCTGAGCCGAATGAGCAAATGACCTTTTTGTAGCTCTTTTAACGAGTGAATTCAAGCAAACTCTCTCTTTCTCTCCCAATACCACCCTCACCCCCTGATTCCTTTTTTCATAGGAGAGCTTGTTATAATAAAAAAAAACCCCGTTTCACAGATTTGAGCTTTTATTCAATTCATGGCGAGAGTGAGCGAGCGTAAGCTCGCAACCGTTCCGACTTTGCGCCACTGGAGAAGTCCAACAGAGTCAGTGACGTCACACTTCCGCCTATATTTAGGCCTAGCTAATACCCGTAACGCCGTATACTACATAATGTGTATACAAGAGTGGGTTTCATCGATCTCTCGGGTGCCATAAATTGGTCGGAAAAAAAGAGTATTTTGAAAGTTTTTACACTAAACTTCTAAGGTTCTTATCTGTGGCACAATAGCGTCTATTTGACGTCGGCGCGTTTGATCCAGGTCTTATCCCTCTTGTCCTTTCGTACACACAACGTCGTCGCTTATTCATGCGTTGCCTATAGAGAGCAGAGGCGCCTTAGTTCGCTATATCGCGCATACGACTTAATTTTGTCTGACCCGTGTTGAGCGAAAGGCAGAGGTGGAGCCTAATTGCTGATTGGTGCGTGGAAGTTATTAGTGCTTCGGACACTGATTGAAGTCGCCTCATTTCTGTTATTATCAGCCTACTGCTTGTACGTGTAGGAAGCGTATCGTATATAAAAAGGAAAATTATGGGCCTACCGCGTCTGGAGATAAACGCAGGTTTGTTATTGCCTACAGCCTTTTTGGCTTTTAAATCCTACTTATTAACTCGTTAGCAGCTGCGGCGTCGCTCTATTCTCATCTATAGGCTATATACGCAATAAAACTATCTTTCTATATCGGACCGTACTATATGCGTATATAAAAGCGTTTTATGGTCGTATAATATATATATATGAAAACGAATAAAGATGTGTGTCGACATACACGCACATGCTATAATTTATGTGCAGTGCTCCGAATATAGCCTTATCATTGACCATGTATAGAGTTGGCCGATAAGAGGCCTCTTCCTGTTGATTCGATATGCTCCCTTATCAGACAGCCTTGTCAATTTGCGAATGTTTGTTGCCGAAAGCAGTTGGGGTAGGCGGGCCTAAATAGTCGTGTCCCTCGAGGCCTGCATCGTGCCACTCTTGTCTGACACTGGCAAGGCTCTCGAGTATGTTTGTATAAACAACGGCAAGTGCGTGTTTAGTGTTATTCCAACGAGCCGAGCGTCTCCGCCCGCATTAATACCGACCGGAACGAGTGCGGTGACGCCTGACAAATTTATCTGTGGGTTTGTACAAGGCGATGACGCGTTGACGAATTAAGTATTGATACGGAAGTGAGTATATATGTGCGGGTTAGAGGAGTAATGACGAATGTTGGCTTCTTTCATTGAACAACAATGCCTATTTTAATTACAATTTTTTCTCTTTTACAAAAAAAAATTGCCTATAAGAGCGTTATATATCGGAACTATACATTCAAGCCTCCTAGTCTCTTTTGATGTTACCGCAATACATTGTATCATAGTAAAAACTAACTTTTGTAAAAGGCCTCCTGAATATTCTATAATGAAAGAGTACCGTCCCTATACGGCAATTTCAATGCATCGTTTCTGTTGACTGAACACACGCGTTGCGAACTACCGACTCAGCATGTAGCTGATCCAATCTGACAGTGCATCTGCAAATGCACCGTCATTTAACAGTTTGACGGATAACTTTTTAACGGCGGAAATCGATTAGACGGTCGCCGTTATTTGTTGCGTAAAAGGAAAAAAAGAAAAAGAAAACCGCACCAGCCAAAGCTAATTAGACAATAGAGGCGGAAGGCGACAAATAATTACTATGCGGGCCCTTTGGAAGAGAGGGGCATAATGTGAAGAGAGATAAAGGAATAGAGAGAATGTGAAAAAACAATTCAATGTATTTTCAAATCAATAAACGGAAGGAGCGGATAAACGGTCATCAATAGCTCATTTTCACACTTATTTCACCCTCCTACACCCGATTCTTGCCACCCTGTTTTTCTTCTCTTTTTTCTCCCTTTTCTCTATTTCTATTTATGATGAATAGAAAAAAGCAATATAACGCACGTGCAAGGATTGACAATGAATTTTGAATAGCGTTTAAGATAGAAGTCGTAAAAAAGGCAAAAGTAAAAGAGGGGGCGATAGAGAGCAAAAAAAAGAAGAAGTCGACTTAGAGATATAAATCTTATTGCCCTTTACCTCGCAATCTATTCCATTCATAAAAACGTCCGTGTGTGAAGTTTCGAACGTGTTTTGTGGCTTAGTGCCTTTTTAGTATTGTTTGAAGACGGGTCATAAAGTACCTGATTTTGACAACATCGGCTCTGTTCTTTCATACTTTACTTTTTTATTTTTATTTTTACTACCTTTTAACGCTTTTAACTTATAAAAAAATTTTTTTTTAAAGCCTATTAATTTAATTTATTTATCTTTTAGACGGAGCAGGAGGACCTCAAATGCCGCCTTTAACTCCCGGAACCAATCAGAAGATGAATGCAGCCCTCCTCGAAATCCTCAAGGGTTTTGATCAATACCGAAAACAGTTGCAAATTCCTCAGGATCCAAAGAATTGGTTGGCGGATCATACACACTTATGGTTGAATTGGGCAACAAAAGAGTTTATGGGAACTGAAGGTATAAACTTACCTAGTCTTGCCCAACCCGGTAGACATTTGTTGGCCTCTGGAAAGGAGCAATTCTTGCAAAAGGCCCCCCACTATATTGGAGATATTCTTTGGGAACATTTGGAATTATTAGAAAAAGAGGCGGTTGTTTCCAATCAAACTTCAGCGGAACATTACACCTGTTCCGAATATCGTAAGTTAAAAAAAAGTAAATATCATTTTTCAAATTAAACAATTTTTGGTTACCAACAGAAACCTGTGCATCCGCGTCACCTCCACTAGCTGTTTCCGCTCCACAAAGTCAATACCCCTTCTATTGTCCTGTCGCCCCTCAAGGTCCTCACGGTACGTATTTGTCAGCATTTTACGGACCGTTTGTTCGCATTTCATCTTTTTGTAATAAATTCTTGAAAATTTATTTTTATACAGCCACGTCAAATAGCCCGTACGGAATTGGACCCGACGATAAACCTGTTAGCATTAAACAGGAGCCAGCAATTTATTCTGACAATACTAGCTCTGACTGCGAATATGCAACTCGTCTTGACACGATCACAACACCTACATCCGCCTTCGAACCCATTAATAGGGCCACTAACGATTATTACTCCCCTGATTGCCGATACAACCGCCATTCTCCGCATGAATTTAAGTTTTCGCCACCCCCACAACCAACACCCGCACATAGAATGACGAATGTCGATATGTACGCGACTATGAATTATATACCTGCAAGTCCCGTATACCCTACACAAAATCATTGGGACCAATTACCAGTACAGCATCCCTCGCCTATATCCACTAATGGTTATCACCCACCAGGCTTGTATTCTGGCTCTGGTCCTATTCAATTATGGCAATTCCTATTGGAGTTGCTAACGGACCAAAGCGGAGCGGATTGTGTAGCGTGGACGGGAGACGGTTGGGAGTTTAAACTTAGTGATCCGGATGAGGTATGTGTAAAATATGAACCTTTTTTGAATACTTTTCCATACTTACAAAAACATTTGTTATAGGTTGCCAGACGATGGGGAATAAGAAAAAACAAACCAAAAATGAACTATGAGAAATTATCAAGAGGTTTACGGTATTACTACGATAAGAACATTATTCATAAAACAGCTGGAAAACGTTATGTATACAGATTTGTCTGCGATATGCAGGTAATTTGCTTGATTTTTACAACTTGACTCATTAACGATTTAATTAATTAATCAATTTACTAATTATCACAGTCCTTATTGGGAATGACACCTGAAGAATTGTTTACAACTTGTGGAGTCAGCCCTCAGTCTGACAAAGATGATGAATGATTATATATATATATATATATATATAGAAAGAACTGTTAAAAAAGTTAATTGTATCTATCGTAATTACAATGAAGAAGTGAAAAAAAAAGAAAATGTTTTCTCAAAAGGAGAAGGAGGAGGAGGAGGAGGAGAAGATGAAAATTGAAAAAAAATTCTTTGATCATTAACATGCGGGATGGGTGGGAATTGGTTGGGAATTTTTAATTGAAAAAAATGAACTGTTCTCTTTAAAAGTATTTCTACACACCATCTTGTGTTTTGTCTTTTTTTTATATACGCATTAGTGCCTTTGACGAAGTAAGTTGTTTTCATGATCTCCCATTTAATAGTCGTCAACTTTTGTTCATGTTCAAAAGAAGGAAAACTACGAATGCTTTTTGTTGGTTTGATTTTTAATTATTGTACTGTATATATATATATATATCTTATGGTTTTTTTTATCCCTTGAACAATCATTTTTTTGTACGCTTATTAATGTATTGTGTATGAATTTTGTATATAATATCTATATCTATATAGATAAATGTTATTATTATAGCTTTATAAGGTATAGGCAGATTTTGAACAATTTTTTGTGGCTTAAACAAATTTGTGAATAATAGTTTGTATTATAAATTAGTATTTGTATTTGTTTCTTTTCTCACTCTCTCTCTCTCTCTCTCTAATTTTTTTATGTTTCCACTTGAAAGAGAAATGTAACAATGGAAAATAATGTATATATATACATATACATACATATATATATATATATATATACATGTTTGTACATATTTGTACTGGGAAGCTACAATTTTTTTTCTTTTGTTTTTTTTTCCTCTTCAATTTTGTTATCCGCGTAAAGTGTTCGCTTTTTTTTCTACTTATAAACTGCTGCTAAAAGCATTTAAACCGCGTTGAGATAAAGAGTTTTTGCATTTCATTTTATGATATTTACAATATCGACAGTTTGTGCCTTTTCGTATCGAACAATAATAAAATTTTGTACATAATAAAATATATATACTGTATATAAATACAGCAAAAAAAAATGAATTACTTAATAATTTCTCTATTTTTCTTATGTTTATAATTATAATATTAAAGAAAATAGGTTTTGGAAAAACTGATCTTATTTAGTATGTTTATTTATTTAAATAAATAACGTAGTATGAACGTATCTCCACTTATCTATTCTATTTCTGGTGTTTTATCTTATCTAGCTTCCTTTCATGGATAAAGACTATAAAAGTTTAAAAATTTTACGATAGATGGCGATAAAGGGAAGAAAAAATATAAAAGATAAACGTTGAATAATTGTAAGAAACCATAAAAGGTTTAAGAATATAGTAAGGCCGTTGTTTACAGAACGATAGTATATGGCTTATTTAAAGATAAAATTTGGAAGAAAAAAAGTTAGGAAATCGATAAATCACTTATGTAAATAGGAAAATTTGTATTTTTATTTCCATCCGTCTAGCTCTATTGTAAAGAACACAAATTCACTGTTGGTCGACAAATGCATCGCTTTATAAAGGAATATTCCCTAATCTCCACTTACACATACCTCTATGTATATATAGCGTTTGATAATAATATGAAAAAAGCATGGTTCCCTTTAAACTATTGAATTCTGACAGTGCCACATGGGTAGTGGGATAGTCTAGTTTTGATTTGGTATTGTTAAACTCTCGAAATCACCCGCAGTAAATTAATAGGCAAATTGGCGCAACAATTAGGTGAGAGTGACATTAACGGTTGAACGCGTTGACTTAGACTCCAGTAAAATTAGCCTACAGATGGGCTTAAAGGCGAGAGTTTACGATAGACACTAGAATTATGTAACCTATTCAATTTATATAAAATATTACAATCAACTCATCAACTTTTCATTTTACGACCATTATCAAATTGTTTATTAATCAAACTTTCTATATACACCCTTGTATAATTTATTATACTATATATTTCAATACAAAATAGTTATAGATTATCTTTATAGATGGCGTCACACGTTAACATTGAACGCGAGAAGGGCAAGGGAGAGAGAAAATCTACTTTCTAAGCCTTTGAAACCTTATAATAATATGTCTCAGGGTTAAATTTCACTTTCATAAGAATTCTAAAAAAAAGAACTATTTAAATTATTTTTTTTTTAAAGAAAAAAAAAACACTAATTAATCAATCATTATGTTGATTACAAGAAAATTAACGTTGTCTTTTGTTAGAGTGACGTTACCCGTTGACATTAAGAGGACCTATTCTTTTTTCTTGCAAAAATTCATTATCGTCAGTTTTCGGTAGGTGTTAACAGTATCAAGTAGGTAATAAGTGGTTTCCTAGTTTCATTTTATAATTAGGAAACGTTCACGTTTCTCATTCTTCCTCTTATTTATCTTTAATCGACATTGTCAAAATATCAATTTTTTTATACAAATATTTATAAAGTGGAAATAGTAAAAGTAACTGTTTATAAACGCCTAATCTTGAAAAAGGATATAGGTTACAGTGTTTGAGTGATGGCGTCAATAAAATATAAATAAAGTTAAAAAAGAAATCATTATAACAAAGACTATTTCTTCTCTCTCTCTCTCTCTCTCTCTCTCTCTCTTTAGTTCCTCCTTTCTCTTTTTTTTCATTCTTTCCCCACCCTTACCCCCTACTATCCTACTCACTCATAACACCTTTTCTACATTGAACCAAGACCAATTTCAATCAATTACTATAGACAGAATGAATCAAAATAAATTAAAGAAATAAATTATAACTGTATATACTTTGTTACGTAATCAAATGTTTACTTTGTGCAATGTTTATATTTTGTTTATTTGGAAATTCATTCATATTTTCTTTAAATATTGAATGAAAAAGTTGAAAAACGTCAATGTTTATTAAGTAGAAATAAAAATTAATTGATACAATTTGATTGAGAAATATCTTTGTTTATCGGGGAAAGCACTTGAAATACAAAAAATTCTCTAAGAATAATGAAAAAGATCAATAAAAATTCTCTGTGCGACCGTCGCTAACTAGCAGTAGCTTTACTCCTTTCAATATAACCGATCGATTTGCTATGTTAATTAGGTCAGACCGGCTTAAGCAATTCAATCTTTGTTCAATGTTTACCATTGCTTGGCTTAAGAATTATTCTCTACTGCGCATAGATTTGTCATTTTACTGTTTTGAACGGATTTTTTTAGACGAGGAAATTTTTACTATCCGTTTCATTTTATTAACTGGAGAAGAGAAGAACGAATTTTTTTTTTAAAAAAAAAGGAAAGAGAAAGCGTCCTTTTTTTTACATGTTTAAGTTCAAATACTAAAAAAAGGAGGTTGAACAAGCTTTAACTTTTACAACTTGAAGAAAAAATAGAGGCTAAAATGGCAATTGCCTTTATATTTATTGCATTTTTTACGATTATATGGAATACAGGTTTATATATTTCTTGTTTCTTTTTATTCAACTCTCTTTTTGTTTGGAATGTTACATTTTTGTTGTAAAATTGGAATTAATTTTGTGGGTGGGGCGTCTAATTTATTTATTTCTTCAGGACAAATTAACGCTCAAGCGTGCAACTGTTCTTCCACTATACCGGCGGGAAGTTGGTAAGTGAAAGTAACATTTTTCCTTTAGCCCCTTCTTCCTTCCCCCTGTTCAAGATTTATTTATTCGCCTAATTATTGACTTAATTAATTAACTACATTAGATAGAGTTAACTTTTTCTCTTTCAATCAATTCTTAAGATTACGTAAATTGACTAAATACAATATCGATATTTTCGTTAAGTAAATAGGTTTTATTGTGTGAAATGTGTCTCAGCCGTAAAGCAAATGGTAATTTCAATGCATTCTCCTTGGCTACGTATCTATTTATGTATTTAGCAAGAAAAATAAGAAAAATAGCATCCATTAATAACCTTTTCTTCTTTTTTTTCTTCTTCTCCTACTTCTTTTTCTTTTTTTTTTTTCAATAACATTCCGTTATAAAAAAAACACAGGTGTGATTCGGGGACAATTACGGCTTGTACAGCTGGAACTTATAAAAGTGCCACTGGAAATTCCGCTTGCTTGAACTGTCCTCAAGGTATAATATTTATAAATATATAAACAATTGATCGAAGATCAATAGACTTTCATATTATATTATTGTTGTTATTGTGATAAATTAAGGTTCGAAATGCCCTTACAATGGAATGGTTGAACATAATGTTTGTCCGGATGGAACTTATCAAGATGGTACAGGTCAGACTAGCTGTAAGGATTGTCCAGCAGGATCATCGTGTACAACTACGGCAAGTACTGCATGTGGAGCCGGAAAGTTTTCACCTCTAAAGTACGGAACTTGCAGAGATTGTCCTCCAGGTAAGAGAAGTAGAAAAGTTTTGGATATAAAATCTTTATACTTTCAATGTTTATATTAGTTATTTCTTTCCTTAAACAATTAATCATTTGTAAGTTTAAAGTCATAAGTTGAAAATTAGATGATAAAAGGGCGTAAATAACCTTAAAATTTCAACTACAAACAGGTTGGTATGTAAATGTCAATAAAACCGATTGCAAAGCGTGCGAAGTCGGCCATAAATGTAACGGCGGTATAAAGGCGCCCTGTGAAGAAGGCTACTTTTCACCGCCAAATAGTTTAACTTGTTTCGAATGTCCTATTGGCCATAAATGCCCGAATACTACTTCTCCTCCTATTCAATGCCCTGTCGGTTACTTCCAATCACCGACTAATAGGACAGAGTGCAAAATTTGTCAATTAGGATATTATTGCCCTCATAAAGGCTTGTCGGAACCTTTCGTCTGTCCTAATGGTTATTTTCAGGATGAAATTGGTAAATTAAATTGTAAAAAATGCGAAGCCGGACACTACTGTACGGCTATCGCTGAACTGAAATGTCCTATTGGTAAATATTCCAATCTGGGCGATGGATATTGTACAATCTGTCCCGAGGGTATGACAACTTCTTCTCTTCAGTTTGTTCTTCTTTTCCCTTTTACCTAGCTTTATTTAAATAGGGGCT